CTATACGTCGTCTCAGTTTTCTGAATTACTTTTAGGCGTGTTTTTCTGTCTGTGACTGCCAGAGTAAGTGTCTGATTTCTATTTATTTTTTTTAAATGTTTTTTTTTTCTAAAATGAGAGGAGCAGGAGCTCTAGTAACTAAACTCGACACCGCAAAGAAATTATTTCTTTAATATTTTCTAATGTTTGCTTGTATGTGCATACCAGTCATGCATGCAATGCGAACAAGTTCATTAAAAAATAACTTTTGTTTTGATTTACCATTTTCATAAATTTTTTTATTGTTAATTTCGAGCACTTGTTTTTTTATTTTTTTTTTATTTATTTTTAGAACATCCTCTCTCAAATGTTAGAATATGTCTTTGTTGTTTCTCAGTCAACAGTTCTTGTTATTTGCATTGCTGTAATACATGCTCAGTATAACGAATCGTTGGTTATGTATACACATCAAGATACGACGATGGGGACAAAGAAGTAGGGGGACATCTCTTAAGTCTACCGATGCGCTCTACTTCAGACACAAAAAAATTTCCATCAATGGATGATTTTTCAATTACCATTATTATTTTATTCTTTTTCTTCTTAGTGTTTATTTTCTTTTAGATTATTTTCAATATTTCTACATGACTCTAAGTAAACAGTAGTTCGTCAGAATAGTTAATATTCATCGAAACTAGTTAACAACTATCAATATTTGTTAAAATATGGCTATTACTGTACCCCAAAAATACGGCATCGTCGACAGGTCTGTACGTTGACTATAGGCGTCTAAACTAAAAAACCAAAAAAAATACCATTGACCGTAACTGCTTTTTTTTTTTTTCTTCAATTAAATTTAAATTAATTTAATTTAATTAATTTTTTTTTAATACCAACTATTGTTATTGTGATAGGTTGGGTTGTTCTGTTCAATTTGAATATTCACCGTGAATCGAACTATACTTCTGATTTGTAGGGTTGGTGTATCTAACCATTAAATTTTTTTTTCATCTTACGCTATTATTATTATTATTGGAGTTATTTATTTTTAATTTTCACAGATGTATGTAGACGGTTACGGCAAGCGATGCTTGGGAATGTCGTGCAAGATTATTGCAATGTAGCCCTTGTTTTCATGGTAATCCGAGGATTGTTCGATGGGGAGGGGGTTAACTAGGTTTTGATTTGGTTTACATGATTTCCATTTTGCTCATGAATTGGCCACATTAAGCAAATATAACAAGAGAAAAAGATTTGAATTGTATGTCAAACTGCCTTTTTGTTACTAAAAGCTTTTTAAATCAAAAATTTTTTATTTTATGGTTTTTTTGGATGCGTTTCGGCTTTTTTTTTTTTTCATTTAATTAATATAAAAATAGTTAGCAGCAACCGCGCCCAAGGGAGATATGGCATTGAAATATGCGCGGTTTAAAGTCAGCGAATGAAATGAATTAGGTAACAATACATATTACGATTGGATACTAATAGGGTTAAAATAGTAATTGACCTTTTTGAATTATAATCCTGAAATAGACTAACCAAGAAATTGTTTGTCTGGTACGTACATTGGAGCATGGTATCACTGCCAGCAATAGTTTTCTCCGCAGAAATAATATGTATACTTTGTATAAGTTAATTCGGCTAAACATTTTGTAAATCAAATCCTAGACAAGCGAATTGAAGTAGAAAGAAGAATCGAAGCAGAGACAATAAGTGAAAGATGGACAATTAAAGAAATCCACAAGGGGGTGAAGTGTACCATTTCATTGGGGGTGGAAAAAAAGGAATAGAATTTCTGGATTTGGAAGCGACGGTTGCAGGAAAAATAGGGAATTTTTAACCGTCCAAATAAGATTTGGAGACGTAATAATAGTCCCTTGTGAAGAAGAAGAAGAAAACAAGAAGCAGATGACAAGTTACAAAAAACTAGATCTAAAGGTACATTATGTTACACGCAAGCTAAAAGTTAGTAGTATCAATGGTAAAAGGTAAAATTAAAGGGAAAGCCTAGATGGTAGGTATAAACTCCGATAGTTTTAATTTCTTGTACTTTTTGTTTTAAACATGGTGCCAGATTTAAAAAAAAAGAGAAAAAGAGAGTTGGTGATTTGACGGGAATTGAAATACGAAAGCCTAATAGGGTTTATTATTGTCGAAAAACATATTTTATTGCAACCTAGACTACTTTGGTCAATATTTTTTGTTGAGTTTACATGGGCTTACTTGAAATTTAATCTGGCATTACGCTTCAAGTCTTGATGGTTTCATTTTATGTGCTTGAGGTTTATTGGCTTCTCACATGTAACTCAAATTGAATCTTTTTTTAATTATTTTAGTTGGACCAAAACATTAAAGTTAGCAACATTCGATTTTCAATACATTAATATTTTTTAATTATCAATTAGCAAACCTTATTTTAGATATACGTGTATGTATGTGTACGACAAGATGTTATATAATTGGATTAAATATTATAATTGAAATCTACTTGATCAATTTGATTTTAATTTGTTTTGGGTTTTAACAAGCAGTAGTTTTCTACTGGACTTAGCCTTATAAAATCTCCGTCCTGCAGCAGCTTGTTGTGATGGCAGTGCGAATTCGAACATTGCACTGCAATTCATTCGACAGGAACGAAAATTGGGAGGAAGGTAAAATAATGGAAAAAAAATAAAAAAAATAACAACAACGACAAAAAAAAAAGAACACCTTTGCTCTAAACTCCTGCATTAAAAAAAAAAAGTCGAAGTTTCTATCAAAATGTAGTGAGGAATGGAATGGAAATGAAACCAAAACAACTTTTGATTCGGCTTTGACGAAGTGTCCATATTTCCATTATTTTTAAACCATGTAATATTATTTCGTGTTTTTGCATACATAGAAGACACAGTATATCTTAATTTATATGGGATCAGCAATATAATTTTATAGTATTGATTAAATTAATTCTGCAAATTTCATTCAACGTTAAATTTCATTCTTATAATGAGCCTTTTAAGGGGGATTAGTGCAAAAGTAAAAGTACATTGTGCTAAAGACGATAGGGGAAAAAAAAAAAAAATCAACTGCCAAAAAGAAGAAAATTTGTTTAGTGAGTGAGTGAGAGTGAGTGAGAGTGAGTGAGAGCGAGTGAGTGAGCGAGGGTGGTAAAATGTCAACCATCTCAGACACCCTCACTGGGAAACTAAGAGAGAGAAAAAAGAGTCTTTTTAGTTCACTCCTTTCGTAATTTATTTGAATATTTCCACTCTTGCTTTTTTACAATAGTTAATTCTTTTCTCATTACAAAAGAATGTCTATATTTTTTTTCTTTTCTTTTTGGCGTATAACTTTAAAATGAAAAGATATCACACAATAACATAGAAATAATATGGTTTATTTTTTATGCATGTATCGCAGTGTGCAGAATGCGTCAATAGCATTATTTTTTATATTTTATTTTTTTTTTAATTTTTTTATTTAATATATTTAATATATTATATTATTTTATTTTTCCTATTCTTTCATTTAATTCATTACTAATGTAGGCCATTCCATGGAATATCTATATTTTCATTATTTATTGCACTATTCTCTGTCGCATACTTTTAAATGATATATATATGTAAATACCGACATGTACTTCTGTTACCGGAACGTACGAGATAAATAATAATCACCGTACAAATCATATATTTTTTATCATTTTGTATATATTTAAATATGTTTATTATTTTTATTTCTTTTATTTTTTACATGTATACATATATAATTTATTTTTTTTTATTTTAATTCATTTTTTTTTAATTTTTTTTTTTCTGGTACAGTTTCATCAAAATTTTTACAAATAAATATATATATATATATATCAAAATTTTTATGACCTTTTCCTGTTCAAAAGTGATATTTAGAAATTTATTTAAAAATTTTGTTTATTTAGTTTGTTTGTTTGAGTTGAATTTCGATTGTTTAATTAATTGTTTTACTTGAAAGCATCTACAAATCAGAGTTCTTTCTTCCTTCCAACTACTATCCGTCATTTTAAGTGGAAATAATAAGGTGATTTTGTGAAAAAAAAAGCACCATCTAAACTAGAACCTCAATTCAAAACACTACCAAGGAAATATAAATATATACCTTTTCTAGTGGCCATCATTATCCAACATCATTAAGATTATCATCTAATCATATTCTACATACCCCAAAAAGGATTGTAAAGATTTGATACATTTATATTATTGTGTTATACACCCCAATCTTGTACATTATTAGATTCAAATAGAAAATATTTAAAACTAATACAGATTCAATACAACATCAAGATATTAAGATATAATCATCATCATCAATACTATCCATCAATCGATCCATCGTTATTGATTCTGTTATACTGTTCTATCATCATCAAAATTGTATTTCAACCCCTCTCCAACTATTAAGTTGAATCAAAAGTATAATTTCCTATAAAACTCTAACAAGGTTCATATAGAGATATTAGGTCATTCCTTTTAATATTGACTGATTAATTAATTATTCATTCCTATCGATTTATTGTTACCTGTTTCATCTTGATCCCAGTTAACTTTATTCAGATCTAATCTAATAAGCAATCTAATTGATTCTCATCGTTCCTTCGTTTTACTTAGCTGTCACGTCACAATAATTGCTTATAATTAACTTCGTGATATTTAACTTTTCAATACTACATCCATTTCATTCAATTAAACTACCTGAAGCGGAATATCTACTTGAAAAGGGCAATAACAACCGTTCGAAGCGCTTGTCAAAAAAAAAATAAACAACAACCACAAACAAAGACAAGTTTGAGAAGAAAAATAAATAAAGTTCGAATATTTTTCGTAACGGCTTTAATTGTTATTGATAAATTTTTTAATCATATATATAGAGTATAAAAATTATCACAAGTTATCGATCAACCGAATCAAAGAAATCTATAGGCATCAGTTGTATCATATAAATAGGAACCAAACATAATAATTGATCTCATTTCCCTATAGTGTGCCACCCTATTTTCAAAACGAATGCTCTCAGAATTTAAATCGAGTCATCATCACAGTCAATTGTTAAACCCTTCTACTACTAATAGTTCTCAATATTTTTATTCAGATCAACCATATACCGCAAATAGTAATATGAACGGAAATTATAATTCATCTTTACAACAACAACAGCAGCAAGCTGTTAATGCTACTGCAACCCAACAACAATTCCCAAATCAAACTTATGCATCATATTATATGTATAATCAACTTCCAATACAAGCAGCTGCCACTGGAAGCCAACAACAACAACCTCAACAACAACAACAACTGCAACAACAACAACAACAACAACCTCAGCAACCTCAACAACAACCACAACAACAATATCAACAACAACAACAACAACAGCTGCAAACTGCCAATCCAGTAAGTGATCAAGCATACGGTGCTTATAGATATCAAAATGGTTACGCTGCCGGATCCACTGCCAATGTTGCTGCTCCTCAAAATTATTCTTTGTATCAACAAACCATCCCAAATCAATTATCTCAACCTCAACCTCAACATTATAATCAATTAAGTTCTTCAAACACTACTGCTAATGTGTATGGTAGTGCTGCATCAAGTGTTCCACCAGCTAATAGTGTTAGTGCCACTGCTAATAATCAATCTACTCCAATTCCTGATACACTTAACCCAACTTCAACTTCCACAGTTGGTCAATTTCAACCACCTGATATAAGACCAAGAGTTACCACTACTATGTGGGAAGATGAAAAAACTTTATGTTATCAAGTTGATGCTAATAATGTAAGTGTGGTTAGACGAGCTGATAATAATATGATTAATGGTACTAAATTATTAAATGTTGCTCAAATGACAAGAGGTCGTCGTGATGGTATTTTAAAATCAGAAAAAGTAAGGCATGTGGTTAAAATTGGTTCCATGCATTTAAAGGGTGTTTGGATACCTTTTGAAAGAGCTTTAGCTATGGCTCAAAGAGAAGGAATTGTTGATTTATTATATCCATTGTTTGTTCGTGATATAAAACGTGTTATTCAAACAGGTGCAACTCCTTCTAATAATGCTGGTAATTCAGTCGCTGCCAATTCAGTCGTTCCAAACAGTAATGGTACTGCTGCTACTGCTGGTGGTCATGCCGTTACCAAAGCTAACTCAACGCCAACTTCTAATTCAGTTCCTACCAATGTTAATAACTTTTATCAACAATATGGTCAACAACAACAATATGCTCAATATTCAAATCAACTTAATGGAAGCGCAGCAGCTGCACCTGCTAATCCTGCTACTGCAACTGCTGTAGTAGGTGCTACTAAATCCCCACAACAAGCTGCTACTGCAACGGCGGCTACTGCTGGTGCCACTGATAATTACCAACAACAATTACAGTTCCAACAAGCTGCTATTGCTCAACAACAGCAACAACAAGTTTATGGATATCAACAACCATATTATGGAGCTACTAACGCAACTGCTAGTGCGCCAAATCAATATTACCTGTATAATTATTCTGCATATGGCTCACAACAACCAGTGTATTCAGCATATGGATACCAACAATTACCACCACAAAGTCATCCACAACAAATACAGCAACATCAATTACAACCACAACAACAACCTCAACAACAACAATCACAAATTCAACAACTGCAAGTTCCAATTCCAACTCATGGTGGTCAAAGTGTAGCTCAATCACTGACCAATTCTTCTGATCCAAGTATTTCTTCTGCCCCTACTACAGTTACTACTGGTGAAGATATAGCTGTTGTGAAGAAGGATGATAAATGAGGAATATAGGTTATTTTCTTGCTATCTTTAAAAGCTCTAAACAGAATATAGAAATTTATTAGAGGTTAAAAATTCGATTATTATTCACCATCTCTCCTGCTTCCCTTTTTGCATTCATATGTATACATTAAAAGATTACATTCATATCTGTACTAGAGGATTTGAATATTACATTTATCAAATACAGTACTTGATAGGTTTTTTGCTTATGGAAAAGCAAAGTTTCAAAAAAGTCCTTCATCCAATATACATACATAAAAAAGAGATATATTCTTTTACACGTCATTATTTTCCATTCTTTGCTCCAGTATTATATTACAAAGATTTTGCTTTCCACTTATTTTATTAAATTATAATTATTATTATTATTATATCTTCATACATACTATCATTCTTAGCTATTTTATACATCCAAACTTTGCTTATCGACGTACTTTTTTTTTTCCTAAATGTTTGCTAATGTCCAAATTTATTTGCTTGATTTTTTAATTTTTGTTTGCTACTTACTTACTTAACCTTTTCATTCTTGCTATAATTCTTTATAGCTTTTAAGTTTTATCACAGAGATAATAATATTATCTCGTTGCTGTATTTTTATATAAATAATTTTGTTTTTTAGATCTTTTTCCTACCACATTCTTTTACTTTCATATACACAAATTTAGATACGTAAGTTTACATAACGTAGCATTTACTACCCAATTACATAATTTAGTTTCAAATTGATTATGCATGGAATAAATTTCAAAAATTTAAGTTTAGAGCAAGATTAGCAGGTAATCGATTAACCCCAACTATCAAACTATGCATTCCAGGCAGTTTCACACACATCAAGCAAAAGAAGCCAGCAAAAGAAAAAAGAAAATTCGATGCATGAAGTAAGTAACATACCTTGCGTTTTGCAACATGTTATGTAAAGATTTAACCATTTAAACGTCTGTCAAATTTATATTTTGTTAGCCCATTTGGAAAGATATTAAACGATGATTAAGCCAAGAGGTTGGATACGATCTACAATTGTTGGCTAACGGGTTTGACGAGCATGTCGATCTACCAAAAAGGATCACATATGATTATTGTTGTTGTTGCCATAGCAAATCTTTCTTGATCAAGCACACAAAGTAGATTGATGAACCTTTTCCAAAACTAGTAAAAAGGATACAGGTTAAAGTTCACGGAACTCCTGTTATTTTTATTTATTTATTTTAATTGAATTGGATCATAATCTACTCACACAAACATAGTTCATGGCAACAAACCTATGTTTCACGACTCATGGCGCCGCCCATTTATATTATTATAAATGTAATATGGTTCATACATGTTTAACAGAGATATACTTTTTTTATGCTTGGAAGATTTTATATTTATAAATGTTTATCTTATCAGGTTGTCAATTACGTATTGAATTTTTAAAAAGTTACATCGAATTTCAAAAAATTTTTTTGTAACAACATTCTACATAACCATTGTTGGTTATGATCGTGGCCGTTTGTCGTCATGAACAAGGAACGAAAATCGTTTTTATAATTTTAAGATTATAGTAACGGAATTTATTACTGAGTTAGTTGTTAATTATCATGACTTGGCAAGAGTAAGAGATACTTATTCATCAAGCCAAATTTATTAAATAAAAGGAACTGATTTGCAGTAATTGTTTCCTTGTAACGTTTTGTTTTAAGCTTGGATTAAAAAGTTAATATATTTATGTTTAAAAAGGCTAATATAACTGCCGAGGACAAACCCTTCGTAGTTATACAGAGTATAAAACTCATATGAATCTCTAGGAACATCACGGTTTTTACCCACTCATTGTAATGGAATTAAAATTGAATTATAATAAAAGTGAAGTGATTTTGGTTTCAATAGATAATCTCGTCATATTATTCAAGACTTAATACGGTAGTCTCGCTACAATCTTTCATAATAATACATGACCAACAAATGAAAATCCAAGATTTCATACCTAAAACGATATCATACAATCCAACAGATATAGCTATGCTGTCTAGTTCTTATATGGTTGTGAAAGGTCACCAATTTAGACGACGTAAATGGGTTATCAAAATTTCAGTCACATGACCAAACATCATGTGATAGAATGAGTTTATGAGGAATATTTCAATTTTTTTTTCATGCAAGGCTTCTGACTTGGGATGTGGAGATACTAGTGGTGTATAGGTTGCAAATAATAATTTGTGGTAGAATAAAGTCAGCCTTACGATTGATTACAATTTATAGTGTTCACTATCTTGTTACAATATATTCAAAATAATTAAAAGTAATTATATGATATAAAAACAGTAAAAACGTTCGTTCTAAAAACTTCTTCTTATGAAACCTTTTCAAGGGATATTTAGTTCTTTATATACTTTTCCAAGAACAATGACTTTTGGATTACTCCTCTTTTCATTTTTAGAAATGAATGACCAACTTAGTTACAATTATATTTTCTCCAACTTTAATCCTTAAAACCAAAGTGGTTTAACAACCATTCGTATTTCACAACTTAGAAAATCTTATCACATGATTAAAGCTCGTGACTCTTATATGCCTGACGACTGTCGAGTCCTAGCATTATCCCCGGTTCCATAGAAGTTCGTCCCATGAACTTCCTTTAAAAGAAAGCATGGTACAGCAAAGAACAACAAAATTTTCACAAAAATTTAAGTATAGTATGGTAGAAAAAATACTTTATGTACACCTCTTGGTAGCACCAAAAGGTAGTGTGGGACTCACTCATAAATCATAAGAATATAAACATGATTTTCAAAATATAAAAAGCAAGACGAAACTTACTGAAGTATACCCACTAAAATAACTACCAGATTTAAGACACAATTCTTAAATATAAAGGAAGAAACCATGTTCTCCAACAAAAGCAAGCTTGAAAATAAAAGTTTAAACTATAAATGAATGAATTAATTAATCGATTAATGAATGAATTGACTAGTCATAATTTGATATGATAGGATCCTATATTTAAAAGTTAGTATACTAAATGTTAACGTTAACGAAATACTTAATCGTGATAGACAATTGATGTGTCTTCAGCTAGTTCAGGGGTAAAGGTAATCATTCCGTTGACTTTTGAAAAACCTTTTGGGTATTGACTAACAGGTAATACTTCTAACCATTTGGTGTCAATAAATCTAGCTTGAAACTTATCAATAAATTGAATCATTAGCCTTTCTTGAACAGGCTTTGGAATATCAACCTTATATGCTGAAAAGGAATATTCTCCCACATGCATTGGAAGACAATCAATAAAACTTAACGCTATTTTATCAGTCTCAGTATTAATATCTTCAATTTGAACTATTTCCTGCACTCTTGGTACTAATCCCCTAATGGTCTTTGGTGGTTGTTTAGTGTACATCTTAAAATCTTCATCTGGTTGCCAAAGTCTTAGATTTTTAACATTATGAGTAGCATGTAACTCTCCATCCTGTTGCATGTCGAGTATAGCTGTGTTTTCATGCGGTACTTCAATCACCTTATAAGGACCAAAATATAGAGGTTTCATTTTTCGATATGGACCAGCATAAGAGTGCGCTTCACGTTTTACGAGAACGAAGTCTCCAACTTTGACTGTAAATTCACGACGTTTAAGATTGGTATATTTTTCCATTATTGCAGCATTATCCAAAATTTTATCTTGAAGTTGTAATTGAGTTGCTTTTAATTTAATTACAAGATCATCAGCACTTGCGTATCTATAAGGAGTTAATGCGAAAGGTTCATCATAATGAGGTAGTGACAAATACGGTGGCGTTGGATTCCATCCAAGATCTGCTTCAAATGGAGTTTGACCTATGGCGGAATTGAACCTATTGTTATAAGCAAACTCGAGACTGCTGAGTCTCATATCCCACTCCTTTCCATAGTCACTAGCATTTAACAAAAGTGTACGCATTAACTTATACGCATCAGCTTCATTCCTCAATTGTATAGTGGAAGTTCTTAACATTTGATTTAGGGTTTGGTTCGTCCTCTCCGTTTGGCCATCCGTTTGGGGATGGAACGGAGTCAGGAGCTGAAGTCTTACTTTACATAACCTTAAGAAATCAGACCAGAAACCCTTATATCTTACATCTTTATCACAGGTAATAGTTTTAGGTACACCATGTAACTTGATGATGTTATCAATGAACCTCCTGGCTAAGGTTTGACCATTATCATTTTTCGTGCAAGGTATAAAATGAGCACGCTTTGTTAACCTATCTACCACCACCAAAATCATGTTATGGCCTTCACTTGTGGTAGGTATACCTGTTACAAAGTCCATTGTTAAGTGTTCCCAACGGCCGTCTGGAATGGGTAAGGGATGTAAAAGACCGTTGGCTAATTGAGTTGAATGTTTAGAAACTTGACATTCTATACAAGCTTTAACATACCTGTCAATTGTCTCCTTCATATTATTCCAGAAGAAATAACGAGCCATCTCCATATAAGTGACTAAAACACCTGGGTGCTCTAGATATGGAGAGGTATGGTGTTTGTGAATTAGCATCTTTTGGAGTTTGACAGTAGGTATACACAACCTTTCTTCATAATTATCAAAATTATTAATGTTAATGAGATATAAAAATCCATCTTTATAAGTAAAATTAGTGGCATGATGACGAATTAATTTATTAGGTTGTTGTTCTAACTTAAGTGTTTCGAACAATTCTGCAAAGTAAGGATCATCTTTATAAGCCGCTTTAACATTATTATAAAATTCTGGATCAAGAATATTTTCAAAGGTAACTATAATGTTACATTGTTGTGCTTCTAATGATGCCTTCCTAAGATAGTGTTGATAATGATTTTTATCTATAACAGATAATGAATTAAATTGTTCTTCAGGTAAACGACTTAGAGCATCAGCACGATTATGTTCCCCCTTGATATACTCTATCAGGAAGTTAAATTCGGCAAGGAAGGAAAGCCACCTGGCAATCCTCCCGATAGGTTGTTTCTTTTCCCTTAATAAGAACTGAAGTGACTGATGATCTGTTCTTATTAGAAGTTGTCGACCAAGTAGAATATGTCTAAACTTCTTAAGGGTTTTGATTATTGCCAAAAATTCTTTCTCCCTGACAGTATAATTTAATTCTGCACCTTGTAAACTTGCTGAATAATATGCTACTACGCCCACTGGCTTATTTGTGGTTTCCCCAGCTGCTTCAATAGTCGCACCAATAGCTGATTGACTCGCGTCAGTAGTAACAATATATACACGATTGGGTAAGGGACTTATTAATATCGGAGCTTCTTTCAATTTTAACTTCAATGTTTTAAAACTTTCATCTTGTTCAGTGCCCCAATCTGCCTTACCATTTGAATAGTCATATAAAGGTTTAGCTATAACAGAATATGCTTTAATAAACCTTCTATAATATCCTACAAAGCCCAAAAACAGTGATGCCTTTTTGGGTGTAGTGATATCTGGCCAATTTTGGACTGCTTCTACTTTGTCTTTAGAAGTATGAATTCCAGATGCATTGATCGTATGACCAAGAAATTGTATACTATGTTTAAAAAATTCACATTTCAGACGCTTAGCAACCAACCTATATTCCTTTAATTTATCAAGTATCAATCTGACGTGTTCATTATGTTTCTTAGCAGTAGGACTGAAAATTAATATGTCATCAATATATACCAAGCATATTTTCCCAATATACGGAGACAATATATTATTCATATAACGTTGAAAAGTAGCTGGAGCATTGGTCAATCCGAATGGCATGACATTCCACTCGAATAGACCGTTATACGTTACAAATGCAGTTTTATAACGATCCTGCTCAGCTACTGGAATTTGGTGGTAGCCACTAAACAAATCAAGCTTCGAGAAGAAACTTGAATGGGCTATAAGGTTCAACTCATCCTCAATATTGGGTATCGGATAGTTGTCCCTCCTAGTGACTAAATTCAATTTCCTATAATCAACTACCAACCTTTTCTGATTCATAGCTTTATCTACTAAGAAACCAGGACTGCTAACGTTAGAGTGACTTTTCCTGATGAATCCTCTTTCTAACAATTCATTAATTTGTCTATCAAATTCAGGCCTAAGATGAATTGGTGGTCGATATGGATGTAATTTTGGCAACTGAGCTCCAGGTATTAATTCAATATTATGATAATAATTCAGTTGCTTGGCTGTTTGTAATGGAGGCTGCGTCAGTACGACCATCTTATAATCTTCTAAGATTTTGTTTACATCTGCAGTATATGGATCAGCCGAATTGTAATCTTGAATCGCTTCGGAAGTAAGATACGGATCTTGAATAAACCTTACCGGTACTTTCAATAGTGTTTGAGATTCTTCCCTAGAATCATTAGTTACAATCTTTCCTTCAGTTACATTATCTTTCACTTCCAAAAGCACTATTTGTTCTACCGTTTCTTGATTAATAGTATTCGAAGTAGTGGAATCCTCAGATATCCGAGATACGTTTCCCAGATTAAAAATATCTAATTGCGGTGGTAACTTAAGATACATTTCACAAATTTCCTTTCCAAGTATAATTCCATAAACAAGAGAATCGCAAACGAAAAATTTCAATTCCTTCCCAGTTTCCTTCCAAGTTAATACTACACTTTGTGTCAACTCAATTGGTCTATCACCATTTCCCATTTGTAAAAACACTGGATCAATTTTATTTATTGTTTTATTTAAGGGGATGTATATACTATGAATGAAATTAGATGTTGCACCACTATCTAAGATAGCAGTGTACCTCTCGCTGTTATCCGCCAAAGTGAATGGGACCTTTATTAAATTAGTAGTATTAGGATCGTTGGAAAGAATGGAAAGGCGTTGTTGTTAGGATGAACGATTGCTGTTATCTCTCCGGTTGTTGTTACTATTATTACGATTATTATGATTGGAATTGGAATTATTATTATCTTTATCTTTCTTTCTTTGAAGAGTATAACAATTATCGATGGTATGTCCCTTCTTCTTGCAATAGGAACATACCTGCTTGGATTTATTATTATTTGATCTGGAATTTTGGTAATTATTGTTATGATTATTCCCCTTGTGTTTCTTGAACTTTCCAGAATTATTTCCATTGTTATGGTTATCTTCATTTTTCCTTTTAAAGTTTCCACGATTATTCATCTTGAAATCTTCACCCTGTAAAGGTTCCAAGTTTTGAAGATCGTCCAATGTTTTAATCTTATCAAAATACGAACCTCCGTATACATTACTATACTGTCCCCTCATATTAGAACGAACAATATCTAAAAATGGCTTCCAATAAACGTCTTGATCAGCCTTATCAAAACAATAAAAAATATCAACCATTTTAGCAATATATAACTGAAGTGATTGAGTTTGAGTGGTTTTTCTGAGCTTTTCCAAAACTTCTGGATTTCCCCGTTGGTAATAAAGCTTTTTGAACCTTCTCAAGAATTCTTGAACTAAGGGAACTCCAGTGAACTGATTTCTTCTCAATTCCTTACAAACCATTCTCAACCAAGCTCCTGCTTCCTTTGGATCAAATAGATCTCTGGCCAACTCACCGACATCTTCCGGTCTAAGATCATAAGAACTATGTTTAGCTAAAGCCATAAGTTGATCTTCCAAACGATCATAAACTGCCATAACTTCAATTGGTTTCTTTCCATCAAATTTCTCCAGTTGATACATGTTTTCGTTACGTTTGTAAAACTGTTCTCTGTTAAAGTGTGGACGAGAATTTGAATTACCATTACCATTACCAGTTTCAGTGACAGTATTATTAGCATTAACCGTTGTTGTGTCATTTGTATTAGTATTTGGATGACTAAGAACAGGATTGGAAGAAGAAGAAGCAATTGGTGTATCAAGAGCAGCAACAGTTTCAGTCCTTGATTCATTTGGAACAGTCCTAAAGACAGGACGTTCGGTGGAAGGTGGTGTTGTTTCCCTGGATGAAGACATTGAAATGAGATTAGATAATTACTTTAAGGCTACAAGAAGATTCCACAGAAATCGCACCAATGCAAGGCTTCTGACTTGGGATGTGGAGATACTAGTGGTGTATAGGTTGCAAATAATAATTTGTGGTAGAATAAAGTCAGCCTTACGATTGATTACAATTTATAGTGTTCACTATCTTGTTACAATATATTCAAAATAATTAAAAGTAATTATATGATATAAAAACAGTAAAAACGTTCGTTCTAAAAACTTCTTCTTATGAAACCTTTTCAAGGGATATTTAGTTCTTTATATACTTTTCCAAGAACAATGACTTTTGGATTACTCCTCTTTTCATTTTTAGAAATGAATGACCAACTTAGTTACAATTATATTTTCTCCAACTTTAATCCTTAAAACCAAAGTGGTTTAACAACCATTCGTATTTCACAACTTAGAAAATCTTATCACATGATTAAAGCTCGTGACTCTTATATGCCTGACGACTGTCGAGTCCTAGCATTTCAACAAATCATCCGTGATAGTTTAGTGGCTAGAATTACCGTTTGTCGCATGGTAGACCGGGGTTCAATTCCCCGTCGCGGAGCTTTTCTTTTTTTTGCTAATTTTTTTTTTGCATCTTCAACAGATAACATACTCTTGATAATACTATAAATCGATTGAAATTGATAATTACAGGTTAGCTTTATGAAGAAACATCAAATTGTAGATATCAATGCTTTTTATTGTTGTTAGCAACTACCGTAGTAGTAATGTTTCCAAGTTTGCTTTTATTCTACAGACGAGATAGATGGATAGAGCGGATGATATCAAGTTGTAGTTTAGTTGAACAATTATTCACAACTATCAAACTCAATCTAAATCTCATATCATACACATACACGTCTTACCAACGTCTTAAACTTCCTTAGAGACACTACTTGATATGAAATTACTGTTTGTGGTACTGTTATTGATATTCTGTTTATAACGCGTATTTTTAAATTACGGGCACAAAAATTAATATGGACGCGTACCCACCACTACCACCAACACATTTGAAAATTTATGATCTTTCACTGAAGTTTCAAGAACTGTTTACTTCTTTTCTTTTCTTTTCTTTTCTTTCTTGTTTTCATCAATTGATAAATACATATACATATACAGATAAACTACTACTCACCATGCTTGAAGGTAAATTCGACGAAGCCACTTTATTAAAGAAGATTGTTGATTCTATAAAGGATTGTGTTAAATTATGTAATTTCAATTGTACTGAACATGGAATTACTGTCCAAGCCGTTGATGATTCAAGAGTGTTATTAGTGTCATTATTGGTTGGACAAACTGCCTTCAGTGAATATAGATGCGACAGAGATATCACTTTAGGTATTGATTTAGATAGTTTCTCCAAAATTATAAAATGTGGTAATAATGAAGATTATTTAACTATCTTAGCTGAAGATAGTCCAGATAATGTTATGACTATTTTTGAAGATAAAAAGAAAGAAAGAGTTAGTGAATATTCCTTAAAATTAATGAACATTGATTCTGAATTCCTTAAAATTGATGATATGGAATATGATACTGTTATAACGATGCCATCTTCTGAATTTGCTAAAATTGTTAGAGATTTGAAAAATTTAAGTGAATCATTAAATATTATAGTTACTAAGGATTCTGTTAAATTCAGTTCTGAAGGTGAATCAGGTTCAGGTTCAGTGGTTTTAAAACCTTACACTGATATGGATAAACCAGATGAAAGTGTTAATGTTCATTTAGATAATCCAGTTGATTTAACTTTTGGTTTAAAATATCTTAGTGATATTATTAAAGCTACTTCTTTATCAGGTACCATTACTATTAAATTAGCTGATAAGACTCCAGCTTTATTCGAATATAAATTAGATGTTGGTGGTTATTTAAGATTCTACTTAGCTCCAAAATTCGATGAAGATGAGTAGATGTGTACTTAGATTACATATGTTTATATAGTTCAAGTAATAAATATTAATTATAAAGTTTCAAATATATAGTTTAACTTTTATTAATGAGAGAGAATAATAATAATAATACATTATACATATGGTCTAGAAAAAAAATTAATCAACTACTTCTTCTATCATGCATTTCCTTACCCCATTTATAGATATCTTTCTTTAATCTATCAGCTCTTACTATACCATTTCTTAATTGACTTAAATTCTTAATATATTCTTGTTGTCTTTGAATGCTGACTTGTAAGTAATTAATTAAATCTTGCTTTAAATTTGATTCTTGATCATTACCATTTTCATTTTGTTGATCTTCATTATTCATTGATAATTGATATTGTTCATATTTTCTTAAAGTTTGAGGCAAAGCAAAGAAAGGGTCGACATCATCAGCCGATTGGGGTTCCTTTTCTGCTTTAACTGGAGTCTCTGCTGCTTCCGTTGGTTCTTCAGTAGCAACTGTTATAACAGCAGTGCTGCTTGATGGTTCATCTTCTTTCAGCTTGGATTCACCTCTTTCATTTGATTCAATAGTTGAAATAGTATTAACTGCTGATGTAGATGGAACTCTTTCATCATTCAATCCATGATCATAATCTTCTAAACCCAAGTTTTCTTCTAAAAGATAAAACCAATCTTCACCATTCAAAACTTGTAATAATTTATTCAACCAGTTCAAGTTGGTTTGTTCAACCTCAATCAATTCAATCAATTCACTAGCTAATTTATTGAATATAGGAGACTTATAAGTTTTCAGTATGGAAGGATGAGATACAACTTCTGATGGATGATTTAAAGGTGCCAAAATTTCAGCAAGTTTTATCTTTTTCAAAGGATGATCATCTAAATCATCATCTATTTCATCATCTGCTGCTGTAACCTCATATTCTTCATTATTTTCATTATTATCATTGTTGTTATTATTTTCATCATAATCATCTTCATCTTCATCATTGTTATCATCAACTTCGACATCATTATCAATATTATTAATTGATTGTCCGTAGAAATCATGCCATCTCCGTTTATTATTCAAGTTACTTTTCTCTATACTTTCATTCGTCATAACAAGATGATTAGCCCCATCATATTCAACTATTTTAGAGGTTAATGATTCTAAGGCATTTGAAGATGGTTGATATAATTTATTACCACGATTACCAGATGAAATCTCAGCATTATCATTTGAGATTGATTTGGCAGTAAGAATCGCCTGTTTGAAACGCGATATCACTTCTAATGAAACACTATCCAACATTGTTATTGATATTGATTAAAAGCAATGTTAATTGGTTTAAATGAATGTATGCTTATCCTTCCATTCTTTCAGGTTTTCTCTCATTTCAATTTTTTTGGGAGGAGGGCCGTTTCCTGTATATAGCAAACGCAACTATATACAGGAATAAAACAGCCAAACAACAGAACCACACTTTAAACCCATATCTCCCCCATCTACACAACCCATTATCATACTGATATCATCCAAATCCATCAATAATCGATTGATATATCTATCTTGACAGTATATTTGATCGATCCAATCGTCCATACAACTCCGTATTGTCATTTGCTGGGATATCTTGCTGTAGTTGCCCTATTTACAACAGTCGTCTGACAACGCTTACAAAAAAAAGGCAGCCAAAAAAATCAGATACAGCCATTCTAAAATTAGAGAGTCATCCCTTCAACTTCATTCTGTTTATCATCATCAACAAGTTAACTTCATTGTGTTCAGATCCAGTTGATCTATCTTAGATTTAGATTAACCACAGCTGAACAATCTTAGTCATTTACCATTTGCGATTTGCTAATTTTATCCTATTCCGTTGTTGCCTCTCTTGCCCCCCCTTATCAAACCTGAGATAAGTATTTACCCAGATTCATCCATAGCATCATTCAATACTTCACATAAGTTGTCACTCATTTAAATGATTGCTAGTCATGTCAGACATATCTTACTTGATCATATATAATGCTCATAACGGGAATTCAATTAAGATCCCTAAGCCCATTAGGTCTCATGATTTAAAGGAATTTAAACGATTCTTACTGCAATCATTCTTGTTTGAAAATGTTGATAATATCTTTTTATTAACATCATTTGGGATCAAATTGAATTTCAATCTAATCAATGAGTTAATTGATATCTATGTGTTTGACAAAAGACTATTTGCCAATTCTGTTGATGCTAGACTTTTAAATAATTATACTGATGCTAATGATGGCAATATAACCAGTCATCCTCAAGTATCCATCTTATCCACCATGTCTGATACTGATTCCAAGAACATACAGCAGATAACTAATAGTTTAAAGCAAAACCAAGGTTGGGCTCAACAATTACTACGTCATTGTCTTAACTTAGGCCAATATTCTAAAGATTTGATTTATCAGATTAATGTCATTTTCAAGTCTTTAAATACTATGTTTCAATTCGCTACTAATTTCATCAATGATGTGGAAAAGGATTTTAATAAATATTTCAATTATATAAAATTAACTCATATGAAAACCTTACATAAATCCTGGAATGAACATTATAATAAATTATCGAAATTTCCTCATATTAAGATAAAAAATAAGTCAATCAGCTTGATTGAATTATTAAATCATGATCAATTATTATCACGATCAAAATATATTGAACAATATTTACCATTGGTGATTAATGAATTCAATTCAATGAGACAGACTATGAATGTAATTGGAGAAGAGAAATTAAATGTCGATAAACAAATTGAATCATTAAGAAATCAATCTATTAATGAGTTTAAAGATGTTAATTTATCAAATATCACTCAAGCTATCAAAGCAACCGTACAGTTGGTAATCAATGATTATGATAAATTATCAACTTCTGATACTGATTTATTTGAAATTTATAATTTACATAAAAATAACTATTGTCCAAAGGTTTATAAGGATTCAGTTGATTTATTTAATCATTATAATGCATTAAAAGAGTTTAAACGCAAATTAATCAATGAAAGTTTAAGAGTGTTTAATAAAATAGCTAATTTACAAATGAATTTAGTCCCCGTTAAACAAAATTTATCAGTCTTAACCAAGGCTAGTCCTTCAACTTCTGAGACTTCGAGGCCAACAACCAATACAAATTCCAAACAGCTGAAGTTATCCTATGAAACTATTCAAACTATTAAGAAGTATGAGGATTATCTAGCATTAACGATTGATTTACCCTTACTTTTCGGATTTATCTTAATTGAAAAAAGACGTCAATATGAATGGTATGATCACTTTACCAGAGGTGTAGTGACTAATGTATCTGAACAAGTTACAACAATTATAGATCATGAAAAGTTATTTAGAAAGCTTTGGATGAAAAGATTCGCAAGTGTTTTACCGTTATTGAATGCTAACCCTGAAGTAAGTAATTCAAATCTACCAAATTTTGACATTACATTGATTGGTAATAATAGATCTAATTCTTCATTATCGTTTAAAATTTTGGATGATGTCATCATTGGTAGAGAAGATATTGAAAACTATATCTCAATATTGCAAACATCCCCTGTGTCTAAGAATTCAATTGAATTATTAAACAAGAATTTAAATGATTTAAAAGACTCAACTAAAGCTATGAAAACTATCATTAAGGTCGTTACTTCAATAGGAAAATATACATCATTAGCTGAAGAACGCGAAGGTCAAAAACAAAAACTAAAACAAGGACAAGATCAAGAACAAGGACAAGAACTAGAACTAGAAGTAGAACAACAGCAAGAAGAAGAAGAAGAAGAAGTTGATATAGATTTAAATTTAGTGGAAGGTTTAAAATCGAGAATAAAAAAGCTTGAAAATTTATTACATCAACAACAATATAAGAATCTTACCAGTTGGCCGGTTACACGAAACAATCATATCAATGGTCTAAACAGTGCAGTTGTAGTAGCTCCTACTACCGACAATGGGCAAGCCCATAATTCAGTTTCGATTAATAACAGATCAAGTTTAATGCTTGATCCTAACACTGTATTTAAATCTGATCCAACTCAATTATTACTGAGAAGAAATTCAATTAATTCGAGAGCACCGGTTGCTTTAACTGAATCAACTAATAATATTGATAGGCATTTAGATAATATTCGATTAAAACGAGAAAATCAAGAATTAATGGGAGATAATGAACGGTTAATGGAAGAAAATCAATCTCAAAAAGATGAAATAGAACGATTAAAGAAACAAATTACAGCATTAAATGAAGAGAATCAAGAAAAAGATAATGAAATCACTTTGAATACTAAATTGAATATGAAAGAGGTTGATAATTTGAATAAAAAAGTTGATCAAAGAGATACTCAAGTATCTGATTTACAAAATAATATTATGAAACTTACAGAATTGAATTCAAATATGGGATCTGAAGTGAATAAATTAAATCAAACCATTTATGATTTACGCAAGGAAGTGAATGAGTCAACTCAAGTAAAGAATGATTTATTATTCAACTTGACGACTAAAGAATCTGAAATAACAAAACAAAAAGCCACATCGGAAGAGGAAATTAAACAATTACAGTCAAAAGTTAAAGATATGCGCCTTGAATATGATAACGCTATTGAATTAAGATCCACTGATAGAGCCACAACACAAGCTCTTGAAATTATTATCATTAAATTATTTGATAGTATTAACAGATTATCTCATGAATTATTCGAATCATTCCTTGAGTTTTGCTTTATACTTGAATCCATGGGATTATTATTAAGTAAAGATGAGAATAATGTCTATAAAATCATCAGAGTGAAAGGGTTAAGATCGAAAAAGAATGTTGGTGGTGATGAGGCTGATACACTGTTAATCAGTATTGAAAAGCCAAGTTCGAGAGTCATAGATGATATTGGAAATAAGATGGTTTGGTTAGATGAATTAAAAGACTTAACCTTGGTAGAATCATCTGACAATGATGGTGTTATCAATCAAGCCAATAATTTGATTAAATTATTTAATGATAATTTGAAATCGGAAAATTCCAAATTAGATGATTATTTATCTTTAATTTCATTTAAAGAAAATGTACAAATGCAAGAAGGTAGTATTAATAACACAAAGTTCTTCTTGAATGCGATTGCAAAGAGATTTAAAGATGTTGAAGGATTTGCTAAGAGACAAACTAAAGATAATAAAGCTAAGGATCAAGAGATTTCAAAACTTAGACTTTCAAAGATTTCAATGAATGGATTTCAAGTTAATGATTTAGTATTGTTTTTACCTACTAGAATTGAAAAAGCCAATAATGAGATTGAAAATGGTGAATCACAACAACAACAACAACTTCAACAACCTTGGGCTGCATTCAATATTGGAGCTCCTCATTATTTCTTAAAAGTTACAGATGAAAATCTTATTAAAGATAAAGAATGGATGGTTGCTAAAGTTCTCAGTGTTACTGAGCATAAAGTTGAAGAAAGTAATGTATCTTCCAAAGAATTGAATCCATTCCAACTTAGTGTTGGAGTGGTTTGGCATTTAATTGAAGCCAAAGAGCATTTTGCTTGATTAGTATATTTTTTTATATTACAATTTTTAGTTCTTATCCGGCAAAGGAGAGCAGGAAGCTCTATTATTTTTTTACATATAAAGTTTATATATATATAGTTTATACCCCTATAATTATTCTGGAACATTATTAAATAAATAACTCACACTTTCACCATTATGTAATCTTCTAATAGCTTCAGCTAAAGTTGGACTTATATCGATAATTTCAAGTCTTGAACATGCAGCCACTTTATCTTGTAATGGTAAAGAATTTGTACAGATAACTTTATCTAATTTTGAATTATTTAATTTTTCAATAGCATTTGATGAAAAAATACCATGAGTTATCATAGCAATGACTTTACTAGCTCCATTTTCAAGTAAAATTTCAGCTGCTTTACATAAAGTACCACAAGTATCAGCCATATCATCAACTAATACACACACTTTATCAGTTACATCACCCACCAATACCATTCTTGAGATTTCATTAGCTTTTTGTCTTTCTTTATGAATCAAAGCAAAGTTAACATCTAATTTATCAGCGATTGATGCTACTCTTTTAGCACCACCTGCATCGGGAGATACTATAATTAATTCCTTTCTATCATAATGTTCAGTAATAAATCTTAAAGTAGAAGGTTCAGCATATAAATTATCAACTGGAGCTCTAAAGAATCCTTGAATCTGAGAAGCATGTAAGTCTAATGTTATGACATGATGACAACCAGCTGTTTGTAATAAATTAGCAATCAATTTAGCGGTGATTGGGGCACGAGATTTATCCTTTTTATCTTGTCTAGCATAGAAGAAGTTAGGTATCACCGCCGTGATTCTTCTAGCACTGGCTATTTTGCAAGCATTGATAGTGATCAATAACTCCATCAAATAATCATTGATCTTATCCTCACTACAACAGGTTTGTATTATATAAACATCTTCATCTCTTACTGATTCTCCAACTGCAACAGCAGTTTCTTTATTGGTATATTGAAATGCACCCACACGGGCTAATTGAATACCTAGTTTTTTAGCGATAGCTTGACATAATTGAGGATGTGAGTTCCCAGCAATCAATTTTATATTATTAGGCGACTTAGTCATGGTTGTTGAAATTAATGAATATCCAGTGACTCGTGGTTGATATTTGATTGATGGGGTTATAAAAAATCTTTGAAAAGAGAAGAGATTACCATTTTTACAGGTTATGTTCCGATTTTACATGTTATGATTTTGTTACAGTTTATCATTTATACAGTTTATGATAATCAGAAAAAGTTAACTTTCTTGTGTGGAAATATGTAATTGTTTCAGAAGGAAGATTCTGATTCAATAAGATTTTAAACTTATAGTCAGTAGAATACATGAAATTCGATAAACTAGAAGTTTAATTAATTCAGTCGGCGTGAAAACTTTGGTGGATAAAGTTGATATTCTTATCTTGAATCCTTTCAGATAGGATGATGGCTAAAATTCTATTGATTTTTCAGTTTCAAGAGACTTCTATATGTTATGTGAAATTCTAACGATTTATTTAGGTTTAGATATTATTAACTTTAATGCCATCTGGCGTAGTGATGGCAAAAAATTTGGAATTATCTTTCGAAAGACTTTGTCTTTGTCTTTTTAGGAATACCATTTCAGTATAAGCACCTGAATGGTACTATTCCAAAAGACAATCTTACTAACCTTACAGTTATATTTAGAATAGCATAAACACTTTTACTAACGATTTATATAAATTACAATGTATATTATATTGCTTTTACATGACTAACTATGTAGACTAATGTCATTAACTCTAATCATAACTTAGCATTAAGCTTTTCAGAACTAATTCTATCTAATATGAATTTTGCTTCTCTTTGACCACTAAACCATCCACCATGAGCACATCCATTAGCGCTACCATCGATGGTTTCTGCTCCAGCAAACTTAATTCTATTTTCAATCCCTTCAATAAATGCTGCTGTTACACGTTCAGGATCTCCTGATCCAATCTTAACTGTTCCATAAGCTCCACGAGCATACTTATCATTGGTCCAAGGAGTATGATAGATATTAGTTGGAGCAGGGATATTACTTATTATGGAAAAGCTTTCTATAAGTGGTTTGAATAAATCCCAAATAATTTGAGATTTAGTAGTTGGATCAGTATCCAAGTTTTCAATATATGCTGCTAATGGAGCTTGGATTAATGCTACTAAAGATGGAGTTTGTGCCATAGCTGCATAATTGACAAATATACTGGGGAAATCCCATGGTTTATAATTAGATCCATGATTTGGTTGATGATCAGTTAAAGCATAGAATCTATCAACATCTTTAGGCCAGAAAATAGTATCGAATTCAAAAACAACCTTACCTAGAGATCCATAATGTACAGAAGGTAATATATCACTGATATGAGGAGGTAATATTGGCTTCCAATCGATATATTGTTGATCCTTTGGATCATTAATTAATAATAAACTCTGAGGAATGGTAACTATTAAGTAATCACAGGTGAATTCTTGCTTATCTGATGTTATTATAGTGATTAATTTCTTGTTGGTATAATTAATGGAACTCACTTGAGTATTAAGTTTGATATTATTATTTCGGTAAGATTCTGGTAATTCCAATAATTCATTATTGAATACAGTTCTATAGCCATTCTTAACAAATACATTTCTACCTTGATGATCTAAACCATCAAAAGTATACTTTGCAGAAAGTTTCTCCCAATCTTCTCCATGCCATAATTCAGCCCACATCCTCACTACTGAAACACCATATTTTATTTGATCATTAGTTAATCTTGATTTGTAAAGGGAAACATACTCGTTACATATTTCTTTCAAAGATATATCTGGTTTAAAAGGATCATTTTGATATGTAAGACTGATATAGGTTAAGATTTCTTCCATGACAGCATCATACTTCCAATGTTCAATATACTTATCTTCAGGTGAAAAGAAAATACTTTTACCATCATCATAATAATATGATACATTCCCTTTAGCAAGAGCTTTATCAAATAATGGATTATTTAAACTATCATGAAACCACAGAGCACCAAGATCATACTTGACATCTCCACCACTTTGATTATTGGTAGAATCAATTGATAATAACCTTCCTCCTAAACGATCTCTTGCTTCAAGTATCAAAGTATCTTGAACTCCACCATTATATAAGTCAAGAGTAGCTTTCACTCCTGATATACCACCACCTATGATTATTACTTTCTTATGAACCATGACTTGTTCTTCTTACTATTAATCTCATATTGATCTTACAATCTAATTTGAAATATTTCAGGACCTATTTATATCTACCTTTCAAAGATCAATCAAATTGAAAATTACGGAGTCCATTCCTGTATATTATCAAATCCAAATTGGGTAATTGATTGCGCTCTCTTCCAAAACCCAATTAGGGAAATTCGGCGGCAAATATCGTAAGACTAATAAGAAAAAAAAATACGTTAAACATAGTTCATGCCTCTGCATTTATATTTAGCAAATGCATTAAAGGGAAAGAGAAGGAGGAGGAGAAATGCAAAGACTAAAAGGTAATGCAATGTATTATTATTAAGAATTAAACATTAATTAAGTTATTAGGCAGTTAAAAAATTATTTAGACAAATTCTAACTATAAAACTAACAGACGAGCCAAAAATGGGGAGTAAAAAACTTTAAAAGAACGAATTATGACAATATAGATATGAGATTAATACTGATATCAATGTATTATATTCTGCTTTTTGTTATGATTATTATTATTAATATTAGTATTTTAATATCACGAAGTGAAAGTATATGATTGATGTAATGTGAATGCTGCGTATGCAAAAAATTAATCTCAATGAGCGGATTATTTATATTATTATTATGATAGATTTTTTTTTTTTAATGTTTCACCTAATTCTTGAATGGATAAGAGGTTGGGAGATAACTTACTGACTAGGCTCCAAAGTATCATGTAATCCCACAATCTCTCCCATTAAACTCAAATATTCTTGGATAAATGAGTTAAATACCCACCAGTTCCCAAAACTATTTTGTGAATTATCTGATGGATCATTAGGGTGTTGATGTAAATTTTGTAATTGTGATTGTTGTTGTTTTAAAAATATAAATTTTAAAATATCATTAAGAATGAAACTTATGAAATTATTATAGATAATAATTGGATATTTTGATTTATAATGAACTGATAATAATCGTTTATCAATTAAATTTATTAATGAGTGTAGTTTAATCAATTCTCGACTATTAAGAATTGAATCAGTATTGGTATTAAGACCACTTCCAGAACTACTTGGACCAACTTTAGGATTGCTACTGCTCGATTCTGTATCTGCTGCACCTGTTGTATCTAAATGAGTTGGACTTTCAAATTCTAAACTACTATCGTTTAAGAATGCTAATAAATCCTTTTTGAAAAACTCATCTATCAAGTTGATTTCTTCATTAATGAAATTCATGGAAATTGATGATTTTAATTCATTACTTATTGCAGGATCAAAATTATATCCTATCAAGGTATAAATCATATCATTCGATAAAATATCATTTTTGAAATTAAAATTTAAATCTCCAAAGGTATTTAAATTAAGTAAAAAACTACTATCATCATCAGACTCTTCAACTTTAACCCCAGCCACAGATGGTTGAGACGGTATATCACTTGGTTGATTAGTTTTAAGAAAATTCTCAATATCATTTGTCATGATTGATTTAGTATTATCTTTAATTATAAGTTTAATAAAGGTTATTAACAAATCATTCAAATTGATCATTTTCTTAAGTAATATTAAAAATATAGTTGAATTTTCAAGACTGAATAATGATGAATCCAATTTTTTGATTTCATTATTGAGATTATTAATCAAGTGTAATAAATTTAATCTCAAACTCTTTAAAAAATAAATATTGGTTGATGATTTAATTAATAATAGGTATGGTAATATCTCCACCAAGATGATTAAATAAAGATGTAAATCAATTCGACCATCCACCACATCTGTAGTTGTCGAAGCAGTTGCTATCAATGGTTTTATAACGGCTCCAACAAGATTCTGAAGTATACTATTATTATTCTGTAAATTATCACTATCAAGAAATATTTGATGAATTAAAGATCGAGAAATTTGAGAATGAGTAGAATAAATCTTAAATTTCAATTCACTAAACCAATTTTCTTCATCATGTAATACAGTGAAACTATCATCGGAAGGATATTTCAAAAATGGTTTTATGAACGATAAATTGGGCGTAGTAATTAAATCACGATATTTAGGAACAGAAGGTTGAGATAAATCTTGAGGAATTTGTTGATGGAATTGTTGTTGCAGTGATGGACCTGCTTGTGGATCACTTTGATCAAAAGGTGGTCGAAGTTGTTGTGATTGATGCGGATCAAGAGTAGTTAATGGAACTTGTTGTTGACTACTTGATGATATAAATACATCCAGTGCTTTACTAAGATCTGATTTTGAAAAGTCAGGTTTAAATTTACCTTTACTTGAACTTCGTCTATGAGTTTTCTTAGGCAAAATGCTTGATAATGATAATCTAGGAGCCTTTTGATCTCCCTTAAAGATTTCATTTAATTCAACTATATCATTACTTTCACTCAATTGATTAATATCATCATTAATAATGTTACTATTCCAAATCACACCCAAATAGTTATATTTTGATTCACCTCTACTACCCAATCTCTTAATTAATAAGTTGGGATATACCAATTTAATCAATTTACCTAATTTAGATTGACCAAGGATTAACTTTTGTTGTTCATTAGTTGTATTGGATGAACTTGGATATTTTATGATCAATTTTTGACAAACGATGTAATAAGTCTTATAAATTGATAATCTTGGGATAGTATAATTCAAAGGATCATCGTCATCAGCCAAGGGCAATTCTACCAAAACATCATATAAAATCTTAATGGCGAGAAATGTTCGTAATAATTCATGATAATTGATATGACTTAATTTATTTTCTTCATTGGCTAATTCGGGAAAGTATTCCACCAAAAGATTTGTATTTTTGAAAATATTTAATAATTCATTAATTAAAATAATTGAAACATCTTCATTACTAGCAGGACCTGAACTTGTAATACTTGGATTTATTTGATTGGGTGGAACTTTAGTCTTATCAATTTTATCATCAATTTTGGTATTGAAAACAGCATCTAGTCTATCATTATTATATAATAAATTGTAAAAATCATCAACAGGAAGAGGTGAATTAATTTTCTTTAAAATTGATAGTAAATAATTATTAATGTTTGAACTATCAACCTTAATTAAATCAGATAATAATTCAGTCACAACTCTACCAGCAATAGTCACTCTATGATTAGGGTCTGGATTAGATTGTTGTTGATCTTGTCTCTTAGATGCATCTTCAGTTAATGAAAATAGATTAAAATGTGATGAAATAGATAAATTGTTTCTTTGATGTTGTTTAAATGCAGATGCTAAATGGGATTTACTTGAACCAGTTATAGTACCAGCTGTAGAAATTGGTTGTAATGATGTAGAAGGTGGGCCAAAGTCAGTTATTTTTTGATAATTAAATGATGCCGTGGGATACACGTTGGTAGTATCAAAATTAGATGGATATTGTTGTTGATGATGCTGCTGTTGTTGTTGTTGAGTTGGAGGAGCTGAATGACTATGTTGTACTGGTTGTTGATTTAAAAATGGAGAAGAATTGGCTGACGTTGTAATTGGTTGAAAATTCTGCAATGGAGTTTGAAAAGTAGATGTATTTGTATTTGCAAGTTGAGAAGTATCTACATTTGAATATAATGATTGAACATGAGGAGAAGAAGTGAATGGGTAATACGGAGTTTGTTGTTGTTGCTGTTGGTGCAGAAGTTGTTGCTGTTGAAGTAAATGATGCTGTTGTTGATGTTGATGATGATCATCGTCATCATTTGGAGCCGGTCTCTTTAATGGAGAAGAATGTATATTTCTTGTATCAGGCTCAGCTGGGTATGCAGATGATGATGCCACAGGCTTATTAGGGAAATTATAATTAAATGAATAAGGATCAGCATCATAGATTTGAGATTGATGATTTGTAGGAGTTGCTTGTTGTAAATTATGTTGAGGCAGTTGATGTATTTGATGTTGTTGCTGTTGAGACTGTGATTGTTGAGGTGATGATTGACCTTGATTTTGATCTATAAAATAGAAAGGAGCCAGGACCGACGATTTCTGTCGTTTATGAGTTCGTTTATTATTATTATTTGACATATCACTTGACCAGACATTTAAACTTGAAGGAAATTGTATAAAATTAAAACAAAAATAAAAAAAAATGAAGAAGGATAACCAGGGCCAAACTTGAAACAATCAAGAAATAGTTATTATTATTAATGAAATTAAATTAGAATTGATAGTATATTGATATACTATGAACAAATTATGAATGATGATAAACTTTTGAAATTGATATCAAGCCAAAATATTGATGAATTATGATATTATATTAAAAGATTGATTGATATCTTATTTTTTTTTAGGTGTAATAAGAATACTGATAAGCCTGTCAAAACTAACTAAGAAAAAAAAAAGTGAATCCCCGATGATGATGAAGATGGGGTTATGATTGAATAAAAAAGCACCGTTGAAGGAATATTTAAATAAGGTTTATTAGATTAGATTCAATTGTATGGTGATGGCAAATTAAATTGAATGATAAATTAATAAGTATTAAAACGGTATGTATGGTGGGATGGACTAACCGAATTTAATGAAAAGGAATGAGTAAGGGGATTTGACAAGGGAGAATGGATATATGCAGATGACGTAATGAGAAGATCAAAACAAAATAAACAGACAAGGATTAAATAAGTTAAGAAACAACCAAAGTAAATTGAAGATGGGATGTATATATGTTGTTTTATTTAACTTGATTAGATAAGTTTATTAAAAGGATGAGTCTTAAGATGGTGTAGGAATAAAGTCTGTTAGACGATGTAGCAAATAAACTAGGAAAATCCTAAGCAAAACAAATCCAAACCAAAAAAAAAATAAATAAAAAAATAAAAAAATTAAAGTGATATTTTTGGTCTGTTTTTGTTTTTGTTTGATTTATTGTTATTCCGTATAAAAATACCACACACACACACACTTACACGCAATGGTACTGAGAAAGACACACACTCACTGAATATAGTTTATGATAATGATAATGATTATAAAGCTAAAACTTTATTGTTATTATTACCGTAATTGAATTTAGTGTAAATAATATTAGACTCCTTATAAACCCACACAGTTTCACAACCAGTGATCTATAATAGTAATATAATTTTTAGTGAGAATTTGCCAAAAGGGGATATGAAATTGATAAATATGGAATATCACACTTATTTATACTAAAGATATAATAATTAATCTTTTTTTTTGATATCTTACAGGTAAGGCTGTAAGGTTGTAGGATAGGATAGAATGGAATGAAATTGAATGAATGAATGACCGAATTATAAACAGACAGACAAAACAAACAATCAAAAGCAAGGAAGGTAGATGTATAGAATGAAGTTGAAATGTAGAATTGTGTTAACAACAAGCCTTCTTATATTGTAAAGACGAGGATACACAGAAAGTAAGAAAGAAGGAATGGAAAGATAGAAACAATGAATAGTATCTACACCCAGTATCACAACTCTTACTCAAGTGATTATTGACAGATCAAAATCAAATCAAATCAAATCAAATCAAATCAATACAATACTAGACAAAGTAAAGATAAATAAGCTATATCTGATTCCGTCCTGCACACACACACAACTATTTTTACTCCTCCCCCAAATGTAAACAAAAACAGAGAGACGATTCTTCTCACTTTTTTTTTTTTGGATTTTGTGGATGTTGTAAAAAAACAAAAAAAAAAGGCAGCCAAAAATAGAATTTGTTGTCTGACTTACCTCACTGTATCTAGCAAAGATGACTTTAAAGGGAATTTGGTTGTCTTGGGATGAGATTGAATGAATAGGCGAATCAATCAATCCAGTAGGAAGTGTGAATGTTCCTGTTTTGTATCTAATGATGGATTGATTGTATAACTAGATGTATTGTATCAGGAACACTAGTAGTTGTAGTAGTCTATCTATTTTGACCTTGTTACTTAAGGGGTAAATTCTTACCTTTTCAAATTTGATGACCCAATTGAGAATATAATCAAATGTATTCAAATTAGGACAATATAATAATGAATCAATCAATCAAGGACTTGATTAGGTGTTTTGTCTATTTCCAAACTAAGTGCTTCTTCTGATTGATGTGATTAGGGTTGACTTACCAAAGTTGTGGTTTGGTTAGTTATTGTTGTTGTAAGAATAAAAGGAAGAAAGAAAGAAAAAGTTTTTGGTTGACTGTAAAAAAAAAGATTTCCTGTTTTGTAAATGTTTTTTACCGTTAGAAATAGACCAATTCTTTTTCTTAGAAGGAAGGAAGGATAATTTGAAGTGATAACCTTGTTCGAATCAAACTAATGACTATCGAGGGGTAAGTTAAAGCAGGTACCGATATGATATGAGTTGATACAGTATGATATGATATATGATACGATGATTAGATGTTTTGACTAGACACTACTGCAAATTGGAATAGTAAAATACAATCAGTTGACAAGTCAATTATGGTTTAAAAATAATTCTATTTTACAATAATAGTAATAATATTGATAAATAGGATAGGTTTGAATAATAAAGAACGTCTAAATTAGATCTGGTCTTAAGATCTAACTGGTTTCCATGAACTACTAGTTAATCGGTTGTAAATTGAAACAAATAGGGTATCAAAGTTTCTATTTATATCGTTTTAAACTCACTTCAACCCTAACGCGTCTTAAATGGATTACAGATTCATTTAAATTCTAATTTATATCTATATCATCATAGTTTACAGTTTTAGGCTATAGTTTCTATAACAATGGAATTTAACTCATTACAAGAGATGATTAGTAAAAGTTTAAAAGCGCGATCCTGGATATATACCATTACATCAATTATCATATATATATATATTTACTCCTCTTCCCTCATCCCCTGCTTCTTTACTTCCTCTACATCTTCTACTTCCTTGATTGGGCTTTACCATTGTTAAGACACACGTAACGTAATCTTAAGCTTACATCCTTGTTGATGAATTGAATTAGAAAACTTAATCGTCTAGACGAAGGTTGTAAAACAATCTAAATAAGTAAATAAATAAACAACAGAAAAAAAATACAACTTACTAGAGTTGGAATGAATGAATGAATGAATGAATATAAATGTAGTGGTATATTCGGTTAAACCCAATTTTTGACGATAAAATTTATGGACCTGGTTTGATTACATTTACATTGCATTCATTTCCACTTCAAGTATTAATCAATTTCCTTTATTTTCTTGTTGTGGTGTCGTGTTGTTGTTATTCGATTGTGGTGGGTTGGTTGGTTGCTTTGTAAGTTTGATTAGAAGGTAACATATGTGTCATTAGTTGCCAATTTAACCATCCATCCCATATGATTTGTAATTTTAGAATTGTATTACAACAATATGGCTATAGAGAAATTTATAGTTTTTACATTCCTTCTCTAAATTCCTTAAATCCAATCCCCACATTTTCTGGTAATCCATCTATTTCCTTCCTTCTTCCGATAGAAAGCTAGTTAAACCGAACTTTAACCTGGTTAGGTCGATGTTAAACTTTAACTATAGCAACGATTGCACTACATGTGGCAACCCTTGCCTTCATTCATAAGAAAAACAAACTTTACAATAATTATAAAATGGAAGTGAAAATATAAATAAGATTCTAATTAAAAAAAATCATTTTATAGATATTGATACGAATTATCGGTAAAACATAAAATATACTTAAAACTATTTTTTAAAACAACATAAATAAGAAGAAATAACAAAATTGGCTTTTGTCCAGCAAAAATTTGCTTATAATTTTGGTTTTGGATCTAATAAACCTTGAGATAAGATATCTTTTAATTCATTAGCTGATTCAATCAAGTATGCTTTCAAATGGTCTGATTTCAATCCATTACCCTTTTTACAAGAGATATGAATATGTAACCAATCATTATTAATCAAATAAGCCAATCCAAACCCATCATCAATAACTTGAGACCAACCCCAACTTTGGAAATATTCAGATGGAATTTGTGATGATGAGATATACCAAGTTTGAGAATAAGTGAAGATTGGATCAGTAAAGATTTCTGGAACTGATTCACCTGATTTAATCATTTGTTTTAACCCAAATAAATGACGATCAACTCCTTTACCATCAGCAGCTTCAGAAAGATAAGTAACATGTTGTTTAGCGGCTTTTTGGAAAGTTTCAACTTTTTCAGCAATGGTGGCAGTTGGTGAAGACCAAGTTTCAACGAATTTTTTAGATTCAATTGAAACAGATCTACCAGTTTCAGTTCTACCTTTTAAGAATTTTCTGGTAGCGGCTGATTCATAAGTTGGTCTAATTTTTCCAGTTAATTTATAATAAGATAATTGCATTAATAATTGAACAAAAGCATCTGGAGAAACTTTGAATTTTTTAATTAATCCTTTACCATAACCATAATGTTGGAAAATTTGTTGATCATGAGCAGCAATAGTTTGACTGAATTTTTCAATAGCAGTATTAATATTTAATCTTGAAGCTGGATTAAGATCAAAGGATAATAATTCTGGTTTATAATCAATTATAGATGGAGATTGATTAATTTCAGCAACTAAAGCATGAGAATCTTCTTCCGAGATTTGTTTTAAAATAGTATTATTTAATTGAACGGTTGGAGTAGCATCCATTCTTGAATGTTCACCAAGGAAACCAGAATTACCATTAGCACTAATAAAGAATTCTAAAGGTTTGTCAAAAAATCTATTTTGACCATCACCATGCCAACAATTTTTCGATTTTTCTTCAATAGTGATTGGATTATGATTATCTAAACAAATAACAAATGATGAAGCAAAAATAGTTTCTAATGATGCATCATTTATAGGAGATTTTTTTAAATTTTCATAAGCTGCTAACCATTCATCTCTATTTAAAGAAGTTAAAGCTCCAACACCTTCACCTTTTGGAACATTTGAATTTTTAATCGATTGTAATAAATTATAAATTTGCAGTTTTGATAATTTTTCCCCATTAGTTCCATGATGAGGAACTTTATAAAAATTATTATTATAAATAACGATAAAATATTGATGTTTAGAACCATCATAATGTTTAGTAATATCAACATTTGGAGCTGGAACTCTGGAATTATTAAACATATAATGGAAAGCATTCATACAGAATGGATTACCTTTAATAATTTCTGGAGCTAAAGTTTCAGATTGAACTTGTTCTAAGAATTCAACGGTATAATAAGTTAATAAAGTTGCTTTTAATAATTGATCTTTACCAATTTGATTATTGATATCTTTATGACTGAAGAAATAAGATACATAAGGAACAACTGGATCACGATATGACATATAAGCATAATCATCCCAAAATTCAGCTAACCAATTATCTTTTGATTGAGCAAAATCAACTAATCTTGATTGTAAAACTTGACCTTCATTATTAATGAAATTTTCAACTTTTGAAGTGGTTGATTTCAATTGTTCAGGAGATAAGTAAGGTTCAATGGATCTAAGATATTTCGAACCAGTTTCTTGTAAAGTTGGAACTGGTAATTTTGGTAATTGAGATTGATATTTAAATAAATCACCTTTAATAGTTGAAGAAGTTAAATTTTTCTTTAAGATTGGCATGATGATTGATTTGGATTGAGCTCTTAATCTGAACATATTAAGGAAAGAGATAGATATCAACTACTGACTCAATCTAATAAAAAAATAAGTTGCAAGTGTTTAAATGGAAAATTGAAAAATGAACTGATAGAGATATTTGATGATATTTATAAGTTGGGTGGTGGAAGTACAGTTTTTTAATTTGTGTGGGGCCCCAGTGAAAAAAAAAAAATTTATGACAGTGAGAATTTACCTTTTAACCGAGGAACTAATGATTGGAGCTCCGGATATCACAGTTATAATTAACGTAGATCACCACCCACGGTTAGTATGATATATATACATGTATGACTTTAGGCTTTAACTAGTTACATGTATGCCACAACGTATATGTATTATACCCATACAAATATATGTATGGTTTATATCTAAACAATGAAGGTATAAAAGAGAATAACCATTCAGACATTGGTCCACTCTTCACCTCGGACTTTTTTTTTTTGTTTAACTAAATCATATGGTTATGAAATAACTATAAAATAAAATCTTGGATATTGAATTAATATGATTCGATATAATTAGAGAAATGAGTAAAAAATATACGAACAATTGGTTAATCCTTAGATAAGTAGGAAATAGTAAAATCTCGGAGTATAAGGAGATTTTGTTGATTTGTCTTAATTTTGGTTGGGCTATTCCACCAAAATCAGACAAAAAAAAAATCAGACAAAAACTGAAAATGTGAAAATCCGGGGTAAATTGAGATTAAACAAATCAAATCAAATCAGACAAAATGAATTTTCACATTTGATAAGATAATTATTCCTTTAAGTTATCAGAATGGTATCATTGTGTACGCCAAGGAATGTGAACCAATATAAGATAACCATAACAATGGCATACATTATTCGTAATACCGTTTCTTATGTTATAACCGTGGTAGTAGTAGATTTATCCTTGGATCGATGATATATTATACACTAGATTTGCTACATATAAAGATAGATCTGACATGAATAGAGTTTGAATAGGGAGTATCTATTATAATATCAAAAGTTTGATCATATGCTTTTCAATTTAAGATTTATTATCCATGGGCTGTGATATGTTATATGTAAGTAGATAGGGTACATCTAGGATACTTGACGGCATTTAAGAAAGTCCAACAATAACTGAAACAGCTAACCTTATTCAACATATCATATCATATCATATCTGAATAAGATACTCATCAGACATAGTCTTAGTTATAGTTATAGTTAATACTCATATTCATAGCCCTGTTCATGGCACAGTTTAAGTTCTACCACTGAAGCAACATAGAAAACTGCTGCGGTAAATAAATTAAAAATTGTTTTTTCATTAACGCGTCGACGGTCAAAATTTAGTGAGAGAAATTTATTTAGTGAGATAGATAAATAGATATCACCGAGTTAAGATCTGCTGCACACCGAGAGAGAGGAAAAGAAAAAAATTATGAGGAACGAAATCTAAAAAAAATTTTGACGTACACGAGTTTATAACAATAATGTTTACAAATCACTAAAAACTTAAACCAATCATTGTTACAAAGTTTTCATCGTCATCGTCATAATAATCATCGTCATCGGTTGGAATACGTCATTAATCCATCAATCATATCATTAGTCATTCCCAACCTTAGTCATTCACTTATAGAAATTTACACATTCAGATGATAGAGTATACTCCGACATCTTCACCATCTATCATTCGATATATAGTGGCTTCCATACTATTATTATGGTATATCTTCATAGTGATTGCCGCAGCTATCGGATTCATCACCATCATCACTAAGTTTAGAACCAATCCAAATCTTGCCAAGACCTATAAATCTGCAAGTGAAGAAGTAGATGAACAAGATGATCAATATAATGATAATCAATATGAAGGAGTAACCATCATACGACCCATTAAAGGCATTGATCCTGAACTTGTATCATGTTTGGAATCATCCTTTCTTCAAAACTATCCTCATGATAAATTACAAATCTTATTTTGTGTAGATGATCCTCAGGATTTATCAATCCCATTAATATCAAAATTAATCTTAAAATATCCTCAAATTGATGGTCAAATTTTAATTAGTGAAGGGTATGATTCTCAAATTGGTCATTCTCAAGATTATTTCGGTCCAAATCCCAAAGTTAATAATTTATCAAAGGGATTTATTGCTAGTAAATTTGATATTTTATGGATTATGGATTCCAATGTTTGGGCAAGTGAAAATATTTTAAAAAATTCCATAATTTCATTAAATCATAATTTAAATAATGGAGTTAAAGTATCATCCAGTCCAAGATCAATTAAATTAGTTCATCATGTTCCATTAGCTATCAGTATTAATGGAAGTAACACTTCCGGAACTTCCGAAGATGAAGAATTTGTATTAACCCCCGTAGATTCACAAGAGACATCATCATCATCATCATCAATATCAACATCAATAAATTCTCGATTAAGTCCATCCCCATCATCCCCATCTCCTCCTCCAAGGAAACGGAAACGATTCTTAAAGAAATTCGGAGCAAAATTAGATGAAATGTTTTTATTAACTTCCCATTCTAAATTTTATATTAGTTTAAATAATTTAGCCATTGCACCTTGTGTTAATGGTAAATCTAACATTTATCGAAAATCGGATCTTGATTCATCCGTGCAAAATATGTCAGATCCAAATATCCCATATAGTCATTTCTTTGGTAATGAGAAAGTTATAAATGATAGTAAAATCCATTCATCGATGGGATTAGGTCATTCCATTCGATTTTTCTCTCGATATATTGGGGAAGATAATATGATTGGTATAGCGATATGGGAGAATTGTCTTGGAAAAACAGGATTATCAGGAGATATCGTCATTCAACCCTTAAGTGGAGCTGATAATACGATTAATGATTATATGAAACGAAGAATTAGATGGTTAAGAGTTCGGAAATATATGGTATTAATGGCAACCTTAATTGAACCCACTACTGAATCTATCATATGTGGATTATATGGTACCTTTGCTATATCAACGCTTTGGTTTAATCAATGGTTTAATGTTAAATTATTCATGTTTCATTTAATAATTTGGTGTGGATGTGATTATTATCAATATTATACCTTTATAAATAATATCAATCATCAAAAGAATTTACCTAATTGGTTAATTAACTTACCTCCCAAATCGAGAACGGTATTGAATTGGTGGTATATTTGGGTATTAAGAGAATTGTTGGCATTACCAATTTGGTTTTTGGCTATGATTGGTCATGAGATTGATTGGAGAGGTAAACCGTTTATGATTAAGAAGGATTTGACGGCAGAGGAGTTATGAACAAACGAACGAATGAACGAATCAATGAAGTTGACGAGTGAGTGAGTAAGTAAGTGAGTAACATAGAGAGAAAGAGAGAGTTGGAAGTACAACTTGATGAGATAAATGAAAAGATAAAAATGGCTTTAATAAAAAGTTAATGGATGCAAAAAAAGAATAAGGTTTAACTAGAATAAGTACAAATTGCTAATAAAAGCAATAGCATATCATAGCATAGTATATACGTATAGAATAAGTAAAAAAAGCATCAAATAGCATAGCATAGAGCATATAGATTTAATATGATACCTTCCTGCATACATTGTTATAGAAGTTTTTGAAAGGTTAATTTCCTAATTAGGTAATACGAATTAAATAGAAAATAAGAAATTCTATTTTTGGTATGTATGTCTTCGATGTAAAATGTACTGATATTTTTAATCATGTAAGAAGTGATTAGATGAAGCGAGTTTATTGTTGATTGAAGTTGGTGGATGTACAACTGTCCTTTTTTTCATTCATTTTTTGACAGGCGTTATGTAGAAAGTAAGGCAACCATATAAGTATTGATTTAAGGAGAAGAAGCATTAAGTTAGGTGATATCAATGAGGCGTACTGTTACAATGAAGTAAAGTTTGGTGAATTGATTTGATTTGACCGGTTAAAATTGATCTAATTAATAGGTTAACTAAGAAAATTTAGTGTGGAAAGTTTAGGAGATGGTTAAAGTTGTGTGAATTAGTGAGGGTAGGCAGGGGAAATTTTATTTTAGGGAGAGGGTCTCGTCAGTGGGTAAAAAATTCACACTTAAAACATTATGGTACGAGATAAATGGTATGAGATGATAATAGTTTATTTGTGTTTGAATACGATATGATATGAACAAATTGGTTTGACATTACTTTATAATGATAATTACTTAATGTCCACTTGAAAGTATTAAGAAATGGTCTAAGTAAGGTAGGGGTGTACTCCATTTAAATCGTTCGATATCAATTATAATCAGGTATAAGTTTAGTATAGATTATTTTAGTTATTATCAATTGGAATAATCCCGTAATTTGACAATGCTTATTGACAATGCTTATCCCGATGGATTGTTCATCGGCAATTGTATAAGGTAAATTGTACTATATAGTCGTAGGTAGTAGTAACTAGCTAGCTAGCTAGCTAGCTAGCTGGTTAGTGGTTTTGTTCCCACTAAATTAATAATAATAAAAAATATGCACGCAGTAAGTAAGCGCCTGAAATTTTCTATTTTGCTCGTGTCCATCCTCATAGTTAATAATAATTGATTGCCCGTTCCATTGCCCTTTTGACTTTGCCCATTAAAACTCATTTCCACAATTAGCTTTAAGTATTATTATCCTAAACTAAACTAAGTAATTTAATTTAATTTAATTTCATTGTCACTAATTTTAGCGTACGTCTTAAGTATACTTTCTTGGTTTAGGTGTCTTTGTTGATTGATAATAATAATTTTTTTTTTCTTCCTCCTCCTCCTCCTGGAATCGTTTAAATTTTATCAAACAAGCTTTGGTGTTATTTTAGACGAAACTTCATTCTTCATCCATCATCCATCATCAAGCCATACTTACATCAATCAATCAATCCATCCCGTCAGTCACTCTTTTCTTCATTCACTACTTAGCTACCGTGTTCTCATAAACCTTATCATTCACGTCCAGTCACCAAATATATCCTCTCCTCCCACATCACTCATACTACTACATATATATAATGGAAGAAGTAGCTCCTCCTATAATAGATCCAAATCAAAGGAAATCTCCCCTTGACTTACAAGCTTGTAAAAAATGTAATCAATTGATTTATGAAGGTCACGCTTATGAATTAGGTGATGATAGATGGCATATTGATTGTTTTATTTGTTCAAAATGTTCAAGTTCATTAGGATGTAATTCAAATTTCTTAGTATTAGGAAATGGGAATTTAATATGTTCAAATTGTTCTTATAATTGTAAACAATGTGGTAAAAAAATTGATGATTTAGCTATCTTAACGGGTGATCAAGCTTATTGTTCAAATTGTTTTAAATGTAGATCTTGTAAACAAAATATTGAAGATTTAAGATATGCTAGAACTTCAAAAGGATTATTTTGTATGGATTGTCATGAAAAATTAATGTTAAAAAAGAAGAAATATGATGCAAAGAAGAAATTAATAGCTCAAAAAGAACAAGAATCAAAAGAAAAGCATGAAGAGGAACTTCAACGTCAAAAAGATCTTGAACTTGATAAACAAAAACAAGAAGAAATTGTAAAATCAAATGAATTAGACGAATCAAGAAATAGTAATAATTCATCAAGAAATTCATTATTACAATCATATCTTACAACTCCATCATCAAATAATACCTTAAATAATAATACCAATCTTACTGATTCTTTATTATTACCTTCAGCTCATTTAAATACTTCAACCACAAGTTTAATTAAAGATAAATCATTACCAATTCCTCCATCAGATCGTCCTCGTTTAGAATCTCATGATTCTTATAGTTCTGCTCGGTCAGATTTAGATAATGATCATAAAGAATCAACTCATCCAAATCCTCATGATAATGATTTCTCCATCGAAGAAGTAGTTAATGATAGTGATGATGAAGATTTCCGGACTGAAAGACCATCTTTAAGAACTCCAAAAGCTTCAGTACCAATCCCATCTTTACGTAGACCTCAATCTCCAAAAATTAATGAATCTCAACATCATGATCCAAATCCAACTAATATTTATCTTGATTTAATTGATGGCCCTGAAACTCCAAAATCTTCATCTGATGTACATGATGCATTAGATATCACTCCAAAACAAGAATCTTTACCACTTCCAACTACAAATGGTGGCAGTACTACTACTAATAAAAATGTATTAATACTATCTCCTAATCAATTCAATAATAATGAATTCCATTCTGCTAATTTAAAATCACCAGTTCAATCATCATCATCTTCACAATTAACTATCCATACTAATGGATCAAATTCAAATCATACAGTAAAGAGTCAAAACCTATCAATTGGGGAGGAACCTAAATCTCGTTCTAATTGTCCATCACCTTTCGCAAAGGCTAATCGTCAAGCAAGAGTAGTGGAGACTAATGATGAAGTTCAACCTGGTATTGATGACATTACCGATGATAATGATAATGATGGAGATGATGATGACCATGAAGTTAATAACAATGAGAAGAAAACTAGAGGTATGGGAGATGGGTTTGATAATGATTATAATAATGAAAGTGATAAAACTTCGGTAATGAATACACCAAATATTATTTCAACCCCTCTGAAAAGAGTTCCAAATTCGTCTCATTCAAGTCTTATGTCTTCCCCACCTCCAAAATTACCATTACCAAGTACTCCTATCAAAAAGAGATTTAAATATGATGAAATTGAAACAACTCCAAAGGGTCTTGGTTTGGAAGGAGTTGATTATGAGAATAATATCGCTAACGAACAACGTACTTATCTTAAACAATTACAAGATAAACAACAACAACAACAACAACAAGATCAAGGATCAAAACATCCTCCTCCTCAACAACAGATTCATGATGATTATATCGTTAATAATAAAACTCCACTTCAACCTTCATCATCAACTACATCTTCAAAGAGTCAGAAAACAATTGGTAGTGCCACTCCTGCTGTTACTAATCTCGAAGAAACGGTGTCAAATGATGATGAAACCAGCTTACAACAATCATCATCATTATCATCATCTATATCAAGAATGGGAAGTATTAGAACTCCAAAATTATCAAGTTTGAAACATAAACGTTCGACATCTGGTGGTGGTGGTGGTCATAGTGCTAGTAATAGTATCAGTAAATTCTTTAAATCATCTACTTCAACTGGTTCAAAAGAAGATTTAAAAGGTCATTCTCGCCATGTTTCTGATGGATCAATTTCGAATGCTTCAGCTTTTACTACTCCTCCATTACCATCTCCCCGTGCTAATAATTATGTTAATGGAGGTTATTCTACTAATTTCCATATTAGATCAACTTCAGATACACCATTTTTAACTAGTCTTGAGCATCATGAAGAACGTCAATCTCAACCTTATCTGCATCAACGTCATGGATCTAGTGGGCTTGCTAATAATGGAAGTAGTGAATTTAATTATTATGATAATTTTGAAGTTAAGAGTTTAAAATTTGAAATTGGACAATTAAATAATCAAAAATCAAGTTTAGAAAATGACATTAAAAAGCTAGTTACTGATAAATTAAAATTAAATGATCAATTAAAATTATTACAATCAAAAGTTATAACTGAAACTCAAGGTTATGAAGCTTTAATTCAAAAGATTCGTGATTTAGAAATAGAAAAATCTTATTTAGTAGATGCTAATGAGAAATTAAAATATCAAAATCATCAACATATGGATAGAAGAAATGGCCCTACTAGTAGTGCTAATACTACTATCTCCAGTAGAAATATGAATAATGATGATGATTTTAATTCAACTTCAAGTACATTACTTAATAATTCTTATAATGATAGTAATGGTGAAGAAATTGAAACTCAAAAGGCTACAAGATTGAAATTTTGGAGACGTCCAAAAATTGGATTTACTAATACTGCCAATAATAATAGTCCTAATTTAGTATTAACGAATTCATCTCATCAACCATTATCAATCTCACCTCCACAGCCTGTCTCGTCACAATCTCAACAACCAATTCCTCAACAACAAGGTCAAACTCCAAATTTATCGCATCAATCAAATAATAATGGAACCAAGATTAGTCAAAGTTATTCCTCTCAAGCTATAAGAATCCCAAGTGGTAATGGTACAAATAATGGATATCAAGATGATGTACCTGAAAGAAAAGGAGGGAAATTTGCTAAATCAAGATCCACTAATATCATTGATTCATTCTTATCAAATAATAATCTTCATGCCAATAGTAGTAATGAAAGTTCATCAGCAGGTAGTGTGAATACGAATGGTGGAACTGGTTCTAGTGCCAATGGCTTATTTAATTCAACCATTCAAAAGAGAGCCGATTATGAACAAGTTCAAGTCCCATTGATTGTAACTAAATGTCTTGCTGAAGTTGAATTACGAGGGTTAGATATGGAAGGAATTTATCGTATTTCAGGAGCTAATTCAGCTATTACTGCTATTGAAAATGCGTTTTCAAGTTTAACCGTTCATTCTATTCAAGATGAAAAACAAATGACTAAATTAGAAGATACTATGAGTGGAGATATTCATGCTGTTACATCTGCTCTTAAACGTTATTTCCGGAAATTACCTGATCCATTGATTCCTTATGCATTATATGAAGAATTTATAAAAGTATCATCGGTGAATTCAATTGCTAATTCTGATAAACGAATTCTTGATTTAAAACTGAATGTGATTGATAAATTACCTATGGCAAATAAACATACTTTACATTTATTATGTAAACATTTAAAATTGGTTAATTCATATTCATCAGTTAATAGAATGGGATTCAAGAATTTATCAGTTATATTTGCCCCAACCATTGCTCGTGATGAAACTGGACAGAGAGAAATGATTGATATGGGTCATAGAAGTGAAACTACTGAAGTTTTATTAAGTAATTCCGAACAAGTTTTTGATAAATATTTTTCATAATTGGGGTTAGTTTCCAATTTTTTTTATATAGGTTTTCATTACGTTGTATTTAATTCAATTCTTTTTTATAAGTTTATTATAATATATTTTTATTTACATATCGGATAGTTCGTTAATGAATGTATATTTAAAGTATATGTACAAGTAGACTATGCCAAAAGTATGAATCGTAAAATAGTGAATGAAATGACGAAAGACACCATTACTCTCCCTCGTTAATGGATGTCTTTGATTTGAGTCAGCAGGTATTGTTCAAACCGTCTATGTCCAACTCTAATTAGATGTTCAATGACATTGAATTGTTTCTTTGAAATATGTTGATTCTTTTTAAATTCTTCTCGAATGAATTGACGCCAATGATCTTGAGTATCAATAGGTTTAGTCTTGATGGTTCTTATACAGTTTCGATATAGTTTTAGTACCTCTCTCTGTAACCCCGATAGACGTGCCATCTTGTTTGATATCTGTTGAGATGGGTATAAATGAGTTTAGATGAATAGTGATTTTTAATTGTGGTTTTGGTTCATGATTTTTTTGCTCTGATATTTCAGTGCAGCAATTTGTACAATTCTGTGGTTAACTATGCAACGATCGAGTTCACGTATCCAATTTACTATATACTAGGTATAGAATCATCAAATAAGTATCTGATTACCCTGTTCAACCAATCTTGAAGTCATTCAATTGCACAGATCTAAGATTCACTAAGGGTAACTCCAATTATAGGCATACCATAAATTAGTAATGAAAACTCACGTGACTAATTCTGGGGTTTCCAAAGTTTTTTCAAGTTGCTCTGGACTCGAATCCACGACGGTAAGTGTCATCATGAGTTCATATGGGGGTGATGCAAATTTTGATTTCAATTATTTTATTACATACTTTTATATATTTAGATTAGGTAGTTGTATATAATTCCCTGTTTCAAATACAATTTGTATGAACATTTTGGTTCATAAATTGAAATTAAAAGTGTGAATTTAAGTCTTATAAAAATGCTTTAATTAGCATAACAATAATTTATGATTCTTCCTTCGCGCTACCAAAAAGTATTTAAATTAACGAAATCAAGATTCAAAATCTTAATTTTCTAAACAACTCATAACAATCATATCCAAACCATGCAATTACAAGATTTACCTGTTGATATTTTAGTATCAATCCTTGAAATGCTTGATACCAAGGAATTGTTGACTTTTGCTGCTGCTGCTGCTCCATATCTGAGTCAGGTTTATTTTGCATTACAGCAAGTTCATCTCAAACCAATTGTCTTGAAAGTTGAGACTTTGACTGGTGAAAATAACCATTTAGAATCATCAAAAGACTTTGATGGCTTAACCTTAGTTCATGCTTCTTCCAATCGTTCTAATATTCCTTATGAAGAATCACTGAACCTTTTCTTTGATACATTCAAGTACTTCAAAAATCTAAAACCAAGATATATAACACTTCAATTTGAACTAAATACAGATGATGATATGAGTTGTATAAAGGATTTATTGATTAAATGTGAAGAATTATTACCATATAACTTTGAATTTCAATTATCGATTTTCAAAAATCTTAGTCAAACTAAATTCTCAAAGTATAATCTTCCATATCAAGAATTAAAAAAGTTTAATTGGTCAAGAGTTACTATTGATACAAATTACTTTGAGAAAGAAGAATCAAAAATTATCCAAATTGGTGACTGTTATTATCTTTTGTCAAGCTAAAATGAAAGTAAAGTTATTTCCATTTCTTGGTTAAAACAATGTAAAGATCTAAGTTATCTTCATATTGGAGAGCAATTAAACATTCAAGAAGATAGTTTAAATGATTTCTATTTTCCAAAGTTAGGACAAGTTAAATTCGATGCTGCTGATACATAATCATGTCAAAAATGGAGTAATTTTCTACCTAATCTTAATGAACTGTTAAGTTTAAGACATTTTCATGATATGTATATTTATTCTAGGTTGCCAAATTTAAAAAATATATCATTGGATGGTTTAGATTCAAATTGTGTTATTATTTTACAACCAGGAACATTGAATCCGGACTGGCAGATATTATTCATATTATGTAATTGCTTATTATGGAAGAGTTAGGAATTACTTATCCTAATAGACCTAGTAATTTTCAGTTTCAGAAATTGTATGGTTATAATAATTCCCATCTAATCAAGTCCTGCATAGTATACATTTACATCTTTACTATGGGACATCCTAAATAGGAAACAGCCAAAAGAAATAATTCAGCCGCCTCCATTGCATAAGCAATCGGCCCATCACAACAATTGTTATGATTCAAAGGGTTCTACTTTATGAACAGATGTAAGTTTAAGTATTTTTGATTTATATTAATTAAATTAGATAGAACAGATGTATATATATAAATAAACAGATACCTGATATTAATCAGTATATCGATGCTAGTAACAAAATTTTGTTTAAAAAACCAACCCCAAAATATTCCGTAATTTTAAAGTTATAATGATAAAATTGTATTAATGGGAATGCATTTATTTCAAGTTGGTGAAGTCAACTTCACTATCTCTAGAACCATCGCAAACAGCATCAACACCACAAGTACAAGCGTCTTTGTTTCTTTTACCACAAGCACAAGCAGATTCAGCTTCTGGAATAGCATTTTCAATAGCAGCCTTATCACAAACACATTTTAAAGCAGGTTGAGCACCACATGAACAGGTGGATTTCTTAGCACATACACATTCAGCAGCAGTACAAGTCATTATTAGGTAAGTTAGTTATTAGTTGAAAAGGGTGGAGATATAGTTCTTCTTTTAAAAGGTTATAGAAATAATAAAGAATAGATATATAATTAAAGGTATTTGAATCATTTTTATATCTTTATGCTGTGGTTATATACAGTCCGGGTCATGACATCCTGTATACGAATTCTGGCCAATCAAATCGCGTTTCATTGTCATCATTCATATAAAAAGAAACTTTAATATTTTGTGACAGTTACATTTTACTAATTAAGTAATATAAAATTAATAAACATATATCAAATCATTGTTTATAGTGACCTGACAAGAAAAAAAGAGGTTGCAAATTACAGTTTATTAATATTTATTAATGAGCTGTTTTAGGGAAATTATATCAAAATTATTGATTTTGTATTATTATTATTACTATACTGTTATTTCTTATCTATTCATTTAATCCTTCCCATTTATATTTCTCCATCTCTGTTGTAATGGTCCTAAATCCCCCGTGTTTTCAGTATTATCTAATTGGGTAGTTGAATCATCTAATGTAGATGTAACCTCTTTAAATAAATCATGAACCTCGGTGGATGTAGTTGCAGTAGCTGGTGCTTCATGTGCTGCTGCTGCTGCTGCTGCTGCTGGGGATGTTGCAGATCGATTAGCAATTCTCGAAATCACATCGTCAAAGACTTGAGAAAGAGATCGGGATTGAGATTGATGGGAATGATTGGTATTATCTCGAGATTGATTGGTTTCCTTTTGCGTTAAGGAATGATATATAGTTGAACCAGCAGATTTATTAGAAACATTATCTAAAAATACATTATCATCATCATCTCCTACATCTAATAATCTTGATCTTTTATGTGCACTATTTTCAACCGATTCATCAAATCTCTTTCTTGAATCTACAGGTTCTAATTCTGGAATCGGTATATTATCAAGTAAACCTGGATTCCTATCACTCGAAGTATCTGTAGTAGTAGTTAAAGCAATATTTTGTAATTCTGGTGGTTGAATGTCACTATCTTCTTCATCTCCAGTTCCAAATCTTAATTGTAATGGAGTATTAGCACGATCACCAGCTCTTGCACTACTCCCTCCTCCACTTAATCGTTCAGCAAACTTTGGAGTTGTAGGGAATCTCTGAACTGTATTTTCTCTTGATTTTTGAGGTGAAGCAGATTGTCGTTTTCTCTTTTCAGGGGAAAACACGGATTCAACCAATATAGGTGAAAATCGAGCTGCATCGATAGGTTCTTGACTTTTACTAGTACTTCGATGCGACGATGAGGATGATGATGGATAATTACCAAGTTCAGATTGTAATACAGGAGGTTCAGGTAAGGTTGGTGATGATAATAATTCTTGAATCATTGATGAACGTTTATTATTTTGATGTTCAAGATCTGTCTTTGCTGGAGTTGACCAACTCTTTTTAGGTGATATTGAAACTCTATGATATGAATCAAGGGATTGTCTTATAGTTTGGACTTTACCTGGTGATGATCTCTTCTTTATAGGTGAATTTGATGAATCAATAGCAGTTAAACTAGGAGGGTTTTGTATACCTAAACTATCATTTGAATCATATCTCTTAGCCAATTTATTATATTCAGGAAGTAAGGATGATGGACGTTTATGTAATTGAGGTGTGGATGATGATTGGATTTGTCTTTGTTGTTGAAGGAGCTGTTGTTGTTGTTGTTGCTGTACTTTCGATTGTTCAGTTGACCAAGTTGGAGTTTCTTCTTCAATATGTATTGGTTTCAGAATTGGTTTAAGGAATTGACCTCCACCAGTCTCTATATCTTTATTATTTTCATTATGGTCGATTTCAACTTCACTATCTTCTTCATCATTATCATCATCATTAAATAAATTATTTCTTGCATTAGTAATTGTATTCAATTCAGTATTTAAATTAATAGGATCTTCATAACTATTTAATTCGACATTAGCAGATTGTTCAAAGAAGAATTTCCAGAATCCTGCATTATCCCATACTTTTTTACTTTCCACTGAATAATCCTTAATGATAGGTATTAATCGATCATTGATGATAGCATTCCCTCTTGATATATTCTTATCGATTTCTTGTAATACTAAAGTAGTTTCTTGTTCCAATCGTTCTAATTCTTCACGAGCAGCCGCAGTATCTTCTCCAAAACTGGCCTTTATCGTTGATTTTCTCCTTGATGATGACGGAGCAATAGAATACCTCTTCATATCTGATGGTAAGTCCTGTGATTGGAAGTGATGTTATATGTATTAGGCACCACTGTGGTTAGTTGTTTTGATTTTGTTTACATTTAATTTTCATTCCGCGACACGCAAAAATTAATTTTTATCTGATTGCAACAAATGGTAGTTTTAACTATGAAGAATAGGTAATACTTAGAGAAATTTCCTAGTGATTATTGATTAACTTGTAATTTGATTAGATAAGTATATTCAATGTCATCCAATGGAGACATTCAGAAAGTGTTAAGTGATTTGATCTTAAATATAACGAGTAATGACAAATTATCATATTCTCCCATAGTTAATTCTAGTTTGTGGCAATGATGAACAAAAGTTTAAAAAAGAAGAAAATTGAGATTTTCAAAAGTTGTATTCATCAACTGAATTCAACTATTGCCATTGCAAATTACATTTCATTATTCCTAATTACAAAAGTAATAGCTCCAGAAAACCTCATAGAACGAGACTCAAACATTCTCGTTGATATATACATAATAGAAAAGGGATGGGAAATATAATGTCAGTTTCATTTGCCCCAGAGTGTACCGATGCCAAAACTAAATACGATGATTGTTTTAATAAATGGTATACTGAAAAGTTCTTAAAGGGGAAGTCACTTGAGAATGAATGTACTGAGTTTTGGGATAGTTATATTACTTGTGTTAATTCAGCTTTAGCTAAACAAAGTGTTAATCCAATGTTGGAAAAGGCAAGAGAAGATCAACCTTTTACCAGTGAAGAAATTAGAGCCAGTGCTGGAACTCTGAAAAAGTAAGATGAATGATTGAGTTAAGGCATATTTCCTTTTGATTCCAGTATTAATATATTATAGATGACACCAGTAGTCATGTCTTTTTATGTATATCCTGTAAATAGTTAAAAATAATATACAATAATGTTCATGAAATAAAGCCGTGTGGTTCGTAATTACAACGAAGAAGTCTTGCAAATCCAATGTGTGGTGATCAATACCCCTCTGATCGATCAATATCCGAAGCCAATTATCATGACCTTTGGTTAATTACCTCCCATCACTTCTTTCACCATCACTGCCTTCTTCTTGCCATAAAGAGTCCATTTCCTGCACATAATCATAGATAAAATAAATTGAAAATAAATTGTGAAAATGATTTAGGAAACTACAACAGGATTAATAACATCAACCAGATAAACACACAAATTTGATCATGCTTGTGGAAGAGGTTCCGAAGTCAACTAATGCAAAGAGTTCGACCATCTACTTTACGTCATCCATAAATTTATCCGCTCGTCTGAGCCATTTTAGAAATGGTGGAGATGATGAAGAGGCAACTGCAAATAAAAAGGGTAGAGCTAAAGTGAATTATAATGTTAATCAATTAATGAATGCTCAAACTCAACTGAATGGAAGTCAACCTACAGACGGACCATTGAAATCTGCCCAGCAAATCCAATTAGAAAGAATCGTATCGAAAAGATTGAATGATCTCAACAAAGAATCAAATTCATTCGAGATACCAAAGAATTTTAGTTATAATCCTATAAATTCAACTGCTGATCATAATAAAAAATCAAGATTGGGAAATACTCCTTCTACGAAAAAGATATTATCAGCCCGTCGTAATCTTAATCTGTATTTTGAAGAGGAAAGAAATTTAATGTCCATAAACACGGTCTTAAGTTTGAATTATCAATTTGTGGATTTCTCAGAGGTGGAAACTATAAGACATAAAATGAGAAAAACGGAAAGAAATAGAACTTTTAGACCAAGGGTAAGGCTCTGTTGTATATGTGGAACCAATTCAAATTACAGTAGATGTCATCTTTGTGGTTTATTTTATTGCAGTGTTAGATGTAATAAATATCATCAAGAACTGAGATGTAAATAAATTATTATACTTGCTTTAAAATTTTTTTGAATTGGTAAGCCACCAATACTGTTTTAAACATAATAAAAGTTTATGATTTGAGTATAAGTATGCCAAATAATCCAATGAGAAAATGAAATCCTACTTTCTTTTCATAAATCACCGTCATGAGATTCCAAATAGTGTTAACCCTATTGGTTGGTTTGTGTATGGCACCAACATATGCTGCTCCTGTTAGTGATATCAATGGCGTAACTGATTTGGCTGCAAGAAATAATGACGCACCAGCAGATTATAAGATGTTGTATGAACTTGGTCGTTTAGCTTCCTTATCATACTGTATAAAACATGAATTAACTACCGGAGTACTTGGAGATGAAGCTACCAAATGTCCTTTAAAGATGTGTGATGATCCAACGTATAAACATATTGAGATTTTAAATACTTTTAATTTCAATGAAATGGGTGGAGTTGGTTCAGGTTTATTCGCTATTGATCATATTAATAAACGTTTGATTGCATCATTTAGAGGGACTTCCAGTGCAACTGATTGGTTTGGTGATTTGGATGCTGTGCCTGTCAAGTATAAAGCATTATCAGATTTAGGTAAATTGTCAGTTCCAGCTGTTTTGAATGCTGCATGTCCTAAATGTCATGTTCATCGAGGATTTTATAACTTTGTGAGAAGAAATAGTGTGAGTGTCATTGAAAATGTTATTAATCATATTAATAATTATCCCGATTATAAGTTAATTGTAGTTGGACATTCATTAGGTGGAGCTTTAGCTACTTTGACTGGGTTGGAATTTCAATTATTAGGTTATAATCCATTAGTTGTGACTTATGGTTGTCCTAAACTTGGTAATAATTATTTTGTTGATTTTATGAATGGTATTTTTGATTCTCGTGGTGTTGCTGATAAAATCTTTAGTGAACAAAGGTTTGATTCAGGTTTGATTAGAGTGGTTCATGTTGGTGATCCAGTTGTTTCATTACCACCAGGAAGATTTTTCAAACATGCTGGTTTTCAGTATTTTATTTCAAAGAAGGATTTACCTCATTTACCTAAGGATCTTGTAAGAGTGGGTATAACTACTAAACGTAGCATTGAAGAATTAGATTCTGAAGATGAAGATGATGATATGAACCACGTTATACCGTTTTTCCCAGCTGAAGCTTATACTGATGATGATCCAGAAAATAAAACTACAATTACAAAAAATTCCATCAGTTTAGGTAAAAACTGGCAATATTATTTTGGTAAGGGTGAACATGCTCAATACTTCTATAGAATATCAGGTTGTAAAGAATTCATTATGCAATCGAGACGTTTCTTTAATTATATATTTGCTTAATTTACTTGTGTACTATATATAATCTATTTACAAAAACTATTTACAAGATTTTTTTATATCTTTTCAAACATTTCCTCTCTATTACATAACTTGAATCTCAGTTTACCCATTTGTTGACCAGTGGATAACTCATAATTGTCTAATTTTTTCCAATCACCCCAAGTAACTATACGTTTATCTTTCAATAAGTTTGTGATATCATTATCAGAATTGGCTTCCAAGTAAACGCCATTGGAAAGATCAGTCAATATTCTATCGGCTGTATCAAATGAATCCATCATAGTAGTAGCTATGACTCCCTTGGGTCCATTCTTAATCCAACCTGATGTATACCATCCTTTCTTATATATTACTGAATGATCATCCTTACCCTTTGATTCTGAGGATAATATTCTACCATCTTTATTGAATAATTTCCCATTTTCGTATAAAATACCAATATCTTCGAATCCTTGAATACCTGAACCTTTATATCCAATAGATAAGATTACTAATTCGTTCTTAATAACTTCTGTTTCAGTAGTAGGTTTGACCTTTACTGATTTAGTCAAGTCATCTATGACTAATTCATTCATGACTATTTTTGTGGATGAGAGTAAGTTTGGATTGTCAGGGTTAGTAATGAATTCAACCGGACTCTTTAAATATTGCAATGACCAAGTTCTATCCACATCATCACTAGCTGTTTCAGAAACTTTGGAATACTTTTCAATGATGGAAACTTTACGTTTATCCACCCTACCTAATTTTGAAACATCGATAGATTTAAAATAACTTTCATCCAATGGTGTGAATTTTAAACTTTGTTCTTTAGATAATTCAAATAATTCTCTGATTTCCTTATTAGAAAATGCCGATTCTAATAATCCTCTTCTACCAACTATATTCACATTTTTAACCGTACTGGTTTTTAAAATCTTTAACGCATCTTCAGAAATATCAGTGGATGCCCAATGTTTTTCAGGATCAGCTAATAAAACTCGAGCTACATCCAAGGCAACATTCCCATTACCGATAATAGTAACATCGGTGATCTTGTCTAATGGTGGAGGTACAAATAGATTATCTTTTTCATAGTAATCCGGATGTCCATTATACCAATTCACAAATTGTCGAGCTGGTAGCACGCCAGGAAGTTTTGAACCTGGTATATTTAATTCATTATCTGAACTAGTACATCCATAAGACAAAACAATGGAATTATAATGAGATTGTAAATCATTCAAACTGATATCCTTCCCAATATCGACATTTCCAAAGAATCGAACTTTATGATTTGACTTGGTTGATGAGAAGATATTATCGAGATATTCTTCACAATTCTTAACTTCAGGATGATCTGGAGCAACTCCATATCGACTAAGTCCATGTGGAGCTGGTAATCTTTCAAAAAAGTCTAATTCAAACCGTATATCTGGTGAACTCTTGTTTAATAAATGATGAGCAGTATAAAATCCCCCTGGTCCGGTTCCGACCACGGCTACTTTGAACGTCTGGATTTGATTAAATCGACTACTTGCAACTGAGAATAACCTCACTGCTATCCTGGATACGCCATTGAGTTTCCCAATTATCGATATAGCCATATCGTTTGTATATTATTCGTAATTGGAAGTTTGAAGAAAGTAGTTCCATTTGAATCAAAAATTTATTTCAAAATTTAACTGGGGCAAAATTGTTCACGTGATGTGACTCTATGGTAGCGCTTGTTTAATTTTTCAGTTCATTAAAGAATCAATTTTTCTTCTTCATATAGAACATCGATTCAACACTGTTAAGAGATACAACAAATAGTAACTGATGTTGAGTGTAAGACATAATATAGTGAGATCTAGGTCTCTGTTGTTGAGTATACCGATAAGGTTTAACTCTCTGAATGTCAAGAAAGAGGTTAGTTCCAGACAAGCAGAAATCGATAAACAAGAAGCAGCCAAGCTTGCCATGCAATCAATGAAAGATATTGGATCATTATTCTCATCAGGATCAGATGATGCTACCCAACCTATAGATAGCACACCTATATTCCAAAATCCTACTTTATTTGCATCATTGAGTCTTTTACATCAGGGTCAAGTGTTGGCTGAATTACAAGATAAGTTCAATAAGAAATGGACTAAATTAACTAAGGAAGATAAATTATTAGGGTATTATATATCATATGGGAATTGGGGCAGTCGTGAAGATTTCATAAATTGGAAGAGTTCAGACGAAGCACCATATGATTTGCCATTTAAATTACCTACTGCTATCAAATCTACTAATCCTACATCCACTACTAATATTCAAAAATTGGAACCAAATATATTAGCTGAAACTCCAGTCCGTATAAAACAATTTGATATGAAGAAGATGGATGGAGTTTCTAAATTTTTCATTTACTTAACTGTGTTCATTGCTATGTTAGCCATTTATAGAGATAAAAACATTGGAGAAGATGGTAAACCTGTTACATTAGAGATTCAAGATCAACATGAAATAGAAAGACAAAAGAGAATTGAATTAGAAAAGAAACAAGAATTCGATCGTCAAATTCAAGAAGCTATTGCATTGGAAAATGCTAAAAGACGTAAATGGTACTACTTATGGTTGAAGTAAGTATCCAGACAGTAATTGTAAATAGTTATATATTAAGTAGTATAGTAAAAGAATTAAATAATGACAACAAAAAACCTTATTATATAAATACACTGTGACATAGAAAACAAAATATACATGTATAAAATATACCCTTTCCCAAAACAAAAATATAAAACAACGTTTGATTTCTAAAGATATGCCGTGGGTTGGTGTGTTGTGATTGATTGTGGTAGTGATTTGATTGTTATTGGTGTGTGGTGTGTAACTGATTATTATTATTTTTTATTTATATTTCATTAATTTATTATTCTTCATCATCATCATCTTCATCATCATCATCGTCATCATCAAAGTCATCTTCTTTCCAACTGTTTTCAACTGTCTCTCTTACACGTTTAACATATTGTGATCTATGATCTTTATATAAATTTGCAGCTTCAACATTAGCAGGAGAACTAATATTAGGATCATTCAATAAGGATTGAATAGATGTCAATATAGATGATACATCATAAGTTGGAGACCATCTATTTTGTAAGATATCTAAACATAACTCACCACTAGCATACACATTTGGATGAAACATTTCACTTATGAATCTAACAGTTGGTGGTTTATTAGGGTATTGTTCATCAAATTGAAGTACTAAACGGAAAGTACCATCTTCAAAAGGAGTATCAGATGGGCCTATTATGACAGCATTCCAAGTCATGACATTATCTGGTAATGGAGATGCTGATACACCACTTGGAGCATCTTGTTGTATACGCTAAATATAATCGTTAGTATTTCTATCCTTAGTAATATATTTTTCATGGGAACGGATACATAACATATCCTAGACAACACATACTTTAAAGTCACGCATAAGTCTTCTTTTGGCAGGAGTGGACATGGTGTTAAGGGGGGACTATGTATGATATGAATGCAATGCAGTAACTAATAAAAGTGGTTGGTTGAAATACGAGTTAAGGGTTCATGAACTAATTAATTTAAAGGTGTATGGTAGTAGTTAAATTTGGCTTACAATCAAATGGTAAATATGATCGCCACTAATTTTTTTGGTGAGAATTAATTTTTTGTCGTGTGCTATACAAAATTTTATTAACTATAAGCTATTCATAGATCTATGATTAAGAACTCATAATGATCACATCAGAACTGGATCATTTATCAAGAGTCTTAACGATGAACCGATTCCAAGGAGTAGTTGATGCTTGTCCATCACGAAGAACAGGTTCAGATTCAGGATCAACTATTTTCATATCAATAAGAAATTCATTCTTTATGTCAGATCCACACAGACATTTATCCATATCATGAAGCCCTTGAAGCCCCCGGTGAAGCCCCCATGCAGAAGTAAAATTACATGCTCTATCGTAATAAAAGCTTGTATTATACAAGAAAGATTGCAAGTTGGATCGATGAAACGTTTTCTGTAACGGTGACTTTAATTTCTCTTCTTTATAATATGGTTTATTTCTCCACTTAGTAGAATCTTCATTAGTAAAGATAAGATCCATCGATATGACATTAACATGATCACTGTTATCATAAGTAAATCTCTCTAATGATACTGGTGACTTATGTTGAATGATATGCCTTACCAATGTTGATAAATCGTCATTACCACCATAAGCATGATACAGATCGCCATCATTAGTTATTAAAATATCAGTAAATGGACTGAATAATCTCTCGCGAAACTTCTCCATACTCGATGTCCGAACTGTAAATGTATCCCTAATTCCATTAACGAAGGATGACAATTGATTTACTCTTATAACTTGAACCATTTCCTCTCCAATTATTACAAAGTGATCATGATATTTATGAATTATATCACTTTCATTAGCTGCAATTCCAAAAAATCCATAATAAAATGGATTCAAAGTGAAGTTGAAGGTATATGTACTAGGAAACCCATCAAATTTTTCAGTGGCAGTTGGATGATTAGTTTCATTCATTTCTAAAAAGGTGACAAGTGAAGAAAATACCATATGAATACTATCCTGTTCAGGACAATAAAGACTAGGGGATGATGAATCAGTTGAAATCGAACCTTCTGCCATCCAAAGCATCATCATCATAAAGTAGATGGCTTGATTGAGCCACAAGGATACCTTAAACATTGAAATAAAAGTGATTACTTCTTACTCTTGATAGATCTATGATGAAAACTTGTTGTGTTGTAAATATAAATCAAATTTGCAGCTATAAAATGGAAAATTCAAAATTTCCGGCATATAACGGATTAGCTTACAATTTAGTTTAATTTTGAATATGTATAATATATAATTCTTTTTATATCTGTAAAGATTAGATAAAATGCTAAATATAAAAATATAATATAAAACTTTAGGTATAACATAACATAGCTGAGATTAATAACAATAAGGAGTAGTAGTAGTAATAATAATAATAATAAAAAAGTAAAAACAAAAAGATGCAAGCTGTTTCTGATGAGAAATCAACAGGTAAACTCTAGCAAAACAAATCAACAATAAGGGGGATAATAAAGAATTGAACCAACCATAAACTTAGCTAACACAAGAATAGATAGATAAATCAATCAATCAATCTAATTTTCAATTAATTTATTGTAAGCTTCATCAACTAATTCTTTAACATCTTCAAGTAAACCTGGAGCATTGATGTTTTCTAATAAATGAGCAATTTTAGTTTCAACTTTAGATTTGTGTTTTTCATCTTTACCATGTTTACCATGTTTAGATTTATGTTTTTGTTGTTTAACTTCTTTAGTTTCTGGACCCCAGAATTCACTTATGTTGTGACCAGCACCATTGAAAGCTAAGATATTTGGAGTTCCATCATCTGGAATATCAGTCAAGATATCTTTAGAACCATAAGCAATCAAGTTTTTCTTTAATTGATCAGTAGAAACACCATTGGCAGCCACGAAATATTCAGATTCAGCACCTGGTTGTAAAGAAATAAAGTATGCTAATAAACCAGCAATATGTGGAGAAGCCATAGAAGTACCTGATAAAGTAGCAGTTGAAGTGGTGGATCCAATATAAGTAGATAAGATATTTAAACCTGGAGCAAAGATATCAACACACTTACCATAATTGGAAAAGTAAGCTCTAGCATCAGAAATGGTAGAAGCACCAACAGTAATGGCATTTTCAGCAGCAGCTGGAGAAGTATTACAAGCATCTTGATTTTCATTACCAGCAGCAACGGCAAAATGAATACCAGCTTTAACAGCAGCATTAACAGCTAAATCCAAAGCAGGAGATTTACCACCACCTAAGGACATATTAGCACTTGAACCCTTGAACCCCTTTTTATTGGCTTTAACGGCAGCTTGATGAGATTGAGCAGCAAATTCAACCCCTTTAACAACATCAGACATAGAACCAGAACCATTTGATCTTAAAACTTTAATGGCAACAACTTCAGCCCCTTTAGCAACCCCATAAGCAGATGAAGCAATAGTACCAGCACAATGAGTACCATGACCATTACCATCAACATCAGCATCACCATAAGGAATAGTTGAACCCCATTTGGCTCTACCACCGAATTCAACATGATCAACATTAATACCAGTATCAATAACATAAGAAGTAACCCCTTTACCAGCTTCATTATCAAATAAATATTGATTAAAAGAATTTAAACTTAATGGTTGTCTATGAGAAACTCTAGCTAAACCCCATGGAGCTCCTTTTTCAATTTCAAATTCAGAAGCTTTAACAATGGAATCTTGTTCAACAAATTTAACTAAAGGATTTTTACGAATTAATTCAATGGTTGAATCTAAAAAGTAACCAGTATAACCTGAGAATAAATCATCAATATGGAAATTATCGATAATACCACCTTCAGCTTTAAAATCTTTGGTTGAAGCGTAAAAAGCGTGATTTTCATCTAAACCATTAAGAGAGTTTGTATGAGTTAAAGCAACCCATTCTTGATGGAAAGCAGCTTCATCTTTAGAAACACCATCCTTTAAGACAATGATATATCTATGAGGAATGGTGTTTTGAGTTAAAGTGAAGAATGGAACTTGAGAAGCATTATCGTCAATTTTTAAACCAGCAACAGTATTAACAATGGATGGTTGTTCGATAGCTTTATGTTCCTTTTCATTAACTTTCTTAACAGCAAAGACATCGATGACATCACCGACGGAAGGAATGACTAAACCTTGGACACCTAAAGTAGCTAAGATGGAAAGGGCAAGTGATCTTGATAACAACATGATTTATTTTATTTTAATTATGAGACGTGTGGCACACTATCGTTAGAAGGAGGGTTTGGCAGAATAGTTATGTTAAACTAAAGCTAGAAAAAAAGGGAAAACAGGATATAATCTATAAATGATGCAGTAACTACGTTCAACTAGTTGAAGTAGATTCTAATAAGTTATAGATTGATAAAAGTATACCTTTTTAAAGAAAGAAACTGGAAAGAAAGAGGAAAGTGTTGTTACTGATAATAGAAATAGGGAGTGGGGGCCTTCCCATTCCCATCTGATGGTTTTGGGAAATGCGGGTAATTTTGTGGAAATGGTGGCGATAGCGTATATACAGGAGCTATGATATAATCCAGCATTTCTGTGTCCGAGGTGAGCAATATGTCACACTTTCCATTTTTCTTATTGGTTTAACCGTTTAAGCTTGCGGTTAGGATGACGTCAAATCAAAGTATGTTATGATTGGTGTATATAGTATGTTTAGATCAATATGGGTGTATATTCCCTCCTTGCTATGACTAATTGTTGGAAACCATGGATCATAATTAAATCAGACTAAGTAAGATAATGATAACTACTGATAACATCCAAATTAACCCCAATTAGGAAATAATACAGATGACTAAAAATTTCTTTTTCTTTGATTTTGGTAGGCAAGTGGGGGTATGATAAGTTACAGTTAGTAAATATAGATTGTTGGCACTTAGATGTTGCAACCGAACTGATTTACTCCTCCACAGTTGTACAGTGTAACCGAAATCTAATCACATTAACTTCTATTAATATTCTATAATTATATACCCATAAATAATTAGCACACTATGACTTTACAACATGATCTTTTAACCATTGTCTAACCGTTGATTCTGAATTAGCTTCATTGATCGCTTTATATATCATTTCTTCATCATACACACCTTCAATCTTAAGTACATCTAATAATATCTTCTTCATCAGTACGGATTCATTTACACAAAACCAGAATTTATTGCCATTGAACCCAGAACTATCTTGATTCTTATTGATAGGTAATTTGGGGGTATGAACTTGGGACAATAACTTACTATTAATAAATTGTAACGTTTCTTTCATACTAAGACCTTTAATTTCTGAACTCACATTATTAGATGTTGAACAATATGGATTATTACACCATGATTTATTACCACACCCTCTTGAGATTTGAATCATATATTTCCGCTCTATTCTCGATTGTAATTTAATATGCGTCGGATCTAATTGTTGGACATATAATGGTCCATAACATATCTCACAAAGATTTAAATCATTGATATTATTCATCGATACTAAATTTATACAATTTTCATTGCAACATTTATTAAAATTTAATTTCAATTGTTGATTAAATTCTAAATTTTGTAATTGATGAACTTTTAAATGTTTCTTAAAATCTTTCAATCGTAATATTTGTCCACATTTATAACATTCACTTGTCCTTCCACCACACCAATTTTCATGATGAGTTAAATTATCAAATTTATCTTGATATGTGGATTCCTCTTGTGGAACTATCAATTTACAAAATCGACATTGAATCATCTTTAATGGACAATCATTCCCCTTATGTTCAACTATCAAATCAATGAAATTGTCATAAGTGGTTTGATGAGGACATTGATCTTGACATTTATAAGGTTGTGAATGATATAATTTACTATGTTTGAATCGAAGTAATGTAGAATTAGTATGGAACGTATCTTGAGGACAATGCCAATGAGTCTCAGGGATGACTTTAAGAAACACTTGATTGCATTGAGGACATTTTTTATTATTTCTAAAACAGAAGGCTTCATGGAGAGGGAGTTTCCCTTTTTCGATGTAATTCATACAATTTGAACATTGAACTTGACCATCAGTGGGTATGGCTTGGGTTTGGGTAGATGGGACAGTATCTATGGAATCAGTTATTGTTATTTTAATATCAGAATCATGCTCCCAAGTGAATGGAATGAAATAGATAAACTTATACGAATCTTCATCATCGTCATCATCTTCATCATGATTAATCAACTTATTAACAATATCATCACTTTTCAAATCAAGTTCAATATACTTAAACCCCCGAATCTCATTATCCTCATCTTGATTCATTGTAGTATATTTGAAATTCTCTAAGTTGATGAATTTATCAAATCCACCAATAAGATCAACATTATCTAAATCTGTAGTTTCCACTTTCACATACACTTTTGAAATCAGGGAGAATGATGATATATCAAGTTTGAAGATCTTGGGGATGAACTTCCCACCAAGGAATGACGTAACATTATCGATATCGTGTACATCACTCGGATTCAATTCAATTATATTATTATGAGGATTTGAATTGAACTCAAGTAATTGTTGATTCGCCATTTCATCATTAAGCGGGATGATATCCAATGTAATATCGGTATTGATGATACTTGCCACAAGATTTGCATTACTTGCATCATCATTGATTTCTTCAATTTGTAATTCATAATGGAAATTATTATCCTCAATGATTAATAATTGTCGATTTGTCAACACAGTATAATACTTCAATAACTTACTCTCAAGGAAATACTTCCAATTAGTGATATCAGAATATAATTGACTTGGTCGAAGTTTTAATGAGGTTGCCTTTGGGATATCCAATTTCACCAGTAGTTTTATCCTCGAAGGATGTTTAAGTATAGTCTCGATCTTCTTTGGTAAGATCACTTCATCATCAAGGGACGAGAACTCTTTGACTCCTACGTATGTCGATATATGAGGATACTCTTCATTTTCAATCTTGAAGATTAATGGATGCGGTAATTCTGATTCTGGTATGATATCAATAATGGTTTGTAGAACAGTGGGTGGCAATATGATTTTATCTGAATAAGGCGGTAGTACTCCACTACTTTCTTTGACATTCTCATCCTTGACATCTAAATGAAAGGAAGGAATATTCATCATGGTTGATGTATAATTGATAATGAATAATAGTTGAAAACTTACAAATCATATTTGCCATTATTTTATATTTGATAGACCGCGAAAAAATTAGTGATGTTACGCTACCAAATACAACAAACATAACATACAAAAATTAAAAGTGTGTAATAAATATAATTCTATGCTATACAAAACCTACTTAACGTTTATCATTTGGTTTACTATTCTTTAATAATGATCTTGACCCATCTCTTATGACAGGACAATAATGCTTATCAAGCAAGACATTTTCCCAAAGGGTGGCTGCACCTGAATTACATCTTTCTAATTCAACTTCTAAATCTTGTTGTTCGATACCAAGGATATAAGTTCCTTCCAGGATGATTTCATCTGTATTCCATAAATATTTCAAACTTTCATCATAACGACTTAATAATTTCCCGACGAATTTCAAACTTGCCATACTGGTTTTTTCAGGTGATTGTAATAATAACATATAAAGTCTCTTTATGAATGAATTAGCTCTGAATGGGGATCCATTTTTCGATCTGAAGAATATAAAATCAAGACATCTTAAGAGTAATTCTGATTTGGTGGATACATTGACGGATGGTTTTTCTTGTTGTTCACTTATACTTAATGGATCTAATAAACGTAAAGATTTATGACTGAATTCCAAATCACAATCAAGGGATAAATCAGCAAGGATAAGGTATAAATTAGATACGAATTTAGATAAATCAATAGCCATAGGTAATCTTCCATTTGATTGATGATTTAATACTAATGAGAAAGAAGTTACGATACATAATAAGATGGTACGTAATTGTTTACCATCATATTGACCTCCTTCTTCATTATGATCTTCGATTATATCATTCATGATTTCACGTAATACTTCTAAGAAATCCCCTAATAAATCGAAATTAGCCATTTGACCAAATCTTGATAACCCTTCTAATACTGAAGCCGTTAATAAAGTAGCATCATTTGGAGTGGATGATGAACCTGATTTTAAAATTTCAAGATAAAGAGTCAATAAACTCTTTAAAATTTGAGCTTGGAATTTTTCACGTTCTTCAACTGTTATAGCATGTTGAGCCTTTTGTAATTCTTCTTCAATTTCTTTACGTTCCTTTCTAGCTTTTCTTTCCTTTTTTGAAATATGAACTCTATCTTTCTTCTTTAATTTTGGTTTTTGAGGTCTATCATTTGTATCAAAGGGATTAAAATCTTCTAAAATCTTAAGAGAAAGAAAGATATTTAATACTGATTCATCAATTCTAAATTTCTTATCTTTGATAGATTTAATTAAGATTCTTGTAATATCAAATGAAATATCACCATTTTCTTCATCATCTTTTAATAAAGTTTCCAAAACTCTTAAACATTTAGTAAAGATTTTTAAATCATCTTCATGACTTGGTTTTCTATTTAATCGTTTAATAATAATGGCAAATAATTCAGCTCGATTATTAAAATATCTTAATGATGATAAACATAATTCACAAGCAGCTTTAGTAGCTATAGAACCTAATTTAACTTGATGAGATGTGGTTTTTGAATTATTGATTGAATTTGAATAACTTGTTCTAGCTAAATTTGATAAATGAGTAATATATTGAATATAATTTGATAATAAACCTTGTTCGAAATTTCTTAATCTGATGATATCTCTACCAACTTTTTCTCTTTTTTCAGTATCAGTTAAAGGTCTTATTCTATATGATGGAGCTAATGATTTGAATACTGGTATAAGAGCCATGATTGATAATTGACAAGTTATGATATTTTTAGATTCTGACATTTTTCTTAATCTGGTTAAACATGATATATTTTCTTCAGGATCTTCCATTAATTTAGATGCAAGTTCAGCGATTTCTTCTTTGATTTTGTTTAATCTTTCTAATGGAGATAAATGAGAGTCTTCATCTTCTTCTTCCACTGGTTCTTCTTCTATTGGTGGTTCCTCTACTGGCTCTTCTTCTAGAGGTTCTTCTTCTTTGACTATTTCTCTCACTACTCTTTCAATCTTACCATCACTGGTCTTAATAGGTAAACCCTCTACCACAGTCTTAGGTACATTTCTTGGAGTTAATTCGTAATCTTGTTCTTCATTCTCCCAATCATTATCATTTACTTGTTCTTGTTCTTGTTCTTCTTCATCATCTTCATCATTATCTTGATCAATTTGTTGTTTTTGATTGAATAACCCAGTCGACAACAATTTATCTTGTTCTTCTTGTTTCAACTTTTTCCTTTTCTCTATCTCCTTAGAGCTATTCTTTCTTTTAGCCATCGTATGTACAAGATAGGGTTATGTGTTTAAATATATATATATATATATAATTTATACATACTTTTGATATTAGAGAACGAAAAAAAAAATTTGGCTGCCATCTCATTAGAGAAACGAGACATTTTGATCGGTGTCATGAGACATCTTGCGACAGAACAATTTATGACAAACGACGACATCTTGCGACAGAAACCGCCGGAAAAAAAGCCATCGTTTAAAACGGATTTGAATTCTCGTTTCCGGTGTTGTAAATAAATAAAATTAAAAATGGGGTCGTGTACCATCTCCCAAGAAATAAACGATCGTATAAAACTTTACTGTGGAACGAGATAGCGTAAATTTAGTAAGGCAACAGGGATGGAAATTGGCAACAAAAAAAAAATTATTATTCCAAAACAGAAATCATATCATTTGATACCAGAAACCATTCAACTCCAACTGACCATCATCCAATCCCTGAATTGTTATTTATAACAGTTGTTGTTTGTTTGTTTGTTTGTATTTATTCATTTCATTTTTGGTGTTCAACCATATCACATTCTTTTTGTTTCTTCATTAGATTGTGTAGTCAGCTACTGCTATACAATATTAAACTACCCAGTCAGATTGATTAGATTAGATTGAAAAATTATATCATCATCATCATCATGAATACTACTAGTTCCTTCACATTGGATCAAATCCAATTTGATTTGCCCACCATCATTAATACCACCAAATCAATCTATCAAAATATAAGTTGGTTACAAGTTATAATCAGTTTAGTGGTGATTATTTTAACTTATGATCAACTTATGTATCAGATTAGAAAAGGTTCCATTGCTGGTCCTGCTTTCAAAGTATGGCCCATCATTGGTCCATTTTTAGAATCCCTTGATCCAAAATTCGAAGAATATAAATCAAAATGGGATAGTGGTGATTTATCTTGTGTATCAATTTTTCATAAATTTGTCGTTATTGCTTCATCTCGTGATTTAGCTAGAAAAATTTTAGGTTCACCAAAATATGTTAAACCTTGTGTGGTTGATGTTGCTATTAAAATCCTTAGACCAACAAATTGGGTATTTTTAGATGGTAAAGCTCATACTGATTATAGAAGAGGTTTAAATGGTTTATTCAGTCAAAAAGCTTTGGAAATTTATATCCCAGTTCAAGAAAAATATATGGATATTTATTTAAAAAAATTTGTTAATTATGATTCTCCAAGACAATTTTTCCCTGAATTTAGAGAATTATTATGTGCTTTAAGTTTAAGAACATTTTGTGGTGATTATATTACTGAAGAACAAATTAGTCTTATTGCTGATAATTATTATAGAATTACAGCTGCTTTAGAATTAGTTAATTTCCCCATTATTCTTCCTTATACAAAAACTTGGTATGGTAAAAAAATTGCTGATGAAACTATGAAAATCTTTGAAGATTGTGCTGCTATGTCTAAAGTTGAAATTAATGATAAAGATTCAAAACCAGCTTGTGTTATGGATGAATGGATTTACCTTATGAAACAAGCTAGAGAAGGTCATGATGAAACTAATCCTGATTCAAAATTATTAGTTCGTGAATTTACTAATCGTGAAATTAGTGAAGCTATCTTTACATTTTTATTTGCTAGTCAAGATGCTTCATCATCTTTAGCTTGTTGGTTATTTCAAATTGTAAGTGATCGTCCTGATGTGGTTAAGAAAATCAGAGAAGAACAATTAAGAGTTAGAAATAATGATCCATCTGTTCCATTAGATTTAAATTTAATTAATGAAATGACTTATACTAATAATGTTGTCAAAGAATCTCTTAGATATAGACCTCCAGTCCTTATGGTTCCTTATGTGGTTAAACAAAGTTTCCCAGTTACTGATACTTATACTGCTCCAAAAGGATCCATGATAATTCCAACTTTATATCCTGCATTACATGATCCAGAAGTTTATCCTCAACCTGATGAATTTATTCCTGAAAGATGGGAAAATGCTACTGGAGATATGTATAAACGTAATTGGTTAGTGTTTGGTACTGGTCCTCATGTATGTTTAGGTAAGAACTATGTGTTGATGTTGTTTACTGGTATGTTGGGTAAATTCGTTATGAATGCTGATTTAATTCATCATAAAACTGATTTATCAGAAGAAATTAAAGTATTTGCAACTATTTTCCCTAAAGATGATTTAATCTTAGAATGGAAATCAAGAGATCCAACTGTTTTATAAGTAAGAAGTAGAAGAAGAAGAAAGTAAACGAATTCGTAAGGAGAAATTCAAAAAAAGTTTTTATTTCAATTCAAAGTTAATTCATAATCATGCATAAACATTTAATTCCATTTAGTTTCCTTTTTTTTTAATATTCATTGTTTAATAATATGCCTCTATTTCCTATGTCTCTCTCTCATCTCATCCTTTTTTAAGTTTATATATAGAATTCTTAATATAATCTTTGTGAATTGTGTTTTGATCTAGTTATTTATGGTTTGTAGTTGTAATTAAAGAAGTTGTAATTGTTGAATGTTAATTGTTGCAAATTTTAATTCTAATTTTGGGCCCATGAGAGTTTTGGACCAGAAAAGAAAAATTGTGCGTAAACAGAAAAATCAAAAAACTAAACTTAAATACTACGATCATACAACTAATATCGAAGAACACAACTAACAACAAGATGTCACTGGTGGGAGATACAACTGAATCGGTGTCATCTCAATCAACCTCAGTATCAACGAAAGTTGCCACCACCATACAGAATGCAATTCTCACTCCAAGTTCACAAGCATCATCATCAACAGCTATAGCTACTGCTAGACCAACCACATCAACTACCATAGCAAGACCATTAACAACTATACAATTACCCTTACCACCTATAACGAATAACTCCGGTAAGAAAAGAAGAAAGAAACAAAGAATATTCGCTAAGGATATTGAGAATTTGTTATATTCCATGGGTGATAGACCTACTAGTACCGATTTAACCGTTCAAGCATTAGAAGAAATTTTAATTGAATATTTAACTGATTTTAGTACTAAATTAGTTGGATTTGCTCGAACTCAAAATCGAAATAGAATCAAACTTAATGATCTTAGTGTGATTTTAAAAGATGATCCTGTGAAGTTAACTCGTTACCATCAAATTTCGGAACAAAGTTATCGAATTCTGAAAGCTAAGAAAATGTTTGAAGATAAAGGTGGGGATGAATATGCCGATGATGATGATGATGATGACGATGGTGATGATGAAGATGGAGAGGGTGGTGATGATAACTTCGATGGTCAATATAAAAAAGGAGGTCAAACTAATGATAATAATAATGGTAATGGTGGATCTGTTGAACCAGCCAAGAGAAAGTATACCAAAAAGAATGGAGAAGAAAAGAAGTATAAGAAAAAGACCGATAAACCTCCTAAAAAGAAGAAGAGAAAGGTTACTGGAAATGTCATGTTCAAGACTGATGAGTTGGAAGATGATGATTAGTGTATAATCACTGTAATATATATCATATATGTCATGCTTAATCAAATTGTAGTTTGTTCCTTTATTTCTTATCTTGCCGTTCACGTGATCAATTTTTGGGCTCTTTTTTTTTTTCAGAGGGTGGTCAAAAATTTGGATCAGAAGACAACAGTTAAGGAAGAAGGAAGGAAACGTATCACCAAATCTTGATATATAATCCCCATATATTCATTTGAAACCAGTGTATCTACCCATCAGGTAGTGGCCATCGTATATAGTAGACAAATCATCTAAACCTTTCAGTTCAATAGTCAGGTTTTCTCCCCTCCCCATTCAATCATTTTGTCAACCGCTATTGCCACTATATCCTACATCTTCAAATCATCATGGAGGTAGAATCTCATAGTTGTCGGATTTGCCGAGGTGAAGCGACATATAATCAACCATTGCTACATCCGTGTAAATGTCGAGGTTCCATCAAATACGTTCATCAGGATTGTTTGTTGGAATGGTTGAATCATTCCAATAAATCAACTGAAAAATGTGATATTTGTAATACTCCATATACTTTCAAAATCATTTATGATCCAGCTATGCCATCCCGAATTCCATTATATTTAATCTGGCAAAAGCTTCTACAAACCATTAGTAAAACTTTTATCACTTCTCTTTCCTTATCGTTATATGTGGCATGTATCATCATTCAAGTTCCATTCTATTGGAAATTTGCTGGAAGAGTATATACTTGGGCTTTAGATGGGAAATTACCCTTCAGTAATCAATCTATAAAGGAAGCCTTACTCTTTGGTGAATTTGATATTGAATCTTTCTTATCAAATTATATTGATAATAAAGGTGCTGCCAATATAACTCAATTTCAAATTGCTATCATTACCATAAGGAAATTCTTTGCATATACTTATTTCAGTGGATTAAGATATTTAGTCATTGCTATTATAGTTCATATTGCATTATTCGTCGAACATGAATGGGTGGTCAGAGATGAAGGGTATTCAAAATTGTTATTACGTAAAATTGGTAAAGAACCAAGAACAAAATTATTAGATATGTTACAACAAGCTTTAACTGGGTTAAGAAATGATCAAGTTAGAAATCCAGATGCAGCTGCTAATTTAAGAAGATTGGAAACTTTAGCTAATGCCATAAATGATTTACAAAATGATAATAATAATGATGAACCAAATCGAGCTTTAAGACAAGAAGTCTTAAGAGCAATCATTGATGGTGGTGAACCTTTCAATGTTGACCATAATAATAATAATAATAATCCTGACAATAATAACCCAATCAACAACATCAATGATAATACTACTAATGACAATCACAATGTCGAAAACGACTTAAACAACCATAATAATATCCAAGATAATCATAATGTTCTACAACATCCTATAAATAATGACGATTTATCAGATGGAGAACTAGCTGATAATGAGGATGGAAGAGCTGCATTCGTCAACGGAATATTTGCCAATAATGGCCCTGCTGTTCCAGCTCCTGCTGATAATGGTAATGTACCACCTCTCCCTAATCATTATAATGGTGACCTTGCTGGTGAACTTGCCGAACTAATCAATGAAGGCGCCAATGCAGATAATGATGAAATGGAAGATGATCTCGATGATGAAATAGAAGCAGAGGCTGAGGCTGTTGCTGAAGCCGCTGCTAATGGTGCTGGAGGTGTAGAAAATTTCTTGGAATTATTTGGGGTTAGTTTAAATATCAAAACCCCAATATTTTTAATGTTTGTTTGTGATTTTGTTATTTCTGCATACTTATTTGTGGTTTATTTAATTCCTCACATGCTTGGTAATATATTTGTATCGTTGATTGGATCTACTATTCAATTAATTAATGCCACTGTTATTAAACCATTCGTTATAGATCCAAATCTCATTTCCATTGATATTTCCAGTTTTGATACTGGTGTTGAATTCTTTGATTTTGCATTAATCTCAATCCAAAAGTATATCGTAACTCCAAGTGTATCAACTTTTCAAAATTTATTTGTTGAAATGAAAAATCCTCAATATTCATTAGTTGAAAGATCAATGTTTTTATTCTTTGGATATGCTATAGTGGCAATTACAGTTTATAAATTGATGCAAACCGTTATTGCAGGTTCTAAACCAGTGATGGGAACTCCAAGAAAGATTTATAAGAAACTTTTCGAACTTACATCTACTCTTAAAGTATTCTTAATCTTTGCCATTGAGATTTTCTTCTTTCCTGTTTATTGTGGTTGGTTATTAGATTTCTGTGCTGCTCCATTGGTATTACCTCAATTTACAAGACAAATGGATGATGGTTCAACAACATTTATTATTTTAGTCACATCATATTTTGAAACTTTACAAGTATCTTATATAAGAGTATTACTTTATTGGGGTTGTGGTACTCTTTATATGTTATTTTTTGCATTATTCATTGGCATGGTAAGAAGTACAATTTTACGCCCTGGAGTATTATTTTTCATTAGATCCCCTGATGATCCAAATGCAAGATTAATTCACGATGCTCTTGTTAAACCTTTAATGTTACAATTATCTCGAATTTATCTTAGTGCTAAAGTTTATACTGGATTTATTTTGATTGGAATTGGGGGTGTTACTTGGGGATGTAGATATTTACTTAAATCATCTGTTGAAGGTGAATATTATCTTTTGCCTATTGCATCTCCTGGAGTAGTTGCAAGTATTATATTCTTTTACACTGTATCAAGAATAATTGCTTCACAACCATTAATTTCAAAGTATTGTCAACAATATTGGGTTAGAGCTTTTGAAATCTCATGTCATAAATTACGTCTTTCACATTTCATCTTGGGTAAACCAATTTCTCAAGAAAGAGGATATATTGTTTATAGAAATATATTCCATCAATTATTAGCCACGGCTCAACCAGATTATTCCAAACCGGTACCATATTATGAAGCTAAGAAATTATTCCAAGATCCAACTAGTTCAGATGCATATTTCGTTCCTAATGGTAATTATGTGAGAGCTCCTGATAATGATGGGGTTTCCAGAAAGTTTATTAAGAAATTATTTGTATCAGTCACTAAAGATGATCAATTATTATCTGCTGTTGAACCAAGTACTACCAAAAGTGGATATGAAACCCCTTCGTCAGAAGAAGAAGAGGATGATGTTAATACAGAAAATGCTTATACTGTTGTTTATAGACCACCAAATTTCAAAGCTAGATGTTTTGGTTTAATTTGTATGTTATGGGTATTTGCTGTATTGTTTATTTTAATCCTTATTTTCTTTGCTACTATTTTAGGAGTTCCATTTATGAAATTACATGAAATAACGACTAGATTTGAAAGTCCAACTCAACTCAGATTTGATTTTAATTTATTGTCAAGTAAATTCGAAATAGCGTCATTAGCTATTGGGTTCAGACTTGAATTAGCTTTATTATCTTATTTTGATAGATATTTAGCCACCAGAAATTTCGGTCAAGGAGGTAATGAAGCCATTCCTAATGATCGTAGAGAAGGTAATTTACCTAATGGAAATGTTAATGCCAATGCCAATGCTCAAAATGAAGCCAGAAATGAATTAATCAATCGTATAAATGAATTCATTAGAGAAGTTAATTTCTTACCTAATGTCCCACCTATTTTAATCATTGCTGCTTCATTCTTCCTTTGGGGTTGTTTCACGCTTATCTTCCATAAAGTATGTGTTGATTATCCACTTCGTTATTATTTCAATGTCACACATTTACCTTATTTGATCACAGGATTAACTACTCCTATCCATTTACTTATTTCCATTTGGACAGTTTTTCCCTTCCTTTCATATATATTGGTCAGTATGCCACATTTGAATGGCGATGCCATCGATAGAGCTAATCTTGTCCAATTGGTATGGAAATGTGGATTAATCCCAGTATTGATCAATTTCGCCTTGATTCATATTCCAACATATATACTTAAAGTAGTGATTAAATTAAGAGAAGATTATGAAATTGGTACTATTGAACAAAATGCCGCTTTAAGAGTATATATGTGGCCTGCATTTGGAGTATTGTTTATTATTATTAAGATCATTTATGGGGGATATACTTTATTCAATGAGATTAATGAATTAGTAAAGAAGGAAAAATATGTTAAAGGTAGAGCCATTGCTAATGTTGATGGATCTGATGATGAAGCAGAAGCAGAAGAGGTGGCTGATAAAGTTCATCCTCAACCACGTGAAGAAGACGTACAAGAAGACGTACAAGAAGACGTACAAGACGAAGAAATAATAGAGGAAATATGATATGATCAAAAATTAATTAATATCGCATATATATTTATATATAGAGTAGTTAGGTAATGATAAACTTCTACTAATCTAATCAAGTTCAAAAATTAATATTTTAAAAAAAGTAGTACCAAATGTATATTACTATGTATATAAACAAAATTTTAATAATGAAGACAGAATGAGAGTGAGATGTATAAAAAAAGGGATATGGAATAATATAATATATGGTGTGAATGAAGTTGGAAGATTAAAAGAGACCAGTTAGTTCTTAAGCTTCTTGTTCAGCAACTGGTTCTTCAACTACTGGTTCAGCTTCAACAACTGGTTCTTCGACAACTGGTTCTTCAACGATTGGTTCTTCGACAACTGGTTCTTCAACGATTGGTTCTTCGACGACTGGTTCAGCTTCGACGACTGGTTCAGCTTCGACGACTGGTTCAGCTTCGACGACTGGTTCTTCGACAGCTGGTTCTTCAACGACTGGTTCAGCGTGTTGGACTTCAGCTGGAACTTCTTCCACGATTTCTTCAGCACCAGGAGTTTCTTCTTCTTCGCTTGGTTCTTGAGCCTTTTCAACTTTTGGAGTGACAATTTCTTCAACAGCTAAAGGAGGTGGATTAACTGGTTTATCATCATCATTTACAACCACAGGTTCAGGTTTTGGATCTTTATCTTCTGATTGATGTTTATCTTGAACAGCTAAATTTTGATGAATTATTTTAGGAGTTTCTCTAACTTTTTCCATTTCATCAGCAAATGGAGCTGGAGTAGTTTCAACAGCTTGATCAACTGATGGAGAAGTATAATATTCAGAAATACTTTCATGATAATTACGACAATCAAAATCCCAAGTACTTAACCATTTTGAATTTAAACATTGATCTCTAGTCCATGGAGTACCATAGATTAAAGCTGAATAATTAAGATAGAATAAACTACTTGCAACCACAAATCCAACCACAGTAGCATAACCCACTTTTTGTAAAGTATTTGATTTAGCAGTAATATAACCGACTAAAACTTCAAAGAAATGTCCTAATACTAAAATACCGAAATATAAAGCTGGTAAATAATGATGTAAGAATAATTGTCTACCCATGATAAAGAATGGTAAATAATGTAAAGCCCAACCTACAATATAAGTAAAAGCTTGTTGATTGAAATTGAAAACGTTTTTATCAGTAGCAATTTCTTGACCGAAATGCCATTTTAAAATTTGAATACCAGCATAGATAGCAAAAGTAACAATGGCACCAGAAACACTCCACCAAGTAACAGCATTACCAATGAAATAAACTTGTTTATTTTCTCTAGACCAATAGTTAATACCTCTATTTAAAATAGGCCAAGAACTTGGATCAGATTGATAAACATGATGAGCAGTTAAACCTTGATTAGTTTTCCACATTCTAGCATGAATTTCAACGAATTTTTCCCATAATGATAATGGTTTATAACTAACAATTTCACTTTGTTCAGGTTTAACATAAGGATTAGTATTAGTTTCAATATACCAATGAGTTAAATATCTTTTACCTGAATTGGCAGCAGTAACTTCTTGTTGTTTGAAACCCCATTCAGGTAATTTAACTTCACTTGAGAATAAATAATGACCCGACATAGCATGTTTTAATCTAATGATTGAAGTTAAAGCTTTAACCGTTTCACGAGCTTCACCTTCAGGAGTCTTATGAGGAACGATTTCAATAATCCAATCATCATTGGCATCACCATTGAATCCAGTGAATCCATAACATGATGCTTCCTTTTGCCAATCTCTTTCACTGACAGGTGGTTTTTCATCATGAGAATGTAATCTTCTACCAGTATTAACATGTCTTAATCTAACTTTTGTACCATCTTTTAATGGAACAAAGGTTTGATTATAAATAGTTGTATTTTGATAAGGTTCAATAAACCAAGCATTATTAGAATCTAAATGAGGATATAAAGTAATTTGTTGTTGTTTTGAACCAGTTGGATAATAATGTTCATGAGAATGTAAATAACCACCTTGAGTTCCAACATGACGTAAAGTAATAGTTGAACCTAAACCAACATTGGCTTCGATATTTTTTGGAATAGTATTACCATTTAAACCTGCTCTAAAAGCACTTGACATTGAAGCTGAACCATCTGAATTATTAACTAATAATTGGAAATGAATAGCAAAAAAGAAAAGATATAAAATAAATGGAACTCCTAATAAGAAAGTTGCTCTTGCAATAGCATGAGCCCAAACTTTTTTAACTGGGACAGTTAAATCCCCAATTAAAAACCATAAATGATAAGCTGATAAAGCACCAACCCAAGCTACAGTGAATAAACCGACCCATTTTGAACTTAAAGCTAACCCTAAAGCAATTGAAGTAGCTAATAAACTCTTATACCAATCTAAAGTGAAAGGAATTTGAATTTCAAATTTCTTCCAAGCATAAACAGTGGCAGCAATAAAAAAGATTAATGGAGAATCTAAAAGAATATGTCTTGAGATTGTAACATTTGAATTTTCAATGATCAATAAGAATGCAGTAGCAGCGGAAATAATTGGTCTAACACCAGAATGTCTTAAAGTCAAATAACATAATACGATAGTTCCAACTCCTAATAAAGCAGGGAATTGTCTCATCATAAGATAAGGAGTAGTTGAAGGGAATTTATCCCCAATTTTTTTAAATTCAAAATCTCCTTTGAAACCACCAATTGAAGCAACAGCTGCAAATAACATTTTTGCTAAAGGAGGATGAACATCAAGGAAATAAGTTCCTAAGATATATTTTCTAGCGAACCCACCGAAATGAACTTCATCGAATACAACTGAATCAGGATAAGTTAAACCATATAATCTAACATAGAATGAGATTATAACCAATACAGCTAATATGATATATTCTTGAGTACCAAAATTCAGTCTTTTCTTGATTAATTCAGGACTTGAAGTAGTTAATAAATAAGGACGATTGACCCCTTTTTCAAATATGAAATCAACATTAGGATCAACATTTAATAGAGATTCAGTACCATGAGATTTATGGGAGGAAGAAGCAGCTGCTTCGGCAGCTGCCACATTGGACCTTGTTCTAGCCATCTATGATATGGTATGGCTTGTCAATTGATTGAGTTTCAAGCTCCTAAAAACCTATAGCGTTGATGGATAAGATGGATGGTTGACCGTAAATTTGGGGATACGTAATTATAAAATTTATGAGTTGAATTATGTTTGTGTGTGAAAAATCCTGCATCCAAGTCGTCCTCTTTACCTTCTAAATAGACACGCTGTTAAATATTTTCATCTCTATTTTTTTTTTTTACGCGTGTGAATTTAAATTTGATATAAGACACGACCTTTTAGTCATGTGATGATGAGTAACGTGCTCGATCATGGGACGTAAGTCACATGATCAGTTGTCCCATCTGATGGCTCAAATTTATTTTTAACCAAACATGATGGTCTGTTGCGAAATATAACTATATATAATGATATAAATCCACATCCAACCTTATAAAATATTATTATCTAGCATGCTCTATGATTGAATAATACATATACTAAATGGATTCTAAAAAATATAATAGATTATAATAATAATAGTTATTAATAATAATAATTTGTTCTTTGATGATGGATTTTAATGTAATGCACTTGTCAATCTTGATCCTATTCTCCTTGTTAATCTAGTATTGATAAGTGAAATATTTCCAGTTAATATCATATTATTATTATATCTGATGATGAAAGGTATATCTATATCTATTTCGGCCCTGTTTACTACACCATACCACCATTTACATATTATTTGGAGAATGTTTAAATAATAGTAAATTATATTAATAATAATATTAGTAACGATAAATCTAAGAATTCATTAAGAATTAAAAGTCTATTGATAACAATAAACAACCCCACCAAACACGTGTATGAGGTATAGTGTAGGGTAGTACAGTCATATCATGTCACAATGATATAATTAATGTTAAATGGTTTGATAAATCATTGCAAAACAAAAACTACTACAAGTTGAAGTTAAAAAAGGAGAAAACACCAAGAATAATCAATCAACCAACCAAAACTTTCTTGGAACCTTTTTACCACTGTAACCCAAATATAAGCACAAACTAATTAACTAAGTAACTAAAGTTAAATTAAATTATAGAAGAAGTTAAAAGTTAGATTTGCGCTGTGAGAAATAAATATTTTTGTGATTCTTTCTTGGCCTTTTTTTTATTTTCTCCCTAAAAATAATAATTTACCGGGAAAAAGAAAAAAAGAAAAAAAGAAAAAAAAAAGAAAAGCGACGGTACTGGTAATTTACTGTAACTGTGCGACTGGCACTGACACTGGTAACGCTCTAACTTAAACTTTTAGTGAGGCTAGCGAGAGACGGTGCGTGCGACCCAGACGTTAAATAATTAAATTAAATTAAATTAAATAGTTAAATAATATTATATATGGAAGAGATGGGATGGCATTTTTCTTTTTTAACTATTAGTGGACTGAATCAAAGTAAATGGATGTGGAATGCATTCATAAGACTATATAAACTACCACAATTCTCTACTCTTGATCCTCCTGTTTTCATAATCACTATAAACTATTCTCATAAATTATCATTTTCTGATTATCTTCCCCTATATCCTATCCCTCACTAATCCTAATTAAGTATAAATTTACCGATTGATACTTATCTATCCTCACTAAAATTAAATTAGACAGGAAAGAAAATCATTTTTCCTTCGCAAAAGAAAAAATAAAACGTTATTTAAGGACGACAAACTGCCCCCCCCTGGAAAAATTTTCAATTTCCCATTTTTACTTCTCCTTTCCCTCTTCAACTTTTGTTGTTGTTTTAATCAGTTTCTCTTGTTATCCCATTTGAAGTCTTTGGATATATTCATTCATATAGATATATTCCTTATACGTTCAAATATCATATCAACCTAGAAACAAATCAGTCTTTGACAGTACCCCCCTTTTACACTCTGTGGAAAATAAAGTCTTTAGCAACTGAAACAAAACCTCCTCCTTTTGAAAATCAAGATGGTCCGCCAATTAGTAAGAGCTATGAAGATGAAAGCCGTGAAAAATCGTCTGTCTATGAAATCAGCCAGAAATTAGATCGTCAATTGAATCAAAGTGATGATAGTTATTCAACCTTACAACTGAATCATCAACAAGCTTATAAATTACCCATTGATCGTGTGGCATCATGGTTTGATCTTGATATCTCAAAAGGTTTAACTGAATCTCAAATCAATAATAATGCTGCCAAATATGGATTAAATAATTTAGGTGCTGAAGATAAAATCTCCATCACCAAGATTTTAGCTCATCAAATCTTTAATGCCATGGTTTTAGTATTAATCATTTCGATGGTTATTGCTTTAGCTATTAAAGATTGGATTTCAGGTGGTGTGATTGGATTTGTCGTGTTTATTAATATCTTTGTTGGTTTCATTCAAGAATATAAAGCTGAAAAAACTATGGGTTCTTTGAAATCTTTAAGTTCTCCAACAGCAACGGTTTTAAGAGATGGTGCTAAAATCAATATCGATGCTGAACAAGTTGTCCCTGGTGATATTGTCTATATTAATGTAGGTGATACCATCCCTGCTGATTTAAGATTATTTGATACCATGAATTTAGAAACTGATGAAGCGTTATTAACCGGTGAATCCTTACCAGTGGCCAAAGATCATACTCAAATTTATGATCCTTATGAAGATATCTCTGTAGGTGATCGTTTAAACATGGCGTTCTCCTCATCAGTGGTTTCAAAAGGTAGAGGTACTGGTATAGCAGTTACTACTGGATTAAGTACTGAAATTGGTAAAATTGCTGATTCATTAAAATCAAATGATGATGCTGTTATTGTTAAAATTGATAGAAAAACCAATCCAAATCCATCTTTCCAAGATCATGTTATGGCTGTTTTAAAATCAATTTATAATATCATTATGAATGTCTTGGGTACCAATATCGGTACCCCTTTACAAAGAAGATTATCATGGTTAGCCATTATTCTTTTCTGGGTGGCTGTCTTATTCGCTATTGTAGTCATGGCATCTCAAAAAATGATTGTTAATAAGAATGTGGCCATTTATGCTATTTGTGTAGCCTTATCCATGATTCCATCATCATTGATTGTGGTTTTAACCATCACTATGGCTATTGGAGCTCAAGTTATGGTTACTAAACATGTCATTGTTAGAAAATTAGATTCATTAGAAGCTCTTGGTGGTATAAATGATATTTGTTCCGATAAAACTGGTACTTTAACTTTAGGTAAGATGATTGCTCGTAAAGTTTGGATTCCAGCGGTTGGTACTTATATCGTTTCAAATTCAAATGAACCTTTCAATCCAACTGTGGGTGAAGTTTCATTTAATTCATTAAGTCCAAAGGAAATTGAAGATACTGATGATGAAATTGATTTTATTCCCGGTTTACCTGAAGCATTACCTAATTTATTTAAAAAATGGATTCAATGTGCTACTTTAGCCAATATCGCTTCTGTAAAACAAGTTCCATCCACTGAAGAAGGTAATGATGAATTAGAATGGCAAGCTCATGGTGATGCTACCGAAATTGCCATTAATGTGTTCACTTCAAGATTAGGTTATCATCGTGATGAAATTATTGAAACTCAAGATTTAGATCATGTAGCTGAATTCCCCTTTGATTCATCTATCAAGAGAATGTCTGCCATTTATAAATCAAATGAATCAGGGGTTACTACTACTTATACCAAAGGTGCTGTCGAAAGAATCTTACAAATTTGTAAATTCTGGTATCAAAATGATAAAATTGTGGAATTAACAGAAGAAGATAAAATTTTAATTGAAGCCAATATGAATGCGTTATCTTCGGAAGGATTAAGAGTTTTGGCCTTTTCTAAACGTGATCTTGATTTAGCTCATGAAAGTCATGAATCTCGTGAACAAGTTGAAACAAACTTGATCTTTTTAGGTTTGATTGGTATTTATGATCCTCCAAGACCTGAAACTGCTGGATCCGTCAAATTATGTCATAAAGCCGGTATTAACGTTCATATGTTAACAGGTGATCATCCAGGTACAGCTAGAGCCATTGCTAAAGAAGTTGGTATTATCCCAGCTAATTTATATCATTATAGTCAAGAAATTGTCAGTGTAATGGTTATGACTGCTCATGATTTTGATAAATTATCTGATGATGAAATTGATGCTTTGCCAGTGTTACCATTGGTTATTGCTAGATGTGCCCCTCAAACTAAAGTTCGTATGATTGAAGCTTTACATAGAAGAGGTAAATTCGTGGCTATGACTGGTGATGGGGTTAATGATTCTCCTTCATTAAAGAAAGCTGATGTGGGTATTGCTATGGGTCTTAATGGTTCAGATGTGGCTAAAGATGCTTCTGATATTGTTTTAACTGATGATAATTTCGCATCTATTGTTAATGCTATTGAAGAAGGAAGAAGAATGTCTTCTAATATTCAAAAATTCGTATTACAATTATTAGCTGAAAATGTAGCTCAAGCCATTTATTTAATGGTTGGGTTAGCATTCCAAGATCAAGATGGATTTTCTGTGTTCCCATTATCACCAGTTGAAGTGTTATGGATTATTGTTGTTACTTCATGTTTCCCAGCTATGGGTTTAGGTCAAGAAAAAGCCAGTGATGATATTTTAGATCTTCCACCAAACAAGACTATTTTCACATTTGAAGTGTTGTTAGATATGTGTGTTTATGGATTATGGATGGCTGTTTGTTGTTTATGTTGTTTTATTTCTATCTTGTATGGAATGAAAGGTGGTGAATTAGGTACTGGTTGTAATGCTGATAATGGTCATGATTGTCATGCAGTGTTCCAAGGTAGATCAGCTGCTTTTGCTGCTTTTACATGGTGTGCTATTATTCTTTCTTGGGAATGTATTCATATGAGACTTTCATTCTTTAGAATGAGACCTGAATCTGAACTTCCATGGTATAAACAATTAGCCATTGATCTTTGGGATAATCAATTTTTATTCTGGTCTGTTATTTTTGGTATGTTATCTGTTTTCCCTGTCATTTATATTCCTGTCATTAATGATATTGTGTTCTTACATGGATCAATTGGATATGAATGGGGTTTTTCAGTTGCTTTCACCATTGCATTCTTTGCTGGTTGTGAATTATGGAAATGGTTTAAGAGAATCTATTTAAGATCGGTTAGAGCTAAGAATCCTGAATATGAATTAGAAAGAAATGATCCGTTCAAGAAATATGCATCATTCTCCAAGTCTAATACTTTTATGGAAGTTTAGACTTGTTTTTTTTTTAGAATCCATTGGATTCACATTTATTATTATTTTATTATTTTCACTTATATATATATACACTTGAGAGTGGTTTTTTATGGGTTCAATTCCCATGTTTAAATCCTGGTTGGATTTTTTTCTCCCTTTCGTTGAGTTTATCATAGTTTATTTTTTGAGTTTATTATTACTAGGTTCTTTATATCATTTTGTTTTACCTGATTTTTTAATATAACATCTATTTATATTATATATATAAGTAAAAGCCCTTGTAATAGTTTTTGCAATTTGTGACCCATTTTGTTCAATTTAGGTTATCCGCCATCAATAGCCTTTTACGTCAATATCATTTTTAAAGTGGGGAGTATTGACAAATATCCTGTATATAACTATTGCGTCTTATACTTCCTAATTAGGAAATACCAACGAATGTGTTTGTGTCTTACAACCGAAATTATTCTGTAATTATATAGCCGCTATTTTTATTAATATTGAAAAACCCTTTTAGTTTTATGAATGAAAGGAATTACCATTTGACTCAATTATGATTATGGACATTCTAAGAACATGAACCATCAAGGAGAGTCAATTATCATAGCCTATAGCTTCGAGTATCCTACTAGGGTAATTCGAAGCTATATAGTTATCAAAAAAATGTAAGATAAGGCTGTCCCTCACTCCCTGATAAGATCGGTATTAATCACAGCTTAACCGTAGAGTTAAATTTTTGTTACTATACTAAAACTCTAAACCCATTGTGACAAGTAAATTAGTAAGAAGTCCAAATCAGGTCTAAGTAGTATAATTAAGAGGAATTAGGAGGAGGAGAGGGGGCAAAAGTGTTTTGCAATTGCTTAACTATAGAGCTCGGCTTGAGAATCCTAATTAGGAAATACGCGTTTCTTTCTCTTATCAAAAGTTGGAGACTATATATAGTGGAGGAGGAGGATCAAGAATTGAAAAGTTTCAAAGTTTATATCGAAACCCTTTTAATTTGATTTGATTTGATTTGATTTGATTTGATTGTTTGATCTATATTATCTGTTCGTCGTTACAAGTCATACGAAGTCATATACCACACACACACACACGTACACACATAATGTCAAAATTAGATTATAAAACCTTATTGGTTACTGATAAGTTTGAAGGGTATGAAGATGCTGAAAAATTCAAATTATGGGTCCCAAAGATTGAAAAATATAGAAAAGATTTAGATGCTGGTGTGTTACCTGAATATAAGATTGACTTACCTAAACCAGTTGACCAATTAATCGAAGAACAATTCAATCCTTTGAAATATTTATATGATGAAAACCTCTTGACTCCTACCGAATTTGAAATTACTGATATTTCCGGTACCGAATTAGTAAAGAGAATTTCAGAAGGTAAATATAGTGCTGAAGAAGTGTTCAAGGCATATGCCAAGAGGGGTACTATTGCTCATCAATTCACTAATTGTGCTATGGAATTATTCCCTGAAGAAGGGTTAAAGAGAGCTCAAGAATTAGATGCTCATTTTAAATCCACTGGTAAAACTGTTGGTCCTTTACATGGATTACCAATTTCTTTAAAGGAACAAATGAATTATAGAGGTAAGATCACTCATGGTGGTTATGTATCTAAATTAACCAACATTACTTCTGAACATGGATTAACTACTCAAATTTTAGAAGATTTAGGAGCAGTATTTTATGTTAGAACCAATCAACCTCAAACTTTAATGCATTTAGATTCCAATAATAATATTACTGGATTAAGTAAAAATCCTCATAATTTATTATTATCATCGGGTGGTTCATCATCAGGTGAAGGTTCTATTGTTGCTTTTGGTGGTAGTTCAATTGGAGTTGGATCTGATATTGGAGGTTCAATTAGAGGTCCATCTGCCTTTTCAGGTTGTCATGGTTTAAGACCAACCACCAGAAGAGTTTCTCTTGTGGGAGGTGTTAGTGGTGGTGCTGGTCAAGAATCTGTTCCTGCTGTTGCTGGACCAATGGCTAGATCAATTGATGATATTGACTTATGGATGAAACATTATATCAATGATGGTAAACCTTGGTTGAATGATGCATGGTCATTACCTTTATTATGGAGAGATGTTCCAAAACCAGAAGCTAAAAGTTTAACTATTGGAGTTATGTATGATGATGGATATGTTAAACCAACTCCTCCAATTCAAAGAGGAATTAAAGAAGTTGTTAAGAAATTAGAAGCTGCTGGAGTTAAAGTGGTTGAATTTAAACCACCAAAGATTTTACAAGCTCTTGATGCTGTTCATAAAATGTATGCTTGTGATGGTAATTATATGCAAAGAAAATTATTAGCTGCTTCTGGAGAACCATTAGTTAAATTAACTAAATGGTCATTAAATTATGGTGAAGGTGCAAAACAATTTACCGTGGCTGAAAATCGTGAATTAAATATGATTAGAGATGAATTAAGAACAGAATATACTAAATTCTTAGTAGAGAATAAGATTGATTTTATTCTTTCTCCAACTTATAATAATGTTGCACCTCAATCTGAAGCATGTTATAATTGGTCCTATACTGCATTATGGAATATTTTAGATTTCCCAACTTTGGTTATACAAACTGGATTATATCAAGATCCAACCGTGGATAAATGGGATGAAGACCATAAATCTTATCAATATAGAAATAAAGTTGAACAATTAGAACATGAAATCTATGATCCTGAAAAATTTGTCGGTGCTCCAATTGGTATTCAATTATCAGGTAGAAGATATTTTGATGAAGAAGTTGTGGCTGCTGGTAAGACTATAGTTGAAATCTTTGGTACTGATTTATTCAAACAATACTAAATAGGGTAATATAGTTTAACATTACTGTTTGTGGTAATTGATCCTTTTCGTAAAATCTTGAGGAGAGAGAAATATTTATATACGGTGTTTACATTAATATTAGAAACTATATAGTATATTATAATGCAATAGAATATTTTTAAAATAAAAGGATAGATCATTAGATTTAGACAGATCCCTGTCACCTTGGATACACCCCCTTACTATTAGTTCTGCTTCGATGCCGTTTTTGGTCCAAGAAATTTAATCTGTTACATGAATATTATATAAAAGAATAAACATAAATGATAAGGAACAATCCAAATTAGGAACTGTACGACCGAGAGGAGAAGCTTTAGAAGGTATTTACGGGACAAGACAGACAGCGTATGGCGTACAACTGATGAAATATTTCGTTATAATTACCGTTTTCTGAAACAGAAGATCATAGAAGAACACGACAACTACAATAATTCTATAAAGAAAATAATCTTATTTCTTTTCTTTTTTAAAAATATCCTACTCCTCATTGTTAAGGTTACCTAATTAGATAAAAATAACGGTTAACTGATGTACGGTTTGGTGGTTTATACCCTTTACAAAACGATTATTAATAATTGCGAAATAATTGACCAAAAGTACACGACCGTCGCGCTTACTCATCCTCATCCCCAAAGATTAGTTATCATTAAATTACTGTATGGGGGAAATTACCCTTTAAGAAGAATTAACCATAGTCCGAATAACCGTTTTGAATTATTTTATTAATAAGCTTTAGCTTCGTAACTTGATTATAAATAAATAATTTATTATTAACTATAGTAGTTAACTCTAATTGTATGGTGTAACCAAATAAGATTATAAAGTGTATATAAACCCCATGAATTGTGCTATGTTATAACCATAATTATTTGTAACTTCTTATAACTATAATTATAACTAACAACTAATAACTATAACTAATAATGAACTCAATTCAACAACTTCAAACTTTTCAAAGAAATTGGATGAACCAATTACCAACTTGTCAATCAACTACTTCAATGGCTATTAATTATTTAGATGATTCTAAATTATTAACGGAAAAGGAATTTAATATTACCAATTCTTCTATTCAACTGTTATTAATTAAAATCAATAAAGGACAATTAACTTCATTTGAAGTTTTAATATCATTCATTAAAAAATCATTATTATGTCAATCTATAAATAAAACTACTGGAAATGATTTCGATTATAGAACTATTGGGGATGCGATTTTAAGAGCTCAATATCTTGATTTCTATTATCAAAATTATGGTAAGACTTTAAGTAAATTCCATGGCTTACCCATTGGAACCAATCAATTATTAAAATATAAATCAATCTTAGGTTTAAATGAAAATAATAATGAAGGAATTGATGCTGGTATAATTGAAATTGATGGTTTGGATATTCAATTGAATTTAAGACAAAATCAATTACCAACTGGTTATAATTCAATCAATTCAAATACTTGTTATTCAAGAAGTTTCCAAGCTAGAGCTCCTTCTCAAGTTAAGATATAAAGTTATTATTATTTAACTTTCAATTTTATAGATTCTTTTAATTTGGTTTGGTTTTTAAAGAGCAGGTGGTCTCTTTAGTGGTGTTTCTTATTTATAATTTATTTACTTTATTTCTTCTTTATTTACTTTATACAAAATATATCTTTATACCCTTATTAAGTTATCCTAATTATTGTAGTTTATTATAGTTTATTGTAGTTGTAGTTGCAATTATAACTATTATAACTAAGTCGTGCGCCTTGTACCAAAAAAACCCTAATTAAGGTGAGGTGATCAGTACACATCTATTTTTTACAAAGCACGGTATAGTAACTCTATCATTTACATCTATAATACAAGCATTATATATCAAAACGATGGCATATGACGATGATGAAGACTATTACTCCGATGGAGGCATAGACGACGATGTCAATGGATTCAATGAAGACTCATTAACCAACGAAGAATACGATCAATTACATCTAAGTTTATCTCAATTGAAAACTACCTTACAAGATTATAATGATGAAATCCCTGAATTTGATTTAAAAGAAATCTTATATTACAATTATTATGAATTGGATCCTTCCATTAAAGAAGTCAAATCCAAGTTTAAGAAAAGTACGTATCCATTTTAACCTTTATCATGTCTTGGTCTTGGTCTTTGGTCTTGGTCTACCCTTAGGCAATTTGCTGCCATCTTTTTTTTTTTATAGTGGAGAGTCACGTTCTGATCAAAATGGCAGCACGAAAAACTCAACGAGTCATAACTATAATTATACTCTGATTGAACGCCATATCATTCAATTCAACCTAAGTTTATTCATATCTAGATGATAGGACAGACTATAATATAACATAAGCAAGAAATAGAATCAATATGTCGTTACAACAGGTTGATCCTCCAAGTCGATCTGGTGGTGGTGGAATGTCAAAACTAGCACAGTTGGCTCAAAAGAGAGCTTTACAGAATAATACCACCAGTAATGTCGATCAATCAGAACTGAATGATGAATCAGATATTACTCCAGTTAAGCCTGTGTCAAAGTTAAGTGCATTGGCTAGAGCAAGAGCTTCGAAAGCTAGTAATAATTCAAAGTCATTAGAGACTGATGGTAGTAATAAATCAATCGCTATTTTGGATCGATTACGATCTTCAACTAATACTAGTGCTCCTCCAACCATGAATTCTACACCGTTGGCTAGTTTGTTGACTAGTAAACGTGAAGGATTATCCATACGATCAAACTTGACTAAAAAAGTTAATCCTATACGACTTTCACCACCATCACCACCTCCACCAAAGACTCAAAACATTATGGTATCAGATAATGTTACGACTAAAGAGGAAGATACATCTGTTCAATTAACCTATGATGTATCTTTAGATAATAGTATCATTTCAACTAATCCAGTTAATTCCATTTCAAGCTTTTTATTCAAGCGGAAACTCTCATCATCTGAACACTTAGAAACAGAAGATATAGAACAAGATCAAATCAATTCAAAGAGAAGGCGACAAGATCAATTATTTTATCCAATTACTAACTTTGAAATTCAAAATTTAGAAAAATTAGAAAAAGTAAAACAAAACTTTACTCAACTTTCACCTGATGATAAAATTTTACAAGCTCAACATAATGCCTTTAATGATAATTTTCAAAATCTTAAAGTAACCAAACCTACCTCAACTGGAACCACTACTCCTCCAAAATCCGCTAGTAAATCAAGCAAATCTTTAAATATCGAATCAGAATTGGCATCTAATAAAACCTATGCCAAACCTCATAAATCATTCGTGGTGATAGGGCATGTCGATGCTGGTAAGTCGACATTAATGGGGCGTATGCTTTTAGATTATGGTATTGTTGATGCTAAAACAGTGGATAAATTAGTCAAAGAATCTATGAGAGTAGGTAAAGGATCGTTTGCATTAGCTTGGATTCTAGATCAAACTGAAGAAGAAAGAAGTCATGGTGTTACAGTTGATATTTGTGCTACTGATTTTGAAACTTCAACTACAAGATTCACAGCTATTGATGCTCCAGGTCATAAAGATTTCGTACCCCAAATGATTGGAGGTTTATCCCAAGCTGATTTAGGTCTCTTGGTGGTTGATTCTATTCAAGGTGAATTTGAAAGTGGATTCGCTATGGATGGTCAAACTAAAGAACATACCATTTTAGCTAAAAATTTAGGCATTGAAAAATTATGTATTGCCATTAATAAATTAGATAAAGAAGATTGGAGTGAAGATAGATTCAATCATATTAAATCTGAATTAACTGAATACTTAACTAGTGATGAAGTTCAATTCACTTCAGATCAACTTGATTTCATTCCAATTTCAGGATTGACCGGTAATAATGTGGTTAAACGTGATTCAACCATCGCATCATTTTCATGGTATAAAGGTCCTACCTTAGGGGAATATTTAGAAACGATTAAATTATCCACTAATCTTGATTCCAAACAATTAATCGATGAAGAATTCTTTTTAACCGTTAGTGATTCATATAAAGATAAAGGGGAATTAAAAGTAACCGGGAAAGTGATTAGTGGGATCATTCAATCAGGTGATTCTATCATATCATTACCTAGTGAAGTCAAATTACCTATTCAATCCCTTTATGTGGCTAATAAAAAGATGGATTTTGCTATTAATGGTGAAGTAGTACAATTAACTTTCAAAGCAAGTCAAGTTAGTAATGATAATGTGGATCCATTCAGAATAGGGGATTTAGTAGCTAAGGCCGATATTGTTGGTGGTGGTTCAATCAAATCATTAAAGAAGTTTACGGTATCGTTACATTTATTCAATATGGATAAACCTTTATTGGTGGGAATGCCATTTGTATTATTTAGAAATAATTGCCAAGTTCCAGCTAGAATAACGAAATTAATTGAAGTAACTTCAGCTCAAGGTAAAAAGAAAAAGAAGAATTTGTTACATCTTGTATCTAAACAAACTGCCATTGTTGAAGTTGAAATTGAAGGTTCTTCTTCATTACCATTAACTAAATACACTGATAATAAAACTCTTGGTAGAATCGTTATAAGAAGAGAAGGTGCCACCATTGGTGCCGGTACAGTGGTGGACTATTAAAAAACTGTCACTATAGATACTTCTTCTATTAAAAATTGTATATATTCACACACCTAACCTAATTAAAATGATATATAGTCAACAAATATTATTAAAAATCCTAGAACGAAACAAAGTGTAACCAACATATTTGCTCCTTTTTTATTCCTCGAAGTAGCTTTGGTTAATTGTTGATTACCCATTTTAACATCAATATGCATTTGAGAAGTATTATCAAGTAAAGTATTAATTTGTTCTTCTTGAGATTGTAATTTGAATGATAAATCATTTTGAATATTAATGATATCGATGATTGATTGTTGAACTTTCTGCACTTGTTTTAATTGATTTGTTTTCATCTTTAAGAACTCTTTACTTTCTAATTCTAATTCTTGTATTTGAGCCGTACTTAATTGTGAAGGTTGTGAAGATTGCTGTGATTCTTCTTCTTGTAATACGAATTCATTCTCTTGATTCTTACTCATTATGGAATCTAATGGAACCACTGTATCATTTAAATCAAAATCTCGAAGTTCATCTTCTTCTAAATTCTGGAAATTCAACAGATCAAGTTGTTTATTTCTTATTTGTCTCTTTTTTTGAATACTTTCAAAATTCTTATTAGTTTCACTTAAAGAAATCATTAAGAATTTCAAAATATGATTTCGATGTTGACTTATAGTTGATAAATACACTTCCTTATCAGATGGTTCACTATCACCAAACACATTATCGAACCATCCCTTCAGACTATCCAGGGATGACACTTTTGATTGACGTTGACTTTCATATGTTTCCAACACACTTAATTTCTGAAATAATTGACGAATCTCAGCATTGAATTGTTCATCAATAGCATCTTTATCAGCATTGGTTAAACCCTGGGGATTATTGGCATTCCTTACTTCATCATGTATGGCTAGATATTGGGATTTGACTTCTATGGTGAATTGATTTAATTTAGTTAATAAATCATAAAATTGAATACTCTCTTTGATGAATGTGTCCTTTACGATATAATTTAAGGGTTTTGATTCCTGTATTGAATTTCGGGATGATGATGGAATGGAAAGTTCAGATTGAACGATCTGAACACATTGATCGAATAATGGCGTTAGATCAGTCATATGGAATTGTGAAGGATAGTATTTATTATCAATTTGTATCAAAACATTGGTATTTTCATATATTTAAACCATAATGATTTTTCATAATTTTAGCGTACAGAAAAAAATACAAATGGTCAGTGAGGCTACCAAATTAAACTTTACTATACACTAAACATTTTGGATTATATACCTATATACCTATAAACCTTCTACCTATACACCATCTAGCTATATACTAAACACAAAGATCAACCATTAAGATATTCCACGACTTTGGTGATTTCAACTGCATCTAATCTGTTAGCTTCTTGGACTGGAACTGTTTTGGAATCATACAAGATATTCCATCTTCCTAAAAACTCTTTACCACTATCATTAGGTACTTTATAATTGAATTCTTTTCTATCTTCTGGAGATCCTTGAACATATTTTACATATTCTGGAACACCTGGAGTATAAATATTATCAGCAGCTATAAGAGTTCCTGGAGCAAGTAAATTCAAACTTTCTAATACTCTTAAATCAGGAACATATTTATCTTTCCAATGATCAATAAACACAAAATCAACTGATTTATATCCCTTTCCACTGCTTAATTTAGATTCAAATTCAACTAATGACTTTGCAGCAGGACCAACAATGATTTCCACTTTATCCAGTAAACCGGCAATATCAACCACCTGTCTTGCAATATTGGCGAATTCAGGATTTAATTCAAAACTATAATACTTGGCAGTATTATCATCAGGTGGTAATTCATTGGCAAATAATACGGCGGAATATCCGAAATAACCTCCTAATTCAATCATGGTCTTTGGTTTGACTTTTCTAATTTCATTAATGATGACTTCACCTTTGAGTGGACCCACATTCATATAATGATGTTTTTCAACATATTCATCAATTACTTTCAAGAGTTTGGGAGCATTACCTCTGATGGATTCAAGTTTAGGTAAAGCAAGTAAATAGTTAAGCAAGGCTTGTTCTTTTCCGACCATAATTAATGACGTTGTTGTTTAAGTATATGAGATTGAATGGTATAACAAACACACAAATATCAATTGAAATAATCTTAACAGAAATAGATTGCTTTGGATAATTATAAAATATTTGTAGAAGGAAAATCAGGGGGAGGGGATCTACCAGAGTATATATATATATAGTGATTGTTGAAGCCAGGCAATGAAATGGGGAGACCAATTCTTTACCACAATCGCACAATCAATCACTCACCAAAAAAAAAGTACGGGGAGAGAGGGCGTAGGGGGGAAACCATTTTCTGGTTAGGTTTCCAAGCTACCCCGATACTCGGATCGATAATTGTTGCTAATTTGTGATAAAGTTATCATATTCATCTTTTTAATTGTTAGTTCCTTGTTAGAGCCGTTTTATATCAATTAATAAAGTTATCAACTTCCGATTGAAGGATTTTATTCGGTTTTATCGCTGTATTTGATGGTTCGTAACTATGGCCATTTCGCAAGGACTCATTATACAAAAAAATAATTAGGGAGAGAAAAAATTATTAAAGAGCAAATTACTTAGTGGATAGAAGCTTACAAGTAGATATTATACACATTATCAAGATGACAACCACAAATGAGGCTCTATTAGATAAACTTTCAAGGATAAGAGAGTTGAAGAGTAAGAAGAATCAAGCGTTAGCTCAAGGTAAAAAGGATTTGGTGAAGAACTTTAGAGATCAAAAACTTGCATCATCACGTCAAGCAGAACTTAACTCTAATAATACTGAGAATCAAGAATCATCTTCTCCTAAATCATCCAAAGATAAAGATGATTCAGATAGTAGGAAAAGAGTACTACAGTATACTATTGAAGAATCAGAACTATGGGATAGGAAACAGAAACAACTCAAGAAGAATCAAAGGAAACATGGTTATCAAAATATGAATACCTTGGCAGAAAGCTCATACAATAAGGAAATTAAAGAGTTAGTGGTGGATAAGGATTCTTATAATTCACTGAAAGTAGATAATGATGATAAGTCTAATAAGAAATCAGTTCAACTTGTTAATCATAAACCATCAAAAGAAGCTGTCAATCAATTAGTACTGAATATAACACAATCAACTGATCGGAAATCATCTAAAAGAAACAACAAACAAGATGATGATACTTCTGGTTATATTAATGATAAGAATAAACAGTTCAATAAGAAGATAGATAGACAGTATGGTTCATGATTAAATGTTTATGCTAAAGTTCCAGTTACATTCACTTTTGGGGAACATCACTGTCATCACTATCGCCATCATTTAACATGAGACTCTAAGCAATGACACTAACAGATTCAATCACTAGATATCTACTAGTCACAGGTATATACATGGATACTATATAGAACCCAATTTTAATGATGTTATGATATATATATATAATAGTTGTAGATATTGATTGAAAAGTTCCTGTATATAACTAACGGTATCAGAAATTTACCCGGATATTCAACAGTTGAAGTTTTCCATGAAAAACAGAGAAATCAGTTTAAACTAAAACGTAACTATAGAGATATATATATATATATTGAATTTGTCATATTCACCTTATATTTGCTAGTCAAACCCTTTTGATCTAGCATATATTCCTTGTATATAATATCAAATAGGCTTAATCATTTAAAATTCAATTTTTGGTTGATTGCATAAGTCTATTATAGATTGAAACATTGAGTATAGATTCTAAATTTCCAATAGTTATATATATACCTTTGATCTTTAAATCTACCCCCAAATCAATCTAATCAAGTTATGGCAAGAGAGGAAGACGAGGAAAGAGAGATCCGTGATGATGTTTCTGACGATAACAACAACTCTGATGAAGAAGGTGATGATGCGTTAGATTCATCTGATGAAGAAGATGATGATGATGAAGAAGAAATTCAAAAAGTAAGAGAAGGTTTTATCGTTGATGATGAAGATGACGATGAAATTCAAACCAAAAGAAAGAAGAAACATAGAAAGAGAAAGAGAGATAAAGAAAGATCTACCAGAGATGTCGATGATGCTTTAGATGAAGATGATTTAGAGTTATTATTAGAAAATTCAGGTGTAAAACCAACTTCATCAACTTCAGGACAATTCAAACGTTTAAAGAGAGCCCAAGTGGAAGAAGTCGAAGAAGAAGAACCTCAAGAAGAAACGGTGCTGACTTCAAGGCGATCCGGTTTAAATAATATGTTTGATGATGAAGCTGGTGAAGAAGAAGATGTTGAAGATGAAGCAACTGGAGATGATAATCGTCGTAATATTCTTGATGAATTCGAAGACTTTATTGAAGAAGATGAACTTTCAGAAGATGATGAACAAACAAGACTTGAAAAGAGAACTCAACGTGAAAGAGCAAGATCTACCAGACCAAGAATTGATACTTCTAAATTATCTAGTGTTGATCGTGAAAGTTTACAACAATTATATGAAGTGTTCGGTGATGGTGCAGAATATGATTGGGCTTTACAAGCCCAAGAAGATGATGAAGAAAGACATGCCGAAGCAATGGAACCAACATCATTGGATGAAGTATTTGAACATGCTGAATTAAAGGAAAGAATGTTAACCCAAGAAGATAATGTAATTCGTATTATTGATATACCTGAAAGATTCCAAACTTATCGCGCCAATTTAAATTATATTAATTTAGAAGATGAAGAATTGGAACGTGAAAAGGTCTGGGTAGCAAATGCTTTATTCAGTGAAAAACAAAGTCTTTTCGCTGGTGATTTAGAAGCTCCATTTAAAGCTGCTGTAGGTCATGTGGTTGAATTTGTTTCCAAGAGTAATTATGAAGTTCCATTTATTTGGTCTCATAGAAGAGATTTCTTACTTCATTCTAGTGAAGTACAATATCTGGATGGTAGATCAGAAACTGAAGTTCATAAATTATTATTTGAAGATGATTTATGGAGAATTGTCCATTTGGATGTTGAATATCATTCCCTTTATGAAAAGAGATTAAATATCGAAAGAATAGTAGATGAATTACAACTTGATGATGATTTAGTTAGAGATATCAAATCTTTAGATACTATGGTTGCCGTTCAAGATATTTTTGATTATATTCATTTCACCTATTCTGCAGAAATCAGAGATCTTGCAAATAATCAAGAAGCTACTGCAAATGAAGAAAATCCAGAAGCACCAGTTAAAAATAGTAAAAAACATTCCAAATACGCCTTTTTCGAAAGAATAAGATCTAACGTATTGTATGATGCTGTAAAATCATTTGGTATAAGTGCCAAAGAATTCGGTGAAAATGTTCAAGATCAAAGTGCTAAGCAATTTTTAGTTCCTTATAGAATTCATGCCACTGATGATTCACAAGAAGCTCCAGGTGTTCTTGTTGAAAGAATTTGTGAAGATGAAGATGCTATGTTCAAAGACCATACTACTGCCAGAGATGCAGTATGTAGAACATTTGCTGAAGAAATATTCCATAATCCAAAAGTCAGACAAGAAGTCAGATCTACCTATAAGTCTTATGCTTCTATTAATGTATCGGTCACTGAAAAGGGTAAATCCATCATTGATAAACATAGTCCATATGCTGATATCAAATATGCTATAAATCGTTCTCCTGCTGATTTAGTTAGTAAACCTGATGTTTTATTAAGAATGCTTGAAGCTGAAGCTGCTGGTTTAATTGTCATTCAAGTTGATACTAAAGATTATGATAATTGGTTTCAATCTATTTTAAGTTGTTTGAGATCTGATGGTACATCTGAAATTTCAGATGAATGGAATGCCGAAAGAGAATATGCCTTAAGTTTAGCCTTCAAAAAGCTCAATAGTATGATTTCCCAAAATGCCAAGGAAGATCTTCGTAGAGAATGTGAACGTTTAATCGCTGCTGAAGTTCGTACCAGATTCTTAGGTAAAATCGATCAAGCTCCATTTACTCCATTTGGTTTCGATAAAGGTACCAAACCTAATGTATTAGCCTTATCATTTGGTAAAGGTGATTTTGATAGTGCTGTGGTTGGTGTGTTATTGAAAGAAAATGGTAAAATTGATGAATTTTTCAAATCTGAAAATAATCCAGCTAGAGATAGAGAAAATAAAGAACAATTCCAAGGTCAATTAAAAGAATTCTTTGATAAGAATTTGGAATTTGTTAAACCTGATGTCATCGTTGTTTCCGGTTATAATGCTAATTCTAAAAAATTATTTGATATTATTCAAGAATTTGTCGAAGAAGAAAGAATAACCGTTAATATCGATGATTTACCTGATGAATCAAATCCACCTTTAATATCTGTTATTTGGGGACAAGATGAAACAGCTAGATTGTATCAAAACTCAGAAAAGGCTTCTCAACAATTCCCAGACAGACCTTCTTTAATTAAATATTGTATTGGTTTAGCTCGTTATGTTCAAAATCCATTATTGGAATACGTTGCATTGGGTAATGATATTTTATCACTTACCTTTTATGAATACCAAACCTTGATTCCAAGAGATTTAATTTTGGAAGTTGTTGAATCAGCATTTGTCGATATTATCAATACAGTTGGTGTTGAAATAAATGAAGCTGTTCGTGATCCACATGTTGCTCAACTTGTTCCATATATTGCTGGTTTAGGTCCACGTAAAGCATCTGGTTTAATCAGAAATATTAATACTAAACTTGGTTCTACTTTAACTAATAGAAGTGAATTGATTGAAGCTGAACTTTCCACTGCTAATATCTTTATCAATTGTGCCTCTTTCTTAAATATTCCATATGATGAAAGTCTGAGTGCTGCAAGAGATCCATCAGTTGAATTATTAGATGCTACTAGAATTCATCCTGAAGATTATGATTTAGCTAAAAAGATGGCTTCAGATGCTCTTGATGTTGATGAAGAAGATCTTCCAGAAATCGATAATAATGGTGGTATCATCTATCAATTAATGCAAGAAGGTGCTAACAAATTAGATGAATTGAATTTAATCGCTTATGGTAAAGAATTAGAAACTAAATTTGATAAAAGAAAATTCGCCACTTTACAAATGATTAAAGAAGAACTTGTGAATAATTATGAAGAATTAAGACATGGTTTCCATACTTTGGACAATTTAGAAGTTTTCCAAATGCTTACTGGTGAAACTCCAGAAACATTCGGTAAGAATATTTTAGTTCCAGTTACAGTAATGAAAGTTGGTAAGAATTTCAGAGATGAATCTAGTTCTATCAAATGGGTAAAAGTCATTACTTCTTCTTTGATTCAAGCTAATATTGAAGAATATAAAATTCCAAGAGATATAGATCTTGATTTTGGTCAAATTATCCAAGCCGTTGTTCTTGAAGTTTTCTATGAAAGTTTCAGTGCCAGTTTAAGTTTACTTGAAGAAGATATTAGACGTGCTGGAATGCCCAAATTCAGAAAGGAAGAAGGGAAATGGGACTTCCGTGCTGAATCAGAAGATTTAAAACAAGAGCGTGCTAAAGAAAGAGCCAAACAAGCTAAATCTAGAGGTATCCAACATCCTCTTTATCATGATTTCAATTATAAACAAGCTGAAGAATTCTTAGCTCCAAAAAATATTGGTGATTGTATTATTCGTCCATCATCTAAAGGTGTTCAATATTTAACCATTACTTGGAAAGTTGCCAATAATTTATTCCAACATCTTTTAGTAAAAGATGGTTCTAGTGGTAAATATAAAGCTTATTATGTTGATAATAAAAAGTATGAAGATTTAGATCAATTAATTTTCCAACATATTCAAGCTATTGCTAGAAAGGTTAGAGAAATGATTAATCATCCTAAATTTAGAGAAGGTACTTTATCTGAAGTCAATGAATGGTTAGAATCTTATACTAAAGCCAATCCAAAGAATAGTGCATATGTGTTCTGTTTTGATCATAAAACTCCAGGTTCTTTCTTATTATTGTTCAAGGTTAACGCCAATTCACCAGTTATTACTTGGCATGTTAAGAGTGATGTTGAAGGTTATTCATTAAAGGGATTTCCATATCCTAATATGCTTAAATTATGTAATGGGTTTAAGCAAATGTACAAATCTGAAGCTTCAAAGGTTGGTGGAGCCGTTCAAAATAGTCGTCCACAGGTTGGAACTTATGGTGGTTATGGTGGCTATTAGTCAATCATTTGATTCTTCGATAGTATGTGTATATTGTTTCATTAACTTTTTTCTCAAAAAAAAACAAAATTTTGTATGTATAATAATAATAAATAAAAATTTAATTAAATTATTTAAGAGATCTAAATCCTATTCTTAATTTTGATCTAAAACTATCTCCATCAACGTAACATCCAATTAACCATCTATCACCTCCATTTGCATCAGAGAAACCATTTCTAGAATGTAATACTCTTCTATTATCAAAAATAACACAAGAATTCTCTGGCATTTTAATTTCATAGTGATTCTTTGGATCATTAATGAATTCTTCAAAAATAGCAAATCCTCTCAAGAAATCTTTGAATAACGTGGCTTCTGCTAATGCATCTGCTTGTTCTATATCTGAAAGACTTGAATTGTTTCCCGTAATACCGAATTCTAATGGTCCTTGGAAAGGTGGAGCATAATTGACTTCTTTGATAGATTGGAATGGAGACTTGGAGTCTCTTAATTCATTATCCTCTACTATTAAAGGTCTCTTGTAGAAGTAATGTTCATTGTTGTTGTCATAATGGTAAGTGATTGGAACTTTTGTGAGAGCGTAATAAGCATCGGGATCTACCATATGTACATGTTGGGCAGCTAAGAACGAATCACTAAAGATATTTTCACCTCCTTCCGTGGAGTTTTGGATGAAATGAAGTAATTGTAAACCAGGAGGAGATTCATAATATAATAAGTCCATATGTAATGGTAAAAATGTATTGGTGTTGGCAATATTCTTAGCATCTTCTTTTTCATTCTTCACTTCAAATAAAGTACCATAAAATGTCTTCTTAATATATCCAAATTTAGAAGCTAAGTCAGAGATTGGATAAGTGGAGAAATTTTCTTCACTTACAGGTACATCATGAGTCACGTCGGGCATTTCATTTATGAATGCAAATCCAAACTTGTTTAAAGTTTGAACTACTTTGAAAAATTCTTGATCACTTTTCACATATGAAGGATAACTAGACCATAATTCATCAAGATTCTTGGTAATTAAACTTTCATCCCATAGAAGTCTCTCTTTATCGAAAAACTTACCTGTATGATGATTTTCCTTTTGAGCAAATTTGGTTAAGAATTGTTCTGAATACTCTGATTTATGAATCTTTCCATTTTGATTCCATTCAATTATCAATTTTTCAGTATTAGTTTTATCATCAACTTGTATGGATGGAATACCATTGATTTTCAAGTTTTTGGATATTTCAGCGGTGGTAAATAACTTTTGCCTTGAGAAGGGATCGACTGATCTTGGACTTTGACAAGAATCTCTCATGAATACATTGTTAAACTGAACCACTTTATCATTTTCAAACTTGATAGATACAGAACTGTTATCATAATTCACAACTTGTAGTTTCGACAGAAGACAACGAACAGAAGCTTGTGTCGCTCTGTTGACAACCTTTGTCCCTATTGGTCTAATTGAAAGCATTTGATGCTGAGTTTCACTCAGAAAAGACCTCTTAGGTGTAGGAAGGGATGTTGATCTTTTAAATGAATAAATCGACTCTGAATCAGATATTGACTTTTTATCGTGTTTTTTTTATCGGCACATTTTATTTTTTTGTGGGGCAAGTTCCCTCGGGAACTCGTAAAATTGCCGAGTTCCACTTTTTGCAATACAAATGCTTGTCATACGTTTAATACACGTTTATCTATAGGCCTGGATTTTACATACTATTATAAGTGTGGTCTAAACAGAACCAATCGTCTATACGAAATGTTAATTTCGTAACTTTAATAAATAACAATTTGTAACAATAAATGGTTTAATTATGATTTCGCAACAAAGTATTCTATATCCGTATGAACCTAATAAAATTGTTTAATATAGGCGGTTTCGACATTTAAATCATATCAGCAACTTATACAACAAAATCTGAAGAACCATAAACAACTGAATTGTTTCGTTTAGCCATTTCTAAACGTTGACCAGTAAAATTGACTGGTAAAGAAACAGGAAAAACAGCAAGCGCTACCAAAATCCCTCATTTTTTAGCTTTCTAACTTTTGACTCTGTTACCTGACACAGATTAATTAAATGGATTAATATTGGTTTTGTAGGTACAAAACCATCATATATTACCATGAGATCACTTTAAACCTTCAAATTAACCTGAATAATGCCACTTATTTCAATTTTTATGATAAAAAATCTTGACTCAAATCAACACGCTATGTTTAACATTCGCGCGAAACTGAGCTAGGAATTGGGTACTCTGGCCGAGCTGGTCTAAGGCGCCAGGGTAAGGTCCTGGTCTCTTCGGAGGCGCGAGTTCGAATCTCGCGGGTATCATTATACACACCAGCAATTCCTTTAAACACAACCAAATTTTTTTTGCATTCTCTGGTATCTACAATGATTAGATATCTCTATTTTAACAAGGTATATACTTTTGATATTACTATTATGATTAGCATGTATTGGGTATATAGTCTATTTTTTTATCTATTCTTCCTCTTCTTCTTCATCATCATCTTCGTCAGACGATTCTTCTGTTTCGCTACCAGTTTCATCTTCTGATAATGATTCATCTTCTTCACTACCTACGTCACTTGATTCTTCATTTTCACCAGAACTTGATTTTTCAGTAATGATTTCTTCCTTTTGAACACTATATCCTTCCTTACTGAAGAAATCAGTTAATTCTTCCAGTTTTCCTGAAGGTACACTAGCAAACACAACCGATTGATCAGCATTGAAAAGGGGTTGAAAATATTTCTTTAATGCATAAAGAATATCATCCTTTCCAAGTTTATTCAACTTTGTAAGGAAATATTTAATATAATTTGGTCCTCTTCTCTTAAACAAATTATCACTAATCTTGCTAAATGCAGCATCATAACTATTAGATTCACCATTAGCTAATTCATTTACAATAGCAGCAACGGCATTTTCAATACTTAAACCATCAATGTCAGTTTCACCAGTGGAGAATTTATCAACAATCGATTTGGCAGTTGTCCATGCTTGTTCAGCATCAGCTCCACGATATATACAGAATGTTAAATAACCAGTTTCTAAATTTCTTCTAATACTAGCTCCATAAGCTAAACCAGTACCTCTAATACCTCTCCAAAATGGTCCTTCTACTGCAGTTAAGAATTCAGTAGTTAAGGCAATCTTAAAAATATCTTCATTTAAATAATCAGTTGGAATTGGGGTAGATGAAACTAAATGAATCGAATCAGCAGCTGGAATAACAATAAGAGTAGCTGAATTTTGACATTTTTGACCTAATTCAGAATGATATTGATGTGAATGAGGTAAATCAATAAATGCATCGGGTTTATACACAAATTTATCAACTTTTGATTCTTCTTCGATATAAGTATCAACAAATTCGGACCATGAAGATACTGGGGAAGCAACTTCTTCAATATTACCTAATACAAATACCTTAGTATTATCTAAATGGAATAATTGATCTCTTAAAGCTCTCAAATCCTTTTCAATTAAATCAAACTTTCCATCATTGATTTGGGTTAAAATATCTTTATAGAACTGTTCAGATTCAATAGAATCATGAGCTTTCCTTACTGAGTTTTCATTGAATAAATGTCTATATTGCGAAGAATACATCATAAGTTCTCCATTTCTCTTCTTATCAGGTAACGAATTAATCACTTTTTCAACAATGATCTTAACTCTTGATTCTTCAAATTTAGTGAATTTGGTAATTTTCAATAACCAATCGATTGCTTTTGAATATTTTAAAGTTTCAAATTTAACTTTAATACTAATCAATTCTAAAAATTGATTTTCAAATCCATTATCTAAATGAAATTCAATCAAATCATCATTTAATTCAGAAACAACTTGATCATAAGGAACATATGTTCCATCTGGTAATTCAATTGATAATGAAAAAAGTTCTTCAACAATAGATAAATAACTTAATAAACGTGGTTCAACCCTGGCAGCAGAAAATAATAAATTAATAGTAGTGAATTTTGATTTAAAATCTTCATAATGGATGAAAAGTGGGAAATCTTCCCTTGGTAAATCATGTTTCAAAATATCATGGATCTTTCCTTCAGTAATATATTTACTTGAATCAACAGGGACAATTCCTTTTTCATATCCTGCTTTATATGATTTAGTCTCGATAAATGCAATTTTTGATGGATCTGGCTTTTCAAAGGCGGTTAATAAAGAATCAGGAATTGCAATATCATTCTTTTCTTGAGCATGTTTAAGTTGCTTACCCAAGTTTGCTAACCCATCTTCACCATATTTCTCTTTTATATCTTTAGAGAACTTTTTCTTACCTTTTTTAATGGATTGATTTAATTTAGATGATGGTATACCAATGACAGTGGCAGATTTATTTTCAACAAGCTCCTTGTGGATAAACTTGGACCATTCTTCAGCAGTCCATTCTAATAAAATATCATATTCATTCAAGTCCTTACACCACTTTCTTAAATCGGTTCCATCTGGATTTCCGTATATGAAATCAGATATGGCCACATTGGAAAACATTGATGCCGACTTTTCAGTACTTGAAATATATTTCAAACGTTGTTGTTTAATGACTTGTCTTAAATATTGGACGTCTAAATTCTCTGGATTGGTTTGTTCTAAGATTAATTGCTTAATTTTGGAATCAACTTCATGAAGTTTTTCATTTGGAATACCACTAACAGTGAAGTTAATGGTTGTTCTTATATAATCATCAGTAGTATAATCAATATCAGTAGCAAGGGGATTTTCAATCTCTACTAAATATTTATTCAATAATGAAATTGGACTATTAGTGAAATAGGCTCCAACCATATCAAGACCCATATTGGCAACTAAATCATCACCTTTTGGACCAATCCAGGAAATTATCAATTCACCCATGGATTCATCATTATCTGGGAACTCAATTTCAGTAATCAAATCAACATTCAAAGGAGGATCAATTTTAGAATCCACAAATGGTCTTGTTTTTGGTTGGTCTTCAATAGAAGGTAAATCTTTATCAAACCTTTCCATTATTTCTAATAATTCATCTTCATCAACTGAACCAGTAATTATAACACATAAGTTCGATGGTCTATACATTAATGAATGGAAATCTTTGATACTATCATTGGTTAATACTCTAAGTTCTGAAGTTAAACCCCCAGTTTCAGATGAATAACCTGATTTAGGAGCATAAAGGGATTGTTGCATTTTTAAGTAAGTGATAAACCAAGATTGATTTTCAATGCCTTGCATTTCACTGAATACCACCCCTTTTTCCTTACCTTCACCATCAATATGATAAACTTCTGTAAGACATGCTTCATCAGTTAAAGTAGGAAATAATAAATGATCCAAGTAAACAGGCAATAAGCTTTTGAACCCATCCCAACCAGCACTTGTCAAAGTATAAACAGTCTGATCAACTGATGTCCAAGCATTAGTAGATGAATATAATCTGTTACCTAAATTGTCTAATAAGCCCTTGTATGGATATTTCTTTGATCCCATAAAGATCAAATGTTCAAGAGTATGTGGACTTCCTGAATTATCTTCAATTTCAGTAGCAACGGCAAAATAACCATTGACGATAGGAGATGGTTGATTTATATAGGTTATTTGAAGACCTGATCTAGTAGAACGCCATTTGGTAATCTTGGAAGGAGCATAATCCACTTCGAAGGAAATCTGCTTAACGAAGCTTGATACCATTCTTATGTGTTTAAACTGTTTTATAGATGAAAAATGATAAATTTTATAACAATGATGATACTTCTTTCAGAAAGCTTCTTGTTAGCCTATTCTTGATATATCTACTTTAACGATAGTATAGATATGAACAGGTTCCAAGTGCTTATGATGGTAAAAGATCTCTCATTAGATTTTTTACTGCTTACATTTTTCAGTGATATTTTTTTTAGGGTTACTTAGCCACAAAACTAATTTTGCATTTTTGATATATAATACATAAAACATCTTTACACTTATTTAATATCCAGTTCTGCTTCTTCGAACATTTTGAAAATGTCACTAACTTCATTCTTCATTATTATGGTGAGACGAACTAATTCTTCGTCTGATTTATTGTACATTACACAATTGGCAAACATTAACATGATATCTCGTTCCAATTCTTTGATCAGTTGATATTCTGGGGGATCACTCTTCAGTTTCACACCCTTTAATATTCCCTTTAAGTCCTTTGGAAAATGAATGATATCATAATAATCATGAGCATCTCGCTTATTTACTGCTTGTAAAAATGGGGAAGAAAATCTATGAGCTTGAATTGAGGTAATCAAGTTGATTGCAATATGTTGGAAACGTTTGTGTTGAGCCGAAGCAGCCGCTGCTGGAGATAGTGATCTCTTACGGAAATTATGAGATTTGGTTTCTTCAACTTCTTCTTCTTCTTCCTCTTCTTCAGCTTCATCTCCAACTTCGTTTTCTTCATCTTCTTGTTCCACATCGTTTTCTGCTTTGGTAACTTCTTGATCTTCTTCTACAAATTCTACCTTTTCTTCTTCTTCTTCTTCTTCTTCTTTGTCTTCTTCAACAGCGTCCTCTTTAACTTCAACTTCATCTTCAGCTGGAATTTCACTTTCTTTTACTTCAACTGGTGGTTCTATTTCCTCTGCAGCCTCTTCATCCTGTTTCTTTTCATCGTCAATGTCCACAACTTGCTCTTCTTCTTGTTCTTCTTCCTCCTCTTCTTCTTCTGCCTCTATTTCGGGTTTATGATCATCAACTTCCACTTTGGTCGGTTCCTGCTCAACAGTTTCTACCTCGATTGTCTCTTTATCACCCTCTGTATCAACTATATCAAGTTGTATATCTTCATCATCAACATCATTCTTTGATTCGGAGGATTCTGTCTCATTACCAAGCTCAGTTGCTTCAGCTTCAGAATCCTTGATAATACTTGAATCATCATGTTCAACCTGTTCTTCACTCTTGTCTGCTTCATCTGCTTTTATTGCACTGTCTTCTTCGGCTATTTCTATTTCATCTTCTTTTTCTTCTACTTTATCACTGTCATCGGTTTCTTTGGAAATGATTTCATCATTTTCTTTACTGATTTCTTCTTCGATAGGTTGATCTTGAACATCCTCGTCTTCTTTAGTAGGTACATTTGTAGCACTTTCAGGTTCTTTCATTTCCACATCGGCAGACTCAACTGATGATGGTTGTACATCTTTATTTTCAGCCGCAACAGCTGCTTCATTAGCTTTATTACGAGCCAGTAACTCACTAATGCTCTTGACTAATTGTTTTGAATAGATGAAAGTTGAAGTCGCTACTATATTCTTCAATAATGTTTCGTATGTGTTTGGAATAGCTTCTATGATTAAACTATCATTACTAACTTCAACAAACTTTGTGAAATGTCCAGCACCTAACACTTTGATAACAGTGTCCTTACTTATATGTTCTGCTTCTACTCCATCGGTGCTATATCTCTTTAGATATATATTTGATAATTTATGAAAGTCCTCGATAAACGAGTTAAGGCTAAAGCTAGCACGATAATTATTGAATTCACCGGTATATGACTTCAATGTACGATTTATAGTAGAAGCCACTAGAACTGAACATAGTTCTTGACTTATTAGCTTTGCCTCGGCCATGAAAACCTAGTTACAATGGATACTTGGAGAGTAGTGATTGATCTGTTGATCTATATAATTCTTTCCTTCGTTAAATTGTTTTCAATTCTCTCACTAAATTTTTTTTCCTGCCATGTCCCTCAACGATCCCCTCTCTCCCTACGCTCCCTACAAAAAAAGTTACAACGAGAATTTATGGTAATAAATAATTGAAAATTTATAAAGCTTTGACTATGTACATATTTACAGAACATAATGATATACTACTATGAATTGAATGTTAACCAATGTCCTTCATCATATACAGCATACACATATTTCCTGATTTGTGTTTAAATGTTTTATTTTTTTAATATTTCTTCCCTGCTTAATTTTTATTTCTCTCGTTGTAGTGGCAATGTCTTGAAGGCAACTGTGCTTAAATATGTCAATATATACAATAACAGAATTGATATAATATCACCAGGATCAACCGTACATGACCAAACCATCTTAACGTTTTTGCATGTTTTGCATTAATAAAGCACTAGAAAGTTATATGTTAGTATTCAGTACATTTGAGTCATTTAATGCATATTATTAGCATCTCTCATCTCTAAAACGTTGATACATACTTTTGTTCTTGGAATCTTTGACCAATACGTTCACTATGTTTTAAGAACTTTTCAGAACATTTGGCTAAACATGAGTTTTCCTTAGTGGTTAAGTTAGCAGAAGTGAAATCATTAACACAATCATCGAAACATCTTGATACTAAATTAGAGTACAAGTTCATGAAATCTTTCATTTGTTTTTGTTCAACAATAGTTTGGAACTCTTGTTGTTCCTTGATATTTAATTGATCCATCTTGATATGATATATATGTTAAAGTTCTTAATAAGTCTAGTTAATCAATGAAAGAACTACTATTTCATAGTAATGCTTTCCAGTTTTTTGTTCAATTCAGAGAGCAATGGAGAAACCAGAAAAAAAAAAAAAAATTTCGAAAAATATTCGATTACGTAATAAATTGCAAAATAGGCTATTTTATTTACATGAATTTGATCTATTTATACTAATACAAGGTCTATTTACAAGAGTAAGATCAACATGAGCAGCTTTGAGAGACCCTTGGGAATGGGATCACATCCTTGACATTGTCCATCGATGATAAATAAGCTACTAACCTTTCAAATCCCATTCCAAAACCACCATGTGGGACAGTTCCATTTTGTCTAGTGGAAAGATACCATTCTATTTCATCTTTATTCATGTCTTTTTCTTCGATATCTTCAAGTAGTTTTTGATAATTATGTTCTCTTAAGGATCCTCCTATTAATTCACCTATTTCTGGAAGAATGAGATCAAAACAAGCTACTGTAGGCTTGTCTTCAGAATATGAGTTAGATGTTAACATATAGAATGGCTTTTCAGCCTTTGGATAATCAGTTATGAAGACAGGAGACTTGTAATATTCACCAGCTAACCATTTCTCATGAGGAGTTTGGATCGAGTCACCCCAAGTAAGTCTATTTTTCAGACGGCCCTTATTCATTACTCTATTGATAATTTCAATGGCTTCTGTATATGTAATCGAGGGCCATTCTTTTTCAGTCAAAATCGAATCCCATCTTTGTTTCATTTTCTCAGCTTCTTCTCTACTGAATCTAGAATTGATCAAATCAATACCATTTCCTGGTGAATCATCATTTGAATCTTTTACAGCCTGAGTAACATATCTTATCATTTCTTCAGTGAATCTAGTCAATTGATTAAGTTCAGTTATATAACACATTTCAGCTTCTAACATCCAGAATTCACTCAAGTGTCTATTAGTATTTGATACTTCTGCTCTAAAACAAGGAGTCAAAGTCCATGCTCGGTTTAAGCTTAGGGTAAGTACTTCTAAATGAAGTTGAGTAGATACAGTCAAGAAAGCACTCTTACCAAAGAAGAAGTCTTCTGGCTCCTTTTGTGAATCATTCAACTTCGTAAGTGATTCAATTCTGAATTGTTCACCTGCACCTTCACAATCAGATGATGTAACTATAGGTGGTGAAACTTTTATAAATTGACGACCATTAAAAAATTCCATAAATTTCGATTCAAGAAAACTTCTAAATCTTAAAATTGATGCAAGGGTGGATGTTCTATGTCTTAACGTGGGCAATTGACGTAAATTCTGCATAGTGGTATTCTTCTTTTGAATTGGATACGTTTCAGGTACATCTCCTATTATAGCTATATCATGACTTTGATCATCAATATTATAAACAAGCTCATATGGTTGAGTACCTTTAGATTCTATCCATGATCCTTTAATGTTAACACTTTGGCCGAGCTTTAACTGTAGTTTGGGAAGCACTTCATCTGGTTTCTTTATAACAACAGCCAAGTTTGAATGAGATGAACCATCACTTACATCTATGAATCCAGCTGTTTTCCCATGTCGAATTGATTTAATATGACCCAGAGCAGTTATCAAGCTCTCGACTTGGGGAGGATTTGATAATAATTCCTTGATAGTAGGCTTTAAGGTAGACAAATACCTACTACTTTGCCTTATAATACCTCTCATGGAGTGTTGCGTGTAACTATGAAGTTGTCTTTAATGGTAATAGTTTGATTTTTCATAACCACTAATATTTTTCGTTTGATATTGTAAGCGCAAAAATTCAGTGACTCAATTTTCATTTATGACAGCTTTTGAATCACATCATCACTATTCAAGCATTGAACTTCAACCATGGTTCATTCCCATCATTCACACAGTGGAGACTATGTATCTCATGCCGTAGATTCCTTAGACTCCATTGTGGAATTAGCATCAAAGAAGGGGTTTAAGATCTTTTGTTTGACTGAACATATGCCTCGATTAGATGCTAAATTCTTATATCCTGAAGAATTAGATAAGAACTATACAACTCGAGAACTTGACAATGATTTTGAAAGATATTTGGTCCATGCCAGTAAGATAAAGAAGGAGTACAATAGCAAAGATGGTCTTAAAATATTAATAGGGTTTGAAGTTGAAGGTATTGATGAAGATCATATAGCGTTTGCTCAGAAAATACTAAAGAATAATCCCATCATAGATATGTGTGTTGGATCAGTTCACAATGTACATCAGATACCAATTGATTTCGATAGAGAGAAGTGGATTGAAGCCAGAAATGTAACAAAGGAAAAAACAACAAGAGCATTATATCGTGACTATTTTGAATTGCAAGGTAAAGTTATTACTAGTTTGAAACCTCCAGTGGTGGGACATTTTGATTTAATACGGTTATTTGAAGATCTTGAAGAAGTTGATTCAACTACGGGCAAGAAAATAAAAGATATCGATTTAAAATCAGACTGGCCAGAAGTATGGGATATCGTTATAAAAAACATTGAAGAAATAAAAAGTTATGGTGGGTTAATAGAGGTTAACTCAGCTGCTTTACGTAAAGGATGGAGTACACCATATCCTAAGAAAGATATTGCAGATGCTATAATATCCCATGGTGATGGTAGATTCTGTCTTTCAGATGATTCTCATGGATTGAAACAAGTTGGATTAAACTTCCATAAAACCTGGAATTATTTAAAGAATGATTTATCATTAGAATATATTTATCATTTAGATCTTGATGAACATGGTAAAACTATAGTGATGAAAGAAGCCATCTCCACGTTAGATGAATCTACATTTTGGAAACAAGAATAATCATTAAATAGTGCGTTTATAGACTTTATTCTAAACAAAAATTAAACTATCTACAAAATCAGTAAGATCTACCGAACATACAGTAAGTGACAGCTTTCTTATCACATCTGACACATTTTTGATCAGCTTTTAAAGCTGGTTGTGCGTCTGGAATACACAATGATTTAGCACCCATAGATGGAGCCTTTTCATCAACGTCTTCATCTTCTCCATCATCTTTTTTGGAAGAAGCATCTTTAATTTCATCTTCACAATCAGCATCACCACACCATGGAGCAAGTATAACGTTCTTAGCGTTTAAGGTTGGAACGAAATCTTTCCAATCTTCAACAATAACACGATGAGTGTCGAAATCTTTACGAGCTTTTTCTAATAATCCAACTTGCATTTCTTGTAATATTTCAGCAATTCTTGATTCTAATTCACCTAATTTAACAGTGTATTTTTGATTATTGTCACGTCTTACGGCAGTAACTTGCTCTTGGGCTAAATCTTTTGGACCGAATTCTAAACGTAATGGAGTACCCTTTAATTCCCAATCAGCGAATTTCCAACCAGAAGTGTATATGTCTCTGAAATCAGAAGTAGCTCTGATACCAGCATGTTTCAATCTCTTTTCAATGTCAGCAGCACCACCATTGATAGCAGTTCTATCTGCTTCACTGGAGTTCTTAGTGACACCAACTGGGATTACCACAGCTTGAGTTTGAGCAACTCTTGGTGGTAAGACTAAACCTTTATTATCAGAATGAGTCATAACCATAACACCAATGACTCTAGTAGATAAACCCCAAGAATTTTGATAAGCGAAAACCTTTGGTTTATCAGAACCATCTGGGTTTTCTACAGCAATATTGAACATCTTGGAGAAGTTTTGACCTAAATGATGAGAAGTAGCACCTTGAATACCTCTACCAGTAGCAGCAATAAAACCTTCAACAGTAGTAGTATAATCACCACCAGCGAATTTTTCATTTTCAGTTTTTTTACCTTTGACAACTGGAACAGCCAATAATTCTTCATAAATTCTAGCATATAAGTCTAAGATTTGAGTAACTTCAGTAGTAGCTTCATCTTTGGTTAAATGAGCAGTATGACCTTCTTGCCATAAGAATTCTCTTGTTCTTAAAAATGGTTGAGGATGTTTAAATTCCCATCTAACAACAGAATTCCATTGATTTAATTTCAATGGTAAATCTCTATGGGATCTAATCCATTTGGCATAGTATGGATACATAACAGTTTCAGAAGTTGGTCTAATAGCAATATGTTCGTCTAATTCAGAACTACCAGCTCTAGTAACCCAAGCAACTTCAGGAGCAAAACCTTCAATATGATCTTTTTCCTTTTCTAAAACCTTAGCAGAAACGAACATTGGGAAATAAGAGTTTTGAACTCCTAATTTTTTAATTTCAATATTGAACCAATCTTGAATTTCTTCCCATACAGCATAAGAGTTTGGTCTTAAAATATAACAACCAGAAACATCATAATAGTCAAGCATTTCCCCCTTGACTACAACTTGAGAATACCAATTTGAAAAATCTTTAGCCTTATCAACAGTGATACCAATTAATTTAGCATCTTCTAATTTGGCAGCTTCTTTTTCCTTTTTCAATTGATCCTTTTTAGAATCACCAGCTGGAGCTGGTGATGCTTCCTTTACAACTTCAGCTGAAAAATCAGTTTCAATCAATTCAATCCCAGTTTGTTTCAAGAACCCTTTGATTTGACCGGCAGTAAGTTGAGCCTTTTCTGACACAGTTGAAATTTCTAAGATTTCATCATCATTAGCCGATGCGATCTTTTGATCAAGAACAATCTTAATCTTTCCAGCTAAACTTTTATCAAAATGAGCAATGGAAACTTCTTGGGAACTAACGTTAAAGAATTCTTGAATTAAATCATCTTTAGCCAATCTTGGTTCTTTGACACCTGCAGCCTTAGCAATAGCTCCAGATGGAGTTTGAGTTGAATGTAAGGCAAAGACTACGACAGGGACTGGAACGGCAGTTTTGGCAGTTTTTGGTTTGAAAATCACAGTTTTGGTTGGTAAAGCATTTTCATCAGAGACAGTAGCCAATGATAAAGCTGCTAAAGTGGAATGTAAAGCCATTGTGTTGATGTAATTCGATATTACCTATAATATACCACTCAATCTTCTCTTTTTCAATATCTCTAAATTGAGTCAGATTTAAATTTGTCTAAAAACTGCAAAAAGTTTTTTTTTTGGTCGTCGTTGGGATATTTACAGTTTAAGGATTGGTATCAATTTTACTTAGCGTCCCAAATATTTGAGTACACTTACAGACGAAAAAAAAAATGTGTTGTAACAGGATTGAGGTTTTTCAAAAGAGTCATAAGAGATCAGATTGATATATCAAGTGATTCTTTATACTAAATCAATTATACAATGTCAACAGTCTACGTCAACGAAAAGAGTGGTGTTGATGGTTCCGACGTGGTTGGAACTGAATCACAACCATTCCAAACTCCTGCTTATGCTTTATATATACAACCAGAAGCTAAAGTACTTATCTACAAACAATTAGAAGAATCAGAAGAATTTGGTTATAGTGAAATTTCTGCATCCGCTTTAAAAAAAGCTAAGAAAGGTGCTGAAGGTCTTAAGAAGAAAGCTGAAAAGCAAGCCAAATTAGAAGAAGACCAAAAGAAAAAGGAATCTGAAAATGCTGCAAAACTTGCTGAATTAGATTTAATCAAGATTGAAGAAGATTCATCATTACCAAAAGCTCAAAAGATTAAATTAAGAACTATTCAAGAAAACTTAGATACTAGAGTTTCTGTTCAAGGTTGGATCCATCGTTTAAGATTACAAAAAGGAGTTGCCTTTATTACTTTAAGAGATGGTACTGGTTTTGTTCAAGCTGTCTTAGGTGGAGATTTAGCTAAAGCTAGATCAACTCAAGAATTAACTTTAGAATCAACTGTGATCATAAAAGGTGTTATCAACAAACTACCAGAAGGTAAATCAGCTCCAGGTGGAGTTGAATTAAAAGCTGATTATTATGAAATCATTGGTTTAGCCCCAGCTGGTGATGAATCATTTACCAACAAAGTTCAAGAAAACGCTGATCCATCTTTATTATTAGATCAACGTCATTTAGCCTTAAGAGGTGAAACTTTATCTGCCGTCATGAAAGTCCGTGCTACTTTATTAAAATCAATTAGAAGATTTTTCTATGAAGAAGGTCTTTTAGAAGTTACTCCACCATGTATGGTTCAAACTCAAGTTGAAGGTGGTTCTACTTTATTCAAAATGGATTATTATGGTGAAGAAGCTTATTTAACTCAGTCATCTCAATTATACTTAGAAACTTGTTTACCTGCTTTAGGTGATGTTTTCTGTGTTCAAGAATCCTTCAGAGCTGAAAAATCTCATACTAGAAGACATTTATCAGAATATACTCATATTGAAAGTGAATTGGCATTTATAGAATTTGATGATCTTTTATCTCATCTTGAACGTCTTATCACTAAAACCGTTCAATACGTCCTTGAAGATCCAATTGCTGGTCCATTAATCAAACAATTAAACCCAGATTTCCAACCTCCACAAATGCCATTCAAAAGAATGGAATATATTCATGCTTTAGATTGGTTAAACGAACATGGTATTCCAAACGAAGATGGTGAACCATTCAAATTCGGTGATGATATTGCTGAAGCTGCTGAACGTAAAATGACTGATACCATTGGAGTTCCAATTTTATTAATACGTTTCCCAGTTGAAATTAAATCTTTCTATATGCAAAAATGTGCTGATGATCCAAGAGTTACTGAATCAGTTGATGTTTTAATGCCAAACGTTGGTGAAATCACTGGTGGTTCTATGAGAACTTGGGATTATGAAGAATTAATCGCAGGTCTTAAGAGAGAAAAATTAGACTTAGATTCATACTATTGGTTTACTGATCAAAGAAAATATGGTACTTGTCCACATGGTGGTTACGGTTTAGGTACTGAAAGAATCTTAGCTTGGTTATGTGACAGATTTACCGTTAGAGACTGTTCATTATACCCAAGATTCACAGGTAGATGTAAGCCATAATCGATAACAACAAGTTTACCGTTCGTAGATATGATAAAACATTTAGATGTATGTATATAATAATGTAAATTGTTTATATTCTTTTAAACCGCTAATATATACATTTATGAGTCAAAAAATTAATTAGAGAGAACATGGTGCATTAATTCGCCCAATTAGGTAATCTCGATAAAATTTTTTCATTAAGCGCGGTGATGAATCATTTCTTCTCCAAAAATTATAAATTGATGTTGAAATTTCTTTCTGGCCACATTTTTCAAATATTTCACTATAACCAATATAACCAATATCAGTTAACCATGTCCGCCGAAAAACCAGCTGAAAATAGATTATGGGGTGGTAGATTCACCGGAGCCTCAGATCCATTGATGGATTTATATAATGCTTCTTTACCATATGATAAAAAGATGTATCAAGCCGATTTAACTGGTACTAAAGTTTATACTGAAGGTTTGAATAAACTTGGTTTAATTAATTCAGAAGAACTTAAAGAAATCCACAGAGGTTTATTAGAAATCCAAAAGGAATGGGAAACTGACAGCTTTGTGGAAAAGGCTGGTGATGAAGATATTCATACTGCTAATGAAAGAAGATTAGGAGAAATTATTGGTAAACATATTGCAGGTAAAGTTCATACTGGTAGATCCAGAAATGATCAAGTGGCTACCGATATGAGAATATATGTTCGTGAAAATTTAACTCAATTGTTAGCTTTCTTAGCTACTTTTATTGAAACTATCTTGAAGAGAGCTGAAAGTGAAATCGATGTCTTAATGCCAGGTTACACTCATTTACAAAGAGCCCAACCAATCAGATGGTCTCATTGGTTATCTTCATATGCTACATACTTCACTGAAGATTACAACAGATTAAAGCAAGTCTTAGAAAGAGTTAATAAATCCCCATTAGGTGCCGGTGCCTTAGCTGGTCATCCATATGGTATTGATAGAGAATATTTAGCTGAAGGTTTAGGATTCAACTCTGTTATTGGTAACTCTCTTACAGCTGTCAGTGATCGTGATTTCGTGGTTGAAACTTTATTCTGGGCTACTTTATTTATGAATCATATTTCTCGTTTCTCTGAAGATTTAATCATTTATTCAACTGCTGAATTTGGATTTGTGAAATTATCTGATGCTTATTCAACTGGTTCATCATTAATGCCTCAAAAGAAGAATCCAGATTCTTTAGAATTATTAAGAGGTAAATCTGGTCGTGTTTATGGTTCTTTATCAGGTTTCTTAATGTCTATTAAATCTATTCCATCGACTTATAATAAAGATATGCAAGAAGATAAAGAACCACTTTTTGATGCTTTAACTACTGTTGAACATTCTATTTTAATTGCTACCGGTGTTATTTCTACTTTAAATATTAATAAAGAAAGAATGGAAAGTTCTTTAACTATGGATATGTTAGCTACTGATTTAGCTGATTATTTAGTTAGAAAAGGTGTACCTTTCAGAGAAACTCATCATATTTCTGGTGATTGCGTTAGAACTGCTGAAGAGTTAAAATTATCAGGAATTGATAAATTAAGTTTACAACAATTCCAAGAAATTGATGCTAGATTTGGTGATGATGTTAAAGAAGTTTTCAATTTTGAAACTAGTGTTGAAAGAAGAGATGCTACAGGTGGTACTGCAAAATCTGCTGTTTTCAAGCAACTTGCAAACTTAAAAAGTCAATTAAATTAGATTTAAATCGTATAATCGTATAATAACATATATCGTTTTTTTTTATTAATTACCTTTGTTTGAACATTGGAACCTCCTTTTAAGTGAATGTAGAGTTTGTTTGATTGACTTTTTTTTTATTCTTATCTTGTAACGTATTCTCAGACAAGTCCAGCTCTGCTTTGGATACCGTTGCATTTGATACTGATGTAATTAGACTATTATTAGGGGCGATTACCCCCACTTTTAACGTTGTATAAGGATCGATGGAGTTTGTTATTTCCTTAATTCCATAAGTAACATCTGAACTATTGTCGTTACTGGTCATAACTTCACTTGGTTTTATGAATGAATGATTTATATGATTGTGGGGAAGACTGACAAGTGAATCAGATTCCACTAATTTTGTAGTCAGTTTGTGCATTATACTTGAATTCTCACTTAATCTTCTCTGAAATATCACAGAATACTCTGTCACCTTATCCAAGTCTATGAAAGGTTCACCATAGGTGGATCTATTTACCGATAATGGTGAGCCAGGATGTGATTTATTATTTTTGCCTCCTAGACTTATAAATGATTCATTTATGCTTGTGAAACTTTCACTTGAACTTTGAAAACCACCTGTTATCGAATCTGTAGCTGACCAACTATGTAATGGTCTTGAACTAACTTCTTCATGAGTTGGGATCTGACCCTTGACCGGTTCTCTTGATGTTTTATTATAAGCTCCCTCAAGTGTATAACTATAATCTATCATATCTACCAGCGTATGAACTATACAAAGGACAAAGAAAAGAAAACGAAGAATAAACCAGAATAAATCCCTTCATTTCTATACTTATTTATGACATGAATTAGTTGGATTGGAATTACTCATTCTTATCATTACGTGTTTAACAAGCAGTTTTATGCATCGTCATATCCTTAAAATCATAGTAATAATTTCTTTTTTAATGCTTAAATACTTATCGGGGAAGGGGGATATATATCCACATTTTCAAATCAATTTTGTGAATCAATAAAGTAAAATTTAGTTCACGTCTCTAGAGGGTCTTTTTTAGATAAATGAATACCTACTTGACAACCATTGAATTTGAGTTTGAAAGACGTCCGCATTCACTCGCATCATCATGCTTTTGGCTGATCATATAGAGAAGGCTAGATTCAAGGCGTTGTATCTAGATTTATTAATTGAATTCAAATAGAACTAATAGATTTAGACAAACCAAATCAAACCATAATTATCACATGTAAGTTTCATGTTTGTGAAAGATTCAATTTTTAAATGATGAAATTGATTTTATGGATTGATTTTTTGCAACAATCTTTATGGATTTCCAAAAACGGAAATGTACGCTGTATCCTTTTCCACCACACAGCAATTGGTGACTTATCATTTTTACAACACAATTTAAATTTTTACCACATTTCTCCTTGATTTCCACTATTTTATAGTTATACATCACATAATCATATCAATCATATCAGAGCCATCATCAATCAACAATGGAAACCATGATGGGAGAGGTTGAACTTATGGATAAGGATCTGTCGTATGCATCCGTCATTGGAAATCTTAATACTCAACTTCAAAGGTTGTCGACCAATACGATCTATGTTGCTAAGAACATGGAATCTATTGACAATGTCTGTTACCTGGTTTATAGATTACTCAAGTTAGATAAATCATTTGGACCTCATATTGTCGATTCAGAACTTGTTCCCTTTTTAATAAATGCTATTGTGGTGTCGGTTAAAACACAAGAGTTTGAAATTACACTGAAATTATTATGCCATTTAGCTGTCTTATTATTTAAGTATTGTAAGATCCAAAGTTCCAAAGTCAGTGCCATATTCAGAGAACATAAAATCAATATATTGTTCATGTCAAGCCATCTTTCACCAACGGTGAAGGGGATTAAAAAGAGTAATTTATCATATATTGAAGAAATTCTTAATAATTTTGACTACTTTGAATTTGAGAAGATCTACACTATCAGTTGTTTAATCGTTGATACGATATTTACACTTTCTTATGAGTTAGATAAATTATCTATCGAATTAGATATCATGATCACCAATAATAAGGTTGACAATGATAACTTGTTTCTGGTCTTAGTTAAGCTTTTAGAACTCATGGATTGTGAATTTGATAAAGAAATCATGTTGTTACTTCATGAGTATACTCAAGTGTTTAAACATATTACAACCATTGAGAGTAAATTCGTCCCTCAATTAAGTGAATCTAATTTAAAATTGATCAAGATTGTCAAATCTACTACATACGAAACTTTCATCTCAAAGTATCCATCATCAGATTATCTGTTACTTTTTGAAATGGGTAATGAATCTATGAAAGGGGACTTCCTTGATTATGTAAAGTCCAATGATGATACGCAAAAGTTAGAGAAATGTTTCCAATTTGTATTAGAAGTTTTAGATCAAGGTATAAACCAAGACTATTTAATTTGGAATAATGGATCAGATAGTCTCTTGTTCTACTTGAGAGATATCAGTAAAGATCAAGATGATAGATTGAAGTTTTATACCAGTTTCAATAAATTGAATTCAAAAATCTCACTTGGTACTACAGTTCTTTATCTTAATTTTATCATATCTCTTAGTCTTTCAAGTGTGTATGAGAGTATTGATTTTCCAAATATCATTTTAGATTATTTCAAACCTTTGAAACTTCCACCAGTTTCTAAGACCAAGTTAATGTTATCACCAATTAATAATGGATCTTCCAATTCTTATGGTACACTTCAAGTTTGTTTGATTCATAATCTTAAAATGACACTTTGGATTCTCGAAGATGAGATAAAATCACTTGCCTCTATCAACCAGTATACTCCTGGTACTGCAAGATATAGTGTCATTTTCAAATTAATTGAATTATCATTCCCATCTTTGATTTCAGCTTTGATATTTGCTGAAAGAGATAATGAAAATGATGTTATGAATCAAATAATTCGTAATTTGGTTAAAAGTGTATTTGAAATGATAGTCAATATCGAGATTAAAGAAATTGGTAATTCATTAGTTTGGGTTTCTTTAATCAACTTTGCAAATGATGTCTGCTACTCAGATCTTAGATACGTATCCATGTTTTATGATATGTTAGGATACCTTGATTCACGAAGTCTGTCTAAAATTTATGATCCATTAGTTCGCAGTGGTTTACAGTTCTTTTATTCAACGTTCTGTCCTAATAATAAGTCAACATTTGAAACATGGATTGAATATAAATTGGGAGACAACATTAGTGATGATGAACTTGACTTGGAGATATTTCTTCATGATTATGATTACTTATATCATAATAATTATGAAGATCAGAAACAGAATAGCATGATAGATCTGTCCAACACTGAATCTTCTGTGATCAACTCTGATAATTTCACTTTGGGAGCTAATGCCACAAAGCAGAATTATGCCACCAACTCAGCTAGACAACAAAGCATCCATGTTGATCAATTTGGAAAGATTTAGTTGTATATTTAATTTGCAGCATTGTTAAATATTTTTTGATATTTTCACGTGATTGATTTTTTCGATTTTTTATTTTTGTAAAATAGACCATCCCTCATCTCTATCAAAAAAAAAATATTTAGATTTTATTTCAAGCAAAGACTATAAGGTTAAATCAGTTGTAGAATAGTTCAAACGAAGATGGTATTGAAGTCAACTACCGCTGGGAACGTGTCGATCTATCAGGTATCGGGTACCAATGTGTCTCGTTCATTGCCTGATTGGATAGCGAAGAAAAGAAAGAAGGCATTAAAGAATGATTTAGAATATCAAAATAGAATTGAATTAGTTCAAGATTTTGAATTCAGTGAAGCTTCTAATAAAATAAAAGTAACTCCAGATGGTCAGTTCGCTATGGCTACTGGTACTTATAAACCACAAATTCATGTTTATGATTTTGCCAATTTATCCTTAAAATTCGATAGACATACTGATTGTGAGAATATTGATTTTGTAATCATGTCTGATGATTGGACTAAGTCTGTTCATTTACAAAACGATAGATCTATAGAATTCCAAACTAAGGGTGGTATTCATTATAGAAGTAGAATACCCAAGTTTGGTAGATCTTTAGCTTATAATTCAGTGTCATGTGATTTAATAGTTGGTGCTGCTGGAAATGAATTATACAGATTAAACTTAGATCAAGGTCGTTTTTTAAATCCATTTGTGCTAGAAACTAATCAAGGTGTCAATTCAGTTTGTATAAATTCAGTTCATGGATTAACTGCTGCAGGTTTAGAAGATGGTACGGTTGAATTCTGGGATCCAAGAAGTAGACAAAGAGCTGCTAAATTAGATGTTAGAAGTCAAATTAATGAATCAATTCAAATCACTGCCACCGCTTTCAGAAATGATGGTCTTAACTTTGCATGTGGTACTTCAAATGGTAAGAGTTTAATATATGATTTAAGAGCTTCAGAACCATCTTTAGTGAAAGATCAAGGTTATGGATTTGAAATTAAGAAAATCATCTGGATTGATGAAAATGAATCAGATTCCAATAAAATTTTAACCTCAGATAAAAGAATTGCTAAGATTTGGGATAGAAATACCGGTAAGCCTTTTGCATCAATGGAACCAAGTGTGGATATAAATGATGTTGAATATATTAAAGGTTCAGGAATGTTCTTCATGGCAAATGAAGGAATACCAATGCATACATATTATATTCCAAACTTGGGTCCTGCTCCAAGATGGTGTTCATTCCTTGATAATGTTACAGAAGAACTTGAAGAAAAACCATCTGATTCAGTTTATTCTAATTATAGATTCATTACTAGAGATGATGTGGTTAAGTTAAATTTAACCCATTTAATTGGATCAAAGGTATTACGTTCATATATGCATGGTTTCTTTATTGATACTGAGTTATTTGAAAAGGTTAATTTGATTGCTAATCCTAATTCATACAGAGATCAAAGAGAAAGAGAAATCAGAAAGAAACTTGAAAAGGAAAGAGAATCAAGAATCAGATCTACTGGTACTATTACTAATACCAAAGTTAAAATCAATAAAGATTTGGCTAATAAATTACAAGATAAAGAAGGTGCTGATACTGCTGAAAGTGTGGTTAATGATGATCGTTTCAAAGAATTATTTGAAAATCCAGATTTCGCCATTGATGAGCAATCTCATGAATATAAACAACTTAATCCTGTTAAATCTACTAAAGATATCACCACAGGCAGATCTCGTGCATTAACTGCCGCTGAAGAATCTGAAGAAGAAAGATTAAATGGTGTCGACAGTGATGATGTGGTGTCAGAAAGTGAATCTGAATCCGAAGAGGAAGAAGAAGAAGATGAAGAAGCTAAAGAAGAAAAGAGAAAGAGAGTTCAAAAGGAAATGGAAAAATTACGTCGTAAGAAACAAGAACAAGAAGATGCAAAGAAATTCATGAATGAAATGAAAGTTTTATCATCAGATGGTCCACAACAAAAAGCTGTGGAATCATTTGCATCCCAAGTTAAAAAGAATAACAGAGTCGAAAAGGGTAATAGAAGATCAAATGATACCGTTTTACGTCGTCATGCTAAGGGTGAAGCTGAATTAACCTTTGTCCCTAAGAAGAAAGAAAAACGTAGAGTTAATTTCAAGTCTAATGACAACGATGATGACGATTCTGAAAAGGATAATAATAAAGGAAGAACCAAGCAAAGATTCGAAGGACGTAGAATTGCTTCTAGAAACCAATTCCGTGGTATGTAAGTGTATTATATATAGCATTAAATGAATTATGTAAAAATATCAAATCTTTAAACTGTAGCCTCCTGTAGTGGGGGAGAGCCAACCTCTCTCTATTTTTTTTTAGTGAGTGAGAAATGGTAGATGCTCTGCTACAATTTTTTTAACTGCAATAAACAGAGTTAAACAGAAATCAACTATTGAAGAACCACACATGTCTCGTAATAAAGAGAAGGCGCAATCAGCCTTGAATAGATTTCAGGCGTACAAGAACAAAGAGGCAGGAATCCTAGAGTCCAATCCCAACTTACGTCCTAAATATGTTCAATCTGTGACTTCATTACCTCAAGCTGAGAAATGGCGATCTACTGTCATATCAGAAATATCCGTCAAATTAACTAGAATACAAGATGTATCTATCAATGATTACCAGATACGAGATATTAATGATGATTTAAATAGTTTATTCAAAGAGAAAAGAGCTTGGGAGTATCATATAAAGTCATTAGGAGGAAATGATTATATCAATTTTGGAAAGAATATGAACCAAGCAGGTATAACAGACTCATCAGGATTACAAGTAAAAGGATATCGATACTTTGGTAGAGCCAAAGAACTTCCTGATGTGAAACAAGCGTTGGAAGCTCAGAAAAAGATACGAAATGACAAAACCAGTGCTAGAAAAGCTCAAGATGAAGAAGTTAAAGCTATGAAATCAAGATTGGACAGGATTGATTTATCATATTATGGATGGTACGATGAGATTAATACAACTACTCATAAGAAAGTATCAGAAGAAGAGATATCATTAATAAATCAAATAGCCAAAAATCTTGGAGAAGATTTCCAAGTTCAAGTTGAAGATACCAATCCTCAATCTACATATGATCCATTATTAGATTTCGAATCAAAACAAGGGGCATTCATTCTTAAGACATTACAAAAACAAGCCAGGACTAACCAGAATCCCGACGAGACTATATACGATTTTGAATCTGAAGTTCCAAATAATGACCAAGTATCAAAATGGATACTTGATAAAAGGAAAAAAGACTTACTTGCAAGACTTGGACTTGATAAATCAGAAAATGCTTGAAAAGGAATCATCAGTGATGATTTCAATTCCATTGGCTTTATAAATAGCATCAGTTTCAGCTTCCTTATCAGGATAAACACTCTTTGAGTAATTCTTTAAAACATAAGTTTTAAATCCATTCTTAGCTGAATCAATAGCGGAATTAACTACACAGAAATCATAAGCTAATCCCACGAATATAACATCTGTTATACCATGTTCCTTTAAGAATTCCGTCATTTCAGTTTTATGTATCCCCCAAGTATCTTGAAAGCAAGAATAATATTCCCTATCAGTTAAATACCCCTTTTTAACTATAGCTTTAGGGATATTTGGAGCTATCAGATTGAAATTTCCGAGAAACAGAGCATCAAGACATGCCCCTGAAGATTCTTGAACACAATGATCGGGCCAGACGAATTGTTTTTGAATTTTAATTTGATTAGTATTAGTATCGATTTCACCTAATGGATGAGTGAATTCAAGTTCTGAAAATGGTGGAACCTGATGTTGAGAAGCAAATGACGTATGATCTTTGGGATGCCAATCTTGAGTAGCCACAATGGCACTCCAATGGTATTTTCTATTACTTATTAGTTCATTAATTAATGGTATAACGTCTCTACCATTAGCTATAGCCAATGAACCTTGTGAAGGTAAGAAATCTTCTTGTAAATCAATAACTGCGAGAGCAACTTTCTTAGTCATTATAGATATGGATCTAATGCATAATATTAATGTAATATAAGCCAAGTAGTCAAATATGTAGATCTTTTATAGATGAATGATTGAATGTCAAAACTGGTGATTATAATTCAGTGATAATTATTTTTTTTATCATCTTTATTTTTTTCTGGTTTGAGAGATTGCGCTCGCGGAATTGCAGGATCCCATAGTTAAAGAAATTACGATTAACTTTCATATATTAAACCTTATTAATTTACGGGTATTAACTATATCTAGTCCTCTTGTTAGCTTATATACTTTGAGCCGCAGAGATCTTAACAGTGATTCTTGAATTGATGTGCTTGATAAACGGAATCACATTATACTTCAATCATAAATTGTATTATTTCCAGTTTCTAAGTAAGTTGTATTGGCCACAAGGTCATAAAGTTCTTGTATTTCATTAATAGTTGAAGTTTTGTTGAGGATTGGTAGCAATTGATCACTTCCTAGTCTTGTATTAAAATTTGGATTAAGAGCTTCAACCATATCTTTAACCATATCAGAAGTTGGAGTAATAGCAGTAGCATTGTGTTGACCAGCATAAAGGAATTTATAAAATAAAAATATTATATAAAACAAATTTAGTGATTTTATACTTCGATAATCCATCAACACTATATTGTGATAAAGTTTTTGGATGAGTTTGATCCACATTCATAAGTGAAGTAGATAAATCATCATCCTCGCTTGCTTTTTGATGAATAGGAGTTCCATCCCATTTGATTTCACCTTTAATGAATTTATCTCTCTTTTCACGATATGAAATCGGATATACCAATAATGTTAATGGAGTAGTAGCAAATGTAGTAACAACAGCCATGACAATAAACATGGAAAATACCTTTTGAGAAATAATTCCCGCATTTAAACCAGTGGTTAAAACAACAATCTCAACAATACCCTTACATGACATTAATACCCCTACTGCTAATGATTCTCTCCATAATAACTTATTAAACTTAGCAGCGATGAAACCACCGAATATTTTACCTGTCATGGCTAAAAGGATGATTCCAATAGTATAAGCCCAATCTATTCCACGGTCTAATAAACCTAAATTGACATTCAAACCCGCAATAGCGAAATAAAGAGGAATTAAAACAATATGCACTAAATCTTCTAATTTCTCCGTGATTCTAATCACTTATCCATTATCTCTTGGTATAATAACCCCAGCCATGAAGGCTCCAGAAATAGGATGAACTCCAATGATATCGGTATAGAAAGCTGATACAAATACTAATACTAAAATTATCATCATCAGAGTTTGAGATGGTTCACCGGTCGATAAGTCATTAGTGTATCTCTTTAACACATATGTTAAGGTCAACCTGATAGGATAACATAATACTAAGAACCATCCTAAGGTTAATAATAAGATATACACAGTATTAACCCCATCTGAAGCATTAGCTAAAATGTCAACTAATGCTAATAAGATCCATCCCGTTAAATCATTCATGATACCAGCAGCCAATACGATAGTACCGACTCTATCCCCAATCAAATTAAGTTCAGTTAAGATACGTGCCAAAACTGGAAGAGCAGTGATACCCATGGCAACAGCAATGAAAACCATATAGGTAGTGAATTTGATAGGTGTGGTTTCAGGAACATCTTCCACATAGGTTTTATAAATCCCCTTAGCAATACCACAACCTAATGCAAATGGAATTGCCATAATGATTAAACCAACTGTTAAAGATACTTTCAAATTACGTTTTATGAATGTGATATCAACTTCTAAACCAATAATGAATAAGAAAAGAATGATACCGATATTAGCAAATAAGGTAAGACCTGGAATAGAAGCAGCAAGGAAACAATTATTGGTAAAGTTTGGAATGTGACCCATGACAGAAGGTCCTAACAATACCCCAGTTATAACCTCTGCAATAACTCGAGGTTGCTGCAATTTCTTTAAAGGATAATTAACAATATGACATAGTCAGATAATGAATATAGCTGGGAAAAGAAAGATGGTATAAGGAGCACTGGCTGAATAAACCAAAGGATTATTACCAGCGATCACCCCAGCAATCTAACTAGTGGTGACAGCCATGTTGGTATATAATTCAACGGTATAGACAAGTTTGATGAACCGTGGTTTGAATCAAAATAAACCTCTTTCTTCTGGTTCCTCCTCCTCCGCATAGAAATATTTTATCGTCTCCCAAGAAAAAAATATTTTTATCAGATCTAAATTTGAGATCACAATGCAGAGATCAGGGCACAGCATTTACATTGTAATTACAAAGTTATAATTAGCATATAATTAATTATGTATATTCTGTATACGTTTTCTATATATAAGACCCCAACTAAAATCCTACTACCTTAATCCTCAGCTAACCTGCTAACCCTAAATTATCGACTTCAAAATAGTCCTGTAATGCTTTATCAATCCAATCACATCCTGTATCTGATACAGGTGATAATTGACCCGTATAATTCATCGGATCAAATTGAGTTTCAAAACTATTTTGAAAGAAACTACTATATTCAAGAATACTACCCTTTCTATCTGCTATGACACCGTCTGAGTCTGGTGCTACCAGGGTCAATTCAGATGAATTAGTAAGTGATAAATCTCCCTTGGGAAAGCTTTCAGGTGAAAATGATGATACACTGCTTTTTATCAGTCCATCACTAGGGATGGCTGCACCAACCACTTCTTCGATCTTTTGTTTGGCGGTAACATGTCTGACTGGTGGTGATGGTTTTATTAATTCTTGCTCAATCTTGATTTCAATATGAGGTAAGTTTTCCTTTAATTTTGAATATAATTCAGGTCTGATACTAACTAATGATTCTCTAATATGTCTAGCCAACTTTCCTGAAAGAATCCAATGATTTGAGATAGGATAAATTGCTGATAATGATAACGTAATATATTCCGAATATGTATCAAGATCTTGGGAAGTTAAATGTTTCTTTAATGTTTCTTCATTTCCTTTTAAACTATTCTCCACCCAAATATAAGCACTGATGAAAACCAAAGCAGCCAATGCTAATGCACAAGCAAATAAAGGAGTTCTTTCAAGTACTTTTGTAGCATCAGTATCTATAAGAGCTTGGACGATTGAAATGGCAGCTTCAATTGTCTTTCTAGTTTCTATAACTGCTCTAGAATCAAGTTCAGATTGAGTGGGTGTATTGCCTCCTTCTTCATCTGATGTATCACCTTCACATTTTGGATTTTGAGGTGAATTGATTTTCCAAAGGAATGAGAATGGACGATGAACGAAAATCTTAGCATAATTGAATAACAAAATAGCTTGATGAACACCTTCATTGATTTTACCACTCAGTGAAACAAGAGATGGAGCATTAAACATTTTTGGATTTTCTAGCTTCATAGCGAAATTAGATACCGATGCTTTTAATCTAGTTAAGGTTGCCTCGACAGGTAATTTATCAAGTACTTCAATATTTAACTTAACTGCTTCTGTAACAAGTTTAGTAGCTTCCGCTCTACTTTTATAATCAAATGATTCTCTATCAGGGATATTAGGATAATTGATATTTGTTGAAAGAGCATCCATCTTAGTAACTGTACGACCATCAGCGGATCCGATAATAACATCAAAGAAATGTAATTCCCAAAAACATCTACGAGCATTATCCGCAATACTTAAACCTGATAAGGCACCTAATCTTGACGATTGTAAAATTGGTAATCTTGATTTATCTGATATAGGGGAATCAAGTTGGAATTGAGGGGTGGATTCTGGTTTATCTATATTATCCACTTCTAATTTTCGTAATAGTATGACACATAAATGTCTTATGGTTTTACTTAATTTATGAAGGGATGAAATATGAGCTATGATGGAGATTAAAATAAGGGATTGGATGGAGATTATATCATTGAATCCATTATCGTTGACCACTTTTATACATTGAGAGATTCTATCTGAGATTAAATCGATATTCTTGGAAAATATAGTCTTGGTATAACCATCAGTTACCACTTTCATGATTGGGATTAATTCAAATTGGATAGATGAATCATTTATATATTGATGAATTTCATTTTTAGGTGGTAATAAAGGATGAGACCAATGGAATTTTTCATAATATTTCTTTATGACATCTTCCGCATCAATCGAAGATAAATCCATAAAATTACTTTGAGTATGAATCTTTAATGTGCTTACAAGTTCTTCTATACTTTCTGGTTGTTGTTTGATTTCTTCTTTGTTGGCAAATATACAATCAAGATCATCAATATTATGATCTAACTTTATCTTTTTCCTTAATTTATTGATTAATTGTTTTTCTTGAAGTGATAAAGGACCTGAATGTCTATTTTTAAATAAATTAACTGCCATCTTAGCTTGACAATCTGATCCATTACATCTACTGGTTTCCTTAGCACAAGGTAATTGAAATAATTGATCTAAAGTTTCTTGATCTTCATCAGATATGGCTCTTTTATTTTCTCTTACATGACTTTCTTTCTTTTGAATCAAATGAAGGTCTTTAACATTTTTCATGAATGGGAAATCTTCAATATCAACTGAGTTAATCGGTGGACCTTCAGTGATAACTATTTGAGCTTTCTTAGAAACCCCTTTTTTACGAGATCCTCCTCTATGACTCTCCACATAAATACAATCCCTATTTGATTTTGAACACCTACCACAGATAGGTTCAACACTATCACATTTGAAATGTCTTTTTCGACATTCCAAACACGCCCTACTGGCATGTTTTCTATTTGATTTGCTGGTTTGTGATTCAATATCCATGTTGAAAGTGTATGCGACAGTCTATGATTGATATGTGGGTGTGTGTATATATGGACTACACTTCTCCTCGAAAATTTAAGGTTAAGATATGATATAATGGTTTATAAGTCCAATTAAATATAATTAAACCACATTCATCCGATATGATAAATGACAAATAAACAAATGATCTATAAAGATGAAGTTAAGAAATAAAATTGTTTTTGATGCCATTTGATAAATTGTGTTTAATCAAAAATTTGGATGGGGGGATATTTTTTGAACTTTATATATGACGGGGTTTGATTTTAAGTTGGTCACGTGGAAGCGTCCAAACCCCGTTACTTTTTTCATTTCTTTTTTTATTTCTATTATTAAAAGCAGCCGTATCTATACGAAATGCAATGATGATGTAAGTATGAAGTATAATAGATAATTAGTTTTATTTGCTCATAGTTTAACTCCTTCACATACGTGATTATTTATAATCATGTATGTATTAGTGACTAGTCATAGTCTAGACAAATGTTATTATTTAGTATTGAGTCACCATTTGAAGGCAATAAATATAATTCGCTTATAGTCAATTTACAGCTTATTTCCATAAATTACTTTCTAGCTAATCATAAATTAGTAATATATACTTACTACGTAATACCATACATAATAGTATGCTACTATGCTTATCTCCCTTTGTCTTTCCTAATTTTTGCAGTTAATAATTCCGTGGGAAGTGACATCCGCTTGTATACAGGAAAATCTCGTTAATTAATAACTCAAGAAAATAAGGATGATGATGAAATGTAATTAACAACATAGATTGATAAGATTATAATATTAAAGTTTGAAAGTAAGAGTCTAATACCATGGCTGAAGACTTACCCAATCTAAAACTAGTGATATTGGGTGAATCATCAGTGGGGAAGACTGCATTGGTTCATAGATTTATAACCAATAAATTCGATAGTCAAACCACAAATACCATTGGGGCTGCCTTTATCACCAAAACTTACCATTCACAAAAGGATCCTCAAAGACGACTAAAATTGGAGATATGGGATACTGCTGGTCAGGAAAGATATCGCTCATTGACTCCTATGTACTATAGAAACGCTAAAGTTGCCTTGGTTTGTTTTGATTTAAGTAATTTTGACGATACTTTTAAAACGGCAAAATTTTGGATTGATCAATTACAATTGAATAGTTCAAGTAATGCGGAAGATGTAATAAACATACGGTTGATTGGTAATAAATTCGATTTAATAGAATCTTCTACAGAAGTTGATACAGTTGAAATTCAAAAGAAAATAGATGAATTCATAATATCTTTCAATACGCATAATAATACAAATATTCGTTATAATCATACAAGTGCAAAGACTGGTTCTGGTATCCAAGAGTTATTTGATGAAATCATAGATGATATAGAGGATGATTTCTTTACAGAATTTCAAAATAGAACTACTAGTACTACAGAAGGTCAAATTGGATCCATTCTTGATGCTAGAATGAATGGTGCTCCATCTTCAACTTGTTGTTAAGTATCTATCCTTAAAGTGTTTTACTAGCTCAATGTTATCTATATCGTATAACAGGAGGCTGAATTCAATTTCAGTGAATGGCATAGGGATTATATTGAAGCTTCCGTTGTATTCAATCAATTTGTTACGGTACGATAAACATTTTATCGAAAGCTGGTCGATATGCCAATTCCATTCTATGTGAATGTATTTCCAACAACCGTATGCCTTGTGGTGGTCGAACTTTAAGGATATTCTTAAATGTATTGTTGTCTCACTAAATGATCAGCCGCATCTTAAGCCCTTGCTACCAAAAAGTTGAAGTTTTCGCAACGCATAACTGCGAAAATTGTATGCTTAAATTTGATTTAAAAGAACCAAATTATAGACTATAATAAATATCAATTATCCCTCTTCTGTATATTTCTTTTAAGTTAATATAAGTATCATAATGATTGAAGGACCTATATTCTCTACAAATAGCCTTTTGGCTCAAAATGCTGCTGAATTCCCAGTCCAAGATCCTACTAGAACTAATAATGATCCGTTACCTGATAAACTTAATGAAATTTCAAATATCATATTACTTGTTGACACCACAATCAATGATAATAAAGAGAATGTAATCTTTCCAGACATTCCAACTAAGGGAGATATTTTACATCATAATTTAGTAGGAGTAAATTATGAACAATCACTGCAATACTTATTTGATAATGCTCACAAATTCTCTGACTCATCAAACCCTTTAACTGTTACCCTTCAATTCAAATTAGGTCTTGAAGATAATGGTACTTCAATGACTGATTTATTATTAAAATCAAACCACTTAAATCAATTAGGATGTTTCAAATTTAAAATCTATATCTTCAAAATAGTTCCCCATCAGAAGCCTGACCCTTTCAAGATGCCTCCATTACATTATTTCAAAAATTTAAAGTGTATTGGATTCAGATTTGACACTGATATTATTATGAATACCGATATTGAATTGTATCATATATTCGAGAAGGAAAGAGATTATTTCTATAAAACAGTTAATCATCATATTCCAATTACAATTGAGTGGTTAACTGAAGATCTTGAAGAATTACATTTAGGTCTTAAAATAAGATTACCTAAAAAGGATGCTATCAATCTCCGGTTCCCAAAGTTGACTACACTTGGTGTAGAATGTTATGATACCATTACTCTGCATAACTTTGTTTTTTTTATACTCAATCATAAAGACGTAATCAAAACATTGACTATAAGAGGTTTTCTTGAAACTTTTAAGCGTTTTCCTAGGATGAAAGTATTAGATACTATTATTTTAATTGACTTTGGGATCATGAGACCATATTTATTCCAACAGATATCTTCGGTTAAGAATGTCTATTTGCATGGTTTAAATTTTAGCGAATTCGACTTTAAGAAGCAAGTAATAAAAAATAAAAAATTGTCAGTGTTCCATTACCTGGTTCTATCCAATATGAAAGAAAATCTTTTAAAAGAGTTTCTTGAATGTATGTCATCAAATGGAATTAAGACAGTCGAAATGCCACTTGCTTCGTACGATCAGTCGATATTGAGATGGAGACCTCCAGATTTTCCAGACGATCCAGTAGATTTTGAATTCGAATACGATTTTGAAGAATCGAGTTCATAAATTATTTTATTCTTATAATTACCTCAAAACAAAATAAATTAATCTCAGATTATGTATGGCTTGTATTCTCCAATTGTTTTATATACATACAATACTATACAATTTATTATATTCATTAAAGATTGTCCACTGAATATCATCTATAATGCCATGATTTAGTGTTATTTGTAGATATTTATAGATATTAGTTAAAATTAATCAATTTTATTTCGTATGCTAAGAAATAGACTTTTAAATTTGAAGTTGCAAAAACTCAGATTTGATGTTAGTCTCTTCTGCTTAAATTTTAGGAGTTGTAGTCTTATAATTTGGGTATAAAAGCACCAATTTTTTCATCTTTTGTAGGCATTTTGGTTTGACTTCTATATCCAGAGTTGTTATGATCGAGGGAGCAATATTCTCTAGAAATATACATCTAGAAAGATGTGCTAAAGAATACTCAATACAAAACCCGTTGAAGGTCAATAATGATCCATTACCTGATAAATTTAATGAAATCTCAGATATTGTGTTGCTTGTTGACACTACAATCAATGATAATAAAGAAAATTTAATCTTTCCAGACATTCCAACTGAAGGAGATATCTTATACCACAACGCAGAAGGAGTAAATTATGAACAATCACTGCAGTACTTATTTGATAATGTTCACAAATTCTCTAATTCTTCTAAGCCATTGACAGTTACTCTTCAATTCAAATTAGGTCTTGAAGATGATGGTACTTCAATGGATGATTTATTATTAAAAGCAAACTTCTTGAATCAATTAGGATGTTTCAAATTCAAAATTTATATCTTCAAAATAGTACCATATCAGAAAGATGATCCTTTCAAGATGCCTCCATTACGTTATTTCAAAAATTTGAACTGTATTGGTTTCAGATTTGATACTGATATAATTGTGAATAGTATTGATTGTTCTGATATTACTGAAAAGGAGGAAGAGATATATTATTATAAAAATGCCAATCACCACATACCGATTATGATCGGATGGTTGTCTGAAGATCTTGAAGAATTACATTTAGGTCATAAAGTGAGATTACCCCAAAAGAAGTTTACAGATCTTCGATTTCCAAAATTGTCATCTCTTGGAGTTGAATGTTATGATGCGATTACAAAGCATAACTTTAATTTTTTTATATTAAATCATAAGGATGTTATAAAGAAGTTGATGCTAAGAGACGTCGATTTCTGGATGTTTTCTGAATTGAAATTATTAGAAGAGGTTACGTTTGTTGGTTACAGTATCATGTTTTCTTGGAATATTAGACGACTTACTTCAATTAAAAATATTTATTGGTATGGAATTTTTAACATTTTTGGTAGTTTTGAAGGAAATTTAGATTGCAGCAATGTATTTCATTTTCTGATTTTCCCACAACCAATAATGAATAAAACTGAAGAAGCTGTATGTCTTGAAGCGATTGCATCAAATGGTACTCGAAGTATTCAAATTCCATTTCGTTCGCATCATGCTTGGGTTTTGGGATGGTCTCCTTTGAATCTTCCTTCTACACCAGTGGACTTTCAATTCAGATACGACTTTTGAAATCAGTAAAAAAGATATTATCCGTAAGTAGAAAAAGTTGTTGATTGGCTCAATACTATAGTTATTTCTAAATAATGTATGGTTGCTTTCGATTATGAGATTATGGACAAGTAACGATTTCCATGTAGCTTTGGGAGAACTGGAATGCGTAGTCCATATATTCGAATGGTATTGAAATTGATTCTTCGTGGATTACAGGGTAAAACAATCTGTTTAGAATTCAAAGACGTATTTGAAAGAAACATGATGGTTATCATAATTCAGACGTTAATCATAGCTTGCATTCCTCCAATTCTTTTATATACATTCAATATTACACATCTTATTATTATTTTTATAATTCCAAACCTTTTTGTAGCCAATATGCTCTACGAACATCTTTATCAAGGTTTGATTTAGATTTCTTCATTTCTTCAGATGTTTCTTCATCCTCTGGTTTTTCAGATGATTTGTTATCATTCTTCTCTTCTTCATCACTAGCATCTTTGTCATACAACCCTAAGATTTCTGAATATACCTTCTTATCTTTAGCTGCAGCTTCAGCCAGAACTTGCGCTTTCTTTTCAGCTTTAGCTTGAATCTCATCTTCTGTTTCTATAGTCATATCGGAAAAGTAATATTTATCATTACCATTTGCTCCATCAGATTCATCATCAGCATAATCATTAACATTAGCACCATCTTCTTCGTGACTAATCAAAGCATGATTCACAACTTTATCTCTATCATCATTGAAATCTCTTTCTTTACCCTTATACTTAATTATATCACCAAGAATCAGCAGGCCTAATCTCTGCTTATATGTAGATGAGTGTAAGACATAACATTTATCTACTAAAAGTTGATACGCACCTCCAAAAGCTTTCTTCAAATCTCTAAGATTGTATGATGATCTTGTGATATTATTATCCGCATCAGCTGGATCTTGGATAACAATGGAAAATGGATTCTTACTAGTATCAAGATTAGGATAATGACTTTTTAAAAGATATCTCGGTAAATCAGTTTCTGGATCTAGCGATATTATTAAATTATCAAATGAAAAATTTCTACCATATAATTCAAAGAATTCTATTAATAAAGCACCTAAATTCTCTAAAATAGATATTGATTTGGTTGATACTTTGGGATGCATCTGAAGGAAATGATAACATAATATGATTGTAGCATATCCTCCTAACCCACCAACATGGACATTATTTAATCTTCTTGATCTAAGAAATTGTTTAACGATTAAAACCAATTCTCTCAAACCTGGAGTAGCTGATAACCACTTCCTTATTCTTCTTGCAGCATCAATACCATTCCTTCTCTCGAATGATACATCAATATGAATATTAGAATCTGGATCCACAAATTTAATGATCGGTACTTTAGCTTTAGCAATAACTTCTATATTTTTTGCCAACCCTTTATTTCTTAAAAATGAAGAAAGTTGATATAAACTAGATCTGTTTTCAACATTCCCTATTCTGGAGAGAACAACCATATCAATATCTGAACCCGGTAAATATAAATCGGTTGCAAATGATCCAAAAACATGGGTTTCAGTGTTGGGCCAGAAATTGCTTATTTGAGTCTTTAATCTATTTACAACATTGTTTCTGGTGGTGATTTCATCACTTGATGGTGAAATATAATTCACAAAGTCTTTCATTTCCAACGTCAACCAATCAACTATTTCCTTTTGCTTTGAATGATCGTGCTGTTTTATCCAAGGGTAGAGTGATATGGATTTGGATCTTGAATATTTGTCCACACCTTCGTCTGCACTTATAACACCATCGTCTGAATCTTCGTCGTCTTCTTCTTCGTCGTTTCCCTTTTCATCTTCCGAAGAACTGAATCCAAACTCTATGAAATCAGCATTCTTAGCTAATTCGTTGACTTCTGTCTTTTGCTTTTTCTTTGCTTGAGCTTCATCATTGTCTTCATCTGACTCAACATCTGATGTTATTGCGATAACTTCTTCTTCCTCCTCTTCAGAATCAACTAAGACTAAATCTCCATTATCTGTGCTTTTACCATTGTAATCGAATATCAAATCAGAATCAGATTCATCATCTCCATGTTCATCATCTCGGTCTTCCAATGCTCCAAACTTATTTTCAGCCAAACGAATGTCATTTGCCTGTTTATTTTTTGAACCAGATTTGCTCTTCTTCATCTTGACAGCTGAAGCTGACCTTTCTCTTCCTCTCTTTGGTGCCATTATAGATTGTCTTGCTTCTACGAAATCGTAGCTTATACTACAAGTTCTACTATGAAAAAGAAAATCGCAAAATATTTTTTTTTTGATATCGCTGTATCAAGCACGTGACCTATAAATTAACTTTTAGAAGAATCAGATAAATAACTATAAATAAACTGACAGCTGTAATGGCTATCAAAATACTAAATCTATGATTGGTATCGTACATCACGTATGAATCTAAGAATAATGATGATAATAATACTATTTTCAATGATAATAGCGGGACTGACCAATAGTGGTATGAGATAAGTTCGATTAGGAGTAAATATGCAATGTAAAATCTTGTAGTTGCCAGTGATGATATGGTAGGTGATTTATCAATAAGAATATCTGCTGGCTTGTCTGGTGTATGGTTAGCAGATACATCTGCTACCAAATTCAATAAGTTCTCCTCCAGTAAATCCAGTACATCGCTATCAATTAAAGCATCAGAGGTGATATAAGGTTGATCATTTGCAGCCTTATCAGCAAACTTGAATTCCGTGAACTCGTGTTCGGGATCACCATTAGGAATCAATATACTCCATTTAATATCATCTAGATAAGCTAACACTTCAACTGACCCAATTCTCTGGAATGGACCATTCTCTTCAGACTGTTTACCTTTGATCATTACATAGATTAATTCTTCAAATTTGAGGATGTTAGAATCAAAAGTCGGTGACTGTCTTGCCTTGTTAGAAGCTTCAACAAACCAGTGACGAAACAGACTTGCATCCAAGGACATATACCATTTGATTATCTTCTCTCTGATTATTTGTGGATCCATTTCATTTTGTATTTTAGAAGTAAATGGTAGTTCTCCAACACATAAATAGCATAGAATGACCCCTAACGAATAAATATCACTTTCAAAACTAAAATTTTTCAAGAATGATTGAACACTTTCTCCTGAGGAAGGATCATAATTAGAAAACCATAATTCTGGCGCTGTAAATTCCAACGTTCCGGTATTTCCTTGTCTTTCTTCTTTATCAAATTTAGGAAAGTTCCTGTTTCTTGGATGTTGTTTGTTAATGAACTTTCCTTCTCCAAAATCGGACACTAAGACTTTTGGTAATTTCAAAACATCTTGTTCGAAGTGATGAACAGATGAGTATGTAGTTCCATGAATTACACTGGTATCATAGGCAACATCAAGTAAACAATTTGAAGGTTTGAGATCACGATGTAATATACCCCTTGTGTGAAGATAGTTTACACCATTTGCAATATCTCTAAAGAATTTCCATATTTCAAAGTTTGTAAGCCATTTCTTTGAATATTCTACCTGATCGAAACCTAATCCTCTTGAAGCACGTCTTTTTCTTCTTTCTAATTCAACCTTTTCTTTGATTGATGAATGCTTATCTTTTTGAAAGTTTTTAATAATTAAGTCTTCCAAATGTCCTCCACCACAAAACTGTTGTAAAATATACACGTAGGGAACCTTCGTTGACGTATCTGGTTGGAGATTATTACTCTCTGGAAAGAAGAATGTAGACAGGTCCATAATATCACCCAACTCAACCCAAACATGATTATATCGTATCAAATTGTTTTCGTTGGCACCTTTGACCGACAATTCATAAAGAATTAAAACTTCATTCAACACTTGCTCCAATAATTCGAATTTATCTCCAATAGTGATTCGTTTCACAGCATATGTACCCAACTGAATGTCATTTAGTACGTGGATGACTTTATATACTTGAGCATGGGCACCAGAACCTAAGGTGTAGGGTGGTACCTTTTTGAAAAATCGTTTAAAATAGCCAGGATTGAATATGTCTTCTGGTAAAGAATAGCTATTTTGAGGTTTAGGATTCTGTTCATTATTCAAGGGTAGTTTACTCAATAACTTGAAGTAATCATGATGCATGAACCCCCCAGGAAGCTGTCTAGTCAATGCTGATGTGGTATCAATATCTACGCCATGATTCAAGACGCCATTATCTGTAGTCCTTCTATTGTATTCCCAAGAAAATCCACAATTAGGGCATTTGACTCCACTAGAACCAGCAAAACTTGAGCTGTCAAACGATTCATCATTGCTTTTGTTGTTATCTTTCCTTTTCCCCGTTTGATTGTTGTCAGCTGTTGATAATAATTGGATGGTGTTCTGTTGATTGTTGTGTAACACTAGAAATCCATGATTCGGATCATGATAAAGAATACGGTTATTAGTATTGTATGGAACTATTGACATCACTAGTATACCTGAAACAAGTACGCCTTTCTTGAACTATGTGACATGCAATTGTAATAACTAATTATGGATCTAGAATATCACCAAAGCAATCATTGATATGAATCATTTGATACGTTTTTTGTGGGGCGAGCAGCAAACCACAAATTTTCTGTTTTGTTTCGAATTATGGTGCAAAAAAACTTTTGATTATATATTTTGAACTTCTACGGTATAAATTTATATACAAAGTACTATAAATATCAATCGCAGAAAATATCATATAGTACAGGTGCTGATTAAGATTCTGGATCAGCTGTTATATTTCGTAATCTTAACATAAACTGTAAAAGTTTAGTCTCCATGTCAAATCTGGCTTTAGAGCTTAAATTCTTCATTTCGGATTCCTCAATATTCATTAAGTAATCCAAGGAACTCTCTAAATCAATTGATTTTGGTATTACAGGTACATCATCATGTACCTCAGTTTGGACTTCTTCTTGTGCTTCAGTATTTGTATCTTCATGCACATCCTCGACTATATCAATAACTTGAGGAGAAGTTCTCTCTTCTTGTTCAGAGCTACTGTAAGATGGTATTTCCACTTTGTTTATCTCAGCGACTTCTTCAATTGCACTAGCTAAGCTTTCATTTGCTTCTATAAGTTCAATAGACTCTTGTATATCATTGGTAGCGACAACTTGCGTGCTGGTAGGCAAATTTTCTCTAAATGAAAGGGAAGAATTATTTGAAGATACAGAATCACTCTCTTGTGAGGTTTCGGGGTTTTCTGGAGTTACTATTTCATGTTCTTCAACAGCCGTTGAATGAGCTTTGAAATTTTGAGATTGGAAAGTATGCAATTGCGAGTCTTTAGCACTTGGATAATCGGTCTCCGTAGAAATTGTATTTTCTTTCAATTCTTCGTCATTGGTTTCATTTTCCTGATGCAATTCGACTTGTACTTGTACTTCTTCTGCCTCTATTTCTTCTGGAACTATATCAGATTCTGAATCAACTTGCATACTCAATGGGGCCTCCTTTTCGGTCATACCACTGGAAATACTATCATCTTCTATAATATCGGATTCATTGAATGTACTTTGAGAGAAGGTATCGTTCTCAGATTCACATACTTCGTCATTAATTTCAAGTGATGAAACCACTTGTATTTCACTGGTGGGTTGAGAAGCTTCCAGCTCGGTAGCAATAGATTTCTTAGCATTTTTCCTCTTCCTTCTTCCTTTCTTCTTAGATGGTGGTTCTACGAGCTTCGAGTTTAACATTGCTGTAAATGAATGAATATCAAACGGATTGATAGAACGTTTCTCCTCAGAAACTTCTGAAGGCTTGTTAGCTTTATTGCCTTTCGTATCGTAGGAAGTCGATTTACCAGTTTCTTCACTAGATTCATCTAATGGGGTGAGATTAACTAGCTCTAAGGCCGATTCTGATGGTGCATCTGTTACCCTCGTAGTTATTTGAACTGTTATTGGATGGATTATCCTTTTTATTATCCACTAACGTCTCATCTGTTTCTACAGCAGGTGGCTCAGCTGGATCTTTGTTAGCTTCTTCTGGTAAACCTAAGCATTTTCTCACTTGCGGAAGATGCTCAATCTTCTCTTTGATAAATACTTCAATATTGATCAGAAGAGCTGTATGTGTAGAAGCTAAGATAGTATCCAATTCCTCAAACAGAGTTGGATTGACCAGAATATCCAGCAAGTATTTTAACATAGCGTCACGGTAACTAAATAATAAGAACCCTTCCAATTTAGTTCCCTTCTGAATAATATCATCATGCAAACAAGTTAACTGACTATGAAATTTATCCTCTACTAAGAACTTAAATAAATCCACAAATCTATTAGTATCTTCAAATTTGTCTCTAATAGATTCAAGAACAAAATTTTGAATGCACCAATTAGGAGCATTTTGCATCAATCGAAGAAAAAATTTATAGTTTTCAATTTTCCATCGGGATAAACTCAAGTGGTTTAATGCTTTCTTCATATCGTCTGAATTTGTTAAAGCAACCACCCCTTGAACGACCTTTTTGATAAAAGCTTCAAATCCAGAGGGCAAATGTTCACAAATTTTTCCACAAATCTCTATTTCATTAAGTTTCAGTGTTACCACCTTGGTACTGAAATAATCTTGTAAAAACCCTTCGATATTGATGTTATTAATTGATTCTTGGAATTTACACAAATCCAACACCACCAGTAAATCCTTATTATCAGATAATGAAGATACGATTAAATTTAATATAGTCCTTATTTGATTGTCCGTGAAGCTTGGCACTAATGAAATAACCTCATCATAAATTCCTTTAGCTCCTTTCTTTTGAACCGCCAATGTATTAGGTTGGAAAGTGTCATGCAATTGAATTAAAGTCTTATGTGTCCATTCGAACGGTAAGTTCTTTTCTTCCCCTAACAATTGCGTGAACACAAGAGGAATGCTATCAATTATATCAAGAGTAAGCTTCGACTCTTTGATTTCTTTTTTGGTAACAAGTCTTATACTTCCTAAGAACGAATAAAAGAAATTGGACTTCTTCTCAATACTTAAGAGTTTCAGCAGGAATATCAAGACAAGACTATGCAAAACTTTATCAAATTTAGTATGAACCCATCTTGGTGGTACAGAATTGATTTCAAGTAAACTCACAGGTTCATTCGACAAACATCGAACTTCGCTAAAGTTACTCTCGGTAGTTGGCATTGATGGTTTGATTAAACGACTCAATACCATGAATCCTAATTCATGCATATATGGGGTTGATTCTCCCTTTTTGAAATAGAAGTTCAACATGACTGGTTGTATTAATTTATCCCAATAAATGTGTAAATATTTGTGAGTAGCAAGTTTGATAATAAGTGGATTAATGAATGAATAAAGTATGGATATGAATAGATTATGTAAAGCATCGATTACTTCTTTAGGCGCAGCATATGCATTCAAACTTGTGAACAAATGAGTCAATAGTTTGATTTTTGGTTTGAGTGAATTGGTGATGGCTTGATTCTTTTCTTCGACAGATATGTTGGATCTCAATATTGGTTCCACAACATTCTTCAAATTATCAAAATCTTTAAATGAGACATTATATATAACAGCTCTCCAACTATTCAAAGATAAAACCATTGCGTAGGTATCTTCCGAGTTAAAACAGACTTTAGGAACTCTTAGCCATCTAGTTAAGTTGTTCCATTTTTCAAATGGCGTTGTGTTGATTTTACCACCTAACATTATAGTTATGGCAACCCAGATATCCATAGCTACTTTATAATGACCATCATATATCAAACTTTCAAGTTTGGATTGAATATAATCTATACCGGTTGCTTTTGAAGGAGTACCAATTTCTAATGACGAGTCAAATACTAATGATTTAGTGTTGGTCGATATCTGGGATGAAAGAAACTGATCAAGTACTTCCAGAACAGAGATATTCAGAAGAAACACTTTTGCAACTTCAAGTAAGGAATTAGTACCAACACCTATGCATTTATTAAAGAACGGCATTGGAAGACTGCATACGTTCATAATTAGAATATCTAACCAATGGTTAATATTTTTAGCCATGATGTTTGGGAACGATATCACAAAATTTCTGAAACAAAGAAATCTTTCAGTGATGACAGAAGAACTAGGAGAACTTTTCATATTTATTAAACTCCTGAGCATGGTTTCTGGTATTTCTGATTCTAGTATAGCTCTTTTTCTTTTATTACTGAAACGACAATCTTTCATGATGATTAAATATGGCAGAATTAATGCCTTTGAGATAGTTGATTTTAATAACATACTACTAGCATGCATGTAGAACCATTTAGCATCTTCAATTGGCATGAAATTATTCAATTCTTGTTCTAGCAATATATTATTGATCAATTTAAGAGCTTGTACTAGTACTCTTATTCTGAAAGGGTCATTCTTTGATGGTGATCTAAGATTTTCCTTGTCTACCTCAGATTGGAATAATTCTGATTCAATGTTAGTTATATCATTTTTGATTATAGCACTTAATTCTATAATGTAATGAGTTTCATCGGATACGTTTGCATTAATAAATAGTTTCTTCAATTGATCAACTGTATTAGTCTTGAAGATATTGTTCAATGTAGCATATACTTCAAATCTTTTCGTGAAATCTCGATCTTTTAAATTCTTGATACAACCAGTTATTAAATCCTGTAGTTTAGGAGAATTTGGCAGAAGTTGAACAACCGTACCTTGAATCCAGAATTTACCATTAGAAGGTCCGTAAACTTCAGTTTCTCCGTCAATTGATCTTTCCCACAGGTGTATATTATTTGGATCATTTTGTTTTAAATCTTTATCTTGATTGCAAGTCTTTAAAATTGATTTTCTTGGGGTCTGTTTATCCGGAGAACTTGGTAAATCAGAAATCAAATCATCTGAGAATGCGACTGACTTCTTTGCTCTTAATGGTGAAGAGAATTGATTGGCATGAGATGGTGATAGCCTTATTCTTTTGATTGGTGATGAACTAATCTGTATAGAATTTGTATCATTTGACGGTCTTTTCAAAGGTTTAGTTGGAGTCATTATTATATTTTTATTACCATTACCATTTCCTGATTTCGAATCACCTGTTATGTTGGTCGCTAGAGAGACATCTTTAAGATTAGACCGTGTTCTTGGTCTTGATAGTCCCACATTTCTAGATCGAGCCATATTGTATTTGCTTTCATATATATGGCTTCAAACAGCCTAATTTGAAAAAAAAAATAGCAATTCACAGGTGGAGTCTAACAATTGACAAGCAATGAACTGGAATCTCTAATATTATATGTTGAAATGGTTGATATCTTTCCTGTTATAACCTCTATTATCAAATATTATACTACGGTATTTTTGAGACCTTCAAATTATTTTGCATTTTGTTTCCTCAAAAAATTTTCTGACGCGTTTTGTTACACAAAGAAAATTGATCTTTATATTTATTATTATTACATTGAAACTATTTACACTTTTTGCTTCTTTGTTAGGGTATTTGAATCGTCTTCATCATCTATAAGCGGTCTCTTTCTATCGAGGGAGACGATTTCACCTAGGGTATCTGGTTTTACTAATTCACCAAATGATAACCATTGAGAACGTCTCGCTTTTCTAAATTTCTTCCACGATTGTAAATTGATTGATTCTTCACCTACATCTCTAGCATCAACTTCATTCATTTCTATATCGTAATTTTCTAACTTGTTTAGCCCTCTTTCGATCTTCATCTTTCTAGAAAGTTGTGGAGTAACATAGGTATTAAAATACTTCTTGTTCTTAAAGGGTAAATATGCGGTTAACTTTTCAACTGCGTCTTGCAAATCTTTTTCAGTTAACAATTTATCATCGAATAATGGTTTATTAGTCTTTGGATCTTTACCAAATAATAACCATCCACACCATACTTTATCGGAAAAGTTAAGAGACTGAATCAAAAATGCCAACAGAGAGTCAACAGATTTAATTTCATTGATAATTTCCTTTTTCATTTTGTAAAGCTTTCCCTTTATGGTGTCAGGACAAAAATCTTCTGTGATATGTTTGATCGAACTTGGAGCTCCTAATTGTTTTATAAAATCGGCTTTATTATCACGTGTAAGTTCAAAATAGAATCCACATAAAATTGAAATCATAATAATGTATTCCAAGATTACTTTTGGTTCTTTACTAAGATCATTAAAATAATCTCTATCTTCCTTTAAAACATCAGCAGGATTACTAGATGTGAAAGCAGTCTTTAAATAGTTTTCAGGATAATATTGTAACTTTGAGAATTTGTTAGTTAAATACTTTTTAGTTTCTTCTGATTTTGAATTGTGAATTTCAAATTGATCACCAACTGCAAGTTTCTGTTTTTCTTCAAGGAAGGTATGAAGGACCATAAGCATCTTTTCAATTATAATGGTTGCATCTTTCGCATTTTGTTTCTTTAAATAATAATATGGATCATTGAAAATACGATGAATAGTAACAAGATCTTCTAGAAAGTGACTTTTAAAAGTCAAATCGATTGGAACTCTTTGTGAAATATGGAAAAACTTATTAAGACCAGTATTATCTTCAAAATTGAATAAATTAGATATGAATGCTCTTAATCTATACTGGAATCTATCGTTGAAATTATCCTTTAAAATAGAGCTTTTGTTTCCTTTGGAATCAATTGGAATGTACTTGTCTGTCAAACTATTACAAATTTCAAGAATGGATATTCTATCATTAATGGCAGCTTTATTGAAAACATGTTGTTGAATAGTTTTACCTCTACTTTCGATATAATACCAAAATACTTCAACTTGACTGGTAGAAATTGAGAACAATAACTTCAGAATTCTCGAAATACTTTCATAGAATATAGGTTTTGAATTTGGATAGATATTTCTTATGACATAGATTTGGAAATCCAATAAAACTGCAAGTTTGGAAAGAAGACGTAAATTAACTGTTTTCAACTGATGACCTTTGACATTGACTGTATCAGCTCCCTTTTCTAAAGGCAAAAATGCTCCCGTTTTATCTTGGAATACTTTGGAAATATAAGTATAGAATGCTGAACTTAATACTGTGAGTTTGACATTATCTTCAATACCATCATTAAAATTCTTAATTCTCACGGCTTCATCTTCGCCTGAATTGGATATATTGTTAGTGTCGATCGAATAATCAAGTTTCACTTCCTCCACTCTTTCTTGGAATGATTTTCCATAGGCTTCAAAATCTCCTGATTTAACTTCTTCAAAGAGAAGATTTTCTTCAGTCAACAGAATTGAGTATGCGAGATCGTCTATCAATTCGAGTACTTTCAGTATACTCTTCGATATATCCCTATCATGATTCGACATTGTCATAATCAGTTGTTGTATGTTTGAAGTTGAAGGTTTGAAGATTGATCATATATTCATTGTTGGAAATATTCACAACATATTTTACTTACAATATTTGATTTGTGCACGTACCAATTATATCTTAACTATGAGTATCAACACTTACTATATGGAATTATGTCTATTTACAAATTATACAGAACTTATTACTTACAAGTCGAACTTTTTGGTTCTATTCTTCTTCTTATCACTCTTAAGTTTCTTGTGGAAGAGTCGTTTTTCCTTAACGTCTTCCTTTATTTGATCCCATTTCTCTAAATCTTCTTGACTTACTTCACCTTCAAAATATACGGTTTCCTTTATGGCAGTTAATAACTTCTTAAAGCATTCACCTGTATTCACATCTCTATTTCTAGATGCATCACTTTGAATTAATAAACTTCCCGTTTTAGTTTCATATCTAATTGGTTTAGTGGATATTTGCGATAGTATAGGTTGTGGTATCCAATAGCAAAATTGAGGATTAAGCCATTGATGAGGTTCAAGAGCTACCGTAGCTTTTGATGAAGTCTTATTAACTTTCTGACCACCAGCACCAGATGCTCTGCTATATGATATATCAAATATCTTTGTCGGTATATGTTCTATTGTAACACTATTCAACCACAGTCTAGCTTTCTCAACCTCATCTTTACTGAATTCGGTAGATCCTGAATTATAGCGTAGACCTAATCCAAATCTTAGCTGATTCCATACCCTATTCTGTATGGTACCAGTTTGTAAGAGGGTTAACCTATTCATAGGCTCAATACGTGTAGCAATCAATCAGTTTAAGCAATCATCAAAATTTGCATTTCTTAATTTTTTTTTGGCTGTACACAAAATGTTAGCAGCAGCCACACTCTCTTTGGATCATTTTTGATTTGATTTTTATATATTTGTATCATATTTAAGTTTATAAACTTTATTTAATTAAAACTAAAAAGCAAACATTAAATAGTAGTGTGATTAGATACTCACGTACTTAAGCGGCTTCTAAGACTTTTGAAGCATCAGAAACATCAACTGAAGTATTATCTGGTTCAATAAAGGTTTTAGTAACTTTACCATCTTCAACTAATAAAGTATATCTTTTAGATCTATCATTACCAAAGAACTTAGCAGCATCGAAGAGTAAATCTAATTCCTTGGTGAATTCACCAGCTGGATCAGCTAAGAATTTGATTTGAGCACCTGCAACACTAGTTAATAATGAATCACCCCAAGCTTTAGTTACAAAAGCATCATTGACAGCAATAACGTAGAATTTTTCATAACCTTTATCATTAAATCCACGTAAATTCTTTAAATAACCTGGAACATGAGAAGCAGAACAAGCTGGGGAAAAGGCACCTGGAACACCAATCAAAACTGCCTTACCTGTACCAATTTCTTCGGCAAGATTAACTTGATTACCTGGTGAAGATTCAAATAATGGAATACTTGGAATAGTACTACCAACACTAATTGAACGGTAAGAAGTTCTAAAACAACTGTTTAATCCTGTTTTAACAAGTCTGGATGAAGCTGAAGTAAACATTTTTTCTTTATGTAACGGTTATTGATGATAGAATACTATTCAACATATGAATGTGAACGATCTAGTTATTTCAAATAATTCCAATTATTAATTAATAAGTGGTGGTGCATTGTGCAGGATCAAAAGAATCTTGGTACTGCATATAGTTCAACTATGAGAATTCATCATTCTCTCAAATGGGTTTAAAACTAAATTTATTCATAGTTATTGAAGGAATATATCCATCAAATATCTTGACAATAGAATCATTTGAAGGTTAATCTATCATAAATACCGTTATATAGAATACAAAAGCAGATAAGTGCTTCCAGAATTCAAACCATACGATTATCTTAAGAAAACAACTAAGCTACCATTCAAATCAAAAGAGAAAAAGTTACCAAACATGGCATCAAAGACAAACGGTAAACAGAAGAAAGAAGAAGTGTTGCAGGAGCAAATCACAACTCAAGAAGCTCTTAAGTTATATAAGAACACTCTCAATTTCAATGTCATCAGCAGATATGATCCATCTATAAAACAACTATTATGTTCAACTTCATACTGTGTGATATATAACTTCAATGATGAATCTCAAGATTGGGTGAAAAGTGAATATCAAGGTACCCTTGCATTATATTTAAGAGATTTCACAATACCTAGTCCTGATCATGCTCCACAATACACTGATTTACAAAACTTATTCTGTTATGGTATAATACTATTAAATAGAACTAATCCAGATTGTTTTTCATTAGGTTTACTTCCTAATAAAGTCACCGAACATTATTTCCCAAATGGATTGAATAACTCTGACATTAAAGAAATGGCAGTTGAATTAAATGATAATTTGATCATAATAAGGAATTTATTAGGAGAAATCTACGGTTTATGGGTATTTAATGAAGAAGATAGAGCTAAATTGTTTAAATTATTAGAATTCTGCTTAAATGGAGATTCAGCCCTCAATAGTGAGTAAAACCTCTTGTTAAATAGCTTTTCAATATAGATTAATAATGATTTAAATGTAATCAACTTGTACTATAAATTCTAAATTTGGAAGGGTCATGTGACTGATTTCAAAATTTTATGATCGCGACAACTTAAATTTAAGGCAACTACTATCTGTTAAAGCATAACATTCTACAATTAGAATCCATCTACAAATCAATCTTATAAGAGTATACTGTGTGTCTGGGATAGTATAGAATTGATGAAGGGATCGAATGATATAGCATTAAGTGCTCAACAAAGGCAAGCATTGGGTGCTATGCCCCAACCAAATCTGCGAGCTATGCGACAACCCCTACAACTGCTGCTCCAACAGCAGCAACACCAACAGAACCATCAACAACAACAACAACAACCAGGTCAACAACAACAGCAGCAGCAGCAGCAACAACAACCGCAACAACTTCAAAGGCGACCTGACTTGAGGAATTTCCATTTTGCAAGTACCTCACAGGAAATTTTACGAAAATATGCAAAACATCCTGCTTCTTTAACATTACACATATTTGAAAATCATTATAGATTCAATAATTTAACTGATTCCAATACGATACCCAATACTTCACCCATGATTAAAGATTTCTTACGCCACGTCCTTAGAGAGGAAATTCCAGTGGAAATGAGTGAATTATTAAAAGATTTTTCTATCAAATCTTATGATGGATGTTTAATTTTACAAGTTTATGATCACAGAAATATGGTAACTACAGTAAAAAATACTGGTGCTAATGACAAATCAATTCAAAAACCAGATGGTACTACAACTGCCACTCAAGCAAGTGTCATCTCAACCCCAAAGACTTATAGAACATTATTAAAACCAACCCAATTATCACTTTATTATGATTTATTATTTCATACAGATCATGCTTTAACTAAATTCACAGATGCATTATCATTACAAATGGAATCGGAGATATTGACTTTAACTAAAAGGAAACTTGATTTATCAGTTCCATTGAATCCTTATCTATGTGATGAAGTTCTCAGACCAGAATCAGCCTATCCTAAAACAGTGTGGGATGAAGCTAAAGGTGATTATAAAGTGATTTATCTGCATCGTGAAGCTATTGATGTTCCACCTCGTAAGATTCATCAAGATGAAATGGTACTTCATAAATCATCCGAATATGAAGAAATTATGTTATTAATGTCAAATAAATATAAAGCTTCTGATGAAACTCAAGATAAGAAATTAATTATCGTCGGTTCATCTCTTACTAGTGGTCCTGCAGCTCCTGCTGCTAGTAAACCAATGAGTAAAGAAAATACTTCTGGACCTGAATCAAAGGGTAAGAAATCTGATAAATCTAGTATTGCAGCTGCTCCAGTTCCAACTCCTGCTAATTCATCAAGACCAACTGGTCAATTTATGAGACTTCGTTTGATTGAAGAAATTAGAAAGAAGAAAGAAACTGAAAAGCAAGAGGCTAAATTACAAGCTCAAATGCAATCAGCTGGACAACCTCAACCACCTCAACAAGGTGAAGGATGGCAATCAAATGGTCAAAGTCCTGAAACTAAACCCATCGATAATGCTCCTCCTGCTAAAAGAGTTAAGAAAGAAGCATTCAAGGCTAATGGATCTGCTGCTGTACCTCAATCCACGCCAGTTTCATCACAACCTTCAGTTTCACAAAATGGTGTTGCTCGTAATGGTTCATTTGGTTCAAATGCTAGTAATTCAACCCCAGTACAACAAGCAACACCTGCTCAACAAACTTCACAACCAGGTTCATCTCAACCACAACAACAAACTTCCCTTCAACAGCAGCAACAACAGCAAATCTTTCAAAATTCATTATCTGCTGAAGAACAACAATTGTTTAGACAAATGCAAAGTCGTATGCAATCATTGGGAGCTATGGGTAATTCTGGACTTACTCCAAATAGACAACAATTAACTCCACAACAAAGAGCTCAAGCCATTCAACAAATGAAAAATTTACAACAACAAATGTTACAGAAATTCCCGGTTTATTTTGAAAGATTACGTCAATTCCAATTAATTCAACAACAAAGACAACAAAAGCAAAAACAAATGCAAGAGAAACAAATGCAAGCTGCTGCTATCAAAGCTCAACAACTGCAACAACTGCCACAACAACTGCCCCAATTCTCACCACAACATGCTAATGTTGCAGGTAAGTCTGTTCCAGGATCTTCAGCTGCTCAAGATGCCAAACCAGCTGAAAAGAAGAAAAGAACCTATAAAAAGAAAAATTCCGTCACTTGATAAGGTGATAAAGTATTTAAATAATTACTGTTATAAGATTGTAGATTTAACTTTGTATTAATATATAAGAGATAAAAAAACACATTTCAAAGAATAACTTGTAACTAGTAACATAAAAAAAAAGAGGTAATAACAATTAAATTAATAAAAAAAAGATAAGAGCCATTTGTTCAACAAAACATAAAAATAATAATTCCAATAACAACCCGCAACTGGGGGAAAACCAATCCATGATAAATTTCCCTAATATGAAATAAAATACTAAACTGAAACCAACACTCAAAAACTAGTATTATGAACCAAACATAATCATAAACAAACAAATAAAAATAAAAATAAAACAAAATTATGGGAGCTAAAACAACAAATTAAATAGCTGCAAAATGAGGATATAAGAAAAATCTAAGACTTTTAGTCCTACTTTTGGGATGAGATAGTACCTCCATATACTCCTAAAGCTACGACAGTTGCTAATACATATAATAACCCTTTTCCAGCTTCTCTGGCAAAAGCTTTCACGTATGAAGTTTCCTTCTTTTCCTTTTTCTTAGCAGGTTCATCAACCGAATCTACTTCATTATCTTCAATCTCCCATAATGATCTCTTTCTTGGATTTGGTTGGATAGAGTATCCACAACATTGTGCCTCATCGACAGCAGCATCAAAAGCTGTATCTGGATTTGAATCTTCAGAGATAGAATCCCAAACTGAATCAGAATCCAAATCAGAATTTGAATCTACTTCTTCAGAATCAGAATACAATTCTGAGCTTGAATCTGAACTAAGATCCGCCACCATATTACGTAACTCTTGTGTAATTAAATCTTCAACCTCATAGTCACTGAAGTCAGAGCTATCGTTCAAGCATGCCTTTCTTTTTGACCTTTTAGCTAAATACAATTCAAGATCTTCATAATCTTCGTCATCTAACTCGCAACTTCTTTCACATGCTTGGGGAATGCAGCTGCCTTTTGCTGACAGAAGACAATATCCAACACAATGAGCATCTCTATCACTTTCGGTATCTTCTTCATCCTCTTCATTTACTTCTTCATCTTCGTCATCATCTTCAACTTCCTCTTCTTCGTCGTCGTTTTCTTCTTCCTCTTCGTCATCGTCGTCTTCGCTATCTTCATTCATGCTATCAATTTCTTCACTTCCATCTGAATTCAAGTCTTTACCAATTTCAGCTGCATCAATTTCAATCACTTCAACACCGCCGAAACTAACTTGATCTTTAGGTTGAGATACATCTCTTTCTTCTTCGATATTTTCAGACGAGTCATCGAGGTCCTCGTCTTCATCTTCATCTTCGTCATCTTCATCTTCATCATCTTCTTCTTCTGATTCTTCCTCTTCTTCTGCTTCTTCTTCCTCATCATAGTCGTAGTCATCTTCATCACAAAATTCATACACTCCTCCTTGACTACCATTTGGATTGATACCTTTGATTTCTTCTGGTTTATCATTCACTTTAGTGATGATACTACTAAGAGTAATATCAGAGGAACTATCATCATCTTCTGATACTTCTGCATCAATAACTAATGTTTTACTATCATTAGATTCTGAATCATCATCAACAGAGATATCACTTTCTGAATATTGAGGAGGTTCATATCTTTGAATGGAACCAGCCATTGCACGACAATAGAAAGAATCATCTTCTTCATCATAATCAACATCTTCTTCTTCTTCTTCTTCTTCTTCCTCATCATCATCATCATCACTTTTAACTTCTTCAACTTCTTTGTCAACTTCAATATCATCTCCTTCGTTATCAACATCGATAGGGGTAGCTTTAGTAATACCATTCGCAACATTAACTTTTGAACTTTTGCCGCCAGATAAAGGAACAAATTTAATGACATCATTTTGAATCAGAATGATGAATTCAAGAGCCACTTGAGGGAAATTAAACTCAGATAAAGGAATGACATGAGATTCATTATCTTCAAAATTATCATAAATCCTAGTAATTGATGAAGATGGTTTAGAAATGATAAATCCAATGATATCATCAGTCTTTAATTTAAAGAATTTATTACTGAAAATGAAATCACCATTCAAGATGGTTCCAAATGTTGATTCTAAATCCTTTAAATAAAATGATCCATCAATTTGTTTAATGACAGCATGTAATTTTGATAAATGACTGTTTTCAAAGTATAAATTGGTTAATGCAGCAGTTCTACTTGGATCCTTAATAGATGACCGCTTAACATATGATTCTTCACCATTTGAAAGCTTGATAACCCTTTCATTTGAAACCTTATTAGATTCAACCAACGAACCTGGAACAGTAGACATGGTGGTATGATATATAGTTATTTATTTTAATATGTATAACAAGGTATACGCGGGGGGGTGCAGAGTTGATTTGAAATCACGCTGTAACGATTGGTAAAGGAAACTCACACTCTTCTAAAAGATTGATTGTAAATGATCTGATATGTTATTATGAATGGGATTTATAATAACCTTTTCCTCAAAATTTCAAAATACGGTACAACTTTAAAAGTAACTATGATTTGATATGAGTTTGCCTCCCTCTTTTATTTATTTCCTTTATCAGTTCTTTCCTCCCCCTGCTCCCCCCTTATTACCTTTATCAGTATAATATGATTTATGCAGGACACCACACAAACTTACACACAAATTTAGAAGCGTGATCGGTCATGTGACCAGAGAGGAGCGGATTTCGTTGTCTGACAGTCAGACAGCTCTTTGTATCAAATGAGTGGTAAGGTAAAATATTTGGCAACAGTTGTTCATCGATTGATTGATTGATTAAGTTTTTGTTTCATCTTCAAATCCTTCATTCTAAGTCAAGTGAAGTGAAGTGAAGTCAAGTGCCTGTAATGACGTCCCAACAAATAGCGTATTATGGTCCTCGACCTTTACAATTGAATGATAAAATGAGACATGGCTTTGAACAAGATTACAATTCAGAAAACTTTTTGAATCTATTGGCTAATACATTCTATATCTACTTCGATGATAAACGTCAGAACACAAATGGGAACCCTATCACTACTGAGATGAAACAATCGGCCAAATTATATAAAAATTATCAACCTATAGCTGATTGGAAAGTTATGAAAGAACGTCAGAAAACTATCAGTGCCGTCTTGGTTCTTTGTCTAAATTTAGGTGTTGATCCTCCTGATGTCATGAAAACTTATCCTTGTGCAAAGTTAGAAGCTTGGTGTGATCCATCATCATTTCCTGATACTAAAAAAGCCATTGAAAACATTGGTAAATGTTTACAATCTCAATATGAAACTTTATCATTAAGAACGAGATATAAGCAATCACTTGATCCCTGTGTTGAAGATGTCAAACGTTTCTGTAATACCTTAAGAAGAAATGCCAAAGATGAACGAATATTATTTCATTACAATGGTCATGGTGTTCCTCAACCAACTTCAAGTGGTGAAATATGGGTATTCAATAGAGGTTATACTCAATATATACCTATATCATTATATGATTTACAAACTTGGTTAGGTGCTCCTGTCATATTTGTCTATGATTGTAATAGTGCCGGTAATATCGTTCATAACTTTAAAAAGTTTGTTCAAAAAAGAATCGATGATGATAATGAAGGTAATCATGATACAAGTGCTCCATCTCCAACTTCGGCTTATCTTGATTGTATTCAACTTGCTGCATGTAAAAGTAATGAACTTTTACCCATGAGTCCTCAACTCCCAGCTGATTTATTCACTTGTTGTTTGACTTGTCCTATCGATATTAGTATAAAATGGTTTATTATGCAAAGTCCATTAAAAAAGAATTATTATTCCTTATTACCAAAAAATTCAGTTGGAAATGTCATAATACCGGGTAAGTTAACCGATAGAAGAACTCCATTAGGTGAATTAAATTGGATTTTCACAGCCATAACAGATACCATTGCATGGACTTCACTTTCAAGACCAATCTTTAAACGTTTGTTTAGACAAGATTTAATGGTGGCTGCATTATTCAGAAATTTCTTATTAGCAAAACGTATAATGCCTCATTTAAATTGTAATCCAATAAGTGATCCTCCACTTCCAGATTCATTAAGATTCCATTCAATGTGGGACTCATGGGATTTAGCTATCGATCAAGTGTTTTCTCAATTAATAAAAAGCAGTAAACCTGATATAATTGCTCCAATAATAGTGGCTACTCCAGTACCTCAAGAACCACAAACACCAGCATCTCGTCCTCCATCTACCAATCCTGCTAATGGTTCATCAACAGCCAAACCTAAAGCAAATGGAACAGCTCCAGCTACCGTGACACCAATTCCAACCTCAGCTGCAACCCTCGCCAATCAAAATCTTACAAATTATCAACATTCTACTTTCTTCGAACAACAACTTACAGCGTTTGAAATTTGGTTAAAGTATGCAGGCCCATCTACTAAAGAACCTCCTGAACAATTACCAATTGTTTTACAAGTGTTACTTTCTCAAGTTCATAGACTTCGTGCATTAATCTTATTGTCTAAATTCTTAGACTTGGGTCCTTGGGCAGTCTACCTTTCGCTTTCGATTGGTATTTTCCCCTATGTATTAAAATTATTACAAAGTCCTGCTCAAGAATTGAAACCAGTCTTGATATTCATTTGGGCCAGAATAGTCGCCATCGATTATAAGAGCACTCAACAAGAATTATGTAAGGATAAAGGATATAATTACTTTTATTTGATTCTCAATTCGAATCAAAGCAATCAAATCGGTGCACCGGGAGCTCCAGGTAGTTATAGCAGTAATGGTTCTGCTAATGCTAGTATTTTAATCAATGATGATCATAAAGCCATGAGTGCATTTATTTTAACTTTATTTATTAAAGAATTTAAAAATGGTCAAAGATTATGTTTCTCTATTGAAATCATTAATAATTGTTTAAGATTTATTCAAACTAGTGAAAATCCATTGTTAAGACAATGGTGTGCATTATTATTATCCCAACTTTGGAATAAATATCCCGATGGTAAATGGATAGCGTATAAAGATGGTCATTTAAATAAGTTGTTGATGTTGATTAGTGATCCAATTCCTGAAGTCAGAACTTCAATTATTGTCGCCATTACAAATTTCTTAAGTGAAGATATGCCTGCTCAAGGTCAACAACAAGCCATGTCATCTGATGTGAGAAAAGAAGAAGTTAGACAAAATGATTTGAAATTAGCTAATACCATTTTATCCTTATTGGGAGATGGTTCTTCTATTGTCAGAAAGGAAATTGTATTTTTCATAAGTAGATTCATCAGCATTTATTCCAAGTTCTTCTTGGTTGTTGCTTTTAATCAGTTAGAAGAAGAAATCGTTTTGATTGATAATGCCAACTATTTAAATGAATTCAGAAAAAGGTCACCTGCTTATGGGTCAGTTTTCAGTTCGATTTGGAAATCTCTTTTAATCTTATCAGAAGATCCTCATTTGGAAGTGAAACAATTGGCAGAAATATTAATTGATTTCGTTATGGTTAAATTGAATGAAAGTGAATTAGGTCCATTGGTTAAGGAAATGCAAGATTATTTAATTGGAAAATCAACAGTAAATATTAGTGAAAGTTTCAAACCATCAAGTCCAATTGCAAGTAGACAAATTGGTCAAAAAAGACAAGCATCAAGTGGTTCAGTTATGAATCGTAAAAATAACATGTTAACTATTAATGGATCTTCTTTAACTACCAGGTCAGTGTCAGCCAATAATCATATCCCAAATCAGAACTATAATAATAATTCATCTGACACTGAATCAATCTCTTCATATATCAAAGGAATGTCATTTTCGAAATTATTCAAATCATTTAATATCGATGAAGATAATGAAATTAAGAATTTTTCTCGTATACTTAATTCAGGACCAATTCAAACTAATTATGGTGCTGAATATAAACCAAAGACTCCATTTTATAAAGAACGTGATTTAAGCATTCCCCCACAAATGCCAGCTGAGTCAGGATTCTTTGAATATAGTTGTGAATATTTCCAAGAGCCACAAATGTCAAAGAATGAAATTGACGAGCCAGGTTCAGAAGAGTATGTTAAACGATTATGGAGGAGAAATAGAAACGAATCGATTATTCAAGAAACTCAACCCCAGAAGGAATTAGCAGTAAGGGGTGATTGGAATAAGAATGTGATTTCATTAAGTAATAAATCACAACCTAGATGTATAAAGTTTACTCAATTTGAAAAAGTGTTGGTTGCAAGTGATGAGAAAGATAATGTTTCAGTTTGGGATTGGGAAGAAAATAAAATAGTAAAGAAATTTTCCAATGGTAATCCATTCGGTACAAAAGTCACTGATATAAAATTCTTAAATGAAGATGACTTACCATTATTGTTGACAGGCTCATCAGATGGAGTCATAAAAATCTATAAAAATTTTCATAATTGTGAAGAAGATGATGAGTATGATGAATTTAATGATAAAAAAGTTGAATTGGTTGCTTCTTGGAGAGCTCTTACCGATTTACTTTTAACTTCTAAAAGTTCTGGTTTAATATCAGAATGGCAACAATCAAGAGGTTCATTGCTTGTTAGTGGTGATGTTAAAATCATTAGAGTCTGGGATGCTCCTAGGGAATTATGTTTGGTTGATATTCCAGCCAGATCATCATCATCCATTACTTCATTAACTTCAGATCAAGTTGCTGGTAATATATTCATAGCAGGTTTTGATGATGGAACTTTAAGGGTGTATGATAGAAGATTGGATTCTCGAGAATCCATGGTGAAACTTTGGAGAAATACCAAAGGTGGTAGTAACGGTGTTCCCTCCCCAGGTAGGGTTTCTAGTGGAGGATCTATTAGGAATGTACATATGCAAAGAGGTGGTTATAGAGAATTAGTCAGTGGATCGTCAGATGGTACTGTTAAACTTTGGGACATTAGATCAGATGAACCAGTTGTTTCCTTCATTGCATCAGATAGATCAACAAGATGTATCGATACCCATGAACATGCTCCTATCATAACCACAGGATCTAAATCAGTAAACATCTGGACCACATCTGGTGATTTAGTCTCCACATTAAAGAATCCTCATGAAACTTATTTAACTAATAGAACTTCAAGTTATCTTGCAAGTACCGCATTCCATCCTCATCGTATGATTGTCGCTACCAATTATAATCAAGATGGGCATATTAATATCTACACATGTAGTGATATAAATATTGACTATTAAGTAGATACATAGAACATTAATCAAAACCAAAAGTATTTAATCTATAACATCTCGCTGTGTATATCTGTTTTATATTTTTGCAATTCCCGGTCTGCGCATTTGTAACCGAATCATGTCTGCATATAAAAAAAATTTGTAAAGGATGCAGCACACACCTTTTTCAACCCATAGCAAATAGATTTGAAATATAATTATACAACCTGAATGGTTTCATTCAAGAAGATATAGGTTAGATCAATAGTATAGTTATGTCATTATCGTCTGAGTTGGCTGCAGCCATAGAAGATCCTGACTTCATTCTTGCTGGGTCCAAGCTTAAGCAAAAAGTACATTCCAGTGATATATCTTTGAGTCAGAGAATGTTAAGTGCCTTTCTGGGATCATTAATAACATCAATGGTAGTGACGCCTTTTGATGTCATAAGGGTTCGTATTCAACAACAAGAGATACTTCCTATGGCTAGACCATGTTGTGAACCAGAAGCTGCTATAGAGACTGCTACTACAAGTAGTGCCTCCACAATCAATGCGGCACTCAAAGCCCATGGGTTACCTAAATCAACAGCAGCAGGACTTGATAGCTCTGCTCCTGAACTATTCTGGCTCCAGCATTATTGTAAATCAGCTGATAACTGTACTAAGATTACTTCCACATTCCAAGGTTTTACAACAGTTGCTAGAAATGAAGGGATCGCAACTTTATGGAGAGGTCTTTCTATCACATTATTAATGGCTATCCCATCCAATATTGTCTATTTCACCGGATATGAATATTTGCGTGATAACTTACCTACATCGAAGCATCCATTAAATCCATTAGTGTGTGGTTCATTTGCAAGAATCTTATCATCAACCTGTGTGGCACCCTTTGAATTAGTAAAGACCAGATTACAATCCATTCCAGCCGGAAAATCAAGCTCACCAAAAGTGCTATCAAACTTAATAAAAGATCTGTTTGCTACCGTGAAACAAATGGGTGTAGGTACTCTTTTCACAGGACTTCAAATCACATTATGGAGAGATGCTCCATTTTCAGGTATATATTGGTTGTGTTACGAATTATTGAAATCATCAATCGGAAATGCCTTAAAGGCAGATTTCGATCATCCAAAAGGAGGTCAAGATGATTGGAAAGTATTCACTACCAGTTTCTTATCAGGTTCAATCTCCGGTACCGTTGCTGCATTCTTTACTAATCCATTCGATGTTGGTAAAACAAGATTACAAATTACAAGTCAACATAAAATTAAGAAAGGAAACAAATATGTATATCCATCAATGTTTTCTTTCTTAGCAGATATTTATAGAAAAGAGGGGATGGGAGCTTTATATGCTGGGTTTGTACCAAGAGTATTGAAAATTGCTCCAGCATGTGCTATCATGATTTCATCATATGAGGTTGGTAAAGTGTTTTTTAAAACTGGTAATAGTAATCATAATAATCATAGAGACATTCACCTGTAAGATTATTCTACAATGTGTGATGTATTCATTTTTAATTTTAATTTAATGTAATTTCGTATTTAATTTATAGATATATATATATATATTGTATCTTGTACATAGTTTTAGGGGAAATAAAATATACAGAGAAATTATTAATTCCAATTATCAGAACCAACATAAGTATTATCTCTGAATTGAAAATGAGGTTTAATACCATCATCAGTTGAAATTCTTGAAGGATTATTGATTCCATTAACATTAATTTTATGACTTGGTTGTTCAGATGTTGTAGAATCTAAAGGCAGATTTGAATTCTGAGTATTTGCACTTGGATGATTACTTGATCTTTCATAATTTTTCATTTTATGACATTCAGCACATAAGGCATAACCTAAATCATCAATAGGTTGTGGTGATTCCTTTATAGGACTTTTAAAACTTGAATTCTTTAACACATAAATTCTATTACCTTCAGAAACTTGTTTTGGAATTGATGAAGTATGAATTCCTAATTCTTTTAATTTAATATGTAATCTTTTTGAATTTGGACCTGAATCATGTTCCATATCAGTATTTATTATACTCATAGAATATTCAATACATGAATCATCAACTTTTTTAGCAAGAACTTGTAAACTTATAACATAATCTAATAAAGATTCTTTTAATTCAGTTGATATTGATCTAACAAATTGCATTTCAGCTGTTTCTAAATTAATTGAATTTGATTCAATTTTCTCTCTTATCATTTGTGATCTATTTGAACCAGAACCAAATCTTGCTTCATAATCTTTTAATTCTTTTAATAATTTAACATTATTATCAATAGCATCTCTTCTTTTCCTTTCTCTTTGTTCGACACTGGCTAAACTTGATTTAATTTTATCCAAATTATCCATGGTTAAAACAGTAGCTGATGATTTAATGGATGATAAAGTTGCAAAATTTTTAATCATTGATTCACATGAATCACTTGGAAGATCTTTAGCCCAACTTAATAAATCAACAATTAAATCTCTTTCAATATTTCTTAACTTTTGTTCAATTTTTAACACTTTCCCAAACTTAGCTTGTAATTTGGATGCCAGTATAGAACCATAATTCGATTTATCTTCATAGACATCTTTACTACTTATAGTACTTGATTTTTCTGATTTTGATGATTGACTTCTTGCACCCAAAGTTGAAAACTTATCAATGACTTTTTGAAGGGCGGTAGTTGGTCTAGTTATAAACGTATCAGCTATACTATCAGCTTGATTCATACTAAAGTTGGAAATGGCTGTAGAATATTTACTAGAAGGATCAGGGGAATTAATTTTACTTGAAATCGGTGGTTTTTCCAAGATATCGTAATGTTGATCTAATAGCCGATCTCTTTAAAGAAACTTGTTAGTAAGGTATGTCTATGATTCATATCATAACTTATAGTTATACATACGCCATTGTTTAACTGTAGTTTAACCTTCAATCTTCGTTTTTAGAAAAGTCTATAATTGGCGGTTAAATAAATAATTTACAAAAAGTACATCCACCATAAAAAAAGGTAGCGACTCTCTTTTTTTGCACTTTTACAAAAACCTGCAAAATATGTGGTACGCCCAAAATGGAAATGTCTTTCTTTCATTACAGTGTATATTTTATGTATGTATGTCTATAGAAGATATCTACTTTTTAGAAACTTCTTCATCGATATTCAAACCTGTAATATCAGCAATTGATTTTCTTAAACTTTGAATTGAAGATTCGACGGTTTTAATACTTGAATCGGAAGTTTGTTCAATGGTTTTAACTAAGGAATCAGCTTGATTATATACAAACACTTGTTGTTCAGCCACTTGAGGTAATTTATCTTGTTCCAATTTCCAAATGAAGTTCTTGGTATTGATATAGGTTTGAGGTAAGAAATATTTAAATGATGCAATACCTAAAATGACTGGGAATGTAATTTTTGAAATCACCCCTCTTTGACGAGCAGCTATATTACCAGATAAAGTAGCTATGACAATGTAGATTGAGTTTGGTAATAAATCTTCTGATCTATTATGTAATGCACTTACTGAATCAGTTACTTGACGTTCAGTTTCATTATATTTTGAATAACCTTGATTTATATAACCTTGTAATTTTGTATAATATTCAGATGTAATTTCACGACCTGATTTGAAAAATGATTCAACAGCAGTAGGAGAACGAACTGAAATACCTTCCACGATCTTATTAGGTCCAAGTGCTTCTAATTCAGTTCCTGAAGCTGGAACAACAGTGCCTGGACGAGGAACAACATCCACTTCATCCTCATAAAATTTCCTTTTTGGTTCATTCTTTATATGACTATTGGTGTTATATACTCCCATAATAGTAGTGGCAGCAAATATAGGAACACCTACTTTAACAATTCTTTTAGCAAACATGTTTAATACTGTAATCCTGATACTTGTGACTCTGAGTATCTTTGATATTTCACTTAGGTTTTATTTGATTTTCATTCGATAGCTTTGGAAAATGTCGCCAACCAAAAATCTAACACTGCGACATACAAGATGTCGCGTTGATCTATTTTTTTTTTTTTGCTTCATATATTTTTTTTTACAGAAATCAGAGATGTGATAGTTGCAAACTTTAAACCATCAGGAGGAAACAACCCATACTATAATGCTTAGGCTAGCGAAATATAGTTCTCGTATACCGAGATCATATATTTATAAATGTGAGATAAGTTATTTACAAACGGCAAATTATTCAAATTCGATACGGAGGGAGAAATTCGATAGTAAGACGTTTGAATTCTTAACTGATCCTAATGCCAAATTCACCAATATTCATGATAATCCCACCACTATCAACCAACAAGATCCCCAACATGTTTATTCTCCAGGACAATCACTTATTCAGAAAGATACAGATTTGATATCTCCCTTTCGAAACCCAGATGGAACATTCATAAAGGGTAACAATGCTGAAGAAGCAAGATTACATGATTTAACATTAGAAGGAAGAGTTGATAAAGCAGTTACCAAACTTCCAGAAGAGATTTCCAAGGTTATAAATAATAATATATTAAGATTGACTGTTCCTGATAGATTAAGAGAAAGAGTGGCTTTAATATATCAAAGTTTAACTAATGGTCAAATTCAAAAGGCACCTGAAACATCATTAGATTGTGATGCTCATATCGGAGCTTTATTCTTACAAGAGTATAGTCATTTAAGACAAGTATTATTGGAATTACAAAAGAGAGTAGGTGCTGATAAGTTCAATCCTCAAAGAGTGTTGGATATAGGTTATGGACCTGCTACTGGGTTAGTTGCTCTTAATGAGATCATGGGTGATGAATGGGTTCCTGAAGTGAAAGAATCATATATTGTTGGAAGAAGTAATAATGAGATGAAAAAAAGAGCTAAGATTATATTATCAAGACAAATTAATGAAAATTTCAGCGAACCAGAAGAAGAAGTACAAGTTTCAGAAGAGAAAGCTCTGGAAGTTGTTGAAGAAGCTATTGAAGAACAAGTAGAAGAACAACAAGAAAATGAAGAAGAACAAATTGAAGAAGAATATGTCGGTCCTATCAAAATATCATCAATTTCAATTCGTACAAAATTAAGAGACACCTTACCTGTATCCAAACAATACGATTTAATCATGGTCAATAATGCGTTATTAACTCGAGAATTCAAATTTCCTCGTGATATAGATGAAAACATGAGCATGGTATTAAAATTATTAAAGCCAGGAGGTCATTTAATCTTAATCCAACGTGGGAATGCGGTTGGATTTGAAACTATTGCTCGTGCCAGACAAATCATGATCAGACCTGAATCTTACACATCTGAGATTGGTAAAATTCCCAGACCTTATTTAAGAGGGTCGAGTTTGAAACCACAGAAGAAGTTGAAGAAAGAGGATCAATTGATTAATGATGATTATATTGAGTTTGAGAAGGAATTATTGGAGAAGATGGAACAAGATGAATTAGAACAGATGTTGACTGAACAAGGTAAGGAATTTGAAGATGTTTTAAATGAGAAATTTGGTGAGACTACGGAAGATGATTTAAAATTTGATGGTGAAGATGAAGGAGAATTTGAAGTGATCCCACTTGAATCAGAATCTCAAGTAGAGGAAGATACTAATAAGTTAAGTTCAGAAAGTATGGATTATCATATTAAAATCTTAGCTCCTTGTGCTCATCATAAGAAATGTCCCTTACAATTAGGAGATCCTAAATATTACAAGATCCCATCTCATAAACATCGATTAAACTTTTGTTCATTTAATAAAGTTGTGGAGAGACCTAAATTCACCATGGAATTAAAAAGAGGGAAACGATTAGCTACTAGTTGGGATAAGAGTTCTGAAGATGGATTTGGATTTGATAAAATGAGTAAAAAATCATTACAATCATTAGAAGGTAGTGGTAGACCTGGAGGTAAAAACACTGAGAATGGATCATATTCATATTTAATTGCGGAAAGAAGTTTGAATGATACTGCTACTATTCAAAAGATTGAAAATGATCGAGAATTTAATAATTATGATATCCAGAATAAATTAGATATAAATAATTGGCCCCGAATTATTGATGCTCCTCATAAGATTAAAAAGAATGTTCAAATGACAGTTTGTGCCCCCAGTGGTAATATTGAAGTTTGGCAAATTCCTCGTAGTGTGGGGAAACAAGAATATCATGATGCTAGAAAAGTTGAACGAGGAGATTTATGGGCATTAGATAAAAAGAGTGTTACAGTTAAAAGTCAATTATCCGATAAAGTAAAAGATAAATTAGATGTGTTGTTAAAGACTCAAAAGAAGACATTCCTTAAAGAGCAAAGAAAACAGAAATGGAAGAGGAAAGTAGGTAAATCAGAAGAAGATTTCCATGATGAATTATATGATTCAATGGCTACTGAAATTGAAAATTCTCATCAATATAAAGCTCAAGGTAGAAGAGCAAACTATGATGTTGATCCTAGATCATTTGATGGAAAGTGAGTGGAGAGGAGAGGATATCTCAAATATAAATAGATTGAAAAACTAAATAGTCACTTGTATATATACACAATCTTGTACATAATAAAAATAAACGGATTACTGGAATTTACAAAATAAATTAAAACTAAGTATATCGTATAATTTAATAAATCTATACTATACTAAAATACAATAAAAAAGTAGTATACCGACCAACCAATTGAAAATCCTTAAAAAAGGAGATATTGGATTTAATATATGAAATCCAAGTATTGAATAATCTATAATAGAAAATGGAAATAAGGTGAAGATGAAGATGAAGATAAAGTCATGCAGTGTATGTCATTATGAATTGATTGGGGGTAATTAATTAAATCAATCAATCAATCAATTCGAAAAGTGGAGAATTAAACCTGTGATAGTAATATTTGGTAAATTGTGAAATGATAGTAGTTAGTTGAATTGCCATATATGGAAAGTTGGATTTGAACTGTTAAACTCCCTGGTCAAATTTAGGTGTAAATAAATTGAAAATTTTTTCGTGATAGTCTGTGAGGGAGGGGATGTAAGGAGTGTGGCAATTAACCTAAATCATTGAACTATATTGAATAGATTCTATGAATCTACTTCTTTCTGAAGGAACAACCTTCAGATAATTTAGCTTTACCACCAGATGGAGTACATAAGACAGTTGAACAATTATCACAAGTGACAGCAGTTTGAGCATGACTGAAAACAGTGGTGATGGTTAAACAACCTTGACATTTAACATCCATGAAATAAGATCTTGGACCTTGAACTAAGGTTTTTAATTTGTGTCTATGAGATTCTGATTCAGCAGATGGATGTAATAAATCTTGAACTAAAACCATGATGAGTAATGTAATATATGTATATAAGTAAGTAAGTAGGATAACAAGAACAAGAAGATGAAGAAGAAGATGGTAATGATAGTTAAAATTCAGTCTGGTCTCCTTAACCACAGAGAGACAGAAGAAAAATTTTCCTCATTCAAATTTAAATTTAGTGTGCTCCTGTATATAAATTCCTTTCATTTTAACCTCTTCTGACCTTTTCTTCTTTTTTTAATAAATAATGTGCTGGTGATGCCCTCCACCTTTTTAATGATCCTCCACTTTAGTCACATGTTTAAAGTATCGTGATTCAACGCGTGATTTGATTTTCTTTTTTTGTGTGTCTTTTTGTCTGTTCCCTTTTTCTGTCTGTCTGATTTATTCTCTGTTGGTTACCTGCATAAATCGGACTATAAGGTTAATCATTTCCTAATTGGGATATCGCGTTCAAACCATTTTGTTAATTGCAACCACCACACAAAATACTGTAAACAACTATATGTAAACAACAACCAGAAACACGTAATTATCTAATGATCTAATCTTCTTCATCAACCCATTACTTTGACCTTTTCCCATTCCAGTTGAATCAATCACATGCTACATCCACTCTCTATGCATATATATATAACTCGGTCTATAAACTCAACTTAATTTCGTAATCATCGTAAGTATAAATCGTTTACAATATCTATCAATATAGACGTATTACCCTATTTACCCTTGTTTACATTAATTTAACTACAGTTTGATTAACCAGGCTTAGAATATATTAGCCTTAACAATCCAGTTACAATAAACTTTTTTTTGATCGATGGTTATGAGGTTATGATCTCTCATTCAGTCATGGTTAATATCCTGCCAAGGGTATATATAAGTCAAGCTGGAAATGAACAATCAAATCGGTGATTGAATGAATGATGATTTACGAGTTATGAAAATATATATTGTCTGTTTATATAACTGTTAACTCTAATATTTATTATTTAATATTTTTCAAAAACGCCAAAATGTAAATTTATCAAACCATAACAAATAACTTCTGATCTAGACCTTATACCAGTTAAAGTTTAGTTCATACTTCGAACAACAGGCTTTAACTAAATTTAATTTGGGGTTGGTTGTCGCTAACTGTCCTGTACTGGGTATATGCATGTATACCCATCCATATCAGTAACTGAATAACATTCAGTTATCGTGTTTTGTGATCCTAATAAATGTTGTCTATCTCTAAATATCTATCTATGCTATGTGCATACATAAACAGTTGTTTCTTCAAACCCCACCATCACACACAAAATCAAACCAGAAAATGCTTTGTGTAAACAACACAAAAAAACTTTAATTCTTTTTTTTTTTGGCTGCCATTTTTATTTATAAATAACAATTCATCCCCTCCTCTTCTTGATCTGGGCTGTTGTTACTGATCTTGATATTGTGTGATCTTGATCAATCCATCTAAAGAGAGTACAGTCAGTCGATTGATCAAAAGTGATTAAGCAAGAGTACTCAATAATCGATTGCAACTGAGAAGTATGGATGCAAGAAGACTGAAAAATGGGAGATCAAGCCCTACTCATTCTAATTCTCCAACTTCAAAACACTTCAATCTTCATCCTCAATCACAACTGAATCAACAGAATCAACAGAGTCAGAATCAATATCAACATACTCATCATGGTCTCACTCGTGAACAACTTCGTGAACGCCGTCATTCAAGTGATAGTACCATCAATTATAACTTATACCTCACCAAACGAGGAGAAACTTCAAAAAGTCAAATGGGAAGTGAATTCTCCAATGCATCAACCGATCCTTATGATGATATAGATGAATTGAATTTCGATCTTGATTCAGTTATAAATCCAATTGGACCCAGTTCTCATCCTAAAAAATCAAAATCAAGAGAAATTACTTTGAAATATTTCACCTTAGCTATTATATTACTTCCTTCTATGATAGCTATCATTGTTCCATCAAATACTGCCAATGAAAACCATAAGACGGAGGATTTGGCTAATCTTATTATTGATTGTTTTATGATTATCTTAGTGAGTTGGACAATTAAATTCACTATTGAATGGCCTTGGAATTGGTTAAAACAATTAAAAGATACTCGATATAAATTAATTAATCATATTAATTCGAAATTGATTAATCAAAAACTGCAACAACAAGATCATTTGATTGATCCTGATATTCAATTATTAAATGATGAAATCTTATGTAATCGAATTGAATTATTAAAGAAGATTTTAAATTATGAAAAATTATCAATCTTTTTAGCATTAATATTTTCATTTTTAGGGTCAGGATTAATGATGTGGTCAAGAAATAATATCCTTATTGAAGATTCAAGAAAGAAAATTGTATTTAATAATTTAAATATTGGTTTATTTCAATTTTGGCAATTCTTTAGAATCATTATCTCAATAACTGAGAATTTACAACATGATTCAACAGTAGGGAATGTCATGAATCCAAATCCTAATATCAATGAATATGAATTATTAAATGAACATAATTTAAATTTATTCTTACCGAAACAACATCAATCTCAATTATCCATGGTTCTGTATTTCAGAGATAGTTTTGAACAATTATTTCAATTGATTCATATCTCGATGAATTCCAATAAACAAGATTCTCAAAAATTACAACAAGAATTCATGTCGACATTATTATCCAAGGAGAGAGATTTAAATGATTCAAAATTTGAAAATCTTCAATTAAATTCAAATTTACAAATGCAATTGATTGAAAAATTATTAAATGTTCAAAATGATGAATTCTCTAATATAAATTCCAATATTACAAAATTAGAAAGTATCATTACTGATTTGAAAAAGATTAGAAAATCATCGAATTCACCACCATCGAGAAAGAAATCAAATGTCTATGTTAAACCATTTCCGTTGAATTTATCCATGGATGAAGATGAATTAGTCACATCTACTTTAAAACCAAATAAAATGCATACTATATTTGAAGAAAATTCTTCTCGTCCTAATTCAAATTCAAATTCTCCAAGAGTTCCATATATCGATCATGGTAATAATCGAAAGGTAGCGCCTCCCCCTGAATTACCTGATCGTGCTGGATTTTCGTTACATGGTTTAGCATCATCTATAGAGGTTTTACCCGGGAAATCAAAGGAAGATATTATAAGAGATGTAGGATATGATGAAGCAAAGTTGGCTCCTCCTATGCCTATTATTCTGATGAATGATCCCAATTTCTCTATCCTTGATAATGATAATGAAAATAAAGATAAGAATCTTAAAAAATTTCATCATAGAACCACATCAACTATAAGAAGTACATTTCAATTACTTCAATCTATCAAACGTGAAATTTCCATTTTTGAAATCATAAAGAATCCATTCATTATAAGACACATTGTCCAAACCAAAATCATTCCTCTCGTAAGAGAAGATATCACTCAGAAAGTGCAAAGAATATCAGAAGATTTACAATGGTTTAAAACTTTGATATGGCAATTAAGCAACACCTATGTGTTTATGAATGTTAATCTTATGATTGAAACCATGTTGAAAGTTGATAGATTCTATTTACAACCATTAAGGAATGTTAAGAATTTCTTAATCTTAATCTTTACTAAGATTCCGTTAAATATCTTAGAGATTTATTTTGAGATTATGATTTTCATCCCTAAGATTTGGATTAAATTATTCATTCTTAATCCGATTAATATGGTTCATGATTATGTGATTGGAAGTAAATATGAAGATGGAGAAGAAGAAGATATTGGCGAGGAAGTTCATAATCATCATCAACCAATGTTGAATAAACCTCATACTATCCGGATGATCAATAAAGAAGATGGATCTAAATTTGAAGGGATGAAGAAATTACACTTGAAGAAGAATCATAAACTTGATCAAAAGATAAATAATCAACGCAAACAAATCAGAACTAGAGATATATTATTACAGAAATTAGTGGATAATTATGATTTGCAATCTCAAGATAAGTTTGATCCATATGAGTTTCCTGAACCAACACCTGTGGCAGTATATAATGAATAATTAAGTGGGTATCTCTCCTTTTCTCTCATCTTATCTATAGTATAATTTACTATATAGCAAATAAAAGTTGATCTCAGATACGAAATGAGCAGAGATTAAAAATTTAATGACAGAAAAAAAAATATCTCTACTCCATAATTAAAAAAGAGCTATCAAATCCACAATTAACAATTCACAATTAACCATACAAGTCATATACACCTTTCTTGATACTTCTCTGGCGAAGAATATCAGTGTCATTCTTTGCATATCGTCATATCATAAGTTTCCAAAATAGCCAACAAACGACGTCCCAAGAAAATTCGTCCTCCTTACAAGAGGTACGTTTATAAGTCAAGTTTCGCTGCCGTCAAGAATAGTAGTGATGAAGAAGATGAAGAAGATGAAGAAGAATTCGATGAAGGTGGTGCTGTTGGGGGTGAGAATAGAAAGGGAGGTCTAGCTTCTAAGGATCAACAGGGGAATTATAACGATTTCAATCGAAAGACTAATCTCAATATACGATCGATCTATGTTCTTACTAATCAAATCGATTATACTCATAAAGTTTGGCCCAAATCCCAATTTGAAAAAGTAGATGTATTGAAATGTTGTTTGAATGATAGGAATGAAGATTATATGGAAGAAAAAGTGATGGAAATTGAACCTGAACCTCATTCTGAACATTTAAGTGAACTTCAATATAGAATAGCCACCAATCAAATGAAACTACCGATTGAAATATTCATGCATATATTTGAACTTTTATTATATCAAGGTAAATTGAAACCGAAATACTTGAGGGTTTGTAAATTATTTTATGATGTGGTTATGCCGATGTTATATCGAAGTCCTCGATTAAAAGCTAGTAATTTCTTTGCCTTTGTGGAAACTATATCCAATAATAAATCGATTGGAAGTTATATTCGTCAATTGGATTTATCTTATATTATTCAAACTGGTAAGAATGCTTATGTGGCGAAATTATTAAAACGATCCAGTAAAAGTTTAGAAATCTTTGTGGCACCTCAAACTAGTTTTGGTTTAGGTCCATTAATTGCATTAAAGAATTGTGTTTCATTAAGAGTTTTAGATTTAAGATTAGTATCTGAAACATTAAACCTTGAAGAATTATTCTCATCAATCCGAAATTCAACTAATTTAACTCATTTATCATTCCCACGATCATCGATTGAAATTAATAATTTCGAATCAATATCTTGGCCTTTAAAACTTTCATTTTTAAGAATATCAGGTGGAATATCTGATGATTTCTTACGTCATTCAAATTTCCCTTCTACTTTAACAAGTTTAGAATTCACTCATTGCCCTTACATAACCGATCTTGGTTTAAGACATATCTTATATCAATATGGTCCCAATTTAAAATCAATCAAAGTTCAATATCCTATGCCTGGGTTAACTAAGGATACCCTTGATTCTGTATTTCAATTCTGTCCTAACTTAATCACCTTGGAAATCGCCGTCGATTATATCTCCAGTTCATTCTTCGATAAAGAAAACTTAGGATTCTTAGATTATCCTCGTCCTTTAAAGAATTTATATATAAACAGTAGTGGGATGTTAGGTACTACTACAAAATTAGATCCTATTGATTTGGCTCTTGCTATAAATGAAGATAGATTACCTTTACTTAAGAATATCTCCTGCACCGCCAAGTTAGGATGGGATCCTAAATCTGAATCGGTCGGTTACATCGTCGATGAACTCGATGAGAGAAATGGTGGTTTATATATTGGTTATTAGGACATAGTTCTATGTATGTATTATAGTTGTTTTTATAGAGCGCAACAAGCAACAACAAAATAAATTAAAATATCGTCGCAGTATCACGAAAAAAAAACTGGGCTGTAAATTTGTAAATGTAGACCTGTTTGATCTGAGTTGGGTTACAGTGTTCATGAGTTATCTATGAGTTTATCTATCATACTACCTCAGAAAGCAGATAAGCTAAGTGAGGTGACATCAATTGATAAGTTTTTATTCCATACCAATTCACTGAAAAACAGATCAATTGTGTTTTATGATGAAGCGATTGTGGGATATATCATTTATAAGAATAGTGAGAAAGTGGTATCAACGCCAGTGTATCTTGATATAACGATCTTGCCCGCTGATATTGTGGAGAATCAATCATCCAAGACATTGTTTAAAGCTACTGATTCAAAATCTACTGCTGAAAATGGGAACGGCAATGGTAATGGCAATGTTGGTAGTAATAATAATTTAAATAATTTCGGTATCCTTAGTAAAACACTTAATGAAGAACATGTGGTATTCCAGGGTTCCATTGAAGGGGATAATTATAAAATATGGAGGTTTGAAGTTCCTATAACGTATCCTAAGAAGAAATTCACCAATCCAAGACTTTTATTAGCATGTTCTTTAAATGAACATGAACAATCAGAATCATCATCAGATGGAAATATAGTACCAGCTAAAAGTAATGAAAGTTTACCTGATTATACCCCTGATGAGAATAAAAATATCATGAATGAATTAAACAATCAGTTATTGATAACATCATTATCAGATACCACTTATTCCTTATCAAATAAAATATTAGGTACTAATAAATCATCTAATGGTAATGAAACTCCTAAAACTATCACCAGTCCAACGTTGACAAAAGAACATACACCCGAACAAACTTTCATTCAATCAGTTGAAAAACAAGAGTCATTGGCCTTAAAAGCATCTATAAGCATCCCTGTTTCGGCATCATTAGTCATTAAAATAAAATCAACCAAACCAGCAGGAAGAAATAATATGCTTTTGGCCACGTTAAATATAGAGACATCTGAAGATTTAATTAAATTCCTTGAAGGTGAAAATTTGGATGATTACTATTTCAAAGTATCAAGTACTCTCTTGGAGTTTAAATTTGGTGAAGTTGAAGAGATTAAGACTGAAGAATTTTCATTTCCAATGGTATTTAAATTAATTGATTCCATAAATTTAACTTATAAATTGATTAATAATGAATTCTTAGACACCGAAGCTAAGAGTCTTGATACCAATAATAATTATCAATTTACAAGACCTGTAAATATTAAATTAGACTTGCAAGTTCAAAAATATATTCCTGAATTAGATACTATGGATACTATAAGTAATATAATCACTACTTCTTGGTCTCCATATTTGGATTTCAGTATTATAGCACCACCTATCAATAATTTATTAAAATCACAAACTTATTACTCCCAAGTACAATCACAACCACAACCAAGTCAAAGTGTATCAGTTTCAAAAACTGTTAGCACGAGAAAATCAGCCATGATGAATAGTTTATATAAATTGAAAAGTCCGAGTGGGAATCTATATAATTCAAGTATGCAAAATTCAAATTCATCATTAGCAAGTGTGGGTAGTTTTGCCAGTAAGAAGAAAAATCTTATGGGATCAACTGCTTCATCAGTTACAGTTAATTTAACTACTAATAGTAATTCATCATTATCAGGATTAAAACTTACATTTGAAGGGAAACTAAGTATAAAATTAGGAGAAATTATAAATTGGAAAATCCAAGCTATAAATAATTCCAATAATAAATTGAATCTATCTTTACTTGTCCAGAATCCAATCAATTTTAATCCAGTTTACAGTTCAAACGCCCCTACAAATAATGTTTCATCATCAAATTTGATCAATTCAGAAAATAACCCTTCAAGTAATAGTGAAATCATCATCTATAATAAAATACAATTATATTCCCTTTATAATTCATTAAGAATCAATACTAGTGGCGTTATAATCTTAAATAATGATGTAAGAATAGGACCTTTAGATCCAAACACGGTATTCGAAACCGATATACAATTCATTGGAATTTCAAAGGGGATATTCAATCTTGATGGAGTTAAAATATTCGATATGAATAGTGGTGATGGACTTGATTTTGGGAAATTAGTAGAAGTATTCGTAGTTTAATAGTATTTATATATAGACTTTTAATAAATCGCTACCATTTTTAGAAAAGAAAATATCTTTTGTCTGTGCAACATCTGTGCAACACCCTCGGATACTCTGTGCAACACCCTCGACCATAGTTAATTTTTCACAGTTGTTGCACAGATTTTACCAACTGGTATAATAAAAGTTTTACAGTAAACCCATTAAAAAAATTCAAATAAACCACACCAACTATAACTTTAAGCATTAAACAATCATTAAAGATCCTTTTCAAATCATTTCAATAGGTAGAATATGCAAAAAAATAAGAAATTGGGGAGAGCAGGGAATTGAACCCTGGGCCTCTCGCATGTTTGTCCTCGACCTCGGAAGGTCGAAACCCAAAGCGAGAATCATACCACTAGACCACACTCCCGGTCAAATCACGTTCCATTTCACATACTTAAGTATCTGAATCCGGTCAGGTTCCGGGCGGGTTCCGAGCTGTTACTCGTAACACGCACTGGGAATTCTACCAGTGGACCACATTCTTTTTTTTCTTGAAAAAAATGACCAGTACTTTTCCTAGAACTGTTGAAATATTAGAAATTTTATGTTGAAAAATTTTGACCTTTTTGGCAGAGACCATATATATTTGTTGTATTATGAGAGGTAAAATGGTTGAAAGTATCTTTTGGAATTTATTAGATTTAATTATCTCAAATATTGGTGCATTTAATGAGATTTGTTTGAATTTTTTGAAAAAATAAATTTTGCAATTTTTTTGAAAATATATAGTTAAAGTCAATTCAATATTATTTACATGAATTATTTTATAACTTGTAATTATATAACTTTAATAGGTCCTGGGAATGAGTTAATCTTTAGAAGATTAACGAGAAGAATGATAGAATCCTTGTAAGGTGTATTCTGGCACTTTTTTATGGTGCTTAAGTTATTGCAAAACTGCGAGCCCATTTAACAAAATGAATAAGCTGAAAGCAAAACTTGGAGACAATTAAACTGTCTTCTTTAATACATAGAAGAAGAGGTTCTTCAAATTATCTGAGGCGAATAGTTAGTAATCAACTATATGAATAATTTGTGTATTAAATCATAAGAAGTAATTAATTGTTACGAGTAATATCTGCGTAACAAATTTTTATGTGAACTGTTCACAGACTTCTCTTGCCATCTTCAAGAACTACTTATCATAAGAAAGCTTGTTAATGACTTGGGAAGCTTAATTAAAATAGTAAGGGATTATGTAGATCTAATGGTAACATATCCTTGTGGTTCGTAAGAGATATTTCAAAATCGTAGTATTCTAACCAGATAGTATTTCATTTTTTTTTACAGCACATTTAAATTTTTACAGTACAAGCTAATTTTTTTTACAGCACAATTTCTTAATCCATCAATTATTCTTCTAATCGAATCAATAGTATCAATGAATCTCTATAAAGAAAGTCTCTGTCTAACGTTATACGTCTGTTGTCTCTTAATACCCTTTTATCTCAATTCTTATTGTTTGATTCTTCAGGTGGATGGTAAACAGAAATCAAAATCAGTTACATCATATTATCCATTATCTCCCATCAATTTGTTCATCACAGTGGCGTTGAACTCAATTGCATATCTCTTGTTACGGGAATCCAATCAATCTATCCCCGTATCTCTACTTATCGTATTATTTGGACACGTATTCCCAACTTGGAGGGCAATTCGATTACTTAGAGTGGGTGTAACTATTACGATTGTTATCAAAATAGCCAAACCTAAAAGAGAATAAGCCAGCTGTCCTTTGAGTCATTTGTTCATCAGAGTCAAATTACATTCTACATATGCTTACACTGCCTCATAATCCCCTCTATATCTTTCCTATAGAGGTGTTACATTACATTTTAAGGTTTGATTGTCAACCTTTTGGTTAGTTTCTATTCTTAGCTTAGCCCTCACAAAATTTTATTAGCCGTATGCTAGGTTGGCATTTTTTGCGAAAAAATGTATTTGGTCGTAAAAATCACCATCATAAATAACGTGGAGAACCCTTTGAAAAACTTGGTTTCTTTATATGCTTAATTCATTATTAGAACTCAATTGAACCATGTCGATCGATTTTGAAGCATTGACTGCTAAACAAGGTTACCCACTTTGGGAACATACCCCAGAACAAGTATTAAAAGTTGCTGATGAAGTGATTAAAAGTGAAAAGGAACTTTATGATCAAATTGCCACAGTCGCAACTCCTACTTTGGAATCAGTGTTGCAACCTTATGCCACTTACTCTAATGATAATTCTTTCCTTACCAGTCAAGTTACTTTTTATCTGCATGTATCAACTGATAAAGAATTGAGAGATGCTTCCACTAAGGCTGAAGAATTAATGGATAATGCTTCAATTGAACAATCTTTAAGACCTGATGTTTATAAAGTATTTGATGCTTTATATGATTCAATTAAAGATGAAGATGTTGATGCAGAACTGAAAAGATATGTTGAGAAAACAGTTAAATTCTATAAGAGAAACGGGTTAGCTTTACCAGAAGAAGAAAGAAATGAAATCAAAAAATTAAAAATTGAATTAAGTAATTTATCACTTAAATTTTCAAAAAATTTAAATGAAGAAAACGATTTCCTTATTTTCACTCCAGAAGAATTAGATGGAGTTCCTGAAGATGTTATTAATCAATTTGAAAAAATTACTGAAGATGGAACTGAAAAGTATAAAATGAAGTATAAATATCCTGAATTTATTCCCGTCTTGAAATATGCTAAGAATCAAAATACAAGAAAATTGACTTATGTTGGATCTCAAAACAAAAGTCCTGAAAATGCTGATATATTAACTAAAATTATTAAACTTAGATTTGAAATTGCTAAGAAATTAGGCTATGAAACTTATTCTGATTATGTTTTAGAAGAAAGAATGGCTAAAACTAGAAAAACTGTATTAGATTTCTTAGATGATCTTAAATCTAAATTAAAACCAGTGGGTGCAAAAGAATTAACTAAAATGAAGGAATTCAAAAATTTAGAATTAAAAGCAGAAGGTCTTGAATCACAAGATGAATATTATGCTTGGGATTCCAGTTATTATAATGAATTATTATTAGAAAAGGAATATAAAGTTGATGATATCAAGATTTCTGAATATTTCCCAATGGATGAAACTATTGCTAAAATGCTTCAAATTTATGAAAAATTATTAGATATCAAATTTGTTAAATTTGAAAATCCTCCAAAAGCTGCTACTTGGCATCCTGATGTTAAAATGTTCGCTGTTTATCAAAACATTAAATATGGAGAACCAAAACCAGAATTCATGGGTTGGATTTATTTTGATTTACATCCTAGAGAAGGTAAATATGGTCATGCTGCCAATTTCGGTTTAGGTCCAGGTTATACTGAAGCTGATGGTAAAACCAGACATACTCCAGTTACTGCTTTAGTTTGTAATTTCACTAAGCCATCGGCTGCAAAACCATCATTATTAAAACATAATGAAGTTACTACTTTCTTCCATGAATTAGGTCATGGTATTCATAATATTTTATCCAAGACCACTTATGCTAGATTCCATGGTACTAGAGTTGAAAGAGATTTCGTTGAAACTCCATCTCAAATGTTAGAATATTGGACCTGGGATAAAGCACAATTAAAATTCTTATCATCTCATTATAAATCTGGTGAAACTATTCCAGATGATTTGGTTGATAGTTTGGTTAAATCAAAGAATGTTAATAATGGTTTATTCAATTTACGTCAATTACACTTTGGTCTCTTTGATATGAAATTACATACCATTGCTACTGAAGAAGAATTAGCCAAATTAGATTTAACCAAATATTGGAATGAAATGCGTGAAGAAATCGCTTTAGTATCAAGTGGTGGAATCCCAACTAAGGGTTATTCATCATTTGGACATATTGCTGGTGGATATGAAAGTGGTTATTATGGTTATTTATTTTCATCTGTATTCTCTGCTGATATTTTCTATACTTTATTCAAGAAAGATTTATTAAATACTGAAGGAGGTATTAGATATAGGGATATTATCTTAAAGAGAGGAGGTTCCAAAGAGATTAAGGATAATCTTTTTGAATTATTAGGTAGAGAACCAAATTCAGATGCTTTCTTAGAAGAAATTTTTGGAACTGCTTAAAGTTAAAGTTAAATAATGTTAAATAATTGAAATCGTAATATATATTATTATATGAGAGAAAAAAGGAACAGTTTATACAAGTAATCTAGGCGTCAGTGGCTTGAGTTTCAAATGGAGTAAGTTTAGCAGTACTTTCATTCCATGAAGATCCAAAATAAGTGATGTTTTTAATGGCAGCAATAATATCTTCATAAGTACCTCTAACTTGTTTAGTTGAATCTCTTTCTCTTAAAGTAACAGATTCATCTTTAACAGATTCGAAATCAATGGTAATACCGAATGGAGTACCTAATTCATCATTTCTAGCATATCTTTTACCAATTGAAGCAGAAGAATCATCAACTTTGAAAGGAATTTGTTGTTTTCTTAAGAAATTAGAAACTTTTTCAACTACTGGTTTTAAATCAGCACTATTTGATAATGGAACTAATAAAACTTTAGTTGGAGCTACTAATGGAGGTAATGATAAAACCCCTCTATCAGCATCTTCAGGTCTTGACCAGAATTGATGTTCAAAGATTGAATAAATAATACGACCAATACCGAAAGATGGTTCAATCACATTTGGAGTGAATTCACGAATATGTTCAGTTCTTTTAACTTTTTCAATCTTGATTAAATCGGTATCTAATTCAGTTTCACCTTCAACACCATCAATTTTAACAGAGATTTTACCAGCGGTAGATAATTCTTTACCGAAATTTTCTAATTCAGTTTGAGATCTGTTTAATAACCATTTTTCAATGGCACCAGCATCTTTTCTGAATTTTGGTCCGAATTTCTTTTTAGCAATTTCAATTTCAAATTGTTCAATAGTAATTGGTTCAGCTAATGGTTGTCTTACAACCAATTTTTCATTAGTTCTAGCGGCATGAACAGTTAAATCATAAGCGGATCTATCAGCGCAACCAACACATTCTATCCAACCATAAGAAGTTTGTAATTCAGCATCCCAACAATCAGAAGCATAATGGGCCATTTCATTACTCATATGTTGTCTAAATCTTAATCTATTGACATCAACCCCGATTTTAATTAAGAATAAATAAATTCTAGCGATGAAATAACCAAGAGTTTCATTATCAACTAAACCAGTAGCAACGGCTTCACCAATGGATTTTTTAATAAGTTCAGTTGAACCAGATTCTTGAACTTCCTTAGGTAAGAAACTTAATTCGATATGTTTCACTTGATCGAATTTAGCATGAGATTTATCATCTGGATCAACGAAATGTTCAATTTCAGCCATTAAGAATTCACGAACTCTTAATAAGCCAGCTCTTGGAGCAATTTCATTTCTGAATGATTTACCAATTGAAGCAGAAGCAAAAGGCATTTTTTCATTATTAAATTCTAATAATTTATTAAAATTTAAAAATTGACCTTGAGCAGTTTCAGGTCTTAAATAACCTTTCAAATTACCGGATGGACCAATAGCAGTTTCAAACATTAAGTTGAATTCAACTGGAGGTTCTAATTTACCATTAGTAGTTGGATTATGTATTTCATATTTAATGATTAATTCTCCTAATTGAGGACCAGAAAAACCATCAATTTGAGCTAAAATATTTTCATATTCAGCAACAACTTCATCATCTAATTTAATATTTTTAATTTCCTTAACTTTCTTCTTTCTTTTCTTTTTATCATCATCTTCTTCTCCTGCTTCAACTGCAATACCTCTAGCAGCTTTATCCCCTTTTAATCTTGATTCTAAAACTTCTTCAACTAAATGATCAGCTCTAAAGATTTCACCAGTTTTTAAATCTTTACACATCCAATCAGCGAATTTTTCAACATGACCTGAAGTTTTTAAAACTTCATGAGGAGTAAGCATAGTACAATCAACTTCTAACATATCTTCTTCCAAGATGAAATGTTTTCTCCAAGTATCAACGATATTAGCTTGGAAAGCACAACCTGGTGGACCATAATCATATAAACCAGAGACCCCTCCATAAATCTCGAAAGCGGGAGCAAAGAAGAATCTTCTTTTTAACACTTGTTCTAATGATTCTCTACTAAAAGTAGCATTTGGTGGTGCGGATGTAGACATTTTAGCACTTATGGTTCGGGATATACTCCTCTTGATCAATCTAGAGAGTATAGTCACTTTAAATACACACTAGGGATGCAATGACTCAATCAATTCAAGTCTTTTTTTGAACCTAATCGTTTTCCCATTTGGAACGAACTATCACCAACCAACAGAATAATTTTTTTTTCAGTCATAGAAAATTGTTGGACTTGGACACGACTCTGTTCTCTCCAACATCATCGACTCATATTTATACACCAGAAGGCTAAGAACTTATACTAATACTATCATTACTATATCTAGTTAAAAATACATGCAAAATCTAAACTATAAACTGCAAACTTTAAACAATGTTTCTTTATGTTTTTCTAATTCTTTTTGTTTTAAAAACCTGCTTTAAAACCTCTTTTGAAGTTCCATGTCATCGTAGACGGGGTGACTCATGACGTACCAGAAATGGACTTGGGAATAGGGATATGTAGCTGAATTGAATTTATCTTCATTATACCATGAAGAACAACCCCCAAACTCAGTACCGAATACTGCTTTTTGTAATTCTTCTTGGGCTGATTTAGCCCATTGATTATACTTATCTGTCTTGATACAAATTGAATCATATCTATAAGATAAGATTTGTGAAGCTAATTTTTCAAAATAGATACAACTACTTTCAATGGATGTCACTACTGATGAATGACCTGGTGATGCATTGGGACCTCCAATAAAGAAGAAATTTGGACAATCTCTAACTAATACTGTTTTATAAGCACTGGCTCCTTCCTTTTTCCAAAGATCACCGATATTTACATTATTACGACCAATTAATTCATAGGTATGGAAACTTCTTCTAAAATCATAACCTGTACATGCCACGATGACATCAACTTTAAGTTCGGTATTATTCTTGAATACAATGGAATCCTTGGTGATATGACTGATTGGTTCATTGGTGAGTGTCATTCTTTCATCATGCAAGCAGGGTAAATATTCATAATCGAAAATAATTCTTTTGCATCCAATTTTATAATTGGGGATTAACATATCATGATATTTTTGTGGAGCGGTTATTCTCATATAATATAATGATTGATTTCTTAATAAAAATCGAAGTATACTTGAATAATAGCCATATTTAGTAAGGGGATATCTTGCTTCATTGAATACTGATACAATGGTACGAATTAAATATAATCCCACATAAGAAAATGAAAGTAATTGATACAAGAATTGAATGATATAAGGAAGTGGGGGCATAATATAATGTTTTGATCTTGCAATTTGAGTAATAGATTTAGGATTATAACTTTTCAAAAGACTAGGGATAACTTGATTTGCTGAACATCCATTACCAATCACAGCAATATTTTTACCTTCAAGTGATATATCATGATTCCATATAGCAGAATGCATATATTCTCCTTCGAAATTTTCTAACCCTTCAGCTTGAAAATGATGAGGATTAACTAATCCACCTTGACATGAGGCCACAATCTTAGCAGTATGCTTGATTAATTGACCATTGGTTAAATCTCTCATATAAATCGTCCAATTTGCAGCCTTTTCATTATACTGTAATTTTGTTACTGAACGTTTGAAATGAACGTATTTTCTTAATTGATACTGTTTCACCACTTCCAAGATATATTCTTCCATTTCATACTGAGGGGGTTGGATTCTACTCCAATTACTATTTAATGCAAATGAAAATGAATACCATAATGCAGGTATATCTGATGCGCATCCAGGATAAGTATTAGCATACCACGTCCCTCCAAAATTATCATGTTTTTCAAAGATGGCAATATCATCTTCATTTAATTTAGTTAAACATGTTATAGCAGTGGCAATTCCAGCAAACCCACCTCCGATGATGGCCACTTTTGATTCTGTTTCTAATATTGGTAAATCATCATTGATTGGAATTTTTGATTTTGCACCTAATACCGCATTCGCATCTTTAAATTTAATTCGATACGGTTGAGGATTGATATGAGAGTCTTTAGTTAAAGTGATTACTGACATGATCCTACTGGTTTCTTCATTAAATCAACAAGATGTTTACAAGAGTAACTACAACTTAATGATGGAGTATTACAGAAATTTATAAATTATTTATACAACATTTACAATTTGTTGATTTCACCACAATTCCGACCCACATGGTAAGACAGAGACATAAATAAATATTTTTAAATTGTCTGTCTGTCTGTTTTTTTGTTGTTGTTTTTGGCTTTGTTCTTTTTGTCTGTTTTTTGGCGTTTTAGTTTCTCTCTAATTGTTTCTAATTCTGAATTTGTTGTGTGGATTGGGGAATGCTTTTTGTTGAATTTCATTGTCATAATACTTATGACAAATTTGAGTTTTAAATGACTATTTTAAAGTTGGTTGATATGTTGTTGTTTATTTATTTATTTGCTACCATATGGGCCATCTTGCAATTTTAGCATCTAAATGACATTTTTTTCTCACAGTGACGGTGTGCGCGCTGCTGCCATCCTCATTATCATTCATCCCAAATTGGATAATTATTAACCTTAGATACTGATATTATTTGCAATGATGGATGAGATGGGTAACCATTATTTTCTTGTCATTTATCCAATAGATAGAGTTAGGGTCATAATCACATGGTCATACCTATTCGAATACGGGTTGCTTGTAAAAAAAAACTTTGTATTAATACTTACAAACCTAAACAAATATGGGTTACACGTTTTCCTCTTCCTCCTTCTCTTCTGTCTCTATTGTGTCTTAGCATCACTTGCTTCAAGTACTAAATCGTCATATCTTGGATGGTTCATTTCATACCAAAAATGAAGTTGTGAATATGGATATGCCGTAGAATTAACTTTACCATCTCCATACCATGAGACACAACCGCCAAATGCAGTACCAAACACGGAATTTTGTAATTCCGTTTGACAATCTTTATACCATTGATCATATTTTTCTGATTTAACCACAATTGATTTATATTCACCAGCTAAGATTTTTGCAGCAAGTTTGGAAAAATATGTACACCCATTTTCAATAGCCATTACTACTGATGAATGACCGGTAGCTGAATTTGGACCTGCTATAAAGAAAAGATTTGGACAATCTTTAACTAAGATGGTTTGATATGCACTACCACCATCTTTAATCCAGACTTTACCCGCATCAGCACCATTCTGACCAATCATTTCATAATTTTGAAAACTTTTATTAACATCATAACCTGTACATGCCACAATAATATCAACTTTGACTTCTTTACCATTTTTAAACACAATTGAATCCTTAGTGATATGATCAACTTCATCATTGGTTAACGTAATTCTATCATCATATAAACTTGGTAAATATTGATAATCATAAATCATTCTCTTACATCCAATTTTATAATCTGGGATAAGGATATCATGATATTTCTTTGGAGAACTAGAATACATATATCTTAATGATTGTTTACAATGAATCCAACGAACAAATCTTGCAAACCATGAATTACCTTTGAAAAGAGGGTATTTAGCTTCTGCCACCACTGTAACAAATAATCGAACGAATAATAATCCAATATAAGAAAATGAAAATAATCGATACAAATAAAGAAGAATCTTTGGAATAGGAGGCATGACATAATGTTTGGATCTAACGATTTGAATAATTGATTTGGGGTTATAATTCAGTAATAAATTAGGAATTAATTGATTGGCAGAACATCCATTCCCAATAACTGCTATTCTCTTACCTTCCAATGGAATATTATGATTCCAAATGGCTGAATGCATATATACACCTTGGAAATCTTCTAACCCTTTAGCAGTATAATGATGAGGATTAACTAATCCACCTTGACATGAGGCCACAATCTTAGCAGTATGCTTGATTAATTGACCATTGATTAAATCTCTCATATAAATCGTCCAATTTGCAGCCTTATCATTATATTCTAATTTTGTTACGGTTCTTTTGAAATGAGCATATTTTCTTAAATCATGCTTTTTAACCACTTCCAAGATATATTCTTCCATTTCATATTGGGGTGGTTGGATTCTAGTCCAATTACTATTTAATTGAAATGATAATGAATACCATAAAGCAGGAATATCAGACGCGCATCCAGGATATGTATTAGCATACCAAGTACCACCGAAATTATCATGTTTTTCAAAGATAGCAATATCTGTTTCTTTTAAGTCATTTATAGATTTAACTGCAGTTGCAATACCTCCGAAACCAGCACCGATAATAGCAATTTTAGAACTTGTTTCAAGTACTGGTAATGATTCATTGGTTGGAAGTTTTATGTTGGGTCCAAGCACTGCTCTTGCATCTTCATATTTGATTCTAAATGGAGCTGGATTCTTATGTGATTCCTTAGTCAAAGTAACAACTGACATGATAATTTAGTTAACGATACTATTACAATTTATCACTAAACTTACTACAAAATTTCTTAAAATTAAATAAAAATATGTGAAATTGTTCTACCTTTATACGGTGAAAATTTACTGATTGTGTTTTTCAGTGCCAAGCGGACTTTACCCCCTCACTTTTACCCCAGGGGGACCAAAATATTCCACTTCACTATCACAGGGAGAAAAATAAAATTCCCATGGCAAAACAGAACAGAGATCATAAACGGTTCTACCTAAATGTTTGATGGTACGACTTTTACTTGGATATGCTTTACTATTTAATCATATCTTATCCATTATAATTACAAAGTATACATTCTTAACTCATGTATCCCTATTCCATCAAATATCGTATGGTAAATCTTTTGGGTCAAAAATTAGCTAGTGGGGGTTTAGTGGTGTTATCGTTCATTCACATGAAGTTTTTTGAATTGTTAGCGGAAAAAAAAGACTTTTGACGTATTTTTGGTAGCATGTGACAAACTGAATTAAACCAACAATGGTAAATTTAAACTATTATTAACAGGAGACATATTGGTCTAAGATACATACATTGGTTATGATTTCCTTGCATAGAAGGTACATAATGTACGCACTCTCTTACGTCTTACAGATCAGTATGTTTAAGTATATTACATTTATTTGGGTTGTTTCCTGTATATATATGAAAATAAGCTATTTGATTGCAAAAAATACTATAGTCTTATTGTCTTTCTAAAAGATTTTCTTCATCATATTCATCTAGATCATATGGATCATTATTTGTTTCATCAAGATACTTTCGTATTATAAGCAGACACATGGTGATCACTACTGTAAATCCAAATACTTTATCAAACCATTTATCTATAAAATCAATTTCTCGTAATGAATCATTAACATTCTTAATTGAGCTTCCTGATAACGATAATATTTTTGATATTTGAGTAGATAGATTCGATGGTAGATTAGTTCTAATCAATAAAGCAGTTGCTATAACGTAAATTCCTAATAATTGAGCTATTATAACATGTTTTAACCAACTTTTTGTTATCAGTGATGATGAACTTGATGGCGGGAAAAATCTTGTGAATGATTTGAAGGTTAATAAGACATTTGAAAATGAACAGATGAATAATCCTCCCGATAAGACAAAACTTAATTGATTTGCTAATTGAGCTTCAGAAATAGTTATATTTCTAAATGTGAATAAAACTATTCTTGATAATGTTACAGCTAAGGCATCTTTACTTGGTGTTTGTGGGATTGGTTTTTGAGTTTGATCTTCATCAATGATTGAACTTGATTCAGATGTGATTTGATTTAAGTTATTTTTCATGAATAATTGTGATGGCAATCTAATCAATAAAACATTCATAATTCTATAAATACAATAAACGGCCAATCCATAAGTAAACCATTTATAAGCTGTATTTAATAGATTATTCTCAAATGTGTTTAATTTTAGATTCTCATTATCAATATATTTGGTAATTATATTGATAGTCTCATTGTATAAATTATTTCTTAACGAATGTAATGAATTTATTTCTCGTTTTAATTCTTCTTCTTCACCTTTCCCACTGAATGATATATTTGCAAATGATTGAACTTTATGAACTATATTACCAAGTTTTCGAGGTTTCCCATCATGTTTAAGCATATGATTATTATCGTTAACATTAATATCTCCATTTACGTTATCATTATAAACCGTTCCACTATGTTCCACTAAATATTTATTCAAATCTTGTTTTCGATTACGAAGTAATCGAGTGGTATTGTTAAATGATTGTATAGATGCATTAATATCTGATTCTGAAACTCCTTCCTTAACAACTTTTTCAAATCTTTGCTTTCCACTAAAGAATCTATGAAGTAAATGATCAATTGAAAATAATTTAAATGGAGTTGAAGTTGATCCTACTCCTGATAAAATGGCTAAGATGGTTATACCAGCTATAGATATTTCATTTATTTTCTTCTCAAGGATTGATTTGTTATAATATCTTGATGTATCTTGTGTCAGTTGATATGGAGTGAATGATCGAGACAAATCTCCACATTTATGTAAGGCTAAGAACCATACTAAAAACAATAGTATAGTTAATCCAATGGAGATATAATTTGTTTTCTGAAACTTTGGTATGAGATCTTGATTAATAAATAAACTTATAATCAAAAATGGTTGAACGACAGTTAATAAAAATATCAAACAATCAATAGTGAAATGGAATAGTGATAATCGAAGATCATGATCCATATACTCAACTAATTCACATAACATCAACACAACCAACACCACACTCAACGTGATGGTCCCACTGAATATAACTCCTACGAGCTTCTCCTTTAGTGAGCCTTCTTCAGGTTGGGATGATTTATGAATTTTATCATCGATATTATCTGCTTCTTCTTCTTCATCATCTTTATCGATATCCAAGGGATGGATTTTTAATTTATATTTATAATTCAACCCAGATGCGATATACTCATTGATTTTTGATTTGGGTAAATGCAATCGATTCGAATAATTCTGAATCATATCATGATTAAAGATATATTTATAGATCCAAAAGAATAACCCAGACAGAAATATAAATAAAAAAAACGAATGTGTGATCATGATGTATTATATTCCCAATGTCGAAAGTGCCTGTCTATTTGTAAACATATCACTTCCACCACCGTGATATTAATCTTCTTTAAATATTGATAATGGTTCTATGAATTCATCAATACTCTTCCCTACGTGTTCTGTTGATATTAATTAAAATCTGTGAATGTGTTTATATGCAGTTTCATAAAATCACGTGAGCAATTTTTATAACAAAATTACACGACCATAAAGAAAGAAAAAAATCTCTTCTTCTAACAAATTTTTCAACATTTGATTTAAACGTATACAGTAGTAGTTGAAGATTGATTGATTGAAGTTTCTTTCCAGCTTAAACAAAAACAACCATAATAATAATAACAAGATGCCTCCAAAGTTGAGATCTGAGAAGAGAATGAGGAAGCTCCTCATAGAGCAAATCAAAACTCGTAAAGTCTTGGGAGCTAGAATTGCAGATGGATTTAAACAACCACAAGATTTAATAAATTTAAATTTAGCTCCTCAAGTATTTTTATTTAAGAATTTATTTAGTGGTCAAGTATTATATTCTCAAGTTCCAGCATATCATCAAAATCAAATTGATGAACAATTCATAAGACCAAATTGGCAAAATAGAAAACCAGCTAGAAGAAATGATTTATGGAGAATAATGTGTGTAGCTACGTTTGATAATTATGAATATGCTACGGCAGCTTATAAAGGATTAGTTCAATTAAGAAAAACAAGAGATATTATTCAAAAGGATGAAGCTCAAGCTTTAAGACGAAAGAATGATGAAGGTAATATTTGGTATCATGGACAATATAGACCAACTTATTCCCAAGAAGCTGTTGCTGATTTATCTCATGTTATAGAAGAATTTGAATTAGAAAATACCACCTTAAGTTGGGAAAATGATTATAGAAGAGGTGAAGATAAATATTGGAGAGCCGATCTTGTTGAACATGAAACTCTTCCTGCATTCAATCCAAAAACTCAAACTGTATTATTAGATGAATTAAGGGCGAAAGCTCTTGAAGCTTTTGCTGTGGAAAGGGAACAATCACAAGCTCAAGCCCAAGATGTGGAAGAAAATGCTTCAGTGATAGCTTAAAATCAGTACTAACTAATTAATTGTACCATTGTAAATAGTAGCAAAATTCACAGTCATTTAACTCATTCATTGACATACAATCTTTCCCTACCGTCATAATCACACTAAATGTACATATGTATATATACGAACTTTATTATTATATTGTAAATAGAAAATAAATCTACTTACTATCATAACAAGGTAAAAGTAAAGAAAGTAAATTCCCAATTGGGTAATAGCCACCATAGTTTACACGTGATATAACCTAATTAGTCCACAGTCCGATAAGCCGCCATAGCTTAGCTTAGCTTAGCTTAGCTTAGCTTAAGCTTTTTGAATCATAATCTTAATTGGGAGGTGGATGAGCTTAAACAAGAACAAGAACTCTCCACCTCTGTAGTCATAGCATATCACAGCCATGTATACTCTACCTTTCCTTCCTTATCCTCTATCTCTCTCACTGCCTAAGCCAAGCTAATGCCTCATCATTTTTTTTACGCTAAATAGGAATTTTAAATCACACCATCAGTCCGTCCCGCACTTTTTTTTTTAATCACTAATTATTTTTTTTTCTTAACGCCCGCCGCCCTTCGCAATCAGAAAAAGAAAATTTCTCACCGACTGACAGTTAGAAATAAATCGATGAAATTGTGTGTATCTGGTAGAAAGAATCCACAGTCCATTCCAATAGTTTAAAATCTTATATATTGTCCCTTTTTTGCTATTTATACTTCCAAAGTGACAATAAAGTCGAACCATAAAAGTCGTTGTATCATTAGAATAGCTTGTTTGTTTTAGCTTATTTGATTTTCTTGTTTCTTCCTCGTTCTCGTTTCAATTTCATAATATAGTATGGACTTCTATTATAGGAAGCTGATGGGTAATGGTACCATCGCAAGTAAGTTCAGACTTAACAGTGGTCCTACTCAAGCTCCCATCATTCAACTGAATCAATCAAACTTACGTGAACAAATCAAATTAAGTCCGCTTCAATCAGCCACAACTTTTAAACCTGAAATTGATAATGTGAATGGTAATGGTACCCATAATTATACTACTAAATCAGATGATATTAAGAGTGGCAACCCTATCACTCCTCCTAACACTACTATTCCAACTGTTACAACTGCTGGTAATGTCCATAATCTTGATGAAAAAGAACAATCCATCATATCGGGAGCTTTATTAACTAACAAACGTAGTGTTGTGAAATTAGATATATCAGATGAAAAACAAAGCCAACAACCAGTTGAATTCCCAGAAACTCATCATCCAAATAATTGTAATCGTTGTTATCGTTTAAAGAAGAAATGTTCAAGAGAATATCCTAAATGTTCAAACTGTACTAGAACTGGTAATGATTGTGAATATATCAATAGAAGTAATAAAAGAAGAAAAAGACTTCCTGGATCAAGAAACATTAAACATCTTGGTGAGCAAGTAGAAGTATCCATCATAACTGATTCTTCCGATAAAGAATCATCTCCTAATGATATTGGTACGGTTACTACTCAAACAGATAATATTATAAAACCAATAACATTAAAAGAAACAAAGGAATCGGCTAAACTGAGTGTTGCTCATAAGTTAGTATCTGTCTCATCTTTACTCGTATCTGAAGAAGATGACTCAACTCCTCATCCAACGAAAACACTCACTGTAAGAGAACCAAGACCAAAAAAGATACCATCTGCTGCATTATCAAGTTCCGCTAGAAGAGATAAAGAAGTTAATGATATTCCTGCTGAAGATAAACTTGCAAAGAGACTTTTAACCTCAACCAAAACCAATTTAAAGGATGAATTCATTAATCTTAAATCAATATCAGATTTAGATTTACCGTCAACTTTTGTTCGTAATTATTTTGATAATTTCGCTCATAAATATCCTTTCATTAATAAAGTTCAATTCTTAACCTCATTTCAAACCATCGATTTCACAAAAGAATCTATCATAAATTTAGATACCTACTTATTAATGGCTATTGGATGTTTGATCTATGATTCTAAAGCCACTCATAGTAAATCTCACTTTAATGAATATTTTAATGATAAAAGTATAATATCAATCATTGATGTATTAGACTTGAATATAACGAAAAATGATAAAGAAGAAAGCTTTGAAAATTTAAGATTGTTATTATTATTAACGATTTATAGTATAACATCTTTAAATACTTCATTATGTTGGGGTTTGATTGGAATACTAGATAGATTAGTGATTCAATTAGATCTTTATAAGAAATCAGATAATGTGGTGTATGAAAGAATCTTTTGGAGTGTGTTTAATTTAGATAAGGAATTAAGTCTTTTAGTTGATAAACCAAGTCAATTGCCTATTGATGAATTCATGCAATTGAAAACTCCATTAACTGAATCAATTTATGAGAATGAAAATATGGATTTAGTAAATCAAGAAATTGGTCTTTCATATTTGAAAAATCTTATACTTTATTTGAATTTATCGAATAATAAAACTTATGATTTAAAACAAGTTTCTACTGATCTTGAAAAATGGAGAATCTCCACTAGTTCAATCATTCATCAAAATTTTGGTCATTCTACCAACATGCAAGATTTCATTACTTTAATTAATCTTAATTATTATTACATGTTAGTTGAATTAGATCAATTATCATCGAGTGAATCATTTCAATTCACCTTACAATTCATTTCAAATTCATTTCAATTAATTGTTTCTGAATCAGAACAAGATTCAAAGAAAGCATTCACAAAATTAAGTTTAAATTCATCTTTATTCTGGTATAAACAACTCTTTAAAGTGATTCGTTATAGTATATCTTCCTTGGCTAATATTTTACAGGATAATTCATTAACCACCGTTCAAATCAATCTTAAATTAAGTGAATTCTCCAGCAATTTACAAGTGATTATAAACTTATTGAATTATCTTCAAGATAATTTCGGTAATAATGATCATTTAATTTCAAATTCTTCCAAACGTTTCCATCAAAAACTTGATCTCAGTTTAAATCATTTAAGAACTATTCATGATAAATTAAATAAATTCAACGTTATGACAAGCAATATACCCCATCGTTTAGAGTTTTCCAAAGACATTGGTGAATTGGCCAACCAATTAAACACCATTTAATGATAAATAATTATGTATAGATAGTATAATTAATAAAAAACAATCTGTATTATGAATCAAAACCAATTGCAAAAAATGTATGTACGGTGGTAGCGCTTTAGTTTTTGTGGTTAGGTCGTGTGATTATGATCATTTTTCGATGTTTCTGACAGTTGAAGGCAAATCGAAAAAATACTGTGAGAGACTGAGAGAGACTGAGAGTTGAGATTGGAGATTTGTGTTGCCACCTTTAGATCAAATCAACTAGACTTCTACAATATAGACTGTTCCATAACCCAATTGTATTAATTAGATCAAACATGGCACCTCCAAAGGCTGATTGGGATAAATACGTTGCTCCTCTGGAAGACGATGAAAAGGCTCAAGAAAAGATTGTCCCATTAAGTGAGGGTGATATTCAAGTATTAAAGACTTATGGAGCAGCTCCATATGCTTCACAATTAAAACAACTTGAGAAAGATTTAAAAGTCATTGAAGATAGAATAAAGGAAAATATAGGTGTTAAAGAAAGTGATACTGGTTTGGCACCTCCACATTTATGGGATGTATTAGGTGATAAACAAAGAATGGGTGAAGAACAACCTTTACAAGTAGCAAGATGTACCAAGATTATTGAAGCTACTTCATCTGCTGCTGCAGGTGCTCTTCAAAATGCCGATACTAAATCGAAATATGTCATTAATATAAAACAAATAGCGAAATTTGTGGTTGGATTAGGTGAAAGAGTATCCCCAACTGATATAGAAGAAGGTATGAGAGTTGGAGTTGATAGACAAAAATATGAAATACAATTACCATTACCACCCAGAATTGATCCATCAGTAACTATGATGACAGTGGAAGAAAAACCTGATGTTACATATAGTGATGTTGGAGGTTGTAAAGAACAAATTGAAAAATTAAGAGAAGTGGTTGAATTGCCTTTATTATCACCAGAAAGATTTGTTAAATTAGGAATTGATCCTCCAAAAGGTATATTATTATATGGTCCACCAGGTACTGGTAAAACTTTATGTGCCAGAGCCGTTGCTAATAGAACTGATGCTACATTTATAAGAGTTATAGGTTCAGAATTAGTTCAAAAATATGTTGGTGAAGGGGCTAGAATGGTTCGTGAATTATTTGAAATGGCCAGAACTAAAAAAGCATGTATTATTTTCTTTGATGAAGTTGATGCTATTGGTGGAGCAAGATTTGATGATGGTGCTGGTGGTGATAATGAAGTTCAAAGAACCATGTTGGAATTAATTACTCAATTAGATGGGTTTGATCCAAGAGGTAATATTAAAGTTATGTTTGCCACAAATAGACCTAATACTTTAGATCCTGCCTTATTAAGACCAGGTAGAATTGATCGTAAAGTTGAATTCTCTTTACCTGATTTAGAAGGTCGTGCTAATATTTTTAGAATTCATTCAAAAACTATGAGTTGTGAAAAAGATATTAGATGGGAATTAATTTCAAGATTATGTCCAAATGCTACTGGAGCAGAATTAAGATCAGTTTGTACTGAAGCTGGTATGTTTGCTATTAGAGCTAGAAGAAAAGTTGCTAATGAAAAGGATTTCTTAAAATCTGTTGATAAAGTTATCAAGGGTAATTTGAAATTCAGTTCTACAAGTCAATATATGCAATATAATTAAAGAATATACGATACATTTTTTTTGGAAAAATAATAAGTTAACTTTTGTAATATACAATTATATATATATATATATATACATGATGCGATGATGTGATGTGATATGCTGGGATAGAGGCGTTGATCTATAATGATTAATCCCACCATGATAAACAACCCATACCATCTGTTTGACAAGAAGCTAATAAAGCATAAGGAGGAGCTTTATTTGTTGGTTCTTCTAAACCAGAAGCTTCACTACTAGATTGAGGCTTTATATTAACAAATATTTCTTCTTCAACTCTGAATCTAATCTTTTCATTTATATCGATAAAGAACTCAGTATCTTCATCAGGTCTCCAAACCCAAGCTTTTTCAACTTGCTTAAATTCACAATTTTCAAAAATATAAGATTTTGGAATCCAAATTTCATCAAAGAAATCTAATCGAACTTTAATCCCCTCTGCTGAACAATCACTGACCCATCCTACTAATATCTCTCCGATGAACGGTTTCCAAACTATACATCTAAATTGAACTTCAACATATGAACCTCCATCACCAGGTTTTAATAATCCATCTTTGATATCTAATAAATCCCAGATAGTAACCACTAAACCAAGATTTGATATGACTTTATTGGCGAATTTTTTATTCAATTCATCAGTTATAGAATGTTGGATGGGTATATTGAATGTATGTGGCGGTATACGAACTAAATCACTTAATTCTGACAATATAAACATTAGTGATGATGATTATGATCTCTGTATTGTAAGTGCTGTTGTAGTATTGATTGATTTGATAAGGGTTAAGTGTATTTGCTTTGGTTTGTAATGGATTGGTGAATGCTATAAGCTAATACTAAGAAAGGTTGTAAATATGTTCGATTGATAATGATTAATTTGACATAAGTCTTGATGATTCACAGATATTTCAAGAGATGAGAATTTTTTTTTGTATGTGAGAAAATGTAGAAACTCTGCTGCCAAAAAAAAAATGTCAACTATAAGGCATCATCAGTAACTATCTAATTAAGACAGCTATACTTAGGGTCAAAGAATGAATCATAATATATAACAAATATGAGTGGAGGAAGAATATCAAAGAAACCAACAACTGTTCAAACAGGGGGGAAGTCGTCAGATAGAAGATTAGCAGGAAGTAGACAAGCTGCAAGTTATTTACATACATCTATAAACAATCCTACCAATAATACAACTAAAGTCATTAGTGCACCATTACCACCAACCAATACATCAACAGGTAAGACTGTTAAACGACAAGTGGGTACTCAGTCATGGGAAGATTCAAGCTTATTAGATTGGGATCCTAAACATTTTCGATTATTTGTGGGGAATTTGGGTCAAGATGTTACTGAACAATTATTACATGATACATTTAAGAAATATCCTACCATGAGTATGGTTAGAGTTCCTCAAGATAAGAAAACTGGCAAGAATAAAGGATATGGATTTGTAGCATTTAAAGATTCTAATGATTATTTCCAAGCTTTTAAAGATATGAATGGGAAATATATCGGACAACATCCTGTTCAATTGAAACGAGCTGAAACTAATGTAAAGCAGTCCAAGACAACCGGTAAGCCACACGGTAAGCCCAAGAGATATTGAAAGTAAAGTGTATTGTAATAATAGAGTATAGTAGAATTTGTATAGATAATAAATTTTTAATGTATTAATCACGTGATTCAAATATCAACCAAATTTTATTTTTTGATTTTACGATTTTTGAAAAATTAACATTGTATGGTCAAAGACTTACAACCAAAGGTTAAACTCCAATTAGATCAAAGATGTATTTAAATAAGATAGGGTATGGTCTTCTAAATAATAGAAGACCAATCTTATCAATAATAGGACATACGAGTAAATCCATTATCAAACCCACAACATCAATTTCAATCAATGTTCATCGATTTAAATCAAATTTACCACAAGATTTCAATCCTAAAAAGACTTTACCACAACAAGGAGAATGGAAATATTTAAAACAGCATATACCTGGTGAATCTGTTCAAACTAATGAAGTCAAGGATCGTGTTCCTATGTTCCCCTTGGGTAAAGAAAATGTTCCAACTTTATTACCTAAACCTAATGTACCACAAGTTGGAAAACAATATACTTTCAGACAAGTGATTCAAATTTTAAAGAATAAGAAACAACCGGAATTAATTTATGAAAGTGAACCTCATCGATTATACTTTTTAGTATGTTTCTGTTGTGGGATTGTGTTTACTGTGTATGGGATTATTTTAGGAGAATATGCATTTTTCAAAGCAAATAAAGATTATGAAGAAAATGTTGAAGAAAAGAATGAAACTTTAAGAAAGAGAGAATGGTTAATTTCATTATTAAAGAATTCTGTATTTAGTTTAACCATTTTAACTTTTGCTTATCAAGTGTTTAAATTACCTACTAGATTAATGAGAAGAATATGGTTTTTACCTGGAAATAAAGAATTTATTCAATTTTCATCATATCCTTTATTCCCTGGTAGACCAACTCCAATCATAACTGTTCCATTAGAGAATTTAAGTAGAAGAAAAACATCAAGAATTTGGACTGGAAAAGGGTTTTATGGAACTGCTGATAATTCCATGTTTTTCTTTATTTTAAGAGAAAAATTAGCTAATGGTAGACTGAAGAGTTGGATGGTTGATAGAAAAGGATTCTTTTGGAGTGATGGTAGAGTATTTGATTATTTATTTGGTAAAGAGACTTTAGCTGAATCTGAAGCAGGTGTTCCATATGATGAACAATTTGGAATTATAAATCGAGAAATTAAAAAGAAAAAGAAACAATTAAGAAAAGAACATGGTATATTTTATCAATTTAAATTAAGTGGTCAAGAATTTAAACAAGATGTTGGTAAAGTGGGTAATTATTTAAAAGGATATAATAATGATAAAAATGATAAGAAACAATTACCTCCAACTGATAAAAAGTAAATTAAATCGTATAAATAGTTGCAAAAAAGAGACTTTGTAAATAGAAACCTACAATTAATGTAAATACATATTCAAAAGCATTTGATATTATAAATTTTATGTATATTTAATTAATCCCATGCCGATACTGCAAAAATCCGGGACACATTTGACCGAAGGCAAAAGCTCGTCTCTAAGTTAAGGGTTAGTAAATAAGTTCTAAATAAATCATTTGTCCCATTAATAAATAATTCGTCCCTTTTAATGCTGTAATACTAAAAATAGGTCTAAACAAGTTAATAGATATGTCCTAAATAAATCATTTTCGTTAACTTAGATTTATCCAAGCCTTTCTCGAAGTCTAAATTATGATTTATAGAGAGTAAATTAACTCATATTTATATGATTTTTACCACCCTTAATTGTATGTTATAGTTTCCTAAAATGATTAAATTATATTTTGGAATGGTCAAATATGGAAATTGTATAATTAAGTAGGTGGAATAAAGAAATATCAAGAGAATGTATTGAGAGACTACATATTAATACATGATAATAGATCATTATATAAAATAGTTTGTATATTAAAACTTGGGGAAAACTTGTCTTAAATTGTAAGTACTTGCCTATATTTAAGATAATTTGTTAATATTAGAATAACCACGAGGTAACAAATAGTTAGCTCGATAGTTAAATGAAAATAGTCAAATACAACCAATTAAACTCTACATCACAACAATGATCTCTTGTTTCGATCCACTTGATAGTAAGTATAAAAAAATCCAAAATCCAAAATTTATGGAAGTATTTATATGATATTTTTAAAGCCAAAAACATTTTTAATATTAATTATCAAAGCGCATTTTGTATTTCAATTATAATTATATAGTTCAAATTTGAGAGAAGTTAATATAATATTCATGATACTTGGACCAAACTACAATTGAATAATTAAATTATAAAATTATTATATATTAAAATTAATAATATCAGCTATTTACAGTACCAACATTAAGAATAATCTAATTTCGTGCAAGACATTATTAGTCTAATATGGTAAGTAAACATGACCTATATTTAAGTTAATTCGTTAGTATCAATAATCAAACCTAAGTTAATATAAATATAGCTAAATAGAAAGTAATGATTAAGTTCAATGTACAAGTAGCATCCAGCAAGTACATTCAAGTTATGAACTTACTTCTGAACAAAACCAATACATCAAACTAATCATAGTTAATGAACTCAGACTTCAGTCTTAAGTAGATCGGTACAATATTCGCCTAATCAGGAAAATAAGACTTCACCAATTTGTTATTACCAATATAATAAAGATTTCCCATATACCAGGAAAATCTAATCCAGCAGATATATTCACCAAGCTATAGCAGAAGAAAAGAAAATTAGTTAAAGTTTTGTAAAAATTTGATGGTTTTTATAGTTTGGTTATGAAATTTTTTTGGAATGATTCAAGTGCTCTTAGATAAACATACATGATAGTGCCGAAATCAAAATAGTTTTATAAATTAATTATATATTAAACTTATACAATCTCTTACATTGTAATTAAATATTACAAGTTATTCTGCTACTGTTAAAACTTCCTTATTGAAACAATATATCCTTCCATATAATCCTGCAATAGAACATAGTGGTTAGTATTAAAGTTCCTAAATAAAAACAATTGGATTAGTATCCTTCTAATGAAAGATTCTTTAAAGTCAAATTAGGTGACGGAGCTGATGGTACATGAGTTAACGGAGAACCCATATCAAGATCTTCATTGTCAGAATTAGGATTGAAAGATGTTATTAACTTCTCGGCAGAGTACATAAGATTTGTTAGGCTTATTAACTTGATTAACTCATGATAATGATTTTTTAAATTGTTATGCTTATATTATAGTTTTCTAGAATGAACAATTAGAAGATTTATGAAGTATAATTAAATCTCTGGCTATAAAATTTATTCAATATTTAAAATTATCAGACAAATAAATAAATATTTTCAAAATTAAAACAGATTGATTTGACTCTAAGTAAGTATATGATGCTATAATTAATTTTAAATTAGTTAGTTAATTAGTTAGTAATCAAATATAAATGGTTAGTAATGGTAATGAATTGATGATAGGGTACTATGACAAGAAATATGAGACATATTAAGTTGTATTTATATAGAAAATATTAGGTTAAAAAATAATGAATCTAATGTGTAAGATTTCGGGATAACACACAACTATAGAGTATGGAAAATTACATTTAAATATCAGTTTATACAAATTTATATATATATATTAAAGGACTATTTTCATTAATAACATTAAACTGACTAAACTTAGACTGGTTTCTAAAAACAAGGTTAGTAAATAAGACCCTATAATAAATTACAAGTTAGTATTAATACAATTCACCTTTCACAGATCATCTAAAATCTAGGATAGTAGATTTTTTAGGTAAATATCAACTAATAGACGGATCATATTATTTCCAGTTAATTTTCAATGTTTCTAAATTAGTTAATATGAAAGATCCTAAATAAATCTGTTAGTAATGTTAAAGAATTAAGGATAGTTATGATGATAATAGAGAAAAAGTACGATATAAAGTTGTATTTATATGGATTATAAAATATCCCACATTCTGAAACATCTTGTTTCAGATATCATGCATTACTCAATTATGTCAATATGGAGAGTGAGAAAAGTATATAGTTACTATGAACTATAGTGTAAAGAGAATCTTTATAGTTGCTTAATCCATATAAACTATATGATTAGATTTAAATCAATTTAAGGAAAGTATAAAGCAATAAAGAATAGTTGCAAAAAAACCATCATCAAACGTCTAACAAAGAGAAGGAGCAGGAGGAGGAGGAGAGAGATAATAAATTTTGATAAAGACACGTACACTCAAATGGCTAAAATTAAAAAAGGGAGAAATCGAACGCGTCATTAAAAAAAAAAGAACTGATAAAATTCTCAACCAATCATGTTAAAGAATGACTGGTAACCGATTAATGTGTAGAAGTCATTATCAGACATGATTATGATAATACATTAACTTACATTAAATTCATCTATTTTTAAATTATCTATCAGCATCATCATCTGATATATGATGACTCATTATCAATAACTTTTGATCATCATCATCATCATTAATATGGATGGATGGATGGATGAACTGGAACTGTTTGTTAATACGGGGGAGAGCAAGAGGGGATATTTTTAGAATGGAATAGGGGAGTTTAAGAGGAGCTTAAAGAAGAGAGATGTAAATTACGTAATGAATTATGTAAGCATTGAATTTTTATCTATTTTAAGTAAAGTAAAGTTAAATGATTAAACTATAAAGTATCAACTTGTAGTTATTGGAAGTCCTTTTACCAAGTTTTATTGATTGATTGATATGGATATGATGAGATGAGTTAATGTAATTGGTTAAGGGATTAGATGTATCATGATGATACTGATAATTTTATCTCTTTCTTTTTTTTTTTTTTTTTTATTATTTTTTGTCTTGTGGATGGTTTACGATACGATATCAGTACTTGACGTTACAGTTTATCAGATAGTCTGAGTAGTATACTTTCATATAATCATCATATATTCAATTGAATAATGTTAAATGATCATCATATCATAATATATTAACATTATATATATCTATTCCTTGTAATTATACCTTGAAATAAACCATCTGAACTGTTGTAAATAGAAAATTACAACCACCACCACCAAAAAAAAAAAAAATAAAAAATAAAAAAAATTAAAAATAAAAAGGGGCGGGGAGATTTTCCATAGTGAGAAAGACGAAGAGACTCCAGACAATAACGGTAATTGAATACAACCAACGTATATGTAGCAATTAATTAACATGAGATGAATAGGGTAGATCCATTGTAAAGTCTAGAACAATATGTTATTATCATCACTTATCATATACTATCTATTTGGCAACTATTAACAATTCATGGACCAGTCTTTCTTTCTTTGTATTGTCAAAGTTTAGTTTAAGCTTAAATTACGTACAGCAAAATAAAATAAAATAAAAAACCAGCCAATTTTTTGGTGGTGGCAATTTAATCTTTTTTTTTTTTTTTTTGTTCAGTGAAATTTTTAAATTTTTAAATTTCTTCCAGTTTTTCAGAACTTGCACTTTTTTTATCACTCGTTTTTTTTTAGGATCCTTTTTCCTTCTGTATTGAAGTTTCCAAGTTAGCCTTTAGTTCAGCATAGCCTGTTAAAGTAACTATATTATTACTAGGGAACACATACTGTTACAGCTACCGCTATCCTATCTCCACTACTAATTGCATTTGTCTTTCCCACTTGTCCCCCCTCCCACCATTATTATAAATTCTGTTTTGTTTTCGTTAACTGACTTATTATCCCTCCTTTTGGTAAATATGGCCGCCAATTTTAGAGACTCAACAAAATCTCATTCTCATCATCATTCATCAGGCACTACAACAACTACAACAACTACAACTACCACCATGAAGACAAGAAACAATACTCATCATAATCATATTCATAATACTCATAAGAGAAAATTGAATGAATTAGAAGATATCACTAATAATAGTAATAATCATAAAAAAATCCCTAAGAAATTAAAAGTAACCTTTGGTGGCAATACAACTACAACCACCATAAATACTCGTCTGCATTCTCATCATCATCAACAACAAAGAATCCTTCATCATCAAATCCCTCCTTCTCCTCCTGAACAACAACGATCTCCATCTCCTTTGGATTCAAATAATGCAACAACAACAACTAGTACTATTTCAAAACCAAAATCAGTTTCATTCGAATTACCTAATGATAGTCCAGCTTATGAAAATTCACCTCTTTTGACTCCAAAAGAAGAAGATGATGACGATGATGATGTTGACCTTGTTCGTTTCAAATCTAGTTCAGTTTCTCCTTGTGGTACTGCAAATTCAAGATCAACTAGTCCTCCCACTAGTGCCAATGATAATATTAATAATAATAATAATGATAATGATGATACATTAGTTATCAAATCTGAAACTGAAACTCAAACTAAAGATTTAAATCAAAATCCAGATTATATATCATTAACTTCATCTTTAAGATTATTAAATCAATCAAAATCAAGTATAAATCAAGATATAATCAATTTATCTAATTTAAATGAAAAAATCAATTCTACTAATGATAAAGATGAAATCATTCAATTCTTTTTAAATGTAATTGATAATAAAATCAATTTATCAAATCCAAATTCATACAAGGTTTTGAAATCTCCCGTTATAAATTGGTCCAATTATGATTCAAATTTATCTCAAGTTAATCAAGTGTTTAATCTGCAATGTCAGAATAACAATGATGATGATGATTCGTTGTATACGGCCTTGAAATTATTTGATCATCAATAAATGAATTCATATCGTATCAATAAGTCACATCTCATTCCAACATGGTTATGTTCTTCTCATATATAAATATGACTCTAATGATCGAAGTCATGACTTGTACATATATGTGAAGAAGGGGGTTAATTGCTACTTTTATTGTTGATGTTTTACCTATCCAGGAGTAACTTTTACCACCATGTTGTCAAATGATTAATTAGATGGATCATCAATATCAAATATCAGAATCAAGTCAATGTCAAATCCACATCACAGTTTAACATAATTTCCGACATTAACAAATTCTGATGATGATAGTTCACGTCCTAATGATGACTCCTCCTAGTTCTATCCTTCCTTTGCTTCCCTTTTGCTTGTTTGCTTGTTATTTGCTTTTCCCTTTATTCCTTTCCCTTCCTTTCCTTTCCTTTTCTTCATTTCTCTCAATATGACATGCTTAAATCTCATGTCTATCTATAAATAGGTTCCCCTTTTCTTCTTCTTCTTCTTTCACCATTTCTCCCCGGATTCATAAATAATTCTCATTTATCTCAATTGATCATCATCCCTATGATTGATTGATGATATTATATTATATTTCTAACTTACTTTTTTTGGTTTTTTTTTTTCAACTTCTTTTTTTTTTTTGGCTTTTTTTTTTCTTTTTGCTAATAAGGTCAAGTGTTTTATTCTTTATTTAGATAATTAATGCTTTTTAATATACGTAAACCTTTTTTACAAATATCGTTTTTGAATCGTAGGTGTGAATAAATTAATATATATATATATAAACTCAATAAAAATACCGAAAGAGAGAGAGAGAAGAATTATTATTATTATTATTATTATGTATGATTAAAATAACAATTTTAAGGTACCCTACTTCTTAGCATCAACATCTTCTTCTTCACTATCGACTAAAAATGCATCTGAATTTGCAGGAACATCCGCTTCTAATGGTTGCCATTTCTTATCAGTCACTTCAGCATCAGTAGCTCCTCCAACAGCACCAGTAGTGGTAGTGGCTATTTTAACATCAGATGGTTGTTTTGGTAATGGTTTAGCAGCATTGGCTCCAGGTCTCGTTGGTGGTGGTGGAGCAGATTCATCATCATCATCATCATCATCATCATTATCATTCAAACTTATACGATGATGGAAATCACTTGATAAAATCTCAGGATCTTCATCAAAATTAGTATGTTGTCTTCTATTAAATGATGAACCACCTAAAGCTCCAAATAATTTAGGTTGACCACCTTGAGCTGCTTGACTTTGTTGTGATTGTTGACCACCTCCGCCTTGTCTTTGTTGGAATTGTTGCTTTTCATTATCATTAGCATCAAATCTCTTAGTTAAATTACTAACCCATCCATTTAATGTTGATCTTGCATCTTCTAAACCTTGATTAAAAGTTTCTTTAATTTGTTCAAATTCATCAGGACTATTATCATCAAATTCTCCATTACCATGCATACCTCCTCCACCTTGTTGTTGTTGTAATTTCTTTCTTCTTTCATGACGTCTTCTTCTTCTTGCTTCTTCATTTTCAAATTCCTTTTGTAATCTTCTAGCTAATATCTCATCTTCACTTAATGCATGAGGATTTGATGCTGAAACTGATTTGGCAGGTACAGGTGGAGCAACCGTATGAGTTTGAGGAATTGGAATTTCAGGTTTGAAACTTGGATCTGAAATATATAATAATGCATTAAAAGCAGGATCTAATTGACCTTGAGATGCAATTAATACTGCAGTAATGAATTTATCTTCAATATTTGGGAACGCATCTTTTAATTCATTGGTGATTTGAGTGATTGGATCAACTGGTCTAGGAGGTTGTGGTGGAGCTGCTGATTCAGTAGGTTCTTCAACTTTTGATGATGATGATATCTTTTTAGATTCTTCTTTCACTTCTTCTTCTTTGGTGATTGGTACTTCATCAAGTGGTACTTCTTCAGTTGCATCTGCAGCAGTAATGGTGGTGTTGGTGGCGGTGGTTTCTGATTTACTGGTAGTTAATTCATCAATATTCTCAATTGGTTCAGCTGAAATCACTTTCAATCCTTCTGTTGGCTTCGACATTTAGACTACTATTCTTTGATTAATTGAATCTTGAATTAAGATTTAAACGTTATCTATATTCTTACTGTTTTGACAACTTATGATCTTTTTTTAAACTATCATTCACTCACTGCTCCTCCTCCTCCTCCTCCCTCCACAATTTACTATGAGTGTTTTGTGGTCTAAGTATATAATTTACTTACATTGTGCGTAATTTATATCCTCTGCCATCAAATGGTATAAAAACAATTTTTACAATTAAAATTTTTTATATTAGTTTTACCCCTTCTCTTTCTTTTCTCTTTGATAGTAAATTTTATAACTCCGACAATAGATAGAGCTTTATATTAGTTTTGTGAATTGCTATAAAGTGTGGACAGCGGAGACATATTAATGTCACATAGAATTTTAATTGATATTTCATGAAATTTATTCTTGTGGTTCTTTATTGAACCTTATGATGTTTCGCCATGTTTTGAAAATTAATAATTAAATTCTACATTCTTCTGTGTAAATTTCGTAACTTAGTATTGATATGTTGACCGAACCTACATGTACTGGGATTATTGATAACGTCCGACTCCCCTGGTGCTCTTACATTACTTTTTACTAATGATCTAAAATAAGTATATTAAAAATAAACAGGAAATAAATATGAAGTATATGAAGTAACAGAGAATCAAATCAAGTCAAAGTGTTGTCTGAATAAGTGGTATCATCACTAGTATCAACTACGATGAGACTGATAATAATCAAATTGGAAACCGTCCACATTAGATTATTTGTTTTGATCTCACATGTCTTAGATAATTACATCTATTAACCTGATACATGTGCAAAGAAAGGAAAGGAAGGGAAGGATAAAAAATGCATTATTTGAATACGGTATCATCTTAAATGAAATCGTCTTGTATGTTTATATATATGAAAATGAATAGGATTGAAACTATACTATTGATTTTTGTTCTGTTATGATTTGTGATTGTTTTTTCTTAATATGTTTTCGATTGGTAAGGAATAGTTATGATTGATTGATGAAATGAATGAATCTTTAATCTAATCTGATTCAGCAGCTTCAGCCAATTCAGCTTTTCTTTTCTCTTTAGCAACTTTTAATTCATTTTGTCTTCTTATATAATCCAAGTTTTCACATTCTTCCCAAGCATGTTTATCATGTTTACAACTAACCGATGAATTAGCGGATTGTCTGATAAGACAAGTATGATAAAGAGCAAAGTATGTGGCACATCTATCTCTCCATCTTAATGGTACTCTATATTTTTGTAAATCTTCTTCAGAAACTATATGATTTGAAAAGGGTTAGTAAAACATTCATTCAAACAGATATCAAAAAACAAAAAAAAGAAATATCAACATACGAAGTGGTGGGAATTCTGTGACGGACATTGGTCTATGATATGATGTATATGTAAATTGGAACTTAAATTTAGTTATTAAAGTCCCCTTAAACTAGATTGGTTCTATTTATTTAATAGTTATAAATTTTTCGCTTTTCCTTTGTGTTGATAATAAACCAATAAAATCTCGTTCAAACAAAATTTACCCTTTGGGCTGTATGCAGGAAATGTATAACAACCATTCCAAATAGATCAAGTTAGAGGTAAAAGGATACTACAATTAACCATAAGTATTAGGAAATGGGATATTCTAGGCTACAGATCTAGTAATGGTATATCAATATTAGTAAATATGGTCCTACCTTAAGATTTAATCGATTTATAGTGAACATAAATGGGAAAATTTTTATATTTTTTTTGATTGTTTTCATTCTGTCTATATGCTAAAATATATATGAATATGATTGTAAAAGATAAATAAAAGTACGGAATGGGCAAGATCAATATGACTAGATTGAACTTTAGTTGAATCCATCCTGTCATATTTGGTTGCCGTTGGAGTTCGACTTTGGAGAGTTGGTTGGTTGGATTTAAAACATGAAATGGTATATAATACACATGATCAACATTGAACATGTATAATGGAAGAAATAAATGAATTTATGATTGTAGTTTGAAAATTAAATCAATATGCGTTGGAGTGTTGATATGTGATTAAGTTATAATGATTCAAATGATAAATAATAGATGAGTAATTCAATGAGCTTATAAAATCATGATAATTGAAATGGATGATTCTCTTCAAGTAAAGAACATTGGACCTTGTTATCATTTATTATTACTATTATTGTTATTAAATCATAATTTGCTTAATGAGATGCTTTGGTATGGGCGTCAAGTCTTTCCTTTAAGGCAATATATTGACATTTATAAAATTCATCTTTAGTCTTATTACAGAATGAAGTACCTTTATCAAGACATTTGTAATAATTGATTAAATGAGCAGCACATTTATCTCTGTTGAAGAATGGAACATCATGATCATCTAATTCCTTTTGAGATGCTATAAGAAACAATTTCTAGTTAGTATTTCGATAACTTATTTCATCTTAAAAATCAAATGGTCAATGAAAAAGAAAGACTCTTAGATCTTGTTAAACTTTCACAATGAAAAAGGCTTTATACATACGAATAGCAGGATATTCATATTGGGCAGTTGTATGTTCAGCCATGGTGACAAGTATGATATTAGTCAACTGAAGAATTCAAGTTAAAAATTAAGTAAATAACTAATCTTCAATTAAATGTTTTTTGAGTTTTCAATTTGAGCTCTAATTTTTTTTCTCATATCAAGAAACAGAAAAGTAAAAAAAAAAGATGTTAAGATATAACTGCCGGTCCCAGGAATCGAACCTGGGTCTCAACGGCCACAACGATGCGTACTTACCACTATACTAGACCGGCTATTTCTTGAAAAAAAAATGTCTGAGTAAATGATAACAATACGATCATTATCACGTTTTTGATCACGTGATGTTTTGCGCTACCAGGTATCAAATTTTAATAGGCCAATATCTTTCTGCCTAGACTATAAAATTTAAAACTAATTATTGGTTTCTATTATTGTATTATATCTTCATCTTATTCTTATAGTAAATGATAGATGTATGACATTTTAAACATCACGAGGTTCGTCACGTGCAATCATATACTTCTATAACGCTACCAGCTTCATTTACATTTTAATAAAATTTCAATCATTTGATACGAAAAACATAAACAATTAACAATTTCAGGATATTAGTAATTATATTGATTGTTCTAGACGTGAGTTATCAACATTAAATAAAAGAAAATTGTTGGTTTTGTAAGACTTTCTTCCTTAAAGTTAAAAACTAAGCTTTCGAATCGAAAATTCATATATATTCCTTATGAAACTTAATCTTTTCTCGTAATAATACAGATAAGGATTGACTTACGATCTATGTCAAATTAAATAACATCTGATTTTATTACTTGTTGCTTTAGAAATATAAATTTCAAAAAAGGAATTGAATTTTTCGCAAACAAAAATTCCCAATTTCATAAGAAAGTTGAATTCTCGAATGAAATTTAAAGATTATCCTTTCTTTCTCTGCAACTTCATAACTTACTTCTTTTCACTTTAAGGTTTAACAAGAATAATCATTATTAGCAACTAGTAAATCTTCATTATAATGATAATTCAAGAAAAACGCTCAAAAATACAACTTCAAAGTTCTAAATACCGAGTTTCATTTGTAACATGACAGGACTACAAGAAATTGACATTTACAGATAGCTTTATTAAATAATAAACCATATTCAAATTCAAATCAAAAGTATGTAGTTTGGATTTTTGAGGTATCATGTTGTCATATCATTTCAAAAAGGGTCGTAAAAAAGACATTTTTGTTCAAGAAAAATTTAAACGAAGCAAGGGAGAGAATTAAACTAAATTATGCATGTTCTATCATGTCTCTAAAGCAGATACGAATCTTGACTTGACTTAAGTTATTATTCTTATTTCTTATTCATTAGGGTTGCACAACACCTATTTGAACCAATAATAGTTCATAATTGAATCTGAAAGGTCAAAACTAAATAAATACAATGTTGTATATTTGTTAAATGGATACAAAATTAAAATCTTCAACTTGGTAAAACAGAATTTAAACTTAAAAACTTAAATTTATTTTAAACTCGTAGACATGTAATAAAGTTATTTTTTGAGTTAACCCATGCACGGCTAAACACGTTCTTTTCTGTAAATGTACATGTCAACAATGGAAAAAAAAAAGAGTTCATGTACTCTACATGCTTCACCTAAATCTGCTTTGCCGGTAGTAAAAGTTCATTATATCCCTATCAGTCAAAAGATTATAGTTTTTACTTGAAAAATCCCAATTGCAGAAAAATTTCCTAATTCAATTTGGAAATTGTTGAGCTTTATGTAATTGAGCATAAATCGAGAATACTACTAGAAAATTTAAATAGGAAATAAACACAAGAAAAAGTTTTTAAAACTTAAAAGTAAGATGTAATCTGTTAATATGTAATCCTGAGCCATAGATATTATGTTGATCATCCTTACAGAATAAAGACATGTGAACTTTATACGATTCTCTATGAAGTAAACCTTTCAATCAAGGGGTATTAAGGAGAGTTCAATGTTAATTCACTAGTCTCTCTCTTCGGTCGAATACAATTTTACTTCGGTTGGTTATAATGGTATACGGTTTAGAAGGGCATTAGAGCATCAAAATATTTTCCAATGATATATGCAACTCAACATTGCAATACGGTTGTTATTTTTTATTCTTATAACTCTTATTTCTAATTTAGTCTATATTTTTTAGTCAGATAAGAAATTCATTGCGAATTAGTATATGAATTTGATTCAAACAGTTTATATAAACTTTTCGGCCATTGAAACGCCAGAAAGCCTGAATTCAAAGTTTTTTTTACTGCAATGTCTGTCTAGATGCCAAAAATAGAATTTTCAGACATTTTTTTCAAGTACTGCAACATTATAAAATATTTTTAAATGTCTGCACTATGGTTCGGTCGCGGAGACGCAACATTTTATGCAGAAATAGGCTATTTTTCATCCAAGGAATTTTATAAATTTGCCCGTTGCATGCAGTTGAATCGTGCGCGATAAAAAAAGATATTAGAATTGAAGATCTTAGTGTCTGACATTTTTGAAGAATCTAAATAGGTATGAATTACGAGTTCCGTTATATGTAGTTAAAAATCTTGGCGTCTTAAAGCAAAATTAGATGGATTAATTCTCGCTGTGGTTTCCCACATATGCTCACAATTTGGTTTCTTGATATTACCTGATTTTCCCATTAAAGTTAACGTGTACATAGCACTAAAAAGTGCGAATCTCATCTAATCGTAAATTTGATATCTCCATAGGTTCCTAAAAATAGTCGCAAAGATAATTCTTCGATGACCTGTGAAGGTTTTGTATTTCTATATATAAATCAAGGCAAAATCGATTCAGAACTTCAATGATGTAATGACTATCCAGTGGGAAAAAGCATAATTTTCGTCAAATTTACTGGAAAAACTATGCATAAAAAAATAAATGGATAGGAGGGGGTTGGTTAGGGAGCAGACATTTCTTTCACTATGTACAAAGGGTACAGTTTAGGGTTGCTAAAGTTGATTTCATGTTCACTAATTATTTTTAATGTTTTTGGATTATTTTTTATTTTTTTTTATTTTTGTCTGATTTTGAAGTTCGTTCTAGAATAAAACTTGCCTGCAGGTTAAAATTCTAGCGTTTTCCTTTTTCATTTTGAACATCGGTCGCAGTTCACCTTTCTACATTTTATGGCTTAAAATACTCAAATAACCTTCTGTAACTAAAAATTACTTTTTTATTAGTTCTAAAGAATATTTTAGAAGTAAGTTGTTGATCGTGAGAGGCTTCTCATTCTTTCTTCTTCATACTAGAGACCTTTAAAATAGGTAAAACTCTATTCATTAAAGACTTAAACCGGGGAAGTCAAATGCTTAATCCTTTTACTTAATTTAGCATTGATATTATGCTGCACTTGTAAAATGATGTAATCAACTTGTTTCTTCGAAAATATTTTTTATCTGTTGTTATCTGGATTGAAATATGTGAAATCGGCATTTTACTCGGAACGAGCACTAATTACGATTGAAAAAACTAGCATACACCTCAACTATTGCAAGTATTATGAAATCCAGTATTGACTGAATTGCATGTTTAATTTCATTTTGATAATCTATCTAATAAGTTTAGAGCTAGTAAAAAGTAAAGGCGAGATACACATTCTGCAACTTTGTAAGCAGGGTTTCATAGAATAGATTACTATTTCAAGGTAAGTGCACCGTAAAACCCTAATTCATTAGCATTTTATTGATTTCACCCCTGGTAATTTCGGTAGCCTCACAATCTGAAGGTTTGATACTAATATTGCATAACTTCGATTGGTATCAGTTATGGTTGTCAGATACATAACAGAGATAATGCACATGATGTGTGCAAAGAGAGGCATGGATAGGGAAAGGGAGAACCATATATTATTTCAACTTTTAATTATTCTGATAATCATTTGTCGCCTTAGCTTATGTTTTTAAGTAGGAGTTAGCTTTCATGAAAGTTATCTTGGTTGCAAGTCGCATAATTAGTAAATTGCGAGTAGATGCAGCCTTCACACATCAGTAATGAGCGACAGAAGATGATAAACAATAATATTTCTTTTTGTGGGAGCCCCACACCAACTAAGTGAAATCAAATCAAACAAAAAACGATTTTTAGGAATAGCCCGCATATACCAGGGGATAATGTCATCTTCAAATAAGAAGTAGATTAGGATTGTTGGCTGCAGTTTGGAGATAAAAGGAGAAAGGAGAGTTTACACAGTAACAAATTAGCATGGGGCGTTAGTTATGCATGGAAGTCAGCATAAGAAAAAGTCATTTCTGCAAATCATTTTTGTTTGTTTGTTTGTTTGTTTGTTTTATTTTATTTTTATTTTTTACTGTACTCTGCCCCCCTGCGAAAAAAAAATTGTAAAACAGACACTTTTTTTTTTGAAAGAGCTTCTAAATTTACATTTTTGCCTTAGCAAAGTAATATTTGGCAATTCTTGTGAGTTAATCTCCATAACCTTTTCACATTTTTAACAAATTGAGTTTGCGTTAAAAAATTTTAACATCCCTTTTCTTCCATTAAATTGAACAATAGAGTGAATTGTTGCATTGTGCATAGATTTATAGCCTTCATATGCCGATTCGTTTGAACCGACTACAAGTTCAAAGAATCTGTAGCAGAGGCTCCCTGAAGAATCGGATGTGCTTTTAACACTCTTACATCAAATTAGATTAAAAGCTTATTCAAAATGATGTGCTGTTCACTATATTGATTGAATAATTAACTTTTTTTTACATCTATAGTGATTTAAAATCAAATCTGAAAACCAAACTTGGTAAGACTTCTTATGTATATTTTTTTTTTGTAATTTTTTCCTTCTGTGTAAGCCGACTGGGAAAAACATTTAGCCGTTAACAGATTTCATATGCCTTAAATAAATCAACCATTCTATAAAACAATTCACCATTCACCTGCACATAACAAATCATAACGTATTTTATTTCGTTAAGGTATAGAAGTAGAAGAAGAATACCATTACCATTTTTTATTCCTAATGTAGTTTGATAATTTCTTATTATTTAATTAACAATAACTTCAACATTTTACAAATTCAAACTTTATCTTATTCATGCTTTGATTTCTCAGTTTAAAAAAGTTTGAAATTGTAAATCCTCAATGTTTTGTTTGTGGGTAAAATTTTGCATCGTAGTTTGGTTATTATTTTTTTTTTGACGAGTAGCAGGCGCAAAACTTAAAAAGATGCAGAACAAAAAAAAAAAGACAAAAAAGGTCAGAAAAAAAAAGGTTGAATTTCAAGGCAAAGCGCAAAATATTTCGAATGGAACTGTGCAGATTAGAGAAATTCTTAATTGTTTTGGGTTTCAATCTTCTGATTTTAAATTTTAGAATTAGTCTACAACTATAATAGAAATAAGGTAGAGTATATGCTTGCGGTTTGTAAACTGATTTTCATCTGGCTGCTGGATTGATCATTAATGTAGTACATTCTAATCTCATTTGTTGTGCAGGCGGAGTGTGTGCCTCTAGAATTGAGCCTTAGACAGATCGCTATGAGATTGAATTTTAATGTAATGTTGCAATTTTTTTTGGCGATCGTAAAATCTTCCCTTCTATGTGCCAATGTCTCTCTTATCTTTTCCATATGGCTCTATTTTAATGGTTTAAGGTTTATTCATAATGTTAGTGATTATCGGTTAAGTCATCACCAGAAAACTCTAAAAGGAATCGATACATACTCAAAATGGTTGGCAAATGTACAGCATTAAAGTTATCAGACATTCAAATTGGCTCGCCTACCTCCAAAAAAGGACAAAAATAAAGAACGTTTTTAAATCAAACTTGTTGGCCCAGAGACAAAATAAGATTTGGCAAATTATGGCTAAAACACTCCCCACTGCTACTAAACTAATAAGACATCGTTGTAATTTATATTTGAGCTATGACTCCACATATTCAAAGTTTTGTTAACCGTCTTTGGTATGCTCAAATAGTCTGAAAAGCGAATTATTATGATTTCGTGAGATTACACCCAATATTTGTAGAGCCAATCATTATTCAAGAGGTACTATATAAAATTTTAATTTTCACTATCCCTTACACCAAGGCTAATAAAGGCGATATTTGAACTTTAATGTTAGAAAATATGCAAAACAAACTTATATACATGACTGCCATGTACATTTTGCTGAAGGAATTGGAAGTAGAATTTAACTCTAACATGTACAAGAGTACAAATTACGAACAAATTGTATAATGAAGAAATTTATTCACTGTAAGCAATGTAAAGTATGCATCAATATAAAAGAAGAACTAAGCTCTAGAATATAGAAGATTCACACTTTAGATTTTAGGCAAAAGTCTTAACAAGCCTATAAGAACCACTAAAAATACCTCGATAAAAGATTTGTTCGTAATGTTCCAGATCTTTTATAAGAAAACTACTTAATGGGGTAATTCATTCCAGTCTGATAATAGCACTAGGTTTAGAGTAATTGATTATCGCAATAATTACAATGCAATCCAACCACAATTTCTTAGCACTAGAGAACCGCTTGAATATACCTATATAAGTTAAAAATGCGGTACTTGCATGAAGTTTATTTTAGAATTCATATCATCATGATGGGAAGTTTGCTATGTTGATGAGGCCCTTCCCGGTGTCTAAAATAATATAGGCAGTAGAAAATTATTCAGGTCTAAAGGCCGGATTCCCTTTGACTGTGAATAGTTAATGTAGCCCAAGGTTCAAAAAAAATTGTCGTGACCAAAAAAGTGTAATTGTGCGATTTTGAATTTTTGTCTGTCTGAATTCAAATTCAAATCTTCATTACACAAAATGAAGCATAAATTATTTTTTGAGATAATGATGTTAGACTAAAAATAATAATTAAAAAATAAAAAGTTACAAAAAAATATTTTTAAAAGAAAAATTGAAGAATTCTGATGCACATTTTAACCGTGGTGTAGACATACATAGTTCCAACTCATTTTTGGTTATGGAATTCTATATTTTTTTTTTTTTTTTTTTTTTTTTAGCTATAGCGCTAATATGTTAACTTTTTTTCTCTAATTTTGATTCTACCTATTGACGAAAATTATATATAACCTTACAATCATCCTCTAAAACTTAAACACATTGCTTATTTGCAATTCAGTATTTTTCATTAATCAGATTTGTATAAGATTGCAAGTTTCAACTTTTCATTATTAGAATTTCCTAGAATAATAATATTAAAGCTGAATAACAACACTACAAGTATCATAGCTATTCATTTCACATATACAATTCCTTAGACATTTCATATCTATACACTATAGACTATTTATTCTGTTATTTCAAGTTCAGAGCTTTAGCCATCAAAGATAGACCATCCCTATAATAAAAGTCATTTAAACATGTTATTTTCTGCACCAACTACTCAGGTAAGATTACCTTCTATAAGTGAGCTTACTGCTCGTTCTCCAATAAATGATATGCAATCACCAAGATTACGAAATGATTCTAGAGTATTGCCAACTCTTTCTGCATCGTCTTTCAGATATCCATTAAAAGCCACTACTCCATCAAACTATGTATTAGGAAATGGTTCAGTACAGAAATTACCTTCTCCTACCTTACCACCACCATCAGCCCCAGTTCAATCACCACAATCTCAATTAATATCACCACCACAACCCGTTCAACCATACCGTCATTCATCTGCTGGTTCTAGTCCATCTACTCATTATCAATATTATCAATATCAATCTCCAATAATTCCACAAGCTTCTCAACAATCACCATCAGTTGCTCCTCAAGTTCATCATCAACAAGTACAACAACAACCAGCACCACCACAGCAGCAAGTACAACAACCTCACGGTGTATCTGTTGTGCCTGTCCAAGGCCAAGCTCAATATTATTCACAACCTGTCTATTATCAAGCTGCGCCAATGTCAATGAACCCACAATATGCTGTTCCAGAAGTTATTAACAAACCAACCAATAAATGTCATAGATGTGGTACAACCGAGACGCCAGAATGGAGAAGAGGCCCAAAGGGTGTTCGTACTCTTTGTAATGCTTGTGGATTATTCCATGCTAAATTGGTTAAAAGAAAGGGTGCTGCATTAGCTGCTGAAGAAGTTTTAAACAATAAGGTATGTAAAGGTAAGAATGGTAGAAGAATTAGCATTAAGAAACATTTATTGAATGAAAGTTTAAAGAATTCTAATACCATTAAAGGAGGTGATTATCATCAACATCAAGTTCAAACAATTATGGCTAGTCCACAAAATTCGGCTTATCCAGGTAATCAACCCCAACCACCTCAATCAACTGCATTAGTTGCTACAAACTCTTTACCATTACCACCACCAATCTCCAGTCATTATCCCCCACACTTTGCTTCTACTCAATTGACACATCATATTGAATCCAATTCAAATTATCCTACTCATATTTCTATGCCTTTAATTCGTCATTAGAGTTTGTGTTTTATTAATTATTCTAGTTGTATTTCACAGATACTTTTGAGAATTTGTCTGTTCTTTTTTAAAAAACGTTTTTGGTGTCTTTTATTATTATGATTGTTCTTTTTATTTTATTTTACTATACTTTACTATACTATACTATACCGCGATATCTGTTATTTACCATTACTTGAAGCATATGTTTGTCTTGTGTTCTATTTATTCCTAGTTGACGATTTACTATTCCTTTTCCATTTCCTTTCTATTATCTACCATTTAATTTACCTTTTTAATCTTTTATTTTTAATACATACTATATTTATCACACGTTACAAACTAATTACTATATAATATGTAAGAATCTCTTTGAATGGCAGGGGGAGGGGGGTCACAACAATCTTGCGACAGCTATTCTTAAATATTCTTTTGTTTTTTTTTGAGGCTAAATTAGTTTTTTTTTTGGTTGGTTTTAGCAGTCGTTGATACCCTTTTTTTTCATGTGCTGCTTTTAGTTGACCAAAAAAAATATCTTGAAACAATCAACTATTTTTTTTGGATTGAGAGCAAAATACTCTGCGAGCACAGATTAACTAAAGATTGAAATATGAGATGAAATGCGCTTTAATATTATTTGTATGTTTCAATGCTTTCATCTGACACATTCGATAGATAAAATATCCCTTTCTAGTGTAAGAAAAAGATCATTCGATTTTAGAGATTCATCTGCTAGTTAATAGCATGCATTTACTTAAGGGTTGAGAGATCCGTTAATGTAGGCAGACTTCAGTTAAAACAAGTGAGGCTTCAATGATGAAAATAATCTGAAACATAAACAAATTTAAGGCAACTCATCACGATTGACCTAAGTTTTAATATCATGATTCAAATCTTCTACTTAACTTTAGTTGTAAGTTAGTATTATTCTTAACCATCTAATGTAAAATCATGTAAAATTAATTACAATAATTTGTGAAAATTTTACCTCATGGAAAACTCTATTGTGTTACGGTTAATAGAATTTGTGGGTAGATTTTTAAAAATAATGATACCAGAGAAAAAAACAACATTTTGAGCGCGGATGCCGGACATAATGATCCTTTTAAAACCGATAAAGAACAAGAAGATTATTTGATGACGAGAGAGAGAGCACCTGAAAGCTTCTTGATGGTTAGAACCAAAAGTTGCTCAACTTAAATATAAACTATCGATGCATCGGTTAGAAGTTCACTTCTGTATAAAAAACTCTAAAACCAATGATCAATCTTTCTCCTACAATCTCCAAGACGACAACAAAAAAAAAAAAGATCATTTCAATTATTTGATTTGCTTCTCTAAGAATAAAAAATATATGCATGGAATCTTAATCTTTCAATCCCTCTGACAATTTTCATACGCACGACCAGGACATTTTAATTGTTCTCTTTTTTATTTTTGTCGTTTTTATTATTTTCTGACATTATTTTTTAATTAATTTAATTTTTTCTTTGATTTGGTTTTTCCCAATTTGAAACATTTTAATTCTAAGTTTTTATTTACTTGACTAGCTTCTTTTTGTTCTTATTGTTATCAGTTTCGAGTAAGTATTTGGAATGATAATTAAGAGAATAAATAAATCTCTTAAAGTTTAATTTAAGGCATATGCTTTATACGAAAAGTAAATGGAAAATGAAAAATGTGATCTGTTTGTCTAATGAATACCACCTTTTGTATTTTCGGCCTTTTTGCGGGTTTTAACCTGTTTTAATTTTAAATCATATTTCAGACACTTTCATAACGGCAATGCTCGGATATGTTGTAATAAATCCCACAGTGATTTATATGTGGAGTAATTGATAATTCAAAGGCGACACAACAAAAAAAAAAGCGAAATGTGACAATACCTCTCATTTTTTTACATTGTGCGAATTTTAAGGTTTCTTTAGGATTTTTGATTAAAATGTCTCACCTTTCATATCTGGATGTCGTATCTCATATGACAGCATATAAATTCCTGGGGGAATATATTTTTCACTCTAGCTAAAATTTACGCTAAACATTACTGAGAGCTCGCTAACAAAATAACTATCATTTCTCACTAATCAACATACACTACGAAATTTAAACTCAGGGCAAATATAATCTAATGCGATAAACTGCTCTGATTTGATTATGTTCACCTCATACAGAGTTTACTTCTGATCATTTTATTACCAAGTTGCTATCTTTGTTTCAATCAATTATGCTGAATATTTAGATGAGTCAAATTTTTGAAAACTGTCGCGTAGTTCTAAGATGATCAAAAAAAAAAACGAATACGAATTGTTAAAATTGAAAATATAAGCTTTTCAATTATTGGATTACTTCCATATTCTAAAAATGCATTTGATAAAGTCTCTAAAGCAATCAAACAATGATATACGAATCCTTTGGTTTTCTGTATTCATCCGTATGGCCAGTTATGGATTAACTAATCAAGTTCTCACGTTATATCTTGAAGAATTAGGCGTGTCACAAGAGAATATCGGAATATTCATGACATTAACTCTTGTGGGTGATACCATCATATCCTATTTCCTCACTTGGTATGCAGATAAAATTGGAAGAAGAGTAGTCATGATAATTGGTACCATGATGATGTTTGTATCGGGACTTACATTCACATTCTGTTCACATTTTATTTTACTTTTGATAGCTGCCACAATTGGTGTCATTTCACCATCAGGTGATGAAACAGGACCATTCAAGTCAGTCGAGGAAGCTTCAATTGCTCATTTAACTCCTCATAACCATCGTCCAGAAGTATTTGCGTTTTACGGCTTATTTGCCACCATTGGAGCTGCTTTAGGTTCTTTATCATGTGGTTTATTAGTCGATTATATGAATTTACAATTGAATTATGATATCGAGACGTGTTATCGTGCTGTATTTTTAGTCTATTCAATTATTGGTACTTTTAAGTTTGTTTGTATGTTATTCTTAAGTGAAAAATGTGAAATTAATTATCATAGAAACAAATCAGTCGACGAAACTAGTAATTTAATTAATCACGAGACCGTTGAAAATGGTGTTACAGAAGAAGAGGACGATGACGAAGAAGAGGATGATGCTATAAAAGGAGTATCGATTAATCTTACTGGACTTTCTCCTACTACAAGGTATTATTTACCAAGGCTTTTAGTAATATTCATGTTAGATTCTCTTGGATATGGTTTCATGCCATCAGCGTGGATTATTTACTACCTTAAGAAAACATTTGAAATAACCGCTAGTGGATTAGGAATATTATATTTTATTACTAATTCGATTGATTCAATAACGACTTTGCCTTCAGCATTTTTAGCAAAGTTGTTAGGCCCAGTTAAAGCAATTTTATTTACCCAAGCTCCTTCGGCAGTATTTTTCCTATTGATTGCATGTGCATCTAAATTCCCAATGGTTGCTGTATTATTAGTCTTATATTATTCAACATCGACAATGGATGTAGTACCACGTCAAGTTTTATTGACTTCAATTATGCCTCAAGAGGAGATAACAAAAGTCATGGGTATAGTTAACATCGGAAAGACATTTGCTAGATGTATTGGACCGGTATTTACAGGAAAATTAGCAGCTAACCAACTTTTGTATGTAGGATTTATTATTAATGGAGGTTGTACTTTGTTGGCTGATTTAATATTGGGATTAAATTTCTTACATTTAGATCATGAAATTTTACAAAAGCAAAGTGTAATCGTTAATATAGAATGATAGTCTCATTTATATAGATAATTATAGACAACCATTTCATCATTAATATAAAGTAGAATATTGTCATGTTTCAAGTTACTTGACTGTTTCTAATTATAATTATCTAATTCGTTTCCAAGAAAAGTGATTGTAATTTTGTGGAAATGAAAATCGTAATGGGAAGTTAAGTGCATAAATGGATCATTTATAATGTAGATCAGGCTTTTGTCGTGGGCTAAAATTGCAGATATAGTAACATATTAACGAAGACTAAACAGCCGGTATGTGTCATTATTATAAATCAATGGACACATCTCCATAACCTTATCATCTGGATATTTATGTAGGCCTGGGAGCTTAACCACTGTTGTCTGCTGCCTTCAAAAGTTCGGGGTTACACGGCCAACAATTTATTTTTGAAATTCGGCCAACATTCTAGCCGTTATGGAGTAGATATAATCTCAAACGGACCATCTTGCTTTCAAATAAAATAATATAGATCTTTATGGGGCATTATAAAGGATGATATGAAGATAAGAACTGTTATTTGCTTGTTTCTGAACAAAAGAGGAAAATGACGGTCTTTAAAGAAAAATTCTTTGAAGTGCTTCTTTTTCCATTGAGCAAAAATTTTCTAGCATCAGCATAAGTCCCTAAGTATAAATAATTTCAACAGTCTAGACCAAAGACAGCCATTCTTGGAATCAGTGGTATTTGTGTAGTGGTTATAACAACTTGGAATACCGGTGGAGCGTTCCTACGGCGATTTACAAAAGCCGCAAGATAACTAGGTAATAATTCACCGTTCTTGTTTCGTAAATGTAGCACGTACCAAGTCTTATGAACGCCCTTTGTTTTCATTTCTCTTTTTGTCCATTCATATACTGAGATTTTAATGGAAGTAAGATGATATATATTCAAATAGAATAAAAAGGTCATCACAGAAGGAAATCGTAATGGCCCTAATTATGGGTAAAAGGTTTTTTTTATGAAGTAAAATGGAGTTTTTACAGACTAGAAAACAGAGTTGGGCACTCCAACTTTGGGGTTACAATAATACCAATAACTTTATTTTCTACTCCACTATTAGTTGATATCATCTTTGTTGTTATTGGTTAAAAAAGATGTAAAGGAATGAATACTTAGAATTCAAAATCTGGTATGGCAAAGTTTCGCATAATTTTGTTCTGGAGTGAGACCGCATTTGGAACCGGATAAGTTCCCACATACAGAAGCAGAGCTTCTATCCTGCACGCAACAAGCCCTAAAAACCGAATTCGTCTTTAGGCGGCTGAATTAGTGATGACATACATGCAGTCCGTGTTCTTTAGCATCACCAAAATTTCATATGTATACATTAAAATCATACTATAAAATATACATTTTTTAGGGTATTATGCAAATTTATCATTATTTTTTATTCGGGTACTAAATAGAATTACCCTTGTTATATCGTATGATAGAGCCTTTCATATTTGGTTCTATAAAATAATGGTTATAAATTTAACCCATGCAATAGCCTTCGGAAAAATAACCAGGGGGGGGAGCGAGGAATCAAAGTTCTACTTGTTGTTAGGGCTACCTTTATAGATTTTATTTTTTTGAATGTCAACAATACATACATGAAACAAGCAGCAAAGTTACTAGTAAAAATACAATGTAAAATCATCATGGTATTGGTTTAGAAATTTTTTTCTTTAGTTTAGAGTTAATGGAATTATGCATTGGTCGAAAATTCATGTCTTAAATGAAGCCTTTACTCACTTTTGTCATATTTCCCTCTTTTTTAACAGTGATGAAATATAGTTCGTAAACAAACAAAGAAAACAAATTATGTTAAATAGTATGCATACCATGTTCAGATAATCAAGTTGACTTGCGGAATCCGTTGAAACTTAGATTCATCTGTTGTACAGTTGAATATGAAAATTACCATAGTAATATAAGACCCTTCCTATGAATTAAGCTTTTTTCAATAAAGGGTGTAAATACTAAAATTTAATGCTTTATGCGCTAAATCCCTTTATAAAAGTTAAATTTATCAAATCGTCTACGGATATTGAATCCACGTGAAAAATATTATTAATTGAACTATATGATTTAGGTACAGGTTCAATGTCTTGTATGCTCGTATGTGTAAGCAAGCCTTCTATGCGTTGATTACAGGTAAAGAAAGTTTTATGTCACAAACAAAACAATAAACAAAAGCAATCATGCAGGAAACTATTCGGAGTCCTTCTAAAAATAAAAGCTTTCAATCAATTACTCATTGTAAATCCAAAAATACTGTATATTCTAATAATAAACAACAGATAAATGGCTATGGGATTTTTAAAATATAGGAGAAAAACTTAGAATTTCATATATAATTCTATATATGATGATTCTTTTTCGTAATTGACCTCTTCTATAAAACAAACTACAGCCTCTTCTTGTTTAACTTTCATGTTATTGTTATTATTATTTATCACAGACCTATTAATACCTGTTTATGACAACCTTGAAGACGCAGTTAAAGTGTGTGAATTTTAAAACCTTGTAAAATAAATATTGAAACCAAGCACTTTTGATTTATTTTTGGTATCATAGCGCCTCATTGAATTTATTTTTTATCACAATCCCTTTAGTTCATTTTTTAGTACTTGAAGCTTAATACTTTATAAAATATATCTAGCATTGATAATGCTTTGACCCTCCTCTCCCCCTCTTCCAAATAACCTTTATCCTGGATAAATCCATGTAATAAAAGGATACAGTTAACAACCGATCAATGCTTTTTTTGAACAATCACAAAACAGAGTTTAAATATTTCCTATTCCTGGTTGGTTGTTAACCTAAATTCAAAAACTAAACTCACATGTAGTTTGAAGTGGAGAGGAAGATCCCTGAACCCTGTTCAATTGTAATTGTTCTAGAGCTTTAGTTGTATTCTTTCAATATCATTGAAGACCCCTATATCTAACAATGGTATCTATTGTTTTCACAATAGAAGCTTCTTGATTATGTATATTCTTGCCCTAATTTAAATTAAATTAAATTAAACTAAATTAACTTAGGTTAAGTTAAGTTAAGTTAAGTTAAGTTAAGTTAATTAAAAAGTCAATAGTTTAATTCTAAATATCAAGCCTTCAGTTTGGATTTACGTCTCCTAGAATCACAAAATGGTTCTTTTGTTACATTGTATATATTACGAAGCCTATACCATAGACTTAATTAGCCGAAATTCGCAAATCCTAAAACTGGAAGCACGAGAAATAAAAAAAAAATAAACTGGAAAATTTCAAAGACGTGAGAAATAAAATAAAATAAAAAATAAAACTTTGGTTAAAATTCAAAATAAAATGATTGGAAAAGATAGCAATTACGATTCTCCTTTTGGAATTCAATCCACAATGGTTCATTCGTATCGATCAATAATTCGTACAAAAGTGCAAACAAAACTATGTCTTCACATGAGTTAATGAAATTTGCTTATGATACATCATTATATCAACAACAATAACAAACAAACAAGACAATAACAAACATTATGAATATGATTACGGATAGGTTTATAACATAATAGGAAGTTGACAAACTGGCGCATTAGCACTCCCTGCATTTATCTTTTACCTTTTTACCTTTTTACCTATATTTAGGTTAATTCATAGAGTTCACTCACAAGGATAGAGTTTATTTACTAGAATTAGAATATTTTTCACACTTCATATTTAAACTATGCATACTTGAAATTTCTGGAAAACTTAAGAAACTAAACCCTGCAGCATCCTGAAATGAGTCCCAAGCGAAATACTAAGCTAAATTTTTTCACCCTAACCTAAACTAACTATGTTCCGGTGTTTAACGAGAGCTATTTTGCGATCCGAAGACGCTAATATTGCGTGGATCTTTAAATCGAGTTAGAAGCTCTGGGTGAGGGTATTCCCTCACAGGTTCGAACTATCTACTAGCCAATCCTTAACCAAGGCATAAGAAACCGTTATTGCAACCGATAATCTATGGATCAACCTTATTTCTTCCTTCCTTCCTTCCCTCCTCCCTTCACTTCATTTGCGTCTCACTTGACGGCTCCTATTCCATTCATTTCGTAACCGAGCATTTAAAACAAAAATAATTCAATGTTGACGCATAGAATTTGAAATATAGCTTCTACTTGCTACTAATCGTCAATGTCATATGACTTTCTACCTTAGTTGACGACTGCTACTACTGCTGTTTAGACGCATTCACTTTGTATGAAATTGCTCTAAAGAAAATAAAATAGACTTGCATGAAAAAAAAAATATTTTTTATTCCATTTTTTTTTATTTTTTTGTTCGGTTTGATGGTACTGCAGCTCCAGTTTGCGAAAATAATTCTAAATTGGGATATTCAATCACCTTTTAGCATGAGCTGAAAAATAAACTAGAATAGAAATTATCAATCGAATTCCTACTTACATTCGCTACATTATTCGTGGCGTCATAGTGCAAAGATACGGCTTATATTTGCGTTGGCATGTTCCAGATCTCCCTATGGTTGTTATATTACAAACTCAAGGAAAACCTGCAATGAAATAAAGATAAAACATAAATTAAAAAATATAGATTGTCATACTTTTCAAGATTCTACAAATTATGCATTTGAATGTATATATAAGTCAGATGAAGTCGAAGATATAGCAAAAGGTTCTCCCTTTTTCCAATTGTTACCCTTAATCAAAAAGTTTTACAGCCTAATTCAAATCTCGCCAAATGATATTTTTCAACTATTTGGCAGTGGTTTTAATACTGTTGCTTAAGCTTGCAAACTCCACTGTTATTACTCTGAATACTGTTACCACAGGTAGTACAACCAATTCGAGTCCGAATTATAGTGGTGATGTTACTATTGACTCAGGAGCATACTGGTCACAATTTAATTATCTTACAAATACCCTCCCGGGATCATTAGATGTCGAAAGCAATGCAGGATTTTATGTCACTGGAACGGCGGGAGCAACATCTGGAGTATCATTCAGTCTTGCAAGTGGTAATCTTATAAATAATGCTGGTACCATCGCTTTCAATGGGTTAGCAAATACCGGAATTAACTCATTCATAATTTCAGCCACTACATTCGATAATTCAGGTCAAATATTTATGGGAGGTAATACAGCAACTTCCAATAATTTTCAAATTAATGCTGCTAGTTGGACCAATTCTGGTTTGTTGGTATTTCAACAAAATGTTACTCCAAATGTTGAAACTTTACAACTTGAAGCTACCGATGGTTATTTGACAAATACTGGTAATATTTGTATGTATTATACCACTTTCCCTGTTCTTGATACCATGATTGGTCCCGGTTGTATAACATTGAATAATAATTCATATCTTGTTGATGTTTCTTCAACAACTCCTCTTATTAATCAAACTATTTACATGGTCGATAAGACATCTAGTGTTAGAATTGCTCCAGCTAGTAGCTCGGATCCAAACCCCCCTATTCCAGTTGCTGGATTTGGTAATGGTAATTCCCTTGGTTTAACTACCAGTTTAACTCAATCACTGCCAAGTGGAACTTACTATACTTATATTGGGGATACTCTCACATTATATTCAGGTGGTGATTCTCAAGCGTTCGTTATTGGTTATGGTTACAATGCTTCAGATTTCGAAGTAACGAGTGCACAAATATCTGGGGTTGTTACTGATGTTGTAGCTGGTGCAGTTATTTACAATGGTCCTGTTCCTGATGAGTCCACCACTCATAGCGAGTGTATACAATGTGAAATGGTTCCAGCTGCGCCTACCACCGCTGTTTCAACCACTACCATTACCACTGTTTGGACAGGTTCCTTCACATCTACAACAACACTTCCAGATACAGGAACTGAAGAAACAGTCCTCGTAGAGACACCAGAAGCAACTACTACTATCACTACCAGCTGGACAGGTACCGATACAACTACTATCACTGAGTCTGGAACTGACACTATTACTGTGCTAGTCGAAACCCCAGTTTATACTACTACCACTACCACCGACACATGGACAGGATCATACACAACAACTATAACTGAACCTGGTAACGGATTAACTGAAACTGTTCTTGTTGAAACACCAATTGAACCAACCACCACCATAACTACCAGTTGGACAGGTACCAATACCACTACTATTACTGAATCAGGAACCGATACCGTCACCGTAATTGTCGAAACCCCAGTTTATACTACCACCACCACCACCGAAAGTTGGACAGGATCATACACAACAACAATAACTGAATCTGGTAACGGATTAACTGAAACAGTAGTTGTTGAAACTCCAATTGAACCAACCACTACTATCACTACTAGTTGGACCGGTTCTGGTACTACTACTATTACTGAAAGTGGATCAGATACTGTCACAGTTGTTATTGAAACTCCAATTGAACCAACCACTACTATCACTACTAGTTGGACTGGATCTGGTACTACTACTATTACTGAATCAGGTAGCGATACTGTCACAGTTGTTATTGAAACTCCAATTGAACCAACCACTACTATTACTACTAGTTGGACTGGATCTGGTACCACTACTATTACTGAATCAGGTAGCGATATTGTCACAGTTGTTATTGAAACTCCAATTGAACCAACCACCACAATCACCACTAGTTGGACTGGATCTGGTACTACTACTATTACTGAAAGTGGATCAGATACTGTCACAGTTGTTATTGAAACTCCAATTGAACCAACCACTACTATCACTACTAGTTGGACTGGATCTGGTACTACTACTATTACTGAAAGTGGATCAGATACTGTCACAGTTGTTATTGAAACTCCAATTGAACCAACCACTACTATTACTACTAGTTGGACTGGATCTGGTACCACTACTATTACTGAATCAGGTAGCGATACTGTCACAGTTGTTATTGAAACTCCAATTGAACCAACCACCACTATTACTACTAGTTGGACTGGATCTGGTACCACTACTATTACTGAATCAGGTAGCGATACTGTCACAGTTGTTATTGAAACTCCAATTGAACCAACCACCACAATCACCACTAGTTGGACTGGATCTGGTACTACTACTATTACTGAATCAGGTAGCGATACTGTCACAGTTGTTATTGAAACTCCAATTGAACCAACCACCACTATTACTACTAGTTGGACCGGTTCTGGTACTACTACTATTACTGAAAGTGGATCAGATACTGTCACAGTTGTTATTGAAACTCCAATTGAACCAACCACTACTATCACTACTAGTTGGACCGGTTCTGGTACTACTACTATTACTGAATCAGGTAGCGATACTGTCACAGTTGTTATTGAAACTCCAATTGAACCAACCACCACTATTACTACTAGTTGGACCGGTTCTGGTACTACTACTATTACTGAAAGTGGATCAGATACTGTCACAGTTGTTATTGAAACTCCAATTGAACCAACCACCACAATCACCACTAGTTGGACTGGATCTGGTACTACTACTATTACTGAATCAGGTAGCGATACTGTCACAGTTGTTATTGAAACTCCAATTGAACCAACCACTACTATTACTACTAGTTGGACTGGATCTGGTACCACTACTATTACTGAATCAGGTAGCGATACTGTCACAGTTGTTATTGAAACTCCAATTGAACCAACCACCACAATCACCACTAGTTGGACTGGATCTGGTACTACTACTATTACTGAAAGTGGATCAGATACTGTCACAGTTGTTATTGAAACTCCAATTGAACCAACCACTACTATTACTACTAGTTGGACTGGATCTGGTACCACTACTATTACTGAATCAGGTAGCGATATTGTCACAGTTGTTATTGAAACTCCAATTGAACCAACCACTACTATCACTACTAGTTGGACTGGATCTGGTACTACTACTATTACTGAATCAGGTAGCGATACTGTCACAGTTGTTATTGAAACTCCAATTGAACCAAGTTCGTTTAGTACTAGTTTGGAAGCTACATCGTATGTTGAACCTCCAACTACTACAATTACCACCAGTTGGACTGGATCTGATACTACAACGATTACTGAAAGTGGAAGTGATGGAGTTACTGTTGTTGTTGAAACACCAGTTGAACCAACCACTACTATTACCACTGTTTGGACTGGTTCATACACTACGACTATTACTGAAAGTGGTACTAATGTTATTACAGTTGTTGTTGAAACGCCACCAAGTGAGCCAACAACTAGTATAACCACATCATGGACTGGATCATTCACTACTACTATTACTGAAAGTGGAAGTGATGTAGTGACTGTTGTTATCGAAACACCAGTTGAACCTACCACTACTATTACAACTGTTTGGACTGGATCTGGTACTACTACTATTACTGAAAGTGGATCAGATACTGTAACAGTTGTTATTGAAACTCCAATTGAACCAACCACTACTTTCACTACTAGTTGGACTGGATCATATACGACTACCATTACTGAAAGTGGATCAGATACTATTACTGTGGTTGTTGAAACCCCTGTTTATCCAAGTGTTATTAGTTCATCATTTAGTGGATTTTTTAACAGTTCTATTGTTTTCAGTACTAGTTTGGAAGCAACCTCTTACGTCGAACCTCCTACTACTACTATTACGACTAGTTGGACTGGATCTGATACTACAACGATTACTGAAAGTGGAAGTGATGGAGTTACTGTTGTTGTTGAAACACCAGTTGAACCAACCACTACTATTACCACTGTTTGGACTGGATCGTACACTACTACTATTACTGAAAGTGGTACTAATGTTATTACAGTTGTTGTTGAAACGCCACCAAGTGAGCCAACAACTACTATTACAACTGCATGGACCGGATCATTCACTACCACTATTACTGAAAGTGGAAGTGATGGAGTTACTGTTGTTGTTGAAACACCAGTTGAACCAACCACTACTATTACAACGGTTTGGACTGGATCGTACACTACTACTATTACTGAAAGTGGAAGTGACGTTATTACGGTTGTTGTTGAAACGCCACCAAGTGAGCCAACAACTACTATTACAACTGCATGGACCGGATCATTCACTACCACTATTACTGAAAGTGGAAGTGATGGAGTTACTGTTGTTGTTGAAACACCAGTTGAACCAACCACTACTATTACAACGGTTTGGACTGGATCGTACACTACGACTATTACTGAAAGTGGTACTAATGTTATTACAGTTGTTGTTGAAACGCCACCAAGTGAGCCAACAACCACTATTACTACTGCATGGACCGGATCATTCACTACCACTATTACTGAAAGTGGAAGTGATGGAGTTACTGTTGTTGTTGAAACACCAGTTGAACCAACCACTATTACATCAACTGTTGGAACTGAGACAAAGACGGGAGTCGTTATTGTTACCACTTCAGAAAGCGTTACACTTACAGTCACTTCTTGGTGCAGCAGTGATGATGTAACATCATACACCACAACAATTGTTACAACGGATACTGTGGGAGTTCCTTGCACCGAAACTGGAGTTGTGATAATCAGTACTGACACCGAAGGAGTAGTTTCTGAAACTACTTCGATTATTTCTGGATTCGAAGATTACACTTATACTACGACTATCATTACTACGGATACTGTTGGAGTTCCTTGTACTGAAACAGGAGTTGTTATTGTCAGTACTAATGCAGAAGGAGAAATATATGAAACTACTTCAATTGTTTCTGGTGGAGAAGATCACACGTATACTACGACTATTATTACTACAGACACAGTGGGTGTCCCATGCACACAAACAGCTGCTGTTATAGTTAGCAGTGTGAATGGTGGAACTAGAACAATAACATCTATTATTGGCTCTTCAACTATTGCCGCTGAGTTTACCACTTCAACTATACCCCCAGCAGTGATAGTGGTGCCTTCGGGAAGTACTTCATCTAGTGCCACCAGCATCCCACCATATGATGCATATGAAGGTTCTGGTAGTAGCTTGAGTATAAGTCCGTTGTTATTATCTATTTCATTTATTGCCACATTGTTTATGGGCATTGTATTTATTTGAATATCAAGAATATTCTATTAATTTTTCGGTTAGTTATACCCATAAAATAGAGAGATATAGAAAGCAAAGGGAAGGTTTCTAGTAAACGTTTTTGTTGGTCTTTTTATTTAATTTTTCTATCTGGTTCGTTTTATTTTGCAGTCTCACAAGTTTTTTAAATCTTTTGTATTGAAATTAGAGAGTGCATTTTTCTTTCACTTATTCTGCTTTATAGATTTGATCAAACCTTTTATTTTCGATTTAATTCACTTATTTTCTATTATTATTACTATTATTTACTATTATTATTATTATTATTACATTTGTGTAGTTCCTAACCTGTTACTTCCAATAAAAGTTTTTCTATATATATGGGGTAGAGTGAGTACTAGTGCAAGTCAATCAGAGGTATACCAAAAGCGAATTTGTGAGTCGATCGGTTTTACTCAAAGTAAACATAACGTGGCACAGGTAGAAGCCGCTTCCGTATTTTATTATTTCTTTTTCATTGGTAGCACATGAAGTGTTATGCACAAGATCACCCCCATGTTTGCATCTGCAAATTCTAGCCTTAATGTTAAGTGAATTAATAAAAGTTGAAACCTTATCGAATGAGCTTCACAACAATAAGCTTTGATGATAGATATCATTGTTATGCTCTGAGCAACGGAAATAGGGTCTTCAAGAACAAGGGATGAAAGATCATACAGGGTCCTGAAAATAAATTAGGTTCATTTAGAAAGTTAAAGTCAACGGACCCTTATATTGTATGAATCAGAGAAAGAAGTGTAACATAGCAAGATTTAGTAGAACAGAATTGCCTAATTTTCATAAAGAGTTAGCTTTCGAGTGGTATTGAGGCAGAGCAAAGAAAGACTTCGCTATTAGCAATTCACATATGAAATTAATCAAAAGACCTGGAAGTAGTAGCTTCCTTCAAGAAAAATTAGGGGAAACGAATTACCGCTATTCACCGTAAACGCACTTTTGTTCATTATTCATCAAAATTTATTAAAAGTTTTGAATTTGCAGACGCATACACATTAACTTATGTTATTTGGAGTTGCCAAAGTACGAGAAACTTAATATCAACAACAACAACAACAAAAGAAACACAAATTTCACAAGCTCCAGTTGTGTTTACAATACAATTATATTTACAATACAAAGAGATAACTGAGGCGTCCTTTAACGAAAACATCAATGCCTCTGAATCTTTATTGATCGCTTGGACTTGTTTTGTTCTGTACCATTTCTTTATTATTCTATTTATATCTTTCCATTGGAAGTTTGCAGATGTTGTATTCACTCCTTTTTAGAGGAGACGGAAAAGCATTAGAAATTAAAATTATTGCACGAAATAGAATTATTTGTGAAATTTGTTCAAACTTTTTCTTCTGAGAAATTTACGAATTAGGAAAAGTGAGTGCCGCATGGAAATTGAACTAACTTACACTGCTGGTAGCGCACAAGCTATTTATTGGACTGTGCATAAGGAAAGTTCGATAATTTTGTAGTCTTGAACTAAAACTATTAGAAGCTTTTAATTATAATTTCTGGTCAGCAAACTAAGCGCGACGACCGTGAAGTCAAGAAGAGCAAGAGATAATCACATAGCAATTCGTGAACATTGATATTTTCGTAATATTATACAAAGATTCTTGTATTAAGAAATCGAGTAATGTTTCAACATTTAATATGACGTACAAGTTTAACTTTAAACATTGAAAATCTAGCACAATCACCCTAAACAGACAACAGTGGCAGTAATCAGGAACATTTCAACATTAGTAGATTCAAGATTTCAATATGTTGATGTTAGTTACTTTTGTGTTGTAGAAATCAAATATTCCAAACGAACACTTCCTGTAAAGCATTTTAATTTAATGCTTACATTTCAAAATATTTCGAGTACTATATGTATTTGTATTCCCATGGAGCATTGAATTCAGTAGTTGACAGCTAAACTTTATAAAATGAATTAAGGTAGTTTTCAATCCTGAAATTCACTAGCCAGATTTTTTATTGAAAACTTCATTCACTCTTTTGATCGATATATTTCCAAACTACTTTAATCTGATTTCCCTTTGGTATCTCTTTTATTAGTGAATTCAGCATTTAGCAGCTTTATCCAATATTTTTTGTACTCAAGAAAACTGTAGCGATAAAATTAGTGAGAGAGTAAAACTAAGCTAGGGAGGGATGGTAGGGGATGATTTTTTCTATCCGGATTCTACAGGTGCGACATTTGATTTGTAAAATTTATCTAGTCATATGCACCTCTTAAACGGATGTGACCGAATTTCTCGTACATTCTTCCAAAAGGAGAAAATCGAGAATCACTAAAAAATTAGAAGAAAATCCAGACCCCTTATCAATTTGTTTTCACAACATCCCATTATTGCATCTTAACATTTCATCAATAGCTTCACAGGACTGAGTGAAGAAGACATACCATACAAGCTAAGTGCAAAGGCTAGGAAATTTGCCCATTCCTATGCAATCGACTCATTCCAAATAGTTACTACTTTGTAAGCTTGCTAAAATAGGAATCCATGATTCTACGTTGTTTTATAATCTAAATCTCATCTTTCCGCGCCTTATTAAAACCTAAATGCAGTTTATAACCATTTCAACTAATTTACGTTGTCATTAAAGTCGTTTTTGCAAAATCATTAATATCTCTCTCGTAAGAGTCTAAAGCTTTCTTGTCCATTATACTTCGGCGTTTATCGGGTTTATTTGAAACATGGTGCTACTTTGTGGCGCTATGATTTTGCAGTCTTTTTTCAATAAGTAAAGTAAACGGGGATCTCAATTACTTTCTAAAATAATGATAAAAGTGGGAATTGTGCCAGACGCTAATATCGTTCTATTAATGTCAAGAGCTAAATGCGCATATGCTAGACTTTGAAAAAAAAAAGATTGCCTACATTTCTCAAATTTAAGCACTAACACATGAAAGTATTCTAGAAGGGTTTACAAGCATAATTTACCATCATATTGCATAATACTACTATTCAATGCTTTGACAATCCTCATAAATTGCTATATAAAATAGGTTTAGAATATATCAGACAAAAATTCTCAATGATAGTTCAGGGCGTGATAATGCATTTTTCAAATATAGCAGCCTAGTTGATTAAAAAGTTTTTTTGTCTTGCCCAGAAAGTGAGGCGTGAGACATCAGACAAAAATTCTATGCACGTTAGCGACCCAAATCCTTTTATGCAAACCAAAATGTGCAGTAAGTAGAATTGGTAAAAGTGTCCGTTTTCCTGTTTGGGACAGGTAATTCTTCCCGTGCATCGTCACACGCATGGATCTTTCGATTCTCTTGGCTATGGAAAATCAATAAATAATGAGAGAGATATGTAAATGAACAGGTATCTTTCATTAAGAGTCATTGGTAATTTGTGACATGTGTCATCTTCAATCTAAACGGATTTACGTAGGGGAGACACTAACTGTCATATATCCCTTTGAAAGATTCACTCTTTTAGCTATTTGTTACTGCAAGATAATGTAAGTGCTGTCTATAAGGGCAACAATGGTCAGAGGATGAAATTTATTAAGCTAAAGAAATAAATAGAAGTGTTGAAATTTCTCATCTAAGGAATGTCATGGAATAAACATATGACTGTAAGATGAGATTCTTGTGAAAAGAATTTAATAGTGAAGACATCTAGGATCGATGATCGCTATGAATTGTTCGATTTCAAACAATATTTAGTAAGGTGAAAAAATCAAAAAAATAATAATTCATAGATGCGAAGTTAAGGTTTGCAAACAATCTTTCACCTCAAGCATATAGAAGGAGGAATTAACTTTGACAATCAAATTATTTAATTAAAATATCTGTTAATTTCATTCCATCTTGTAACAATTAACTCTAAACCGTAACAAATGCATTATAGCCTCAAAAATCCACAAATTGAATTTTTTTGATCAGATCATAATTATGTTTTCCATTGCCCTTTTTAATTTAGAACAATCAAAAACGGACAGCGTATCTACGCTATGTGCAGGATAAAGGACTAAGTATGCTAGTTTATGTTTGGCAACGCTTTTCATTTTGAAGTGTAGTATTGCGATGTCCATAATGTAGAGGCAGACAGTAAGGCAGACAATAAGGCAAGAAATGATATTAGGCAAAGAAAGTTGGTTATTTAATTGAATTTATTTTTGTCTGGTAGAAGTGGTATTTTACTCTACTAAAACAGAAATGGTTAAACTTTAATGAAACTAACACAACCCTAACCTACAAAAATATTTTTCTTGCCTGCATTCCTTTTGGTTATCCTACAATTTATTGAGGTTTGTAATATAATAAAAACTTAGTTACACTATATTTACCTTACCTTACCTTTGCTGCAGTAAGAACAAAACAAAATTTTCTAAAAACAAAAAGGTAAAATCATCATTAAATATTAATTGAGAATGTTAATCTTATATAAAGTGTGGTTGGTCGTGTTAACTTTCCCAGCCTCAAAATTAATAACCTTTTTAATTTACGTTGTCTGGTATTTAATTGTTATAATATCGGTAACAATTTCTTAAAACAAAAATGAATGCCGTTTTTGAGAAGTCTAATGCCTAAAATTACCATTCTCATTTTTCTTAGGTTGCTAGACTATGTGGCTAGAAAAAAAAAGCTGTTTTTTGTAGCAAAATAATTAAATAGAATAAATGATAAACGGTACAGATCAGATCTTTCTGTACGTGATTTATATATTCCCAGTAGACTAAACCCAACAATTCTTATTGGTGGAGAAGAGTGATTAGAGTTTTTGAAAAAAGAAATCTTCAGTTCGATATCGCCTTTGCAGCAAATATATGGAAATCGTTGTTATTGCAACAATCGAGTGTAATCGACGACCCTAGTGAAGAGGAGAAGATGCATCAACAGAATAAGAATAAAACAAGTTGGATTTTTTTTTTTTATTTGTTCCCAAAGTTAAAAAATCTTTTTTGGTTTCGAAAAGGCTCTATCCTGAATGTTAGGTTCATCTGCAAAACAAAAGTATGTTTAAGTTTCATAACTCTTAGTTAATTATACCACTTGTATGATATAGTTGCCCGCCCCTCACGGTAAAAACATTTTGTCTGTTTTTAATCAGACACTTTCATCCTTTTTAAGATTTTGTCTTTTTTTGACCATTTAAAAGTTTTTTTTTGCTTTATTTTATTTTTTTTTATTTAATTTTTTTTATTTTATTTTTTTACTATATTTAGGCTACGAAACATAAAATGTCAGATTTTAAAAAATGAAGACAAAAATCAAAAAATAGAAAAGCGCAAAAAAAATAAAAAACAAATCTTAAAAAATAAACCATAATGAGTACCTCTCGGGACAATATAACTTTTTCTATACTCACCATCATGTACCTCTCGATTTTGTGCATTAATTAAGATTTTCTGAAATAAGGATTTTTTTTGAATTACGAAGACAAAAATATTCCTAAAGTGTCAGAAAAAACACAAATTGGAATGAAGATTGCAAAACAAACACTAAATAATAAAGTAAAACTCAGGGCTATAAAGTTTTATGGTTTGTAAAGTTTAATGTGGTATGATTATCAATGGGGGATAGCTTCCATCACATAAATTTCAATGAGTTTAGCTTCGATCGTATCGAGTAGACATTGTCGATCTCATGTATAAATCAACTGATTTTTATTCTAATTCTATTGTAGAATCTTGATTCGCATCGTATTTTTCATAATAATAGATTCATCTACATAAGATAATATTTATATTAAACTAGCATATGTTATTTTTGTTTATCATTCAAATGGGTGCTAAATAACATAAAGTAACAAAAACAAAAACAAAATTATAAACAAAAAATTAATTAAAAATGAAGAATTTGTAGTGATGAAAGGGTACAGTAGAAAATAAACTATGGTAATAGTTACGGAGGTGGGATACAACAGTTGAATTAAGCTTGATGAGATGAGGATTTACCATTAGTTCGTTTCAAATACATATGACTTATCGTTCCATAATTCTTTCTTTTCTTTATTTTTTATATCCAAATTTGGTCGCCTTTATATATTTCACCTCTAATTGAAAACATAACCGAGTTAGACCAACTTAAAATTAAATTTATTTATTTCAATATAGCATTGATATATATCCACTTTTAAATTACTTCATGTTTTTCTAAAATGGTTGTAACTGATTCATATACATCATCAAATACTCCCACGGTTGGTTTTGCAACAATTGAATCATATTCTTCATCCCTGAAAACCCCAGTTCTAACCAAGGCAGTTTCTAAACCATTTTCATTACCTCCTTTAATATCAGATTCAGGATTATCTCCAATCATATAAATTTTATCAAATGGAGAACTTCTTGGTGATTCACCTAAATTAGGTAAGATTTGTTCAGTACTATTAACTTCATCAGCAAGTAATTTTTGTCTCCAATCAATTAAAACATGATGAGCATAATCATATTGAATTTTAAATGGTTTACCCATGACAATGGAATGTAAATGTTGAGAAGGTTTTAATTGATTGGTATGTTTATATAATTCTTCAACAATGATTCTAAATGCTCCTTGACCAAATCTTGGTAAATTATAATCATTAGCCCATAAGAAATCATTATTACTAAAAATAATTGGTATAGAAGGATCTTCTCTATGTTTTAAATTTTCAATTTTTCTTTTAGTACCAATTATACCATGATTTGAATTTAATAAATCACTTACAATTTGAATATCAGTTGTCATATCTCTTGGATCATTAAATACTAAGATAGCTTCAATTGGTTTATCTAAATGAGTTTGATTTGGATCTAAAGAATAAAGATCAAATTCTTCTTGAGTATATCTATGATGAGGAGAAATAGCAGGATTGGCTCTTACTAAATCAATAGGCATAACCACATCTTGGAAACCATAACCTAAAGCACAATGTCTTGCACTATCCCCAGGACCCCCAACTACCAAGACACGATCATAAGCATGTTTATGAGCTAAAGCTTTCATGGGAGTATGACTTTGAACTATTTGTAAGGGACTAATTTGGAAATCCAATACTGAACTTATGAATTCAACACGATCAGCTTCAGGAACCCCTCCACCATTAGTTAATAATATAAAGGGGACTTTATGTTGATTTAATAAATCTAATGCTGATTTAGCATTTGGAATAGCTTGTTCACCTCTTATAAGCACACCATCAATATCAAACACAAACGCCAAGTTATTGTTTAAATGCAATTGACTGGAACTGAATTGACGAGCATAAGATGTAGATGATGATGATGACTTGGATACGATGGGATTGTACAATGATCTGATGGATGATTTGATCAATGGTGATCTAACTATTGAAATCATTTGACTAGTAACTTTTTTCCCTGTGATAATTTAGAAAATTGATGAGACAAGACAAGACAAAACGAGGAATTGATAATCTATGTAATAAACGTTGATATATGATCTATGAGTGTATCTATGAGCCTTTATAAATGATCAATTGAGATTGAATAATAAGAAACAATTGATATTAAACTTAAAACAATTAAAGTTATACAAAATTATAAAATTTTGGTTATCAGTAAATAAATTGATTTGCCATCTAATCAATTCCATTCCATTCGACTCATGGTGGATGGCCCACCGGGGCCCCATCAAAACAAAACAAAACAAAACAAATCACAAAAATTAAAATTATAATTATCCGTAAAATAAAAAATTGATTTCGCAAACTCCTTCCATCCTTCCTTCTTTCGTACTGGCTCAGTGAGCTTCTAGTGCTTTCCCCCTTTTTTTTCTCTCCCTAATTTTAGTGAGCAGAAGTTAACTAATGTAAGGAAGACTCCCTATGGATACCACAATAGATACACAAAATTCAAACAAAAATGTCATTAAACACGAGGGGGTGGAGGAGAGTAGAGTAATAGTTAGTGATTGATGATTCAGTTCATCTAGGGAGACAGTGAATTGTCTAAAAATAATACCGTCCTTCCTACCCCCGGCGTGTTTAAGGTTGACTTTTTTTTTACGTCAAAAAAGATGATGAGATTATTACATTGTGTTCCTCGGCAACGGTTATGAATTAAATTATTCTACGGAGTATATATTAAATAAAATGGTTTGGCTTAGTTCATTTATCATCAATCGTTGCTATCTATAACTATCTCTCTCTATACAGAACTAGGTCGTCCTTAATCTTGAAAGATTAACCATCACCCCGTTAAACACCAATCTCGTCCCTTTGATACTTGAATACTACATAATTGCATTTCTAACCATAAATTAAGCAATCCCGCTATAACCACTCCCGCACTATCACTTAAACTAACACTTCCCATACTAAATTCTCGTTTATTTTTGGGAACAGTTTCACTAACTGACATAAATGTATTGGTATACAGTAATCCTCCTAATAATCCTTCATAAAATGTAAGTATTATGATAAACCAAACACTTGGAAATGGGAAATCAAAATAAATTGATTGATACAATGTAATTATAACATTTAAAAATTGTAATACTGCCATCCAATATAATTGACGAAATCGAATTCCAAAATTAATTGATGTTCTCGATATAAATACTCCTAATTGATAAACAAATCCATAAACCACATAGATATCTCTATAACTTCCAAATAACCAATGAGGTAAATCATCCAAAGGGAATAATAATGTGGGGGCTATACCTTGATTTATAGTATATTCTGAAATATAAACCAATAATAATGGTAACATATAAGGACGTATTAAAGGTTTAATATCTTTAAAGGTATCATAAACATGATAGATTGCTTTATTATACCAAGGACGTTTTTCAAAATCAAATGAACTTCTTAATTCTTGTTCTTGAGATTGAATTTCAATTTGTTCTTCTTCATCAGTATGAATTGGTTCATATTGATCAACAATCAAATCTGGAGATGGTAAAATCAAATAATAAGTAAATAAGAATCCAGTAGGGACAATAGCAAAGATTAATAAACTAATCCATACTTCAATCCCTAATATAGTTGTCATGAATAAAAATAAAAAACTTCCTAATAATCCTGCAGCTCCAGTTCCGGTTGAAAATCCTCCAATTGATGATTCTTCATGATAAAAATGAGTTAATTGTAAGAATGTCACTTCTCCAATTCCTGATGAAAAAGATGCCACCGCAATCCCAACAATCTTTGATACTTTTGATGAAGCAGGAGTTAAACTAATTAAAAGCATACCTGAAGTAGATATAGCCAAGATAGTCCACATTCTTGAAACATAAGGGAATTTATGAATGAAAAACGGCGCCATAAGCTTGAATGCAAATGATGGGATGACATCAGCCAATAATACAATCCCTTTCGGAGTTGAAGCTCCTACAAGATCTATAGCAGCTGAAAGGATAACCACATATAAGATATTATTTAATAACCCAAATAAGGTGAATGAGATGAATATTCGTTGATTCTCAGTAAGCATTTCTTTTTAACTTATCTCTATCCTCATTACACGATAGTTTTGATACTATCAACCACCTATTATATATCTAAACTTTAATCATTAGTAATATGAATTTGGGTATATTATTTCAATTTAGGTGATATTTTGATACACGGTCTCTCCTCTGTTAGAAAGTGGGGGTGTGTGCGTACTGTATATAGTGCAGTCAGTGTAGTGAAGTCCGCTCCCCTCAGGTTAAATCTGTAAAAAGAGACAATCTTAATATGTAAAATTATGTTGTAACCAGCAAATTGGTTTTACAGGTTACCAAAAAAGTTACACTTTTCATTAATAGATTATAGTCAATGTTATAAATATAATATATAAAGTAGTTGGTGATACTCAAGATAAGTTATCTCTATTTATTTTATAATATGGGCTGACATTTTTCTTCATCGTCTAACTACTTTTTAACCTGAATAGTCCAGATCATTTTCTAATTACCAATAATCGATATTTAAATGGCTGAAATAGGAAATACTGTACAATGACTCAGACCTGCATACAGTCTTTTTTTTTAAACCACTACCGCTCCGAAACGTTGTAAAGCAACGGGCTTGACATTTTTTTCACTTTCTGTTGTTCATTATCTTTTTCAACCACTTTTTCTATTTTAAATCATATATAGATCCATATTTTATAGTTACCAAAGTTTAACCTATCGAATATGAGTAAAACTCCAGTTCCAACTGAATACGATGATACCAGAATCTTAGGTTACGATCCTTTAATTCCCCCTGCCTTATTACAACATGAAATCAAAGCTTCATCTAAAGCTTTAGAAGTGGTTATAAAAGGTCGTTATGAATCTTCTCAAATTCTTAAAGGTAAAGATGATCGTTGTTTAGTCATCGTTGGTCCATGTTCTATCCATGATCCTGCTTTAGCTTTGGATTATGCTAAACGTTTAAAGGCTTTAGCTGAAGAATTAGAAGATGATTTACTTATAGTTATGAGAGCTTATTTGGAAAAACCAAGAACTACCGTTGGTTGGAAAGGTTTAGTTAATGATCCAGATGTTGATAATTCTTTTGATATTAATAGAGGGTTAAGAATTTCTCGTCAATTATATGCTGATTTAACCGGTGTTATCGGTTTACCAATCGGTTCCGAAATGTTAGATACTATTTCTCCTCAATATTTTTCTGATTTCTTAAGTTTTGGTGCTATTGGTGCTAGAACTACTGAATCTCAATTGCATAGAGAATTAGCTTCTGGTTTATCTTTCCCAATCGGTTTCAAAAATGGTACTGATGGTGGTTTAGGTGTTGCTTTAGATGCTGTTCAAGCTTCTTCAAAAGGTCATCATTTCATGGGTGTTACTAAAAATGGTATGGCTGCTATTACTACAACCAAAGGTAATGATAATGGTTTCATAATCTTAAGAGGAGGTAAAAAAATAACTAATTATGATGCTGAATCTGTTGCTGCTGCAAAGGAAGCTATTGCCAAATCAACTGATCCAAGTATAAAATTAATGGTTGATTGTTCTCATGATAATTCAAGAAAAGATTACAGAAATCAACCAATTGTTCTTGATTCTGTGGTTGAACAAATAACTAATGGTGAAGATACTCTTATTGGTGTTATGATTGAATCTCATATTAATGAAGGTAAACAAAGTATGCCACCAGCTGGTTCCGGTAAAGAAGTTCTTAAATATGGTGTTTCTATTACTGATGGTTGTGTTTCTTGGGAATCAACCGTTGAAATGTTAACTAAATTAAGTAAAGCTGTTCAATCTAGAAGAGCTTTAAAACAAAAAAAAGATTAGAAGTTTCGTTTTAAAAAAATTGCCAAAAAAGCTTTATCCCTAAATTTTAAAATTTCTTGTATAAAAATTATTCTAAAAAATAACATAATCTATGTATTAATGTAACTTATTCTGTAGTACATATCCAAGGTAAATCTATTAATAATTGGCGAACTTCCTCGTTTGAAATATCTATATCTTCTTGTTGAAGTATGGTTAAGAATTTGGTTAACTGTGGATTACTTTGAGCATAACCATGAGAACGTTTAAATGGATTTCTGGTAGATTTCTTCGACGCTAATGGTTTCTTTATCCCATACCAATCTTGTTCAAAGAATTTAACGGCAAATCTATATTCACTATCATCAAGCTCTTTAAAGTACCTTTCCTGATCTGGTTTGGAGAAATCCTTTGGGGTGGGTGAATTTCCCACATATTCTACTTTATGTAAAGGAAATCTCAAGGCTTTATCTAGATGATAAGTTAAGAATCTTTCTCTTTTGAATTCAAATCCGATGATGGTGATTGCTTCTGGGTATCTATTGAATAATTCATAAAATCGACAAATTGAAAATATAACATTTTCAAATGAATCACGAGCATGTTCTTCAGTTGACATTCGAGACAAGATTGAATGTTTATGTTCATCTTCTATCAAGTTGGTTGCTAATTGGTAATATGATAATGATTCTGAAATAGGTCCTGATTCAACTTTCGTTTGACCCCCTGAGATGATTAAGAAACTTTCAGGTTTTGATTTTATATAATCTATACTTTGAATAATATGATCTTTAAATGCTAGATGATCATAACCATCAATTTGGAAATTCACAAGGTGCCATTCATCTCTAGTTTCACCCAACTCGACACCACCTTTCCATATAGCATGACATGGAAGGATCACTAGATTGGTATACATCGTTGAATGTTGATAGAAAGGAAATGATATTTGTGTACGCTCTGAAAATTATCTGATTTAGATTTGCGCGTTTCGATATACACTCTTTTAAAATTGCAAAACCAATTAAACCTTTTATATTAAAAACTTTATACCTACTCTATCTAACTACATAGATGGAAGGATCTCCTTATGTAAATAATGATAACATCCCACTAAAGCCAACCAATGACAATACGCTGCTATAACCACAAACACATGGAAAATTTGATGTGAATGACCGACAATATCGAATTTTCCCACTGCTGCATTCTCTAGTAGACTTGTTTCATCTTGTTCAATATGAGTGAATCGTTCAGGAACTCTCATGGCATATAAGACAGCTCCAGATATATAAAAAACTCCTTCCCATATCAAATAATTTATATTACATCTTTCAGCAGCAGCTTTATAGCCAAATAATTGTATGGCCGAGATGATAGGAAATGTCCCTGATAAGCCAAATAACACAAACATCAATGATCTTAATGGACGATATTGAGCTGAAGAAAACTTAGGAGCAAGGGTTAAAATCGTACAGATAGATCCTAAGACCAAGAACAATGTGACGAAGAAATCTCTATAATAAGGATGATCATAGAATCCAAATTCAATGATAGAAATCAAAGAACAAGTAATCAAGATCACAATCCCGAAATAATCAAGTTGATTTCCAAATTTACTGATTTTATGAGAATGACTCTTGAGACAATGGAAAGTGGATGACATGAAAAGACAGAATGTACAAGCAGCTCCAAATTGTAAGAAATTTAACTTTTCCCAAACTCCAAGATAATTTGGATATATCTCTAATTGAAAATTAATATAGTATAATATAGTCCAAAATACACTAGATGCCGGTAACAAATGACTATAGATATTAACGGTTTCATTATGAACATAAAAGAGGGATTCGAAACATTCCTTATAAGAGCTAGTTTCCTTAACGTATCCTGAAAGTATGAAATGATTATCTTGTTGCCATTCATCTAATTCATGATAAAATGATAATTTTCGAACTGTTTGTGAGTTTGTGGTGGTGGTTTGGGAACCCAGCATTTCAGTAGCTTTCCTTTGTCTTACGTTTGATCCAGATGAACTTATTGTACTCATTTTACACTGATTAGTAACAACAAAAACCAACTATATCGACCCTTTCAATTTGCCATGGTTATATAATAATGTTCCAGAAAAATCCCATATTAATTGTTGGATCATTTGTTGGATCTCGGCTCTTCATGAGATTTTTTTTTGAACTGTCTGCAAAAATTGCGGTGTGTTACTTTTAATTGCTTAATCGGGAAATTTTTACATTATAGGATAAATATATATTGTATTAAAAGACTAGTCTAATGCTATGGGAATGATGGGGGGATACTTTCACAAATATCTGAATATTGAGTTAGTTTTCTTCTGATACCAACTGTACCATCAGGAATGATTTTCTTCTTGGTTTTATCAATTTTCTTATTAAATAACTCTCCAGTATAAAATATCTTCCATTGTGATTCAGGTGTACTCATCGAACCAATACATCTTTCAAAATACCACTTATTGACAGGATTATTCTTACGTGATCTCCATATCAACTCAAATGGATGTGATTGTAAGATGATTTTAAAGATAATATCAGCCATACCAGGTAATCCTTGATTTCTTCTTGCAATAGCAAACTTATCTAAATATGCAACTTTCTGATGATTACTATATTCCCATGTTATTATTGCAGCTCCATCATAATCTCCAATTATTACCAATGTTGCCAAATTATTATTAACTCGTTCAAAGTATTTGTCAACCCCTAAACTTTTGCCAAACGAATCATTAATTAACCGTACTAATTTCTCTTTATCTACAAGTTTTTGATCTATAAGATTTTGTAAGGTGAATGTTCCTGGAAAAGTAGCCTCATCATATATCTTAACATCAATTCCCTTTTTCACAATGGAAGTTGATAATTGAGGTGTTCTTGTATTTGAACTTGGTAATGAAGATGAAATTATTGGTCTATCAGTTAAGATGTTATAGATAATTGGATTTAATTGATCATCATTGATTGACATAACCTTTGGAGTTGTAATTATACCCGTAGTATCATCCGTACCAGTCTTGGAATATGCTAATTGTAAGATTTTATTCATACTTGCTAAATTACTAACATGCAAATCACGTACTGTAGGAGGTATGTAACCAATGTATAATTCCGAAACAATATCAGAATATTCTTGTGAAAGATTAATAAACACATGACTAGTTTGGTTTCTTTCTATGGATGGAATTCCACCAATAGGATCAATGTTAATTATTTTTTCAATGGAAAGTAAATTAGAAGTATCTTGTAATAATGAGGATGTTAGTCCATACATTAAATCATTAGTACTTATAAACTCTTGAAATGATGAGGTCGTGTTATACACTACTGGTTGTATGATAGGAATTATACCTTGATATAATGGAATCAATATCAGTTCTAAACTGTTTATAGTTGGTGGAGTATTTTCATCTTTTCTGGAAAACAAAGATCTCAAACCAGTTGTCTTAAGTCCATTCTCATCATCTGGTTTCCCTAAATGATTCATAACTTTATTCACTTGATTAATCATATATAATTCATTATACTTAAACGTTCCATCCGATAGATGATCATAATCTAATAAAATCACAGGAGAAATTCCCAAGTTAACCAATCTCTTTAAAGTTTCTGATATACCTTTCCATTCTTCCAGAGTAATAGCAGGGAATTTAATCTTGATTAACGCCAAACGTAATGGGATTTTCTTTATCTTTTCATTATCGGCATAGATATTCAAAAATGGATTCTGGTAATTCAAGTATCTCTGTATGAACAATTCTCTCTGGTTATCACGTTTGTTCAATGAATTACCTTCATCATCCTTAGCCTTCAAAGCATTCTTGAATGATAAATCAAATTCAAATTGATTCTGATATTTGTTTAAATAATTCCTGGCTTCTCTATTTGTGGTGGTTGATTTCAAGATGGAAAGGATCAAATTCCTTTTGGCTTCCGTTATCAATTCATGAGTTTTCAAATTAGAAATGAATTCTCTATTCAAATTCCTCAATTTGCTCATCTACAATGCCGTTTAAGACCTTTGATGTTTGAATTATGTATATTTTGCTTATATGTTTTGGTAATTAATTAAGTTTTTTTTTTCAGAGTCATAACGTGTGGAGCAAAATCCGGCATACAGCAAGGTGAATCATCAAGGCGTTCAAATTAATCTAGACCATTAAGATAGACCTAACTTATATATCATCGTCATCATCATCGTCATAACCACCATCTTCGTATTCATCTTGATCAGCAATATCTTGGGCATTACTAGTATCATGAAGTTGTCTTAGTTTATTCATCACAGTCAATACGAATGGTCTTAATTCATTGATTTCTAGTAAAGAAAGTCCATTCAATACAATATTTGATTCATTTAACTCCTTCAAACCTTTTCTTGATTTAACTAACCGTATTTCTCTTAAATCTTGTAACACGGATCTTAATAAATGAGATGGATCACTAAGATCATCTGAAGCACGAGCTAATAACATTTTTGATATTTCAAGCCAATTCCAAGGTAAGGCACTGAATTGATTTGGCTTCCTAACTTCTTCATCATATTTATCTTTAAGATATGCTACATTTAACCATTTAGGCGGTATTATACTGCATTTATCTTGGGATTTAAGGATTAGTGCTACCCATAATGGAACCAGTTCTCTTCTCATGGCTCTTAATGCTGGAACTTTGGTCTAAAATAGAGTTAATTGTTAGTATGAATTCGTCATTAATGCTATGAAAGTATACGATAAATACTTACTCCTATAAGTTGCATCTTTTGCATGGTATATCTAGGAAGAATAGTAACCAATTCATTCTCAGCTAGAAAGTTAACTTCTGATGGAGTTAAATTGTTTTGTAGTTGAGCAGGTAGCACCATTTTTGATCGTGACTTTCTATTTGTATGTCTTGTATCTATCTCTTATGACAACTATTGGTTAGAACTATTATCTATCAATTAGTCTATACTTCAATGTCTTAGACTTATACATCTTGAAATTAAATGAAAATAAATACAATTTTTTTTAGGTGTGTAACGGACGCGTTATGTCGTACCAATACCGAAAAATATATGGCACTCAATTTTTGATTGCAAAATTACTATATTGTACAGTTCTACTTACTGATCTATCTACACTATATACATCCTATCTTCTTCTATCCTTAAAGGTCAGACTCTTACCGACAGTCATATGCTTACCTCTTTTAGATGGTTGTGGACCATCACTTTCTTTGGAATATGGATCGAATTTTGGCTTTCTCTTTTTATTGTTCTCTCTCTTTCTATCTCTAGAATTAGTAGGCTCAAGTAACATTTTATCAGCATTTGCATAATCAAATGCTTTTTCATCCAGTTGAATAGCCTTTTTGGTATTGTTTCTTTGATTGAAATTCTTCTTACGAAGGGTTATAACTTCATTAGGATCAAATTCATTCTTATCAGCGAATAAAGTTGCAGATCCAGTTTTTGAACCTGAAACTGATTCAACTTTCTTTTCTTGTACTTGTTCAGCGACTTCATCTTTTTCATCTTCGGATTCTATTGGATTACCAAGATTGATCTTAACTTCATCATGTATGGAACTCATTTCCTTCCAAGCATTTTTCAAACGTTCATTATATTCATCACCAAAATTATGCTTAATTATCGTCATGGAATCTGGTTCACACTCAACAGAAATTAGACTCTTTGCCCCTTCATAAATTGAAGTAAATAATTTAGAACCAGCCTTAAGTAAAGATGAATCCAGCTTTGATTCCAATAATTGATCATTATGATTAATCAATTCAAGAACTGTTGTGTTATCAGCTATTTCATTAATATTTTCACTGGATGGATCTTCATTCCATTTATCAACTAAATCCCAATCATTTTGAGCAGTTCTCTTTATAGTAGTTTCAAGTAATTGTGCTAATTCTTTTACATTAAGACGAACATGCTCTGAAACAAATCTTGAAGCATTCAAGATTCTTTCTGTAGTGACGTTATCTTCAAGGTTTGATAAATCAACTAAAAGTTGATTTGGCATAACGTATCTGACCGATTCATCTTCAGTTTTAGCAATAGCATCTCTCCAATTGTATAAAACTTCAACAATTGGTTTTCTATGAATTGGTAAATTATATTGAACCATAATAGATGAATATGGTTCTGCGGGATTGTTTGCCATGATGGGACATGAGACCTTACCGTTTCCATTATTAGATAAAGGTCTATATTTAGTGTATTCGAATCTTCTTTTAGCAACTTGTCTTGAATCATGTAAAACCTTACGAAGTTTCTCTTCACCTCCATCTATTAATTTGTTTCTCAATTGATCATAAATGTTTAATAAGAAATGTGTATCTGATCTGGCATATGCAAGCATTGGAGTCAGCAACGGCCTTATTCTCCAATCTGCTAATTGGTACTTCTTAGAAGTTTTGAAATTTGCGAATGTTTCTAATAAATATGCTAATGAAAATTTTGGAAAACCTAATGCTTTGGATGCGTGATAAGTATCAAACAAGGATACAATGTATAACCCTAAATCTCTTTGTAACCATATTATATCCATGAAAGCACCATGGAATATTTTTACAATATTTGGATTTGTAAAAATTTCATTTAATGGTTCTAAATCATTCCTTAATTTTAAGGTATCGACTATCCAATCTTGATCTCTATTGGAAATTTGCATAAGGCATACTATACCGTAATACGTTCTATAATCATGATGTTCCAAATCGACAGCTATTTCTGTGGAGTCTCTTAAATTATCAATCATTTTATTTAAATCATCGACTGTTTCAACCCAAGTAGCTGAGGTAGAAACCCAATCTTTAGATGGTATTGGTTCTGAGTGAATTAAGATTTCTTCCGGATATGGCTGATTATCAATTTCAAATTCGTAAGGATGAGCGTAATATGGGGGATCAACCAATTCAATTGATTCTTCATAGGTTGGAGCAGGATTAATTAATGCAGTTGATTCTTCGTAAGTCTTTAAACCATGAGGCTTGGTAGTAATCATTGGTTTGAAAGGGTGAGATTCTGAGTTATCGACAGGTACTCTGAATTGAACTTGTGGTTTGGGTATCCTCTTACCATCATTTCTATTATTTGGAGCTGATGAATCACTTGTTCCATCTTCTAAGTGAACCATAGGTTTTTCTTCTGTAGTTCTAGCCTTGCCTTTTTGTTGCTGTTGTTCATCAAAGGCATTTTCAATATTTTCATATAATATATCCAAACTCAGAGAAATCTTCTTCCAACTGGCTTCACCAGTAATTTCTTCTTGTCCATACTTGATAGATGATCCGTCCTCTCCAATACTACTTAACAATCTATTAGTAATTTGTAAGAGACTTTTGGAGGAGTTATCCATATCTTTGCCTAAATCGGCATCTATTGATTTATAGAAATTCACATCTTGAGCAGCCAAAGCTGACGCTGATCTGATTGTTTGAACGACTTTGGGAAAGATATCTGCAAAGATATCTGTCTTCTGTGGCCCTGACATCCTTTATATTTTAGATCACTGCTGTAATAAACTTATAACTAACTTTCGATATGATATTTGCTTGCAATTGTTACTTAAAAAAATTGTATAATCCATCTCAGTAATTTTTCACGTGAGCAGAACAAACCTGTAAAACTTTACAGATTGAAAAATATTACAGATTAACAGTTTACAGTTTAATATTTTTTTTCAATGCTCATCAAGCGTCTAATAAAATTTTAGCTTATAAATTATTGGTAAACCTTTAGATCTATAATACTCCATAATATATTATTATTAGTTAAACATAGACTGTTGTTAAGAGATGATCTTTACTTGTAATACCTGTGGTTTAAACTTCCCCACTGCGGAAGATCAAAGAAGTCATATGAAATCAGACTGGCATCGTTATAACTTGAAGAGAAGAGTTGCTCAATTGCCTCCAATCGAAGAAGATTTATTTAATACCAAAGTTGCATCTTTGACCATAGATGATGAGAATACCATAGCTGTGAAGCCTAAAGGTGAAAAACAGTTGACTAAGAAAGATCAAAGAAGAAAGGAAAAAGAAGCTATACAGGAAAAGAAAAGACAGATCTTGGAAGTTGCAAGACAAGCTATGTTAGCTAAGATGAAAGAAGAAGGCATAACTGAAGTAACACCAGAAGTTACTGATAAGGAAGTAGTTGAACCAACCGAAGAAACAGTTGAACAAGTTTTACCTACTGAAGAAGCATCTAATTCAAATGAAGAACTCACTGAAGAACAAGAGGCTGACAAAATACTACAAGAAAAGATGAAAAACAAGATTGAAATTACTCCAACCACCTGTTTATTTTCACAACCCAAATACAATAAAGTCTTTGATACTGTTGACGAAAATATTGATCATATGTTCAAGAACTTTGGTCTTTATATTCCAGAAAAGACTTACTTAGTAGATAAGGAAGGTTTAATAGGTTATTTGGGAGAAAAGATCAGTTTTGGATTCTGTATTGCATGTAATTATCAAGGTAGAAATGCCGAAGCCGCCAGAGAGCATATGAAGCAAAAGAGACACATGAGAATACCATACGAATCAGAAGATGAAAAGCTTGAAATCTCACAATTTTACGATTTTAGTTCTACTTATGCTGATGTTCCAGCCTCTCCTGCTGCTGCTGGTGAAAGTGACGAAGATCAATGGGAAGATGTTCTGGATGAAGGTGAAGGAGCCGAAGATGATGAAGATGACGAAGATGATTTACCACCAGCAGATCAAGATGCTATTTATCAAAATGGTTTAGAACTTGTATTACCATCAGGAGCTGTAATTGGTCATCGTTCTATGGCTAGATATTACAGACAAAACTTAGCACCTGAAAGAATATTATCTGAAGGTCAAGGTACTGTTATTGCTGCAGAAACTAGACATATGTTAAGTGTCAGAGATAGACAAGAATTAGCCACTCAAAAGAGAGTCTGGAGTAGAGAAAAGAAGAGAAGTGATGTTAATGATAGAAGAGCCGCTAAATTTATTAATCAACAAGAGCATTACAGAGATCAATTATTACAATAGTTGCTTCAATATATATATTTATACATATTTTGTACATTTTTGGGTAAATAGTTTTTTAATTAGGTGTTAATTAGATATGTCATTCTTTTTTTTTTAGATATAGGATATTATTATACAAGTATTATTTTATTGAAACCGAATTTAATAGAGAATGAAAAGAATTATCAGTGCCAAGATTAAATCAACTAAAAAGTTGACTAAGATGGACCAACTTGCAAAATATAATAATTTTGGAGAGAATACAGTCCATATGAAAAGATGAAATCTTAAGTTGATACATGATCCAATTAAATTACTAGCTGAAATACCGTAGAACAACGATGTTATTAAGACTTTAACCCAAAGAACCGATTTTCTTAAAAATTTGAAATTTATAAGATCTTGAACATCATTATTCTGTTCAAATCTAACTTTGGAAATTTCAAAGATTATTTGAAGGGATGCAAGTGACCAATAGATTGGACCTACAAAGTTTGATATGAATGTTAATACACCAACTGGGATGACATCATATTCAAGTATACCATTGTAAGCATTAGATAAATCAACAGTTGCCAACAGATTTGTATTACCCATTGAAAAGAACGTTAGGTTTTGGATACAAATTATGAAAATAGATGTGATTAATAAAATTTGATCGATATTGGCATTTTTAGGTTGTGTTTGAGATATTATTTTAGCAGCTGAATACTTTATGCCTAAGAGAACTAAGAATATTGGAATGTTTTCAAACTTTGTTTGTTGAATAAGATATAATGTAATGAGATTCAGGACGTCTGTAATCAAACCGGTATTGAACTTTCTCAATTTCCCTAAAGAGACCCTGATGAATAATAATCCAAGTATACAGTAACCACTTAATCTGGATAATTGAGTGTTGACTCCTTGTAATTGGAATTTGAAATCTGGATTATCAACAGTTTTAAATGAAACTCCATAATTTTCGATGATCCAGAAGAAGACTAATCTTAAATATCTTGGAAGAACATAACCGTCATTGTAGAATTGACAAATCTTGAACAGGAGACCCACTGAACTAGTTACGAAAATAGCAATAAATGAAATCAAACTTCCTGCTTGTTTTACATCAAATGAGAATCCCTTTCTTTCATTGAGGAAATCAAAACAACTTGAAAACCCACCTTGAACGAATATACTAACTGAATATACGATATAAGTAGCTATAATCAATACCCATAAGATATCTGTATCTTCATTCAAAAGATATGAACCAATAGTAACCTTATAGGAGTACTTTTGACCACTATTATTCCAAGCCTTAAGGATTCTAATCCCAGTTAAGAATAAGGTCCAATATAATAATGAAGCTTTGTTAAAAGATTTGAAGTAATAACTTGCTAAAAATGCAGCACTGACAATAGTAAAGAAGTACCAAATTTGATGTTCTTCTTCAATCAATGATGATCCATGGAAGTGTAAAGAATAAATGACAGCAAAGGCTTCCACAAAGATAACCAAATGATACGGTACGTTATCACTATTTCTGAATAAAAAGTAATGATTATAACTGATCAATACAGCAATGGATGAAACTATTGTGATCACAAATCCCAAAAAGATGTCATTATAATCATAATTAGTTGCCGAAGAAGTTAATATTTGTTGAATTTCATATAACACGTCATAGTGGTATTCAACACTGGATCCAGATTCTTTCAAGCTATGCCATTTACTCCATAAATGAGCGTATTCATCACTCTCTTCTTCAGTTCCATACTTTGCGATAAATAAATCCATGAATTGTTGACAATTCTCATATAATATGGATCTCTGTTGAGATTCTGAGCCCCAAAGTTTTAATAACTGGGGAATGAACACACCCAAATTATTCTTTGGAATGGGGAAGTTCAATAATCCTGATAAAGAAGGTACTAAATCGATTTGATTGATTTTGGAATAATAAGTATAATCTGGAGATTCATCTAATGGGGCGGTATATCCTAAATTGAAGGTGTTTGAAAACTTAGGAGAGATAAAGGATAATGAAGCACTGGTTTCACCTGGAGATGATGCACCATGATTACCAATATCATTCATACCATGATCACCCATTAGTACAATAAGAACACTTTCGTTCAAGTCATTATGTTGTTGAACACTGTAATCGTAAACTCTTTTTAAGACCCCATCCATTTCTTCAAGTTTTGGTTTCATGAAGACAGAATTAGGTCCTCCTTTATGACCAATATGATCCAACCCTAAATAATGCAAGATTAAAGCATCCCATTTTGCATCTTGACTTAATTGTTTATCTAAATGTCTAGTAACATTTCTATCGACTTCAGTGAAATCACTAACAAAGAATGAATTAGTTCCATCGAATTCAGTGAAGGTAGTTGGGAATAATTTTAACCACGTATCATCTCCAAAGAAGTTGATAGTTTTACCTAAATTTTTATATTGACTAACCCAAGAATCTTGACTACTTAAACCTTGCGATGTATCCTTATCATCAGCAACATTTAAAATAGCATCTAAGAAACTAGGAGTTCCACCAGTAGTAATCCCCTTTAATCTTGGTAATGTGACTGTAGGTGGGTTTGAAAATGAAGTAAACGGTATAGCATGACCATTATTGATTAATTCATGAAGAAATGACATATGTGGATACGATTTGGAGAAACAGAAATCTGTTCTCATAGCATCTACCACCATTACTACCACCTTATCAAACTGAGGTGAATCATTAGCTTTTGGACTATTCCAACTAGTACTAAATGGAGAAGTTGATTCATAGAAACCATTGAATCCGGATAATACAACTTTAGATGGGAAAAATCCTCGAAGGAAAATCAAAAGCCCAATTATTTGGGATACTATGATAACCAATTGTATCACCCACCTGAAGGTAATGGATTTGAACATACGAAAGCTTAAGGAATCACTTGCAATGAAACTGAAAGCCTAAACACGCGTATAAACATGTATATATTAACCTGACAAGTGATATTTGGAAAATTATTTTGCCCAAACTGCATATAATCTCAACACCATTTTTTTTTTGATTTCCCCACGATTTGATTTAAGGATTTACAAGCCACTACTCTTGGCAATTGCCATTACTATTAGTAGTTCTAGGTAGTATTTAAAGAAGAAATGGTTCAACTTGGATAGTTTGGAAGAGGACTATAAGGATAAACATAGCTATTCCCAGTTGACAGATATTTTAAGAATACGGACATTGTAATTATTACTGGTTGGTGGGGTTCATAGCGGATAATAAGTTAGATCAACCAAATTGTTCAATGTATACACAGATAATAAATCAGATAACTTTCATTCAATTACGATTCAACTAAATTAGGAAATCCAAATTTTTTCATTTGGCGGTCTGTAAACGGCTGACCCAATCAAGTAATTGATTCCTTTGGGCGATAAAGATAAATTCCGCATGAAAAAGATAATTATTATATCAAGGCCTCGAAAAAATATGGCATTTGTAAACTTTTCACTTATCTTCTTTCAACGATAAGATATTTTAGACAAACACGGCAGCATTAGACATGTCATTTAGATCTTTAACACTTAAGCCAGGCAGATTACTAGCCACCATTCATGAAACAGCTCAATTATTCGGTCCGAAAGGAGTTTGGGGACCAGAATCAACTCAAACTGGGGTTTGTCGCTTATCATTAAGTGATTTAGATAAGGGGGTAAGAGATTGGTTTATTAAAGAAACTGAAAATTTAGGATGTGAGGTGAAAGTTGATGAAATTGGGAATATATTTGCCATATATCCCGGTAAGAACCCTGATGCTAAACCTACTGCTATTGGATCACATTTGGATACTCAACCTACTGGTGGAAGATATGATGGTGTATTGGGAGTATTATCAGGATTAGAAGTATTAAGAACGATTAAGGAAAATGGATTCGTACCTAATTATCCTATTGCTCTAATTAATTGGACCAATGAAGAAGGAGCAAGATTTCCTATGTCAATTATGGCTTCCAGTGTATGGGCCGAAAACATTCCTTTACAACAAGCATATAAACTAGAATCAGTAACTGATACTGATCCCGTAAGTGTTGAACATGAATTGAAAAGAATAGGATATTTAGGACCCGTGAAAGCACTGTATAAGACCAATCCTATTGCAGCCCATTTTGAAATTCATATTGAACAAGGTCCAGTATTGGAAGATGAAGAAAGAAAGATTGGAATTGTCACTGGAGTTCAAGCATATTCTTGGTATAAAGTAAGAGTATTTGGTAAAGCATCACATACTGGGACTACTCCATTATTAGCTAGATCAGATGCACTTTTAGCAGCTTCGAAATTGATTGTTAAAGGAAATGAATTAGCAAAGAAACATAATTGTTTATTCACAGTTGGAGTTCTTAATCTTAACCCTGCTGTTGTTAATGTAATTCCTGAATTTGTTGAATTTATAATTGATGTGAGAAATCCTACCGATGAAGGGTTAACTAAGATCTTAGCGGATATCAAGGAAACCTTTCCAATAATTGCCAAGGAATCTGGTAAGAAACTTGCAGTTGAATTTGAATTAATTTATACATCTGATGCAGTTAAATTTCATCCTGATTGCATTTCAAGCGTTAGAGATTCAGCTATTAGTATAGTTGGGGAATCAAAAGTTCGAGAAATGCAAAGTGGAGCAGGTCATGATTCATGTGCTACGAATAGTCGAGTTCCAACATCTATGATTTTTATTCCTTCCAAAGACGGTGTAAGTCATAGTCCAGAAGAATATAGTAGTCCAGAAGATGTTCATATTGGGTTTGAAGTATTATTAAACGCAGTATTACAATATGATTCTTTTAGAAAAGTATAAAGCGTAACCAGTAAGCGTAACCAGTATTACCCTTTAAGGTATGAAATATGGGGAGTAACTATACTTAAGTATGAATATTCTATGTATAGTGAATGGAATTTCTGACATAACGCAAACGTTTTAACCTAAACTAGACTTATTCGTCATTGTTTGTAACTAGTTATTTACTCCACTTTAGGCTTTGAGATTTTTCTTTGATTTTTGCACCTATATACTTTCGCGGCAATGGCCTAAATAGGATATAAAAAGGTGAGTAGTGCGCAAGTTGATGTTTCCTGCATCGAGGTTAACGCTTAAAAAGGTAATTTGATTCATAGCGGTTAAGGACCTTTAAGAAATCTGTGTCGTGTAGTAAAAAGATTCAAAAGCTGTGATAAGTTAAAGCGAATAACACGAAATAAAGGGGGAAAGAGGGACTACAATCTAACTGTGATTTAGAAAAAAGGTAAAGCCTAATTTGGAGGTCATTAATGAAGGTAAGTCAGTTGCGTTCATCGTTAAAAATGAAGTAGATTTTGGTCATAAGGAAATTAAGTGGGGCAACATAGTAAAGTGAAGTGAATTACAAAGGTTTAAAACTGTAACGGTATATTTGCAGCATTCCTATATCGGAGAACCCGACATATAGGCGTATAATTAATTATCTTTATATAATTTAAACAATATAGAGAACTGTAGTTAATATGGTGTTATATCATAAGAAGCCGAAATCAAAATCGAAATCGTTATCTAATCATAATTTCGCTACGTAATTATTTCTTCTATATAACCAAATGAGGGATGAGACAATACGAGAAAATCATGATTATCAGTAGTACTAGTATATTGAAAAATACTATGTAATTATCAACTATGAGAAGGTAAGGATAGTGAGCGATGGGTATGAAAGGGGGTTGCTGTAAAGCTTTTTTTAATCTTTGTGAAACAGTTACTGCTTTAGGAAGATGCCAATGCGCTATCAACAGAAAAAAAAATAAGATTTTTTTTTTTTAAAAAAAAAAAAAAAAAAACATTAAAAATTAAAAAGTCATTAATCGATTCAAAAAGTGCCGCTTAAGGATTTCATTTATCACACAAACAGAAGATAATATTATTGGATAACGAATGGCGTTAGCCATTCACTTATAAGTATCATCCTTAATTAACCCTAGATAGTCAAGACGACTAATAATAAAAAGAAATAGTAATTTAACTCTAAGGTTTGAAAAAGAAATTGCTGTTGCAAGGATCTTCGTAAAAGTGTGTCTGTCTGTCTCAGCTCAAAAAAAAAAGCGGACGATAAAAATTTTCAGACATTAAAAATTTGACAAACAGAAAGGACATGACCAGAAATTAGAGTGTAAAAGGGAATAGTAAAACAAAAGCAATGAATAAGCTTAGCGTTTGTGATTGAATTAGGGAATTGATCTCTCTACAAATATTGCGTAGTGGGGTCATTTAACTTTTTGTATGGTAGATATTTTTGAAACATCATAAAAATAAAATTGTAATTTAACCAAAAAGCAATTATTAAAATTGTTCACAAAGCGGAACCTGGATCTTAATTAAAGAAGTCAAATTGGTATATCTTTGGATCAATGATTTTTAAGTGACTAGCGGGTTATGACAATCCTCACTAACCGATAGAAGCCAAAGGGTAAGAAAGACGTTTAGTATAATCAAGTACTGTCCTATCTACCTAGCTAACCCATATCTAAGATCTTTTAGGAAATAATCACATCCAATAAACGCAAGTTAAGTACCTACTAAAATTCCCTTAAACAAATCAAAACAACTACCATAAAAAAAAAAAAAAAGAAAGAATTAAAAATTAAGTAAAAATTAAATTCGACCTTATCAGACAAAATTAAAAATTAAACCTGAAAATTTCTTTTTTTTTATTTTTTATTATCAATACCCCAAAAATCTGTGAGCTTCATCTAATATAATACCTAATTTTACTGATATATATTAGTGAAACTTTACCAACCCTCTTTTGCATCTTTGTATATATATAGACAGTGTAATCCTCTTCATCATCAATATTTGGTGAATCTTGCTTTTTTCTTTTCTTTTCTATTTTATTTTCTTCATAGTTGTCATATCTTTTGAACTGCATTGTCTATAAGTATCATCCATCCATTCAAACGATCGGGTATCAATTCGTATACAGTTTCATTCTCATTCTTGCTCCTATCTTTCATATTTGCTAATTTTTGATAGTTTGAATCTTCCTTAATCTTACCGATCTCAATTCATTCTATTCCTTACTTCATCCCCATTATACTATTTGTATTTATATTCATGCAAACAAACATTCTTGCCTTTTTAATACTATCTTCACATCTTACTTGAATTCATATATAACTACACAACACATATAGTAACCATATGTCCGATACTATCAGTCCTATTATTACTTACTCCAAAGGAGATCTCGAAGTTGGACCTATAACTTCAAAAGTTCATGTTGATAACTTACGTGTAACTTCGATTTTATCCAATAGAGATATCGTTATCAATGTCGATCATGAAGTTGATGATGATGAAGCCATGATCTTGGCTATGGGTTATAAACAAGAATTTAAAAGAGAATTCTCCTTATGGTCAGTTTTTGCTGTTTCATTCTCTGTTCTTGGTTTATTACCTTCTATTGCTGCTTGTTTCGATTATCAACAATTGGTTATTGGTATGAGTCCAATTCCATGGCTTTTAGCTGTTTTATTTGTTACTTCGGTGGCTTATTCTTTAGCAGAAATTGCATCTGCTTTCCCAGTTTCAACTGGTACTCCTTATGCTGTTTCTCAATTAGCTCCTCCAAGATATAAAGCTTATTTAACTTGGTTTACTTGTTGGGCTAATTGGTTATGTCAAATTACTGGTGCTCCATCCGTTAATTACTCAACTGCTTGTATGATGTTGGCTTTAAAATCCTTTTGTCAACCAGGTTATTCTGCTACAAATGGTCAAATTTATGGTTTAACTACTGGTATTCAAATCACTCATGGTCTTATTTCTTCTTTACCAACTTTATGGTTAGCAAGATTTAATTCAATGGGTACTGTTGCTAATATCTTATTTCTTTTCATTGTTTTCATCATGATTCTTGCTGCCAATGATCGTGTTGAAATGTATGATGGTACTATTCCAAAATTTAATACTAATGCTATTGCTTGGTCATTAGAAAACCAAACTGAATGGCCCCAAGGTATTGCTATGTTAATGTCTTTCCTTGGTGTTATTTGGGCTATGAGTGGTTATGATTCTCCATTCCATCTTTCTGAAGAATGTTCAAATGCTGCTGTTGCCGCTCCAAAAGCTATTGTTTTAACTTCTACCGTCGGTGGGGTTATTGGTTTCTTATTCATGTTAGCCATTGCTTATACTTTAGTTGATATTGATTTAATCGCTGAAGATCCTCAAGGTTTAGGCCAACCATTTGTATCTTATTTAGCCCAAATCTTAAAGAAAGATTTGGTTATTGCTGCTACTGCTTTCACTATTATTTCATCTTATTTTATGGGTTGTTCTTGTATGTTAGCTGCTTCAAGAGTTACATTTGCTTATTCAAGAGATGGTTTATTCCCAGGTTCAAGATGGTGGAAAATTGTTAGTCCATTAACTAAGACTCCAATCTATGCCGTATGGATTAATTTATTTCTTGGACAATTATTATTATTATTAATGTTTGCTGGTGATGGAACTGCTATTGGAGCTATTTTCTCTGTTGGTGGTATTGCTGGTTTCGTTTCATTCACTATGCCAACCTTATTAAAGATCACCTATGCTAGAAATACTTTTAAACCAGGTCCATGGAATTTAGGTAGATATTCAACTCCAATTGGATTTGTTTCATGTGCTTTTGTGTTGGTTATGATTCCAATCTTATGTTTCCCAGATGTAAGAGGAGCAGATTTAAATGCAAGTCAAATGAATTGGACAGCTGTTGTATTCTTTGGTCCATTACTTTTATCAACCATTTGGTTCGTTGTGGATGCTCATAAATGGTATATTGGTCCAAAGAGTAATCTTGACGAAGCTGATATTAGTTACGAAGATTCTCCTTATCAAGATAGTCCTCTTGATGAAGTTCTTGAAGGTAAGGAACAAGATGAATCTTTAGAAATTTCAGAAGAAAAGAAATAATTCTAATCGTCCTCGTCTCCTATAATTCTTTACACATTACTCTTTTGGTTATTTATATATCTTTCTTCTTCTTTCTACCATTTCATTTCCTTTTTTATAATCCTTAATATTTATTTTTATCATTTTAATTCGATTTTATTTCTCAGTGATTAACTTCTACATCTATGCAATACATATTTTAATAATTTATAAATTGAAATACTATACCAAAATTAATGTAGAGTTGGAATTATACTTCTGCTTGGAAATTCGGAGCCACTTACAATGGGTGCCAAAATTGATAAATGATCGTAGTGCACGACATCTTTCAAATTTTGTTTACACTGCGGAAAATAAGCCGTGTTTTTGTTTTCAACTTTCTCCGCCGAACTTTTACCGTCTCTAAGTAAATATCATACTATATACTGGAAGATTAGCTATTAAACTTACCTTATTCTGGTCATGACGTTATTGGGATTGTTTGTTAACTATCTCTCCAAAACGGCAGTTATGGTGGATGATTTTTCTCCGATTTATAGTGACTCAGTTCATCATTAGTAAAATGCATGTAAGTAAATTTGAGAATGGTTCTAAGTCAACCCTTATTTAGGTTTGGAGTTGGCAACTATAAAAGTATATAAAGACCATTATGTCTTGAATTTATAGGTTTATAACATTATCTTTTCTTTAGTCAATTCTATAAAACAAATTAAACATAAATTAAACATATAATAAAGCATGGCTATTAAAGATTTAGTGTTAGTTACTGGTGGAACCGGGTATGTTGCTACTTTTACTTTATACCAATTATTGCAAAGAGGTTATACCGTTCGTACCACCGTTAGAAATGTTTCTAGATCAAGTGAATTAAATAAGGATTTAATTAATTTAAATTCCATCAAACATGTTAAAGGATATGGAGATGAAGGTAAAGCGTTCCCTAAACTTACTTCTGATATATTAAAGAATCAATTATCTTATTTTGCAGCCGATTTAACCAAGGATAATGGTTGGGAAGAAGCTATTAAAGATTGTGAATATATTTTACATATTGCTTCTCCAATAAGTGGTGGACAAGCTACCGATGAAGAAATGGTTACTCCTGCTAAAGTTGGTACTTTAAGAGTATTAAATCTTGCTTTGAAATATGGAGTGAAAAGAGTAGTGATTATGTCAAGTTGTGCTGCTATTACTTATAATGAATTAAAACCAGATCCTGTGACTGGTGCACCACCTTTATTAGATGAATCAGTATTTTCATCGGATAAAGTTATTCCAAACTCTTATTCAAGATCAAAATTAGTTCAAGAGAGAGCAGTCTGGGACTGGCTTAAAGCTCCTGCTAATAAAGATGCTGCTAATCCAGTTGAAGTTGCTGTTCTTAATCCACCTGGTATTTTCGGGCCAAATGTTCCTGGTAAACAATCTCAAGCTGCAGTGACGGTTATAGGAAATTTAATTAATGGAAGGCTGAAAACAGGACTTCCAAGACTTTATTTTGGTTCATGTGATGTTAGAGATGTTGCATATTTAACTTATAGAGCCATGATTGAACCAAAAGCCAAGAATGAAAGATTTATCGTCGATTCAACTGATAAACCAGATTTATCAATGTTTGAATTAGTTCAAGTTATTCGTAAACATTATTCAATCACAGAAAACAATAAAGATGGAAAAGTCAATTTAAACAATTTAGCTGCTAGAGAATTACCATCTTGGTTAGTTCGTGTCCTATCTTATGTTATGCCACCTTTAAGATTGATTGTTCCTTATTTAGATATTAAAAAGCATACTACCAATGCTAAGGCTGTTAAAACATTCAATTGGAAACCAATCCAAGTTGATGAATCAGTAATTGCCACTATTGATACTATGTAAATCCTCCTAGTGTCTGCCACCCCCTCTGTTTTCTATGAGTCTTAAATCCCTTTCGATATTTAGTTTTGAAGTGTATACAAAATGATAATAGTAATAAATAATACTATATTGCAAAATTGTTGCTTTTTGGTAAATGCAGCATCAAACAATTTTGATTACCACAAAATATTTTTTTTTCTCCCTGTTTGATAAATTCTGAAACCAAATTTAAATTGTGATAGATATCAACTGTTTCATTCTTTATCTAGATCATATACAATCCATCATCATATCCCATAATGAGTGCTGAAGTTGAAACTCCATCTACTGGGAGAACAGAAATAGTTCATAAGAATATAACTGCCAAAGATGGTAGTAGATTGAATTGTCAGTTTTACAGCAGAATTGGTGCTTGTAGACATGGTGAAAAATGTTCCAGAAATCATATTAAACCAACTTCATCTAATGTTATAATATTACCTAACATGTATCAGAATCCTAAATTGAATAAGAATGATACTCATGTTGATGAACGACAGATTCAAAAAACGTTTGATCATTTTTATGAAGATGTATTTATAAAACTTGCTTCATTAGGTCAAGTGGTTGATATTGCTGTGTGTGAAAATGAAAATAATCATTTGAATGGTAATGTTTATGTTAGTTATCATAGTAGAGAAGAAGCATCCAAAGCCGCCCAAGCTTTGAATCAAGAATGGTATAATGGTAAACCTATTCATTGTGATTTATCTCCAGTTGATAAATTCGATGATGCTACTTGTCGTGCTTATGAAGATTCTAATTGCTCTAGAGGTGATATTTGTAATTTCATGCATTTAAGACATCCATCCCAACAATTAGAAGAAAGCTTACAAAATTCCCAAAAGAAGTCCATCATTCTTAAAAGACTTGCCAAGGAAAGTAATAGACCAAGTGCTGCTGCCAATGCTACTACTTCTACTTCTGCTGCTCCAGTATCTGTTGGTGATACAAATGCTGTAAGAGAAACAAGCACCATTCAAGATATCAGTAATCTTTTCGCTTAGAAAATTTTTACGCTATATATATATATATATCAATCACCATTGTATAGATATCCCTAATTATATATGTTCTAAATATATATGTTTAATGAAATGATGATACCAACTCCACCTTTTGAAAAGTCAATATTTAAAGGCCGTGATCGGTGATATTTGTGAGTGTAAACAGAAACGAAAAAAACCATTCGATTTCGTCAAAGCAATCTTGTTATCTACTTCATCCCAATTCCTATTACGAAAAGCTTATCAATTGCTGATCTGGTCTTAATTACTTAAAGTTGCAATTTTAGTATACCAAATTCGAAATCTAGCGTGAGTTGGTGGTATTTTATTAAATACTACGTCAACCATCACAAAAAGTAAAGAAAAAAATAATCATGAATGTGTTATCATCATCAAATCGAATTTGGCCTAGCTTGAAAGTAACCTCTTTTCATCATAAGACATTTGATCTGATATCTAGAGTGAATGATAGGAAGATTTCAACTGTTTGTCGATTTTTAAAACTAAGCTTTCCCTATACATTTTCAAGAAATTTATCATATTCAAGGACTTATCTAAAGGACATCTCACCAATGACAAGTAAGCAAGACAACGAGGGTCACAGTCATGCAGCCAGTCTGCATTCCCATAGCCATGAAGAAAACCCTAGTCTATTTGGTCATTCTCATTCTCATTCCCATCATCAACCTAATGAATTACTTTCATTTGGAAAGGGCTCTTTAAAGAACCCAGCAGTAAGAATAACCTGGATTGGATTACTAGTGAACATTATAATGGCAGGTTCCAAAGGTGTAGGTGGTATTTACTTCCATTCTCAATCATTAGTGGCTGATGCGATCCATTCAGTATCTGATATGTTTGCTGATTTCTTAACATTAGCTACAGTTACAGTATCAGCAAAAATCGGAACTGAAACAAAATTCCCGTTAGGTTATGGTAAAATAGAAACAGTTGGTTCATTACTTGTTAGTTCAGTATTACTTTTAGCAGGGGTTTCTGTAGGTTGGTCTTCATTATTACAGGTTTTAGAAATATTCTTACCTCATTATATTTTTGAATACGTTTCAATGGTTCAATTAGGTCATTCCCATTCCCATAGTAACTTATCATTTGATGACGAGCAAAGCCATGAACATTCTCATTCTCATAGTCATGGTCATGAAATCACTGATGAAGGTTTGAAACCTGTGAGACAAGTACCTAATATTAATGCTGCTTGGTTAGCAGGTGCTTCCATTATTGTTAAAGAATTATTATATAGAAAGACGATGAAAATCGCTACTGAAACCAATTCTAAGGTCTTGGTAGCCAACGCATGGCATCATAGAGTTGATTCTTTAACTGCATTTGTGGCATTATTAACTGTTTCAGGTGGAGTTTTGTTTAACGTTGCATGGTTGGATTCTATCGGTGGTCTTTGTGTTTCTGTATTAATTATAAAGGCAGGTTGGGGAAGTTTTAAAACGGCATGGTTTGAATTGATTGATAGAGGTGAAAAGCCAGGTACAGAAGAATATGAAACTATTAAAGAAGCCATTACTGACAGTTTAAAAGTCCAAGGTCAAATTTCTTTATCCCTGTTATCAGTATTAAATACTGGTGCTAATACTAGTATTTATTTGAAATTGGTATCCGATTCAGATAAAGTTGATCTTGCTAAATTGAATCAAATCGAAGAACAAGTTAAACATGATATCAGACTTATTGATAAATTCAGAAAGAATATATTCATCAGATTTATAACCAAAGAAGTTGAAGATTTTGATGATAGTCATGGAAATGAACATGAACACGATCATACACATATAGACACTCATAAACACGATGACGAACACATACTCCCAAGTTCGTCTAAAGATAATGTACATAGTCATAAACATTAAATAAATAGTAGTAAATAATCGACAATAGCATAAAGGTTTAGATAAATATATTTGATTTTGAACGTTTCATATGCGAACTATGTACAGAGACGTAATTGATTAGATTACTATAAACAAGGTATTTACTTTTTAGATTTTTTGGCAGATGAAGCCTTTTTGGCATTCTTTTTAGGTTGATTACCTTCAATAAAGTTTAAAATATCTTCAATTGATTTTGAGGCAATTTCAGGATCAGGTTGAGGGATATTGTTCTTTTTAGAATTTCCATTCTTCTTTCCATTGGTAACTGTTTCAGTATTAGATTTAACTCTAACTTTATTGTTACCACTTGCAGCAGCTTGTTCAGCGAGTTGTTTCTTCTTTTGTTGTTCTTGAACTTTCAAATATTCTTGATAAGTTTTAAGTGTACCAACATATTTGTCAGCTTGTTTAGATAAGGAATCATCAGGTCCAAGAAGTTTAGTAAGAACATCTTGAGCATTGATATAATAATCTAAAGCTTCATTAAATTTACTGGATTGAAGTAATAAAGTGGCTAATCTGAAATAGATAACACCTGAAATTTGCGAATACTTACCATTAAGCTTGATGGATAATTCAAGAGCTTGTTCAAATAATTTAGTAGCTTGAGTAAATAAACCAGCTCTGAATAAATTATCTGCTAAATTAGTTAAAGTATTAATTAAAGCTGGATGTTCTTTACCATAAACCGAAGTCCAAATATTAATAGCATGTTGATATAATTTGAATGAGTTGGTTAAATTCAAAGTAGCTGATTCATAATAACCTGAATTCATGAATGCATTAATAGAGTCGAAAGAATCATACCCACTAGTTCTTTCAGCGATAATGGCAGACTTACGAGAAATAAGAGCAGCTTCTTTATCTTCACCTAATTCAGCGTAGATTTGAGCAATTCTAGGATAAAGTCTAGCGGTTTCGATGTTAACTCTACCGAAGATTTGTTCATGGATGGAAAGTAATTCATTCAAAAGTGTGAAACCTAATTCTCTTTGATCTTCGGAAAGATGAGATCTAACCCCTTGGAAGATATCATCAAGTAATGATGGTTTATATGATGAGTCCTTTACATTTGGAACGAAATTAACTATATCATCAACGACGAAGATTGAGTTTCTTTCAATGACTTTCTCAACCACAGACACGGTTTTACTCTTCTTACCCTTTTTCTTAGAATGGGAAGTTTCAATAGATTGGGATTTAACAGCAAGACTTTCCTTAACAGTTTCAAATTCTTCTTTGGTGAAGACGTAATCTTGAGCTTTCCATTGAATACCGAATTTAATACTGATTTCTCTTAGTAATTGGGCTGGTCTCACTGAAGTATCAATCCAATCAATTGGTAAAGTGTATCTGAATCTGGCATAAACTTCCTTTTGAACAAGGTCAGCGATAGAAGCAGTGTTAAGTTTGGTGAAAGCAAAATTTTCTTCAGGTAAGAATGAAGCAAGAGTTTGATCAATTTCAATAGTTGGAGAATCTGTGATCTTACTACCTAATAAACAATTATGGAAATGGGCCACGACATATGGAGATAATAATGGTGGGAGGCTAGAAGTTAATTTACGTAAGATATGCTTGGAAGCTCTAGCAATCATTTCTTGGACGGAAAGTTTATAAAGAACTTCATAATTAGCCACGGTTTGTTCAATGGTAGCTTTTGATTCTTCTTCTTCTTCTGATTCTTCCTTAGATTCTTCTTCAGACTTCTTTTCTTCAGTTTCAGCTGGTTTAGTTTCTTCTTCTTCTTTCTTAGTTTCTGATTCAGCTTGTCTTTTAGCAACTTCTTCTTCATTTTGTTTAATGATAGCTTCAGTTTCAGCAATAGCTTTATTCTTTTCAACTAAAGCTTGTTCAGCAATATATCCTAAATATCTTAAATTAACCCCCTTTCTATGTAATGATTCAGTTAATTGAGTACCATCGAAAGGAGCCAATTCATTAGGATATTCAACTAAGAATTCTTTAATTAAATGATCTTTAACAAAAGTAGAAATATCTCTAACTCCACTTTGATCATCTTCAGATTCACTAGCACCTGAAAAGGCATCAGGGTTGAAAACAATTTGATCGGTAGGTAAGACGATTTGAGGTTTTTCACCATCCTTTGATGATTGACCATCACCTTCCTGTTCTAATTTTTCAGTTTCAGCTTTGAAAAGAGCAGATGCTTTACGTTTCCACCATTCAGCAATAGCTTCATGTCTAATAAGGGATTCAGCATGAGGATAAGAAGTTTCAGGATTGGCAATATCGAAATTTTGTTCAGTGAATGAAATATCACGAGGAGTGGTTCTAAATAAATCAATGACATATTTACGACCATCAGATCCTTTAATACCTTTAGTATCTTTTGAAACCACTAATTCTGATTCAGACTTGGTAGATTCATCAAGTTCGACTTTATGAGCTTTTAAATGGAAAACTTCAGCCACCGATTTCAAAGGTTCTTCAAAAGATTTATCTTCCAAGATCTTCAATCCATCAGTAGATAAACCATAAGAAACTTTTTCATCATCTTCATTTTCATTCACATTTTGAGTGAAAATACCTGGAACAGGAGCCTGACAAATGATTCTTCTACCTAAATAATCAACCACAGTAGTAGCTAAATTATGAACTCCTCTAATATCAGCTCTATTCATAGCCTTAACACCGGCTAAATCCTTAGAAGCGACATATCTTGCGGCTTCATCGGCCCCAGTTTCAGCGTAGACATCAGCAGTCGTGGCACTTGAAGAATAGAAAATCCCATTTTTTAAATAGATATGTCTTTCTGGTTCTTCATTTGGATTCATAGGGGTTAAATTACCATTAACGATATTGATGGCGGTTTCCGTAGCGATTTTAGTGAAATCGTGTAATGATTTTTGAATCAATTTATCTCTAACGACTCTTTCTTGAATGGTTGAAGTTGGTAAATCACGAATGGATTGAATATCTTCATTCCAATCTTTAACGTAATCAGATCCATCGACCCCATTGGAAATCAACGGTAATTGAGATCTTGAAAGATCAGGTTGATGAGAGATTGATTTAACATCGACAATCCAAGGAGTGGCTAAAGTTGCGTTTTGAGGTAATAAATAAGTTTCTGGATGTTCACTAGTAGAAGATAATCTGATTTCATTTTCATCAATAGTTTTGGAGAATAATGGTGAAACTTGATCGATTAAATTATATAAAAGGAAATGTTTGAAGAATTTCCCCTTTTCAAGGACTTTTAAATCAGGATTGAAATTAGTGGATGATGATTTATTAACAAAGAAACCAGAATAATGACACGTAATATGAAAGATTTCTCCTTCTAAAGATTGTAAAGTTAAGTATAACAAATCTCCTTTATTTTTTTGAAAAGTTGGAACTGGAGACCATTGAGAGATGGTTAATGATTTAATTGGGATTCTTAATTTATCACTGACATTATCAAAAGTTGGATGAAAGTTTGAATTATCTGAGATTTGACAGATTTCATCACTAATTTGAGCAAGATGTGATAATTCTTGTTCAGAAATTTCCACTTTTGATTGATCTTCTTTAGTTTCACCTTCTTCTTCAACTTTATTTTCATTGATTTCATTTAAAGATAAAGTATTAAAGGCAGTAGCACCTCTTGAAGCGACATTATCCTCGGTGATTCTATCGATATAATGTAAACCGATCACTTCTCTGAATCTTGTAATTTGATCATATACTGAAGCTAAAGTATAAGGTTTTTCCTTCACAGTAATTTTCAATTCTGATTCAATTTGTAAATCTAATTGTTCAATAATAACACTAAAAGGAGTTAAAGCATCGAAAGTTTCAGATACATTTACATTTTGAATGAATAAATTATAATTGGTAAGATTCTTACTAACAGGAAGAATCAAAAGTGATTGTCTTAAATCATTTAAATCTTCTTCATAATTGGAAGGAATATGTAAATTGTCACCGGCATTTAAAACCTTAGGCAACTCCACTACAAGAGTGAGTTCCTTAGCGACTTGTTGACTTTCAGTAACCTCCTCACTTGACATTATCAACCACAGATGACTACTTAATCTTACAAGTTTTTCATAATTTTTCAACTCTTTAAATTTTTCAATTTTTCACTCGACGGTTCGAAGTCAAATTTTTTTCTCTCTCTCTCTTTCTCAGTCATTAATTAATTTTTTTTTTGCAATTTTTATTTTGTGGAGAAGATGGGAAGAACACTATACATAGTTAAAGAGGAATAACTGAATTACCATATATATTTAACGACAAGTTATGAATTCAATATTATATAGTCTACTGAGCAGTATGTATACTTGTATGACATATTCCCCTAGAACTCTTCTCAATAAAGAAGGAAGTTAATATGAGGTGATGTAATATACTTCATAATAAGACTCAGAGTCATAATGAGAGAGTGATGATGGATATAATGTCATCACATTCTTTAAAAGTTATAATAGATAGCGTAATGGAACTAACCAACTTCATGTATACTATCAACTTAATATATTCAAATTAGGGATATTTTGCAACATTCCTGAAACTGATACTATAATAGTTAAATCATAACATATGCGCAACAACGTGGACTCGACACTCTTTAAAATAATGGGAACACAACCATTTAGCGTATGATGATAACTTACTTCCCCCTTGTTTTGTAACTCTTTCAAATAAATGTAACTGTTGATTTCATCACTAAAAATCATGTAATATCAAAACAAACACGTCCTGTTAATTAATAGTATACATGGTTTACATTAGTATTAGCTATTATTAGTTAATACCAATTAATTACTTAAATGATCGAGGATACCTCCTACTAGTAATTGTATAAACAGCAACACTCTGCTAAACTATGTTGTTAATCATCTCTATGAATCATCTTCAAGCTATTAGTAGAAATGGTGGGAGCGGGTCATATCATAAACTATGTGCAGGTCTGACTTTCCCGATCAAAAAATTTGGGATACTATAAATAAACACTTTGATAACTACATCATAGATCAAGTTAATTACTTCTTTTAGTAAGTTAACTAAGTTTAAACAACTTATAAGGAGGAGAAATGGATGTGGCGAATCATGAAGAAGAAGCAGTTAAAACTTCAAGGGTTGATAAACTTGGTAATACCATTGTTTCAGCTCCATCATCACCTATCAAACAACGAAAATTATCATCATCAATAGTTGAACCTCCACCTAAAACCACTATAAATGACTTACCTAATGAAGTCTTGGTCAGAGTGTTCTCCAATCTACAAGTGACGGAATTAAATCAATTACGAGTGGTTTGTAAACGATGGAATTTCGTTATGAATGATAAACATACTTGGAATCAATCATTTAAATCTAAATTTAATACTCCTAGAGTTTTCCCATCAGTTACAAATTCTTATAATTGGATGCATGAATATGTCACCCGTACAGATGCTATTCGCAAATGGAAACGAGGAACTTCATTTCATAATCGGTATAGTTTATCATATTCTGAAGCCCCTATGATGATTACTCAACAAATATCTGATTTTAATGCCAATTCTCGATTAGGGAAACTTATTCTGTATGATCAAAGATCAGGTGAAGTTCGGATCCATGGCTTAAAAGATACTCGGAATCTTTCATATTTACCTAGTCCAAGTATGAATTATAATTTTGATCAAGTATGTGTTTTATTAACTCAGAAATATTTATTAGTGGGGAAAAGAAATGGTTGTTTGGATATTAGAAGTTTACCAACCATGTCATCACAACAATCTGCATATTCATATAAGACGATTGATACTAATGATGGAAGTCCTCCTCCTCTAGAACAAGTTCAAGGAGAAGGAACTGATAATAATGAGGAAGTTCAAGTTGAAATACAAAATTCATCACAAGTTCCAGTTTTATCCATTGCCTTCAATCCTGAAGCCAGTCAAAAATATAAACGAGGAGATATCATAACAGGATCAGCTACAGGTAGTTTAAAAACATGGAGTCTATTAGGTCAATTAATAAAACGAGTAAGAATCCAATCGGAAGTGATTTTAAACATAGCGAGTGATTTTAAAAAATTCATTATAGTCAATACGGAAACTAATGTTTATATCATTGATTATCTAGAATTAACTATCCTTAAAAAGATCCCCCTTGGATTCACGATTTGGAATGAATATCAAGGTCCTCGTAACATCGAGTATTACTTGAGATTTCGAGACTGTAAAAATCAACTAGATGTTGATTTTGCTGATTTTAATATCATTATAAATTATAAACGATACATTAAAGTATACAATTTCAAAGATTTGAATAATATACTTATGAAAGATTTGACATTACCCGATCATATTACTATAACGATCTCGAAAATGCAAGATTTAACCTTATCACGACAAAAGAGAGCCCGAAATAAAAATATCATTGGGAAAGATGGATTATTGTTTGCTAATCTTTTATCAGATGATAGGATTATTATCTGGAATGTTAGGAATGAATATGATGATGAAACAGGGATAATTCCTATCACAACCCTTCGACCTAAGATGACTTATGATAAATATTATCCTGGTTTAGAAGATTTTATAGAAGAGAATGAATTACAATCGATAACAGCTATAACCATCAATAGTTTATTCATTGCCGTGGGTGGGTATAAAGGGGTTTGTAAATTATATGATAATTTCACAGGAGCATGTTTGAGAGTGATATCATTAAAGAATCCTAAACATTTTTCATTATATGCCCCTAATGTGGTTATACCTACTAGTTTTATTCATTTGAATCCTGATGTTAGAGATTGTAATGGAGTGATTAGTAGTAGTATTGGGTATTGTCAATATTTCCAATTTGGAGATTTGACGACTGATGTGAATGATGGAAAGAAATCGAATAATGGATCATTTCTGAAAAATAATAATCGATTATCAGCTACTAAAATCAAGAGACAAATTCATTATGCTGTAGAAGATTTTGAAAGAGATATTGAAGATGAAAGACTTCGAGAAGAATTGGCCCTTAAGTTTAATGGAGATGATGAGACGAGATTAAAGAATTTTTTGAATGAAGAAGGAGGTGAAGAAGGAGTAGATGAAGAATTAGCATTGGCCATTGCATTAAGTCAAAGTCAACATCAACATCAACTTGATCAACAATATAGTCGTGATATATCCCAAGTTTCAAGTCTAGGTGAAGTTGATGGAGAAGAAGAAAATGATGAAGAACTTCAATTAGCATTAGAATTATCCCGTATAATGCACGAAGAAGAAACCAATGGATATGGTGAAGTATAAACCTTTTATAGAATTTATTTATTTATTTATTTATTTATTAATTGTAAAATATATTTATATTTTTGCAGCATTGGCCGTACTGTATATAGGCATGTCGTTACATACAGGACATTCACTGGAAATTAAACACCGAGACAAAAATCAGATAATTTGTTTCCCGTAAAATTCCGTTGGAGTTAACCTGTAAAATGGACCAGTTCAAACCCCATTTTACATTTTCTCGTCAATTATACAGATTAGATGGATTTACAATTTTTAAAACTTACAGTTTAAAAGGATTTATCAATCGTTACTTCCATCTTGGTTTTAACCCTTACCCTTTTCCCTTAATTGATTGTTTGTTTATTCCTATTCAGATTTGCCATCCATATTTGTTGATAGTTTCACAATTTACAGTTGATGATAACTTTCTTTCTTCTCAGTAGTAGTATCCCATAGCCTCAATTCAGGTTGAACCAATTCAACCTAGACCAATTGAAAACTGCCCAGTATACTGATTCAGAGTCGTTCCATAGTTTCATTTTGTGCTGTAAATATTTTTTTTTTTTACAACCCGATCCCTCCCCAAAAAAAATTTTCCCTGACCGTCATTTTACAGCAGGAAGAAATTGGCAGTCAAAACGAACAAACTATCAACAACTATCATACCGTCCATCAATCCATCCTAACCAACAGACTGATCAATCCATCAATCAATCAGCTCATCAGTCAACTCATTGAAAAGGACTCTCTGCATCTTCATCAATATACTGTTGGCATTCACTTGTTTAATGGTACTACAATCGTTCATAGACAACATCATCATTTAGATTCTTCATTTCATTAACCATATCATATTCATATTGTCTTTACATCCATTCAATCAATCACAGCATACTATACCCCTCTAATCTATTCTTGTCACAATGGTGTTTATGAATCTTATAAGGCATTCCAAATACCCTTGTAACTATAAAGAGAAATTACAATTCTTTCAGAGTTCATATTTCAACTATTATTTCAACAACAATAGTCTTGCTAGATACTATTTCTTCTATAATACAAATTGGGCTAATGGTGGTCCTCATCCTTCCAATCGTGGTTATGCTGAAGATCATTTCTTAAGTATCGATAATGGTCATTATGGATTATATTATTCCATGTATAATCATGATTCAGAACGTAAAAGTCAACAGGTTGAAGATGAAAGATATATCGTTGAATATTTAGTTCGTGAAAGTAAGAAATTACAGCAATATTGTATTTGTGAAAATATCAATCATATAAAGAGATCAACCATTATATTTATGAAATTATTTAATTTGGATGTTCATCATAATTTTAAACTTTTAAAGAAATTCACTAATGTGTTGTTATTATCTACTTCATCATTCATATGTGGAACTAATGCTGATCACCATCATCATCATCAAGTCATAGGTCAAAAATTACATGATTTAATTAACACTGCATCATCTTCACCTTTCTTAATTCATGTACGTAATTTCACTACTTTTAATCCTTTACCAAAAGATATAACCTTGGATGAAGAAAAGATATTCGAATTAGTTAATGAAAATCAACCATTACTAGAAGAAAATGCCAAAATCACTCAAATTCAAAAACAATCTCCTGCTCCTGTTCAAAAATCAGATGGTGAGGATATTTTAAATGTTTCTTCTGATGTTGCATCTTCTACTTCATTGACTACTTCAACTGAAATAGAATCAAATGATTCATTTGAAGAATCTTTATTAAATTCACAAATCTCAAACATACTTTCAACTTATGCAAATTATTCCAAACCAGAAGAATTGAATATCATTTATCCATTGTTTCAATCATTAAAGAGAAATGATTTATCATTACCAAATATCGATTTATATAATGTGGTTCTCAACTCTATAGAAAAGAGAGCCTTGGATTCAGAATTAAGTTTGGAAGCCATTGAAAATAAATTAACTACCTTATTAACCATTTATCAAGATGTCTTAGGTTCTGGTGTTAAACCAAATTTTGAAACTTATAATATAGTATTATCAAACTTATTACAAGGTAGTTTGAATTGTCATGCTTTATTATCCAATAATCAATTCTATCATGTGGAAATTATTAATAAAGGACAAGAATTTACTCAAGTTGCTCTTGAATTATTAATGTCAATCAAGAATTTAAATCATTTGAATTTGAATGTATTAATTCCAAACTTCATTAAAGCTTTGAATTTAAATCCAAGTTTATTGAATAAGGAAATCATCGAATTATTAATGGATCATCTTCCAACTCTTGATTCTTCTTCATCGTTTAACAATGTCAATGAAATCATTAAATTAACTAATCATTTTACTCAATTTAATATCTTCAATGGTGATTCGAAACAAATTTATGAATACATTTTATCATTATATGAATCATATAAAGTCAAAGCAACAGAGAAGGAAAATGAATTTATCATTTATGCTAATTTAATCGATAGTTTAATTCGTAATAATCAATTCCAATCTGCTAGTGAATTCTTAGATGATATTTTATTCGATTATAAAGAGTCATTAGAATTCCATGTGAGACCTTCAAAAGAACAAATTTCCTTAGTCATTTCAACTTATTTGAATGGAATTATCAACAATACTAAAGCTAATAATGTTTCATTACTTCAAACTTATGAATTATTAACTAAATTTAATCGTATTAGTTATATTCCTGATGTTTCTGTATCAGTTTATAATTCATTGATTCATAAGTATATTCAATACTGTAATGAATTATCAGTCATGAAAGATAAATCAGAATTACATCAACAAAATTATAAAGTAATTGGTAGTTTATATGACTATGTGGCTATCAGAAAAGATTATCAAGCTACTCCTACTGTTCAATTTGTTAAGGATTCTAATAGTGTATGTCGTGAATCATTATTAGATAAAAGTATTGATATGGGCGATCATGAACGAGTTTTCCAATTAATTAAAGAAATCTTATTAAAGAATCATTTAATCTATGATCTCAGTATATTCAAGAAATTACTTAACTATTTATATAATGGAGTTATGTACAACAAAATCGATGCTAATGGTGAACCATTCAATCAATATTACTTTGGATTAATTTGGAATTTAATTGAAACTCAATCCATTCATTATGAAGGTAATTCTCGTGATTTGAGTGATTTCCTTTCGGAATTTGTTAATTATTTAATTATAATTCCTCAATTACCAACTGGAACATTTAATGTATCTACTGTTACTTATTATAATATTCAATTAATTATGAATTCATTATTTATTAATAGATTAGTTGATCAATTTGATTTACAAAAGGATAGTGTTTATGGTTTAGTATTAATTTCAAAGTTTTTAATGACATTTGAAAATCAAGATTTAACTACTGCTAATAAAATCCTTCAATATCAAGCTAAATTAATTAATCAATTTGAAGATTCTGATAATCATTATATTGAATTAGGATCTAATTTACAAGAATTTAAAGTTGATTTAATTAATCATTTCAAATCATTAATCAATCAAAATTTAACTAATGATGATATTGAATTATCTACTACGATCTTAGATGCTTGTACTATGAGTGATATTAAGATTCCTTATGAAACCAAAGCTATCAAGAATGATTCTTTGAATCTTAATTATGATCTTAATTTAAGCTATTTATTAAATGTTAGTTATAAAGCTGGAGTTGCTCAATTCATTGAATTGTTTAATAAAGGATATAATTTCAGTTCTATGACTTGGGAAATTATGATTAATTATAATTTCATTAATGAATATTTAGAAAAGAATTCATCGATTAGAGCTAGAGATTTTATAGAACGAATTTGGGCTCTGAATTTTAATCATGAATTAAAAATTGAATTAATGACTCGTTTAATGAATATTCAAAGTGATAAGACTAATATTAAGATTTTTGAAATTTTAAATCAAAATCCAAGTTTAATGTTAAATGGTACTGAAATTGATAATAAATTACTAGGTAATTTATTCCAAATGGCAAAGGAATCATCTAATGTTTATTTCAAAAAGTTGATTTCTAATCCTGAATTTTTCGATAATGTTTATGCTATTAATTCCCAATTCACTTGGGTCGATGATTATTTGTCATTATTAAAAGAATTAGAGGAATATCAATTGATTATTCAAATTGTTGACCAATTTGAATTTAACAATACTGTGGATAAGGAATTTAATCAAACTTATTTCAAAGTTATTATTAATTACTTGAATGCATTATTAAAAACAAGATCATTACAAGCATTTAATACTACTTTCCAACAAACATTCATGCAAAGAAATCAATCATATCTTCATGAAAGAGAATTGATTGAATTATTAATCAATTACAATTTAATGATTGGATCTAACAAGAGTATTGAAATGATTAATGAATCATTTATAAAATATGCCAATTTATCAACTAATATTCGTGAAAATTTAGCTTTAGCTAGATTAATTAACAATTTGAAGGATGATAAATTTGAAGATTCATTTAAAAATGGAGGTTGTTTAACTGTTAAAGAGTTTTCCATCCGATTACTTAGTGGAGACTTGGGACAAATGATTCAATTATATAATTCCAATCAAGCTATGTTAGTTAATAAAGCCACTAAACTGGAATTCATTGGATATATCTTCAACACATTGATTGAAGTTAGTGAATCCAGAAGTAACATTGAAAAATCAATCATTTATAACAAGTTCAATACTGTTATGAAATTCTTACAAATGAATCAATTCAAAAGTTTATCAAGTGATAACTTAACTATTATAATTCAATTATTAACCAAACTTAAATCAACAGAGGTATTACATTTCTTATTAATGAGATTACTTGTGGATAACAACAAGAAATTCACCAATGTGCTTAATTTTTACTTTATGGAAGTTCAATTATTGGAATATAAAGATAAATTAAAGACATTATATTGGTTGAATAAAGCATTCAAATACTTGAAAGATGATTCAACTATTCGTTCCATTAAACAATTCTGTAAACTCAATTCCATCAGTTTACCAAAGCTCACTCAAGATGAGTTCATAACTTCATCTTTATAATGATTTTCCTTCCTCCTGTTCATCTCCTACCATACCCTCTCTCCTTTATATCATCACACATTCTTTTATTTATGACTTTTTTACGTTTACTCTATTTATTTACTTACTTATTTATTTTTTTATGGCTGGTGGTGTCTGTCTCTTTATTATTTATAGTCTAATCTACTAGACTAATCTGGGTGTTATGTGTCATGTTTATATATTCTATGTTATACAAATATAAATCATATATAATAATAAACTTGAATCAAAGTGTAATTATAATTGTGGGTATGATGTCATTCCGGATTCGGACTCGAAATCTCGGTACGATATTTTTTTTGATTTTTTGACAGGAGAGATAAGTGGGGGTTCAAGAGAGGTGGAGGGCATAACTAAGACGACGATGATAAATTGAAATATTGAAACATAAAAATGATTTATATCTTTAGATTTCTCCTTTTACGTTGATTTACCCATTATGAAGAGTAGTTTAATTAACTTATTTCAAACTTCTCGACGCGTATTATTTCAGAATACAAGACCCATCACCATGTCAGTTGAAAAGCAAGCCCATTCTACCGCTATTACATCATTTGATTTAAATCATCAAGATTATGACACGTTCCGTCCTTCATTCGTACCTCAATTAGTTGATCCATTCTTAGTTAGTTTAGGTTTAGGTAAGAAAGTTGATGATAAATTCAAATTTGATACTAATAAGACTATTGTTGAAATTGCAGCTGGTACTGGTAAATTCACCAAGAATTTAATTGATCATGGTTGGAAAGATAATTTAATCATTGTTGAACCAAGTCAAGGTATGTTGACTAGTTTTAAAAAGAATTTCCCTCAAATTAAAAATGTTCATCAAGCTTCATCTTATAAAATCCCCTTACAAGACAATACCGCTGATTCTATAATTATCGCACAAGGTTATCATTGGTTTAGTGATCAAGATAGTTTGAAAGAAATCAGTCGTGTTTTGAAACCAAATGGTACTTTAGGTTTGATTTGGAACTTCGATTATCAAACTTCAAGTCAAGATACTCCTACTGAAAAGGCTACTTTTATTAATGGTGGAAGTCTTTACTTTGATGAGCTTGATTTTAAATCTATCACAAATGCAACTCAAGTATTCAAACAATATTTCGATAAACAACCTTGGTCCGAAAGAGTATCTGAATTGATCTATAATTATGATCTTGGAGTTCCTCAATATCGTCGTGGAGATTGGAGAAAGTCGTTATCAAGTGAAGAAAGTAAATATTTCAATCCAATTTCTGAAGAATTATTTGTCTTTTACGATAAATTAATGACAAAAGATGAAGTTTATCCATATTGGGAAACAAGATCTTACATTACTGAATTAGGTAGTAATGAGAAGTTAAACGTCAAGAATAAGATCAATGAGATCATTAATCTGAATGTTACTTCGGAAAGTACTCCATATTCAGCTAAAGGAGATGATAGGTTATTAAAACCAATGGCAACTCATGCTGTTGTAGTTAAAGTTAATAAATAGACTAGAATAAATAAAATCTTAGAACCCAATTTTTTTTTTATTAAAATTTTTAAATTAAATAAATAAATAAATAAATATACTTATAAACTTTGATTATAATCTCCCTATTTAATCTTGTCATTAATGTCATCGCCATCGATTGGTGGTGGTAATATCTCTGGTTGTTCATCATCGTCATCTTTATCTGCCCCTTCATCCGTGAGTTGTTTTTGAATTTGAGCATCACTTTCCAATCCATTTCCTTTTCTATTATTAGCCAATCCATGAACTTCTCGTATATCATCAATTTGAGCTTGAACATCAACAGGAGGAGATATTATTTTAATCACTTCGTTGTTTTCTTTATTATTTTCTTTAGCTGCTTGTGCTTTATTATGAGCTTCAATACCATTGTCAATATCCACTTTACCGGGTCTTAATACGATTGGTATTGGTTTTGGTGGTGGTTCTTTATGTGGTTTTTCAACCGCACCAGATGGATTAGTTCTTGAAGCCGTTATCCAAACTTTACTTAAATAATCATAAAATTTGACATCTTCTTCTTTAAATTCAAATGAATAACCTCTATCATAAATGATTTTATCTTCCGTACTATCATAACTTTCAATTAAATCATAGGCACAGTATTGATAACCAAAACAAATTGAATTCTTAACCCAACCCTTTTGAGGATCATGATCATCAACAAATAATTGAACTTTACCATCTACAATTGGAGAAATTTCATCCACATCCTTCTTCCGTTCTTTCCATTTTTTAGCCACTGCTCTTTCTGCAGTTGAATCAGTTGGAGAATATGGTTGTCTGAAATAAGGAATTTTAGGTGGAACGATAGCTGCTCTTATCTTCAAGGGAGAACTAAATAAAACATTCAATTCTTCAGGATCTAATAACGCAAATGGATGTTTAACCCTATCTCTATAATACCCATTCTTCTTACAATACCCAAACCCAGAATTAATCCATAATAATTTCCCATCTTTACCCACATGACCAGGATGAGATGAACAAATTTCTTTAGCTTTAGTATTAGTATAATATTTATGATCATTTTTAACTGTAAATTCACCTACACTTGCTGCTTCATACTTATTAAATTCATAATTTTCATCTCCTGCCATGGATAATCCTAACCAATACATTTCTTTATCACCCCAGATCGAAGATTTAACTGGTTCTCTCCATAATGATAATGGTAATCCCATTAATAACCCTCCAAAATGTTCAACTTTATCAATCACCACCACTCCTGCTTCTTGATGATGTCTGAAACCTGTCATATAATTGTTTTTCAAGGTTTTGTCGGTGATTCTCGGTATGTCAAACAATACATCAATGGATTTCTCACTAGATGGCATTAATTTGGTGAAATAATTAGTTTCAATATAACTATTGATATCACGTAAAGTACGATCTCTAAAGAAATAAGTTTTTGAATTAAGATATTCTTCGGAATTGAAAAAATGTTCAAGTTGAACTAATGGAACTGTATCAGCATCTAACATAATGATTTCTTTAAATGAACTGAATAATAATGCAAGTACTTTATTTGAATATCCAGGGAAACCATATTTGAAATTCTTAGCGATAGTATGAACGATATTAACAAACATCACTTGTTGTTTAGGGAATTCCGATCCATATGATTTATAATCATTTAATAAATCCAATTCAGGCATGAATTTCTCATAGATGTTGGTATGTTCTTTATTTAATAAGAATTCAACATCACAAGTGGCAGTTAATTCTATATATTCCTTTGATCGTTTATTAATATCTCCCTTATAAAGAATTTGAATAGGTAATTTATTATTAAGAGCTCTTAATATTCTGATTAATCTTGTAAGATCTTTTGCATGTCTTGTAGTGGCTGATATGACAATACCTCTACCATTACTATGTTTATGAATGAATTCAATGATATTTTCCTTTTCAGGATCGAATGAGATAGTATCACCTAAGAATTCATTATCTTTATTCAAGACGGGGAATTCATTAGCTGGTATTTCTCTATGATCTGATAATTGAAATAATGGAAGATTTGGAGTTATATAATGAAATAATTTTGAAGTAAATCTATCATATAATTCTTTTAAATTAGGGGTAAGTTGATCGTCATTTTTGATAAAACATTTATCATATAATCTCATTAAAGTGGTTATATCAGCCATTTTTTGTTCAATTTGTTTAGTTTTCATGATTTGTCGATTGAAATCATTATTAATTCCTATATTATCGCGATAAGTGATATTTCTTTCATCTTCAGGTCTTGTTTTACGTAATCTATCTTGAGCTCGATGAAAGTAACCTTGTTTGTTTTCAATACTTTTATCATATAAGTAATCAGGATCCACGAAAGAAGGGAATTTCCAATCGGGATCAGTTTCATGAAATTGTTCAAACACAGCCTGACATTTTTCTTCAAGTGGTAACGCTTTAATAGCACTTAACAGTTTTGAATTGAATGATGAAATGAAATCTTTATAACCAGAATAGACATAGTTTGGATAATGGATTTCATTCTTTATGATTAAATCAGATGCTTTAAAACTTTCACTATCAAATTGTTCAAAGATGAATATATCCTGATATAACCGGTGTATGTGAATATAGTTAACATAGATGGCGGAGTAGATGGTACCACCTAAGAAGAATAGTAGTATCACAAGAGCGAATCTTCGTATGGAAACTCTCATGCTGTATACTGTATGCTAATGATGATAAATGGTGATATTGATGATGATAATAGTATATTTGAATATTTGGCAGTAAATATTTCAGATCAGATTGTTTGGGCTGCTTATATTTTTTCTGTCTAACACTTTATGGTTTTTGGCTGCCTTTTTGATAGTACTTTCTTTCTAGGCAAGTCGTAATCAATGATGATGACACAGTATGATACAGATTTGATTGATTATGAACAAAGTGATAGTTTCAAGTATCAACAAAATCAAAAAAAGCTTTTTGAATGAATTACTGAAATTACTGAAATAGGGAACAGTTTTTAGCAGGGCTTATAAGACAAAAAGGGAAAAATTTTTGACACTCTCACAATTCAACAATGAGGGCAACGTGTTTCTTACAAGATAGAGATAGGATATCAATCATCATTCAATGAAGGACAAGCCATTGACTAGATGGTATCGAAGGCGAGATGATGAGTTCAATTATCAAACCATTAGACAAATCAAAACAGAAATTATCAGAAAGGGATTGAGGGTTGTAATTACGGTACGATCACTACGTCATGACAGTTTAGTTTTAGTGAGAGGAGGATCTTTTTTTTTCTTGACCCTAATCGCCTCAAGTTATCAGTATCTAGGGGAACTTACTTACTACAATTTTCTTGATTTACAAGTATGTTTTGAATTACTATATTCAGTTAATGCCTTATATACATCTGAGATTATGGTAATATGGTGAAGTACCTTATATATGTAATGATGGTTATGTTATGCTGTAACTTAACGAGCCTTACCTTCACCAGCTTTTACATATATAACATCACCATCTTCCACGAAATAATCTTTACCCTTTTGTAATAATTTACCAGCAGCTTTAACACTAACTTCATCACGATATTCAATCAAATCTTCATATTTAATAACTTGAGCCAAAATAAAAGTTCTTTCTAAATCAGTATGAATAGTACCAGCAGCTTGAGGAGCAGTAAACCATCTTCTAATAGTCCATTCTCTAACTTCATCTGGACCACCAGTGAAAAATGAAATTAAATCTAATTTTTGTCTCATAGCAACAATAATTTTTGGTAAAGCAGATTGAGCACCTAATTCTTTACAATAAGCATCTCTTTCTTCATCAGATTCCATACCAGCTAATTTTTCTTCTAATGAAACACTAATTGGAACAATAAGATCTCCACTGGAAAATTCATCAACCCATTCTTTAATCTTTAATAAATGCTTATTCTTCTTTCTAACATAATCTCTTTCACTTAAATTAACTAAATAAATACATGGTTTAGCAGTTAAAAGTAACATTTGATTAATGGTTTCAACTTCTTTCATGGTCCAAACTTGATTAGCAACTCTTTTACCATCTTTTAATAATTGAATAATTCTTTTAACTAATTCAGCTTCTTCTTTCTTTTGTTTAACTTCTAATGATTGTCCTCCTCTTTTAGTAATTTTATCAATTCCTTCTAAATATTTTTCAGCAAATTCAATATCTTTTAATCTTAATTCTTCACTAACAATTTCTAAATCAGCAGTTGGATTAACTTCATCATTAATATGAATAATATCAGCATCATCAAAAGCACGAACAACTTGGAAAATAGCATCAACAGCTCTAATATTAGCTAAGAAATTATTACCTAATCCTTCACCTTTATGAGCACCTTTAGTTAAACCAGCAATATCATAAATAGTCATATAAGCTGGAACTTCACTCTTTGGTTTATATAATTCACATAATTTATCGAATCTTGGAGATGGAACTATAACTCTAGCTTCTTCAGGATCAATGGTTGCAAATGGATAATTGGCAGGATTTCCTAATGGACATCTAGTAATAGCTTGGAAAAAAGTGGATTTACCAACATTGGCTAACCCAACAATACCGGATTTCAAGTTATTACCTGGTCTTCCTAATAAAATTGGCTTTTCTTGAGCTCCCTTCTTCTTTGGTGGCATTTTAATTGATTGTATCTAATCTTGATTTATAAAAGGGATTTCATCAATTAGATCGATCATCTTCGAATAAATTTTTTTTTCTATGTGTTCAAAGTTGAAAAAAAAAAATATAAGAGAGACATTTTGATTTTCAGATTTTTAAATGTCGTGTGGGGACATTTTCAAAATTTATTTTTCAAAACTTTTTCATTCCAACAGATTACACCTATTTACATCAAGCTTAAGGTCATATCATATCAATTAACTCTATATCGACAATGTTCAAGTTAAGTTATAATCAAATAACTAGAACTGTTTCTAGATCCATAACAACTTCATCTATATTAAGAAACGCCACTGCCGCCACTGCCGCCACTGCCACCACTACTATACCTAAATCATCCTGTCCAGCAGGAACAGTCTTGAATTTAAAAGTTAGAAAGAATGGTGATGAACCAGTTGCATTAGAAGACTCTGAATATCCAGAATGGTTATGGGGAATGCTAGATAAAGCCCAAGTTGATGAAACTTTAAAGAAAACTGATATCATGAAATGGAGAAGAAAACAATTAAGAAAAGCTAATACTAATACCATCAAGAATAATAATTTCTTAACTCAAATGTAAGAGCTTATTATATTGTCATGTCCTTTTAGATTCTGTAAATAGTCTACCAACCTTGTATATCATTTAACGTCATTTATTACAAATTAAATTAGTCATAAGATTATATATATATAAGATGTAGTAGTAGCAGTAGTAGCTTTTATTAACATGCAGAATAGGAAAAGGTCTAAATACTTAAACTATTTACCATGGATTATCCTCATAATTCTCTCCATTATCATCATCACCCCAATTTTTATGAGCTAAAGTATTTGGAGGTAAAACTTGTTTAAACAATTCATCTCCTTTGAAATCATTAATCTTTTTATTACCATTATCATAGGTGGATTTGATTGGTTGTTGTAGGGCTAAGTTACCATCATGTTCATAATCATCATCATCTTCTTCTTCTTCATCTTCTTGTTCTCCCTTTTCATAATCATAAGTATCATTGTAATTATTACTCTTATTCTCTTGGAATATTTCTTCCACATCATCTAATATAGTGACAGGTAATGATGGTTGATATTTCTTACTTCTTAAGATTCGAACTCCACCAATACCAGATCCAAAAATATTAATCAATTCAGTAAGATTAGGTAATGCCACCCCAAAAATATAATTAGGATTCAAATAAACATATACTTCCTTGGAAAGAAATGTACTTTGAGTCATATAATGTAAATAACTTCTTGAAATTTGTGCTTCACCTTGTTCATTCAAAAGACTCTTGATTAAATATACAATTTTCTTAGGCATCTTTGGTTCATCAACTTCATATTTATACAATTTGTTAACCACTTTGTATAATTGATAATAATTCAAACAATCAAATTGATTAATGGTCATGATTAAACTTTCTTCATCCACTAACAGGGATAAACATTGTAAATATTGTAATAATTCAATGGCAGGTTGTAATTGAGTTTTTCCAATGTAATATAATGGGTTATAAAAGAATTCTAAATTATGAGGATTCTTTTTAGAATGATTTGTTTCATCTGATTTCTTCTTTCCATCTTCTTCGTCATCATCAGCGTTATTGACAGGAGTCTCAAATGCTAAATTGGCTAATTGAACAGATGTATCGTGAACCAACTTATTCAATCCACCAATATTTTCCGGTTTATTGATTTGTAAATCATGAGATCTTAACCAATCTTCAATAGCCGATATATTAAGTCTGATTTGAATGGCTTTGGATCTGGTACAATATCTTGATTGACTTATAATACGATTGAAAATTATACTATTGGTATAATAAAAAACTTGGGAGAAAGTTTGAACTTTGAAAAGATTAATAACATTATGGATTTTTAACACATAATCTAAGGCACCAAGAACTTGAACATATCTAATTGGAGAAGGTTTCATTAATTCATTTTGATTAGGAGGGTATAACATATCAAAGATATCATCATAAGTGTTGGGATGTTTTTTACTCTTTTTAAATAAATTCCAATCCTTGGCGTATAATACATTGGAAACATCGACTAAATTGGTAAAGTCTAATAAACAATCATCAATAAGAATATTCAATCTTGAATTGATTGAAAATGATAAGGTAGCAATCAATGATTGAACTATATTAATAATTTCTTGTAAAAATTTTGGAAATTTGGTATAAATTTCACTTTTAGCAAAATAAAAATGCAAAAATTGAATGACTGAAAGCCAATAACTTAATAATACAATATCACCTGCTCCACCAGCAGCAGAAGCAGCAGTTACACTACCATTGGTATTCCCATTATTGTTTTCTTGGATAGCCATATTGAATACTCCTGATTTGGTATTTGTTACTGATCTTAATCTAGCTGTAAAGCATTCGAATAAGAACTCGGTTAATTCATTACTATCCACTTTAAAATGAGAATATCGAACTAATTGAAATATTATGGCTGCTGGGATTTTCGTATCATGTTGAAACTGAATTTTAGAACTTCTAAGATTGAAAATATATTCTAATAATGATGGAATATCACTATCAGTGAACTTTAAGAATTGTTCAGGAAGTAATTTTTCATAATCAAATTCATCTAATAATGGGATTACCGGATCCTTGGATAAAGTATATTCATCATCTTCAACATTAACTTCATCTTCTTGAACTTGAACTTCTGAATATGCACCAAGACGTTGTAATTTTAATTTATTGGTTAAATCATCTAAATCTTCATCTTGACCTCCAAATGAAGATGAATTATAATAAGAATCATTTCCAATTTCCGAATCATTCCCTTCACCACCTTTCTTTAAAAGATTATGTAAAGAGAAATATTCATACATTTGAACATTTGAAGGGATGACAAGAGAAATGGCATTTTTACCATCTTCTTTAGGATCCAAATAAGGATCAGCTTGATAATTCAATAATAATTTGACCATATTCAATTGATTTAAATAGACAGCCCACATTAATGGAGTATAATTAAGAATAGTATCATGTAAATCAGGATCAGCATCATGACCCGATAATAAAGCTTCAGCAATATCATAATTATTGAAACAAATGGCATAGATCAATGCTGTTATACCTTTATTCTCATCAGGATGTAACTTATTCACCAACTGAGGATTACTACGTAAAACACTTTCCAAAGTTACAAGATCACCATCACAAGCAGCAATCAATAATTCAATCAATGATTTATTGGCGACTAAGAACGCCACCGGATGGGTTATAACTCCATCCTCACTAGCATCTCCTTCTGCTTTCCCCTCATGATTCTCATCTGTATGAGACAAAGTTGATTCCAAAGTGAATTGAAGACCCTTTTTGGCCGCAAGTATTTGACTAAGTAATGGATCAGAATAACTCACAATCTTAGGCAATGCATCCACTGCCCCACTTGCCAATGGCACTACCAGTGAGTTCAGCACCGCACTTATCCAATTATCCATCACTCCACTGTTCGTTTCTATTGTTGTAACTGGATTGGATCCTAATAATAATAATAATGATGACGATGATGACGATTCAATTCTCAAACCGATTTCTGACGTGTTAAAGCTCAAAAATTCCATTTCCCACACAACTTTCCCAGTTTGGAGTTTCTATCATTTTTTTTTTTTTTGCGTGAGGAAGAAACAACAAAACATGAAATTGATTAATTTGTAACAGGTATTCAGAACTGATATCATAGTGTGTTTTGAAAGGTGATCTGGACTAGTTATAACGCGTCGAATCACTATGAAAGTTCAGAGAAGAGTGATATTGCCGTTGGCAGTGCTTATGGTTATAGTGTTGGTGTTGTTAATCGAACCCAAGGGTCAGAAAGCTACGTTATATCAAGCAGGTAGTGAGTTATGGGATTCATTTAATCTTGTTACCTCATCAGGATTATCACTGACACAGAAACCAGAAGAACTACAGGCTATCAATGAATATGAGAAAGCGAAAGCCATGGCCAGACCTGATGGTGAGGTTGGTGGAGAAGAGAAATCAAAGGAGGAGTTGGAGTTGGATCCTTGTACCATGATAAATCCTGCCAATAAAGGATTTATTGATTTAAGAAGTTTATCAGCGTTTTCAAATGAAGGTAAAGCTGTGCCGTGGAGTACAAGAGGGTTTGATAGTGGGAAGAATTATACTTTAGGAATATGTTCTAATCCATTTAAAAAACATCGTGATGATATAAATGAAATTCAAGATGGATTAAATTCAACTTTAATTGGAGCTTATTATGTTGATTCTGAAACTCAAAAATTTGTTTCATTAGGAGAATATTCTACAACTCCTAAATTTAGAGGGAAGAAATTAACTTTAACTTATGAAAATGGGGCTTATTGTAATAAATTAATGGATACTGAAACAGGGGAAAGATTAAGAAAATCAACTATATTAACATTTGTATGTGATAGAGAAATGATGGCTAAAGCTGCCATATCATATGTCGGTTCTTCAAATGATTGCAGTTATTATTTCGAAGTTAGATCCCATCATGCATGTCCTACCGCTGCTAAGGCAAATAATTTAGCAGCATTTTGGATCTTTTTATTTATTGTATTTGCAGCTGCTTTAGTTTACTTTTCAGGTGGAATGCTTTATAAACAAATGAAAGAATCAAAATCTGTAAAAGTATAATAATACATTAAATCCTTTCCTACCTAGATCATTATTGTCTCACTCTCTTCATTTCTTTTGTACCATAGTTTTAACTACAATAAATATTTATTTATGAAATTAACAAGCATATATTCTTTTTTTAAAAAATAAAAATTTAAGTATACAAAAAATGGTAAAAATTAACACTACTAATAAGCACCACTTGTTATGATACTACTAAAAGTTTCAGTTTCTGATTTGGCTTCAATCTTAGCAACAACTTTACCTCCAGTTAATGCTAATCTAGCCATAACAGCAACTTTACCACCCCAAACGTCTTTACCAAGTAATTTTAATACATGAGAGGTGGCATCACTTGGAACAAAATCTGATCCATCTAATGGCATCAAATTCAAACTAGTCTTTAATCTAGTAATAGCATTATCTAAGGTATCAACTCCAGAAATAGTAACCACTGACGAATCAGTATTATCTAATTGATCATAAACAGCAGTGAAATTAGAATTATATAATGGAGTTTCGAAATCTCCTGCTGAAACTTCTAAATCATCAATTTGATATTCATCAGACCATCCATCATCACGTTGATCAACATTACCTTCTTCATCAATAACATCTTTATTAGTATAAGCTACTGTATTACCAAAAGCAACAAGAATATCACCATCAGTTATACTTGGAGTACTGAATGATACATAAACATCTCCACTTTGATCTGGTTTTAATTCAGAAATAGGTATGATGAAATCTTCTTCATATAATTCATTATCAGGTTGAGCAATAACTGAAATATCTTGTAATACTGAACGAGGTAAAGTATTAGTAATATTATATTGTAACACTAATTTTTGAGAATCAATAAAGAAATGTTTAATAACAGTAACCACAAATTCATTTTCTCTTTCAGTCAAGTAAACTGGAGTTATAGTTGATTTAGATAAAGTACCATAATCAGCAAATTCTGGAATGGCAGATAATTCTTGAGAATATTCTTGTTGTTTTAATAAATCATTAGATAAACTATCACCTGCACTTAATTTATCACCACTTTCTTTACCACGATCTTCATTACCAACTGCATCACTAGATTCAGTAACACCTGAATCTAATTTATTAATCTTTCTATTGTATTCTATCGATTTCAATTCTTCACTAGTTAAGAGTGGAACTTCACTTATATCAAATTTAGTATCAAAATTAGATTCATCATTTAAATAATGAGTTAATTTACTTTCTAAACTTGCTAAATCATATTTGGAATCAGAAACAACAAAATTCTTATGATTAGCTTTTATGAATTTTAATGATAATGCAGCTCTATCTCTTACTTCATCGTCGGCATCATTTAAACATCTACTTAATAAAATTTGGATATTTTTGGAAACATGACCACCACAAACAGCAGCAAATTTAGCTAAAGCAATAATAGCTGAAGATCTAACAATGGAATTTTCTAAAACCAATCTGTTATAAATATGTCTAATATAATAGGATGGATTAGTAGTATGAGGACCTTCATCACCTAATAAATGCAAAATACGAACTGATAATTCAGCAAATTCACAATCTTCAATGAACTCACATAAGTTCATTAAAATTAATTGTTTGGCACCAGCATCAGGTAAAAATTTAATCAAATCAAATAAGGCATTGACGATACTTGTCTTTAATGGTAAAGTACCATCATCTCTAAGAAGATCAGTTAAAAATGATACTAATTTCTTATGTTTAGCAGGGAATTTAAGGGCCAAGTTTTCAATAGCTTCTATTATAACAATCTTGAAATCTTCAGTGATTTCACCCATTAATGAAGTCATCTTAGAAATTAATCTATCAACACTTTCACCACCAACTGAACCGGTATCGATAGTACCAGCACCCATGGTTTTTAATAAGGTAGTAATGGCTAAAGTTGAAATTGATCTATTTTCATCATTTATTAATCCTTCTAATTCAGAATTGACAACTAAAATCTTTTCTGGATGTTTAACAGAAATCTTATTAATTAATCTAATAGCAGCAAATCTTGTAGCAGTTCTTGGAACTCCTAATAATTTTTGTAATGTATTAATAATAGCCATAAATTGATCATCTTTAATTAAATGTTGTAAACTAACTAAAGTTTTACAAGCTTCCAATTCAACCATATCAGACTTATGTTTTAAAAATGCCGCTAATATTGGGTATAAATGACCAATTAATGCTTCATCTTCTATTAAGATTTTATGGATATATTTGATTAATTGAATGATGGATAATGAGTTCTTTAAAGCAGAACCTTCAGATAAACTGGTGATTAATTTCATAAGGGCCATTTTATCATGGTTTCTTAAATGATATAATAAACCTAATGCATGATATTGATACATATATGAAGTGGTTGGTAATTTTGAAGTTGAATTACCATAGAATTCATGTAATTGAAATTGATTACTTGGGAAAACTTTATGAGATTGAATACTTTCCAAAGTTTCATTGGTAAATCTTTTAACTACTTCTTTTGAATTTGGAAGTAAATTATAAGAAGAAATTAAAGCAGCTGATGAAATAACAGGATTCTTATCAACAATGGCATTTTTGAATAATCTTTCGGCTGCATTGACAGTAGTAGAATCTAAAACTTTAGATAAAGTTCTAATGGCATTTGGTTTATAGATTATATCACCTCCTTGAATATCTCTCATGATTGATGAAGTAACCATTAAAATATCATCTGAAGTAGATGATAATTCCTTAATGGTTAAATAAACCAATTGCCTTAATGACAGATCCTTATGTTGGAACAACTTTGAAATAGAGAAAAACAACGTAGTTGATTCTTGAGATGGGAATTGTTCACCATGATAGATCAATCTTAATAACTTAGCTAACAATTGACGACACTTCTTAGCATTGACAGGTGAAGCATTGAATTGTTGTAAACACTCTTGAAAGATGGCCATTTTATCTGGAAGATTCCCAGAACTGGCATAAGCATCCTGCTTCTTATACGTCAGAGTGGACATTGTGATGAGCTTGGTGCCTTCTATCAGATTGATTCAATTAAGTATAAACCTCTTCGTAACAACTTCTACCACAACAAACAACAACGATCCCAGTTACGTGTTTGATCTCAACAGGAGTGAGTTGTCGAATTTTCATTGATTATGTAAGAGATTATGTCAGCGACATTTTTTTTTGATTTTGACAGTAATTTTTTTTTTTCAATTCATATATCTAGAAATTATACTATTGGTAGTGAAAGTTATTCAAAACTATATATATATACCACAACTCACAATGCTTCCAGGATTTTCTATATTGAGAAGACAAATATTCACCAACAGACCAGTATGGAACGGTGTGGCCAACTTTGTTCCAAGTTTGATAAAGCCAATGTCCATTCCAAACTTATTAACTCAAACTAGAGGATTCAAAGTTAGAACTTCAGTCAAGAAGTTCTGTAAAGATTGTTATATGGTTAGAAGAAAGGGAAGAGTGTATGTCTACTGTAAGTCTAACGGTAAGCATAAGCAAAGACAAGGTTAGTATAGAAGGTAAGAATTCTAACTGATCAAATCAATCTATCGAGCAGCCAACCAACGAACAAATTTTCATGTTATATATATCTACATCCAGCATTTCCATTGTACATTACAGAAACAAACCTTTTATAATTCGATTCATGTATATATTTAAGAATAAATGAAAGTCTATTTTATGTATTAAAACTTACCCTGTGAATTTGTATTTAAATCCTATAAACTTTTGCGTATATCTATTTTTATTTTATTTTTTTGACCAGCTATTTATAAACCTTACGAAAATGCAATCATGTCTTGCTTTGACTCAAGCTACGTTAAGCAGTTGTTGCTGTTGCTGTTGCTGTTGTTGTTGTTGTTGTTGTTGTTGTTGTTGTTGTTGTTGTTGTTGTTGTTGTTGTTGTTGCTGTGGTTGAATTTGTTGTTCTGTTCTTTTGATTTGTGATTGTGCTAATGATCCAGTCCCTTGTGCAGCTAATTTAACAGCTCTAGTAGTTGGTTGTTGATTTGGATTACTCGTCAACCTTTGGTTTGATGGTCTTTGTGATTGATTACCAAACTGGGATCCTGCTCCTGAGCCACTAGCCAGTCTGTAACCAGATGCACCATGATTTAACTGAGTCGATGACAATATAGCCTCCTGCCAAATCTTTTTCAACTTTGTATTGGTTTCTTGACCTTGTTCTTGAAATGCCACTGAAAATTCTTTAAATGTATTATTACCATTTTGATTACTTGCTGAAAATGTCAGCGGTGATGTATTATTAATCTGTCTTGTTTTGGCAACTTTTAAAACACCCTTTTCTGCTGGCAATAATTTTTCAAGTCTACTTAAAGACTCACCTACTGGATTTGAATTTCTTCTCACATTCAAGTATTCTCTATTTAATCTCTCAAATTCTGTTCTTGATTGAATTGAATTTTGATGATTATTCTGCACCAGACTTAATAATCCATTAATATTAGTTGAGCTTCCTTCTGATGATCCATTAGCAGGAGGGGTTGTCAATGCATTTGATACTAAATTATGATTTGATTGCATTGGAGCAGCTCCTGGTGTAGGCGGATTCATAGCTGACATTAATTCACGAGTATTAATTTGACTTTGATTATAATTATGGGCAAACATAAGATTATTAAGTGATAAGTTGGAAAAATTGGAAAGCTTAGCTGAATCAAGATTACTAACATCCATTAATGAATTTTCTCTCTGTAACCATAACCGTTGTTGAGTTCTTGTTTCTATATGTTGATTACTTGATTCAGCTGAAGATGATGATGATTGATTATTAGCTAAGAAATTTGAAAAATTATTGACACCATTAGTTACATTTGCATTTGGAGGTGGGGCTTGAGGATGCTGTTGTTGATCTAATTGCTTTTTGGTATTTAGATATTGATTATTAGTTCTCTTTAAATTATTGAATATAGTTTGATTTGGTTGATATGAATTATTTTGGACCGCATTACTATTAGTCGTAACTGGCATCGCTATGTTTTGTTCACCATCATGACGATTGGCATTAAATGAAATACCACTGATAGGTTCTGATTCAAGAGAAGAATCCAATTTATTATTAGTGACATATGCATCGCCAGTTTTAAGTCGTTGATTTAATAACATCAGCGTACTCTTTGCATCCATCTTCTTGGTAACACCAGTTGATTGAGAAAGTAATAATGAACCTCCATAGAGATTATCTGAATTTATGAGATTTTCAGCTGAACTTCGGGTTGAAGTTACCAAATTACTATGTACAGTTTTAAGTTCTCCTGAAGTATCTTTACTATCTTGAATGTGAGTAGTATTATGATCAACATTACTATTATCACTATCATTTATGGAAGAATTTGAATTTGAATGTAAATGGAATTTTTCAGGTACAGGTTCTATATTTTCATCTTCTGCCACATCTTCATAATCTTCATTGTCATCATCATTTAATCTTAAAATAGCTCTTTCCTTTTTCCCGCTGGTCTTAAGTCCACTAACATGACTAGTGGTACTAGGACCTCCCATATTCTTTAAAGATCCGGTAGATTTATTCGAACGAATAATAGTTGGATTTGAAACAGTTTTAGTTAATGGTTGAAGACCCGCTAATTTAGTGAATGATCGATTATTTCTTTTCAAAGCTGTGGCCAGCTTTGTCCTTATTAATACGTCGGTAGATTTAGATCTATTCAAATTAGGCCTTGATCCCGACTTGTTAGGACCAGTAGATGTTGATAATTTAACATGAGAATTGGATCTACTATGCATTTTTGTTTTATGTTTCTTCAAAGTGTTTGTAGATGGTACAGTTGGGGTTTGAGATGCTGATGATGTTATTTGTGAGGCTGATGATACATTTTGATTGAGAAGAGGAGTCATCCGATCCTTGACGTCCTCTATATGCGACATGGTTAAGTTGTTGGCTTTAACCGACATTATCTAACACCCATGTAAATCAATACTTTGATGTATGATGATCTGATTGGTACTATTCAATGGCAACTTACACTGACTTGGTTAACCTTTTCTGAAAATCTCCAATTGAGTGACTCTGAAAAATGAAAAATTAGGTCATGTGATGCGCATATCGTGATTTATCATGTGACTGAATAAATGCGCTTTTCCTAAAATTCAAAGCCCAGAATCAAAAAGCATAGAAAACCCGAAAATGAAACTGGAACTGATTTGAGGTTAAAAATAAACTTACTTAAAGATACTTGAAAATAAGTTTATCAATAAAATCTGAATTCAATTTTCCCCCAACTTTTTATTTAATGTAGTTTGATAAGGAATAACTCCATTAGCAATTGACAATTACCCAATTGAAATTCCTTGTTAAATCAAATCAATTTTCGTAATATTTTTGCGTTAAAATTGTGAAAATTGAAATGTTTTTACAATGAAAAATATTTTTTATTCATATTTGAGTGTAATATTTTCTGAACGTTGACAATACGAATAAACAATAGAGGTATTATAGGCGACGATGGCTGATGGGATACTAAGTTGATTCCATTAAGCCCAATCAATTAGTCAGAGAATCGTGGGCTAGGGTGAAAGTGGTCATATAATTGAATTCAATTGAATTGAATTTTAAGATTCAAAAGGGGGTAAAAATATCCAAACGCTTTTAATTAAAGCCCAAAAAATTACCCCTAAGCAACATGGGGCTTTTTTTAAGATTTTTCATAAATATTAAAAGGATATATACCAATTACCTGATATTTTAAATAACATAATGATCATACTATATCGGGTAAAATATCCACTTCTTACATCCGAGATCAATTGCTTATTATTGGTTTACAATGGACCCCATTGTCTAGTAATAAATTGGAGGATTTTGTACATACTAATAAACCCATACATGGGTTTCAAACTAGATTAGCATTTGAAAAATTTTTCTAATCTGCTCAATTGAAAAATATTTAATTTAAATCCCTTTAAGGACCGAGTGTATGTAACTAATTAGGAGGAATGATTGGTCAGTGCTGTACAGCAATATATCATACCGTATGCTCCATGATGATTAAGAAATAAAAACATTCCATCCCAATTATCATGTCTCATTCCTCCTTTTCAGACAGATATTATCCAAATTAGTATCCTCCGCAATTCAAATCCGGTATGTTTACCCAAATTCCACCGCCATTGCCTCTCCTTTGTCCCCCCTCAAAACGCTCTCATAACATTTGCACCCTCTTTCCATGTTGTACTTACACGTGTATGAACCTTTTTCTTTTTAGTGTAAGGAACCCGTCCTGCATAATACATAGCACAATGCAGCCGAATAATGCAAAAATAAATTTAAGCACTTAAACAAAAATTTTTCACCTAATAGGAGACAAACCTTTTGTACTGTAAAAAGGAGATACACCCAATTAGATTAAGCTTTCCTACCTAATCTCTCGAGGACAATTGAAAAATTTATTTCGTAAAATTCAATTTCTCCAATCTAGCCTGGGATGGGATGGGATGGAATTTATTTAGTTATATATATAGAAGAAGGAATTTCCTTTAAAAATAGTATGTCAATTCAATTTTCCTGGTTTTTTTTTTCATTTTACTTTCCTTCTCTTGCTTTTGTGTCAGACCAAACACTTTAAAGACTAAAGACAAGGACTTTTTTCAATCATGAAGTTAGCAACTATTTTTTTAGCCGCTTCAACTCTTGCTTCAGTTGTCGTTGGCTCTACTATTCCAGGTGCCCGTCAAATTAAAAGACACATTGAAAATAGAGCTGGTAATTACTTGGATCAAACTTACGCTGATTTATCTGATGTTGAAACTGATTTCATTAACGATCATATCAAAAACTTAACCAATTTCAATGGTACCAAATGTAATGCTTGTAAAAACAAGATTAAATATGGTCAAACCTTACTTAACGAATACCCTGATCAATCTCATTTAATCAGTTTACTTTTATTCAAATACTGTGTGGTTTCAAATAATGGTACTGAATCTAAATGTGATAACAATGATTTTTTCGTCACTACCAATTCTAAAAATTTTGAAAAATTTACAGATGAATTTGATTCTGGTGTTGGTACTATTGGTAGTGTGAACTTTTATGATAATGATTTCTTACATTTATTAAAGAATTTCAATGTTTCAAGTGATTTAGATTTAACTTACTATTGTTACTATAAAGGAAGTGTTTGTGATTTACCTGAAACTCCAGATGTTAATGAATTATATGGCGTTGATACTTGGTATCCTGCTAAATTACCTCAATATAATTCTGAACCAAACTATACCAACAACACTGAAAGATTTAATGTTCTTCATATTACTGATTTCCATCTTCAACAACACTATAAAGTTGGTTCTGAAAGTAATTGTTCCGCTACTCCATGTTGTTTACCAGCATCTGTTGCTGCCACTTTACCAGGTCCTTCTTATAATTTCACTTCTGGTTATACAGTTCTTGATACTGAAATTACTAAAGGTCTTTCTTTCTACCCAGATGCTTATTATGATGAGAATGATGTTTATCATCCTGGTGATTATTATGATTTCCCATTACATCGTGGATGGAACTTTGAAAGTCTTCCAGCCACTTCATTCGGTGGTTACTTATGTGATATTCCAGAACTTTTATTAAACAATTCTTTGAAATATATTAGTGATTTCTACGCTGATAATTCTACTAATGATTTCGAATTCGTTGTCTTCACTGGTGATGTTGTTGATCATTATCTTCCAGGTTGTACTCCAAACTTGACTCTTTCTGAAGAAAAGAGAACTTTTGAAATCATGAAACATTTCTTAAAGGGTACTCCAGTTTTCCCAACTCTTGGTAATCATGATACTTTCCCATATGGTCAACTTTCTCCAATCAGTTATGCTTTCAATAACTCCTATGACTGGAATGAAGATGATGTTAATCAATTATGGATTGGTAATGGATGGTTAAACGGTACTAACATTACTACCCTTAACTCTCATTACTCTGGTTTCTCTTATGTTACTCCAAGAGGATTGAAAGTTATTTCCTTAAACTCTAATGCTTACTACCAAAAGAATTTATGGTCTTATATTGATTTATCAACCAATGGTGATGCATTCGGTCAATGGGAATTCTTAATCAATGAATTAGTTGAAAGTGAAAAGATTGGACAAAGAGTTTGGTTAATGGCTCATATTCCAACTTCTGACTCAGATGCTTTACCATTACAATCCAGAATTTTTGGTCAAATTATTGAAAGATTCTCTCCATACACTATTGCCAATATTTTCTTTGGTCACACCCATATGGATCAATTCCATATTCTTCACTCAAGTAATGGTACTAATGCCGGTGCTGATATTATCAACATGGCTTGGGTTTTACAATCTATTACTTCTATTCAATACTTGAATCCATCATGGAGATATTATGAAGTTGAAAATGAATCTTTCAATATCATGAATTCTTACAATTACTTTACTAGATTAAATGAAACTTTCGGTAATGCCGGTGCTGAACCAGCTTGGAATTATGAATATTCCGCTAGAGATGTTTATGATCCACAAGGTGAATGGCCACTTTCTTCCCCACTTAATGCCACTTTCTGGAACAATTTCGTCTTACAAAAGATTGCTAACCAATCTGATATTGAATTCAATCAATTATACATGGATTACCAATATAGATTCTCTCCTCAAGTTCCAAAATGTGCCAATGGTACTAAAGTTTCTACCGCTTGTTACAACGGTAATTACTGTGTTCTTTCAAGTTTCTTCTCTGATGATTACATTAATTGTCAAATTTAAACATGATGGAAGTATTCCCCCTTGCCTTGGCTTCACAAATTCTGTCGTTATTTTGAATTTGTTACTTTTCCATTTTTTTAATTCTTCCTCGTTACCTTATTTTTACAAAATTTTTACTATTTTTTGTTTTTCTGTCGATTTTGATTCTTTGAATTATTTACTTTATAACTCCAAAGGATTTTTTTTATACGTCTATATATATGATGAATTGAATTCTAGTTTAGTTCAAGTTAGAAGAACCATTATATATATATATACATACATTTTTACTTCCAAAAAAGTTTGAATATATTTCCATTTGTTGTTTTTTCCGCTTTCTCCACAAAAAAACATTAAATTTTTGCGGCCATCATTTGACGATAAGCAGTGAGTCAACAGCAGTGGTCTTTATCATCATGTTTGACCCCCATTTTATACGAATTAGTGTGATATGTCTTAACAAATACTACTCATAATGGCCATGGTAGAGCATTGGTACCAATATTAACTAGTTAGGTTTAAGTTTGATAGTTAAAGGATTTTATTGTATTTGTAATCGTATTCCCCCCTTTTTGTCACCACAAGCGGTGACAAACCATTGATAACGAAGGGATGAGTGGTAACAATGACAAATCCTTAGTCACAAAGTGATTCTTCCATTTCAAACATTTTTCTATATATGAACGATACTTCCTTGAGTGAAAAATAATTCCGATTAAAATGATTGGAATGAATCATACTTATATATGTTAGAAGGATTCTTCATTTATGAGTAGTTACTTCATAATCATCCATTTCTTCACAGCAAAGAGAATGAAAAGTCAAGTCAAAGTTCGGGTATAATTTAATTTGACACTACATCCGACAATCAGCTTCCATATCCATATGATTTAATAAAACTCCATAGTTACTTGAACTGACCGCCAGCGGTATATAATTCTCCTTATCATAGTTTAATATTCCAATTAGAAATTAAAGTGTGCATATTGGTCAGACTCGCTCGCTATTATTTTTTGGAGCCACCACAAAAATTGTGGATGCAATTTTATATCTATATACAATTTAGGGGATCAAATCAAATCTCCTCCCTCCCCACCAATTCACCTCACAATCAATTGTGCTTAAACATGCTTAGTTTTGATATGTGATTATAATTGAATTAATTTAGATTCGGGGATAACTCTTATATTTGCGAGGAAATGTCGTATGTTTTCCAACCCCTTGAATACTATATAAATTAACTGTGGTGGCTACTTTTCAATTTATATTGTTTTGTAGACTTAGAATGATTTAACATTTATTACTAATCAGTAATAAGTATAAAAAGGTGTTCAATTACTCTCAATTGTTCAATTGAAGTTGTTAAATTTATCTTTCTTTTAAATCACATTATAACCTTATAATAAACAAGTAGAAAAATGGCTCCTCCAACTGCTACTCAAACAGCTACTCCAGCTGAAGACGATATCGAACAGACTGTCAGAAAATTAGCTAAATTAAAACCAATCAGTCATGGATTTGGTGGTGAAAACGCTAGTACCAACACTGGTCCTCAATTGGAATATTTAAAGATCTTACCTGAACCAGCTAGAAAGAGATTTGAAAAATATGGTATTGACTTATCTAAGGGATATCCTGTTATTCCACTTCCTGATGAAATTCCAAAATTTGCCGATGAAGCTTTTGCTATTAGAAATAAAGATTTTCCATACGTTGAAAAAGGTAAAAAAGCTGATCCAGAAAAGAAAGCTTTATTGGGAGCTGCTAAAGAAGTTAGACATTTAACTAAACATATTGGTACTGAAATTGTTGGATTACAATTATCAGAATTAAATGATAAACAAAAGAATGAATTAGCTTTATTGGTAGCTGAAAGAGTTGTTGTTTTCTTTAGAGATCAAGATCTTTCTCCTCAAGCTCAACTTGCTTTAGGTGAATATTGGGGTCAAGTTGAAAGACATCCTCAAGCCCCACATGTTCCATTACCAGAAAGAGAAGATGCTGATGAAATTGCTAAAGGTAGTGGAATCAGTGTTATTTGGAGAAAATTCTTTAATGAATATTATGGTCTTTCAAAAGGTTTCAAAAAGAAGCAAGCTGCTGCTGGATGGCACACTGATTTAGTCCATGAACATCAACCTGCCGGACTTACTCATTTACATAATGATACTATTCCAAAAACTGGTGGTGATACTGCTTGGGCATCTGGTTATGCTGCTTATGATAAATTATCTCCAGCTTTACAACAATTCGTTGATGGTAAGACTGCTATTTATAGATCTGCTCATCAATATATTGACAGAGCCAATCCTTTAAAGGGTCCAAAATATATTGAAAGAGAACATCCAATTGTTAGAACTCATCCTGCTACTGGCTGGAAATCTTTATTTGTTAATAGAGCTATGACTGTTAGAATTGTTGGATTAGAACCAGATGAATCTAATTTAATCTTAGAATACTTATACTCTGTTTATGAAAAGAATTTAGATATTCAAGTTAGATTCAAATGGCAACCAACTAAAGAAGGTTTTGGTACTTCTGCTATTTGGGATAATAGAATCTCTCAACATTATGCTATTCCAGATTATGATGTTGATGAAGATGATCGTCATGGTACTAGAGTTACAGCTTTAGCCGAGATTCCATACTTTGATCCAAGTTCAAAATCTCAAAGAGAAGCTTTAGGATTATCTTTAAATTAAAACTATTTCTTGGTTCTTCCTTTTATAAATTGTTTGATACAATTTATGTTTTTTTTGTTATAGTTAGTTATTTTACTTAATCTTAAAAAAGATCTTTTCTAAAAAATTACATCAATGTAAAAGTAAATGCCTATTTTCGTATATTATCGACGTTATAATTAAACTAATGTTACAAATTGGATTCAAAATTGTTGATTGAATCCACCCATTGGATCAAATGGGGGAGGATTTTGATTATTGAAGGTTGGATCAGCAGATGGAATATATACAGAAGTTTCTCCTCTATCTCTACCACCTCTAAAACCACCTCTATTACCTCTAAAACCGCCTCTGAAACCTCTACCACCTCTGAAATTACCTCCTCTACTTCTAAAACCACCACGGAAACCTCCACGACCTCTGAAACCTCCTCTACCACCACCATTTTCAGCAGCAGCAGCAGCTTCTTGACCAGCTTGACCACCAAACATACCTCTACCAAACTGTCTACCATCAATAAAGCCTGGATCTAAATCAATAGCCAAACTTTGTCCATCTAGCACAGTTTTGGATAAGAATTTCATGGCATTTAATGACCCATCTTCAGTTTTATATATGACAAAGCAGAATCCACAAGGAGTTAATTTATTTCTATCCAAACCCATTATTATTCTATCTATAGATCCACATTTCAGGAATAATTCATGAATCTGTTCTTCAGTGGTGAAATGAGATAAATTACCAACATAAATGGTTCTTGAACGTAATGACTTTTCTAAATCAGTGAAATTTTGTTTTCTGACCGCCTTCTTTATCAAATAGTCCGATGGCTTATCTAGCCTATCTGCCGAGTTCTTAAAGTTTTCCTTCAACAATTCCATTGTATCTAATTAATTCAATGAACTATGAAATATTGTTGTCTTTTAACTTGTCTCTTTACACACTTTAAAGAGGACTTGAATTTTTTTTTGAGATTTGAGATTTTTACAGTTTACAAAGAAAAATAAAATTTTGCAGTTTATAAATTTCTGTGTCTCCAGAAAAAAAATAAAATTAAACACATCATGAATTACGATTCAAAGTCTTATCAATCCTTAAATCATTACCACCAATCCATCAATGTTTAAAGGATTCTTCCAAACCGGTATAAGGGGAAGTTACAATGTGCTGGAGAATCCATCCTTTGTATCTGAACCTTGGTATGTTTACCCTGCCAAGCATAAGAGTAATGGAAGGATTGTATCGGTATTCATCTTTGATAAATCAAAGTTTGAGGCTATGGTCACAAGATTATGTTCGACTTCATCATCATCCAAGAATCCTAAGATTATAATATCAGAGTCGTATGAGCTTATTAAGTTTGAAGTGAATCAATTGAGTAAGCTTAAACACCCTCAAATCTTACAAATTTATGAAGTACTTGAAGAAACCAAACTGAAGTTCATCTTTGTAAGTGAGCCACTTACAGATAATTTACTTACTGCTAGTAATTTAAGTAAGGATGAACTTAATATTCAAAAGGGGTTGTTACAAGTATCGAAGGGGCTTCAATTCTTGCATAATTACTGTTCAATCATTCATTTCAATTTACAACCGTCATCTATCTACATTAATAATCAAGGAGATTGGAAACTTGGGGGATTTAAATTCTTACAAAATTTGAATGAAATAAGTCCTCAAGAACGAGATAATTTTTATATTATGAATAATTCAAGTTTGATTCCATTTGTTAATTTAAATATGAACTTCACTGCTCCTGAATTGATTATTGATAGTCAACTGAAATTAGATTTTGGGAATGATATATGGTCATTAGGATGTATAATATACTATTTATATAATGATGGAGATCAATTAATCAACTGTTTTGATTCCAATAGCATAAATGATTATAAAGGTGAGTTTCAGAAATTCCAACAAAAGTTTTATAATCATAAAGTAAATGAATTAAAATATTTATTAAAGAAGATTCCCGAAAGTTTATATCCTATCTATCCTCAATTATTAGCAAGATATCCTCATGATAGATTAACCATTGATCAATTCATTGATTCTAATTATTTCAATGGAAGTTTAATTAAAGCCATGTGGTTTATTGATGAATTTTCCACTAAGACTCTTGAAGAGAAATTATTATTTATGAATGGACTTTTGGATCCAAATAATGAATTAGGTAAAGATTTATTATCTCAATTCCCTGCCAGTTTTAAATCCCTGAAATTATTACCATTATTGATTGATTTATTAGTTAATGAATTGAATGTTCTTACTGGACCTGTGATTGAAACTGATACTGATCAATTAATAACTATTTCATTAAATATCATCTTAAAGATTGGTTCAAGTATATCAAGTTTAACTTTCCAAGATAAAATCTTTGGTACACTTTTTAAAGATGATAAGAAGAATAAAAAAGCTCCTGAAACTTATTCAAAATTAATCAAAGCATCAGTCAAGACGAGATTAACATTAGTGGAGAATTTATCAATTTTACAAGATAAATTACATGATAATCAAATTGTTGATTTTTATAAGAATATTCTTGATTTAGTATTAACATCAGCTCCCGCTGAACAAAGTCAAAAACAAGATCAAATCAAATTACAAGAAACTTATTTGAAATATTTAACTAACATTATAGAAAAGATTGAATTCCCCTATATCAAGAATACCTTATTTCCAATGTTATGTCAAGTTTTCAAAACCACTACTATCTTATCCACTAAATTAGTTACGATTGAAGTATTTGAAATGTTAGTTGATAAGAAAATCATTGATAAGATTATTGTTAATGATCAATTATTCCCAATCTTAAAGAATTTAAAAAGTAGAGATAAACGAATTGTCAGAAGTATGTTAAGTTTCTTTATAAAATTGATTAGAAGTGAACATGTTAATTTAGATTTTGAAGCTTCAGTGGAATCAATCTTACCTCAATGTTTAAGTTTATCATTCAGTTGTAATGATTGCAGTCAAGATGAATTTAAAGAGTTTATGAAGGTCTGTAATTCTATTCAAAAGCATTTGATTGAAAAGAGATTGGCAACATTACCGGTTAATGTTCCTAATTCCACTAGAGTCAATGGGAATTCATTTGATGGGAATTTTGAATCATTGATAAATTCTCAAACTATAAATGATGGTAGTAAAGATAATATTTATAAAGGTCCTTCATCAGCAACAACCTTAACGCCAAAAGTACTTACTCCAACCGTCAAGTCTTCACCTCCTCATAAAAATAATACTACTATTGCTCATAAGACAACTCCATTGAATTTAAAGAATGCTGCTGCCACCACATCTCCTACTAATCGTTATTCAAGTTTAAATAATAATCAAAGCAATGTACCAGCTTTGAAGTTTGGTGCTTCAAGTCCTTCAACCAATGTTAATAATACTAGAATGTTAAATACATTGAATAGTACTTTTGACAAACCTAAATATACTAGAAATAACAATACTACTAGAAACAACAATGGTTATCATGATGCTGATGATGATGATGATGATGAATTTGAAGATTTTCAACAGGCTAGAATCACCCCTTCTACCAGACCAACCATTAATTTATCAAAGGAACTTCCATCTAAACCTAATACTAATGGATTCCCTCAAACTCCATTAAAGCCAAATGTGGGTAATGCTATCAATAACAATAGAATTGTAACTCCTCCTACTAAATATCCGCCTGGATTCAATTCTAATATGGTTTTAACACCTAATTCATCTGGTTCAAGGAATAGTAGTAATACTACTTCATCTCATATTCAAGGACAGAAATCGAATAATAATAATGATGTTCTTGATTTCTTATAGATTTGGTAGTATATAGAGGTATGTAGAAATATATATTTATTATTAATTTGCACCCAATTGCATGTATAGAAGTGAGTTCCATTGTTAATGAATTCTCCCCCACTCTACGCATAATTTTTTTGGGCTTGATCGTAAAAAAAAAAGAAAGTTTTGCAGCTTCGGAAATAAATTTGATAACTCCTAACTACTATGTAAACGAATAAAAGTAAGGGGATTAGCAATGTGATTATTGATCTAGATGAATGTTTAAAATTGTGATCCATACGATGTACATGAATCAGGGATTAAACGAAAAGAAAAGACTATAAACAAACAAATGAATGAAATAAGCTTAGACTTTATAAATCAGTCCATGATTAATTGATTGAATGTCAAAGACTTGGTTAGAGTTAATAGGGAAGGGGTAATGGCCAGTCTCTGATATAAAATAACCAAACCATAAAGGCATCAGCTAATGAATAAATTCAATGTGTCGTTGCCGTATATTAAATACTTTTATTTGTTTCTCCTTTATCATATTTGTGTTACCATGGGGGAAAATCGATTAGCTGATTCTTTTCGCTTCTCATCAAATTACAGTGTATACAAATGTAATATGACTTAAAGTTAACTATTCAGGGACTACAGAGATCTGAGATTGAAAGTATCAATGGGTAAGTTAAGTACTTGACCGTATCTTGGTAATGGTTAGTGATGTCATCTTCTTCCACCTCCCCTACCTACCTACATCCATCCATCCCTTCCTATCTCCCCCAAACTACTTCTTAGCAGTTGCTCTTTTTTTTCTCTGTTACCGATACTCGGTTCTCGTTCCCGTCGTATAAAAAATCTGATTAAAATCTATACGACGAAAAAATTAAATTGTTTTTTTTTTTCTGTTTGTTTACTGTTTGCTTACAGCGCTTACTGCTAACTAAAATTTTTTTCCATCTAGACTTTGGGAACGATGTCAAATCATACCACAAGGGGAAACTTGAATAAAGAGAAATATATAAACTGTTGATTACCATATTTGTATTAGTTTTTGGTTTAACTTTACAGTCCATTCACTTCTTCCTCCCCCTTCACATTCTTTCAACCTATTCGATTCATCTGGCTCATCAGACTCATATAACTCTTATACATCCTTCCTTGCTAGAGTTCACTTTTTTCTTTGCTTATTTTTAACAGAGCCCGTGCCTACCCACCACATATCTACACTACTACAATATGGATTTAGTCTTAGAAGCAGCTGATCATTTCGTGTTTGATAAAGCTTATGCTCAACTCTTACCAAAAGGTGGAGTTGTTGATCAATTCATACAGAATAATCCTTTATTACTTAATGTCAAACTGAACTTTGTCAATTATAAAGATTCATTCAATGGAACTTTAACTTCTGCAGCTCCAACCCTTTTAGCCAATCCTATCATTTCATCAATTTATAACTCTGTGGTTAATTATCAAAATCAAGATGAAATTTATGGTTTAAAACCAACCACTTTCTTCGATGTCACAAGTTATACTGAACAATCCATATTATCAAGATCAAATATTTTAAGAGAAGGTGTTTCAATCTTTATAGTCACTGCTATCTTTGGTTGGTTATTATATTTTTCAGTTGCTTCATTATCTTATTATTTTGTGTTTGATAAAAAAATCTTTAATCATCCCAGATATTTAAAAAATCAAATTTGGTTAGAAATTGAAAGAGCAACCACTGCTATCCCAGTTATGGTTTTATTAACTACTCCAGTATTTCTTATGGAATTAAGAGGTTTCTCTTATTTATATTATGATATTAATGAATCAACCGGAGGTTGGAGTGCTTTATGGTGGCAAATTCCAAAATTCATTTTATTCACCGATTGTGGGATTTATTTCATTCATAGATGGTTACATTGGCCATCTGTTTATAAAGCTTTACATAAACCTCATCATAAATGGATTGTTTGTACTCCATTTGCTTCTCATGCTTTCCATCCTGTCGATGGATTTTTCCAAAGTATTCCTTATCATATTTATCCAATGGTTTTCCCATTACATAAAGTATTATACTTATTTTTATTCACTTTTGTTAATTTCTGGACTGTTATGATTCATGATGGTCAATATTTATCAAATGATCCATTTGTAAATGGTACTGCTTGTCATACCGTTCATCATTTATATTTCAATTATAATTATGGACAATTCACCACTTTATGGGATAGAATTGGAGGTTCTTATAGAAGACCTGATGATTCCTTATTTGTTAAAGATTCTAAAAAGGATCAAGACGAAAAAGTATGGAAACAACAAGTGGTTCAAATGGAAGAAATTAGAAATGAATTAGAAGGTAAAACTGATGATAGAGAATACATCAGTAAGGATTAGTCCTTCCCTATCCCTTCACTTTTCATGACTCCTTTCATATCTTACTCTCTCTCTCTCTTTATCTTATGTATGTATTTTTCCTTGCCTTCCCTTCCTTATCATTCTCGATGAATAATTATTCAAGTGAAATCAGTTTTGTTTATGCCTATTTTTTATTTGATATATTCTACTTTTACGATATGTGATTAACTTTTACCCTAATTTACCAAACTATAACCATTATTATTCAAAAAAAAAAAAAAAATTCATAAATTAAAAAAAAAAAGTTAAAATTTGTTTATAGATGAATCTTTAATTAATCTATGTTTTTAATAAATTAATTATCAATAAATTGACTTGTGTAGAGTAGTTTGTTTAATCATTGTTCTGTATTCTTTGCGGTCCGGTTCAGGCAAGCCAGGACAGAGATGATGATTTGATGACTATTGTACATGTCATAAACGTTGAATGAATGCAAGTAAATACGATGAAGGTTAATTAACACTGATAAGAATGCATTACTGATACTGTTTTAAATTACGTTAAATCAATCAATCTAATTACATGACTATATCCTACCCATCGTGTCATTGCGACCTCTCATACCAGAAGAGGAGAAGACAATGCAAGGACGTAATCTATAATCATCCTAATTTAAATAATAGAAGCATGGAAGTAATTATCTTATGGTTAGTATCTTCAATCTAACTGGTCTAAACCATCAAATGTCGATCTCTAATTAAATTAATTTGAAAATCAATACCCATTTCCATTAGGTTGTAGATTTTTTTATTTAGGAAGTAATTCCTTATCGAATGATTTACAAGACCTAATTTAAAGTTTAATTAATCCAGAGATAAGGGATTAATTGATTATTCTAAGTTAAATAAATGACCTTTGGATTGCCTTAGTCAATTAACTCATCTTACAATTAAAAGCTGGATTAAACAAGATGCGAAAAGTTTTTTTTGCACTCCTGTTGTTTGTAGGGCGCTAAATGGAGACATATTTAGGGACCGAAACGCTAACTGGAAAATGGCCCGAACTTTTCTTTTTAAAAAAGTAAAAAAAAAAAAAACTTAAAAAAATGCGTTCTGCATACAGACCATTTTGTGTAATCAGTATTTTAAATGCAGAACAAATATAATAAAAATAATAAAATTGATAATATGATAATGGTGATTAGTTCAAACATGACTATTTACCACGCTGATATTTATTTGGTTGACTCACAACAAACAATAGAGTAGAGTATTGAGGTACATAAGTACATACCAAACATACATTATACATCTCATTCCGCTTGATCTGATTTCTAAGCATACCCTAGTTAAACCTTTCATGTAAGGAATTCAATATTACTTTTTATTTACTCCAGTTTTTATATGTAGGTAAGTCATGTCATGTCAAGACAAACTTGTATACATAACAATATCAACTACGTAATATAATGAATATTTCATTTATCATTTCCAAACCAAAACAGAAAAGAAAATTCTCTTGGCCCCCTGGACCTCTTATCAGAAGAATGAATTGAGAGCTCCTTCTGTACGGCGAGAAAAAAATATTTTCAAAATTTTGGATTCATTTGTTTTGCGGCCCACTTCGGTGTCAAAATTTTTTTTTCCTGTATTTTGCGCAAATTAATTAGGGATAATTTCCCCCTAGAACATTTTAAATTTAGTGTCTTTTATACAGCATTCTATTTTTATGATATGATTAGGGAAAAAAAATTAAATCAATTTAATATATTGGAATTAACTTACAACATGAAACATAAACACATGACAGAATTAGATAGATAGATAGATGGACAGTAGATCCACCGTATCGAACGACCTTCTGCCATTGGTTGAGAACCCCAAATCTCTTGTTTTGAAATGTCAATCTTAATGATAATTCATTGAAAATCCTTAATGCTCTGGTTAATACTTGAAAATCTCGTTTTGTGGTAAGGGTACGGCTACTAATTAATTAATTAATTTTAGCGCCTAATAGTAGTAAAAATAATTTATTTTTTTAGTGAGAATCAAGTCACATGATAGAAAGATTCCCACTAAATTAAAAATTATATAACAAAACTAAGACTTAATTGGTTACATATCCTAGCCCCACTTTATGATTTCTAATAGGTCCAATTACTGATTTCTTATCTATTATGATTAAAAATAACACCATATACAACTTAATATTAGAAATTGACACACAAAATCTAAAAGATTTTTCAACTTACTTCAACGGCTTCGTATACCTAATCCGATACATTGCAGTAAGTTTAATTTGATTATATTATTTTTACATTTATCAATATTATTATTTGCTATTTCTGGGCTAAAGTGGTAACATACTGATTAGATCAATCTTAAGTCTTGTGTTGTATTGTATAGTCTTACTTGTTGTTAACTTTTGATCATATCTATTCCACCTTACATTCGTATGGTTATTTTTTTATATAGTGTATATTTTTAGCTTACCGGGCCATTTTTCTTTCCCCGGCCCACTATATTATTTTCCTTCTATTAGTACCTACTAATGTTCTACTTTAGTTATGGAAGCATGTACTTGACCATCCTTTGAATGGATTACACTTGATCATCATGGTCACCCCATTGATAACAATCTAAATCAGGTCAATTGATCCTTTGAATATAATAATGACATGTTCTAGAAGTAACATGTTCTAGAAGTAACATACTCTATGTAGTCTACAATTACTATATAAAACAATCGTTAATATTGAATGTTTAATTGACGTGCAGTTTCACAAGCGATTGACTGATCCATAAGCTACAAACCGCCTAATTGTCCCCAAGTAAACCATCTTGTCTCATTCAATTCAATTGAAAACAAAGCCCAGTAAAAAATTGTAAACCACCCACCCTGTGCTGTCTTGTTCTAATGATAGTGAAAACTGAAACGCAAAAATGCCCCTTGAAAAACATTAACTGTAAAAAAAGAAAAAAGAAAAACGGTAATTTCTCAGTTTATCAAAGGTGTCGCTTTCGTTATCTAAAAAAAAAAAAAAGCAAAAAAAAAAAAAGCAACCAAAAATAAAAGATAAAAAATAAATTTTATTTTTCAATAATGACTAAAATAAAAATATCTGCATAAGCGCTGTATCAATATACATTTTGGGCCCAATAAACAGGAATTAACTACTTAGTTTAATTTAGTTACCGGTTTGTTTTCATTATATTATTTTTTTACAACTTATATCAAAATTTTTCAATTGAATCATCTGCAACAGTTAATTGTTACTAATTTTATAAATATAAATATACCTGAAAATTCTCCATGATTTGGTATTTTTCAATTTTTCATGTTTTATATTTTTATAATCATCAATTCTTTTGGGTTTGACTTTAAATACAAACTAAAATAGAATATTGATAATCTTATACAATGACTTCAGCTGATTATATTCCATTACCGCAAGCTGCAGGTTACGCTGTTGTGGTTGGGTTAGGTGCTGTTTTTGCCCTTGGTATGATGCTTACTACTTACGTCTTGAAAAGATATAATCGTGAAATTATGACTGCAGAAGAATTCGCTACTGCTGGTAGATCAGTTAAAACTGGTTTAATTTCAGCTGCTGTTGTTTCATCTTGGACTTGGGCTGCTACTTTATTAACTTCTACCACTCAAGTTTATAATAATGGGGTTTCTGGTGGGTTTTTCTATGCTGCCGGTGCAACTTGTCAAATTACTCTTTTCGCTTGTTTAGCTATTAAAGGTAAAGAATTAGCTCCAGGTGCTCACACTTATTTAGAAATTGTTAAAGCAAGATATGGTACTGTTACCCATGCTGTCTATTGTTTCTGGGGTTTTGCTACTAATGTTTTAGTTACTGCCATGTTATTAACTGGTGGTTCTGCTGTCGTTAATGATTTAACTGGTATGAATACTGTAGCTGCTTGTTTATTATTACCATTAGGAGTGGTTATTTATACTTTATTCGGTGGTATTAGAGCTACTTTCTTAACTGATTATGCCCATACTGTCGTTATGATTGTTATTATTTTAATCTTTGCTTTCTCAACTTTTGCTACTAATAAAGATTTAGGTTCTCCCGGTAAAGTTTGGGAAGTTATTACTGCCTTAGCTGAATCAAATCCAAAGGAAGGTAATGCTGGTGGTTCATATTTAACTTTAAGATCAAGAGGTGGTGGTATTTTCTTTGTTATTAATATTGTGGGTAATTTCGGTACTGTGTTTTTAGATAATGGTTATTTCAATAAAGCTTTTGCTGCTGATCCAAGAGCTGCTTTACCAGGTTATGTTCTTGGTTCTCTTGCTTGGTTTGCTATTCCATGTTTAATTTCTTTAACCATGGGTTTAGCTGGTTTAGCTTTAGAAGGTACTCCTTCATGGCCAACTGCTCAACCATTAACCGCAGCTCAAGTTTCTGCTGGTTTAGTGTTACCAAACGCCGCCGTTGCTCTTTTAGGTACTGGTGGAGCTGTTTGTTCTTTATTAATGGTTTTCATGGCTGTTACTTCTGCCATGTCTGCTGAATTAATTGCTGTTTCAACTATTTTCACTTATGATATCTACAGAAGTTATATTAATCCAGCTGCTACTGGTAAACAATTAATTTGGGTATCTCATATGTCAGTTATTGCTTATGCGTATATTATGGCTGGTTTTGCCATTGGATTATACTATGCTGGTATTTCAATGGGTTATCTTTATGAATTAATGGGTGTTATAATTGGTGGTGCTGTTTTATCATCTGCTATGACTTTACTTTCTAAGCATCAAAATGTTGTTGCTGCTACCTGGACTCCACCAATTGCCACTGCTTTAGCTATTATTTCATGGTTAGTTTGTACCAAAGTTCAATTTGGTTCAATTACCGTTGATAATACTTTTGAAGATAATGCTATGTTAACTGGTAATGTGGTTGCCTTATTATCCCCATTAGTTATTGTACCAATTTTAACCTTTGCATTCAAACCTCAAAATTTCGATTGGGAAATTTTAAAATCAATTCAAAGAGTTGATGAAAATGATGAAATTTTACAAGCTACTCATGCTGTTGGTAGTAAAGAAACTGATGTTGAAATTGGGGTTCATCCTGTAAAATCTCAAATTAGTGTTATTGCTAGTGAAATTGCTGAAACTAAATATAATCAATTAGAAGAAGAAGAAAGATTATTAAATAAATCATTTAAAATAGCTGCTATTATTTGTGTTACTTTAACTGTTTGTCTTTTAGTACTTTGGCCAATGCCAATGTATGGAACTTCTTATATCTTCTCTAAGAGATTCTTTACTGGTTGGGTTGTGGTATTATTGATTTGGATTTTCTTTTCAGTTGGCATGGTTATTATTTATCCACTTTATGAAGGTAGAGTTGGATTATATACTACCTTCAGAGGTATTTATTGGGATTGTACAGGTCAAACTTATAAATTAAGAGCATGGCAAGAAGCTAATCCAGAAAAATTACATGCTGTTCAATCACAAGTTGCTGCTCATTTGTTAGCCACTAGTCAAAGTAGAAGTAAAGTTGTTTATGAAGGTAAAACCATTCATGATGGAACTATTACTCCAAATGGTATTGATTCTAAATTAGATGATGTCAAGAAAGAATTCTAACCGTTTTAGTTGTAACTTGCTTGATTTAGGTTGATATTCTTGTTGTTGTTGTCTTTTTTTATTTAAATTTAGTGTTAAATTGGTTTAAGCTGGGTCTTAAAGAATTTTTTTACATCTATTCTATTGTTTAGTTTTGTTCTTTTATTGTGTGCTTATGTTGAGTTTTTATCAACTAAAGTGATTGTTAATTATTATTATTATTATTATTATATTACATTTTATTTGGTAGTATATAGTATTTAGTTCTTGTTTAAATGTTTTTAACCAATTGTGTGACTCAAATATATATTATTATTATTATTGTTATTAAAATTATTAGAAGTAAAAAAATAATATAGAATCAATTTATTGAAGCGCAAATGAGGTTATGCAAGGAAACTCAAATTTTGCATGTTCTGCTTACAAGCTACTACGGCATAAATGGGACATATCAAAGAAAGAAATACTCCCTACCACAGGTGTCAGAAAGTAATAATAATAATAATAAATTACAAAGCCATGTAGCGATTAAATCATTGCGGAATCGGTATATCTATATTAAAGGGTATTGTGACGAAATTATATCGTATCCTGTATATTATATCCATCTGAAAATCCTTCGATAAGCCGCTCATTGATCTTATCAATATAATTACCAAAATGGCCCATATCCTGAAAAGACAGGTTTGAAAATTATTTTGACAGTTTATGATTGACACCTCTTCTATCGGATATCTTGAACCAATAAAATCGCACGATAGCATTTGATGGTCAATCCTGACCTGAAGGGTGTGAATCTATTTTTTTTCTTTCGCTCTACAGCCTTAATTGATAAAATCAAATTGCAAATAGAATAATTTAGATTTGTAGCCTTGGTCTATAGTAATTAATAGATAAATATTTGAAAAGTAAATCGTTTCATTATCTTTTGTCTATTGAAGTAAATGTTTTATTTTATTCTTGATAAACATACTTTGATTGACTTCTTAAACGCAGCTTGAAAAGGAATATTGAACCGTACTTTGGAGCTCTTCTCTCACCCTAAATTAAAAGTGCTTAACTACTATCAAAAAAAAAAATACATACAGTATCACCAAAGCCTAAAAACTAAATCTCAAATCATAAAAAGTTGTTGCAAACTTCTTGATTTGAAATCAAAGTTGAAAGTCTCTCTAATCAAAACTCTTCTGACCCTGTATAACTTATACCAACCTTATAATACTAACTAACTATAAGATTTATATGTCAAAAGGGTGTCGAATGCCATTTTCTGTTTTCACAATTGCAAAAATATGGACCGTAAAAATTTATGACCAGGCGGCCCGTCGCGGTGTTTGGATATTTTGTTTGTCTCACTATTTTTGTATGGCAATTCTTTTTTGAGTGAGGAATTTTTAACTATGGTGGGTCGCGGAATGATTCCATTAGCGGATAGATGCTAACAACTGCTTTTCACAGCCAGTTTAGTTACTATGAACCATACAATAATCAACCAATTGATTAATTGTTGATAGTAGTAATGGGGGTCTAATACCGATGAATGAGATTGATTGTATTACTCCTCCTCTTTAGATTACGATAAGCAAACCCAGTATATCAACCATTATATAAATAGCAAAGTAGATCCTTAACGATTTTCAAGATTAGCTTCCACTGACCTCAATCAATTTTTTTGTTTTGTTCATAGCGGTGCATCGGAATTTTCCACAAACCAAAAATTCACTATTTTTCAAATACTATCAATTTCCGTTTTTGGATTCACTTGATTTATTGATAAACTTTAGTATTTATTCATTTCCATATCCACATCTTTTTCCAAAAATCTTAGTCAACATTCCTCATCAACAAGTTTAAGGTAGATTCAAGGGTTTGTTATAGAATTATTAATTTGTTTCTTATAACCTTAATAACTGTTAATTATCAATCAAATTTCAAAAAAATTTCAACCTCCGCGGAGCATTAATTTTAGTTTTTTGTTGACAGATCTCCACAAATCATTCCAATTTGACAACATTTAACGAATTGAGGTCAATTTTCATATATATTATCATTCCAAATCATTAGTCTGATACCATCATATCAATCGAATCAACTGAATATGTCATATCTTGGTTGGACAGTCCATGATTGGAAACAATTCCATTATCAAGCTACTCCCAATGAATCATTTGATTTATTAGCTCAATTATTAGCAGCTCAAAAACCAGCTCCAGAAGATACTGCTTGGATTTCAGTAGCTTCCATAGATAACTTGAAACATCAATGGAATTTCCTTCAATCAAGAGCCAACAAATTGGATTTACCATTATATGGGGTTCCAGTCGCCATAAAAGATAATATCGATGTGAAAGGTTTTGAAACTACTGCTGGTTGTGCAGCTTATGCTTATTTACCAAATCAAGATGCAACTACTGTCAAATATTTAAGAGATGCTGGGGCTATAATAATTGGTAAAACCAATTTAGATCAATTTGCAACTGGTTTAGTGGGTACTAGATCTCCATATGGTATTACTCCAAATACATTCAATCCAAAATATGTTAGTGGTGGTTCTTCTGCAGGTTCAGCATCAGTAGTGGCAAGAGGTATAGTTCCAATTTCATTAGGTACTGATACTGCTGGTTCAGGTAGAGTTCCTGCTGCTTTAAATAACATTATTGGTTTAAAACCTACCAAAGGTGTATTTTCAACTAGTGGGGTGGTACCAGCTTGTAAATCATTAGATTGTGTTTCAATCTTTTCTCTTAATTTACAAGATGCTCAATTAACTTTTGAAGTTATGGCTCATGAAGATGGTTTAAATGATGAATATTCAAGACCATTACCTGAAAATCCATTATTGAAATTCCCTCAAACTCCAACTATTGGTATTCCAACTAGTTTAGAATGGTATGGTGAAGAAGAAAATCCAAAATTATATACTAAAGCTGTCGAAATATTTGGTAGTGAAAAAGTGGGTGCAAAATTAGTTCCAGTTAATATTGATTTATTAGTTGAATTAGCTAAATGCTTATATGATGGCCCATGGGTGGCTGAACGTTATACTGCCATGAAAGAATTTTTTGCTACAAATCCTCCAGTTGAAACTTTAGATCCAACTGTAACTGCCATTATAAAAGGTGGTGAAAAACATTCAGCTGCTACTGCTTTTGATTATGAATATAAAAGACAAGGAATAATTCAAAGAATTAAAAAGGAATTAAAAGGTATAGATGTTCTCATTGTTCCAACTGCTCCATTAACTCCAACCATTGAACAAGTTAAAAATGAACCAGTTAAAGTCAACTCTCATCAAGGTACTTATACTAATTTTGTCAATTTAGCTGATATGTCAGCTTTATCTATTCCGGCTGGGTTCCGTCCTGATGGATTACCATTTGGTATTACTTTATTATCTGATAAATTCAATGATTATGCCCTTTTAGAATTGGCCAGTCGTTATATAAAACCATATTCCGAAACCATTCCAAGATTCTACGGTAATTTAAATCATAAAATCGTTAGCAACTTAGGTGATGAATTATTACCAAACGTTCCAAAATTAAATCCTGAACTGCAAATCAAATTAGCTGTGGTTGGTGCTCATTTAAAGGGTTATCAATTACATTGGCAATTAGAAAAAGTTAATGCTACTTTCATAGAATCAACCACCACATCAAAGAAATATAAATTATATGCCTTACCTAAATCTGGACCAGTTGCTAAACCAGGTTTAAGAAGAGTTAGTGAAAATGGTTCTGACATAGCTCTTGAAATATATTCAATTCCAAAAGAAAAATTTGGTGATTTCATTGCTATGGTTCCAGAACCATTAGGTATTGGATCAGTTGAATTGAAATCAGGCGCATGGGTGAAATCATTCATTTGTGAAGAATTTGGTTATAAAGTTCCAGGTACCACTGATATCACTTCATTTGGTGGTTGGAAGAATTATCAAGAACATTTAGTTAGAGAAAATGCTCAAACTAAAAAACCATTCAATTCAGTCTTAGTGGCTAATAGAGGTGAAATCGCCGTCAGAATTATCAAGACTTTAAAGAAATTAAGCATTAAATCAATTGCGGTTTATTCAGATCCTGATAAGTATGCCAAGCATGTTTTAGATGCCGATGTTGCCATTCCATTACATGGTACTTCTGCTGCTGAAACTTATATCTCCATTGATAAAATCATAAAGGCTGCTAAAGATAGTGGGGCTGAAGCTATTATCCCAGGTTATGGTTTCTTATCTGAAAATGCTGACTTTTCAGACAGATGTGGTAAAGAAGGAATTGTATTTGTAGGTCCATCTGGAGATGCCATTAGAAAATTGGGTTTGAAACATTCAGCCAGAGAAATCGCTGAAAAGGCTGGTGTACCTTTAGTTCCAGGTTCTGGTTTAGTTAAGGATGCTAAAGAAGCTAAAGAAATTGCAGCTAAATTAGAATACCCAATCATGGTTAAATCTACTGCCGGTGGTGGTGGTATTGGTTTACAAAAAGTTGATTCTGAAGCCGATATTGAAAGAGTATTTGAAACTGTTCAACATCAAGGTAAATCATATTTCGGTGATTCTGGTGTTTTCTTAGAAAGATTCGTGGAAGATGCAAGACACGTTGAAATTCAAATGTTAGGTGATGGTTATGGTAAGGCTATTGCTTTAGGAGAAAGAGATTGTTCTTTACAACGTCGTAATCAAAAGATTATTGAAGAAACTCCAGCTCCAAACTTACCAGAAGCAACCAGAGCTAAAATGAGAAAAGCTGCTGAATCATTAGGTAGTTCAATGAATTATAAATGTGCTGGTACTGTTGAATTCATTTATGATGAAAGAAGAGATGAATTTTACTTCTTAGAAGTCAATGCCAGATTACAAGTTGAACATCCAATTACTGAAATGGTGACTGGATTAGATTTAGTTGAATGGATGTTATTAATTGCTGCTGATGATCCACCTGATTTCAGTCAAGAAATCAAAGTTACTGGTGCTTCGATGGAAGCTAGATTATATGCTGAAAATCCAGTTAAGGATTTCATGCCATCTCCAGGTCAATTAACTGAAATTAAATTTCCAGAATGGGCTAGAATTGATGGTTGGGTTGAAAAAGGTACTGTTATTTCTGCCGAATATGATCCAACTTTAGCCAAGATTATCGTTCATGGTAAGGATAGAAATGATGCTTTAAAGAAATTACGTCAAGCTTTAAATGAAACTGTTGTTTTCGGTTGTATCACTAATATTGATTATTTAAGATCAATTGCTAATTCGTCGATGTTTGAAGAAGCTAAAGTTGCCACTAAAGTTTTAGATACTTATGATTATAGACCAACTGCTTTAGAAATCATTCATCCTGGTGCTTATACCACAGTTCAAGATTTCCCAGGTAGAAAAGGTTACTGGCATATTGGTGTTCCACCTTCAGGATGTATGGATGAATATTCATTTAGAGTTGCCAATAGAATTGTTGGTAATGATAAAGCTGCCCCTGGTATTGAAATCACTTTGAATGGTCCAAAGATTTTATTCCATCATAATGCTGTTATTGCAGTTACGGGTGGTAAAGTTGAAGTTGATATTAATGGTACTATCATTAATCAATGGGAGCCAATTCATATTAGAAGAGGTGATAAATTATCAATTGGTAAATTAACTTCTGGTTGTAGAGCATACTTAGCCATCAGAGGTGGTATTGATGTCACTGAATACTTGGGATCAAGATCTACATTTGCCTTAGGTAATTTAGGTGGTTATAATGGTAGAGTTTTGAAATTAGGTGATGTTTTATTCTTAGGTCAACCAGAAATTTCCAGTTGTACTTTACCAGCCCCAATTTCTGAACCAACTACTATTTCTAAAGCTTTAATTCCAGAATATGCTAATAAAGTTTGGAAAGTTGGTGTTACTTGTGGTCCTCATGGATCTCCAGATTTCTTCCAACAAGAATCAGTCGAAACCTTCTTTAGTGAAACTTGGAAAGTTCATTATAATTCCAATAGATTTGGGGTTAGATTAATTGGTCCAAAACCAAAATGGGCTAGACCTGATGGTGGTGAAGCTGGTTTACATCCTTCTAATACTCATGATTATGTTTACTCATTAGGTGCCATTAATTTCACTGGTGATGAACCTGTTATTTTAACTTGTGATGGTCCATCATTAGGTGGTTTTGTTTGTGAAGCTGTTGTGGCTGAAGCTGAAATGTGGAAAATTGGGCAAGTTAAACCAGGTGAATTAATTCAATTTGTTCCATTATCATATACTGATGCTAAGGGATTAAAGAAACATCAAGATAAAATCATCGAAGATTTATCTGGTGATTTACCAACTATTGAAGGTAAACAAATCAAACCCGAAAGTCCTGTTTTATATCAATTCCAAGTTAGTTCCAATGCTCCAAAAGTTACTTATCGTCAAGCTGGTGATAGATATATTTTAGTTGAATATGGAGATAATGCTCTTGATTTGAATTTGAGTTATAGAATTCATAAATTAATTGAAATGGTGACTGAATATAAGACCACTGGTATAGTTGAAATGTCTCAAGGGGTTAGATCTGTTTTAATTGAATTTAATGATGAAGTGACTCAATCAGAAGTATTAGAAACTTTAATTTCTTATGAAAGAGAATCAATCTTTGTTAACAAATGGAAGGTTAAATCCAGAATTATTAAATTACCAATGGCTTTTGAAGATAAGAAGACTTTAGGAGCTGTTACAAGATATCAAGAAACCATTAGAAGTGAAGCACCATGGTTACCTAATAATGTTGATTTCATTGCCTCTATTAATGGTATGAAGAGAGAAGAAGTTAAAGATTTAGTTTATACTGCTAGATTTTTAGTCTTAGGTTTAGGTGATGTTTTCTTAGGAGCTCCATGTGCCGTTCCATTAGATCCAAGACAAAGATTATTAGGTACGAAATATAATCCATCCAGAACCTATACTCCAAATGGTACTGTTGGTATTGGTGGTAATTATATGTGTATTTATACTATGGAATCACCAGGTGGTTATCAATTAGTGGGTAGAACTGTTCCAATTTGGGATAAATTAACCTTAGGAGATCATTCTGGTGATAAACCATGGTTATTAAGACCATTTGATCAAGTTGAATTCTATCCAGTTAGTGAAGAAGAAGTTGATGAATTTTCAGAAGAAATGAATGCCGGTAAATTTAAAGTTGAAATCAGTGAAACTGTTTTTGATCATGGAAAATACTTGGAATGGATTCAAGAACATTCTGATTCTATCGAAGAATTCCAAAAGAGTCAAGGAGGTGAAAAAATGGCTGAATTTAATAGATTAATTCAAATTTCTAATAGTGAATTAGAACAATCTGGTTCTAAGATTGAAGAAGATGAAACTTTCAGTGATGATGCTGAATTAGTTTATTCTGAATATTCTGGTAGATTCTGGAAATCATTAGTTTCAGTTGGTGATGAAGTTGTAGCCAATCAAGGGTTAATTGTAGTTGAAGCCATGAAAACTGAAATGGTGGTTAATGCTACAAAAGCTGGTAAAGTTATTAAGATTTACCACAAGAATGGTGATATGGTTGATGCTGGTGATTTAGTTGTTGTTCTTGAATAATGAGACGATAACTTTTATATATATTGTACATTAGATTTTTCTTATATTATTTTGTATTGTAATTGTATTTGATATACACATAGTGAGTTTTTTATACCTTTTTGCAACTTGTAAGAATTTGATTCGCTCCTGCATGCTGTTTTCAGAACCCGATTTTTTTGGTCAACGCGTCAAGATTTGAAAATTGAAAATATGTGACAATTCTGACAGTTTGGCAACACACCATTCAATCGTTACCAATCAATTAATCAATCAATCAAGAATGAGTAGTAACGCAGCTTTGACGGCTGCTTCATTGCAACCAGAACTTTGGACAAGTTCATCCAATGAGACGTTGAAGTTATTCGTCACCAATTCGGAGGGAGCCATTAATTTCCAACCTGTATTTACCTATCCTATATTTGGAGATTCCGAAACCATCTATGGATACAAGGATCTTGTTATATTCTTATGTTTTGATCATTATACGTTTTACCCATTTTTGAATATCAAATATACTGAGAAATTGAATGATCCTGAAATCATTGATATTAAAGAAACCATTGATAAATTCTTACCTGAATCAACTGTATATAAAGATGAAGTTAAATGGGTTGATTTAATCAATGAAGAAAAGAAAAGTTATAAGATTCCTGGAGAATTGATTGAATCATTTGAAAAAGAAGTTGAAGGTGAAGTTAATCAATTTGAAATTTATAAGCTTGATTTACAAAGTATATCAGGGTTAGAATTACATAAAAGATTACAAATATTAGTATTATTATTTATTGAGGCTGGATCTTATATTGATGCTAAGGATGAATTATGGAATGTTTATGTTCTTTATAATACTACCAATAAAGAAGAACCATCAATCGTGGGGTTCACTACTGTTTATAATTATTTTAAATATCCTGGATTTGAGAAATTTGATAATGAAGAAAAAGAAACTAGATTAAAGATTTCTCAATTTATAATATTACCAACTTATCAAGGTCAAAGATTAGGAGGAGAATTTTATGCTCGATTATTTAATACATGGTACGAAGATCCAAATATTATTGAAATTGTGGTGGAAGATCCTAATGAGAGTTTTGATGATTTAAGAGATAGATCTGATTTTATTAGATTGAATAGTTCAATTAAATTTGATGATATTAATAGCAAATTAGATTCAACATGGATTAAAGATACTCGGAGTAAATTAAAATTAGAAAAGAGACAATTTTCAAGATTATTGGAATTAACGTTATTATATAAATTGAAATACAAATTAGGTAATGATAGTAAGAAAGATGTGAGATTATTTATTAAGAAGAGATTATTTGAAAAGAATAGAGAAGGTTTAGAAGCATTGGATGAGAATAATAGAAAGGATAAGTTACAAACCGCATATGAATCCTTAGAACAAGATTATTATCGAATCTTGGGAGATATTAAATTTGCAACTAAAAGACAACTTGAAGTGTGATTAGATGAGTAAAATAATAGTTTGTATAGTAGTGTGTTAATAATATATGTATCCTTGAAATTATGATGACCTTCACCGTGTATGACATGGAAGAAGGCAGTGAAAGGCCGTAGTAAGGTCAAAAGGTATTAATTATGTCATTTATTTTCTAGCAATTACATAATTATGATGATAATGGTTGCAATTAGGGGTTTAAGGCTGGGGAAGGAAGTAGAGGTTAAATCGTTATCATCATGATATTATTCATTTCATAATTTGTCACTATTATAAGAAAAAATTGAGCATGACGTCACATCCCAATTTGGCTTCTATACATTTTTAACTGTCTTCCCCTTAGGTTTAAAAATTATTTCATCTTTATTCGGTTCGGGGATTCTTTTCAATTGTATGAATGCATTGTACATTGAAATGTATAGAGTCGTCTCTAAATGGGGTTTCGCCTAGTTGGTGGTATTAAAGTATCTATTTCATGTATACTGATTGGTCAATTAAGGGTTATCTCTAGGTGTCGAACTATCCATTTCTTAACTTGCTAGATAGTTACTCAGTCAGTTAGAGGAAGAGCAAGTATGACATATATGATATCAGTTGACACTGTAACCAAAGTAAAACTTTAAAACAGTTATAGAAGTTATCCATCATCATTATGGGATGAATTAACTGATACGATACTAAATAGGACAATATTCCCAATTAGGAAAGGGCGTGTACTGATTACCAAAAAAGGAGGAATTTTTGTGTAAAGTTCCACTCATCCCCTTTTTTTTAAGTTTAATTGCTGGAAATTTCCTCGAAGGGTGGAGGGCAGCCTTTAAGAGGAGGACCCAGGAGGTGTGGACACATTTATAAAGTATAAATTTCATGTTAAATTTCCCAATTCTAGTTTTTTTAATATTTCCATTTTTTTACCTTTTTATTTCAATTGTATATTGTCCAATCATCCTACAATGCATAGAACTTACTCATTAAGATCTCAAAAGGCTCCAACCGCCGCTCAATTACAATCTCCTCCTCCTCCTCCATCTTCTACCAAATCTAAATTCTTTGGTACTGGGTCCATTTCTTCAAGTTTTAGAAAAACTGTTGCTGGTGCCACTGGTCCTGAATTATCGAGAAAATTGGCTCAATATGTTAAGATTGAAAAGAATGTTATGAGAGCCATTGAATTGACTGCTAGAGAAAGAAGAGATGTTGCTAAACAATTGAGTGCTTGGGGGGAAGAAAATGATGATGATGTTTCTGATGTTACTGATAAATTAGGGGTTTTAATTTATGAAATTGGGGAATTAGAAGATCAATATATTGATAAATATGATCAATATAGAATCACTTTAAAATCAATTAGAAACATTGAAGCTTCTGTTCAACCTTCAAGAGACAGAAAACAAAAAATTACTGATGATATTGCTCATTTAAAATATAAAGATCCTCAATCTCCAAAAATTCCTGTTTTAGAACAAGAATTAGTTAGAGCTGAAGCTGAATCTTTAGTTGCTGAAGCTCAATTATCTAACATTACCAGAGAACAATTAAAAGCTGCTTTCAATTATCAATTTGATGCTACTAGAGAATTGGCTGAAAAATACGCTTTAATTGCTGGTTATGGTAAAGCTTTATTAGAATTATTAGATGATTCTGCCGTCACTCCAGGTGAAACTAGACCTGCTTATGATGGTTATGAAGCTTCCAAACAAATCATTGTTGATGCTGAAAACGCTTTAAGTTCTTGGACTTTAGATTCTGCTGCTGTTAAACCAACCTTATCTTTACATCATGAATATGAAGAAGAAGATGAAGTTCCAGTTGATGAAGAAGAAGCCGCCGAAGGTGAATTTGCTAAACATGATGAAGTTGATGGTAACTAATTGTTACTAAAAAAAGTAGCTCTCATAAATATTTTATCTTGATTGATTATTTTCCAAACATGTTTTGTCGTTATTTTTGTTTTATTTGTACCCCCATTGTATTAGTATATAATTATTGAGATGAAAAAATTTGTTATCTATATATCTATCTTATCCATCCATTCAATATTCTTACTGTATTTTATTTAGTTATTTATCCATGGTTTTGATAACCAAGTTGTTTTTTAATAAATGCTTTCAATTTCAGTAGTAAAAAATTACTTCTATGTATTACCATGTTAGCAAGATAGTAATTAAAATGTTGCGAATATAGTTAGCTAATTTTTGTGCTCATAACCGTAAAGAGAACAATAGGAGTTTTGTGGATTTTTAGATGATAGCAATCAATTGCAATTCACGATTAATTCAATATTATTCCCTGTATTTAAGTCAAAATCATCATTTTCCATATCGGATTCAACGGTGGAACTAGTGCTGATCGTATTGATCCCAATACCATTTTTAGTTGCTAATGCAAGAATAATAGAAAATGAATTTGCGGCTAATTTTCTTGTAACTGAAGCTTCATGTAGATCTTTACTTGATTCTAAGTTTGGAATAAATTCACAAAACTTTAATCGAGTCAATTGCTGAGGTTGTAATTCGGGTTCTTCTTGTTGTGCTTCTTCATTCAGTGTTTGGGAATTAGTAGATGTAGCACTCTCAATTTTGTTAAAGTTATAGTTATCTTGGGTTAAATATGTTCTTCCCCATTTTTCACAACGTTGCTTTAATAAATCAAAAAACCGGGAAAATTGACTACCAGTCAATCCAAAATCTACTTCTTCATTAACTTGTTCATTGGTACCGACTCTACTTGAACTTCTGGCATAACTATCATCACTACCGAATGAGATATTAAAGATGTCTTCAGAAGGAGGGTGATCATCCTCTTCTCTCAATTCATCGGGATTGCTAAACGTAACATCAATATCAGCATTAAAATCGTTATTTGAATTCTCTAATTCTTCATTCTGGCGAAGTACATCTCTACCAATTTCATTTTCACCTAAATCTGGGATTAATAAATTCTCAACTCGTTTGAAATTAGCCACTTCTTTGATCATGGAATTTATCGAAAATGATGAATTTGATAAATCAACATCTTGACCTTCATTTTGGAAAACTTTAAATTGACGGAATAATTTATTACTTAATGATATTCTATTGACAAATCTCAAATATGGGGAAATATTATAATCGTCGTTCAAAACTGACCAAATCTCTGATAACATTCTTTGTTCCATATCACTTCTTGGTGTAGTTTGCAACATATTGATTTCGTAATTATTGACTGAATCTATCATAGATGTACTCGATATTTTAATGAGATCAATGGGATCTGTAATGAGTTTATGTTTCTTTGCATTTGTTGTCTTGACTCTTTTAGCTTGTGAAGTATCAAGTTCTTTTGGTGGTGGCAGTTGTTGTTGTTGTTGCAACTCACCTGAATTTGAGATTGCGAAATTCTCATCATTACTGATACTTCTCGTTTGTTGTTCGTCAACTTCAGCTACTTCTTCTAAGATTGGTTGCTGGTTAATTTCAAAATCATCAATGAAATCATTATAATTCTCTTGGCCACCTCCAGCCATTCCAATTGGTTTAGCTTTATCAATCAATTGACCTTCCTCATCGAATTCAATGTCAAATTCTGAACTTAAATTACTACTACTATCACTTCCATCTTGACTTACTTGAAGAGTTTTATCTAAGAAATCATCAAGCATTTCATCATGGGTAATACTTGTCTGATTGTAACTGGTGAATAATCCATTGGTGTTATTGGTAGTACTATTAAGATATTGAGTATTGTTCAAAACAAATGAATCAGGAAACACATCTTGATCTAAACTTTTAATATCTAATTTTCTTCTCTTGACACCAGCATTGGTCTCTTGTTCAATAATAAAATCTATCATAGGAACTAAATCAAAGTTGATATCAAAGGTTGGATCATTATTCAATAACAATTGTGAACCTGATAGTTTCTTTTTATCTGGTTGATCAAGATCAAGATTTGACACTGATGATGTGTTACTGAGTTTAAATGAGAGGAACTCCTTACACAATTGAGATTTAATAAAAGTGATATCTTGAAGGCAATAATTGACTTTGGTTCTATAGGCTAATGATATTCCATATAAGATATTGGATGAATATCTTATCTGAAAGTGTGAGTTTGATTCGATCAATTCTTGACATAACAGAGGAATGGAGAGATTGAGAATATCTGATTTTAAGCTCTTTTTAGCTGAAATTTTGGAGCCCAAAGTAGCCAATAACCAAGCAGTTTGTAATCCACTCAGCTGATGTTGATGGATTGCATTGAGATTGATAGTACAGTCCATTTCTTGATGATGATTGACTAACTGTATGATTGTAAATGGCAAAGGGGTGTTGTAAATAAAAATTTGGCTGTAAAAAAATAATTTACAAAAAGCGCGATCGATTTTTTAAAAACCCAGAAAGAATGTATAAATTAAAACTAACTAACTAAATACAGAATGATTCAGTTGAAAGTGAAATTATTCGAAATTAAATGAAATGAAAGAAAAGGGAACTTATAACTGAACTAAACTAAAAGGAATTGAATTGAAAATACTGTATTTTTGGTAGACTGCTTTTCTCTGAAGCAAGTCTTAATTAAAATTTTAACTTATCATAAATAACCACCAACCATTTGATAGTGGCTTCGAAATCATTATCTAAGACCGACTCATGAAGATGAGTGAAAGTACTTAATTTCGATCTTGATTTGAGATATTCTAATGAAGAAGTACTAGCGTTGAATTTGGGTACACCATAGAATGCATGTTGGAAATAATATTCATGGGATAAATTAAGATATTGATATTCATTATTGGTCATTTGACCATTTCTTTCTAAATGTAATAAGATATGATTGAATACTTTGAATGAGGCGAAGGTTTGAACTTTCTTGTAGAATCTATACCATGGATAATCTTTAGTTAAATCATTTTGAAGTGCTTTACTATTAGTATCGAATTTAAATGAATATTCAAATAAATCAGTTAATAAGGATTGGAATTGAAATATTAAATCATTAAACGTAATGGTGTCGACATCAGCATCAAATTGATTTTTAAAATCCTTAAAAATATTAGATTTGCTAATTAAATAAGTTGAAACATTTCTATTTGACCAACCATCTAATGCTTGTTTATTATATTGAAGAAATACTTCAAACGAATCACCAATAGTTTTGGCATAATATCTGGTTCTATAATCAACCACTTCATGTTCACTCAAAGTAATGGCCAATAATCCAATATATCTAATCAACAGTCCATGTAATAATAAGTCTTCATCGATTTGACGTTTAACCAACCAATCATAAGAATAATAATTGGAATTAGGAATATGTAAGGATGAATCACGTTTTGGATCATTTTCAAATCTAACGTTGATAATAGGAGTATTCAAATGATTTTGAAAGATTAATGCATCAGATTTAATCAAATCTTGTCCCAACACACCATTGATGGTTTTATTATCTTGCTTAGACCAATAATGATGTAACGTGCTGTAATCATCTTCATCATTGTCAATTTCATTATCATCGTCTTCATCATCATCATAATCATCTTCGTCATCTTCTATACTATTAATATCATAAAATGGATCAAATTCATCAGCTAATGTTTTAAAAGCAGTGGCAGTTTTAGGAATAGGAATAAACTTTGAGGTCTTCTTTAATACATGATTGAAGAATGGATGAGAGTCAATATGGAATTTACTTCCTGTGACCGCATCACCATCGATATTGATATAAGCCAAGATTGATTTTTTGTTGTTAAAATGTTCAGTATCATTGGTATATAAATAAGATCCTAATAATCCACTATTACTACCATCCCATGAAATAAATTTGATATTTCTTAATGGCTTCCAACCGATACTGACTAATCTTTGATAATTTCTCATGATTTCAAATAAAATGGCATGATTAGATAATGGATTAGATGAAGTTGAAGAATCACGTCTGGCTCCAATGACAATATCACCATCATTTAAAATACCATCTATTGATGCGATGATATTGGTTAATTTTGGATTTGAATGAGATGATGCTGATGAAGATAATGGTTTGAAATTGGTTTGTAATTGTAATTTAATCGAATTATCGAAATTGACAGGATAATAATCCCATTGAGAGAACACACTTGAATCTTTCTTTTCATTACTCAATGTATCTAAGATTGGTTTAATAGATTTGAAACTGATGGGAATAGCGGGGATATCTGGTTTTTCCCAATTGAACTCTACTTGATTTGAATTTATATCGGTGAATTTTGCTCCATTATCTCTGGATATAATTTGATTTAACTTTTTAATTTCAATTTCTTTATTATTTTTGGTAATTGAATTAAAATCATAATAATTAATGAATCCACCTACGTTAAATGACTTTGCAATTTGAATCTTTTCTGATATCGAGATAGTACTTGAATTTTCCCAGTTTGTCTTAACTATCACAATCTTATTATCAAGGACAATATTTTGAGATTTAAGTAATACATAATCTTGTAAGAGACCTTCATTGACAAACAAATAATCTTGTTTGATAGATCCATTATGTCCCCAAATGTAGTAACTTGGAGTTTTTAAATTCTTTGATTCGATTAAATTGGCATTATAGATTAATTGACCTTTATTATCAATCAATTGTAATTTTGAATCAATTGACTTTTCAAATGTAGAAGGTAAGTCATAATTCAAACTTTGAACTTTGAATCCAAATTGTTTAAAGTTCTTCTCTACAAATGAAGTCAAAGCGATATTTTCATCACTTATTAAATTACTTGATTGTTGTTGATTTATCTCAGTGAAATTAGTTAACCAATTATTGATATATTGTTCGGTTGTGATGGAATTATGACTTTCACCAATACCCAGGAATAATAAAAAATGACGTTTAACATCTGATTTAGTTAATTTCAACCCATACCATCTTCTATAATCTCTACTAGTGGAAGTTCGAGGTAAGAATGATAATTCAAATACTATAAATGCTAGTATACCAAGGATACAAAACCACCAAAATGGACGTTTGGCCATTTTGACAAGTACACTTTGTGTATCATCATCATCGTCATCGTCGTGATCATGATGAGGGTGGCGGTTGTTACCTGTATATGTGAACACTCCATTCTCTTGATTATCCTTTATGTTTGAAGTGATATTTACGTCATTGGTGGTACTTAACAAGGGAGATACTTCAGTTGGAGTTTGTTCAACTCCTTCTTCACCATTGCCATTGGCATTAGCCACCACACCACTTTCTAAATCTGGATTCTTGGCTGCAATTGTATTTGAAATCATAATGATTGAAATAAGTTTATGCTGCTACAGAAGGAAGTTGCGGAATGGATTAAGTTGCTATTTTGATGAGGTAAAAGAATTGGAAGGTAGGAGTAATTGGTTTAGTTTAGTACGATACAACTGACCATGAACAAGACATATAAATGAATGAAATAATAACAGCAAAGCAATAAGAAATCGATAGAGAGATATAAATATTTACAATTCAAACTTGTTAAACCTTCCTTCCCCCACGAGTCGTATTATACTTTTTTTTAGTTACTATTGTCACCAAAAGAAAAACGCGTCATGTGACACGCTCGTAACCAAAAAGAGAATGGTTAACGAAACAGAGTTTAAGTTGCAACAAGGTTTTACCTGCTAAGTTCTATAACTGAATAAAGTTTGAATATCGTGTATCTACTGTATCATCTTATCTACTGTCAATTAAATCATGTAATGTTTATTATTATGATCAACATTGGATGAAATCATTATCGTAGTAGGCGCAGTATGGCTGGGTCAAACTGTGCGCTACCAATATGATCAATCTACAAAGGTATATTTATGTGAAAAAGTATTTTATTATTATAAAATTGAAACAAAGATTAATATTGACATTCCCCATATACAACCCCAATTACTTCTGAAAGGGTATGGTTAAGGATTTTAGTCTTGATAAGAATTCTCAACGAATGATAATCAACAACTAAGATAAAGATTAACAATACCCAAGCACAAACATAAATGAAATTTAATTCATCTTTAAATTCATTACCTCTTAATTGAAATTTACCTCTTTGAGTATCAGCTTTTAATTGTGCTTCATCTTTCATCCATCTAAGCTTACGGTTCATCTCTTCAAGATAGTCACTTACATCTCTCAATTCCCCTTCATCGCTTTCCTCTTTAGTTGTTCTTGGTATAGTGGACATTATAAAAGGTTGTTTTCAAATATTGATATTATGGTAAAAGAAGAAGAGTAAAAGAAAGAAAGTAAAAATATGAATTTTTAAATTTTAATCCCTTCTGCTTCAAGATGCTAGAATAGGCAAGTATTACAAAGTTTTTAATTCATGCTTAAGAATTTATTGCATTTATAATAAACTAACTAAAGAAAGAGACACGAATGGTTAAAATCCCATTTTTACATCATAATTATACTTTAACCACCATAAGATAAACAGACTAACCACGACAAAAAATAAAGCGAATGAACCAATTCCAATAAGATCGTTGATTGTTGAGCCACAATGACTACAAGCAAATTTTCTTTCAAATAAAGATGGAATAGAATTTAATGGTTGGAATTTAAGATGATGGTTTACTCTATCAATGTTTTGAAAAATTTCTGTAATGACTGGAAAAGTATTAGTTTCTTTATTGATTGATGTAGATGGTTTTAAATCATCGAGGTGGATTGGTTTTCTCCTGTTTTCGTTGGATTCAAGGTGGCTAAGATAATCATCGAAAACCTTATCAGGATTATACTTTGAAGTTTTTGGAATCATTTTGATACGATTGCAAGGTACTTTTGATAGAATAGTAAAAGGATAAGTCTCTAAAAATGTTTCATAAATGATTTGAATAAATAAAGTATGAAAATAATTTAATGCTAAGGATTTAGAAATTAAATTTGGCAACTGCAACATAATGCAATAAATAAACCATCTTAAGCATGATAAATGAATCATGTTTTTACAATGTACCAATTCAAATCCATCTCTAACCGATTACAAACTTTTGTAGTTGATCTTAAGTCATAAACTATTCTCTCTTACAATTCTACATCACTTTAAATGCCAACGTTAACAAGACATATATTATAAGTAATCGATTAAACGATTAATAATTTGAAATAAAGTATAAATAATCATAAAAGTAACCTAAAAGAACGATAACAATAGGAAATAACAGCAATGATAAAACAATACCAAACAAATTAAAATTTCTATAACGTCTATTACAATCTTGACAAATCTTCGTAGAAGGAGGTGGTAAACTTGACATTTTGAGTGAATGAACCTTTGGTATGAATTAGATTTAAATTCTCTGATTAAGTAGATTATGATTAACTTTGACAAGGAAAATAAAAGAATATGATAATTTTAAATTATTTATTAAACTGTTGGTTGATTTATGACTTGCAACTTTAGGCAAGAATAAGTCTCCACTATTATTACTTTACATTATGCTTAAAATTTATCAAAAGTCTAATAATATTTATTACTATATACAGACAAACAGACACTATAATACAATTAATTTTTATTATCTAATAATTCATCAATAATACTTTTATCAAATAAATTTCCTCCATTTTGTAAAGCTTTAGCTAAGATGATTAAAGATTTATCATTAAAATCGGGTTTTTTTCTTAATTCATCTAAATTTTGATTAAATTCTGTAGTCATTAATTTCAAATATTGATTATTTAATTGAATTTGATCTTGATTAATTTGATTAGTTATACTAGTTGTATCAATTCCCTTTGGTATGGAACTTATACTATGATTATTTTGAGTTAATTGATTTGTAGTTAATTTGATGGTATTTAATTGTTTATGAATATTTGGAGTTAATGGATCTGGTTTGTTATGAGATTTTTCAGAATCAGAATCGATATCGATATCATTTAAGTTTATATCTGGTTGATTTGTAGTATTATCATTATCTATTATTATGGAATCATCATTATTATTGTTATCGTTATTATTAGTGGTTGAAGTATTTTGAACACTTGAATTGGAGTCTGAGTCTGAGTCTGAATCGGAAGAGAAATCCTCAGTTCTTCTCTTCTTTCTTCTTCTTGAAGATTTCTTCATAGAAGGAGCCATTATGTATTATTATTTGTATGATATGGTTGGTTAACACTTATCAAACCATCTTCATACAGTTTTCATCTTCACTTTTACTTCATCTTCCCATCTCATTAAAATTTATCAATTTATATGCAGGCCATTGAGTTATGTCGAAAAATAAGAAATGACAAAATATTTATGACAAAGATATGTGTTTTTGCGACAAGAAATTAAATAACTTAATTGACACAAAGAGTGTAAATTAGCTAGACGATCTGTATAAAGACGTATCATAATTGTAAATGATTATAGAGTTATAATTGATATCATTATCTATTAGTCTATGGATATGACCATCTAAGTTTGATCATCCCAGTTACTACTAATTATACTTCCTCTCTTTAGGTAGTTATAATTCGGTATCTCTCTCTATTTACACGGGATTTGAAAAATAAATCGGTTGTTTCTTTTTATAGCAGCAGTTACCAAAACAAAAATAAAAAAAAAGCTTAAACGTGGTAGATGCACACTCAAACTTTTTTTAAAATTAAATCGTGAAGAGTAAAACTGAAGTGGGCTATTTTCTAATTATACTTAATTTTATATGCTTAATCCTACCTTCTTCTTCTTCTTGTTGTTATAACTGATATCATCTCATTCATTCATTCATTCAATCAATCAAATCATAGTTGATACCTCATTAAGTATCCCTATTCTTCTACACCTTCAAGAAGAGCTATCGATCCCACCATTTATCCTTACATAGTTAAGATTGAGAAATTGCAAATGAGTATACTCTCATCTCATTTCTATACCATTAATAACATCAATCAGTTTAACTTGTTTATGACAGTCGTATAATCCTTCCTATCATCTATCCCATCCAATAACTGGACATCAAACCTCAATCATCTTATATCTCACCCCTAGATTTTATTTATTAGTCCCCACTCATCACTTACCGATCTATCCCATCTCATAATGTACACTACAGTAGAATTAGTATGCTCCTTAATTGCAGCTTTAAATTTATTCACTGCTTTCATCATCTACTTTAAAGAAAAGAAAACTGGAGTATCTCTTCAATCAGGTTCAAACTTCACCGCTTTTAAAGTTTGTATTACCATGTCAATCATATTTGGAATCATTAGTAGTTGCATCTTAATTTCAAACCTTCAATATGAACTGTATAAATAATAATAATAACTCCTGACACATAAATATCTACTCCTCATCGTTCGTGTCCTCCCTTATTTAATGCTTAACGAATCTCAATAATGAAATCTACCAAAACTAAAAAAAACTTACCATAAAATAAAATATTAAATAATACTTTTTATTAATTAACTATAAATATACATACTTACATATAAAACTTTTTTTCTTTTTTGATCTTTTTCTTTTTAATTATTCAAATCTAATTCTTTTACTACTATATTCATCATCTAATGGAGGTAAATCATGTGGTACTCTTAATATCCCATTCTTTTTAGGTTTAAACATTGGTGTACTAACATCAGCATGATAATCCTTTATAATAGAATCAACATCATCAATATTTAACGGTCTAACATCACCTAATTTCTTAATCTTATTAGTCACCTCTTTACATTGTTCATCAGTTAAATTCAAATTCAATTGATCAACTCTTGATTTAATCGCATTCCATCCCGTTAATCTATTGGCAAAATGAATATATCTCGTTAATCCAAAATCTGATGGGATTAAAATTTCATAAGTTGATGGATTAGCTAAGATGGCTTTAGCATGAATACCTGCTTTATGAGTAAAAGCACAAAATCCGGTAATTGGATTATTAAATGGAATATTAACTTGAACACTTTCAGCCACTAAATTTTCTAAATCTCTTAATTTATGTAATTTATATTTTGATAACACATATTCTCTATTGGCAGCTACCATTCTTGCCATTAATCCACCTAAGGGAGTTATACCATTTCTTTCTCCAATTCCCAATACTGATACATCGATTAATTTAGCTCCACCTTCTAAGGCAGTATAAGCATTGGCAATAGCACATCCTGTATCATTATGGAAATGACATTCAATATCACATTTAACCACTGATTTTAAAGTTCGTACTAATTCATAAACTTGACGTGGATTAGCACATCCAACCGTATCAGCTATCCCAACTCTATTCACTCCGATTTTATCAACAATACGATAAATATTTAATAAATCCACTAAATCACTTCTAAAGGAATCTTCTGATGAAAAACGAATCTCAATCCCTTTCGATTTAACAAATTCAATCACTTCAACTGCACTCTTGGCAATATAACTCATATCTTTCCCATGACTATATTGTCTTAAGAACTGAGACGTGCCAATCACAACATCAACCCCATCAACCCCAGTTTCAACTGCCACTCTCGCATCATCCATATGACATCGAATATGAGTTAAGATCTTGGCTTTTAACCCTAATTTACAGATCGCTTCACAATCCTTACGGGATTGTTCACTCGAAACAGGTGATGTTAATTCAATATAATCCACTCCAAAATCATCTAACGCCTTGGCGATTTGAATCTTGGTCTCAGTACTGAAAAAGGCATTGGCAAATTGTTCACCTTCTCGTAATGTACTTTCTATAATTTGGAAATTGGAAACATTGGATAAATAATCAGATGGATCAGGGCCATAAGGATTAGCGTTTGCCAAAGGTGGCATGGTGCTCGTCACCTCTTGGAAACCTTCTGGAATAGACATGGTTGTATATATAGTCTTATCTTTTAAGTGTTGTAAATGTTGGTGATGACTCTTGTTCCATCTAATTTGGTTCCGCTCGAATGAAATAATTGATGAAAGTAATCAAAATCGAAATCGCGAAATTTGAGTGCGCAAGAGTCGCGTGACCGATCATGTGATTTTGAAAGGAGCTAAGATAACATTTTATTAGAGATAACAGTTATATTAATAGTAAATAAGTCCTACTTAAAAGACTATATGAAGAAATATATAATAAATAACTGAAGAATATTACTTAATCATTAAATCTCTCTAACTCTTCCAAACGTTTTTTGAACGAAATTAGGTAAGTAATTCTTCCATTGACCATTGTTCTCGACAGTTTCGGATTGAGTTGAATTTTGAATGTCAATCTTATTCTATTAGTAATGTTTATTATATTGGTAATAATAATTTTATTTTACTAGTTTCCTTCTATTATTTTAAACAAAAATTACACATAGGAGTTAGTCATACTAATATTTGCTAATATAACTACTTCAATCTGCTGGTTCAATAAATGGCTAAATAGAGTTTATAGAGTTTTATAGAGAAAATTTGAAAGCTAAAAAGATCAATTATAAATAATAACTACATCCTAATAGTAGCAATAGTTACTTTTGATAATTGACAAATTTGTTGTCATCTTGGTATTTTTTTCTCCCTAGACTTGGGAGTTTTAAGTTCCAAATAATACTTATTTCTAACTTTTCAGTCCGTTATATAATATTTCAAATTTGGATAAAAATACTTTTTTAAGGAAAGCATAAGAAAAGTTAAAGAATTTTCCTTCTTCGATTATAAGATATACACTTGAATACAACATAGAAAGGGTATACCCTTAATGATACTTTTTGCTATTATGACTTTTTGCTATTATGCTAATTTATTTCCTTAAATTATTGTACAGCCTAGAATAGCTAAAACTTAAAAGTGATATAAAACAAAGCTTGAGATTAACACTGGGGTTCAGAATTCTGTAGAAATTACCAATCTGTTTATGGCCAAATAAGACTACCACTACGAAGTTAACTGAATTCGAACTCAATTGTAGATGAAGCTGGATGCATTCCCATAGTTAATTTCTATCCTTATATATTTCAAAACTTCTTTAATCAAAAACAAACATCTATAGCAGATAGATTACTTAAATTACCTTTATTCTCTACGTAACTATACCTTAATCCCTGACTCCAGTTAAGAATATCAATGCTTTGAAGCAAATTATTCACGAGTTGGAATTTCATTTACCGTACAATATCCATTAGCATAATTAGACTACAAAAAATCGGGCAACCTGCACATTCACCTAGGATAAAGTTCACTATTTTTTTGACTGCTAAAGCTAGTTATCAAATCTGAATCTTGTTATGTTTGAGAAAAACCTGTAGCAAGCATAACAATTTATTATTTTTGTTTAAAAGGGACTAAATTTCTTTTCCAGTTGTAGGGTTTTCTTCATCTTCTTCTTCTTCCACTATCTATTCAAAATGGATTCATATTCTTTATTACCTTACCAGATTGTGAGTCGTACCCCCGATGAATTTGATAATGTCATATGTACAAATTTTCAATTTACTTTATTTCATATTTGGTTGATTTGCTTTCATACAAATACATTGATCAATACATACTTAAATAAGATCGATATGGTTTGGGTATTTCTGAGTCTTTTTGCCAGCATTTTAGTTATATTAGCCAGTCAAATATGTGTATATGATTGTAAGATAATTCATACAGATAATGATGAAAGGGCTCTAGTTTTAAATTGGAAGTGTTTTTGGGCTTTATGGTTTTTTATTCCTAGCTGTTTAAATTTAATATTATCATTAATTGGATGTGCTAAATTATGTTATTATGGGTTACCATGAATGGAATAATTAAAATATACTTATGGAATCATTGATATTTTTGTCGCATCATTCATTGACTAATTGTGATATTGATGATTTAAGGTAAGTAATATTTAAATAAACTTAATCAAGAAAGAAGTTTATGTCTCTGGATCGAATTAATTAAAGTAAAACACTGAAAAAAGAAAACGCTACCACAAATGCACCGAATTTAAATATTCCTAGCATTCATAGCCAACGTTCAATTAGCAATATAATTATAATTGAAAGCTGAATAAAAGAAATTATCAGATCTAAAGATCGAGCAGAGTAAGAGTTAGATCTTCTAGCAATGAAATCCAAAAATTAAAAAGAAAAATATATCCCATACAAATAACAATAAATTAAAAAAAACTTACTAATCATAATTATATAGTTTTTCCCAAAAATACAAATATATTACTACTAATAAAATCAATTATGCTATGATTTGCTTTCACATGTAGTGCCATAGATCCCATAAACACTAAAAATACACCAACTACAATGATCACATCCATTGATCAAAGAAGAGAAGAGAAGAGTAGATAACTAGCGGTAAGATAGTGTCTACTTATGTGCACTCCAATACAATGAAAGAAGCATTTTTTTTCATAGTACTACCCAAGATAAGATAAGACTTAAAGTAAAGTTGCTTACGTAGATATAATGGGGAAGGACGGTATCTTTCAAGTGATGCTGCAATTCGTAAACTTGTTAAAAGTAATAAATAGAAGAAAATTCAAAATGATAAGAGAACAAGACAAATAGTGGCTCTAATCCAGAATAGGAAATAAGCGTTGGTGAATCGAAATCATGTCAAAGAAAGAGTCATTTTATCGTTACTTTCCCCAATTAGCTCTATTTACGGAATCTCTATAGAATAATCTGTTACCAAATCTTATTGTTATAGGGATACTGTGATTTATTGTACGGCGGCTTTATATCCATTTTAAGGAAAAATAAGAGTTATCCCTTATCTTTTTCTGCCCACTATTTTACTGGACATCCCTCTAAGAATGCCGTAAAATAAATCACATTTTACATACATAAATAGGTAATTAAATCTCCTCAATTGTCTTTACACACAAACTTACTATAGCTAATAGTCATATATAACTAATAATTAACAACAGTATGTATGAATTATAACTATGGCATATTATTATTAGTAATTGCTAATAATAAAGTCGGTTTTTGTGAGTTTGCGACACTGACTCCACAAACTCCACAAACTGCTCCTCCTCCCTAAAAAAAAACTATGGCTGCTAACACAATTTATAGTTGATCCTTCCTAGATTTAACTTATAGATATATATATATAAGTATTAATTTCATTACATCATTCGTATTTTTTTTTGACAGATATTCTTAAATTGATTTGATTTTCTAGAAAAGTAATTTGAAACACTATAAAAATGGCTCCAACTTCAACTACACTTAATACATCTACTTCAGAGGCTTCAGTTTCACCATATTCCATTGATCATTTGATTTCAGATCGTTCAAAGAATCGTTCATTCAAACATTTCGCTGCTAATGCTGATGAAAATGCTCCTAAGAATTTCAAACCTCATCCAAAACCATTAGCTTTGAGTTTTGGTAGACCAAACGCTCAATTTTTCCCGGTTAAGAAAATCAGTGTTGAATTAGATCATTATCCATTCCAAGACTCGATCTTTGAGTTCGAAACTGAGACCGCTGAACAGGCTGAACCAGTTATTATCGAGAAATTCCCTACTGATAAAAATGAATTGGGTGCTGGTGAAGCGTTTCAATATGGTGATGTTGCAGGTTTACCTAATTTTCAAAAATTCTTACGTGAATTTGTTGAAACTATTCATAAACCAGGTAATGATCAATGGGGGATCAGTGCTAGTAATGGATCTGGTGAAGGATTGAATAAAGTTGCTGATGCTATTATTAATCCTGGTGATATTGTTTTATTTGAAGAATTCACTTTTTCTCCATTTGGTAATAATGTTAGAAATGTTGGTGGTATTCCAGTTCCAGTTAAATTAAACTTCAAATCTACCGAAGATGCTGATATTGATATTAAGTACCTCAGTGATTTATTAGATAATTGGGATGAAATTTATCCAGAATATAGTGGTAGAAAACCAAAGGCTTTCTATACTATCCCAACTTGTCAAAATCCGACTGGATTAACTCAAAGTGTTGAAACTAGACAAGCTGTTTATGATTTAGCTTCCAAGCATGATTTTATAATCATTGAAGATGATCCTTATGGATACCTTACATTACCAAAATTTGAAAAACCAAATAAATCAACCTTAGTTAAAGATCATTCATTAACTGTAGATGAATATCTTGCTCATCATTTACCAAAATCTTATTTACAATTTGATAAAGAAGGTAGAGTTATCAGAGTTGAAACATTTTCAAAAGTTTTCGCTCCTGGTTTGAGACTTGGATTCATTGTGGCTCATAAGAAAATCATTGAAGTTATAAAGAAATATTCATCTATTGTTACAAGATCTCCATCAGGAGCTGCTCAATTGATTTTATTAAATATTATTCAAAAGAAATTTGGTGGTATCAATGGATGGTTAGAATGGATTCTTAGAATGAGATTAGCCTATGCTCACAGAAGAAATGTCCTTATCGATAGTATTTCATCACTGGAAGCTTATTCAAAAGGGTATATTAATGTTATAAGTGCAGATGCTGGTATGTTTGCTTCATTATTAGTTAATTTCCCCTCATCAATCCCATCAACTGAATATGTTGAAAAATTGAATCTTTTAAATTATAAATTTTTAGAAAAGGGTGTTACCGTGGTATTAGGATATAAAATGTCGATTAATCAAGCTTTCAGTGAACCAAATGCCAATTTCTTAAGATTAAGTTATGCTCCATTAGATACTGATGAACAGTTAGCTGAAGCCGGAAAACGTCTTGGAGAAGCCGTTGAAGAATTCTTTGAAAATGGGTTTGAATTTTAGTTCTACTTATAGTTTAATATAATATTTTGGTTTATTTTACTTATATAACCCACATGATGTCATACCTTGTAGATATCAATTACATAACCCCCTAGCTCCCAGGGGATGTAAATGTGTTTGATATCCCTTAAAGCTTTGGTTATCTCTGAATCGATCGGAGCAAGGTCCGAAAGCAGTAATTTACCGGTGCGGTAATTATTGTCAATTATTATTAGTAATAACGTCAATTTTTGAAAAATGGGGGAAGCCTCAGCAAGTCCCAAAAAAAAGTTAGGGGGAGAACTTTAGTGGAGGATGAGGAGGTATACACGAAAGACGACTGGCTTGTGGAACTGAAAAATTTGGTACGATTATAAATAGGGGATGGGATCCACGTTCAATTCCATTATTTAAAAACCTCAATTGATTTAGTTATACTTCTTTTATCAAGTCAAGTCAAACTCAATTGATCAATTAAGCTCATAATGGTTACTAAAGAACTTCAATACCTTAAATTAGGTGATTCAGGATTATCAATTTCTCCAATTATTGTTGGATGTATGTCATATGGTGACAAAAGTTGGGCTGAATGGGTTCTTGATGATGAAGAAAAAATCTTCAGCATCTTGAAGAAATGTTATGATGTTGGTATTAGAACTTATGATACTGCTGATGTTTATTCTAATGGTACTTCAGAACTCTTAGTTGGAAAGTTTCTTAAAAAATATAATATCAAGAGAGATAGAGTTGTTATCTTATCTAAAGTGTTCAATGTGGTTGATACTGATCTTAAAGGTTTCAATTTCTCTAAACATGGTGATTATCCATCTTATGAATTCCTTAATTCCAAGGGTTTATCAAGAAAACATATCATTGATGGGGTTGAAGCTTCAGTTAAAAGATTAGGTACTTATATTGATGTGTTACAAATCCATAGATTGGATAGAACCACTCCAAAAGCTGAAATCATGAAGGCTTTAAATGATGTCGTAGTTGCTGGTCATACTAGATATATTGGTGCTTCTTCTATGAAAGCTACTGAATTTGCTCAATTACAATTTATTGCTGATAAAAATGGTTGGACTAAATTCGTTAGTATGCAAAGTTATTATAATTTAATTTATCGTGAAGAAGAACGTGAAATGATTCCATTCTGTAATGATAATGTCTTAGGTAAAGTTGGTTTAATTCCATGGTCACCTCTTGCTAGAGGTGTCTTAGCACGTCCATTAAAGAGTGAATCTCAATTCAATAGATCTATTAAGACTGATAAATCTTATGATAGATTGAAATTAGAAGAATTATCTCCAGCTGATGCTGAAATTATTAAAAGAGTTGAAGAAGTTGCCAAAAAACATGGTGTTGGTATGGCTGTTATTTCAACTGCTTGGGTTATAAGTAAAGGTGCTGCTCCAATCATTGGTCTTAATTCTGAAGCTAGAGTTGAAGAAATTGTCGAAGCTGCTCATTTCAAATTAACTGCTGAAGAAATTGAATACTTAGAAGAACCTTACGTTCCAAAGGATTTACCAGTTTTTTAAACACTTTTGAATAAATATATTAAGAATAATTGACTATATAGTTTTTTAATAAATAAATAAATGTGAATGTTAAACTTCTTCAGTAACGGATGGTAATTTACTGGTATTTCTTGTACTAGTATGAGATCTTCTGATAGAATGAGCATCATCATCATCGTCATCACTATCATCATCCATATTAATTCTAGTTTTCCTTCTTTGGAAATCTTTAATATGGGCTTTGTTAAGGGTATCACTAATACTTGTAAATGTTGATTTACGACGAGATAATTGAGGTAATTCAGAAGCTCCAGATGGATATCTTCCCAATCCTGATCCTGAAGCATCTTCACGTCCAGGACTATCAACAAATGATTGACGACTACTGCTATACGAAGCAGCAGTATCACCAGGAGTAGCAAGTCTTTCTAACACATTATCATTCTCGGCAAATGTAACATATCTTGCACTTGCTAATTTCTTAATTGCCTTTTCAACTTTATTTGATACCACATAAGGTAATGGAGAATCCTTTGATGCTCTAAATAAAACCACATTGGTACAATGTTCATTTTCCATTCTAAAGAAAATCCAAATAAATCTTCTAATGATTTCGGCTAATGCAATACAAAAACTTGTGACAGCCAGCTGTTGAACTTGATTACTGAAAAATGCATAAAATATCCATTGAAATCTTAATATCACATCACTTATCATAGCAAAATAATAATAATTTGGATTTTTAAAGAATAAATTATCTCTTAAATAAGGATGTTTCGATCCACTTTGAAATAATGACCAATCCATAACTAAATCCCAAATTGCTGAATAAAGTGAATTTATAGTTGCTACCGTGATGAATGCAGCTCTATTTCTTTCAATTCTATCAATACGATATACACTTAATAGAACATAATATGTGGTTGTAATACCATATTTTAACATATTAGCTAAATGGGGAAACCAATCTCCAGTATCCATATAACGTCTAACACATTGCAAAAATCTCCAAATGGTAGGCAAAGTACTGAAAAAGCCCATTAATCTTGATTTGGATGAACCACAAACATCATTCTTTCCTATATCTCTTCCATCCCCCAATAATCCATTCCAATTATGAGCATATAAGCAAAAGAAGAATGAAAGATTACCCATAGTATAAGTTAATGAACAAAAGATATCACCCAAGAAGAAATCTCTAAATTCAACTGGGTAGAATCCTGATAATAATAATCTCCAAATGGCAACTTGTAACCATTTTCTACTTGATCCATAGAATTGATCACCTGGCCATAAGAAAAGAGCAAGCATTACTGAAAAGTAAATCCATGGCCAATCACGACCAGGGAATTGGGTGGGCCAGAAGTTATTGAAACTAAACCATACTAATATTGATAATAATGAGAATCCAAATGATGGTAATAACCAATATTGTTTATAATTCAATACTGAAGACATATCAAATTCGAAAATGAATTTATAATTGATCTTGAATTTTTCAAACACGGCTAAATTAATTCCAAATAATATCATCATTAAATTCAATAAGAAAAACCCTCCCCAAATTTGTAACATGAATGGACCTTCTGGTAAATCATTTCTAAATATTTTTCTTAATGCAGTGTATATACCGAGTACGACTAATGGTATACCGAATCCCAAGAAGAATCCAGATGAGAAAAAGGGCTTGTAATATGACGGTTGTCTAATATCGTTGTTATTCATGGCATAAGCTATACTCTTTAATTTTTCAAGGGAATGCTTTCTATCGGTGGTTTCAGGATCGAAAAATGCAATGAATAACTCTTCCACATGATTAGTTAATTTATCTACTAAATCACTAGTTTGAAAATATGATTCATCGTCTATCTTTTTCAAATATGAATCCAATACGTTTGATTTTAAGGCTTTATCGAATTTTTTTGTGATTTTTCGGAATGCAGTTCTATTTAATGATTTATATGACCTTAATAATGATAAGGCTCTATAATGTTCTAAGACGACAATTTTCAATTGTTTTCTAGCGTATAAATACGGTACACCGAAATGTTCCTTCTTGACACTATAATCTCTTCTCTTTGCTTGTCTTTGTTGTTCAGCAGTCTGAGTTTGGGCTCTATCTGGTATTCCTTGTCTACCACTAGAGTCTTCAGAATCAATCGATGACATTTCACTATACGTGGCATTTAAATCAACTTCCCCATTTCTGATTCTGTTTTCAGCATCATTGGGATTGTAATCGATCATTTGAGTATCAGAATCTCCACCCTTTGGTCTTCTTTTGAATCGTTTAACAAATGTAGTTGATGGTAATGATGGTAATTCCAATTTATTTAGAAATGTGAATGCTGTTTTAGTATGATAGGCCAAGTCGTTTACTTTACCATACATATTATGATCTGATTCTTCAATGCCTGAATGCTTTGATTTTTCTCTTGTTATAGATGCCTTATGATCTCTTAATTGATATAATTGGTCTTGGATCAATAAAAATCTTTCATATGCTTCGTGTTCCTTCTCTTTAAAGAATGCATCCACTTTCTCCAACTCACTATCCAAGTAAGCAGTAAACTTTCCTCTTTCCTTTTCATATTCATCCTTCTTATCCTTTTCCTTTGATCTTAAAGTATAATTAAATATCGAGGGTCTTCTACCCAGTGGGGGTCTATTAACTGGTTCATCAGTTATCATTAAATTATTATCATTGATTTCATTGGTATATGAAGGAGTATTCTGATCTACCGCAACTGGGCTAAGTAATGGAATTCTATCACCACTAGCCTTAATATTCGATTCTAAATCAGATTCCTCTTTAAGTTGCACAATCTTCTTAATTAACTTCTTCCCTTTCTTATAATCAAGATATTGATCCTGCCACTCCGGAACCAAACCTTCACTTAAGGATTCACCGAACTTCATAGGTGCAATCTGTTATAACTCTCTGCACTTCAGGATACAATCTGTGTACTATCTAAGGTGGTGAAACTTATATAGCAATAGGATATATTTATGATGTGATTTACATATCAATTATATTCCTGTATACCATTTCTTTCTTTTTTTGGTGCTTAATTTTATTCTTCGTCTTCTCTGCTTCTAAATTTCTCCATATTTTTTTTCTAATGCACGTGCATGGTAGCATACGTAATAGAATTTTAAAATTGACTGCAAAAAATAACGGCGTTTCTACAAGTACAAGTCTTGGTATATGATATGAATATCCGTCTATTTTTCAATATATAAATTTACATAAATAACAATAATAAATAATAATAAGTCTAACAAGTTTCTTGTCCTTTGTCTAACTTTCGTATCTCACATAAAGAGCATCAATGAAATGAGGATGCTTTATACCAGGAGGTTTTGCCTCTTTGAATCCTTCTACAGCTTCATGAACTGTCCAACCCAACTTCTCAATTAAATAACAACAAATCAAAAATCCAGTTCTATTAAATCCATAATGACAATGTACCGCAACTAATGGATTCTCACTTTCATTGTTTGCCAAGATATCATCAATTAAATGAATAAATCTTCTTATAGCTACTTGATCGGGTACCACTTTGGACACCGTGGCGCATTTATAATATTTTATAACCTCAAATGATTTTGGACTGTATGGTGGTATGTCGTGGGATATATCAACTATAGCTATTAGATTCCCCTTTGGTAGATCATCCGTTCTATTATTAGCATCTGCTCCATAAAATATATTTTCAACTTTCTTTGGTGAATGAACTTCGTCATCTTCTCTTAATGTTTTCATTCCTAATAATGGAGAAATATCACTTCCTCTCTTTCTAGTTATATTTGTGGAGATTGGCTTTAATTCCTTCCATTTCTTTTCATTTTTTAATCCCCATTTATCACCTGAAATCGTGGCTTTAACTTTTAACACCCAAGCTGGAGATATATGAAGTCTTTCAGGGAGTTTTTGTTCAAGATGATTTAAAATTATTCCACTGATGAATTCTGGTTTACTTAAAAGTAGGGAATGACCAACCCCATTGATTTCAATTGCTTTTGATACTTGTCTTTTAAACACTTTGGTTAACACCTTATCAATTCCATGAATAATTTTAACTGGAGTTGCATTATCATCAGTACCACCAATCAACAATGTCTTTTCATATACCGTCTTATCATTTGGATTATCGTTGAATTGACGTATAGTAGTTATCAAACCTGAGAATTTATCTCTTTTTAACCCATTCACATATCTTAAGAATGTATAAGTATTAACATCCATATTCCATCTGAATTGACGCATTTTATTGTATATATTTGATTTAATTGAGTTGAATTTAATTAATTGTCTAGTAACACTAGGACTTTCTAATCCTTCTAATCTATGCCATACTCTGAATGCATTGAATAACCAAGGTACATTTTGGATAACTTTCACAAAGCTCATAAGTCCTGGTCTTGTGAGCTGAGATGTATCTTTTCCCGTGATATCATCTTCCGGTGGAATTGGTGACAATAAAACTAAACCTTCTACGGTTTGTTTAGGTAATTTTCTACCTACTCTAATGGCTAAATTTGTCCCTAATGAATGACCTATTAATATAACTTTTTTATCCTTAGCGATATTTTGAATAATAAATTCATAGACTATAGTAGCAATGTTATCAGTAGTAAAATCATCCCAAGCCATTTTAAGTACACTGGATGAAATTCGATGTTTTTCTTCATCAGTGAATCTAGTAATTAATTTTCTATCATCAAGAAATTTGATTTTGGAATTACCAAATCCAGGTAAATCTAAAGAAATAATCTCCAGACATTGTGATAATAATGCCATTAATGGTTCAAATTGAGACATTTGACCTCCTAAACCATGAATGAAAACAATGATAGGAGATTCTTGTAATTCCTTCAGTAAATCCAAATTATCTTCGGGAATTTGATTAGCTTCATTTCTTAAAAAACTTTCTAATGGATGAGGGATGTGTAAAGTACTTAAAGTGACTGAATCAATAGTTAAGCCTGGTTGTTTACTTAAATCAATGTCTGTAACTTGGGAATACTTAGCAACCAATGAACAATCACTTGGTTCTGACTCCAAGACATATTTTTCTAATTCATTGGTTTGACCTAAAAATTGAGTTTTAATATACTCCCAGATCTTTTTAGGTAATGTATTGGTGTTTTCATATTGAGCAATTGCTAATTTCAATAACTTATCATTTGATGAAGATTGTGAAATTGAACCTGAGGCTTCAACTGCTAAGAGTTCTTGAGAATCATCTTCAGACAGCATATTGCTATATGGTATGAGGGGTTTAGATGCAATCCTGGTGTCCTATATGCACATATATACAATAATCAATTGATACTGATACCAAGTTGAATTGATGAAATGGATGGCAAATAGGTCCTTAATTGATTTCTAGTTTGGCTTAAAACTTTAATTTAAAGTTGATGAGAGAGGAGTTTTGATAATGACACAAGGCTGTCCAAATTGAGCGCTAGCTCCACACCTCCACTTTCATCTATAAAATAAAAACATCCGTGCATCAATTTCTTTCATAATTTCTTATGTAATCGTTTATTTTGTAAAAGTTTTGTCATTTTTCAGATCAATGTGTCAAAACATAAAAATTGACATTATCTCGAGCACAGGACATTTAGTTTAACTTGATGGATTTTATCATAGCATATGTTCTGAATAGAATATTATGCTTTTTAATAATCAATACAAATGGACTCTTTCCTTTGTAGCTTTCAATGGTCAAGAGAGACAAGCGTTGACTGCGTCTTCAATACACTCACTATTTTCAAATGATTGTTGGGCCAACGTTATTCGTTTCCTGACTCGTAATTATTGTTTACTCTTTATTTACAAGTACTGATGTTTTATACAGTTCTTGTTTAACACATGGTAACTGTCACTCTAATCTAACATATATTCAGTCAGTGTAACCATTTATTCGATTCATAATATACTAAGTTGAAACTATATGTAGCAGTAAAGTACTATTCCTAACTAAGTAGTTTTATTCTAACTTTATAATTTCGAAAAGGCAGTGCTTCAATACTTTGAAAATAGGTATATAAATTAGACTAAATGTGAAATGTCGCAGGTAACAACTATTCATCATACTATGTGCAGCTCAATGTCATAAGAGAAATTTGAAGTTTGAATCTTATTTGATGAACTATGTACAACACGATCAAAATCTCCTTTAACAGTAAACTCTGAAGTGACTAAAAGGTAACTAAATTACTAGCTCGCTATGCTGATCGTGTATGTGTCAAATTCTTCAAAGTCTTAGCCTTTATTTATCAGTGTTATTATATGCAGTCCTTGACATCAAAAAATTAGTGACAACAAAAAACAAAAATAGAAGTCATAGCCTTTTTGAATCGAATAACCAAAGTGAACTTGAAACATCATAACTCGATCAATCAGAGATTGAACTCATTATGCCTCCTTCGTCATCGAGAAGGTACTCGCTTTCAAATGATGACGATTCATTTGAAGATCTAGAAAATTCATTGGACAAAGCCTTACATAGTGCTTCCAATAATCTTTTCAATTATACCAATTCAGTGAATAATTCGCGTCATAACTCTCAAGGATCAGTGGGAGCCATACCTTTATCTACCATTCAACTGTTTCCTAACAATAGTGGTAGTGTCATAACGACCAATAATGATGATGATCATAATGATAGTTCTCCCTTGATAGCTAATTCTATCTATTCTACCACTAATCGATCATTCTCTTCGTCAACTTCATCAATTATGGGGAATACTGGATCAACTTCAAGAAGATTTATTACAAAGATAGTTAACTTCTTTTTGAATGCTAAGAGAGAATTAAATGAAGAAAGATTAAGACTAACGAATGAAACTGAATCGTATCGTTCAACTGGCAACAACAATAACGGCAGCACTAATAATAATGGCAATAATGACAGCTCAAATAACATTGAAAATGATAGATTCCTTTCACCTCGAAATTCAAACACAACTTCTAATTACAAATTCCCATCTAATTCCATTTCAAATGCAAAATATAATCCTATAACATTCATACCGATAATCTTATATGAACAATTCAAATTCTTCTTTAATTTATATTTCTTATTGACAGCTTTATCACAAATAATACCTCAGTTAAGAATCGGATACTTATCATCATATATTGTACCTTTAGGGTTCGTTCTTACCGTCACCATGATGAAAGAAGCTGGTGATGATATAGCGAGACGTCGTCGTGATAAAGAACAAAATAATGAACATTATGAAGTATTGAATCGTTCAAGTACATCTTTATCTCATGAAGGTAAACTTGTCGCATCCAAGAATTTGAAAGTAGGTGATTTGGTACGATTACATAAAGGTACTAGAATCCCTGCTGATATGGTTTTATTACAATCATCAGATAAAGATGGTACAGGAGAAGCATTTATAAAAACTGATCAATTAGATGGTGAAACAGATTGGAAATTAAGAGTGGCTCATAATGCTACCCAATCAATCAAAGATATTAATGTTTTAATTAATAATGTATCATTAATCGTCAATAAACCAACTAAATCAATTCATCATTTCCAAGGGAAATTAATCTATCACCCACATCAATCAGCTGGTTCTACCACTCCTACTAATACAAATAATGAAACCTTTGCATTAACGATCGATCAAACTTTATGGGCTAATACTGTATTGGCTTCAGGAACAGCAATTGGGATTGTTATATATACCGGTATAGAAACTAGACAACTGATGAATACCACTAAAACAGGGGTAAAGACTGGATTATTAGAATTAGAAATCAATAGTCTTTCCAAAATTTTATGTGTGACTGTATTTATATTATCAGTGGTTTTAGTCTTAGCTCATGGATTTCCTTTAAGTCCAGTATGGTATCTTGATATAATGAGATTTTTAATTTTATTTTCATCGATTATTCCTGTTTCCTTAAGAGTTAATTTGGATTTAGCTAAATCTGTTTATGCATCCCAGATTCAAAAAGATCTTGAAATTGCAGGTACAATCGTGAGAACTTCTACTATTCCTGAAGATTTAGGAAGAATTGAATATCTTTTATCTGATAAAACTGGTACTTTAACTCAAAACGATATGGAATTGAAAAAATTACATTTAGGTGCTGTAAGTTATGCTGGAGAATCATTAGATATTGTTACAGATTACGTTAAGAATATTTTATCATTATTAGATTCAAAACCAGGAGGAAGTTTAATTAAAAAGAAAGATTTAAGTTCTCGAGTATGTGATTTAGTCTTGACTTTAGCTATTTGTCATAATGTTACACCAACATATGAGGATGAAACTGATGAAGTTAATGGGATTGTATCTTATCAAGCTGCATCTCCTGATGAAATAGCTATTGTTAAATTCACAGAATCTGTCGGATTAAAACTATTCAAACGTGATAGACATTCAATCTCCCTTTTACATGTGGCTACGAATCAAACTTTAAATTATGAAATCCTTTATAATTTCCCATTTTCATCCGATACAAAAAGAATGGGGATTGTTATTCGAGACTTACAACGTGATGAGATTTGGTTTATGCAAAAGGGAGCCGATACAGTCATGGCTAATATCGTTAATAATAATGATTGGTTAGATGAAGAAACTGGAAATATGGCTCGTGAAGGGTTAAGAACTTTAGTTATTGGTCGTAAACGATTAACCAAGAATTCATATCAAGATTTCGTTGAGGAATATACTAAGGCTTCGATATCGATGAGAGATCGTGATCTTATAATGCAACGTGTTATCGGACAATATCTTGAACAAGATTTAGAATTATTGGGTTTAACTGGGGTGGAAGATAAATTACAAAGAGATGTGAAAACTTCAATTGAATTATTAAGAAATGCCGGTATTAAAATATGGATGCTTACTGGAGATAAAGTTGAAACTGCCAAATGTGTATCTATCAGTGCCAGATTAATTAGTCGTGGTCAATATGTTCATCAAGTTACTAAAGTTCATAATCCCGAATTCGCCATGCATCAATTAGACTATCTTAAAACAAATCATAATGCTTGTTTATTAATTGATGGTGAAAGTTTAGCCACCTATATGAAATATTATAATCGAGAATTCTTTGAGATTGTGATTAAATTACCAGCTGTCATTGCTTGTAGATGTACCCCTCAACAAAAGGCTGATGTTGCCCTTAGTATAAGAGAAATCACTGGTAAAAGAGTATGTTGTATTGGAGATGGTGGTAATGATGTTAGTATGATTCAATGTGCTGATGTTGGAGTTGGTATTGTTGGAAAGGAAGGTAAACAAGCGTCATTAGCGGCAGATTTTAGTATTGATCAATTTTGTTATTTACTGAAATTATTATTATGGCATGGCCGTAATTCATATAAGAGATCAGCTAAATTAGGACAATTCATCATACATAGAGGATTATTATTAAGTGTTGCTCAAGCTGTTTATTCTATATCATCTAAATTTGAACCATTGGCATTATATCAAGGTTGGTTAATGGTAGGATATTCGACTGTCTATACTATGGCCCCGGTATTTTCATTAACTTTAGATTGCGATATTGATGAACATTTAACTAAATTATATCCTGAATTATATAAGGAATTAACCTTGGGGAAATCATTATCATTTAAGACATTTTTTATGTGGGTTTTCATCTCATTATTTCAAGGATGTGTGGTTCAATTATTATCGCAACGGTTTCAAACATTAAAGGAAGATCAATTTTTAGCTATGGTTGCTATATCATTCAGTTGTTTAATTTATAATGAATTAATTATGGTTTCAATATCAATTAATCGATGGAATAAAATCATGATGGCCACGATTATCATCACCTTTTTATTATTTGTGGGTCTGATACCATTTTTACCTGATTATTTTGATTTACAATATATGAGTTCAGTAAGTTATTTCTGGCAAACGTTGGTTATATTGACGGTTAGTTTATTACCAGTTTGGTTAGCTCAATTTGTTAATAGGAAATTAAGACCACCAAGTTATGCTAAAGTTCAACAAGATTGAAGAAATGAGATCTAACTAATAAGAATTCATCTCCCTTATGCATATATATAGAAGAGTATTTAATTTATTTAATAATAATAAAATATGTTTATTTATGAGAAAGGTAAACAAAGAAAAATTTAAAAGGATTATTAGCATTTATGTTGCTACGTTGTACATTATAGAGTTTATTTAGTTAAGAATTTTAGTTTTGTGTGAATGTAGTGGTATGTTAAAATTTGAGTTAAGATTTGCAGTACAAACAGACAGACAGAGAAACAAAATTGCGAGAGGAAATGACAACCAACCAGAAAGGCTGATGATGATAAAGTGGCATAACAACTTGATTGTTGGGATAAGGGGATACAAAAATAAACTAGAGAAGGTGGTGGTGGTTGTTGACTGTATAATTTAAGCTTTTATTGAGATTAGAACTTTGATGTAGTCATACATGTGCCTGAATGGACAAATAAGGAGTTTTTATAGATGGGTTTGATCCTTTGACTAGAGAGGAGGAGTATGTATATACGAGCGGTACGACTAATAATAGTTATACAAGAAATAAATGAATATGCACATTCTAATCAGCGGTACGACAGTCCCTTATATATCATCAACGTTGAAGTACGATTATCGGACATGGGTATAGGTTTATCTAGATATCATTGATGGAGATGGTTGATAATGAAATATATCTTGTCTTAATGACTTCAAATATTTGTCTATCTCGCTAACATATTCCGTGTTCACCCCCTCATATGAACTCCACTTGTCTCGGTGAAAATGGTCCGCTCAATTTTTGTTTTTTTTTTGTCTGATTCAGTTCGGACATTTTATTCCATGCTCATTAATAAATAGTTAATAATGGTTACGAAGCAGTTATTTAGTAAAATGGATGATTAAGTAAATATATAGTGGTTATCGTTAGAATAACTAATATTAATAACACCTTAGTAGTAGAAATAGAACTACTACAGTAGTAGATGTAATAGGAGGTAGTCAATCCATCCCGTGATAATCATGTAACAAAATATCAACTTACGTTAAAAAGACATTTAATTTCTTAATTATAAAAAAATTGTCGGATGGTTCCAAAATTTTTAAACTGTTACTATTCCAACTGTTAGGGGAACCCCAACCAAAGTTTAGTGTCTCCTCCTCCCTCCCTAGCAGAAAAAAAAACTTACGATTTAAATTCTTTTTTTTTTTTTGAGTGTGGCTAAATATAAATGTAAAAAAAAAATAGTTGGGTTGCATAATATTAATAATTTATGACAACAATTAAACTAGATATATAAATAAGTTTAAATATCTGTAAAACCCATTTTTTAAATTTGTAAATGTAAAATCTGTATAAAATAACTATAAATAACTAATAGTATTTCGTTATATTACTTACTTCATATCTTCATAACACATCATAAATACTCAGAACAACAATGTACATACCAATGTCCCATAATAATAAGTCAGCTTCTTTATTAGTATTTGGTTATCTAGCTGTATCTTCAACTTTACCATTTATATTAAGTTATAGAGAATCAAATGATTTTAAATATAATACCAATACAAAAGGAACCATCAGTTCAAGAGCTTTATTTAATAAAATATAGTACCTCCCCTTACTATAATGAGTCTATAGACTCGTACACACACATACACTCACACATTTACATTTACATTTACATTTACACTTGCGTTATATCAACTTTTAAAAGTTATTACTGTTTGCTATTTACAAAAGACTTCATCGTAGTTAAGACTGCTTCAGTGCATACAACAACATCATCATTATCATCATCATCATATTAGGGTACAATATTTTTTTATTGTTTAGTTTTTAGGTTTCATTTTTTAATTTATTATAAAGGTTTATTTGTTTATATTTAGTCTTTTTTTGCATAATAATTTCATTCTAGTATATATTACTATATACATAATAATAATAATATATATTCAATCTATAGGATATAATTTCATTTGTTTACATTTACTGTAAAAAGAAAAGGTTTAACAACATAATTTTAAGATTAAACTTATTTGATCACCACTAAGTCATGCCATAGATCAATCAAATCAACTATAATAAACTGTTAAACAATAGACTTCACCTATCTCTGTTTCATATTACCTCCCTCCCTCTCCCCGGAATAATTTTTTTTTTTTGATGCGGCTTACTCCGATAACCACACTTTTGGTTTGCTTGTTATAATTATATAATTATTAAATATGATTTATGATTTATGAGCCCACTTTAGAAGGAAAATAAACTATCTAAGAAAGGATGGAAGGATTGAAGTTTAATATGATTATAAACTACTTCCACTTGATTGGCTTAGCATGTAAGCATAGAAATAAAGATTCCACAATATATTAAAATTCTTTATCTTTTGGTGCTAAATTGAAGTGTCAAATTCATCATTATTAAAAAAAATTGCGAAAACTCTAAACTTTCTAAAACTTGCACTGATTTAGGAAATATCTCCTTTAGATTTAATCACCGAATATGATGATTGATAATGTTAAACGTGTGATTGTATATTATATGATCTCATTATATGATGCAATCATGTTAGTAGTTTACACGGAAAATTCATTAAATAATCCATAAATAAATGTAATTACCTAACAGTATTTCATCTCTCTTACTCTTAAATGATCACTCCACAGGCTTCATATTTCTTTAGAGAACAAATTCCTACTATTATTAATGCCTCAAAGGACAAATAATGAGAAGATACTGGGATACTGATCATATAGTATGAATCTTCTTAGAGTCAAAGCTACATAGATATCAGTTATTGGTACCATTTACATAAATATGAGACTTACTACAATCAAAAATCATCATACATACTCACAATTTCAGTATGATAATTATCAAGATAAGATAACTCTAATGCTATTAATCCCGAACCGAGTTACTAATGACTTTCAGTTACTTATTATTTTTATTACTTATCGTACTGGATGATCTCGGCAACTCGGTAATTGAAGGCAACTCTACACGATACCGCAAGCAAAAAAAAGATCCCGTAAATAATTATCTAACAAATCTAATGGAAATCGTATAATTAGTCATTGAAAAATTTGAATTGAAAGGTCATATCATCTATATTGTTTATAATTGAAAGAGTGGTTATTAATTAAACCATGGAAGCGGGACAATACGTTTGTTCTCATGAGAAGTGTGGTAAGATCTTTTCCAGAAAAGATTATTTAATAAGACATCAAATAAATCATCAGAATATAAGACCTTTTGCTTGTCAACAATGTAATTTACCTTTCACTAGGAGTGATTTACTTGAAAAACATTATAATTCGAAATCTCATCGAAAGAAGAAAGTTGATCTCTTCATACGACATGATGAAGAAGAAGACGATACGAAGGAATCACCTCCGAAAAGAACAAAAGTAAATAATCCCATACCTGAATTAATCGAAATTCAATATACTCCTCAAAGCATTCAAAATGATTTACCATCCACGTCAGTAGGTAACTATTTATGGTTATTTGAAGATCAATTCGATGAATTTGAATCAACCATTGAAAACACCCCTGATCTTACCCAACCTTCATCTCATACTTATACTTCATCACCAGATCCATCCATCAACCAAGCCAATTCTGAAAAAGTCGAAATCAATGATCTTAGACGACAAGAAATCATTGATTTATTAAACTTGGATCAATTCGATCAATACAGTACCACCAGATTGAACTATTTCTTAGATTTGTTCTGGGATCGGTTCAGTCCTATGTTCCCCTTCATTCATTATGCCACCTTTTCACCACTGGATGTTGATATTTATTTAATCACCATCATGATCAATATCGGTATGGCTCATTCTCCTATCATAGAAGAATATGAACATTCGATCGATATGGCTAAAGTTTTCCGTCGTTTGATATTTGATGCGGTAGGTGATAGAGTAGTTTTACCATTATCACTAATGCAAGCTCTTTTATTACATAATTTTGAATGTAAATATTATGGTGATAAATTAACTTATGAAATGGCACAATTATTCCATGGTACAAATGTTAATTTCTTAAGATTCACTGGTTATTTCGATGAATTACAAGAACCAAATGTGATTAGATTAAGTTCAACTACGGAATCTGATGATAAAGAATACTATAAACAATGGCATACTTGGATTCATTATGAATGTTGTAAAAGAACAGCTTATTTCGCTTTTATTTGTGATTCTCAACATGGAACTTTATTCAAACATCAAGCATTATCTGCATTTGCTTTACAATTGGAATTACCCTGTACTGATGCTGTATGGAATGCTAATGATCCTAAAAAATTTCAAGATGAATATTTCAAACAACCTCATGGGTTATTATTCTCTCGACCTAAATTGAAATTCGATACCAATGATCAAAATTATAATTCAATCGCCAGTGGTCCTTCAATGCAAATGGCAAAGGCAGGAGGTGAATGGCCGAGTTTCCTTTGGAGTCTAAGATCAATGATGTTGCCATATAAGGAAGATCAAAAGGAGTATTCCATGGATTGTTATTCCCAATTCTCAAGATTCATAATCCTACATGGTCTCGTAAGTATATGTTGGGATATGAGATGGAGAGGGTTATTTGATTTAGGTATCGTATCAAAAAAGAAATTAAATGATTTATCAGGGAAATTACAACGTTCATTTACAAATTGGAGAGGTTATCTTGATTTACATATTGCCAATGCTAATGATTATGCTATTGGTAATAATCGGAAATTAAATTCAACAGTAGCATTAAATAATTATGGACTTTCCATTATGTTCTGGGCAAATATAACTTCATTTCAATTGGCTTTGGTATCATTATATGCTGATACTGCGTCGATCGTTAAGTTTGCTACTGATTACCTCATTACTAATGATATTGATTTTAAAGGTCCGAGTAGGAATTATCAATTGATTGAATCTTGGGCAAGATCGCCCAATGGGAAATCATCAGTTTATGAAGCATCTAGATTTATAAGAATCTTATTAAGTAACGATAGTGATACCATATCCTCCATCCCTCACATTCCATGGACATTATTCATATCATGTCTTGTGATTTGGAGTTTTGAAGTTAAGAGAGATTGTCCTGATGGTTTACAAAGTCGTGGTTCGATGCAGTTATCATATTTTAAATATACCATGAAACCAAATGATAGTTTAGATGAGCAGGTCTCACATAAAGATGCTACGGAATATGTGTCGATGATTCTTGATGAATCAGATGAGTTTATAGAGACTTCTGAAGTATTTTGGAAACGTCAACAATTAGTAGTGGGTATTTTGGCTTATGGATTGATTTATTTCAGAAAAATTAAATGGAGATATACGAGTGAGTTGACAAAAACATTAATTGGGATATTAGAAAAACAGCAAGGTAATTATTAAGAGAGAATTAGTTTTTAGAAACACTAGATTTATATATTCTATCAATTATTTAATATATTTAGACGCTTTTAAGTTCTTGCTTTTCACCAGCAACCACAAGATTCTCATACAGAACATCAGTATCACTTTCATGATCGATTTCAGCATAAGGAGTAATACCCATCTCTGCACATTCTTTAGCAGTGAAAGTATTAAACTTGTCTTCGGTATCTACTTCATGAATATTCTTGGGAGGCAATAAATAATTAAAAGCAACATTTAATGAAAAGGCAATAGCAAATCCAAACATACAATTACCTTGATAATAATTAAGAATACCAGTACTCATAGAAATATTTGGATTGGCACCATGGACTAATCCTGGAAGTCCTGGGGTGGAAGCTATGAAGAAAATTATGAATGCTTTATAGTTTATACCTTTCCAATACCAATAATTTTCATTTTCATCAAATGTATATAAAGCTGAAAGTTTTAATTTAGTTTTTCTTACAACCCAAAATTCAGAAACAATAATCCCGATAATTGGGGACATGAAAACTGAAAATGAAGACATAACAACCACAAACGTTGAAGATGTATTGTAAAATAACCATGGTTGAATAACCCAAGAAAGTAAAGAAGTTAAAATAGCTCCTCTCTTAATATTAACATATTTGGGGAATAAACCAGCCATATCCATACCACCTGCAATACCATTTCCAACTAAATTCAAAGCTAATTGAGATGCAAGAAAACAAGAACCAGCAAAGAAAGCACCAGCTCTAGATTTAGGACTGTAATCATCAATTAACCATTGTTCAGCAATTTTATTTGGCATCCAAATTGCTTCTCCATACATTTCAGTGGTTGCCGATGCGGAAAAAATTCCAAACAAAGGTACAATAGTTCCTAAAGCAACAATACCTACAATAGTTGGAGGAATACTAACCCATTTCGTTCTTGAAAATCTTGTGAAATCACTTTGGTTAGTAACCCCGGCTGACAAGGAGCCATACCATGAAGTAATACCATAAATCCATGCCCAGGCATGGTCAGATTTCGAAGCGAATTTAGACTTTGCTGAGAATAATGGTCCAACACCACCATTGTGGCTGATCAGCCAGGCAAACGTTCCTAACATACCTAAGAAAGTAGCAGCTGAAGAAAACTTAAGTAATGGACTCAATTTTTCAGGTTTGACACATAATAATGGAATGGAAACAAGTTGAAAAATAAGAAATGAAATTAAATCTCTAGTAGACATATTAACAGAAGCAGGAAATGTATTCTTCATGTTTAAATAACTTTCTGACCATGAACTAAATATTAAACCTAAACACAAACCACCCATCCAAGCTTGTGAAGCATACCAAACTATACTTAAAATAGTTCTAATAGCAATACCAAAGTAACTACCTCTAATGCCAAAAATAAGTCTCTGAGTGACAGTATAACCTACATGATAATAATAACCTGGAGCAGAATTAAATACAGCCAAAGAAGCAATAATACAATTACCAACCAATACAATACCCATGGTTTCACCAACGTTCAACCCAATAGATAATAACGAAGCAGCACCAGACCAAGTTGAAATACAACATTCTGATACCGCCCAATAACTTAAAATTGAAAAGAAACCCCAAAGACGTCTTTCTGGTCCCATAGGGATCAAATCTTTGTTTCTTAAGAAATCAACAGTTCCAATATCACCTTCTGGTTTTACTTGAAGTCTTTTGAGAAATGACATCTTTACTTTTAATTTTATGTATATATACAATAATAACCAATTGTGAGTAATAAGTCAAAACTTTTGAAAAATTATCGATCAATTGATTGGGTCTTGAGACAATAATATATATATGCTAAGATCAACATTTTTTGCAGATATTCATTGTTTCAGTAAGGATCATACGAAGTTTAATTAAAGACTGTAAAAATATTCCGCCTTTTCTTATCACATTCCAGTTCCGTAATTATATTTTTGGTACCTCTCCACCAGAAAAATTATGCAACCAACCCAAAAAGGAAATTGTCGCGATAAAGATTACCAGTGACACAATGCACAAGGGAAATTACTAATAATAGTTATGAGTAAATCAAGGGATACAAGACTTCTCCACCGATCTTATGTATAGGCTTTATAAATGTTGCTTGTCAATCCTGAAGATTCCGGAAAGCGGCTGCCACAAAGGTTTCGTTCTGGTGGAGAGATCAAAGTTTGAACCTTAATGAAGCCATACCAATCGAATCGTTTCATATCGTTTAATATTCATTTTTAAAGTGTCTTATTTTCCAGTATAATTATTTTTTTCCAATCCGATTCTGTTGCAAATAAGAAATCTTATCTATTAATTATAGAAATAAATTAGAAATGAGTTTGTTAATTGGTATTGATGTTGGTGGAACCAACACTGATTCAGTTTTATTGGATCCTACAAAGAGTAAGGATACCAGCCGTGGAGTGTTAGCTTGGAATAAATCAAATACAACTTCTGATGTTTCATTTGGTATTGAATCTGCTATTAGTTCATTATTTGAACAAGTGCCTGATGTGAAAAAGGATGAAATTTTGGCTGTAACTATTGGTACTACTCATTTTATCAATGCTGTTATAGAAAAGGATAAAGCGAGGTTAGATAAAGTTGCTATTTTAAGATTATGTGGTCCATATTCAAGAACTACTGAACCTTTCACCGATTTCCCTTCAGGTTTGAAAAGTATCTTAAATGGTTATATTGGGTTTCTTGATGGTGGGCATTATGTTCATGGTGATGAAGTTCAACCAATTAATGAAACCGAAGTATTGGAACATTGTCGGAAAATTAAAGAATTAGATTTAAAATCAGTTGTATTAGTTGGTCAATTCTCTCCAATGGTTAAGGACCACGAGGATAAAGTTGAAGAAATTATTTCTAAAGCATTGCCTGAAATTCAAATTGTTAAATCTTATGAAGTAGCAGGTTTGGGTTTCTTAGAACGTGAGAACGCTGCTATTTTAAATGCAGCTATCTTGAGATTTGCAAAGAAAGTTATCCTTTCATTTAATGCTGCTGTGCAAAGAATTGGTTTAACTTGTCCAGTTTTGTTAACTCAAAATGATGGTACTATATTATCTTCAGATATTGCTAGTAGAATTCCAATTAGTACGTTTTCTTCAGGAGCAACTAATTCCATGAGAGGTGCTTCATTCTTATGTATGGAAGAAGATTCCCTTAAAGATACTTCAATTATTGTGGTTGATGTGGGAGGTACCACAACTGATGTAGGAGTCTTATTACCTACTGGATTCCCACGTCAAGCAGCTTCTCATTCTTTAGTGGGTGGTGTGAGAATGAACTTTTCTATGCCCCATGTCGAAAGTATTGGATTAGGTGGTGGTTCTATTGTTAGAGTTTCTGATGATATAGTTTCTGTTGGTCCTGATAGTGTTGGAAATGAGATTCTTAAGAAAGCAGTTATTTGTGGTGGTGAAATAGTAACCGCTACTGATGTATCCATTGCTTTCAATGATACCCTTTATGACGATGTTCAAATTGGTGATTTGAAGTTAATCACTAACAAATTTGAATCTTCCACTATGGAAAAGTTTACAACCGAAGTTGCGGCTAAATTAGGTAGAGTTATAGATCATTTAAGAACTTCAGCTGACCCATTACCTGTCTTATTAGTTGGAGGTGGTTCTTTTATTGTACCACAAGAACTTGAAGGTGCTTCAAAAGTTTTCCGTCCACCTTACTATAATGTTGCTAATGCCATTGGTGCAGCTATGTCGAAGATTTCTGGTACTATCCATACGATTAAATTATTACCACCTGATTCGATTTCAAAAGATACATTCCTTGAAAAATGTATAGAAGAAGCTAAACAACATGCTATACAAAGAGGAGCATTGAAATCTTCAATTACAGTGGTTGAAATGTCTCATGATCCCGTACCTTATATCCCTAATACTTTTGAATTCCATGTCAAAGTTGTTGGGGATGTTGATTTTGCTAAACTTCAGAAAGCATTTAAATTTGAAGAGGCTTCAACTATAGCTTTAGCTGAATCTGGTGGTGAAGTATTGAAAGATGTCACTGAAGCAAAGGAAGATTTCTCCATTGATAGTATTGATGTTAATGAATATAAGCCATTAATTAATGCTAACAGAGAATGGATAATTAATGAAATTGATTTAGAATTCCTTAGAATTGGAACTTATATTTTAGGTTGTGGTGGAGGAGGAACTCCATATCCCTCATTCCTTGATATTCGTCATTTAGTAAGACAAGGTGAGATTCTTAAGGTGATTGATATCAAAGATATTAAAAATTATATTAAAGATGATGGATTAATAATTCCAGTTGGATTTGCCGGATCTCCAACTGTTGCAATTGAACAATTGAAAAGTGAAGAATTAGTCCATGCCGCTCGTTGTTTAAGTCAATATATTGGAAAAGTACCTGAATTAGTATATCCTTTAGAAATTGGAGGTGGTAATGGGTTTACTGCTTTTGAAGTTGGTGCCTCATCAAGATTGAATATTCCAGTTGTTGATTGTGATTTAATGGGAAGAGCTTATCCAACATTATGGCAAACTACCGCCAATGCATGTTTGGATAATTTCAAATATAGCCCTGCTGTAATCAGTAATGGTAATGGTAATACTATGATCATAAGTGAAACTGCCAATAATGTGATTTTGGAAAGAGTTGTTAGAACTTCATTAACAGAATTAGGTACTCATGTGGGTAAAGTATCATCACCTATGAATGAATCTCAAATCATTGCTGGAACAGTGCATAAATCAATTTCTTTAGCTTGGAGAATTGGTAAAGCAGTTTGTTTAGCTAAACAAGAATTAGATATTGAGAATTTACCTTCGAGAATTATTGATTCAGTTGGTGGACCTGAAACCGGAAAATTCTTATTCTCAGGAAAGATCATTGATGTTAGTAGAAAATTATTCAAAGGTCATGTCTATGGTGAAGTTGTTATTGAAGAAGAATCGGAATCGAAGAGACAAATGGTTATTCCATTTAAGAATGAAAATATTTATTGTACCATTAGAAGAGATAAAGAAGATGAAGGTGAAATCGTATGTTCAGTACCAGATTTAATTACCGTTATAGAAATTGATACTGGTGAAGCCATTGGAACTCCAGATTATAAATATGGGTTAACTGTATTTGTGCTTGGTATCGCTCCAAGTAATAAATGGACTGATACTCAAAAAGCCCTTGATATTGGTGGACCTAAAGGATTTGGATTCAATGAAGTAGTGTATAATCCAATTGGTAAGTATATTGAACCAGTATCAGTCATTGATGAATATAGTTAGAGTAGTTTTTATAGAAGTTAAAAAAGATATATAAGTTGAATAAAAATGATTATAGAAAAAATTTAGGTTGTGAAAAAGAAATGCCACAAAAAAGATTCATATAAAATTGATAACTGGAGAAATATAGTGACCAATTAATAATCAACTATATGAAAACAATTGATCAATGAGCAAAGGGTTGACACAATTGGAGTTCCATATACCAGGTAGTGAATGGATTCCAGTAGAAGGAAACGCAGGAATATACAATAAAATCCTAAATGAAGATAAACAAAGTGGACGTATAACCTTATTACAAAAATATGAACCAGGAGCATTTACTGATAACGTTGCCAAACATACTTTCATCGAAGAGGTTTATATTATAGAAGGCGAGTTGACAGATAAGGGATTAAAGAAGACATTTGAGAAAGGAAGTTATGCATTTCGTCATCCTGGTATGATTCATGGTCCTTATGAATCACGAAAAGGTTGTTTAACGTTTATAATTATAGATCCATCTAAATAGAAAAGTCCATTAATATAATAATATATAAGGTTTTTATATTGATTAACTATGTACAGGTTATGCTAATTATTTTTTATTCCAAGCAGCGTTAGTGATTAAATCTTTAACTGATTTAACTCCATTAATAACATCATAAAGCAATTGTTTCTTTTCATGAGTTAAAGTTGGATTCTTAGATAATGCAGAGGCAGATAATTCATTTACTAATTGATTATCTTTATTTGATTCAGCCAATTGTAATGGCTTGACGTCACCTTTAACTAATTCCGAAAATCTATGTTTGAATTGATTTTGATTTACTTTTAAATTCCAATTCTTTTGAACTATGAATTTATTCTTTTTTGATTCTGAACTCAATTTAGATAAGATTTCTGATGGGACAAGATATGGATATTTTGATTTAATTAAAGTTTCTTTAGTCAATGATACTAATCTTGAATTTAAAGTATGATTTACACTTGTTACTTTACCATGTAAGAAAGTATCAGCTGTAACGGCCGGGTTTAATGCTTGAGGTTTTGGTAAGGTCTTTGGAGCGATTGGAGGAGCGACTGCTGGTTTTTTAACCACTTCACGTCCATTGACTTTTGAAGCACGAGCTGGTCTCTTTGTAGCATCTCTTCTTGGAGCTTGACCAGTTGTTCCAGGTCTTTCTCTAGTATGATCTCTAGGTTGAGCATCTGATCTTCTGAAATTTCTTTGTGGTCTTGAATCTCTATTTTCAAAGGTATTATTACTGCTGTTGGTATTGTTGTTATTGTTTTGATAGTAGTTAGATCTGTTTTGTTGGGGTTGATTTGGATCTCTTGGATCTCTTGGTTCTCTTGGTTCTCTTGGTCTATAATTATTATTGACTCTGAAGGGATGATTTGCACCTCTAGCAAATTGATTATTATTAGAATTGTTATTGTTATTATTGTTGTTATTGTTATTACGTGGAGTTGAAGTTCTGAATTCATTATTATTATTATTTCCAGCCTTTGATCTCTTTTGGCATGGACCTGAAGACTTTGGTTTTGATTTTACTTCATCATTCTTTTGTTTAATATTAGAAGTAACTGTATCTATTCTCTTTAATAATTCACTTAAGAAGATTGGATTTGAACTACTACTGGAACCAGAAGGAGTTGCACTAGAATTGTATCTAACTAATGGCAAAATACCATTTCTAATGGTAGTTCTAGAGATCATAGTTGAACTAATTACCTGATAACTTACCATATCATACCAGTTCTATTTTAAAGCTAGAGAAAACTTTTTTTTTCAACAATACGATTTTTGGTATGAAAAATAATTATATACAGGAATTAATGGTGAAGATTAATAGTTAAAAGTAGTAAAAGGATAGTATAAAGTTATATGTGGATAATTAATTGAATATATGATAAATTGAAATAGTAAGTAATTATGAATTATTTTGATATATTTATTAAAAAATTGGTATCAATTAACAAATTATATGATTAAATTAATGATTTATATAATATCATATACTCATGTGACGTAAGTCACATGAGCAAATTGACAGAAACACCCTCACCGCAATAACTAACTCCATTAACCAATAAAAATTGATTTTCAAGGTCTAATACTTAAGCTCAAATTTTGCAGTGCGAAAATTGGGAATCTCAAAATTTTAAAAATTAATTGGTGAGAAATTAAAAATGATCCGGGTAATGGGCTTATTTGGTAAGGTTTTTTTCGTTGTTTTCCACTCAGTTTGACAACCAAAAAACCTTCAACTTTTTTTTCAATTACTTAGTAGTTACTTACTTCTGTTTTCTACATCCAAAAGATCATATCTTTAGAACATATTTATTGTCTTTTATAGAATGTTGTCAGCTCGTCCAGTCTTAAGAACTGCTGCTCGTTCAGCCTCTGTTGCTGTCAGATCTTTAAGAGTTGTATGTATATCAATATTTATCAATTCATCAAAATGGTTGAAATTTTTCAAACCTCCAATTCATATCAAAGTCTCCACTCCATTTGATTCAATATCAATTAATCAATTACAATTCATCAATCAATTCAATTACATCACATCTATACATCTTGATTCATTGATCCATCAATCAATTGATATCAATATCAATCGCCCTTCAAATCAATAATGTCTGCGCTCTCTCGTCACCAATTTTTGTCCATGGGCCTTTTTTTTAGTCGCTCAACGACCAATGAGGGATCCCAAAAAAAATTAACTATGCCGACCCATAAATTTTTCAACCTCGAAATATATCAATTACATCAATCATTATCTCAACAGTTTGAATCCATAATCAATGTAGTTATCGATTATGAAATTTTAATTCCCTGCAATTCACTTTTTAAATCCCGTTGTCGGGAAAATCATCAAATATTTAAACAATTAATGGGGACTTTGTAAACTCTATGATTTGAATAATTTCATCATTCATTACATCCCCTTTTGGAATCAATATACTAACTTTAATATCTTATAGGCTCGTCCAGCTCAATTAACCGCTAGAAGATTTGCTTCTGCTAAAGCTGCTCCAACTGAAGTTTCTTCTATCTTAGAAGAAAGAATCAGAGGTGTTTCTGATGAAGCTAACTTGAACGAAACCGGTAGAGTTTTATCTGTTGGTGATGGTATTGCCAGAGTTTTCGGTTTAAACAACATTCAAGCTGAAGAATTAGTTGAATTCGCTTCCGGTGTTAAAGGTATGGCTTTAAATTTAGAAGCTGATCAAGTCGGGGTTGTGTTATTCGGTTCAGATGCTTTAGTTAAAGAAGGTGAAACTGTTAAAAGAACTGGTAAGATTGTTGAAGTCCCAACTGGTCCTGAATTATTAGGTAGAGTTGTTGATGGTTTAGGTAACCCAATTGATGGTAAAGGTCCATTAAATGCTTCTGCTTCTTCAAGAGCTCAAGTTAAAGCTCCAGGTATTTTACCAAGAACTTCAGTTTTCGAACCTATGCAAACTGGTTTAAAATCTGTTGATGCTTTAGTCCCAGTCGGTAGAGGTCAAAGAGAATTGATTATTGGTGATCGTCAAACTGGTAAAACCGCTGTTGCTTTAGATACCATTTTAAATCAAAAAAGATGGAATGATGGTGCTGATGAATCTAAAAAATTATACTGTGTTTATGTTGCTGTTGGTCAAAAGAGATCCACCGTTGCTCAATTAGTTCAAACTTTAGAACAAAATGATGCTCTTAAATATTCTATTATTGTTGCTGCTACTGCTTCTGAAGCTGCTCCATTACAATATATTGCTCCTTTCACTGCTTGTGCTATTGGTGAATGGTTCAGAGACAATGGTAGACATGCTTTAATTGTCTATGATGATTTATCTAAACAAGCTGTTGCTTATCGTCAATTATCATTATTATTAAGAAGACCACCTGGTAGAGAAGCTTACCCAGGTGATGTTTTCTACTTACATTCTAGATTATTAGAAAGAGCTGCTAAAATGTCTGATGCTAACGGTGGTGGTTCTTTAACTGCTTTACCAGTTATTGAAACTCAAGGTGGTGATGTCTCTGCTTATATTCCAACCAATGTTATTTCTATTACTGATGGTCAAATTTTCTTAGAAGCTGAATTATTCTATAAAGGTATTAGACCAGCTATTAATGTTGGTTTATCCGTCTCAAGAGTCGGTTCTGCTGCTCAAGTTAAAGCTATGAAACAAGTTGCTGGTTCATTAAAATTATTCTTGGCTCAATATAGAGAAGTTGCTGCTTTTGCTCAATTCGGTTCTGATTTAGATGCTTCCACTAAACAAACCTTACAAAGAGGTGAAAGATTAACTCAATTATTAAAACAAAAACAATACTCTCCATTAGCTGCTGAAGAACAAGTTCCATTAATTTATGCTGGTGTTAACGGTTTCTTAGATAATGTTGCTTTAGAAAGAATTGGTGAATTTGAAGAATCTTTCTTAGCTCACTTAAAATCTAATGAAACTGAAATCTTAGAAGCTATCAAGACCAAGGGTGAATTATCTAAAGAATTATTAGAAAAATTAAGAGCCACCACTGAATCTTTTGTTGCTACTTTCTAAGTTTAACAAAAAAGCTGTCTTTTGTTTGATTAAAATTCATTTAATATTTGTTTGATTTATTTAACATCGTCCCACTACATGCAATCATTTGACTTTTTGTTTATTTTTTATATTTGTTTTTGTTATCATCAATTATAAAAATTTAATTTAGGAAGAGAAGAAAAAACCCACCTACCATTCAAACCTATCCCATTCTTATAAAATTTTGCATTTGCATTCTTTTTCTTGCTGTATTGTGTTTTTTTATTTTGCATTTGATTAGAAGAACTAATATTCCAAATTGACATTAATTGAATTATTGTAGGGAAGTTCGTTTTTTTAAAATTTTAAACTTTTATTATATGAATCCAATCAAATCATCATTTTACTTTCAAAAATATCTAACTCCAAAGCAATCAAAATGAAAAATAAAAAAAAAGAAAAAAGAAAACTTTAATTCTTTTATAAACTTTTTTATACTATTTAGAAATGAAAAAATACGATATATTATTATTATTACTATTAAATCTTTTGTTCAATCATTGTAGATCTTGTAGATAGAACAAGCCTATAACTGGTATCTTAAATACGCGTCATTTCGTGACATCATTGGTAGCGCGCGTTGTTTTGTTCATGATTTTTTTTTCGCAAGTGTTTTTGTTTGGGGAGTTTAACAAAATGAAGAGAGATATGTGTTAATCAAAGTGTTGAAAAATCCAAAATTAGACTTGTTAAACCTTGGACCTTATAATGTCAGCTTCGAATGGTGGTAAAGGGAGACCAAGAAGAAAGCGCAATGGTGCGTCAAAAGTTGAAAAGATAGACTTATCAGCTTCAAATGATAAGACTACTGTTAAGGACAGTGGTGACAGCTCACCTTTTGAAGTGAAAGGTTATACTCATGAACCACCACCAGATCAAGAAGAATCTCAATTCGAGAATGATTTGGATTATTTATTGAATTCAAACCCTGATACTATAATAACTCAGGCTGTGGTGCTGACTGAAATATCTAAGTCTATTGAAATAGGTCAAGATGATGAAAATGGTAAACCATCAGATTCAAAGCCAAAATCGAGAAAACCTAAAACTGCGAAAGTTTCATTGGCTGATGTGACTAAGGATATGGATGAGATACAGTTTTCAAGTGATAGTGATGAAGAAGAACCTGTTCCTGTCAAAGAGAAACGGAAGAAAAAGAAGAGTCCTAAACCTAAGCCTCAAACTAAACCAATAGTGGAATCGGATGAGAGTGAAATAAAACTAATTGACAATGAAGAACCTATAGACTTTAGCGAGTTTGTGAATGAACAGTCAGAGGCCAAGGATTCTCGTCGGAAGGAAAGAAATAAGAAACGTTCAGAAAGAAGACAAAAGGCTAAAAAACTATCAAAAGAAGCTAATGAAGAAAGTACACCAGTTCAATCATCCACAGCATCACCAACCACTACTCCAGAACCAACGTTGGATAAGCCTTTTCAACCGGATTCACCTTCATTTCCATTCGATGTGAAACTTCGTCAAACTCCAAAAGCGGCTCTGAATGGTAGATTATCTGAAAACTTACCTCAAATCCAACCTAAAAGAACAATCATTGGTGTTTCCTTCAAACAACTATTAAAACTGAATACTTCAGATGTGAAAATTAAAACTATTGCATCATCACCTGCAATTTCAAAATATGCTGCCACTGCATTGAAATTCTGTATTAAACATAGTGATGATGTATTTGGTTATGAAGATATCGATGCTAAAGATATCTTCATTAAGTTATGTATTAATGTCGCATTGTTTGAATCAGTTGGATTTAAGAAAACAGCACAACAATATCCTAATGTACTTCAATTATTTGGAGATTATGAAGAAATAAACTTAGATACCACACGAACAAAATTAACACCATCAAATAGAGATATCCATCAAAATAATTTGGATTATTCAGTGTTATCATATATAGGAAACATCATAATATGGGCTAACCATATACAGCATGAAAATGACGTTAGATTATCTATCAAGCATCGAGATGATATTTCTAAGTCAATTATAAAACAAAATTTTGGAGGTTATCATTTGTGGGATAAGTTAATTCGAGAATCCAAAGGAATGAATGCTAAACGTTGGAAACATATCGTCAAGTTTAGACAGAATTTTCCTTTGGAAGAACAACAATTCATTTTGATTTTAAGATTTATGAATGTTCTTGAACCAGCTACCTAATTTGTAAACTCCTTGTATATAAAATAAAAGCCATTATTTAATCCCCAGAGTCTATCAGCCTGTAGTAGTAACGTGATCATACCAATTATCCACGAAAGTGTGGTATACATCCCCTTTCAATGAGTCATGTAATTCAAACTTTATTTCGTTATCGCATTTTTGCAGTACTTCTTACCGATTAAGCAAAGCGCACAGAATTCATAATTTTTTTCAGCAGATCTTGATGTATTTCTTTACAAAATCTGATTTCATTGGAAACCACGGGAAGGTGTATAAGCTAGAAGGCTAGGGAGAAATATGACATTCGAGTTATTGGCATTAAGAAAAGATTGGTTCTATCACCATGAGGAACAAGAGTTACGTTTTGCTGGTTTAATGAAGATCATTAACAAAGCGTATGACAAAGCCAGATTCAAATACGGTATAATTGAGACTACAAGAATCAAATATCCTAATGCAATTCCAGCTGATCTTCAATTGAGCACAGTTGATGGTTTTGCTTTATTTATCTTATTGGGTCCTGAGAAAGCATTCCAAGAATTAAAAGAGAAACATAACTATACTCGAGATTTTTCCACAGTTTCACTGAATTTAGAGCAAAGTTTCAATTGTGATATTCCAGAACAGTACTTATCTTCATTTGATTTGAATAATTTGAATGACGTTAAAATAACCATAGTTGATAATGATTTCGAATTGGATGATAAAACAACAAACAGAGTGTTGGGATCTGCCGGATTCAGAATTTATGCTCATGGAAACAAAGATGATTCAATCTTAGATCTTGAATTAACTGCTTTCACATCATATATGAGAAAACTTGGTCCAAAAATATTAAACCTTATTATTGATAAATGTTTGCTTAATGAAAAGCTTCTTTCCAAATTGTATCCTACATTAGGTCCTCTTGAGCAATATAACAAAATCATTATTCATGCCGATGTCATAAAGGAACATGGATTAGTACAATATTACGTGAACAATTGTACATTCCAACAAGCAGATAAAAAAGATATCTTTTATGAAGTTTCTGAGGATAAAAAGGTTAAATCAGAAGGAACTCTCGAGGAAGGTATACTTGCAACTCGTAGTTTTACTATCTCCTTCATATATAGAGAAATTTTACTTAAATAGACAATATATAGAAAAAGTTTATATTTTTATTTTTTAGATTGTTATATACATTTAATTCGAACTAGTTTGCAAACTTTCAAAGCTTACTAACGAACAGTCATTTAGAATATCCATTAACTGATAACCAGTTTGAAATTGGAGCAATATCACGTTTGGCTGATTTGATCTTAGCACTAACACTATCAAGAGCCTTAGCTAAACCTTGATCATAACCCTTAGTATCCTTTTCAGCAAAGAATTTTTCAACAGCTTCTTTTTGCTCTTGTTTGGTATAAGATGAGGTGGCAATAATAACAATTGAACCTAACATAGAGTTACTTGGAGGAATTAATTCATAGATAGGATCCCAGTTTTCAGTTAACCAAGACCATAATTTATTAATACCTTCCTTGTGAGCTCTTAAACCTTGCATTGGAATGTAAATATCTTGTTGTTTGATGACATCAGTTTGTAATAATAAAGCAACAACTTTATCTAAGATTTCTGGTTTATTGAATCTACCTAATGCTCTTAAAGCTGAGATTCTCACTTCAACGGATTCTGAAGTCTTGTAAATATCCAACAATTGTTCAAAAGTGTTTTCATCACCAACTTTAGCAGCATAATTGAAAATAGAAGCTCTCAAATTTGGATTAATGGCCTTTTTATCACCCTTAATGTAAGCTTCGAAAGCATTGGCAGCAAATTCTACAGCTTCTTTATGACCAGAACTAACAGCAGAAGCAAAGAAAACACTCTTTAATTTTTGAGATGAAAAACTATCCTTATCAGAGAATTCCCAACCGACTTCTTTCAACTTTGGAGCGATCAAATCAAGAACGAAAGCGTCAATACCTTCTTTAATTGATTCATCATCAAAGATAAAGATCAGTTTAACAGATGCAATCTTGGCTAAGATAGATTCCCAAACGACGTAATTGCTTTCTTCGGTCCAGGTTCTAACTAAATTGAATAAAGCTGTAGCTTCAATTAAACCAGATGAGACCAAAGCACTAGCATCAGAAACTAAACCAACACGATCTTCAACAGTAAGCTTACCTTCAGCACCAGCTTCACCTAATTGAGTCCAACGGGCTGGTTCATAAGCAGTTCTGTAAACACCGGAATGATCAGCGTTGATCTTAACGAAATTGGCTGGTTTAGGGATGGTAATAGATCTTTCCAGTAAGACAACAGTTTCATCAATACCTTCGGAAGTTCTAATACCTAAGAAGACAGGGTATAAAATTTGATCTTCTTCTGGTTTGACATCACCGGTAGTTAAGAAACGGTTTTGAGTAAAGACAAGTTTATCATCAACTTCTTCAACTTTAACTAATGGATGACCAACGTTTTTAGTCCAAATGTTCATGACAGTATTAACGTCTTTACCACTGACTTCACTTAAAGCATCCCATAAATCGGAAGTGTAAGTGTTACCCCATTTAAATCTCTTTAAGTAAAGAGAAACACCTGAAACGAAAACTTCTTCACCTAACCATTTTGAAACCATCTTTAATAAAGCACAACCCTTAGAATATGAGATAGCATCGAAAATTTGACTGATTTGGTCAACTCTTTTAACTGGAACTTCAATTGGGTGAGAAGCTCTTAAAGAATCTAAACTTAAAGCTTGTTGAAGATTATCGGAAACATATGATTCCCAAACTTTCCAATCTGGGAATAAAGCATCGGCAGCATACCAAGACATCCAAGTTGCGAAACCTTCATTTAACCATAAACCATCCCAGAATTCCATGGTAACTAAATTACCAAACCATTGATGGGCTAATTCGTGCATAACAACTTCAGTGACTCTTTGTTGAGTAGCAGCATTGGTATTAGCGGTATCAATTAAAAGATCAACGGTTCTATAAGTCACTAAACCATAGTTTTCCATAGCACCAGCAGCAAAATCTGGAATGGCAACCATATCTAATTTTGGCAAAGGATATTCAATATCGAATTTCTTGTCAAAGAATTTCAAAGTCTTTGCGGCAATTTCACCAGCATAGACACCTAAGTTTTCAGTATCAGCAGTAGCATACACTTTAATTGGGACTCTATAATCGTTGTTTTCAACATATTTCAATTCACCAACCACAAATGCGACTAAATAAGTAGACATAATTGGAGTAGTATTGAAGGAAACAACCTTTTTATCATCACCTAATAAAGTGGTTTCCCTTACATCCATATTAGATAAGGCAGTCAATTCCTTTTGAGTGACAATATTAATGGTGAATTTAGCTTTGGCAGCAGGTTGATCATAACATGGGAAAGCTTTACGACAATCAGTAGCTTCCATTTGGGTGGTAGCTAAATATTTGGTGACACCATTATCTTTATAAGAAGATCTATAGAAACCACACATATTTTCATTCAAGGTACCAGTGAATTTAAGGTATAACTTAGCATCAGCACCTTCAACTAAGTGATCATCAAACTTGAAAGTAACAGTTTGTTTGGCAACATCAAATTCATAAGGAACTGTAACGTCGTTTAATTTAGCTTCTTGGATTTCAATTTCAAGAGAATTCAAAGTGATATAGTCAGTTCTTTCAATGACATGGAAATCAACAGTTTCTTCCCCAGTGAAAGTGAAATTTTCAAAGATTGGTTCAATGGTTAAATCATAATGAAGGGGTTTAACGTTATTTGGTAAAACTTCCCTATCCAGAGGGACAAGACTAGCACCATCGGTGGAGTTGTTAGTATGACGACACATTTTAGAACAATACGATCGTTGGAAGTCAATTGAGTTGGATTTGATTGAAAAAAAATGGGGGTGGCAATAATTGTTGATTATATACTTGATTTAGGGAGTTCCTCCAATGTTGCTGGTGGTATTTCAATTTTTGTGTGGGACGGCTCACTGAGAAATTTCGGCTATGATAGTTATTGACAGTTACCGAGCTGAAAGAATACCAACGAATATAAGTACGACCTAATAATAGTAATGAAGATGCAGACTTATTAAGCTTTGTGCTATACCAATTGCCACTTGGAACTAAGAGGCTCATTGGAATTCAATGGAATTGTTTTGAGTAAGAGTTACCTAAAATTGATCGAATTAAGACTTATTAGCGACAGTTTTTTCACTATTTTTCCCCTAGCAAAATGGTGCCAGCTAGGGGAGCGTATAGAAGAAGCCGCAGCATGGTACGGAATTTGATCTTCATACGCCGCTCAATCACAATACTATACGTAACCATAGATGGTTAAGAGTAATTATAATTATACATTCTATAGACATAGTTCTCTACATGTTATTCCAAATGTATTAATGAAGTATTTTTTATTAACTTTGACTATTTAACTTATTTATTTATTTGTGGTGTAAGTGGAGAAACTAACCAGTTCTTTGAATAAGATGGATTCCACTATCACTTTCAACTACATCACTTAATTCACCTACATGTAAACCAAAGGCAACATTAGCAAAACTTGGTTGCATACTTTCTTTAGTGAAAAAGCCTAAATCTCCTCCTCTAACATGACTACTACAATCACTTTCAGTTTCAGCAATCTCAGTGAATGTAGCTTCACCATTCAATATTCTAGCTTGATGTTTTTTAGCAAGTTGAATAGCTTCATCTCTGGATCTGGTAATTTCATCTGATTTCCATGATCTAGGTTTACGTGATGTTTCATTTTTAATAAGAATATGAGAAGCACGAATCTTTGAATCTTCACCAACTACAGCCTTATTACCATTGTTCTTATAGGTTTTTAAATAATCGTTTAACTTTTCATTATCAGTTCCAAAGGGGGGTTCCCATGATGCTTCCTTTGTCAGTTGATTCAAGAAATATTCTTTATTATGGGTGCGCGAGACTCTAATAGTCCATCCAGGGGGTAATCCAGTATTTGTAGACATATCAATTTACTACTACGATCTATTGTTTGCTAATAACTCAAGTAGAAAGTGTAATATTTGAATTTATAATGTTTAATTTACGTTTTCGATGACAAATATTTTTGATTTGACGAGAATTGAGCATAAAAATTGATCACGTTTATTATCACGTGAATTTAAAATTCTATCAATGAATTGAAATCACCTCTAGTTTTTGCCTTTGTGTAATGGGAAATTTAGGATACAAAAACAAAAAATATGCACAATTTCATGCATGAATCATGCAGTGTTATATAATCATTCTAATATTTATTGTTTCTAAAAAAACTATAATAAATAGGAAAAAAAATCAAAATATCTATAGAATTGATTTAAAAGTCTAATACTTAGGTTGAGTAGCATAATAACTTGTTCGTTTTGATATAGCTTCAACTGATTTAAGTAAACGTCGGCTCCAAACAGAAACTTAGTTGTTTTTTCAGGATCCTTGGTACCATGCTTTTCCCGGATCCAATTAATAAGAGTTAATTGGTGAGTTAACTATGCATACCATTCAGATTTATTAATCTTAAAGATAAGGATTGGTTCATTTTCCTTTGGGAGGATAGCAGATAAATCTCTCTTGAAATCACTTTGGAGAGTAGTCTTTGGAAGAAAGTTTGTAGTCATTTTGTCAGAAGTTAGATACAAATATATGATATTATAACTATTATACTATAAGTTTATAAACTAGTATAAGCTCAAAATTGTTGATGCGAAAATTTTGCAATGTTTTTTTTGTATAAGTGTTTTTTTCGACCATTTTTAAGTTCCAAAAAGAAACGAAAATAAGATGTAAAAGAAGTTTATGTGTATGTATTAATGAAAGTCTACTTATATAGTTTACTTATCTAGACTAGTTATACATATATATATTTGTCTTCTTTATTAACTCATGACATTAAGTTGATTAATAAATTAAATAAATGTAAAACTCTAACATATTCTAACATAGTTGTCAATTCAAATAAGTTTAGACTCTTACGATGATTATTAATTCAAATTTCTGTAAGTTTTTAACTTGCTCATTAATAACGATCATCATGTTTAATAATTGGAGAACTTCAACATTTCATTTACCTTCAGCATAAAAAAGTACCATTCAAAGAATCATATTACTTTTTCAATTGAAACAGGTTTAACAACCTGTACTCCTATCAAGCTTATATTCTTGAACTTTTAAATAACATAAAGTGAATTTGCTCAGGAAGTTGTCGCCATAGCAGATACCACCAATCCGTTTTTGTAAGTCATTGAGTATAGCTGTCGACATTTAGTAAATGAGAAGTAATTTAGAAGCAGCACTCTTCAATTGTTATCTGTGGTATTGTGCAAACCCCAGCACACAATTTACTGTACCAACATGGATGAAACTCAGTTCTAGCCAACCAAAACCTAAACAATTTAAACCATACCTGTAAATATTTCAAAAGTTAGTAATGAAGTTCTGAATTCTTAATGAATAATTATACTTACTTTTGTTTCAATCTTTAATAACTATTTAATGGAAACAAAGAGTTGTTTGGACATTAATTGTAGATGTTTCTATACCTTTTGAATAAAAGAAAGTGGTCTGTATTATAAAAAAAGTGGACGATTTGTTTTGGTTATATATATGTTCAAAACATTGGGAAGAGTTGAAAAAGTTTTGGATTTCAATGTTTATAATCTTCCCAAAAAGGCAAGTGTGGTGCAGTTTTGTGCAACCAAAATATGCACGGGTATGTGCGGATCATTTTTATTTTTTAAACCCAAAAAAAGAAAAACTAGAGGCCAAACGAAACTAGCGAAATTCTATATATATATATTAAATTAAATTATATACCTTTCAGCTTTAAAGCTTGTTTAACCTTTTCATAAACTTCATTAACTGGTTGGTTACAATTGACTTTGACTACTTTATCTTGCTTTTCAAAATAATCAACTACTGGCATTGAAGTTTCAACAAATGTTCTAAATCTCTTGGTGATACTTTCAACATTATCATCAGTTCTACCACTAGTTTTACCTCTTTCTAATAATCTTTCTAACATAACTTTTTCAGGACATTCAAAGAATAAAGTGAATTTAGACTTTGAAATAGTATCTTCAAAAGTAAGGGCTTGATCCATCTTTCTTGGGAATCCATCAATTAAGAAATTCTTAGCCCCTTTAGCATGTTCTTCCTTAATGGCTTGTTCTAATAAAGCAACTGTAACTTCTTGAGGAACAATTAAACCATCTCTGATATATTGAGCAATCAATTCACCATACTTTGAACCTTCTCTCTTTTGTTCTGCACGTAATAAGTCACCAGCTGATAAATGGACAAATCCATGATCTTTAACCAATAATGCACTTTGAGTACCTTTTCCTGATCCAGGTCCACCCAATACAAATATAACATTGACTTCCCCATCCTTGAAAGTAGCTCCACTCTTTTTCTCAACAGGTTCAATGGCTGACTTTGGTGCGCCTTTGCTATATAATGATGAAGCTAAGGTGGTACCTATAGCTAAAACTCCTAAACCGATTAAGAATTGAGTTTGGAATCCCTTACGTGGTGGAGGAGTAGATTTGGTGGAGTTCAATCTCCTCGAAGTTTGCAATAAACCGAATCTAATCGATCTTGCAGATGCTAATCTAGTTGATCTAACAAACATGATTGGTGTTTTCTAAATAGTTTAATGTTTACAATAAATGATTTAAAATTTTCCAAAATTTTAGAAAAAAAGGTTGACAATGAATATTTCGCGATACTATAAATTTATTCTCTATATAATTTTACTTAGTGTAGGAGATTAAGCTCTTATCGTCAAATCTTAAGTACTTACCATTAACTTCATCAGACCATCCTCTTAATGCTAAATTCACGTATACTGTGGCTGGAGTTTCTGGTTTAAGTAATTCATTATTTTTATGTAAATCTGTGAATCTTGATAATGCTTTTTCTTCCATATCTTTACCAAACTTTTCTCTAATATCCTGTTGCATGGCTGTATCGACTACACCTGGAGCAATTGAAAGAGCTTTAACTTCAGTTTCTTCTTCAGCCACTGATGCAATCAAATGATTCAAAGCTGCTTTGGAAGAACCATAAGCATACCAGGCATTATAAGGCTTTAATGCTGCTCCAGATGAAACAGCAATGATATTACCGTTAGTTTTCTTCAATTCAGCCAATGATTGTTGAATGATATCAACAACGGCAAAGAAATTCACATCATATAATGTCTTCCACTTGGATAAGTCGGTTTTTTCAATTGGACCAACTGGATCAAGAACACCAGCATTGGCTATGACTGAATTGATTTGACCAAATTTGCTAATTGCAAGCTTTACAGCAGCCTTAGTAGTTTCAGGGTCAGTAACATCACCAACAACGATACCAACTCTATCACTACCAAACTTTTGTTCAATATCTTTTAAATTATCACCAGATCTTGCAACAGCAATTAATTTTGTGTTATCATTGGTTGATAAAAGGATTTCAGCAATTGCCTTACCAATTCCTAATAATATGTTAGTATGAGTACTTGTTTCGTTTTAACTCTGACTTTACATACCTCTAGAAGCACCTGTTAATATGGTTACGTGAGACATCTTTGTTACTTGGGCTCTTCAAATATGAAAGATTAACCAGAAGTTTGACATATTTTCAGAAGGGTTATAATCAAGTCGTGCGTGCGAAAATCGGTACGGACTCCAATTACTTCGGTGAATGAAGAAGCAAAGATAATTCTAAATCATACAGAGTTCCTATTACATACTACAAGGTAAGAATGTTTCAATATAAGCTTAATTTTTGATTAAATTGTTTAAAATAAATATAAGGTAAATACACTATAATTTGGAACTGACTGGATTCAAGTGAGCACCTCCATCAATTGGAAGAACTACACCATTAATATAAGCAGAAAGTTTGGAACATAAGAATAAAGTAACAGCTTCAATATCTTCCTTTAATCCTAATCTACCTCTTGGATTAGCTTCAACCATAGCTTCACCAGCGACTTCTAATAAACCGTTGGACATTTTGGTTGGGAAGAATCCTGGTGCTAAAGAATTGACAGTAATGTTTCTTGGACCTAATTGAATGGCTAAATTCTTACCTAAATGAGAAACACCAGCCTTAGAAGCTAAGTAACCATAAGTACCAACTGGTTCATTGGTGATAATAGAAGCAATTGAAGACATAATAAGAATTCTTGAAGGATCTTCTTTGGAACCTGCCTTTTCTAATAATGGAGCAAACAATTGAATGGTATGGAAGACAGCAACAACGTTCAAGTTTAAGATTTTCTTGACAGCAGATACTGGATGTTCATCTAATGGAGCTCCCCAAGATGCACCAGCATTAGCAATTAAAATATCAACTTTATCAACTTGTTTGGAAACTTCATTGAAAAATCTGACTGCATCTTCTTCAACAGCTATATCAGCTGGAATACTTATAATTCTCACTTTCTTACCAGCTTCTCTAGTAACTTTCTCTAAATATTGCTTAGCTTCTTCACAAGCTTTAGCTTTTCTGGAGGTGATAACGACAGTAGAAGCACCATTTAAAGCCAAAACTTCAGCACAATTCAACCCTAACCCACGGGTACCACCAGTAACAACTGCAACTTTTCCATTTACGTTTAAGTCAACCATTTTTAATTATAATCAATATATATCAACTCAAATCAAAAGAAAAGAATAAGTTAGAAAATAGCAATTATTTATGTGAATCTTGCATGGAGAAACATCTCTTATTTTTTTGACTGGGGAAATTTAAGCAGCGGTTGATCCCCGCAATTTTTCCTCGGGCAAGTTTGATAAATCCGCAAAAAAGTTGCAAATTGGCTTACACTTCGCTTATTTACAATTAAACATAATTAGATATCGTTACATTGTTATGCTATCACTCTATATAAACGTCTATTTGGTTGCAAGTGTCAATTGGAATATCAATCTGAATTTTGGTAATACAGGATTTATCATTGAAAACACAAGCAGGCTACTATTTAACATCTTAATATCCTTGCCGGCAAGAACTTGAACAAGCTTGGTTATTGGACGGCCATTATTACGAATTGCCCATATTTCAATAACGTCTTTACAAACTAATATTAAATGATCATTCTTAAACGCAACTGAATCAGCCACAAATGCAAACCCCAACTTGGAACTTCTAGTTAAATTCAAATCCTTGTTAACAAAAACGGCAAATTTCCGGTATGCAAGTATAAATTCATTCTTTTGCAGACTCTTTAATCTAAACATTCCCATCGGTCTGGCATCAGAAGATGATAATGCGTTATAAATAGAATCAAGTCCAATTCTAGTTTTAGCATCAGTAATATTGGTACCGTCGATATATCTTTTAATTCTTTCACTTACTGATTTAGCTTCCAATTGATTCAAGTTCATGATAGTGAAATTCTTATTTGAATAAATTGCAATAAATTCCCTGAATATTGCTACTCCATTACATTCACCTGGATCGTAAAATGGATCCTTTGAACTAAATCCATTGAAAATACCACCATGTTCGGTTACTGGAACCTTAGTTCTCAAGAATGTTTTGGTCCCTTCTCTCTTCCCATAGATAACTATCTGCTCCTTCTCATATTGTCCAAGTTCAAAAAAGTCGACTTCTCCACTTGAAAGTAAATTACCACTACTCATTCTCATATTTCTATCATACATCTCTATTAACTTTTCTAAGGTGAAATATCTCAATCTTTTCTTAGACAAGAAAAACACAAGACTCTTCTGTTCAAGTGTTCTTATTTTAGTTATGCTTTCACCATCCATAACTAACTTCCATTTAGTTGTACCTAATTTGCAGCAATATAATCCCAAATCCAGTCCAATCATAATATATTTCTCATGGTTATACTCAAACGAGCTCAGACATCTGATTTGAGATGTAGTCAAATTGCCAAGAACTATACCCTCTTTGTACTTTCCCAAACTAGCTGGAGGAATGTCACGAATAGAGCATTCGTAAATTGGATCTATCTCCGAGTATAGCTGAGTATATTCCAAATCAGCATTTAGATCATAAGCAAAATATGAATTTGATATAAGGTTCAACTTATATGGTAAAGTATTATTTGTTCGTTCAAACAATAAAAGTTTAGGAATAGCAAGACTTTGAAATGGGAAGTTTTCACCGGCCATGAAAGTATAACTCTTGATACCAGAATAATTTAACTTGAATTGAATAGGATCAGTATTAACTTTCTTCTCTATTAATAAAAACTTGGTAGGAATATAAAATAAAACTAGACCTTCATTCTTCTTATCAGATTTTTCCAAAACAAATACAAAATTATCAAGTACAATGATAGTGACCTTTCTCATAACAAAGTTCCATTTAAGTTCGGCAAACCCTTCTGAGATAAATCTTCGTGTTGGACTGTTCCAATCAAGATCAATCTTTTTGAGAGATCCCCAACTTAAAAATTTGTGAACTCTTGCAAGTTGGAATCGATTACCTCCTCTTTCAATTTTCAGATTTACTTCATAACCTAAATCATCTATCCAACGCATAGCAACTTTAAGACTTTCTAGATCTATACCTTCCATATTCAATTTTTCTAATTGTAAGTTAATCTTTGAAAACCTTGAAAATACCGAATTAGCTAACATTTCAGAATTTTGTGACAGTTCTCTAATCTTTGGAATATTGTCTAATTGATCCTTAAATTTCAGTACGTAATATGCTCTACCAATTAAATGAGAGAAATGCTCCTTAAGTGGTTTCTTCACATGTTCTGACCAATCAAAGTATATATCTAGCATCTGCTTAATGGCAGCTACTATGGTCTCTGGTTCGTCTTCTGATAATTTGATATCCAATAAAGGTCTTAATAAGAATCTCTCATGAACTTGAATAATTTGTTCAGCCCATCTCGATACATTCGTTTCAAAATTGAAGTCTTGACATTCCTTGACAACTAAAGATGCAAGCTCTGGAGCTAATACTTTCACATAAAGATTCGCATTAGATCTAAATGATATTTCCAGAGCAATAATCTCTGCTATCACATTAACTTCCTTAACTGGATTTGGCAACTTTGCATTCCATTTGGTTTTAACAAACTTGTCAATATCTAAATTTTCGTCAAGTTTGTCTGTGTATTCTTTGTCAAAGACCGTTTTTATCCCTTCTTCTCTATAATAAAAAGTATCATTTCTACTAGGAATAACACCCCCATCCAAAATCCGAATATGCAGATTTGGAGTTTCATAGGAAACATATTGAATGCATTTATATGTACATAAAGCTTCAGTTATATCATCCGTACATTTCAAATTGTAATAAAATTCAAAGTTATAATTGAAAGCCAATAGTTTGAAAATAGACATTTTAAATGAAAACAGTGACATATCTGATCCGGACAGCCACTCTCTTAGTTTCAAACACCAATTATATATCGACGTTAACGATTCAATATTCTCACATTGTTTAAAATGACTCTCGTTCCATGACTTGGCTTGATAATCTGACCTGTGATCGAATTGTTTCGGTACTGGTGGTAGTTTACCACTCTTTAGTTTCTGATCTAACACATCTTCGGGCGGTGTTTGAGCTTGGATTACAGGATACATTGAATCACTTTTCCCATATTCGAAAGGAGGTAGTGTTGGTAGCACATCTTTACCTGAAATATATTGAGTATAATTGTGCAATGCTTCAATCTGTTTATTTACATATTCAATTTCCAATTCAACATCGTCATCATCATAATTAAAGGTGGGTGAATGACCATCTCTCATGAATGAATCATGTTCTGGTGGATACGAATGTACAGGAGAAGATGATTTAGTAGGACTTATGGATCTACTACGTAATGAATATTCACGATTAGGACTTGGTGATACTCCCAGAAGGTACATATTAGAATTCGTATCTATATGAAGTACGGGGGTAGTTGACGATGGTTCTTGTGTAGGAGATCTATTTGGACTGGTATTCAACGTGGCTGGGAGTGTAGGAGATCTTGACATTTGTTGATACAGTCGTCGTCTATTTAAAAAGTAATCCTTGGTATAAGTGGTGGGAGTACTTTCCGCACGAGTTAAGGTACTATTCAAATCATAATCTGACAACTCTCGTGGTCCACTAAGTCTTGGACTTTCATTATACGTGGACGTCTCGAAATATGAACTTTCATTGTCAGGAGGAATCCTTGATGGAGTAGTATAGGGAGTGATGATGATTTGATCTTCATTTGAATAATTATTGGTAGGGTTTGAAGGACTTAAAATCACTGGAGCAGACACCGCAGTAATTGGTGGAGGCCGCCTCCGTGGCCGTGAGGGAGTCGTTGCTTGACTGTTTGGTTCGGTCATCTTTAGTCAATTGACCATCTATATACCAAGACTGTAATGATATGATATCCACACTATAATTCTTGTTTATAATAAACTTATGACACGATCTGCGGCGTTGATGTTTTAAACGCGAGGTCAAAATATTTTTTATTTATGGATTTTTTCAGTTATTTGACATAAACAATACTGAATAGCAATAGAAGTATACATTCGAAATGTCGTACGACGAAGCCATTACTAAGCTCCTTGCTGAAGGATCAAGAGCATATTCGTCGAAGAATTATGACTTAGCCAGTGAAAAATATGGTGAAGCTTGTGAGAAATATAGTGAAGACAATGGTCAAGAAGATGCTGATCTATTATTGACATATGGTAAAGCATTATTTCAAAGTGCTGTTTCTAGATCTGAAGTCTTTGGGGGTACTGCTGGTAATGGTTCTAAAGATGAAGGTAATGATGAAACGCGTAAAAATAAGGAAGAGGAAGAGGAGGAAGAAGAAGGCGAAGAAGATGGTGATAAGTTTCAATTTTATGATGCAGCACCATTAGCTGAAGAAGATGTAGCTGAAGAAGTTGCTGCAGAAGAAGAAGAACCTGAACAAGAAGATGCAGCTGAAATAGAGGATAACAAAACTGGCGAAGTACAAGAGGAAGAAGAAGATCAAAGTGACTTTGAAGTTGCTTGGGAAATATTAGATCTTGCACGTTCATTATTTGAATCACAATTAGAAGAACAAAGTGAAAAGAAATTAAAACCGCCATATCTTAATTCAGATAATGAAGAAACTGATAATCCATTCATAATCCTTACTAAGAAGTTATCAGAAACATATGATTTATTAGGTGAAGTATCATTAGAATCAGAAAATTTCCCCCAATCAGCCACTGATTTAGAAAATTGTTTAAATCTTAGATTGAAACTTTATAATCCAAAGTATTCATCATTAATTTCCGAATCACATTATAAATTATCATTAGCTTTAGAATTCTGTGTGGAAGATCCAAAACTGAAATCTAAATCAATTGAACAAATGAAATTAGCTATTGAATCAGTTAAATTAAGAAACGAAAATGAAACTGATGAATTAAAAAAGAAAGATAATGAGGAGCTTTTAGGTGATTTAAAATTGAGATATCAAGAGTTACAAAGGGATGAAACTGATGCATTTAAGGAAGAACAAGTCAATATAATCAAAGGTATTTTAGGTGAAGCCACTAGTGATGGAAATGGTGGTAATAGTGGAAATGTTGCAAGTCTGGTAGTTAACACATTAAGTGTTAAAAAGAAAGTAGCATCACCAGCAGTTAATGATTTAACTTCTATTACTAAAAAGAGAAAAGCAACTGATAAAAACTCCGGTATCGAAAAGAAAACAAAGGAAGAGTAAATCTATGTAGTTTTATTACACAGAATATAAATTAAAAATTGGATTGCTTGCTTAATTGTAGAAGTGCTTGGTAGCATTACCCATATCGATTTGTTGGGTTTGCTTTGGTTGGATTAGATTGGATTATGTCTTGCCTTTATATCTATCAATTAAGATAACGAAACGGTGCCGTATATGTTTGACGTTCGTCGAAACTTAATATCTAAGATTGAATCATCATTGATACTCCGGGGAACCAGCCAAAACCAAATGGTCCTATAAAACTACACCAAATTCAATTAAAAAATAACTAAGGCCAAGCAATTAGGGGCTATAATTTCGGAATCGGAGTTCAATTATTTAGGTTAATGGAAATTAAGTAACAACCAAACCCAAAACATAAACTTTACGTATGCTATTAAAAATAAATGGAAGTTATACTCCGAACATCAGTTGACTCACAACTATTTAGATCACCAAACTCCATAAGTTGTTAAACACCCTATATAAAATGGCAGGCCAGATAGGCCCAAAATCCTGCACATGCATTCTCCGTTAAGTAGCCTCGGAGTTCTCCCCATAGTGAGGACTCCTCGGCAAATTTCACACTATAAAATCATTTAAGCTATAACCATTTTAGACCGTATGCCCATAATTCGTAGTAAATTTCGAAAATCGGATCCGAATCAGGATAATCATTTTTGATTAGTAACATTGTGTTCATAATATTTTATATTTCTTTTTCATATGATACGTTTATGATTCATGAATCATCAAATGATATTATCAGTAATTTTCTTTCAATTATGCTCTGATTTTTTGCTTCTGATAAATTCATTTACAAATTTAGTGTTAACTCTTTGATTTTGATTATTGAGTTATTATACTACATATATAGATAGATGGATAGATAGATGAAAATACATAGATCATATCTAGATAAAAAAGTGTAGTTGCCCGTTGACCCTGAATGGGACGAAGGGCTACATACATACAATCGTAATCGCCAAAAAAATCCTTCTATCCGAGGTGGTTTTATCGTGCTTATATTGGGAGTGTCCTGCATACATACTGGATTAACGGAACGAATTAAATCTGGGGTAGTCCTTTAAATTATTTCATGATATTTAAATTTCATCATTCGTATAAATATCACTAACTCTGTCCACTTTTGAAAAATTGAACATTTGTAGGAAATCTCTCTTTTTCTAGTTTATTTATATTCATCATAGCTAGTAACTTTTAATAATGCCTTATACCGCTATTAACCTCGACGAAGAAGAAAAATTCTTCCAAGATCAAGTCCAAGACCTTAAACAATGGTGGTCTCAACCCCGTTGGAGAAAGACCAAGAGAGTTTATGCTCCAGAAGATATAGCTAAGAAGAGAGGTACTTTAAAGATTGAATACCCTTCATCTAACCAAGCTAAAAAGTTATTCAAATTATTAGAAGAACATGATGCAAAAAAGACTGTTTCTTTTACTTTTGGTGCTTTAGATCCAATTCATGTTTCTCAAATGGCTAAATATTTAGATAGTATTTATGTTTCAGGATGGCAATGTTCTTCTACTGCTTCTACTTCAAATGAACCATCTCCAGATTTAGCTGATTATCCTATGGATACCGTTCCAAACAAGGTTGAACATTTATGGTTTGCTCAATTATTCCATGATAGAAAACAAAGAGAAGAAAGATTAGGTTTATCAAAAGCTGAAAGAGCTAAATTACCTTATACTGACTTTTTGAGACCAATTATTGCTGATGCTGATACTGGTCATGGTGGTATTACTGCTATTATTAAATTAACTAAATTATTTGTTGAAAGAGGTGCTGCTGGTATTCATATTGAAGATCAAGCTCCAGGTACCAAGAAATGTGGTCATATGGCTGGTAAAGTTTTAGTTCCTGTTCAAGAACATATTAATAGATTAGTTGCTATTAGAGCTTCTGCTGATATTTTAGGTTCTGATTTATTATGTGTCGCTAGAACTGATTCTGAAGCTGCTACTTTAATTACTTCAACCATAGATCATAGAGATCATTACTTTATTGTTGGTTCTACCAACCCAAATACTCCAGATTTAGCCACTCTTATGCATGAAGCTGAACAAGAAGGTCTTACTGGTGCTAAATTAGCTGCTGTTGAAGCTGAATGGACTAAAAAAGCTGGCTTAAAATTATTCCATGAAGCTGTTATTGACACTATTAATGCTGGTAACTATCCAAACAAAGCTCAATTAATTAAGAAATTTACCGATAAAGTTAACCCATTATCATTAGCTTCTAATAAAGAAGCTAGAAAATTAGCTAAAGAATTAACTGGTAAAGATGTTTACTTCAATTGGGATGTTTCAAGAGCCAGAGAAGGTTACTACAGATACAGAGGTGGAACTCAATGTGCTGTTATGAGAGGTAGAGCTTTTGCTCCATACTCTGATTTAATTTGGATGGAATCTGCTTTACCAGATTACGCTCAAGCTAAAGAATTTGCTGATGGGGTTAAATCTCTTTATCCAGATCAATGGTTAGCTTATAACTTATCTCCATCATTCAATTGGAATAAAGCCATGCCAGCTGATGAACAAGAAACTTATATAAAGAGATTAGGTAAATTAGGTTACGTCTGGCAATTCATTACTTTAGCTGGTTTACATACCACTGCTTTAGCTGTTGATGATTTCTCCAACAAATACTCTCAAATTGGTATGAGAGCTTATGGTCAAACTGTTCAACAACCAGAAATTGAAAAAGGTGTTGAAGTTGTTAAGCATCAAAAATGGTCTGGTGCTGAATATATTGATGGATTATTAAGAATGGTTACTGCTGGTGTTACTTCCACTGCTGCTATGGGTGCTGGTGTTACTGAAGATCAATTCCATGACCACGGTAAACTCTAGTCTATCTATTTTTATTTATTATATATATATAAATCTAAGTTTTATTTTTGCTATGAAAAGTCTAATAATTGTAAAATCGTCGTAGTGAGAGAAACCTTCACGCAAAATATGTTGCAACCCCTTCTGCATCACCTAGAAAAAAAAAATATTATTGATGTAATCAAAATTTACGGTTCATTTATAGTAAGCAGCACCAAAATCTGTGGTATTACAGTACAAGGGCCAACATGGGGTTTATAAAGCATGGGAGGTCCTTGAAAAGAAGGAAAATTGGAAGTAGGACAGCTTCACCAGACCCAAATTCAGTTAAAATGACCCCTGCAACTTCATCCATATCATCATCGCTAAGACAATCTACTAGTATTGAAGAAGATGAGGAAGATATTAGTTTCTTAGAAAGGTTCCCTCCAAATATCTTATATGATATCTACATTCTTTCTAAACCTCGTAACAACTTACCGTTTGTCAATAAGAGACTTTATCAAATATTACATTTCAATCCAACTTACTCAGAGATTGAAGATAAATGGGACAATCTATCAATAATTATTCGAATGATACGAACTTGGTATTTAGTGGATTTAAATACAAGACTTGACTTTGATTTACTAGAAAGGAAGTTAAATTACTATGAATCATATATTGCTCAAATCGATCCTGAGGTTATAGGAGTCGGATTGGGACCTGATATGATGAAGATTGTCACAGACAATTTACAAAAAATACGGCAGTATATATCTACTTGTCAATTACCATGTGTACGATATGCATTATCAGACGGGGTATTAACGAATAATTTCAATTCAGAAAAATTAGTATCAATTTGTTTTAATGAGGTGATGATACCAAATTGTGGGAATACCCTTTCAGGAGACTTTTTAGACATATTAACTTTGGAAGAAATAGATCGAGAGACGAAATTTAGATTAAGAGCATTTAAGGTGATGTTTCTGAGCATATCATATTGGCTCCAGAAATTACAAGATTCCAATTATGAAATGCCGACTACGACAATCGAAGGATCGAACATTCCGCAATTTGAACTTAAAGAGACGATATTGGAAGGTAATGAAGGTTTACCAGAATACAATAAGGATGATGAAGACATAGACATTAAGACTGAAAATCTATCAAACAAATTCAATGAACGGGAATTGAAAGACTGTATGTATGATAAAGGGATTAATTCACGAAGGAAATTTGAATTAGTGGTGAGTTTAAATAAGATTCATCATTTCACTTACGTTGATGTTAACAGAGTATTGGCCAATACCTTTAGGAACTTACAAAATAAAGATTTTGATACCACTGATATCTCACTATGGGGGGTTACGAAATTTTTGTTGAGTAATGTCAGTTCTCTTGAAATCAAGGGCATACCACCGATAGATGAGGTGTTTAGACTTTATGATTATTATGAAAATCGAGACTGTAGGTCTTATGGAGTTAATTACTTGGGACAATCTATTTCGGAGGATATTATAGGTGCTTTGTTTAATGTATTGGAAATTTATGATAAATTGAAATACCCATTGGATGATTTATGGCAATGTGTCTTTGATCTTAAGAATCATAGTCTTGCTCGATTTTTAATGAGCTATAGTAAGAATCCTAATTTTAGTATTTTACAAGATAATTGAAATTCATGATAAGTGTATATAGTGATAACCTTCGTATATATCTTTATTCATAATATATTTATTTATAAAAGAAAATTAGAATTAGAATTAAGTGGCCCGATCAATAGTCTGCTGTTTGCTGTACTTGCTGTTGATATGGATCAGCCAAGTGATGTTGTTGTATCATTGAGTTTGGTTGTGTGATTTCATGGAACCATGGATGTTGTAATGCTTGTCTTGCCGTTATTCTTGCTTCTGGTCTCATTTGTAATAAACTTTGTAATAAATTTAATCCCATTAAATCCAAATTTGGTACAATCAATCTTAAATCTTGAGGGACAAATATTTGCCAATTACTTTTATAATTAGCATATTGAGAGATTCCGGGCCAAGTTCTTTCATTTGGTGTACCCATTAATCTGAATATTTTAATTAATTGATCATCATTGGCAGTACCTGGGAATAATGGTTTACCAGTACACATTTCAGCAAAGATACAACCAGCAGACCAAATATCTATAGAAGTAGTATAAGCTCTTGAACCCAATAATACATCAGGAGCTCTATACCATAAAGTAACAACTTCATTTGAGAAAGTGTTAAATGGAATTCCAAAAGCTCTAGCTAAACCAAAATCACCTAATTTTAATTCACCTTTATTATTGATTAATAAATTTTGAGGTTTTAAATCCCTATGTAATACTCTATTATCATGACAAAACATTATCCCTTTCAATAATTGAAACATGAAAGATTTAACAAGTTTTAAATCAAGCGCACCTTGATTTCCATAAACTTCCATATATCTCTTTAAATCCTTATCCATAAATTCAAAAACTAAAGTAAGTTTGTTTTCAGTATGGATCACATCATACAATGAAACTATATTTTCATGATCTAATTCTTTCATTAATGATATTTCTCTAATAGCAGTGGAAGGAGTTCCTTCTTCTGAATCAAGATTAATCTCTTTTAAAGCTACCAAAGTACCAGTGGTGCGGTTTCTTCCTTTGTAAACAGTAGCATAGGTACCTTCCCCAAGTTTCTCAAGCTGTTGGAATTGTGATGATGAACCAGTCATTTTAAGTACGTTTAAACAATCCAATGAGCAAGCTTAACTAGTATGACCAGTTCCATTTTTGAAATGGAAGGTCCATTTTATCACAATTTAATTTTTTCTTTTTCGTGTTAGTGTTAGATGGGTTATGTACAGGAAATGTTGCCTATTTAGGACATAATTAAAGTTGCAATTATTTACATTATAATATATCTAATTATCTAAATCTAATGATTTCTAGGTGGTCTTTTCATTAAGGCAACTGAATTCTCAACCCAGCCTTCAGTACCTCCTTCTAATGCAAGAATGTCTAATAGTCTAGTTTGGTAAGATTCTTCATTTTCAATGATACTTCTTTCAGTTCCAATGATAGCAGCGTTTCTAGTACTTGGAATTCTTAACATTTCCTTTTTAGCATTCCACCCCATAGTGATAGATAAGTCTTCCACATGATCTACAAGACTTGCATATGTAGAATTGCTTGATGGAGAGTTCTTTCTTGGAGTGAATCTTACTTTTATACCTGACACAGAATGAGAACAACATGGAATAACCATGAAAGGATACCCTAAAAGAGGGATCCAACACGTCAATTCATCAGAATGATTTCCAATTATAAAGGTATTCTTAGGGAAATCTTCCATAGTACATACTTTGTCAGAAGCAAGTAAACTGGCTGATGAATAATATGATGAAGGTGAATCAGGAATTTGAAAATATCGACCATTATCTTTAAGATGGGGAGCCATTTTAGCAACAGCTGGGTGAGGTTTTAATAATATGCTTGGGATGACGATTTGCTCTTTTAAATTGTTTTGTACACTTTCAGGATATCCTATCCATGATTTTCGAGCTCTGGCATCAATACCAATCCCTTTATACCCCTCATTATTCAAAATATATACAAGTAACCCATTACCACATCCTAAATCTCTGAATTCAAACTCTTCATCTTCCTTATATAAGATCTTCCAGAATTCAATTAAAAATGCAGCTATGGCAAGATCTTCAAATACATGCTTCTTAGGATCAGTACTTTCACTCCACAGATTAACTAAATCAGAAGAATATTTCTTTTTTAAACTGATATATCTGTTTTGAAATGCAATTTTAGGAACAATCATATCATGATTGACTCTCTTTTCGTACCCTGCCATAACTCCATTAGAATGTTTATATGATGTTTCCAATAATCTCAATGCGATTCTGATGGCTCTATTTCCCGAATCTAACGATTTTAAGGCGTTATATTCCACTTTTGATTCACCTTGATATCCAAATGGTAAATAATGAATTGATAATGACTTCTTATGATACAATATCCCTACTCCATAAACTTCGGGTAAATAAAATGGGACTTCTTCTTTTGAGGAGATATGAGGTATATATACAACCAATACACTTTCAGTACCATTTGCTAGTACTAAACACGTTTGATTAATGATATAATCTTTGAATGGATTTCTCGGTATGATTCGCCTTATGATTTCATATTTTGGTTTCAAATGTAAGTTTTGATCATCTTGAGATGATGGAATGGATCGTAAAGTCACATCAGTCAAATCTCGTTTAAGTATGGCTGATTCGTCAGATGATGGGAACTCAGGCATTTGATTCACAAGTTTACTGACAAACTTGGTATCTCCCTTTTCAGGATCGTAGATGTTTTCCGTTAAGATGTCTGCTCTCATTATAACAGTTGAATTGATATTTGGTTGTTTGATTAAATTTGACATAGCAGTTTCAAAATGATTTGCATCAAAATTCACTGGTTTTTCGTATATCGGAATCCAAGGGTATCCCAATATGGATTCTTCCTCTATCAATAATGTCTCAGACTTCCCATTACTCTTGTCACCCATCGTATGTTTGCTCCCAGACCTTTTACTATCTCTTTGTCTTTCTGGTTTGATACATAGGCTCAAAAATATTTTTTTTTATTTTTCAGGCAAGTGAAGCCTTCGCAAATTTTTTGCATTGATATAATCCTTTGTATACTTAAAACCTATAATACAAACCTAATTCTATAAACCCTATAAATCGATGAAATACGCCTCTGTAACATCGGAAAACTTGTGCTTCTTGTAACAATAATGGCACTTGAATATCTCTGTTCCCTTCTTAGATAAATGCCATACACTTTCTCTAAGAGCAAGATGTTGACATTGACTGAGAACAACCACTGGATTGGCAATAGCTCCAGAGCTATTGTTACTGGAATTGTTGGAGTCGAGATATGATCTCTTTTTCTTCTTATTCTTATGTTCTTCATCTTGGTTTTCTGATATTTCAGTTATTGGAATCGATTGTTCTCTTGATATTGGACATATAAAGATAGGATGATAATTGAATATAAATCTATTTGAATCTGGTAATTGAAATGGTAAGTCAAAGTGATAAGTTGCTTCAAAGTTAACCAATTGTACTTCATTTTTCTTATCATCTCCATCATTGATGATAGTAGTAGGTAATTTGGATTGAATTTGATTATACTTATAGAAACTGGGTAAATAGATATGACCTGCTAAAATACTTTGGAATAAAGATGAATCATTCGATAATTTCAAATCTTTACAATATTCAGATATGAATTCGTTGGCTATATTGACAAACATGGCTTGGTTTTGATGAATGGTTTGGAAATTATCCAATAATTCAGATACAAATTTAAATTCTTCTTGATTAGTCTTTTTACGTTCTCTTTCTGAATTAAAACTATGTCTTAACTTTGAAACTAATTCTCCTAACATTTTGTCATTGACGTACTTTTCAGGGTTTGGATTGACATTGATTAATAACAATGTCATCAATGGTGAAATCCCATAGAGGTATTCCTTAATGAATTTTGAAAAATTATCTTTCGAATATAAATATGCATCTAAAGCATTGGTGGTATTTAAAAGCAATACAAATTGTAACATATGAAACTTGAATTCAATATTAGATGGAGCTATAATTGGTGTATTAAGAATACCAGGGATAGCATCCTCCTTATACTTATCTTTAAACCATTGTAATACTCTTTGTAAATCATGTCTAACCACAATATCATCAACGATCTTGTTTAATAACTCAAACTTTTCAAGTAAGGATTCATCAATATCAACTTTTGAATTAGGAGGTAACTCCTTAACAATATCCTTAACAATATCACATTGACCAACCTTAAGTAAATGAATAATGATAGCTTTTATCAATTCTTCTCTGTTTTCCAATTTAATAGATTTCAAATTAAAGTCATGATTAGTACTGTCTTTGGATGTTGGTGTTACAGGGAAATTATTCAAATTTAATGGATATGTGTAAGCTTCATCTAAATCAATAGTATCCTTGGGGTTATTAATAGCTTTCAGAAACTTATTGGTGGCGGTGTTGTATAACTTAAGTTCATTGATTGAATTCTTATACCATTTATCACCTAACTTTTCAAGCTTCGTCACTTCAAAGTCGTCATTATCGATGATTGATTGTTCAAACCCTTTCAATTCGTTTAAGAATGAATTTGATTCATTCCATAAATTGTGGAGACTATCATTAGCTGACTTATTGAATATATCGATGTCGGATTGTAGGTTATCCAATAACGACACACCCATGATTGTTTTCTAGCTATATTTCACCTATCTGGTTTCTTGATTGAAAATGATTTTATCTAATTCTATAACCTCTTGGAATGTGTTACTGGTCATATATCCCCTTTCCCACAAATGACAAGACAAAGTTTGGGGATATTTATTTTTATCCTTATCAAATTATCATGCAGGACTGGAGCTACCATCTTTTTTGTTCCTTCCCTGTTACCAGTTCTTAATTAATATTACTTCACAACAACCACACATAATCTAGCTTAGCTATTATAGTCTAGACTGCATCATCGATGTTACTTAGGAAATATTGCCCAAGTTCATTATGTCAATCACACAGAATTTATTGACCTTATGTGGAGTGTTACTAATACAGTTGAAGATGTTTACATAACGGTTAGATTAAAACTCTTGCTGTTTGTCTATGATACTTCTTGGTATTTGCTTATTCGTATATAAAACTGACAAACCGTGATATCTAAGATTACATTATATACATATATCTACAGTTAAGCTGAAAAACTATATTAATGGAACATCTAGATCGGAACTGGAGACGCTAACTGGATGATTACTCATACTCAAATAAGCACATTGAATAGCCTATGATTACATTTGATTGCTCTATACATAGAATCAATTATCATGTTTGGTATCAATAAATAAAACACTGGAAATTGATTTGATTCGTCATTACCTCTCCTTAAAGTGTGCCAATACTTGTTCCTTTGATGCTAATGAGGCTCGGCCATATGACGAATTTGACCAAATGTAGACGGTAACCTGTGCCATCATCGACCATAAATCTTCTAAATTATTCATATGAAGTTGACCTGTATTGCAGCCCTGAAATCCCTTCTAACGAACGAGATTATTATGGACATTCATTTGGGGTACCTTTTAAATATCTAAGAAATCAGCTTTCACAAGTAACTCTAAAGCCAAATGAGTTGGAATATTGAATTGAGGGATATCACCAGTCTCAGCTTGCTCCTTATATTTATAATGATAATAAAGATATTCTACTATACATTCTAAAATATCACCATCCATATCTAACAGGATTTTCCCAGTTTCACCTTCTTGAAAACCTTGACTACTCTTCAACATTGAAGAAATCAGTGCTACTTCTTTTAAAATGATAAATTTATGATTATCAGCTGACACCAAAGTGACATATTCAACTTCTGAATCCATCTTAACCTCTCTGTAATGACTTCTTTACGTGTTTTGTTTCTTATTCCAAGCAGAAGAAAGTGATTTGAAATTGAAAAAAAAATTGATTTACGCGATTGCGCTTAAAACGAAAATGAATCTTAACTTGCCTAACATTTTAAGCTAAAGTGTATGGTCAATCAACCAAGACAATCATGCCATCCAATCCAAGTTCAAGTTGGTTAAATCTTCAGAATATATACTATAGTCTCAACTCATGCTATGATAATTTGAATTGGTCAATTGCAAATCTTTATACTGATTATAAGGTTGCCATTTCAGGTCAAACCACATTATTAGCATTATCATCAAAACATGTTCCCCATCCTAATATCATCGAAATTTATTCAATTAGTGGAGATAAACTTTGGTCAATCGTATATAACAATCGACCTGAAGATCATATAGTTGATTATCATTTCAGAAATGAAGATTTGTGCCTTGTTTTCAATAATAATAGATATAGGTATTATCTGGACTTTAAGACAACTTTCAATGAATACGATTATACTGAAAATATCATTAAACTCGAGAACTTATCGAGTCAATTCGATAGCTCTACTGTTTCAAACAATGGTCATTATATCACTGACTTGGAAAATAATGAAACTGAAGAGGTATTCCAAGTATTGGAAGTTAAGCTTTGGAAGGACTATCTTGTGATACGACAATCTCAAAGAATAATCATCAGTGATTTGAATACTTTCACCAATTATGAAATATCGTTACAATCATTAGATCTGACCCAGATTCATAATATATGCTTCACTTCCACTACGAATGATATTTTGATCTCTTATAAGGATACAGTTATTGTATGTAAAGTGGAATTGTTATTTAATAATTATGAATTGATAGATCAAGGATTAACTGATGGTCCTTTCACATCCGTCTCCCCATCTCCTAATGGTGAGTTGATATGTTTATTCAATGATAAGACTTCAACAGTATATGTTATCAATAATAAGTTTGATAGAATCTTGTTGGAATATAATACTTCAGATGAATCAAGTATACCTTATCAGATAGCATGGTGTGGAGGTGACGTTATAGTTTTATCATTAAGAGATGAAATTAAATTAATTGGACCAGGTCAACTGTCAATATCTCACTATTATGATCTTATAGAAGAAGATGAAAATGAAGATGAATTTGATCTAGATAGATTATTAAGAGGAAATACTACTGCCCCAATTGTGACCGATGATCAAGATTTAAGCTATGTCATTCCCATATTAAAAACGGAATCAGATGGTCTTAAAATAATCACTTCTAACAAAATTCAATTCCTTTCTAGAGCCCTGGATTCAGCTATTCTGTTGTATCAAATCGGTTCATCTCATCCTGCTAGTATTTTATTAGATTGTATTGATAAATTAGCTGTCCATTCTTCTAAGGCTGATACCAATATTTCCTTGCTCAAAGCGGATGGCACATTACTAACTGCTATGAAAACTTGTTTAACAGTGGCATTAGAAGAATTCAATCCATTCTGGCAAAAGAAAATATTGAAAGCGGTTTCATTTGGAAAGGCGTATTATGATGATGGTTATTATAACAGTGATGATTATTTGAATACTTTGAATACAATCCGAGTATTAAATCAATTAAGATCGTCTTCAGTGGGGATCTTTTTAACCATTAATGAAATCTTAGAAGCTGGTTGGAAAGAAGTTATCTTAATGTTGTTAAGACGAGATTTACATTTGATTGCTATAAAAGTAATTGAATCATTAAAATTAACTGATCTCAAGAGTTTAGTATATGTACATTGGTGTTGTTATAAGATTAGAAAGGAAGCTAACTCATCTGATGCTGAGCTATTCGATCTTGTTAAGAAGAAATTAACCAACGACACATCAGTCAATACTATTTCAATGGAAAAGATTTCTCAAGTAGCTTATGAAGAAGGTAGGATTAATTTGTGTAAGTTATTAATTAAATTGGAACCTTCGATAAAGCAAAAGATGTTACAATTTTTGAAATATGAAGAATTGGAATTGGCCTTGACTGAATCTATTCAAAGTGGTGAATATGATTTATCTCGAATCATATTATTGTATTTACAAGATACGCTTACACTTTCACAGTTTTTCAGAGTACTTAATCAAAATGAAATCAAAGAAAGTGAAATTGTTTCTGATAGACTTTTCATCGGTGATGAATTGGTTGGAAACCTTTGGATAAATGGTATTGGAAAGGATGATATAGATACATTGGAAGCATATTATACACAAGAGGATAAAATTATACAATTATCAAATACGAAATTGAAAATATTCATTGAAGAAGCAGATGATACTGATGAATCTTATTATAAGTCTTATAAATCTCGATTACAAAAATCAATCAATAGATCGAATATTAAAAGAATCAATAAATTATATCAACATGAACTTGATATTTTAGAACTTCAGAAACGACTTGGAGAAACTTACTTAACTAACTTCTATAATGATAAAGCAATATCATCAATATTAGTAAGATTAATCGGTATGAATCAATTAAAACCAGCCGCAAAGATAGTCAAAGATTTTAAAGTCACTCCCGAAAAGTATTGGAATCTTGTGGTTGAGACGTATGCTTCAGCTAAAGAGTTTGAGAAATTATATGGTTTCATTACTGATATAAATGATATTGCCAATGTTAAATCCCCTATTGGATTTCAACCTTTCGTAGAAGCTTGTTTCAAATATGGAGGTCCAAAAGATCATATTACTAATTATATTAAGAATTGTACTAATATTGATTATTCTGAACGAGTGAAATACTTTGTTAAGAATCAAGACTATGAATTAGCAGGTCAAGAAGCATTTAAAGTTAAAGATGTAAGAATATTACGAGATTTATTAAAATATAATCTTGATGATCAAGTTAAAACTTCCATTAATGAGTATATAGCTAAATTAGGTTATTAAAAGTAGAATTAGAAGTTGACGATTTAATGAATTCTGAATTTTTTATAATACCACTGTTGTTACCTTCTTCTCCAGTTAACCAATTAGGAACTTGGGAAGGATTTAAAATCATCTTGTCTTTATCTGCAGTTAGAACTGATAATTCATGTAAACCTGCATAAATATCGGTTCCGTTGAATTTGATAGATATATTTGAATCATCTTGATCATTGATTTTTTCTTGAATGATAAATTCAGCAAATGATATGGGTGCAATCGAAGCAAATTCATTTACTATTATATTATCGTCAGCATGGTTCAGATCATCATCAAGATTCTCTTGTTCTAATAATCTTCTTCTTTTCCTAGGATTGGCATTAACGTCGTCATAAAATTTAGATGACTTAAAGTTTCCTGAACTTGAACCTTTAAATCTTAAATTCGCTATTTTCTTTAACCTTTTCATCTCTAAAGAGTCCCCATTATCCCCACCATTAACTTCATCTTCATCACCGTTCAATGTTTTATGTTTTTCAACTGGCTGTAAAGGTAAAGCATCTGCAGTTCCATCAGCATATGGGGTCCAAATACCAAGACTATTACCAAATCTAGAATTCCCATTCAAAACATGCATAGACTCGAGTGATCGTATTGGAGTTTGATTCTCTTCAGTATGTAGTTTTAATAAATTATGAGGATTATGAGGTAAATTCCGTTCTACGGCTTGTAAGACTAGATTCGTCACTATATCATTTCCTACCGAATGCATTATATGAGGTGAATTTAACGGTATAGCAATGAAATGAGCTCGATGAGATACAATATGAGGTTGTTTTGTGATTGAGTTAGTGGTATGGTTTATACTTTGTAAATCAAATAATTGAACTCGGATAATAACTGATGGCAAACTTGGATGTTTACAAATATAAATATAAGTTAAATATAATGAATTAAGATCTTGCACCAATGAATTAAGAAACTTCTGAGGATCAAGCAGGATCGGTACTTCTCTATTAAAACTATCCTTAACGGTAGACTTGATCCAATAGAAGGAATTAGGACGGTCGACAATAAGTTGACAATCAAGTTGGGATAATTGTAATAAATTTAAACCTTTAGTCCAATATTGAAATATGATCTTATCTATGACTTTCCGTTTGGGTAATCTTGCCAAATTTCGTTTTAATTCTTTCCCATCTTTAATGACGATCTGGTTGTATGTATTTTGATTATGGTGAGAGTTCTCTTTATCGATATGAGGTTGAGTATTGATCAATTTGGGCCATGTTTGTAGGAATTCCACTAAGGAAAGTTTGGGCAATCGCAGTAGGATATTGATGAATACTTTGTTTGATAATACTGGAATATAAGTATTCGGTAGTATATTTGACTTTTTCGTATCAAATGAACTCATCCTCTCCCTATATATCTATCTCGATAATCTATAATGGTTCAAATCAAACTGGTATCTGTCTGTCCCCAGATTTTTAAATGTTTACATTTTGATGTTTATACGTGTTTTGTGCCGGGTAATATTTCGCACACTTTAATTTTTTTTTATGGTAGCATTCTGAGCAGAGATGGGACGGACTGCATAGTTCAAAAATAAATTTTCAAATTTAAACTTAGTATGGATATAGATGGAATATTGATAGTTATTCACCACCATAACAAGACCATGTCAGCTAGTCCAGAAGAACCTATAGCTGAAGTTGCTGTTGCTGTTAAAGGTACTGATAAACAAGATGAAGATGGGTTAGATAGAAAAACGTTATTTATTCGTTCTATCCCATTTGAAGCTACTTCAGATCAAGTATCTGAATTCTTTTCACAATTCGTTCCTGTTAAACATGCCGTTATCGTTAATGACAATGAACAAAAATCAAGAGGGTTTGGGTTTGTCTCATTCACTGAAGAAGAAGATACTTTGACTGCTTTGGTAGAAAGTAGAAAAGCCAAATTTCAAGGAAGATTATTAAGAGTTGATATTGCCAAAAGAAGAGAACGTAAAGATAGAAACGCTCCTCAAACTGAAACTAAAAAACCAACTAAAGAAATCGTTCCTATAGAGAAGAGAAGAGCAAGATTGATTATTCGTAATTTACCTTGGTCATGTAAGAAACCAGATGAATTGAAAAAGATCTTTTCTAAATATGGTGCTGTTTTTGATGCTTATATTCCAAAGAAAAAGGGAGGACAAATGTGTGGATTTGCCTTTGTTACTATGAAAAAGGTAGCTGCTGCTGAAAAGGCAGTTAAGGAAAGTGTCGGATTAAAGATTGATGGAAGAGAAGTTGCTGTCGATTTAGCTTTAGAAAAGTCTAAATGGGAAGAAGTTAAAGAAGATGATGATGAAGAAGAAGAAGAGGAAGACGAAGCAGTTGAAGAAGAAGAAAATGACGAAGATGAAACTAAAGTAGAAGACGAAGAAGATGAAGAAGAAACTGAAGAAGCCAAAGAAGATGAAGAAGAATTCCATAACCTTAATGAAATAAACTCTGATGCCGAACTAGAAGAAGACGAACCAGCAGAAGAAGAAGAAGAAGCACCAAGAAAGAAAAGTAACAGACAAGAAGCATTCTCCGTCTTTGTCAGAAACATACCCTATGATGCCGATTCCGAAACTTTAGCTGAACATTTCACTCAATTTGGTCCTGTTAAATATGCCTTACCTGTCGTTGATAAAGAAACTGGATTATCCAAGGGTTCGGCTTTCGTTGCTTTTGAAACTGAAGAAGCTTTCAATCAATGTTTGGATAATGCTCCAAGTGTTGCCAGTACCTCTTTATTAATTGCTGATGATGTTTCTCCAGCCTATGTTTATCAAGGTAGAATCTTATCCATTGCATCTTCTGTCGATAGACAATCAGCTAATAAATTAGCCGAAAGAAATTCAGAAAAGAGAAAAGAAGTATTAGGAAAAGCTCCTGGTGAAAAGGATAAACGTAATTTATTCTTATTGAATGAAGGTAGAATCACCACCAATTCCAAATTAGCTCAATTTATTTCCAAGACTGATTTAGAAATCAGAGAAAAATCATATAAATTACGTGTTCAACAATTGAACAAGAATCCATCCTTGCATTTATCATTCACTAGATTGGCTATTAGAAATTTACCAAGAGCTATGAATTCGAAAGCTTTAAAAGCTTTAGGTCGTAAAGCTGTGGTTCAATTCGCTACTGAAGTTAAAGAAGAAAAAAGACAACCTTTATCGAAAGAAGAAGTTAATAGATCGATTAAATTCAAACAAGATATGAATGAATTGGATCCACTTCCAAAGAAAGGTGAAGTAGCAGCTGAAGGAGATGAAGAAGATGCTAAAAAGAAATCATCAAAACATAAGGGTGTGGTGAAACAAGCTAAAGTTATATTTGAAGTTAAAGGTACCGGAGAAATAGGTAGAAGTAGAGGGTATGGTTTTGTTGAATTCAGAGATCATAAGGCTGCCTTGATGGCATTAAGATGGATGAATGCTCATGAAGTTACTACTGAAGAAATTGTTGAAGGTTTAACTGAAGATGAAGTTAAATTAGCTCAATTAGAAGGATTAAATAAAAGAAGATTGATTGTTGAATTTGCGGTTGAAAATGCTCAAGTTGTGAAAAGAAGACGTGAAAAAGTATTCCAATCCCGTCAAAGAGATCCTAATGGAAAAGATGATGAAGGTAGATCAAGAAAGAGATCAAGAAATGATGAAGGAGGTGAAAGAGATAATAAAAGACCAAGAGGTAATTATGATGATAAGAAGGATAAAAAAGGTAGAAAAGGATCAGCTAAAAAGGTTAATATGAATAAAGGGAAACCAGCAACCAAACCTAATGATGCCGATCATGCTAAACCAAAATCAGGTCTTAGTGAAGATGTGAAGAAAATAATTGGTATAAAACGTAAGAGAAGAAAGGGAAAGAAATAAGTAAGTAACTCATAACTTGTAAACTCTTTAGCATCATTGTATAATAGAAATATAAACTTCAGAAATTTATACGACACACATGTAGATTTTTATAAATTACAATGAACTTTCATTAAATTAAACATTATACAAATTAATTAGAAATAATTTTAAAGAATGAGATAGGTGATAAGTATATAAAGAGAATAAATAATAAAAACAAAATGAGAACAAAAATTTAATAGGGAGAGGGAAACATTTATCATAAATTCATTATTGTCAATTAAAAGTGAGGATAGATAGAAAGAATTAGTTTATATTCGTTGACAAATGAAGGAGGAAAAGTAAGGAAAGGAAAGGAGAAGTGATCTATGTCATGAAAATGGAAAAGGAAAGGGAAAGGAAAACATCATACCATGAAAGTGAGTCATTATCTTATAAGAAATAATCACTTCTTTGTTGTTTATTAGCATTATTTTTAACAGTGATATCACCATCTTGAACAGCACTAAAGATTTTAAAATTTGGTTCTAAATCTTCATCAACTTTCATAACACTTGCAACATTACCACATCTATAACAATAATTTGGAGCTGACCAAACAGTAACCACATCTTTTTCTTTAAAATGATAACGGAAACCTTCCATAACCAATTGATGGGCTCTTGCTATTAGACTTAAATTATTAATATGATTGAATTCTCGACTTACTTTTGAACCAAATAACCAACCGGCACCTCTTGGAGATACAGCCCAAGTATCGACATTATCAGGATCCGACCACACTAAATCACAGAATCCACCTTCATGAGGAACTTCTTGAGCTCTTGATAACACTCTAATTTGATCTAACATTCTAATTTCAGGGGATAAACCACCATGAACACATAAAATTTTTCCATCAATTATAGCTGCTAAAGTTAAGAAATCAAATACTTGACAACAATATTTCCAAACGGTTGGTGAACCATATTTAGTTAAACATTCTTCATAGAATCCATAAACTTGAGTAATTTGTCTTGATTCATGATTACCTCTAACTAAAGTGATTCTATTGGGATATTTTACTTTTAAAACCATTAAAAGAGTAAAAGTTTCTAATGAGAAATAACCTCTATCAACGTAATCACCTAAAAAGATATAATTAGATTGATTATCATTAGAAGGTAAACCACCACTAATTCTGAATAATTCTAATAAATCATGGAATTGACCATGAATATCACCACAAACAGTTACCGGAGATTGAACTGGTTGGATATTGGATTCTTCCATTAATAATTCTTTAACTAATTCACATAATTGTTTCATATCTGATTCGCTTAAAGCGATACATTTTTTGATTTGTTCTAACCATTGATCTGGTCCTCGTTCACCCATATTGAATATATTAGTAGTATTATTAGTGTATGATTAAGTAGTAAATAAATGGAAAAGGAAATCTAGAATAAATAAGGTGGAATGCAAATGGAATAACTTAATGGGGATGATAGTTGTGATATGATATGAAATGTTACGGTTGTTTAATTTGATTTGATGTGATGTGATTTGAAAGCGGAACTAGACTCTAGATTTCAAGTGAGAAAACAGTGGTTGGAAGGTCTAGGGAGAGGGTGTTGAAGATGGTTCAGACGACGTAACGTGTGAGATGATGGGATAAGATAAGATCAGAGATACGTGGATGTGTATGACTGTCTATGTATACCTTCTGAAACGATGATATATGATGGAATGGTTTGAAATCTATACTTTGAAACTGGACTTTGAAGTTGACCTTTTGATGGAAATGAAATGGATTAATAATTTTTTTTTTGATTTCTTTTTATTTTTTTTTTGGTCGTTGAGAGAAATTTTTATTATGCTGAAATCGAGTTTAACTATGTGGAACAGCCTTATGGTAATAATAATGATAGTTAAGCAATGGACAGATGATATTAATTTATAGAACAAGAGTTGATTACTAAGACTACTGAGTACTAACTAATGCTATGTAATCTTAACTATGAAAACAGGCATAACTGATACTTAATGTATCTCTATTACATCATTCTCTAGCTTATTATATAAAGGTCCTTTATATAATTTCCTTCCTTAAAAAATTCAGTCATGTGACGAATCATGTGATTATTTTTCACTGCTCTTTTTTTTTTCTCGTTGGAGATTTAAAAAAATTTTATAATAATAAGAAGGTATGAAATATCTTAAAAGATCATATTAAATAACTACAAAATAATATCATGTCATCTACAGTTATAAGTAGGAGGCTAATGGTATTGGTCAAGACCAATACCATCGGTTCAATCCGTACCTTTTCCCATTTCACTCCTTTACACAATGAAGAATCAATCAGACCTTCTAAACCAGAAATGAAAAGTGATAAAGCTTGGATAAATAATTCATCTAATTCATCATCCACATCGGAAATTACCAAACAAGTGATTGGTATGACTAAATCCATTCAAGAAACCAACCAACCTCCATTAAACATTAATCCTATGTATACTAGAAACTTTGAATTTGGTCAAATTTATGAACCATTTGATTTTTCAAATTTAAAACATGATATTGAAAAGAGACATGTTCAAAAATCAATTAAATCTTTAAGAGATCCGTTTGAAAAATCAGGTATTGATCCTTCAACTTTATATATATATCCTGAAATCTTATCCAAATATTTATCATCAACTGGTCAAATCTTACCAAGAAGTTTAACAGGGTGTAATGCTACAAATCAAAAGAAATTAGCTAATGCGATTAAAACAGCTAGATGTTGTGGATTATTGGCTTCAACTAATAGACATAATATAACTCTTCCATCTAGAATCTTATAAGAAGAAAGAGATCCATCCCTCTTGTATTTTCATTATTCCCACTCTTTGCATACTTGTATATATAAAAAATAAACAATATTTTATTATTATTAAATGTAATCATATCCTATCAAAAGTTAGATAACTTTAACCATCATCTATTAATTACAATGTTTTTAAGTTTAAAAGGTAGCATCATCTATTAGTAGTTATTTATATACTATAGTGTAAATCATCCAATAAAATCACGTTATTGTGTGGTTATATACAGGAAGGTTTATTATGAAGGTTTTCGATCATTGTTTAAATGGAGGGTGCACCAAAAAACATTTCATCTTCGCCCCATAAAATCAAAAATCAAAATCAAAAAACAATCCTTAAATTATTACTTCTTCCTTCCTTTCAATCAATCAATTGAATATATTCACATTTTATCCCATCATCACAATGTTATCACAAGTTGCCAGACGTACCTCTGCTTTATCAATCAGAGCCTTTTCCACCACTAGAATTGCGTTAACTGAAGGTGCTATTAATCAAGCTAATGATTCATTTTCTGAAAAGGAAAAAGCTCAAGAAAATCTTTATATTAAAAAACATGAAGCTGAACAATTAAAAGCTTTAAAAGAAAAATTACAACAACAAAAGGAAACCATTGCTAAATTAGAAAAAGAAATTAGTGATATTAAGAAATAAGAATGTTAATTAGCTTTCGAATCTTCTTATATTCATCATTGTTTCTTTCGTCATGAATTGATATTGTTTATGTTTGTTTTTATTTGGTGTAATTGACAAATGGTTTTATTTATTTGAAAATGTTCTCTAAGACCTATGATATATGTCATATATAAGATATATATGTATATGAATGATATCATTAACATTATTCATATACGGTTTAAAAAATAGAACAAAAAAAATAAAGTAAATACAACAATTTAAAAAGTGAAAAATAAATAAATATAAATCTATCTATTTAATCTATAAGTATGAAGTTGTAGATGTTAGTAGTAATTTGTAAGCGGGTATATGACATGAGTGGATAAATCCATTGTGATTCATTGTTGCATGTACGAACATCTCTCATGGATGATTCTGGAAGTTTAAGGTAGAGTCGGTAAGCGCTTACAATTGATAATACCCATAAACAGTAATCAGTTCATAGTAAGTTTGATGGGTTTAATGGAAATCATAGCGGTGATAGTGAACGGTTATTGAGGGAAGCAAGGAAGGAAGTAAAGGGTACGGTAGATGGTACAGAAACAATAAAAATCTAACCTTCTCTCTCCCTATCTCCACTAATAGTTTACGCTACGCAGCATTAAATTTGTTTTATTTTTTTGGGGTAATTTTTAGTGAGACAGTAAAAGCCTTTAACTTTAGCCAACAAAATGGAACTCACCACTAACGATTAAAAGATTGTCATTACGGATGAGGAAGTTACCTTTCATAATGATCCTATTACGGATGAGACAACGTATACCATCTCATTCAATCACGCCTCAATCTACAGACCTAGACTTTCGTTTAATATCGATTGTCACTGTGCCCCATAACGCACCACAACAACTAACTTCTAATAATAAACTATTTTATTATGTGAAATTGCCTAATTCAGTAATGTAATTAAACCCAAAAAAAAAATTTAACCTTTTTTATACCATAACCCAAATTTTAATATCGATCTTTACTAGTTTTTGGTATATATACTCCGTAGATTCTTTCATTCGTTCATTCGTTCCTTCATCCTTCCTTCATTTAGAGCTTATCCTTTGTTTTATCTTTCTTATACAGCATATATCCTATAATGATGCATTTATTTCATAATACAAGAAGTAGCAGGTCTACTTCTTCAAATAGAATATCTTCAAATAATCATACCACTACAACCACAACCACAACCACAACCACAGCAATAACTTCTACTCCAAGTGATAGTAGGATTTACTCTACTCCTAGAATATATAATCCTTCAGGTCAAGTAACTCCTCGAGATATAACTCCTCCTCCTCCTGCAACTACCACCTCATCAAATTCTACTTCTCCAAGTAGAACTCATCGAAGAAGTCCATCTTATGAAAGTCAACTCCAACAGTCTCAACCTCAAGTTCAAATAAATCCTGTAAATGAGGCTGCAAATAACTCTACACCTGATAATACCAATATTATAACTGATACAACTACAACCACAACCACAACTTTGGCAAGTCAAAGAGCTTCCAGAAGAAGACGAAGAAGAAGAGCTGCAACAGCAGCAGCTCTTGCAGCAACAACAGCCGCAAGATATAGTGATGTCGAAAGCATACCACTGATCCCTCCTCCAACTGATGAATACAATATCTTTGATAATGAAGAATCGCCTCCTTATAGAGAACAATTACATAAATATCTTGACTTAATCTCCTTCGATCCACGATATAATATCCCCATCATAAGAATCAATAAATCTTTGATTAAAAATGATAAAAATTTACGGAAATCAATTAAAAAACTCATAAAATTCAATTTAATCCCTCGAGATATAGACTTATGGAATTTAAATAAAGTCGATGATAATGATTTCGAAGCTGTCATTCCAGGTTTATTGCCAGATATAGCAAGAGCTCCAAATGATGGATTGTATCGTGATATTAGTGGAATCACCTTGAATGAGAATGAACAGTTGGAATTGGCTTTACAATTATCAATGATGAATTCAAGTTTACAGGTTAATAGCATTCCTGAAGTGGTGGAAGAAAATGTTGTAACAGAATCAGTATCAGTGTCGGAAACAGCATTGAGGGTACCAATGTCTAGAGAATCAAGAAGACGTAGACGTCGTCGTGTCAATGTTGTTCCTCAAGTAGAAGAACCAATAGTGATACAACAAGTTTTATCAGAACCAGTCACCAGAGAACCAGTATCTAGAGAATCAAGACCTAGACGTCGTAGTATTAATAATATCCAAACCATCACCAACAATAGTGAAGTATTCTATGATGCTGAGGGAGATAACACCCAACCATCTCCAATAACATCTAGGAACATATCTTCTACCAATAATACTTCCATTTCCAATCGTCCTTTACATTTCCATTTAAATCATCAAGCTACTATGATGTTTAATAATACTGATTTACTTAATAATCCAACCAGCAATACTACTACAAATAATAATAATAATGTTAACGATGAACGGTATAGAGGATTTAGGTATAGTGGATTTAGATATAATGCTGCTATAAGTACTTAATGATAATTTGTAATAATATTACCAAATGTGTATATATGACATATTAAAATATAGAAATTATTTCGCAACTATTTATGATATTATGTATTATGTATATTTGCAACTTTAGACAGTGTAATATCTTTTTAACTACATATTTCTAACTTAGAAGACCGTGACTAACCATCACTTGATACCTATTTAAACGACCTACCCTATTCATCAAACTTCATCTAGACTTTACTTACACTTAGGTCGTATTTTAAATATACGATAGAGATTTTGGTTTAGTGCACGTACGTTTGAAAAATTTCGGTGAGTGCAGCCTAGGTGTCTACAAAATCGATCTCATTACAACTAAAAAGGATATAACGGGATAAATTTATTGCAACTTATCCTACCCATTGTACCATATATTCGACCATCATCAAATAGACCATATCCTATGGGTGTACGAGACATAAGATCCAATCATATCATATAGTATATCATCAACTGTGTATCATGTCGAATCTAATACCGAAAGATTTGGTTCCTTACCTTGATTATTTACCTGACATTGATCTCAAACATATCGTTAATGGATTCATGACATTCACTCCTATGTTTTCATATGGAACTACTTGTTATGGGATATATCGGAAGGAAACATCATTGGGGTTTTCCATTGATATATGTGCTACGATGTTAATGGCATCAATCTTAAGAATATATTATTATTTTATATCCCCCTATGAAGTCACCTTATTTCGTCAATCATGTAATATGATTATAATTCAATGCATCTTATTGAAAATAAGTCTTAATTATCGACCTTACAATTATGATCCTGATTTCCTTACTCCGATTCCTTTATTCAAACATGAATTAAATACCATCTTACCTCGAAGATTATCAGCTAGTACTTACCCTGTCGAACATGAAAGTTATTACATTGATAATTCGTTATCCAAATCAATTGTCTATATCATAACTGATGCGTATAAGTATATGAGATTATACGGATACATCCTCTTCAGTCAAAGTTTGAAATTCTTTGATGTGTTTTATCAACGACCATATCAATTCTGGCAATGGAAAGATGAAATGATATATTGGAAATTCATAACTGTCTTCGCAGGGATATTTGGGATATTAACACTCTTATTCCATCAATACGTACTATGGGGACAAATCTTGGGGATATTGGGGTTATTCATTGAAAGTTTATTACCATTACCTCAAATCTTATTATTAAATCGATTACAATCGATAAAGAATTTTAAAATCATCCTTTTGTTAAGTTGGTTAGGAGGTGATTTGATTAAATTAAGTTATTTACTCTTTGGAGCTTCTAATATTTCAATCATTTTCATTATAGCTGCTTTATTTCAAATGGCTTTGGATTTAATCATTGCTTATCAATATTTATATTATAAAAGTATCGAACTCAATAATGATGATGATGGAAATGAACTCAAATTAGATGATAATATAGATTATGAATTATCAGATTTATCACCAAGCTCGCCTCGTGATATTAATAATATAGTTAATGAATTGGTCGAGAAAACTGATAATGCAAATAATGGTTTTGAAATGCGTTAATAAAATTAATAATGTTAATAGAGGTAGGTAATAGAGGAGGGGTAATCAAGTGAATCTACAACTCAACATTCACGGTTGAACCAATCATTCAAGTACATTCCAATTGCTAAATAATATTTACAATAAACTTGGCTCTGAATTACGGTCCATAACAGATTGAGGGAGTTCTTATCCTCAATTCCGAATCTAATAATGACCCTCCTGGTTAGGAATCGTCTTTTCTAGGATGTTATTAGTCCATATTTGTTCTATGCAAGCAACCCCCCGCAGATTGTACTCGTATATCAATATAAGAGTATATTATGAGTAAAACTGAAATTTCGGTTAAATAAAGAGACTATATTTCAAGTTAAAATTGGTGGTGTAATAGGTAATAGATTATGAAAAAGGAGTTAAAATGTAAACAAAGATCAAAAATTATATTTATAACAGAAATTCGAGATCTTTTTGGTACGTGGTGCATATACAGAAACAGTCAGCAATCATGGCTTATTTTAATTTGAAGTATGTCAAATTTTAAAGCTTTTAGTAGAAAAAGTCGTATAATTATTAATGATATAGTGTGATAGAGTAAAGAATAGAAAATAATTTAACAATAGGTGTATCCACTTATAAATAATATCTGCAGTCTTCACCAATTCAACTTATTCTAATGGTGAATTAACCAAAGTCGTAAAACCATATTAAACGTTTATATAAAATAATCCAATGTACCATGACATGATCCTCAGCCCTTACTGTATACATTTGTGCAGCAGTTTAATTGAACTGTGGTATATTTTCTAAGTTTCAAAGTTTAAGTTGAAAGTTATCATCCATAATATTATACCTGACATATTTTATATATTCTAAGCCAATGGAGGTGGGGAAGTTAATACTACAGGTGGTAATACTGCAAATAATGAAGTTAATCCAACTACAACAAGTACTCCAAATGGAGAATTAAATCCAACTGTTACTGCTGGTGAAGTTAATCCAACCACAACAGCACAAGTTAATCCAACGACTACCAATTTCGAAGGTTTTCAAACAATTTCAGTCTCTGCCAACGATTATGAACTGACAACCCTTACTCCAGTGATTTCAATTGGAGGAGGTGAAACATCTTCATCATCTTCATCTTCAATCACATATACCCCTGCTTCAATTTCTTCATCTTCTGATGCAGCATATGAAGGTAAATCGTCTAAAAGTCAAATATCAATGATGTTACTTTTGGTTAGTAGTATCATTATGATATTCCAATTTTGAATTACACCCTTGCTATTTTCTCCTTTCTCCTTTCTTGTTTTGAGTTTTTTTTTCGAGTTTACTTCTCGAGTTTTTTTCTGTTTTTTCAATTGTTTCGGTTATTTGTAATTTATTAAGTCTTTCTGTATAGTGTTTCACAACTTAATCTATCTTGTTTCAGTTGTCTTCAATACAAATGGTTTTATTATATTTACTAATCTCTCCCTGTAATTCCGTCGCTAATGACTGCGAAAAATCAAATCTAAATCCGAGGCTTAGATTTGAGACACATTACATACTACAAATTTTAATTAATGTTTTTAGAAGTGTAATAATTATAAATGTAAATATTAAAGAATTTAAAAAACTATATATAAGAGAAATAAAATTAAGAGTAGAGACTATGTATAAGATGAATCAATAGAGATAATAATAAGAAAAAGAGCACATTAACAAAAACCAACACCAAAAAAATATATATATATGTATGTAAAAAAATAAAACCACCCAGAACCATTGCTATCTAAACAGATACGTATTCGACATTTTCTTTAGCTTCATTTATAATATCTAAAGCTTCTTTACCAACTAATCCATGTTTGACTTTAATATGTCTTGATAAAGCATCCCCTCTTGAAAAAGTTTTATCTTTACCATTACCTAAACCACCATTTAATCTCCCTTCACAAATCACACATCTAAAAATCTTCTTTTTAGAAGCATGGATAGTTTCTTGATGACGGATTAAATCATATGGTCTTGAGAATTGTTTATTACATGATACACCTGTGGAAGGATTGATTAAATCACATTGATGATTTGGATTATTAGCACTGATTTCAGCTGCTGTAATGGAATTATGAGAATGAGATGATTTACCTGATGATGACATTTTAGACTTGGTATTTGATTTATAATCTTCAATTTCCATATCTTCATCATCCATTTCTTCTTCATCTTCATCTTCATCTTCTTCTTCATCTTCCTCTTCTTCATCATCGGGGATTAAACTTGGGAGATTATCCATTTCTATAGGGCTGAATGTATCTCCATTGGATTGAACTTGTTGATGTTGTTGATGTTGTTGAGTTGGTATGTGTTGAATTTGTTCTTGTGAAACTGGAACTTGAGAAATCTGCACTGCAGATTCATTAATTTGGGATTTTTGAACTTGTTGCTGTTGTTGAGGTTGTTGTGACATTTGTTCATCATTATACATTGACATCATCATATCATCAAAGGCATCATCAACATGATAATAATCATTTTCATCATCATCTTCTTCATCATCAGATAATTCAGCTTCAATATCTTCATCAATAATATTATTTTGATTATTATAAATCACATCATCATATAATAAATAATCATTTTCAAATCCGGGTATAATGGAATTATTAGAATTATCATTGGTGAAATTTGTAGTGGTTGGTTCAATATCCATTAAATCATCATTTTGATTTATAATAAATAAATAATCATCATTTTGATTAATAGAAATTAAATGAGAAGGACTTATATCAGTATTATATAAGAATTCATCAGTTGGTTTCTTTTTATGTCTGATTGGTCTTTCTCTAGTATTATCATTATTATGGGTATTATTTGAATCATCATCTTTTTCATCGACAATTCTAGTTCTTCTACCAACGGGTCTTTGAGGGAATCCTTGAGGTAAAGCAATAGGAGCATACATTTGAGGTGGAACTTGATGAATTTGTTGAACGTGAGGTTGAGGAGGAGGAGACATTTGACGAGATTTTATAAATGAATCAGGATTACCATAAGCCGCGAATGGATTAACTAATAAATCCTTTTTATCCGTGGTATATTCATTATAATGATTGGCATCGATAAAGGATGGATTTATAGTAGAATGGTTGGAAGGACTGGTAGTGGTTGTAGTTGAAGTAGCATTAGTTGATGTATTACTATTATGTTTTGATAAATTATCCAAGATTAATTCAGGTATATTTAATGAAGTATTACTTGAATTATTTTGAGCAAATAAAGAAGCGTGATGGAAAAGAGGGGATGAAGCCAGTGAATGTTGAAACTGTTGATATTGTTGTTGTTGTTGTTGCTGTTGTTGATAGTTAGCAGATGGATTAGTATTGGTAGCAGTATTGGTCATATTCATATTCATAGAGTTATAAAATTGTTGTGATGAAGGTTGAGATTGATTAGTCATTAAATTCAAATGGGTGGCGTTGAGATTAAGATTAGTATTGAACTGGATGGGACTGTTTGGTATATGATAAAGTTCTTCATCCATTATATCTGTGATTGATCTCTTTAAAGGAGGTAAAACAGCTAATGAAGTCATGGTAATTTGGTAGCTAAATTAGAATTTAAAATAAGAAAAGACAAGGAAAATAAAAAGTTTTGAAATCAATTTGGGAAATTTGACAAGGTTTATATTTAGAGATCGTTATTATTAATTATAATTTCAGTGTGAGGGTTACGGGATACGACATAAATCCAGTTTACACAGTTTTTTTTAAATTCCCGTTTACAGTAAAATTAATAAGCGTAAACTGTAAAGTGCGTACGACATTTTTCCTCACTCCTCCTTTTAAACCTCATGTGAGCGGAAAGGAATCTAAAAACAGTAAACTCCACCTTCCTTGCTCACTAAAAATCGTTTAACTCCATTTTAAATGACCATAATTTAAATTTTGCCATCAAATCAATTGTTTGATTCCTATTTAATCCTTTATGATCTTAATAGAGTTAGATCGGAGAGCCGTTTCATATCTACTCCTATTTACTCCTTAATTTCTAGTAACTATATCCATCTAATTTGTTGGGTTGTAAATGACTCCAAATTTAGATTATGAAAAAGGAGTCATCAACTCTATTTCTATTTATGGAGTAAACTCTACGATTGGTTAAAAGGACAACGTTTTTATTCCGTAGATAATGGTTGATCATTCATCGTTTCAAACAATGAATTGGTACTATATACTTTATATATACTATATTACTTGATGATGTGTCCTCTCCCCCTTCCTTGTTGTCTCCTATTTGGATATAGCCCTGTTAAGTCAAATCAAAACATATCGTAAACTATAATTTCTTTTGTTTGTGTCTCTATAGTTTAGAAAATGTCGTAGTCGTTTGAGAATATTCTAGAAAATCAAAACAAAAATAAACAAAAATAAAAACAAACCTCATCAGACAGACAGACAGAAAACTAAAAAAAATTAACGACAATTTAAACTATGACAAACTGTGTCATTGCGGATATAAAATCTGTTTAAGACACCCTTTTTTTTCCGGTGTTTCTTCTTTCGGTGTTTATTTTAAATTAGTTCGATTCCGAAATATGGACTTGTATCTTATTTAACCTTATTTAAATGATTAATTTCTATTTAACTATAAATGATCAATATCGGAATGAGTTAATGAATGATGCGGCAAAAACATCAATGACTTCATTTGTAGAGTTTTTAATTATTCTATTCAATTTTCCCCATAATAACATAATTTAACCCATCCCATTGATGATTCATATTTCAGAAACACCTCTAATTATGCCATGCATTATAATAACATAATTTAATAAATCCAATAATCGATAATATAATATCTATACAAGTTGGAATAAAAAACACCATTGCCCAGAATAATCTCCAATCTAAAATTAAAGCAAACTTATCATCATAAACATTAATGATTCTAAAATCGTGGAAACAGATGAAAAGGGCTACTATAATTAACATAATGGAAAACAGAAGTGGGAAAATCCAAGCAGGATTAATCACATTAAAATAAGTTAGAATCCAACTATAGCTATGAAACAATACTAAACAAATATGAAAAATTATAAACAGAATATTTGTACATAGGACAGGATCGGTTTCATCAGGTATATGTTTGACTAATGCATATGAAAATCTTGAATATGAATCCATTTTGTAGTTATATCTATGAAGAATGATTTAGATGTGTGTAGATAGATAGTTGAAAAAGGTACAATTTGAACGTATAACATGGTCGAACAATTATTATTTTGTTTTAGCAGTCAATCCGAATTAGGAAGGTGAGGGACAAAAATTTGTGTGCTTCTTAGTTTTCAAACCCTAAAGCAAGCTACAACCACCTGTAAGGTATAGCAGAGTAACTTGTGAACAATGATTGATAGTAGTACATCTGAACGGCTGTGTGGAGATTTAATAACATTATCTTATTCAAATAGTTGTCATTGTAATTGTAGGTTCTATTTTGGATACCAAATTTGACATCATAAAAAATACTAATTAAGTTGCAATAACAACCATAATATTAACAACTAAATAAACTATTATCTCTACAGTATATTACGCATTCCATTTCAAATAAGAAACAATGTTTCTTAATCTATATAATAATCCAAAAAATTTAACAAATACATAAACTATATAATACTAAACTACCATTCTATAATTTTTCCTGTTTTTTTAAACCTTCATTTGCAACTTTTTCAATTCCCTTTTTAGCTAATTCATTATCTAAATAATAATAATCTTTAACTAATTTTAAATTCTCATCTAATTCAAATATCAATGGTACCCCAGTTGGGACATTAATATTTGAAATTTGATCATTATTAATATTATTTAAATATTTGATTAAACTTCTTACGATTGATCCATGAGTGACGATTAATACGGTTTGATTTCGTTTTAATAAATGTTTGATTAAGATTTCTTCATTGAAATAAGGGATTAAACGTTTCATTACCATTTCAAGACTTTCACCTCTGGGTAATTGACTTTTATTATCGATTGAATCATATCGATCATCAATCGATATATCAATTTCATCTTGAGGGATTAATGGAGGACATCCAAAATAATTCCGACGAATATATTGAAATTTTTCTTTATCTTGACCTAAACTTTTAAAAATTTCAAATTTATCACATCCTTGATAAGTACCATAATGTCTTTCATTTAATTTCCAACTTTTGATATGATCAATCCAAATGCGATTAATTCGATTTAAAATGATTAATCCAGTTTCAATCGATCGAGATAATTTGGAAGTATATAATATATCCGGTTTTAACCCATTTTCAAAGATTAATTTCCCTGCATTAAGAGCTTCAGCTTTACCCTTTTCAGAAAGATTAATATCAATCCAACCACAGAATTTATTTTCATGATTCCATTGAGATTCTCCATGACGAAGAATGATAAGTTTATGAACCGTCTGGGACATTCCGACTGGATATGTTGGTTGATAATGTAGCAGTTGTTGTTGATTATTGTTAATGTAAAGATGTAGTTAACTCAATGATAAATGATTATCTTTTTGTTGATTATATGTATTATTATCTGGAATTATGTGCAGGATATATACATTAAAAAAAATCTGATGATGAGAGAGACAAGTGGAATGATAGTGAAGATTGTTTATAGTTATAACTACTTAGGGTAAACTAAAGCACTCCACAATATTTTACACGTTTATCTTAATTATAGACACCTAAAGTGTTGTCGTAGTTACGATTGGTAAGATTACTTTAGATGAGTGAATTCGTAACATGATAGTTATACTCTTAATTGAACTTATGAATGACCCAATTAGCTCACGTTCTCTCTCTCTATTTAGTTCTCACTTTCCTATTATGGCTATAGTTTTTCCTTACAGAGACCTATTCTCAGTTTTACGAATAAAGTAAATTCGGACTAGAGTGGGAAAAAAAATGTAACATATTTATCAAAAAATGTTACCGAAAATGAGACTTTCAAAAAAAGAAATTTTCTTAAAAATGGCACATTTCTTTACTTAATATAAAGAGGTTGAAAAAGTTCATCATTTCAAAATTTACTGAAAATGTTTCTCTTGAAATATATATATATATATATATCATATATATGTATATCAACTAGACCATTGCATCCATCCATCCATCCCTTCATTCAATTCAATCCCCTGTCATTACTATTAACTCCATTCATTCAATTCCTCAATTGCATTATTTAACAATCTTATCGCAAAAAAAAAAACGGTAACCCCAAAAAATCTAGCACATCCCACAAAAAAATATTATACAGTCAGTCAGTCTAAAAATATAGTGTTATAAAAATAGAATTTTCCCTTCATGACCCAATCTAGAAAATCAACTATAAATTCATCTATAATAATAGATACGACCTCTATTGATGAAATAGAAGAAAGAGGCTGTGGTTTATCATCATCTTCATCATATTTAAATACTCCACCAACCACTCCTGATTTAAAACGGTCTATTCTTGATATTATAAATTCAGAAATTAGTTATATTCAATCCCCATTAATGCCTAATCCTCTGAAAATAAAAGTTCAACCCTTTACATGGGATCAAATTGAATTCATTGTGGGACTGAATCAATTACAAGTATTAGCCCGATCCAAATCTGAAACGAAGAGATATTTACAATTCAAACAAGATTTAAAAGAATCAAATTCAAATATTTTGGATTATCTCTTACATCATGAATTACAATGGAAAGATGAAGATATAAATAATAAAGAAACCAATAAGATTTTTAATATGCATACTAACGATGTTAAAATCCTTTATAATAAATTCCCTTATTATTTCGAACCCAATGTTTATCATTTATGTATCTGGTCCAAAAATAGAATGGAAGTAGATATTAATAGTGAAGAAGGTGATATAACTGATGATATGAAGAATTTAATTGAAACTTATATTAATTTAACCTTTGTAAAAGGGTTAAATATCCCTAAGGAAAACATTGTATGGTTTAAAAATTGGGGGAATTTACAAAGTGTGAAGGATATAAGTCATATTCATGTTTTGATTAAAGATGATGATGGAAGAGTTAAGCCTTTGATTGATCAATATTTGATTGGTAATACCGGTGTATTATTCCAATAGGTCATTTCCCCATTCCTTTCTACTATTTATATATATTCAATTTTTTTTTTATAGATACCCTTAAAATAGATTAAAAGTAGCTTTAAATAGCGTTACAATTATAGATTAGATACCTTAATATTATGCATTATTAGATTATATTGATTGTAGATTCTGTTGTATGGATAGTCCATTGCCGTTTAATGATAGGGATGTTAGGTACATTTCAATAACTTTTTATAAGCTATGTAGAACTTACTACGTAATACGGAGAAAAATGGCAAGATTACGAAAAAAAAGTATCATGAAATTTGAGGAAAAAATCCATCAAAATCCACAAGAGATTACACCTCCTTAAACCATAATTAAACATTAAACTAACAATTGAAAGATTACAAACAATTAAAAAGATAAATAAGAAATTTTTATATTATAAAAACTCAACAAAAGATTTGAAAAAATACTAATATACATATATATAGTTAAGAATTAAACAACGGACTAAACAATTAAAAAATAGACAGCAAAATAAAAATTAACCTAACCACCGAAACCATATAAGGTTCTTCCTTGTCTCTTTAAAGCGTAAACAACATCTAAAGAAGTAACGGTCTTTCTCTTGGCATGTTCGGTATAAGTAACAGCATCTCTGATGACATTTTCTAAGAATGATTTTAACACAACTCTAACTTCTTCATAAATTAAAGCAGAAATACGTTTAACCCCACCTCTTCTGGCTAATCTTCTGATAGCTGGTTTGGTAATACCTTGAATGTTATCTCTCAAGATCTTTCTGTGTCTTTTAGCACCACCTTTTCCTAAACCTTTTCCTCCTTTTCCTCTACCTGACATTGTGTATATGTATGTATTATAAGTTAATTAAATTAATAATGTAAAAAAAAGAGTAGAAGAAAATGAACTACGAAAAAAGAGGGAGGAAGAGGAAATTAAAATTTATTTATAATAAAAAGGGAGAGAGGGAAATATCGAATTTAATCTCGTTAGTTAAAGTAGAGAAAAAATGTATGGGTTGAATTGATGATGAATTTTTCTATTTGTGTTGTGGGTTTGTTTGTTTGTTTGTTATGGGTAAAAGGTTAGCGTAATTTAGTGAGAATTGAAATGAAATGGGGGATCCCACTTTTAAGGGAAGATGAAGAGAGGAAAAGAAAAGAAAAGAAAAGAAAAAGAAATTGTTTGTTTGTGCTGCAATATACTCCTAAATGAAGTTAATTTACTGAGTAGAAAAGATCTACTTTTTAGGGAGAATGGGAAATGGATGATAACTTTTAGGGAAGTAATAAGTCTAAAAGTCCAAAAGACGCTAAACTGAGACTGGGAATGTTTACTTCAGGAACGGTTATGATTATTTTTGCAATCTTGTCGCATTTTAAAAAGCAATATATTTTTAGTGCATTTGTCTTATATTGATTTGAAAAGTTAATTATTCGCAGTGCTAGAATTTACTCCATTGAGTGTGTATATTATGGCACTATTTACACCAGTATTTACATGTTTATACATTATGATTTAAAATCTATTGTTTAATATGGTTTACGCTATCAGTACAGTATATCTCAGTATACCTCCCCCACTAATCAAATATCTTTCTTAACCGCTAACTGTTTTGTTTTCTTTTCTTTTACTCTCTCCCTCCCTCCCTTCCTCCCTAAGCTCTTTTGTTTACTGTTACTTTTGTTTGTTTGTTTGTTATTGTTTCTTTTCGCTATCATCACTAAATATTTTTATCTGCCTAAATTTCATCATCACCACCACCATTTTCTTTCCCTACTAAAAAATTTATATAAATCTAAATTTTAATTCCCTATTTTCAAAATTTAATTTAATTTACAAGTTTTTATTCTTCTTAATTATTCATTCTAAACATCATCAAAAATGGCTAGAACTAAACAAACAGCAAGAAAATCCACTGGTGGTAAAGCCCCAAGAAAACAATTAGCTTCTAAAGCTGCTAGAAAATCAGCTCCATCAACCGGTGGTGTTAAGAAACCTCACAGATATAAGCCTGGTACTGTTGCTTTAAGAGAAATTAGAAGATTTCAAAAATCTACTGAATTATTAATTAGAAAATTACCTTTCCAAAGATTAGTTCGTGAAATTGCTCAAGATTTTAAAACTGATTTAAGATTTCAATCTTCTGCTATCGGTGCTTTACAAGAATCTGTTGAAGCTTATTTAGTTTCTTTATTCGAAGATACTAACTTATGTGCTATCCATGCTAAAAGAGTTACTATTCAAAAGAAAGATATTCAATTAGCTAGAAGATTAAGAGGTGAAAGATCTTAGATATAATATCATATCTAATTCTGGTTTTAAATTTAATTTTTGGTTATTCCCCCCTCCCCCTTTTATTCATTTCTTCTTTCTTTTTTTAAAGTATTCCCTTATGTATATTAGCTTAATGTATTATTCATTATAAATTTTATTTATATTATTAATTTGGAACTTGTAGATACTCATTTGATTTTGATCGTAAACTGTAACTTTTTTGTTATCTTTTTAACCTGCAAAAATTATATGTTCTAATCCGCACTTTATATTACAAACTGCAAAATTTTCTTATATATAGTAACTTTTTTTATTTTCAATTTCTATAGAATGTTAAATAAACTAAAATGGATATACATTTGGTTCTTCTTCAACTGGTAATCCATTTGCTTCTTGCTCTTGAGCCATGGCTTCTAAATATGGTAATAACACATCCTTATATTTATGATACCCTTTATATTCTTCAACATCATCACTCCAAGTATTAATCCCATTTAATAATCTTCTTGGAATATAAGGTTCATGACATAATTCAACAATAGGAACAAAATAAGTACGGATAGTAAATATCACAGCTCCACTAATAGGTAATCTTCTTAAACTTTGTCTTTCACTTCTAAAATATAATTTATTCACATCTTTAGCAACTTCAGCAGTATACCATCCAACCACATCAGAATTTTCATCTCCAATTGATTGGGACCAACCTAAATTATCATCAGTTTGAATGAAATAATTATTACGAACAACAGGTTTATCACAAGTCAAACGTTGAAAAAATTTAGTCATCCCATTTTGTAATTTTTCTTGATATTGAGGAACATCTCCACTAGTATGAATTTCATTCAATTTTAATTGAAATTTATCTTTCAATCTCCAAAATCCAGCCAAGATAATAGCACCCCCTTCCAAAGAATAATTCCCATCTTCATGTTCAATCATAATAGCAATATCATCTTGTAATAATTTACTAATGATAACCATTTGATCTTCCTTTGTATGACCTTTTCTAAAATCAAATGATTCTTTAGTTTGTAAATTATCTAATCCAACTTCAGTCTCTTTGAAAAGAGTGGGATAACGATTAGGTAAAAATTGTTTCAACTCTTGTAATAATTCAAAGGATGCATCAATAGCTTTTGGTGAACATCCATGAAGTTCATCACCCTTCTCAGCTAATCTGTCTAATTTATCTTGATGATATTTAGGCCATTCATTATCTAATTCAATCCATGAATTCCAATCCATACTACGAATCCCCATAGTGATATTATACTTATGTTTGAAAGCTCTATATGGAATTGGTTTGGTTAATTTATAATCCCAATTTTTAAATGGTTCAGGAATGGGAGTTTTGAAACTTATATCAGGAATCCAATGTCCATATTTACGATTCTTTTGAATTTGATAACTAGTTGGTTTCTTCTCTGATATCACAACTTTGTTAGCCTTGATACTTGAACTACTATTATAAATGAATAATCCAAGTACTGCAGCAATCAGTAGTACTAGTATGATTGAAGTTGGATTTGATTGATATAATGAGATCAAAAGTCCTCCCTTAGCAGAAGTATCCACTGTATCATTACTTAATAATGAACTCATCGTGTTGATAGTGAATCGTAACTGATACCATAACTAAAAAAATCAGGAAAAGTACGTATTGTTGAAACAGATATATATATATATGAAATCTTTATCTGGATATTTAATTTTAATTTTTTAAACTGTGTGCGTCTTTTTGGTGCTCGGATGATTCAGCCTAATTGAGTTAAAATTTGCAATCATCACCAAATTAAGCAAAATTGTGAGCTGAACTACTATACCGAAAATAAAATAATTTCTTTTTTTTTGGAGTTTCGATCTTTTCAAATAATCAGGCACGGAACAAGATTAACTTTATCCTGATCTACCCATAAATAAATAATCAGGTGAGTTAGTTAGCTAGTTTGGAGTGCAGTGAAGGTTCATATCTCGGTGGTTATATCTGTGGATCCGCAGAAGTTTTTTTATATCAGGAAGCGTAATGTTTTACTGAATTAGTAGTTTATCGTGTATTATATTTAGAAGCCACTATATATACAGAAATGGGTTAAAATCCCAATAAGGTGATAATCGAACAAACTTTTGACGTTATCATGCTGGAGGTAAGAATGCGGCTAATAAGCTGGTTTGTAAAAAATTCCATATCAAATTATAATAAATTATAATTTTAACCATTGATTTTTGATGAGGATTGGGGTTTTGAAATAATATACTTAAATACCAATATTGTAAGGGTAACATTGTAATTATCCTGGTTAAAATCTGAGCATTCCAAAAGAATATGGCACCGATATTCATTAATATCGATATGATTACTAAATTTAAAAATTTAGGCAGTTGAGGTAAATCCTTATAAAATGATAAGATTGTAAATACTTGGATTATAATGGTGGGTAAGATAATAATGAAATTAGGTATATTCCCCATGGTCCAATATTTTAAGAATCCTACATTCCAATAATGGGATTGAGCATATTGGAATAAAATGGGGAGTTTATAATTACACCATTCACCTCTTTGAGGACAAAATTTGAGATAACTGATAAGATTAGTTATGACGAACATAAGGAATAATGGTAATCCTCCCATGATTGCTCCTATACTGTTATTTACATTCTTATTAATGATTAGGAATTGATAAAGATCAATAAGGTATATAACACCTAATAATAATGCATTGGCTCGGATAGTGAATGTTAAACTTATTATGATCCCACTAAACACGTATAAATAATAATTATTGATTGATTTCTTGTTCGTTGATTTGAAATCTTGATAATTTAAACTGCAATCATATACGTAAATAGCGGAATAAGTTAATAAATTACATAAATTCTCTGAATAATTGATAGTGAGGAATATCCCCGCTGAAGAAATAATTAAAAACAATGATGATAATCGAGCCAATTGTGAAGGCAGATGTTGTGATTGTCTTCGTCCATGATTTGATGATTCAAAATATCGAAGAGTGAGATAATACAATACTATCACACTTAAATAATGACATAGATTTGATAACACGATCGATAATAAAAATTTATGATAATAATTATGATCTCCAATCGGTATATTCCTAATCAACCAAATCCAATTAGGACAGAATACAAATTGATGTTCGTATTTATATTCATTGACGAATAACTCATTGAAATGGACTGAATCCCATACGAGTAATTTATCAAGGATCGATATTATAATGGATGGTAAAGAATCATGATGATGTTGATTTTTCAATTGGGTTATGATGATTTGTGACGAAGTATCGAATTGAACTGGGGTGAAATAGACAATGACGATTTGGATGAACTTGATTAATAAGAATGATTTCGTGAGATGCCATATAGGGATTGTATTTGTCATTATAGTACTGACATTGATGATTGATTGATATGTTGATGTTGCTAAAATTCAGGTACGTAGAAATAATTTTTCAAATTTTTTATGGTTTGCGCGTTGTGATGGTTAATTTTCAGGTTAGTTTTGGTATATATATTAAATTTAAACTAATTTATCATTGACAAGTATAAAAAAAAAGTAGGATAAGATACAATATAAGATCTATAAATAATAAATATGTTAATTACAAAAGGTTGGGGAGGGAGGGATCTTTGATTTTACTTATCTATTTCTTACCGAATTGAAGACCAAATGATTCAATTATACCGGCAACAGATGATGGGTTTGATAAAGTGGTAATATCACCTAATTGATCAGCTTCGTAAGAAGAAATCTTTCTTAAGATTCTTCTCATGATCTTACCTGATCTAGTTTTTGGTAAATCAGCCACGATAATAACTGATTTTGGAGCAGCAAATGGACCAATTTCTTTTCTAACAGTTAATACTAATTCTTTTCTTAAACTGAAAGCTTCTTCACTAGTTTCATTATTTAAAACTTTAGCTGATAAATCATCTTTTAAAGCAACGAAAGCAACGACGGCTTGACCAGTTAAATCATCATGAATACCAACCACAGCAGCTTCACTTACCCCTTTATGTTCAATTAAAGCAGCTTCGATTTCAGCAGTGGATAATCTATGACCTGAAACATTAACCACATCATCAACTCTACCTCTAATCCAATAATAACCATCATTATCTCTGGCAGCACCATCACCTGTGAAATAATAACCTGGATATGGATTTAAATAAGTATCCATATATTTAGTATGATTATTCCAAACTGATCTTGCCATTGATGGCCAAGTATCTTTTATAGCTAAAACACCTTCAACATCATTACCTTCGATTTCAATTCCAGTAACTGGATCAATAAGACAAGTCTTGATACCAAAGAATGGTAAAGAAGCTGAACCTGGTTTATTTGGAGTAATACCAGCAATTGGAGCAATAAAATGAGAACCAGATTCAGTTTGCCAATAAGTATCAGAAATATGACATTTATTTTGACCTACTTTTTCATTATACCATTCCCAAATATCAGGACTAATTGGTTCACCAACAGAACCTAAAGTTCTTAATGATGATAAATCATATTTTGGAATTTCAGCTTCACCTGATTTTCTTAATAATCTTAAAGCAGTTGGTGCAACATAAAAGTGAGTGGCTTTATGTTTTTCAACAATTTGCCAGAATCTACCATAATCAGGATAAGCTGGAGTACCTTCGAATACAATGGATGGAACCCCTAATAATAATGGACCATATAAGGCATAAGTATGACCTGTAATCCATCCAACATCACCAGCAGTGAATAAGATATCTTGAGGATGAATATCAAAGATATATTTGGTAGTTAAAGCAGCACCAAATAAATAACCAGCAGTAGTATGAACAACCCCTTTTGGAGTACCGGTTGAACCAGAAGTATATAATAAGAATAAAGGATCTTCTGAATTAACTGGGATAGGAGGGAAATAACCGGAGAATTTAGCGGTTTCTTCATCCCAATAGAAATCTCTATCAGCTTTTAAGGCAATTTGATCATTACCAGTTCTTTTAAAAACCAAAACTTTTTCAACGGATGGACAATGATCTAAAGCATCATCACATAATTTCTTTATATTTATAACTTTACCACCACGTTTACCTTCATCACAAGTGATTAAAGCTTTTGATTTAGCATCATTGATTCTATCTTTGATTGAACCAGATGAAAAACCAGCAAATATAACTGAATGAATTGCACCTAATCTTGTTACCGCTAACATGGCAATGATAGCTTGAGGAGTCATTGGTAAATAAATAGCCACGGTATCACCTTTTTTAATACCCCAACTATTTAAAACACCGGCAACTTTAGAAACTTCATTTAATAATTGAGACCAAGTTAATTTATAAGAATCTTTTTCATCATCAGCTTCATAGATTAAAGCAGTTTCATTTGGTTTTGAAATAGCATGTCTATCAACACAATTGAAAGAAGCATTTAATTCACCCCCTAAGAACCAAGCAGAATCACCTTGATCTAAAGTACCTGATTTAACGGTATGGAAATCTCTATCCCAAGATAAGAGATCTTTAGCTAAAGGGCCAAAGAAACCAGCTGGATCATTGATTGATTGTTGATATAATTCATGATAATGATCTAAACTTTTGATATGACCTGGGTTTGGTTGTTTTTGAAAGAATTCTTTTGGAGTTGGTCTTGGAATAACATCATTTGCTTCATGAACAACTTTATGAACTGGAGCAGTAGTCATGATTAGTTAGTTAGTTAGTTAGTTGTTGTTGAATGGAGAGTAATGAATAAATGAATAAATAAATATTATTATGATAAATCTAAGTTAGATAGATTGCTATAAGGACTAAAAGTTAGTAAATAGTTTGGGAAGGAAAGGAAAGGAAAGGGTTATATAAATCAATTGTTGCAAAGGTCAAGTGATGTCAGATAACAGTGAGCTAAAAAAATAAATTAGTTAGTGAGCTCTGGTACAAAATTTGCATTTCGGAGTTTTTCTGAAACAATGAAATGGACATGAGGAAGAAAGGGAAATGTAAGGTATAAGGATGGATTGATATCCGGGGAAACCATAATGGTGAGATTAAATAAATAAATAAACTCAACCCAACCCAACCCAACCCAAACAAAATTTCAAGGTTCTAAAGTCCCGATTTAAAAAATATGCTGGGGGAATTAGATGTAATTGACTGCCTTATAACTGGTAAGATTATATTTGTAGCTATTGACTTCCACTATTTAGTGAGACTCGTTAAATAGTTTGTTCGTTTGTTCGTTCGCTATTTCATTTTTTTTTGTTGGTAATAAATGAATTTTATGATACAAAGATAAACTTAGATTCTGACAATGTAAAGCGAAAGGTTAATCATTTTTTGATTTACTTGAAGATGATTGATATGATTGGAAGTCTTAGTAGATTGACTGTATAGAATATATCCTATTGATTGAATTGAATTGAATAGAATTGAATTGAGTCACACGCTAATTTAGTGGACAATTAGTGGTATTTTTTCTGACTGTCTGTCTGTAGTGAGACTCACTCACTCACTGTTCACTTGACTTCGCTAAATTGAGCCCATTCCATGATATATATATATATATAAATATAATATGATGCTGGAGTTAAGTATACTTACGGATATAATGAATTGATTTATTGATTGATGGGGAATAATGCACAACAAAACTTATACTAAGATCAATTCCTCTTCAAACTAGTAAGAGAAAAAGGTAAGAAGGAATTGGTAAATAAAAAAATTTGGTTGGTGAATTTTCAGAAACGCCAAAATTTTTCTTTTTTCATTAAACGGTAAAGGAATAATTTAATTTAATTAGGGAGGATTGATTGATAGTGGAAGTTTATACGACAATAACAGAAAAAAAGAGGGGTGTTGTGTGCAGGAAGGTGTTGGGTGATAGTTTATTTTTTGTTGGTTAAAATAAATTTGAATGAAAGAAGAAGATGAAATATCCAATCAAGACAGAGTTTTACCAGATATATATATAAAATCTGTGTATGATCATATTGATTATATTAGTTTCTATATATATATACATATACATATATAACTACATCTTATCTTAGTCTATAATTAGCGTTTCTAGTTTTTTCTTAACTTAACTATAATAGTTAAATCGTTATGTTATGACCTTTTTTAGTCTTTTCTTTTTCTTCTATGGCTTATTTTTTTTTTGTATGGGAAATGGCACAACAACCTCATAAAATGGTAAGACTCTTATACAATTTATCTCTCCATAATCTACTTAAATCAATCTAAGCATGACCCTGTTTACAGGTTAACCCTCGGTATGTGATCAACCCGTGTTTAATACTTATAAATAAATGCTCTTACAATGACGTTTACTTGTTTACGTTATATGATTAAATGATTCATTACTCGTATTAACAAATTTGTTTCACAATATTGACTCAGATTAAACCATACTACATTCTATGTAACGATAACTTCATTGACGATCTCATCTATATTTACGATATCAATCCTTATCTATATTAAACTTACTTACTTTCTTCTTTCCATCAAACGTTCCTTAATCATATAATGAGTCGTTCGACCAGATTTGTTGTCTTTTTTCTTGCTTAAGCTTAAGCTTTTTTTGCGGCCGGTGTACCGTTTATCTCTCTTTTTTTTTATTTTTCTTCGGTGGGGCATGTAACCCATTTAAAGATCATCCATTAACGTTCTGCCCCTCCCCCTTAGTCTCCCCCACTTAGCTTATAAACATGTAGTATCCTCTCATCAGTATCACTTCAATTACCTCTAATAAACTATAGATAAGTAATCTTTGACATCGATGCAATAACTAGTATAAGATACTACCAACGTAAACGAAATGACAGCGATTATAAATAACATCAAAGAATCATAACCAATCTCATCATCTAATAAACTATCTACAATATATTCAATAACTTTTTATATAACCCCAAAAATATTTATATTTATCTTGAAACTTTACTATTCACATTAATAAAAAAAGGAGAGAAAACAATTAACAAACATAATATATAAAATATTTAAATATTAAACAAAAATGAGATAACAAACAAACAAACAAACAAATAATTAAATAACAATATGTGAATAAATTAAATCAATAATCTGTTTAATCAACTTCTTCAACAGTTGGACCATCACTGGAAGCATCTGGAGCACCACCAGCACCTGGGAATCCACCTGGAGCAGCACCACCTGGGAATCCTCCAGCACCAGCAGCACCACCTGGAGCAGCACCAGCTTGATAAGCTTTGGTCATGATTGGATTAGCTTTACCTTCTAATTCCTTTTGTTTATCACCAAATTCTTCAGTAGTAGCAGTTTGATTAGCATCTAACCATGCAATAGTTTCTTCAGCAGCTTTAGTAACTTCTTCAACTTCAGAAGCTTCTAATTTAGATTTGAATTCTTCATCACCTAAAGTGGTCTTTAATGAATAAGCATAAGATTCTAAACCATTCTTAGCTTGAACTCTAGCAGATTCCTTTTCATCTTCATCTTTATATTTTTCAGCATCAGAAACCATCTTTTCAATTTCTTCTTTGGATAATCTACCTTTATCATTAGTAATAGTAATCTTTTGAGTTTTACCAGTACCTTTTTCTAAAGCAGAAACATTCAAGATACCATTAGCATCAATATCAAAGGTAACTTCAATTTGTGGAACACCTCTTGGAGCAGGTGGAATACCAGATAATTCGAATTTACCTAAAATATTATTATCCTTAGTCTTGGCTCTTTCACCTTCAAAAACTTGAATTAAAACACCAGGTTGATTATCAGCAAAAGTTGAGAAAGTTTCGGATTTTTTGGTTGGAATAGTAGTATTTCTAGTAATTAATTTAGTCATAATACCACCAGCAGTTTCAATACCTAAAGATAATGGAGCAACATCTAATAATAATAAATCTTGAGTTTTGGATGAAGTATCACCAGTTAAGATAGCAGCTTGAACAGCAGCACCATAAGCAACAGCTTCATCTGGATTAATAGATCTATTTGGTTCTTTACCATTAAAGAAATCAGAAACTAATTTTTGAACTTTTGGAATTCTAGTAGAACCACCAACTAAAACAATTTCATTAACAGCTGATTTATCAACTTTAGCATCTCTTAAAACTTTTTCAACTGGATCTAAAGTAGATCTGAATAAATCTTGACATAATTCTTCAAATCTAGCTCTAGTAATAGAAGTATAGAAATCAATACCTTCATATAAAGAATCAATTTCAATTGAAGTTTGAGCAGATGAAGATAAAGTTCTCTTAGCTCTTTCACAAGCAGTTCTTAATCTTCTTAAAGCTCTTTGATTAGAAGATAAATCTTTCTTATTTTTTCTTTGAAATTCAGCAATGAAATGATTAACTAATCTATGATCAAAATCTTCACCACCTAAATGAGTATCACCAGCAGTTGCTTTAACTTCAAAAATACCTTCTTCAATAGATAATAATGAAACATCAAAAGTACCACCACCTAAATCGAAAATTAAAACATTCTTTTCATCTTCAGATTTTTTATCTAAACCATAAGCAATGGCAGCAGCAGTTGGTTCATTAATAATACGTAAAACGTTTAAACCAGCAATTAAACCAGCATCTTTGGTAGCTTGTCTTTGAGAATCATTGAAATAAGCTGGAACAGTAACAACAGCATCATTAACTTTAGTACCTAAGAAATTTTCAGCAGTTTCTTTCATTTTAGTTAAAATCATGGAAGAAATTTCTTCTGGAGAGAAAACTTTAGTTTCACCTTTATATTCAACTTGAATTTGAGGTTTACCAGCTTTATCAATCACTTTAAATGGGAAATGTTTAATATCACCTTGAACTTCATGATCATCGAATTTTCTACCAATTAAACGTTTAGCATCGAAAACGGTATTAGCAGGATTCATAGCAGCTTGATTTTTGGCAGCATCCCCAATTAATCTTTCAGAATCGTTAAAAGCAACGAAAGATGGAGTGGTTCTATTACCTTGATCATTAGCAATGATTTCAACTCTATCATTGGAGAAATGAGCAACACATGAATAGGTAGTACCTAAATCAATACCAACAGCTTTAGACATTATGATATATATTTATAATTATTCTAATTAAAATTAAACAATTAATTGACTAATTGAAGAAAAGAAAGAAAGGAAGAAGAAGAAGAAGAAAGTGAAAAGTAAAATTAGTTGGAAAATTTTCATATATATAATTTCTATTCTGCCTTGCCCACTGATTGAAGTTGTCCACCCACCACAGAAATTTTTTTTCCATTAGATTCGACGAAATTCTTCGCACCCAAATAGAAACTTATAGAATCTTATGGAACTGTTTAGATTTTTACTCCTTGATTTTTGTTCTGCTTTTGGTGATGTAATTTTTGGTCATGTGGGAAAGGTCATGTGATCATGCAAATCATAATCTTTCCTAATTGGGATGTCAACTATTTGTAATAGACTATGAATGGTTCAATTGATATGTCAATGACATAATAGAACTATCATTGTATGAATATGAAAATATCACTCTATATTAACTACTCATTACTATTCATATCTGTTGCACTTACCTCTCACAATTGTACTATAACTAATGAACACTTCCTATTTTGGAAAACAGCAATAATAACAAGTCTGATGTAATTTAACATATAATAATAATAAAGTACAAACTAAAACTATAAAAAGTAGAATAAATAGATAGATAAACATATAAACCTATTTAATAATATTGTTGACAACGTAACAGTTCATAACAAAACAAAGTAAAATCAAACAAAACTAACATAAAAAAGACAAAATATAAAAGTCCTTCAACTCAAATCCCTAAAGGGATTTTTCAACTTCTTTAGTATAATCATTTACTAAATAAAAACCACCAATTTTTTTAAGTACATCTTTAAATTGAACCCAAACTTGTTTAACCACAGGATGATTTACTTTATTAACTAACCCATCACCATGAACTTCAAGAGTTTTAAAATAATTTCTAGTAACATTTGAAGTTTCAAATCTCTTCTTTAAAAATACAGTATAAGCTAATACTGGACTTAAAGATCTTTTTCTAAAAGTTATCATTCTAATAAGTAACCAAGCATAACCATAAATTTCAATGATAGCAGTTAATTGAACTGATTTAGCATTATAATTCTTAATGAATGAATCAACTTGTTTAGTAATTGATGATTGTTCTAATCCAAATACGGGTAATAAATATCCTTTAACATAACTTAAAACATGGAATAAAGCAAAAATACCAAATGGTAATAAAGTTAATAAAACATAAGCTCTAATAAACAATAATAAAGAAGCTAATAATAAATAATGAACATTATCATCTTTAATTAATACTCCAAAACTGAAACCTGAAGTTTTAACTGTTTCAAATACCACAACGGCAAAACTTTCAATGACTCCTAATAAAGCCAATTGAAACCAAAATCTATAATATCCTGATCCAATTCCAATATAGGTCAAAGTATAGAAAATAACACTGATTAAAGTGATGAATTGACCTACAAATCTAGCAAAATCAGGAGTCTTGACAAGTTTAATCAATTCTTCTTGATTGAATTTCTTTGAAGGAGTGGAAGATTGCGGAGTTGACATCTTAGTAGTAGTAGTTCTTCTTACGATTGGTTAACTGATGAATATATGAATATATGACACGTCGATATATGAAGGCACTTCAATTGATTGAAAACAACGATGAATTCAAACTAACTTAACTATACCAATTTAAATCAAATGACCTGATAATGACTATTTTATAATTACTAAAAACTCCTTCTCTCATTCTCTTTTTTCCTCTAAGGGTTAAAATTGGCATCTGAAATTCATCTTAAGCTAAAGCCTTACTTTTTTTTTTTTCTACTGTGCTGGCCATAACTAATTATTAATATACAGGCAATTCTATACGTTAGTTGGTTGGTTGTTCACCTCATTAACTATGGCTTGATGATTTGGGATGGGATGATCTTGCTGTTCTTTTCCATTGTAGATATGGTATAAACTAGTTCAATATATTTTGTATGATATCTCTGTCAATTACACTGACAATTCATATTATATACGCTCACAAGATAAATTACCTAAAAAAATCTACACTAACCAAATATACTTAATATAAATATATATATATATCAATTAAAATATACCTAAAACACAAAATGAAAGAGAATAATAAAAAACAAACAAACAAGTATATATAAAAAAATACTAACTATATATCATCATTATTATTATAAATAATAAATCCCCAAGAAAACATTTTACTTAATCAAAAATTAAGTCAAGTTAAAACTAGATTAACGTAAGAAACCTTTACGACTCTTTTGAGCAGCGGGAGCAACTGGTGGTTCTTGAGGTAAAGTTTTTTGCTTTTCTAATTGAACTTTCTTTTCTTCTAATAATTTTATTTGTTTACCTAATTTATCTTTCATTTCTTTATGTCTTGAAAATAAATCAGCTTCTGATCTTTGTAATTTCTTTTCCTTTTCAGAAACTTTTTGTTGAAATACTGCTTTCATTTCTGCTTCCATTTTAGCTAATTTTGCTTCATGTAATGCTTTTTCTTCTTCTTGTCTTGTTAATGGATCAAATTCTCTAAATACACTATCATCTTGTTCAATACCCATTTTTTTTAATTTTTCAGATCTATAATTTTCATATAAAACATTTGAAGTTTGTTCTTTTAATTCTTCTAAGAATTGTCTAATTAATAATTGACGTAAATAACTAAAATCATTATGATTTTCATTTTCAACTTCAATAATACCCCATGGATATTGTCTACCTCTTACTAATTTACCTTCTAAATTTTTAACTTCTTTTGTTGATCCAATAACTGCAAATGGAATTTTACTTAAAATTTCTTTAGTTTTTAAAATTGTTTCATCATCTTCAGTATTATCATCATAATCAACAGGAATAAAAGTTTTAATACCTTGTTCTTGAATATCAGCCAATATTCTTTGTTTAAAATCCGAAATTTCTTCATCAGTTAAAGTATCAGATTTAGCAATAATTGGAATTAAATTAACTTTTTCATGAACTTGTTTCATTAAACTAATATCTAATGATTTTAATGAATGACCAGTTGGTTCAATGAAATATAATAAAGCATGAATCCTTGAATCTTTAATAATAGCTCTATTAATTCTACTTTCAGCTTCTAAATATGAATCAAATCTACTATTAATTTCTTCAACAATAGGTTTCCAAGAATCAGTATTATTAAGAGATTCACCAAATCCAGGAGCAGTAACAACATTAAGAGTTAATTTAACACCATCTTCTTCTATTTCATGTTCAATTGATTTAATTTTAACTTTAATATCATCTTCTTTAGATTCATCTTCAGTGGTTGAAGATTCAAGTTCAGAATCTTTGGATGATAAGATTTCTTTATTAAAAAGAGTATTAATTAAAGTAGTTTTACCTAATCCACTTTCACCAACAGTCATAACATTTAAAGTAAAACCTCTTCTAACTGATTTTCTATGCCATTGTTTTGGGAAATTGGCAAATCCAACATAACCATTTAATTTCTTTTTAATAATCTTCACCTCAGGATGAGGAGCGGTAGTAGTAGGGGTAGCTGATTGAACTTCTATAAAACAGGTGTTAGTAAGATTGCTTGATTGCTTGATTGATTGATTGATAGATTGATTTAAACTAAATCAAGGGGGTTGTGTAGATACATACCAGTTGTCATTTTTGATTGAATACCAATTTGAAACCGTGTAACAGATCACAATTATACTTTGGATGGGGGGAAGAATAGATTCAAAACTAAACCAAAATACAAACACAACTCAATGATCCTAACGAAAGACTGGATCTCTATTCTATCTATATATAATATATAAGGGATAGATAAATGATGAATGTTTTGATTAGCCGCTGTTTTAAAATAAAAAGTTTTGATGTTGGAAAGTGTGTTGTCAGAGATTTGTTTTGTGTTTGGTCGTCTGTTTTTCGATTTTTCTGACTTTTTTCCAGATTTCCATATAAAACAAAAAAAAAATAAAATAAAATAAATGCTCTCACTTTATTATTTACATAAAAGGGGAAAATCAAACAAAGGGAGCACAACAGAACAAACAATGACAGAACAAACAATGAAATTTCTTTAAGACGTGTCGGTCATGTGCTTCTGGTATCGTGATATTCCACGTGATTACGAGTATAAACTAATAATTATATTAAATCTTAATTATCAGTTCATATGAATTTTTTTAAAACATATAACTAATTGATAATGATTTAATATTAGCTGATAAATATCCTAGTATGATTAGTTTATGTGAAATATTTTTTTTGTATATTAATATTCACAATATTAAATTTCACATAGTTTAAGTCATTTATTCTCTGAATAACTAAAATCTACAATAACTAGATGACTTTGTATGTAAATGAGCTCATTTAACTTCTGAAAATGAGAGTAGATAGTACTTAATATTGGCTTACTTTGTCAAATATATCTCAATGGATCTAATTATAGCTCAATTCAACTCTAATGATATTTTTCAATTCCATTTTTCACAACCATACCCAAACTTATTGCAAAATTTTAATGAAATTATTCAACATTAGTGAAAGTTACATATTTTTAATTTAATTAGTACTTGCATCGACTATTAACTCTTAATATGACTTTAATTCCTTTCAAATACCCAAATAACCAACATTAAACCATATTAGTTCTTCAAGTTGAGCACTGAAATATAGCATCTGCAGGACTACAAATCCTAACACTACTAAATTCAATATATAAGCAAGTAAATATATATTACCACTACAAACATTTTTTTTTTCTATATACACATATCAATCTTTTTTTAAACATCATGAATCATTAATCTTCTCTAATTGTTCTAATAAGAACTGTAAACCAATCTTGGCAAATTTTGTCATATTTTCAGATCTATCATGACTACCAGTTTGACTTGATTGAGAAACTTCAGTATTTGGACCACTAAATCCTATATAAACGGTACCTACTTGTTCATTTTTTTCATCACTTTTACCTCCATTACTTTCATCTTCATCAATTAAATGTAGATCTTGTGATGGACCGGCAAATCCAGTTTCGGATAATACATATGTTGACCCTAATTCATATTTTGTAGTTCTAGCTAATTTTAAAGCAACTTGTTTTGAAGGTCCCATATAATTTCTAATTTCTTCATCAGTCCACCCTGATAATTTCAATCTTTGCTTTAATGAATATACTAATTTACCTCCAATATAAAAATTTGATGCTCCTGGTATTGATACAATATAGGCTGATATTAATCCCCCACAAGCAGCTTCTGATATAGATAGAGTTTCATTCCTGGCTCTTAATATGGTTGCTATCTTACTCACTATCAATTGAATGTCATCAGGTGGAAATACACTACTAGCCATTTGTAATTACTATCTTTTATATTATACTATGTTCTTCTAGATCCGTTAGAGATGATCTAATCCGATTGTGGTGGTATTTTTATAATCACAGACGCTGTCTCTAAAATAACAAACAAAATTCAGGTCGTGTACTTTTTGCAGAGATTTTTGGTTCTGTTGAAAAAAATGAGACAGAGAGAGAGATACAGTGGCAACTCTGATCACATAACTTTCAATTACCCATTCAATCAATTGAGGATTCAATCGTTCAAATTATTCCATAGATCTATATAATTCATCAATGTCAACTGTTAAATCGATTAAATTCAACGCCGGAAAGGTTCAATATGATGATAATACTCATCGTTGTACTCCTCTAGCTCATAAAGGTGTCATAAGTATAAAGGCAAATCCTGAAGAACCAGAATTATTTGATTTTGTTTGGAGTCCAAAAGGTGATGTTACAGTGGCTGGGAATGTACCAGAAAAGGAAAATTTATTATTAATGCCAGGAGATGTTAGTTTTAAGCATATTAAATCCTGTCAAACTGGTCGAGTTTTCGCTTTAACATTTTTTAGTTCTGGTGCTAAATATTTATATTGGTTACAAGATGTAGGTGATATAGATCAAGTTGATCAATTAACTCAAAAAGATATAAATTTAGCCAAATCTGTCAATGATTTAATATCGATGAAATATGATGAAGAAGAAGATGATGAAGAGGAGGAAGAGCAAGAACCAGATCAAGAATCTAAAGAAACTGGAGAACAATCATCAGCTGCAGCTGATGAAGAACCAAAGTCTGAAGAGTAAGTAATACCTATTTTTCAAAAACATACCTGCCCTTTTGCATAATAATAATAATAAAAAAAAAGAATGAAGATATTAACTAATTATAAAGTTCAATTCCACATTTTGATACAGTACCTGTAGGATCTAGTCGATTAAAGAATTATAAAACACCAATTGGGAAGATTTCTGATTTTATAACTTTGGATATTATTGAGAAACATCTTGCAGGTTTAAGTCAAGATCAAATCAAAGAATTATATGGTGAATATATTCCTTCAACAGGAGGTGATTTAATGAATGTTATAAGAAGTGCATTTTATCAACAATGCACCCAAAGACTATCTCATCTGTTAATTAATGATGATGGAGCTGGATGGTTATTTGCTCAAAGTTTGAAATATGATTTTGAAGGTGAAGGAATTAATTATTTTTTAAAAGGTATTAGAAAACTTGGTGAACAAGAAAAGGAAGAAGAAAGATTGGGTTATGCTGCTACGAAAAAGAGAGAAGAAGAAGATGACGATGATATTGAAGATGATATTTAATGAATGATTAATAGCATGAAATAGAATAGTAAAGTTTATAGAAAAATACATGGTAAAAATGAATGATATATATCTATGGTTTACATGCAGGAAACCACAAACCATAAAGCAAGATAGCAACTCAAGCCTTATTTATTGATCATTATCGTATTTAATGATTTAAATTTCTGTTCAAACCACTTTTCATCTTCTAGTCCAAGAGAATAAATATCTATTAACGAAATGAATGATAGAATTGAAGTAATAAGTCAACCCGAGAACGATGGTGATAATAGTGATCATAATCCAGAAGGAACTCTTGAAAAGTTGAAGCATTTAGTCGAAGAACATCCAAAACAAGATGAAGTTGGTGACGATTATGACAGAAATAGAGATAAAAAGGATGGATCTAATAACCAAGATGTTCATTCACAATCTTCGATAAAATCAGATGAACCTTATCATACAAAAGATGGCCAACAATTACAGTACGATGAAGATGGGTTCCTTATACCCCCAGGAAAGATTCCTCTTGATGGGAACTTTTCTACAGCAGAAATAAAGGAATTGATTCAAATTAGTCAAGATAATGGTCTCCTAAGCGATGGTGTTGATGTCCAGGTTGTTGACCACGACTCTCATTTTGGTGACCGTGTAGTAATAAAGGATGTTGATGATAGCGTAGAAGATGTTGATGATACCAACGAAAACGAAGATAGCGATGAATACGATAAGAACAAAGACCACCGTGAACGCCACACTAAATAATGCAAGTTCAAGATGGGAGGTAGCCATTGAAAGTATGTGTATGTAGATACTAAATATACAATGTTTAAAGTAAGTTTTTTACAACCAAAATGAAACCGCACTGACACCAAAAAAATTACAGCCAGACTTTTTTTTGATTTATTTATATCAGAATTAAGCGTAACATAACCAACATCCAACTATCAGATTGAACACTTGATTGATTTAGAGAAAGTATAACAGAATCAATAATAATCCTACTAATTTTCATCACTTCAAAATTTACTTTTACTACGTGATTTATGGTGTGTGATATGAATACTATATGATGGTTTTACATAACAGAACCAAGATACGATCCAATAGACTCATAGTATGGATCAACCTATTATTAGGATCATTAATCATCTCCTTAATTGCATTTTCATATATTAGAAAGCCAACTGACGTTGATTCATCCGGATGTCGTGTGGTATATATGTATCCTTCCTATGCTAGAATCTTAGCCTTTGATGAATCTCATACTAAATTTGCATCAAAATATTCATTATATTTATATCGTGAACAGGGGAAAGATCCTGTGCCTGATCCTGACCATGGGTATCAGAAATTAGATGGTATACCTGTTTTATTCATCCCTGGTAATGCGGGAAGTTATAGACAAGTTCGATCAATTGCATCTGAAAGTGCTAATTTATATTTTGATGATTATGTTCATCGAAATTCACCAACATATCGAAATTTAGATTTCTTTACTGCTGATTTTAATGAAGATTTTACTGCTTTCCATGGTAGAACTATCTTAGATCAAGCTGAATATTTGAATGAAGCTGTTAAATTCATTCTTGAATTATATTCTAATAATGTTGATCCTCCTTCATCAGTAATAATAGTGGGTCATTCAATGGGTGGTATAGTATCAAGAGTTATGTTGACATTACCAAATTATATTGAAGGTTCTATAAATACCATTGTAACATTAGCTTCTCCTCACGCTGCAGCCCCATTAACTTTTGATGGTGATCTTTTAAAGATATATTCTGCTATTGATAGATTTTGGTATGATGGATTTCATAATGTTGATGAAAATGAAGAAAAGGCTCATCATGCGGATATAGCTAAGGCCAGATTAAAAGAGCTTTCATTAATATCGATTACAGGAGGTAATTTAGATTCTACACTTCCAGCAGATTATACCACATTAGGATTCTTAGTTCCACCTTCAAATGGGTTTACTGTTTATACAACTGGTATACCAAATGTTTGGACTCCGATTGATCATTTAGCTATTGTATGGTGTGCTCAATTAAGACGACAATTAGCTACTATCTTATTAGAAATTGTTGATTATGAACGTCCAACCAAAACCAAAACTCTTGATTCTAGAATGGATATATTCAAACAATATTTATTAACAGGTTTAGAATCTGATAAAGCTAGGATCGAACAAGAAACTCCAGTAACTAATGAAATTAAAGTTAAACTTGATTCAAGTTCAATCATTAGAGAGAGGAAAATTCGAATTAATAAAGATTTACCACCAAAGGGGAAATTCTATGCCTTCCATTTAAATAAGAATAAAGATGAAGAAGGAAATGGAAATGGAAATGGCGAACAATTTTCTATTTTAAGTTCAATTAAAGCTGCTAAATCATGGCAAAATATCGAAGAAGATAATAATAATTGGGGTATATTACTTTGTAATAATTTAGATGATAATGAAGATAATTCAGATATTATTGATTATACTACTGAAAAGACTAAAGAATATGTGGCGTTAAGATGTAAGGATATTTCCCAAGTCTATGATTCAATAATCCCACGTTCAATGATTGATACTAATTCATTGATGTATTCATCATTTGGAGGTGATAAATCTCCCTTTCATGGTATAAAGATAGATACTAATATCTTATCTAAGAGTGATGTTGTTGTTTTAGTAAGTTCTATCAACCCTGATAAAAATGATGATTTTTTAATTGCGGAATTATCCGATTTAAATTCAAGTAAATTCGAATTAGGTAAGAGTTTATTTACATTGATGAGAAGAGGTGGAGCTGATATTTCATTACCTTCAACTAGACCATTATTAAGTACCATAAAAGTCCCAAGTGCATGGAGTAGTTTATTAGAATATAAATTATTCATTAATAATAAGAATAAATCAGGAGAATTTTCAACTTTTATAAGACAATGGATTGAATCACCATATGAAAGTAAATGGCATATTAATATTGATGGTAGAAAGAATGATTATATATTAATTAATTTACATGGAGTAGCTCCTTATGTTCCATTTGAAATTAAAGATGATCATGGTATAAATCTTGAAATGTGGAGTGTTCCAACTGTGAATAATGATGATGATCATCCTCCATTGGATCTTGAATTGAAAATTGATTTCATTAGAAGTTTAAGATTATTAATACTAAGGTATAGATTAACTATTGTTTCAATTTGTGTTCTGATTACTTTATCTGTTTTCCTTGTTCAATTAAAAGTATTTTTTGAAACAAATAAATTCCCAACTTTCATTGCTGCATTTAGTTATATTAATAGTGGAACTAGATTAGGATTAATTCTCGTGGGATTAGTGATATTGAATCCTATAGTGAAGATATCATGGGTTAAAACGTTATTGAATATGTTTGATCCTGTTGTATTACAAGATTCAAATGAAATTAATGTTTCCCTTGATTCTAATTTTAAATTTAATTCATATTATTTAGGATTAGAAGAGAATGCTTTATGTTTCCTAAGTGTGATATTTTACTTTATGGGCAATGCATTGGTGTTATTAACTTATACAGTTATATTTCAAATCAGTAGATTATTGAAAACGATATCAAAATTGATTTTCTCATCGTCATCGGTATCTTCACCATCACCAACTAGACCATCATCTGCTTCATCATCATCACTGAAATCAACAGAGAAATTAGCATCATCATCTTCAAAAAATTACAAGGGATATCGTCGTTTAATCATCAGTTTAATCTTATTATTACTAATTCCAATCTATATTCCATATCAAATAGTCTATATCATTGGATGTTTAGTTCAATTAATCAATTATTTCAAAAGTTCAATCAAAACTGCTTCAAACGATTTACAAAATTATCATTTAACATTATTAATCTTAATGTTATGGATCTTACCTGTTAATATTCCTATAGTGATTGTATTTGTTCATAATCTTGCTATTAATTGGAAAACACCCTTTTCATCTCATCATAATTTATTATCAATAGCTCCTATTATATTACTTATGGAACGAAATTCAACCTTAAAGAAATTACCAATCATAAATGGTGCATGGTTTAAAAATTGTGGTTTAGGGTTGATTGTTTATTTCGTGGGGTATTGTTTGATATATGGAAGTTGTCATACATATTGGATTCATCATTTGCTTAATATATTAAGTTGTTGGTTATTCCTATTTGTACTAAGTGGCGATAAAGAGGAAGAAGCAGAACAAGAAGATGGCGGAGACATGGATGGAGTGACATCGGGATCAACTTCATCATCACCATCTTCTCCAGAATAGATGAAAAGATATTTGCTTCTTCATCGTGTATATATACTATGTAATTATCTAGAATTATTAAAAGCTAGTCATATTGAACACTCTATCAAAAATGTAAGTCAAGGGGATGATCCTGAGCAATGGGAAGATGGGTTCACTCCCCCAAATAGATATCATAATCTTTCAGTTCATATTTTTTTTGAGGGGTCATTCTCATTTTTTGGTATGAAGGGGGACGATGTCAGTTGAAGTATAAACAAATCAGACGGGATCAATCAATCAATCACTTACAAATTTCAAATACTTCTAATATAAGGATATATAATATATTCATTATAATTAACTAATATACAAAAGATAAAAAATCAAACAATCAATTAAAAATTGAACATAAGATTAATTTTAAATCAAACTAATAATAAAGAAGAAAAGAAGTAAATTAATAATAATAAGAGTTAAACACACAAACTTCTTCAAATCTAAGCAGAAGATGAAGAGTATTTGGTAACAGCTCTAGTACCTTCAGAAACAGCATGTTTAGCTAATTCACCTGGTAAGATTAATCTAACAGCAGTTTGAATTTCTCTAGCAGAAATAGTTGATTTCTTGTTGTAAGCAGCTAATTTAGAAGCTTCGGAAGCAATTCTTTCAAAGATATCGTTAACAAAAGAGTTCATGATAGACATGGCTTTTTGGGAAATACCGGTATCTGGATGGGTTTGTTTTAAAACTTTGTAAATGTATGAAGAGTAAGTTTCCTTTCTAGTTTTAGTTCTCTTCTTACCACCTTCAGATGAAGCAGTTTTTTTAGCAGCTGGTTTCTTTTCAGCAGGAGCTTTGGAAGCAGGTTTCTTTTCAGCTTTTGGAGGGGCCATTGTAACTTAGTAGATTATTTGATGGATTGATTAATAGTCAAAAGACAAGAATAAGAAAAAGGGAAAATTCAAAAAAGAAAGGAGTTATAATTAATAATGAAATGTAAATTGATTGGGAATTCAATTATTTAAATAGTTTTTTTCTGTCTGTCCTTTGCTCACCCTTTGATCACTTTTTCACCCTTATTTTGAATTTAGGGAGAAAAGATTAATTAGTGAGGAAAGTTAAGATGAAGTTCGCCACAAAAATGAAATTTTAGTGAGAGATATAAATCAAAACAAACAAATAAACAGAAAAAACTTTACGCGCGCAGAGGGAGGGAGCGAGAGAGTGATGAAAATTATCGCGAGGAGAGGAGGAGAGTGAGAGAGGGAGATTACGTGGGACGATTAGGGGGAAGAAGAGATGAAGTAGCAGAAGAGGGAATGAAGAGAATTTCAAAAAAATCAAAACAATCACAAACCATAACCAGGACAAGAGATTGATAGATAGTTGATAGATCCTATCAGTTACCAATTATGATTCTTTGGTGTTTGATTTTGTTTGATCTAGGATCAGTTACCATCAATTGAATTGATATGATACTATTTGATGACTCATTCAATCAATTGATTAGTTAACTGATGATAGTTCATGTCAATTGAAGTTCAATTGAATATGATCATTACTTAATTGACTGCAAATGGATGCAATGGTAGATAAGTATTGTATTTACACACCCCAGGTGTGTAAATATGAGACTATCCTCAAATATGCGTATTTTTCAGATATTCCATTGTAAATTAAATCACAGTAATCATTTCTGTCACGCGCGTACAAAATCAAAAATAATTCAAAATATTTAGTGAGGAAACCACAACAAACAAACAATAGTGTTATACGCCATACTAAAAAGTTTAGGGAGAGATAAATTTAGGGAGTAAATAAAAATTTAGAGTGTAAAATCAATTTCTACGCAATCATCAAAAAATTCATATTTAAACAGATTCACATCCCTTAAAAATTAACAAGTTTTGATTATCAATTCCTTTTTAAAAGATTCCTTTTTTACAATTTCTTTTGATTTCTGTTCTTAATCAATTAACATAAATTAATAATATATCCCATACATAATGTCAGGTGGTAAAGGTAAAGCCGGTTCAACCGAAAAAGCATCAACTTCAAGATCAGCCAAAGCTGGTTTAACTTTCCCAGTCGGTAGAGTTCATAGATTATTAAGAAAAGGTAACTATGCTCAAAGAGTTGGTTCTGGTGCTCCAGTTTACTTAACTTCTGTTTTAGAATATTTAGCTGCTGAAATCTTAGAATTAGCTGGTAATGCCGCTAGAGATAACAAAAAATCTAGAATTGTCCCAAGACATTTACAATTAGCTATCAGAAATGATGAAGAATTAAACAAATTATTAGGTCATGTTACTATTGCTCAAGGTGGTGTCTTACCAAACATTCACCCATCCTTATTACCTTCTAAAAAGGTTAAACCAGGTAAAGCTTCTCAAGAATTATAAGTTACTTGATTAAGTTTGAGCAAAATTTAATTTTGATTATTTAATTCAACCCTATGATTGTTTTTTCTTATTATTCTTTCCTTTTTTTGTGTACATTAGTTATATAAATATGTATATTTTATAAATATAATATTTTTTCGAAATTTGAATTATGATTTGATGTAATAATTAACAAATTTGTTGATAATTGAGTTATTAACCATTGCCTTCCATTATGATTGATGTTGTCTCCTCATTTTGTGAAGGTGCGGCGAGTTTTTGATGGACAGCATAAAAAAAAATCTGAACTTCTGAAAATTGAGTGTATGAAGAAGTTACAAGTAGTCCGGTTAACACAACACTTTGGTCAATATGGAAAAGTTCTCAACATGGAGAGATAAAGGTACAGGTATATCACCATTCATGCCTAATGAATTCCCTCTTCAACAACAAATTCAATTCCAAAAACAACAACGTTCAAAAATTTCTTATATCCAAACCCAAATTAAAATCTTTGGTTTATACATTTTAAAATCAATCTTATTCAGTATTAAATTTCCGATCTTTATCATTTCAAGCTTGATTTATTACTTATTCCCTATTAAAGTCGTATTAAAGTTCATTCTTTTGGTTTTATTCAGTTTTAATAATGTCAATGTATCAGTTGATGGAGTCAAACGTACTAAAACAGATCAAATTTTACAAAATCAACCTAATTTGGGTGATATCATTATTATTAATTATATTAGTCCATTAGATGGTTTAATCATTCACTTGATTTCGAATGTATATCATTGGAAAGTGATTAAATTATACATTCCTGATTCAATTGGAAGATTACATCAATATTCAATTTGGGAATTTATCAATTTTAGTTTTAATTCCAAACAAAAGGGGAAATTAATCGATGAAAAGGATTTATCAAAGTTAGACTTATCAACTTCAATTAATTTCTTTTTGTTAGAAGGAACAGCTTCCAATAATAAAGCTATCTTACCATTCATTATAACTCCTCAGATTGTTAATTTATTAAATCAAACTTCTCAACCTATTAAATCCATCATTGTTAAATTCCAACCTAATTATTATACTTTACCAATACCGAACTTATATTCCAAAGTATACTACTTATTTGAGATATTATCGAATTTATCAAGTTCAAATTTCATAAAAGTTAAAATTTATAATATTAATAATGAAAGAAAAGATGTTATTAATAAAGTTAAACAATCATTTCAAGAAAATAATCTTTCAATCATAAGTGATAATCTTGATATTGATGAAAAATCAAAATTCATTCATTACTATTTAAATTATGATCTTATAGAAAGTAAAAAGAAGAAGTAATAAATATTTCAACCTTTTTTATATAGAGATATTCTGTCTAAATATATGCACGCCCCCACTCTGAAAATACCTGTAGCGGAATATGGTAGCACCGTCTAAATTATATACTATAATTGGAGCTTTATATATCTACAAACAATAATATATATGAGAATTGATAGTAGTTTAGGTTAAGAAATCATTCAATTGATTTTCGAATAGAATAATTCAAACTAAACATTACATTTGTTTTAGCTTTTACTCGTATCATATTGATCTCCTACTATGATGATGATCTATAATTAATGATTTCTTGGGGATTTGGATTGTGAGAATCGTTCTATATAAATAAAAAAGCTTGAATGGGGAATGTATTCTACTAATTAGTGGTAGTTTTAGAGTTACATTAACTACCTTTAGTTGACTTACTATTCAAAAATTATAAATGATTTATAATTGAATTACAAACTATAATTGCATAAATACAAAGCCCGTAGAAGGTTAGGTTAAATTACTGATTCAGGTATAAGATCGTGATTGAAATCACTCGAATTGTTATTTTACGGCAATTTCCAGACATTTTTAGCTATTTTTGTAGCGCAATATATAAAAGAGCAAAAATATTTAAACTTTTTAGTAACCATGATTTACATTTTGAATCAAGCGATATGATTCGCTTTTGATAAGGATTGAAAGTGATTCAAAAAAAGTATATATCCAGATTGTGCCGTTTGAAATATAGGAATAATATCACAAATACAAAAGGATATTAAATGGTTAGTAATAACGGTATATAATTTGAATGGATCCGAGTTTCGCAAAAGTGTGGGAAATAAAATCCCACGTCGTAGAAAAATATTAGTGAGGGAAAGCGGTATCAACCCATAATTTTGATTAATTATAACAATATTCTTGAACCGATATATTTGACTCCTATTTTCAAGAAATGAATGATCAATTGAATTATTAATTATCTCAGGAGGTGGATAGGGTAGGTAGGTAGATAGATACCAACTTACCCACGATGTCAAATACAATGTACTTGAAACAGAAGTAATACCAATATCGGAGAGAGGTGAAAAATTTTCAGCGGTTCAAAAGTACCGATTGATTGTTTTAAAAATGAAAAAGAAACTTACAAACTATACTATGTCAAATGACGAATTGAGTCATCCAAACTAAACGTAAATAAATATTATTTAAAACAGACATAAATGTGGAGTTGGGCTAAGCAAATAAGGCAATAAATCGAAAATTTTTCACCCATTATGATTTAGGGGCCCGAGAAAAAATTTCTTTACTGAGGACCTGCTAAAAAGGCTTTGTATCACTCGCCGTTGTAGGATTTTTTTTAGGGCCAAGGCGATACCGGTTCATACCCTGTATACAGAGGCATTCACCCTTACCGCAATACATAACGCAACGGACCGTTGCGTGCTAATAAATAGCGATAAGTATTTACTATTGGATTGATTAGATTTATAACACAAAGATTTGATAATTAAATTAACCCACCCACTAGGTCAAAGAGTTAAAGTTACAACCTTCTCATGACTCTTCTTTTTGATTGTTATATTAGTAAAACTTTAATTATTATTTTTAGAACAATATTATATGGTGAAAGATTTATTATTCATGCGTAGTTTACAAGATGATGAGATATTATTATGTAGTCGCTTTTGATCTATGTGTATAATGGCTAATTTCAATTTAATTAACTTCTGTTTATCATTAATTAAATTTTTAATTAGATAAATTATTTAAACAGTTTAATTTCTCCTTGATTTCTGTTACATCGTTTTTTAAAATTTAAGGTGGTTTTATCTTTTTTTAAACTTTCTTTTTTTTTGCTCCCTATCTATATCCTTATCTTTCTTACTCATCTCAAAATGGTTGCAGCTAACGAACCTGAATTTCAACAAGCCTACAATGAATTAGTTCATGCTTTACAAGATTCTACTTTATTTACTGAAAATCCTCATTATAAAAAAGTTATCCCTGTTGTTTCAATTCCTGAAAGAATTATTCAATTCAGAGTTGCTTGGGAAAATGATCAAGGTGAAATCGAAGTTAATAATGGTTTCAGAGTTCAATTTAACTCAAACTTAGGTCCATACAAAGGTGGTTTAAGATTCCATCCAACTGTTAATTTATCCATTTTAAAATTCTTAGGTTTCGAACAAATCTTTAAGAATGCTTTAACTGGTTTATCCATGGGTGGTGGTAAAGGTGGTTCTGATTTCAATCCAAAAGGTAGATCCGATAATGAAATCAGAAGATTTTGTGTTGCCTTCATGAGGCAATTGGCTAGATATATTGGTTCTGATACTGATGTTCCAGCTGGTGATATCGGTGTTGGTGGTAGAGAAATTGGTTTCTTATTTGGTGCCTACAAACAAATGCAAAACAATTTCACTGGTATTTTAACCGGTAAAGGTTTAACTTGGGGTGGTTCTTTAATCAGACCAGAAGCTACCGGTTATGGTTTAGTCTACTATGTTGAAAAAATGATTGAAAAGGCTTCTCATGGTAAAGAAACCTTTAAAGGTAAAAGAGTTGCTATTTCCGGTTCCGGTAATGTTGCTCAATATGCTGCTTTAAAAGTTATTGAATTAGGTGGTATCGTTGTCTCTTTATCTGATTCTAAAGGTGCTATCATTAGTAAAAACGGTATTACCCCACATCAAATCAGTGCTATTGGTGATGCCAAGATTAAACATAAGTCTTTAGAACAAATTATTGAATTATCTGCTTCTGCTTTCTCTGGTTCAAACTCTGTTCAATACTTAGCCGGTGTTCGTCCATGGGAACATGTTGGTCAAGTTGATGTTGCTTTACCATCTGCTACTCAAAATGAAGTCAGTGGTCCAGAAGCTAAAGCTTTAATTGAAGCTGGTGTTAAATTCGTTGCTGAAGGTTCTAATATGGGTTCCACCAAAGATGCCATCGATATCTTTGAAGCTTCAAGAAACACTGGTGTTTGGTATGCTCCTGGTAAAGCTGCCAACTGTGGTGGTGTTGCTGTCTCCGGTTTAGAAATGGCCCAAAACTCTCAAAGAGTTCAATGGACTTCTGAAGAAGTTGACTCCAAATTAAAAAACATTATGTACACTTGTTTTGAAAACTGTTACGAAACCGCTATTAAATATTCTGTTGAAAAGAACACTGAATCTTTACCATCCTTATTAAAAGGTGCCAACATTGCTGGTTTCATCAAAGTTGCTGATGCTATGTTTGATCAAGGTGATGTCTTTTAAATTTAGATATATACATATATATTGATACACCTATTCATCTTGAATGACTCCTTTCAATTCTTGTTTAAATTAAAATATTATATCTAGTTTAGTTTTTTATTTTTCTTTTTAGTTTTATACATCCATTATTTATTCATACTGGCATTGTAATCGAATAATCACTTGTTCTTTAATTAATAAATGTTGACATTCAACTTGTTTGTTTGACGTTTCTTATTTTTTGCATCAATTGATCTGACCCTAAATGTCGCGTCAATATTTATGACAACCATTAAAACACGCCATAGATTTACCAATAGAACTACTTGAAGTAATAATTAGGTGAATGTCAAGTTATTCTGAAGTCTGAATTCATCTAACCTCTCTTATGTAGAAGTTTGACGTCATATTTGGTTCCTGATTAATACGTGTATACCTCATGTCGCTTGAGTTTACGACATTCTAGGTTTAGAAAAGAAAAAAGCAGCCAGGGATAACCAAACAACGAGACGTTAGATAAGGTAAGGCAAGAATAACTTGACATCGACTCCTCTTACCGTTCCCTACAAAGAATTTAGTTGCAATAGCTATAGTATGTCGGTCCAATACCCACTTCCTCACCCTGTCGATGTTCCGGTTACAGATTTGGATGATACCGATGATGATATAATCTTCAGTGAACAGCACAATACCAACTCCAATCGAACGAATGATGAAGATGATGAAGTTGCTGATCAAGACTTTCTTGAAATACTTGATTATGAGAATAAAAACAATAATAACCCTTCACTATTTGGGAAATTCACGTCATTCTTTAAACCAACTGGTTCACCTGGAAACAGTTCTCAATCAAGCTATCAAATGTTAAATAGTGCTAATGAAAGAGATGATGATAGTTTTGAAATAAATGATGAAGAAATAGAGCGACCTCATGGATTTGATATAAGAGATTATCAAATCAAATTATTGAATAAAAAAGTTCGAAAGACAGCTGCATTTGGAACCATTATAACAGGATTGTTAATTTCAATCATTATATTCTTGGTGGTTAGAAATAATAAAACTAAATCATCAGTCTATATCAAGTACAATAGGAAAATCTTATCTAATAGTACTCATGATTTCCATCCAACCACTATCATTGTATCATTAGATGGTTTCCATCCTCATTATATAACTCCAAACTTAACTCCAAGTATGCATAATATGTTAGTGAATGATTATGCAGCACCTTATATGATACCATCATTCCCATCATCCACATTTCCTAATCATTGGTCATTGGTTACTGGTTTATACCCCTCTGAACATGGTATAGTTGGTAATACATTTTATGATCCAATTTTAAAAAAACAATTTATAAATACAAATCCAAAAGTTGGTGGTTTAGACCCTCAATTTTGGCAAGGTGGTGAACCAATTTGGCAAACTGCTGAACATCAAGGATTAAACTCAGCTGTTCATATGTGGCCTGGTAGTGAAGTTCCAACTATAGGTCCTACTGTTGATTTTGATAGATATAATGGTTCTGAAGCATTATCTTCAAAAGTTGACCGTGTTATGGGTTGGCTTGATAGACCTTTTATGACTACAAGACCAGAATTAATCTTAACTTATGTTCCTACTATTGATACCTTTGGTCATAAATTCGGTATTTATGGCTCAAATTTAACTGATGCTTTAAACTATGTCGATAATTTTATTGATTTACTTCAAAAACAAATCACAGAAAGAAATCTTGATGATATTGTTAATTTGATCATTGTTAGTGATCATGGAATGGCACCAACTTCTAATCAAAGAATAATCTATTTAGATGATTTGATTGATTTAGATAAAATCGAGCATATTGATGGATGGCCATTATTTGGTTTAAGACCTTATGAAAAGTATTCCATTGATGAAATTTATCAAGAAGTTTTAGCCAATTATGAAAAGTCAGAATCAAAAGATCATTTTAACATTTATAAAGTGGAAGATATCCCTCCTGAATGGGAGTTTGGAGGTAATTTAACCGACCATAGATTCAATTACCGTCTTGCTCCAATTTGGTTAATTCCAAAAGTTGGTTATTCAGTCTCAACTCATAAACAAATGAAAGAGAATAATAATGAATATCTGCCAAAGGGTGTTCATGGATATAATAATACTGAAGTTTTAATGAGGGCTATATTCTTAGGTACTGGACCTTATTTCCGTCAGTTTGAAAATAAGAAATTCGAACCATTCAAAAATACTGAAGTTTATAATATCTTATGTGATAGTTTAAATCTTGTTCCGTCTCCAAATAATGGTTCTGAAATTTCAGTTTTAAGAAATGGATTACCTGAAGATTGGTTAGATCCATTAGAATACCCTGATTTACCATTTAAAGTTGATCATATTGTTCAAAATGCTACTTATGATTTATTATGGAAGAAGAGACCACAAGATTCTAAACCAGTCACCTTCTCATATAGTACTAATAACCAACCACTTCAATCCATGATTTCTGAAGAATCAAGTTTAACTTCGGTAGCATCGGTTTCTCTTCCAAAACCAACTGATTTTGAAACGGGAGATGATCATGAAGATGAGGATGAAGATGACCATGAAGATGTTGATGATGACAATGAACATGAAGATCCAGAGGACAACGATGACGAAGATGACGATGAAAATGAAGGTGATAAAGGTTCATTATTAGATCAACTAATTGGTGGATTAGAAGATATAGTCAATGATGTTGTGGATGAAGCTGAAGATAAAATTACTGATGTTAATAACTTTTTAGATCATCTTTTCCATGGTGATGGCGGTAACTCAAAGAGTAAAGAGGAGAATGATAAAGATGATAGCTGAGTGGAGAGCAAAAGTACATAAGGCATATTACTCCGAGAGATGTTTATATATTTATATATATTTATAATAATACGTACAACAATAATAGATCAATTGTTTTTTTAATTTATTAATTTCATTAAATGTCTCGTGTCTGAATATTATCATTCAACACCCCGGTTAAATGTTGAAGACTTGAAAATGAATCACTCTGTCGATGATTCAACGCTACTGAATCAATTACAAATGGGGAATTTCCCACCCTTGCTGGGGTTTGAAGTTCATCACTGAATCCATCATGTTCTAAGGATTCATGACTTGATTCAGGAGTTGCTAAATTGCTATCTGATTTTGATATGACTTCATCACTTGAGTCTTGACAAAGTTTAATGATATCTGGCTTACTTAATCCTAAAAATGACGATGACCTAGTGATTGTACTCCAATTAGATTTAATCAATTCAATAACTTTCATTAAAAATATAGGTTCCAAACTTTCATATGATATCTGTTTCCAAAGCTTAAGCAATACTTGAATAGTACTATCATTCTCATTATCCCGTGCAAAATTGAGCTGAAGATCTTCAAATCCTCTATACATATGAAATAAAGATAACTCTCTCAATTCAGGTAAATTATATAGATTTGATAAAATCAAAAGACCCATATAATCAAGAATGGTATAATTGGAGTCTATATAATTTCCAAATTCGATTGAACCTGAATACAAATAGTATATTAATCCCTTGATCCAATTATAAGGTTCTGGTATAAGCAATTTATTACGAACTTGTTCATTCATACCGCTTGATATCATTCTTTGAAAATGAGGCCAACGAGCAATCAAGACAGCTTTATGTACCTTTATGACTTCTAATTCCCCCAGTCTTTCTAAATTGTCTATATCATGACTGTCATAGTACTTCATTGTTTCATCATCCGTCCTGTCGTTTTCATTCTTGAAGGCATATATTTCAAAATCAGTGAATTCTTCTTCTAGTAAGATTCTTGTAAAGTCTGATGATAATTGAGTGTTTTTGATAGATGAGGATGTAACCTTTTGATTTAACAGAGGTATTCCAAGTGATGATAAATTGATTTTTAATAATGTGGTTAATTTTAGATCCAAAATATCAGGAAGCTCTACTATCGTTTGCTGATCTCTGAAATGATTTCCGAAAAGGTATAAACAACCTTCATCGGCATTAACAAATCCCATCTTCCAAGAATAACTCATAATGTTTATAAACTTCATATTGAAATATGCTTTAAAATTCTCAATATCAAATACTTTGAAAGTTTCAAAGTCATCAACACTGAAGTCTTCAATATGTAATCCTGGTATATTTGAATTCCAAGGTGGGAGAAATAGTTTTAATGTTAGCGATGAATTTATCCCTGAATCTAAAAACAATCTCTCCTCATCTGGAAAATGGGTTTGTTCAGAAAATGGTGAATATGGATCAAAAGTTGAATGGATAGTAAAATCTCCCACTATTCTAGTTTTAAACGAATAGAACGATACAGTGTTCTTAACATGATTCATATCTCTATCTAAACCTCCAAATGAATATAACTTATCTCCATGAATTTTAATATAGTGATCGAATCTCGACACAAAGCGAATAGGGCCATCCCAAGTACCATTTGTTAAATCATAACAATACAAATCATCTAAAGGAACATCACCACTGGATGATTTAGCCAATCCTCCACTGATATATATCTTTGATCCATCAGCTGAAAGGCAGGATGCATGTCTGGATCTAGCTGTGGGTGCATTAGATAACGCGAATTGTGGGGGACCAATCCACTTTTTATTGAATATATTGTAGATCATCATGATACTATTTTTATTGAATGTTGGTGAATGATGTCTTCTATTTGAGATAGTATCAGCAAATTCTTCATCATATGGAACTCCTCCGAATATTAAAACGTTACCGTTACCTATATAAACCGCCAGATGACCATCTCTATAGATTCCTTCATGTTTATCGTCAACTTCCCAAGTCTTAGTTTTGACATTTAAAAGATACACATTTCCATCCAATTGATCCAGATCATCAAACCCACCATATAAGAACACCACACCTGTCCCCTTACAAGGAACTATAGTTGCTTTGATGTTATACGAAGGCAAAGAACCTTGCATATCATAAAGATGCAAACTCTGAGGTTTTGATTTCAACATATTGCAATTTAAAAAACTGTACTGCTGACCCAATAATTTTGGTATTATGGTCGATTATATATAACAGTTCTATAACATATATGACAATATGGTTAGTAATTGTTGGTATTGATATTAGTCTATATGAATTGTAAGCTTAGATTCTGTTCTTAGTAACAAAAACTCCATCTAATTTCGGTTACGATTCCCTTTTTTTTTGTGGCATGGATCTAAACTTGAATAACGGTGTTTGCAATCACTTACAACAATCTACAGATCTGAAGATATACTACTTTAATTAATGTAATAATTGGTTGGCTATATAAATGGAATAGGTAGAAAGGTTATATGTACAAGTCTCTCCATTTACCAGATTTGAAATGGATCTTTATCCTTTTCACTTATAAAGATATCAGCTTGAGGAATTTCAGTTAATAATTGCTCTCTCATAACCTTTAAGAAGGCTCTTTCAGTATTAGAATGATTACAAGCAATGACTGAGCTTCCACTTTCAGTTAAGAATAATGCTTCATGATGTGAAATTTCTCCAGTATAATACAAGTCTGCTTTAGCTCCTTTGAAGACATCACCACCAGAACCAGCACATAATGCAATGGAACTGATTTCAGGATCTTTAGTTTCTCTAGCTTGAGCCACTTGAACATACTTCAATCCAAGAGATGATTTGGCATTGTCCACAAGTTTAGATAAAGCAACTGGCTGTGACAATTTAATTATTCTGCCCATTCCACAATCTTCAATAGTAGAATCTTTTATGATAGCATCTCTAGATTCTTCTTTAAAGCCAGCAGTTATTCCATCTGCTAAAAAGTCATTGACACCACCTTTGGCACTATCAACTGCTGTATGTGGAGAATAAACACTTATATTGTTTTGAATCAACTTTAACAATGATCTTTGTTGTGGATCAGCATTGGTTATAGATTTTAACCCTCTGAATATGAATGGGTGGTAAGCCATAATGATATTTGCTTTTTGTTTAATGGCTTCTTCAGCCACTGATTGAGTTAAATCAATAGTCAAAAGTAACTTAATACTATCATCTTGAATCTCTTCCGATGTAGAATCGACAAGTAATCCAGTATTGTCCCATGTTTTATCTGCCAAAACAGTTGGATAGAATTTTTGAACTAAGACATATTAGTATATATTATAAGTTTGAATATGAATAGTAAAAGTATTATAACATACCAGCAGCAACTGCTCGTTTGACTGCAACCCTAGACATTGAATATAGGTAACTTAGTTAGATTAATATTGTCCAATTGATGATACTTTCAAAAAAAAATTAGTTCAATTGTCAATATTTCAACTTTTAATTTTATGAAATCAAAAAAAATACGTCAATATATTGCCCCCTGCCAGAATTGAACTAGCGACCTTTGCATTACAAGTGCAACGCTCTACCACTAAGCTAAAGGGGCTCAATTTTCTGAAAAAAAAATTTTAGTAGCCCTTTTAAAGGTTCGCATGAGAGGAAGAAAAACCAGCGCTACCAAAATTTAAGAATTTTTTTTTCATTTTAATTGTTTTAAAACTAGTATACATTCTAATAAATTATATAATAAATAAGTAAAAAAATAAATAAATAAGTGTCTTTTATACTACCCCATGTAGTGGTTGTTAAGTTTGTCTATTTCATGACACATCACTTCCCAATTGTAAATCTTCCCATTCCTTTGTTGTTTCAAATCAAGATATTGTTCGAATAAGTACAATTCGTAAAATATTTTCAAATTAGGTTGAACAATGATATTGAATCTCAGAACTCTGACATATAAGTAACTTGAAAGTAAATTTAATCTAAAATGCTTCATAACCGAAGCAATTACCAATGATGCAGATCTAGATACTCCTATTCTACAATGAACCAAGGTTGGAGATACACAAATAGATGTACCTAATAAAATTTTGGATTGAATTACTGGAGGGGCACTCATCAATAAAGGTAAGATTGAATCCTTTCCATCATCATTTAAATTATGAATATATATCATTGATTTGATGTATTTTGGAAGTTTGGGACTTTTACGAATGTCCTGATACAAACAATCGAAATTGACTTCATAAATGGCAGCTCCTGGCTGAAATTCAGTTTGATTAAATCTATAAATTGGTTCAAGTACAACTGCATTCCTTTGATGGACTCTTCTTTTACCTAATTCAAAATCAAAGAATACCAGATTCCTTAAATATTTGAACCATGTAGGACATTCACCAATAGATATAATATTTTCAATCTTCTTAGCATCCAATATGGTTAGTGAATTAGCATGATTTATGGATCCCAAAAAGAGATTATTATAAATCTTAGCGGGGAAATTATTATCTTGATTTAATTTAAACCAATCATATTTCAATCCAGAATGTAATGATCTTAAACCTAGTTGACTAGACACTTTTTGAAAATCAATAGAAGTGGCCGATGAATCTGAAACTGCATCTGGGTTACGTTTCAAATATTCAATAAATTTCTCAAATTGTTTTAAGAATATTATATCGTTCTTAAAGTAGTATAACTTTATATCCTTTTCTTGATCTCCCAATAAGAATAATATTGAGTCCTCCATAGAATGAAATTTAAGATAATGCATTATACTAATCGCCAATACGGATAATCCAGTAAAGCCATCATATGAGAAAATAAAAATATCTTCACTTGAAGTAGTTATAAATATTTCAATCAATTTAAGTACCTTTAAGAAGGAAAGAATATTTCCACCTGATAAGTTAGACGTCTTCAAGCATCCTGCAGAAGGGAATTCCAAATAATATACGTTATTCTTAGGTGATGGACTTTCTATTTCAGCAAAAATTGAATTTAATGTCTTCAAAGTTGGAAATGAAGCTTTTTCATGACAATTTATGATAAGCTTGAAATTGGAATATTTGTTTACAGAAAAGTTACTGAAATCAATGATATTTCCTAAACAGATTCTTCCACCCAAGATTCTTTTCATTGAATTCAACTTCCATATCATTTGTTGTTCATATCTGAGTAATTTACATGAGTAGTTTATATTGAGTGAAGCAAGTGGGTTTTTAATAGCGAATGAATTTGGAATTAATTGATTCTGAAAAAGAATCGAATCATAATCACCAGGATTATCAAAGTATTCCATATCTATCAAATTCCAATCGATTGATTTGTCAACCACATAGATTATTTGATTTCTATGTTCATTTTTAAGAGAATCAATTAAATGGGCAACCTTGATTGAACCATCTTCATTTCGATCATAATTATAGATGACAAAATTAGACACAGGAGCCATTAATCTGATTTGATCTTTATAATTTCTATTGTTCAATTTATCATGACAAGTTATAGAATCCAATTGCCATATATGATTCAAAGTTTCATATTTCTCATATATTTCATCTTCTTCTATATGAACTTCAATATCTTCAATTTCTTTAACTTCACAATCGGATTCAATTTCGGGTGATAATCTTCTCTGAACTCTATTGGGTGTTAATAAATCATTCAATTGAACAGTGTTGATTAAATTAGGTACGATATTAGCCACTTCAGAACTGTTGATAAACATCATATTAAAAATTGATTCATTTTTTAATACATTATTCACGATATCTTCATTATTTGTAGATGAATTAGTGAAAAAGTTTCGTTGACTTATACTATTCAATCCATGTAAATAGGGGAATAATTTACCTTCATACACTTCAGAAATCAAGCCGTGAACATCTTGTAATTCGAACCTAGTATGATAATAAAATTTCAATAACATTAATAAATCTTCATTTGATGATATAAGTTTAATATTGGCATGTCCTTCTAAATTGGTAAGTCTTGAGTTATAATATTCTACCCAATTGCTTATCGCAGTTGAAGATTTAACCTCTTCATAAGTGGAAGGGGTGACACTTGTCTCATCAGTCAGATTATAAGAATCGATGCTTGTTTTTCTTAATGCCGACGATAGATAATTAGATGATTCAAATTTTAAATTATTCAAGGATGGGAAATCATTGGACTCCGTAGTTGAAATAACAGGAGATGATGGAGCTGGTGAATTGATACATGATCTTGGAATGGAGGAAATATCAGATGAATCATTGGTAATATCAGGTGAAAAACTCACACTATTTGTATGAGAGATGCTACCAATCTTATTATCATCTGAATTATTGTGATTTAGATAGAGAATTGACATTCTATTTTTTAAACTACCCATTACAAACAGTAAAAGAACACTTTTATGACTTTAATCTGAAAATTCAATTTTAATTTATAAAAGATATACCAACCATTAATATACGTTTTAATGTCACTTGAATCAATTTCACTTGTAAATTTTACAGTTGTGGGGGTACCTCGCTTTAAAGGGACTTTTTTTCAGCCTACAAAAAAAAATATCCCATGGACAATTTCTTACCATTAAATATAAAGTTAAGTTAAGTTAAGTAAGTTATATGTGCCATTCGTATCTGACTCAGACTTGACTATGATAATGGAATCTAGTGCATAATTAAGAATAATTGAACTCCTTAGATTAACCTAAAATAGCGTCATATTGTCTCCCTATCAACGTAAATGTCAAGAAATTCTAAGGGATGAGGAATGGGATATGCAGATATCAACTAATGAATTTCGGCAATTATACACTAGAGTAGTATTATAAAGCTTGTTTACGGCTACTACATCACATTTCATATTTGAAATACCGACAATGAGAATGTAGCCATAGAAAATTAATTACCTGGAATACGATGACGGCATTCATTTTAAAAAATTCTAGAATATATGTATCGAACTTTTTTTGTGATTGTAACGGTATCTGTTATCATTACGCAGCGATCCAGTCCCGGCGAATAAGGAATCCTCACTAAATTCTTTTAACAACGGTTTTTTGTTTACTATTTTTTAGCTAGCGACGGTAACTCTGGTAATCATACAAAAACGTGGAAGTTATAACAAGTAAAACTACTCTTATGAACCCTAGCCTAGATCAATCAAAGGCTTTACATACTACCATATAAGCAAATCCATTTCAACCCTGGAACAGAATTTCAAAATATTGCTACTCCTTATCCCCTGAACATTTGATTGCATATGATTCCCACAACATGCACGCACGCATCAGTATATTGTAAATATTTTGCGCTCACCAGAAACGGTAAGTGCAAAACGACAAGATAGAGATGTTTAACCAAGGTTAATTGGAATGGAAAAACTTTTATGCCGTGTCTAATTCTTGACACCCACAGTTAGTAGAGTATGTAATAGTGAAAATAATTAAAGTTTTGTTTGTCGTAGTTGATCTTAAAGTGATTTGAAACTTAAAATGCGCAACAATGCTAGATTATTCTGTATTTCAGTTTAGAATTTCTAATTTTAGTTAGTTTTAAAACTTTCATTGAGCAATTTTTGATATATAGTAACTTTTAGCCTTTTCATATTTAAGTTGTGTAACATTGTCTTGCCTATCCTGTTGTTAATTGTAATTCTGTTAGAGCTAGGCTAAAAGTGGCTGTAAATCAGAAAAAATCAAAATTTTGGTTGCGACAAGACACAAAAAAAGTTAAGTTTCAATTCAGTTTTAACCGCCATTGCAAAACATACCATTACAGTACTATACTCTATTGTTCAATTAAGGGATTTTATCAATATGAAATCATTCAATTCATCAATAATACTCCTAATTGTGATATTGTCATCCCTTATTTGGGGACAGGATGTTGCATTGTCAGAAAACTACCCTGTTATTACTTCTACTAAAACTCTGAAATCAAATTTAAATAGAAAAGGTCATTATAAGAAATTGAAAATAGAAGGTCCGTTACTAGGTTACCAACCACAGAAAGGGAATAAGATGATTAATTTACCTGCCATAGATAGTAATATATTTGATGATGTTGCTAAATTCATTGAAAGCCTCATAAGTAATAAAACTTCAAATTCTTCTGATTCTACTTTGGTGGTAAGACTGCCATTTCATCCTCCTTCTCCTCTTCCTTCTTCAAATTATTCTTCACCTACTATATCTAAAACTAAGTCGTGGGACATCAATTCAACCTCTACTTGGATTTACACTACCATACTTGAAGAAACTCCATGTTTCACTGATTCAGATTCTGAAGATTTAGAATCAAATGATGAAGCTGAGGATAGTGAAATTGAATGTTCTGATAAAGAAGATGACGAGGAAGTTCCAGAGCTTGATGAAACAGATTGTGATCGAAATAAGACTTATATTGATACAACATTGCTAACTTCTACATCTAATAGTACATTTTCAACTGAAATCAAGTCTTCATTGTTATCATCTACTCTTTTAACAACAAGTTCAGAACCTCATAGCTTTACTTTCAATGTATCCAGCAGTCTAGTGAATATAACATCTGGAATTAGTACTTCCACAATACCTGCTTTTAATTCTTCTATTTCTGTCGTGACTTCAAAAGAATCTGAAGTATCCAGTTCTATATTTAGTAAAAGCACTGAATCATCATCTCTATCCTCAATAGTTCCAATTCCAGTTTCTGATCCAGCTCCAGCTCCAGTTCCCATTTTATCAACTGAATTAACTTTGAGTACCTCTGCAACTTTTATAGACTTGTCTTCTCCTTCATTGATTGAAACTTTACCTATTCTGACTACCAGCTTGACTATTAGTCCAAGTACTGAAACAATAACTACCACTATAACTGAACATCATCATCAATCCACAATAACTTATATGCCTCGTCCTGGGAAGAAATTTCTTGATTTTGATAATGACGGCCACTTAAAGATTGGAAATAGTATCACGGTATTTGATGTTACAATTCCAGGTTGTATGGAATGTTCGCTGGTTCATAATACTCTTGTTAACAGTACACTGGGTTTAAGCCATTCCAATCATAGTACTGATTCTAGTACCATTATTTTACCAGATGTACTGACTACAATTCAAGTTCCTCTTGATTTGATCCCTAGTAGCAGCATAGGCGATGTTATTATCTCTTTAACTACATCTGAGCCTTCTCTGTCTACTTCTATTACTTTTGGTTCAATAATACAACCTCAACAAACATTGATTAGCAGTAATACTGTCGCATTGTCTACTGTGCTGTCGTCAGGAGAAATCGTTCTTACGAGTTATAACAAGGAATTAATAAGACAATCTACAAATATTCAATCTACACTTACTACAAAGCTGTTTTCACAAAGATTCTCTCACATTGATTTTGATTTCTGGAATGAAATTCCATCAGATGTTCCAACTACTAAGCAAAAGGAGAAGTCAACTAAAAGCTCAATAGTTAAGACTTCTTCTGTGAATTCACCTACAGAGACATTTACTTTGAATCTGCCATTATCAATTACAAGATCATTCACTGGGGTTATATCTCATTTCAATAATAAAACATCAGTAGCATTCCCATCATTCTCAGATGCTACCTCTGCTGTCATATCAATCGTTATCTTTCCAGTTATGTTTATGTTTGGAGTATTATTATTATAATAGAGACAAAAATATGTTTGAAACCTTTTTGTAGTGCGTAAAAAAATACTCTAAAACTGAACCAACAGTTACCGTGTAGTGTGTAATAATTGTATATATAGAGAGTTCAATCAATTGGAACAGGATCATGACATCAATACCTAGTTCGTGGAGACAACTACAGTTGTTTGATTTCACACCTATACGAGATCCTAATTTTCAAACTGATGGTTCATTGTATTCAGATTCCAGCTTGACCGCCATTAACTCAACTACTTCATATTTGGTCATAGCTATAAGCAATTCATTCATTAAGATAATAAATCCAACTGATTTCACCGTTGTGAAGACTTTTATGGCATATGATTTGGATTACAGGATCAGTTATATGAAGAATGTCCCTATTTCAAGTGCCAATTCGAATCCAAATCTTATAATAACATTGGCTGAGAAGCAAGGTTCGCCTTCAATCATAAAGTTATGGAACTTAACCAAGATATGTAATCTTAGTAACGTCGAAGATGATGCCTATAAGTTTAAATTCCTAACCCAAGCACAAATCTCTAATGGAGATAACTCATATCCTATCAGTTGCTTTCAAACTACAAGTGATTTAACATGTGTGGCTGTGGGATATACCAATGGGAAAGTAATCTTAATCAGAGGCGACTTATTAAGAGATAGAGGTTCTAAACAACGTTTAATATATGAATCAAATGATCCTGTCACAGGTATTCAATTCAATAATGCTGAGGATTTATTATATGTAACAACCACATCAAAGATTTTAACAGTTCCAACGACAGGTAGAAATCAAGGGAAACCATTAAGAATATTGAATAACAAAGCTGGAGTGGATTTGAATTGTGATGATGTTGATCCAGAAACGCAAAACTTAATAGTAGGAAGAACTGATTCTATTCTATTCTATAATCATATAAATAGGGTTCAAACTATTAATTTTGAAATACCCAAATCAAAGATTTTCAGATTCGCTGACAACTATCTATTAATAATATCTCATCAACAGGAAGATTCAGTTATATCTTCCAATAAGAAGAAGTTAATATCGAGAGTTTTAATCCTTGATTTATTGAATAAACATGCATCATTCAATTTATTGATCCCTAACAGTTTAATAAATCATATTTTCATAATGCAAGAAGATATTTACCTTCTATCCAATGATGGAATACTTTACAAATTACATGAGAAACCGATTAATCAACAGATTGAATTGATCTTACAAAGAAACCTATTCCCGGTTGCTTACACTTTGGCACAACAATCAAAGCTTCCTAAAGATGTTTTATTAAGAATCCAAAAATTAAATGCTGAATATTTGTATGAAAAGCAAGACTATGATTCAGCTATGGATACTTTTATGAAATGTTTAAATTTATTTGATGCTGATTCTCAATCAGAAGAAATAAATGATTTCATTTTGGATATCATAACTAAATTTAAAGATTCGGGAAATATTCCTAATCTTTCCAAGTTTTTGAACAAGTTGTATACATTAAGGCTTGCGGATAACGACCATATAACGTTATTATTATGTTGCTATTGTAAGTTAAAGCTTGTTGGAGAATTGGATACATTCATCACAGAATTAAACCTTGATGATAGTAACTTACAAGAGTTGAATTTCCAATTGATTATCAACTTGTTCAAAGAGTGTGGGTATTTCAATCAAGTTATAAAGCTTTTGTATAAATTAAACCAACCTAATCTAATCGTTGAAATTCAATTACATGATTTAAAGATCCCAAAGCATGCCTTGAAATATATCAAATCATTGCCCATCGATGAGTTATTGTTAATCTTAATCGATCACTCCAAAATATTCTTAGACTATTGTCCTTTAGAAACAACAGAATTATTGATTAATGTATTCACAGGACATTACAAGCCAAGTGAGGAAAGTTTCATACCATTTGAAGATCAGAATGGAGCTGAAATTCACGAAGAAATAGTTGAAAAGAAAGAGGAAGAATCATCTGGAACCATTAACAACTATAGATCATTTTTACATTATCTTGCTGGATTGTCTTTGGCAGAAGATGTAACGGCTGATCCAAAAGAGCTTCAAACCAACGGAGATCCAACATATTTACCACCAAAGCCTAGTTTGATCTATCCAAGTTTTATTAGTCGTCCAAATGAATTTGTCATCTTTTTAGAAGCTTGTGTAGAAGCATTTGAGAAATATCAAGGAAACTTAAATGACAAGAAAGATTTATTAACTACTTTATTGGAGATGTATTTATCTTTACATAAGACTAAAGATGATGATGATCAATGGTTAGAGAAAGCAAAGGAATTAATTGGTATCAATTCACTGTTGTTCGATTCATCTTCATTATTGTTAATCTCACATATATATGATTTTAGAGAAGGAGAAACCATGTCAAAGGAACAAGCAGGTGTGGAAGAAAGTCTTTTCAGAAGTTATGAAATTTCAGGTGATGTTAACGGATGTCTTGAAGTTGTTAAAAAGTATGGAGATTCCAAACCTGATTTGTATAAAATGTGGTTAAAGTTTATTATATCCACTCAAGAAGTGTTTCAACAAGTTTCAAGCTCAGATTTTAGATTTATATTAACGAAGATTGTTGATAAAAGATTGATGAATCCATTAGAAATCATCCAAGTTTTAACTGAGAATCAGAATGATTATGTCACATTAGGTTTGATAAAAGATTTCTTAATCGATTACTTTGATTCTCAAAATAAAGAAATTTCAAATAATTCCAAATTAATTGAATATTATGAGAGTGAATCTACAAAGAATAGTCATAAATTAACAGAATTATTATCGAAGCCGTTTATAATCCAAAATAACAAGTGTTCTTCGTGTCATTTGAAATTGGATTTCCCAGTTATTCACTTCAAATGTAAACATTCTTACCATCAAAAATGTCTAAATGATAACATTATCGTATCCCTTTCCAACGACAGTAGTAATGGACATGATAATTCAGATGAAAGAAGATGCCCCATTTGTAGCAGTGAATTGGAAGAAATCAGGTCAGTCAGAAATCAACAATTTAAATCAAAGGAAAACTTTGGGGCTTTTGAAGGGGCTTTGGAAGAAAGTACCGATAAGTTTAAATTCGTTACAGAATATTTGGGAAGAGGTGTTATGGAAAATGAATCGATTGTCCTTACAAATGACTGAAACATCAATTTCTTTTTTTTATGTGCGGTGCGCATTAGGATTTTTTTTTTGCAACACTTTTCTTGTGATGCTTGAAACATGCACTATAAGATTTGAAACTACCATAAAACAAATCCTGACATATAAATAGTCAATCATATTCCCTGTGAGATTTGATGATATATAGGTTTTTAGAAGAATATCAATCAATATATTAACTTAAACATGATCGAATATTGCCAAAAGTATGATGGAAAAAGAACATTTGATATATTCTATAGTGAAGATGATAAACCAAAAAGTGGAGAAGAAGAAGATAGCCAAGATCATAAAAGAGTAGCTTCTCCCATTAAATCTGACTTTATCATTGAAGAGTCTACTAATCACCAGAAACGATTCAAATATACCCAAGTTGTCATTGATTTTATCAGCGATGAAATTAGAACTTTTAAAGCTCTCAAAGAAGCAGTTCCAAAAGTCAAAGAGTTTTTAGAACATAAAGTTGGTAAATTAGATGCTTGTGATGAATATGATCAGTTTATTCGGTTATTGGAAAGTTCCATAAATGCTATTATTTCAAAATTACTCAAATTAACTGGTTTACTGAAACTTAAACAAGATTACAGTGATTTAATGAAACTTAATGTATTTCAATTAGTTTACAATGCTAGACTAGACAGATTTGATTTGGGATATATCCTTTCAGAAATATTTTTTCAAAACTCCAATCTTGAGCTGTTGTTTCTTAGGTACTATTGCAAATTATCATTTTGTTAACTTTTAGTGATGATGAAATTCAACCTTTATTAAAGCTCCCTTTGGTTCATGTTCTGGAATATGCTTCTAAATTTCAAGATTTAATTAACAGTTCTGGTCAAACCTTCCCATCTCATGGTTTGTCAACTTGTTTGACAAAGGTTAATGCTTTAAAGGCTAAATGTGAAACTATGGCCAAGATCCAAATGATAAAGAAAGATTTCAAGATAAATGACGTTTCAGATCTTGAAAAAGTGGGACATATTGTGAAGTGTATATTTACTAAAGAGAAGCAACCTAAACGATATGATGATTTTGAAAACAAAACTCCGGAAGATTTTAAAATGTCAGGTTACAAAACTAAGGAAGTAAATGCTTCACTGAAGCGAAGCATTCATGCAAAGTTACCTTCCATAAACAAGTTGTTCTCCACCTTACCTCCTATACATGCTCCAAACAATGGTACTTCTCAGATGTTATTTAAGTCTGCCTTGGTCCAGCAATTTAAGTATAAGTATTATCATCTCAAATCTTTCCGAAATAGTATGTACATGCATTCAATTAACTTGGTTAAGTTCTTAGAAGTCCAGATTCAATATTGCGAACATTGGCAAGCGTTATTAGAAGATAATGATGTATCAGTTGATGCTAGGTATATTAAATCGATGTATTCAAGTTTTCATTCTAAATTAGTTAATCAGTTGAAATATTCACATGAAAGTATCATTACTACTATTCAAAGAGTAGTAATACCAGCACTTGATAGTGGATTAAAGGCATGTAAACAATTTAATGATAAGCTAAATCGGTACTATAATATAAAAGATCATGAAAATGGTACCACTTTAGCCAAATTACATGATGAATTACAGCACCATATTCCACCATTCATTCATCAATTGGACCAACTTGTTGAATTATCACTTATGAAGTTTCATACTGCTTACTGTCGATGGAATGAGACAATTATTGGAAATCGAAGTTTAGATGAATATCGAAAGCTTTCAAGCAAAGAGAAAAGTAGTGGAGAAAAGCATGATGATATTTGCAAATATTACAAATCTGTGGCACCACCAATAACTTGATCTTAAAAGAATAAATGATGCTATGATATAATGAATACGCCGTGCCTGTAAAATTTAGATTAATAAAAAGTTCGAAAATGAATATATAGACGAAACTTGATAGAGAAAGCATTATACAATAGTTTAACTAATATACATACATTCCCATATCTATCCTAACCAGTAATATCATTCTGTTTCGAAAAGATATAACTGATCGACATTGATGAAACGTTGATATTATATAATCGGATTTTGTAATTATGAATAATTATTTATTTTTGCGATTTGCACCTAGTTTGGAAATCTCCGTTCGTTTCTCGGTCGCAATCGGGCTTAGTGCTATTTTCCAAATTGGGGTATACGTCCTTTAATTTAAAGTCTATAAATATGGGACAATTCCCCTTTGATTCTAGTTCAATTGATGGGTGTTAAAGTGTCAATTATTAATTATAATTACTCTAGATCAAAAATAAATCAAAAATGTCTACCACTATTCCTGAAGTTCCTCATGTTAAATTAGGTGAATCTGGTTTATCAGTCTCCACAATTATTGCTGGTTGTATGTCTTATGGTAGCAAAAAATGGTCTAATTGGGTTCTTGAAGATGAGGAAGAAGTTTTTAAAATCTTAAAAAGATGTTATGATGTTGGCATTAGAACTTTTGATACTGCTGATATTTATTCAAATGGTAAATCTGAAATCTTATTAGGTCAATTCCTTAAGAAATTTAATATTAAAAGAGATAGAGTGGTTATTTTAACCAAATTGTTTGCTCCAGTTAATGATGAAGATTATTCTTTTAATGTTCATAAATCAGGATTACCTGAATATGAATATATCAATTCTAAGGGTTTATCAAGAAAACATATATTTGATGCTGTTAAAGCTTCTGTTGGAAGATTAGGTACTTATATTGATGTGTTACAAATTCATAGATTGGATAAGACTACTCCTAAATTTGAAATCATGAAAGCTTTAAATGATGTGATTTTAGAAGGTCATACCAGATATATTGGTGCATCATCCATGAAAGCTACTGAGTTTGCTCAATTACAATTTATTGCTGATAAGAATGGTTGGTTCAAGTTTATTAGTATGCAAAACTATTATAACTTAATCTATCGTGAAGAAGAACGTGAAATGGTTCCTTTCTGTAATGATAATGTCATTGGTAAAGTTGGTTTAATCCCATGGTCTCCAATTGCTATGGGTATCTTAGCTCGTCCTTATAATCCTGATGCTAAACATGCTAGAGATAGTCCTATCATCAATCTTTTAAAGTATAATGAAGTTTCTAAGAGTGATGTTGAGATTATTAACAGAGTTGAAGAAACAGCTAAAAAACATGGTGTTTCAATGGCTACTATTGCAACTGCTTGGCTTATTTCAAAGGGGGCTAGTCCAATTGTTGGTCTTAACTCTGTTGAAAGAGTTGAAGAACTTGCAAGAGCCACTACTTTCAAGTTAACTGAGGATGAAATTAAGTATTTAGAAGAACCTTATGAACCAAAGTATTTTGCAATCTTCTAATCTCTCTCTTTGAATAGATATATAGTGTTATTTGAAATACATATGGTAGTTCCCCTTATGTCAAAAATAGGTATGTCGTAAATGTAAAAAAAAATGACAAAAGTCAAAAAATACGCGACAAGTCAAAAACAGCAACATATACAGAACTCAAGTTAACTTTAAAAGGACTAAAGTCTAAAGCTATCAACTCTTATATGAATTAATGGCTAATTACTTCACTAAGTTCCTACCTCAATTGGGAAATAGTGCCACCAGTTCCCCCTACTATGACTCCAGTACTTCCTATAATCCTCAGTTGAAATACTTAACTATCTTCAATCCTAGTTTGATAGAAGATAAAAAAGCTGAATCAAATGAAGAGTTGTTTAAACAGATCATATGCTTCATATCAATCAATAGCATTGATAATGGAGGTGTACTACTGGAAGAGGAAAAGATCGAACAGTTGAAGATCATTGGATTAATACGAGGGGTGAATTCATTTGCCATTAGCTTTAGTAAAGGTGATGATAAGAGTGTTAATATTATCAATTCATCTAAATCATCCATTGTATTGATTAATCTTGAATCTAACTTCTATCTTGCATGTTCTATATCATACATGGCCAAACATAATAACAAATCCAACTTCATTAATCATCAATTGATCAAATTGATTAGATCTTTTTATAGAAATTTTGTCATTCATCATACCACTTTTGGTAATATATTAGATAAGTATAATTTATCCATTCTAAAACAATCATTATCAACCTATTGGAATGGTTTCTTCTCCAATTATAATCTTCAATATTATAAAATACCGCCTGGTCTTTCGTGGCCTAATAGTTTGAATTATAAAGGATTTTTGGGTCTATTACCTGCTGATCAAATATATAAAAAATCATCATTATCATTAAATTATCAAGTTCAACAAGAAATAAGTCAAATCTTACAAGGACCAGATGAAAACATACCGAAAGGTATAATCATATCCTGTTTTAATAAGATCCAACCTAAGAAATACGGTTTATTACATATCGAACATAATCCCAAACTAAAAGAATCTGAGTTGATTGATATTTATAATTGGTTAGAATTCCACGATTATCACGATACCTTGACCACTGAGAGTTTATCTAATATAAGTATTGATGATTTTTTCAAAACCAACTTATCAATCCTTCCCGATATAGAATCGGAGACGAGTTCAACGTTGAATGCTTCAAGTATCAATACCAATGCCAGTCCAAGTTATGCTCATCAGTACGCTACTGATAATATACGAGCTGTGACATCCACCGCTATGGAAATGTTAAATCCAAGAAATATCACCAATAACTTAGTTATTCTGCCGATCAATTATACAGTTAGTAGTATGATATCAATTGGTGATCAAGTTAAACAATATGGAACTGGTATTGCTGAAAATGACGATGTAACCAGTGCAAGTAGTTGGCTTCAGATGCCACCTTTATTAAAACTGTTAAGACTTGGTGGTACTGTGGAGCCCGTGATATCACCATCTATGAATGGTGATAATGATGATGAAGAGGAAATTGAAGAAGAAAATACAGGAGAATACTTAATAGGATCTAAATTTGATCTAGTATCTAATTCAAACTCCGTTTATAGAAAGTTGGTTTATTTAACTACTACTTCGGATACAGATGATACAGGAACTGAATTTGAATATCTGTTAATCATTTATAAAAAGGATGATATTGTTATAACATTAATCTATGATTCCTCATATGATCAACTTGATAAACTTGAATTTTATGAAACACTTGCTCAAGATACACTCATTCCATCCATTGATGAGATCGGCAATTCCGTACTTGGTGGAAGTTTCATTGGTAGTAGTGTTGGATCATTAAACGGAATAATCAATGAGAATGATGTTGATAATGACTTCTTCTTTGTTGTGTTTGATAAAGCGCAAGGTTGGGTCAAATCTTCATTGCCATATCTACCCCACATCAATATCAATGATGACGAAAATAATCATAAAGCGTTAATAATGTATCAAAGTGCAATGTTTTACTTGCATGACCAATTAACTTCATTATTTTTAATGCAGCGGAATAATAATTTTTTCACCGATAATAAGATGAATGAATATTTTCATAAATTTACAAGTAATAAACAAAATGATTGGATGTTGTATTATATTAAGTATAAAGATAAATTTATTATTATTATTAAGAATCATAATCATAGTGCAAAGAAGAAAAGAAAAAGTATAGCATATAGAAAATTAAGTGTGGTACCACCTTCAGTAAGCACATCACCAATTTTGAATGGTGAAGAACAACAACAATTAGAAGGGGGTAATACTGGTGAAGGTGGTGTGGCTGGTGGTGGTCTATTAAACAGAATTACAGATTATACCCATCTTGGATTTCTTGATAATTTAGGAGATGATGTTAAGTACTGGTTGGATGGATTTACAACAACTTCAGAGACTTAAATAGTATCCACCCAATTTAAGAAACTTGGTACATCCTTAGCAATGGCTCCACTGATACTTAGTTTAGTTAACCAATCTGGCAATAATCCACCTGGAGTGGAACAAGTGGCCATAATCCATTTAAATTTTTTAGTATCTTCGTCATAAGTAACCTTTTCTATTGATGTATAACGACCAATAGTAAACCCAACATCTTGTTTAGATTCTTTTATATTTTTAGGATCAATATTTAATGAAATAATGTATGCAGTCAGATTATCTTCTGATTTATAAATATGAATTAATTCATAAAATACTCTTTTGGTTAATGGGAAAGGTAATTTATAGTATAATTGAGCCAAATACGTAAATGTTTGATTCGGAGTTTCATTGACTAACTTAAATGGAGTGAGCTTAAAGTCATATAATTCATGAATGTATTTCTTTTCAAAGTCCGTATGGGTCCGGTTTATATCATTTAAAGAACCCACGAGATATTTGATGATAGCATCATGATAGCCTTGTTTGGCACTATCATTCAATTCACTTAGGTTGGTAACTCTTGCACACCAATAGTCTCCATTCAAATTATCATTGGTGAAAGTCCTAACTGCAATGGCTACTCTCTTATGTTTATTTAAACCATATTCAAATTGTCTATCTTTCTTCCAAGATTTAACCGATTTTATAATGGATTCAGCTTCGTCAACAAGTGCGATGGAATCTAGATTATGAAGGGAATCAAGGGGAGTTAAGTTCATCTATTTTTATATATATCCTCTATCCATAAACAAGTCAATGGGTTGAAATCTATAAATTATAAGTTGAAATTAGTAATCGAATACGCAATTTCAGTTCAAAACCAAGATTGATCATTTTTAAGGGGAAATTTGACTTCTATTTATGGAAATAAATTACGTAAATCTGTCAAGTTAAGCCGACCCCCTTAAATGATAAGACCAACACTTAATTTAAGCAAATAAAAGTCATTCCTCAAGACAATTGATCAACAGCCACATCTACCACAAGTCATAAATTTCTAAGACTACTTAATTATATCTAATTACAAGTAAACTTCCTGCTAACTACAATTGGTCTGCTTCCATTTCTAGAATATAAAAATTCCGCTGCTGGTAGAAGACATTTTTTTTTGTCTGTCTTAAATTTTTGTCTGATTGAGCTAAACGAGCAGACAAAAGTTCAAATATCAAATAAATAAAAATCTGCCCATGATTAATCTGAAGAAAGGTTTACTTCACCATAAAAGAAGAAGCTCTACATTATACATCACATGTCATTGAGGTTTCTAGGTATAAGGAGGACGTTAGCTACGTATGTGGCCAGCTCTGCAGCTCCTAAATTACAAGATGTGGTTATAATTGGTGGAGGACCAGCTGGTTTATCAATGTTAACTGCGTTAAAGAATAATCAGAAAACAAAGCATTTGAAATGTACTTTGATTGAAGCATCTGACTTAGGTAAGATCCATGGTTTTTATGACAATCCAGGCGAAGAATATACTAATCGTGTTGTTTCATTAACTCCTAAATCAATTGACTTTATGCAATCGAAAATTGGTAATTGGGAATTCATTAAACATGATAGAATCAAATTTTACGATAGAATAGTGGCTTATGATGCTCAAGATAGTGATAATGCAAGAGTAGACTTCAATGCAAGTGCCACTGAAACTGGGGCATTAGCTGCCATGGCTGAAAATATTAATATTCAAAGTTCTTTATTAAAGAAATTAGAAGTTTTAAATGATACTGAATCAACCACCATACTTGATAAAACTAAAGTTGAAGAAATCATAAATCCAAATCAACAAAACATTGAAGAAACTCATGATTTAAATGAAATAGACTTGAATGCAGGCAATGCTAATTTGGATTGGCCTATTTTAAAACTTTCCAATGGTGAATCTATTCAAACTCGTCTTTTGATTGGGGCTGATGGTTATAATTCTCCTGCTCGTAAATTTGCAAGAATTGAATCAAGAGGATGGCAATATAATACCTTTGGAGTCGTCGCAACTATCAAACTTGAATATGAAGATTATCGTTCCATTGGTTGGCAGAGATTCTTATCGACTGGTCCATTAGCAATCTTACCTTTAACTGAAGATAATGCTACCATTGTATGGTCCAGTACCCCTGAATTATCTCAAATCTTATTGAAAACTAATAAAGAAATATTTCCCCATTTAGTCAATGCTGCTATGGTTCTTGATGAAGTCGACTTACAATATCTCTATAAATTATTAGATTATAATCCAGATGACTTTACGGTATTAGATGAAATTAAATGGAGATTAGATAAGTTTGATCAACAAAAATTAGAGGAAAACTATCCTTTAAAAGTAACTGAAGTTCTTGATGGTTCAAGAGCAAGGTTCCCTCTTAAATTATCTCATGCTGATACTTATATTTCTCCTAGAGTTGCCTTAATTGGAGATGCTGCTCATACTATCCATCCTTTAGCAGGACAAGGACTTAACATGGGTCAATCTGATGTGGCATTCTTAATGGCTGCGTTAGAAAGTGGAATAGAAAGAGGATTGGATATCGGATCTACATTAGTATTGGATAGTTATGTTGCTAATGCTTGGCCATCAAATCATATGTTATTAGGAATATGTGATAAGTTACATAAAGTATTTTCCACTGATTATTACCCTATTGTTGCTTTAAGAGGGTTAGGCTTACGTTCAATCAACCTCCTTGACTCTGTAAAAGATGTAATGGTCAAAATAATTAGTAGTAGATAGTGTAACATACCCCCCACAGCTTTAAAATATACTTTGTAAATAGATCTTTAATTACACCAAAACTAAACTTTCGCATTTAAGTCGGATATCCGGCAAAAGTCGGAATTTGCGCGTGTTCATCTTTTTTTTTTTCAAATGGGTTCCAATTTATGGGGAATGGTAGCAAACTTAAAACAGAGATGCAAACAGAGTATAGAGCGTTTGTTAAGATATTAGTTGATAATAGCCTAGCATGCTAGTTGCTAGGACGAGTTGGAAGGGCCTATCAGTTGGCTCGAGCGTAAGGTTGTTTACTTCCTATGGCTTAAGATCTAATAAATATGTTATTACTGATAAATTTGGTGTCCTACGTGAAAAATATCATACCCCAAAGTATCCAATAGTTTTATGTCATGGATTCTCTGGTTTCGATACGATAAACTTTCTCCTGGGTTTTGAGGTTGTGGATAAATACTTAGAGACTAATGGAACCAAACGTCTTCTTGGATTTGAGTTAGATTATTGGAGAGGTATTGGAGTTGCATTACAGAAGTTAGGTTGTAAGGTGTTGGTGGCGCAAGTGCCACCTTTTGGAACTATTAAGGATCGAGCTAAGATTCTTGAAATATTTCTTGAATTACAATGTGAAATGGTTAAAAGAACATCAAAGGAAGAAATCTCATATCCTATTAAAGTTAATTTAATAAGTCATTCAATGGGTGGTTTGGATAGTAGATATTTGATCTCCAAATTGCAAAATAAAGGCATTAACAAAAAATATCAAGTAGTTTCATTAACTACTATTTCAACCCCACATAGAGGTTCTGAGGTGGCTGATTTCTTTGATGATTTAGTCACAGCTGTATCTCCTTTGAAATTAATTGCACCACATGCCTTGTATGATTTAACCACTAAAAGTATGACTCAATTTAATAAGGACATCGTGGATGATCCAAATGTCGAGTATTTCTCATATGGAGCTAAGTTCGTACCCCATCCATTCAATACATTCTACTTGACTTGGTGTTTAATGAGATATAGAATAACTCGGGCTTTTAAACGTGAAAACATAAAAGTTCCAAAGATTGCCATAGAGAATGATGGTTTGGTTAGTGTAAAAAGTGCAAAATGGGGGAATTACTTGGGAACTTTAGATCAAGTTGATCATCTTGATTTAATTAATTGGACGAATAGAATCCGTCTTGCGATGGATAAATTTGTATGGAAAAGGAAACCTAAATTCAATGCTATAGCTTTATATTCGGATATAGTGGAAAATTTAGCCAAAAGAGGTTTTTAAAAATAAGAAATGAATAAATATACATTATAATTATACACATAGACAATTGAATAAATAATTTAATTCTAAATTAATTTCAAACCTTGTAATTGGGACGAACAATCTTTACAGTAATCTATGACATTCTCAACTCCAACATCTAATACACCGGCCTCAAAATTCTTCAATAAGTTAGAGCTAACAAACTCGCATCGTTCAAGTTCGGATAATATGAAATTTTGATACTCTGCTTGACCAACTTCTTTCTCCATCTCATTCAAAATCCTCAATCTGACTAATAATTCATGCCTTTTGATACCAATGTCCATATATGTCTTCTTAAGTACTTCAGCAGGTTCATTCATGGAATCCAATTCTTGCCAATACTTGGGCTGATCAAAGTTTAGCACAAATGATTTTTCTTTAAAATTCTTAAAACATTGTGATTGGGAAAGATTAACTGTAGAATCATCGCTAGTATCATTAGTTAAAGTCAAATTAGGTGAATGACCATTCTCAACCAAATCTTGGATATCTTTCAAAAACACAGCTCTCTTCAACATAAATGGTTCTGATGTTATATACTCATGTGCAATCTGGTTAGCCCTTCGAGTAGTCCAATACACTGTAGTTGTCTTTCCAGCCAAGAATACATTCAATAAGCACAAGACACCAATTATGATCAATAGCACTTGGTTCATCCTTATACCCTGTATAAATGAAAGAACTGCTTTATATATTAAATCAAAACCCAGCAATACACTCTTTGTCAAGACCAACAACAGCTTGAAAAACAAAAGTTTAAGAACACTGGTAAGACTAACATTTATAATTGGATATCTATCTTCGATTGGAGACTGTTCCGTGTGACTTAATTTACCATAGAGATAAATTGCCTTCACAATCATTCCATGATTTCCAACTTCCTTAACAACCATTCTAAGACGTCTATCTAAATGTTTGATCTGGTTAGCTGCTAATTGAGAAGAAAACTTGTTTATTAAAGGATTCATCAATGAATAACTGTCGAATTTTCTTCTGGCATAGAAATAAACTTTACTTTGTTTACCAGCAACCCCAACAATGACAAATTTATAAATTTCAGTAAACTTTGAACCTAAGAAAAATTTCATTATGGATTTAGAATGAGTGAATGTATAGTATTGGTTATCATACATATTATCAATCTCCTGATCAAGTCTAATGTCTAACTTCTTCTGTTCATAGTTTGCGGGACATATGACGGTCCTGTATAATTTTCCATCGGGTGCAGTGCTCCAAGGCTTTCTTATATAACACTCTAAAGTGGCGAACGTAGTATGATCCTTGAATAAGACTGAATTATCCCCCAATAAAGCATGGAAAATAGCCTTTGGAGGTAAATCATAGGTTTGTTCTGTAATAAAATCATACTCTCTTGAAAAGTCAAATCTGAAAACCTCAAGATTGGGATTGCTCGTAGATACAAGGGAAGGAACTTTATCACCTTTGGAATCTAAGTATGATAAGTTAAACTTTGCCTTACCATCGTCACTCAACGATCTTGATAATTGATTTATTATTTTGAGTTTCTGTTGATCTTTATGATCGGATTGGACTTTATTTTCTATGTCTTCTAAATCCTTTAAGATTTCTTTTAATGTTTTTGGTTTTTCACTTGATAAGTTATTGATCAAATATACCAACTTCTGTTTTATTAATTGACCATCATCCAAGAACAATTTAGTCTTAATAACTCCATTGATAGTATAAAGTTTTAATAAATCATATTGCTTTTGGGCATTATAGTCAACCGATACTAAATGTCCAACATAAGCCTTAAATAATGCAACGAATCCAAGCGCTTGCATGTAAAAATAAATATGATGACTAGTAATGAAACATCTACCACTCAATTCTTGCTTCGAATTAGGAGACCAAATACATCTGAAAGATACTATACAGTATTCACCCGGCTCTACTGCAGTTTCAAACAATGCTCTCATCTGAATATCAAGAGGAACTAAAGCTGGAGGATAATAATCTGGATAATACAAACCTGAATCTCCTTCGGGTGAGCATTGTTTATCTATAAGTTCTTGTTCTGGTCTGGAATCAGGAGCTCCCCCAGCAGAAGAATCCAGTATAGCATCATGTAAGTAATATATACCCCAGTTTACTGAACCCCATAAATTTGCTGTCAAAGCGGTAGGTAAAGATGTGGCCGAAGTTAAACCAAAAGATATGATCGATGACTTAGTGGTATCAGTCATGAAAGGTGGTCTGATTTGAGGGATTTGGTAATAAAGATGTTTTTGGAAATATTTTTCATTTCTCCCTATGTGATTTGATAAATTACTTGAAGTAATAATTTGTCCTGAGGAAGTGACAATCCTGGTATTGGTAAAGTCTTTATCGATTAATGTATTTGCTGTTGATGCAAATTCTGCAACTATAGGAGGATATCTTCCTGAAGCAATATTCAAAATATCATCGCCATCCTCACTAAGTAAGATTCTATTTCTCTCATTTTCGAATACCTTTAACCATGACTTCAATTCGATTAAAGTTTCTGCTTGAAATACAACAGTCATATCACTAGTTTTCAATTCAAAACAGAATCTTCTATCTTCATTTGGAGTATACTTAACATTGCATAAAAGAACACCTATTTTATCTGTTTCTTGAACAAATGTTTGAGAAGAACTCAATATTAATAATCCAAAGACTCCACCCTTAATGAAGGCCCATCTTTTAACCCAAATTGGTTTGGATGATTTCTCAGTCCAAGTTTTCATAAACAAATATCCATGCTTCTCTAAACCTCTTTCATCGATATCATGTAAAGATCTATTGTTAATAAGGGAAGTTTTATAATCATTAATATTTGCCGATGGGACAAATTGAAGAGCTGAGCTTTCTTCTACTTGAGTTCTTGCTAAGGTCATATCAGCATATAACTTGTCGATAGCAATAGAATATGAATCACACCAACTTTGGATTTTAGATATTTTATGAGATTGTTCTTTATAATAAGGATCAATAGAATCGCTTGCCACAGTTGAAAATTTCGCTTTCCAAATATCAGAACTTAAATTCACTAACATTTTATCGATGAGATTTCCTAACGCTGATAATTCAATGATGAGATCAAGTGACGCATGAATATATTCCTTTCTAACTTGATGTAATTGTTTGGCGTCTTCCATGGCCATGAGTGGATCCTTTGATTTAGAAGTTGCAAGATATATATCTAAAAATGTGTCATATTTTTCTTGAGTTGAATCATATTTCTTTCTCAATTCTTTATATCTCCCTATACTCTTGTTTATTAAGGAACTGGTATTATCTATGACATAGTAGTTAACATTCAAAGCGTTTAAACTTGATCCCCAAAGTCTTTTAAGACCCTGTAAAGTTGTATGTAATGACTGTACAGTATATTCTTGATCTATCAATCCATCTTGAAGAAAAGTTGGAACCAAATGTTCTAAGAAAGAATTACAGAATGATTGAACTTCTTTTATATAGGAGGGAAACTTCTTTATAGAACTTGATAAAGCAATTAACCATTTCTCGATATTTGTGATTTGAATATCCAAGTGATTTACTGATGCTCTGAAACTAGGTGAATCCAAAGCAGCTTCTTTGAAATTAACTGAAATCAATTTAAATTGTCTTGAGGTTTGATTCACAGTATTGGACCGACCATTTCGAAGTGGCTTTGATTTCTGACTTGATTGTTGGTCAACTGATGCTGATGCTGGTATAGGTGGAACTGTAGTTGCTGCTGCTGCTGCTGATGTTGCTGCGTTACCGTTAGAGTGCCCAGGTGGTGACAGCATTGTGAACTACTTTGTCGAATATGGTATAATCTCAATCAATGCTCACAATTGCCAATTGCTAGATTAACAAAAATCTCAACTCAATTGATTCAATTGCAAGGTGATTCCATCGGAGTACTGATCTTGTTCAAAACAGCAAATGGCTGATTGATTTCCCTTAATTTTTATGGCTGGTCCTGCACATAAGTTCAATCGCGGGAATCAACGGCAATCAGTGATTGCAACTATTTAAATTTGCAGTAACCACCTCATACGACTTCTATACTATATCATGATTTACGAAAAATGTCTTTACATTAATAACATTATGAGAGAAAAAATATCAATATATAAATAGATTGTACATATAAAAGTTACAATATGGTATGCTTACTTACTTACTTACTTTTCTTTGGTTTATAAATGGATACAGGAGTGTTGATTGGGAATCTATGAACCCCGTTAGCTTGTTTTGAGGTTTTACTTTGTTGGATTGATTTTGAATCCTTAGATGGATCATATTCTAAGATTGGACCAAACTTTATTTCTTTAGGTTTGATATTCTCTTTATTAGAATCCTTGGTGCTTGAAATTGATGTAGTTGAAGAATTACGTGATATTATAGGAAATTTATTAGCAGCAACGACTGGTAATGCTCGTTGGGGTTGTTGTACTTGAGGTTGTTGAACTGGAACTTGTTGAAGCATAGGTTGTTGTGGAGCACTATAATATTGTGCTTGACCTGAGATATCATTCATAAATAATTGTTGTTGTTGTTGTTGTTGTAACATATATTGCTGTTGACCTTGTCTTTGCATTTCTAACTGTCTATGAGCCAGCATAAATTGTTCTTGCAATGTAGGGTGCAAACTAGCAAAAGGAACGAATCCACTACCTAAATTCACCATCAATTGTTGTTGTTGTTGTTGTTGTTGCTGCTGTTGATGTTGTGGTTGTTGCTGCTGAACAAAAGGTTGCTGTATAAATTGTGGGTTTGAATTCATAGGCATCAGCATAAATGCAGATTTTTGTTCAATTGGTGCCGTCATTGGTGCTTGAGGTTGAAGTTGGGATTGTCCTAGTTGCAAGGGGAATCCTTGATTCATGACCCCTGGTGCCGAATGAGGAGGTTCACCTTGTCCTTCATTTACATAACCTTGTTGATGTTGATGATTCTTAATCTGAATACGTAATTGTTCTTGTTGCTTTAACATATTCTTATTGTACTTATGAACAATATCAGCATTATAAATTGGAGCTGTATGAGGACCATCAATATTTCCAACAGCATGAACTTTATCCATATCAATTGAAAGGAAATTAGGACCAGGACCCTTGGTTGGTGATTCACGAAGATCAGTTCTAGGAGATGGCTTATATGGTGATGAATCAGCCATGATAGTTTCATTATCATCATCTTCTTCGTGCTGCTCTTTTGGAATTTGTATTTGTATTTGAGAATCATTGACATTTTCAGGAGTTTGATTGGTTTCGAGGACAGCTTTATCTGTTAAATTTATAATTTCAAGATCAATTGAACCAGGCGAATTACTTTGATTAAACTTAACATTGTGAATGAAACATCCATAAATAGTAGAATTAGATTGATCAAATTTAACATCGTCATTATTGTTCTGATATAATACTTGAACAATGGTTAAATTATCCACACCATTTTTAAATGATCCATTAATTAAAAAATTTAAATAGCCTGCAAAGAAACTCTTTAATAATGGATATTGTAAATTATACTTTTGGCCCAATAAATCAGAATAAGCATTAACAATCTCAACATTTTCCAATAATACTTCCTTATTATTAGAAAAAATCTTAGTATATGACTTCCAACTTAACATTGATTGTTGAGTATTAGAATTGGCCTCGATTTCAATCTTCATAAATGATTCAAATACTCCATTTAAGAGATTGAATGATTGATTATTTGATAATTGTGGTTGAACTTGGTTATTAAACGGTGAAATTGGAGTTGAAGTTACAAGTTGATGCGAAGTAGTTATGTTGATATTTATATCATGAGTCAAATACCAAATAGGAACAGCGGATTGATTCAAACGTAATAATAAATCTGGTTGAATGAGATGCTGATTAAACTTTGAAGGTGCAGATATTAATGGTAATGACGAATGCAGGATTTTATTCAATTTGGCAAATGTATGATTGTCAGATGAATTTGAATGATTTATGAATTGGATTTTTAAATCTTGAAGTCTCAAACTACATTGAATAGATTCATCCAATAACTCATTAGGAGGAGATGATAACAATGCATATAATTCTTGATCTATGATTTCATTAGTTTTGATGGAATCCATTGAATCATTAAGATTACCAGTGGATCCAGACATCGAACCTGAACCATGTAACTGACTATTTGAAATGAAATCATCTAATGGAGTCTGCATTAAATCCAGAAATTCATCATTTAATGAAATCTCCATTGATGAGGTGAATGAAGGAGCGGATGATTTTTGTTTATCTAGTCTATTTTGCTTTGATAATCTAAATAAACGAGATGAGATCTGTTTTGAAGTTCTTAAAATACCAGTTTTATTAAAAATCATTCTTGATAATACTTTATTTTGAGATGTGTTTTTAAGCACAGATGATAAATGATATCCTTTTTGATTTTCACGGAAATTTCTATATTTTAAAAAGGATTTGATTAAGACTTCATCCAATTCATCATACCATACTTTGTCACCACTGTCAGCTGAAGTATTAACAGAATCGATCGACAATTTCCTCTTTTGAATAGGGGAATCCACTGTAGAATCGATTTGAGATGCAATTGAATTATTAGGAGAGTCTTGGATATTACGTTCAGCTACAGCTGACAATTTTCTCCTTTTAATGCTATTTCTTATGGCGTCGGTAGCATTATTGTCTATCTTTGGTTTTATGGGAACTAATGCAGGTGCAGATGCAAGACTCATAGTTGCTGTGAAACGACTTGGAGTTTGATTATTATTATTATTATTGATGTTATTGTTGTTTTCGACTGCTAAGATCAACTTGTTAGGAGTTAAGAAGGTATTATCATCAGATGTTGGATTTTGTACAACTCCTTCTTTCACATCATCGTCTTCATAGATAGAAGATAATGAAGTTAAATTAGGATGACTAACACTGGCATTGATTGAATCATTAACAAAAGTTCCAGAGAATAAACTTAAGCTATCATCTTGAGTTCGTATGGAATCATCAACAGATTCGTTATCAATTTCGGCAAGATCAGAACCTATACTAGTATCTACTTCACTCTTGGTTCTTCTTAAGGAATCCATAAATCGATTAGCTAATCTTGAAGGAGTAGTAACCGTCACCGTGATAGGAGGTTGCTTATCTTTATTATTAATGCTGGGAGTTGTTGCTGTAGTAGTGGCGGTGGTGGTTAACTTCTTACTAAGGGTGGATCCAGTAATAGCTTTGTTTAGATTATTTGCAACATTAAAGAACTTCTGCGGTGATACCGAATGTATAGGTGATTGGAATTGGAAGGAAGGCAGGAAGTTGAGCCCAAACGTGAAGGAAGGAGTTATGCTTTGATGATGTTTATGATGACTTCCTGATGCTAAGAATGAATTATTTGTAGTTGATGTAGATCTAGGGGTTTGAGGAGGTTTGACGGTACTTGTTGCTGGAACTTGGAGACTCAGCATCAGTTGATCAGACATCTTGAACCCAATGTATCAGTCTATCTATCACTCAGGTTGCTTGTTAGATGAGATGATTAGAAGCAAGAGATACTGAATAGGAAGAAGAAGAGGAAGAAGTAGCAAGATCTCTAAACAAAACAAGCAGCAATTCAGATGTCACTGTCTCTAACCATCTTCTACTGGTGGTGTACCTTATTTCTATAAACAACACGAAAACGCGCTTTTTTTTCCAAACTAAAAATGTTTTGTTTTTGTGTTGATTTGGGTGTTTGATAGTGGAGGTACCTCCTAAAAATAAAAGAGGAGAGATGAAACTGGGATGGAAGGATGATAGTAAAGTCAAACCAGAAATTGCAACATTACAACTGGCAACCAAGCCAGCATATGGTTTGGGGGGAGGGGGGTCATGATATGGATCTACTGTTAGTGTAAGGGTTAGGAAAATATTCATTTTATATTGTTATATACTTGAAATATGTCTAAGCTAAGGCTAACTATTGATGTAAACTATAGTTGGGGTTGAAGATTTAAAAATTCCTCCACAATAGCATCACAAAGTCCTGGTACCTTCCTCTCATATCTTTGAATATCATGGATTAATGACACTACTGAATTCTTTGTATCATCACTCTTAGCTCTGTGATAAACCCTTTCTAAACAAGATAATAACATTTTTTGTCCGTTAGCCTGAACTGTTGTAGGGTCGGGATTAGTCGTAGAGGGTGCAGGAGATGAGACAGGTTGTGTAGGTGGTTAGGTAGTTAATAAAGAAGGTTCAGAGTTTACCTCATTTGATTTATCGGGATTATCTAGTACATCAGGAGGTAAGGTTGGTGACTTGATAGAAACTGTCTCTAATAACGTTTGTTCCATACTATTTGAGCTTTTGCGAATTGCAACTTGAGGAACTCCAACAGGTATAGAGGATAGTTCAGCAGGTGAAGTAGGTATTGATATTACTTCTTTTGATTCATCCTGATTATTTAACACTTCAGGAGGTAAAGATGGTGATTTGAGAGAACCCGTTTCTAACAATGTTTGTTCCATACTATTTGAAGCTATACGGGATGGAACGGGGGCAGAAGCAGGACCTCGAGTTGAGGCAGGAATTGGAATTGGATTTGGAATTGGAATTGAAATTGATGCAGGTATTGGAGCAGATACAGGAGCTGGGTTAGCAGGCGATGAAGGTCTAGATGTTGTTTCATTTGATTTTTCAACTGGGAGTAATTCATTATGTGGTAAATTTGGTGATTGGGAAATTGTCTGTAATAATGTTTGCTCCATAGTACATGAATTGGTAGATAAATCTCGTTGAATTGGTTTAATAACTGTATGAAATTGCCATTCAATATTGGTTCCACCACTTACCTTATTGTTAAGATCATTGGCATTATTATTATTTTGATCACCAGATCCCCAAGAATGTTTTGCCTTTTTAACTAGTTTTCCTTTTTGTAGAAGATATCTGTTCTTCTCAGCAACCACTCTTGCTAACGTAGTTTGAGCATATGTACGATAACGAACACATTTGGTAATAAAATGATGCTTAAGTAAAGTAGAAGCATTCGGTCTCTTTGAAGGGTCCTTGATTAAACAGTATTTGACAAAATCTTTTAAATTCTCACTATAACCCAGCCCATCTAACGTTGGTGGTCTTTGTCTTGGGATCTCAAATAAAACTTCAAGTGGTTTAAATTGAGCTAAAGGTGGATATCCATTAATAAGTTCAATTGTAGTAATACCAGTAGACCAAATATCAGCTTTAACATCATACCCTATTTGATTTGGTTGTTCAGCGGTTTTTCCCCTTGTAATCACCTCAGGGGCCATCCAAAATGGAGTACCAACAAATGTTTTCTTCTTTATTCTAGTTAATGTCAATTCTCCACTAACCCCAAAATCAGCTAATTTAACTTTTCCATCTTCAGTTAATAAAATATTTGCCAGTTTTATATCTCGATGAACCTTATGTTCAGAATGTAAATATTGTAAACCTTTTAAAACCTCACGGATAATATAACTAACCATATCTTCAGGGAGTTGTCGATAAACCTTTAATAATTCAGAACATGAACCACCACCACAATATTCCATCACAATGAACATATTCCAATCTTGGGTAAATGCTTCATGATAAGTAGTGATATTTTCACTTTTCATTCTAGATAAAAAATGAATCTCTTGAGTTAAAACTTTGATTTCATCATCGAATTCTTCTAAATCAACAACCTTGACTGCAACGATAGTACCGCTAGCCCTATGTGTGGCTTTATAAACATCTCCAAAATTGCCCGTTCCAATACAATAATGAAAGTTATAATCTGATGGTGAGGATGAAGTTAAATCGGATTCAGAACTTGATGATGACGATGTCGAAGATGATGATACTGTTGGTGATGAAAGTTCTTGTTGTTGAGGTAATATTTGATAATATTGATTAGTGGGGGACATGGTTGAGCCCTTCTTAAACAGTGTACGATGAAACCAAGTCAAAAGGAAGAAAGTTGTTTTATTTTATTTGTGGATTCTTTTTTAAATTTTTCTTTGTAATTCGTAAAAAAGAAATTTTCGCAACCACAAATAAAGCCTAATGCGATCACTTCCTAATTTGGCATTTAATCATTATTTTGCATTAGCTATATATATATATAGAGTAGATTATAAAGCATTTAAACAAATCCACCACTAAGTTTCAAACTTCTAATCTTCCAATATTCAGCTGCATCATCAGTTAAGCCAATATCTTGTCTTAAATCTTTGATCTCATCTATTTTACTACCATTTAAAATCAAGATTTCTGAAATTAAGAAATATTTCTTGGAACTGGATAAGATTAAATCTGCTTCTGTTATTTCAACAAATTTCCGTAATGAATATTCAAATATGGAGATGATTTGATATTCATCTTTATTAGGAATACTGATTTGAATCTTAAGATCAACATCTCCTCCACAGATTATACATCTTAATACTTCTGGAATATTAATCTTTTGAATGGCTTTAATAAGAACATTATTGATATCAGGTATGATGGCTTTATACTTCTTCTCAACGTATTTCTTCTTAATAAATTCTAACCGTTGTTCATAATTAGTATTAGGATCAATTTTTTCCTTTTGAGGTAATGATTCTTCTAAATATTCATTCACTTTTCTATTATTAATATAATTTAATAACATTTCACTTTCATTTTCAAATTTATCTAGTTTCAATGATCTGATCTTAGTTATATGTGATCCAATATTTCTATGACATGAAGCACATTTCACACAGAAACATGCAAGATTATTAATCGAAATCCATTCCACAGAATCGGTAGATCCACAATCAAGACATATATGATTATCACTATCAGGAATAGATTTGACTAAATTAAGATAATCTTTCTCTTCTTCATTCTTATGTCTGGCGATGGATGTAATTGATACAGGAGATATAGAACGATCATGAGTTTCGCCCGGTACAACAACAGTGGTGGGTGAAGATGAAGATTGTGGAATATGAAATTCTGTTTTCAATTTGGAAATGATCTTTTTGGTTCTACCATTGTTACTTACGTTACCAAGTTCACTGTAACTTTCTTTCAATCTGGTAGTGTCAACCACTTGACCTGCATTATATAAAGCTTTAATCCATTTTGATCTTTCAGCTTCATTTAGAGCTTGGAAAACATGTTTATTACCCTTTGAAGTTAAGATTTCAAAGCAATTTTGACGTCTTTCATAAGTTACTGGCTTAATACTTGATAATGCAATTTCAATGGGTTGATTTATAGGCGATCTTCCTTTTCTCCAATCAGAAAATTCAATCAATAAACCTTTATTTAAAACAACCCATTCTTTATGCCATCCTTGTTTACCTTGTCCGCCTAATGTATATAAAATACCATTCATTTCTCCTTTATCTTCGTCATTAGTGATACTAGGTGATTCCAGGACAGATGTATTGCCTATCATTGTTGAAGTGAAATTTCCAGAAAAGATTAATTCAATATTATCTAAACTTACTAATATATCATCAGAAGAAATCGATGATCCACCCACTATAGATGGTGAAGATGGAGTTTCTGATACATTTGAAGCTTCGGAACTTACTGAATTAGATGAAGCGAGTGGAGTTGAAAAGTTATAATTCAATTTATTATATCTTATGACGTTGGTGAGTTCATCATTTGATTTACAAGCTTCAATCATTTGACGAATTTGAGTCTTTTCACTATTAAATCTGGATAAAGCATGTAAATAGATCTTATAATTGATTCCAATTAAATCTTGACTCTTTTTAATATCTTCAAATTGAGAAAAATTCAATAATCGAGGATGATGAAGATCATATGAAACATTAATGAACTTAAACAATTGTTCCATTAATTGATTAAGATATTGATTATTCGTAACTTGATTCAATTGATTAAGATAATCGAATTTTGATAATTCAAAACTTTTCCTCTTGATTAATAACTTTGATACGGGTCTATCTTTTTCATTACTAAGGTATTTATTCAACCAACTATAGTATTCTTTAGAATTACTTTCAAATTGTTTGCGTCTATGTAATAATTCATTATGAGGACCACTGCCTCCCGAGCTCGAAGTTGAATTTGTTGAAACTGAATTTGATGATGATGAGGCCGAATTTTGTTCACCTAAATTATTTAGACTTAAATTATGAAAGATTTTTAAGATTAATTTTGGTTCACAAACATCCTTTAAAAAGAATTTTAAATTTTTTTCAAATGGATCGAATATGGAACGAAGTTTTAATTCAAAATCTTTACCAAATTCAAATTGTTTAAGTAATGAATTGAATTGTAAATCTATCAAGTTTTTTAATAATTCTATAAGTTTAACTTTTGAATGATGAAGTTTCTTTAAAGTTATCTCAAGTAATTTTATTTCTTCATTGAATTGATGGAAATTTTTCTTAATCAAACTAAAATTATGCTCGTATTTTGTTAATGTAGTTCTAAAATCAGGACCATCTTCTATATTAAATATAAACTCCTTTTTGAAATCACTAATCTTGAATTGCTTGGAAGTACCATGGTGATCGATTGGAGACGTGGTGGTGGTTGTAGTGGTAGTTGCACTGTTAATGGCTGTGACGCTTTTATCATCACCAGATACTGGAGATCTATTCTCATGAATAATAGTATGTTGATTATCTTCAACTTCAGTATATTCATCAATCCATACACTAAACTTTAAGAGAAAACTGTAATCATTGTTTGACGAATCCAATTCCCATAATGATATATTTAATTTATCTCCATTTATGAATTCACGATCAAAGGTATCATTGATAATCAATCGTTGTGAAGTTTGAAGATCAGAATCATCATCAAAGGGAAGATTGTCATAATCAATCTTTGATACTTGACATTCGATATCTTCTTTATTTTCATATAAAATATGTTTGATTTGATCTAAACTATCATCTTTGGTTTTGACAATAACTAATGATTTTGAATCTTTGCCTGAAGGTCGTATGGATACGTTATACTTCAACTTATTATACAAGGGATCGATTCTGATTAATAATGGATAATCTTTACTGTCATTTGATGATGATGGATTTTGAATATATTGAGTTAACTCAGGTATATTCTGTTGAGTTTGAGTGATCACTTTATCTATCGAACTGACTTGTTTACTATCTTCATCCAACAGGATAGTATAACGAGTAGCATCAGACGCATCAGTGAACGTTACTTTGTTCAACGATACTGTCGATTGTTCATCTTCAGTATACGGAAAAATAAGGTTGCCAATGGATGACATTGATAAAGTATTGATAACAGATATTGAATATAAGGTTAAGATCTATGAGTCTAAGTAGAATATGATATACTTTTGTTTCTAATTGGTTTCTATCTGAGTTCAATCAGTTGGTTTGACTTCCATATGATTATATTGATCAATTGATGATGATGATAACTTATATACTTTTAAATCAATCAGCAGTAGTTCTTCACCCCAGTATATTCTATTTTGGCAACAGTAAATAAATCATCTCACTTTTTCTTAAGTTTGACGTGAGTTCCTGCTGAGACTAAAAAAAAAATCTGTGACTACAAAATTACGAGAGCCATTTAATTGTTTTGTGGGAATTCTATCACTAATTTGGATCGATGGTCATGGTTTAGCGGGCACAATGGATGTAAAAGAATCAAATTAGTGATTATAAGGTTGTTATACATAGTATATAGATTGGATATGCAAAAAAAATTGCGATTTCTGTGGATCGAACACAGGACCTTCAGATCTTCAGTCTGACGCTCTCCCAACTGAGCTAAAACCGCTTTAAGAATTCGAAGAACCCACGCCGGGAGTCGAACCCGGAATCTTTTGATTAGAAGTCAAACGCGTTAACCATTACGCTACGCAGGCAACTTGTTGTGAAAAATAATTTTGGAAGTGTCTCGTGTCCAGTCATTTTCCAAAAAGATGATCAAATTTATTCGAAATTTTGGGAGGCCATCCTATATTTTTATGATGTTAAATGGACTTAATAGTGGTTAATATGTTGATAGTAGTCTTTTTGGAGTGAAAAAATAACTGTAATTGGTATTTTTTGACTAGTCTAAATTGTGAATTTTAGGAAAATTTTTGCAACAAAAATTTTGAAATATCAATCATACCGTACCTTACATTTGCTTAAATAAATCTTAATGATTTCTTAATTTAAAGGTCTAACTTGACCTTCGATTTGTTCCAACTTATAAATAGAGTTTTTACATTATATGTTTCTCTATTCCACTTTATTTATATTTCTAATTTTATAGAATATTAATAAATGTATATTTCGAAAAAAAAAAAATCATGTAATATATATTTAACTTGAATTTTATATAAATTATGAATAAATTTCAAATTTACAGTAAAGCTTGTGATACACTCATTTATAATGATATGTATCGCTAAATAATTGAATACTAAATAACTAGGTTTAAGACTGGTGATCTTTATCATATTGAATTTTATACTTCATTATTTTTACCCAAGACTCAACGTTAACACCCAATACAACTGCAAACATCACTAGACTAATAAGAAATATTGGATGGACAAATAAACCTATCATTGTCATTTGTCTTCAAATTTTCTCTTTAATTTACCAAGTTCATTCGCTTGATTATTTATTAATATAGGATTACACAGACACCTAAGTCTCATGGTGTTTGCTTGTTTCAGTATATATTCATATTTTAAAAGGATATTAAGCCGATAGCATTAGCATAGTTTTTATAGAGACAAATCATGTCATTAAGTTATGAGTGTAGTATGGGAAATATATATTAAATTTAGAGTAGTATTTATTAAGAATCTTTGATTTGAATCTTGCACTTGATTATTTCTACCCAGGAATATATATTGATTGCTATTACTAAACCCAAGATAAAAAGAGTAAACAAAACCACTGGATGGAAACGGACCCATAACTTTTTATCTGTCCTTTGATCTATAAGTTTATTCTCTGCAACATTTAAACCTTCATTAATTTCATCTAAATCTCTGTTTAATCGTAAAAAGTCAACATGTCGGCCTAGAGTATATTCAGTACTCGTGTGTCGGAAATTTATCCTTTCATATGCTGGTGGTGCAACTGGATTAAAAATTTGATTATAGAGGTATGTATCATATTCTGTAGGTGAATTATACAACGGAAAACTCATTTTTGAAATGATTATTTAGTTCCAAAAGAAACAGGTTATATAATTTTGTTAACTAATACAGAGGAGAAAATGGATATTTGGAATCGAATCATTAATTTTCCTTTAAGCATAAAATAAAATTAATCATTGATCGAGGAAAGAGACACTTGATAGGTTTGACCAAAAATAATATTTATGTATAATACTCTATTGTCTTTCAAATTCATTTATATACTCATCTTATCTATAACCCCAGACATAAATATCTTTTTTTGAATACAATTGAAGATAAACAGAACTAGCAAGAGGATCAGTAACACTATCCCAATAGTAACGAAACGGGAACTCGTTACACACCGTGCACATTTTTCAGGCTCTAAATTTGATCTAGCATTAAGTAGTTGATTCATATTCATAAGATTCCTTGTAATAATTTTCATATTTTTAGTGAATTCAGCCAATTCAAGAACGGTAACTTCTTCAATCTCATCAGAAGTTCCTGAAAATCCCAGATCTATGTTAATTAAGGGTTGCATAACTACTCTTTCAGACATGGTGACAAATTTAGTTAATAATGTAATAAGATTATTATAAAATTTCTTATGAATAAAACGTTGGAAAGAATTTCTAGCTAATTTGAAGTTGTCGTAAATCTGGCATAAAGTATAAGTGATTAAAATTAAGCAGAAAATTTGCAATCATTTTTTTTATGTGTTATTCTTTAAGTTAGATTAATATGACCTTTTTTATCCCAAGAGACTTCAAATAGTACATATTTTACCATTCTTCAGAAACATCACGATGTCAGATACTTACAGAAATGGAATTTTGAGGGGCAGCTATTTTCTTTCATGTGCGGTTGAATGCTTTGGAGAAAACATTGAAGATCCACCAGTGTTTGGAACAGAAATTGAAGCAAAACATCCAAATTCACTTAGTTTATTACTTGATAGTCAAAAACCTCAAATATCACTATTCCGTAGAAGGCATCTAGAGGTAAAAAAGAGTCTTGAAAGATTAGAAAAAGAACTTAAGTTAAGAGCTCAATTGGATAAAGCAGCTTTACTGGACCCAACTCCCTGTGACGCTTGTGTAATTCGATTCAGAATTGTTAGTATAATACTTGCTGCTTATGTAGTACTGATTTTGTCCAACATAATTTTCTTAATCATATATTTGACATCTTTAAAGAGAAACTAAGCCTAGTTTTGGCTTTTATCAATTTAATTCAGATTATTTCGTTAACTCATACAGTATATACATATTCAATTATATTAATTAAAGAAATCAATATCTTTGAATTCACTTTTCAAGATTTTCCATTCCTTGTAGATTTTAACCTCTTTACCATTAACCATTTGTTTCATCATTAAATCATTATTAAGGATCAACTTATCATTAACTTGTACATTAAATCTATTATCAGTCAATAATAGTAACACCTGACTTTCTTCACTTGTTTTTAAGTTAACCAATATAGTTGAATCCACGAACTTTCCTATTCGAAATACAGATTTAACCATATGAGTGGGTTGTCTATGACTTGGTTTATCTGAATTTGTAATAAAATTGTATTTAGTCATGCTCAAATGATTAAAAAAGCTTTGAATTGAATCGTTGGATTGTTCAATTAATGATGGTTGTAATGTTGTGTACTTAAAGTGTAAGTTCCTTCTATTAATCAACTCACTCTTTACCACTTGAAATTTATCTCTTCGTGAGTCTAATCCAATTGATCTTGATAGAGAATTAGACACAATCTGAGAAGCTATACCCGATAACAGCATATTTGGTTGAGATTGATTGACTTGTTGACTTAATTGAACCTGGTGTTGTCTTTTAATGAGCTCTGAGTAAATAGATGTGCTATCATAATGCTGAGTCGGTATTACACTATTATTCTGATCCTTATGTTTACCCAGTTCTAACCTTTTCTTCAATCCTCTAGTTTCAAATATGTTGGATGATTTTATCTCTTGTAATGGTCTTCTTTTCGGTTGTTGATTTTGACTTCGACTTTGAGTTTGAGTTTGTTTACTTTTGAGATTTCCACTAATGACATTCAACTGTCTTCTTCTCTTCATTTCTTTAACATTTTCCTCAGATTGTCGCTTATAAGTGACAAATGGATCTCTTGAGTTAAACATGATGACTCCTAGTTGTCCTTCAAATCAACTGTTGACTGTTAATACCTGAATTTGAATATTTTCATTTTCATGAAATCAAAATATTTTGAAAAAACGTCAACAGTTACACAAAACGGGCAAATTGCAAAAATTATATTTCGATTCTATATAGAACAATCTAATTGTAAGCTATGAACAATCTATATCATTTCACTCTATGCTAAGTATGCTAATCTAGTATGGAATTTCTTTACCTTGGAAATCAATGAATTTACCTGAATCTTCCTTTTTGAATCCATCAATTAATGGAACTAAATGTTTACCACAATCTTCAGTCAGCATAAGTTGTTTAATGATCATTTCATAATATTCAGTATTAGTGGCTTTAATCTTATCTAAAGATTCTTCAGCAATACCAGTATAAACACCACCTGGATGGATTGGAACAACAGTGAAGTTTTCTGATTCTAATTCTTTAGATAATTGAATAAGGGAGAAATTTAAAGCAGCTTTAGATTGACCATAAGCAGTAGAATTGAATGGATAAAAGTTGGTAAGAGAACCACCAGCAGAACTAACAAAGACAGCTTTTCTGGTTTCTTTAGCTAACAAGTATTTGTAAACTTTTTGGAATAATAAGATTGGTCCTAAAGTATTAACTCTATATTGATTAATGAAAACATCACTTTTAGTATCAAGAGTTGGTTCAGCTTCAATGAAAGCACCAGCATTAGAAATAAAAGTATCAATACCTTCAATTCCAAGTTCTTTCAATTGAGAATCAACAGTATCAATTGATGATTCAACACCAACATCTAAAGTAATAACATGAATATTTTTATTTTGACTAGCTAATTCTGTTAATTCAGTTGATCTAGCAGGAGAACGAGTAGTAGCAATTACGACATTATCAGTGTTAGCTTCAGCAAATTGTTTGACTAATTGGAATCCAATTCCTCTGTTACCACCAGAAATAAAGTAAGTTTGTCCAGCCATATTGAATGTATGTATATTTGTTTGTGTTGCAGTTTGATCTAAGATTGAATAAATATACATTTCAAAAAGATAATGATAAGAATCATTCGATATTTTATATTTATAGTAATTGCAAAATTCACCATCATTGCCAAGTTCGGTCTTATATGGCTTTAGACCGAACTAAAAAAAATTATTTCGCATACTTAAGGACAAATTTTGCTGCTAAATTAAATGGAGATAAAAATAATTTACAATCCCGAGTTATACGGCAATGTACCGAAACTTCGGGGAACTTTATCAAACCCCATAATACTAATTATATACCATCTATTTTTTGAATACCACTGACGATTTGGCAGTTTCATCAACGGTAAGTTGAAATACATCGTTTCTCAGATAATGTCCGACGGGATCAAAGTCATACCTCGCTTCAATAATGGTATTCAAATCAATTTCTGCCGATAATAACCCTTCGGATCCTCTTAATGGACCAGCAATAATTTCACCATATGGATTAACAATAACTGATCCTCCATCAATAATATTCTTATTCGGATCATATCCTGGAACGTCAAATCCAATCTCTTCCGCTTTGGCTAAGAATTGTACGGCAGATATAGCAAAGAGTCTTCCTTCATTACCAATAGTTCTAATTAATGACGTCCAACCATCTCTATCATCCACAGTTGGTGCCACATAGATTTGAATTCCCTTTGCATAAAATGAAGCTCTTAACAATGGCATATAATTTTCCCAACAAATAGCACCTCCAACTTTTCCTAAACTTTTGAAATCTGCTACATAAAGAGTTGATCCATCACCTTGGCCCCAAATTAATCTTTCAGTAGCCGTGGGCATCAATTTCCTATGTTTACCTATAAATCCCAAATTCGGATCAATATAAACGATAGTACAATATAAAGTGGAACCACCCCTTTCAATAACACCAATAACTATTGAACAATCTGTTCTTGAACTGAGTCCAACCAATGCAGAAAGCTCTGGTGAATTGTCATCAAGTTCAATTGATTCTTTATAATATTTGGCAAATTGTTGTCTTCCTTCAGGTAATCTATACCCAAGATAAGTACCAAAAGTTGAACCTTTAGGATATCCACCTAATGTAGCTTCAGGGATAACTACTAGTTTAACTTGTTTCAATTTAAGTTCTTCTTCATATGATAAGATCTTTTCAAGGGTGTATTTGGTACCTCTTGGATCAGCCCCTATCTGTAAGGCAGCAACTATAACGGTTGTCATTGTTGCTAATTGAACGAATGAATGTTATGTAAAAGAGTTATCTAATCTATTTAACGATAATTAATATACTCTCCTCAAACCCCGGATTTTTTTCTTTATATCGGGATTGGACCATTTATGGCGAACTTTTGCAGTATATAAAATAAATTAGGATTAAAACTTCTATAAATGTATATAAAGTGTACGTATGTATCTATATGGATGTATATAGTCTATTAATGTCTTCTTGGAATTGGAATCCTGAAGATGGAATGATGATGTGAAGATGATGATGATGAATTACTAGGTGTATTAATACTGTCGTCGTCATAATCGTCATTATTATGCTTATTATTTTCTTTATCCCCATCACAATCATCAATGGATGACATTATATCAACATGTCCTCTGATGGGAGATCTTGCCAATGGAGAATGAGGCATGGACTTGATACCTGCTTGTCTTGCCCCTAATCTGAATTGATTCCTATCCATTGATTTTAATTTGGGCATTATTGGTCTTGCATTTGAATTTGAAGGTGAATTGGCTTTTAATTTAGCTAGTTTCATGTATAACAAATCATTATGAGATATAGTATTACCTTCATCTTCATTATCATCACCTTCATAAGATTCATCATCGGTATACTCTGGAGCTGGTGATACAAGTTCTTCATCTTCATCATCAGATAAGGCTTGCTCATAAGTTGGAATTCTACACAATGAAACCACATCAAGTGGATGTGGAGGAGTTTGAGCCTTTTGATCTCCTGAACTTGGAATAGGAAAGTAATCATCGAAATAACTAGTTAAATTTGTAGTTGAATTATTAGTAGAATGATCAGGAGTATTTTCTTGAGATCGGAATTGTTCTAAAGGAGTTTGAGGTAAATTCATATCATAAACTCTATCAAACACATGTTGTTGATATAGTGGTGGAGCTTCATTTTCGCGATCTAAATCATTATCATCATCTTCTTCTTCTGCTTCAGATATATTAGGAGTATCACTATTTGAAGGTGGACCTGAATTATTAGATCTTTCCCAATCACGATCCTTTTTAAATAAAATATCCTCAACTTGTTTATCTTGTTGAATAAAACTATCATACTCTTCAATAGTATTATGATTAGCAACCACATGTCCAGCATGAGCACTGACATAAACACAAATAGGTAAATTAGCTCTTAATTCACTAATATGACCTTCTTTATTCTTTAATTGAATCGAGACTCTTATTCTATGTTTAATATCGATATAATTATTTTTCAATTCACAACTTTGAGCTAAAGTATTTAAACTATGAGGGACTTTAAATAACGATTTTATAACCCATTTATCATCCCCTAATTCATCTTGATTCAGAACTTTTAAAGTTTGCTTCCCTACTAACAATTCATATTCGGGAGATTTTGAGGTTTCATGAGTTACATGGAAATGTTCTACTATACACGCATTGATGGCTTTTAACCGTAAACCTTTCACCAAAGGTACGATGATGATATTAATGGGGATAGTTGACCCAATAGCGACCCCCTTTTTGGTTAAAGAAACCAAATATTGTAATTTATTAGGCCAAACATTAGCAATATCGATTGAATCAATTAAATTTAAATTCATAGGGTTTAAAGTTCTTAAAATTCTTATATATTTTGAAGTTGATATTGGTTTTTCAAATTTTCCCCTTGATATAGTACATAACATTTTATATTGCATTTTCCCACATGCTATACCTTCAACAGTTTCACAAATATTAGTAGGTAAGTAAATTTTAAATGGGAGATTGTAATTACCCTTTGGTAAAAGAAATGAATGCTGAGGATTGAAAGTAAGATTTTCAAATGGAGTTCCGTCTATACCACTTTTAGGTACTTTTAAAAGTGAAGTTGATGAAGCATTATTGGGACCAGAAGTACTGATTGAAGAGTTACTCCCATTAGTTTTATTCATTTGAGATATATTAGGATGAGAATTTGTTCTTAAGTAAGTTGGTCTATCGGGTGAAGTTGATTTTGATTTTGATTTTAATTTTTGTTTTGATTTTGATTCCAATGATGATAGTTGGGAATAAGGGAGAACATCATCACCATAATTTCCGAATAAGATCTCACCATCAGGACTGGTTAATAAGTTATTCCACTTAACATCTAAAACACAGAATCGTTCATATACTTGATCAATGATTGAACCGTATTCTCCTCTTCTGAAGTATTGAACATTGAATTCTCCGATGAGATTTAAAGTGATTTTCTTGATATGAATATCTTCTGGAATGGATAATTTAACATTTCCTTCAAAGGGGACATTCTCCACTTCGAATTCATTTCCTTTAAGTAAGACCAAGTTCTTATGTGGAGACTTTAGTTTGATTTCAAACAAGGCAAGATTGATATTATTATGAGTAAACATTTAGTGAATGTAATATGAATATGTAGGTAAGCAAACAAGCAACAACACGAAATGTTGGATTCAAAGGGTAAAATTCATTCGAATACACCACAAGACAACCTAAACAGTGATAACAACAAAAGAAATCAATATAATTAAAAAATTTGGCATAAACCTTTAACTGTAAAGTTTTTTCGATTCTAAAATTGCTATAGTTAAAGAATGCAAAACTTTGATCTTTGTTTTGTACTACTTTCCAAGTCTTTATATAAAAGGTACTTGTGTCAACACCACTTTAGCCAAGACAAGAAGCAGTTAGTACGTATAACAGTTTAATCCCACCAGCTGTTCTTTCGTAATTATATGAAGAAGGTAAACCACTTTAAAGATGACTGTGAATCAGCTGCTGCTGACCTTTTTGGCTGCTTAACAATGCAACAGAGCAGAAAAAATATTTCGGTACCGAAATGCCGAAGCTTAAAAAAAAGTATCATGATTTTGCGCAAAAAATGGCCTGTTTCAGCCCTACCACAATAGAGGTGACCTTTATTTAGGGACGATTTATCCAGATAGTCCTGCCTCGACCTTTCATTGAAGATATGGAAGGATAGGAAGGCAGATAAGGTATTTACTGACTAATTGAAAGGTTTAGCGGTGAGTTCGGGAAGATTACTTGTTTCTGGTAAATCATAATTTTATATTTATTATATAAGGGTCTTCAACTCAATGTGTAAACATATATACATAAGTCTATTAATATCTATAACTCTAACTCCGATCTAATCTTCTCACTTTGGCACACACAGTCTCTCGTATCTATTGAACGATTGTATCAAAGTTGGCAAAGAATTGTTCAACTACTTCCACACACCAGAATTTACCTGAAGATTGAACAAAACCTAAATGACCACCTAAATCACTTTCAACCATTGCCAAATATGGATTGGCTTCTACTTCCTTGATTGGTAATTTGATTCCAACTGCTGGATCATCAGTTGCATTGACTATTAAAGTTGGTGTTTTAATATTTCCCATTCTTTGTTTTGGTGAACCAGCTTTATAATATTCAAAGGCATTAGCTAATCCAATAGTCTTACATGTAAATAAATCATCAAATTGATAAAGTTTCTTAATAGCAAGACATTGCTTAAGTGAATCTTCATTAAATAATGACGAATTATGACTATTCAAATCTTTATAATTGTTCTTCACAATTTTACCTAAAAATTGAGATAAAGCAGGACTGAATAAGTAAGCCCCAGACCAACTACTTTCTAAATGATGTCCACTATCAACTAAATCCCAAGGACATCCAATTAAAGAACATGCTTTAATTAAATCATCATCACTTTCTTCCTTTTCAGTTGAACCCATTAAATTAGCCAATAAAACACATCCAAATGAAAACCCAACTGCATAGATTGGTCTAGTAGGATATCTTTTCTTAATTTCAACTAAAACTTCTTTAACATCTCCAATAGATAATGCTGAAAATAACTTTTCAGTAGTGATTTTAGTTCTACAACAACCTCTTGAATTTATCACCATAGTATCCCATCCACCACTAGTCTTATCATGAATTGATTCAGCTAAATTACGAATCAATGGTTCATGACTACCACCGGCTAATCCATGAACAATCACCACAATAGGTTTGGTTGAATCTTGATCTTGATTAATTGCTTGTTTACTTTCTAATTCATCCTTGGTGAAATATCTGGTTCTAGGATGTAATCGAGGGAATCCCTCAGGTAAAGTTTCTTTATAGATACGTTTGAATTCTTCTTTATCTTCAGGAGGGGGGATAACCCAATCCAATGAACAAATACCTCCATCTTTATAAGTGAATAATTCTCTTCCATAATAAATTAAAAATTTCTTGGAAGTATCAGCACTAGTATAATATAAAGTTTGTAAAGCCCCATTGAACAACCATGGACTTAACCAAAGTTTCTTAGATGGGTCAACAATGGGTAAATTATTCTTTATGAATTGACTGAAGGTTAAACTTTCATGATCTTTCGTCTTCAATTGGATTGATTTTTCATCATCTGATTGATGAACTTTAAGGGTAGCTCTAAATCCCCAACCTAAAATTCCCATATTGTTTGTTATACTTTATCTTATCTCACCAGAACAGGCTTAAGTTACTCTTAACAGGGTCTAACTAACTTTCCAAAAGATAATGGTTACGATTTATATTTTAGTTTATAGTCAGATTTCGTTTTACAATCTGAAAAAAAAAGATCGAACGGTTGTGTATAACCGTTTCTGTGTAACTTTTGCTGAGCCTCCCTTAAATGCGAGCCGAGGATCACCTATATAGAACAAACATACCGTTTACACTACAAGATACGAGAGAGACATATCAAGATATCGGCATATATATATATATATATAGATTTGGTATATTTCGTTATAAGTTATAAAAATAAATGTGATAAAAATAAATACGTTAAGAGAACCAAAAATTAGACTATCCAATAAAAACTATTAACTCTGAACCAAAGAATAACCCAATTAAACCTTTTCTTTCAATTTATCCTTTCTTCTTATGGATGCTGCTTTGATAGCACTCTTTGATCTTTCGGATGATTCACTATTGGTTACATGGCCTCTATCATCTAAATCAATTGATCCTGCACTTTCAAAAATAGAGACTTGACCAGTTAATAAACCTAAAGTTTCTAATACTTGAGATGGTTCATTCAAATGGGAGGTGGCGATGGTTTTCTTTGAAGCTGGTCCAACAGCTACGGGATAAACTCCATATGTACCATATTCATTCTTGGGTAATTCATTTAATTGCCATTCACTTTCAATATCTTTTAAGGATCGGAACATATCCTCATCAGTTAAATCATCTCCAAGACATAACATGAAATCAGGTAATTCATCTAATGGGACATCTTTCTTTGTCTTTGTTACAGGATGAGTATCTTGTTTTGCTCCATGAGGATTTAAAGCTAATCGTTTAACAATCTCACCTTTATTAAGGAATTTAGGACGAACTTCAATATTGGCTTTACCTTCCATAATTTCAACTTCATATTGTTGAGCAACTGTAGCAATCAATTGATTATAACATAAAGTAGCTTGGAATGAACCTAATTCAGGATCAGCACGTCTATAATGCCAAGTTAAAGCTACTTTTTTCTTTTCAATATGAGTACCTGGAGTACGTTCAGTATAAAATTTAAATACATCTTCAACTTTTTGTTGCCATGACATATCAAAGGATTCCGCTAAATTAACCCATTCATTTGATCCAATATCTTTCATAAAACATCCATGTTCTGCACTAAGACCAATATTGTATGATCCTAACCATTTATCTAAAAATGCTTGATCTCTACCTGATATAACCCAAATTTGATTTCTTGGATCAGCTGAAAGAGCATCTAAAATATCATTTAATCTTGATGATGGTATAGCAGCCGCTGGATCCTTCACAATAGGAGTTAATGTTCCATCATAATCAAATAAGAATAATCTTCTTTTACTATTTTTATAGTTGTTTAATAATAAAGGACGATTCAAAGATGGAATATAATGAGATTGATGAGTTTGACCCACATGATTCAACAAATGAGTTAAGAACTCAATGGTCCATGTTTGAATGGTATTGGTGGTAGCTTGTTTATATAATCTTTGTTGTAAACTTTGTTTGTGACCTTCCGACATATTAAAACAATCATTAATAGTCTTAGCAATTCCAACTGAATCCCAAGGATTAACTAAGATAGATTCAGTTAATACAGAAGATGTACCAGTGAATTCAGATAAGATTAAAGGAGAACTATTCTTTTCTTGACAAATGACAAATTCTAAAGCAGTTGTACTCATACCATCTCTTACGGAAGTAATTAAAGCTAAATCTGCTACTCTTAATAAAGCAAAATATTCGTCTTTATCAATTCTCATTTGATAATGTAATACAGGAGTATAATTCAAATTACCATATTCACTATTAATATGATTAACTAATTCAGCCACATCTTTTTCAACCTTACCACTATGAGAATAACCTGGACTTGAAACTTGAATCAACACCACTTTATCTCTCCATTCAGGATACATTTGTAAGAACATTTCAAACGCTTGTAATTTTTGAGCTACTCCTCTAACTTTATCCAATCTATCTCTACCAACAATAATCTTCTTATCATGATAAATTTCTCGAAGAGCATTAACTTTATCTTCAATACCACTTTGGAAAGCATCATGAGCAATCTTCTTAGTATCAATTCCAATCGGTAATGTTTCAACTGATATAGCTGTACCATAAGCTAATACTTCATTAGCAGTAACATCATACCCTAATAAACGAGCTGCACACGATAAGAAATGTCTTTGGAATGAATCACTTTGAAACCCAATTTTATCAGCTCCTAACATTCCATCTAATAATTGACTTCTTTTACTAAGACATCTGAAATATTCCGATGAAGGGAATGGAACATGAACGTATAAACCAATATAAGCATCAGGGAATTCCATTCTTAATAATTGAGGTAATAAAAATAAATAATAATCATGAATCCATATTATATCCCCTGGTTTATAGATAGTTTTAATTCGATTGAAATAAACTTCATTGAATTTGACATAATCATGCCATGCTTCCGCCTCAGCCTTTCCATCAGATGGTTGACCTTGAATATAATGAAATACAGGCCATAATACATCTTCAGCATATTTTCTCCATCTATGTTGATCTTTTCTTAATAACCATACAGGATGAACATTTTCTGATTTACATGAAGTTCGAACTTTCTTTTCCACTTCCAATTTCTCCTTATCATCTAAATAAAGCGATTCATCAAGATCAGTAACTCCTTTACTATCCTGATTATTATGATTTGATGATTTACTAATAATTTCTCCTGTCCAAGCAATCAAATGAGATTCCCAATCAGTATGTTGATCAAGAAAGAAATGAGATGAATACAAAGCAGAATTCCCTCTCACAGACTCCACATACCAATTATGTTCTCCAGTCTTATAATCGAAATTATTATAAATTTGAGTTGGTAATGATGACATGATATTTAATACTCTTCCTGAAAGTTTAAGCTTTGAATTAGCATCCTTAGGTGAAATTGGAGGCACATCACTAGGATAAGCAAACAATTGATCAAGTTCAGACATTCTCAGACGATTCACTATCACTATCAATGTCTGTTAAAATCCAATCAAATCTGTTGTAGATGATAACAGTTGTTCATCTATTGTTCCAATTGTCGATTTGAAGTATGTGATAAAGGGAATTAGGTCAGTGCAGCTATATACAGGAAAGTCTTATATACACACCCGCCCATTATTCTAGAAGCCATTTTTGGGGGAACAACAACCATCTGATGTCATATTTGCAACTACAATTGTATAACGTCAATTTTATATAAATTTTTCAAATTTTTTTCCTATTTTTATATGTTTGTATATATAAAATAAATCCATAAACCCTTACTTTCCAATTGAATGGAAAATATTACATTTATATAAGTTAAAAAAATAGAATACACAAGAAAATAGATTGATAAAGTATTAGAAAAACAAAAAGACTAATTAAAGTCTTCCTCTTAACCTTTATAATCATATGTTCTTAAAAAGAAAATTTCAAAATAAATGGAATTAGCTAATCCATTTATTCAGAAGCTGGGATTTCAGATCCGGCACCAGCTTCAGATTTTTTATATTCTTCAAAAGCAGTTAAAGCATCTTCAAAATGACTGTTAAATAATTCATCATCTTCTAATAAAGCTAAGATTTCTTGATTATCTAAATCTAACATCATACCAGTAATTTTACCAGCAGCTTCTGGACCTTGAGCTTTACCAGTAGAAACAACCTTAGGATATAATTCTTCACCTAAAATTCTTTTATGTTGATCAGGTGGAGCACTTGCAAGAATAGCACCTAAATCTCTTTGTGGTCTACCACCCTTTTGTTGTTGTTGTTGTTGTTGTTGACCACGGTTGTTTGGGAAATATCCACCTCTGTTTTGACGGACTTGTTGTTGTTGTTGACCATTGTTGAAATCTGGATAACCTTGAGGTGGTAATCCATAAACTGGAACTGGTTGACCATTTGGTCCTGGTCTAGCCCATTGTTCTGGTCCACCAAATGGTTGATTTCTTCTCATCATCATTTGAGGATTTGGACCTGGGAATGGAGCATTACCTCTACCATTTGGAGGGAAAAAACCTTGTTGACCATAAAACATTGGTGGAATGAATTGACCTGGAATACCTCCGGTAGCAGCAGCATTTTGCATTCTCATTTGATTTCTAGCTTGAATTTGTTGTTCTAATTGAGATCTTCTAACATCTTTTCTTTGAGCTAAAGCAACATATAATGGTTTACCAACAAACATTCTTTGATTCATTTCAGTAATGGCTTTGGTAGCTTCTTCTGGAGTTGAGAAACAAACAAAACCAAAACCCTTAGATTTACCAGCTTCATCAACCATAACTCTAGCAGAAGTAATTGAACCAAATGGTTTAAATTCTTCTTCTAATTTTTCAGAATCAACAGTTTCATCTAAATTCTTAACAAATAAATTAACACCTTGATATTTAGATAATTTTTCTAATCTAGTTGATTCATATTGTTTTTTTAATTCTTCAATTCTTTCTCTCTTTTTTTGAGCTCTACCAACATAAATCTTTTGACCATTAATTTCTTTATCATTTAATTCATCAACAGCTTTAGAAGCAGATTGATGTTCAGCGAAATCAACAAAACCAAAACCTTTAGATTTACCTTCATTATCTTTTTCTAAATAAATAGAATTAATTCTACCATAAGCTTCAAATAAAGTTTTAAATTCTTCATCAGAAAATTCTAAATCAATGTTTTTAACATAAACATTAGTGAAGTTAGCTTTCATTTCTTCAAATTTAGATTCACGATCTTTTTTGGAGATATGTTTACCAACGAAAACTTCACGATCATTTAATAACATACCGTTAACATTTTCAATGGCAGCTTCAGCAGCTTCAGCAGTTTCATAATGAACAAAACCAAAACATTTAGATTGACCTAAATCATCAGTGGCAACCTTACAAGATAAGATTTTACCAAAAGCAGAAAAGGTATCATGTAAAGCTTTATTATCAATAGCAGGATGTAAGTTTTTAATAAAGATATTACCATCACCAGTTCTTCTAGCAGAAGGATCTCTTTGAGACCACATAATTCTACATGGTCTACCTTCAATAAGAGTATAGTTTAAATCTTCAATAGCTTTTTCACCATCATCAAGTTTATGATAATTAACATAAGCATAACCTAAAGATTTTTTAGAAATAGCATCACGACAAACTCTAATGGATGAAACTTGACCGATTGGAGAAAAGATTTCAAATAAAGTGGCTTCATTAATGTTTAAGTTCAATTCACCAACATATAAAGAAGCAGAACTATCAGCAACAGCAGAAGCGTCACCTTGTTCTTCACCTTCAACAGGAGCAGAAGTACCAGCGGCAGCGGCTACAGGAGCAGCAGCAGCATCTTCAGTAGCTGGGGCAGCAGCAGAATCAATGTTTAACTTTTCTAAAGATTCTTGAATAGCGTCAGCAGCAGACATCTTGGGAAGAAGGATTTGGAGGGGGGGTTGGGGTATTTTTTTTTAGATTTTATAAATATGATTTGACCTATTTGTAGATACAAAAGAGGTTGTTTTTTTTATATTTTTTTTGGGAGTTTTTTATATATTTTATTTCAATAAGAACTAGTCCTTTCTTAAAACAAAATAACCTTTAAAAATATAGTTTTAGGGGTTGGAGGGGTGGGAGTTGTTTGATCTGATTCAAAAACATAACTGGTTAGACCCATTTCGAAAAAAAATTTTTTTTTTTTGATGTTTGATAATTTTGGAAAATTATCACGTCCTGCACATAATTGTAGCAGAAAATTTCCTTTCACAAATAGAGGGAGCTCTAACTGAACGAAGAGATGAGACAGAGGATTAAGGGGAATCTTAAGGTTTACCCGGATTTTGGATCGGGGATTTTGGACACAAATGCACGACCGCTCATTTTTGCAGCAAATGGAGTGAATGGTAAGATATAAATATATATGGTACGATATGATCATGGTATGACACGGTATGAGCCTACATGGATTCAATATCTACAGGGATTCAATTGTCAATTAGTATAAATTTATTAAAAGTTATTATATAATACTTGTTACTATGTACAAGTCAGTTATATCACTTCAGGGAAGTGGTTGAGGTTTGACCCTTGACTCTATTATACATATCATTAATCTTTTTACTTGGTACTTTTGCTGGCCAATAAAGTCCAGCATAGGACCATAAATGTTTGTTTAATTTGGCTCTTTCAACATCATCTTTCTTTGGTTTTAATACTTGTTCAATATGATCTCCAATCGTAACTAATTCTTTTCTTAATATACTAGCCCATTCATGTTTATCAAGACCTTTATTACCTTTATGTAATCTGATTAAAGATTTAGATACTGGTTTTAATGATACTTTACAAACACCTTCATCCAAACTATCATACTCTAAATCATTATGTTGTTCATTAGTTTCATGTTTGATTTTGATATGATGAGGGTGACCATGATTATCAAGTCTAGGTGAATTGTTACTGGAAGTTACTGGTGAATGTTTATGACTTGGTTTCTTGGGTAATATCTTCTTTAATGAAAGTTCAGGTGATTGAGATTTGGTAGATAATTTCTTAACTTTAGTAGAAGTAGTAGGATTAGAAACTGTTGGCTCAGCTTTTGGTTTTCTAATTCTCTTCTTAGGAATAGCTCCACTACTTGGAGTTGAATTACCTGGTTCATCATCTTCTCTTAATAATGCAAACAAATAATCAACTCTTCTACCTAAATGAACAGCTCCAGGTACTTTCTTAGTTTTATCCTTACTAGATTTCTCTTTTTCATCAGCATTATTATTAGCAGTAGCATCTCCATTGGTTTCACCATCTTCTTTCTTAACGTCACCATTTTCATTCTCCTTTTCATTTTCAAGTTTAGGTCTAGATTCAACTTCTTTACTAAGAGGATGTGCACTACTGGATGATCCATTAGCTTGACTTCCAGCTACTGCAGGAACATTCTCTAAGAATAACTTATTTTGTAATCCTAAAATTGGATCATCTCTAATTTGTAACCATGATCCATACCCAAACTTAAATACACCTACTAATAACTTAGCATCATCCTTTGGACTCCATTCACATGACCAAGCGGAAACTTGTTTTGGATGTCTTGGTAAGATAAATGCTGTTGGATTCTCCTTTGGAATTAAAGCTTCTAAAACTTTCATATCAATAGGCCTACTTAATACTAATTCAGCATTAATATTCTTAACACCTTGATATTCAAATAATACCGCTTTCTTTTCCTTTTTCTTTGCAATCCAAAGTGCAGTGGTATTAGATTCATTATTATTCTTTTGTTCTAAAGCTTTCTTTTCTAATTCAGCTAAAGCTTTAGTTCTTCTTGCTTCTTCTTCTTTAACTAACTCTCTAGCAGTATTGATGATTTCATTATAAGCATGTTTAACTAATACAGGATTCTTATTAGTAATACTACCTTCTTCCACTAATTGTTCCCATTTACCAGTTAAATCACCTAATCTTAAAATAGATCTATAAATACCTCTGATTTCCTTTTCGGATAATTGATGATCACCAGCATTTCTTCTTCTTGGTCTACTTGAAGATGACAGATCTTCATCATCATCTTCAATATCACTAGGAGCGACTGATCCATTTTCAAATTTACGTACAGCTGCTTTTCTTCTTGAATACATGGCAATTTGTTGTTGTAAATATTCTTCATCAGCTTTTCTCTTTTCATCATCTTTCAATTTAGATAATTCTTCTTGTGGAATAATATCATCCCATTCCACATCAGCTTTATAATCAGTAACTTCAAATTGTTTTAAGAATTCTTCAGAACCTAAATTAGATTCTCCAAGATCAGGAGTTGTAACATGTTCTTCTGCATGACTTAAAACATCATCTAAATTCAAACCTTCTAATTTCTTTTGATTATCATTAGCATGAAACATATTTCCAGCCCCGAATTTTAAAATTTGACTCAATTGTTCAGTAGATGGTTCAGCTTTACTCTTCTTAGCATTTGGATCAGTTATACCTAATGAAATAATAGCATATTCTAAAATCATCTTTTTTCTAGCTCTTTCTAAAATTTGTTCTTCAACGGTATCTTTACTAACAAATCTATACACTGATACATGATTCTTTTGACCAATTCTATGAGCACGAGCCATGGCTTGTAAATCAGCTTGAGGATTCCAATCTGAATCAAATATAATAACAGTATCAGCCGTCATTAAATTAATACCTAACCCACCAGCTCTAGTACTTAAAAGGAAACAAAAATCTTTGGAATCAGGAGCATTGAAATGATCGATGGAGATTCTTCTTTGGGCAGACGGTATACCACCATCTAATCTTTGAAATTGATACCCTTTAATAGATAAATAATCTCCAAGAATATCTAATAATCTTACCATTTGACTGAAAATTAAGACACGATGACCTTCCTTTTTCAATCTTGTTAATAATTGTTCTAATAATACCATTTTACCAGATGACATAATAATACCTCTTAAGATATTATCTCTGGAAGCAGAACCCGCCTTAGCTAACACACGATCTTCAGCACCATCGAATAAGTAAGGATGATTGGAGGCTTTTTTCAATTCACTCATGACATTTAATAATGAAATTTGAGCCCCTTTATTACCAGCATTTAAAGCAGAATAATTCTTAGTAATGATATTTTTATAATATTCCGTTTGCATATCTGATAATTCAACTCTTAAAATACGTTCAGTCTTAGAAGGCAAGGACTTTTCCACATCTTTCTTTAATCTTCTTAATATAAACGGTTGAATTTTCTTTTGTAAATCTTTAATATATAATTCTTGTTCTTCATCAGGAGTTTCAAAATCAATTTCTTGTTCAATACTGAACTTACCGGGCATAAGGAAATCACATAATGCAGCTAATTCTTTCATATTGTTTTGTAATGGTGTACCAGTAATCAATAATCTATTTGAAACCTTAAATCCTCTTAATGATTCATATAATGAAGATTCGGCATTCTTTAATCTATGAGCTTCATCAACAGCTAAGAATTGCCATTTAACAGATCCTAATTCTGATCTATCCTTTAAAATATATTCATAAGTAGTTAATAAAACATTAAATTTTATTTTCCCGTTAGCATTATAAAATTCATAATCTCTAATTGTCTTTCTTGCTTGAGTATTACCTAAATAATAAAGACAATTAACATCAGGAGCCCATTTCTCAAAAGTTTCTTGCCAAGCAGGTACAGTTGATAAAGGTACTACCACTATATGAGGACCATTCTGTCTTCTAGCATAGATTAACCATGATAAGAATGCAATAGTTTGAACGGTTTTACCTAAACCCATTTCATCGGCCAAAATACCATTTTCATTTCTTGACCATAAAAAGGCCATCCAATTTAACCCTGTCAATTGGAAATCTCTTAATTCCCCATTTTTAATGAATACAGGTTGTTTGACCAATTTTTCAAATCTTGGACGTTGAGACATAGGATAATTTGCCGATAAATTAGGTAAGATTTTAGATTTAAGACGTTGTTGATATTTTGAAACCTGTTCAGGAGAGATTCTCGCAATTTCTTCACCATCTTCCCAAGAACATTCATCATAATAAAGTCTTCTCCATTTTACAAAATATTGTAATTTAGATTCCCCATTATCAGTTTCAATTCTTTCACTTTCCACAATTCTTTCCACTTGACAATATTCTTCTTGTTCATCTCTTTTTCTTTCTCTTTCGATATCCATAGCTTCAATATCTTCTCTTGTAGTTAAAGGATCATTTCTGATTTCTTGATCCGATAAAATGAATTGTTTAATATAATTTTCCACTTTTCTAAATCCTTTAAAATCTTTCAAGATTGACCATTTCTCCCAAGTATTATGTAAATGGGAAGCATCTGACCATTTTATTTTAAATAAATAATCTAATTTAGCATCTCCTGTTTGTTCAGCGTTATCTTCATTTAATTTATGATCCATTACTAAATCGACCCCTCTTTCATTTTCAGGTTCATTAGCTTGTTGATAATAGTAATAATCACCATTTTCATCATCATCATCTTCCATGGATCTATCAACTTCGCCATCACTTTCTAATAAATCATCATCATTATCATAATCGACATTATAATTTACAGTTTTACTATTTCTAGATGAGAATCTTATTTCTGCTGGTAAGCTTGGAGTTGTTGATCTTTTTGGAGTATGTGAATATTTTGATTTCATTGAAGATGACTTTGTTTTCAATTTCTTTTTCTTGACGTATCCTGAATCAACAAACTCATCATCATCTTCACTTGCTTCATCTTCTTCTTCCCCTTCATCGTCGCCTTCACTCTCATCTTCATCAAAGTTACGATCCACTTTCTTTTTCTTCCTCTTTGGAATATCATAATCTTCTTCGTCACTTTCTACCAATGTAGCTACTCTTCTCTCTCTAGTAGATCTTCTTAATCCATACAATTCAGGATTGAGTTCTGCTTCTTCAGGCACAATAGGCTTCACCATGATGATTTATCTGTATTATATGGGTTGATATGATTGATTGATTGGAAAATATTAATGTAATGAAATGAAGAAAAAAATAGTATGTTAACTATGTAAAGTTCGGGATGATATATCTTTGTAATGAACAATCAAAGATATCAGTCTATATATAACGGTATCAATAAACAATGATCCGATATTACCCAAGTAATAACTCTTCAAAATTATAGAGTTACAACGATTAGAATAATAATATAAAAAAAATGACAGTCCTTTTGAAAAACCAAAGTTGAATTGATCAATATGGCACTATTTCAAGTCTGGATTTGAACCACCACAATTGTCAATATCAGTAAGGATTTCCTTGATTCAACTTATCCACTATATGATATGGATCTTGTATGATGGGTGATATAATGTTGTAAATGTGTGATCGATTTAGGCGTAAAAAGATTACTTTTTAAAAAAGTAAGAAAAAAAAACAGGGAGGAGGGAAAAAACCGACGACAACGACAACAACGACAAGAATTTAATTTTATAAAGTTTAACTATGTAGAATGTTAAAGGAAATGAATTACAAAAGTTTTTAATATGATAATTTGGAATGGATGGAAGAGTGACTTATATTCAAATCTATAAACTATAAATTAAGGATGATAAAGGGTTCATTCAACAGGTCAATACATGAGTATGTTAATTCCAATAGCAAAAAAAAAAAATGGGTGGCAGAATGGAGATGGAGTCGGAAGGGAAGGAACGTGAACGGTGATTGAAAGGAAGTGATCAATTGGTCTAGATAGAACCTCATGACAATTTTGCAGCCAACAATAGTAGTTATCATAAATTCAGTAGTCAACATCAAACGTATATGAAAACATTAACCAGTAATATATCAAGTACAGATGATAAATGAATAAAAGCATTATTCAAAGAAGAAGAAAACCAAACTTAAAGACAACAACGTTATTATCAGATTCAAGCAACTTTTTCCAACCACCAACGATATACCAACAGCATTTTTCCTGGCAACACCATAGTTAACACCAGCCAACAAAAATCAAAAAAAAAAAATTGACAACCATCTAGAAAACACAATGATAGCATCAATCAAAATATGATTGAATACAACGAATCAAACAATCTTGAAAGATCATGAATCGATCAATAATGGAATAGCTCATATAAAGATTGCAAAAAAATTGGTTGCAACCATAGTTAACAAGGAATGAAATCTGGGATTTCTCCTCCATTGTTATGGACAACAAGGCCATAAACAACATAGTGATGAATCAATCAAAGCAACTGATTTAATCAATGCAAGATTGATCTAATCCATCACATGATTGTCACATGTGTCAGCATACTTACTTCTGATGATATACATCATTGAATGATTGATCGATTAAACCATAATTCTATAGTTAAACATAACAATTTGATAGCAATTGGCCGTTTTTTTTTAATTTATAATTTTTGTGGAAATTGATCCCTTTTTATTTCTTAATGGGATATATTTTGTCAATCCACGCACGACTTTTTTCAATAAGAGTTACCCGGAATGAAAAAGGTCGTGCGTTTTAGTACAAGTCTTGTTTCAGAGTTAATTATAACTATAACTGTCTAACCATGTTACAATATAGTTAGTTAAGAAATGAATAGAGTGATGACTTAATATGTTTCAAATTATATAGTGTCAATTTGACAATGCTATAACATTTATAACATTAGCTCTAACATAGTACTACAACTACCATTCATTTCATATTAATTAGTTACCATAAGCTCTATCAATCTTATACCTTTTGTTACCCTTAGCTAACCCAATCATTTAGTGTTATTTAGTAATCCTATACTCAGATTTACTCGTATGTAACCGCGTCTTATATATCTTATAACCTTTAATCTCAGTGTAAATTTGATCCCTAATATTAGCCATCTGATGAATTCCTGCATACAAACGAAAAAAAAAATTTATTTTTACATCAAAACATAAACCTCAAATCTAAAACTCCATTTGAAGGTAGAATAACTTGTATCATATATTCAAATCAAACTTCCTTTAAAGAGAGTATTACATTCAATATCCAATGTCAGATAAGGGAACAAGAATTGCTATTGTCAACACTGATAGGTGTAAACCTAAAAAGTGTAGACAAGAATGTCGTAAAGGTTGTCCAGTGGTTAAAACTGGTAAATTATGTATTGAAGTTACACCAGCATCAAAGATTGCTTTTATTTCAGAAAATTTATGTATTGGGTGTGGTATTTGTGTTAAGAAATGTCCATTCGATGCCATTCAAATTATTAATTTACCAACCAATTTAGAATCAGAAACTACTCATAGATATTCTGCTAATTCATTTAAATTACATAGATTACCAACTCCAAGACCAGGTCAAGTCTTAGGTTTAGTAGGTTCAAATGGTATTGGTAAATCCACCGCCTTAAAGATCTTAGCTGGTAGACAAAAGCCAAATTTAGGTAGATATGATAATCCTCCTGATTGGCAAGAAATTATAAGATATTTCAGAGGTTCTGAATTACAAAATTATTTTACTAAAATATTGGAAGATGATATGAAAGCTATTATTAAACCTCAATATGTGGATAGTATTCCTCAATCATTAGCTAAATCAAAAGTTAAAACCGTTGGTGGAATCTTAAAAGCTAGATTAGAAAGAACTGAACATTATGATTATTTATTAAAAGTATTGGAATTAGGACATATTTTAGATAGAGAAATTGAACAATTATCAGGGGGTGAATTACAAAGATTTGCTTTAGGGGTTACATGTGTTCAAGATTTCAGTGTTTATATGTTCGATGAACCATCTTCATATTTAGATGTTAAACAAAGATTAAGAGCTGCTGAAGTTATTAGATCTTTATTATCTGCTACTACTTATATTATTTGTGTGGAACATGATTTATCCGTTTTAGATTATCTTTCCGATTTCGTTTGTATTTTATATGGTGCTGCTTCAGTTTATGGGGTTGTTTCATTACCATCATCAGTTAGAGAAGGTATCAATATCTTTTTAGATGGTCATATTCCAACGGAAAATATGAGATTTAGAACTGAATCATTACAATTTAGATTAGCTGATGCTGCTGAAGGTTTAATCTTAGATAAATCAAATGCTATGACTTATCCAAATCTTGTTAAAACTCAAGGTGAATTCAAATTAACCGTTGAAACTGGTGATTTTACAAATTCAGAAATTTTAGTTATGATGGGTGAAAATGGTACTGGTAAGACTACATTCTGTAGATTATTAGCTGGTTTAATAGCTCCTGATGACGGAGTTCAAATGCCAAAATTAAATATTTCATTCAAACCTCAAAAAATTGCTCCAAAATTCCCTGGTACTGTTAGACAATTATTCTTTAAAAAAATTAGAGCATCATTCTTACATCCTCAATTTCAAACTGATGTGGTTAAACCATTAAAAATTGAAGATATCTTAGATAATGAAGTTAAAACTTTATCGGGTGGGGAATTACAAAGAGTTGCTATTGTATTAGCTTTAGGGGTTCCAGCTGATATTTATCTTATTGATGAACCTTCTGCTTACTTAGATTCTGAACAACGTATTATTTGTTCTAAAGTGATTAGAAGATTTATTTTACATGCTAAGAAAGCTGCCTTTGTGGTAGAACATGATTTCATTATGGCCACTTATTTAGCTGATAGAGTTATTGTCTTTGAAGGTCAACCATCTATTAATGCTAAAGCTTTAGCTCCAGAATCATTATTAACTGGTTGTAATAGATTCTTAAAGAATTTAAATGTTACATTTAGAAGAGATCCAAATTCTTATAGACCAAGAATTAATAAGAAAGATTCTCAAATGGATAAAGAACAAAAATCTTCAGGAAATTATTTCTTCTTGGATAGTACTGGATTGTGAAGAACTTTGCAATTCCAAATTTTAGTCATTTCATTTCATTCTTGGGTTATCATACTTTTTCATCATTAAGAAATCATCAATCAAATTGGTTTCTTATTCTCCTTCACTTGTACATTAGTGTTCCAATTTTAAATTGGAAAGTTTACGACGTTCCTTAGTCATTATTCCATACTACATATATCAGACAATAGTCTTTCCTTGTTCATCAAACAAACCATTTTTCATGGAATATGGATGCTCAGTTGTTTCCTCCTTTTAGTAAGCATACCAATTCCATCTTCTCTCGCGTTCCACCGCATTCTACTTTGATCTCTCAACTTCGATTCTCTAAATTCAATCTCTCTCTCTTTCCCCTTTTGTTTGAACAGGATATATGTATGGTAATAGTTTAAATATTTGGATGGTATGACTCTTGGCTACGTCGCCCGCTCTTCTCATTTTATAGATATGTATTTAAGCTACTAGTATATATACCCTATTTATTAATCTAATATAATTGAAACATAGCAAAAAGTTATTAGCGTAAAACTAAATTTTTCACCAGATCAATTTGAAAAAAAGTGCACTGTCAACCAAAACAGCGTTGAAAAAAAAAGTTTGGCTGCTGTTCTGTTAGATTCTTTTAACTTCTATTACCCTTACAACTTTACAATCAATACAATCAAGTGAAAGATGAGTCAGCTTGCACCACCGCAACATGCCCATCCTGGTGCTCAACCTGGTGTTGAACAAGTTCAAACCACAAATCAAAGAAGTCCAGTGGCTGTAAATATCGCCAATTATTTGTTTCAGAATCCAATCTTGAAACAAAGAGTTGGGTTGATGGATAATGAAAGAGATATGTCATTTTTTAGATACAAACGTTTGAATAGAGCTTTATTAAGTGAAGATTATAAGACTCGTCAAGCTAATCCTAGAAATGGTTTGATTCCCATCAATGATGATGCCGAAGCTCAAAGAGTATTAATATTATTGATTCAAAATCAATTAATTATTCCTATTAATAAATTACATTATGCTGAAATCAAAGCTAAAAGAGGATGGAAACCAAATAAGACTAAGCCAACCTTAACCAAGGGTGAAAAGGCCTTTCTTGATCCTGATGCTTATTATGGTTGGTTATATGCTAAACCAAATCCATTTCAATTATTATATAGTATCTTAGCTGTGATTGGAGTATTTACTGTTATTTTATTCCCATTATGGCCATATTTTATGAAGAGAGGGGTTTGGTATTTATCAATGGCAGCATTGGGCTTGATTGGATTATTCTTTGTTGTTGCTATTGTTAGATTGATCTTGTATGTTATTTCCTTAGTGGCATTACCAAAACCTTTCTGGTTATTTCCTAATTTATTTGAAGATTGTGGAGTCATTGAAAGTTTCCAACCTCTTTATGGATGGGAAGAACCAAAAAAGAAGAAATCAAAAAAGAGTAAAGCCAGTGCTAGTGGTGAAACTGCTGCTGCTACTCCAAGTGAATCAGTCTCAAGTGCCAGTAACACCACTTCTAGTGGTGCTAACGTTGTAGCTAATGGATCAGCTACTACCAAACGTAGAGCTGTATTAGAAGAAGTTGACGAAGAATAGATGTCCCTAATTATTCTATATAGATACCATCATCATCTAAGTAATAATATTTGCAGTATAATACATGAATTAAAGTTATATATATAGAATTTACAGTACTGGTTGTAGACTTCCTAATTAGGCAATGTTTAGCAGAATAAAAGCGCGTTTACACAGACCTAAAAAAAAGTGACTACATCATAAAAAAGAAGAGAGGTGTAATTAACAGAATTAGGCAACCAAATTGATTATCATTAAACTCAGTCAAACATCAGTTACGACGATATGGTGCTTATTAACGACTTATCATTCAATCAGGATTACTCATGTATATCGTTATCGACTTCAGAGTATCATAAGATATTTAATTGTGAACCGTTTGGAGAGTTTTACGCTTCTAATCAAGGAGGGATAAAGCGATCGATATCGAATTCAATTGAAGAAGAAACCAATATCAATAATGGGATACGACTGAGAGCTGGTAGTTTAGCTGGATTGAGTATCGATGGAAATGGTGATGGCGATGAAGTAGGGTATCCTACTGCATATTTGAAGATGTTGTTCTCTACATCATTAACTATTATCATTCCAGATTCAAACAATAAGTTAGGGAAACGAGTTTTAAAAATATACAATTTAAAGCAGAATTTAAAGATTTGTGAATTAAATTTTAGTTCTAATATCATTAATATCAAATTAAATCGAAAGAGATTACTTGTATTTTTGGAAATTGGTCAAATTTACATTTATGATTTAAGTTGTGTTAGATTAATAAAGATTCTTGATATTAATTCATATTTCAATGATACTACCAATACCACTTCGGAGCTAATCGGTGATTTATGTTCAAGTAATGATGAAAGGTCTTATCTTGTATTACCAATCTCAGCCATAAATGATCAAACCGATTTATTTAATGCTGAACCATTAGCTTCAAATGGTGGTGGAAATGGGAATTCTCCATCTAGAAGTAATTCAACTCCTTCAACTCCATTATTAAAACCAAGTGATTCGACCATTATCAATAATAATTTGGATTCATTGATTGTGTATACTTCTAAAGATCATCATCTTGCCAAAAAATCAAATATAACTCTTGATGATTTAAAGAAAGATAGTCAAGGTTGGATTATAGTTTATGATACCATAGCTTTAAAGCCCAAATTAATCTTTAAAGCTCATAATTCAGCCATTGGGAAGATATCAATCTCTAATGATAAGATTGCAAGTGCATCTATTAAGGGAACTATTATTAGAGTATTTACAATTCAAGAAGATAGTAATAATGAAACATTAAGAATTTCTCAAGTTTTAAGTTTAAGAAGAGGTCATAATCTTGCTAAGATTAATGCTTTAAGTTTTAATTCTGATAATAGGATATTAGGATGTGGATCTGAAAGTAATACGATTCATTTTTTTAAATTGGATGATTCAGATGAATCTCATAATGATGAAGGAGGTCATGACGATGACGATGATAATGATGAAGATAGTGATAATGAAGGTGGTGGAGCAGGTGATGATGGTGGTGAATCAAGTAGTAGATCATCGGAAGATTTGAATGAGAATTTAGCTAATTTATTATTATCCAAACCAACACAAGCGACACCTCAAGCTTCCAATAAAGATAATGAAAGTAATGGTAAATCAAGTTCATATTTTAGTTTTGCTACGTTAAAGCAAACTAAAAAGTTAATTAATAATCAATATACTAAATCAATTATTAAGAAATTACCCTATAAGGATTATTTTGATAATTTAATTTGGGAACCACCAAGAAGATCATTTGCTTATATTAAATTACCAGAGTATACTCCACCTCATTATCTGCATCATCAAGATTTAGAAGATCTGTTTCAACTGCAATCACATCGTCATGATACAAATAATAGAGTTGAGATTGGGTTTAATAATCTGTTGATATTATTAGCCAGTTATCAAACGGGTATATTCTATCAATATCAATTACCAAATTATCGTAAACATCATCATCACCATCATCATCTGAATGGTAGCAAAGGTGAAGAACACGAAGAAGAAAAGAGAGAAGAGTGTTATTTAATTAATCAATATAATATGATTTAGGGAAAGTAAGGGAAGGAAGTTCTGGGAATACAGAGCACATATATAGGTTTTAGGTTTTTATATATATATAATTATATAATTTTATAGGTTTTAATTTGATATTTTCAGTTCTACGTTTATTTTTACCCCAGTTTTCCGTTGTGAGATCGAATCTCCGAAACTTGAATTCATCGTAACTTGACCAAAACATGATCAAATTGGTTCAAAATAGTCTTGAATGATTCAATTATATCAGTAATACCCATATAAAACATAATATTTAATCATCTTATACTGAATTATTAATATAAATCAATAATTATAAAATACTATAGCCAATTACATCCATACACCAATACTTAACCACACCAAACACCCAGACATTTTTTTTCACAGTCGCCAATAAAAAATTTTCCCGTGGAAAAGCCATTTGAGGATCGATCCAGAACAGTTCAGAGTTCACATCCCCACTTCAATATCAAAAGTGTATATAAAACCATCATTAAATTCCATTTATCCAATTTTTCCATTATTTCCTATTTCTGTAATGTTAAGATCTAGTTTCAGACCATCTATAATAGGACGAAGATCTGCATCAGTATTATTAACAGCAAGTGTCGGTACATCCAAAAGAATGGTATCTTCTTCATCATCACTCAGTAACAATGCCACCAGTGCAACAACCTCCAATCAAGAACCAGATGTGGTGTTGTTTCAAAACAAGAACTCTGCTAGAATCATTAATTTGAATAGACATAAGAAATTGAACTCATTGAACACTAAGATGGTCAATTTGATCACTCCTCGTTTACTTGAATACTCGAAATCATCATCTAATAATGTTGTCATTTTAACTTCTGATTCTCCAAAAGGATTATGCGCTGGAGGTGATGTGGCTGAATGTGCCGTTCAAATCTTGGAAGGTAATCCAGGATATGGTAGTGACTTCTTCCAACAAGAATATAACTTGAATTATCTTATTTCTACTTATAATAAACCATATGTTGCCCTTATGGATGGTATCACTATGGGTGGAGGTGTTGGTTTATCAGTTCATGCTCCATTTAGAATTGCTACTGAAAAGACTAAATTAGCCATGCCAGAAATGGATATTGGTTTCTTCCCTGATGTGGGTACTACTTTCTTCTTACCTAAATTAGATGATAAATTAGGGTATTATTATGCTTTAACTGGTGAAATCTTAAATGGGTTAGATGCTTATTTAGCAGGTTTTGCAACTCATTACATTCATTCTGAAAAATTACCTCATTTAATCAACAGATTATCAAATTTACAACCTCCAGTTATAAACGATATCAAAACCGTCACCAATGATGTTTTAACTCATCAATCAGAATATTTCGCTCAAGTTAATCAAGCCATTGAAGAATTCAGTGAAAATAAATTACCTGAAGATTATAAATCACCCCTTTCAATTGCTGATCGTTTAGTTATCAAAGAAGCATTTTCTCAACCATCCATCAATGATTCCATTAAATTCTTAGAAAATGAAGGAAGTGAATTTTCCAAACATTTACTTAAAAGATTAAGTATCAAACCATTAAGTTCTCTTACTATTGCTTATGAATTATTAAAATTAGGAGAAAAAAACACTATCAAGGAACAATTCAAACAAGAATTAGTCGCCGCTACTAATATCATGAATATCCCAGCTGGTAAAAATGATTTCGTTTTAGGTGTATCTCATAAATTAATCAATAAGATAAAATCTCCTTCATTCCCTCAATGGCATGATGCAAATGTCAATGATGAATTCGTCAAATCAATCTTAAACTCATCTATGAAGACCGCTATTGACTTAGCTAATCCATTAATCAATCCATTCTTTGGAGTTGATTTCAAAAATTATCCTCATCATATGGGTTTACCTTCAAACCAACAAGTGGCTGATTATATCACTGGTAATGATGGTTCAGGTAGATCTTACTTACCAACTCCAACCGAAGTAGCTAAATTCTTTTCTAAACATACTAATAACAAATTAGGAATTGAATTTAAAGTTAACCAAATCTTGGAATTACATGGTGAAGCTTCTAAATATGATAACAAATATGTATCATGGAAAGATTAATGATCAACTAGAATAGATTTATTTATTGTACATAGAACAAAAAAACGACATTAGGCAAACAAAAAAATACAATACAGCTTTTATTATTAATAATACATAATTTCTCTCTCTACTTAAACTTTTCGACAATTAAATCTTCACCCAACTCTTCATAATCAGCTTTAGTAACAAACCAATTATCTAAGGCGATCTTGACACTGTTAGATTCAATACCTTCTTCATTATTGGAAACATCATTTAACATATTAGCTAAATTACATGCACCTAACCAACTACCAAATTGTCTATCCCAAATCTCATTAGATGGATCAGCACTGGATGAATGTCTTATGGTTTGAACGTTATATATGAATGCATAACCTGAATAAACTTCTTGAATTGAAAGTCTAAGATCATTTAAAATCTTTTCGGGTAAACCATTTAAATTTGATGAACCACCAGTAATTAAAATATTTCCTAATAATTCTTTAAATATTTCTGTGAATTTAGCGTATTTGTTATGAGATGAGGATGATTCATTATTGGCAGGTAATAAAGTATGTTGTAAACTCTTTAAAGCAAAGAATACTAAGTTTACTATACCATGAGTGTTTGGTTTATCAGGAGTGGCTTCTGGTAAAGTTATGTTTGGTAATTTATGTAAGGTTGGATTTATAACGTTAAGTAATAAGTTTGGTGAATCATCAACACTAATATGAGATTGATTATCTAATTGGAAATGTTTTAATTGGAAATTCATTGATAAGTTCTTATATTCTTGTAAGACATTATGACTGGTATAATAATGCTTAAATGGTTCACTGGCTTTAGCATAACTTGAAGGTAATAAACTTTCAATACTAGTTTTGGTTTGTAAATAGTTCAACACATGTAAGTTGACGAAATCACCAGCATATTTGGAATGGAAACTTGATTTATTTTGAATTATACCATCCAATATTGGTGTCACACTGGCCACAGACGAACCAATATCAATCACTATACCAGTTGATTTACCAGCACGGTATAATTGTGATAATGGTGATTTCACTAAGGAAAATATAGGAACTTCAAAATTCTCAAACACAATTTGAGTAGTGGCTAATTTATTCTTTGATGTATTCCATGATTGTTCAGTCATAACTAATGGATATTCCTTTGAATCAATTGATGAATGACTATCAACATTATTATATACATATTCCCAATTCTTAACTATATGATCAAAGTCATAGATGATCCCATTATCCAATAAGGTCATGATTTCATTCTCAGGTTGACTATCGATCTCTTCATCACCAATCACAAATGATTCTGGGTTATTAGGATCGATAGAATAATTGGAATTGAACACTAATGATGGTAAGTCTTCCAGAGCAAAACCTGCCTTTGTAGTATATGACCCATTGTCTATAACCACTGCTGGGGATGTATAGGCCATTGTTCTTATCTTATGTTCTTCTTATATTCTTCTAACCTTTGGTTGCCTATTTCAAACCTCAATTCAATCAGTTTGTTGATACTTGTTGAAAAAAAATCCATACACCATAAATGTAAAATGTCGCGTGAATAGAAAATGTCGCCGAAGAGAAGCGACATTAACTGCATCTAGACCAAATTGAATATATGATTAATCAAATTTAATGGTAGGTGAAGAGAAGGGAAGTTAACTGTTTCTTTTCATTTCAACAAGACACATCTAGATACAATGATAAGAAGGACTATAACGAAGAAAAATACACTTAGGCTGTTCCAAAGGTATCTTCAGACTGCTCCTATTCCAACTTTCCAAACTTCTGTATTAAGAAATGGTTTAACTGTGGCAAGTGAAGTTATGCCAGGAACTAGAACTGCAACAGTTGGTGTTTGGATTAATGCTGGTTCAAGAGCTGATAATCCTAAGAATAGTGGTACTGCTCATTTCTTAGAACATTTAGCATTCAAAGGTACCAATAGAAGAAGTCAAGCTAATTTAGAATTAGAAATTGAAAATTTAGGATCTCAAATCAATGCTTATACTTCTAGAGAAAACACAGTTTATTATACTAAATGTCTTTCCAAGGATATTGATCAAAATGTGGATATCTTAAGTGATCTTTTAACCAAGTCAAAGTTGGAAGAAAGAGCCATAGAGAATGAAAGACATGTTATCTTACAAGAAAGTGATGAAGTTGATAAAATGTTTGATGAAGTGGTATTTGACCACTTACATGCTGTTGCTTATAGAAACCAAGATCTTGGTAGAACTATCTTAGGCCCAAGAGAATTAATTAAAACTATTGATCGTAATGATTTAGTCAACTATATCACTACCAATTATAAAGGTGATAGAATGGCTTTAATAGGAGTTGGATGTGTTGATCATAATGAGTTAGTGGAAAAGGCAGAAAAATATTTCGGTAACATTAAACAATCAGAAGTACCATTCAAACAAAATGGTGAAGATTTACCTATCTTTTATGGTGATGAAATTAGAATTCAAGATGATTCATTACCAACTACTCATTGTGCCTTAGCTGTTGAAGGTGTAAGTTGGTCTGCCCCAGATTTCTTTACTGCATCAGTTGCAAATGGTATTGTCGGTACTTGGGATAGATCTGTTGGTATTGGTTCCAACTCTCCATCTCCTCTTGCTGTCACTGCTGCCTTAGGTGGTCCAAATAATACCCCTGTGGCCAATAATTATATGGCTTACACTACTTCTTATGCTGATACTGGATTAATGGGTGTTTACTTTTCAGCTGATAAAGATGCTGATTTAAAATTATTTGTTGATGCTGTTTTCCAAGAATGGGCAAGATTAAAATCAGGTAAAATAACTGATGAAGAGGTAGAAAGATCAAAAGCTCAATTAAAAGCTTCTTTAGTGTTAGCATTAGATGATTCAACTGCTATTGCTGAAGATATCGGTAGACAATTAGTCAATACTGGATTCAGATTATCACCAGAAGAAGTTTTCGAAAGAGTCGAATCAATCACCAAACAAGATGTGGTTGACTGGGCTAATTACAGATTAAAAGATAAACCAATTGCAGTTTCTGCCATTGGTAACGTTAAAAATTTACCATCTCATGAATACCTTACAAAGGGAATGTCCTTATAAATACTCTATTATTAATAAAAATTGTACATAGAATTTCTTTTTTTTTGCTTCATATGGACATTATTTATACATACTAATAAAGATTACGATTTGTCAATAATATCAACAGCAGAAGATACATTATCTGCATTATCATCATCATTAATTTCTTGTTCAACTGTTCCTTCTTTGATCAAGATATCTTCCAGTGGAACTCGTTTCATTATTTCTGCGGGTCGGAAAAGTTTACCAATATTCTCTATCCATCTTCTCCTCTTTTCTAAGAGAGTTCTTAATCCATTATTTGCAGCTAATTGTTGTGGGGTAGTTGTATCCACCTTCTTCTTCTTACTCTTACCCTTAAGACGTTTCATGTATGCTTGATCGACTTGTTTATCCAAATCTTCCAATATAGCACAATATTCTTGATATGCAATTTGCTCTTCCACAATAGGGATTAGTTTCTTTCTGTTGGCCTTGTTTCTACTTACAACTTCTCTTAATTCTCTTTGTAGTGATCTTATTTCAGCACATACTTCATCATCTTCTTTATTTTTAATCCAATCATCATTGTCAATGATACTTGAACTTGATTTTTTAAGTCTTCCAATCCCATTTTGTTTAATCTTTTGACCTGTATCTTCATCATTTATCGGTAAGTTCATGAATATACCAATATATTTCAACTCTCGTTTAAGTCTATCTTCAATAGTATTAAAGTCGTTAATATCACTAGTTAATTTATAATCTTCACCACTATCTAATTGAGTAGCAATAATATCATTATCTTGTGCATTTTTTTCTTCATCATTTCCACTTCCACTGGCATCTTTACCATCCATATCTTCATCTTCATCTTCACCATTGGTTTCTCTTGTACTTAAGATAGCAGATAATAATCTGCTTGATAATGGACCACAGCTTATATCTTCAGTATATAACATATCATCATTCAAAGCATCGACTGTACCTTTTGCCTTATATGAATCAGTTGGAGGTTGTTGGTATGCTGGTGAGTTTAATTTTGAACTTAAGGTGGCATCTTCATCAGCCCAAACATCAGCATAAAATCTACCTAATTTTGGAATTAAAAATGGCATGACTTCAGGATCATAATCCGTCTTTTCCATACCGGGTTGAATTATATATCTTTCGTTTAAGAACTCAATATCTTCATTCAGGAATGGTCTGAAGAATGATTCGATGTACGATTGATATGTCGTGAATTGAACTTGATTACTTGGAGGCTTATTCTTTGAAAAATCAATATTTGGGATGGTACCAGGTAAGAGGTTTAATAAATCATTTTCAGGATAAGACGCTACACCATATTTCTTTTTGAGATATTCTTTACCTTGAGTTTCTAATCCATGGTTTGATTCTGACCATAAACCTAATTCTGCTATAGCTTCTGCAGGTAAAGTTTGGGAGGTAACATATTCTGATTTTGGATTTTTCAATCTAGTGTCATTATCATGAGTGAAAGAACCCGATTGAATTGGTGGTACTGGATCATCCTTGGAGTTTACTTTCCCATTACCATTACTTTCAACTTCTTCACCATCAGTTATTTTTCGTTTCTTATTAGACTCACTATCTTCTTCATCTTGATCATCATCAGCAAGATCACGTTTTCTCTCTGACACAACTCCATCTTCTTGATCCTCTTCACCTTCATCATCTGCGTCTTCATTTTCATCTTTGTTTAATAATTGCTTGATTTTATTAAGAATAGAGTCGTCTGACAGTTCTACTTCACTCAATTCACGTTTTAAATTATTCAATAATTTACTTAAATTCAAAAGGATATTAACACTAGGTATCGTCCTCACAGAATCACCATCCAATAATCCTACTGAATTGTCATATGATAACTTTAATTCATTTATGATGTCATCTAATGTAGTGGAGGCAGAATGTGTACTTGAATCTGTTTTTGCCGACATGATTATAATGAAATTGAGAATGAAATTGATACAGTTTTTTAATCTGAGTGAAACACCTAACCCGTTAAATGTCTATGTCTTATTCCACGCTAATTCTAAGTAATTCCAATAAATAGATTAAATGATCTCTATAAACCAATAAACCATATATTATTAATTGGTAATTTTGATTTTGTATACCTGAATTTTTTTTGTTTTCAATTTCGAGAATTTTTGTTCAAATTTAGAAAACATCTCTACCGCAATAAATAACACATCTACTATGGATTTAATTAAAAAGTGTATTAGAATACATATATGTACGAAGTTTTGTGTATATACAAGAGAATGAGTTACTATATATGCCTATGGACTAAGATTGGAGATATATTCGTTATCCTTCTTATCTTTGACCACTTCTACTAATCTGTTAACAATTTTATGTCTAGCGATAGGTGAATCTTCTGGTCTTTTCCAACTTTCTGGGAATTGAGGTGCTGGCTTGTTATGTAACTGTTTCATATGACGTTTATCTAATGGAATATCTGAAAAGTCATTCTTTGCATCTTTGGATTCAGTGATTAATTTATTTAATGTATCCACTAAAAATCTTGCATTTTGAATAGCTTCAGGGTATTGATCAGTCTTTAAACTGAAAATATTTGTATCATGATTAAATTTATTACCAGATAAGATTTTAAAATTGTGTTGTTGCTTATCATTTAACTTCAAGTCTGTTAAATTCACTTTTAATTGTACTGATCTGTTGATTTTATTTGACGTTTCATCTGAAAAATCAGTATTATAAGTTAATTTGATAGGACTTTGTGAATTAACAGGTGGAGTATAAGGTTGACGGAACTTTGCTAATAATGGCATTTCATAAGCTGAAATTCTGGTTAATTGTTCAATTCTTCTCTTTTGATGTGGAATGGAACCTTGATCTATGACATAAGTATTACTCTTCTTTGGTGGTAAACCTTTTAAATTCAGTGGGGTGTTGTTCATGAATCTTTCTTTGAAATTATCTATTTCATAAGTATAACCCAACTCAGGTTTATTCTTAACTAATGATGTTATAGTTGAAAGAATAGCATTTCTCTCTTCGTCACTAGGATTATATTTTTCTCCCATACTATCTTTTCTTAAGTTATGCAATTCAAAAATTTGATCAGCTGGTAAACCTTTCCAAGCATGGGGATTGAGGTATAATGGTCCTTCTTCAGAAGCTTTTTGAGAAGCGAAACGCACAGTTTGAAGCAACTTCACAGCTTGCACTCTTGTTCTTGAACTAATCATTCTGATTTTTGGTAAAGATTATCGACAGCTTCTTATAATCTAATAGTGCCAAAGAATTGAAAATTTTATTTTAATACAAAAAAAATTAATTGATTGATCAAAAATCATCACATGCTCAATCACGTGGTTCCAGGAATGAAAATATTACGCTCGTATCAGCGCTTGAAAAATCCAGAACCACGAGAAGGATCTATAAAAAAATTCCTGCATATCGTTCTGATTTTTGGGGGTTAGAATAATGGCTCGCATGGCTTTTTAAACAAATTAATAAGGGACCAGGGCTGTTTAGTTTTATTCATAATTATTCAATAACTATGCCAAAACAACTGCATCCCCGGATTCTACATATGCAGCTTCAGCTAAATTAACTCTACCAAAATCTGGCTTATTCACCAGTCCTCCGCTGTCAAAGTCAAGGAACTCAACTACTTCAAGTGAGTCTTCGACTTCTATACCAACCCCTAAAAGCACGGTAGTTCGGGAAGTCGGAAATCGTCAGGTCAAAGTGATCCTAGTGCCACAAGATATCTTGACTTTAATAATTCAAGTCTATATGATGATGATGCTTGCTTTGACGAAGATAGAGCTAACTATGACTCTGATGGTGATGCCTTATCTAAGCTGAATTTATCCTTAAAAAGGACTACTTCACTAGAGACTCTTGATAAACATAGCCAGAAATACCCCTTTTTGATGATCATATGTTCAATGAAGATACTCATTTTAATGATATACCATTAGAGATCCAAAAGGAAGAAGAACCACGTGGGATTGACCTATGAATTTCTTCTAACTCCGAAATATGTCAAAACTTCAAAACTTCAAAGCGTAATAAAAGAAGTCCAAGGATCCTTAATAATGTATTCCTTGTTCAAGAATTGAATTATAGTGAAGAACTTAAGAAGAATAATATTAATGATTGTTTCTGATACTAGTGATAGAGAGGTTGCTCCCGAAGCTGGAATAGTTGGTTTACTAGGAAAATGTGGTGAATTCAATGTACTTGAAGGAGCCCAACTATGAGATAACTTTCAGAAAGTCAGATGCTCTTAATAAGAATGAGATCTCAGTGATGGAATTCTCAAGAGACGGTAAATATCTTGCTAATGCTGGGGAAAATGCCACTATTGTTATTTGGAAGGTTCCTTTGGGAACGGAAATGAATTGAAAGTGATAAACAAATCTCATCATAAAAAACACGACGTTTACTCATCTGCACCAGTTTTCCATCAAAAACCTTTCAAGATTTTGCATGGTTATACCAAGGGTATATTAACTTTAGATTGGAGTAAAAATGATTTCTTACCTTCCGGAAGTATGGATAGAACCGCCACGTTGTGGCATGTGGAAAATCATACTTGTTTACAAACATTCCAAGACGAAGATTTCGCTACGACTGCTGAATTTCGTCCTACAGATGATAGATTCTTTCTGAGCGGTTCTAACCATGTTCGATTATGGTCAATTCTTGAAACTAAAGTTGCTTATAGTAAGAATTTGGGAGATGATAATTTGATAACAGAGCCGCAATTCACTCCAGATGGACGATATATAATCATTGGTGGATTCAATGGTTCCTCGTTTGTTTTAGATACGAAAGGATTATATCACGTCAATAGATTTGAGATAAAGGACAGATCTATGGTTAGTCCTTTCCATAACAAGAATGGTAACAAGAATGGTAATAAGATTATCCGGATTAAAATATTCAATATTAATAATTATAAAGAAGGATCAACAATGAAGGAGTCGGATCATTTTTAATAACTACGAACGATTCTACAGTAATATTAGGAATTGGAGTCTGAAAAGACTTGTTACTAGATTCAAGGGTTTAACTAATAGCAGTGATTGCTGCATCTATGAGTGATGATCAACATTATATTATTTCTGATTCAGATGATCACAGGTGATATGTATGAGAAAATAATAATAGCAATTTGTTGTACAGATTGAAGGAATGAAAACATCATCTTCATGATTTACATACCAAACACAAGAAATATTCAAAAGTAATTGAGGATAATAAGTATGTCAAAGCTTTTTGAAAACCATGAGCAAGATTTCTTCTTTGTCTCAAATGAAAACAATAGTTATTCTTCTTTCCATGCTCATCACACTAATTTTTGCCCCAAAAACAACGAAGAGATTACTTGAATTCTAAGATGATATTATCTTAGATGTTGTGCAAAGAGGTAGGGTTGTCAATTTAATCCGCAGTAACTCTCCCATAAGAAGATGTTTTAACCAAAGAAGAAATTATTGTAACAACTGATCAAATGCGTTTTATTAGAGTCTTACGTCAGGATTCTACCTACAAGATCAGAAAAAATTTTATTAATATGTATAAAAAAGGTCCTTGTACTCCTGCAATGAAAGAAGCTGTTGATATACATGATACAATTATGGATGGTAAGAGTAATAGTAGCTCAATATATATCAAATTTAAAGGATATGAATAAATGTGTTACTGCACTCAAAATGGATGTTGGTAGGAAATTAACAAAAGTTCTAAACCAAATGGTAGGTTTATAATTGAAAGGTTTAAAAAAATAAACACTAGGTTCGATAGTCCAGATCTACTAGAGGATTATCTACAATTTATAATATATTTAAATAGTATTTAGAGATATAGTTATCAACAGTAGATCCCCCAATCCAACAACATTAATTACAATTTCATTAATACAAATTTTTCTTATTCAAGACAAAATTCAAATTGAGTGTGATCTTGAGCGACATATTCTAGAGGTAATTTCAAGCGTTTTCCAAAATATTTTTGAAATCTAGAGTAGAATTCAGGTTGAAGGTTAAACTGATTAGGAATCGTAATGGTCAAATGTTCGAGATTCGTTTTATGTTTAGCGTCACTATGCTCATTTTGAGCAAACTGTAATTTTTCAACACAACCTAAAACCAATGTCAGCAACTTTTCACTCATAAAGAAAGTGCTATTAAATGTAAAAGATTTAATAGAGCTGCCGAATAAAGTAAAGTGTTTGACGTTACTATGTAAATGAATATCTGGACTTATTTTTTGAATACCACAATCTTCTAATACAACATTTGTGAGAAGTGGAAACCGACTGTTTTTACTAAATAATGGATCAGACTTAGTTATTTCAGGGATTGACTCATTCCTAATAAAGATGTTGATCAAAGAGGTTGGAAGTTTGAGATTTGAGTAAACTAAATTCGTCGAATTTAATTTAATTTCTTTAAGTTGTTCATAATACAGAAAATTAACATTAGAGAATGAATATGCATCTGAGTTGCCATATTTCGTTATCGTTATCTTTTCTAATATATTTTTATTAAATTTGAATTCATTTAGAGGTCTAATAAAGAAAGTATTGTTCAAATCTATTCTCTTTAGAGAAGGAAAATTCATTTCGGTATCAAAATCTGAAATAATTATAAAGCCCTTAATTTTCAAAACTTCTAGCGTATCAGGAAAAGTAAATGGACCATCTAACTTAAATGAAGTTGAAGTTGATGTGGAAATTAACTCCAATTTTCTTAATTTCTTTGGTAATAATTTGAAAATATTGCCGCTTATTGGACCTATGAGAACCAAGCTTGTGAGTCCTGGCGGGAAACCGACAGCTAAATCTGGTGATATGACAGCATCATGCAAATTTAACTCAATTGATTTTAAATTAAATTGGGCAAAAGAGTCTATTAAAAGCTTACCACCTCTAAAATCTGACCATATTTTTAAATGTTTTAATGAACTAGTAGGTAATACTTTTGTAGAAAATGATTCACCTCCCAAATTATAACTAATGCGTTTCAAATTTTTGCAACTTCTAATAAAATCTGTATTAAATCTCCCATCCATTGTAAGTGATTCTAGCTTGATACCATTGTTGGCAAGTTTTATGTTAAGATTTAAATATGGACCTAGCTGTAATTTTTGTAAATTTAAGAATTTTCTTAAATCTAAGGTGGTAGTGTTATTGTTGATAATTGTTTGGGAAAGATTAAGCGATGTCACATAATTATAATATTCAAACCTTTTGAGCATAACTAATTCTGATGTCTTTAATTCTAGGAAATCAAGTTCTAAATCATAATTAGAAGCTGTGTCAAGAATGTTGTAAAAGAAAGGGAATTCATCAGTGGAGGAAATATATAAATGAATCGGAACAGCAACTTGACTTCCAATATGTCTAATCGAATTAAAGTAAGACTGAGTTGCCGCAAGTCTTTTTAGATATACATCTAACTTTTCCTCATAGTTGTCGTCATCAGTATTTGTGATAGTTGGAGGAGGATGATATTCAAGTTCAAGTCTGTTTTTGTTGTACCATTTTAATGATTGAAATGTAGATTCGTCTGTACCAAGTTTGGATAAAAAGATCAAAAGATCTTTTAGTTTTAATTCTTGTAATATTGATCTTTTAATAGGAAGCGGTTGTGAACAAAACTTAATGATATGATAAGATAAATCGCCGTTTCTTGGCAATCTAACACCGTAATGATCTAATTCCGCCATTTTCTATCAATATATAAATATTAATATTATTAGATTTCCTAACGTATATGAAAGTAGATGGTGGTGTAATATCAGCTCTAAAATAATTTGGTTTTGTAAACCTATACTAGTTATTTTTGCATTATTTTAGAATTATTTTTTCGCAATTCATCATGTGACCAAATTATCACGTGGATTAAAATATTACATTTTCATTCAAGGAGGGTAATGATATTTAAGTCGTGCCCCAGGCAAATCTCTCTAATACTCTTGACGACATTACTTCAATCTGTCATACATCTCAGTGAACAGGTGTATACTAAACTATGAACCTTCATAAGTTATAATCGAGTACAACTAGCTCTGAATAAGCTATGTATTGAAGAAGAACAAGTGGTCAGTAGGAAGTAATTTACATGTTCAATTTGTTGTGGTTTATCATCCCCTTGTTTTACATGCAGGACCAAACAAGGACGGCAAAAATTCGCATTCCCGCAAATCGGATCAGACTGGTATAACTTCTCACCATATAGTTATATAGATATTGAATAGATAACCACCGAACATCTGTATGCTAGATCTTATCGACCTTTGGTTAATAAATGCCATCCATCCAGCTGCAGTTGTACGCATAACATGGTTTCATTGATATTGCTTTCCTATTCACAATTATATGCAGTTTGTATTGAGTTTCGGACGACTTTTTTTTATGTCGTTCAAGAAATCAATATTTTGCGACAAAATGTTTACGACAAACCAAATATTCGGGGGTATTTCTTGCATATCCGCGAATATTTATAGAAGAGTGGTTGATTGTGCTTCGGAGCTTGAATGATACAAATATTCTACACTCTTTTATCAAAAGTTATATATAAGTTGTGCGGTATATTCTTATAGATTAACATTGAGTACTACCACTCTGATTACTTTTGAATATGATATTTAATTTCATCTGTCTATACCTTGTATTTGTCTAAAATGTCAAAAAGAAGAGCTAGCTTTAATTTAGATTCAAAAAATACCAGTTCTGATGGTTCAGTTACTCCTGATTCAGCGGAAGCAATAACATATATATCCACTTTCTTGTTTAGATTCACGGTTGCACAATGTTCTTCCCATGTATAATTCTAATTTATCATAAAATATACTGAGTGCCTCAGGTAGTGTTGAAAAGAAGTCGTTAGTTACAGTGAGATCCATCAACGAGAAGTTTGATTCCTTACAAGATTCATGAATATCATCACAAAATTCAATGCGAGATAATTTAGATAAATGTAAGTATTTTAGTGATACATGTCTAGCAATTGACGAGTTAAAATAGAAGACTTTGGTAGTGGAATCTGTAATTGTCAAGTCAGTTAAATTTGTTGGCAATTCAATGTTAGGAGAAATAAAAGAAATTTGACAATCATCGATACATATCCACTTTAATAGAGGATAACCTCTTTCGTTGTTGAATAATGGGCAACTCTCATCAATGGATACAATAGGATTATCAGATATATGCAATGAATTTAAACATGATGGAGGTCTGAAATTAGTTAGACTAGAAATCATACAACAACTGAATCTGATTTCATTTAATCTGGAAAATTCGCTGTAGTCTACATTAGCAAGACTAAAGAAATCTAAACAATTAGCAAACTGAAGCCATTCTAAACTTGATTTACAACTGTCAAAATTTAAATTATTTAATGACATGGAAAAATCACAACTAAACAAGTAGAGGCTTTTTACTCCCTTTGGAACATTATATATCTTGTCTGTTGTCTCCAAGACTAATCCTTCTAATTTTAACATTTGAAGAGATGGTGGAAAATCTAAGCTAGACTTTTCAACACCAGAAGTGGGAAATGTGAAAGTCAAATACAAGTGCGTTACTGTGATAGGTATTTGCGATAAAATCTGATTGATGGGATAACCTGCAACTTCCAATTTTGTTAAATATGGAGGAAGCTTACATATCGCATCATTAAACACTCCATCGGAGTTGTTCAGATCATCAAGCGTTAGATGTCTTAAATTTGGTGGCCAATCCTCTGGCGAATGTACTATAACCTGTCCATCGCTGATGTATTTGGTCTCCTTCAAATTTTCAGCAACAATTGTCATGGTATTGACTTCTCTTGGTATAAATTTAATTTCAAAATTTCTCCCTTTTTGTATATAGATTTCAAAAATTCTTAAATTTACGAATTTAGAATAAAACTCACTATCAAAGATATTATCAATTGCTAGATCAGTTAAATTTTCAAATATATTAGGTGATAATTTCAATTTCAAGTTACTATTGTTCGATACCAAGCGAAATTTCTGCAATCTTGCAAAATCTGAGAGATCTAAATTCATTACAGACTCTGTTCCTATTAGTCTTGATATACTTATACTGCTCACCCTGTCAGCATAAGGGAATTTTCTTAGGTTCATATATTTGGAGTAATACAATGAATGGTACATCAATTCAAATTCAAGATTGTTTTCAAACCCATATCCTGGAAGGTGTCGAAAAGAAGAATCTGTAGGTCCCTCGCCGTATTTACACTTTTGAAAGTGTACCATCACTGGGATAATGTTATCGGTATCCTTGGCCAAATTTATAATATTTGAAATATTATCTTTGGGATTATTTTTACATAAAATGCATTTGTAATTGTGTATTTTCTCTCTCGTAATCAGTTTAATTTGAAGGAATTTAGTTTCGTCGTCGTTAGTCAATGACTTGAATAAAAGTATCTTTGCAATAGATAAATGCAGAAGGATTCGGATTTTCAATTCAATTGGAAACTTGGAATAGTAGGTTGTAAAAAATTTGTGAATGTAATTATCGTCGTACTGTGGATCCATTTGAGTATACTTCATTATGAATTTGAATGGAGTATGGTGATACATGATAAATCTCTCATTCAACTACCAAAGTTAATTTATAATATATTTTTAGCAGCATATTTTTTTTGATTTGCGTTATTTTACGCTTAAGGGCGCATTTTCTTCCCCTCTATTTCTTTGGTAACAATACAAATTCTGAGTCATCTGTACGGAAATTATTTACATCCTTTTACAAATGGCAAGCAAATGCTGGATCTCAGAATTGGCAGACTGTGCTGAAAGAGTCATATTATACCATGCATTGCTTATAAAAAAGGTTGGCTTTATTATATTTATATAAAATATGTATTCAACATGAGAGTTTATTATACATATTTATTCACATAAAATTAAAACAATCGATCATCAATGATTGTTATAGAAAGAAATAACTTAAAAATGCCAACAAGAGTGGATAATCCTAACAATCTAACTTCCATAACTCTTACTTGATCAGGGTCTAGCCATTGAATATATTAAGTCTTTCCTGGCATTGTTTGAATGAATCTAGTTCCTATTGACTAGGTATTGGCAATCCTACTCCAATAAACCGAACTAAAACGTAGACTGCAGTATGTGAATAAAATATCAAGGCACCATTTACTCTATCACCCTGAAATAAACCAACCAATATAGCCAAATATAGGAAACCACATAAAACCATGAAATAAAAAGCACCATCTATTATCTCTTTCAATGTATGTAAAGAACCTGCCACAAAGAATAGTTGCCAATCAAACTTCTTGATATCACCCTCAGCATGATAGTTTTTCAATTCTGAAGTGGTTAGGTATGTTCGAGTACTATTACTCGCAAACAAGTAAATGGTAAGATCTATGATAAAAACAGTTAAAAGCGAAGCTGCAAGGGCCCAAGGCTGTTTAGTGAAATTTTGCCATGACCAGTTATGGTGTGTTAAAGATATCTTTGATATCAAGTCTGCGACTGTCATGATAGTTTATAGAAGTGTCTATGAGGGAAGAATAAGTATCTTTTAATTTATTTATAATTAGAGCCATATCTCAACTGAAATTATCGTATGTCGCTTTTCTTCCCAATTCGGTGTTTGGGCCAAACCGTGCGTTAAATAAAAGCTTGCACCAGTTCTGATGGTTCAGTTACTCCTGTTACATTCGAATCATAATGTATAAATCACTACATCCAAGTAACGAAACCAAAGTAGATTGGGTTCACAAGAGTTATATAGCATGATACAAAAAAAAGTTGACTTTATTATACTATTAATACAAAATATTTAACAAGGGAGTTCATTAAGCATCTAAACTAGACGATAAGCTCGATGGATTATCAATACCAAGTTGCTTACAGAACCTGGATGTATCCTCTAATGCACAGTCTATTGACCTATCTAAGGTTGTGATATTGGATCCAATATTATGAATCAATTTTTCTATAGTTGGTAAGAAATCCTTTATAGTAACCACGTAATTTGTAGTATCATCAGCCGAAAGACTGATAGTTAAATAATCAGAATTGGTATCAGGGGATTTGAACCAAGATGATATCCCATTAGGAAGTAACACATTTGGATATGTGGTACTACAAATATCATGAGGACCCTCAAATCCAATCACTGGAACTCCAAAAGTGATATATGACGAAATATATGCGATATTAAAGTCATTTTCGCTATTTCTAGTTAATAGTACAATATGAGGTCTATAGAATCTCATCCCACAACCACAACCTTTAATGGCCGTACGTGCAATTCCAACCCAAACATCTAACAGTTCTAAGTTTGGAATATATTGATTAACATGTATCAACTCAGTACCACCCCTAAAATCTCCCACTTCAGCATTTGTTCCATTTACTTTATCTTTTTCGAAGACAACTTGACATTTACTTTTCCCTTTTAGAGTAAAGTCAATCAATTCACACTTAAGAACTTCAAGCTTTGACCATCGGAAAACTAAATAAATAAACTTATCAACACCATTCACCCTTTCACTAGTGTTTATAAATGGAGTCCAATTTTTGGAAATTTTTGTTCTTTCATCTTTTTCCACAAATGCTATTTTAGTGAATAATACTGAATCAAAGAATGGATTATAAAAACCTTCAATAGATGGAGGCATACCCAATTCAAATTGGAATGGATAGCAAAAATACATTGATCTTAGAAGCCCAAGATTCAATTTTATTTGCTGATCCAATCCGCTGGATGCCTCGCTCAACAGGAAGAGCGTCCGTTGGTACGTATTATATATGATCATTGGCTCATCAAAACCAAATCTATTCTTGGTGAGAAATAAACGAGGATCTTCAACTCCATACGAAGCTTGAGTGTGTTTTCGTTTATGGAATGGAAGGGGTACGAACGAAGGGTAGTGGATGTTTTTAAATTTGGGTAAACCTTCAACTGTAATTGGCATTATCAATTCCACATCTTTTAATTCATTCCAGTTCTCGTCAAAGATTTGAGCGTAGAACAAACTGAGCTGTGGTCTCAGTTTATCCCTGTTCTTAGTGAAAGAAATTCTTGATACCATATAGTGCACCCCAAATTGTTCAAGCCATACCGACGTTCCAATAAATTTAAAGAAATGTTTCTCTAGAATCTTGTTATAGATGAGTTGATCTATATCACTTTCAATATATTCGGCAACATCTTTAAATGCTGGATCTGAGTCCATCTGTTTTCTTAATATAGAAATGGCACGTAAAATATCGGAATCGATTTGTTTATATGGACTTAATTGTATTGATTCATTTATAGTACCATCTTCACAAGAAGATTCACCATTATCTAACTTGCTTGAATTGAAAAAGTTCAATGAAACGTTGGTGAAACTATTCGATTGATAATATTCATTTTTCGTGATGTTGTCGTTGGAATCATAATATTGAAATATATGTAACTTGTCCTGATCTTGACTACTACCAAATTCATCAAAATAATATTGAGGTAATGATTCAAGGTCTTCCACCACAGGAAATCCAAATATTGTCTGCAATTGAGTGAAATTCTTTGGAAATATGACTATTGATTCATCATGAGGATACTCGGTTGGTTTTCGAACGTATTGAATATTTCTTTCATCTGTCAAATAAATGTCACGAAAGTAATACGCAGTATAGACCAGAATAAGGAATATTGATAGCACCGTTGTTCTCCACAACATTCTCCTCTGCTATAGTACTACCGTGTCCGCTAAACCTAGCAACTTATAGAAAACAAAATTACTGAAGTCTATTGAAATAAAATACTCAGGGATTTAACTGAAAGATACAAACAAGTGTATACCCCATCTTGTTATGATAATCGAAATGCCAGCAATACGCAAATATATGTCCTGCACATAAAATATGCCGTTCTCGTAAGATGGCCGCCGGTAATGGGCCTACTTAGAATTTAGAAAGCTTTGATGTCATTATCCAGTTTGACATGGATTCACAATTACTCTTCTTTTTTGACATAAGTAGTGTGATTGTTTGCCTTCGTCGGAGAATTCACTTCACCCACATTTTCTGTCTTTAATTTCTTAGCCAGAGTTTCCGGTGAATCTTCTTCTTTTACTCTCTTCTTAGTAGGAGTAAAGAATGAACTTATATCTCTTTGGGTCTTCTTCTGTTTCTTGATATTAGTTTCACCTTTGTTTTTAGGATTTCCCACATCGTTAGAAACAGGATATCCTTCAATGTCAATATACGCCTTATTATGAGTAGTATCCAACACATCCTTAAGCATAGAATCCAGCCATGGTTTATTTGGATCAAGCCAATCATACCATGCTTTAGTTCCCGGTTCAAGTAGTATAGGCTTTCTTTCATGAAGCCAGGATATATCCCCTGTATCTGTAGAAATGGCTGGCCCTGTGACAATGGTAAATGACGAAAGATATTCACTCTTGACATTATAATTCTCGGTGTAATTCGAATTATGGGAATACATTCCTGCTAAGTATATGAGGGAGGATTTGGTTGAATGAATATAATGGGGAGTTTTCTCGCTTTTAGATTTTAACCATTCGAAATAGCCTTGGATTGGAACCACACATCTATTTCTCTTCTTACTACTACTCCAGACTGCTTGGCCCAGCTCGAGGGATTCCTTTCGACAATTAAAATATCGGGATTCTGTTCTTTGTAGTTCTTTGGAATATTTACCACCATTAGCAGTAGCTGTTGGATCATTTGGTTTAGCCCAAAATGGAACCATTCCGAATTTCAGTGGCTCTAACACATAACTATAATCAACATTGCTGGTATTTATCATATAAACAATAAGACCAGTATTAGTGGGTGCAATATTGTAACTTCCATCCCATCTTTGAACTCGTGATGAATCAAATTGGATCCTAATTAAATCCTCTTCTGATCCTCTAACTTCAGAATTATAGACACCCTCAGACGAATTGATTAATTCATTTCTAGACGTGTTTTCTCTATCACCTCCTCCACCTTGATTGTAAACGGTATTTGTGAATTCAGCTGGAAGATCGTTTAAGTTGACCCCTAATGCAAACCTCCCACACATTGGTTCTGTATGATATATAATTGATTGTAGGGGTGCTTGCTAGAAACGATTCAAACCTCAATAAATCGTGCGATTGCTACAAAAATCATTTTTATACTTTGGGCGACAGACATTTTGTATTTTACATATTTAAAGTAGCTGCAAAAAGATTTACATATACATTTTAATCAGTATCAAAAATGCTGACATTATCAGAATCATCATTTACATAGTACTCGGGTTGAGAGTCACGATCTAAGAATTCATCATAGGATTTTTCAAAATTATTTGTACTTTCAGGATCATCGGAATATTCATCAATTTCATCACCATCAAAATAATCGGGTTGATCTTCTTTACTTAAGAACTCGTCATATGAATAACCTGCTTCAGTCTCAGTTTTCTGGATATTCTGTGATTTTTTCCGTTTCAATGATTTTAAATAATCTTCTTTCAAATATTTTCGTTTGGCTTTTTTGAATGAATTATATTCAGCAACTTTTGCTGCCGCTCGTCTGTGATTTTCAGCTGGAGCTTCAGTGTCAACCACAGTACCCAAATGAGTTGGTTCCATGAACTTATACTCATCCATACCTTCAGGGAAATATTTCTGTTTAACAACACCATTCTTAAAACCAGGATTATACTTATATGAATCACCATAACCAAGTTCTTTCATTAAGTTTGTCGGAGCGTTTCTTAATTGCATGGGAATAGGTAACTTTGTAATATCAGGATTTTCTTTTAATAATTGCTGAGCTGACCGTAAGGCACGATAAGATTTAGTTGATTTTGGAGCTCGAGCCATTTTCATTGCACAATGAGCTAAGATAATTTCTCCTTCTGGCATACCGACAAATTCTATAGCTTCTTTAGCAGCAATGGCAAATGGTAAACATGAACTATCTCTCAATCCTATATCCTCACTGGCCATCACTATCATTCTCCTGACAATGAACATGGGATCTTCTCCTCCACTTAACATTTTAACAAGATAAAACATGGCTGCATCAGCATTCGACCCTCTCACAGATTTATGAAAGGCACTAATAGTATCATAATGAGACTCACCTTGCTTATCATACATATTGTGAAAATTTCTTGTCTTTAGTAATGGTTTAAGCATATTAGCAGATATATTTATCACCCCTGCACGTTTATCATTATTGATTGAGAAATTATCAGTTGATAAGAATGCATTTATAGATTCTAATATATTAAGTGCCACTCTTGAATCACCCATCGATAATTCAGCAATATGCTCGAATGAATCTTTCTTTAAGGAGATATAATGTAACTCATATAGTAGTCTTCGAAATTTATTAATTTGAAATAAGGCTCTCTCCAATATTTTAATAATGGCTTCAGAAGATAATGGTTCCATGACGAATGTATGCATTCTTGATAGTAATGCATTATTAATAATAAATGATGGGTTTTCAGTAGTAGCACCAATAACAGTTAAAACTCCCTTTTCAATAACCGGCAATAATAAGTCTTGCACAGCTTTATTAAACCTATGAATTTCATCTAAGAATAGTATGGTCTTCCTTCCAGTAAGATTCTTTTCATTTTCAGCTTGTTGGAATACTTCTCGTAATTTCTTAGTATTACTATCTGCTCCAGATAATTCCATAAATTTGCAACTTGTTTCATGAGCTATGATTCTCGCTAATGAAGTCTTACCTACCCCTGGAGATCCCCATAGTATAAATGATGGAATAGTATCTGCTCTTATAATGTTTCGTAATAACCCATTCTTACCTAGAAGCTTTTCTTGACCAAAGAAATCATCTAATGATTTTGGTCGCAATCTTTGCGCTAACGGTATACTTGCTTCTCTTTTCAACTTCAAAAGTTCTTGTGCTTTAGTGAGTATATCAGACTGTCTAGGTGGTTTTGAAGGTTGTGATTGAGTTAGAGCAGTAGAATCTATAATTTCCTGGGTTGCGTTACTACTATCTTCATTCTTTACATCTTCTTCTTGATCCTTTGATTCATCTAAAGGGAACTCTTTAACCAATTGATCAAATGAAGTTTCTGTAAATGATTCCTCTTCTTTTGATTTCTTCTTAGCTTGAGATTGTATTTTCATCTCTTCAATTAGGATCTTAGTTAAAGTAGGTTTACTCTTTTGAAGTTTTTCCAACTTCTTTTTCTTATTTGAGGAATCCATCTTAAGACCCAATACCGAAAAGGGATTTTCAGGTTTTCGTTTCTTATTCTCTTCTATAACTTCTACCTCATCATCCTCTGATTGAGCTGACTCATTCTTTACCTCATTGGTAGATACATTAGCTGCTAAAACTTCAGTATTTGATGATGAAGATGGGATTAATTCTTCAACTGTATGAGCTTCTTGGTTATCTAAACAGGAATTAACATGCCGTTCAAGCAGCTTTTGCGCAAAGCTTTTACCACATATAGGACAAGCAGCTGTGGTGACAGATGTTTCAGTTTCACTCATTGTGATGGCTATATCATTTTTGGGTTATGATTGAATTAGTTATAATCGAATGGTAGTTGACTGTCAGTTTGATCTAAAAAAATACGCGTTAAAGATAATCAAAAAATTCAAAAATATTTCAAACAGAAAAATAATACTGGAGTCAAGTTACTTATAATCATCAGTTCAAGATGGCTTCAACCGTGGATAATAAGACTCTGATGAGTAAATCGAATCTGATAGAGTCAGATAACACTACATTCAAAAAGAGGAAATCAACGCCTCCAGTCCAATCACATTCAACTCAAACCAAAAGGATAAAGACTGAAGATCAACATGCTCGATTGTCATATAGTATTTCTCCAGAGTATAATGCAAACCAACATCCTAATGATGAAGAATCCCCTGAAGAGATAGCGAAACAATACAAGAAGTTTAAGAATGCCGCTAAGTTTGATTTGAACTCAGAGGAATTGTTTTGCATATGTCGAAAACCTGATCGAGGAGAATTAATGGTGCAGTGTGATGGATGTGAAGAATGGTATCATTTTAAATGTATGAAGTTAAAACAAGAGAATTCAGATTTAATAGCCAAGTTTTATTGCAAATTCTGTAAATGGCAAGATAAAGGTAATACTTTATGGAAGAGGAAATGTCGAGTTTCATGGTGTAAGAAACCAATACGAAATGATTCAAAATATTGTTCAGATGATCATGGTAAATTGTTCATGAATGAATTATTAGTGGATAGAGTTTCTTTAGTTGATAATGATTTAGATGCTACTAAAGTTAAAAAGATTATGGATCATTCTGATTATAATTACGAAGTGTTGATTAAATTAGGATCTGAATTTCCTGAATTAAAACTGGTTATAGATTATAGAGCTTCAAATGGAGCAAATTTAGATGCATTCCCTATTCATATCAAACAAGAGTTACATAAAATCAAACAAAAGTTAACTAAGACTACTGATCTCATACGAGATTTAGAAAAACGAGAAGAATATTTATTAGATATCAAAGAGAAGAATAAGCTATTGAATGAAAGACTCTTAAAAGCAATATTCCCTGATACAAAGATTGAAGAATCATCATCCTCATCATCAAGTAAAAAGAAAAAGCAATCCAAGAATAAAAAGTTAGATATATGTCTTTATGATAAAACTTTGAATGATGGATGTCAATCTTTCATTGATGAAATATCATCTGATGATGAAAAATTCAATGCTTTAAAATCAATTATAGAACAAAAATTAAATGATTCAATTGATGATGTATGGTATATGGATAAACTATGTATCCAAGATCGAAGAAAATGTCCTCGACATAATGGATGGTGGAATTTATTAAATGACGAAGTAACGAAGAAATTAATTGAATGTAATCAACTTTTAACTAAATTAGAAGAACAAACGGAAAGTATATTAAGATCTCATAGTATTGATGTTTATGAAAGTTAAACCACTTCAATTCTTCTTTAATCCATTGATAGTAGCTACTATTTTTCTTGTATGTCTATAATGTCTAAATTCTAATAAATAAATCCCTTGCCAAGTACCTGTAGCCAATCTACCATTAGAAATAGGTATAGATAAACTAACACCTACCACAGTACTTTTGACATGACCTGGCATATCATCAGGACCTTCATCAGCATGAATATAGACAGCATCTTCAGGAGCTATTTTATCTAATGAATTGGTCATATCTTCTCTAACATCAGGATCACAATTTTCATTAAGTGATAAAGCTGCTGAAGTATGTTGTAAGAAAAGGTGTAATACACCAATTTCATAGTTTTTTATCTGAGGGATTTTGGATAATATTTCATCTGTTATAAGATAACTTCCTTTGTTTCTTGGTGTAAGGGCGAACTTAACTTGTTCCCATGAAGTTGACATTTTGAATTGACTTTATAACGAATGGATATGATCTTACAATATATTTCATTTTATCAATTTTCATTTTAATTTTGGCGCATATCTCAAAAAAAAATAGAAAATTTAGAGCTACCAAGTCTTATAGCAATCTACAATTAATATTATAATTATAATAAAATATATATTAAAATTTTAACTAGATGAAAGAGTTTCTCAAACGATTTAAAACTACTTTCTATGAAAAAGGAAATCTTGGCTATATCAGTTAGTACATTATAGATTTTTCCTAAGTAAAAAAATGACGTATATTCTTCACTAAAGCATCCACCAAGTGGAGAAATATACACAGATATATACGTCTATTACATAGGATTATTGATAAAAACGGAAAAAAAAACCACTCTGTTTCTAGGATTTGTAGGCTACTATCGAAGTTAATCCTAAGGATAAAGCTAAATTCATTAAACTAAAAGCAGTAAATACATTATTTCACTGTTTCTAATTCTCATATTTGAGATTTTATATAATACTAGTTATATAATTAATAAGATTAAATTATTAATATATTCATTATCTAGAAATTGTCAGAACTAAATGGTATCATCCTAAAAGAATGAACCAAAGTCTGGTTAATACATTTAAAGTATAGATAGTTCTATACTCTCCTAAATAGATACATTTAAATATAACTATAATCAACTAAACTAAAAGCTAACATAATAAAATACACAAACATAGTTCAAGTTAAATATAAATATACCAATAATGAAACATACATACCTGTTAAAACAAGTTTTATCCTAATCTTTATACATAACAAGCTTAGACTCTAACAATGGTGCGATTTCTGTGAAACTTTCACAGTAAAATTTCTAAAAGATGTTATAATTCAAGGTAATCATATAAATATAATACCTCCCTAAATAGAATATCAGACTAAGATAACTTAATCTGATAAGAGCTTGAAATCAAGCTAAAACGAACAAAGTTATACGTACCTAATCTATTACTATTACCGTAATTTAAAATAACCTGACTTTGTCTAAAACCACGTCCTAACATAACATTGGTGCGATTTCTATGCTATTGGTTAGTAGAGTTAATTTAATCCTAAATATAGCCTAATAGTTATTCGATTCTCTTTTAAGTGACGTTCGAATCAACTACTCCATCGATATGAAAAATCTAAGAAGTGTTGATTACTTCAAAAAAGACAGCAAATAGTATCATGAAAGTTGAAAAGCAATTTTCTAAAACATAAAAGCCATCCCCAGCCTTTTCATATTTCCTGCATGATAGAGATGTTTAATAAAATGGTTATTCTTACTCTAATTATTATTATACTTGCAAAAGCTTATTATTTACAATATGGTAACATCATTTTGGTGAATAATGTAAACAAATCACATAGAAAAGAAGACCATACTACACCATTTCAATGTTATTGAAATTCCGACAAACACTTTTTAATTAATATATTTATATTCATTTATATACTAGAACTGGAAATTTCAATCTGAATATAGCTGTTTCTACTTTAACAAACACGAAAACAACTTTTGCAGTATATAAAGTTATTTAGTATGAATTTGGAGGTTATCATTAATATAAGAACTTCCCTAAATAGATAATCATTATTAGAGCTTGAATTCAAGCTGAATTATAAAATTTATACATACCTATTTGATTCCAAGTATATATATTATGGATTCCGACACTTTTCAATAAAATTGACATCGAAGATCTCGTTAGTAGATTCAAGCACACAGCACAACAAGTTATGAGCCACTTGGCTATTTTTCTAAGCTGTATAAGTATAGTGATTCCTAAATAAAAAGTCATAGTAAGTAATTCAGTAAGGATAAGCAATCTCTATAGTTTAACCATCAATGAATGATAGAAACCAGGGAAAGATGCTAGATCCTACTGATCATAAAAAGTGATTTCAATAAAAACAGATTTGTTGAATCATTTATACTTTTTGTATGACTTGGAATTTCTTTTTCTAAAAAAGGGGTTTAGCACGTGATTTGTGGTCACGTGAGTTAATATCCGCCCGGCCGAAAAGTGGAATTTACTTTTTCAAGGAAAAGGCAACTTGTCCGAGTGGTTAAGGAGAAAGATTAGAAATTTTTTGGGCTTTGCCCGCACAGGTTCGAGTCCTGTAGTTGTCGCCATTTTTTTTTTCAATCCTCCCTAAGTCTTTGTTTTCGAAGGTTTAGTTTATTTTTTGCTCCTAACTTGTAGGAAAATAAAGAATTATTCATTAACATTGGATAATGACTTAAGTATAGTTTGAAGGATGGTATTTAAAACGGTTTTGTCTACTTCCAACATTTGAAGTTTCGATAGTATTTGATGATATATTTGTATAAGTATTACAACTAAAAGTTCAGGACAAGATTTACTCACTAAAGACATGAATATCTTTTGAATCAACAATTAAAGATGAATATCTCAGTTAAATGATCATAGACAAGGAAACACTTAACTTTGTAGTGGATTGAATATTGGAATCTTAATCTATTTCGAAAAGTAGTACCTCTGAATATTAAATCATAAGATTCACATTTCTCCTCTTTGATTAAAGAAATATTGCAAAAAATCTAAATACACTCCAATAACACACCCACTACCATTAGCTACCATCTCCTCACCAAAATATCTATATCTTCATCATAGTTAGATTCAACAACTAATTTTCGCAGTATAATTTTCTGAAAAATGGTAGCGACACAAAGGCATCTAAAGAAAAAAAAATCTTTCTGAGATGAGAGAGAAAATGATTTATACTGAAAAATAAAAAAATTTCAACTAATTAGAATAAACTAAACTAGACTTTATATCTCTAATTAAATCAACAACTATTATCAACCATGGAATTAGCTGTTCGTCAAGAAGATGCTGATGTGTTATTGAAGCAAAAGAACGTCCTTGATGAAACCGTGTTGGATAAATATAGAACTGCTGGACAAATTGTTCAAACTGGATTAAAATATATTATATCATTAATTAATGAATCATATCATTTACAAAAATCAGATCAACCAATAAGTGTTCAAGAGTTATGTATATTAGGAGATTCTTTCTTGATCAACTTGTTATCTAAAGTTTATAATAATCAAATCAAAGAAAAAGGGATCAGTTATCCAACTAGTATTGAAGTTAATGAATTAGCTTATGGATTTTCACCTGAATTAGATGATGAAGGACAATATTTCTTTACAGCTGGAGATGTAGTTACTATTTCTTTAGGAGTTCAAATCGATGGTTATACTTCTCAAGTAAGTCATACTTTAGTGATTTATCCACCTGGAATTGAATTAAATTCTGAAATTAAACCAGAAGGTCCTTTATTAGGTTCAAAAGCTGATGCTATTTGTGCCAGTCATATTGCTACTGAAACTTTAATGGGATTATTAGGATTAAGTTTAACTCCAGAAAAATTACCAATAGCTTTAAAGAATGAAGGTGGTATCAGTGGTAGATTATTAAGAAATATAGTTGATTCTATTGCTGAATCATTTGGATGTATTGTTTTACCAGGATCTAAGATCAGAAGAATAAGAAGATTTTTAGCTGGACAAGCTGAAGGTATAGTTGCTGAACGTGATTTCAAAGGGGTTGTATGGGATGAATCACATCAAGAAGAAAGATTATTAAATAAAGCTCCTCAAAGTCAAGAATTAATTTTATCTGATTCTAAAAGTAATATTAAACCATCTGGAACTAATAATTCAAGTGCTATTCCAAGTGATGAATTTATAGTTTTACCAGGTGAAGTTTATCAAATTGATATTAGAATTTCAAGTTTAAATGATTTTAATGAAGTTGGATTAATTACATTAGAAGAAATTGATCATTTTACAGGTAAGAATAATAAACAAGAATTTAATAGTAAAAGTACTATACATATTAGAGATTTTGCTATAAATCATCAATTAAAATTGAGAACTTCAAGAAAATTATTATCTGAAATTGATAATCAATTTTCAGTTTATCCATTTAAATTATCATATACTTCCAAACATTTCCCAATTGATTTATCTAAAGATTTAACTGAACAATTCAATGATATTAAACAAGATTTAAAAACTTTTAAATTAGGATTAAGTGAATTAAACAATAGACATTTAATTAAATCAAGACCAATTCAATTAACTAAATTTGTTCCATTAGAACAAATTTTAATTAGTGCCAATCCAACTGGTAAACATGGTATTGATATGAATAAACCTGTTTTACCAGGTATGGAAATTCCATTACCCCAATTAGGAGTATCATCATTAAAATTAAAATCATTATTGAATAAACATGGTAAATCAGTTACTAATGTTAGAGAATCAATAACCGTTGTGATTAATAATGTTAATAATGGAGAAATTATAAGATTAACAGGAGGATCTAAATCCAGTTCTCCAAGTTGGGTTCATTCTCAATATCAATTGAAAGGGGCTTATGTGGAAGCCATTAATCAAATTGGACAATTATTACAAGATAAAAGATTTGGTATTAAAGTTAAAGAAATTTATCCATATAAATTGAATCAAGATAAATCAGTTGAAACTTCAATGCAATTAGATTAAGCGTATTTGAAAAAACTTCCCTTTTCATTACATATTGTATATTATTAGTATTTTAGACGATGAATTATAGATTTATTCGTGAACAAAAAAAATATAAATATTTAGCATTTTACTTCAAAAGTTTAACCTAAAATTGTATTGCAAAAAAAAAAAAGTGAATAAAATTCAGCTATATGGGTGAGAGGAAAAACCTGTAAAAAAAAGTGGCCATAACTTGTAAATATCGAGCCAATCCTCCTCCTGTTCCTCTCTCTCTCCCTCTCCCTCCCCCACGTCATAGGAATAAGATAACCGAAGAGGAAAAATACTAAAAGGTAGATGAATTGAGACTACTAAGGCGGGTTAAAAGGGGAGACAAGATGCTGGATCATTATAACAATTACATGACCCTTTAAATTCATCATCGTCATAAAGGTAAACATATTTATAGAGCATTTCCATTTATAGTATTAATTTGGATGAAAAGGGAAATTGAGCGAAAAATAAAAAAATTAAATTTTTCAACCACAAAACTCAGATTTGTTTAAACCAGATCGAATTTGAAAGGGTAAGTGAATCAATGATATTTATATTTCTATGTAGAGAGAAGAGAAGAAAAGAGAAAGTTTGTTCAAAATGAGATCGTAAGACAGTTTTAAAGGCGGTTATGAATTATAATTTGGGTTGACAAAAGTTTGAGCTATGCCAAGGTAAATAGTAGTAACAGATTGAATGGGTAAAGTAAATTTGAGGTATGACGTAGCAAAGCCATCAATGTCATTACAACAATAATAATAACAATATTATCAAAAGTTCAACCGCCTTAATTCGGGATTGATTCTTAGTTTAGCATTATTTATTCCTATTCAATTGACATAATTACATTGATATGGACTCGCTTAATACCTGAATCAAGTACCTTAGTTGACGTCAATTACAGATATGTCATTGATTTGATGCCATTCGATTTGACATTTGTAAGCATTACTCAATATCACTCCAATTGAGGTTAAAAATAGGAACAATTTGACATTGATTTCTTAATTCAGTTCAATTTACGTTAAATATAACTAAAGATATATGGCATCGTTTGATCAGATCAGTTCAGATCAGGTTCAAATAAATATTCAAACCTGTAAAAAACCCCATTACGTAACAAATTGTACATTTTTACAGTTTGGATCTATTGAATCTGTAAATACACCATAACCCCACCCCTCACTTGTTACAGTTTATGCTTTCATTTTATATTTGAATGACCTATACATTACAACACTATTAATTTTGTCGGTAGAGGACACGACCCAAAAACCTGTAAACACTCCAATTTTAACCTGTAATTATAAACTGCAAAATTAAGTTTTATTTGCTGTTTTATTTTTTTATTATTTTTATTTTATTTTGTGTGTGTTGTTTAAAAATATTAAAGGGAACCAATTTTTCCTTTCTGGCATTTGTTTATTCTTGTTCACTTCTTTTTCATTTCTATTTAGTTAAAAGAAGAATCGATTATACAAGTCAATAGTGATTAAAGTGTATGTTACCTACCATCATCAATCATCAATCAAATCAGTCATTGTGACTGATTGATTGATTGATTCGATTCGATTTGATTTTGAATTCGTTTTGGTTAGAGATTATATCATGTTTTGAAATCAAATGTTGATTGATTTGAATCCATATTCACTCGCTCATTCATTCCATACCATTTGATCCATCCAATAAAGACAATCAATTCATCTAGTTCCCATCAATCCATCCCTTCTACCTGATCAATCCCATCGGATTGATTACATGGATTGATTCCATCCTTACATTGATTATATTTTTACAACACCTTTTTGATGGCCAGCTTTTCCTATTTCTTCTTGTGCTGCCATTTTTTTTTTTGGTGGTGGTTGCCTTTCCTCACTCATTTTTTTTCTACTAACAATTTTTTAGTGTACACTGCGCACTGCACCGCACTCCACTCACTTCAAAGTCACTCACTAAATTATTTCTACTACCGCACTCTCAACTCACTAAAGAATCAAATCAAAACAAACCAAAAAATAAGACAAACCAAAAAAAATTAAATAATAAAAAAAAATCCCTCTTTGGAACACTACGTACTGCGGTAAGGGTGTTCTTCCATACACAGGATTAAAAAAAATTGAGAATCAAAAATTTTTGGACAACAACGAATTTGGGCGGGAGGAGGAGCAGGAGAGGAGGAGGGTTTTTTTCTCTGTTTGCCCATCTATTCCTTTTGTTCTTTATAATTGATTTCCTTTTTTATTTAAGTATAATCAATCTTAATATCAAGTTTAATTACAATTATCAACTCAATTGATCATTTGATTCAAAGTTGTATGTGTTGGAATGGATGATTTTTTTTAGTTTGTTTTGTTTTTCTGGTTAAATCATCCCATGTTTATTTTTCGTTGACCAAAGGAGTGTTGGAATTGGATTAGAAGAATTGAGAGTGATCTATCATTGAATTAATCTATTTTTACTGTACAATCAATCAATCTAGAAGAATATTTGATCTATCATCAAATATAAACCATATTTAAAGCAATTCAAATTTAAAATCAAATCAAAGTTTATCATAATCTTGAACGTTTTTTTTTACTAACATTATTGTTTTTTTCTAGTTAATTGTTTTAATTCCCATCCACCACCCAATCAATCATTTAAAGATAAAATATCCCCTTTGTTCGAATAATAATCAACTTGAGGTTTTATCATATTCAAAAAAATAATTTTACATAAATTTATCAATCATCCCCGTAAATAAATTATCCATAAAAGCATTTTAATCCCCCTCATTTTCCCAGAAAATTTCCCCATCCTTCTATTCATACCTCATAAATCCCCATCCATCATAATAAAAAATGCCTGCCTCAAGAGAAGATTCCGTTTATCTTGCTAAATTAGCTGAACAAGCTGAAAGATATGAAGAAATGGTTGAAAATATGAAAGCTGTTGCTTCTTCAGGTCAAGAATTATCAGTTGAAGAACGTAATTTATTATCTGTTGCTTATAAAAATGTTATTGGAGCCCGTCGTGCTTCATGGAGAATTGTTTCATCAATTGAACAAAAAGAAGAAGCTAAAGGTAATGAAAATCAAGTTTCATTAATTAGAGAATATCGTTCAAAAATTGAAGCTGAATTATCTAAAATTTGTGAAGATATTTTAAGTGTATTAACTGATCATTTAATTTCATCTGCTCAAACTGGTGAATCAAAAGTATTTTATTATAAAATGAAAGGTGATTATCATAGATATTTAGCAGAATTTGCTGTTTCTGAAAAACGTAAAGAAGCTTCTGATTTATCTTTAGAAGCTTATAAATCAGCTTCTGATGTTGCTGTAACTGAATTACCTCCAACTCATCCAATTAGATTAGGTTTAGCATTAAATTTTTCTGTATTTTATTATGAAATTTTGAATTCACCTGATAGAGCTTGTCATTTAGCTAAACAAGCTTTTGATGATGCTGTTGCTGATTTAGAAACTTTAAGTGAAGATTCTTATAAAGATTCCACATTAATTATGCAATTATTAAGAGATAATTTAACTTTATGGACTGATTTATCTGAAGCTCCAGCTGCCAGTGAAGAAGTTGCTCAATCAACTGATTCAAAACCAGCTGAAGAAGAATAGATAGAATTAAGAAAGAAAGAAACCTCCAACAAATAAAGTTGAAATTTTTTATTCTTCCTTTTTGTTATTTGTTGATTAATGTTGTTACTTTTTGTTGTTGTTGTTGTTGCTGTTTTGTTTTGTTTTGTTGTTATTGATTTTAATCTTATTTAATAATAATAATAATAATACTATATTATATTATATGATAATAGCCCTTATTAGTTGATTTTTTACTTTACTGAAATTTCCTTCTTATATTCTACTATATTTTTGTTTATTTAAATCTTTTTTGTTTGGTAATAAATTTCTATTTGCTTTTATTTTTTTTATATACCATTTGTTTATGGGAAGGGGGCCCTTTTAAGGAGAGTTCTTTTTTCAGTATCAAGTTATATCAAAAATATCATCATACTTATAATAAATCATTATCAATTAAAAATCCATAAAAAGAGTAGATCAAATATCAATCCATATAATCATTAACACTTATTACTATTGTTATTATATTACTATTACTACTACTACTACTATGACAACTTACTAAACTTACTTACTATATATTATATATATCTTTTTAGCTATTCTAAGTTGCTTGCTTGCTTGCTACTGTTTTATATGTTTCTTTGATTTATCTATTTCTACTTCTTCTACTATTTCCTTCTACTTTTCTTCTATTCTCTGTTTTTTTGATCTCTATTTTAAATTTTTATACTCTTATTATTATTCTTATTAGTTATTACTTAAATATATTATATTAAATACTATAACCACCTGTTCATCATTGTCTTATATCTGACGCGTATATATCCCCTTACAATCCCAAAACAGTAATAAAATTTCAATTTGTGTGTAACAGACGAAAAAAGAAAAAAATGTCTGTCAGTTTCACAAACAAATTTTTTGTTGAAACAAAACGTAAACACATTTTCATCAAATCAAATCAAATCAAATCAGACAACTTCACTTCACCCTTTATCAGGTATCACTACTTACGATCTATCACCAATTGGCTACTTCATTGCTTGTATAAATTGATCCATCAAGACTTACTTCATTTCATTCACTCCTTCCTACCTTCGTTGACTGTGGTTTGATTCGATTCGCATTAAAATATAACACGTTAACTTTGCTTCGTCTAAATTGATAGAACCCTTTGCTTCAATCACTACTACTAGTAATATCACACTTATAAGATGCCTGAACCCGTTGGTATTGCCAATTTGCCTAATCAAAGGTATGTATCCCGTTTATCTGAGTCTATTCGATTCATGGTTTTTTTTTTGATGACACGTTACTAACATATATCTCTTTAGGTATAAAATTATCTCTAAACAAGGAGCTACATTCACTATTATGGTTTGTGGTGAAGGTGGATTAGGTAAAACTACTTATATCAATACTTTATTCCAATCTTCTTTAAAATCATATCAAGATCCTCAAACTAGACATAATAAATTCACAAATTCTCATCAAACTGTTGATATTGATATTACCAGAGCTATATTAGAAGAAAAGAATTTTAAAATTAGATTAAATATAATTGATACTCCAGGATTTGGTAATAATGTTAATAATCATGAAAGTTGGACTCCAATCATTGATTTCATTGATGATCAACATGAAGCTTATATGAAACAAGAACAACAACCTTCAAGATTAGAAAAGAAAGATTTAAGAGTTCATGCTTGTCTTTATTTCATTAGACCAACTGGTCATTCTTTAAAACCTTTAGATATTGAAATTATGAAAAGATTAAGTACCAGAGTTAATTTAATTCCAATCATTGCTAAATCTGATACTTTATCCCCTAAAGAATTAGAAATCTTTAAATCAAGAATAAGAGATATAATTGAAGCTCAAGATATTAATATTTATACTCCACCTTTAGATTTAGATGATCCAGCTTCAGCTGAACATTCCAAACAATTGATTGAATCAATGCCTTTTGCTATCATTGGTAGTGAAGATGAATATGAAATTAATGGTCAATTAATTAGAGGTAGAAAATATCCTTGGGGTTTAGTTGAAGTTGAAAATGATCAACATTGTGATTTTAAAAAATTAAGAAGTCTTTTATTAAGAACTAATATGTTGGATTTAATCTTATCAACTAATGAAATTCATTTTGAATCTTTTAGATCAGTTAAATTAGGTACTAATGAAACTGAATCAAATGGTGAAAATGGTGAAAATGGGGAATTAAAGGATAAAGATGAAGTTACCAATGAAAATGGTGAAGTTGTTAAAAAACCAACTGCTAAGAAACCAAGAAGATTACATAATCCTAAATTTAAAGAAGAAGAAGATGCTTTAAAGAAATTCTTTACTGAACAAGTTAAAGCTGAAGAACAAAGATTTAGACAATGGGAAACTAATATTGTTAATGAAAGAAATAGATTGAATCAAGATTTAGAAGAATTACAAAGTCAAATGAAGACATTAGAAGATCAAGTAAAGAAATTACAATTACAAAAACGTTAATCAGTTAAATTGTAACTAACTATTCACTTTTTCCTTTCTTCTGTATTTTTTCAAGTTCTAGTATATATACATTTATCCCCATAGTTTTATTCTATTTATATTAACATTATATATATAGTAATGCCAATATCAATACCTATAATACATGTAACTGGTAGACATTAATTTAAATATTGTGGATATTTAGTGCCACGGCTATAGACGGGAGCGCCTCACCAAAAAAAAATCTAAAAAAATCTAGAAATCAAAAGATTTCTTATAATTACTTCAAAAGTGAAATTTTAGCCCTACAACAACCGATAATAGATACTTTCAAGTTATAATAGAACACCATTGACATACCGTGGACAACCGAATAGTTTGTATCCCAACACTTATATACTCATAATCACTACAAGAAAAAGGTATAAATCGAAACATTCATATGTCATCATCCCCTACCACCACTACTGGGATTCCAATATATCAAGATTCATATCAAACCAATAATGATGGAACATCATCACCTCCCCAACAACATCCTCCAATTGATTCTCCTCCATTTTCCAACAATGCCAAGTTCAAGAGGAACTATCGTGCCTGTTTGAATTGTCGAGTACGGAAAGTCAAATGTGATTTAGGTCCCGTTGATAATCCTCGACAAGGGAAATGTGCTCGATGTTTAAGAGAACGGAAAGATTGTGTGTTTGTGGAATCTAAAAGAGGTGGTGTTGGTAATGTGGCCAATGGGAAGAAAAGAAGAAAAGTAGGGGGAAGTGGTAGTGATACTGATGGTAGTAATCCTGATACTCCTCATAATACTGCTTCTATCAGTACTAGTCCTTCCCTTGTACGTCTGCAAAATAATAGTACTAATCATCTTAATAATCATAATAATAATAATGTGGAATATCAAGATATCACTGTGAAGAAAGATGTTGTCCATACACACCATCACCATCAATCAAAACAATCTCAACCAATTACAAGATTACCTACTGTGGATGATATGTTAAATAAAGCTGCCCGTCATCCTCAAACACCACCTATATCAGATATAAGGCAGACTCAGAAAATTCAACAACAAGAGGAAACTCAAACAACTCCAAGAACAGCTGCTGATGAATCAAATAGTCATTTCTCAACTATGGAAGGTGCGTTAACTTTCTTAGCCAATGCAGCTGGGACTATCGCTAAAGCTGATGAAAGAGATAACATCGATGCCAGAGTTCAACATGCTCAAATTGAAGCTTCTCAACATCGTACTGATTCAAGAATGAATTCAAGCGAGTCTCTTAATAAGGTATCCAATATCAAGGCCACTGATTCCGCTAATGGATCCAATGTGATTAATAGTTCAAGTGGGAATGATTCTGTATCTGACTTTTCAACCTCTCAACTTCAGACCAATGGAGAAGGTTTATCTTCGTCGTCATCAGCAGGCATATCTACCGCTGGGAAACATTCCGAGTCTACTATTCCTCAATATATCAAACCTAACTTGAATAAAAGAATGACAATGCCAGCAGCAGAGAGTGCATCCATGGTTAGACCGAGAGGATCCAATAAACTCTCCAATATAGAGTATATCGGAGGTGAAAATGGAATCTTAACCGAAGATGAAGCTGAACGTTTAATTCATCTTTTCTTCACCACCATGCATCCATTCTTTCCTCATTTACCTAAATTCCTTCATAGTTCTAAAGTTTTATCAGGGTATCCGATTTTATTATGTGCAATCTTAACTATCGCATCAAGATATCATCCATTTGAAAATAATACAGGTATGTCTGGTACAGCTGGTGGTGTGCCGAGAAATATCGAAGTTCATGATCGTTTATGGCTTTATGTTCAACGATTAATTTCTCAAACTGTGTGGGCAGAAGCAAGTACTAGATCCATTGGGACTGTGTTTGCCTTTTTATTGTTTACAGAATGGAATCCAAGAGCCATTCATTGGAGATGGTCTGATTATGCTAATAAGGCCGATGATGGGAATGATAATGATTTAATTAGTTCATCAGGTGGTAATTATGTATTCCCGGATGTTCCCAATATCAAGGGACCTACTGGATCTTCTTCTTCTGGAGCTGGTTCCACTTCTGATGTTAGTAATTTAGCCGGATTGGGAGCTATGAGAAGAAGTTATAGAATGGCATGGATGTTAATTGGATCAGCAGTAAGATTAGCTCAAGACATGGGGTTTATGGAAATGAGTTCAAAAACATTTTTAGCCACTCATATTTCAGAAATCAATTCAGTGATGAATATTAGTAGAAGATCAATGTTGGGTCATTCCTTATCAGAAGTTGAATTAGATGAAGATGAAATTAGCGAAGAAGCATTGGAAAAGGAAGAAGATTTGGATGATCAAATGTTAAATATGAACGAAGAAGATCAAAAGAAGTTACCTCTTGATGCCGCCTTGAAATTCACTTTATCTCAAAAGGCTCAGGTTGAATTATTACAAATTATCTCCTTAGGTCATGAATCACTTTATGGGTATCGTGCACAATTAGGTTCATTAACTCAAAGACAAAATCTTTCTGTTTTGAATCTCATAAGTCCCTTGATTAATAATTGGGGGAGAAAGTATAAACAATATCTTATCCCTTCTAATCCTAAGATATTGAGAAATGTATCAAATGTTCAGACACATTGGTTAAATCCTCAATCTAAAATCAGTAAGGATATTGCTGAATGTATTGAACGTGAATCATTCATCTTTGAATATAACTATGTGAAGTTGTATATCTATTCGTTGGCTTTAAGTCCTTCTCCAAGGTCCTTGAGTGAACAGAGAAAGAGTCGTAAAGGTAAAGTAACATTGAAATTAGATGAGATTTCAAAATCAGCTAAATATATTGAAATGGCTTTTAAATCCGCTAATGAAATGTTACATTCTGCTCATCGTGTACATCGTTTGAAAATGTTAAGATTCATGCCAGTTAGATGGTTGACAAGAATGGTTCGTGCTGTGGCTTTTATCGTGAAGTGTTATTTGACTATTACAGCTCATAAAAACAGCGCTAAAAATACTACTTCAAGTGATAATTTCGATGCTACGATTTTATCATTAAGTTTAATTTCAGTGGATGACATTATTCAAAGCATCCAAAAGGCAGCTATTACATTAAGAGATTGTTCACCAGATGAATTACATTTATGTACGAGATATTCTACTGTTTTAATGTATTTATGCTCGGAAATGAAAACAAAAGCTAAAAGTTTCCCAGAAGTTAATATTGATTACGATCCAAATGCCGGTAGCACGAAGAAAAAGACAGCTCATTTCAATGAACAAGCCCAAGAAAACGACGAAGAAGAGGAGGACGATGATGATTTTGAGTTGAATGAAACTTCACCATCTCAATCACCAGCCGATCTTTTAATTCAAAGTCAACAACCAAAACCACAACAACCATTTGCTCCACAGCCTGTAGCTCAACTGCAAATACAAGTACAAGTTCAACAAGCTCATCCGCAACCACAAGTTGTAATGACTCAATCCGTACCATCATCATCAGGGGGTGATATTTATCAACAGCCTCAAGTGACAGACTTCAATCAATTTGTCCAACCAAGACCAGTAAGAACTCAATCGATCCCAGACATACCCAATCAACAACAACAGCAACAACAACAATCGATCAATTACAATCCTTATTTCGCAACCAGAAACAATTCATATTCGAACGCTTCAAATAGCGAAAGCATGACACCAAGTAATACAGGTGATGTGACTCCAGCTGTGGCCACGGGTGAATGGTTTATGAATGATAAGAATATCGGTTTGGATTTCGTAGTACCATGGATGGAAATGATTGAACAACAATTGAACACCAATGATTTTAATTTCGATTATAATGGTTCAAGTTCATCGTAATATTTTGTATAATATATAAGTACATAGATAACAATTTAATGTTTTGTTTTTTTAAGACAAACTAAGCTAATTGAACGCCGTTGATTAATAAATTACATAATATAAACTATCGTAAACTAATAAATAAATAAGATAATCATATATCTTATGTATATATGTATAATACAGGATCTTTGTTTTTAAGTTTTTTTGTGTTTCTGTTCTTTTTTGCAACCATGATAAAAATATACGAGTGTTCCTTAGTTCCAGCTTTGAATTTCATTGATGAGTTTAAAGAGAGCTCCTTTCAAAGATTCAGGAACGGAAGGTAAACTCTGTTGATGTTGAGGTGATTGAGATGAGGTGGTTGATGATGTTGCTTGTGGTGATGTAGGGGGTAAATAATTAAACAGGGATGAATGATTAATATCTTCTATTGTCTTTCTACTTGAATTCAAAGGTGATGTAACCAACGGATTGTAAGCATTATTATCATTAGGATTGTTCAATGGAATATCATCCACCGTAATTGATAAATTTAATTGGAAATTTATATATGGTGAACTATTAATTAATAAATTATTAATTTGAACAACTTTATCAAAACAAGTACGAGCATTAATATTTCCTCTATCAGCCATGAATTTTAATAATGAAGTGGCTTTATTAATTTGGATGAATTGGGGTTGAGGAATCTTTTCATTAGAAGCTGAATTATTGATACAAGAAATTATGATTAAAAATATCAAAGCTGATAATAAATGTTGACTATCCCAATAACCAAGCATGAACAATCTATTATTCAAGTATAAATGAGAAATAAGATCTATGGTACCACAACTAGTGAGTAATCCCTTTGAAATAGCGGAATTCACATCATTAGAGCTTAAATTATCACTTGAAGTTGAGAAATTAAACAATGGATCGAATATTAATGATAATAATGGCTTGGTTATCAATATGATTAATTGATGATATCTTAAGAAAAGATTAGTTAAATTACGATTGCCATCATCAGTGATAATATTTATATTGGAAAATTGGGATAATAAAGTATTTTCAAAGTTCTTAATTAAATCATTGGATGAGTTAATAATGTTTTTTAATAATAATTTTTGATTGAATTGACTAGTATTAATATAATTGATTGAAAAAGTTCTAATATTTGGTCCATAGATTAATCGAACAAACTTAGCCACATATTTAGTTAAATGAACATTCACTTCTAAGATGTTACTATTAAAATTATCATTTAAATCAAGATAATTCTCCGTTGGCAAATCTACATCAGTATCAGTATATTGGAAATGAACAGTTTTAGTAGCCCAAGTTGTATCGATTACGAATACGGACCACCATAATCTTTTGGCTTTTTCTGCAAAGACAGGATCAGTTGATTTATTTAATGACTGACGATGAAATCCTTGAGATACTGCGGATCTAGCTGCCACTCCTAAATAGTTGTAAACTGTATTATAACGATTTAAATTGGCGGTATAAAATCCTAATAATAAAGCGGTTTGAATGAATTTAAATTCAACACTTTCTCGTGTTAATGGGAAAAGATGTTCAGATAATAAATAATATTGAATTCCAGGATAACTTTCTAATGAATTAGTGGATGGATTACTAACTGATAATAATTGTTCACCGAAGGCAAATATTATAAATATATAACATAATGATAATTGACATATATGAGTATGAGAATCAAATGGGATAGTAGTTTGAGATGCATTAAACAGGGCCAACACCGCATAAACCCGATCGATTATATCATGAACTTCAACTATATCGATAAGATAGAATTCAGTTGAATATGAAGTATATACGCGGTTGACAAACTTTAAAGCAAGAGCCTTTTCAGGTAATCTTTGATAACAAAGTTTGATTAGATCCAATTTTAAAGAATCATTCTTTGAATTTAATTGAGAATAGAAATCTTCAAAGATAACATTATTCGATATTATATCATTTGTGAATGTATTTGATGGAAATGAAGAATTGGTAGCCGAGGCGGATGTAGAGGCAGTTAAAGATGGTAAAGTACGGGTTGAAGCGGTTGAACTGGAGCCTGATGATAGACTTGATGAATGAAGGGCATATTGATTGGAAAAATGTAAAAGTTGTGGTTGAGGTATACGTTGATGAGGTTGATTTTGTTGTTGTTGTTGTTGTTGTTGTTGTTGATCTTGTTGTTTAAGTAATAATTCAAGGTATTCTACTCGATCATGAAGTTTATTTAGATCACTTTCCATGATGACTATTTTTCTATCTTTAGTAGGGTAAATACAGGCATCAGGTTTATTGATACTTTTACAATTAGAACAAGCTGGTTTTTCACCAGAACATTTTATTTTAGATAATTTACATCTTGTACAGGCGTAATGAGTTCTACCAAACACCTTTAATGGTTTTGGTTTCTCAATATTATTGCCGCTGGCCATTTATGATGACAGGACGAATGAATGGATTGATTTGATTCGATAACTTTGATTGATTGATAGATAGATAGAATGAATGTTGTCGTTGTTGTTGTCTTTTTTTAGTTTATGAATTTGAAGTTGAGACAAAATTTGGCAGCATAATTTTTGGTGACAGAATATTTTGGTGTGTGGATTGGCTAAATTGTGGGATGGAACATAAGGCTATTGCTGTAACAGATTAGTACAACCTATCCTGTGTTACTTAAGTCCCTGGTTGGATGATAGCTGAGCTTGATTGATTGATTGAATGATATGAGTTGAGGGATTCAGAACAAGAGAGTTCGTATCACGATAGCGTCAATCCAAATCAAATTCACAAATTCTAAACTTTTTCCAAAATCCAAATAAATAAATAAATAAAAATAAAAAAAAAAAATAAAAAAAAAAAGAATGATTATTTTAATTTATTTTTATATTTTTTTATTTTTTATGATTTTTTTTTTTTTCGATTTTATTTTTTTTTATTTTTTATATTTTTTTTTTCTTGGGATTCAAATAAATTGTTTTTTGTAAAAAAGAATGCACGTAAATTATGAGTTGCCTTTGGGACCGTAAGAGGGAGAAACGTACAGAAGCACTGGAAGATGTGAAAATAAAGGAAATAAACGAATAAACAGGATAAAGTAACGAAAAGAAAAGAAAAGACAACGAAAATGAATAGGAAAGGGGAAATAAAGTGGAAGCGATTCGTTATTTCTCTCCTCTCTTATCCTGTCCTCTCCACTCCATTCCAAAAGTCTACACAATTGAACAATCAAAGAAGAAATATCCAAACCATCAATATAATAATAACAGAAAGAGTTATAACAACAAGATAAAAAAAAAAAAAAAATAATAATAATAATAAGAGGAAATGGACAAATAATAAAATAGTAAAATAATTTGGTGAAAGGACTGGACTTTCAAATTGAATATGACTACTGAGTTAGGCAAAAAAAAGAATTAAGACTACGAGTCAACAATATTGACTAGTGACTACTGAGTACTGAACCACAATGGGATTCCAAATGAATCAGGAATGAGTGGGAAATATGGAACTGATACACAAAATAAAATATGAATAAAGATATAAAAAGCCTCTAAATCAATTTATGGAAGTGTCTATAAAGGGAATCAAATATAGTTTGCCTGCCCTGATTGCCTTTTAATTTCCTCCTAAAAAATTGAGCAAATTTACTCCTAAAAATAAAAAAAAAATTTAAATAAAATAAATAAAAAAAAAAATAAAAATTGAAATTATATTTCTGAAATTATTTTTTAGGTTGGCTTTATCTTTGTGAAATAAATTCTGCACTAAACCAAAGTTGTACGGTGATTGAAATTACGATTATTTATATATATAAAAAAAATGGAGCTTTCCAGAATCACGTGAGGAAATTAACTAAAAAAAATTTAGTTAATGTTTCATTCCCAATTAGCCATAGTAACACAATAAATAATAATCATATTAACAGTGATCGTAATAAATAATTGATCTACATGTCTGAGATACGAGTACAAAAAATAAAAAAGCACAGAAAGATTCAATAATATGACATTCATATGGTTCGATAGCTGTGGTGAATTCGATACTACCACATGAAAACCTTATATGGTCATCATCTCCAGCCTGGGAATCCAATGTTTCAAACCTTGTTTTACTGCTTTGTTGGTTGTTACATAGTTAGATCTTATGTTGTTTATCCCATTATACAGTGGTAATAAAGTTACGCTTCTAACTAAAATATCTCATTCATTTGCCTTCTCCTAAACTTAACTTAAGATAATCCCCCGCCTGCCCTGAGGATTACTTGTCTTTTTTTTTTTAAAAAAGATACCCTGACTATTAATTCAATCGTAATTACGTGCTTTATCTTCATCTTTATCTTTTTCTTTATCTTTTAAACTTACTAAACTTTTGTAAAAACTTTAAATTCAGATATAGATAAAACAAAGAGGTGGCTGAACACACACTCACCATTATTACTTGCACAAAATAATAAAAAGGTGATAAAATCCCCGAATATATTAAAAATAATATCTAAACCATACCAAATAACTAAAAAATAATTAATTATTATTAGGTATACTTTCAGTAAATGGATATAAGCCATAAAATTCGATCGCTCGCCTTACCTGGGAATGATAACAAAAGTCAAGAAAAAGGAAAATAGCGATTTTTTGATTCCCCAGGTGTAATAATAACCCCTAATCCACAACTCCAATCTAATAGTATAATTTCATTTAGAAATGATAAATTAGTTTACATAGGTTAGATAATTTCAAAGACATAGTTCTAAATGCAATATTTTTAAACTATTACGGAAGTGGTTCATCACAATCCGCAAACTTGAACTTAATAGGAAACCTATTTCATTTTAATTATGAATCGTAAAATGGTGAATATCTCCAAATAACTATAACGTCTAGTTTAAAATAAAAAAAAAAAACTTACATGACTTTGAATGGGGAATTTCATGAGGGGACGGAGTGAGAGAGAGGAGAAGAAACGAGAGGGAACGTACCACACTGCTGGAATAATATCAATTTTAACCTAGAGTTCTTTCTTTTATTTTTTTTATTTTTGTTTGCCTTAATATGCCTGGCTCAATCTTTACGTTTTAAATTGTATTTATTTTTAAATAATAAGTGGTACTTTATGTGTTGTAACTTTAATAAACGAAAAATAAAAAATTATTATTTTAATTAATATTATTCTTTAAGTTTAGAGTTTTGATTATTACTATTATTAACCTTGGTATAAACTGAGTATGATATTTATGATTTTTAGTAAGTGAATCTGAGGTGATTATCAACAGTTAAGAATTCATGCTAAGAAAAAAAAAGTCTCGCCGTAACGTCAACTGAAAAACCACTAATTTCATTTTAAATGATTTACTTTTGTTAGCTAATATGAATTCAACCACGGTTGATGTGTATCGGTAGTTGACGTGCATTGTGCGTTATAGTCAGACAGTATTCTTCATACCAATCTGTTATTATTTTGCAATCTCTTGAAGGCTTATTTCAAATCTCCCTCGTTGTCTTGAGTATTAAAACAATTAATTTAAATAAATCCTTTACATATATTAAACGCCGCAAAAATTAAAATTCGAGTCTAGATCGCCTGCTGATTTTTTTTCTTATTTTATGTATGTCCAGTCTTAAACATGCTTTCGTTTAACAATAATGTAAACCAAAATCTACAGAGTAACATGAGAACTCTAAGGTGGTATTGGCGATTGGTAGGTTTCAAAACTACTTATTTGGTGGCATTTTTTCTTATAAGTTGTAAATAAGTTTAAAAATAATAAGTGAATAGATGTTTAATATATTCATCAAGATTTACAACGTAGCGACTCTTATTAAGTTTGAAGGGTGCTTCATCGTCACAAGAAAAGAGATCGTTGTCAAACCTATAACAAACGGGCTTTACATAAAGATATGCGTAATTTTTTTATTTTTTACATTTTACGAGTCGAATTTTAAAGGATCTCTCCTTCTCCTTCTATTTCTGCTCGCCAGATGAAAAATTAATCATGTGACCAATCCACGACGAAAAAAATTGAGCTGGAACTAAAAAGACGACAAAAAGACAAAAAGAATGTTGATTTGAATAGGGGGTAAAAATAACTTGTAATTTGTTTTCCGTAATTTAATGGGAAATGAGTTACAATTTCCGCAAGCCTTCTTTATATAAAAATTCACTCTGTGCAGATCTTATCTCATATATTACTTGAAATAAAATTTAGGTTTTTCTCCTCCTCATTACATGATGAATTCCATAACCTTTGTGAAACTGACTCCTGAAAATGAGGATGAGGCTGACGATAACATTCTAGAATTCAAATTGACCTTTGGAAATGTTGGTGATTAGTTTCAAAGAATCAATTAAAAAAAAGAAAAGAGTATGTCAGTAATGAACACATGTGTGTAGGGGTGAGAGAAGTTTGAAAAGGTATAAATAAGAGGAGGAGGAGGAGGAGGATGTGGTGAGCGATTAATCAAAAACCAACAAAATAGATATATAATAATTATAACCAATATTATTATGGTATAACATTCTGTTTCAAAATACATCACTTTTATTTGAGTAGACCTTATACTGATTAAATTACATTGAGTTGATTCCATTGTGCATCATCAAATTTCATTCTTTATTATTTTTACATGTGAGTAGGTACCTCCTAATACTTATCCAATAAAATAGTTTTAAATTGAAACTATATTCTAAAACAAGATTGTAGATAGATAATGATTATTTGATTATGATAATCTTAGGCGCTGTTGTAACTTGATGGTCAGTTTGATTTGATTTTTGATTTTGTGTCATTTAATCTAAAAATAGTAACGCCCCTCATTTTTATTATTTTTCGCCTCCCCTTAATTGGACTCGAACACTTAAAAAATTGTATACCAGCCATTTGTTTATAGAAGATATTTCTTAACAAAGCTTAAAAAACAACCCCTTATATATGAGTTAATTTGAGTATTTCTTTTCATTAGGTGATCTCAGTTGTAATGTGGAGCTACTTCCAGTTGCTTACTTGTATTTCACTTGTTGTTTCCTTTAGTGATGGTGGTGTCATCGTCTCCTACATATTTTTTTTTCGCTTTTTGTGTGTTTGTGTGTGTGTGTTTGTTTTTCTTTTATTCACATTATTTCGTCAAACGGTAATCAGAAAAACCACATTATACAAATATGTACAAGACGTAAATAAATAAAATGATAAAGACAAAGTTTGCTACATAACAATTAATGAAAGACAATAATTTTAAAATGTCAAGAGCATAGGTCCTATTTATATTGTAAATTTTTGAATCAATATTTGCTACATACCAATTTAGCAAAACATAACTCAAAGTAAGCTATTAGACTCAAAATGGAAATCAACTTTCCTAGTCTAACCACAAAGTGGATTAACCTTTCTAATCTTCTCTTCTCATTTCCTATCCCCCCAATCCTTTTTAAAAATCTCTGTTTTGACAATGATTTTAGACGTACATATAAATTACAAGCATGAAAAAAAATAAGAGGGAAATTTCCTAATTAGGACCCAACATAAATAAATCGAATCTTTGTGTGCAGGATTTCCGAGGGTCGAAATCAAATCAAAGTCAAATTGAGCAAACAAAAAAAATTTTTCACTTGTCTCGAGGCGGCACCAAAATTAAAAATTGATAAAATCAGAAATGAAAATACCATTAAAAATGTCAAATATTTTTTTGGGTTAAGATATAGTTACATTAGGTGTAAATGGATTGATTAACGTAAAAAATATAGAGGGATAGCATGTTATGGTTTATAGTACTACGAAACTTCTACATCGACCCTGTAATACTTTAGTCTTATTAAAGGGTCTGAGCCCGTCGTTGACTTTTTCTTATTCTCTTTTAACTGTTCTTAAGGTTAAGAATGTTTTATAATCGTTACGGTAGTAAAATAAGGTTAAGACCGTGGTAATAACTTAACTCAATTGTGAGTTTTTGCGGTCGGTGAAGAAAAAAAGAAAATAAACTATTACTATAGTTGGATGATTATTATCATAGTGAACAATAAGAATAAATAAAATAATAATAATAATTATTATTATTATTTATTATTATAAGATGACAATACAATTAACCATCAATCCCGCACTTAACTATAGATTAACTATCTAAATTGCTTGAATCGAGCAACTAAAGGTAGTATTAATTTCTAATTTATTGACCCCCTTTTTTTGTGGTACTTCAATTTCTGAGCACAATAGTTGAAAAAAAAAATTAAAAAAAAGAAAAAAAAAAAAGAGAAATCGTGTGTGTACTTCTCCTCCCTTTCTCCCTATGTCGAAGGAAAACTCCCTACTTTACCCTCCACTCCCTAAAAAAATTAATTTTTATTTTCCCACATTTGAAAGAATACTATTATAAATAGTAGTTTTGTCAAATTTGCCTTTTCTCCTTCCGTTTCGTTTCAAAATTCTTTAATCTTCTTCATTTTATTTTTGATTTTTGATTTTTGATTTTTTTAAATCTTTTTATACTCCTTTCTTTTCTTTCCCTTTTCCTTTTCTTTAAGGTCATAATCTTCTACTACTTACTTTCGCTAACATTATCATCATATAATTGAAGTCATATAAAGTAATTTCACAGAAAAGATGCAATTCAAAAATTTAATAGTTACTTCAGCCTTAACCGGTTTAGCCTTAGGAGCTGCTAACAGTATGTATAATTATAACTACAAAAGTCGATTTCGATTTTTGTTTTTAGTGTTTTTTAGGTTTATCCTCGCTGGAAAAGTATATTGAGTTGAGAGGGATATTTGGTATGACAAACGGATTGGAAAGTTGAATTTCCTCGGTGATTTCTTATCGAAGAAAGTCAATTTGGTTAGAAGTTGGTACGGGACGAGTAAAACTGGACAAGGGTTCTTTGAATTACAATTGAGGGATGTGTGAATCAATCGATGGTTAATTGTTGAGTGAATTTTTAATTGAATTCCTCGAGAAAATGCCAAGATTGATCTGGCTTGACCAGGTGTGGGATTTTACCAATTGACCATGTTTTCATGGTCAATCTCGATTTACGTTCTTCTAATGGACAAAAAGAGAGTATAATTCACATCTACAGACTAAATCATCAAACCTCGAATTGATAACGTTCGTCTGATTCATCTTTTTTTCTACTTCCACTTTTTTTTTTGGCTATGTTCATATTGCTGGAGAAAAAAAAGGGGTTAACAGATGGTTGAATCCTATTTTATGACTACAAACTTGATTAGTAGGACTTATCAACTCATTGGTGTCTTAAATATCTATATGTGATACTCAATGGAAGTTTATGGCTATCTATCACATATACATTTTTCCAATGAAACCATCCGTCCGTTTGAAAAAGCCTTTAAGTTTCAAATTAATTTTATTTTTCTTTTGTACCTCCTATTACCGTCCGGATAAATTTCGAGGGTAAAAGAGATCAGAAATTTTTTATGTCATAACTCAATATACAGGATTGCGGGGACTTCCTGATCTGGACCTAATTTACTAACTTAATATTACTATTTTTAGACTCCACTTTAACTACTGCTACCCCAACCGTCGCAAGTGGTTGTACTTTCTCCGATTTCACTGCCACTGACTCTGCTCAAGTTGCTCAAGTTGCTGCTTGTGAAACCGCTGTTGGTGATATTACTGTTCAAGGTACTGCTTTTGGTGCTATTGATATTACTGGTGTTCAAGCTATTTACGGTAACTTTACTGTTCAAAATGCCACTCAAGCTGTTACTCTTAACGCTCCAACTTTACAAATTGTTTCTGGTACTTTAGAATTAAATGCCAACACTATTTTAGCCACTGTTAACTTTGCTCAATTAACTACTGTTGACACTTTACATTATAATGCTTTACCAGCTTTAGAAACTACTGGTTTAACTACTGGTATTACTTCTGCTAACTCAGTTATTATCGAAGATACCGGTTTAACTTCATTAGATGGTATTAATGTTTTCCAATTAGGTACCTTCAATGTTAACAACAATGGTGATATCGAATCCATTAACTCTGGTTTAGAATCTGTTACTGATCTTTTATCTATTTCTTACAATGCTGAAAAAGTCGATGTTGTTTTAGATAAATTAACTTCTGCTAACAATGTTATCTTCCAATCTGTTAATTCATTATCTACCAAGAACTTAACTTCTATTAACGGTTCATTATCTGTTACCTTAACTTCATTAGATACTCTTGAATTCTCACTCTTGAAATCTATTGGTAACTCTTTAACCATTGCTCACAATGATGAATTAGAATCCTTAGATTTCCCAGTCTTAACCAGTGTTGGTGGTGCTTTCCAAATTTCTGACAATCCACTTTTAACCTCATTTGATGGTTTCGGTAATTTAAGTCTGATTGGTGGTTCAGTTAACATTAACGGTACTTTTGATAACGGTACTTTCTCCGCTTTAACTAAAGTTGCTGGTGGTTTCACTTTAAAGACTGATGGTACTTTATCTTGTTCTGAATTTGAACAATTAAACTCCTCAGGTGATATTAAAGGTGATAAATACTATTGTTCAGGTGCTGGTGGTGCTTCTTCATCATCTTCTCACAAGAGTGGTAACAGTGACAGTGGTTCATCAACTGCTTCCGGTTCATCTGCTTCTGGTTCATCTGCTTCCTCTACTACCAAAGCCGCTGAAGCTCCAGCTAATTCTGGTAAAGTAGCTGCTGTCTTTGCTGGTTTCGCTGCTATTGGTGCCGCTTTATTCTAAGCAATATAAGAGACTCCTTAATAACTCAATTCATAGACCGTAAACTAACTAATTTGATCAATTGAAAGATCAAAAAAGCAAAAGATTCAATACATTTTTAAAAAATTTCATACATTTTTATCTTTCTATCAGATTGTGATTTTATCAACTATGTTTTACCAAAATCTAAAAAAAATTAAGAATACAGTAACCTTGCAATATTAAAAAAAAAATCTACTAACAAATGTTTCTTTTCCTTTAAACTTATTCTTTATAGCCATATATATGTTTTATATGCCTTTTTCCTTTATTCTTTTTATGTTTTCTCTTCGTTAATCTTCTATTCTTCAAGATATGTTAAGTAGTACTAATATTATTAATTTTAATTTTAATTTACCACAACTGTAGTGTAATGGCAACGGTTTGAACTTGTAGGTGTTTAGATTGATATTTCAAACCTTGATTCATGGGGTTTGTCATGATTTCTGGTTTGGGAATTGCAAAATTTCGAAAAATCGCGAAGTTTGATTAGAAAAGATCGTAGGCAAATCCAAAAAAGTATAAACTTCACCACTGATCAAACTACACCATCTGCGTGCTCCAAATCAGATACTAACATTTATGAATGGAAGGCGGAGTGTTTGGAGATGCTAGATATTTAGCTGAATTTGTTGGACATTACCTATTTGAATTACCAACGAATGTCTTTTTAAGAATTGTGGATTGTTTACCATCGAGTTATATCTTTGATTACTTTTTACAATTGCCAAAGAACAATGATATTTTAGTTTTGATCCTTGAATGGTATTTTAATCATACGGAGGTGACGTTCAAGCTTGATTCTCAAGCCATAAAAAGTACAGATTTGGCTGACGTTTGTACCGTTAACAAGATTGAACATATGATTCAACTTGTTGAGTTGCCAGCATTCTATCCCAAGCAATTAACAATCTTCTCGCGGGGATTACAGTTCACTGATATCAAGTCTTTAATGGAGAGGTTAGAGCCCACAATAGCATCTTATCCATATCTTAAATTGGTCGTTGAAGATATCAAGAAATATAATAATTCGTTGCTTCCAGATTATGAATTCAGTAAGGATGATTTACGATTTTTATTGTCATTTCCAAATGTAAAATCATTATCATTGAGATGTTTAGAGGCCAAAACACCTAAGAAAAGAGCAATTGTTTCAGTTTCTGATTTATTGAACATCGAAGAGTTCTCCAATTACAAAAACTTGGAAGAGTTTGTTTCTATTAACAATGGTTTAGAAAGGTGGGGAACTATATCATTTCCAGATACTATTTCTAGTTTAACTATCAATAGTACCCTAATAGATGCAAGTTCATTAACAATACCGGAGTCAGTTACAAAGTTAAACCTCTCAAAGTGCAATATCACTGATGAAATCCTACGGGATATAACATTACCAAATAGTCTAGTCTTTTTGGATTTGAGTTTCAACGAATTAACTACATTACCATTTGCAGAATTGCCAAGCACCCTTGAAGAAGTGCAATTCGGTCTGAACTATGTTATCAAAGATATTGTAATGCCAAAGGATGGTAAATGGTTACCAAAATTGAAAGCCTTAATATTAACTCAATGTGGAATCCATGATGAATTACTCGTGAAATTATGTCTGCATACATGGCCATCTGAATTAATTCATTTGAAGTTAACTTGGAACTTGATGGAAGATATTACACCATTGACAAGTCTACCTGACAGCTTACAGATTTTGGATCTTGCAAGTCATAATCCATTGAAAATAAATGATCCCACCAATTTCAAATTTCCAGAAGCATTAGAATTATTAGTAATCAATTTACAACCATTCCAGGGACACCTCAAGTTCCCTCCTAGAATGAAGGATTCACGGTTACTGTCAAGAGATAATAATATCGATAATTTTGAAATACCGTCCCTGTTGTATAAACTATATACACTAAGCGTTAAAGTTGGAAGTCTATCAAAATTCGACTGGGATGAGTTTAAGAATCTTGAAGAGTTATCATTAACGAACTGTGGAATAGATACCATTGAAAGTTGGACACCACCTCCGAATTTGAAATCACTTTCGTTAATAGCCAACCCCATCGAACAGATCACAAGTAAAGCTCCACTTTTTAGAAAAGAGTTTCATAAACTTAAGACAATATCTTTCTTCAGCTGTCACATAGTTCATTTCGATGAAGATATTGAATTACCAGCCAATCTTACTCTGTTGGATATTTCATTCAACAGAATACAAGTTTGGAACTTCCCTCAAGAGAGCTTCAAAAGAGTTCGCTTCAATTTAGTGGGAAATCCCTTTACAGATACAGTAGGTAATGGACATGGGTTATTTGTAAGAAGATAAGATCTTACCTGTATATATTTATGTACAAAATCTATAATATGATATTTATGATTACAAACTTAACAATCTCTATTGCTCATCATTTTCAAGTTTAAGGTCGTTCCCGCTTAAATGTTCGACTAAGTTGATGTTCAACAACTTTGCAACTTCTTTGGCGTACTGATCGCCAACCTCTTTGATTGATGGAGTGTCTAAATCTGGTTTTAATGTACTTATTGAAGTAGCTGTAGTATTTGGTAATCCACACATTTCAAATGTATTCAAGAAATTTAAATCTGGCGAAACATTCAACCCAATCCCATACGACGTAATTGCCCTTTGAATATTACAACCAACACTAGCGATTTTTAAATTGTTCTTCTCTATCCAAACACCTGGGTTTTCATTTGTATAGCTCTTTAAACTATAATTCTTCGTCAATAAGTTCTGCACTGACTTCAATAACACTGAATCAACGAAGCATCTTACAGTTAAGTTTTTGAACAGCTTTAAATCCAAGATAAGATATGCCACTAATTGTCCTTTTCCATGCCAGGTAATTTGGCCACCTCTTTCCAATTGATAATATTTACAACCAACTGCATCAAATTGTTTGATCTTTTCAGGTAATGTTGGATCTTGTTTTAATTTCTTACCTCCAGTGTAAACATTTTCAAATTCAAAAGTTAACAAAGTAGGTACTGGTTTCATCAGTAGTATCTTCTTCAAAAGTTCATCCTCATAGTCATTTAACACCATACCCTGGGATGCTGCCTCGTGTTGTTGTTTCTTTATCTTACTTTCGATCTTCTTGAAATCAACATTGGCATTCACCATCATATTTTGAATAGCTTGACCTCTCTCAAATGGAGTTATACCATCGAAATGGATATGTCTTAACCGTTTGTAATTGTCAATTAACGGCACAAACTTTGTAGTACAAGAAGCAGCACTTGCCGAGGCACTATTAAACCTCCTTAGTATATGAAATGGTCTCCTATAGTGCAGTTTCATCTTGGCTTTCAATATCATGAATTACAACTTTGAGCTGAATAATGAAAAAAAAATTATTGCTCCAAATAAATTTTGGCGGCATATTTCTATTTTGTTTGTGGAGCGATTAGAGATATGTTTACAACCAACTCTATTTAGCTAACTAATACCATATATGCTGGAACTATCACCAAAGAAGAACACACACCTCCATGAACCATCTCCATTAAAGACCCCATCATCATCTTCATCATCAACAACTTCGTTAGGGTTGCAGTTTAATAATATCCAGAAGAAGTTACGACCTACTACTGCTACAACCCCAACTAATGTTTCATCAAGAACTGATAAAGTTAAGCTCAGTAATTCATTACGGAATAGTAAAATCTCATCAAATACAAAACCAATACCATCTCCCACACCTTCTGGTTTGAAGATTACAAAGAAGAGTATAGTGTCTAATGATTTCAAACATAGATTAAAGAAGAATTCAACTGAATCTTCTGCCTCTCCGGCTAATTCAAGTTCATATGATAACGATTCAATCATCAATTCAGAGGAGTTTAAATTCCTATATAAGCTTTTTGTGCCTAATAAATACTTGATAAGAAATAATAAGATGTCCTTAACCCATGTTTTTAATCATTTACCACTTATAATACCGTCAACTTATGATAATAAGAAAGATTATTCTCCCTTAAATTTCCAAATTCATTTATTTTTAAGTACTATTATGGTCAAATATGTTAATTCATGGTATTTAACGAAATTAAATACAGATAATTATGAAGTTTTGATGCTAATATATCAAGTTTTAATGGATTTTGTAAAGAATTTGAGTAATAGAATAAATAAGACATTGAAGAGTGAAGTTGAATTATTCAATATAGTGGATGAATTGAGTTCAGTTATAAATAATCATCTCCTAGACTTGGCGAGTGAAGATAGTCAATATGATTTGAAGATATTTGCTGATTATTACAAAGAAGCTAATACAAGAAACAGCTTTAAACAAACCCCACAAGCTGATTTAGAAACCATCTTGGATGAATATTTATGTCTGAACCATGTATTGTTTGAATTGAAAGATGACCCATTGATGTATTTCAGAGTTTTGGTGAAGAATTTACTTGAGATAATATATTCCAATGATTCAGCGGTGAATCCGTTATCCTCTACTATAATTACAAATTTAGTGGTTGTAATAGTTGGTGATTTGGTTTTAGCATTAGTGTTGGAGAAATTATCTTCTCCAGAATTCATTTTAAAGGATATCATAAGTAACGTGGTTGATATTATTACTGCAACACTTGACGAAAAGAAAGTAGCTAAAGAAGAAAGTGATGAGGTTACATTATCTTATTATGAAAGGTTTCAATTAGTAATAACGATGTGTTATTCAAAAGTTAGTAAATTTGTGTTGACTGCCAAACTGGAAGGTTTACCGTTGTCTAACACAGTTTCTGAAAACGAATCCAATGAGATCAACGTTGATGTTTTTGAAAATTCAATATTTAAATTGATGGACACCATTACCAATTTTTCATTCCGAAAACCATTGGTTTCCAATTTCATATCATTTATAATGGGTCTGCTTCGATTAAACTCATGGATTTACTATAAGCTTAGTTCATTAAGTTCAAGCTTTGTCATGAAGAAATTGATCAGTGCTCCTTTCTTAGGGGAAGAAGGACTCAGTAATATCATATCATCATTAAGACTTTCATTGTTCTATAGAGATAATAATCAACCTTCAACTGAGTCTTTAGATGAGGAATTAGATACACTTACCTTGGATCAGTTGACCGATTCAATCTTTAATTTAATTAATGAAAAGATTCCAGGTGCATTTGCCAATAGTTACATACAGGGAAAGAGTCCAATACTCAGCCTAACTAATGAAAATGAGACCGATTTAAAGCATAGAATCAGGCGCATGTTAATTATATTTAATTATCAAATCTCAAATACCAATAATAATAATGAGTTCAATGAAACCTGTGAGCTTAATAAGCTATTAATGATTAAGTTAATAGATTGTATAGTTAGAAACTTATATCCTGAATTAGTTTAATTCTTCTGCTATATACATATAGATTATATATACTAATTTTGCAACTATTTAAAGTTTTTTTGTAATCGTATAGGACTTTGATTTAACCAATCTCACCCATACGAAAAAAAAATCTCAGACCATTTTTTTCACAACAGATATAAGACTTGTTCTAGGTAGATACAACGGGATCAAGCCATGATAAGAACCAGTGTACTCAACAAGAGTATCATCAACCATGCTCAATTGAACATACAGAAACGACCCTTTGTGATAACGACGGCATTGACGGCCATTGGGTCATTGTTATTCAGTGAGAACAATCGATTAGCATCTCAAATGGAACGAGGTGAACTTCATAATAAACTTACTAAGGACAACAGTCCAAGGGAAGATAAACCCTTTTTCACAAGACCTGAACCTAATTTTCCTAGTCATATCCCATTATATACTTATGAGAAACTTCTAATGTTTTTAGGATCATCGGCAGGAGCCTTTTTCCATCCTGAAAGAAATGAATTTATAGTTGCTTTAGGTGAATCAACTGCAATATCACCAATCTTAAGACGACTTCAAACTAAAATGTTATCGGATCCCGTGGGTAGAGAATTATTAAGAGATCAACCTCGAATGACATCCACTTCATTGAATTTAGATCATTTACGTGAATTACCACATAATTCAATTGGGAATACTTATGTGAGATGGTTAGATAGAGAAGGGGTTAGTCCAGATACTAGAGTCACAGTTAAATATATTGATGATCCTGAATTGGCATATATTTATCAAAGATATCGTGAATGTCATGATTTCTATCATGCTGTTACTGGATTACCTATTATCATTGAAGGAGAGATTTCAGTAAAAGTCTTTGAATTTATGAATATTGGGATGCCAATGAGTGGATTAGGAGCGTTATTTGCTCCTTTAAGATTAAAAAAATCTCAAAAGGAACGTCTTTATAATATTTATTATCCATGGGCTATTAAAAGTGGATTAAATTCAAAACCATTGATTAATGTGTATTGGGAAAAGATCCTAGACCAAGATGTAGATGAATTTAGAGAACAAATGGGAATTGAAACTCCACCTGATTTAAGAAATTTACGTAAACAATACTTTGAAAAGTTAAAGAAAGCCAAGAAGATTGTATAATCCTAGCTTTATGTGTTGTATATAGTTCTAATGAATACACATTTCTAAATGTGGTAATTTTTGTTTATCTCTATGTTTTCGCAGTTTGTGGTGTACCTTAAAGTTGCTCCCTGTCAAAAAATGTATAATGACGAGATGAAATTCCTCGATGAGCTTTTATTTTATATTTATAAACTATAAACAATTCTTATTATAAACTTTGTTTAGATTGTTTTATTCTTTACCTATCAATCAACTCAAGTAACAATGTCATCATTGGCTTATAACTATTTCTTGAAAAAGGTGTGTATATATGTAAACATTGGAACGAGGCAGTTCATTTCATCCCCAGATTATAGTTCAATAGCATCTTTACTAACCAATTGCTTCATCTAGACTCAATTAGATCATATTGTTCAAACTGGACCAACGGATGATCCTTATTTTGAAACTATTCCTGATAATGAATTACATTTTTATCAAAGACATGGGGCCAAGAGAAGAAGAAAGCTTCCAAGCTTCATTCCTGAAAAGGATCTAAAGATTTTAGAAAGTGTTAAAACTCAAGCTTATAGACTTGATTTACAATTAAGTATTGCTGGGTATAGATTTGGATGGGCTGGTATTATTGGATTATTTCCTTGGATTGGAGATTTATTTGCTTTATTTTTAGCTTTGAATGTGTTAAATACTGCTAGAGAAATTGAAGGTGGATTACCAAAGATTTTAGAAGGTGAAATGATGTTTAATATTGCTTTGGATTTTGGTATTGGATTGATTCCTTTTGTAGGTGATCTTATTAATATAATGTATAAGTGTAATTCGAGGAATTTTGTTTTATTAGAAAAGCATTTGGTTCATAAATATGGTCAAGCTCATACAGTTCCAGTTCTGACAGAGCCTGAGAAATTGGAGAAGATTAGTGAAGTTCCACCAACCCATCCAGCTGCAACTCATCCAGCTACAACCCATCCAGTCCCACCTCCAGTAGAACATGAGAAGAAAGAGACGGTTTAAAAGACATTGGAATATTTGCTACATCATCTGACAATTGACTGACTATGTACAAACCTTTTTATTTATGTTATCCATATGTAATAATATTATAAACTATTTTATTCAACTTAATTGTTGAAAACCTTTCTCTATGACTTCAATTCTATTTTTAAAGTCATTAATAAATATTTGCAATTGATCTAATTTCAAAAACTCCATTTCTAATTGATTACATTGATCTAATAATTGATCAATTTCAGTTAATTCTTGACTTAAATTCAATTGATCTTCAAGATAATTGACTTCAATTAACTTTTGTTTGGTTGTTATTGACTCGTAAGTGGTATCTGCTAGATTTGATATATGATCATTAATCTTATATATCAAATAATCATAACTTAAGGCTAGTTTTCTTATTTCCAATGGATCTGGATCAGCTTCTGAATTAGTTTCTCCAGTGGTATAACCATTGCTATTAGAACCATTCATTCGACTATTATCTGGTTGTGACTCTGACGATAATGATCGACTGACACCACCACTACTCCCAAGTGATTGATTAGATCCCTCTTGACTCATTCAGACATATACCTAGTATGGTTTTGACGATATCGTTGCAGTTGCCATTCTGGTTATGGTGATTCCCCATATTAAAAAATCGCATTACACAAAAAATGAGGGAGGAAACACCCAGCAGTTTGTGAGGACAGTTTTAAAAAAAGGGTTAACGAAATTGATCCCACTTACGACGAGGTCGTTAAAATCATCAGTGATAGATTCAATTGGATATCGTCAACGGTATAGGATAGCGAAGGAAGGAGATTGAAGACAAACAACCAACCTCAATTCATCATGTCATTATCATCATCATCATCCAGTTCATATTCTCTTTCGAATATTAATCCTAAGTTATTAAGAAGAATTTATCGTGCTTGTCGACCAAGTAATAATGAACCAAATTTAGCTTTGAATCTTGAGATTTGTGATTATGTCAATGCTAAACAAGGGTCTACTACTAGAGATGCGGCCATTGCTGTGGTTAAATTGATTAGTCAAAGAGATCCTCAAACTTCAGAATTGGCTATTGCCTTATTAGATAATTTAATTAAAAATTGTGGTTATCCTTTCCATTTACAAATCTCTCGTAAAGAGTTTTTAAATGAATTGGTTAAACGATTCCCTGAAAGACCTCCTATAAGATATACTAGAGTTCAAAGATTGATTTTAGCTCAAATTGAAGAATGGTATCAAACCATTTGTAAAACTTCAAAATATAAGGATGATTTTGGTTATATTAAAGATATGCATCGTTTATTAGGTCATAAAGGTTATGTATTTCCTGAAGTTAAAGTTGAAGATCAAGCTGTTTTAAATCCTTCTGATACTTTGAAATCATTAGAAGAATTACAAAAGGAAGAAGCTATTGTTCATAGTGCTAAATTACAAGAATTAATTAGAAGAGGTAAACCACAAGATTTACAAGAAGCTAATAAATTAATGAAGATTATGGCCGGTTTTAAAGATGATAATGTTCAAGAAAATAAAAAACAAGTTAATGATGATATAGCAAGATTAAAGAGAAAAGTTGAAATTTTAGCTGAAATGTTAAATACTATTCAAAATTCAGGTACTTCAATTGATGATTCAAATGAAGCCATTGTTGATTTATATTCTTCTATTAAAAGTTCTCAACCCATTGTTACTAAAATCATTGGAGAAGAAAATGAAAATGAAGATAGAGTTCAAGAATTATTAGGTTTAAATGATAATATTAATTCAGTAGTTACAAAATTCCAATTATTAAAAGGTGGTAATGTTGATGAAGCTTCAAAGATTTCAGTATCAGGTGGATCAGGTGCTACTGGTAGTAAATCTGGTGGTGAATTGAATTTAATTGACTTTGATGATGACGATGATGCTAATGGTGCTAATCCAGTTGAAGATCAAGGTTATAATGATTTATTAAGTGATTTAGCAAACTTGGCATTTACAACTCCAAATCCAACCACAACTTCAACCAGTAATACTCTTAATGATCTTAATATCTTTGGTTCAGGTGGATCCATTGCATTAGGTAATAGTTTTAATATACCTTCACATAGTGCCAGTACTACTCCATTACAACAACCAAAACCAACCACTCTTGGAAATGATTTTGATTTATTAGGTAGTAGTGGATTAAATTCTCCATCACCTCAATTACAATCAAATACTTCATTAGATCCATTTGGATTAAACTTCCCATCTTCAACACCAAATCAAATTCAAACCAGTGTTAACCAACAACAAACAAAATCAAACATTCTCGTAAATCAATCCCAAAATCTTAAAGTTGAAATCGGAGTATTACCAAATTCATCTAGTCAATTATTCAGAGGTAAAGTGATTTTAAGTAATCCTGGTTCATCTACTTTAAATCAATTAAAGTTCTTAATTGCGGTTCCAAAATCTTGTAAATTAGATTTAAAACCTCAATCTGGGGAAACTTTATATGGATTTGCTAATAATGGAGTTACTCAAGATTTCGTCATTGAAAATTCTCAAAATAAATCATTAAAGATAAAATGGAAAGTTGAATATGTGATTTCTGGTAATAAGATTGAAGAAACTGGTGTTAATGTGTTAAACGAATAGATATTTTAATTCTTGATAATTTCATCGTTATTTTACTTTTACTTTTATGTTAGCTTTCCTGTTTTGTCGTCCTTATGTTTAATTATCACTCCTCGTCGCCTCTCTCTATATCTCTTTATATACTTTTGTCTGTTTTCGATACATTACATTTTTATTTAGTTTTCTAATAAGAAAAATCTTTTTACATTTTAAAATAACATATATTTATGATATAAAAGGGAACAAAAAGAGAAAATGAACGATAAAAACAAACTATAACAATAAATGAAAGACCCAAAACACATTGAACTGAATAAAAAATAATAAATACCTACCATCCCTAAACTTATGGTTTAACTAAAGTTTCATCAATAATAAAGATGAATCCATTATCCACTTGTTTAACCATTTGAACTGGGATCCAACCTGTACTCTTCTTATGTTTCTTTCTAATGACTTGAACTTCAAATTGTTCAGTTTCTTCATGTTGTTTGATTTTTAATAAATCTCCATTCATTAAATTGGTTTCAATCAATTTATCTTCTTTATTTATAATTAAATTTTGTTCAAAATTACTTACAATATGATTTTGTAAGAATGATTCAATGTTTTTATATAAGACTTTTTCAACGGTTTCATCACTCATTTTATCAGTGATAGGGTTTGGGAATTCCCATGGTTTCAATCCACCCAAGTTATTGGAAATAGCATCATTGGTTGGAGCGATAATAACCATGGTTTCATTGGTTAATTCAGTCTTAACTGAGATTTCTTCATTATCTCTAATATATCCTGAAATGATTGAAATTGATTGGATTTGAGGTAAGACAGATTGTAAAATATTCAGGTTTGAATCATCAACATCAATAATAAAAGTGAAAGGATTTTGTTCATCTCTCTTTTCAAAGGAATCAACTTCTTGTTTAACAGCTTCTTGAAATTTAGATAAATCAATAAGATATTTAGCTGCTCTCTTGGAGACTTTACCAGCTTTAACTTCTTCAGAAAGAGCAATCTTGAATGCATTTAAATCAACCACATTCTTAGCATCTCTCTTATTAAGACCTTCTGCTTCGACTTTAACAGCTTGTTTCAAAGCTTCAAGGTCAACCACGAATTTAGCATCTCTTTTTTCATTTTGAATTTCTCGTTGTACAGCAAGTTTAAATTCATCCAAATCAACCACGTTTTTGGCTATGGTCAACCATGCGAAGAATGAGAATGATAATATACTCTTGAAATACATGATCGTCTACTATTGTTTGTATATCAAGTTGAACAGTATCAAAAGATATGATATGGTTTAAGGTTTGGTGGTCTGTTTCCCCTTTATTTTTGTTTCAGCCTCCAAGAAAAGAAGAATAAAAAAAAAAAAAAAGAGTGACATCAACCAGTAATTTAGTTGCCTAAATAGGTAGTATTTTTACATATTAGATTTGGCTAATATCAACTGGCTTAAATTTACATTAAATATTGATGTTATCTAGGTTAGATTATTACAGGATAGTCGTTTGACAATGTTATGGGGTTAGACTTTGATTCAAGTCTAAATGGGAATCATAATATTGGGAAATTAATACATAAGTTGAAAGAAATAAACAATAGGTTCTAATATACAAAACAACAACAACAACAACAGCACCATCAATAACCTAACCTATGGATGGATGTTTTCACACGTCTTATTATACATTATCAGGATGTTTTAAAGGAGTCATGCTTAATCTCGACTTTTTATCTTGTAAGTTTAACCTTGATAAACTATACTTTAATCTTTCCTTTTTATTTCTTAAGAATTTCAATCGATTCAACTTTGATGAATCTATTTTACCAATCTTATTCAAGGATAAGTTTGTACCTGAAGTAGCTGCTGTAGCAGCTGCTGATGATCCACTCAATCGTACTGCTTGTAAATCAAATTTATTCTGTAAATTGATCTTCTTTTTATTTAATTTGATTAATTCTTTATCTATAGTAGTTAATAATTGATTAACTTGAGGTTCAACTTGAACTTTGAAATTGGTCTTTGCACTATTTAAATCTGATTCTGGAATAAGACCAAACACTCTCTTTGTTTGTAATACCTTCTTTATACGAACCACATCTTTCGTACTATCATATAATAATTTATAGGAATCATCCAATAGTTGTACTGATTCACGTAGCGAACTTATACAATTCGACAATGTATTATATTGCAGAGCCATCTCTTAGTAGTGCCAACCAGTCTCTACCTTCACTTCTTCTTCTACCAATTGAATATGAAGTAGTAGTTGTTACTGTTCTTCTTCTTCAATTGCTGTTTGTTTATTTATTTATTTTGTTTATGATTTTTGTTTGTGGTTGATTCTCCTCTTCAAAAGTTTACACGACTCCAAAAAAAAAAAGATGCAGCCAAAAAGAAAGAATCATACAATCAAATCTGACTGTCATAATTAGAAGATCTTGATTCATCAGACGTGTTCAGAGTCATACAGATCGGAGTGTACTATCTACGAAGGGATCATAATCACAGATCAATTGAATTGGCTGAATAAGGTAGGACACCGATTGTTAAATGGAAATCAAATCGTCATTAGCCATATTTTTGTGTGAGGAATATAGTTAAATTAGAAGAAGTCAAAAGAAGGTGGGAAAGTGATCAATTATAGTGTCAACATGACAGATATTCCATTGAATCTAGAAGTGGAACCTTCTGCATTCCAACCTTTCCCATCCACTAACTCAGGGGATGATAATGGTGATGATACTTCATATAGATCAGTTAAAATCAATGATAAGAATGTGATTATAGGGAATAGGAAACGATCCAATTCACAATCACAAGCTAATACTACTCCCACTCCCATATCAGCTACATCCAATACTACTACCAATAACAATAACAATAATAACAATAATGGTAGTAGTAATACCACCAATCAATCTAAATCATCATCAGTAGCAACATCTACTTCTATAGTCAATGGTACATCATCATCCGCCACTTCTATATTATCAACCACAAATCGTCAACATACCTTACAACCAAAACGAAGAACTCAATTACAACACTATGTAACACTTGTCCCATTAAATGATACTTTCATAAAGAAACATTTACCAGTAAGTATATTTCCTGAAACTACTAAATTAGGTAGACCAACAGGTACAAAACATAAACCAGATGTAACGAATGGTTACTTTGAATCAAGAGTATTAAGTAGAAATCATGCACAAATATATATCGATCCAAGCAATGGGAAACTAATGTTACAAGATTTACATTCATCTAATGGTACATATGTTAATGAAATGAAATTAGCTGATGATCCAGTTGAAATTAATATTGGTGATGTGGTTTGTTTAGGATTTAATGTTCAAACTGAATCAACTCATAAACAAATCAGCTTAAGAGTGGATAATATTAATATAATCCCCAATACAAGCTCAAATACTACATCTAAGACTGATTCAACTTTTCAAATTCTTCAAGATGATTCTAGTATAGAATTCAAACATTTAAGTTTTATTGAAGATATATATCGACAAATCAAAGCTAAGGAGGAACAAGAAGAACAACAGCAACAAAAGTATTCCCAAAAAAATATTCAAAAACCAAAAGATCTTGATGATCTTTCATTTGATAGTGCATTATTCGGTGATATAAATCCTGATTTAGAAGATAATTTATTAGGATTATATTCTGGAGCTAATTCTGGTATATTTAATAATTCCCAAATCACCAATTCCAATACATTTGAAGGTATTATCAATCAATTAGTGATTAATCTATCCAAAGTTAAACAACAAAATAATAATTTAGTATCTATAAGTCAATTTTTAACTAATTATCAAGAGAATTTATCCACGATAAATTCAAAATATTTAGATAAACAATTTGAGATTAGAACATCCGATATAACCCAAGAACTAAGTCAACAAAAGTTAAACACGATCAAATTAAATGATCAATTAAAATCAGTCGAGAAAGAATTAAATGTTAATAAAGATATTTATAGTCTGAAATTAAAGACTTCCAAACGAGAATATGAAGATTTGAATAAGAAATATGATAAATTACGAGAAAAATTCGATGATTTACAAACTCAATTAGAGTTAGAAAAGAAGAAGAGTGCTATATTAATGACTCAATCCCCTAGTAAAGATCTGCATGAATATGCTGATGCTTCAAATGAATTATTGATTGATGAATTTGATGATCTTGATGATGATAGTATCATAAGCAATTCATACCATAAGAAGGAGACCAATACTCGTAAGAGACAAAAATCTAATGCTGATAGTGCCAGTCTTAATCATAATCATAACATTACCAATGGAAGTGATAATAAAGAAGTATATATTAATGGCAATGAAACAGTTAGTTCAAGTTCATCAAGTGAAAGTAGAAAGAATGCATTACTATCCCCCAATACTCCAAACAATCATAATAATAATCACAATCATAACAATAACGCCCGTCAAGCCATTGCAAGAAATGATATGGTTGATTTAACTCCTCCAATCTCAGATAATGAAGACAATGATCCTGATATAGAAGAAATACGACAATCAACTTCGAGTGAGAGTGATGATTTAAAAGATGAAGAAATTCAATCATCAATATCAACCTTAAATGGTGTATTCCATGATACATTAGAGCCAATATTGGATGATGAAGATACTTTCAATAATACTGATTCGAAACAACAACAAGGCTTAGATGGTAAGGTTTGGATACCGATGGTGGTTATACTCTTCACCGCTTGTTTGACTGCATTTTACACCCAACAAGAACCCAATGTTGTTAGTAATTATATATATAATTCTTTAAATAGTTAAGTTTTAATAAGGAATAAATGGGACATACACATATACCTTAGTTTTTTACAGCCATAATGTCCCTCCCTCCCCCAGCCGCGTACAGAAAAAGTCTGGCCTCTCTTTTTTTTGGCGATACCGTTTTTAAAATAGACCATTCATCCAGATCAGTAAACATTGTTACAGCTGGTTGAAGTAGGATCATGACGGTTGCAACGTTAGATGAAGTGGTTCGATTAATAGAGAGTTTCTTTGTTCATAACTATCTCCCATATTTAATAATAGAGGAAGAGAATTCTGGAGATGAAGTGGATTCTAAACTTATCAATACCTTGGAATTATACTCCTTTGGTAATTTCAATCATTATTTAGCATATAAAGATCAATTCATTAATATTCTGAAGAGAGGGATATTCAAATTGGTGGTACTAAGCATGATATCATTCGTCAATGATTTTGATGGATATAAATCGAAAATCCCTATTGACAGCATCCTCACTGATGAAAAATATGCCATTGGTAAAGGTTTAGCATTAATTGCATTTGAATTTGATGAATTGATAATTTCGATGATTAATGATAAGTTAATTGATGTTAAGATCGATGATGATGGGTTATTACTTGTTAAATCAATCAAATTAAGAGATTCTTATTCGAAATCATTATATAAATTACGAGTACTTGATGAATTCAATGATATCCCTAATCGATCCTTAAATCATGCTTTGAATAACTTACAAGATTGGTATAATGATAAATTAATCCCTACCAGACAAAGCTTACAACCAAAAGGATTGAAACCGGAAATCATGGTGCAACAAGATTCATTACTGACACCAATCAAAATTGATCTTGATAGTAGAGAGAATAGTCGCAAACGGAAAACTCCTGATCAAGGTGCTTAAAAGAAAGAGGAAAGAGATAGCATCGTTATGTATAATATATGTAAATAATGTTTATTTTTAATGAATATATGGCAAAAATACTAATATATTGAAGCTAGATAATAAATAATGGAGGGTGCGTTAAAAACGTAACTAAATCATATGATTAAAACTGTTATCTGGAGAGTTAGGGGGTGGATTGAACTGTATTGTATGAAATGAATTAAAAAATTAATGGAAAGGAATGTGAAAGGAAGATGCAATGAATGAAGTTAAAGATTATACACTTAGGCAGTATAAATCTTCTTAACTATACCGGAAACACCACCTTCTTCAGAAGTTTCAATTTTATATAAACCATATCCAGCAACACCAGTACCGAAAGTTAACAAGTACATGGCATAGTTATGTAATGAGCCATAAACTCTCTTTGGAATATAATCGATAATACATGATTGGAATCCAGTATAACTATGATATAATACTAAGACAGATAAAGTTGAATCCAACAAGGTAGAAGTACCACCTAATAATGGGGCTAAAGTCAATGGAGCTAAACCAAGAGCAACGAGTCTTTCAGAAGTCCAATGGTATGAACCTTCAAGTTTATGAGCCTTTGGTGGAACATAAGCATCATTGACAGTACCAACAATGTATCCGGGAGGTTGAGGAATGGTTTTAATACCACGGATCAAAAGTGGAATGGATGATCTGATTGGTAAGGAAGTTCTGGCTAATCCAACACGGGAAGTTAAGGATAACATGATGATGATACTAGTTCTATCTATGGATTGAATCAATCGTAATGGTTGATGACAATTTGTACAATTGTTGTTATATCGTTTTTTAGGAAGAGAGAAAAATTAGAGAGAGACCCCCCGGACTTTTCTTACTTTAAAAAACCATTTGATTGGCTGTAATATATGCAGGAAATTTACATATAATAAAAATACTATATACAGAATAAATCTATATGAGGTTAACTATGTACAACTGATGAACATTTATTACATAATTCATCAGGTTTGGGAGCTATAAACTTCCAACATCTTGGACATTTGGAATCTGAAGAGATGCCGATGTCTATGGTGATATCTGTGTTATCATCTAAATGGAATTTAGATTGATGGAGTGATTGTTGTGAGGGTTGATTGGTAGCGTTCAACGATACTTTTGATACTAAGAAATAATCGTCTAAGAATTGGGTATGATTAGTTAAAAGATTAAGAACTTCTGATGACTGATCGATTGAAAGATTGACTTCGAGTTCTAATTTATTTTTATAAGCTCCTGATAATCGAAGTTGTTCCATTTGTTTATAAGTATGATCTCTTAGTTTCCAAATCTGATCATCAAACTCAGATTCAACTGATTCATTCAAAAATTGAGTTGGTAATTGGAAAAACTCATTCCAATCACCCATCTTAAATGGTGATGATTGCTCTATCTTGAATAAAGCTTGATATTCTTGCCACACTTCTTGAGTTAAGATTGGTTGAATAGGAGCTAATAACCCTATATAAGTTTTCAAGATTTGTTGTAACACAGTTTGAATACTTCTTCTTCTGATAGAGTCAATCTTATCAGTATAAAGACAATCTTTCGAAATATCAAAATATAATGAACTCAAGATCGTATTCATATGAAAATTAATTTCATTAACCACTCTGGAGAAATTATATTGTTTATAATTCACCACACAATTAGCTTGTAACTTATACAACTTCGACAATGCATACTTGTCTAATGGATTCAAATCTTTATATTCCACTGGATTTTCAAAATCATTAACATTCCCTAATAAATATTTAAACGTAACTCTTAACTTTTTAACATTTTCAAAGACTCTAGTTAAAATCTCAGGTCCAACATTAACATCAACATTATAATTAGATGATGCAACCCATAATCTTAATCCATCAGTACCTAAACTTGGCAATAATGGTTTACCACCTCCTTCTATAACATGTTGAGGAGATATGACATTCCCTTTTGATTTTGACATTTTTTCATTCTTACTATCAAGAGTGAATCCATGAGTGATAATCTTTTGGAATGGAGCGATTGGTTTGAAATCAGTTCCATTATTAGTACCAGATGCAATAATCTTATTCAATAATGATGATTGAAACCATCCACGATGTTGATCACTACCTTCAAGATAAATATTTGCCAATGGTTTATCTGAAGTGAATGATTTCTCAACATTATCTGGATTAAGAGTGGTCCAAGATGTACCTGAATCAAACCATACATCCATGGTATCTTGACCCTTTTTATATAAATGACTAGTTGACTTCAAGTGAGGAGGTAACCATCTTGAAATATCATCTTCAATCACAAACCATTCATCAGTTCCAAATTCATCAATCTTATTAATAATATATTCCACAGTAGTAATATCATCTAATGGTTGATCGTTCTCTTTATTATATATGATTGGAAGTGGAACACCCCAAGTTCTTTGACGAGAGATACACCATTCATTTCTATTTTTAATGAAGGAAGGTAATCGATTCTTTCCACTTTCAGGATAAAATTCAACTTTATCCAATGCTTCTATCGCAATTGATTTTATTTTTTCAACGTTGACAAACCATTGAGGAGTTGATCTTTGAATCACAGGAGTTTTAGATCTCCAATCGTAAGGATATGAATGAATGAAGTTTTTATCAATGTTATAAATCATATTATGTTGAGTTAAAATCTCAATACATTTAAAGACTGTTGATGATTCAGTTACTTTTTGATTTATTAGCGAATGAAAACCTGTTGGTAAATGATCTTCAATATACTTCCCTTTACTATTCACAGATGAATTTATATTCAAATTGTTTCTCTTACCAATTAAATAATCATCACCACCATGAGCAGGAGCAGTATGAACCAAACCGGTACCAGCAGTAGATATGACATGATCTCCATGTAAGATTGGATGATGGACATTATCGGAAGATGCTGGGTTTGTATATGTATATCCGAGTAACTCGTCTCCTTTGAATGATAAGTTAGAATCTATGAGTTTGTAATCTTCATGGAGTTTTAAAATTTGTTCAACTAATGGTTGAGCTACTATGAGATATTCACTTTCATTTTCAATTAAAGTATAAGTTAAATCCTTGTTTATACATACTGCTTTGTTAGCAGGGATGGTCCATGGTGTTGAAGTCCAAATCAAGAGATTTAAAGGTTTTTCATTCACATTCAATTTTTGTGTTAATTTATGACCGTCATTGTCAACAAGGGGGAATTTCACATATATGGCAGTGGACTTATGATTATTATTATATTCCAATTCTGCTTCTGCCAATGCAGTTTCAGTTTCACATCCCCACCATACTGGTTTCAATTGTCGAGATAATAGACCATTTTCCATTAATTTTTGAAATATTTTTAATTGATTGATTTCATAATGATGATTCATAGTGATATATGGATGATTGAAATCTGTCATAATAGCAAACTGATTGAATTGGACCTTTTGATTCTCAATCATTTCAGTTGCTAGTTTTCGACAAGCATTTCTTATGTCAACAGCCAGTAAAGGTGTCGTTACATGTTCATCTTCAGTTGAACTCTCTATACTCTTCTTGTTTTTCTTTTTATTCTTCTTCGCTAAAGCTTTCTTGATTTCATTTTCGAGATTAGTAGCTTTCATTTCAATTGGCAATCCATGGCAATCCCATCCCGGTTGATATTGAACATTTGAATTATTATAAATCAATTCAAATCTATTAATGATATCCTTAAGGATCTTATTCAACGCATGACCTAAATGCAAATCCCCATTAGCATAAGGAGGACCATCATGGAGGATGAAAGGACTCTTATCCTTATTGACGTCTCTTTGCCATTGGTATAACTCCAGACTAGTCATATTTATAAGTTGATCTCTTTCATGACTCTTGGGGATCTTAGGTCCAAATTTTGTCTTAGGTAAGTGTAAAGTATGGGAATAGTTAGGTATAGATGAAGTTGAAGATAATCTAATGTGACGGCCAGTTATTACCAACCTTCGTCCATGTCGTGATAACATAATGGACTGTGTTGTATTGTCTTGAACTTATGACTGATGAATTCAAATGCTGCCTTTTTGATCAAAATTTATGATTCAATTTTTCACTCACTGGTCCCGCACCGCTAAAGCTGCTAAAAAAGAGATGAAAAAATTTTAAGACTACAACATATTAATACTTTTGAAACAACAGATGGTTCTTTTACATAAAATAAATAAACATAAATAAATACATATATATATATATGACAATAATAGGCAATAAGGGTGGGTGTGATATAAAAAAAAATGTGATTTGGAAAAATTCGTCTGGTCTTTTTTTTATATACTTAAATAGATAGATAAAAATAAAAAGAAAAGATTAAAATCATATCTAATGCTAATCATGATAATAGAAAGTAGGACTTATCTAATTCTTAGCAATACTTTTAACTAATTCAATGTATTTTTCAGTGGAGAAAGATTTTGGTCTTTCAATTGGTAAACCAATAGCTCTGTCAAGAATTAATTGAGGTAAGACACCAAAAGCTCTGGAAACACCGAATAAAACAGTATAGAAGGATTCTTCAGTTAAACCGTAGTATTGTAATAAGACACCAGAGTGAGAATCAACATTTGGCCATGGGTTCTTGGTCTTACCATGTTTGGTTAAGACACCTGGAGCAACTTCATAAATGTTTGAAACTAATTTGAATAATTCATAATCTGGCATATGTTTTAAAGCAAATTCTCTTTGTGCGGTATATCTTGGATCAGTCTTTCTTAAGACAGCATGACCATAACCAGGAACAACTCTACCAGCGTTAAGAGTTTCCCATAAATATTTTTCAATATTTTCTTTAGAGTAATCACCATGTAATTCATCTCTTAATTTAAATAACCATTCTAAAACTTCTTGATTGGCTCTACCATGTAAAGGACCAGCTAAACCGTTTAAACCAGCAGCTAAAGATAAGAATGGGGATGATAAAGCTGAACCAACTAAATGAGTAGTATGGGCAGAAACATTACCACCTTCATGATCGGAATGAATGGTTAAGTATAATCTCATTAATTCAAGAAATTCTGGGTTACCACCGAAACCTAATAAATTAGCTAAATTGGCACCATAATCTAATTTTGGATCAATTTCAGCTGGTAATTTACCATCATGGAAAATATTTCTATAAATTCTAGCAGCAATATTTGGTAATTTAGCTAATAAATCAATAGAATCTTCATAAGTATATTTCCAATATTCAGATTTGTTAACACCACTAGCATAAGCTTTAGCGAATTGAGATTCAGTTTCTAAAGCAGTAACAGCAATAGAGAATTGAGCCATTGGATGTAAATGAGATGGAGATCTGTCAATTAATTCTTCAACATGTTTTGGTAAAGCAGATCTAGCAGCAAATTCTTCAGATAAAGCTCTAGTTTGAGCTTCTGATGGAACTTCACCAGTTAATAATAACCAGAATAAAGCTTCTGGTAATGGTTCTGAACCACCTGGAGCTTTGGTTAATTCCTTTTGGATATCTGGAATGGTTCTACCTCTGAAACGGATCCCTTCAATTGGATCTAAAACAGAACCTTCCCAAACTAAACCTTTGATACCTCTCATACCACCATAGGCTTGTTCTAATAAAACTTCACCAATAACCTAAAATATTAAAGTTAGTATATTGTCATTCCTAATTGAGCACTTCAGAAAGGGTAAATATGGATAATCCAGTGAAAATGGTACAAAATAAGATTTAAATAACCGAAGGATCAATTTTCATCAATTTTGCAATTTTGAATCTCTCACTATTTCTCTGTGGTTCCTTCTTTCCATCCATTTTAAATCAGACAAAAATTTCTAAATTTTTCATCTGAAAAAAAAGGTTACAAGAAAAAAAAAATCAGACATGACAAAAAGTCCGACGAAACATGAAAAAAAGAAATTGCAAGAAGCAAAAAAAAAAAGTTCATCCCTCCACCATCAAAAGAAAAAAACTCAATTCCCTCCACTAAATAAATTGATTTCGGATATTTCAATCCAATCACCACTCATCTCAATGAAATCACCATTGATTATATCAATTGTAATGGTATTACATAGATTGATACCATGTATACTCTCATCTTGATCGGAATTTTCTCTAAAATCATTGAATCGAGTCAATTGGTAAGCTATAAAAAAGTCTCGATTTTTCGAACCCATAATGACGGATAAATCCACTCCCTGTCCTAAAATTTCTCATCTTCATAATTGAAGAAACTCATAATAATAAAAATATACATACAGTTTTACCATATTCTTTTTTTAATTGTTTAACTTCTTCAGCTTTTTGAGGTAAGATTTCTTCTAATCTTGCTTTTAAAGTCTAGAAAATGGGTTAGTATTATTAAACTCATCTCTCTCATACAGTTATGTATGCTTAGTATGTCACATGACAATGTCGAGATATCGACATTGTTGTCAACTACTTATTAAATAAAGTTGATACATACTGGTTCAGCAGTGGCATAAGTTCTTGATTGTAATAAAGTTCTTTTAGCAACGTTGGTAGAACGTTGAATTGATCTTAAGGCAGACATAATGAAAATATATGATTTATTTAATCTATGATTATTTTATATGAATTGGAAACGATTAAATTGATTTACAAAACTGAGTCTATTTCTAGTTCTAGTTTAAGTCTGTCAATTGATAGATATTACCAAATTAAAAAGATAAAAGATGAATAAGATTAAAAAAGTAGTTGTAAAAAGATCAGATTGTAAAAACTAGGAAATTTTTAAAAAATTCTACAAGGGGGATTTATATATTAATTTATACCATCAATTGTATATTGATAGTTATTATTATTACGTTTGTCTGTCTGTCTGGAATCTTTTTTTTTTTTTTCATCATCATTCATCTTGATTTTTGTCTGAATACTGGGAAAATGTCTGAATTGTCGTTTTTTACAGATTATAATTAACCTGTAAATCAATCATTTAATTTATCCAATCAAATAACTGTAAATGCGACTCATGCCAACTAAACAAACGAACAATTCGGAGCCAAACGGACAAAATCTATGTAAATTGTCGTGTGCAGACACAATTCTTACATATATTTTATCCTCGGACCTTAATATCCATAATAGATTATCCTCCAATTAAAAATTATACTTTCCCCAGATTTCGGAGTGGGAACAAAAAAAGATAAAATATGGAATAAGTATTTCAATTTTTTGTCTGAATAAAACAGACAAAAAACATTTTCTAATACTGTGAAATCATCTCCATCAAACTAATTGGCTACAATCTAAAATTATACTTACTTTAGACATTCTAAGAATCAACTTCGATGTTAATCATTGATTAGAACATTTAATTGGATTGAGATAATAGATAACACCCCATATAGAAGTTATACGATCAAATAGTTCATACCATCACTTGACATCAATTAATTAATATTATTATTAAGAGGATGAATGGTAGTAGATTGTTATTTATTATTAATGGATGGATAGTGTAAAAACCTGTAAATTACCTCATTCATTTTTATTTTTTAGGATTATTTTTCAATGGACAATTTTTTTTTTTTATTTTTGTCTTATTTTTCTGATTTTACAGGTTGCTTACTCCGGATTTTGACTTTTTACATTTTAAAAAAATTCGATTCACAAAATTGAAACGACCAACCGACCATCCACAAGTATCCCTTTGTTTTTGTTACAGTACAACGGTTACTATAACGATGATGATTCCTGTTACATATAAATCTTGTGGAACCTTCATCTTAACCAATGCTTGATCCTACCTATTTAATCCTGGACTTCAATTTCCATTTTAAACAACCTTTGAAATCATTGATAGTCATAAATTAAACTATTGAAAGTTTAATTATTAAACGTAGTGGGGCTCTTTGTTTGTTTGCGCTTACCTTTCAAATTATTTCGGATCAGACATCCTTTAACTTTTTTTTTTCTTTTTCTTTTTTTTTTTTTTTCGTTTCTGGTTGAATTTTTAAACCCAACCGATACACGTATGTACATACGTATTTTTACATTTTTACATTAATAATTATATAATTCACTCACCGACCCATAAGTAAGCTCCGAGACCAATCTAGATATCAACAATAGTTTACTTACCCGTAATATTTATTTTTAATCGTATCATATATTATATTACACTTTCATTCCTAACTGCTAAATCTTATCCCCTTAAAAATTTCTTATAAAACTGCATGGTGCGGGGGTGGGGCACGTCAATTTCTTCACCCACAATTCGATTCTAAACTGATATAACCACTTTTTCTTTCCATTTTAAACTATATGTGGTGATCATATTGATGGTGGTGGTTTTTGTTGTGGTTGTTTAGGTTTAAATTACCCCAGAAAATTATTTCAATTTAAAGTTTTAAAATGCGGTGAATGAGTTTATATTGGTGGGGGTTTATTTACTTTTTGGAATATACCCGTAATTTCTTAGTTATACATATCATTATTATTTATTATTAATCATTCGAAAACTTCGGAGTGATTCCCAAAGTTTAATAGCTTTATTTTTGTCTGTCTGTCTGAATTCTATCCGGACTTGGTTCAATCTAATGTAGTTCGATCGTTTAGAATGAGTTAACTTTTAACGAGTCTAATTATAACAGTTTTTGTATTTTTCTCGGACTTTTATCCAAGAACTAATTCAATTCTCTATATCGTTTCTTTGTTATTTCTTTTCTTGGAAAATGTCATATTTTTAAAAAAAAAAATTCAACAATTTTAGGAAGTTCTAGTGGGGCAATTGATATTTTGTCATTGAATCATTGCCCCTAATCATTGTCCGAGCTTTGAATCGTTCTAATTGGTCTTATTCGGAATTCCTAGAAAGGCTAACCGGTATTATTATCAGAATAATTTTATTTTATGAATTAATGTAATTTTATGTAAATGGTTTCAAAATATATTTGGTAATCATCTTACTTGGTTGTACTTTCTTACAAATCATGCTAAAATACTAGTAAAAGTCATTGAAATCACTTATTGTAATCACTCTTCAAGCTAAACGTTACCCTAAAGTAGTTTTTAATAACATGCCTATCTACTCAAATCAATCATAACAACAATTACGAACTCCAGTAGTATCTCTCCATACTAATATCAAATCTAACTGCATTTGTTGATAATTTTGCGCAGCCAAAATGGAACCTACACCAAAAAAAAAATAGCTGAAAAGATGCCCTAAAAAAAATTTAATAGATGGATCCAACCCCAAAATCACATCAATCAAACTTATAACCACGACCATCACTATGATAGCAAGAATACTAGGTGGTATATACTTATCCTCCATAGAGCCCATCAACAACAACATAGATTTAAAATCAGAATATAACATCACCCATATATTATCAGTCTTACCTGGTCCTATACCGAATACTTATAAATCACCAAATTATCATCATAAACAGATTGAAATCACTGATGAAGAAACAAGTAACATCTTACAGTATTTCGATGATGCATTAAGTTTTATAAGTGATGCGATAAAAGAGAAGGGGAATGTATTGGTTCATTGTGCTCAAGGTTCTTCCCGATCAGTCATTATTGTGATGGCATACCTTATGAAGTATTATAAATTGAAATTAGATCAATCGTTATATGCTATACGAAGAAAATTTACTGATGGTGAAAGTTTGATTAATCCAAATCTGGAATTCATCAGACAATTGGAATTATACGCTGAGATGGGATTTAAATTAGATTTTAACAATGTGAATTATAAACAATATGTGATAGATTTGAATTTAAAATTAGATCCATCAGGTCACTCCCTTCAACAATTAAACCTCTTCCCCACCACATCCACCACCACAGAAGATGACAATACCACCACGACCCCACCATCAGATTTAAGATGTAAGAGATGTCGACAAATCCTTTCCAAATCAAATCAAATTGAATATCACGACGCTCCCGATTCAGATTCTCGTCAATCACAATTCATCAAAACTGCTCCAAATTCAAGAAGAATCATTAAAGTTCAAGAAGCAAGTCTAAACTGTAGTCATTTCTTCTTAATAGAGCCTTTAAATTGGATGAAACCAGAATTAGAACGTGGAGATATAGAAGGGAAATTCCAATGTCCAAAATGTTCAGCAAAAGTGGGTGGATATAGTTGGAAAGGCTCAAGATGTTCTTGTGGTAAATGGATGGTTCCTGCTATTCATTTACAGACCGCTAAAGTCGATGACATTAAAAACATGCAATTGAACCAATCTATATAGTTATATATATATGTACATATACAGTAATTTAATTAATTACCTTCAACTATCATATCTAGATTAGATGCATCTTCATCATCTTCATTTTCATTTTCATTTTGATTCTCATTTTCATTTTGATTTTCATTATCTTCATCAAACTCTCTTAATCTACTTATAGAATGTACTGGACCTGCTGTACTTGGCAAAGTAGTGGAGTTTGTAATTAAACTTCTACCTGAATTATTCATGGATGAAAATGCAGTAGATACTGAATTAGTCACATATTCAGCATTTAAACTATGATCATCTTGATATTCAACTTCATCAGCCATAAATCCTTCATCTTCTTGAAGATGTATAGTTCGGAAAGTTGCATTAGCATTTATACTATTATGATTACCAGTACTATGACCAATACTACTTGAACTTGAATCTTGTGATCTATCATGTCTACGTTGTGGTTGAGCTTGACCTAAATTCAATGGGTCATAATATTCTTCTTCACTCTCATCAAATCCTTCCATTCCATCCTCATTGTCAGCATCTATTAAATTAGCATCCAAATCATCTTGAGATTGATCTAATAATTGTCGACCAATATTATTAAGTGATACACCTGACATAGAATCATAACCTGAACTCATATGAGCAGTACTAACATGACTACTTCGATTAACATTGCTATTACTATTATTATCAAAACGGACACGAGAATTACGATTATCATGGGAATTTTCAGCAGCATTAAGATAGGATTGATCATCAATTTGATCATCACTTTGATTACTATATTGATTAGCATTGAAATCAATGTCTGCTAAAGTTGTATAAATCCCAATAGGTCGTATAGTATTATAACCTGTTGCTCTAATTCTTTCCAATTGATCGATTCTCAGTTGTATTAATGGAGTAGTAGTTAAGAATTTCTTGGTATGACGATAACTTGAATTAGTTGATTGAATAGTATATTCTAATTCTAATGAATTAGCACCAGGATATTCAGCTGAATAAGCTTGTAAAGGAGGTGCGAATAATAATCGAGATTGTTTCCTCTCTTCCATCATTATCTGCTCTGCTGATAGTTGTCTATTGCTGGAATTGATATGATTTAGATGATTTTGATGATTGCTATTGTTGATGCTGCCATTCTGGGTATTACTATGTCTATCAGCACTTTGAACTGATTTAATGGCAGTTTCTTTGATTCCATAATGTATATAAGTTATTGGAGAACAACGATGGAGAATACATAGTGTTGTTGTATATGATTCTATCCCCCGCTTAGACTTATGAAGTGATAAGGGTGTGATTGGTATCTATCACCAACGGTCAGATCAGAAGTCAGAAATGAGCGCCTAAATTTTCAGGCTACACGGTTCGCAAAAAAAAAAGGAAAGGTTCAATTTCAAAATTCAATAGACTGCAAATTCATACTATGAATAATTATTGTCATATATTATATATACAAAATTCTATATTTATCCTATTCATTATCATCATCTTCATCCTCATCATTAGTTAAGATGAACTCATCAAGAATCTTTTGCTTTTCAACTTCACTATCAACTAGGTATGGTTGACTTTCAAAATGATCGGTATTTTTATCCTTCAAGGGCCATACGAAACCAGAGACCAGGTTAACTCCTCCTAATGTCACTATACAACCATAACAGATATGTACAGACTTATATCTATCATCAATAATTTCTGGCTCTCCAATAGAAGCTTTATACGATTCAAGATACTCTTTTTCTTCTTCAGTCTCTATAGGAGCAGCTTTATTAACAGTAATATTTCTTAACCAATTACCTGGATCTTGATAGATTTCAACCCCACATACTTGACAATGAGTAACTAATGAAGTTGAGTCTGATTTTGGAGCACCCAATTTCTCCCCTGTTTTAACTACGGTTGATGCGGTGGAGGCATATCCTGTAGCATCTAATTGACTGAAATATCTGGTAGTCAAATCTCTGATGGTTAAATTTTTATTGATCTTCGATTTTGGAATAGTGGATTGTAAAATAAATTCATCCATGTTGGTTAATTTACAATAAGATATGATTTCAGCGTATAATACATCACGTAATGGGAATAAAATTTGAAATTGTTGATCTTTGTAAGTTTTCGAATGATCAGAAATAGCTTCATAAATGATCGATCCTCTTCCTTTGACAGTTAATGCAATGATCTCATTAGCAATTCTAGTCATACTATGACCATATATTATAGTTTGACATTTTTCAAGGTATGCAGTTCGAAGAATTAATTCATTATAAATTATAGTTAATAAATCTTCAACTGATGATTTATTAGGACATAATTCTAATATATCAAATAATGTATATGATTTATCACTCCCTATTATAGTTGATGAAAGACCAGTGAAATCATCATTCAAAACGATTTTGTCTAGTATTGAATCATCTAAGATATATGAATTTAATGCTAATACTTTATATTGGATATTAGCTGGCGAATATCTTTTAATTAATAAGGGTAGTATTTCTCCAACCTTCTTATTTAAATGATTTAAATCAAATTCATCCAAATTCAAGATAATCAATTCAAATCCTTGTTTTCCATTATGAGCTTCGAATTGTTCTTGCAATAACGATGCCATAACATCTAAAAGCACTACACTTGATTCTCCACCCGATAAGGCTAATAAAACCTTTTGTTGACCATGTCTCTCAATAAAAGGACCATATTTGACTTTATATTTATCATCTTGCATTTGCTTTCTTTGTTTACCTCTGATGAATCTTATAAAACAATTCTGGCAAAATTTCTCCTTTCTAGTAATTAAAATGGCATTTTCGACTTTACATCTTTGGCAAGGTGATGAACTGGATTCTTCTTCATCCAAGTACTTGACAGGCTGATTGTCAGACATCTTACTTATGTTGCAGTAGTATCTTGGCTATGAAGTTGTTTGTTAGTAATTACTAAATCATCTCTGGTACAAAAAATTTCTGCAGCTTAATTTTTTAAGCTGTAAAATGAATGATTTTTACAGGTTTAGACTTTTTTACAGGTTTTGATGTTTTTACAGTTTATTTTTGGTCTGAAAAAGCTGAACCAGACTTTATTCACTTACACCAAGTCTTCATCCTAACCAATTCAATCGATAATATGTCAGAAGAGAAGATAACGCCATCATCAACTCCTGATGTTGAAGTAGTGGAACCAAAAATATCTAAGAAAAGAGAAGCTAAGTTGAAAGTGCTTGCTAAAGATGAATCAGATACAGTTGAAACCAGTGTCGATAAAGTTGATTTCACCAAAGGTGGAGTAGAGAATTTTAAATTCTATCCAGATAATCCAGAAAACCATCGACACAAGTATAGATGGACCATGAAAGAACCATCAAAGTTTTATGATCCATGTGAAGAAAGTAGACAAGCTTCAATGAATTGTCTTTTAAGAAATCAAACTGATAGGTTAGCGTGTCAAGACTTCTTTGATGCTTATAAAGAATGTAGAAAGGATTTCTTTAATAAGAAGAGGCAAGATAAAATAGACGGTAAGGGCGGTTGGGGATTTTGGTAATGACAGCTATAATTTAGGAAAGCATACATTACAGATGTATATCATGTAAATACGAATTAAAATTAATATATACCCATTTTTATTATTTTTTATGTATATGTAACAACCCTATATAATGTACCTATTAAACCATTTGAAATGAAGAATGTCCACTACCAACTTCATGAGAAGAATAATCTCGTTTTAATGTCCCTGTTAATTTACTTGACTTAGCAGGAAGATGATGATTAAGATCTTTTGGAAGATCACCAAAACTTCGAGGTAAACCTTCACGATCTGCAAGAGAGAACATTTCAAAATCCGATTGAACTCTTCCTGATGATCCTATTCCCATCACTCTTGATAATACTTGTGATGAATGTTTAGGATTGATATCCTTATAATGTAAGTACGGTAAAGTATTGTGAATCTCTAATAACCCTGATTTACGATTAATTGAACATAATAAAGTTGCGAATTTATTATCATCAACCACTTTTTCTTTCAGTTCATCCTTTAAAATCTTATCATGAACCATTTTATATTTTGAAATGTATGATTTTTTATCATCATGACAATTTTCCAAGAAGAAATTAATACAAATATCCAAATACTTTGAAACATCAACTTTCAAAGTGAATAAAACATAATTCAATTGAACATTTAATAAACTTATGGAATCATCGTCTGTTATCAGTTCACATAACTTACGAGCCAACGTCTTTTCCCAATCATCAGAATTTTTCAATTTTGAAGGTGGTGGAGGAGGTAATGCCGCTCTGGCACGAGACATTTGACCAGAAACTGCGATGGGTGGAGTTGGTGGAGCTGATGATGAAGTACTTGTCTTTCCTGGTAACAATCCTTTTGAATTTGATAGTTGATGTTTAATGTAAGCGAAATCTTCTTTAATTTCATTCATATTATTTTCAAATGAATCAAGTAAATATCTTGCATCACCTTGGTCAACTACGGGAATATTTAAATTTGAAAAATGAATTAAATTCCTTCTCACAAGTTGTAAATAACTTAAGAGACAACTTTGCTTGAATTGTTGAAATGGTTCCAATTTCATCCATTCCAAAACTTGGACTCTAGCCCTACTTGATTTTAACTTGTTTGCTGGTGATTGTGATGATTGTCGACTATGTCTATTGGCATATGATTTATTATCAGGTAACTTTAAACTTGGAAGGAATCTTAAGTCATGAGTTTTAAAATCGATAATTTCACCTTCAACCGGTATAGAAATTAATTTCTGTACTTGACAATTGTTAGCTATACTTTGATGAACATTTTTATCCTTAAGTAGTTTATCCAAGATATTCAATTTTCTTCTAATATTATCACTCTTTATGAAATTATTCCAATAAAAATCCTTTTCAATTCCACAAAAATATTTAGCAAACATTTCCAATTGTTTTCTTAATGATGAATATGGATCATTTGACATAGGATTAAAATCTTGAAATTGAAAACAACCTTGAATAGAGTTTTGTTCATAATCGATATTTGAGAAAACCAAATCACATTCTGTAATTGATGGTTTATAATGATCCAATAAAATACGATATCTTACCCCTGACTGGAAATACGAACTAAATTGAACATTCATGATTTTTTCTTTATCTTCTCTTGATAATAATAAATGTGTCTTCTTATGACCTTTCTTTGATTTCATGGATGGATTGTAAATTTTTGATTTGACTTTCTTTGGTAAGTCATCATTTAAAAACTCAACTTCTTCTCCATCACTACCATTATGATCAATCTTTTGCCTTTTTAATACACCACCTTCATTTGGTATCAAAGGTTTTGGAAATTTCCGTTTGCCATAACTGACACATGCATTAAATCTTGGCTCTGGTTTACAATCTTCAGCAAGTTTCAACCACAATAAATCCAATCTTCTTCTCTTTAAATAAACATCCATATCCAATTCTAGATTATATGTTGCACCTTCATTTCTTAAGGAATGACTCGAAGGTAAGAAGAAATAAGCATAATTTGGTTCGAATTCACTAAGAGGGAATAATAATGATTTACCACCTCTATTTCGGAATGATTTTAAATTCTTACTTCTAATTAAATAATCTGTCATATCCCGATGTAATTTTCGAGCTTCAAGATTAATCTCTGATTTCCAACTACAATCAGTTTTTTCATCATCCTCTTCAATATTATCCTTAGAATCATTATTATCATTATCTTTATTATTATTATCATTATCATTATTGGTGATACTTTTATTATCTGACTTATCTTTCTTATCAAATACTCTAGAATCGTTAATGACAACAGATTTAGAAAGCTCATCAAAATATGGATTAGCACTTCTTAATCGTATAGCATTTTGACGACGTAAGGGTATAGGACGAATTTCATCTCGAGATCTTGCAGACTCACCACTTCCAGAAGCAGCGGCAGATGAAGAAGACGAGGCAGATGCACGATATGATACATCATTAATAGAATATCGAGGATTTGGATTTGGATTAAGATAACTTTGTCTAGCCGATGATAATAAAAGTCGATTAAATTGAGCATCGGATGATCGAGTAATACCAGGAGCAAGGAATGGTCGAGTTTGATTCCGTCGAATAGTAGGACGACGTGGGATTGAATTATTGGTTTCGGGATTATTATTGACGTCCAGTCGAATTTGGGTTTGTCGTTGGAATCGATCAACCAAATCACCACTTTGTCTTAATCTTTGTCGTCTCTGTAATTCACGTTCGACTTCATTGAATTCTTCATCACTTAACCCCTCCAATGCATCTTGGAAATCTTGAAGTGGTGGTGGAGCAGGATGAAGTGTTGGCAAGAGTAATGATCTTGGACCATAATAATTATCATTTCCGTTAAGAAGCATACGTTCAATGTCAATACCATAAGGATCGGGACCATCAGATTCAGCCAAATAACTATCAGTCATTACAGCGTCCACCATATTATCAAATTCTTCACCTCCAAATTCACGAAACTCATCTTCATCATCTTCATCTTCATCAACATCGTCTTCGTCATCTTCGTCATCATCATCAACATCATCATCGTCGTCGTCGTCATCATCTTCATCTTCATCATCCATATCAGAATCAGCCGCATCTAACCACGCTTCATCAGAGGAATATGCCACTTCAGTTTCATGATCTAATAATCCATTCCGTATATCACGATCAGTTTGCTCCAACTGAATTAATTGTCGTTGATGAAGTTCTTGTTGTCGTTGTTGTAATTCTCGTATACCAAGACCTCTAATAGAAGAATGTAATCGAGAAAGTTCATTAGCTGATGATGAGGGAACATTCATAAGAGATTGTTGATCAAATTCCATACCAATGGCATCACTTGGCTCTGCAACTCTAGTATAATAAGGGTGCGAATTATGGAAATAAGGATAAGAATTATGGAAATCAATAAGATCAGGATTATTATTGGTATTACGGGTGGTAGTAGGATTAATGTCATCATTATCGATATCAGTAGTAGAACGTCCACCGTATCGGACATCATCACTACGATTTAGATTATATCTATTACTAGGATTTGTATTTGAATTACTCAGGGTAGCATTTACGGAACTTGTGGATTCATTAATATTAGTAGGTTGATTTAAATAAAATGGAACAACAGGGTAACCGGCAGAACTTCTTAGAGACCATCGAGGGTCAGATCTTCTTCTTAATCTATGACGTTCATAAGCTACTGCGTATTGAGTTGTTAAATCAGCTGGATCAACTGGAGCATGAGGTATTGATTGAGATTGAGATTGATTTGATGATTGGGGTATATTTGATTCATTCAAATTTGAATTGTTATCAGATTGATTTTCATGATTATTATTATTTTGATTATTGGTTGTAGGAGTTGAAGGAGGTGGCATAATCGAAAGACCAACCACAAATGATTCTTTTGCAAAACTTTAGATACGAGAACCTATAGGCAAATACAAATACAAATTTAAGGATAAGCTATGATACCCAGGACAGATTTAAGGGTAGTTAAAAATGGAAGTTTAGATCTAATTAGAAAATAGCCTAATATATTTATAGATAAGTATTTTGATGATATAAAATAGCAGTTGATTGTTTAAAATTTAAAGATATGTGATTTTAAAATTTAACATTTAAAGAACTTAATTTAGAAAAGAGTGGAGGGGAGAATTACACAAAAGATGGAACTCTCATTATAAAAGAAAAACGATAATAACATCCACACATCCAGTCAGGTGATTAAAATCACACGACAAAATTTGAACACATCCATACCGCCAGTCCACTTAGTTTTCAATGGTGCGTTGTCAATAGATCGATCAAACTTAAAGGTTGAATATACAACAAAAGGTATGAATTAAATGATAATTTTAGTGCTGTAAAGATAAAAGTTAGTTAGTGGATTGGATGAATTGAAGAGTGACTTATTAAGTTAATATAGGTATATACTTAGTTATGACATTGATGGTATGTCGGGTTTATATATAGTAAGTAAAAATGGCAGCCATTAATAAATGCGAGATATCATAACTGATGTGAAACAGTTATGAAAAAGTGTATCGTCAATTAATTCAATTATAAAACAGAGTCATTTTAGTTAGTATGACAACCAACATTAAGGGTGATTAATTTAAGTAAGGGGACAATAACAAGGAGGATGAGGTACTGACACGAAGAAGAAGAAGTAAAGTAAAGTAAGTAATTTAAACTGACGATAGATTAAATTAAAAAAAAAAAAATTACCGAATTAGGCATTAATTAATTTTAAATTATCATAAACGATGATACATTGTCATACCTGTGAATAGACTAATTTAGATATAATACGGTTATAGTGGGAGGGAGGGACTGGTATTCAATATCTATTACAGTTTCATGAACTATTCCATCATCAATATGATTGATTGATGAAGTAAGTACTAACAGGTTATATTGCAAAGGTTTGGCAGTAATAAATGTCGTGTGGTCTAGATTCTTATAATTGCAACACGGCACGACCAAACAAAGTGAAAAATTACACTAAAAAAACAACCAAAAGACGACATTTTCTCTCCCGCCCACAGTTAACCAAATAAAAAAAAAAGATCTTCACAAAAATAAAAAAAAAAAAGAAAAAAAATTTCAGCCAGCTGTAAAAAAGTGACACCTGAACTTTTAGACATAATAATCAATTAATCATAATAACATAGTAGTTATCTATAACATGTTAAACACTTATTGCAAGCAACAAATGCAATCAGTCAGTTGACATGTGATAGACGATGCCAGCCAATAACATACTTTGTATTCTGTAAAAATGGTATCCTCTAGTATATAATGGACCCCTTATACCCTGTAGCCTCATATTAAAGAAGAAATTTTGGTAGGCAGAAGTTTCCTTAACAAAATTTAAAAATTAAAAAATCATTTTTTTTTTTTATTATTTTTTTTAATTTTTTTTTTTTGGAGGGATACGACTTTATGATAAATAAAAATTTATAATAAACTATCAACAACAACACCTTGTTATCAACTATATCTTTCCATCAACATACTCCACTCTTTACACTCCTTTGCAACAGAATCTATCATACATATTATACCCTCCATACCAGTTCATCATCTAGATACCACCCTATTTCATCTATCTCCTTTTGCCAAGTTTAAACTATTAAATACCTAGTCTTCGCGCATTTAATTAGCATAGAATAGACAAGACAACCCTATTCCAAAGACACGACAAGAACAAGAACAAGAACAAGAACGTTTGACACATATTAATAATCAACCATATAACTATCTTGTGACTCCACGTATCCTTATCCCTTTAACCCCCCCTCCCAATATGACAACGAACGGCTCAGTCTATATCTGTATCAAACAGTTCAACGCCAGATTAGGTGATGAACTTTCTTTGAAAGTTGGTGATAAAGTCGAAGTATTGGCTGACGATAGTGAATATAATGATGGATGGTTTATGGGAAAGAATCTATTAACTAATGAAGTTGGTTTATACCCAAAATCATTCACTCAAATCTTACAAACTTTACAAAATCCTGATAAATCATTATTAAGATCAAGACTGAGAAGAGTTGCTAGTAATAATAATATGAATAATAATAATAATAACAGTAATAATACTAATAATAATACCAGTGGTGCAAGTACTCCTACTCTAAAAGTTAATCAAGTCACTGATTCCGTTGAAAAATTAGATATTGCTGGTTATAATGGTAATACCACTGACGGATTACAAATTTCTCAATCTGAAAATAATACCAATGCTTCTTCGGCAACACATATTCATAAACCATCTCATTCAAGAAATCTATCAACTCAATCCTTAACTGAAGATTTAAACCCTCTACAAGCCCATACTTGGACTCCTCAACAAGTTTCATCTTATTTTGCTTTAGTATTAGGATTTGATTTAAATATTGCTGGAAAATTCGCTAGACATAAAATTACAGGACCTATTCTATTTGAATTAGATTTATCAAATTTAAAAGAATTAGAAATTGATTCATTTGGTACAAGATTTGAAATTAATAAAGAAATTGAAAAATTAAAACAAATTTCTTCAAGAGGAGCAAAATTAAAAGCTTCAAAGACAAATCAAAATCTTGTTGATAGTTCAACTACTTCTGAAGAAGATTTCCAAAGTCCAACTGCAACCACTCCAAATAAATTTGGTCATGAATTCCCATTCCCTAATAATAATTCAGATGAAGATAAATCAAGTACCGCAACTCCTCCACTTGTTAATAAACCAGCTCAAAGAAATCTGATGTTAATGCCTTCAGCAACTTTAACTGCCTCATCTTCAACTTCATCAGGATTTTATAAACATCATCAAAGGAAAAGATCTCAATCGATGGATAATCTTACTTCTATAACTCCAAATGAACAAGATGAAGATGCTGAAGAAACTGATGATTCATTCCATAATCTTTTTACATCCCCAAGAAAAGCTCCTCAACCTCCAACTGATAGTCCTATGAATACTTCATATAAATTCGGTGAAGGTGGCGCTGGTTCAAGAGTTCAAAGTCCTGGATTTGATTATGGGATTTATAAAACAAGATCTCATGCTTCAAGTACTCTTGTCTTAAGTAGACCAAGTTCGTCAGTTTATGAACAATCACTTTCAGCAAGTCATAAACGTGGGGTATCCCAAGCTTCAAATGGTAATAATAATAATACTCACCATAGAAGAAATTCATCAATCCTTTCTAGTAGTAATAATACTCATCATAAGAGACATTCATCATTATTCTCATTTTTATCAGGTAATGAAGAAAAACAACTTAATAATGGTTCAGGAACTAATGGTGCTGATAGAAATAATACCCTCGTTAAAGATGGACCAAAATTAACTTCTCCAGTGAATCTTAAACATGATCCAATCACTACTCCAAGATCTAATCAAGTTCCATTTTCTCCAAGAGCAAGAAAGAATAATGGTATTATAAATATTGATAACAGTGATGATAAAGAAAACGGAAGAGGATCACCAAGTGATTTATCGACTGTTCTTGATATCGATGATGCTCAATTCTCACCAAAGAAACTGAAATCTGTATCATATTCTAAACCAGATATGCCAACCTTAAAAGATGAAAAAAGATCTGCTTCAGATTCTCCAATGAGTAGTATGAGTTCCTCCACAACTTTACAACCACCAAGTGCAACTGGTAGATTAAAGAGTTTAAGAACTGTTTCTGCTCAAAATTTAAAGAATATTACTGCTTCCAGAAAACTGAAAACTTCTGCTTTCCAAGAAGGTATAAGAGACATTTCTCCTGATGAAGCTATCAAACAAGCTAGTTATAGTGGTTGGATGTCTAAAAAATCAGGAAATGCTTTAACTTGGAGATCAAGATATTTCACTTTACATGGTACAAGATTATCATATTTTGCTTCATTAAAAGATAAACGTGAAAAGGGTTTAATTGATATAACAGCTCATAAAGTGATTCCATTTAGTACTGATTCTGATGAATTTTCAGAACGTTCTGATAAATATAATGCTTTAATTGCTTCTTCAACATTTTCAGGTAGTTATTGTTTTAAAATTATTCCACCTGCTCCAGGTTTCAAAAAAGGGTTAACTTTCACTCAACCTAAGACTCATTATTTCGCAGTTGAAACTGAAGAAGATATGAGAGGTTGGATTAAAGCTTTGATGACTGCTACTATTGATATCGATGATACTGTTCCTGTCGTAAGTAGTTGTTCTACTCCAACTGTTAGTTTATCAAAAGCTCAAGAATTATTAGCTAAAGCTAGAGAAGAAACTAAATTAAAGGATGAACAATTACGTGCTCAGGGTTATATCAGAGGTGGTGATAATTCTGCTGCTGCTAATCGTCATCATAGTAATGGTACTGATGATTTCAGTCAATTCTTAAATGATACCACTAATGATTTCCCAACTTCAGTTGATAGTACTACATCTCAACATGATGATTCCACTGCTGATACTTCTATCAATCCACCAAAATTATCTATCGATACATCTTTAAAAAACAGTCCTAAAACTCCAAGTACTCCTCATGTGGGTAATGGACATTCAAGTTTAAGTGCTCCACCTAATGGATTTGCTTCTCCATATTTATTAGCTTCAGGTTTATTATCACCTAAATCAAATCATGGATCTTCAACTACTGGAACCCCAGTTCTGAGATCAAATTCGGATTATTTCCATGAACCTACAACTATTCCACCTCAACAAACTCTTGAACCACCAAGTTCAGCTTCTCCAACTACAAGTTCAACTCCAAAGTCGATCTTCTCCAATAGTAATGGAAGAATCTTAAGTGGATCAAGAAAAAAGTTACCAGCAGAAAAGTTAATGGCTTATTCTAGTGATGGTACGGGTAATCATAGTTTTGTAATCAAATCTAAGAAATAATGGGTATTTTAATGGTAATAAAATTTTGGATTGGTATATATTTGTGATGCTTTTTGCTTGTTTTAATTTTTTATACTTATTTTATTTGCTATCTTCGTGTGGGAAGATAGCTGCTGTCTATATAGTCTCTTTCTTCCTATCTCTATTAGCTAGTCTCTATCTTTATATTTATCTATATAACAATTTCTCTTCCTTTTATAACGTAAATGTATTATTTTAATTAGTTTTATATCAAATTCCTGTATGTAGAGAATTTCTTTTTGATGTTTTGTTTGTTTTCGTTTTTGGCGGTACCACAAAATAGAATCAAATCAGTTTTAGGCAGCACCAAACTATAGTTGGATCAGATCAGATCAGATTGATAAAGAAAGGAGGTTAGGAAGTAAGATACATGTCAACTGCGTTCCTTCATTCAAGTCTAGAGTCAGACTTACCAGGTGGTGGTGGTACTGGATTCCCTCATCCATCATTTGCAAGCAATACCAATAATGCAACCACCACGTCTGATTCACAATATGTTCAACAATATCTTAGATCAATCATTATTCATAGTTTGGATACGTTCAACTTCAACAATGCTGAATTCACCAGTGAAAGGTTGTTAGCTATTGATTCCACTAATCCTCAATCGATCTATTTGTATTGTTTGACCTTGTTTAAACAAGGGAAGTTTAAAAGTTGTTACAGTAAATTGATCAATAATATTGACTTAATCAACTCAAATCTTAGTTGTACTTACCTTTTCGGACAATGTTGTTTAAAGTTGAAGTTGTATAAAGAAGGTATTTATCAAGTCATCAAATTACATGCATTATATAATGAAGAAGAGAATCTTGATCATAATCCTGATAATGAGAACAATCCATATTATTTCATAACGAGTCAACAGAAATTTAATTATGAATTCAATCGTTCAATGCAACCAGATTCATCTATGATACATCATTTATTAGGTGATTTATATAAGGGGATCAATGATATTAAAAATAGTGCTTTGAATTATAGTCAAGCTGTAAAATATAACCAATTTGATTTCGAAGCATTTCAAGAATTATGTAAATTAGGAGTTAAAGTCAGAGTTAAATCAATTTATAAATCAAATGGGAATGGTTTCAATATACCAACTAATGGGGGAGACGAAAGTATTGTTGATTATAATAATAGTGATAATTTTTCAAATCCTTTCTCAAATAGTAATGTGGGAGAAACACCTATAATTCATCAAGATGATAGCTTTACTAATCTTTCAACTCCAAGAATTAGACCGACAGTGGTTCCAGATGCACCTTTAAGAAGATCAAATTTAAACACTGGTGGAGCTGGTGCTAATCTTACATCATTTGAATTTACCAAACCTAACTTTCCTAATGTTTCTGATACTATTAACAACAGTATGAATGAGAAAAAGCCAACCAGCAAGAGAGAAAGTGCATATTCACGTATAACATCGAGATTGACTTCATTACCTGGAACTTCATCTACAACCACATCCAATTCAACCACATCTTCATCAAATAATCCTAATGTTTCCAATTCTAAAATTCTTGAAACTCCAGGAAAGAAATCAAATATTAGATCTACGTTAAAAAGAAATACATCTAGTTCTATGATGGATGTAGGTAACCATACCACCACCAATAATAATAATAATGCCAATAACAACAATAATAACCAGATCATTATGAATAAAGAGATTATAAGAACTGAGAAATATTTATTCAAATTATACATTATTTTCGCCAAAGCATTTAAATGTATGAGTAAATATGATTGTTATAAAGGTATTCGATTATTAGAACTGTTACCTGAGAATGAAAAGGAAACACCATGGGTCTTAAGTAAATTAGGACGATTAAATTATGAAATTATCAATTATAAACAAAGTGATTATTATTTTATGAGATTACGAAAATTAGATCGTACTCGATTAGAAGATATGGAATATTATTCTACTTTATTATGGCATTTACATCGGAAAGTTGAATTATCATATTTAGCTAATGAATTATATGATTTAAATAATGAAAGTTCTATAACTTGGTGTGTGATTGGGAATTTATTTTCTTTAATTCGAGAACCAGATGAAGCTATTAAATGTTTTAATAAAGCGATTTCAAAAGATGAAGATTTTACTTATGGATATACCTTAAAAGGTCATGAATATTTTAGTAATGATAATTATGAAATGGCATTAGAAAATTTCCGAATTAGTTTATTAAAGGATTCTCGTCATTATAATGCCTTATATGGGATTGGAATGGTTTATATTAATTTAGGTGATTATCAAAAAGCTGATTATCATTTCCGAAAAGCATTATCAATCAATCCTATTAATATAATTTTAATTTGTTGTGTTGGAATGGTATTAGAGAAATTAAATAAGAAATCACTTGCATTAAAACAATATGATTTAGCTAATAAATTACAACCTTTAAATCCATTACCAATCTTTAAAAAGGCCCAATTATTATTCTCCATGCAAAATTTCCAACAATCATTAATTAATTTTGAAAAATTAAAAGATTTAGCTCCTCAAGAAGCAAGTGTTCATTTCTTATTAGGTCAATTATATAATATTCAAAATGATAAATTCCAAGCCATAAGAGAATTCACTATTGCTTTGAATTTAGATCCAAAGGGTAACTATCTAATCAGAGAAGCCATGGAATCATTGAAAGAAAAGTAGATATCGTATATACATATATAGAATATGAATGTATATATATATAAATAGATACGCGACGCGTAGTTCAAACATTGCGATTTATTATAACCGATATATATAAAAGGGTTCAAAACAGGGATTAATATTTAAATGCAAAGGCTAGCTCGCCTTAGATTGGCAATGCTTAGACGTTGTTGTTTAAACATAAAAAATAATTTTAGCCTAGTTTCTTCTTATTATTATTATTAGGGGAAATTAGTTTTGTGTTTGTGGTGATTCGCGATCTTTTGATTTGGGGTTTTCAATTTGTAGATGACGGTATGATAGCATAACATGCTTTAATCGAATTGATACTATGGAAGCAATCAACAATAATTCGATGTAGCCAATGAATACTTCATAATCCTATATATGTATTTCAAATAAGATTTAATAGTAGAAAGAAACAAATCAGTAGATGCCCCCCACTTAAGCTGCAAAAAAAAGATGTGAGGAATTATCTACCCATTCATATGATCATAGTCGTTTGCAAGTCTTCACTGATATAATCAGTTCCATCCCTTTTTAAATTGTTAAATAAAAGACTCATCGAATTCTGATCAGATTCTTTGACGTTCTGGAAATAATCTACCAAAAAAATTATTAATAATAAAGGTATGGAATACTTCATATCATCATTCTTGATACATCTTGTATGACAATTAATCAGATAAGCTTGTGTCCCATCTAATCTGAACAAGTCTGGGGTTTCATCTATTTGAACAATTAATAAACAATCAACGCCTATCACAAATCCTAATTTCGATTTATAAGCTAACATCACGTATAAAATTCTATTCATTATATGTTTCCATTTGACAGAATCTTGATTGTTGAATGCTATTGATATATCAGACTCTTGAATTTCAATTGGCACTTTTAAGTATCCACGGCTCTTTCGAACTCTAATGCTGAATTCTGATACATCTACGTACAATTCAGATGCATTAAGTACTTCCGCATAATTAAACTTTTTAAGGAGAATACTTTGTATAGGAAGTAAGATATTCAGGCATATATATCTTGAAAATTGTAATTCATCCATTTCTTGAAGTATTTGTTTTTCATTCGTTTGATGAATTGTTCCCCATTTCCCTAAAAGGGCTTTATCAACTACAAATCTATGAATTAATCGATTGATATAATCATCATTTATGAGGGTAACTTTTGGATTAAGCTCAAAGTAAAATTTCATAATTCTTGAAAAGGGAATCATCTCACTTGAAGATTCTAGTATCGGATACGTTGTAGGTACTAAAGGCATAGCCATTATTAATGACAAGTTATATAGTTGCCCGATACAACGACATATTGCTGGATTACTATCAGTTGGTCCAGTGAATGTTTGATATAACGCATCAAATAAAATACCACTTAGCAGAGATAATCTATCAAAATCAAGATAGAATTGTTCACTATAAAGATAACATTTCGAAAGCTTATTGAAATGTTTACCTGGAACTAAGACATGATAATTATATACCAAGAAGACTAATTTAGTTCGATTATTCTCTAAGAAATGTTCTTCATCATCAATCTGATTTGAGACTAGATGGTTCCATTCAGTTTCAAACTCTGCTTTGGCTGTAGCATCGTTGAAGAAGTTATAGTTTGGATCATTAATCACTTTATTAAAGATAAAGCTTGCAGACCTAAGTAAAATGTTTCTATCACAGTATTTATCCATGTTATAAATGATTTAAATTAACAAAGAAAGAGTGAAGTAGAAGTTTAAATTATTTAGCATAACTTCACTTTTCAAAAGTAGTGTGGTATATGATTATTATCTATGTCCTTATAGTTGCCGCATTATCACAACAATACGTCGCGTCAAGGTACATTCACCCTGAGCCACAAGAAGAAATAGAATACCCTATTACAGAAGGAAGGAAAGAAAGTTAAACTGTTTTGATATTTATAGGGGAAAGGATGATAATAAAATCACAACGTCGCATAGTTTAAACCTTATACTTATAGTTTATATTATTGTGATCAGTTTATGTTGTTTGTGTAATTGTTGATACCATTGTTAGGATTATTTAAGTCTAAGTTGTATTTATAGTTTTTGTTGAGTAAATCGTTTATATGTCTATCAACTTTCAATCAAATGACAGTTATTGTGTGAATCAATCTAGAGTATCTTTAACCATCAATTCGTCAACCACTAGTAAATAGTACTACTTACTGCAAAATTATCTCTACACAGTTTAAGCTTTTGACAGTGTGTCATAAAATCCTGACCCTGTGTTCTTTCACCCTGTTCTTTCTCCTCTATGCTATTCCTTACATACACATATTTATACATGCCTTACTTTTGAACCACATTTAAGCTTTTTCCTTATTTCATTTCATATATACTTACAATTATTAACAGTTGGATTTGATAAAAAATCAAAACAGTTCACGACACGACATCTTTTTTTTATTTTTATTTTTTTGTTTGTTTTTGTTTGCGTGTGGTGCGGTCAAAATTAAATTTTTTTTACGGACTGCCAAACCACTTTCAACAACAATTATTTACAGCCCACAACATCCATCAACCACCCCAAGAACTATACCATCAGTTGACTGTAAGTGTTTACTTGTGTTTGCATCAATCGTCGTCATCGAATAAGCAGAATTAAAGATATTCACGACACTCAGTTGGCTTTATTCCCCGTTAGATCTAGGTTAATCTACTTATCTTTGAACAATCACAAGCGTTTCTAGTTATCATTCATCTTTGAACTGTGGAGGAAGAGATTTCATTTTGTATATTCATTCATTCATTCAACCTATCATACAATCCAATCAATCAGTAAGTTCCCTAACTGATTACTATCATTCCACTTTTCAATCCTGTTCTTTTGTACTTTATCTTCAATTTCGTTCGTTACTGTATTTATTACCCTTTTAACAAACCCCACCACCATCAAATCATTCATAGACACATTTTTATCCTCACATCATGCATCTAAACAAGTTACTCATACTATTTCAAATCATAATCACTTATACCTCCCTAGTACTGGGTTTCAATTTTGGGTTCTCCAAGAATTATTATAAAAAGGGTGATCTGGTTGATTTATTAGTTAATAAAATCGAATCAGATAATACTCAATTACCTTATTCTTATTATAATTTACCCTTTGTTTGTCCTCCTGGTAAAAATGCCAAACCAAGACATTTATCATTAGGTGAGATCTTAAGGGGAGATCGTATCTGGGAATCGAATTATGAATTAAGATTCGGTGAAGATATGTCATGTATGAGATTATGTGATTTAATCTCAAGAGAAACTGGATTAGCAAGAGCTGATAGTTTAATTAAAAATGGTTATGTGGTTCATTGGTCTATTGATTCATTACCAGGTGCCACTACATTTGTCTCAAACAATAAAAATAATAAATATTATGCTGCTGGATTTCCTTTAGGATTTGTAACTGATAATATTTCATATATTTATAATCATGTTATGATTGTAATAAGATATCATACTGAAGCAAATCATAAACATACCATTGTTGGATTTGAAGTTTATCCTAAATCAGTTAATAATGAACAATGTCCAGGATCTTCAAAAGCTTATGAAAATTTCGCTCTTGATGTTAAAAAGTCTAAGACTGGTGAATTATTAAAACAAAAAACCATTATTCCTTATACTTATTCAGTATATTGGAGAGAAGATAATTCAATTGATTATGATTCAAGATGGGATCTTTATTATGAAAATGAATCTACCGGAAAAAATCATCATATTCATTGGTTATCATTCACTAATTCAATAGTATTATTATTCTTATTAACTTTGATTGTAACGGTGGTACTTTTAAGAACTTTAAAAAGAGATTTATCTTCTCTTTCCCCCAATGGTACTGGATCTTCGCCAGCATCATCATCTCCAACTTTACCTTTAACTAATACTAATGGTCAAGATGACTCTGCTCCTTGGAAAGGTTTAATTTCAGATGTATTTAAATGTCCATCATTCATTTTACCATTAACTACCTTGGTAGCAGCTGGTATTCAAGTTATAGTTGTCCTTATTGGAGTTATATTTATTTTTGTGCTTAATTCCAAATTATTTATTCCGGGTTTAAAGAATTCAACCACATTTTTTAATAATCATGAAGGTGCCCTTATTTCAATTTCAATTTTCATATTCATAATATCAGGGTTCGTAAGTTCATATATTGGAATCATTCTTTATAAATTCTTAAACAATGATAATATAAATCAAGAATATCCAAATGATAAAATCATTAAATTATCGTTATTATTTGGTAGTTTCTTACCTCAATCAATTTTAATCATTGTATTCTTTTTGAATTTCTTTGTTTGGGCTAAGGATTCATCATCAGCTATCCCATTTGGAACCATTATAATCTTATTATTGTTATTCTTTTTAATTGAATGTCCATTAGGTATAATAGGAGGTTATTATGGTAATAAGAAAACTTTCTCGATCAAATCATTCTTTAATAATCAAGCTATCATCAAAGAAGCATCATCAAACAAACCTAAATTATTAAGAAGATATAATTCATGGTTATTAAGTCCTATCCCAAGTATAGTAATCTTTGGATTGATTCCATTTGGAGTGGTCTTTGTGGAATTATTATTCATATTTAATAGTTTATGGCTTGAAAAAACCACCTTTTATTATATGTATGGATTCCTTTTCATTACTACTGTCATGCTTATCATCATCATTGCTGAATCCACCATCATTGCCATTTATATCTCCCTTTCCGTCTATAACAATCCTAATTGGCAATGGTTAAGTTTTAGAATTGGATCCAGTATAGGATGGTATATTATGGGATATACGATATATTATTTCACATTTTATTTGAACGTTAATGATTTCGTTAGTAGTTTGTTATATTTCAGTTATATGGGATTAGCATGTTTCTTAATATGTGTGGGATTTGGATCAGTTGGTTTAATTACTGGTTTAATCTTTGTAAAAAAGATTTTCTCAACTATTAAAGTTGATTAGAGATATGTATGTACATTTATAATAGAAATTATATCATCATTTTGAAGTAACATGTAAAAACTACTTATTTTTTTTATTTTATATCATGAACGTATATTATTTTTGTTCTTTATGGATGCAAAGGAAGAATGATACTAATGATCTTTCTATCTTCAATTTTTGGATGGGGGGAGTGAGGGAGTTTGTATCTAAATAAGTATATAAATAATGAAAGTTAAAAGACGAGCTTAATCTAATGAAGAAGCACCAGTAATAATATCGACTAATTCATTAGTAATAACAGCTTGTCTAGTTCTATTATATAAGATGGTGAAACGATTAATCATATCACCAGCATTCTTAGAAGCGTTATCCATAGCATTTCTTCTGGCAGATACTTCAGAAGCATAACCTTCAGCCATAGCACTTAAGATAGAGTTAGCTAAGGAGAATTCAGCTAAAGTTTCTGAAGTATTTTCTGATTCTAATTCATATTTACTTAAACCTGGAGCTTTTTCAATGGCTTCAGCAGCGAAAACACTGAATTTAGATGGTTCAAAAGAAACTCCTGAAATGAATTTATTATATAAAACTTCAATACTATCATATTGACCAAGAGCATTAATTTCATCAGCAATTAAAGCAACTTCAGTAAAATTTGGAGCTTCTTTACCAACCCCATTAAAGGATAATTTTAATTGATCACCATGAGTTCTTAATAATTGAGCTTTAACTTTATCCCCAATAGTGACGATATCAACTTCACCATTTAATTCATCAAATCTTCTTCTAGCAGCTTTTGAAATTTGAGAATGGATTGAACCACATAAACCTTTATCAGAAGAAACCACAATTAAAAGAGTTTTAGATTGTTCAGGTAATTCAGGGTCAGCATTGGCGTAGAATTCTGAATCTGATTTGTTGAATACTCTTGATGAAGCCATGGCTCTTTGAGCTTTATTTAATCTGGTTGATGCAACAATTTTCATAGTATTGGTAATTTTTTCAATATTTTTAATTGATTTAAGACGCATTTCAATTTCTCTTAAAGTGGCATAGTTTCTAGAATAAAAGTTAGTATTTATGGTTTGATTAGTGAAGAATTGATGGGATAATAGTGTTTACAGTGATGGTATTGATCAATGGATGATTTATTAGTGGTAGTTATAATTTGATTGATGATCAGGTATTGTTTACATTTGATATTGAACTTGATGACATGACGAGATAAGTTATTCTTGAACGATTCCTCTCCTTTCAATCGTCGATTCTTAATACGACTTGCTTGATTCTATAACAACAGATACTATTAATCTAAACTTGATAATACTTATGATTGATGATTGATGATGATGATTGATTCAATTGAACATTACACTGGTGTACACCACTTTAAATCCACTCATTTTCAAAACAATTACATACCTTGCACCGGCAGAGCGGGCAACTTGAGTGGCACCTAAACGAAACATAACCCAATTGAATAACTATTGAAGTATATATGACTAAAGTAAGGATATATTCTAACTGTTTTCAACAACAAATTTTTCGTCACTTCAGACTTTTTTTTCACCCTTTACCAATTTCTTAACAGTGCGTACTTCAGACACTAAATAAAAATGTCTTTTGTCGGATTCAGTTTCAATTTCAATTTTTTATTGGCTGAAAATAATAGTACTGGACAGGGGACACGACCAGTCACGTGAAGTAGTTTATAACTAATAACTATAACTATAACTACATTCTACAAGTTAGATTCATATAATAAATTAATAATAATAATAATAATAGTAATAATAATAATAATAATGATGGTAAAGAAAGTAAGAAGAAAGTGCTTGTTTAAACAATGTGTTTATGACAAACAAGGGGAGTATATACTACTTGTAATAGTAAATGATTATGCTAAATATGTGATTTCGAATAAATATAAAAGTGTAATAATGAGTACTACTTCTACTTTTCGAAGAAATGAAATATACCTGTTCTAATGAAATTCATAAATCCATTATATATCTGATTGATGATAGGTGTTCTATAGTGATTGATTGATTGATTGATTGATTGGTGAAAAATGAATATGCAATATATGTAAATGAGTAGATCTGATCTTACTTGGATGGATCATTCTTTTGATATCCTAAGTAACCTTGTAATGGATAACTTTCAATCATCTTCATATATTTAAATATTAATGGTCGACAATTCTTTTGAGCATCATGTTGATGATATTGTTTACATTTTCTTAAAGCATCATGAGTAACTTTTAATTCATATGTTCTTATCCATTGTTCTCTTGTGAACGATGATCTGGCAGCTTGAACTTCAGGAAACTTTTCATAATCTATATCATCAAATGAAACCAATTCAGGTCTTTTATGATTTTCATAATTATCTAAAGCTATTAAGATTTGATGTTAGTAAAAAGAACTAGTTATTAATAAGTTATACTATACTAAAGTATAGTATAATACATAGCATACCACACCATACTACTTCATTCTCATTATACATACCCATTTTATCTATTAATTAATTATGAGTTGTACTCAATTAATGTTATAATTATCAATTTAGATCTATCTATTTGAGATATTGAGAGCCTCTATTATAAAAAGAAGAATTTTAACTGGAAGACAAAAAATTGAAAATTAAATTGAACAAAAAGACACGACCTTTGCAAATCACATGATGTATCACATGACTATTTTATATAAAGTGGTGTTGCGTTGTGTGCCTGACATCAACTTATAAACAATTTAACCCGATTTAGGAATGAAAGTGAAATATTATTCCATTTTCTTAAATATATATAGAACAACATCATATCGATTGAAGATAACTAACGATGTCAGAAAAGGTAGAGGATACGTCAATCGTATCTCCATCCAATTCTACCCCTTCATCTCCTAAATCAGAAATATTTAGAATCAATGCAAGTTTGGTAGCTTACCTTCATGCTATTTCTGCTTCTACGGCATTTTTATCAGCATTGATTGTTGGTAGTTGGTTACATTATCATAAAATCGTCCAGAACTCATCTTATGGATATCCTGATGAATGGTTCCCCAGTGTATCTGCTGCAATTGGTGATCGTTACCCTGAACGATCAATTTTTCAAATCATTATCGCTGTAACCTCGGGACCTCGATTTTTATTAATTGGATTTAATTTTATAAGACTTTTCAAATCTGGTTCAATTTTACCTTATGTTGGTCTTATTTCTGGTCTTATTAGAACTTTCACTTGTGGGGGGTGGGTTTATATCACTTCTACTGATGATCATGATTGGCATGATATCTTTATGATCAGTTATATTGTGTTGACTATACCTTGGGAAGTGGCTATTACATTATTATCCCCCAAGGGGTCATTAGAAAGAAAGGGAAGATTCTATACATCCATTTCTTTCTTTGGAACCTTGATTCCGTTGATTTATTGGTTCATTCAACATAAAGTTCACGTCAGAGCTGGTGCTTATTCTATATACGCGTATTTTGAATGGTTATTGATTTTCTTAGATGTTGGATTTGATACTTGGTCAATCGTTGATTTTGCCGATATTGATATTATAATTCAATCAACTGGTATACAATTTGGATCTCCAGTTGTACCAGTCCCTAAAAAAGAAATCAAACCCATTAAATCAGATGATGATTTCACTACATTAGAATTCATCGTCAATACAATCAACTCATTCATTCTTTGGTCAGTTAATACTTCCTTAATCTTATGTGTATGGTACTTCCCCTTATGGCATATGGGTATCTCAGGTTATGAAGCTGCTGTATTTGCATTATTCCTTCCTATCATTATCTTAATCATCCCACCTTTAAGAAATATATTATCAAAATTCCCATTCATTACGAGAACACTTGCTGTATTATTCGGTATTGGTGCATTTAAAGTTGAAGATCCTGAACAAAAGTTATTAGTCATTACAGCAGGTACATCATTTGCCGTCATTTCATTCGTGGTTGAACTTTGGTCATTATCAAATCAACCTCAAAAATACTCTTCATTCATCGCTACTAATATCTTAGGTTTAGCTGCTACTTCTACCGCTAAGTATTTAAATTTCTCCAATAATCCAATTTGGGCCATCATGCATAAAGAAAACGGTGGTTATAATGAAGTTGGGATCGTAATAGGTCTACTTGGAGCTCTTTTAACTCCAACCTTGAATCAAAAAGCATTCCCTGAAATCAAACAAGTGAAAGCTACTGGATCATTCCTCTTGGCAATCTTAGGGGTTGCAGGATATATGTTCACCATTCATTCTTATTTAAGTGATACGGCCACCTTAGCATTATGGACTTGGGATGGTTTCCCTGTTGTGGGTCCAACTCCAATCACAGCTGGTGTATTTAATATCGCCGCTATTGCACTTGGAGTAATTTATTCCATTTCGGGTTCACCAGTCATTGAATCTTCCTTTTATAACCTTTTATTTGGTGGTGGTAGTGCTATTGTGCTTTATGTGTTCAAAGGATGGTTCGGTTATGTCGGTGCTTGTTTATATGTTTTCTATGTGGCATCGATCTCACCATTGATTTGGAAATCTACTATTGGATATAATCCAAGTTTAACATTCTTCTTAGGATTCTTCTTATACGTGCTTATTTCTTTAGCATCAATCTGGATCGTGGCTTATGCATTTGTCCCTGGTGGATTCTTATTAAGAGAAAGAACTGATATTGTATTAGGTATTTCATTCATTCTGATCTTGGCGGGCGTTTGGAATTATAATGTTAGATTCAATAGTAAATCAAGCATCAATATTAATTTCAAATCTGGTTTACTTTTAAAACAAACCATTGTTTCATTTTCTATTTTATTAGCTTTAACTAGTTACGGATTTTATGATAGATACTATGTTCATTCTTTACCTTCCACACCATATAATGCTGATTCAAAATCATTCACCGCCGGTATTTGGTGTGTTCATTTCGGATTAGATAATGATATGTGGTCATCTGAAGTTAGAATGAGAAATTTAATCAAAGAAGCCGAAGTTGATATCATTGGATTATTAGAAACTGATACTCAAAGATTAATCGGTGGAAATCGTGATTTCACTCAAGCTATTGCTGAAGATTTAGGTATGTATGTCGATTATGGACCAGGACCAAATAAACATACTTGGGGAGCTGCTTTATTATCTAAATTCCCTATCATTGAATCTACTCATCATTTATTACCATCTCCAGTGGGTGAACTTGCTCCTGCCATTCATGCTACTTTAGACATTTATGGAGAATTAATCGATGTGGTAGTGTTCCATTCCGGTCAAGAAGAAGATGTGGAAGATCGTAGATTACAAAGTTTAGGAGTTCAAGAAATCATGGGTAATTCCTCAAGACCATTAGTATTATTAAGTTATTTGGTTACTGAGCCATTACAAGGCAATTATAATACTTATGTTAGTGAAAAATCAAGAATGTATGATATTGATAATACCGATTGGGATAGATGGTGTGAATATATTTTATTTAGACAATTGAAGAAAGTTGCCTATGCCAGAATTTCAAGATCAACCATTACTGATACGGAATTACAAATTGCTAAATTTAAATTATTAACTGATGAAGAAATTGAAGAATATGATGAACCGTTCTTATATGGTAATAATTATATTAATGAGGATGAAATTGATGAGAATTTAAGAATGCCTCAATTGTTTAGAGGTGATGGAGTTAGAGGTCATAGATATCATGTATTTGATGAACCACGTTATTTTGCTCAACATAAGTCACAATTGAAATATGAAGAGGAAGTTGTTGAAGAAGAGCAAATCGTTGAAGAAGAACAACCAGAAGAAGAAGAGGTTGTTGAAGAGGAAGAAGTTGTTGAAGAAGAGCAACCAGAAGAAATTGTTGAAGACGAAGAAGAAGAGATCATCGACGAAATTGAACGTCCTGAACTTGAAGATTTAGAAGATGACGCTTAAATGCTATAGATAAAGCAATTAAAAGATATTATTTTAATATAGATAAATAAGTTTTAAAAATATATAATGAGCATGTATTATTAAAATTTGGGTATCTATACTCCACCCCTACTATGTAAAAAATAATTTAAAATTGATCATGATAATAATAATTGAGCTTCAGCTTCAGCCGTTGTTTCTCGTTCAGGAGTTACACTATTACTTGAACCTTCTTCAAGAACATTATCAATTGATGTAGAAGTATGTCTTATAGTTTCATGTCTATGAAACTCTTGATAAAGCTTAACTTTCTTTCTAATTCTTTTTAATTGCCATTTGATTGGAATCAAAGGTAATCTACAATGTCTTTCTTCATATAATTTGATTTCTAACCATGAAATCACCGCAATCCAATAAAATAAATAAGATCCCACACTTCCATAAGTTGCAGAATTCGTCCATCCTAAGATAGCATTGAACACCATCCACCAACCATCTTTTAATCCATCACAACAATTGACATGCCAAATACTATTTGAAATATCATATGATCCAGGTCCACTACCAGTTTCACTAACATCTACCCCTCCACATAATTGAACATACCTTTCAAGTTCAAGAAACCATATGCCTCGACTAGTTAATCCAGCACTGACTAAATAAAGAAAGCAAGTCAGACAAATTAAGAAATATTGTAACGACATTTTATTACCACCTTGATATAATAAATATCCAATGAATGATCCGAGGGTTATACCTGCTATGACTGAAAATGCAATGGCTGATGGAGGTAAGGACATACCCATTCCACCGATGAATACAACTGCTTCTAACCCTTCTCTCAAGGTTGTGACTAATGGTAAAATTGCAAGGAAGTATTTTTTACCGAATGTTTGACGATGTTGTTTGAATGATTTTCTGGATGATTGACGGGTGATAAGAGAAGTTGATTCTTCAACTGTTTCGTTTGGATCTTCTGATATTTGTTGATCACAAGTTGGTTGTGGTTCATTATCATCATCATTTTCATTAAGATCTGAATCATCACCTAATTTAGCGATTTCTTCTTCCCCTTGTTCATTTTCACCACTAATATCATTAGAATTATAGGAATGACCTAATTTTATCCACCATTTAACTTTCATAACTTTATTGATTCTTAATAATCCAATACCCATGATGGTAATAACAAAACTTGAAAGTAATGAAAAGATACCTTCCCATAGCCTTTCTGCATAAAACCAATAATCTTTACCGATATAATAGAAACATATGATGAAAGCTAATCCTATAAGTAAACAGATAAACAAGCCTAGGATAGCACCCAACCATACTTGTAATCTTAGTTGCTTTTGAACCTTCTGTAAATGTTTGACATGACGAGCTGAAGTAGATTTAGAGGGAGATCGTTGCTTTATGAATGATAATAATACTGATATGATGATGGCAGTTTCCAATGTTTCTCTTAGGATGATGAAGAAGATCTGGATCGAGAAGTAATCTTGCAAGTTGAACATCTTGACATACACTCCATTCACTCGATATCAGTCCAAGTGTATATCACTTATGAGGATAAACTAGTTGGTCTAGATCAATTTGGTTGCAGTCAGCGTTATGAAGATTTTTTTTATTTTTGTTGCAATTTTTATTTTCTCTCAACGCGGTAACATTTTAAAAATAGTGAAGTTGTACCTCGCTACGACCAAGAATTTATAGTAAGAGAGGGAGGAAGGAAGGAGGAGGTAATAGAATATGTTGAGTTCGATGAGGTTGTATTAAAATCGAAAGGTTACCTAGTCAACCTTAGAGAATGACTATTTTATATTCGGTTAAACTATTAACTAAACAGTATGCTTACAGTGGAGGGAATGGTTTGGTTTCGCAAGGCTGAACCCTACTCCATCTTACATGGTACCAATTAGTAAATTAGTAATATATTAGACTTTTAAAGTATCATAGAATATACAATTAAACTATAATGAAACAAATCAGCATACTAAAAGTCATCTTTGAATCTATCCCTTCTATTGATTAGATTTGATAAAAAAAAATTATGCATATTACTATTAATTCTAATACATATTAAGCAAACAATCTAGTATTTTATATTATTATTATTATTATTAGTATTATAATTAGTTATGATGATTAGTGATGAATTAAACAAAAAGATAATGATCATGATGATGATGATAGGAAATGAATTAATGTAGCAAAGGAGAATGTATAAACTCAGCTGATTAAATTGGTGGGAATTCAATAGTAGCAGTTAAACAAGTAATGAATACATCATCTTTAGTATAAGCTCTAGCATTAACAATGTATTTTCCTGGAGGAACTTCATTTGGAATAGCAACTTCTTTAGTAATAACTTGTTGACCTTTTGAAATAGGACATTCAAGATCAATTTTACTAACTTCTTCACAGAAATCAAAAGTTTGATGGATTAATTTAATGAATCCATATCTAACATCAACTTCAACATATGCACCTTCTTCAATATCTTCACTAATATAACCATTAGCAATAAAAGTTAAATTGGCCCCTCTTAATGGAGGATTTGGATCAATCACCACGCTTTCTAAACTCAAAATTTGAGGTTGAGATGCATCACATTGAACAATAGGAGAGTCACCTGGAACTGGTTTTTCATCAACATCAGGAAGTGAAGCATAAATGACTTTTGGTTGTTCAAAGATACTTTGTTCTGATTGGAAATTGAATACCGATAACGCTCTTTCGTAAAGAGGTTTGACGGCAGGAACAATACTCAACCCTTGAACAGCAACTGAACTAGATAAAGTGAATAAGACAATGTTTTTAAGAGCAACCATTATGACAAGAAATGAATGTAGTCTATAAGATGATGATGATAATGATACTGGTTGATGGAATGGTTTATTTATAGTCATTTCAAAAGGTGTGGTGAATTGATGAGAAATTGGAGATGTGCGATTACGAGGAGGAGGAGGACGGAGAGGGGGTGCATTGTATGCAGGAAATTCAGATTGTTACGCTTTAGTTAAAATTGCTGTTAATATGAGTTAAAGTATGTAGGGTAATAGTATCAATGGTTAGTAGCTTTACAAAGGAGTTAATGAAGAGTTAATCAATGTATAATTAATATTATGTATATGCTAGTTGTATAACTTTATATAAAAGTATACAAAAGTTGATTAAAGCTTTATTAAGCTCTAATTATCCTGAGATGACTAAATTTGCAGTCATTGTATCAAACCTTTCTCTGATTAATTTATTCTGAATTTGTAATAATTCATTATATATAGTTTGACCATTTGCAGTTTTAAGTAATTCTTGTAACTTTTTATGAGATAATTTCCAAATAACTGAATCAGTTACAGTAGTATATGTAATTTCACGTTTATGTGGTACATGTTGATTTATTTCAAAAAAATCTCCAAATGCAGTCATAGGCAAAATAGATGAATGTAATTCTCTACCTTCATTTTCAAATTTGAATATTGACCGAACTAATCCTGATTCAACTATGAAAAATGTTGGTTTATCATTCAAGGTATTATAAAATTCATAATTCTCAGGGATTTTCTCCTTAACGAAATATTCTGTCAATTTAGACCAGAATTCTTCATCTTTATCAGATAATCCTTGGAATGTAATCATAATTAATGGTAATGGTTGTTTTTTAAATGAAGCATCAATATTGGAATAGAATTTAGTTTGGGTTTTTTGTTCATCATAAATAGTTCTAGTAGCAGCTTGATAAACTTGAGTGGTTCTTGGTGTACCTATTTCAAACGCTTGATTCATTAATTGTTTAGTATTAAGACTTTGAGGAGAATAGATTGATCTTCTACCAGTTGGAGAGTTACCACCCGTACCGATTGAACCTGAACTAAGAGGTACTTCTCTAATACCTTCCTTTCTTTTAACTGATTTATATGTTTTTAAGAATGCATTTTCACACCATTCTAAGGCATAATTTAACGTATTGAACAATTCAATTGTTTGTTCATCATCATCTTTACCAAATCCTGCATCTCTTAAACCCTTGATGATATCATCTTCTTCTTCAACTGATGATATGATTAATTGAGTATTGAATTCATTAGTTAAATTTAAAATTCTTCTAAAACCTTCCGCAGCTGAAAAATCAATCGAACTAACACTTTTCATATCGATAATTAAGAATTTAATAGGATTTAATTTAAAACTTTCTTGTTCAAATTTTAATCGAATTGATTTTTCAACTCCACCAATTGATCCAAAAAATAAAGTACCTTGTAATTTAATCACACAGATTTGATCACCTACATTCTTAAGAAATTCTTGTTGTTTAGGATGTCTTAAAACAGTAGATCTAGCCACTGAACCTGAATAAATTCCTTGAACCACAGGATTTCTACCGGCTTCAACCACAAATGAAAGACATGCTAATAAAATACCGACCAAAATACCAATCACGAAATCAAATGCACCCATAGTAACCACAATGATTATAATCGTAGTATATTCGATTTTTCTTAATCTACCAAAGGTATCATATACTGATTCTTTTAATAATTCATATCCTAATAAATAAATCAATGATCCCACCACACATACTGGGATATATCCAATGACAACAGGTCCAGCCATCATCACTCCTCCAGTAGCCACGGCTAACAATACACCAGCTAATCTATCATGAGCACCAGCTCTAATAAATAATACTGAATTAGTATAGACTAAATAATTTTGAATCGATCCAAGTAAACCTGAAAGGGCATTTGAATAACCATGAGCAACTAATTCACGATCCACATCAACTTCATCCATTCCGACCGAGAGGGCCAAAGCAGGAACATTGATTGGAACATGTAAGATACCAAAGAAAGTTAAGGCTAACATGGTTGGGAATTGTTTAAGAATCACAAACCAATCGACTAATTGAAATTTATATAATTCATAAAAGGCATACCATGGTTCATTACCTTCAACGGCCGGGAATACCCACCCTGATTTACGAGCACTATCTAAATTCCAACCAGGGATGATTAAGACTATGAAATGAAATAAGATGAAGACTGACATGAAGAATAAGGGGACTAATAATGAATTATGATATTTATGTTGTAAGATGATTAATACAATGGCCAATGCTAATGGTAAAGTCCATTCTAATAAGGTTAAATGATTGAAAAATAAAAACTTAAACGTTTCCCAATTATAAATTAATCCACCTTCTAATCTTGATGAAACTTCAACTCCAGTTGCTACTAAGAAATATCCCACACCACCAATACATCCTACCAAGATATGTCTTGGGAAAAACCCTACTAAGGATCCTAATTTTAATTTACCTAATAACCAAAATACAAACCCTGTGACAATAGATGAGGCGGCATAAGTAGTGATAGTAGTAGCAATGATAGCTTCTTGAGAAGCTTCTTGTTTAACCATTTCAGCAGCGATAGACAATGCCATCGAATGGAAGAATGGAGTAACTTCGATCATTTCTGATCCAATTCCTGATTTAAACGCAGATCCACCAAGGGAATATACTAATTGGGAGACAATACATGACATATAAAACATGGATAAACCAGCTGGTGCCAATGATGAGAAAATGGTTTCACTAACAGGGAACATAATCATACCATATGATAACCCATCTAAAATATTTAAAAGTGTTCCCAAGAATACAGCAGGTAAGTAATGGATTGGTTTGACAAGATATTGATGAAGTAAACTTGGAACTGGTTGATCATTATGATGAGATGATAAGGGTTCTTTATGAGTGATTGTTGTATCTGGTAATGGTGAGAATCCTGAGGATGCTTCTATATCATGAGGTGACAATTGATTTGATTTATTAAATCCTGAAGAATATGGAGGTTCAGGTTCTTCTATATATGACGGTTTTGAAGTATCAGTTTTCAGTATTAAAGGAGTGAATTGAGAAGATGAAGGTTGACGACCACCAGGTCTGAAAATAGGAGTTGGAAGTGATGATGCATGAGAAGTACTATATATTTCTTCATCAATAGCAGCATCTTCTGTATCTTCTTCTTGACCATCATCAGTAACACCTATATTGGCTAAATTTGCTGTTTGTTCATGAATCTCTAAACCTGAATATATAAGAGGAGAACTTGAATTATTAATACTAGCTCTATGGCTCATACTAATATAACTTCTACCACCGAAATCAAATGGACTTGGAGAATTATTTTGAAATGAATTAAATGCATCCGATATGGAATATTTTCGTTTAATGGGTAAATCATCATAGAAATCAGATGAATTACTAGGATTACTAGTTTGAGAAGTAGATTCACGATTATTGGCATTATTAGGATTATTATCTGATGTAGTAGGATTTGTGTTGTTGTTGCCGTTGTCGTTGCCGTTGTTGGGGTAACCACCAGCTGACTCCACTGTTAATGAGGATTTATTAGATGGAGAAGAGCCGTATGACATAATGAATGGAATTGAAATTTAGAATTGAATTAATCGAGGTTAAAAGTAATTAATGACAGTTATGACAATATATGATGAAGATGCAAGACGATATGATGATGGTGAAAGTCTATTAATTGTGTATACCAAGATTGATATTCTAATTTAAATTTGATGCAATCGAGAAAATAAAGTGGAACCAGATTAGGCAGAGAAAACAAAAAGGTACCAAAGATCTTTCTAGTTTGTTGTAAATGATGAATATTGAAAGGGATGACTATGACTTATAGCTTGGTGAACGTTGTTAAAACTGAAAAATAGCTAAAATGAATATAATTGGGACTTTGATATGGGTTTAAATAATAATAATATTTTCAATCTATCTCCAATGCTAAATTTTAAATGGCCATTGATAAAGAAAAAAGATGAGGTTTAGTAAAGGTGTTTGTAGGTTAACTATGGTACTGCATACAAGTAGATACACCTCTCTTAAATAAATTTATATTTCGCAATCTCTTTCTGTTTTAAAAAATTGTCTGTCTTATTTTTGACTTAATTTGTATGGAATGTTTTTGTCAGGGTTATCTTAGAGAGATAACGAATTCAATGATTGTCTGAAGGTATAAAGATATAAATTACTTATAAACTGATATTACTATATATATAAATACTTATTTGAAATAGACATAAGTCAAACAGAAGGATATATTATAAATTAAGCTTTTAGGTTATTCTGTGGGGGGGGGGATCATAGTGGATGGGCTCTGTAATGAAAAATTTTTTGTCAAGAATTAAAATTGACAAAACATTTTCATGTCAATTAAAGAATTAGGCTTAAAAGGGGAAAACAATAGCAACCATTCATGCCATCCTACCCCCAATAAGTAATTGTTTATAGCTGCAACATCCATTTAACACAATGAAAAGGTTGACTTCGGTAAAGGCATAAAATGTTTAATTCCTTATTTTCGTTTTGCATAAACATGTGGCATAATTATGTCAATCCACAATATATATATATATACTCTGTATAACTACTATTAATCTTTGAGTGAAATATGGAGGAGGGGGAGGGGCTGTTTAGATTTTTCATTTTACAAATACGATTTTAAACTCTTGTCATACATATGCATGACCATCATCCCTTTCTACTGAATTTCCCCCTAACTTTTTATAATCGCAAATGATTATTGTCAAATCAAATCAATTTTTGACAAAATCCAATAAAGTCATAATTGGAGTATAATAATAAAATGTAATAGTAATAAATAATAATAATAATAACAATAACAGCTAAAAGGTCTGGGCTTAATATACGGTGTTCCGCCTTTATAAAACTTAATCATTCTTTATTATGTAAATTTTTCACTCTCACTGCAAAATTATACCGAGTCAAAAAATTACTAATAATAAATACTAAATAATAATAAAATAACATCATGGTCTACCACGATGATACTTTGATATGATTTTATACATTGACGATTCAATATTAACTGTATGTTAATAACTTATAAACATTTCCTTTAACTGTGTATTATCGAACAGTCTCTTTGTTTGACAAACATAATAAGCCATGGTAGTAGTATAAGGATCAGTTTCTGTCAACCACCACAACTATTTATATAATGTTACAGTGAAAAGTTTAAAATCAATGATTAACCCCATAAAAATATCTTAAACCGTGGAAATCTATTATAATAAATCCCATATATATTGCAAATTAGACCAAACATTCAATCCGGGTAATATCTAATTAAAATAACATAAATTTTTCAATCACGTGCATTTGGCAATTTCAAAAAAATAAAGTGATGTAAGAAAAATTAAACTGACTTGCACCAATAGAACACTTAAATTTTATTCCACCATAGTACACGACCCTTTGCTTTTTTTTACTGATCTTACAACGCGCTTAATTTCTGACTCATTACCGTTTTAGGCCATCTACAAATTTTTCACCCTCCCATAAAATTTTTCTTTCATTCTTTCATCCATTTCTAATTCATATTTCTTTCAATTCAATTCCACAGTTGTATATTCTTCATTGACTTTTACTATAATTCTCTCCTTTTAACATTTAAGTATCCTTCATTAACTTGTGTTAGAATTGAGATATTAACAATATGGTGATAAAGTTAGGATCTTTACTTGCTCGTCAAGTAAATCATTACAGATATACTTCTAAATCAATACCTAATTCATTCAGAAGATTATTGGCTACTAATGCTGAACCAACTTATGCTGGTGCTGAACTCTTAAAGAAATTCACTGATGAACATGCTCATAAGTTAGTTGATGTTTCTAAAGTGTTGGTGATTGGATCTGGTGGTCTTTCTATCGGTCAAGCTGGTGAATTCGATTATTCTGGTTCTCAAGCTATTAAAGCTTTAAAAGAAGCTAATAAGAAATCAATCTTAATTAATCCAAATATCGCTACTAATCAAACTTCTCATGCTTTAGCTGATGAAATTTATTATTTACCAGTTACTGCTGAATATATCACTTATATTATTGAAAGAGAAAAACCAGATGGTATATTATTAACTTTCGGTGGTCAAACTGGGTTAAACGTTGGGGTTAAATTAGATAAAATGGGTGTGTTTGATAGATATGGGGTTAAAGTTTTAGGTACTCCAATCAAAACTTTAGAAACTTCTGAAGATCGTGATTTATTCGCTCAAGCTTTAAAAGAAATTAATATCCCAATTGCCGAATCTATCGCTGTTGATACTGTTGATGATGCTTTGGCTGCTGCTGAAAAAGTCGGTTATCCAATCATTGTTAGATCTGCTTATTCCTTAGGTGGGTTAGGTTCAGGCTTTGCTGCTAATGAAGAAGAATTAAAAAATTTATCTTCTCAATCTTTATCTTTAGCTCCTCAAATTTTAGTGGAAAAATCATTAAAAGGTTGGAAAGAAGTTGAATATGAAGTTGTTCGTGATAGAGTTGACAACTGTATTACCGTCTGTAATATGGAAAATTTCGATCCATTAGGTATTCATACTGGTGATTCTATTGTCGTTGCTCCTTCTCAAACTTTATCTGATGAAGAATACCACATGTTAAGATCAGCTGCTATTAAGATTATCAGACATTTAGGTGTTGTCGGTGAATGTAATGTTCAATATGCTTTACAACCTGATGGTTTAGATTATAGAGTTATTGAAGTTAATGCTCGTTTATCTAGATCATCAGCTTTAGCTTCTAAAGCTACTGGTTATCCATTAGCTTATACTGCTGCTAAAATCGCCTTAGGTCATACTTTACCAGAATTACCAAATCCAGTTACCAAGACTACCTCTGCTAATTTCGAACCTTCTTTAGATTATATGGTTACTAAGATTCCAAGATGGGATTTAGCTAAATTCCAACATGTTAAAAGAGATATTGGATCAGCTATGAAATCCGTTGGTGAAGTTATGGCTATCGGTAGAACCTTTGAAGAATCTTTCCAAAAAGCTATCAGACAAATCGATCCATCATACGTTGGATTCCAAGGTGATCATTTTGAAGATTTAGATTTCGAATTAGCCAATCCAACTGATAGAAGATGGTTAGCTGTTGGTCAAGCTTTATTACATGAAAATTATACCGTTGATCAAGTTCATGATTTAACTAAGATTGATAAATGGTTCTTACATAAATTAATGAATATCGTTAATATGTATCGTGAATTAGAAAGTGTTGGTTCTTTATCAAACATCAATAGTGATTTAATGAGAAGAGCTAAGAAATTAGGGTTCTCAGATAAACAAATTGGTCTTACCATTGGTTCTAAAGAATTAGAAGTTAGACAAGTTAGAAAAGATTTCGGTATTATCCCATTCGTTAAAAAGATTGATACTTTAGCTGCTGAATTCCCTGCCAATACCAACTATCTTTATACTACTTACAATGCCACTTCATCTGATTTAGAATTTAATGAAAACGGTACTTTAGTCTTAGGTTCCGGTGTTTACCGTATTGGTTCTTCTGTTGAATTCGATTGGTGTGCTGTCTCTACCGCTAGAGCTTTAAGAGAAGCTGGTCGTAAAACTATTATGATCAATTATAACCCAGAAACTGTCTCAACTGATTTCGATGAAGTTGATAGATTATATTTCGAAGAATTATCTTTAGAAAGAGTATTAGATATTTATGAATTAGAATCAGCTCAAGGTGTTGTTGTTAGTGTTGGTGGTCAATTACCTCAAAATATCGCTTTGGATTTACAAAATCAAGGTTGTGATGTCTTAGGTACTAATCCAGAAGATATTGATAAAGCTGAAGATCGTCATAAATTCTCTCAAATCTTAGATTCCATTAATGTTGATCAACCACAATGGAAAGAATTAACTTCTATTGCTGAAGCTGAAATCTTTGCCAATGAAGTTGGTTACCCAGTTTTAGTTCGTCCATCTTATGTTTTATCGGGTGCCGCTATGTCTGTCATTAACTCCAAAGATGAATTAGATTCAAAATTATCCAACGCTGCTAAAGTTTCTCAAGAACATCCAGTTGTTATTTCTAAATTCATCCAAGGTGCTCAAGAAATCGATATTGATGCCGTTGCTTCTCAAGGTCAAGTCTTAGTCCATGCTGTTTCTGAACATGTTGAAAATGCTGGTGTCCATTCTGGTGATGCTACTTTAGTCTTACCACCTCAAGCTTTATCTCCAATCATCATGGAAAGATTAAAGACTATTGCTGATAAAGTTGCTGAAGCTTGGAAAATTACTGGTCCATTCAATATGCAAATCATTAAAAATGATCAAAATGGTACTCTTGATGATACTAATTGTGAATTAAAAGTTATTGAATGTAATATCAGAGCTTCAAGATCTTTCCCATTTGTTTCCAAAGTATTAGGTATTAATTTCATTGATGTTGCTGTTAAGGCTCTTATCAAAGAAAACGTCCCAGCTCCAGTCAATTTAATGAATAATAAATTCGATAGAGTTGCTACTAAAGTTCCCCAATTCTCATTCACAAGATTAGCTGGTGCTGATCCATTCTTAGGTGTTGAAATGGCCTCTACTGGTGAAGTTGCTTGTTTCGGTAAAGATTTAGTTGAAGCTTATTGGACTTCAATTCAATCAACTATGAATTTCAATGTTCCAAGACCAGGTCAAGGTTTATTATTTGGTGGTGATTTAACTAATGATAAATTAGGTAATGTCGCTAAGACTCTTTCTGGTTTAGGTTATAATTTCTATACTGCTAATGAAGCTGCTTCAGCTTATTTGGCTACCTTCATTTCTGAACCAGTTGAAGTTATTGAGTTCCCAAAGACCGATAAACGTGCTTTAAGAGAAATCTTCCAAGATAAAGACGTTGGTGCTGTGATTAATTTAGCCAGAGCTAGAGCTGAAAGTTTATTAGATGAAGATTATGTCATGAGAAGAAATGCTATTGATTTCGCTATTCCTTTATTCAATGAACCAAATACTTCATTACTTTTCGCTCAATGTTTGAAAGAAAACATTGGTACTAAAGTTTTCTTTGATGTTGTTCCTGAAACTGTTGTCATTCCAAAGGAAGTTAAGAGATGGAGTGAGTTCATTGGTGGTAAGCCAGTTTAATCATATCTCGTGTTATATAAAATTTACTTTCTTCTACTTCTATTTCTTTACATTCTTATTATTTTCCTTTAATGTCCCTTTTCCTTTATTTATAAAAAGGTCAAACGATTGGTGTATACAAAAACATTTATAAAAAAAGTTACCTTCTTTAAAATATACATATTTAATATAGTTTAATATAAAAAAACAAATCAGTTATTTAAACCATTCTACAGTAATGATAGTTTTTCAAAACTATTAATATATTCATACTAAAGGAAGTAAGTGAAATAAACCTCTATAGAGTAAGAAATAAATAAAAAACTAGAACAAAACAGAATAAACAAGAGCAATCATAAACCTAAAGTAAACTTCATTATAATAATTCATCATCATCTTTATCAACCACCGAAGTTTTAATTTTCAATAATAATTGAGTTTTCAATTTATCAAGTTTACTAAATTGATCATATTCAAACACTTTATCAGAGAAACCTTCAAGATCACCCTTATCAATAGCTTCAAAGATATCCTGTATTAATTTATATTCTCTAGTTTGTTGGAAACTTGGATCATCTTCAAGAAACTTTTCAACTTTTTTAGGAGCTTCAATTGGATCACCTAAACATAAAAGACATAATACATCTTTAAAGAAGTAATCCTTTAAACTCCAACGAGTTAATGAATTTCCCACCAGTTGTTTTATAATCACATCATATAATTCAATGGCCTTTTTATAATCTCCATTTAACGCTGATAAATCAGCACATTTAAGGAATGCCTTATTAGCTAAAGCTTCAGAATTATCAGTAGTGAAATAATCACCAGCTTGTTCATAACTTTGAATAGCATTAGGAGTATCTCCTACCGATTCATATAATTCAGCTAAGTCATTAGTGAAGTTAGCTGCTCTTCTGAATTGACCATTTTGGGTTAAAAAGATATGAATTGCCTTCTTTAATGAATCAATAGCATCAGTGGGTGAAACACCTTTATAACACTTGTAAGCTTCAATCAAGTTATTGGCTGAGTCATTATGATTGCCTAACTTATGTTGTATATCAGCAGCTCTAACGAACTGTTCACCAGCTTTCTCAAACTGTTTCTTTAAACGATACAGATTGGCAGCTTGAATGATAAAGTCAGTGGCTTCTTCTTGACGCATGGAAGAAGAACTACCAGATAAGAACAGTAAGAATCCCAGTTGTGTTTTAAGGAGCTTCTCAGCTTCCGCAAGGTAGTATTGTGGATCAGACATAGTTGGTATATAGACTTGTAAATGATGGATATCGATTACACCTATTCAAAGGATAAATTTACACTTCAACTTCAGTTTTGAGATTTTCTTGTTTAAAATTTGTGTCTGTGGTATTTTTTGCGACACCAAAAATATTTAAAGTCAAAACATCAACTGTTAAAATATCAATATATACAGATACACCGATGACAGAAACTACTTCAGACGTGACTAAGATCAGGTTTGAACGTCTTGAGTTGGTGACGAGAAAGGCATTGGAGCATCTGATCAAAAAATCGTTGTCATTAGACCAAATAAAGACGTGTTATCCTACTATAGCTAGTACTGATGAAGGTGTGAAAGCTTTAGAGATTGCTAGATCTCAAATGATAAATTTCTGGCGTACAAGTTCATTGAAGGAGTTTGATTTGATATTCAAGGAAAAAGATATAGAGAACAAATTGAATGAATTAGATGAGATTATTCTGATAGCTCAACAAAGGAAACGAGATGGTGTTGAAGCACCAACTAAGATTGAAAATTATACTCCCAAGGAAATCATTGAATCAACATTGTTAAGTAATGGTTCAACTACAATGGTAGAGAATCTTAGTATGATATATAAACAGTTGTGTCTTGATAATCGAGAATTCTATGAAGAATTAAAACAGTTAGGATCTGAAAGTGAAGATTTAAAACAAGAAATCAATGATTCAATTTCAACTCTTGAAAAGGAAATTGAAACCATCAATAAATATAATCCTAGAGAAAGTATAGAAAATCTAATCAATAATTATTCCAAAAAGTAGAAAACTTACAAAAATGTGATATAGTGTAATATAGTTTAAAAAAATGTTATGTACTAATGATGATCTATGGTAAATATGTGTGTGTGTTTTATATACAAGTAATATTTATTATGTACTAGGTTGCTTTGCAACCTTTTTAGCCTTTAATTGTTTCTTCTCTTGTTGCAAGTTCTTAATGATTTCGCTATTTTTCTTAGCCAATTCATGATAACCTTGAACCCTTTTACGTAATGAACTGAATTTATCAACCTTAGCTTGTTGTTTATCAGAAAGTTTAATTAATTTCTTATCACCCCAAACTTTATAATCTTCAAAATATTGTCTACCCATATTGAATTCTCTAGTAACAACATCATCAGTTAATCCTAATTTGGCAATGGTAAGATAATATGATTGTGGTTTGACTCTCTTTAAATACTTCAAGATTCTTTGTCTTTGTTGCACACAATGACGAACCTTTTGGGTATATTGATGATCTTTTGGATTATTTTTAACATGTTCCATAGCGAAATGAATTTTAACAGTCATGATGGCTGATTGAACTTCAGGTGATCCAGTATCACCTTCTTCTCTTCTGAATTCTTCACGAGCTAATTTAATGGCTAATTTTCTCTTGTCTGATTCACTAGTATTTCTTAAATGAAGAATAGTTAATAATGCTCTCTTCTTTCTTTCTTCAGCTAATTTAACAGCTTCATGTAATACAGTAGTTCCTTTACTTTTATCTAAGGCAGATTTTTCAGCACCATAAACTAATTTTTCAAATTCTTCTCTATCATACCCTCCAGCAAGACGAGTATCAGCATTTTGAACTTCTTTCTTTATTCTAGTCATGAAACCATTAGCATGTCCAAGTACTGGATCAACTGCAAAATTTAAATTCTTTTGTTCGTATTTCTTAAGATTATTCACATCTCTTATGATTTGTTTCTTTAATCTCTTTTCTTTTCTTCTTAATGTTCTTGCTTTACGAGTTCCAGCATCTGACTTTATAAATACTTTGGATGCAAGTATTGGATGTACTTTTTGTCGAGCAGCGTTACCAGCCCTTACGTTCGGAACTGCAGAAGCATACAATCCCACTACAGACGTGGAAAATAGACGTTTAACTGAATGAAACATCGTTAGTATCTCCTTAAGGATATCTAATTCTTCAACTATGTTCTAGTCCCTGTTGGTTAAATCTGGAAGTGAAAAAAAAATTGTCTTGTTTTTCTGAAAAAAAAAATTAAAAAATTGATTTCTGCACGTCCCTATAAGAATTAAATATTTCTGTTTCAAAAATTTGCAGTATTACGACGTGTAACAGATCACAATCAATCCTATCAATTAAAGGAAATCAAGGTCATATCTATCAATATGTCAGGTGGTAGTGATATAACTAAATTTGAAGTGTTAGCAAAAGCTTGGAGTCCTAAACCTCCAAAGAAATTTTCTAATAGCTTGATTAACGACGTGCATCCTTTAATCATACATGAAGGTAAGATTCAAGTAGATGCTTTAGCAAGATTGAATGAATCTGAATTCTTTGAAAATGTGTTATGGAAGTTCTTTCATGAAGATGTCACAGCTCACCATTTGGAATTACTTTTAGCAAGTGCTCTCCTTGATCATCAATTGAAGAAGAAAGCTAACTTGGTGACAAGATTGGATATATTATTAAATGGAGATGTAGGGCCATTAATGAAAAGAATATTGAATGTTCCATTAAGTTTGGCAACTTCAACAGAGTATCAACTAATTGCCTTGGTATTCACATTTATAAGGACTTTGGATTTACATTATTCTAATGCTCAGTCTGTCAGGAAGTGGATCAGACCTCTTACTGATATAAATTTGCAAGATGATTTTAGTTACGATGAACCATACTTCCAGAAGTCTAGTATTCAAACAGATGAGGAATACGCAAGAATAAAGTTACAAAAGCTGTGGTACTACATTGTTTTAAGTTCTTTCAATAGACTAATACTAGATGCAGTAGTTGATGGTCCAACGTTTGATCTTTTACAAGAGGAATTGATTAAACTTCTTATAAGTGGACTAAGCCAGAATGAACCAGATTTCATCCAGTTTGTTATTCAAATGAATGTTTACGATTTACTTAAATTAAGTGAAGAAGTATCAAATTCACTTGACATTTTGAAATATTTTTTATTCCAGGAGTACACTTTTTCAGAACAGCTTACCATATTTAAGGAACTTTTATTAGAATGGAATGATCACAAAAACAGTATGGCTAGAGTTCTACATGCAGTAAGATCTGTGAGAAGTTCATACAGTGAAGATGTATTAAGAGAAGTAGTTATGGAATACTTGAACATCGATATACTAAAGGATATTTTGGAAAACATGAGTCTTAATGTACCATATGTCTGTACAGATCATTTAGATGCTTTTTCATCTGATGCTGAGAAGGAAATTCTAGTTGGGTGTTTAATGAGCTTAATTTTTGTACCTGACTACAACTTACTTGACACACTGGAGCGTGTCTTTGATTTTTTTACAGAACGTGAACTATACGATGATACTCATATAGCTGATTCTAATAATCTATTTGATTATCTTTCCGACGAAGAATACCCAATATTTGGAATTCAATCTTTTTCTAATAAGGACTACTATAATCGAGTCGCTATGAATCTCTTATTAAAGTTGAGAAAAGACATAAAGAAACATATTGTTCAGGTGCTTACCAGATTGAAGATTGATTCTAATGGGAATAGAAAAGGGAAAAGTAAATATTTCTATGAAATTAAAGAACTGAAAATGGACGACGAGAGATCATTTCAAGTTACAACAAAAACAGATTTTGAAAGCAAAAATGATTATATACTTCTATTAGAATTAGTAAAGCCAAATCCTCATAGTTCATCATCACGGTTAAATGAATTTGGTTTAAATTCGGTCAAACTTGCATCCATCGAAACCTCTAAGAAAAATAGCATGTCTTTAGACGTACCATTTTCTGACGAGGAGTATTATAGGCTGGAAGATCTAAATGTTCGTGGTAACTGTTTAATAGTTTTGCCAGATATTGTCCCGGCTATAGACGAGTTAAACCTTCTCATGAGAGATTCAACTGACGGAAAGGAAATGTTCATTGCAACACAGGATGATAAGGACCCTAAGTTTGATTATGAATCTGAAAATGAGTCTGAACCAGAGGTTGAACATGATCGCAAAAGGTCCAAATTTAGCAATCATTTTAAATCAAATAAAAGCTCTTATCCACGTATCGCTGGTGACTTTACTTTTTTAAGGAATGCAGAAGATTCTTATTTCAATTTAAAATTGATGGAATCTTTGTTGTTGGAATCTTTATCGGATCGAAATCTAACTCTATTAATTGTCCCAACAGAAACATTTTTGAAAAATTATGAAATTCCATCAGGTAAATCGATATTGAAATATGCTGACGATACTAGTTTGGATTCGTTTATAGATTCATTGAAGGAAAAGATCCTAAAACTTCTCGCCAAGATTGAGTATGAGGACATGGATGGGTTCAATATGAAATCATTAACGTATTATGAAGATATTATTGACAAGGCATGGAGAAAGTATTTAAACGATTGTGTGAACCAAACAGACGTCACAACACAAATATATCCATTCCGTGATGATGTCACAGATTTTCAGGAGATTCGTGAAGACCATGAAGATATCATCCGTACCTTTGAGACGATATCAAGACTTTCACCATTAGTGACTTCAGACAATCTCTCGAAAGCGGAGAAATGGCAATTCATGGTAAGAAATTTCAATATAATGATATCGTATAATCAGTATCTCAAACTAATCAGTGATCCTTTTGGGTTCTTTCATTCATTTCATTACGTGAAAGTGTTAAATGGAAAGCTTAATATTTTACCAACAATAATGGCTTACAACACTGAGCCGCCAAAACACGTAACATTCTATGGTGGTGAGATTTCTACTGCTCTTGCCCCGCCAAAGGATTTCAAGAGAAATCCTTATTTAACCCAACCGCAATACCAGACTAATCCGGGTTTCGAATATCCTTATCAAAAACTCAAAGTTGAAAGTCAATTGCAAGAGGCCGAATATTGCGTATTGCTTTATCAATATATGAGATTATTGGGATATCCTCAATCCAAGATTGTTATTTGGGTATCATCAGCAATTCAAAAGGCATTAATTGAAGAAGTTTTGCGTGCTAAATGTGTCAAGAATCTGAAAGCCGCAAAAGGTGTTCATGCAAAGGATGCCTCAGATTCAGCAGACTTATTTCAATTCGGATGGCCTGATGTTATCTTTAACGAATCTGGAGAATATGATTATGATATTTATGATTATGCAATTTACTCATTATTTGGATCAGTTGATTTTGAATTACCTTATAAGCATTTACCAGGTACTAAAGGTTTGTATGTAGTTGATTCGTCAAACACACGATTCAAAAATTTAGTATTGGCCGAAGAAAACCAGTCTACAAATCATTACTGGCGAGAATTATCAAATGAAGGAGATCCCTGACTTTGAGAACACACGTCCACTGAATGGTAAGTTCAATATAGAAGGTAAAGATCATTTTGAAGAGTATATCTCCCAAATGACAAAAGTCAGGTTAGGAAATTAAAAAGCAGATAGTGGATATCTGTCATCAAATTATATAGAATTTTGGCTATGAACATCATATATTAATAGTTAAATAGACAATAAAGTATAGTTATAAAACGCTAATGTAGAGATCAACTAGATAGATAATGATAGCTTGGCACTTCTATCTTAACAAAGGCGTATGATTGGCTTGTATTCCTTTTGCGTCATTATCAGTAGCAAGCACCTTTGATGTTTTAGACGGATGTTACGATCTCAATGGAGACTATAAGGTCTCAAAGAACCGTTGCATGGGTTTGATATGGCTGCAATGTGGTCTGCAGCTGGTGCTAGTTTTGCGAGAATAACAGGCTGGTACGACAATCTATATTCGCTATTTACCATAGACAAATGTATAGGTTTTGTTGTTATTCTATTCACTATAATGATATTTGTCATGAAAACACAGACTAGAGAATTTAGAGTAGCCAATGGATAAAGGATATCTTTATAAGCCATATATTTTAGACATTTGAATGTGATTGGTAGCGCTATATTTAGAAAATGTAGAAATTTACGTAATCCGATGATGGTCATATGTTGGAAAAAAAATCTGTCTGAAAAATTGAAGCAGCCTTTACAAAGAATAGACTTACATCTAATACATCATATAATTAAATATCATTATAGATAACGATCACAATGCATAGAGCTATAGTCACCCCATTATTGAGAAATGCTGCTATTCGTAGCGCAGCTCCTCGTACCTTAAGGGTCATGAGACAAACTCCAGTTGTTTTCCCTAAACAAATGATCCGTTTTGCCTCAACTGAATCAAATGCTAAGGCTACTGAATCTGAAGCAGCCAAAGCATCAGAAACTGTCAAAGAAGCTGAACCACAAGCTGAAACTGAAGCTACTGAAGGTAATGAAGTTGATACAGTTGAAGATTTAAAAGCTAAGCTTGATGCTAAGGATAAAGATTTAGCTAATATGAAGAATCATTATGCCAGAGCTATTGCTGATTTCCGTAATTTACAAGATACCACTAAGAAAGAAGTTCAAAAGGCTAAAGATTTTGCATTACAAAAGTTTGCAAAGGATTTATTGGAATCATTAGATAATTTCAGTTTAGCTTTAGAATCAGTTAAAGAAGATACTTTAAAAGCCAATGAAGATGTTAAAAGTTTATATGAAGGTGTTAGTATGACTAGAAATATATTCGAAAAGACTTTAAGTAAACATGGTATTGAAAAGATAGATCCAATGGGTGAACAATTTGATCCAAATCAACATGAAGCTACGTTCCAAATTCCTCATCCTGATAAAGAACCAGGTACTGTTTTCCATGTTCAACAACCAGGTTATACTTTAAACTCCAGAGTTTTAAGACCAGCTAAAGTTGGTTTAGTCAAAGGTAATGAAGAAAACTAAATGTAATAGTAGTAGGCAGTAACGTTTTAATTAATGAAGTTATGGGTTAATTCCAAAATTAGTATTTTTACATAGATTATATCATTTCGTTCCATCTTGTATATAAAAAGTTCCAATCGTAAGTAATATATAAAATAAATTTTGATTTATAAATTGATATTAGTATCTCACAGGTGATGTCATATCCTGTTTAACCTCCTAGCTCATAATGATAACAAGACAGTAATATGAATGATGCAAAATTGACCCTACTAATTTGATACGGCATTTTCCACACGTGACATGACTCACCTCTAATTTTTAAGCGTCAGACAGATCAGTTGATAATGAAAAATTTTGGGGACCTCCCCCGTAGATCGCACAAAAATGTCAGATTTTCACAAAAGACAATTTTTCACCATTTTGAATTAGGTTGATACAACTATCTTCTTGGTTTCAGTATCAATTCCTTGTTAGAACTATCCAATTGACTTGTTTGATAATGTTATCTGCTAGAGCTAGTTTCCGTCGTGCCTTTTCCACCACTTCTCCAGTCTTCAAGGCTTTAAAGATCGGTTTGATCCCCGGTGATGGTATTGGTAGAGAAGTTATTCCAGCCGGTAAAGCAGTATTGGAAAACTTACCTGCCAAATTTGATTTACAATTCGAATTCGTTCATTTAGATGCTGGTTATGAATTGTTCCAAAAGACTGGTACTGCCTTACCAGAAGAAACTGTTGACGTTTTAAAGAATTCTTGTGATGGTGCTTTATTTGGTGCTGTTTCTTCTCCAACCGTCAAGGTTGAAGGTTATTCATCACCAATTGTTGCCTTAAGAAAGAAGTTAGGTTTATATGCTAATGTTCGTCCTGTTAAATCGGTTGAAGGTATTGGTAGACCAGTTGATATGGTTATTGTTCGTGAAAATACTGAAGATTTATATATCAAAGAAGAAAGAACTTATAAGACTGAAGATGGTTTCTTAGTTGCTGAAGCCATTAAAAGAATTACTGAAGTTGCTACCACTAGAATTTCTAAGATGGCTTATGAAATCGCTTTATCAAGACAAGAAATTAGAGATGCTTCCCCAAATGCTAAATCATTGCATTCTAAACCATCAGTTACTGTTACTCATAAATCTAATGTGTTATCTCAATCTGATGGTTTATTCAGAGAAACTTGTCGTAAAGTTTATGATGCCAATATTGATGAATTTGCCAATATTGATTACAAAGAACAAATTGTTGACTCTATGGTTTATCGTATGTTCAGAGAACCAGAAATCTTTGATGTTGTCGTTGCTCCTAACTTGTATGGTGATATTTTAAGTGATGGTGCTGCTGCTTTAGTTGGCTCTTTAGGTGTTGTTCCATCTGCTAATGTTGGTGACAACTTTGCCATTGGTGAACCATGTCATGGATCTGCTCCAGATATTGAAGGTAAAGGTATTTCTAATCCAATTGCTACTATTAGATCTACTGCTTTAATGTTAGAATTCATGGGTTACAAAGATGCTGCTGCTAAAATTTACGAAGCTGTTGATGCTAACTTAAGTGAAGATCAAATTAAGACTCCAGATTTAGGTGGTAACTCAACTACTCAACAAGTTACTGATGATATCATTAGACGTTTATAATCAGGTTTGGATTTAACAACATAAATAATAAAAAAAAGTTATGATATATTACACTTTTGTATATAAAAATATATATATAATTCTAGTATTTTAAATTTAGTAAGGTTTGAAACGTTTTGATTTACTCTTTTTATCTTTTTTAATCTTCTTCTCTTTTTTATCCTTCTTTTCTTTCTTCTTCTCTTTCTTTTCTTTCTTTTCCTTCTTGGAAAGTTTTTCTTTAATCAATAATAAATCATCAGTCTTAACTTCAACAGTGGTTGGGGCAGATATACTAATTGGCAAGTCCCATAATCTGATAGCACCATCTTCACCACAAGTAAGGATTGAATTTGAATTAGGGATGGATAATACATCACGAACAACTTCTTCACCATGAGCATTTGGGAATTGAATTATATTGTTGGTTTCAAATTTCTCATTGGCAGCATTGAATCCCATGAGATTGAAGCTTTGTTTGGAGTTAGCTCCATAAGTGATATAACCTTGACTTGGGTTCACATCCACCACGTACTCACAATCAGCTAACACTGATCTTAAATCTCCTAAATCATTAGGTTGTGGTTCAACATTTTCTTCATAATTTGTATCATTCAATTCATAAAAGCTAAGAGTTTCAACATGGGATAATATAGAAATACGTCTTTCTTGGGTGAAATAGATGGAATGGACTGATTCGTAATTGATAACTTGATGTAATGCTTCATCTTCATCTGGTTGAGTCAAATCATATACATTCACATAACCATCAGTACTACCTGACATTAAATATTGTGATAATGTTGGATGGAACTTTATAGTGGTGATATCATCATGATGGGAATCGATATAAGATTTAACTACTTCATTGGGGTTTCTTAAATCCCAAATATGTAATTCAGCATCAACTCCAACTAATTCAGTTCCACCTGCTAATAGTTTATTCAAATAATCCATTGATAAAAATGGAGAACTCTTCTCATTAGATAATCTATGTACTGGTTGTTGAGCTTGTGATCTTAAATCAAAGATCTTGATTCCATCTGTAGAACAGGACGCTATAGTATTATCGTCTATCTTCTTCAAGGCATTTATACTTGATTCATGGGCATTTTTAATCAGGAATATAGGTGATGGGGTAAGGTTTTGAAGCAGAAATACATTTAAAGAACCATCACTTGATGATGAGACAAACTCATTTCTCAGATCAAGGTATTGTAAATTCAATACCCAATTGTCTGGATTGGATGACTTCCATTCATAACGTACTTTAGATGCCATTGTGGTTGGTTGTTGTCAATGTAGAAGTTCTATGGTCTTTGGTTAGAGTATTTTTGCAGATGAGATAATTGAACTGCCTAAAAAAAAAGACATAAAAAAATAAAAACAAATTGAGATGAATTTTAACTTAACTATATAGATATTCAAGAACTATAACAACCACAAGGACATTACACCATGAGTAGTATTATTAAGAAGGCTACTCAGTTCAAGCCAAGATTCAAGAGTAAGCCGATCAGAAGAAAGCAAGGATCGGCCACACCAACTCCATTAACACCTCCTGCTACACAAGTAAACAAAGAACAGACTCCACAAGAACAAGATGAAGTTGAGGTAGAGAATGTGCAAGACAAGGAAGAATTACAGAGTCAGATACCAGATGAACCAGCCAAATCGTCTCAACCATTTGAAGATCCAATTTTAACTGCAGAATCTACAGTAGTAATACCAAATATACAAGTAGAGGATACATCAAAACAACAACCAAAACCATCATTTTCATTCACAATTAAACCTAAAGAGAAATCTAGCTCAAGCAGTGAAGTGAATAACAAAGCAACTGAAGATGATGAAGAAATCATAGATCCTAAGGATTCGAGTCGTATGCTTGAAGTAGACCTGACTGAGAAAATCACTGATGAAGATAAGGAAAAAGAGGATGATGAAGTATTCAAATTACCAACATATGAACGTGAAAGACAACACTCTGTGGTTCCACAAAGGAGATTATCTGGTATAACTCCGACCGCAATCAGAAGTAGATCAGGATCAATTTCAATTAGAACTAGTGTGGCAGAATCTGAAGGTGGTGCAAGTGCTGCTCAATTACCTGCTAAGATCGGTATTCCAATCGTCAAGCCAGTTAAGAGAAGAAGATCCCTGGTTGTTAATCGTGGTTCAGCAACTTTAAAGAAACCTTCATTATCACTAGCTAGTGCTACTACTATTACTATTCCTAGAGAAGCAAAATCATTATCTATTGTTGTGCCAGGAGCTACAGAATCTACAAATAGAGAAGCTATCACGGCAAGTAAGATAGAAGAAGTTGCAGAACCAATGTCAAAAGAACCAAGTGTTGTTGCTGACAAGAAGGACATTGAATCAAAATACATTGTTGGAGTGGATCCAACTACTAAAAGACTAAGGAAGTTTTTAAGACCTGGAGTTAAATTAAGTCCTGAAGAGATTTCTGAAATACTTCCAGAAGCCGAATCATTAACTACTGCTCCTGAAGATTTAATCACCAGTATTAATAGTGTTAAACAGTTACCATTAACTAAGGTTAAAAATTCAGATGCTGAATTATTTGCTGCTATTGATTTTGATGTTAGTGAGATGACGATGGCTGATTTGTGTAAACCATTTTTACCAATTGGGAAAACAAGTTCAAATTTTGAATTAGTGAACCAAGCTGAAGAGAAGATAAGACAACGTAAAGAAGATAGAAGACGTGCTAGAGAAGTTGCTCGTAATAATCGAATTTCAATTGAACAAGCATCAGGTGAAACTGAAGAAGGTGCAAATGATAGAGAAAATCGCAAAAATAGTAATTTATTGGACTTGGATGATGAAACTGGTGGTAGTGGTGCAACTCAAAGTCTTATGTTAAAAATGCAAGGGGATCAAATTACTTTTGATCAGAATTCGACTTTAATTGATAGACATTTACAAACATCTCATAGTAATTTGATTCGTGAAGAATCTAATCCATTTGAGAATCCAATCACATCTTCCACATATTCTAAGAGAAGGCATACTGATAAATGGACAGGTTATGAAGTTCAACAATTTTATGAAGCTTTAAGTACGTTTGGAACGGATTTTTCCTTAATAAGTCAATTATTCCCTCATAGATCACGTAAACAAATCAAACTGAAATTTAATTTAGAAGAGAAGAAATATCCTGAGATTATTGAAATGGCATTACGTAGGAAATTGCCGGGTGATTTCGATACATATTGTATGAACATTAATAAAGAAATCAAGACATTAGAACAATATAATGATGAATTGAAACAAGTTAGATTACAACATGAACAAGATTTAGCTACGATAAGTGAAGAAAGAGAAAGAGCCATGCAAGAAGATGCAGAAGCTAGTAGAAGAAGAGAAATTGAAATTAGAACAGGGGCAAAGACTATGACTAGAGCAGAGAAATTAAAGGAATTGAGAAAGAATGAAATGATTGTGGGATCGATTGACGATGTTAAGAAACAAAGAGAAGATATAGAGTTATAGTCATATAGTTATATTTACTTTTCGGTAGACTTTTATATGAATATTAACATTTTTAAATTTAACATTTTCGCAAGACTTTTATTTAAAATTTTGCAACAATTTTTGTACGATATTTGACTTAACTTTAAATCATTACTTTTTAAAAGAAGTATACATACGTTGGATTCCTATGCTTTATAATGTTTCTATACATCTATAACATCAATACTCATTTAGAGTTATTCAAATCCAGCATATGCAATTTACGAAAAAGACAGTTTCACCAATCCAAAGATCTCATAGAATGCAAATAAGAGTTGTGACTCCCCTTCAAGGAAATTCAAAGTTTCCAACGTATGTCTTACTTCCGATCTATACCCATTAGCTGACCAAACTTTAATCCAATCGATATTCTTCAATTAGGTTGTTGTAGTAGCTTTCACTAAGCATAAAAATAAATGCAACCTTAAACTGCCAAAAAAACGGAAATACGAAATGTCACGTGTAACATTTTTTTTCTTTTCTTTCTGCTTTTTGACTTCGTTGTCTGTGACTAACAGAGAGTCATAAACTAAAATAATTTTTCAAATCAGATATACTGATTTACATAAATAGTTATCTTGTTTAATTATACTAACTAATCTTCTTTTCCAATATAAATCATCATTCCATACGACCGTCCATTAGCATTTTCAAAATGATCTATATGTAATTAGAACCATACAGACATACTTACACTTACACTTACACACACATGATTAAAACAATTAGAAACAACTATATAAATTTTAAAAAGCCAACTGATAAAAGTATGACATTTAAAGATTACGAATTAGAGATTACACCGAAGATAGATTTGGATAAGACTATCAAAGTTGAGTCTTTGAATTTACTTAAGTTCACCATTCGAAATAAACGTCGTAGTAAGATTGTTACTTATCGAATCCACCTTATATTGGTCTTATTGGGGATATTTATAAGTTATTTATTTCAACACCAATCACGATTATGGGAGATTGGATATGCCGAGACATATGATATGGTTCAGATCATGGACTCTAATCGTGATATACTTGGATATACGGGATTATTTGTCATTTCATTGATGATTTTATTATTACGCCAAGAATGTGAAGATTCTTTGATTATTATGAAAGGGATTGGAATTCAATTGAATAGTAAACGGAATTGGAAATGGTTATTCAATAATAATAAGTTTGATTGTTTCATTCCTGTTAATAATATTATTGATTTAGTCATCCATGAAGGATTTTATAATTATGGTCAGGTTATATTTTATTTATGCATCTTAACCAAGACCAACCAAAAGCAACAAAACAACAGCAATACTAAAGTTGAATTTGGTAGTACTGGCGGTATTAGTACTACTAATAGTAATGATAATTTAATTAAAGTGGTGTTTCCGGAATTCTTACCTAGAAAGGATATTCTCTTACAAGTTTGGAAATTAAGTAGAGAATTATTATATGGAGATGTTAGAAGGTATTGGAGACGTGTTCCAGGACAAGGGTTAAAACAAATTTCATAAAAAATAAATAAAAGAGTCCATACGATAAATTACAATAAAATAAAAATGAATTTAAAAGATATTAGACACACTAAAATTGTGTGATTTATATATTATATTTAGAAAGTCCATATACTATAAAAAGTATTTAGATATTAATAAAAGTTATTAGCATAGTAGTTAATATTATTACTGTTGTGTTTGTAATAAAAAAATATAAATGGCAATTTATTGCAATCTAGCAAAAAGCCCATTAATAGCGAGGATGTGTATATAAAAAAGGGATGTAAACCATATTTGTGTATAATGAGACCGTGTGTAATAATTAACCACCAAACTAACCAGTTAGTTCCTTCGGGAACAGTAAAGATATTGAATAAGTAATAAAATGAAGATAAAAAGTTATTTGTTGAAGTAAAGGGAAATGATAGTAAATTAGATTAAATTGACTATTTTTCACCTAATTGTCTAAAGACGTAACCAATGTTCTTTCTTTCGACTATTCTTGCGACACTTAAAGTGGCAGCAGAATAAGCTCCAATTGACAACAATATTTTGGAACCAGTGGAGTTAAGTATTTGTTGGTAAAGCATTGTAAAGTAGTAGTAGTAGTAGTGTATAGTAGATGTTACTATGAATAATTGATGATATAGAAAGAGAACAAAAGAATTATATTTACGAATAGAAGGGAAATTCAAATCTATTTATATCATTTTCAACTACATATCGATACCAAGACTTTGAAACAAAATAAATAATAATTTGATGGTGATAGATCTTAAAAAAGTAATAAAATTGCAAATCGATGAGTCGTAAGATTCAAAATCATGATACCCTCACTCACCCTAAACTGTAACAAGGCGCGGCTTATGATTTTACGTAAAAAAGAGGGCATTGTATACAGGAGCAACAGGGATAAAATCGGAATGTCTCATAATAAAAGTGAGCGCATCACTTTAAAAGAAACGAAAAGAGGCTGGAAATTAAATTCCGATGATGGTAGTGTATATAAGCACAGGTAAATGATCTCATGTCATCATCAATCAGTTGATGTAATCATTTTACAACATATGTTATTAAACGTTTTCAATGATAGTTTTATAGTAAATCGTTATTCTGAATCATGTTTAAATCTGGTTTGACTGATATGGGTAGGAATGGTTTATATTTAGCAACGATGACATAGACTGTAATACATGGGGGACCATTCCTGTATCGTATTTGTCAAGTTGCTAAATATAATCAATCATTAAAAAAGAAACAACTATCAACAATTAACATGACAACAACAACAACAGGGTATTTACATACAAAATGAAACAATAAAATGCTAATCGCTACGATTGCAACAACTTTAAAATTGGATGAAAAATTTTTTTATGTTCGAATATGACTATGATTATGATTCATTCATCCCTTGACAGCAAAACATTCTATGCATTTAAACGGAACTCATCAATCTCTTGATAAAAATTTTGACTTCTTCTAACAAGCCATTTCTCAAATTGATCCTAATTTGTCCTTGAATTATCCGAATCTAGTAGTTTCGTTTAAAGTACACCTACATATCGCTAGTGGTATGCTGTTATCGTATAAAAAATTTATTCGCCACGAAACCTTAAGTTGGATGGAGCTTACATTTATATTTTGAAGAACAACGACGTTATAAGTCACATGTCCTAGATTTAACTTAATTAATTAGCCATCCATTTCGTATATTACGTGTTTATAAACTTAGCTTAAACCAAGCAAAATCTGTACTAAAGACAGCCGATTAAAAAAATTTCTATAATAACGACATCGCTAATAATAGATTAAGAAAGTTGAAGTTGACTAAAACAATCAACTTAAGCGATGTATTATGATCTTGAAGAGTTTGGTATACCAAAGCTTGAATTACGTAGAATGTGTATCTCATAGAAATCAGAGGAAAATAAGATCTCACAAAAGATAAAAAAATAGTCGTGAGATAATTATTAGCCACAATCAATTCATACTATCAGTAAACATAATTTTGTAAAGGTGATATCTCATTAAGTATCAACTAACAATGACAGATGCTAATATATCACTCAGTGATGGAGATGAACCACACACAATGTACCTGTACAAGAAAAAGAAATCATTCCAATCAATGAATCAGTAAGCAAAGATGATTCAGGTTCAATTTCTCCACCTAGTGTAGATGACGAATTACCATACAATCATTCTCAAGATAGTCAATTGATTTTAATAGCATTAGGAGAAATTAACAAATCTCTTAAAGAAATAAATCATAATATTATATCATTTCAAACTGCCCGTAAGGAAGAAATAAGACAGAAGCAAATGAAGATAGAGCATGCAATAATTTTCTTCATATTAATATTTGTTATAGTCTTTCGTTGGCTTTATATTTACTATCAGCTCAATATCAACTTTCATTCAGTCAAGACAGTTCAAGATGGCAATACCTCATAAATTCCATATCACCCTAATTAACTGTGACAAATTGATCACATGATCGGTTTTTCAAGTTTAATTTATATATGCTTATACTGTAAGCAATTATGTTATTCATACATATATCCAGCTATTACAAAATTGATAGCAAAATTAACCATATAATATAGATCTAACTCGTCAATTAACTAGTTAAGTGAAACTCATAGCAATCAATTGATTCTAGAATATGAAAAAGTCTGAAATTGACTCGTGGGGAAAATTGAACTTCTCTACAGAATAAATCCAAATTAGGCAAGTACCACAGCAACATTTAAATGAGTGATACCCTTAAAAACTATATACCTATCCCCTCCACCACCACGAACTTTAATTGATTTAATGTTGACAATTTTAAATTATTAACTTTAGTTTTAGTTTTATATTCTTCTTCTTCTTCTTCAGTAGATTTAAATATATATATTATAAGTTATCATGTCTTCAACTAGATATTTCTTAGGTGCAGCTGCTATACTTGGTGGAGCATATTGGTATGATCAAAACGTTCAACCTATTATACCAAGACAACAACGTGAAGATATTAAACAATTTGAAAAACATGCTCAAGCAGATTTAAAAAAATTCGAAAAGGAAACTGTTCCAAATCAATATCAACAACATATTGAAAAACCTTTGAACTCTATAACCCAACAAATCAATGAACAATCGAAAAAATTAGAATCAAATTTAAAATCTTCCACTGATAGTGTGGTTCAACAAGTTAAAGATTCAAAATTATACCAAGATCTTCAAACTAAACCACAAGAGATTAGGTCATCAATTAATACTGCCATAAAGGATATTGAAGATGATAAGAGTTACTTAGTCAAGACCGTTGATCACTATATTGATTTGATTAATCATATTGGTGAATCTGCCGCTCCAACTCCAACTACTGATTATTCCACTGTATCAAGAAGAGTTGAAATCAAAGAACCAAATACTAATTGGTTTGGAAATTGGTTTGGATCCAAAGCTGAAACTGATTTAGAGAAAACTAAAAGTGAATTGGAAAAGACCACAAATTCATGGTTAAATTGGGGATCCGCCAAATCTGATGAACTTAATCAATCCGTCAATGAACAGAAGGATAAGTTCAGTAAACGTTTTAGTCAAGAAAAGGATAATGCTATCAAACAATATGACCAAGCTAAACGTGATTTAGATGATCTAATCGCATCATCTGCTCCAAATGTCAATGATCCAAGATTAATCAAGGCAAAACAAGACTTATTAAGTTCTGTTAATCATTTAAAAGCTTATGGTGATGATGTTTATCAAGAGTATAGTGATAAAATCAGTAAGTTTTTCAAATAGGTGATGAATGATGATGATGATGATGATGTTGTTTGCACCTCTTTTTATATAAACTTTGTTAGTTTGTTTTTTTAAATACCCATGTCATCAACATTTTTACAATCACTTACTCCTGAAAGTATATTGCTTTAGTATTTATTTGTCTATTTAAAGTGCTTTATTTAGTTATATTCTGTATTGATTGTAGATGATATTTATAGACTGCAAAAAAATAAGTATCAAATGAACTTGAGTGCGATACATCAAATCAGAAAAAAAAACTCGAACAATTTGACCATTTTACAATCAATCAAACGGTGCTAGCATCAACAGAAGATTGATCTGTATAATATAGAGGAACAAGGTTGTCCAAATCCATACAGTCAAGTATCTTTCTCATCATGATTTCAAGACGATTGCTTCATATAAAAACCGTACCTAAATTATATGCCACCAACATTGATTCCCTTAATTTTTCACAATCAAAATCATCACCATCTGTTATTCCAACTATCCCAACTCATGAATTATTAACTAAATTGAATCTTATAAGTCATCCTCATTCCGGTTTGATCAACTGGTTGCCGATAGGGCTTACAATTATAAATAAGATCAATGCCATCATTCGTTCTAGAATGAATGAGGTTAATTTTGAAGAGTTACAATTATCATTATTATCTCATAAATCATTATGGGAACAAACTAATCGATTGAATAATAATCAAGAGATTTTCCAATTGAAAGATGAACCATTTCTCTTAAGTCCTACTGCCGAAGAAGAAATCACCAATTATGTCAAACAAAATATCAAAAGTTATAAAAACTTACCTATTTTATATTATCAGATTAATAATAAATATCGTAATGAGAAAAGACCTCGAAGTGGATTATTAAGAACAAAAGAGTTCTTAATGAAAGATGGTTATTCATTCGATATAAATGAGAAAGAGGCCATGAATACTTATCAGAATGTATTTGGGGCATATATTAATATCTTTAATGATTTGAAATTACCTTATGTGAAAGCTGAAGCTGATAGTGGTGATATTGGTGGGTCATTGAGTCATGAATGGCATTATTTACATCAATCTGGTGAAGATTTATTATTTGAATGCGATCATTGTCATTCCATATCGAATATTGAAAAGACATTATCATTCCCTAATGAAGAGAAGGATGTTAAAGATGTATCTGTGAGATATTTCATTACGAAAGATGGATCTACTTTAGTATGTGCATATTATCCTAGTGATAGAGTTTTACAACCTAATTTTATTAAAGTAGAAATTGATGATATTGATGTTTCATCAAAGTTGACTCAAAAGGAGATATTATCTCAATTTGAAACTAATGAACAAAATGAAGATAGTTTAATGAATAAGAAAATCATTAGAATCATGGATTCAAGATTAACTTCAAGATCAAATTTCCCTGATTTTCCCTTATCATTCATTAATAGATCTGCCATTACTACTTTCACAGATATACCGATTGTTGAAGCTCAAGCTGATGAGATTTGTGGTAAATGTGAAGAAGGTAAATTATCCTCATCTAAAGCGATTGAAATTGGTCATACTTTTTACTTGGGTGATAAATATAGTAAATCCCTTGATTGTACCATTGAAACTCCTGATCTTCCTGATCGTCAGAATTTAATCATGGGATGTTATGGAATTGGTATAAGCCGTATCGTAGCATCTATTGCTGAAATCAATCGTGATTCAAATGGATTAATATGGCCTGCCATCATCGCTCCTTGGAATGTGACTATTATCTCTGTCAATGGTTCTACTGATCCCTATAATGGATTATTTGAAAAGTTGAATGATGAGAATGTCGATTATAAAGTTGATAATCGAGCTAAAATTGGATTGGGGAAGAAAATCAATCAATCGAATTTATTAGGTATACCATTAATTATCATCTTAGGTAAGAATTACCCTATTGTTGAGATTGAAATCAGAGGTAAGAGATATGATCCAGATGGTGAGTTAGCATGGAAGAAGTTATACGAATCTCATAAGGATGAGTATCAATGGAAAGTTGAATATGATGAGGGTCAAAATGACGTCAAGCATTATGTACATAAAGACGGAATAATCTCCGTTATAAATGCCTTATTAAAGGACATGTAAATAGAAAAATTTAGACACAAAATAAATAAAAGCTACTCCTAGTGGGGATTTTATATATTTAGATTAAGAAAACTACTTTGTAAAACTAAAATTGTATATAAAATAAAAGAATGAGTATAAAGGTAAATAAATATACATGATGGATTAATGAAACAAAAAAAAAAGTAAAGGCAGTAGTAGTAATTATCGAATGGAGGGTTGGTGGGACGGAGGTTAAACTTCAATGGCGATTGTGATGATCCCTGATCAATCAAAAAGGCATGAAAGTCGATGAGATGTTTACTGATGATTTTAAATGTACACAATTATGAGCAAACTTCATTTTGAATGAAGAACTTGAATAATTTTAAAGTATATGGGAGGGTAGAACATTAATTTATTATTTCATGATATTGAATTTAAGTAAATTTACCAGTAATTTTAGCAAATACATGTAAGATAATAACTGAAAATATAAAACCAACAGCTAAGAATAACACAACTAAAGGATCAACTCTTAAACCTTGAGCTTCATCAGTGAATAATTTCATCATGGTTGAACTGGAACCACCAGCACCAGCTGATCTGGTTGATAATGGAGTAGCACTTGATGATTGAGCTTTCTTGTCAGCAGTTGCCTTTCTTTTGGCGACACTTCTTAAACCACCTGGAGCTTGAGCTGATGATGAAGACTAGAGGGTAATTGGTTAGTATAATGTAAGTGAATCAAATGATACGACTTTAGTGTGAACTGGACGTTGATTGACTTAGTTGTTGTGAATTTCAAAGTGTTGTCATAAGTTGATGATTCAATCAACAAAAGAATGACAAACAACCGTAAAATGGGATAGGAACAACCAGCAAAGATGAACAAAGATCACCCAGCATACCAGTTACACTGAACAGTCTACCTATGACTGAATACATACCATGATGTTCTATAATTATTATTAGTTGAAGAATAAATGTTAATCAAGAAGTAAAATTGAAAGTTTAGACAGTTTTGAAAAATTGACAGAACAGAATAGAGAATCAGTATACGTGTGGACTTTTTTTTTTCAACAAACAAATTATGTCGTATCTATAATGTCTCTAAAACTAAGTCAGCCATGCGACATTGTTTATAGTTACTTTCTTTTTTACAGCTTTAAATGGACTGTAATTAGGTATAACCATTACACTGATTATAGTGTTTCTATTGGGATAAGATATATTGATGGTGGACATATCACTACATTCATCTTCTCACTTACATCTTCAATAAATCAATTGTTGGTCAGTTATTTACATCTTCTATATCTAATTACTAGTAATTAACTACTAATTAGATAAAATTAGACAGACAAAAAAAGAAAGAAAAAAAAAAATTCGTCAAACCAAAAATTAAAATTGAAAGGCAGCACACTTCAATAAACAACCACATCAACCAATCAACACACTTCGATCAACACCATCAACATCATCAACAACTACAACCATACCTACGACTTCATAACGTAGATAACCCTTTAGACCCCATCCTTACCGATACAGTACCACTTTATAAAATACCGTTGTATCGCTTTAAATTAGACTTTGAAATCATAACTTTTCAACGAACGTTTTACTTCTTAGCCACATTCATTTATTCATTATCATCAGCATTCATCAAATCATCATAATACCATGGATTTAAGGAACTTATCAGCCACTCCTAATCAATTAGATCCTGTAATGCATCGTCGTCCCTCATTATCTTCATTATCTTCCACTTCAGGTTATGCATCTTCTTCTTATGGAGGAGGTGGTGGCGGTGGTGGAGGAACCACTCCAGGTCATAACAGCGGTAATGGTGGAGCCAATAGTGGAAGTAATAGCAATAATAACCCAGGCAGTAATGGAAATACTACTCCTCAATTATCAATGCAAAGATTATCTATTGGGTCAAGAAATAATCTTAATTTACAAAATTCTTGGTTACAAACTCAATCTAATCCTACCAATGTAGCACCATGGGTTGAACAACAACAACAGCAACAACAATTAGATACTTCAAAATCATCCAACAATAATAATAACACTACATCTACTCATGCTACCAGTGGAAATTCAACTAATTTATCATCAGGTAATAATTCTAATTCAGGATTACAATCAACTCCAAACATCACTATTAAAAGAGGAACTGAAGATGGAGATATTGATGCCGATGATGAAGATGATGATGACGTTATTCCAACAGCTATTGTAATTAAAAATATCCCTTTTGCCATCAAAAAGGAACAATTATTAGATGTTATGACTAAATTAAATTTACCAATTCCTTATGCATTTAATTATCATTTTGATAATGGCGTATTCCGTGGTTTAGCATTTGCAAATTTTACTTCAACTGATGAAACCTCCTTAGTTGTAAATCAATTAAATGGTAGAGAAATTGGTGGTAGAAAATTAAGAGTTGAATATAAGAAAATGTTACCGGTACAAGAACGTGAAAGAATTGAAAGAGAAAAAAGAGAAAAGAGAGGTCAATTAGAAGAACAACATCGTTCAACTTCAAATGCTTCTTTAGCTTCATTAATCTCAGCTGCTTCAACTACAGCTGCTACTAAGAATTTAAGTAGTATTAATGGTGGTGGAATTGGTGGTGGTAGTGGAGGAGGTGGTAATGGTATATTATCAAATTCAAATACTACAGAACGCTTATTTATAAATTTACCATCTAATACCGGTAATTTCTTACCTACTCCGCCATTGGAATTAAACTTTAATGATCCTGAAACTTTGGATATTTATACTCAATTGATTTTATATCGTGATGATATTGTAAAATCAGTATTTGAATTAGCTATATCACCATCAAGTTTAAATCTTCAACAACGGAAGATTTTATCCATTTTATGTAATTTCTTAAGTTTATTAGAATTATTTGATAATGGTATTATTATAATTAGAAGAAAACCAGGTTATATTCCTCCTCAATCAAATCTTTTCACATCTCCTCAACAACAACAACAATTACATACTGGTCCATCTCATTCATCTTCCATGATGAATTTAAATCAATTGGGTCAATTAAGTGGTGGTGTATTAGGGTTAGGTAATTCAATCCCAGGTCTTGGTAATAATAACAATAACAATAATAATAATGGTCAAATTCCAATGCATCCTGAATTATTAAGATCTCAATCTCAATCTGCTATACCATTACCAAGATTAAGACAACAAAATTCTACTCCAATTCAACAACATTTCCCTCAATATCAAAACCAACCATCCGGCGGCCAAAACCAGAATCAAAACCAAAGCCAACAACAACAACAACAGCAGCAGCAACAGCAATCAAATCAACCAACTAGAAGTTATTCCCAATTTGGATTATACCAACAAACTACTGGAGGAGGTAATCCATCAGGAAGTACTGGTGGATTATCTGGTGGTAATCCAATTGCACCACCGGTCGTTACACCAACTATGATCTCATCTAGTGCTGCTGCTTTATTAAGATCTTCCAATAATAGATCATATGTTGATGTTAGAGCTACACCACCATTAAGTGCCAATAATCTTTATTCCAATCAACCACAACAACAACAATCGACTCAATTAGGATCATCTGCTTCCGTTACAAATTCACCAACTCCACAACACCACCATCAACAACATCATCACCAACAACAACAACAGCATCTTAATCAACCTATCACCTTACCATCTCAACAATTACCACCATCACAACCAGGTACACCATCTGCATCTAATGATATTAATTCCCGATTCCAACCATTTGGCCAACATAGTCAATTAGCTGGTAGTTTTACATCATTACAACAAACCAATTCTACTGGTGGTGGATTAGATGATTTCAGTGATCCAATGATTAGTGGTAAATTTAGTGGATTAAAATTAGGACCAACTAGTTCTACTGGAGGGAATAATAATGGAGGTGGTAATAATGGTGGAAATGGAAATGGTCCATTTGATGGTAGTTCAGGAATTTGGGGCCCTAAATGAATGAACTAAATTAAATGAAATCAAACCAATGTATGAATACGTGATGATAATATTTAATTAATGTATATCATGATAGATATTTTTATGAGTGAAACGAGTACGTTAAACTAGAAATGACATATTTTAAAAGCTACAATAACAATACCAAAAAAAAAGTTCAAAAAATTATAAAAATCCAAAAAAATCAATCAATAAATCAATGACAATACAAAGTATATTAGATTCGATATGAATGGTGAGTTTACCATTCAATAATCAATAGCTTGAGATTTTATTTCCAATAATCAAATTTATAGACTAATTAATTTATCCCAAAATATGAATGATACTTATTTTTACGGCGAATGAATGATATGAGTTAATGAAATGCCAAATTAAGACACCCAAAACTTTTCTAAGTCAAGATCATATACTTGCAATTTTATGAGATAGATAAATTCTCCACTTTTAACCAAAGACCTTTTTTTGAAATGATGATGATAGACTATTATTATCGAAATTATTTATTTATTTTATATATACTTTTTTGGTAAGACTGATTTTGGCCTTACTCAACCTTTATTTAATTATTTCTCATTTACAATACCTCTTTTACTCTTTTTTTAATATTTATTGTATTTATGTTTATGTATAATGTGCTTTTAATAGAAATGAATCATTATTTAAAGACTAACTAATTAATCGTTTGATTATTTGTAACTAATTTTAGATCTTGCAGGCGGTTGAAGAAAGTGACTTGATTAGAACTACAGAGTAGATTATCTAGTAGTTGTACTGATTACTGAGGCGGGATAAGTTACTATGTCATTGAAAGTATCCTTTCCATTGCTATTTATGACCTATTTAGATAATTAATATAGATATAGTAATTGAATGTAGAAAGTGTCTGATTTCATTTTTGATAAACCGATAATTCGGACGCCAAAAATTAAAATTAAATTGCTTTTTTTGGTAATTAATTTTAAAGTGAGAGAATGTTTAATCCAAATCAGTCATTAAGTATGGAATACCTGGAAGGAGATTAGTTTGATTATATAACTTTAATTAGAAATGTCAATTGAATGCTGTTGCATAGTAGTGACCGGTTGACAATGTCGTTTCCATTCGTAAAACTTTGATATAATTATACTATTAATCTGTGTGGTAGTGGTGGTTAGTTCGATCGTTGATTGTTTAAATTTGTGTCTGTCTGTCTGTCTGTCTGTTTTAAAGTGTCTGGAATTATGATCGAAAAAGAAATTTCCAAAAACCAAAAAAAAAAAAAAAAAAAATCAGACAAAAAAGAAACAAAAAAAATAAAATTAACAACAAACCAAAACCTCCACTCTCAAAAATTGAAATCCATCTCTACCAACTTCAAACTGCTAACAATTATCAACACATATTCAACCAACAACACCAACATCCATCCATCCATCAACCCCCCTGTACACCCCTACAAGTTAATCAGACACATCCCATCAACGATCATTACGTATCCCAACTCATCCCTCATCAATTCAAACTCCCCCACCCTCTACGAATTAGCTTTTTGATCCACATCTTTTGAAGTAAAAAAGTAAAAACTGTTTCTGTCGCCCTCCAAAAATTTTGTTTAAACGTTTGAAATTGTAAACTTTTAACCATCAAACCGTTGTATCAAACAAGACATCGATCACAAGTTGCAATCAGTTATCAATTGTCTGTGATCCATCCCATCCCATCCATCAATCAATTTGATCATTACTCGTTCACTACTGTTGAGTCATAATCTTACGCCTGAATAGTGAGATCTCATCAAACAATAAAGTCAAGTCAAGTTAAATTTTTTTCTGATTTTCTTTTTCTTGCATTTGAAAGAAACAAACAACTAAAGAAAGATCAACAAATCATCTAGAATTAACTACTAGGAGATCATACAGTCATACCTTTTTGTTTGTATTCATATTTTTTTTGTTTATCAATTCAACGTAATTCGTATTAATCAATTAGATATCATCAATTCAAACTATACATTTCTTTACAAATTTTTTAATTTAGATTCATAAAATTTTTGCATAAACTGAAAATTAAAACTAATTCGGATCCTTTAATTCAATTCAATTCCATATTATCATAGTTTTTGTCGAGTTTTTATTCAATTCATCTTATAAATATAAATATCAAATCAATCAATCCTTACTAATATATCACTAATATACTACTATCATCATGGGTCAAATACTTTCAGCTCCAATAACTGAAAAACATTCAGAAAAAGGTGAAGATAAATATTACGTCTATGCCTTGTCATGTATGCAAGGTTGGAGAATGTCAATGGAAGATTCTCATACTACTGTATTAAATTTAAATGCTTTAAAAACAAAAACCTTTGCTGAAGATGATGAAGACATAAAAGAAGATGACGAAGAAGAAGAAGAAGTCGAAGAACAAAAAGAAACCGATCATGTTGCATTCTTTGGTGTTTATGATGGTCATGGTGGTGAAAAAGCTGCTATATATACTGGTGATAACTTACATCAAATTGTGAAAAACACTGAAGCTTATGCTAAAAAAGATTATATCAATGCCTTAAAAGAAGGGTTCTTAAGTTGTGATCAACATATCTTAAGAGATTGGAGAATTGTTGATGATGATAGTGGTTGTGCCGCTACTTCAGTCATTATAACTCCTGATACTATATATTGTGGTAATGCTGGTGATTCAAGAACAGTCATGTCTATAAATGGTTTCGCTAAAGCTTTATCATTCGATCATAAACCATCCAATGAAGGTGAAAAGGCTCGTATATCTAATGCCGGTGGTTTCGTTGATATGGGTAGAGTTAATGGTAATTTAGCTTTATCAAGAGGTATTGGAGATTTTGAATTTAAAAGAAATATTGATTTACCTGCTGAAGAACAAATTGTCACTGCTTTACCTGATGTTTTAAAACATAATATTAATTTTGATTCTGATGAATTCATTGTATTAGCATGTGATGGTATTTGGGATTGTTTAACCAGTCAAAGATGTGTTGAATGTGTTAGAAGAGGTATATATGAAAGAAAACCTTTAACTCAAATTTGTGAAGAAATTATGGAATTATGTTGTGCTCCAACCACTGATGGTTCTGGTATTGGTTGTGATAATATGTCAATTTCAATTGTTGTATTATTAGATTATAAAAATAATGAAACTTTAGATCAATGGTATGATAAAATTATATCAAGAATTGAAAAAGTAAATCAAGAATTATTAATATCATCATCAAATATAACCACCAATACTACTTCAACATCAGCATCCATATCTCATTCAACTTCAACTTCATCTGATGTGTCATCAAAATCAATTCCAACTCCACAATCAAGAACCACCACTCCAAGTTTTAAATATGGTCCAATTTCAGCTCCTTATGAACAAATTTATAAAGATATGTATGGAGATTTCTATGAATTAGGTCAAAGAGGAAATCAACAAAATAATGGTAATCAAAATGGTAATGGTAGAAGTCTTGGTGGAGGATCACCATTATCTTCAATTAGTAATGGTGTTTTTGCTACTGGTAGATCATTTGGAAATTCAATTGATGATGATTTAGAAGGTAGATCAGCTGGTCATGCTGAAGATGATGATGAAGATGATAATGGTGATATTTCAAGACGTGAATTAAATAATGGTGCTATATCATTACAAAAATTATTAGCTAGTAATGCCATTACTAATGAAAATGGAGTTATATATTTAGATACTTCATCAGCTCAATCTATATTAGCTCATTTTGGTATGGGTGATGACTCTCCATCAACTACCACCACATCAATTGAAGAAGAAGACGAAGACGATGATGATGAAGATGAAGATGTTGACGAAGCAGATGTTCATGAAAAGCATATTGAAGAAGAAGATCTTGAAGATGATTCTAAAAATTAAACCTAGTTGTGGTTTTTTTCATATATTCTTGTATTTATTTATCTGTCTATCCATTTTTCATTCCGTCATTGGTTGATATCTGAACAATACTTGATGTCAACAATATCATATCATATTATATCATATCACATCATATCACATCACATCACATCACATCACATCACATCACATCACATCACATCATATCCTTTATCTAAATCTATATAAATATTTTCACTTCATTTACCATTTGTTCATTCAAAATAAAGCAAGAGATGGGTTTTATGTTATCCAAAATTAATTTAAAAAAGCTAGATGATCATGATTTCTTTACTTACTTACTTACTTCCTTACTTACCTTAATTTCCTTGTTTACTTTGTTTTGTTGTTTCTCGTGTTATTACTTTTGTCGTTTTGTTATACGCAACTAATGTTGATCTTTTACTGGGAGGCCATGGATTGTCACTACCATCCACTTCATTATTATAATTATCTTATACTCTAAATTCTGATACATATATATAACTTATATATTATTACTTCACTCCTCTGCTCTATTTATGTTTTATTTACTTACCACCCTTTTCCTCCTTTTTTTATGAATATCTTTATAACTCTTCCTTTTTTTATCTAATTATTATTATTACTACTACGATTACTTATTAAATATATATAATTAAACTTATATCATCTAACTTGTAACTATAATTATAGAGTCGCGTGTAAAATTCAAAAAAATTAACTTTGTGTCAAATTGAGAAAATCATACCAAAAAAAAATGACAACAAAAGAGAGAAAGACAAATCAACAATCACAAAGTAAACGCTAAATCATCAAATCATCAACCATCAGTTATAAGCATACATTGAAGGGATTGTTGAGTTAATAGAGTGTATCCCATTGTCATAATTAAATTGAATTAAATCGAATAGTCTTTGTCTGATTTTGATTGCGTTGAATTGAAGTTAATTGTCGTGCTGTAACCTGAATTTTGTTAGAGTGATCTTCTGATTTGGTTGTAAATTTGCAACAAGAACATCAATTGACAACACCATAGATCAACAACATCAGATTACAACTATTGGTGGATAAGGAAGATTAGATTTAATGAGATTAGTTTGATATTGATAAAGTATGGGTCGTCATTTATTGAATCAACTCAAAATTACTAATAATAAATTATATTCTGATATCCCACCTAATTCTGATCTTGATCATCGAGTTCAACGTTATCATGCTCCTAATGACTACTCATTGAAGAAGCTATTCAATAAAACCAAATATATCAGTGATCCAAACTCAAGAATACGAAATAATAATCATAAACATCAAGAATCAAGAGTTGTTATTGATGATTCTAATAAACGTCATTTCTTTATAACTATTCGGTATAAATTAGGATCATCAAGACGAAAATCAGCTACATTCACTAATAATCAACATCGTCATCATAAAAAACATCAACATATTCATCACCAACAACAAAACAAACCAAAAATCATCCTTAGTTTAAAACCCCCTAAGAATAAAAGTGATCTTGAAAATAGAGAATTACCTTATAAAGGTATCTTACCCTTCCCTGATTGTATTATTAATGATACTGATCCTCGAAAACAAGATCGAATAAGTTTTGATAAATTTCTTGAAAATGGAAACTCATTACGATTGAATACTTTATCAACTTTCACAACCATAAGAGAAAATACTCCTATGGAAGAATCATTAAGTATTGAATCAACTCGAAGTCCAACCCCCACACCAGCATTAACATCAACAAATGGAGCTCTCATAGGTGGTGGTGGAAGTTCCATCATTCCTCATCATTTAAAATCAAAAATTAATAAAATCGTTATAAGAGATTATGAAATTGATACTTGGTATACAGCTCCATATCCGGAAGAATATTCTCAATCAAATGTCTTATTCGTTTGTGAACATTGTTTGAAATATATGAATTCACCTATATCTTATCAACGACATCAATTGAAGAATTGTAACTATTCCAATAATCATCCTCCAGGAACAGAAATTTATCGAGATTTAACTAAAAAAATTTCAATTTGGGAAGTTGATGGAAGGAAGAATATCAACTATTGTCAGAATTTATGTCTTCTAGCTAAGTTATTCTTGAATTCAAAGACGTTATATTATGATGTTGAACCATTTATATTCTATATCTTAACTGAAATAGATGAACACAATCCAAACATTCATCATTTTGTGGGATATTTCTCGAAAGAGAAGTTGAATAATTCGGATTATAACGTTAGTTGTATTTTAACCTTACCGATATATCAACGTAAGGGTTATGGGAATCTTCTTATTGATTTCAGTTATCTTTTATCCAGAAATGAATTTAAATTCGGAACTCCGGAAAAACCTTTAAGTGATTTGGGTTTATTAAGTTATAGAAATTATTGGAGAATCACAATTGCTTATAAATTAAAAGAATTATATACCAAATACTTATCATCAAGACAAGATCCAACTTCAAATACTACTGATTTAACCATTTCAATCGATATTTTAAGTAAACTAACCGGTATGATTCCATCCGATGTTATCGTTGGATTAGAACAATTAGATGCATTAATTAAAAACCCGCACACTAATACTTTTGCAATCGTTTTAAATATGGCAAAAATAAATTACGAAATCACAAAATGGGAATCGAAAAAATATACCACATTAAATTATGATAATTTACTTTGGAAACCAATGTTATTTGGACCTTCAGGAGGGATCAATTCTGCTCCAGCATTAATATTACCAAATAATGGGACTACTACAACCATTGCCACGTCTCATAATACTATTGCTCTGATAGTAGGGTTTTTGAAAGATGATATTAATAATCCTCATTCCTTTGAGGAAGAAGCATTTAAAGAGATTGAAATTTATCGTGATATGAATTTGGAGTCAAAAGTAAGTAGTACGAGTGAAGAAGATGAAGAAGCCATCGATGACGAGATTTCAAATAATGTTTTAGATAATTATTTGATTTGTTATCCTGGTATTCAATTCAGTACTAAGAAGAAGATTCCAGTCAAGCAATCAGGACCCATAAAGCCGAATGAACCAGTTACACCAGAGGGAATATTTGACGATGAAGATGAAGAGGAGATTGAAGTCATTGATGACGATGATGAGGAAGAAGAAGAAGAAGAATATGAAGAGGAAGAGATCATTGATGATAACGAAGATGACGATGAGGTAGATGAAGCAATTGACGTTGTGGTGATCGACGATGATGAAGAGGAAGAAGAAGATGACGATGAAGAAGAAGAGTTTGCTATTTCTGATGATGATGAGGTAGAAGAATTACTTTCATCTGAAGATACTATTATGGTCAATGGTAGCGTTGAAAATCATGATGAAACTCCCTCTTCAAGTCCAACCAAGAAGAGAGGTCGTCCATTAGGTACTTTTAAAAGGAGGATACCAGTGGCAAGTTCTAGGAATGGTAGACACCAATCTGACTCTCCCGTAAGACGATCTTTAAGAACAAGATAATATCCTTGTCATATTCTAAACTGTACTATATATCTATGAAATTCTATGTATTATAAAATGTATAATAGACTTTGATAGGTCTCTCTTAGGAGGGGTCTATACTTTAAATAACTTACATGAGTTTTCGTAAACTGTATCGATGAAATTCTCAATTTCTTCTTCAGTTTTTAAATTATGAAGTTCAACAAGAATTTGGGCCACCTGACCGACGAATACCGGTTCATTTCTAGATTTTATTAATGGATATGCAAATTGACCAACTCTATTATCGATGGATTCCGGTGTTTTGTGATTCTCGAGTAAACTCTGAACAGCGGTTTGATGCTTTTGGAAATTTTCTTTCTTGATTGATGGAAATGGTAAAAGTTCATCTAATTTTATTTCTTGTTGTTTTCCATTTGATTGTTGTTTCTTCTTCTTTTGTCCATTACCGTTACTGATGGAGGAAGTATCCAAGTCCTCCGTTATACTTTCAACCTCATCCACTATTGGTTTCTTCACTTCGGGATAATATTTATTAGGATATGCTGTCAAGTACTTATAACTAGCATGACTTTTTCTTACCTCACACCATGGGGCATCAGTTTCAATCATTAGTTTATCTATAGGAATCTTAGCAGCAACAACAAGATTCTCTTCTGTCTTTAATGAACATCCATTAACACCAAAGTAAAATCCTAAAGTTTGTAATTTCTCTAACTCTTCTGTCGTACCAGTGAAAGAATGTATAACCCCATTACCAAATTCAATAGACCCATCGTCAATGAATGGTTTTATTATAGATATGAAATCATCACAAGCACTTCTCATATGTAAGAATAATGGAATTTTCAAATCTTTCAAATTGGCATAAATTTGCAACTGTTTCTTAAACATAGTCGTCTGCTGATCTTTGGTGGAATAATGGAAACGATCATAGTCTAATCCAATTTCACCAAATGCCTTTAATATCCCTTGTTCATATCCTTGTATGACCAACCCTTCAAGTTGATTCAACCTTTCATCAACGTCATCTCGTAATTCTTCCGTATATTTCTTAGTCTCGTCATCTTGTTTATAAAATTCTTGAGCAACAGTACAAGGATGAACACCACCAGTTGAATTAAAATTATTAGGATATTGTTTGCATAAGTCAAAATGTTCTTCGGTTTCTTCAATAGAAGAAGCAGTGATTAACATCTTATTCACGTTAAATAAATGTGCTCGATCTATAACTTTTTCAATATCATTGGGGTGTTTAGGGGTGCTTGATCCATTGTAATGACCTTTAAACATTGAATCAGAGAAGTTCACTCCAATGTCAAAGTATCTTGGCTTCCATATGTTGTTGGTCATGGTCCTCTTGAATAGTAGAAGTGTTATTCCACCTCTTTTAAACATATAAATGTTGAAAGATTAAAGATATCGATAGATTGTAAAATTTGTGATACATTTTTTTTTCAGTCAAAATATCTTCACTTAAATATATTTAAACAGTTCATTCATTCACAGCCAATTGTTCACTCCAAATATATAAAGCGGCCATGGATGATGATATAGACAGATTGTTGTCATTAGAAGAATCACAACTTTCAAAAGATCAAGAAATAGCTAGAATATTGGCTTGTGATGCCTATGATTACTTTGCCATTTTAAATCTCAACCCATTCCTTTATGAAAATGAAGATGCAAAACTATTAAACGTTGTGAAGAGAACATATAGACGAAGGTCATTATTGATTCATCCTGATAAAACTTCCAACCCAGACGCTCCAATTGCTTTTGATAAGTTCAAAAAGGCAGAGTCTATCTTATCTATAAATCTCAATGAGAATGTTGATGATATCATCGATATAGCATTCAAAAATAAAATAACGGAAAAGAAGAGATTGATTGATATTTATAAAGAATGTAAGAAGAGACTCCGATTACTGGATGATGAAATAGATACGTCTTCTCTTGAAAAAGTTAGGAAAGAAGTGAGTCTGATATTAGAAGAGGAAGTTGAAGCAGAAGAAAGAGAAAAGTTATATCAACAACATAAAGAAGCTGCCAAGTTGTCAGAAGAGACAAGAAGAATAGATGAACGTCAATTGAAGAGAGAAATGGAAAATAAATGGGAAAATGATAGAGATACAAGGGTTAAAAGTTGGAGAAGTTATACTAATAAAGTTGAAAAGAAGAATCTTAAAAAGAAAAAGAAAATCACTAAACCAAAAGTATTAGCTTAGGTTGGTCTAGCTACGTCTCCTGTGGTAATATCTCTTAAGTAGTTTGACATAGACTTGTTTATATACTTTATTCTTCTTGTATATTACCCTTTAATGAATCTGATTAATGACTGTAAAAAAAAAGCGATCTGAAAATTTTGAGACTTAATTTTTGCTGTAACCAGTCTATATTGATATATATATATATATACCCAGCTCAATGGCTCAATCAAATATCATAGCGATAGCTTCAGTAGCAGTAGTATCATTTGCAGCAGGATACTATCTCAATCAAGTGTTTGACTACAGTTCAAATGCCAATCATAAACGTGAAGGCTATCGTAGATTAAAAAGTTCAACTCCATCATCATCAGAACAATCTACCGATGATTCATTAGAAGACGACGAAGACTATGAAGATGAAGAATCAGACGATGAAGGACTTGACATTGATTCTACTAATTTAAATGAAGTACCAGGAGAAGTACGAATGACCCTTATTGTTCGTCAAGATTTAAAAATGGGTAAAGGAAAAGCAGCAGCTCAATGTCTGCATGCTACATTAGCATTATACAAGAAGATAACGAATCCTCAATCAGCAGCATATAATCCAGATATGGTTAATCGCTGGGAATATGGTAATGGTCAAGCTAAGATCACTTTACAAGTCCCAGATCAAGAAGGTATGGATACACTTTTCGCTCAAGCTATTTCCTTAGGTATTAATGCATATATTGTTCATGATGCCGGTAGAACTCAAATTGCAGCAGGAAGTGCTACTGTATTAGGTTTAGGTCCAGCACCAAAAGCTGTTATTGATCAAATCACTCTGGATTTGAAATTATACTGATCGGATCATATAGAATTGAAGTTATATTTTATTAATTTATACATTTATATATAAGATACCTGGAAATAAAATGAAATTAAACAATCATTGTATATATTTTATAGTATTTTTGAACCTATTACTTTGCCTTCAAGGCAAATATTTATTACACCAAATATGATATTATTATTATTTTTTTGAATAATCTTTTTTTAATTCTAAATCATCTTATTCTTCTTCTTATAGAATCTGTAACTGTTAAAGGATTAACTGCTGAACTTGCTCTTCTCTTTTTTCTTTTTCTTGATCCACCAATAGAATCATCAACATCTACTAATACATCATCATCTTCGTCCTCATCATCTTCTTCTTCACTACCCATTCCACCAATGACATCGTCAACATCATAAAAATCATCTACATCATCTAATCCAATAGATGATTGTCTTCTTCTTCTATGTTCACGAGCAGCAGTGGCTCTATGACCACCTGTTCTTAATTTTTCTAAATGATCAATACGAGACCATATTTCTCCTTCTGTTCTTTGTGGTAAAAGAATCGATAATTCAGCAAATGATAATTCTCGATTACGACGATTAATTAATAATTCATCTTCTTCCATAGTCCAAGGAATATTTAAAACTGGGGCGGAAGATTTATTACCTGATTTATTCTTTCTTGATTTAATCGATTTCTTAGATGATGAACTACTTGAATCTTTCTTCTTTTCTATTTTAAATAAATCTTCATCCTTTTTATCAGCATTATAAGGAATAACCACTGATCCCGATCTGGAATAATATCCCAGACTACTTCCAATACTACCATTTCTTAAACTTGAAACAGTGGTTTGTTGAATACCAGCTGATCCACTTATACTTGAATTTCGGGATGGACCACTTATACTACCACCAGCACCACCAAATAGTATAGGTAAATGGGCTAAAGTATTCAGATTATGATGAGGAATATTCATTGATTTAGAAGGTAAGGATGATACAGATGCTCTTAATGAAGTGACTGAATTTCTATCATCCCTTACGATTTGAATAATTGAATTATTATGATTTAAACTTGTACTTATACCAATGATACTATTACCTGTACTTCCAGTATTACCGTTATTATTATTATTGTTGTTGTTGTTATTATTAGTATTAGTTGAAGCTTGAGAAGTTGAATTTCGTGGAGTTAAAGAGGATGGAGTTTGAGGATGAGCTTGATTATGAGGTAAATTCATTGTTGGATCGATTGAAATATCAGTATAATAACCTCCTGTGGCATTATTGCCTGGAGCATTGTTTCGATCTATTACTTCTGATTTAGGGGAATTTTCATAAGTGGTATGATTTAGATGGGCTGGTCCACCAACACCTCCACTTTCATTATTGTTATTGTTACTATTAACGCTATTAACGCTGTTATTATTGTTGTGATGACCATTATTATTATTATGATGATTTAAACTTGGTGAATTTAAACCTGGCGTTGAAGGATTAGTTTGAGATGATATTTGATAATTTGGAAGTGGGCTTGAAATATGAGAAGGAGAATTGGATAATGCGTTTAATCCAGCTAAAGCATTGGAGATATTATTATCATATCCTGTGAAAGTGGCATTTGATAAGGGAGAATAAGCACTTGGAAAAGAACTTGTAGTTTCTTGTTTTATAGATGATACTAGGGGTTGCTTTTTTGGTTTTTTAACTTGATCAGTTAATGGTCTGGAAGGGATTTGAGATCCTAAAGCGGCAGCTGATTTAGGAGGATTCTTTAAATTCCCTGATTTTAACCGTCTCCATCTGAATTGACAAGCATTAGGAGTTCTATTGGTGAAATTACTGGCGATTTCTTTCCAACCTAATTTCTGTTGATCTTTAAGATGCATCAATAGTATATCATCTTCAGCATCCCAAGATGTAGGAGTCCTGGAGAAATTCTTGGTGCCGCTGGGAGGTGAAGCAGAAATATCATTTGATGTTGATTGATCTTGAGCTTGAGGCAATGATGATGAACTATTGTCTCCTAGATCGTTCAGTGCCAAACTCATAGTTAGTCAATCAGTCAGTCGTTGTTTGTTTCTGTGAATAAATTGCTGTATCAGATTTATACCAGATCCCTATGTAAATCCAAATCTATACTAGGTGACTGCAATAAAAGGTATAGGATAGATTGATGCTGAGGTGAGGTTATTGGTATAAACTTTTTATAAAACTATAAATCATTCAAGATGATCATCGTTGGATTCTCGACGTTTTGAACAATTTCGCACAAAACACAAATAAGGAAAAATACCCACACTAAAAAAATCATTAGTGAGAATTAGTGAGGAAATTTATTTACTGTTTTAAGCATCATGTGAGCAATTACCTTAGTTAGAGAGAGGATCTGGTATTTAAACAGGGTTAGATTAAAGGAGTGAAGTAGTTAAGGCATGTAACATGCGTTAGTACATGATATGTTACAATTATATGTTATGGTGATCCTTTTCAGCAACCGTTTATGCCAAGGGAATGGGTGGGGGGTCGTTGTTATCGGATATATATCGTAAGAGGGGCAAAGTGCGGGTTATCTCCCCTAAAACGTATCTCTCTTATTTTTGATGGTAGCGCGGCAAATTAATATAACGGTTTATCTATAATTTATTAAAAAATTGTCTCTATTATATCTAATTAATTACTAATTCAAGCTAATGGTTTACCAGAATGGGCCTTTTCAGTCTCTTCATCATATTCTAACGTTTTATTATAAAACGGATAAGTATTATAACCTAAATTACTGTTTGTGTAAAAGTTAGGGGCTTCAAATGGAGTTAATTCATAACCATGTTTCAATCTATCTACCAAATCTGGATTGGAAATGAAATATCTTCCGAATCCAATGATAGTACGATCATCAACATCAACATCTTTGACAAGTTGACTGAAATCATTGGCAAGGGAATAAGCAGCAGCTCTTACGATAGGTCCTTTCCAAATTTGACTAATGAAATCAGTAGTTGCAATACCATATTCAGCAGCATTTTCAATCACAGAGATATACGACAATGCATGACCTTTGTTGGCTCTTTGTTGTAATTCAGATACTAAGTATCCATAAGTTGCAATAGGATGAACTGATTCCTTTTCACCTAAATGACCTCTAACATTTCTAAATGGGGATAATCTAATGGCTAATTTCTTAGCATCAATGCCTTGTTCGATTAAATTATCAATGATTTCTAACACGATTCTAGTTCTATTTTCAATTGATCCACCATATTTATCAGTTCTATGATTTGAAGATGGATCAATGAATTGTTCTAATAAATATCCATTAGCGGAATGGAATTCAATAATGTCGAATCCAGCTGCAATGGCATTCTTAATAGCATTAGGATATTGATTATAAATAAGATCATGAATCTCATCTAACGTGATTTCCCGAATTGGATTACCAACTTCTTCAGCTTGAGTTTGAGATTCCGGAGTATGATAAATAGGGGATGGTGCTACGAAATCTAATCCTTTTTCCTTTAATAATTTAGGATTACCAGCTCTACCTAATGCCCATAATTGAAGAGAAACAAAACTTCCAGCTTCATGAATGGAATCATTAACTTTTTTCCAGGCTTGAGCTTGTTGTTCATTCCAAATTCCAGGGACATTAGCATATAAACCAACTTTTTCCGATGCTAATGTAGCTTCAGTGATTAACAAAGTTCCGGGAGTAATTGATCGATCAGTATAATATTTCAATAATAAATCAGTTGGAATATGTTCTGATGAAGCTCTGAATCTTGTGGTTGGTAAATGAGCAATTCTTTGATTTAAAGTGACATTACCCACTTGAAGTGGTTTAAAGAGATTAGATTGACTTAAACTTGGAATTGTCATGGTTGGTATCTATGAGTTAATCAATTGAGAATAATCAAAATGTCTTAATCAGATAATCAAACTATTTATAAATGAATCAGATATTACTAATTTTTGATGTAAATATTAACATATAATTTTTCAGCTTTTAAATTGTGGCTTTCGTTCCCAAAAGGGATATAAAACCGTTAGGATATTTTTAAGATTGGCCACCACCACCACAACACATTAAAGAAGAAAGACTATCTAATCATTACATCCTTAAATCACGACAAAAAGTTAATATGATCTGATTACAAATGATTCATTGTGTTATCTTAATCATTTTGATCTTACGAGAATGTTTAACTTATCCATTGTAGTTTGCATCCTATTTAGTTCAAATGGTAATTATCTACAGATTGGAAATTGTATGTAAAAATAAGTCGTAATATTCAACCTCAATCTACGATCAATGAGATCTTCTATAAACTTAGTCTTTCACTAAACCTCTTTAAGCTACTTTAAACTATCAAAGCTATAGAATTTATCTGTGTATATGATGATAGTCATATTCCATATCGTTTGAAATCATGAGCAGCTAACTCATAGCATTCTGATTTCAACGATAGGAATGTGTTCAAAAGTACTAACTATTTTTTAATCTTCTTTTAGGCTAGGATATTTAAATATTTACTAACTATAAAATAACTTACTAACTTTACAATATTAAGAGAATAATAATACTAACAATTTTTAGTATGACTGGTTATTGAAATCAGAGCACCTGTGTCGATGATAAATTTTTGGGATACTTATTGTGCCCCGCTGTGTCCATGTGTATTTGTTGGACAATTCGTGTACTCGTTATTTTAATAAATTAAGTTTATATATCTTATATCATGAGTTATCTCATTAGATAATGATCAATGTAGTATTTGTAGCTTAACTTAACTCTTTACTTTGTTTTATAAAATTGGTTAAATTTGGCAAAATTAAGCTATAAATTTTATAAAATCCGAATTTAATTCATTTAAAAACCTATTTTCAAGACGTGAATGATTATTCCATTTTAATATTCTTACATATCTCTTCTCCATAACATACTAATGATTCTGTTCTATTCAATTTATTCACTTTTATAACCTTTTTTTACATTGAAATATTCCTCAATCATTAACTAAATGCTAATGACTACAAAATGAAGTTGCAAATTACATACTTTTCACATACAGGAAATCGCGTTAATTTTTACATCAAACAAATTGGTTGGAAAATAAATCAAAACATTCATAACAAATAGAATTCATTTATATCAACATTTCTTTAGCTTGAATTATGTGAAATCTGCAAATATAATATTTGTTTTTAATAGCTAAGATCTCTGCTTTGTCCATATCGATTATGACTTTTTGCGGCAAATTGCCTCAACTAACCAATTCCTCGATTGATATCGTTGAATTTGATTATTTTATTTAGGATAGGAAATTATTTTACTAACTATTATTTCAAAATTTACTAACTACAATTTGATTCATTTTAGAGATATATTTACTAACTAAATATTAAGAGATCAGCTCTTTGTTTTCTTTCTTTTATGCTTTAAGAATCTGTGTTTGAGATTATTATGAAACGACTCTATGAAGTTGTTGGTTATATTATAATACATAAAAATTTATATTGTACATTATCATTTAATTATTGTAAGTTCTCTACATCATCATTTGATACTCGGTTTGAACGTTATATTGTTTATTTATATACATGTCTGTCTAATTAAATTGAATTGTCTAAATTTATTCAAATTTTCCAACTCTTTCAGCCCAAATCTTTTCAGCCTCAACAATAGTATTATTATTTGATTTCATTTTATTCATGGTTTCAATATATTCATCATATTCATCACTATCAAATACAATACCTCCACCTGCTTGTAAATAGGCTACTCCATCTTTATAAACCATGGTTCTTAAGGCAATACAGGTATCCATAGTCTTACCATCATACCCCCAATGACCAACTGCACCAGCATAAACACCTCTTTTTTCCTTTTCTAATTCTCCAATAAGTTGCATAGCTCTCACTTTTGGTGATCCACTAACAGTTCCAGCCGGGAAAATTGATCTAAATGCATCAAATCTAGTTTTATCTTCTCTTAAAGTACCACTGACTTCAGATACTAAATGCATAACATGAGAAAATCTTTCAATCGTTAATAATCTATCAACTTTATTACTGGTGGGAGTACAAACACGATTAACATCATTACGAGCTAAATCTACCAACATAATATGTTCAGCTCTATCTTTCAAACTTGATCTTAAAATCTCAGCTTTGGCTTCATCCTCTTCATTAGTTTTACCTCTTTGAATAGTACCGGCAATTGGATGAGTGACAACTCTACCTTTTACATCAGATTGAACTAATAATTCAGGTGAAGCACCAATGATTTGGAAATCAATTAAATCAACATAGAATAAATAAGGAGATGGATTGACGGTTCTTAAATGACGATATATATTGAATGGATGTAATGAAGTTGGTCTAGCCACTCTTTGAGATGGAACAGCTTGGAAAATATCTCCCTTTAAAATATGATCTTTTAAGGTACTAACATGATTTTCATAACCGGCTTGACCAATATTAGAAGTGAATGTTTGATTAAGTTTGATAGGAGGTTGTTCTGGGTTTATTTCATCATTGGATATATCATGAGATGTTAAAGTCTTCTCTACTTCATCAATTTCCTTTTCAGCTTGTAAGTAGGCTGCCTCTATATCGGTTGATTCAGATATATGAATATTGTTAATGATTTGAAATCTTTGATAAACATGATCAAAGGCAATAACCAAATCACAAAACATTATTACAGCTTCTGGTAATTGCAATACATCCTTCAATGGTCTCTTAGTCTTTGGTTCGAAATATTTAACACAATCATAAGAAATATATCCCGTAGCCCCACCACTGAATTTAGGTAAACCAGGTAAAGGAGCTTGACGGAATGCATTTAATTCTTGTTCTAGCACGGTGATTGGATCAACATTAAGATATTTCCCTTCAAATTTGGTTTCATCATCTCCGGTCTTGATAACTTTAGCAGGATTAATACCAATAAAAGAATATCTATCAACAGTATCACCCTTAACTGAGGATTCAAATAAGAAATTAGGAGAACGATTCTTGTCATTCAATCTAGCTAATCTCAAATATGCTTGATGAATGGTTAAGTCATCATTGGCAACGTATTTAAAGATAGGATATACATTTGACTGAACTTCAGTGGAATCTTCTTGATGACTCTTGATTATAGATTGCAAAGCATCTAATGATGGTTGAATTGTGCCCTGTAAATTCATGTTAGTAAAACTATTGTGTCTCAAGAACGTTATCACTTCCTTCTAACTAGTGTTATGAAATACTTACTACCATATCTATTGATATCTTCCTTGAACTATAAATGATTACTTCTAGATTGACCTAATTTGTATGAGTCAAAAACTGACAGAAATGAAAAATTTTGAAGTCATGCGATATATGCAGGAAATTAAAAATTTATCTATTTTGCAATAATTTCTATACATTATATATACAATGCTATTTACAAGAAATGCTATGCTTAGAAGCCTTCGATTTGCTTTAAGATACATTGACCACCAGTAGGATCCAAGTACATAACTTTATCACATTGTAAAGTTGATCCAATTGAGATTTGACTTGTTTCAGCAACAAGTATGTCAACTTCAAGATCTAATTCTTTACAGAACCCTCTTACAAGATGAGAATTTATATCATCAATTCTATATCCCTTATGAGTTACATAACATGTGTAGGTGATATCTGATGGTTGAGTAGTCTGTAACGACTTTTCAAGTTGTTTCAATGCATTGAAGGATTTGAAACTTGATCTTAAATGATCAATCATGATTTGTGAGTTTTTGATCTTTCGAAGTTGAGCATTCAACACCAGAGGACCCATTGGTCCATTTAGATTATATCCTAACCCCTTTAAATAACTGAATTTATCAATCAAACTGATTTGACTTTGAGAATTTTGGACAAATGAGATATTTGCTTGTGATTGAATATGATTCAAGATCTGTAATTGATTCACTACAGATTCGAAATCTTGAAATGTATTACATAAATCAACAAACCCATTGTTCAAACCTAAGGGGATATGTCTTGCATTCTTACCTGAGTTAACCAATATTGCTGACTTCTGTAAATAATTTCGTGCAATTATATTAGCTGGTACAGAAACATATCCATTGATATCTCTTGAAAGTAATGTTTGATAATAGGTATCAGCATAAAAACTAGGTAATAATGTATTATGATGTGTTACCAATGCATTATCTTCTGGATCGACTTTCGATGATGATTGATTTAAGATATCGTCACTCTTATCAAGAACAAGATTTTGTTCTTGAGTTAAAATTGGAATTTCAAAGTATTGACAATAACTGGCAGTTAAATTCCCTACAAATTTTTCAATCTCAGATACGAAGAATTTTGATCTTGGTAATGATTCTCCATTGTCTCCATTTGATAAGTTCTCGCCTAATGAAGTAGTAGGTTCCTTGATTGATGCTCCTTCTAAATTCCTCAACTTAATATGAGTCTTCAAGATATTATGAATGAAACAAACATTATGAATATCATCATTGTTTAACAATTTAAGTTTCCGATCTTCTGTAGATTGAACGAAAGGCCTAGTGAATAATCTAAATGCTTTTGAAGTTTCTGACTTTCCCTTTAAACATTCTTCAAGTTCATTCCATGAGATATTTTTTATGCACACCGACGACAATGAATCAAATGAATAAGTTACTTTATTTTGTAAATCAGTGAATGGATTAGATTCATAACTATTATAAAGAAATGATATTGTCAAACATGTCGTACCATCTTTTTGATTTAAATTTCGAATTCGATCTAATGTAGTCTGTGGAATCAAGTCACTAGCACTTACCCATTCATTATCTGTCTGTTCGGAAATATTTTGATTCTTGAATTTAAACTGATCTAATTTCAATGTTCCAAATATCCCATGGTCTGAATCTTGTTTCGAAGCATCCATGACTTTCATATTGGCACTTGATGAAGTAATTGATTTTATAATTGCACTATCAGGAGAGATTTTAGTCATTATATCGGGTATATGAATGTTTATGAGGTATTTTCTTGAATTTATCTTTTCAAGAGAAACCGCAAGAATCGATTCTTTCAATTCTGAATCAACTTTGGTCTTATATGGTATTCCATAGATGGTATGATCAGGGTAATATACTTTTGATTTTCTTAAATGTTGGAAATAGTCTTGCGGATCCTTACTGTTATATTGTTCAATATTATTAGATGGCATCAATTGATTTGGGCTGCTAGTAGCTAAACCATCTAAATCGACTTCACCCATGACATTTGATGAAAGAAGGGGATGTGTAGGGTCATGTCTTCCATTAAGGCCATCTTCATAGATATTCAATTCATTAAGGAAGTTATATATTTTAGTTGGAGTTATTGGAATTTGTGATTTGAAAACATCAAATTTACCAATCAACAGTAATAGACTTTGATGTGGATAGATGATGGTGAATTTCAAAACATCAATAATGAACTTGTGATGTCTTCCTTCCCAAATATTGAAATAAAGGTTAAGATCTTCTAATGACTTTCGTTTACCATTTGCTTGATCGTGATAAAGTTGATTTAAAAACTTGTTAGATTCAATAAATAGGATCTCATTTTCACAATTTTGAATAAATTTATTAATCATGACTGCATTATACTCTGAATTAACAAAGTAATCTGACCCCTTAATGATCTGATTAGAGAAATGATTTATGACATTACTTGATCGATTCAACATATTAAGATTAGGGACCAACCACATTGGTGAATTAACAAGAGTCATATGTATACTCATTAACAACATACATTGATGATAGTAAGATTGATCAATTTCCGTCAACAATGATTCTGAGAGTCTTAAAGATTCAATTATTTCCAAGAGTGATATAGGTGTGATCGTGTGGGATAAGGCATATTGTCCGAAGACAATATTGAATTGTGGTTCTATATCTTTACTGTAGATTAAACTTTTCTTAATGAATTCATTTAAAATGTTAGTGATTAATGATCTTCCAGGAAGGGTAGCATCAAAACGATTATCTAGGATATTGAACGAATTAATCCACTCTGGATTTAATACCTCATATAATTGAAATGTAACTGATACTGGTGAAACCGATTCGATTATATTCTCAGAAGTTAAGACAATTAATTTATTATAATTTTCATTGAATTTCGATTGGGCTTCTCTTAACACCACTCCCAGTGAGATTGAATTAGTCGCTGGGTTAACATATTCAATAATAGAACCTACAACAGGTGGATTATTTGTATTATGGCTTATTAATTGTTCATAAGAATGTTCTGGTTCATGATCGAAATCATCGTAGTTCAAAGGTTGTGGAACGTATGACTTTGAAATTTGTTGATAATGAAGTTTTGGATTCAATAGTGGTACTCTAGATGTAAGTATTCGCTTTAATTTGATCTGTGATTCATCCTTAGGTTCGAAATAATCTTTATTTACATGATCATTATTGGTGATATCTGAATCTTGAGGATGATTAGTTATGGATTGAGTTTCGAGGAAAAATCGAGTTGAATTATGTCGTATAAGATTTAAATGATAATTGAATCGCCTTATCCTTACTTTAGGCCGTAGCCTTGACAATAGCATTATGATGAATGTAGTTAAATGTCTATGATTGTAGTTATATAGAATCCATGGAAGTTAATTTAGATATAAATGGAAAATTATTAAGTGAACTGAGCAGTTGTCTAATCTATGAAAGAAATGCAAAATGAAGGAATGATATACAACGAGAATCTATGACTGGAAATGTCTGATATATATACAAATGAAACGAAGGTAGGCTAACAGGTATAATTATAAATAGTTGGTCAAAAGTCTATGATATTTATTGTCTTAAGACTGAAAAATTTCCATCTCAATTCTCACCCAAAAAAAATTATTATGGTTCTAAAGATTTATGAATATATATATTTTACCATATATAAAAGAGGTAGAGGGAACCTATATACTGATCATATCCATCTTTGTACTATGACAGCATTCTTCAATTTAGCATCCAATACGGTGGTTTCATTCGATTCTTCAATTGGTTTCACGGGGAATGAATGACTTAAAGTGAATGATCGAGTGTTATTTTCATTTAAAGCATGATTTCTAACAAAATCATACACTACTGTGATTGAATCAGTGGAATGGAATTTATGAGCTATACGTTTACCATTAGCGAATCTTATTTGTACTAATGAATCACCTTCACCTTGATCTATAGGTTCTGGATTAGATGGAGTAGTTTCAGCCGAGACTTCTTCGTGAAGATTACTAGTGGATGGAGTATTTGATAATACTTCACCAGGGACAGGAGAACCTAATCTTTGACCATGACCATGGAAACCACCAACTTTTCTCTTAGGTGGTGTCCAATCTTCATCAGTCTTTTTAAATACCGATACATCAACATCTTGACCAAATTCAACATTCAATAAAGACATGGGGACTCTACCTCTATTCAATTCACTTAATACACTCGCGTTTTCAGGATCATCATATCTTAATAATGGACCATCACCTACTGTGAAACCTTGTTTCCAGAATGTAATTTCTCTTGTAACTTTAGCTGGTCTTTTAGGCTTTGAACTATCATCCACCACTTTTTCAGATGAATTAGTAGTTCCATCACCTAATTTATATCCACTACCAGTGAAAGAAGGTTCAGCAACATCAGCTTGACCGGCAGATGGCCTATCATCAGGTTGATCCATTTGTTCTCTTGCTCTTTCAAAAATTTGATCAATTAATGATTGTTGTTCATCTCGTGGTTTACCACCATTACCATGATTTCCACGTTTATCTTTATTAGGATCTTCAACTTGTAAAGCTGATTTTTCACCACCAGTAAAGAAATTAGTATTAGTTTTATCATCTTCAGAATCCCCTTCTTCATCATTTAAATCTCGAAATGTTCTGATTCCACCAGTTGATTTCTTGGGTTTCGACGCAATAGGTTGTGAAACTGATGATCGAGCTTGTGAGATTGGTTCTGTAGCTTCTGCTGTCCCAGTATTAGCATAATAATCTTCAATAGCTGAAACTATATCATTATTATTTCGAGCTAAATATTGTTGGGCTAAATCTTTTTGAGCACTAGTGATAGAAATGAATTGTTCAATCAATTGACTTGGATCTTCTTCGTCTGACATGGTTAATCTGTATCGGAACTATCGTCTTTGTTGTTAAATCGTGTTGACAGATTGGAAAATGACTTACTAAATAGATCAAGTTTCACCTCTTATGATGGCAAACCCACAAATTGACCACCATACGTAATTAAAATGTCCTATCCCCCAAAACAGAGGAAAAATGTCGCATTGACAATGAAAAATTAAGGCCCACTTGCAAATGTCGTATGAAAAATCATAACGACAAAAAATCTGATTTTTACTAACCAAATTAAACTACAAATACAAAACAATGATAATAATAAATATATATATATTTCTTTAAAAAAATGATACGTATTTATAATATATAATAATAACCGATGTTGAAATCCCAAATAAGTTTTAAACCCCTTAATTTCCATCCATAGGATGGAAATATAAACAATAATAAAAAGTATAGAATAAAAAAAAAGTATGAACAAAAATAAATCGTAAATAAACTCATAATGTATCATAAACAGATAAAAGATAATATAAAAAAAGTAGTAAATAATAATAAAATTACATTAATGTTGAATAAATGTAATCAGCAGATACAGCATCAACAATATGAAGAATTGAACAATGCAAACATAATCATATCTTGATAAAACAATTAAGGGGTTGTATTGGATTGAAAAAGATAAGACCCGATACTAAATAATTTAATATTTAGCACGGAATTCTTTAGCAGCGTTAACCATATTAGTTAAAGATTCTCTAACTTCAGGCCATCCTCTAGTTTTTAAACCACAATCTGGGTTAAACCAAAAGTTAGCAGCTGGGTAAACTTTCAAGATTTCTTCAACTCTAGCAACGAATTCTTCTTTAGATGGAATTCTTGGAGAGTGAATATCGAATAAACCTAAACCAATATGATTTGGGTAATCAGAGAATTCTTGAATATATTTTGGATCATCCTTTTTAGAGAATTCAATAGAAACCACATCAGCATCTAAAGCTTTAATATGGTTTGGATCTAAATCAGAATAACAGAAATGAGAATGGATTTGAGTAGAGTTATCAACACCAGAAGTAGCAACTCTGAAAGATTGAGCAGCCCAGTTTAAGTAGTCAGATCTTTCTTGACCAGCTCTTAATGGTAAACCTTCTCTAATAGCTGGTTCATCAACTTGGATGACGGTAATACCAGCAGCTTCTAAATCAGTAACTTCATCTCTTAAAGCTAAACCTAATTGTAAAGCTTGAACTTTACCAGAAACATCATCTCTTGGGAAAGACCATCTTAAGATAGTAACTGGACCAGTTAACATACCTTTAACTGGAGATTTAGATAAAGATTGAGCATAGACAGATTCTTTAACAGTCATGTTCTTTGGTCTTGAAACATCACCAACAATAATAGGTGGTCTAACATATCTTGAACCATAAGATTGAACCCAACCGTTAGTGGTGAAAGCAAAACCTTTCAATTGTTCACCGAAATATTGAACCATATCATTTCTTTCTGGTTCACCATGAACTAAGACATCTAAACCAATTTCTTCTTGGAATCTAATAACAGTTTCAATTTCCTTGTTAATAAAAGTTTCATATTCTTCAGCAGTGATGGTACCTTTAGTGAATTTATTTCTGTTAACTCTAATGTCTTTAGTTTGAGGGAATGAACCAATGGTGGTGGTTGGGAATAATGGTAAGTTGTATTTTTCCTTTTGAACAGCTAATCTTTCTGGGAAAGGAGATTGTCTGGTAGCTAAGGATTCATTAATAGTAGCTAATCTTTCTTGAACTTTTGGATTAGTAGTGATTGAAGATTCAACTCTTGATTTGATTGAAGCAGCGTTAGCAGCGAATTCAGTAGCAACATCATCACCGGAAGCTTCTTTAGCTAAAACAACAACTTCAGAAACTTTTTGAGTAGCAAAAGAAAACCAATCTTTAATAATTGGTTCTAATTTAGTTTCATTTTCTAAATCAACTGGAGTATGTAATAAAGAAGAAGAAGTAGCAACAATAACTTTTTCAGCACCAACTTTTTCAACAGCAGCTTTAATGAATTTAGCAGCTTTTGAGAAATCAGTTTTCCAAATATTTCTACCATCAACAATACCAACAGATAAAGTTTGTTCACCTTTTAAGATGGAAGAAACTTCATTGAATTGTTCTGGAACTCTAACGAAATCGAAATGGAAACCAGCAACTGGTAAAGATTCGATAGCTTTTAAGTTTGGTCTAACATCACCGAAATAAGAAGTTAAGGTTAATTCTGGAGCAGATTCAGAAACTAAAGCATCATAAGCAACTTGGAATTTTTCTTTAACAGATTCAGGTAAATCTAAAACTAAAATTGGTTCATCAATTTGAACTTGATTAGCACCAGCAGCTTTTAATTCAGATAAAAGTTGTTTATAAACTGGTAAGATTTTTTCTAATAAAGTGATTGGATCTAAATCAAGAGAATCTTTATCAGCTTTACCTAAGTAAAGATAAGAAACTGGACCTAAGATAACTGGTCTAGTGTGAATACCTAAAGCTTTAGCTTCATTGAATTCAACAACTGGTTTAGCAACTGAGTTTAATTTAAATTCAGTGGAATGAGAGAAAGTTGGTCTAACATAATGATAGTTAGAATCAAACCATTTAACCATTTCTAAAGCAGTAACATCAACAGCAGCAGTAGTTTCAGTAGCTTTTCTTTGTAAACCTCTACCCATGGCGAATAAAACATCGATTGGAGCTAAATCAAATTTAGTATATCTATCAGGAACGACATTAAATAAAAGAGATAAATCTAAAACTTGATCGTAAAATGAGAAATCATTAGAAGCAATGATATCAACACCAGCTTCCTTTTGTAATTTCCAATTGTGAGCTCTTAAAGATTTACCAGTTTCAAGTAATTCTTCAACGGTAGCTTTACCAGACCAATAAGCTTCAGTAACTTTTTTTAATTCTCTTTGACCACCGATACGTGGGAAACCTAAGACAGATGATTGAACCATTGTGGAAATGTTTTATTTGTTTTGAATTGTCCTTGAATAGATTGATTCTAGTGGGATAGAGTCAATTGTAAGGGGATGTTAAAAACAAAGAGAGGAAAGAAGAGGAAAAGGTTGGAAATTTAAAATTTTTCGAAATGGACAAATTGAATCATTTAAATATTCTCTTCGTTCGTTCCCTTTGAAGAATTGTCACCAACTACCGTATAATAAAAATCTGGACGAAGTCAAAATTTTTCAGTTCAGTTCCAACAAAAAAAAAAAAAACTGAAAAATTAAAAAATCAAAAAAAAAACTGTCTTTGTGTAAATAGGCGCCGGATCTCTTCTCAATGAGTTTTTAACAACGATGTCGTTTATATAGGGCCGTAATTAGTATGTGATGACATCAGTACAAGTTGAATCAATCAATTGATCAGATGAAGTAACTAGATATAAGACAGAACAGATCGATCAATAATGACAGTGAAATACAGACAAAACAGACAGACACGTCTTTAAATCTGTTGGTTGCAATTAAATCCACACAATCAGACAGACAGTTCTGATAACTTTAAACACGTTCTATCTAAATAAAATTGTGGATTTCTGGATCACGTGCCTGTTTTTTATAGTGTAAAAAGATCACATGCACTTTTTGTCATTTAAACGACAGAGCCAAACAAAAACAATGTGACAAAACTGAACTAAACCAGACAGACAGACAGACAAAAATAAAAAAATATGGTGAGCATTCACGTGATTTGAAATTAAAGAATTAAGATCTGGTAGCGCATTAAATTCTTCACTACATTTGACTCCTCGCTAATTATAATGTATTAGTACTGCAAATCATTTTACATGTAGTATTAACATCTAAGATGACTCCACTTTAACTATACCATCTAAATATTTCACCCCTAGACTTTTACTATATATAACCACATTATAACTATTATCTTTACTACCTTCCACTGGTCCAAACCCTAAACTAAATTCATCATTCATAAATATTGGTCGTATAATTTTATAATTAATCGATACGATTGATTTCTGATTTACTTTTTCAAACCATTGCAATAATAATGTAATCATTAATGGTCCATGGATTATCAAATTTGATAAATTCTCCACATTACATGAATATTGTCTACTTATATGGATTTTATGAAGATTGAAAGTCATCATACTATATTTCAATAAATCTTGTTGAGAAAGTTTTAAATCAATTGAATCAGTTAAATGGGAATCTATAAAACTAGTGGTTATAGGAGGATCATTATATAACTCATTAGTATATACCAAAGTTCTTGATTCTTGTAAAATTGAATTTTCTTTATTTTTATTAATGAAATCTCGTATTATATTAACAAACACAGAATCTTGTACAATCCTAACTGATGATACTTTCTCTTCACATTCAATTAAATCATTACTTTCAATATTGGTTCGATTAAATGTGATATCTCCTTTAACCCACATTCTCCTTAAATATAACGAAGTACCATTCAGAATATCATATGGAGCTTGATAATTATCATATCCATCATGACCAAGTTGTAAATTGGATTGATTACAATATAAAAAGTGAAATCCCGATTGAATCCCATTCAATTGATTAATCGTCAGTAATGGCTTTATAAAATGATTTAAATTAGGTTGTGAACTATATGCATGAGGTTGAAATATATCATTCAATAAGTCAATTAATTTATTATGTGATCCAATTGATAAATTATCTTTCAAGTTCCATTGCTGTAGTTTAATAAATTTAACCCAATCATATATTATACTCTTTGATATTAAATTTGTCATGGTTTTATAATTGATCTAACATATCCTCTGAATATTTATATATAGTCAGAAGATTCACTTTTTACCTTTTTCTTTGATATATGTGGGTATACATCTATACCGCAATATTTAAAATTTTCACATCCTCGCCGCACAACAAAATTTAAAAGAAGCTCATCCTCATCTAACAAAAAAAATTTATCAAAATAAAACATATAGCACATATACAATAGATATATTTTGATTTGATTTCATATCATATATATTCAATATGAGTCAAAGTACAAGTGAAGCATTAAAGAATATCAAGAATAAGCAAAGGAGGCAGAAGGTCTTTGCTGAGATCAAACATGAAAAGAATAAAGATCGTCATACCAAAAGAGCTGAACGAGCCAAAGCAGAACGATTAAATCCTGAATTAAAAGAAGAAAGATTGGCTACTAATATACCGGAAACGATTGAAAGTAAACGTGTATTCGATGAGACCATAACAGAAGAGATTGAAGGGGTGGATGAGTTTGAACAATATTTCGGAGGTGCTTTAACTGGTGAAGATCCTAAGATTCTTTTAACTACTAGTGAAGATGCTAAAAAAGCTGCTTATGAATTTGCTGATATTTTAATGGAATTTTTACCTAATGTAACATTTATTAAAAGAAAGAGAAATTATAAAATAGCTGAAATTTGTCAATTTGCGGGAAATAGACAATATAATAATGTCATTGTTATAAATGAAGATAAAAAGAAAGTAACCGGTATGACATTTATTCATTTACCTATTGGACCTACATTTTATTTTTCTATCACAAATATTAAAGATGCTAAAAGAATTGAAGGACATGGGAATGCTACTAATCATATTCCTGAATTAATCTTAAATAATTTCAATACTAGATTAGGTAAATCAATAGGAAGATTATTTCAATCGATATTTCCAAAGAGACCGGAAATTGAAGGTAGACAAGTTATAACTTTACATAATCAAAGAGATTTCATATTTTTTAGAAGACATAGATATGTATTTAGAAGTGAAGATAAAATGGGATTACAAGAATTAGGACCTCAATTCACTTTAAAATTAAGAAGAATGCAAAAGGGTATAAGAGGAGATACCGTTTGGGAACATAGACCTGATATGGAACGTGATAAAAGAAAGTTCTATATATAAGATCTTTCTATATATATATATATATATATATATCATAGTTGTATCATAATAAATCATTGCATAGAATATTATCATTTACTGTAGAGATAGACATAACTGGCAGTATATGCAGTACGGGCTTATTTCTCATTAAGCATGTACTGCATATACGCCACGTGTAACAAAAATGTTTAGTGGTGATATTTTTCAGCTGAGGCAAGGCAGGCAGGCAGGCAGGCAGGCAGGCTGACTGCCAAGTAGGGAGAAAGGTTTGAAGAATAGGGGAAGGTGATATTGAATTCAGTATTAAACGATTGACACAATAAATGAGATCTCATAGAGATATAATCTCTACTGACCTGATGAAGGATGTAATTATCCATTGACTGATTGATTGATCAGATTGATTAATCTGATATAGATTTGTAATGATAACATAAATTTATAGTGTGATCGTCTTTTTACCCCAAATTTTATTTTTATTTACAGCCAGGCAGGCTGGCTGTCAATCAGTCCCCAACTTCAACTAAATCAGCAGACAACAAATCTTTACTATTTGAATAGGGGGGATTCGTCATACTAACCATTGACACTATTAGTTCGTCTAGCTTGCTCATGGATTGAACTGTAGATAGATAGATTGATTCAATTGATAGATGAACAGTGATTGATAAACTTTCTAACAAATCCTCTCGTGACCTCCTTTTCCTCACCAAATTTAGGAGGAGCTCAACCAAAAAAAAAAAAATCTCTCAAAAAAAACCTTCAAATTCTAAACCGAAAAAAAGGCAGCCAAAAAAACAATCAATTCAAAACAATACTTCTTTTGTTATCAATCCCATCAATCAATCCATCCATCTATCGGTAGGTATCATCTTAGCTAGTCTACAGCTGTGTAAACGCAACCATCATCTTCATCGTCAATACCCTAGTCTTTACCGATCTACGACGCCACCACTCAATTCAATTTCAAATCGCACCTCCAAAAATATACCGATATAGTTAAAAAGGGTGAACCAAGATTACTAACCACATACGTACACGTCTTTCCATTGATTATCCATCCATCCATCTCATTTCTGTCCCATATCAACCAGCTTGCATAGATCCATACATACCATCCTGACAAGCAAATAAATGACAATGGATAGCGGAGGAGTTAATCAGATTATAAACGCTCTTGAAATAGTCTACGATTCAAAATCAACCAATTTTCAAAGACGACAAGCTCAAGATTTTCTTGAAACAGTTAAAGCTAATGATGAATCACCATTTTGGGGATATCAATTATCATTACCGGAAAATTATGGTAAAAATTATATAGTTCGTCATTTTGGTCTTTCATTGTTACAAAATTCAATTAAATTTAAATATCATACTTTTGATAAAACAAAATCTTTAGCCATTAGAAATTGGATTATTGATTTATCAAATAAAATTTTAGTTGATGATCCTCATTATATTAAAGAAAAATTGGCATTTCTTTGGGTTTCAATTGCAAAAAGAATTTGGGGTTGTTATTTAATAAAATCTTATTCAAAAAATACAAGTCCACATACTAATCATAATATAAATCCTGATGATATACCGGCAGGTAACGGTAATTCATCATCATCTAATAATCATAATAATACCACTAATAATAATAATAATAATACCTCCAATGTTAATAATGATAACATACCTATAGATAATAATAATAGTTCAAGTTTACATACTTCAACTGACAGTTCAGCTAATACTAGTAATAACACTAATAACAACAACAACACTAATAATAATAACACTAATAACCCACCTATAAATAGTACCAATACCCATGATAACAACAACCCCAATGGTTCTAATACCATAATAGACACATCATCATCATCTAGTATAATACCACCTCCATCCCAATTACAATCTCAAATTAATTCTACTACTAATCCCAATGATTCATCTAAATCAACTCCAACTGCTTCTGATTTAGAAGATGGTTGGGCAAATATGGATCATGAATTATGGAAATTATGGACTAATAATTTCGCTAGTCGTGAATTATCCATCATAATTATTCGTACTTTATTTGAAGATATTTATTTATTAGATGATCCAATTGCATCAAAAAGAACCATTTTATTAAATCAATTAAGTGTATTAATTGTAACTCCGGCTAATATCATTGATTCAATTTATGAACATAATCCAAATGTTTTAATTTGTAAAGCTATTCCTCAAGGTTGGTTTACAATTTGGAGTAAATTTTTAATTGAAATTTTATCAAATAATGATGTTAAAAGTAATACTTGTCAAATATTCGTTCCAAAAATTTTATCAACTTTTAAAACTTGTTTACATTGGGTTCAACCTGCAGTTTTAAGAAATGAAAATATAATGCAAACTTTAATTAATATTTTAACTTTACCTGATATAAAATTAAAAACTTTAGCAGTGGATTGTTTACATATTTTATTTACAAGAAATTATTTAAATCCTGAAGATTTTGATTTCTTTATTGGATCAATTTTTTCAACTGAAGGTATTTCTAAATTAAATGAATTTTATGTTTCATTAGAATTAGATCCCGATGATATTGATGAACAATTATATTCATTATTAAAGAAAACAGTTGAAATGATTGTATCATTAAGTGAATATCTTAATATATCTTCCAAAAATAAAGTTTCTTGGGAAAGTTCTGATGTTGATTCATATTTAAGATTAGTTTTAACTACTACTAATCATCCAAGCTTAATTATAAGTGGATTATCTTTACAAATGTGGGTTACCATTTTAAGATTTGATGAATTAAGTTCAAAACCAGCTATTATTAAAATATTATTAGATTTATTAGAAATTGCTGCTAATAGAACTATTAATTATACTTTTGATGAAGAAAATATTTCTAAAAAATTCCTTGATATTGATTTTGATAGTCCTCCAGATGCAATTTCATTTTTATCAAATTATAAAAAATTTAATGAAGATATTGTTAGAATTACAATTTGTAAAAAACCAGAAGAAGGGTTAAGATGGTTAGAAAATCGTTTAGAATTGTTTTTCAGTTCTGAATTAGGTAATCAATGTATTACTCAATATAAATTAGATGAAAAATCAAATTCATTTAATTATGGTACTTCTCAATTTAATATTATTGAAAATTGTATACGAGGTATATCAAGATGGAGAATTTGGTATAATGGAGATGATTTTGAATTGGTTAATGATCAATTAAATAAATTAGTTGAAGGATTAGGTGAAAGATTATTAGCTATGAATTTAGCTTCACCTTTATTAATTCGAAAACAAGTTCAAACTTTAGTTCAATTTGCTCCATTATTAAAAGATGTTAGTCCTTTAATGTTTCAAGTTTTAGAAAAGATTTTAACTACTGCTACATTTGAATATCCTGGTAATATAAGTGATGAAGAAAAGGAATTAATTCGTGATTTAAGAACTAGTTGTGGTACAGAATTAAATCGTTTAGCTTATATTATGCCCGAATCATTAAAGAAAATATTTAATGATTTAGAAAATGTTGTGGCAAATATCTTATCTTCTAAAAAAGTTACTGATCATGAAAATGTGGCATTTAAATCATTTTTATTAGTGATTGCTTCAAGATCAAGTATTGATGATAAAGATGAATTATTTGCTAAAATTGTTGATCCAGAGTTATCTGCCTGGTCAGCTCCAGAAACTGAAAAAGGATTAATGGATTTACATTGGTTTATGGAAAGAATGGGTATAGTTGAAATAGCGTCATATTTTCAAAAAAGAGGTATCACTGGTACTACTGACTTACTAGAAGCTAAAATGGATGAAGAAGGTAGATTATTAAAGAATAGATTAAAAGATCATTGGTCATCTATTTTCCCCATCAGAGCCACCAGAATTTTTATTCAATATAGTATTGAAAAATTAAATCATGATTCACCTGAATATTTGAATTTATTAAAATTATGGAAACCAAGAGTAAGACCTATTATTCCTCATATTTTACAATTGTTAACTCAAATTCAAGCTTATCATAATCCTGAAAATTGGAAAGATTTACCTGATGCAGTTCAATCATTTGTCAGATATAGTTGTATGGAAAGATTTTGGCAACAAGGTGTTTCAATTCAATCTAAAGAAACTTTTATTGAAGAAAATGTAAAAGCTGCTTTAACTTTAAGAGATTTTGCTGATTCTGTCGGGCATTTAATCAGATATACTCGAGAATATGCATTTTTAACCATTGGATCTTTATCACAATTAGAAGATACTTTATATGAAATTCCAAATATTGCTACTATGTTTTGGAAAGCTGTTGCAGGTGATACTCTGGGAGTTACATTACATAGTTGGAAACATATGATTAATAGTAGTTTAAGAAGTGTGATTAAATTTTGTCCAGTTAAATATGTTGATGTTTTTATGGCTGAATTATTACCAAAAGCATTTATTGATATTGATAAATTAATTGTTAATCGTTGGGAAAAAGTTTATCAAAATGGATTAAAATTACAAGGTAATGAAGATGATGAAACTTTATCAGAAGAAATGATGGAAGAACATATGTTAAGACAATTGACTGCAACTGTGGTAAGATTTTTAATGGATGTTGTAAGTCAATATAATGCCAAAACTATAACTGATACTCAATTTGCATGTCGTCGTTTAATTATTGAAAATAAAGAAGTTATGGCACCATTTTTACAAATTTGTTGTCATATTATAATGTTTAAAGATACTAAATGTTCATTTAATACGATTTTAGTGGTTAGAAATGTCTTACTGGAAATTTTATTAAAGGATGATGAAGTTGATAAATATTTATGTGATAATTTAATGAAAAGTTTATTACATGTTTTAATGGATGATTATTTTATTGAAACTCATGGTGAAGCAGCTATTGCATTCACAACCTTATATTGCAGTTTAAGATCTAAAAATGATTATCCTGCCAGAGTTATGATTCAATTCTTACCAAATATTTCAACTCAACATGTGAGTAATTTTGAAAATTTATTAGTAAGTTCAAAATCCTTAAAACATCAAAGATCAGCTGTATTAGAATTAATTAGAATTGCCAAAGAGAATCCTGAAGATGATGATACGGAAAATTCAGATAAACGTAGGAAGCAATTAGAATCTTCATCTGCCATAAAGAAGAAACCAATTGGAATTGATGTGATGAATGATCCATTTACTGAAAATGCTCCATTAGATAATTTATTTGGAGAAGCTTAAACCAAAAAAGTGATATATAAAATGTTGATTTAAATTGATTTCGATTGTATTTAATTATTTATTTATTTATAGTATACCCACCCGTCCCATTCTTTTACGTTAATTTTAATTTGTATTTATACTTATCTTCCCATATCATATAAATAATGTATAATGTTACACTTTCTATTACCAGTAGTACTGCGACATAAATACTTCAGTCCAATTCCGGGGTTTCCCATTTCCGTTCTTCCTCGAGTAATGTCGCGCGACTTAATAATTTTATCGTGTATGGCTCCACTCATATAAACAAAAGTGAAAGAAAGAATTAAGGTATAAGCAGTACAAACAAAGCATACTATAAATTGCCATTGAATTTTGAAATTGTTTGTTAATTTGGAAGCTTTATAAAGTATCAACTCAATCTTAACTATCAAACCGATCTTTTCAAAACTTCATTTGATTCAATATTCACCAAGTTGAAAAATTACATTCAATTCCTATACATATACCATGCCGATTAGATCACTTGAATCGTATTTATTCGAAAGGAAATTAGCTTCAACTAGTTCCATCGAAGTGTTACAGAACGCTACCATTGGTATTGATGTCGAACATTATTTATCCAGAATATATACTTTCAAAAAGGAACAATATTTAGCTGCTATTGGAGGAGTTCCAGCTTCCTTAAAGGATTATCTTCATTCTGATTTGAATGTATTTAAAGAGTTTAATATTAAACCAATCTTTGTTATTTCAGGCCTTAATATTCAATTACAATCTCATCAATTCACAAAAGCTAATGAATTGACTTCTTATGAAAATCATATAGATGTTATTTGGAATAAAATTGCTGCAAAGCAATCATTTAATTATAATTCAACTGAAAGCTTCCGTCAATTCACTGATTCATTACCTTTAAGACCCGTCATTAATGATTTAATTAAATTCTTCATTGAATTCGGTATTGATTATATGGTTGCACCTTATGATGCATCATTCCAATTATCATATTTATACCAGAATGATATTATTGATACTATTTATGGATCAACTGATCTTTTATTAACTAAAGTAGATAAATTCATCTTGGGGATGGAATTTCAATCGAAAGATTTTAGATTTATTGATAAAAAGAAAGTTTTAAATGATTTACATGTTACTGAACGTCAATTTTTAGATTTAAGTATTATGGTTGGTTGTAATCTTCAACCTATTACATTTTCAAATTTCCCTCCCACTCCAAAACCAAATGCAGTTCAACCTCATCCTCAAATAAGTTATATTAAATTAGGGTTAGATATAATGTATCAATTTAATGCTTACAATAGTGATTTATCTGGGTTTATCGCTAATCTTAGTGATCCAAAATCATTAGATTTATATTATAAAGCTCATTCTGCATTCAAATATTTACCAGTATTGACTAAGGAAGGATATGTTGAGTTATATAGTGTTGAAATGGCTAAGCTTAATTTAGTAGATAAAGAGAACTTAATCAAAGAAGATGATGGAGTAAATGGGAGTGATGATACAAGATTTGTGGTTAAAGTTCCAAATGATGTTCATGATATAATTTCTCAAAGATTACCACCTGAATTTTATTATTATCAATCGATTGGTTTATTACCTTTAGATTTATTAGAATCAATTACAAAGGGTAGTCTTGATATAAGACCACCATTAGAAATCAATTTAAATGATTCATATAGTAAGTTAATCAATTCAAAATTAATCACTGAGAATTTGGATTATCAATATAATCTTATCACTCAATTATTAGCACGGTATTATCAAGTTAAAAAGATTGCCGTGAAATATTGGTATAAAGATGAAGTATTAGAATTGAATAATCGTTTAACTCCTCCTGTTTCAAGAAGAGTGGATAAATTATTCATTCAAAGTGATGATTCAAGTGAAGAATTTCAATTGAATGAGTTTTTCAAAAAGTTGGTGGATGAAGGGTCTACCACTGATGCATATGTATCTACCAAAGAAATCAAAACTAAGGAAGATATTGTCTCTACGGTATTCTTAAGATCATTATATTTATTTGATATCATTAATAATAAAAAAGAATTACAATCAATTGGGAAGATATTCAAGAAATTTTCTGAAACAGCTGAAGGTAAAACTATTTCAGAAGATCATTTAGAATATTTATTCTTAATTTTGTTCTTGATTGGTACCAAGACACTTAAATTAAATGAAGTAAGTCGTGATTTTATGAATGTAGCAAGACATTTCAAAGATTTAGGTTCGGTAACCAATGATGGTGCTTATGTGCCTGTTGATTTATCATCGAATGAAGCTAAAATAGTGACATTAATCTCAAGAGTATTCTCATTAGTTAGATTCAATGTGGCTCCAATCAACTATCAAGGTCCAATTTCAAAGAATTTATTAAATTTCAGATCTCATGTTAAATTTCTTCAAACTAATTTACTTCATACTGTTCAATGTTTATTAGTTGATTTCTTAGTCCATCAGAATAACAATAACATCAAGTTGAATTATCATTCTGAACGTGAATGGAATGAATTAGTGGCTCAATTACCTTTCTTTAAAGATATTAATAATACTTTAATGGGAGTAATTTCTGAAATTTACTTTGAATACTCTATAAAACAATCAAAATTATATCCTCAAAGATCAAAACAAGATATCATTAATGCTACCAAAGATCAAGTTGCCAATCAAGGATTCCAAGTCACAACTTCCCAATTCAATATCAATGTTCATGGAATTAATTCCATCACTCATGAACTGTTATGGGGTGATTTATCTCAAGGAGTCAAATTCTGGAACAATTTCGTGCAATTGTCAAAGATTGCTAATGAAGTGGATAAAACTTTGATCAATGATGCGTTCTATCAAGATATCCTTAGTGCTGATGAAGTTGTAAAGTCTTATATATAGATGTAAAGTAGGGTATATCATTTTATAGGCTATCAAAAATTAATAAAAAAACACATTTTTTTTCACAGCACAAAGATTTAAACTAAAGCGAAAAAAAAAAACTTAAGCAGCCAATTGAATCAACAACAAATTGGTGTTGCCAAAGTTGGAAACAATCAAGTATTGCACGATACAAATGATAGGATTGGGATTAAAGAGACGTATAGGACGGGATGAGTTGAGACGATTGACTACTGCTACTATAGCTGAGAAAGCTGAGTTCACAGGAAGTGGACCATTCATTGAATTACCCCAATTTAGATCGATTGGGAACCCCAGTAAATTATTGAACATTACATTGCCCCAATCATCAAGGTTGAATATACGACATGGGTCGATGGTTGCTATTAATGGAGATTTAAGTCAATTGGTGAGTTATACAAGGTCCTTAACGAAATTCACTCAATATGAAGAATTACATTCTGGTGATTCGGTTTCAGTAGTGATTAATGGTAATAATAAGAATTATGCTATTATTGATGCTGAATCGAAATCATCAAATGTGAATAATACACCATGGATTGTATTGAATGATGAGAATATAATTGCATGGACAGGATATAATTTTGAATTAAAATCAAAATCAATTCTTGATAAATATCGTAGTTTTGAAACTTCAGGTAAAGGTACTTTAGTTATAAATGGTGATAACGAATTATTCAGTATACAATTGAATCCTAATGAATCATTGTTGGTCAACCCCAGTACTTTGATTGCTACTAATGGATCCATTCTGTTTAAAGTTCTTGATGGCCAAAATAACGCTACTTTGACAAACATATTGAAATCTATTCCAAGTATAAATTTACCCACTGTTGGTATTATTGGACTGTTTGTGAATAGTATAAGGGCAAGAATTAATTCATTGAAAGCATTAATCACTACGAATCAAGTTATAGTTGATATCAATCGATATATTGGAACTACATCCCAATATATAGCTAAGATTTATGATCTGATAAAATTAAGTTTGACAGGAACAATTATTAAGAAACGTCCTATATATATAGAAATTAAGGGTCCATCAAAGTTAATTATCAATAACAATACCCTGGTGCCAAATCATAGATTATTCACTAAGACAGAAATTGAAAAGATCTATAATCAACATTACATAGAATAGAATATGTCAGAATAGTATAGATTTATAAATGGTACTAATAATGTAAGTTTAAAGTATGTGAGTATTTACCCTATTGGGAAGGCAATGTATCAGAGCTATAAATAGAAGCCTATCTTTCTTTTGTGTTTATTATTATTATGATTTGTTCTTCGTACTTTATAAAATGTTTATTTATTTACAAATAATAAAGTAAATTTAACTGTACGTCGTTAGTACTTTACTTTAAATGAACAGTTTATATAAAAATAAGTTATCTTTTAACGGACAAGTTGTTAGATTCCGAATTCTAAAAAGAGGGCTGTCCTTATTATATTATTTTTTTTTTAAAATAAAGTCAGGGGCATTTCATACCCCACCCATCCACCTCACTTCACCTCAATTTTTAAATTAAATAGCTAATCTAGAATAATGGTCTTATTTATGGAATAACATGTCGTAGTCTGATGAAATTCATTCCAGATATGTACGTACATATGTATATAAACTAAATTAAATTAAATCTGCCAAAGCTGTGAGGAGGAATAGGTAGATACATACACACATAATCATAACAATGAGAATATGTACATATGTACGTACATATTATATGTAACGAAATCCCAAATTTCACTAAACCAACCAACTACTGTAACCTAAAGTTAAAAATATTTATATCTTAAAAACGTTAAAGTGATGAAATTTAATTTAGTTCCAATGTTCAGTTTTAGTTATTCCTAATTGGTAATTAATGATCTTACCTCCTTCTTTGTCGAGATTTTGTACCGTCAAGTTATGATATTATTATCCTAACTCTGATTAGATGATGGATGTATTTTTAGTAATCCATTATTATTGTTATTAATGTTATTTATCCGCTTCTGATCCCATTGTTGTTCATATATGAATAAATTTAACGTTTTGATTAAATTGATCAACGTTAATTAATTTTGGCAGTCAGTAAAAAAATTCTAATTTCAATTTTTGAACAATTAACAGTTTCATTTTATTTATTTGTTTGTTTCGATCTTCTGTTATATATCATATCATTTTACTTCTTCTTCTTCTTGTATCATATCATATCATTTACTATCACGTTAAATCACATCACATCACAATTCTTGAAAAAGCTTAATTGATTCAAGTTTAATTGTGGGAAACTAAATTCGCATCCAATTATCATCCTTTCACTGCCACCTTTTTCACAATAGCAATCATTATTGTTTTAAAATCAATTTGCTATCTTTAAACAACAAACAAAATAATTTAATTTTAAAAAATTTTGTCCAAATCTTTTCACCACTTTAAAGTTAGTTAGGTTTTTGTCGATTTCGGTATACTGTGTTGATTTAGTATTAGGTTTCTTTTGTTTCTGTGGATATTCTTCATTATAGTCTCAAACGGCCAGATCAAAGTTCGTATTATTACATTACATTACATTCCCTTCCATTGCATTGATTCTTCGATACCAAAACCCGTTGCATTCCCGTCTCCTCGTAGTTCACATGTTGCAATAGCTTCTTCCCATTATTATTTACGATCTTTCCCTTCCCAATCATCCATTATTCAATCATCAAATTAGATCAGATCAGATTTTAGACTCAACCTTTGTCTTATATTCTTTTCTTTCTTTTTTTATTTTTTTCACAATATATTATTATAGATAGAACTACTTGATTAATATGGAGATATATAAGATCACTGAACCCAATGAATGGTCATATTTCGCAAAGGGCCAAGCCAATATCTTATTCAAATACAATGGATCAAATGAATATTTAAAACATAAATTACTCCGAGTACGATTATTTAAAGAAGATGCTCAATATATCACCACTTGTGAATTATATGATTTTATTGAATTACAATGCAAGAATCTATTTCCTCAACAAATCATTGATGTTCAATTGGTAGTATTGACTACTGATTTCGTTAATGCCTTGGATAGTAAAGGTGATAAACTTATGATTAAAGAACGATATGGACTTTTAATACCTAATATTTTACATGGGAATTATAATAAATCAGTCCTTTCCAAATATTGTAATTTATATCATAGTCATACCTCGGAAACTAATGATAAAATAGATTCAGTTATATTCGAATTAAAACCTAAATGGTTATATGATAATAAAAAATCAAATTATTGTCGAACGTGTCTGTTGAATCAACTACGAGGTTTACCAAGACATTTTTGTCCCTTGGATTTCTTATATGAAGAAACAGTTGATCAAGGTTTAAATGATCTTTTCCAACCTATCCCAACTCAAATCCTTTCTAAAATTGAAATTGATAATAAAATCCCCTTGAAGAAATTATTTCGAATCTTTTTAAGTAATCCTCAGAATGTATTTTTAAAATTAAAACAATATCAAAAAATCGATAACAAGAATGATTTAATCAAGAATTTATCATCACCTCAAGATGTTCTGCAGAATTTATCCCTCGTAATGACATTACGTGATGTGGGGTTATTCATTAAATTTGAAAAATACGATAAACATAATAATTTTCATAATTCCCATGATAATATCTCAAACATAATTGAAGTTGAACCATATGGGAGGTTCGTTATAACATGTAATATCTATGATTTAGACTTAAAATCCAATACCAAATATAGTCATTGGTTAGATATCGAACAAAGATTACAACCGATTTATAATTCTTTAAATCCAGATTGGAAATTTTGCACAAGATTAAATGAAGAAGGTGAATTTATTCATCGTCAATAATGACTCCTTGATAATGGATAGTACTTCCCTCCCCCCCTTCATCCCTTCATTACTTTACTTCTTTGATTCAGCTTGTATTTACTTACTTTATATCTGTTTATAGATCTTTAGAACATAATTTTTTTCTATACACATACATTTTTAATATTATATGATATTAAATTTATTTATTTATACCTGTACAAGAAATTACTTAAATATACATTTTTAATAAAACAGTAAGAAACAATAAAATGAGACACAGAGAAGATGTATTGAATCGTACTTACCATACATCTTCTTGATATCTATTTTGAACTTTAAATGATCTAATTAATTCACCCGCTTTTTCTTCAGAAATACCTCTACCTTCGGCTAAAATTTTAGCAAAACTAGCTTGAACATCTCTAGCCATATGAGAAGCATCACCACAAACATAAACGAATGCACCACTATCTAATAATTTATTAATCTTTGAACTTTGTTCTAATAATTTATGTTGAACATAAACTTTCTTAGAAGGATCTTGTCTTGAAAAAGCAGTAATGATTTCAAATTTTTCTCCTAATTCTTTAGCATATTGTGGCCATTCTTCTTTATATAAATAATCTTCATGTTGATTTCTACATCCATAGAATAAAATAGTTTCTCCAACTCCTGAACCATTCTTCTTTTGTTGTACTCTATCTCTAATAAAACCTCTTAATGGTGCTACACCAGTACCTGGTCCTACTAAAATAACAGGAATATTTGGATTGGAAGGTAATTTAAACGTGGATCTTCTAACATGAACGGGTAATTTATAATTTGAAAATAATCCTCTTGGACCTTTTAAATCATAAGTAACAATAGGTTTATCCGATGATTTATTTTGAGAAATTTCAATATTCTTTAATAAGTTGGTAACAACCCCAGTAACCAATTGATTATCTTTGGTTTCAGCTTCAATAACAGCAGTTATATTAATATTGGTTTTTTCACTTAATGATGAAGATGAAATGGAATAATAACGAGGTTGTAAATGAGAAATGGATTCAATGATGAATTCAAATGGAACACCTGTCCATGATTTTTGATTAGAAATTAATAGTAAAGCATCAGCAATATTTAATAATTTAGAAGTGATTTTTTCAGCAAATAATACTTTATCATTACCGATTTGAGTAACTTTTTGTTTACTTTCAACATCAGGTGCAAAGCCAGCAATTGATAATAAGAATTGTCTTGAAATTGGACCTGAGATTTCTAAATGATTTCTAATGACAGCACCATAAGCAGTTGGGGTTGGGAATGGGATTGAAATAGTTGAATCTAATTTCTTTAATTCAAATACGGTATCAAGTTTATCTTCTAAACCAAAAGCTTTAACAAAAGTAGCTATATTTTCATTAGAATTTGATGGCCAAACAGCTAAATGATCACCAGTAGAATATCTCAAGTTTGAATTTGAAATATCAAATTCAATATGAACACAACTTCTATCTTTAGTTTGGAATAATTCTTTAGAATGAGTTACTTGAGCTAAATATGGATGACTATGATCAAATGGACCTTTAGTTAAATCAGTGGATGAATTAACATAAGATTTATCTGGTTCACCTAAGGCGACAGATAAATCATCAGTAGTTAAGAAATCACTTTCTTCAAGTTTTAAACCAGGTTCATAAGTTAATTCTTTTTCTTCAAAGTTCAAATCATTCTTTAATGAATCAAATACAGAATCTTTCCAAGATAAGAAATCTTCATCTAAAGTACCTTTACCATCATCACCTTCAGCATAAGCTGAGAATCTTTCAGCTGATAAAGATTCTAATTTTTCATTTAATTTTCTTCCCATTGAATTATAAAATTCATAAGTTGAATTACCTAATCCAAACACGGTATATTTTAAAGATGATAAAGTATCAGCTTCATTTTCTAACCATTCAAAAAATTCAGCAGCGTTATCAGTTGGTTCACCTTCACCATAAGTAGCAATCAAGAAGAAACATAAGATATCATCAGAGATATCACCAAAGTTATCAAAATCGTAATCAGAGAAATCAACTGTCATAGTTTTCAATCCAAATTTTGAACTTAATTCTTTGGATAATTTAGAAGCATAATCTTCAGCAGTACCAGTTTGAGATCCATAAAAGATAATGGAGTTTTTGTTATTATTCTTAACATTTTCCAACAAGTTTCTTCCCGAAAGACTAGCAGCTGGTAAGAATCCCGTATCATCCTTAGCAGGGATGAAATACAGTTTACTGAAGTAAGCTAAGACTGCAACGGCTAATGCGATAAACACAGATAAATCCAAAGTATCTAAGGCCATGATGTGATGTGATATGATGTGATGTTAAGTTTCTATGATATTCTATTCTTGTTCCCTAAACAGTAAGTACCAGACACTACTGATTAATCACTAGATTGAATTTATGAAACTGGAATGACGAATGAATAACTATTTATTTCAACCACGTAACTTCTGTTGATCCAGTGATTTTTTTTGTCTTCCTTTGGTGGGGCAGGAACGACTGAAAAAAAAATTAAAAAATTAAAAAGACCACTAAACAGAGAAACAGAGAACGAGAAATTGTCACAAGCTAAAACTAGTAAAAATAAATGTCTGATTTCCAAATTAGGTAAATGGATTGAAAGGATAAATAGCAATACTGATAGGTTATTTTATCAAGTTGTTAGGTGATTTAACTGGGGTTTAACCTTATTTATATAAAAACTGTTACTGTTATTCAACGTTGATTTTAGTTTATATTAGATTAATTAGGTGTTGTATTTGAGCCTGTTCGGGAAACGATTGCCTAATTAGGAAGGCGTTGCGTTTCAAACATCGAGAGCGGAATTGCATTATATGAATTAATTAAAGGATTTTATATATTAATTAACGATAGCATATATGACAAGTATAGAGAGATTAGCGGCATTGTTTAGTTATCTTAACAAATATTACTTAACAATTTAAATAATACAACTCCTCCCCCTCCAAAAATCATCTCATATGTTTTTGTCTTGTCTTGCACATGATGAAATAAGGTAACTTCGGACTTGTCCTGAAAATCATCTTTCATATGCTTTAACTTTTGATTATATTTTCTACCACATTGTCTCTCCTTGATTCTAAGTTTTAGTTAGTAATTGAACTAAATGCGGTGTACGGAATTATATGAAACACTATAGTCACAGTAAACGTTTTATTTATAATAAATCCGGATTATTTGTTGAGCTATTTATAATTACTTATCTAACTATTCTTCGACATCATTCAGAGGGGTACTAACTTCAGTACCTACCGCACTTAAATCGGGATCTCGGCTTAATTCTACCCCATAAGCTCTATGAACCGTAATAAATATTCTTTCTGCTATCGTATCATCAAATTTAGGTCCATAAAGAACCTTGAAATATTCAAATACACATTGAGGGGTGAATTCGATCAATGATCTTCTCCCCAAGCTATAATCCACAATATTATCTGATTCTGTGGCTCCCTTTTTAACATCCTTATTTAAATATTCTCGTTTAGTTAAATCATTTATCAATTCAACAATATTAAGATTAAGATTACTATTCTTAACATTTAAACTTTCGGATAACCCCCTCTTCTTTAATATCTTAATTAAATCAGATTCCAGTAAATGATTTTCGGCAAGTATAATAAATGATACGATATATAACATAATACCCACTTTAATTAACTCTATATTTGATGCAGGTGTATTCGTTTTTTCTTTCTTTGGGATAAAGAATTTCTCCAGACTTGAATCTCGATCATTAGGAACTTTGAAATCTTCAACACTTTGCCATAATTCTCCTAATACTTGCTGGGATTCTAATTTTAAACAATTAATCACAGCATATGGTTGTCTTGCTTTAGCTGAAGTTTTCAGACTTAAGGCTCTATTACTTTTCTTTTCGTTTCTAATCATAGGAACTTCAACTAATCTTAATCCATAAACATCTTCCAATACTATATTTGTCTCTTTGATAACTGCATCTAATGGATATCTCTTTGTATTAATCACTTGTGAAAAATGCTCTCTTCGTATAAACTGATCTCTGACATCTCTACCTAACACTATCCGTATCGCTTGACTCACAGCTTCAGGAAATTTTGATGTACTATCGTCTTCACCAACCTCAGATCCGGCCCCTGATTCGATATTTTCATTGTATTCACCTTCACCTTCATCTTCAACTTCACCTTCTATGTACTCGTCATCATTGTGTTGCAGTTCATAACTGTTACCTTCGAACGCGTCATCGCTTTCATCTTCTTCTATCTGAACTCTTCTTCTACTTCTCTTGGGCATACTTTACGTGCTATTTATTGTCTGTATAGTTTGCTTAATCTTAGATCAATTGACATTCACGTACACGTCTTAAATTTAAATAATATTTTTTAGAGTTCATGTTTTTGATTTGACATTTGATTACATAATATTATGTCATAACTTTTTACTTTGTATATTGACCGCAAAAACTATAGCGGCAGATCTTTTTAATTTAATATTTACAAATACATCTACAATCTCTATACATTTCGTATATCATTGATATCCTTCTGAAAAGGCTTATTTTCATTCTTATTCATATTGGTGATAAGAATTTACTTTCAATTATAAAGAAATTTGATATCTTTTTTTAAAACGTTTAACTAATGGATGGAAAGTTGCAGCTGTCAAAATCTGATCTTAATAAAAAGATAAGCCGCCGAAGCACTAAAATTGAAAGTGTTATCAAACCTGCTTCTACCAACTATCTTCAACCACCCAAACAAGTTAGACTCATCAATTCCAAATCTGACTTTCCAACTACCAATACACAATTTCTTCAACATTTGAATGATAACAATTTTCATAATGTTACTACTAGTTCATCTGTGGTACCTACTAATAATTCTAAATTATATCACAATATATTACTTCCTCATTATCTGAACCAACATCTTCAACATGTCTATCCACATGAAGATACAAGCATGATTCATTCCACCAATGTTTCCCTTAAAAGATCATTCGAAGGACTTCCGTCAAATTTCAATCCACGAGAAGCTCTTGATATGTCAGTAGATGAAAAGGTTCATCGATGGTTAAGAAATATTTCATACGTTTATGATGAATATGATGATATGTTTGTGGAATGTTATCCTGGAGTAGCAAGTTATTCAATTTCAATTGCTACCACAGATTCTTATGATTCATTTGATTTAGCTAGTATAGATGGTATTATTGAGTTTCAAGCAAGGAAACTTACAAGATATGCTACCAAGCTTTATTTAAATACTGATGAATCTGATTATCCTCAACGTAGTGAAGGTGGTGATGTTTATAGGCATGAATTGTGTGACTATAATGATTATAGTATAATGCAATATAATGGTTTGGAGCATCAGATATTATTAAATGATAATTCATTAGGACGCTATGTTGATCATAGAGAAGATTTTGAAATTCAACAATAAAATTAATTGAATTTGATTAAGTTATTACTACTATTATAATTTTTATATTATGATATATATAGACAAATTAATTGTATACTTTGAAAAATGTTAGACCTTTATTATATTATTATTATTATTATTATTATTACAAAAATAAATCTAATTCATCTATATTGTAGTTAATATCCTCAGAGTCTGGAAGAACCTCAATTCGTGGATAATATGGTACTAATGAATCAACATTATGAACATAAGCTGCGTTGTAAATTTTCCAATAAGGACTTCTAACCTTTCTTGCAGGGTGGAATAACCCAGTCCATATATAATTTGTAAAAATACCATTACCAATAGCATTTCTAAGAGCTTCTATACTTTCAAGGATCCTCATAATAACGTGAGGTGAAGTTTCATAAATATTAGGTAACACAAGATTTAAAAAATGAATGAAAACTTCATCATTTGTTAAACCCACACAATTCAATGCAATGTGTTTTATTACTGTTGCTGCTGTTTGTCTGTGAACTAAATCTCTATCAGTCAATGCATCTTCTAATAATGGAGTTATGGCGTATAAATAATCTTTAGCTGTAAATCCTTCAAGATATTCAAAAAGAAACGTAAGTGCTTTCAAAACACCATTTTGAACATTCTTTTCCGGAATTCTATATTCATTCATAATAGCTGGTAAAACAGTGAATGGCGAACATGTTTCCGCCACGATACCCATGGCAACGGCTGTACACACTCTCAATTGACGTTCTTGAACTCGAAGATTGTTCAATAACATAACTATTACATCTTGTGGACCAATAGTCTTAGCGATGAATCCAAATGCATCATTAGCAGCCACTCTAATTCTCTTTTTAGTTGACTTTAACATTTCTAATAATTCAAAACAAATACGCATCCATTCTTTGGCATTAATGGTTTCTGGATTTTTGGTGGCGATTAATCCTACTAATTTAATAGAAGCTTCCTGAACTTTTTCTTGTCTATTTTTCAAAATAGGAGTCAAAGTAGGAAGGATTTGATTAACTGATGGATTTTGCATGACATATAAAGCTGATTTATCCATGGTGTCAATACATGCAAAAAGAGCGTTAATCAATGAACCTAATACTTCAGGATACACTTCACCTAATGATTCATATAATATCAAGATTAATTTACGAAGAATATCATCGTCATCTTGAGAACATTGTTTAATAACGGGGGCAATTAATGTTATTAAATCTGCTGCTTGTTGTCTGATTTCTGCCAGTTCATTTTTTAATCGATAAAGAATAGTACTGATGATTGAATTCATATGTGGTTGCAATCTCACATTAAGAGCTTTAGCAACAGCTCCAAATGTTTGTAAGTAGATTCTATTATGATCTGTTTGCTCTTGAAATGCGTAAAGGACACCATCGACCAATTTGGTTTCAAGTCTTGAATCTAATGCAAGAAGTTCATCAGGGTTGGACGAGACCATTTTATATATTGCTGATATGGCTAATTTTCTTAATTGTTCATTTCCATCCTTTGAGAATATGATGATATACTCCAAAACCTCTAAGAAATCAAATTTCTTAGCTAATTCATTAGTGACTTCAACAACCAATTTAGTTATTTGAGGACTGTCTGATGCTGTTCTTCTATTCCAGAATGATTTAAAAAAGGGAGCAATAATTTCATCATTGAATTTTGGAATTAATTTTCTGGTCAATGGCAATATTGAAAGAATCCTAAGAATGGTCTTCCTCATATCATCATCCGGTGAATTAAATTCTCGAACTATAATTGTGACAATTTCCTTTGAATAATAATTCGAATACTCTTCATAACTAGTATCATGTTGCATTAATGGAATAATAGCTCCAAGACATTTCAAAAAACTAGCTAAAGCTTTACCTCTATGTCTTTTCAATCCAATCCAAGCTGGTTCTAACACTGGTTCAAAAGATTCAATACCATACGGCTTGACATTATCAGCCATTTGCGCAAAAGTCAATGCTGTTATTGTTCTGACCTGCAAAACTTCATCCATCAATGTTGGTTTCAAGATTTCGACTAATTGAGATAAATACGGTAATATGGAACTACCATTACCTTCACCTAATACGATACACAATTGTTGTACAATTTTAATACCAGTATGACGAGCCATCCAATTTTTCTTTGATTTGATTACCGCTTTTAAGAATGGTAAGAATGATTGTAAACCTAATGTATTCGCCACAATAGCACAAACTCGAGATGATATATTCCTAATATATTCATCAGCATTGTCCAAATCTGGTCTTAAATTGGAAATCATATTAGCCATCCCAGCAGCTTTAGTTAAATTTGATATTATTTCTCTTGATTCTAATCGTAAATTGAAATCTTCATCTATTAATAATGGAGATATAACAACCAATATCTTATGCGTGTATGGTCTAACAAGATCATCCAAATTGTATAACACTCTTCCTACCAATTTAACTAACACGTGTCTTTCTTGAGGTTCTAAGCTTCGTTCGATTAAAAGTGGCAATAGTTGACCAAGTAATACCTCAGCTCCGAACTTCCTGGCATTATCAGTGAGTTGTCTGAGAGACCTTTTTCTTACTATTTGAGATCCATTTTTAACTTTAAGTAATAATTTCATTACATTAATTTCTTTCCTTTCTTCATCTGTTTTTATATCTGTTACATGGATTAATTTTCCGAAATATTTCATATCATGAGCTTTAAAGAATTGTAATCCTTTCACTCCTGGTATATCTGTGGGTATTTGTTCTTCGGCCACTAATGCAGTATTATGATCTGAATTCTCTGCAGGTGGAACATATACATCAATAGGTGCTTCTGTAAAGTCTGGACTTGATTCGTCATGATGTATGGATCCCAATGGTGGAGTTACTTTAACGTATCCTTGTGGGAGTATTTTATCCAAGGTCTCATCTGTTAAGGGTATACCATTGATGATTGCAACTTTTTTACTTGTATCTAATTTCGTTAGCACTTTACTTGAATCACCATTTGTTGTCTTTCGTTTTTCTCTTTCATATTCTTCTGGCGTAACATCCCATCTTCTTTTCCTTATTCTTCTTGTATTTGCTTCTGGTGCTTGCTCTATAGATTGTTTCTGAACTTCCTTTTGCTTCTCTTCAATTAAAGCTTTAACTCTCTTCTCTTCACGTTCAAGTTCTCGCATTTCCATCTTCTGCTTATACGACAACGACTTATTAAAGTCCAATTCTTCTGCTCGTTGATATCGTTTCTGATTATATTCGTTCTTGGTTATATCTTTCTTTAGCTCTTCAGACGTTATAGAATCATCTTGTTTATGCTCATGACGTAGATCTTCCGCCAATGAGAATGGGATAGTATAATTCCCAACCAAGCTCCTCTTAGTTTCCATCTCCGATGGCATTACGTTTGAATGGTTATGTTGTTCTTGGTTGATAATGACTGGTTAATACAGATTTGGTTATAATTATTTTTTGTATCAAAAAAAAAATAGAACTCAAAAAAAAATCTGAGATGATTCAAAGTCTTTTTCAATTATCATCTTTAACAGATATATATATACTTCCATAACAATAGACTTTGAACCATGGCATCTCAGAATTCAGTGGTGCTATTGACTCGACTCTTGTCATTAAAAGAAAATTCACCTTTATTATTGGTATTGGACTCATTAGCTCAGTCTTCATATCATCTCATCCAAGAATTTGCATACAAAAGTAAGAATAATATCATATATTTATCATTTGAAACTTTGAACAAGCCAGCATATGCTAATGAATTCCTTGATTGCAGTGTTATTAGTACAGCTGAAATCACTAAGTTTATAAAACTGAAAACAACCCCACAAACTACATCATCTACAGCACAGGGAAAGCATTTGATTATTATAGATTCTTTCAATTACATCCCTAGTACAGATATTACCAACTTCATAGCCAGTATAAGTGAGCCAAGTATCACTATAGTAGGAACATTCCATATAAATTGTCCTCAACCCCATAATACAAGTTCATATTATCCATCTGCATTATCATTACTTTCATTCATAGCCAGTTCTATTTTTGAAGTAGAAGCATTCCATGAACATTCAATAGGAGAAGAACAACTTTCTAATAGGATACGTAAGTTAGATATTCCAATTTCTAGTGCTTTGAATTCTGATGTGTTTAAACTTACACTTACTAATAGAAGAAAATCAGGTAGATCATTAATTTATACATATAAGGTTGATTGTAAGAATCATGTTTATGAAGTTCATAAAAGTAATCAAGCTGAAGAGATTGATCCAGAAGATGAAAGTTTATTAAAGGACTTGACAACGTTTAATTTAACAACTAGTAATAAACAAAAGTTGGCTAGAGAACAAGTTGAACTTCCATATATGGAAGCTCAAGAAGCATTAGGATCATCTGGTGGGGCTATTGTATATGAGTTTGAGAAAGATGATGATTACGATGAAGAAGATCCTTATGAAGATCCCTTCTAGATAAAATTCTGTATAAATAATCTGAATAAATATTCTATGCATTAATCATTAAAATTGTAAATAACATTCTATAAAAATCTAAAACTTTCTTCCTACTGGTAAGGATACATTTTTTATTTCTCTTAGTTTCTTTACATCATCCCATTGTTCATTATGTTTGGCTTCTTCAATCTTTAAATTGATATTATGATCCCAAGTTATCCAAGAATTAAAACTTGAAAATGATTTTGGACCATATTCATCAGGTTCAGGTTGAGTCTTTTGAGATGTACAAAACCAAGTACCACTTCTATCCCATAAACCTTTCCCCTTTAAGTTTGCACAACTGGCAAGTTCAGCCATAGTAGGAACTGGTCTAGCGATCATAAGATATTCCATACCATTTTTCCTTGATAACCGTTTCATTTCAGCTTCTCTTCTCATATCTTCGAAATAAAGAACGGGGATAAAGACTTTTAATACACTTCTAGGAATCCATCTACTTAAAATATCCAGATCAAGATTAACTTGATGATATTCACTATCTAAATTAGTTGATTTTCGAGGAAATTGAGTATAAAAAGAAGTTGATCTATCAGGACCATTAGCTCTACCATACATTAATTTGAATACTTCTGAATCCTTAGATAAATAATCATCAGCAGTATGTTTCAAGGACCCTGACACATGATTTATAGATCCAATATAGTCTAGTTGGTTTTCATGGGAATGTTCCAAGTTTTGAATGAAATAATTTTCATCTCTTGTGATTTGATCATCAAACATGATGATAACTGTCTTGTTGTTATATAAAGTTACTGTTGTCAAGTGTCATAGAAGGCACTTTCTCTGAATATATAAGGGGTAAATAAAATAAACGATGAATTATAGATCAAGGGTCAAACGATAACAAATTTTTAAAAATTGTACCACAAATCGAAATTCAAATAGTGGGAATTTTAACGTAATTTATACTGAGGATACTCCGATTATCGGGACCGCGGTGAAAATGGAAGCTGCGAAAAAAAAAGAAATTTTAAATAAAAAGAAATTCTTTAAGCGCTTAGCTTTCCTCTCTGTGTGTGTGTGTGTGTGTGTGTTTCCATTTTCCCCTTGCTCCTGGTCCGGGGTATAATCATACAATTCTTAAATCTTAATTAGTTACGAGTGTGTTTATTTTATTTTTTATATATCCCTATGTACTACCAGATTAACTACCTGGCTTATTCTTCAGAATTTTCTTCCTCTTTTGAGTTAGATTGTGGGGTCAGCTTAGTATCTGATGGTGGTGGTGGTTTTGCTTTTGATTTAAACTTTTGTATTTTTTCTTTTAATGCCAGTATTAATTTGGATCCTTTACTTTGCTTAGTTAATTGATCTAATTCATCTTCAGTGATAACTTTCTTAGTTAATAAATTAAATACAGATCCAAACATTAATGACATAATCGTACATGTCATAATAATAACATTATAAGGCATGGAGAAATCAGGAGTTGGAAGTGTCAATAATAAACTTGTAGTTCTGAATTCATAAATATCATTACCATTATCATCTAATACAGTAATAACAGCAGGTTCAACTGAAAATCCATGATTAGCATCAGGTGGATATTCATGATATAATAATAATGATTTATCAAATTGATAGGTAAGAACCACTGACAGATTAGCAGGTATAGATAATAATAATTCTAAATGTGATGGTCTACTTCTATCAATAGCAGGTCTATAGTATCTGTTTTTGATATATGTCAGTTCTAAATCTTTACCCACAAAATCACCTGAACTATTATGAACCTTCAAGGTTAATGTATTCAAATATAATCTCAGGAACCATGGTAATGACTCAAAATAAACAAAATCAACGGATTTATCTAATGATGGATTCTTAAATGATACTCTGAACCCTCCTTTATCTTGGGAATAACCAGTTAATGATCTTGAAGCAATTAATGGTGGAGTTTCAATAGGTACAATTAATCTACTATCACTAGTATGAAACAGGAAATCATATTTAGCTTGTTCATTGATATATTCCGTAATGATATCTTTATCACTTCCAACTGTATAAGTTACAATTGAATCTTGACGATCTTGTTTGGCTGTAATCCTCCAGTTATCTCTATCAGTTATAATATTCAACACAGTTCCCTTAGGATCATTCATCAATGCTGGTCCATTAATCAATCTACCATATAAAGTCTCAAGACTCCAATCTATTTCAGTAGGATCTCCAAGTGGGAAACATTGCCATACACTGAAAGTCTTTTCTGGATCACAACGTAATTTGTCTCCTGGAGTTGGTCTTGGAAGTCCACCTTCTTCTTTTTTTCTAATTGATCGTATGATATCAATGACATGATCTATAGTTTGATCCATTTTAAGTATACAATTATCTCCTTCACATTCAGTAGATACATCTATTGACATTCCATGCCATAATGAATCAAATAATTTATGACCATCAAGTAATGATGCAATACCTGCTTTACCTCTAGTAGGAAGTAATTTCAAAAAAGGAGTTAAATTCTCAGTACAAATTGGTTCACTTGGTAAAGCAGCTCTTATATAATATAATTTATTAGCTTTGTCTGAAAAATATTTCTTTTCTTTATGGGAATCAACTGCATGTTTAGGAAATGTAGTTATTGAATCATCCACGAAATTGATCGATGCACAGAAGAATCCAGATAATGTTTTGGAGAATTTAAACCAATTCTCCTTTGCCACTGCTAAATTTGGAGCTTCAACAATTGCTGAAACTTCAACTCCAGTTCCTCCACTTCTAAATCCATCATGAGGTAATTTTCCCCAAGATTCAGAATCCCACCATCCTTGAGTGAATCTAAGATGCAATTCCCTGATATTTGATGACTCTAATATAGGTCCAAGTGCTCTGGGAAAGTATGTATAATGATGATTGGCATCATTGAGGCTATCAATGGATGCATTATGATATTGTAGAGTGAATGGTAATGAATCAATTTGAAATGCAAACGTTGATAATAATTTGTTTCTCGGTAATGGCTTTAACGACAAACTTTCATTATAGTATGTGCCTGCTATCACTGAAGGCAACAAGACAATGATTGACCATATAGGCAACCAATTAAGCATATTAAACCCTATTGAATCAATACCTTTAATCTCAACTTTGATAGTCTTGAACACATACGTTGTTAAAAGTTGTTTGGTAGAAGACGCGAAATTTTTTTTTCAGAAACAGCGACATTTGATGCGACAAAAGTTGTTTACATTTATTTTGCGGTTGTTATGTTCTTTATTTCAACTTTTGTTAGTAGATGCCCTCTACATTATAGTTCAAGAATCAGTTCATGACAATGCTGAATCAGATGTCAGATGCTTCTGTGCTAGAGCAGCATAAAGAGAATATACAGCCGTTGCCTGGTGGAAGATACGGTTCGAAATTGGCCAACACTTTAAGTCAAACCTCTAAATCTGTCACGGTCCACAAAGATCAAATCAAACGGGAAAGAGAACAACATGAAAGAATACTAAGACAACATGAAGAGTTAGATGATCCATTGCAAGCATTCATAGATTATATCAGTTGGACTCATGAAAACTTCACTCAAGGAAATAATGCCGAAAGTGGGTTATTAACTTTACTTGAACGATGTACATCCTGTTTTAGAGATGCAAGTCATTATAAGAATGATCCTCGTTATCTTAAAGTATGGCTTGAATATACTAATTATTCAGATTCACCACGAGATATATTCGTTTATCTTGCTAAGAAGGAAATTGGTAATCAATTGGCTCTTTATTATGAAGAATTTGCTGAGTATTTGGAAATCAATGGAAAGATTACTGATGCCGATGAAATATATCAATTGGGGATTAATTCTAAAGCTAGACCGTTGCAAAGACTTGAAAGATCATATCAATACTTTAAGAAGAGAATTGAGAATAATTCAAATGCAGTTAATAATAAAAGAAGTGGTTTAGAGATTACTCAAGGTAAATCAACTCATGAATTTCAAGATGGGTTTAGATCTGCCAAACGTCCTAGACTTGAGATATATAAGGACGATTCAGATAATGATCAAAGCGTATTGAAATCAATTTTCAATGGGGAAACAGCTAATAATGACTTGGGTAGTATAAAGTCACGTATAAAGGAAAATACTCTTCCTTCTAAACCGTGGTCAGGTGAAATTCTTAAACAAAGAAATAATTCAGATAGAATACTTCCCCCTTCTTCATCATCTTCATCATCTAAATTCCAAGTATTTCGTGACCAAGAAAATGAACATCAATACGAACAAACTACTCAGACAATATTGGAAGACAAATCAGGTCTTCTGTTTACTCTTATAAAACATCCTGGTAAAAGAGCTGAACGAGTTCTAATCAATCTAGATTTATTATATTTATCAGATGAAGAAATATCCATAGAAGAAATGTTAGCAAGAACACGATCTGTTAACAGAACCACAACTTTGCAATCACAGCCATACAATAATATAGAAGATAATAATACATTTGTAATACCGTTGAAAGATGAAGATGATTCCACATTACCCAATAGACCAAATTCTCCAACTATGACAATGTTCTCCAGACAAGCCAATCAAGAAGTAATAAAATTATTCAATGAAGCTGCCATAAATTTAAACTCTGATGATGAAATTGAAAGAATGGATGTTGTGGACTCCACCAGTACAAATTACGATGGATTTGTGACTGAAACCATTCAAGTACAAGAAGTATTAAATAATAATAATCATAAATCAAACTTACCTTCCATAGAAACTCCACCGACGGATAAAGAAGATGATGGGAATGTTCAAAGCTCTCCATTTATAGAACAACCAATGTCAGATAACATGAGTGTACAAATCATAAGTAATTTCAATAATGACTTGAGGAATAACTTGATCAACAAATTGAAACTTCCTTTAGATGCTTATCCAGGCTACTCTAATTCAAATTTCAAAGTTTCAAAACTCCACAAATTATTGGAATTAACTAGTCATGATAAAAAATCCATCAATAAAGGTGCTAAGAACTCAATTATTGATTTCTGTGGAGATGAAATATATTGCTTAAGATATGAGCTAGGTAAAGGTGGTTTTGGAGTGGTCTACTTAATTGAAGCAGGCTCTACTGGTGATCTTAAAGCTCTTAAAGTTGAATCACCATCTTCGAAATGGGAATTCTATATTTTAAACCAAATACATCAAAGACTTCAAAAAAGACAAGTTGAAGATGAAAAATTGTTTATTAATCCATTGGAGCTCTATACTTTCCAAGATGAGAGTTATTTGATCATGGATTATTGCTGCCAAGGTACGATCTTAGATGTTGTCAATCATTTTAAAAATAAACACAACTCGGCAGTTGAAGAAGTTATATGTATTTATCTAACTATTGAACTCCTAAAGATGGTAGAAGTGTTGCATAGTATAGGCATTCTCCATGGTGATTTGAAAGCTGACAATTGTATGCTTCGATTAGAAGCTGATGATCATTGGAGTGAGCAATACAATAGATATGGGTTAGACGGTTGGTCTAAGAAAAGTCTAACTTTAATAGACTTTGGAAGATCGGTTGATCTCGAATTATTTAATGATAATGTTCAATTCCTCAGTAATTGGAAAACTGATCAACAAGATTGTCCCCAAATGAATAAAGGTGAACCTTGGAGTTATGAAGCTGATTATTATGGAATCGCAAGCATCATTCATACAATGCTTTTTGGAACATATATTAAAATAAAGCAATTAACTAAAATAGAGTTGGAAGCTCCTTTAAAGAGATATTGGCAACAAGAGCTTTGGAATACGGTATTTGACTTACTCTTGAATCCATATAAGGAGTCGGAAGAGTTTTTAATAAGGAAGCAACCATTATCAGAGAAATTAATCTTATGTAGAAGAAACTTTGAAACCTGGTTAGAAGACAATTGTAAAAAGAGAATGTTAAAGAAATACTTACAAGATTTAGAGTATGATTTAAATTTGATGAATAAAAAACGAATAGGTTGATTATTCATTGGTTTCATGTAATGATAAATAGATTTAATGCAAATATGTAAATTTAAAAACTTTTGTGTACTTTTTCTTTTAAACCTGTTTTGATGATATTTGAGCTTCATCTGATGCTTTCATACGCTCGTTAATAATAGCTGAAATTTCCGCGTCGAGAGCTTCTTCTGATGACTTCTTTGAATTTGTCGTGAACATAGACCAATAAGAATTAGATCTGATTCTAACTTTCTTACCAGAAGGTAATATTTCATAATCTTCATTCACAGTTAAATGATCATCATAGGCACTTCGAAGAGCCACACCTTCTCCACTTGGAGGTAATTCATTTGGATTTGGATTGGTACCAGCCCTTTTCCTACTCACAGTTGATGTCGCATCACCTCCGTAAAGTGAAATATCGTTAGGTTCTAAACCTTCAGTTGAAGAGGATACATTATTCCTTCCAAAAGCCTTTAGAATATTACTTCTAGCAGTAGATGAATTCTTTTCAAATGTCCAACTTTGATAAAGTTCTTTATATGCGTTTTGTTCGAAGATTCTTCTCATACTCAAGTCTCTTTCAAAGACTTTAAAAGTTTCTGAATCGCTGGGTTTAAACATAAACTTCAAAATCTTAAAAATCACATCAAGAAATAGTGGAACCGTAAATAGGACTAATAACGTAGCCCACCAACTTTGATCCACACCCCATTCTTCTAAACCATAAGCGACGAAATATATTGGTGATTCTTTGGATCTATACATTGCCATAATAAGCACATTCCATAAACCATATCCTCCGACTGAGATGATAAAAGCTGCAAAAGCTAGCCATTGTCTGTTCTGCATCTCTATAAATAAGGTCTTTGTATTGATAACAATTACCAATGCAGCAAACACGACGGTTCCTAGAGGGAACACTGAATTATCACGTAATGCAGTAAATCCCCAAGCATAATAGGCTAAGAATGAGATACCAATGCTTTGAATTGCAGCTATTAACATCCATGAAACAAATAACTTAAGATTAAATCCTTGATATAATCTCCCAATACTGTAAAGTTCAGGAACTGCTATTAATGTGGCTGGTTTTAAGTCTTTGTCAAACATACCAATGCAAATAACACATAGTGATGTAAATAAGGTATTAAACATCGATAAAGACCAACTTTCATACATGGATGAACCAGAAAACAAAGTATTCCTTTGATAAACACATTGAGTCAAATAGAATAACAATTCCTTGTAGAAAGTACATAATACAAATTTGGATGTTCTGACATAATTATAACGACCATTGACCAAAAGAAGTTTAAGTAAAAATCTGAATTGAGCTATAGCATAATCTGATGATCTTGCAGCTTGTAATCCTTCTTTACCAGTTATACCAACTCCAATATCGGCACTTTGAATCATGGCTATATCATTTGCTCCGTCACCAATGGCTAATGTTACCGCGTCTTTCTTAAGGTTTCTCACAGCACTAACCATACTTGCTTTTTGTGAAGGTGATGCACGGCAACAAATTGTGGAATCAACTTGCACGCATAATTCTATAAATAATGAAAGAAGAGGGGAATCTTTTTCGATATCAGATAATGTTGACCCATCGATAACCAACACACTATGAGCTATTCTTCCTGCTTGTATTTCGTAACTAGCGGAGGTAATGCTATCCATTAAACCACCACTCCCATTATCATTTGAAAGTACAACAACTGTAGAATAGTCTTTGATAAGACGACAAGAATAACCAATGTTAATAGCAGTTTCTCTCTTATCGCCAGTTAACATCCACATTTTAATGCCTGCTCTTCTTAACTTCTCAATAGCTTCACTAACACCATCTTGCAATTTATCTTCAATAGCAGTAGCACCAGCTAATTCGAAATCATGTTCGATTTGCCCACCAATGGCTTCCACTCGTTCAGCTCTATCCACCAATGATGTAGAAGCATTAATATAATCTTCGTTCCATGTTTGATACTCTGTTTCATCCATGAATCTGTAAGCATACATCAAGGTTCTAAGACCTTCAGTAGAGAATTCTTCAATATGTTCTAATGTCTTTTCAATCAAAAATGCATCTTGAATTAATAATTTATCATTCGGTATGAACTCAACATCAGCTGAAGAAGCTGGATTAAAAGCTGATTCGGACGTTTCTTCTGCCATAAGATCCAAACTATATTTTTTGGCCTGTTGGATATGGAGTGATTTTCTAGCTTTCAATGCAATATCAGCTAATTCCTCTTCTTCTCTTCCCATGAGGGCATTATCGATAGAATTGACCTTCTCTATATTGGCTGTACCACTTCCACTTGAACTTAATCTATGAGCCAATGAACTCATCGACACTCTTCCTTGAGGATCATCTTGCGAAAATCGAGCATTTAAGACTAAATCTGCTTGCATAGTCTTACGATCTGCCGATGAAAGAGAAATCTCTTTGGCTTTTTGTTTGGCTAATTCTGCATTCTTTAATCTTTCAATTATAACATTATCAGCTCCTTTACAAAGCAAACAAATTCTATTGTCAGGGAATTTAACTACCACTGACATTCGCTTTCTTATCGATGAAAATTCAATAACTTGTAAAACCTCATATTTTTCATATACTGGTTCATTTTGAAATCCTTTAGGATAAGATTTTATAGTAAGGATTGAATTCGATTTACTGAAAACGATATATCCTAAATCTCTGGCAGCTTGAACTAAGGCTAATTCATCTGGGGATGCAGCTTGATAATCAATCATACTATCATCCACTGATTCTTGATTTTCATTAATATTATCTAAGGTGTATGTTGAATTATTCTTAGTGGAAAGGGACGAATTGTTGGTCTTTCTTGGTAAACATGTATGACATAATGCAAGTGAGAGTAAGAAGAACTTGGCCTTCTTGGTGAAAAGTGTATCAGGATGCAGTTGAATATATTTTAAAAGTTGAAGTGATTTACTATCAGTTTGTAACTTTTTAGGATGAGCAGTTGATTTCCAAGTAGAATTTGACATGATTGATCTTAACTCCAAACTTTGTCTTGCAATAGATGTAGTACTATTTCTACCAACGATTTCAGCACTATCCTTCTTCTTGTTATTGTTATTGTTATTGTTAGTAGAATAATGCATACTTGGTCTAGGAGCTTGAACTAACTCAGTGAAATGCTGAGAATTAGGATCCTGTTCATGTTTCAAGATTAAATCAAGATCATGTAACCAACTAACCCCACATACACTAAATTTCCGGAACACCATACAATTATCAGTTAAAGTACCAGTCTTATCACTGAACACATAACTGACTTGACCCAATTCTTCTAAAATAGTAGCTGTCTTAGCATCGGCTGGTGTATTACTTTCAACATGATACATATCGATATCATATTGCAAGAATAAAAGTTGCATAACTTTGATAATTTCCATAGTAACATATAATGATAATGGGATTAAAGTATTATACATAATGATAAAACCCATTAATGTAGCAGCAACACCAGCATCTTGATCATATAGATACCATGCTTGATCTCTAGTTGAATGATATAATAATCTTTGAGCCATGGTTGAAAATGCCGAAAGACACATAACCACAAATACCATGAATAAGACAATATAATTGATATTCTTTTGTAATTTTGGAGCTTTAGTTCTTGGATGCTTAATATTATTCATTCTGATTTTAGTTTCTTCACCGGTGAATATAACTACTCCTAATGCTGATTTAGTATTTCTTAAAATACTACCTCTATAAACAACATTGTCTGAACCTAATGAGTAACGTTGATCATCTAAAGTAAACAGCCCTTCGAAATTATAAAGATCCAAATTGGGATCTTCAACAGTAATGGAAGTTTTAAAATTTTTTAAACCAGTTACTTTCGAAGTATATTTGGCAATTTCTGGATGAGGCCTCTTTGGTTTTAAGTTTGTTTCACCATCTAATGCCATAGTTTCCACGAACGCTTCATTATGGTCTCTATCACTAGTGGCTATTAAAACCACATCAGCAGGAAACCAGTCATTTTCATTTAATTTAATGATATCACCGACTTTAACATGTTTCCATTTTGTGACATATTCCTTTAAATTATATCTTTTCATGGCCTCTTTATTAGTAAAGTAATCTGAACTTGATAAGCCACCTAAATCAGTAAGAGATGAAACGGATGATGAACTGTACATGTGAGTAGCAGAATGTTTCCCATTACTGCTTCCACTACCTTCCAAAATCTCTTCATTATTAGTATCAGCAGTAACTATGACTGGAATAGTCTCAGTCAAAATAGTGGCAATAGAATGAGCATCATAAGTACTTAACTCTTCATCTTCTTTAATGACGATTGTTTTCTTGTTATTTTCTTCTTTATCATGACCATGTCTTTTCCAATCATCAAAACCTTCTCTTGCTATTGAAATTGACATGAAAATCAGTAATGGAATAATGGTTGTATATTGACCAGTAGTAGACCATTTAGGTATCATTTGCATAATTGCAACCACCATGAAATAACAATTGGCCAACTTTGAGAATTGAGCTCTTAATTGTTTAGGTAAGAATGAATAAATGGTATATTTTGAAGAAGTGATTCTATTATTTACATATGGTTCACCACTTCTTTCATCTATAAATGCCATTGCATGTTCGTTGTATAACTTTTCTCCGTAATGGTCGTTAACTTCTTTATGATTCGTACATATGGGGATGACTCTACCTCCTTCTGAAGGTGGAAGATCATTTGTTGATAAGATTAAGTTTTTCATTGATAAACACCATCGAATGAATTGATTATTGGTATGATATCTTCTTTGTAAAGCCCGCTCTTTTCTGGCATGGAATGACAATGAATTATCTGTTATTTGTGTATCATTAGGATCATTTGTGAGATATGTGGTGGACTTCGATCGATTATAATCAGAATATGGTTCATAGTTTGAAGTTGATGTTGATTGGAATGATTCGTCCACTGTAAATAACTGAGATGCATTTTTATCAAGAGTTTTATTGGAGAAATCATTTAATTCATAACCACTGTTACCATTTGTTGTATTCAAAGTGTTACCTTGAGGTGGTGGTGATTGCTCTGAAGAAGGGAACGGCTGTTGAGTTTGATTATCGATTGATTTATTAAACAATTGACTTCTTAAAGAGAGACCACGCTTTCTTCGCGCCTGAGGCTGTAGATGCTGTTGATTCGGTACCAAAGGTGGCGATGATGATGACATACCGTTCGCTGAAGGGGGTGAACCTGCTCGATCTTGGTTCATGTGATGTCAACTATATTAGATCTGGTGATAATAATGAAAGTGAAGTTTGGACTTAAAAATGACAATGAAAGTGAGGGATGAATATTTAAAACCTTTGCATATGGAGATTGATTAAACCAAGATGCTAATACAAGTATGGAAAGAAGCCAGGTTTGACTGATAAGTTGGTATATAATGTAAGCTGTTGTAAAACAATCCAAGAGGATTCTGTTTGGCAGATTTGCTTTTTTTTTTCTTAATTAGCGGCTGCTTTTTATTTTGATGTCTAATTTTTTTGTCTTGTCAAATTTTGTGGTTTGATTCAATTTCTGACGTCTTTTTAGTTGCATATAATTTTTATTTTATATATGGTCTTCGATGGTCATCTGCGATATTAATTTTGGATGAATCATTAATAAGAGAATTTAAGAAGTTAATAGTCTGTAGACTCTTAGTGCTATGTTTGGGCCGCTTTATATAACATATCCTGTTGCTCCCCATTCATTACCGCACAGCCTTCTTTTGTATATAAAATGACGGGAGCTACCATTCAGTTGGTTTATTCTAGTGGATCAATACATTATACTACAATATCCCCTCCCCTGAAAATTAACATGATATTTCCTTCTAATAATGAAAATCTTTGAAGACAATAATATCTGGGCATTGAAAAGCATACCTTCTTTTCTTCCTTATTCCTTCTCCCTTCTTCCATACCTTTGTGTCTCCAGTAAATCTCTTGTCGCTGCGCAAATTTATTTTTTTTGGCTGCTGAGTTTTGTTCGCTCTACTCATTTTAGATTGCAAAATTTCAGCGAGCCTACATCATCATAAAATTAAAAGCATATATCAGATTTTAAATATAAAAACAACTTTTTCAAATGGTTCTAATAACAGAATTGTCTAAAGATAACGAATTGGGCATCAAGAAAGAAAGAAATAAAAAAATTAAAAGTGAAATGTCATATCACTTACTGTGGTAAGTACCAGACTTTATCAGGACAAGTTGAATTGGTTAAAGTATCAATTGGTCTATATTCACCAGTTAAAACATTACCTTTCAAGTTATTGTAATACCAGATTTCATCAATAGTTCCGTTAATACAACCAACATAAACTTGTCTACCATCATTATTATCAGCTAAAACCTTTTGAACATCACTCAAAGCATATTGTTCTGAAACAGTTGGAATAATACCTTCTGATAACAAGAATTGATAAGTTGGATAAGTTTTCCAAATTTCAACAACCTTTTTATAAAATTGAATGGTGTTTTCAAATTGAGTATAATCACCACTGAAACATTCTGGTAATAAAGTGTTCATACATGTACCATGTTTATTATATTCATGTTCCCATAATGAAATACTACCACCATTTGGAACGTTTGAAATTACGTTATTAACCCAATATTTAATCATAGTATCGAATAATTCAGGTTCATTGAAAGTGTCAACAATAACATGAGTGATATTATCAGTAGCATCACTGATTTCTAATGAGGAGTTACAATATTGATTATATGAACCATCACATAAATCATTCCATAAACCATGAATGGTGAAAGTTTGTCTTGGATCTCCAATAGCATATTTCGTAGATTGATAATATTCATCAACTTGTTTAATTAAAGCGCTATCATTAGAATTAACCACATCTAACAAAGTTTGATTGAAATCCCAAAATTGAGTAGACATCAAAACACCCCAATTTTCAAAACAACATGAATCATATTCAGGAATAACGGTATTATTGTGACATGACCAAGCAGCATTTGGACCATAAAGATAATTGTCACAACTGATGACACTATATTCAGGATCAGTATCAAACACAAATTTATTTTGGGTTTGGTAAGTTCTTGGAGCACCGTTAACTAAAGCAATTATAGAAAAGGCAGTTGCAATTGAAAATAAAAATTTAACCATCTTTAAAGAGTTTAGTATTTGATTTTGATTTATGATAAGACTTCTACTGTTTTACGTACATAAATTCACATTCATAAGAGGAGATTTAATTCACTATTTATATAAAATTTTTCAAACAATCCAATTGTTAACATATTGGTTACCAAGTATGATTATTCGGAATGTGAGATAATTTTTTTACATTATTCTAAGTTTAACTGAAAAACTGTTATTCATAAACGTTTTTCAATTTTATCTACGTTACATCCTAATCTATCCACTTCAATCCCATTATATCCCATAACTTCATCCGTTGCATTCGGTGCCGCTTAATATAGCGTTTTTAGTAATAATAAAAAAAACAATTTAAAGTTATAATGAATGAAAAAGTTCCAAGAAATTTTTCACTTTCTTCATTATATTATTCATGCCTTGTTTCTTTTTTTTTAGATCTAATTCCAGGTATATACCCCCATGAAGAGAAAATAGGGGAAATACGTAAATATTCGAATATGCTAGTTTGTTTTAATTAAAAGACACCTTCAAGTTCGATGATGATCTTTGATCAAACGGATGTTTAGTTAGTAGGTTTTTTATTTCTAATTATAAATCAGGGCTTTAGTTTTGGTTAAAACTGCTGCATTTCAAATTTAGTGGATAAAAATAAGGTACGGAAAACATTTTTTAAAAAACGCAAAACCACAAAACATCATGATAATATTTTTAAGTAGGTAATTTGCTTTATAATTAGCATTATATATTTGGTAATATTTACGCCGTATTAGTGAATGGATATGGGAACAGGGATACAATTCACAACACAATAATGGGATGATGAAGAAGGGGAATCGGAAGCACCGTTGTGCCCGTTGTTACAGAGTTTTTTTTGCTCAAGCCGCTGCCCACGCGGTTTAGACAAGAAAAAAACATCAGAGGTAAGAAAAACTGCCTAGCTAAAGAAAAAAACGTCACTATTTCGTCGCTGCCATTTACTGCTGCTGTTGCTGCTACAAGTGCTGCCAAATGCAAAAAAATATACCCTTTAAGCCCTATGTCTTTATTCAAGTTAGTCTTGACAATGAATAATGGTTTTTAATTAGGATACATTTCACAAAAGTGATTGTAGCCAATACAGCTGGGAAAGTATATGGCTATTCCGATCCGACATTTAAAAGTTGGAGGTGACAATATAAGGCAAAGCGTTTTTATAGGTTTTATAATCAGTAATGAAATTTATCCCCCACCTGAATAATTATGTTTAATGAAATCATTTTCACGTTGTATGTCATCTCGTATCTCCTTAAGAAGAATAGTCGATGACAGTTGCATACCGCCATTCATCAATTTCCTTTAATAGTTCAAATATAACTACACTACAATATCACAATTAAACAATTTTAATATATATTTTGATTCACTATAAAAGCAATAAACTAAAAACAATAATGACAGACATCAATAAGATTACTTCAATCACAGATTAAAGATGAAATCCAGTTAAATCATCATCATTCTTGGTGGATATTTAATTGGAAATACCAATAACACCACAAGCTGGTCTACCACCGGCATGACCAGTAGTTTTGGAATCATCATGACCACCTTTACCGTAATCATCAGTACCTTCATGGACAACAACGGTTCTACCTAAGATAGAGTTTGGACCTAATAATTTAACTAATAAATCTTGTTTGGTACCTTTAGCAACACCGGCAGAATCAGTGGTGATATTACCTAAATCACCAACATGTCTTTCGTCATCTTCTGGAGCACCATGGGTTTTGGTGAATGGGTTGAAATGAGGACCAGCAGAAGTACATCCATTGGTGTTGTCACCAAAAGTATGGATATGGAAACCTCTTAAAGCGTGAGGATCATTACCGGAAATTTCCCAAGAAATAGTGGTTGGATCAGATTCTTTTTCTTGAACAAAGTTAACAACACCGGAAACTTTAGAGTCACCTCTTAAAACAGCAACTAGAGAAAAGTGAGTTAGTAATTTTGATTCATTACAAATTTTCATAAAATACCATCAAACTGATTGAAGATCTCAAACTATTAAAAAAAAACTGTCAAATGGTTGCTTTATAGGAAAAGTGGGGGAGGGGAAGCAATCAATCAATACTTTCCAATCCAATTGACCATTACATACATTCATACTGATTCAATTGGACTTCAATAACTATTATTGAAGGCTAGTGTCGATTACAATTGAATTGCCACACATATGGGTGACTCACACACACCACGATCTTCAATTCTTACTAATCCATGACAGATTTGGACATCGTTGATGATATTTTAAGGTATTAGATTCAATTGAATCTCAATTGGAGTCAATTGACATGATATACATACCAGCTTTGACCATTTTGAATTATTAGATAAGCTTAATAATGAATTTAATTGAATATTAAAGAAAACAATTGAATTTATAAGAAAGGAAAGGAGGAGATTCATCAATTGATTGAAATTTTTAGGGATTTGTTATAAATTTATAAAAACTGAGCAAGTCGTGTACTGAGGACAAGTGCTGAAATCATTAATTTTTGAAAGTGATAAAATATCGGAGGAGCCACTTTTTCGGATCCCGCTTAACTTCCCTAATTATTAGGGTGTAATTAATTATTGTAGTGGTTTAATTATAGCCAAGAATGTAAGAATGTTGCAAGTGCAATGAATGAATGTACAAGATTGCTTTCATTATTACTGACTTTTATCCTCAATTGCTATGGTTATTGTTCTTTTTAATGACGAACTAAGCTTAATTAGCTTCTTTGCAGCAATATACTTGACCAATTGAGTAAACAGACATCATATAATAACAACTCTAACTCATACCTTCTATTATTCCACAACGGTCTCGAATTCAATTCGCTGACATAAAACTGGTTTGCAGAACTAAAGGGGGACACCCAAATTGGGGGAAAAGGTTGCCACTAGTATGTGGGTGGAGGCATGGAGGCAAAGTGATTCCTCATAGTGGGTGGAGGAACAGAATCTATATTAGTTAACCATAGTTAAGAAAGATTATGTGTTATTCTAATCATAGAATATATATATAGTTGAATAAGTTCTACAATATCCTTATTTGCAAATTTTAATAAGATTTCCAGTTATTTATATACCCCAGTAAGAAATAAAAAAAACTATGGTGGTTCAAAATCAAAAAATCTGTGGTGGAGGTGGTGCTTACAATTTTGATTATAGTGGTTAAAAAAATTGCTCTCTCTGCAAAATTTATTTATTATGGCAAAAAAAATAGCTCTTCATTGTTAACCTTGTAGGTTATACTAGGGAACACTACGATATCGTCGTTAGGTATAAATCATATTCAATTTATACATTTTACTATGAATGAATGAAATAAATAAATAAATATAATATAATACAATACTTAATTAAATAAAAAAGACTAACCATTGAATTGAACATTTTAAAACCATTAATTAAACCCATTAAATTTTATTGTAAACCCCATTATTGTTGATAGACCTCTTCATTTTTCAATTGACTATCGTAGATCGCTATAACTTTACTTCTAATTACAGTAATATCCTCATTAATCTCGGGATATATCTTCTGTTTAAATAAAAATCGGTATAAATCTCGTTTCGTCCATGTATCTACCACATGAGCCGGTTTATCCCCATTTTTCTGGACGTTAGGTCTATTATTAGATTGAATTGAGGTGCTTTCTTCCACTTTAGCTAGTGGTTGTATTGAAGGTTTCAGTTTCTTTGGCGATGGTGATGGTGGTGGAGGTAAAGCAGGGAAATGTGATGGCGAAAAGATTAAATATACCGTAGATGCAACAATTATACCAGCATATATCCAAAACCCATGTCTTTTGAACTTATTAAATATGGTATCGAATGGGGTGAAGTACTTTACATAGAACAACACCATTTTATACTATGATTCTCTCTATTAATTGATATGATAACTTGTAATTACATCTAGTTGTTATGGTTTTAGATATTTTTGGTGATTAAAGATTAATTTTGTGCTTATGTCATGAATTACGTAAGTAGAGCCTTAGCCTTTCTTTTCTTCCATCACACACAGTTTTTTTTTATCACACTTTAAAACTGGTTTTGTGGATGTTCCCCCTTTTCTCTTTTGCCATCCAAATCAATTCCAATTCCAATTCCTATTTCACTTTATAAATCATAAGTTATATCCCTTGTTTCTTCTTGTTATTTAGATGAAAAGTATCAATAAACCATTAGTATATCTTGTATTAGCCGTTCTATTCGTTACCTTGCTTTATTCCCAAATTGTTAATTCCTCAACTGCTTCTAGTTCCGTGTTATCTACTTTAAAAACTTCAACCACTACTTCAACTACATCAACCTATACCGATATGTCTGTTTCTGATATTAAATCATACATCATCACTTTAAAGGATTCCGTCAGTGATGCTGATGTTGCTGCCGTTCACGCCAAGGTTGCAGAATTAGGTGGTACCATTACTACTAAATATACTTTAATCAAAGGTTTTGTTGCTAAATTACCTGCTATTCATGCTACTACTTTCCAAGATCATGATCATATCGCTAGTATTGAAGAAGATTCAGAAGTTAAAATCCAATAGATTTGTTTAGATTAAATAATTGATTTGTTTAATTGATTGATCATGGTCTCTTGCTCCAAAGTCTTATCTATGACTTTGCTTTATCTTATCTATGTATAGTATATATATAAAAATGATTTACTTACTCTCTAAGTGAATCATTCTTAGATCCCTACTAATATAAATCAACCATAATCAAACTATCTGACAACATCAACTGTCTTTATAACTCTTAATTCTCTTCTGCTTAACCATAGTAAGACTTTAAAATTGCATGACTTGAGGTTTGATCCTGCACAATGCGCCTTGACTTAAAAATTCCCCGTGTTTCAATAGACAGAGACAACTGCTCTGCTGGTTCATGTTAACTGCCTCCAAATATAACTTCAACCTTTCAAGTTATATTCTCTACACTTCTTTCTTTCTACTTTAAGGTCAGACTATTGTATATTCCAGCCTATTAATCAATCCTTTAGTTCATCCTATCAATTGCTGGTTCAATTCGGAGTCCTAAACTACTTATCCCCTTTTTAAAAATATTGCAACTGACAGCGCGGGGGTGAAATATACCAAGATAACAGATTACGTATAATACAACCTTTCATACCATGTCTTACGATAGATACAACTATCAACCCAACTTTAAACCAGTCGATCATCTTTTCGATGATAGATTACGTCAATTCACCAATGGTGGTGGTGAATTTTCAGATTTGAATTTACCTAAATTCTATGATGCTGAAAGAAAAGGTATTCCAAATCTTAAATCTTGGAGAGTCCCTGATGTTGATGGTAAAACTGCTAGACCTTTATTCAGAGATATTGATTTCTCTACTATTGATTGGGAAAATATTGGTCCTGGTTATAATTTCGGTCCATCTTGGAAATCATTCTGGGTTAAACTTGAAGTTGAAATCCCTGAATCTTGGTTAACTCATGAAATTATTGAATTGGATTGGGATTCAAGTTCTGAAGCTTTGATTTATGATCAGAATGGGTTACCTTTACAAGCTTTTACTGGTGGAGAAAGAAACTTATTTAGAATCCCTCACAAATATAGAACTGCTGATTCTCAAACTTTTTATATTGAAGTTGCTTGTAATGGTATGTTTGGTAATGGAGCTGATGGTCATCCTGATCCTAATAGATACTTTAGATTAAATCATGCTGATTTGGTCTTACCAAATATGGAAGCTAGAAGATTATATTGGGATTTTTGGATTTTAGGGGATGCAGCAAGAGAATTCCCTGGTGGTCATTGGGAAAAATATCAATCAGCTGATATTTGTACTAAAATCATGGATGTTTTTGATCCTAATGATCTTGAATCAGTTACTAAAGGTAGAAAATTGGCTCAAAAATTATTAGGTGATAAAGTTGATTCTGAAGCTGTATTTGATGAATTCAATAATGATAAATTAAAAAGAATCGATGTCTATGGTATTGGTAATTGTCATATTGATACTGCTTGGGAATGGCCATTTGCTGAAACTAAAAGAAAAATCGTTAGATCTTGGACTACTCAATTGAAAATTGCTGAAGAATATCCTGAATATGTCTTTGTTGCTTCTCAAATGCAACAATTTAAATGGTTAAAATTGTATCATCCTGAAATTTATACTAAAGTTAAAGAAAAATATACTACTAATCAATTCTTACCTATTGGTGGATCTTGGGTTGAAAATGATACAAATTTACCTAATGGTGAATCCTTAATTAGACAATTTTTATTAGGTCAACGTTTCCAATTTAATGAATTTGGATTTTATTCAAATATCTTTTGGTTACCTGATACATTTGGTTATTCCTCTCAAATTCCTCAAATTTGTCAAATTGTCGGTATTTCAAGATTTTTAACTCAAAAATTATCATGGAATAATATTAATCAATTCCCATTATCAACTTTCAATTGGAAAGGGTTAGATGGTTCTCAAGTTTTGGTTCATATGCCTCCTGCTAATACTTATACTGCTGGTGCTCATTTCGGTGATGTAATTAGATCCCAACAACAACATAAGAATTTAAGAGATATTCCAACTGGATTATTATTATTCGGTCATGGTGATGGTGGTGGTGGTCCAACAGAAGAAATGCTTGAAAAACTTAGAAGATGTAGAGGTTTAGCTAATCAAACTGGTAGTTTGATTCCAACTGTTCATGTTGGTAAAACTGTGGATGATTTTTATGATGAAGTTTTGGAAAAATCAAACAATGGATTGGATTTACCAACTTGGGTAGGTGAAATGTATTTAGAATATCATAGAGGTACTTATACTACTCAAGCTAGAATTAAAAGATATATGAGATTTGGTGAAATTAGATTACATGATTTAGAATTGGTAGCAACCTTAGCTTCTGTATCATCCGGAAAATATAAATATCCATCCAAGAAGATTCATGATTTATGGGAAGATTTATGTCTTTGTCAATTCCATGATGTTGTTCCTGGAAGTTGTATCGGTATGGTTTATTATGATGAAGTTTATCCAATGTTAGAAGAATTATTACATAAGGCTGATAAATTAATTGAAGATGCGTTAGAAGTATTAAGTGGTGGTGAAGCTAAAACTGAAACTCTTGATAATTTAACTTTCTTTAATTCATTACCTTGGAAGAGATCGAATGAATTACTTGAAATTTCTCAAGCTGAACAACCTAAATTATATCAATTATTGAATAATGAAAGTTCAAACATTACTGTCAAGAGTGCTAGTGAAGATGATACTAAATTAGTATCAGTTTCAACTTCAAATGATGGTGTGGTTAAGTTGAACTCTCTTGATGATATTAAATATCCTGCTAGTGTAAAGAAAACTTCATCAGGTCAATATATTCTTTCTAATGATTTGATTAAAGCTACCATTTCATCAACTGGTATAATCACCTCATTATATGATATTGTCAATGAACGTGAAATCATTGCTCCAGAATCCACTAAACAAACTGGTGATGGTGTTGTTGGTGGTAATCAATATATTGTGTTTGATGATGAACCATTGAATTATTCTGCTTGGGATACTGAATTATACTCGTTGAATAAGTTTAAATTATTAAGTGAAGGTGAAGTCTCTATTCTTTCTGATAATAAATTAAAGAGTTCAATCTTGGTTAAGAATAAAATCTCCGATCAATCATATATTGAAACTGAAATTTCTATCCAAGGTTTACTTAGTAATACTGAAGAAGTTGATTTCAACTTTGTTAAATTCAAGAGTTTTGTAAGATGGCATGAAAAATATAAATTCTTAAAAGTTCAATTCCCAACTACGATTTATTCCGCTAGTCAAGCTAATTATGAAACTCAATTTGGTGTAACTCAAAGACCAACTCATTGGAATACTACTTGGGAAATTGCCAAATTTGAAGTGGCTCATCATAAATTTATGGACTTAAGTGAATTCGGATATGGTGTTTCTGTTTTAAATAATTCGAAATACGGTGGTGCCATTCATGGTAATTTGATTAGATTATCATTATTAAGAAGTGCTAAATCTCCTGATGATCAAGCTGATATGGGAGATCATACTTTTGAATATGCTTTATATCCTCATAAGGGTTATTTAGGTGTTGATACTGTTAAATTAGGATGGAATTTCAATTATAGAATTGAAAAACATTTATTCAATTCTTCAACTTTCACAGCTTTATCTAAAGCTATTACATTAGAAGGTTCATCTAATTTGATTTTATCTCATATTAAGAGAGGTGAGAATGATTATGATGTCAATCAATATGATTGTTATAAGACCACATCTAAACAAAAATCCATTGTTTTGAGAATTTACGAATCATTAGGTGGTGCTTCAGCAGGGGTGTTGAAATTAGACTCTAAAGTGTTAAACATTGATAAAGTTTATAAAACTAATGCTTTAGAAGAAGAAGGTGAAGAAGTTAAGTTGAACGATAAATCAGAATTAGCTCTTAAATTAAAGGCATTCGATATTGTTACTTATAAGATTGTCTTAAAAGAGTAAGTTAGTTAGTTAGTTATGATTTTGAATTTTTATAGTTTGTTTTTAAGTTGTTTTCCAGTATACAAATAAGAAAAAAAAAAGTTACTCTAGTTAAATATACATTTTGTTAAACATAAAAGCTATTAGACATATAGATCATTCGATAAATACTAAGTTTAGGTTATTGATGTAATTCATAATTTTTGTATATTTTCACTTAATAGTTAAAATAAGCTTTTAGCTGCCACAAACTAAATTTGCAACTCTTGATTTTATATACAAGAATAATCTTTAACCTATAGAAGATTATTGTAAAAGTCGATATAACTTTGCAAACGTTTAACATCGCCCACTATAAAATTAATACAGTTATGCACTATGTCACCGTCAAGATCCAATTTATTTATAAGTTCAATCCATTTTGCATAGCATTCGGTATCGTCGGTAGGTATTATAAATTGTGATTGGATAGCTTTGAAGGTATTAGCTGCGACAGATAATTTTTCTGCATGCTGGGAGAGGAAATCATCCAATTTTAGCTTTTTAAGATTGATTGAACTATTTGGATATGACTTCTTGTACGATTTTTCAAAATTGGTTTGATTAAGTATCATCAGTTTGAAATTTCGATAGAGTAAGTCCTTTTCCTTATTTGAGAGGTTTATATCATTGATTTCCTTATAGTGTTTATTATAGAATTGTTGATAAACCAATGATTTTATGTCCTTTTTGAATTGTTGTAGAAGATAATGGTATGTTAAAGTTGGAGTAGGATATCTATAATCAATTTGTTCTTCCTCATCTTCATCAATTTCTTCATCATCCTCTGATTCATCTACTCTATGTTCTTCCTCATTGCTCTGAGATATTACCCATTCATTGAATATATCCTCTCTGGTCTTGCTATCTTCAATCGAATAATATTCAGGATGTTTCACAAACTCATTAATGAGATCTTCTTCAATGATGAACCATGAATCATAGATTGATATTTTTGACTTGAATTGATTTAATAAATTAATGAAATCAGCTTTTTTAGAACTTGATCCCGATTCTTCTTGTTCATCACCTATTGACAAATCTAACCCTTCGTTGAGATCTTCATCTGAATCTGAGATTGATAAGTCTAGATCTTCTTCATTTATCGAAGATTGGTCATTATCGTCATCATCATTGACATCTTCCTCTTCATCCTCTTTTTCTTCATCATTACCATCATCATCATCATCATCATCATCAGCATCATCCTCACTTGATGAATAACCTAAATTAAGCCCTCCAGTTGGCTGTGGTTTGTCTTCAGATTCAGCTCTATCTTCGTCCTTGTCTTCGACAACTTCTGATGGCTGATCTTTTAAATAACCTTCTTGTTGTAATAACTCTCGTATAAGATCAGTATCAACTTCTGCATTAGACTTGACATCAATTTCATCTTCATCCTCAACTTCTTTCTCATCGGGTATCTCTTGATCTTCATCTTTAACAATCTCAACTTCTATATCACCATGTTTTATCACATTTGATTTCACTTTCGTCTCTACTTGAACACTTTTAACATGAAATCCAATATTCTTAGCGAACAAAACACTTAATTTATCGAACTCAAAACAATTCAAAAACTGTCCCCATTCCAAATCATTATCGCTGAAATACTGTTCTTTCAAATCTTGTAATTGCCAATAAGATTGCCTAACTGCTGCATTGAAATAGAAATGTCGATTGGTTGATGTAAGGATGATATACCAATTTGAATTAACGTCATTATGCGAAGATACGAATGGGATTTTATATTGGTTTCTGGGTGATCCTATCCCTAGCACACCATCTTTCAGCTTTGACATTAGTTGGATGTCTGTGTTTGTGGTCTTCCATCTTGTTAATGTTTACTGAATAATTCTATTTTTTTTGATGTTTGTTGTAGCGATGCTTACCGAGAGAGTACGCCGCAAGGATCCCCCAGCGGACGACGAAAAAAAAATCATACCGAGCACAGACAGTGGGGACTCGGTGCAGCGGGGGAGGGTGCGTTGAAGCCTTAGCAACTAACCAACAACGATTTACATAAACAAACTACAAATGGTTTAATTCTTGGTTTTAATTAATTTTATGTTTTAAATTAACAGAAAACAGGTATAAATAATAATAATAGTAATAATAGTAATAATAATAATAATAATCAGAAAAGTATACAAGTAATGATTTTTCCCCTTTTTTACTTTACAGTTTCAACAATCGTTTAATTCGTTAGATGGTAAGGCTTTTTAAATGGCTTGTAGTTTTGAATAAGTGTTTTTTTAATGAATATAAAGTAGGTAAATAGATAGATAGATAGTAGATTTGGAAATTATACAATTGAAGTCATGATGAAAAAATGATCGTAAATATGGAGGAAATAAAAACAAAGTATCAAACTTTTCTCCTTTCTAAAAAATGGCATGTCGTTGTTGTTGTAGATTGTTATTGACGTTGTTCCCAGAATGTTCGTCTTTCCTTCCTTCTTTCCCTCGTTAAAGTTGTATCTAGCTTGTTCAAAAGCCAGTTCTGAACAGATACACTTTTGATAAAATAAACCGTATATGTGTCGTTATGTTTTTTTTTTGATTTTAGTTTCACCCAAGTTAATAGTAAAGCCTTTTGATGTTATGATGAAGAAGGAGTAAAAAAAAAAACGACAGAACAGAACAGAACAGTTGGAAATAAATAAAAATAAATAAGTAAGTGAATAAGTAAAATAAATAACAGATAAATCAATCCAATGAAAAGCAATCAAAACTTAAACAAAAAAGGAAACCGAGCTATAATGAAATGAAATGATTAACTAACTAACCAACATGTTGACTGATATTTTCAATCTTTTCTTTTCTGGAGATTCATAGTTCTTTTTCGATTTTTTATTTGAAGATGATGTTGTATTATTTGGTGATGAAGAATTTGATGAATTGACAGGAGTAGTGTTATTGGTTATGGTTGATGAAGATGAAGCACTATAGTTTGAAATGGTTTGATCATTATTGTTATTACCATTATTTCTTGATATTCCTGAGTTTACAGGTGATATTAATGTAGCAGTAAGAGTTGAAGATAAATCTGAATTATCTATACTTCTTCTTAAATTTGATGTATTTGCGGTGGTAGTTTTTAAAGTTGGACTATTATTAACTGAACTATTTGAACTTAAGGAAGATTCATTATCAAGATCATCATCATTATCATTAAGATCAACACCATCAATGATAGTACCATCGGGATGTTGATATTGATTAATATCATTACGTTTAAACAGTTTTCTTATTCTACTAACGGCCAATTCACTACCTTGATGTAAATTTTTAGCATGTCTTAATAAAAGATCTCGTCTTGAAAAAGGTCTTGAACAAATCCCACAAGTAAAAGGTTTTAATTTATTATGAGTACTTAAAGTATGTCTTGTTAAATGTTCTTCTCTAGTGAATGCTCGATTACATTGTTGACAATTATAAATTCGAGGATTTCCTGATGGAGTTTTAGTACCATAGTTATTATTTTTATCGAATTGCAGTTGATCTGAATCCTTTGAATCATCGGAATTGGTGGTTGAAGTGGGGGATGGTAATTGAGAATTTGGTGATAATGAGGTTGGTTGAGGTGGGGCACCATAAGAATTTGACATTGTACTCATATTATAGTAGTCTGATGATATGATATGATATGATATGAAGTAGGGGACGATGTCTGGACTGTTACTATGTTTATGATGATAGTAGTAAGAGTCGCTATATAAGTATAATTGTAGTGGGCGTTATGATTAGTTTGTTGTTTGTGGTTGTTGAACAGGGAAGTTTTTCGCAATTTGTTATTTTACGATCTCTGATGTGGAGGTGGCTGACTGGGAAGATATGTCAAAGTGAGTAATTCTACCTGGGGGTAACTAAGAATTACTTTATGAATAAATAAGAACTAAGGGGCTAAGAAGAAGAAGAAGTAAGAAGAAGAAAGAAGAAAGTAACTAGAAAAAGGAAAGACAGTTTGTGGGTGATAATTGGAATTAGAGACAGACAGAGAGTAGACGAAGTTGGTTGGTTCAAAAAAAAAAAAAAAAAAAAAAAAAGAATTAATTTTTCTTTTTTGTGTTGGTTTTGGAGGGGTTGAATTTGTGTAATAATCACCCCCGCATTTTCATATTTTTATTTTTTTATATTGACAAGGAGGGGGTTATACAGGGGAGGGGAAGAACTGCATATAGTCGACACAGCATATACAGTTCCACACTGACCCTCCTCAAGTTTGTTATAACATATTCGATATACAACTATGAATTACAGTGAAACAGGGCTATATACTACTATTACTTAATTGATAATGATAATAATAATAATAATTTTTTATTAGTAATATCATATCATATCATCTAGTTTTTTTTTTCTTTGTCTGTTTAGTTCAATCAGTTGAGATGAGATGAATTTAAAAATATCGTTTCACTTTAATTGGATCTAACTACCAGCGTAATCATGTTTTTATTTCTTGAACCACACAGAAAGTTATAACTTAAATAACTTCTATGTATTTCTTAGCCTACCCATCCTATCTAAGTTTACAGTTTAAGCTTATTGACTTTTGAATTGGTCGATAAAAATGCTTGATAGGAGTAATAATCTTAACTTAATCCAATCCAACTGGAACCGATCCCGACTTCAATTTTGTCTATGTATACCCTTCCCACCTTCTGTTTCTTCCTTTTACAATATTTTTCGTATATTATAGGAGAACAACAATAAACAAACAAACAAATATACAATTAAATATTTTTTAAAGTTGGTTATAGTACGATATGAAAGGTGGGGGGATAAAAATGATATTGGGAATGACATACATCTTCCTAGCCTATAAAAAATACAATAGCATAGAAACAAAAAAATAAAGTGGGGGAGGATGAAAGGACTTTGTCACTAAAAAATTGATTTTAGGGACAATTTAAGCTGACTCGGAGTCGATCGCATCCCTAACTATTTTTTTCTTTTCTCCCTAGACATACTCCGGGGAGGGGGATGGGGGAGGAGGGACAGCCTAATTTTAAAATTTTAAAGGCTAATTTCCCATTATTAGTGACACCCACACAAAACACCTTCTCACCCACACACACACAAGCAATTTCTAATGGTGTTTATGGAATTAAATGCCGATATAATAAATATAATATAAAATAGACGTCACTACAATGTCAAAAATATTAAAGTTAATATTTGTGTGGAATGATTTATATTAATAATCGAATGAATCAATGTTATCCATTTTTACTATTATGTATAGCTTAGATAAGGATGGGATACTATCAGGCATTTAAATCACCAAAAAGCCCATTGTTAGCCCACTCACATATAATTTTAGCTTTGACTTTTACGAAGAGGTGGAGGAGGTAGTAGTTAGTGGTGGTGGTTACATTACGATTTGCCTTTTTTTATTTAATAATTTTTAATTAGGCGGACGGAGTCTTCCCCACCATTAACTGATTTACTTTAAATATTCCTCTGCTTCCACTTTATTAACTTAGTTTTCACTTTCTATACGAGTTAATGAAATAAAATACTATTTTTTAATGCTAAAGTCATGCAAAACTTTATCTTTTAACTAAAAGTGTTATGACCTTTTGCTTTAACTTGTCTAATCTATATTAGTAGTAGTATACATGATTTGCGTTGTTAGTAAGTTAAAAAAGTCTGACCTGTAAACCATTCTATGTCTAATTTGTAAATTCAACTATTTATCTCGTAGTGACATTTAATTTCCACTTTTACTAATGTTTTTATATTATCTATAGTTAATTACATAGTTGTAAGTCTAATTTATTGTCTAGTGTTTTACTTAGACGTACAATTACATAGTAACAACTGCATAGGAGAAAAAATATCATTGTTACATACAGGACTATCTGATCACATGACTTGTAGATAGATAAAAATAAACCGCTGCTGTGTAAAAGATAAAATGAAACGGTTGCCTTTGAAGACAATAACTTGTTCAATCGAATACAACAACAGAATCATCAGTTCATGTCGAGTTACAATAGTCATAGTCACCTGAATCCATATGAGTATGACTTGGACTCAGGTGTTCCTGATTTAGCCACGTCAAATGGAACTAGTAACCATAATAATAACAATAATCAAAATAGTGAGACGTTCTTATCAAGAATATTTGGTCTTAATTCAATCTATAATCAATTAAATGAAAACTATCAATATTATGATCTTGAAGGTGATTATAATCCTGAAGTGCCGATAAATGATATCAATGGGATTGATGACGATGACGAAGATAATGTTGATGGCGAAGATAATTTATTGATAAAGCTGGCTGCATCATCATCTTCACAACAGCAAGCATCCACGCGACTATTATCACAACAACCACAGAGGAATATCAAATCACCCCTTGGTAATAACGCATTATTGAATTCTGATCCTGAATCTGATCTTGATCTGGATATAGATGTTGATCATCAGATTTATATCACTCCTCCTGCTGAAAATGATATAAATCGTGATCGAGCCTCACCAAAGATAAACAATGATTCAGGGCAAGCATCAACCAAATTACCATTCAATGATGTTGTTCGTAAACCCAATGACTTCTTAAAGAGAAGAACTCAATCTCCAGCTCATGAATTGCCCTTATACAATCAATTCAATCCATCCCAATCTCAAACTCAATCTCAATTATTACAAAGTCAATTTAGAAAACCAATCAATAATGTTCCTGATGTGAATCCTACTAATACCACTAACAATATTTATCAACCATCACGGAATAAATCAACCAGATATATCATCACTCCAAAGGAAAGAGCATTATATTTATGGGCCAATATCACTAATATGGATGAATTCTTAAATGATATTTATTATTATTATCGTGGAAGAGGAATATTAAACATTGTATTGAGTAAATTGGTTGATTTATTGAATTTAATCTTTATATTATTCTTCACTGTGTTTTTAAAATGGGGGATTAATTATAATTATTTCATTCATAATTTTAATAATAATAGTGAACATTTAACGTTAAGTGATTTAATTATTCCTAATTTCTTTTGGAATAATGTTCCCTTCATCGTTAAGTTCTTCCTTTTTGGTTTCACATGTTATATAATCCTTCGATTAATTCAAGTTTATTTCGATTATAATTATAAATTAAAAGAAATTCGGAATTTCTTTAAATATCTTATTAATATTAAAAATGATGATGAATTAATGACAATCAGTTGGAAAACTATCGTGGAAAGATTAATGCTCTTAAAGGATTATAACAGTTTAACTTCAACCAATACCAATAATCCCAATCAACAACATTATATCAATGATTTACGGTCAAAAGTAAGATTAAATGCTCATGATATTGCTAATCGAATAATGAGAAAGGAAAATTATATGATTGCTTTGATTAATAAGGATATTCTTGATTTATCAGTTAATTTCTCAAAGATTTTTGGATATCAATTAATCACTAATAAATCAGTATTAACTAAAACTTTAGAATGGAATTTGAAGTTATGTATTTATGATTTCATATTCAATCATGAAGGTCATATCCAACCTAATATTTTAAAAGATTCTCATCGAAATCAATTATCAAAAGAATTAAATTCTCGATTTAAAATGGCAGCATTGATAAATTTATTATTATGTCCTTTTATTGTGATTTATTTCGTTTTGCTTTACTTTTTCCGTTATTTCAATGAATATAAATCAAATCCATCATCAATTGTGGGATTAAGAGAATATACTCCTTATGCGGGTTGGAAATTAAGGGAATTTAATGAATTACCTCATTTCTTTCATAGAAGATTACAATTATCGATTGGACCAGCTAATACCTATATTAATCAATTCCCCAGAGGATTCCTCGTTATTAATGTGATGAATTTAATTAATTTCATTTCAGGTTCAATCTTGGCAGTTTTGGTTATCATGGGTTTACTTTTAGAGGATGAAGCTCATAGTTTTTGGTCATTTGAATTAACAGAAGGTAAATCAGCTTTATTCTATATTAGTTTATTTGGTACTATTTTCGCTGTAACTTCAACTTCATCGTCATCATCATCAGCTACTTCTACTCCTAATCAACTTAATAATAATTCAACTGGTAATGAATTGAATACTTTTGTATATGATCCAGAAGCAAGTTTAAGATATGTGGCTCAATTCACTCATTATTTACCTACTAGTTGGAAAAAGAAATTACATACTATTGAAGTTAAGAATGAATTCTGTGATTTATTCAGTTTAAAGATTATTATTATCTTGAATGAAATTCTTAGTTTGATATTAACTCCATTTTTATTATGGTTTAAAGTGTCGAATAATTCAGGTGCCATTATTGATTTCTTTCGAGAGTATAGTGTTCATGTCGATGGATTAGGATATGTTTGTTCATTTGCTATGTTTAATTTTGAAGAAAAGGATAAAAATATGATGGTTGATATTAATCATAGAAAGAAATTGAAAAAGCAAAGACATAAAATGAAGAGGCAAATGCAATTAAATAAAACTAATAAAAAGGTTATGAGTTCAAGTACAGCAAATGAAATGGAATTGAATAATATAAAATCGAAGAAAAGAGATAAATTCATTCAATCAGATAGTGAAGGCGATGATAGTGATAATAATAATGCTGTATCTGATTTTGAAGGAGATGAATATGAATTTGATGATGATTTAAATATGGATTATAATCAAAATGAAAAAATGTTTAGATCATACATGTATTTCCTTGAAAGTTATGGTGGAGGAGGTGCTGGCTCGAGCACAACTGTTAATAAATCAACTGCAAATCATCTTAATAATAGTACAAACAATATCCCTAATAATAATGGAGATGCATCGAACTACTACCAAGATAGTGTTCATCTTAACGGTCATCATAACAATAACGGAATCATAGTTAATCGTTCTACACCAACACCCCAGAATGATCCATCAGGCCAACATATCAGGTTCCAGGGTTTAAACAATAGTAATGTCATTAATACCAATGGAAGTGAACATCATAGTTTAGCAGAATCATATAATATCAATTATAAATTCGATGCCGATGATATTCAACGCGATTCGAAAAAGGGAAATAAAGGTGGATTCTTCGCTATTGTTAATCAAGTTGTCAAACAAGATTTTGATCGTTGAATTTACATAGAGTTTGTTTTATAGTTAGATATGGTTTTAAATGGGATTTATTTATTATACATTGTATGCGAATTGGTAGCACTTCATATATTTTTTGAGCCGCACGATGTTTTTTTTTTATTTTTTATTTTTGTGATTGTGAAAAAAAAAATTTAGAAGAGTAAAAATATAAGATGGTAGTAGTTTAAACAGCATAATAGATCAACACTATATTAATCATACTTGGGTTACAGTTACAATATGGCTGGATCTCAGTTGAAACAATTAAAAGAGGCCTTGCGGTCCAAAGGATTAGTGGGTCAAACTAATGTTAAGAAGAAGAGTAAGACATCTAAAAGAACACCATCTGAAACGAGAAGAAATGATAAAGAACAAGTTATAAATGATATTAGAGGACAATTTAATCAATTTGATCAGAAATTAAATCGTATGAAACGTGATGTTACCGTTATTCAAGGGGGTAAGTTTGTTAAATTCGGATCTCAACAACATAATGATGCCACTAGAACTAAATCTAATGTTCAAAAGAATATGAAAATGCAATATGATTTAGAAAAGGGGAAACATGGTAAGACGGGTGGCGTTTTAGATAGAAGATTTGGGGAAGCTAATAAACATTTAACTGCTGAAGAGAAGATGTTGGAAAGATTTACTCGAGAAAGACAATCACAATCTAAGAAAAGAGGACTTTATTCTCTTGAAAGTGATGATGAAAATGATGATGATGATGGATTTACTTTAACTCATGGTGGTAAGGCATTATCATTGGATGTTGAAGATGACGTTATAGAGGATAATTCATTATCAACTACTAAATATATTGATGAAGATCAAGTTGAAGATGACGATCAACCACAAAGAAAGAAAAGTAAAAAAGAAGTTATGAAAGAAATTATGGCTAAATCTAAATTCTATAAACAACAAAGACAACAAGAGTTTCAAAAGACTCAGGATAATATTGAGGATTTAGATGAAGAATTTGGTGATATTATGCAAGAAATGGCTAACATTGAACAACCTAAGCGTCCACAATTTCTGACTAAAACGGATGAAGAAAAAGAATATGATACAAAAGTTCGTGAATTAACTTATGATAGAAGATCTGTTCCAGCTGATAGAACCAAGACTGAAGAAGAAGTGAAAACTGAACATCAAGAAAAGATGAAGAAATTAGAAGCTGATAGATTAAAGAGAATGAGTGGTATGGAAATTGAAGATGATCGTAATGCAGTAGGTGATGATTTAGATGATGAATTCTGGGCTGGAAGTGATGATAATGAAGAAGATGGATTTGCCATTAAAGAATCTGAAGGTGAAGAAGAAGTCAGTGAAGGTGAGGGAGAAGAGGAACAAATTCTTGGAAGACCAAAAAGAACCATACAACCACAAATCATAATACCTGGTAGTCATGAAGAATTTTTAAAATCTCTTGCAACCATCGATAGTAATAGACATCCAGCATATGTTAATAAAATCATTGAAATTTATAGACCAAATTTAGCAGCTGGAAACAAAGATAAAATGAATGTGTTTGTCGGAGTGTTATTCGAACATATATTATACTTAGCCAATCAAGATAAAGATGCATCAACTCAAACTTTGATTGAGAAATTAACTGTTATAATCAAGAAATTAGCTCAACTTTATAATGAAGTATTAGTTGAGAATATCAGATTAGAAATCAATAATATCCAAGACCGTATTTTAAATAATGATGGTCTTTTATTAAAACGTGATTATGTATTCTTCATTATTATTGGATACTTATTTTCAACTTCCGATCATTATCATTTAATCGTTACACCTGTATTGATATTAATGACTGAATCCATAACTACATTGATTTATAAGAAAGATGCTTCTTTACAACATATCAATCAAGGTATATTCATTGCTGATATGTTATTGAATTATCAAAGATTTTCAAAACGTTATATTCCAGAAGTGGTTAACTTTGTTGAAAAGGCATTATTATTATTAATTCCTGAACCAAGATTACTTCAATCATCATCAACTCAATTAGTATCTACTTATAATGTGATTTCAACTGATTTGAATTTAAGTAAGACTTTCAAACCTACTGTTGAACAAATTGGAGAAGATGGGATCGTATTAAGTATTGATGAATTGTTTAATAACTCTGGTGATCAATTTAAATTTAAGGTAATTATCAAGTTAATTCAAATCATGGATAAATCAATTTCATTATGGAAGGATAAATCCAATTTAATTGAAATTACTCAATCTAATAACTTAATTTTAAAACATTTGCTTAAATATTATTCAAGTCAATTACGTCAAATTCCATCACTCATTACTAAATTCACCAAACTTTCAAATATCTTAACTAAAGAGAGAAGACCATTAACTTTACAACATCATAGAGCTATTCCAATTGCCACTTATGCACCTAAATTTGAAGAGAATTTCAATCCAGATAAGAAATCTTATGATTCAAATATTGAAAGACAAGAAGTTGGTAAGATGAAGAGTCAATTGAAGAAGGAAAGAAAAGCTGCTATCAAGGATATCAGACAAGAATCAAGATTTGTGGCTAATGAACAAATTGAAGAAAAGAAACAAATGTATGATAAATATCATAAGAAAATGGCTCATATTGTTAATACTATTGCAACTACTGAAGGAGCTGAAAAGAATGAATATGAAAGAGAAAAGAAGTTACGTAAATCAAAAAAGTAGATTTATAAATAGATATAGTTTTAAAGCTTGTATAATAATAATAGATAAATTGATTCTATAATTGGATGCAAAAAATACGAATTGTGTGCTTATATCCCGTAGTTGGCGGCGGTAATAATTTTCTCATGGAACGTTCGGGACGAGAGAGATTAAGGGGGGGAAGTGATAAGTGGTTGGTTGAATATGGCTGATCCACTTAATATAACTTTAAATTTTAAATGACACACATACAATTGTAATGAAGCCGCTTGCTTGTAATCATCACCTCTCCCCTCCCTCCACAGGACACCCCCTTTGACCTTATTCTTACTTCAACCTAGACCTTCTCTGTGGCTCTCTGCTGAGAGATGTATTATTTTTTTCTGGTCCCATTAGGGGCAGTCCTGTAGCGGCACACAAAATTAAGCAATGAAATACGAGTGACAAATAGGGAGAGAGCAAAGGAAGGAAGGAAGGAAGGAGGGAAGGACGGGGGGTCACACAAAATATAAAGTGGGTTGGTTAGATAGAGATTGACCTTACGACTAAGTATGTTGCTATGTAAGGTATAGTATTGATTAGCAAAGATTAATAAAGATGAATGACAATAGTCATCAATTTATAATTTTAATCTCGGAAATCATTATTACACCCCCAGATTTTTTACAATTGCTATATTTTCACCACTACAATTTATGATTTTAACAGTCAAAAACATTAAATTAAGAGAAAAAGAACAACTAACTAAAAAGGAAAAGCTAACAAATAGGTATAATAAATAACGATAGTAAATAAACTAAGATGATATCTATGTAGAACCAACAACATGTGGTGATTCCCTCCTTTTTTTTTTGTATTCTCTTTCCCTTCCTTTCCATTAATGAATGACGAGTAAAGACTTGGAAGTTGAAAAAAAACATAGTAATAAAAAAGTAATTGATGGGGTAGTAATATATTTGTAGAATGTGTATTTTTGATCAACACATATCCTTTGAAATTGATACAGACAGACAAACAAACAAACAAACAAACAAAACAACAGAAAAAGGGCTAACAAAACGTATTGGGAATGGAAAAGGAATAGTAAAAATGTGTATATAAAACAGATATTGAATGATAAAAAAAAAGGGAAAGAATAAAATTTGGTGATATTGTTGTTGAGTTATAACAGTGAATAAGTAAAAAAAACGACTTGTTTAATGAATTAAAAATATAATGAATTGAATTGAATTCAACTTTTAAGATTAATTATTTTAGGGGAGAGGATTAGTTGATGAATTGATTGATTAAATTCTTTTTCTGAATATTAAACGATAGTTGTAATAAAGTAGATGATGCTATCAATCAAGTTTAAACTTGAGAGGTGGTTGGAATACCAACTCTTGGAGCTGATCTCTTTGAAGTACCGAATAAACCACCTTGAGTGATTGAAATGATGGAGAAAACTCCAGAAACTAAAAAGATAAAAAAGGAAAAGTAAAGGAAAGCAACTGAAGATTGAGCTTTTCTACATCTACCTGATGAACCTTGAGTAATATTATTATTGTCCACGTATTCAGAGTTTGAACAAGAGTGAACTCTAATACCAGCAGCGATAGCAGTGGCAGCAGCAAAAGTGAAAATCAAGTTTAAGAAATCAAACAAGGATAAAAGAATTGGCCAAGCAAAGATTTCAAAAAAGTAAGCTAAAACACCATAAAATGATGAAGTTAAAAGACCAAAAGCAGCAGCGAAAACCCCAAAGTTAACTTGAGGATTATTTTGAGTGATGGTTGAGGCACTTAAAGAAGCAGTTAAACCTAAAGCAATGACTAAGATGACAAAGTTGACGGCACGTAAGATAGAATCTCCAATAGCTAACATTGTGTGATGATGATTATATTATATGAATTGATATATGAATTGATTATAAGAATTTAACAAACTTGTCGAGGAGAATGAAAAATTACTGGTGGGGGGGAGAGGGATGAGGAGAATGGATGAAGATATAAATACAGTACAAAAAGGATACGTAAATATATATTATATGAATTGACTTGAGATGAGTTGCAGTTAATGATGAGTAAACTAACAATTGGGTTAATTAGTAATGGGTAAGAACTGTCGAAGAAGAAGAAGAAGAAGAAGAAGTAAAAGTAAAAATAAACAAATTACATAAAATTTTTAGGGGTTTATTTCATTAATAAATGAAATAGTGAGTGCACTATCCCAGGGGGGAATAATAATTAGTTACAAATACTAAATGGGATAGGAGGGATACAGAAGTTAATAATTGCTGGATATGACCTATTTAATTTGACAATAATAATAAGAGCTGGGGGGGAACCCACCACCACCCACATAGTGATTGTATACAGGAGAGACATACCTTATTGTGTTTAAATTTGTTCCTAATTAGGCAGTCGTCATAATCAAATAAAATGAAACAGGGTCGTGCGCTTTTGTGTTGATCATTCGGCTGTTTCGGGTAAGACTCGTCCCAATTGGGACGTCACGTGAAGCTCTGTCCTGTAATAATTTACATAAGAATTAGTTAATTTAATCAACATATAGTTATTATCTATATTATAATTGTAGTTATTTCATAAAAGAAGGATTACTATCTACATTAGGAAGGGTAGTTTACTATAGAAAATAAATATTCATAATTTGTTATGATTTACTTTGATATAGCAATATAGTGTCACATTTAGTTATGACGAGCATTTTTAATCTCACCCACCTTACATCACTTCATAATTGCTATTTATTTCTCTTGCCACTTTCTAATAACCGATGACTTGGTCATTACAGTTTTTAATCTTGCTAACGATTAACAACTCTTTCTTAACAACAACGAATCAGCAAAACCATAACAACTGTAGTTAGCTAATCCAACTCCAACTGATTTTAAGTCATGCATATAATTTAGACATACATGGCTCTGTCCAGTACTGCATATTATTCACACCTGGAAGACCATAATCCCAATTTGGTACCAGTATATCAAAATTTTCAGTATTGAAATATGCAAATTTCATATTATTAATGATTATTTATATTATACCTTAATTGGTATGTAGAGACGTTTTATTTCGAGTCAACTGTTCCAGTTAGTTATATTTTCTTCTCTTATTTCATGTCAAAATTTTTATTATTCTCTAGTCTGTTATATTTATTGGGTTTGTTATGGTTTTGGTTGAATTCGTATAATTGAAGTTATCTTCACTTAATTTATTATGGTTTGTTATGATTTCGGTAATCTCTTCTCATCTTCTCATCACCTCCTCATCCATCTCATCATTTGCAACCGAACCTTAATTCTTATCAGTTTATATAACCATCTACACACCTCTTTTTCTTTAATTCTGTATTGGTTTGTTTACATTTTTATCTATTTCCTTTTAATTATTTCCTAAATATGATCTTTAAAATATTTAACTACTTTATCATCCACGGCAACTTGTATGGCTGTTTCACCATCGCTATTTTCAATCGTAACATCAGCACCTAATGTCACCAACAATACTCCTACATCCCCATGACCTTCGGCCAATGCATGATGCAACGCAGTCCAACCTTCATTATCTTTCCCATTCACATTCACTTTCCCCTTCTCTACTAATAACTTCACAATTGGTTGTGATCCTATCGAAGCAGCCCGATGTAATGGACTAAACCCTCTTTTATCTTTAATTCGACATGAACATTTATAATCTTCAATCAATTTCTTAACTAAATCATAATGATTCTTACTAATGGCTAAATGTAAACATGTAGTCCCCATATTAGTAACTTGATTCACATCAGGTTCAAATTTCATTAATTGATCAAATATTTCGGGATTCCCTACCGATGCGGTGATATGTAATGGGGTCCATTCACTTAAATCAACCATATCATCGATATCAATGGATTTAATCGTAGGTCTTGGTTTTAGAATATATTCCACTAGTTCTAAATTATTCATCGAACATGCCCAATGTAATGGAGTTCGCTCATCTTCATCCTTTAATAATAATAATTTGGGATCGGTATCGATTAAATGTTTAACAAGTAAGGTCTTCCCTTGTCTTATGGACTCATTGATGGCATATTTATCCACATTGGCTTTCTCCGACATGTTTCTTATCTTTAACTTGGTATAATTAACTGATTTGCAATGGTCATTTGTGGCAAAACATATAACTGATGATTTATTCTCCACAAAAAAAACATAGTCGTGTCTCATAGTCAAACGCGCTACCATGTAGGATTGTCAGATCAATCTTTTCAGGTACAATAAGATGGTTATTTGACCTTTAAATTCACCAGGAAATATATATTTTGGTTTTTGTATTAATTCGTACATAGTTGTATACAATATAAATAGAAATATATACTACACCATCTTATCAAGAGCTACTCCTTGCTCCTGTTCCTTTTGTTGTTCTTATGAATCAGTAATAGTATTATTAATGTTATTATTATTATTTGATGGAGATTCTGATTTGGATGATACGGTCAACGAGTTATTTCATTTTCTCTCGTTCTAATGTCTTTTTGATTGTCCTTATAAGTTAAAATAAATAAAACATAACATACATATCTATATTAGAATATGTTTGTTATAGTGTGAATTGAAAAATAATTTTGAGGGTTTTTAAACTTTGAAAAACATTTGCAGAATTGAAAAAAAAAATATATTGAATTAGTGTTTTATATGAAGTTGTTTGGGACAATGAAGAAACGATGAACTTAATCTCAATCATCTTCAAGTTCATCTTCTTCAACAATACCTTCAGAATCATCATCAGAATCGGAATCAGGTGGTTGATTGAAAAATGGCGTCGCTATAATCGTGGTTGATTCTGTACCTGATCCATCCAAACTACCAGTTCTATTCAAACTGGTACCGGTGGGTCCACTTGCCCCTGATGTTATATGTGTTATATTGGTAGGAATGTTACTAATACTGGTTGGATTCGAATTATGTTTCATAATTAAATTATATTCATCATTCAAACTTCTTAAATCTTTTTCAGTGAAAATTTTAGAACTATTGGAGATGGAATTATTAGTATTGGTAGTATGACTTAACATTGAATTATGTTTGATGCCAGATGTAGAAGCTTGATTAGTTAAATGAGCTTGAACTGGTTGAGTTGATGGTGGTGGAGGAGTATATGAATTATATTGACTTTTAAGACTTTCAAGATATGTTTGATAATCATTGGTGCCAGTCGATGACGAAATTGAAGATTTTTTAGATGAACTATTATTTCTATTGGCAGTAGTACTATCTCTACGACGACGACCATGAAGATTATGATTTTGAGATAATAATGATTCGGATGATGATAATTCCGAATCTGATGATAATGAAGGTGAAATGATATTATTATAAGGAATTATAGTCAAATTATTAGCATTACCCGTGGCTGTTCCAGTGGGTGGATCTTCGTCATCATTACCATTTCCATGATGACGCTGATGAACGTTATTATAACTACTTTTTTCATTACTTAAATCTTCATCAGGAGGTGAACTTGAAGTGGAATTAATAGTGGAATTATTTGGAGATGTTGGAATTAAATTATAATCAGCATCTAATTTGGCATAATCAATCTTGGTAGATTTAAATTCAATTGATTCACGAGCATTACTACAATGAGCATACATAAAATCAATTTCTTCTAACTTTAACCCTTTAGTTTCATAAACGGTGAAATAAACAAACATTGTACCGAGAAAATTACATCCACCCCAAATAAAGAAAATCTTATTCCCAATAGCGGCAGTGTGTTTACCAGTATCAATCAAATATGGAGTGATATAAGCAAACACGAAATTAACAATCCAATTAGTGGCAGTAGTGATGGAAATAGCCTTTTGTCTAATACTTATACCATAAATATCAGAACAAAGAGCCCAAGTACAACCACCCCATGAACTAGCAAAGAATGCAATGAATACACATGAGAACGATATACTTAATATGGATGCTGTTTCTCTTGATGATATAGTTACACCAGTTATGGCAATGATGAAGTTTGATGCTGTCATTCCTAATCCACCCCAGAATAATAACTGCCGCCTACCAATGGTATCGACTAATATAATCCCTGGAATTGTAAATATGGTATTGACAAGATATGTTATGAATGACATGATATAAGAATTTTTTATACCAGTACTTGAAAAGAAATTTACACCATAATAGAAAATAAAATTTATACCTGAACATTGTTGAAATACTTGAACCCCAATACCGGTAAACATTCTTAAGATTTGTTTATGTCTACCACCACCATTTCTAAAACAATCCAAAAGGGTTGTTTTTCCATAAGATAATTCATAATCATAATTAGCTTTAATTTCAACCAATTCTTCAATTAAATCGGCATCATCGGGAGGTAATCTTCTTAATTTTGATAGACTATCTAGCGCCTTTTGAATATCATTCTTTTGGACGTAATAACGAGGTGATTCAGGTAAGAATAACATACCACAATATAAAATTAATGCCCATAAGAATTGTAATCCTATTGGGATACGATAAGAACCTGAATTTAACATTTTTCTTGTTCCTTGACATACAGCACTTGCGATTAATAAACCCCAAGTGATAGCCCATTGATAAGTGAACACAACGGAACCTCTAACCCATTTGGGTGATGCTTCAGCTTGATATAATGGTACAATAGCAGATAATATGCCGACGGCTATACCTGATACACCTCTACCGATACATAATAATAATACATGACTTGAAGCAATTTGTAAGATATTCCCTACATTAAATATGATACCTGAACTTATAATAATGGAGAATTTTCTACCATAATTATCTGAAATTAAAGGGGCGATTAAAGCACCTACAAAAGTACCTAATGATAAAATGGCAGTTATTAATGCTCTTTCATGAGATGAGAATGATTGATGATTGGAGGGGAAGTTTTCATAGACATATTGCATTTCTAATAAATCATTAATTAAACCTGTATCATATCCGTAAAGGAACCCACCAACAGCTGCTACTAAACCAACGATTACAGCTGATTTCGAGGATGATTTCTGTCGGATTTTCCTATAATGTTCTTCTTCTATGGTGTTATCGTATAGTAGACCTTCTAGTATTTGCCACATTTTGAGTATGTATTGATATATGCTATGTTAATGATGAAATGAAAGGGAAGGCGGACAGAGGAGGGGTATTTTGAGTGATATAAAACGTGGAAATTGGATCGATCTGGATTATGAATGATTTAAGGATTAAAGAAAATGTCTAGATAGGGGAAAGTAAATAGAAGGGATGAAGTGAACTGAAGTGAACTGAAGATGAATAAATATGCACAGGAGGGAGGGAAGTAAATGTGAGTTGATTAAACAGGATTGGTTGATTTATAGGTTGAGTGAGTGAGTTTCCGAGTTAAAGGAGATGAAGATGATTAACTATGAAGTGTGAAGTTAGAACCTTAGTACGGTTTGTTAGGTTGATGTTGTTGATAACTGACTAAGTCGAGACTTGGGATGAGGTTGATGGTGTTTTGGAAAGGACAGATGTAGTGATATTACTGTTTAAAGAGGGTTGGTAGATTTTAGTTTTTACTTTCAATTTTCCTTTTAACCAAAAAAAAAATTAAAAAAATTAAAAAAAAAAAAAAAAAAAAAAGTAACAGCAAAAAAGAAAGAAAAAAAAAAGTCTGTCACCTTTTTAATATAATATAAAAATTAATGTCTGATAAACTAAAAAAAAAATCATCTTCGTATTTCTCTACCAAAATAACTTATTGTCAGATCACTACGAGAAAGAGTGTCAGCAAATTATCAGTAATAGTCAATTGTAGATATACAATTTGGACGGTTGAGCTTACAAATCAAGATGATCAAAGAAGATTTACAGAGGGAGATAATGATGGAATATATGACTTAATTCTTTGATGGATTTTAAGGTTTAAAAGTCGGTTCCAGCCAGTGATATATTATAATACCTCGTTCCATGGAATGGGATAGATAATTTAAATTTAATTAAAAATTAAAATTAAATTATTTTTTTATTTTCTTTTTTTTTTTTATTTTTACCCCATAAAAGACAAAAAAAAAAAAAACGACAAAAACAGGTAAAAATCAAAAAAAAAAAGTGGGGAGAATCTAAACTAAGACAAAAAAGAGACAAAAATGAAAATAAAATAAAAATAAAAATAAAATTATAAGAAAATTGTCTTTGCATTTTATTTTTAAAGCATATAACTCTTTTTTATTTTAAATGTAAACTGTAATTGGAACGCAACAGACAAAACGATTCATAAACCTTTCTAATCTTGATTGGCTGTAAAGAAAGAAAGCGTTAGCGATGGCATTGATGAGATTGGTAAGGCTGTATAATCTGACAGTGATGATGCAATTAAACGGGTAACGATCTTGTGTTGTAAGATGTAACACGAAAATTTAATTAGACAATGATGATCATTATTAGAAGGGAGTTTTACTCTGAGCAGACACACTACTAAATCATTAATCATTTCACCCTTAACTAAGAATCAGTAGAATTATTTTTGATCTAAATTTGTTAAGTTATAGAGATAAGGTGACCTTTGTTAAATCAAGCAACATCTAAATTTATTAATTCATTCATGTAATTATAATTGTAATTGAACTTTATAGTTTATGTTGTTTCTGGATCATGAGATGGGATCAACTCACATGTTGTTATAGACTGCCAAGCTCATCATACCTATTTAGACTTGGTACCAAGAAGTAGGTTTAGTCTTAGATTGAATCTGTAATAGATATTATCATATCCTGTATATACTCTCACCTGTATATAACATTATACACAGGTGTCATTTTCTGTTTTTAACAAGGGAGGAAGGAGAGAGAAAAAAAGTGATGATAATATTTTTTTTTACAGCACATTTATATTTGATATTACAGCCAACGAGGATTTATCTAGGATTCAGAACTTCAAAAGGGATGACTACTTCCAAGTTAGCTGATCATGTTAGATCAGAAGCGAATGTTCATACTTCGATGCATGATATCAGTCAAGAAATCAATGTGATTGATTCTAGTGTTGATGATGATAAACTTGGACATCAACCACCCAATTCGATTCGATATAATGGATTAATTCATATGATTATGATTACGATTAATGAATTGTTTAATGTCAATAAATTAAAGGATAGAACTAAAAAGCAAACTGAATCAATGCTTGGATTGATTCAATTTTATATTTATCATTTTTTATTATTGTTTATTTATATTTTGATTACAATTTATAAGAAATTTCAAACCATTTATCGGAAATTTTTTATTAAATTTTATACTTTAATCTATCATCATAATAATTCACCTCAATTAATTAGAGATGATGTGAATAAATTAAATAAATTACCTAAAACTTTAAGTTGTATCCTTGATCTTAAGGATAAAGATGATGAAATGGGAGGAATTGATGGATTAATTAATCAAATTAGTGAATTAACGGCTTGGACCTTAAGTTGTGGTATACCAGTGTTACAAATCTATGAATTTAATGGGAAATTAATTACTAATAAATCATTATTAACTAAATTGAATTATAAAATATCTAAGAATTTAGCCAAATATTTTGGATTAAATAATTTACCTAATTATTCCATAAAGATTCCTCATGAGAATTTAATTATATTTGGACCTCAGAATACATCTAATTCAGAGATTGATTTACAAATTCATTTATTATCGAGAATTGATGGGAAACCAACCATAGTAGAATTAACTAAAACCATGAGTGAATTAGCAATTAATAAAGAATTAACCATTCAAGATATTTCGATTGATTTAATTGATGAAGAATTGATTGAATTAGTTGGACCTGAACCTGATTTATTAATTTATTTTGGACCAAATTTAGATTTACAAGATTTCCCACCTTGGCATATTCGATTAACGGAGATTTATTGGGAACCGGAGAATTATGATGTTAATTATCTGATTTTGATTAGAGCCTTACAAAAATATTCCAATTGTGTTACTAATGTGGGTAAGTAAGTAATAAAAGAAGTAACAAGTATAGGTTAATGCAAATGAGTGTTATAGAAGGGGGATTAATTTGCTATAAAAGGTTTGGGTAAATGTTGCTAAATGTTGCTAAACCATATATAATAATGATATAATAAATAATGATAATAATAATGAAAAGAAAGTTTTTTTTAATGCTAATTAACTATGATAAGTCATACATATGTATATATTCATATAATCTATTTATACCAAACCATATCATATAATAAAAAGTATAATCAAAGTATATAATTAGACTATAACATGTGGTAAATGTGATAAATCTGACTTGATGGCTTAAACCGTCGATTATGTAATCTTGTTAGTGGTGCTTATGTAAGAAACGCGCCTTAGCACAATTTTGATAATTTAAAAGAGGCAGTGGCAATTTTATCATAAATCATCATTATACAGTGTAATAGTTAATTATTACTTAGGGGTCGGTAAGTTTAGATAAATGATAATGGTGTAGTTGGACAATATTACCCCATATGACTATGTAGTATATGGATACAGAGAGACATTGACCTTAATATGTTAACATAAATACAGTTTAAAGTTAGAAGAATTTGTCATATCTATTTTTGTCTGTCTGTCTGTCTTTGTTTAACGAGCGTGTGATGGTTAAATTTAATTGCGACAAATGGATCCGATTTAGATAATGACCATTAGATTTGAACATAATGGTTGATGGAAGGAAGGAAGGAAGGACTGAAGGGATAGATATCGGTTGAATATTGATTACTTCATTCCATGATATGATAATGGATCACTTGTTTCATTGATTGGTTATAATAATCTGATTGATGTTAACGATTGTTTGTTACTATTTTTGAAATTCATTTTGTGTAAAGTGCCGTCTCTCTCTTTTTTTTTTTTTTTTTTTTTTTTCAACGAACGAACGACCAAAAAAGAAAATTAAAACAACACAACACTCTGAGTGGATTTGAAACGCTGTAAATAACTTCTTCCTTCTTCCTCCTTCTTCCTTTTGATTCTTCCATCAATCAATCAATTATAGATATCTATATCAGGTAATCAATCCTTTAACCAATCCACCCCCACCCCTGTACCTCAATCAAATCAATTATCAAACCCATCACATTCCAGTTTGATTCATTCGATTTCATTAGATCCCCCTTTTTATATTTAACGTCGTCGTCTTCTTTTTTTTGGTTTCCAGTTTTACTTGTATAAAGTTAGATCACCAATCAATAAATCAATCAATCAATCGATTTCATTCAATTTCAATCATTTCAACTAATCTATCCGTCAGTCCGTTAGTTGTATCTTTAATTGTCTCTAATCAATCAATCAATCAGTTAACTTCTTAGATCATCAATAGTCTTTAGATTTTAACTCATACCAACCCACTTAATCATTCAATCTTTATACTTCATTTCCTATCAAGTATAATCATTCTCCCCCTTTGCATATTACATATAAAGTTTTTCTTATTAGATTCATTCATTTAATAACTTAAATTTTTGTACATTTATCATCCAATCACATATATATATACATATAAAAAACATACAACTTAATCATTCATCATGGGTTTATCATTTTCAAAATTATTCACTTCTCTCTTTGGTAACAAAGAAATGAGAATTTTAATGGTTGGTTTAGATGCCGCTGGTAAAACCACTATTTTATATAAATTAAAATTAGGTGAAATAGTTACAACTATTCCAACCATTGGTTTTAATGTTGAAACTGTAGAATATAAAAATATTAGTTTCACAGTATGGGATGTTGGTGGTCAAGATAAAATTAGACCTTTATGGAGATATTATTTCCAAAATACTCAAGGAATTATTTTTGTAGTTGATTCTAATGATAGAGATCGTATTGCTGAAGCAAGAGAAGAATTACAACAAATGTTAAATGAAGATGAATTAAGAGATGCTTTATTATTAGTATTTGCTAATAAACAAGATTTACCAAATGCTATGAATGCTGCTGAAATAACTGAAAAATTAGGATTACATTCTATTAGACAAAGACCTTGGTATATTCAAGCTACTTGTGCTACAACTGGTGATGGTTTATATGAAGGTTTAGAATGGTTATCAACCAACTTAAAGAATTCTACTTAAGTTTAAGTTAACTCGTTTATCGTTTATATCGTAATTGATTCTAAAAAAAAAAACCTCCTAATCAATCAACTTACGGTATAAAAGATCATATATAATCTATTATCTCTATAAATCTATATCTTTATCCTTTTTTTTTTATATATATATTGTTATTGTTCTAGTATAGTTTTACTTCTAGTTTTATTATTATTTTGTCTCTTACAACTGCTCCTCTTATTATTATTATTATTATTTAGTATAATTATTACACCTCTTTTTTATTATTACTTTTTATTAAATACATGATAAATCCATTATTGATTATTTAAGTTGGTGTGTAACAGTAGAATAGAATGATGTGAAGGTGATTTGATTGAATTGGATCCATATGTAAGATAAATTGTGGCTTTTAAGATAATTTTTGCAACTTTTTAACATAAATTTTTTGATTTACAAATTAAGAAAGAAACAAGAATGAAATTATGTCGAACTGGGAATATCTAGACTAAAATAGAGATGAAATGTAACTATATTTAGAGTAGATCACGAGATATGGATTGTTAATATTAGATTATAATGAATAGGAATGGTTAAACAGTGTGGTTAAAGTTAATTTATCTGTTCTAATGATTGCAAAGATTTATAGACATATTACGTAGGTAGTACAACAATGTACTTATATCTATTAATTACTATACATGTAGACTATAAGCAGGTAGTACATTCTATACGATCTAGTTTCAACGATCATAATTAATCATAGTTGTACCGACCCCTTTCCATCTTATAGTTATTATCAATCCTTTGTACATAATTCTAGTAATTAACACTTTGTGTATATTGATAATTGTAGTGCTAAACGGGAACAGGGTTGAAACCCTAGCCACTCGCACGTGATGCTCATTTCATCATCCAAACCTGCATATTACCACAACATCCATACCTCCGCACAAAACAGTAAGCCAAAAAAAATTAACTATGAACAAATTTGTTAATGCTGTGAGGAAAAGTATGAACCAGAGACCAGAGAGGAAGAAGAAGAAAAAAAAATTGTATTGAAAATTGAAAAAATTCTTTTATTACTAAAAAGTCTTTTTAATTTAGATATCTAACTATAGTTCAAATCAGTAAAAATGGTATGTGATAATCGAATAGAATACAAGTGACTGGATGTGAATAGTCCGACTAGAGTATATTGTCATGAAGAGACCAGAGATTAGGAGAAGAATAGAGTCAGAATCAATCATTAATTAAAGAGATGTAATTCATCAACATCAAATTAAACAGTATAATATATCAAGATAGAATCAACAGATCATAAGAAGAGAACATTTTAAAAGTAATCATTAATCTGTATTCAGTTCATTTGAATCAGTTCATCCATCCAAGTTGTGTCATGATAGATCTATACGATCTTAGAAAACCTTGAGTAGAATTTCATATATAATCGAATATTCAACCACCCTTTGAAATCATCAAGAAATATCATTACATAGTAGTCCAATGAAGTCATGAACCAAACAAATCCAATCAATACGTTTATCGACATCATAGACATCCATCTTTCAACCCACTTTATAATCATAAATTTTCACTATAAATTCTGTCCATCTCATCTACATAATATTCTCAAAACTTTTACAAACAACATAAATACTAACTTTTAACCTTTAGGCCGGTGTCAGAACTTATGAATTAAGAACCAAATCTAAGGATCAATTAGATTTACAATTGGTTGAATTAAAAAAGGAATTAGCCAACTTGAAAGTTCAAAAATTACAAAAACCAACCTTACCAAGAATTCACACTGTTAGAAAAAATATTGCTAAAGTTTTAACTATCATTAACTTAAACCAAAGAGAATCTGTTAGAGCCTTTTACGCTGGTAAGAAATATCAACCAAAAGATTTAAGAGCTAAAAAAACTAGAGCTATTAGAAGAAGATTAACTAAATTCGAAGCTAGAGCTGAAACTGATAAAGCTAGAAAACAAAGAATCGCTTTCCCACAAAGAAAATTCGCTATTAAAGCTTAAACCCTTTTTTAATAGTCAAAACAGTCTCATTCCAAATCTTCCACCATGTATGTTAGTTATATATAGCATATCTTGTTTAATATAAAATATCTATGTTAACGTTTTATTAACTTCTTGTGTTTAATTTATGTAACTATTTATTTCTATTCCATTATCACATCTTCTCCATCAACAAGTTTAACAACTTTTTTTTGAGCCTTCTTTTGACGTTTAAATTCTTCAATCTTTTCCTTTAATTCAATATCATCCAATACATCTTCTAATTTTAATGGAACTCTATTAAATGGATCTGTACTATCACTTAATAAATGTGCTTTAATAGTAGATCTATCAATACTAATCTTTGAACTTGGTAATTTCACAGGATCTTCCATAAGTGTATACATTAATGGATCTAAGAATTCATCGGGAATATCACCTAATTCTAATTCTTCATTCTCTTCAAATAATCGTTGTTTTTCAGCTCGTTCACCTAAATCAACTAACCCATTAACAATCAGAATATCAATATAAGTCTTGGTAGTTAATATAGTTTTGGCTCTCTTGAAATAATCAAGATTAAATGATCTACCATCTCTACTCACAGCAATCATGAATTTATCTTGTTTACTTAAATTATAATAAATCTCACATAAATAACTTAAAATCTTCTTAGGATCAAAATCATACTTTTCAGGATTACTAACTTTTAATTGAGTACATTTTGGTCCTACCATAATTGATAAATTATAATCTAACATTCCTGCTAATCTATCAACAATCTCAGGAAGAACAAACCCTTGTGGTACTTCCTTAGTGAATAATTTAAATAATTCCATGGTTTTATTCGATAATCCCATATAGGATTTAGCTTTCTTTTCACTTGATTGTAATTTCTCTTGTAATTCTTCATCATTACCTAATTCTTCATTGGCACTATATTCCGCATTGGAAGCTCTGTTTTTGATTTCTTGTTGATAATCATGAATCAAATTCAATTCATTAAATGTTTCATCTAATAAATAGGTGGTATCATTCAACATTCTAGCAATGAATCGAATAAAGAAATCAACATTATGTTTCGAATAATCTGTCAATTGATTTCTATAAATCGGATATTTCCATAATTCTTCTAAGATAACAGATATATAATATCTACTATTGAATTTATCATAGAATTGTGATGAAGCTCCCGTCTTCTCAACCATAACATAAAAATCTAATAATGAATATAAGATATTATTAATCACTAATTTATTGCCATTGAATATGGGGGATATGAATCCTGGTTCACCATTTTGCATAGGTAATGATCCAATGAATAATACTTCAATCAAATTAGCTTTCATATGTGGATTACCTAATAATTCAGGACATCTTAATAATATAGTAGTGAATTCGATAAATAATTGTAATTTTTCAAAATTAGATACTAACGGACATCCTCTGAAATTTGTCGAAAACTTACAATAATTAATTAATCCTTCCAAGATGAATTCGGGATAATATTTCCATGGTTCTGGTGTCTTAGTCTTTAAAAAATCATGATCATCTAATTGGGATACACTAGTGATATTATAAATTGGAATTTCTAATTTAACTTGAGGATATTTATGATGAGGATCAATTAATTTAGTTATAAATGTAGTTGAACCAACAATAAAATCAAAGATTTCTAATTGTAATGGTCTATAACTGAAAATGGCTTGAATAGTATGTTTGGTAATTTGTAAAGCATTAGCGGTTTTAGTTAAGGTTGGTAATTGACTTTGTAACATTCTTGCCATGGATGGATTAACCCCAGGTGGAGTTCTATTTTGTTGAATCATTTGAATACGTTCATCATATTGACGAATTTGACTCTTTAATCTATCATAATGTAAATAAATCCCTCCCATACCATAATGTACATATGCCAATGTTAAATTAAAACAACTTGAAATGAAATTTGGAGCAGTTAAAGTTTCATTTTGTTCACTTCTTGATTTATAATATTCATCAGCTTCTTGAATAGTAGAATTAACTCTTGATTCATCATGAATATCAATTAAATTACTTTTAGCAAAGAAATCAACATCAATCTTATCAATTTTTGAAAATGTTGGATAATCTAAAAATGGCATACTTAATTTAATCAATATTAATGAAATATTAAGCATAATTCCATCCGAAGGTAATTTACTTAAATCAGCATGACCCCCTCTTCTTAAATGACTTAAATTAATCAATTGAGCAAACCAAACAATCAATGATTCACGAGTTTCAACTGATCCACGAATTAATTTATCAATGATATAAAATAATCTATCAATTAATACTTTATATTCATTTTGTAAGGATTCATAAATACCATTAATTTGAGTTGGAGCCACATTACTGACATTTTCAGTGAAATAATAAGTACCAACTTTATCTAATAATGGTGATAATCTTAATAAAGGTCCTAATAAAGTTCGATGTTCAAAATCTAAACATTGTTTATCAGATGGAGGTTGGAATCCTTCAATTTGAGAAAATACGGCAGCCACAGGTTTGATATTAACTAAACTTTCAAAGATAGCAATATAATTAACATAATCTCTATCACTAATATTGATTCCATGAAGTTTAGCACTGATGTATGGAACGAAAATATTCAAAAATGTTAATAATGATTCTTGTTCAATAGCTGCATTAACGATATCACTTAAGAATGGAGTTAAATCATCTGATCTTCTAATGAATAAATCGATTGATATGGCCAAATCATTATTCAAAAACATTTCAGGAACTTGGAATGCTATGAAACCATAAGATGATGCAAATTTGATGATTTTATTTAAAATTGAAGTTTTGGCAGCATATAAAGCAGATCTGACAGGTAAGATTCTTTTTGATCTGAATGCATTATGATAAACACTATAAAGATATTCCAAGGTAGTCTTATAAGGAGCTGGGATTCCAACTTCAGATAAGATTTCCATATAGATTTGTTCAATTGAATCTTCATTTAAAAGTCCATCATCAAGGTCTGATACTAATCCTGATAACATTAATAATCCTCTTGTATTATGAGTTGGATCAATGGTAGCTTGAAATATCACTTCTAATTCTTGACTAAACCATTTTGATACTTGTTCTTCTTCCGATAATTCAATCACTGGTTCTTTTGGAGTGATTGGAGTGGATGGTTTGATGGGTACGTCTTGTTGCTTTACTTGTGGGGATTCACTTGGTTTTGCAACAGACACTGGAGGAATCAGTGATTTCTTTGATTCTTCCGATTCCTCTTTCTGTAATGTAGGGGTAGAAGAAGAAGAAGCACTTCCAGTTCCACTACTATTACTTCCTAATGCAGCCAATCGGGCTAATCGTTTGGCTCTTATCTAAAAAGGTTGATTTGTCAGTTAGTATCATCAATTTTCCGCCACTGATAAATCGATTAATCAATCATACATACTTCATCTGAACTTGACATTGGTTATCAATTACCAAATGGTCAATACACACACTAGAATTCTATCCCTTTAACTATGATAGTTGTTATCAGATCAATCTTGATGTCAACTGTATTGATACCGTCGTTGGCTAGATCCAATTTGGCTGCCTAAATTTGCCCTTTGATTTCTCATACATTATTGTATACAGGACACGAGTGTGTAGTTTTGTTATGCTCAAAATGGTGAACTTTTTCAAAACAAGGAACGGAAAATTTTTGAAATTAAAGTGGAATTGTTTAAAGTTTAAAATCTATTTGAAACTGGTTAAAGAATCGATTTTTATTCATAATTCAAAGGTTGGAATAGTTAAGCTGATATTGCTTTGAATTGCTATTTCAGTGTGAATCGATCTGTGCTTTTTTAGCATCTTTTTTTATCTAGTTTTTTATTTGACTTGGTTCACGAGTTTGGAACGTATTTTTGTACGAGTCATACACGGAATTGTTTAAATTGTTTCTTGTTGAAGTGACTTTTGGAAATAGTGAAAAGTGTCCATTTAAATCATACCAAGTGGTGAAGAAGAGGAAGTAGAAGTAGGAGGAATCATTATATCAAAATGTCAGAATTACCTAGTTCTATAAAATCAGCTTTAGTTAAGCCACTAGAACGTGTTTACTTACTATACCTTGAAAGAGAACTTATATCATTCATACAAGATGCATTACTTGACTATCCTCAACATCAAGAGGGGAATGAAGAAGAACAAGAAGATAACAAACAACAACAACAACCTAAACCTCAATACACTATCAAAGCAAATTATCTTAAGAATTCATACTATCGTTTATTAAGTCACCAATTATGTCAATATTATAATTTACAACATTGGAATAATACCCTTAATGAAATAATAGTTACTCCAACTGATGCATTCAATTATAAAGATTTCATGTCAGTGATTGAAAAGAGTGATGATAAAGATGTTTCATTTAAAAAATTATCTGATCTTGTCCCAGATGAAACTAATAGCAATGGTACTGAAATTAATCATCATAATCATAGTCCTTCAAATCCATCATTCAAATCTTATAACAATAACTCTACTATCATCAAACCAAAGTTAATCATGAAGAAAAATAAACCCTCCAAACCTGTGTCTGATGATAATAGTGATACGTCTCAACATCAAGATACTATTGATTCTAAGATTAGTAGTCCAATTCCTGACGATTCATCAGTTACAAGTACTCCAACGGAAGTTTCAGAAACTTTTAAAATTGAATCAGAAAGAGCTTCTAAAGAAGCATTATACTTGAAAGTTAGAGAACAAATCTTTGATGAAGCTGATGATGATGCCCAAGAAGAAGAAGAGGAAGAAGATGATGATGACGGTGAAGAATTTAATGATGAATTCGTTAATAACGATAATAGATATAATAGTCATCAAAGGTACAATCAAATAAATCCTCCTAAATTCATCCCATACATGAATGCATCTCATATACCGATGCATATGCCAATGGCTTATGGTAATGGAATGTCACCACCAACATTTGTTCCTGCCAATGGATATTTCCCACCATCACCAGGAGCTGTACCAATAGTTTATCCTACCAACTTTTATACTCCAAATAATGCTATGTTACCTCCTGGTCCCGGTTATTATGGATATCCTGTTCCACCAGCATCAATGGGAGGTGGTCCTCATGGTCCTCATATACCACCCAATCCTCCTTATGATAAAGAAACAGAAAGAAGATTATTAAATAATCCTTATATTATAATACCGGGTGATAATAATCATAAGTCTCAATACAAGCCAAGACAAAATAGTACTGGTCAAGGTAAAGGTAATGGATATAATGTTCATCATTACAATAATAATAATAATGGTAATGGAAAATATTACAATGGTAATGCCAATGGCAACAGTACAAATAATAATAATAATAATAATATTGGTTATAATGGAGGTCAATACACTGCCAATTCTAATTACTATAATCCCGAACCCAATGGTACCAAAACCAAGTATACAAACAATAAGACTGTTGTTCCCAAACAAAACCAATAATAACATTTAATCAACCACATAATATTTTGATGAAGTGACGAATAAACATAGCATGTAATGCCAAAAAAAAAAGAACACACACACATAGGACAAGATAAGAAACAAGAGGGATAGTCTACTCTCAAAGTCATATTCCCTCTATAAGATCAGTAGATATTTGTATAATTATAAGTGTATAAATGACATAGAATAAACGAGAAGTTAATTTGTACACAAAATCAGAAAATGGTGAGACGAGCAGTTTTGAGTTTTAATGTGAGTTTAAAAATAGACTTTAAAATAGACGTGTCTGAATATCGACAACTTGACTTTAGATCAATTGGATTTTGTAATAGATAGAACCAAGATTCAAGTAACAAATATTATTGGAAATATGGCTGATAACTTTGATGACGATTTAGTTCCAGAAACTGTAGAAGGTTACGTTGTGGGGGAAAAGAAAACAGTGGATGAATATACCAAATTAGATGCTGAAGATGAAAGTTTAGCCAAATGGAAAGCATCATTAGGATTATCTGCTAATTCAACTCCTTATCCTGTTAAGGCTGGTGACAATAGAACTGTTGTTCTTGTGGAAATAGGTTTAGAATTTCCTGAATCAAATGATCTTAAACCTATCTTCTTTAATTTAGAAGATGCTAAGGGTAACACTGTCAGTAAAGATATTAAATTCAATATTAAGGAAAAATCAGTATATCAATTAGTTTTAAGATTCAGAATCCAAGGTGAAATTATTACTGGTTTGAAATATCTTCATTCTATTAAGAAAACAGGTATTAGAGTTGATAAAATGGAAGAACCATTAGGTTCTTATGCCCCAAATACAGTTGAAAAACCATATTATGAATCTAATTTCGATGCCGTTGAAGCTCCATCTGGATTCTTAGCTAGAGGTGATTATTCCGCTATTACAAAATTAGTTGATGATGATAAAAAGGTTCATTTAAGTTTCCCTTGGAATTTTACTATTACTAAATAATTAATTAAGTTATCTAGAGATAAATAAATCTAAAAAAGTACAACTGTGAATATAAATTAATGATGAAATTAAATCTATACATAGATCGAACAACTATGATCATTTCTTTCGTCTATCAGGAATGTATGGTGGTGCTTTATTATTGATCGACTTTTTAATATTCATATTAACGCCTTGGACAGTAGGCGGCGCAAATTGTCTATTACAAACAGGTGCTTTATTCATCATGGGTGGTTTGAATTGTAAATTATTGCTAGTGGTAGTAGTGTTAGGGGAATGCTTGGGTTTAACTTGTCGCTTCCAAAGTCCAACTGATCGCTTAGGAATATTCATATCAAGCTTAGCACTTGAAAATCCCATACCAGACAGCATCATATTAGTATTAGAATAGGTATTTATATTGGCACCAGCCACAAAATCACCTTGTTTAATCGAAAGCGGAATCCCCTGCATGTAGATATCGATTCTTGATTTCAATAAACTATTGAATGTATCAATACAAAACTGCTTTTTATCTGGGACAGGTATTGGATTCTTATCTAAGATTTGATATAATTTCATTAATGAATTCCAATCTTTAAACGCTTCTTGAACTGTTCCAAGTAATTGGTGATTATTCAATTTCTCTATAAAACGTGAAACTTTATCAATTGATCTTCCGTAAAAATTTCCTGCTGAAGTAGTATATGATGATAAATATAAAAGAGATTTTGCTCTTGTAGTAGCCACATAAAAACATCTTCTCTCTTCATCCACAAGTTCTTCTCCACCTTGTGCAATTGCAAAACCGGCAGGTAATAAACCTTCAGACAATCCAGGCACGAATACCACATTCCATTCTAAACCCTTAGATCCATGGATAGTGGAGACTGAAACTTTTCCTTTGGACTTATCCGTTTCAGATGCGGCCGCGTCAGCTTCATATAAGCCAATTGATTGGATAAAGCTAGATAAGAAGTTTGGTTTTGTCTCAGCGATATCATCTTCTGTTCCACCAATGAATAATGGAAGATCTACTTCTTGAGGAGTGAATTCACGAAATTGCTTTTCAACTTCCATCACATTAAGAGTTTGATTATCTTCATCGACATACTCTTTTGCAAGACCTGATTTTTCAAATACAAATTTAAAGAACTTTGCTAGCAAGTCTGACTTTTTCTCATATTCAATCACTTCACCATTTAAATAAGTATCTAAATTTGCAAGCATTTCTCTTGATTGTTCCAAAAAGCCCAAATAGTCTTTCAAACTACTTTTGTTCTTAGAATTCAACTTCACACCACTAATTTCTCCAGATAAAACTCCTTTCAACGTTTCATAGATACTTATACCACTAGTTGCAGCTTCCTTTGCTGAAACCTGCAGAAGTGACTCTAAAGTCTTAGGTCCAAATCCTCGCTTAGGAAAATTCAATGATCTTATAAATGCAATTCTATCATTATCATGAGCTATAACCCGTAAATAATCGAGAATAGCAATTACTTCTGATCTTTCCCAGAAAGCCCTACCTCTAATCATGTGATAGGGTATTCGTTTCTTCACTAATTCATTCTCAATGACTCTGGTTTGATATGCTGCCCTAACGAGAATTGAGAAATCGGAATATTTCAAAGGGGAATCAGGTAAGGCCAATAAGTGCTGTATATGATAACTGATCCATAGAGCTTCTTCTTCCAGTGAATTTAAATTCTTATAGACTGGCTTAAAAGTTGTAGTATGTTGTGATTTTAAACTCTTTTGAGTTCTAGTTTGCTGTTGTCTCATAACAGTTTCTGATAGACTTAAAATATCAGACGTAGATCGATAATTTTCCACTAAATGGATTATTTCACACAGCTTACCATATTTCTGCTTATAATATGAATTCATCTTTTCAAAGTTGATTGCTTGAGCATCTCTGAACCCATAAATACTCTGATCAGGATCTCCAACTATGGTAACATTATTTTGAAGTTTGGGAATGGTGGGATGTCCTCTAGCAAAGTTATACATCAATTGTAATTGTATTTCATTAGAATCTTGGAATTCATCGACTAATACATGTTGAACGAAATTTAAAACGGGATGGGAAGTAATCAAGTCTAAACACTTGAATAAACAATCGTCAAAATCAAGTAATGAATTCTCTTCTAATTTGGTTTGATAAAGTCTATAAAATAAGGATACCACCCTATTGGAATCATTCATGGACGCATAATTATCATAAGAAACTCCAGACGATTTAAGCTTAGAAATTTGCCTTTTTACTTTCTTTATATCGAATTTCTGATCAGCTCCTCCTCTTGGATTTTGAAGAGGGAGCTTTTCATCTTCTGGCACTCCAGCTAACAAGTCTCGATCATTATCACTTAAGTTTTCCATCACTTCTTTTAATATTTGATTAGAATCTCTTTCGTCTGCGATATGATAATCCTCAATGCCTATTTTCTTCCCATAGATTTTAATTATTCTGTAACAAATACTATGAAAAGTTCCAATTAATAACTTTGATAAATCTACCGATTGTCCAACAAGATTTTTCTCCAACCGTTCCATCATTTCTAAAGCTGCTTTCTTGGTGAACGTAGTGACGATTATATGTTGAGGATTTATGTGTTCATTTAACAAAAGGTAAGCAACTCTTGATGTTAAGACCTTAGTTTTACCCGTACCTGGTCCAGCTATGATTTGCAACCTAGCATTGGAAGGTGCAGTTACTGCTTTTCTTTGGTTGGCATTAAGTCCTTCGAGCACCTTATCTATAGCATTAATACTACTATCGATCGAGGTCATTATATCATTAAACGAAAGTAATTGTTCCCAACTCAATGATTAAATTTCACCTAACCGTGTTTTGATGTTTATAGATTTAATCAAGTTTTGATTTTGTGGGTGCGACCCAAACCATCACCAAAAAATCCAAATATCAAACATGAATTTTAATGATTGTTATCCCTAGCCTAAACAGATAAGTAACAAGGATAATATGCATCAAACATGAGACCATTTCCATTCACATTGGTAATATCGTTGCTAATATGGTCGAACCTTATCGTTGCCCTTCAAAATTGGCCGAATATAAGTACTCAGATGGAAATAGCACTCAGAACACAACGTGATGTATCGAAACCAATTCCAATTGATCAATTGACTAATCCTGGTGTATCGTTAAACTCGTTATTATTCGACATCGATGGTTATGTGACAGACTCAGTAAATGAATTCTATACGTTGTTGACGGTAGGAATAAAAACATTTATGTTAGATTTATACTGGAATGAATTTACAGGGAAATGGCAATTATGTCCTGCTCCTTTCCCAAGTAATATAACTGATGTTAACTCAGCTCAAACAGTAATATGGGGTGGGATTCAATACAAATGTGAACCATCTGCTAGTATATCCGACTTAATGCAAGTGTTGTATACGTTTATCATAGAGACCAATACCAATATGGATGTTGATCTTGTTCAAATGTTATTCACGTTAAATTCCATAACAGCGGGAATGACAAATACTACACTTTATACCAACTCAATATTAAATAACTTGGGAAACACATCCTTGAATGCAACGATAGGAAGTTTAAATACTTACATTTTCAGTCCAACTGATTTAGAAAGTTATGAGGCCAACTTACAACAAAATCAATATCTGAACTTTTATAATAGTTCATCTCAAACTCTACCATCATTAAGTACTGTCTTACTTACAGATTTCAAAAGAGTTATGTTTAATGTTATTGCAAACAATCTTGCCAATACCACTCGAAAGTATATCTTATCTACAGAAGACACATCAATGATTTTCTTTCTGGGCACCAATTTAAATACAACACTTGTTGCTAATGAGGATCTGATACTTGAACAATGTGGGAGTCTACCATCAATGGACCTTAATGATACTGAAAATGTGATTTTCTTTAATGATCTTTCATTAAATACCCATTTCAGATATGTTATAGATAATCCAGATAATGGATTTTCAAATGATACTTTCAGGGACTATATGCAATGCGGAATTGCCCCTATTCTAAATTCATCATACTATAATTTAGGTACTGGAGAGTCAGATCAAATTCCTGATATTGCAAATGAATTTGCTCCTCTCAGTTTTTGGTCGTGGGCTCCAGGTGAACCATCTTCATACAATTCTTCAGTGAATGCTACTGTATTAACTAACTTTACTCAAGACCTCTCTGGATCACAAGAAGCTTACAAGTGTGTTACTCTCGACGCTGAAGGTTGGGCAGTAGCCAATTGCTATAAAACTTATCAATATGCATGTCAGAATACAAATTCTCCAAATGATTGGATAATCAGTAGGGATGAAAAAAAAGAATATTTTGATGCCTATAAGGATGGAGCATGTCCTGACGGGTATATCCTCCTGTTACCAAGACTGAGTATAGAACAGTTGTCGTTACGAAGTGCAATACAAAGACAAAACGGCACTTATCCGGTTTGGATTGATCTTAATGATATCACAGTATCGGGTTGTTTCGTTTCAGGAGGTCCTTATGCGGACTGTCCATATCAAAAGACGGTCAGTGAAGCCAAATTAGTGAGATTAATTGCACCCAGTTTTGTAGTTGCTGTTATTGTATTGCTATTGATTTTTATAGAGAAGATTTTCAGAGTTCATCCCATACAAACAAACAGAAAACGGTATTGGAAGCATGTGGTCCAAGAATATAATGAAAAAAATGCATTTGAAGGAGTTCCTTCATAAGTTTAGGGTAAATAGGTAATAAAAATGGATATATATAAGCAAAGTTGTAAAAATGTGTAATGTCGCAAAATACGAGAATAACGACAATTCCAATGGCGAGTTCACATCATTTTTTTTGTGAGGGTTAACTTTCCACTATTTGAAGGCAACTAATTCAATTGAAAGGGTATATCAAAACTATATACAATTAAAGATGAGTGATCAAAATTGGAAGAATATATCCAATGAATTAAGACGTCGTGCTGCTCAAGCTCGTGGTAGTGGTCAAGGAGCTCCAAGATCACCATTTGGAATTTTCACCGGTATTGGAGGTCTTTTATTACTTGGAGGTGTTTCAGTCCTTGCTCAAAATGCTTTATTCAACGTTGATGGTGGTCAAAGAGCTATAATATACTCTCGTGTTGGAGGTGTTCAACCAAATATTTATCCAGAAGGTACCCATTTCGTGATCCCATGGTTCCAAAGACCAATTGTTTATGATGTCAGAGCCAAACCAAGAAACGTTGCTTCTTTAACTGGTACTAAGGATTTACAAATGGTTAATATAACATGCAGAGTCTTATTCAAACCAGATGTTGGTCAATTACCAAATATTTACAGAACTTTAGGTAGTGACTATGATGAAAAAGTCTTACCTTCAATTGTTAATGAAGTTTTAAAATCAGTGGTTGCTCAATTTAATGCATCTCAATTAATCACTCAAAGAGAAAAGGTTTCCAGATTAGTGAAAGAAAACTTAATACGTCGTGCTTCCAAATTCAATATCTTATTAGATGATGTTTCATTAACTTTCATGACTTTCTCCCCAGAATTCAGTGCTGCTGTTGAAGCAAAACAAATTGCTCAACAAGATGCTCAAAGAGCAGCTTTCGTAGTTGATAAAGCCATTCAAGAAAAACAACAATTGGTGGTTAAAGCTTCTGGTGAAGCTAAATCAGCTGAATTGATTGGTGAAGCCATTAAGAAATCTAAAGATTATGTTGAATTAAAGAGATTAGATACTGCTAAAGAAATTGCTACTATTTTAGCCAATTCTCCAAACAGAATCTTATTAGATAACGATACTTTATTATTAAATACCGTTACTGATTCACGTAAATAAGTACATAACTTTAAAATTAAATTGTAAATAGAAAAATCGAAGTCAAAAATAAAAGCAAAAATTAGTTTATATTTCAATCAAACAAGTTGTAACACTAAACACATTCCTATATAAGTATCTTATCATTATTTTATCATCAATGTGTTCTTTATATAACCAACGACTTCTTTAAAAAATCGAGTTGATAAGATCAGAACCAATAGTGGCACCAGCACCAAAAATGGCAGCATTACCTAATTTACTTCCGAATTTCTTGAATTGATCAGAAGTATGATGTTGTGGTTGTGGTTGTGGTTGCTGTTGCAGTTGTTCTGGTGTAGGTGGTTGTTGGTATTGTTGTGGAGGATAGTAATTAGTAGGTTGTGGAGGATATTGAGCATAGCCACCATATGATGGTTGTTGTGAAAGTGGTTGTGGTGATGGTACTGGAGCAGCATTACGAACATCATTATTAGAATTATATTCTTGCTCCGAAATTATAGTAACATAATTGGAAGGGAAGACACCAGTACCCTTTTCTGGATCGGAGCCTTTTCTATAACCTTTCCACCAATCAGCCGATAAGTGTTCAGTCACAATAACTTTTTCACCTTTCTTTAATTCTAAATCTTCCTTTTGTTGAGCTTGGAAATCATATATGACTCTACAATAAGTAAGGATCTTTTCAGGGTTTGGAGCTGGTGGGTAAGCAGGTGGTGCAATAGTAGTTTGTGATAACTTTTCTGATAATTTATCAGTTTCCAGACGAGTTGGTTCATTTGATCCATTTGATAAACCTAATTTATCAACACCCCATGGTTCTTGATCCTTTTGATATTTAGATGGAATTGATTGGAGTAACTTTTCGTATAAGCCTTCGGTGATAACATCGGAATCCTTTAAGAATTCAAGTTCCGTCTTGATGGTTGTCAAGGAACGATTGATTAATGGAGCTGACATCTCTTAATGATATAGTTCTTAAAGAAACGAAAAAGATAGTCGAATAAAATTTAAGGATTTAACGAATTTTAAATTAATTTGCTGCTTGAGGTAAGAAAGTAGGCAGTGGCCCTGAAATTAAATGATCTGTCTCCTTTTTTAGCGTCGCCCTTATGTCAAATTTCAATTGTGTCTTTGACATATTTTCGGTCTCATTTAGTTTGACACACGTTGAGGGTACACTATAGACCAATGTTATCTAACTGAATCATTTATGGAACCAATACCTTCTTGATATTCAATTAATGAACTTCCATAGGTTCCAGAACCTTTTAATTCCATTGTTATTCCAATATCGTGAGTTTTCTCCCACAATTTGTAAATTCTCACTGTAGAATCATTGGCTGCAACACAAACAGAACTCCAATCTGGACTGCTTGAAGAACTAAGAATTCTTAAATTAGGAACTGATGGGACCTCGACCAACGGTTTCATAGAAGGATAAGAGTAGACACATAACAATGAGCTTGTACTATCCGCTCCAAATCCAAAAGTAGCTGCTATTTCCTTTTTGTATCTAGACCAAATTAAGGATGTAACTTGACCATGAGTAGGAATTTCATTTAGCTTAGTACCGCTAGAAGTATGCCAAAATCTTATTTTTCTATCTTTACTCCCTCCACCTGTTGCTAAAAGAGAGTTTGTCCAAGGACAAAAGGCAATGGCTTTAACAGCAGCATTATGAGGGAGGACAAACATTAAGGATATTGTTTCTAAGTTTTTTATATCCCACAAAGAGCAACTATTATCATTTGCACCCACGGCAAGACGAGTGTTATCCATACTTAACGCTAAGCCTAGAAAGATGGTGATTTGTTAGAATTAAAATTTAATCATTTTTTGTTTAAAATAAAATAATAACTTACCACATATTTGTTGTTGGTGACTTTTAAAACAGGCCACTTCAACCAATTCATATCTAGTTTGACCATACACAATTTCAAAAATATGAACTTCTCCAACTTCGTTTCCTGCTATAAATCTATTTGATTTTGAAAACCATTCAAAGCAGAAAACACATTTGTTTTGTAAAGTGTAAACAGCTAAAACTATATTCTTTGGTTGTTCAATGAGAGAGATCATACCTCTGGAATTTGCAATAACAATATAATCATCTCTTGAGCAAGAGACTGCAGTAACCAAAGATAAGGCATCTAAGTGAATTTGTTCCACATGATTATCAATACCCCATAAATAAGAATTTACACCTAAACCCACTGCTATTTTGTTTGTCTTTTTAGACCAGCTAACTAGATTTGAATAAAAGTCATTTCTTAATCCTGGCGCTTGTAAAATATCAGTTGCAACTGTAACTTTAGAAAGCTTGACCTTAGAAGAGCGTTTAAATTTTGGTTTTGCATGGGCTATAAGTTTCATTTCATTCTTTGAAGGTGTGTTTGGTTGCTGTTGTTGACCAGGACCATTTGATTTTGATTTAGACTTGTTTCTTGGAGGACTCTTACTTTTAGGTGACGGCTCGAATTGGAAAACTTTCCCATTACTATTAAATCCTAGAGCGTCAGCAATACTTTCCTGAAAGGAATTGGAAGGAGAAAGATTATTTGACTTTGGAGAATTAGATGCTGATGAATCATTAGAAGGCAGGATAAGTTCATTTGCAATATATGAATTGTTAAAGCTGAAAAATGAATCATCTCTTATTGAAATATTTGCAGCATCATTTTGAACTGGAGATACAGTTCTACTACTTTCACCATCACTATTTCTGTAAGCCAGTGATGAGTTTGAGCTTGGAATAAATCTATTGCCCAATTCCATTGAAGTTTACTTTAAAATATTAGATAGATTAACTATATTTCTTTCAAAAGTTTAATTTTGGCAACAAATTGTTTAAAATAATTAAAAATCTAAAATTCAACCTAATTTTCCGACTTCCATCAATTAAGACAATCAATCAATCTAATTAATACCAAGTATTCTCAACTGGATTGTTTGTAAGATGATATTCAATCGTGGTGGTGTGGTTGTAGTAGAAATAGCCACTTTTAAGGTTATTTGCAACATCTTCAACCATAGCACTTTTGATTTTTTCCTACCAAAAGACAACTATGCGAAAAATCAAACTAGATCAGATCAACTCTTCAAAGAGTATATATCATTGAATCAATCAAGCTACATACAGATGCCTTTATTGGTAGCCAATTCCGGACCTTCCATCATCCAATTTGGATTAAAATATTTGGCGATTGTGGTATTTGTGGTATTCAGTTTCTATGTTCGACATGAAGTAGCTAAGGTTGTTAAAGATCCATTTATTGATGAAATATTCCACTTAAGACAATGTCAGAAATACTTAGATTACAAGTTTCATGAATGGGATAACAAGATAACTACACCCCCTGGATTGTATTTATTGGGCTTTGCATATGATAAAGTGTTGCAAGGTTTAGCCTTTAAAGAATTGGATACCTATGCAGTTTTACGATCATTAAACCTTGTTGGTGGAATATTCGTTCTTCCTATAATAACGGTACTATTCAAACGATCATATAATAATCAATTCTGGTCCTTGAATATCATCAGTCAACCATTGTTGTTCACATATTATTTCTTGTTCTATACTGATATCTGGTCAACCATTCTAATTATCGCATCATTAGCACTTGTGATCAACAAACCACATATCCATTTGAATGCATATTCTAGTGCATTACTTTCATTCTTAAGTCTTTGGTTTAGACAGACAAACATTATATGGTCAGCTTTCATACTATCAGTTTTAATTGATAGAAGTATAATAATTAAGAGAAATAATCCACTTAACTTTATCAATAGAATAATTAAATTCGTATTACAATTGTTTAAAAATTGGATAAATGTTATCCCATTTGCTTTCAACGTTATACTATTCATAATCTTCCTTAAAGTTAATGGTGGTATTACATTTGGTGATAAAGAAAATCACACCATTAATTTCCATCTAGTTCAAGTGTTTTATTGTTTTGTATTTATAGTGTTGTTCACATGGCCAGTTTGGTTACATAAAAGATTCATCATTGAATATTTAAAATTTTCAATCATCAGAAATTATGGACTTAATCTTATTTTGAATATATTATCATTATTTATTATTAAATATATCATAGACAATTTCACTATAGTTCATCCATTTTTATTAGCAGATAATCGTCATTATACTTTTTACATTTTCAAGAGATTAATCAGTCATAAATATAGTCAAGTCATAAGTATTCCACTATATCATTTCTCCACATATACCATTATCAAATCTTTATCTGAATCGAAAAAGATTGGATTATCATTTATAACCATAATTGCTTACTTAGCATCAATATTATTAACGATTGTTCCATCACCATTATTTGAACCAAGATATTATATTGTTCCATTGATAGTGTTCAGATTATTCATTCAACCAGCATCAAAGGAAAGACACTTTTTGGAATTCATATGGTTAAACTTAATTAACGTACTTACAACTGTTGTATTTTTTAAATACGAATTCAAATGGGAAAGTGAATCTAGCATTCAAAGAATAATTTGGTGAATAATAAACAATATAGATAATCCATTAAAATACAAAGTTATAATATACAAAAAAGAACTAAATGTAGAATTACACATAAATCAAAAATCAAAAATTAAAAAAGCAAAAACATTAAATAAACAATTAAAATCACCATACTATTCTTCCTCCCTTAATCTATAAATTAAATATTACTACCATCAGCGAACCTTTTGATATTAGCAAGAGCTGGAACGGTATTCTCATTTAGAATATCGTCATCCACGATATCTTCTTCCTCATATTCTCTATCTTCATCGTCATCGTCTTCGTCAACCACTTCATTGACCAACGGGCTCCTTACAGTAGGTCTTGATGTATTCATATTCTTTGACTTCAAGATATTTGAAGGGACATTGTTGGATTTCTTGGGACTTGGAGCCTTCTTATTTTGATTTTCTTCCATTTTATCAATCACTGATAGGTTGCTATTTATGAATGAATCAATTGAATTATAATTACTTGGTAAGTTTAAGATTGAACCGTTACTTGAATGTAAAAGATTAATAAGATTAATCTCTTCAGGAGATTTAGGAACATTATCGGAGTTTTGTAAAGAAGCAGTCCATTTCTTAATAGCTCTAGTTTTCAAGACATCGAAATAAGGTATTTCCTTATTAGTTAATTTATCAATGAATACCAAATCACCTTCTTCACCCACGAATAAATCAGCATCATTATTTCTTTTATTATATTTTAAATCCCAATTACCCGTTTCTAAATCATTAGCAAAGATTAATAAAAAATCACCAAAATTATCAGCGATTTTGAATTTAACATCAAATTCTCTTCCAAATAAGATAACTTGGCCCCAATTACCTGAACCATTCGGAGGGGGAGATAAATCAATACCAATATAATTTCCCACTTCATCCGTAACTAATGGAATCCACATTGGATGAGCAAAAGTTTCATGAATGGATCCAGGTGGGATACATCTTTGTTGAGGTAATACAATAGAAGACTGAATACTGGTAGTAGCTGATGTGGTAGCTGAAGAAGATGATGTTGAAGTGGTGGAAGATCTTGATACAGTATCTACTATATCGATAGAAGTCTTTGCGGATGATGATTCACTTCCAGTAGTGAATTTCTTTGATACTTGATTTTCATTATAATGAGATAAAGTCAATTTACTTAATTCACTTAATTTATTTGATTGTTTTAATTGACTCATTTCATTATTTAAGATTTCAGCAACTTTTCTCCAATTTTCAGTAACACCAACAATTTCATCTAATGCCATTAATTTCAAACCAAAGATTAATCCACTTATATCATTATCATTATTCCCAATACTTGATTGACCATCAGTCAATTTAAAAAACTCAACTAAACATTGAGGTAATTTAATCTTTAAATCATTTTGAAAATCATTTAAATCAGAACTTGTACATTTATCTTGTAAAGTTTTTGATAAATCAGGGGAATTTTTATCTAGCCAGTTTTTAATATGTCTCCAAGCTAATTTAACTTCATGAACTCCATCTAAAGTGTTCTTATTATAATATTGACCTCCTTCAAACTCATTATCATCGATGATTAATGCTTGAGTTGATTGATTATGATGGGAATATAATAAATTTGAATCTGAATCTGGTTTATTGATACGATTAAATGACTTACGAGAGTCATAATCGGAGTATTTATCATTAGTCGTTAATGAATAGATGAATTCTTGGAATTTCTGCCCTATCGTCATGATTGATAGAGGATTATTTTAATGTTATGGGGAAATGAAGATCGGCATACACTAGTTGTAAACAAACAGTCGATAGTAGGGTTGTACTCACACGCTTTCAGTTACTTGAAGTTGCAGTTGTTGATATTATGAATCTAATCCAGCTGGTTTGTAGACCTTCGTCGATGACCTAAACGAAGCACCTGGCTATAAAATAAACTTTAGCTTCTATTTTGACAACCAGTGTCTAAATTCAGCAAATTTGTGTTTTCAGTTTCAGAAAACAAAGACCAAAATACGCGTTTGTGATCATTTTTGATGTTTTTGGACATTTGTCGAATTTTAGTTTGCGACATGACATATCTATCACGACATAGAAAAATGACATATCTTCAAACAGTATATTATATCTACTGCAATAGATATTGATAGTATATCATCTACAACAAAACAGATCAATAAATACATATACAATAAATAAATTAAAAGATAGAAGAAAATATAACCCGGGCATGAAGTGTAAATTCTATTGTAATTAAAAGTAAGCACACGAATAACCGGGTCCATTGATATGGGATGAACCAACATATAATTAAAACAAAACGAGATATCCTTAAAACAAAATACCAAAGTCGAATATCACCATAGATGAGACAAGATGATTCAAAGAAAACCTTTGAACCAGACTCAGCAATATTCATGAAAAGAAGGGGGGCACTGAAAATGGATTCTATCCATGGTATTGAAAAACCCTTCAGAACGAAGGGATTCACAACGGTACAGACTGAAATTCACAAAGTTGTCAGAGACAACTTGATCCAATCGAGCGAATCCACCAGCTAGGATTATTTTGATTTTGTTAGGTCGCTCTCCGTGGTAAACAAATTAAAGAAGTAAGAAGAAGAAAAGGATGGTTTACATACCATCTTTAGGTAAGAAAACTTTTCTTTTGTATGAGAGAGTGAAAGTTTGGAACGGTATGAAATCCGGGTAACATCCAATATATAGTATAGAGGTAACTTTTCACAACCATTTATTAGAACCATGAATGTACAAGTAATAGTTTAGATTTATACAGAAAATGAATGAATACTCATTTATTTTATATTGAAATTATATATGATATGGGTTATTATAAAAAAAAGAACAGAAGTTGATAAAAAGAACTAACAATTATAAATTTATATTCCCTAAATGAACGAAAAGTATATATATATATAAAGAAGATGAATGACAATATAAAAATGGAAATTCGAATCCTAAACACCTTTAGATCAATGAATGTGATGGACGGAATGAAGATAGTACAATTGAAACAATAGATGACATTTATAATTCGATTTTTTTTATATTTGGGTTTGAGTTTTTCCTATATTATTATTATAATTTTATATGGAATGTTTAAATATTCAAATTAAATCAAGCATCATTTCATAGTCTTTCTATTAGATTATTTTGAAAAAGACAACATGAAAAACAACTGATTGAAAAGGAACAAATTAACAAAAAGATTTTTTTATGTACTAAATTACAATTACCAGTTGGAAGCAGCAGCATCTTCAACAGCTGGGGTAGCACCAGAGTCAGCCCAGTCAACTTCTTCAGTTTCACCAGTCCATTCAGTTTCAGCTTCAACAGCTTCGGTTTCTTCAGTTTCTTCAGTAGTTTTGTTTTCTTCTAAAGCATTTTGTTCAATTTCTTCTGGATCTCTGTAGAAGTATAAATCTGGCATAACAGACCATTCAGTAGTTCTGTCTGGAATAATACCTCTTAATCTAGAAACTTCTCTAGCTAATAACCACCAGATTAAACCAATAGAGTGTTTACCTTTGTTATTACATGGGATAGCAACATCAACATATTCAGATGGAGAATCCATATCAGTTAAAGCAATAACTGGAATGTTAACATAAGATGATTCTTTGATGGCTTGAGCATCAGTTCTTGGATCAGTAACAACAACTAATCTTGGTTCTTTGAAAGAACGAGTGATATAATTGGTAAAGTTACCTGGAGTGAATCTACCAGCAATGGCAGTAGCACCAGTATGAGCAGCGAATTTTAAAACAGCTCTTTGACCGAAAGTTCTGGATGAAACAACAGCAACATCAGATGGGGTTGGGATAGCAGCAATGATTCTAGCGGCTAAAACAATTTTTTCCCAAGTTTTACCAATGTTGATAACGTTAACACCATCTGGTCTGGTTTTGTAAACGTATGGTTTGTTGTGAACCTAAAAAGATAAATTTGTTAGTATATATAGTCTTTAGAAGTTGATTAAAACTTCATATTTCATAAATGAAAAGGTTTACAATAATAGTGAAAGGTAGGATGGAGGGATGGAAGTGAGGGTATGATTTGTGGTTGAGTATTTTATAAATGGTCTAATGGGTTGAAAATTTCGTCACACATTGATTATGCTTAACTTGATGGATTGTAATAAACTATTATAGATCTACAAATAGTTTACTCTTTCAACTGATTCATTGAACTGAGGTACATTTGATTTAATGGAGGATGAAAAAAAAAATTCAAGATCTTGTTGTATTGATTGATTCATGGAATCTTACAATTGTCTGGTACTATTATTCTTTATGACATTTCTTTGATCTTGTTACATTAAATTGATAAATTCATTATTCTCTTAATCATTAATTCATTCTAATTTGATTTCTATTCTTCGTTCTTTCACTGTGATATTATTGATGGGAACCCTTATTTCAAAATATGGAATATGAAAAATTTCGAGGTTGAAAATTAAAACATACTTGAACGTTCTTTGAACCTAAATGAACGTTAGCAGCTAATAATAATTTAGCATCTTCAGGAGTTAAGTCAAATGAAGCTGGTAATGACATCTTTAATTAAATATCCTTTCTTTGATTGATTTAAAACTTCAGTTGAAGAAAGATTAGTTTATAGTTAAAAACTTCTAACTTTTTTTTTTTTTCTTCCTGTCGTTTGTGGTGCACAATTGAAAATTTTTTGATAGTTAGGAATAAAGAGCTCCACTAACAAAAATGCAAGATGTATTGAGGTAAGGATATTCTTCTTTTGTGATAGTTTTTTGTTAACAAATTTAAGAAATGGAATGGTCACGCGCTTTTCACTGCCTGAAGGGATGGAGCCCTAGATCACATGACTTTGTTTTTTTTGTGATTTTTTGTTCTTTTTTAATTTTTTGTCTGTCTGAGAGAGAGAATTTCCCGTTTGGGATTTTATAGTGATAAATATCGTAATTCGATTTAGTGTCTGGAGATAACAGATTTTAGGTCTTTAAATTGCGCTTGTAATTTTCTGCAGTTTTTGGTGCCGTATGTATGGAAGTAAAACTTAATTTGAGTTACATAATTCTATGTTGATTAATGATTAATATGTTTTAATGATTATGGTTAAGTTCTTCTTCTTCTTCTGAGTAGGTTGTATTCAATTGAACCTGTGTATGGTACATACGATATCTTATTAGTAATATGAGTACAACATACAGCAATCCTGAAGAGATTATCACAGAAGAAGCCGAACTCTTATCAGAGGCAACTGCTTATCGGCGATTCACTGATGAGGATGAAGAAGACGAAGACGATGGCGAACAAACAGATGTAAATGAAGAAGCCCTAACCGAAGGTGATGCTGAAGACCTAGGTGAAGATGAATTATGGTTTAGTGAAGAATTAACTAAACATAAATCCATTCATTGGTCAAAACGTCCTTCTATTTTACAAATTAATGTCATTTTATTCCTTTTTACATTTCTGTTACTGGTGTCCCTGGCTTCTGCTTTGGTAGTTATCTTCCAATTATGTTGTAATACCGTATCCAAACATGGTTTATGTGATCCAGTTGAAGCTCAATTATATTTAGCCACTATAATTCAATATACAACTGCTGCAGGTGGGATTTTACCTTTATTAGTGTCAGCTAAATTTGGTGAAATGTCAGATAGATTTGGTAGAAAACCAATGATAATTGTTATTGTGGTAGGACTTTTACTTCATAAATTAATCAACTATTATCTTTTTATCACATCAACTGTGTTTCCATTTACTTCGTTTATTGTTTTCCAATTTTTATTCTCGGCAGTAGGTGGGGTTGGATCGTTAACAGCCATTGCTCAATCATATGTTTCAGATGTGGCAGAAGCAACCAAAAGAACTCAAGCCATGGCTTATACCACCGCTGCTTTAACGGCTGGTCAAGCAGTTGGTCCATTATGTGGAACTTTTCTTTCTTCATTAGTGAAAGTTGATAATATGCAAAATATTGGTCCAACAAAAGTAGGTGCTGATGCTACTTTTCTGAGAAAGCAATTATTACCTATGCAAGTGGAATTAGGTGTATTAGCTTTATTATCGTTCACTGCGATTTTTATTCTTCCTGAATCAAGAAGTGAAAAAGCTCTTAATAAATCAAGAGCTTCATCTATTGCTACAATTGATACCAATGCTTTAAATCAACTTCGTGCTTTAGAACAACCTTCATTATGGACCAAAATGAACCGTTACTTAAATTTATTCAAACCTTTACTTTTATTAACTTATCCTTCCAGTATTATTCCTATTCATAAAAAACATATGGAAAAGAAATATAGAGTGATTGTTATTTTAATGATTATAAGTTTAACGTTATATTCATCTATCTTTTTCGCCGTTGGTTCAATATTTGTGCAATACGGTATGCTTAGATTTGACTGGGGAGCTGAAGAAATTAGCTATTTCATAACTTCATTAAGTATTAGTACTTCCTTTGCTTTAATAGTTGGTACTCCATTTTTAAATAATACCATCTTACAAAAATGGTGTGGATACAAAGTATTAAAACATCAACTTGATTTAGTTGATTTTTGGTCTATAATGTTTGGTAGAGTCGTGAGTTCCATTGCAAATTTAGGATTAGTCTTCGCTACTAATAATCCTCAATTCTTTATCGCTGTTATTGCTATGACTTTTGCTCTGGCAGGTGATACAGCAGGAACAACAGCCTTACTTAAATTCTTCCCCAATTCAAAAATTGGTGAATTCTTTGGTGCCATGCATATGGTTGAAAGTTTTACAACATTAATTCTTCCATTTATCGTCATGGCATTATATAAAACATTGATTCAAAATGGAGTACCACAGTTAATTTTCTTGGTAATATTGGTTACATCTTTTATTTATTTCGTTATCCTTCTTTACATTAAGAAATCTTTACACTTAACTAGAGATTCAATTGAAGAAGAAGTAGAATTAAGCAGAAGTAGTTCGGTGGTTTCGTTTTCAACTTAAGATCTGGTCACAATTAAGGAGTTATTATTTTATTTCTACTAAGTGTTATTTTATTGGTTTTTCTTTCTATTTATTGTTTAATTATATTTACACATCTTACATGTAATTACATCTTCTGTTCTATGCAACGACGTCTTTCACAATATTCCATAACCATTGTTTCTTCCCTTTCCACCTTTTGTATCCTTTTTCTGTGGATTGCTGTGGGGGGGGGGGGGGGCCTTTTTTATCTTATCTTGTATCCGGTCAGCGGAAATATTTACGGATACGGAAAGCTGAGAAAAAGGGAATATGGAGCCGTACACAATATCAAGAATATTTCATTACTAAGGATAAAGGGAGACGAGCTGAGCTGATTTGGAATTGGAATTACTGTGGAAGTGGAAGGTTACTAAAGTTTACAAGGATCAAATTGAGATATTCTCTTTTTGACTTTGTTTTACTTACAAGGTAATAGTCATTATGACAGGGGCCAACCAATTGGATAACGAACAAGCTGAATACCTATTAGAATCAGCTGTGGAAGATGTATATGATGCAGTGATGGATGAAGTTGAAGATGAAGATCTCGATGAAGATGCATTGTGGTTCAGAGAAGAACTTCAAAAACATAAAACTTTAGGATGGTTATATAGACCATCAGTAATTCAAATTAGTGTTGCTTTATTCATGTTTTCAATCTCAACTGCAATTGGTAGTCCTGCAAATCAAGTAGTATTATATCAATTGAGTTGTAATTCAGTTGCAAAGGATGGAATCTGTGATCCTGTGGCAGCTCAATTATTATTTTCAACCTTTTCTCAATTCCAAATGGTTGCACTCGGTGTCTTACCAATCATAATTTCATCAAGATTTGGGGAATTATCAGATAGATTTGGAAGAAAGCCTTTTATTGCAACTATCTTCGTTGGAGTGGCTACTCATAAGGTGATAAATTATTTTTTGATAACCAAATCAAATGTATTGCCATTTAATGCACTTTTAATATTTGATTTTATTTGTTCAGCATTTGGAGGTATGGCTCCATTAGTTGCTATGCTTCAATCATATGTGACTGATGTAATTGCTCCACATGAAAGAACCTTTTCAATTGGTTTGGTTTCAGCTTCTTTATTAGTTGGACAAGCTCTTGGACCTATTCTTTCCAGCTTTATGGTTTCACTTATTCCTACCGATGATGGTAAAGGAATCAACTTTGATTTGAATTCAATTGAAGCTTATATTCAAATCCTGAAGAAACAATTATATCCCATGAGAATTGAGCTTGTAATTTTGATTTTAGTGGCATTATATGGTGTGTTTATTTTACCTGAATCAAGAGGTGAAAAGGCAAGATCTAAATCAAGATCAAACTCAATGGCTTCAGACATTGAGACATTCCAACAACTTCGTGCTTTACAACATCCACCTAGTTTTTGGAAGAAAGCATCTCATTATATAAATGTGTTTAAACCCCTTGCTTTGTTGACTTATCCATCAAGTGCTGTCCCAAATAATCAAAAACAATATGAAACTAGAAATAGACTTGTTGTTTATATTTTGATCTTAGCTGCAGCTTTATGTAACAGTACTATTATATCTATGGGTCAAATCACAGTTCAATATGGGATGTTAAAATTCCAGTGGGGTGCACAAGAAATTGGTTATTTCATGTCTGTTTATAGTACCAGTGCTGCTATTGTGTTGGTATTTTTAAGTCCAATACTTACTAAAGTTATACTTCAACAATATTTCAAATTTAAAACTATGAAGCGTCAAATTGATTTAGTTGATATAAGTACTTTGATCTTTGGTAGAGGTTGCGATGCTATAGCCTTTTTAGCCATGGTTTATTCAACCAATACTCCCCAATTCCTCCTGAATTTTTGCATTCTTGCATTAGGAGCACCAGCAAATCCGGCAGCTACTGCTTCTCTTCTTAAGTTTTTTCCAGCTTCAAAAACTGGTGAATTCTTTGGAGCCATGGCTTTATTGCATAGTCTTCTTGGTTTGTTTATGCCAGTATTAATGATGGGATTATTCAAGTATTTCATAACTGAAGGAACTCCACAGTTTACATACTTGGCTTATTCTGGTATAAATTTGGTCTACATTGTTTTTATCCTTGGGGTTAAGAGAATAATGAACATTAGCACATCAACAAGGGAAGATGAATTACGTAGACGTAGTTCATCTGTCTCGTTTGCTAATTATGATTCTTCTCATTAGAGTTAGTTATAGATCGTAGAAATGTAGATCATTTCTTATTTATTTGATAGTATTTATTATCGCTTTGTGGTCTTGTTATATTTGAATTTACGGTGATTATTATAGTTCTTTTTTATTGATTTTGGTAGCGACCTGTATAATTCGGTGTTAGTAGAAAGAGGAATGTTTTGCGATATCAAATTTTGGTGCCGTACATAAATGATATACCAAATCAAATTAAATATGGCTATCATAAATTTTACTTCTTCTTCTTAACCAAAAGTCAACAATATCATGTCTGCACAAGAACATCTCGTCACTCCTATGAACGATGAAGGTGAATACTTGCTTGAAACTGCTGCTAATGACGTTTATGAAGCTGTGATTGACGATGTTGAAGATGAAGATCTTGACGAAGATGCACTTTATTTGAAACGAGAACTTGAAAGCCATAAAAGTCTTCATTGGCTCAAACGTCCATCAGTGATACTGATTTGTATAGCCATATTCCTTTTCACTGCGCTGAATACCGTCGGAGCAGCTGCTTTCCAGCTAGTGCTTTATCAATTAAGTTGTAATTCTGTAGCGGAAAACGGTGTGTGTGATCCGGTTCGTGCTCAAATCGTACTTTCAACTTATTCCCAATATGAAATGATCTTGGGAGGTATATTACCCATTTTAGCCTCTGCAAAGGTTGGAGAACTTCTGGATAAGTATGGCCGTAAGCCATTTCTTTCACTTATTTTCCTGGCATATTGTCTTCAAAAGCTTCTCAGCTATATTCTAGTTATGAAAGCTGTTGAATTACCGTTCATTGGATTGCTAGCTTGTGTAATGCTTGGATCAATATTTGGTGGAGTGGCGACTATTATTGCTTTAGCACAATCATATGTGACAGATGTAATCGAACCACATCAAAGAACATTTTGTATTGGGTTAGTTCTGGCTGCTGTTATGGTTGGTCAAGGTGTCGGTCCAGCAGTGGCTGGATTGGCTGTTACCTTATTCGGTGGTTCTGGAGAACCTAATAATAAAGCTGACTATAGTATTCAAAACATAGGCATTGATTCTAAGTTTGGTCCTAGTCAATTAATACCGTTAAGGACCGAGTTGTTGATTACAATAATGTTATCACTTTATTCGATCTTTATAGTTCCAGAATCGAGGGGAAAAAGGGCAAGATCCAAATCGAGATCAAGTTCAGTAGCTGTTTCAGCTTTGGGTGTCACTGAGAGACTTAGAGCTATCGAACAACCTTCATTATTAGTACAAATGGGTAGATTACTTAACTTATTAAAGCCATTGACATTGTTAGCTTATCCTTCTAGCATCGTTCCACAGAGTCGTAAACATAACATAGTCAAATATCGTATTGTTGTTATACTTTTAATTGTATTCGGTACGATTTTTGTAAGTACACATATGGCATTTGGTCAAATTCTTCTTCAATATGGTATTTTCAGATTTAACTGGGGAACAACGGAGATCGGTTATTTTATCACCATAGTCTGTGTAGGTGCTTCGGTCATGTTAACTTTTGGAGCTCCAATTATGATTAATACCATCTTACAAGGTTATTTTGGACTCACACCACTTAAGCGTCAACTTGATTTAATTGATTTTTTCATGATTATGTGGGGTAGAGTTGTTGACATAATCGCTTATTCAGTTTTAGCTGCTGCCACATCTTCAGCTCAAATATACGGAGGCTGTATATTGGTAGGTCTTGCTACCCCAGCAGGACCAGCTGTAACCGCTGGATTACTTAAATTTTTCCCAAGTTCCAAAACAGGTGAGTTTTTTGGAGCTATTTCATTAGTACAAAGTTTTGCTAATATCATTCTGACTTTAATGGTTATGAGTATGTATAGATTTGGAATTAGACATAGTTTCCCAGAACTTGTCTTTGTATTCTATGCTTGTTTAAGTTTTCTTTACATTTGTGTTTTATTGATTGTAAAGAAGATATTAAGATTAACTGTTGAAACTAACGACGAACAGTTAATCAGAAGCAACTCTTCTCTTTCGTTAGCACCTTCTGATGTCAGTGAATAATTTCAGTTCGTCATGGTTTAATTTTTTGGTTATTTAGATTTTGATAGTTATATTTAGTAGATATACATTAATTTTGCAGTTTAGCACTAGCGCTAACGGGATATTTTTCTGCATAGGGAAATACATGATTTTCCCTGGAGATAAACGGAGAAGAGAAAATTTTTACTGCGGTATGATTTACGAGTTATCTGGGGAGCCGTAGCAGCTAAGCCTAAGGAATTAAATAGTTTTAGCAACTGTTTCTTATAAATAAATAGAGTAGTACCCCCAAAGAGACTCTTACCGTTGAAGATGTCAGATGTTGGGCAAGTTACTTCACGAGACGGTGAACGAGAATACATGTTAGAAACAGCTGCAAACGAAATCTATGGTGCTATGGATTCAGATATAGAAGATGAAGATCTTGATGAAGATGCTTTATGGTTTAGAGAAGAACTTGATAAACACAAGTCACTTCCTTTGTTCCTGAGGCCGTCTGTTTTAATGGCATGTATTTTATTCTTTTTATCTACTATTGCTTTACTGATTGGTACTCCTCCACTTCAAGTTGTATTATATAAGCTTTCATGTAATACAGTTGCTATTAATGGTGCTTGTGATCCAGTTGCTGCTCAAGTATTATTTTCCACTTTTACTCAATATGATATGATCTTAACTTCAATTCTCCCTATTGCTGCATCTGCCAAAGTTGGTGAATTATCAGATAAATACGGTAGAAAGCCATTTGTGGCCTTAATTATCCTGGCTTTTTTTGTTAATAAATTTGTCAACTATTTCTTATTGACAAGATCTACAATATTACCCTTCAAGCGTCTTTTATTTGTGAATTTCATTTGTACTGTGTTTGGAAGTGGACCGACTATTATTGCATTACTCAGCTCATACATTACTGATGTTGTTGAAGCACATCAAAGAATTTTTGCCATTGGTTTATGTACTGCTAGTTATATGGTAGGTCAATCACTTGGTCCTATTCTTTCCAACTTACTCGTTTCCTTTGCCAATACAGAAAGCTCCCCAATTGGTATAAACTCAGTTCATGCTACTATTGAAATTTCCAAGAAACAATTAATTCCATTACGAATTGAAGTTATCGTTTTCTTGGTTCTTGCTATATATAGCATTTTTATTTTCCCTGAATCAAGGGGAGAAAAGGCACAATCTAGATCACGTACCAGTTCAGTGGTGTCCCAACTAGATCCGTCTTTATCGAGTAATGCATTCGAACAACTCAGAGCTTTAGAACAACCTTCATTATACATTAGAATCATTCGTATATTGAATGTCTTTAAACCATTGATGTTGTTAACGTATCCATCTTCCATTGTACCCCCTAATCAAAAGCATAAAGAAAAGAGAAATAGATTTGTGGTTATATCTTTAATTCTGATAACTACTCTTTATCTTACTTCTCACGTAACTTTAGCTCAAATGGTTATGCAATATAGTATGATAAAATTCAACTTTGAATCAGAAGAACTTGGGTACTTGTTAACAATATCAAGTTCAGTTGCTTCTTTCATGCTTATTATTGGTTCACCAATTATTTCTAATACAATATTACAAAAAGGGTTTGGATTAAAGGTCATGAAACGTCAATTCGATATGATTGATTTTTGTATAGTTGCAGGAGGAAGATGTATTGACATTATTGCCTTCCTGTTCATGATATTATCTGTTAATAGTGGTCAATTCTATTTATCAAATGCAATCTATGGACTTGGTGCTCCTGCTAGTCCAGCTATTTCATCAGCGTTACTTAAATTCTACCCAGCTTCTAAAACTGGTGAATTCTTTGGAGCAATTTCATTAATGCAAAGTTTACTTAGTCTTTTAATATCTACTGGAATGATGGAAATATTTAAATTTGGTATTGCTCATAGAATTCCACAGATCATTTTCATGCTCTATCTTATTATAAGTTTAGTTTATCTTATCATTTTGGTTATATCAAAGGTCATTTTAAGATTAGATTCTAAGTCAACTGATGAAACTTTGATTAGAAGTAATTCTTCAATTTCATTAGCTAGTTCAAGCGTTACATTGTCTTAGATTTCTAACAAACGGTTTGGTTATTTTCAGTTCACTTTATAGAAAGCTTTTACACATTAATTATTAATTATATTTTTTTAATTTAGTAATACATAATATCAGTTTAGAAGTATTTCCAAATGTTTATCGTTTTCTCATAAACTTCAGGTAGCATTAAATAGTGGAATTTCATTTCATAGTTATGTTTAATGGAAATCAATTCTCCTTGTAAAAAGAATTGAATTAAGGTATCTCTGAAAGTTTTTGAATCGGTAAAGATCTTGAAAAAGTCACGGAATATTTCTGAATATGATAATGACTTATTAGATAATTTAAGATAACTTGAGTGATTTGACATTTTCAAAAACGTGAAGATAATCCCACCTTGTAAACGATTGGAATTCTTTAATTTAAGTAGAATAACAAACATTGGAGTGAAATTTACTAAAATTTGCAAGTTCTCCAAGAAATTTATTGCAAGTAAGACTGTCAATTGCATCAAGAAAAACATTAAATAGAATGCAAAGACTGTGGGTAACAATAATATCAAAATCATGAATAATAATGTACCTAATAAAAGTTGATCAATCTCTAAACTTGAGTCATCATCTTCATAATTATTCAAATTATCAATTCTATTTCTTAAAACATTATATTTTTTACCTCTAAATAACTGGAACAAGGACTTGATGATGTCCAATTGCCTTTTATAGATTTTGGTTGAAGTATAGTAGAAACAGTATATGTGAACAGTTAACGCATTAATAATATCGATGCAAAATCCTATCAAAAAGGATAATCCACCACCATAACATAGAATCTTGAGAAATATTTTGACGGCAATAAATAACTTAAATTTAAAATCAGGAGAAAGATTTTGAATCAGATCATTGACTAAAAATTTCCAGAATTTTAAAGTCCAACTATATAAATCTCCCATGAAATGACCCAATTTGATATTTAACTTAAACCCAGCAGGATGCTTCACCGAAACCCAAGAAATTACATCTAACATTTCCGAAAATAAGTATTTTTGAATCACTCCTTCATGCAAAACGGGTATAATTCTTTCATAATTGTCAAAAATTAAACGATAAGCAGTAATCCCGAACATTATATCATTAAATATCAACCATAATGTATTGAAAAGATTAATATAATTGGAATTGTTTATATTTAAATTTGAATTGAATATTGGTAATTTTAACTCGTATAGAAGTTTAGATCCTCCATATAGTAGATTTTTATTATAATAACATAAGAATTGAATTGGGAAGTAGTTTAACTGTTGCAATCTTAGATCAAGTTGTCGGAAGACCTTTGATATAGAAACCAAACTGACTGATTTGATTTGATAATTAATTAACCAGATAAGAAAGATTATTAATGTTTGAAGGAGACTAACTAGAAACACAATAACATTTATTATTTTGTTTTGAATGACTTGATCGACCAGGTGGTAATTGTGGCTCTGGTTTTCAGAATTTTCATGCATCCATGCTTTTAGTTCTAATCTTACCTTTAACAGAAGATTAATCTTTTCAAGAATAATATCATCTGAGATAAAGCTGTTTTTATCGTTATTTGGTGATTCAGTTATAGGGTCAATAACGTTTAGTTTATTTATTAGGGAAGCTTGATCAGATGTGAGTAATTCCCTTCCTGTAGATTGAAGTAAAATTGGCTCTATTGAAAAGTATTCAAGGTTTCTAAACTTTGGTGGATCAAATAGTATTATAAATGAATCATTCACAGAAGACTTGAAATATGGCAAAGTATCAAATGAAAGATGTAAGTCATAATCATTATCTACTGGTTTGTCCAGATTGCTGATGCTTCCAATGATTTTTAAATCCAGTAGATGGCTTGGCAACTTGTTAAAATCCACTGCGGTATCCAACAACTGTATCACAATGTAAATTCTATTGAACTTGTATCCGATGAGAAAATGATCGATTTCCTTCAGCTTCTTGCATAGTTTAATTAGATCGTTTGGGAAGTAAACTTGAACCATCACAGAGAAAAACTATCTCTTCTTAAATATTGGGAACTGTTATTCAAATTGCTATAGAACTCTCTATGGTCCAAGAATGAGCTTGGAAAGTTATCTTGAGTTTCACTATCGTTTTCGTAATCTGACTCTTCACCAAATGGGGAAGTTGAACGTGACTTATGAAATAGAAATTCAATATTAGGGTTAATCTTATGAGGATACAACTTGAATTCTTCTGCTAAGAATGATGATTGTTTCAGAACTTGTGGTCTTGATGGAGGTGATAAAATTAGTGGTGATGGTGGTTGTTTCCTTTCGACTTCAATGAACGGATACGTGATGGAAACTAATGTAAACACGGTAGTATTGATGCTAAAGAAAACTAAAGTCAAAACAAGTATCACTACAAGGAACCTGAAGACAACTGAAGCATATACTGGAAGATCAATTGATGAATCCATTGACCATTGTCCAACTATAAGAAGAAGTATGGTGTTTGGCAGTCAATTTTGAAAAGTGTTTGGTTGTCAAATTTTTGATGCGATTTTTTTTGTTATGCTGTTAGTTTTAGTGTGATTCTACAATATTGTAAATGGGTGTATAAAGAGAATATATCTATATTTAGATAGCCATATATCGCCTTATACCATTAGTATAATACTGAAAGCTTTATATAATTAAGAAAAAGAAGAAAACAAAGTTGTACCGAACCCTAACCTAGGAACAAACAGCAAATAAATATGAAAGATGAAGTGAAAATAAACTTAGAAATGATGAAAATGGATATAGATATATATAAATAGATAAAGAAACAGCAGGGGTATACGATTTAATCTTGAACTGTTCTTTCCTTACGTAAGAAGCTACTTTTCCTATGTAACTCAGTATAGGTTGGTTGAGTTGGAGTACTTGAAGCACTGTCTGAGGGTCCCATATCTGTAGCAAGTGGTCCTATTGAATCTTCAAAAAGTGAAACTCTTGAATTGCTTCTGGTTAATAATTCCGGTTCACTATGGCTAGTTAAATTCAAAACTCGTTTCACAATCATAACTAAATTAGAATTGAAAAACATAATACTACCAGCCACAAAAAACACAGCACCAGGTTTATTCCAATACTCCAAGGCATATTTATAAATGGAGAGGAATGTGACTGGACCTAAAATAACCAAAAGATTCTTTAACAAAGCAATGGCTCCAAATAACTCACCAATCTTTGATTCAGGATAAAACTTAATGACAGAGGAATTCAATGCGGGAGACGAAATTGATCCTAATCCAGCTAACATGATACCAGCGAAGAATGTATGAGTAGTTGGCATAAACATTAATAATAACAATCCAAGAGCTTCACATGATAATCCAAGATAAATCATGGAGAAATCAACCATATCAAATTGTTTTCTCATAACTTTGAATTTGAACCCTTTTTGGAAAACTTTATGATTAATAATAGGACACAAGATGATCAAAACAGTAGCTTTAGTAGAAAAACCAATAGCTAATAAGTGACCAATATCTCTTTGACTCCAACCAAAGTTATAAATACCATATAAGATATTTATTTCTCCCAATGATATACCGGTGACAGCTAAAATACAGTCACTTATGATAAGCATCATAACTGCTGCTCTATCTTTGTTAACTCTACTCATATTTTGGCGATTAACTACTTCTTCAGGTAATAACAACAATCTTAATGGTTTCAAGAAATTAATTTGGTTAATGAACTTTTGAATAGATGTAGGTGTATCTTCTTGGCTGGCAAGATGAGGAGAAGTTAAGATTAATGAAGAACTCAGACTTATTGATAAGCTTCTAGATTTTCTTCTTGCCTTTGCTGATCTTGATTCTGGTAATACAAAGATGGAATACAAAGCGACGATGGCATATATGCATAATTCAAATTTTAAAGGTACAAACTCACCCTCTGCGATGGTTGTATTAATATCAATACTATTTGACATTTTAGTAGATAATGATAATAAGAAATTACCAATTAAAGGTCCAGTACTAAAACCAATGAATAATGAAGCGATACCCAAACCCAATGAGTAAATTCTTTCATGAGGTTCAACCACATCTGAAATATAACAATTTGATAATGTTACTAATGATATACTTCCACCTCCAAGATTAGTTAAGATTTCAAAAAAGACCATGGGTATAAATTTTAAACTAGTGAAATGATACATTAATAAGAATTTTAAAGTTCTTCCAAGGAAAAAGAATGATACTGAGATGATTATAAATAATCTTCTACCATATTGATCTGATAATGGGCCTATTTTCCCCAGAGCTATTAAAGTGATGATACCTGAACAGACACTAAAACACATTTGAAGATTGGACATTAATAATTGAGCATCCGTAGCATTACATTGTTTGATGATACCACCATTTTCATCCTTTTCACTAAGGAAGTTACATGCCAATTTTAAAGTGATCACTTGTCTTGTTGATTCACCACTTGAAGTTGCTAAAGCAAATAAGAATGGTATAATACCTAACATGATTACACTTGGTCTTTTCAACCAATGTGTGGTTTTATTAAGCGTACGTTGTTCTCTTAACCACGTTATGTCTTCATTGGTTGAATTATCATAGTCTTGATCATTATCGATTATAGCTTCGTACACATCATTCACAGCTGTCTCTAGATTAGTAGCATTATCTGGATTAATGGGAGTTTTATTTCTAAAAGGCGGTAATAGAGAATCGTTTTCCGATCCCATTGTTAACCTAATAAACGAAAGTCCTTAACAGCAATAACAATAATCACAACAACAAGTGAAGTGAATGTGACGACTTGAAGTTAGTTCTGCGATAGTAGAGATGATGTAGGAAAAATCAATAGCTATAGGATCTTTAGTTCAAGATGGAATCAAGTCAGTATAAATCAAACTAGAAATTTCAATCCACCCCAAAAAAAACTGTCAGACACAAAAAAATCCAGACACTAGACCAGACACAAAATTATTCCAAATTAAGATAAAAATCAAAACAAATCAGACAAAATATGTTTACACTTGCCTAATTGGGGATGTTCTCCACTGTCGTAAACTTCCAATTTAGAATTATCACCGGTAGAGATTTTAGAACTATAATAGTTAGTACGGCTCCATAGCAATGCAATTGTGAGTTCAACCATATAAGCAATAAGTTACCTTTGCTGTCTCATGTAAGCTAATATTTTCCGCCTTGTATTGATAATCCTAAATCTATAGATAGTTTGCTGTGGATATTTGTTTGCTATTATAGATAATAAATAATAATAATAATAATAATCTGTTTGTCTTATCAAGGTTACCCTACGACCAAATCTATCCAATTATTTTACACAGTTTTACCGTTTCTAATTGCATCTTAAGATAATAAACTGATAATTTTAGTAGTGGAGAAAAATAAAGGCGAATCTGATTAGCTTCTTTTAAAATAATTAGTTTCTTTTTTTCCCTTTCTATAGTGACTTCCATTGTTAATGTCAGTTTCCTAGATGGTCTGATATTATTACAATAGACCGTTGATCTTTAATGGTATCAAAAAGATCTCTTGTGCCAAATTTAAAGTTTATTATCACAGTATCTACAATCGGTGTTCCGTCTTTTCTTAGCCAAAGCTAATTGTCACCTATATAAAAAAAAGATCAGATTGGTTCACATCTAATGTAAATAACATAGCTTTATTTGGTACGCAATTTAATAGTGAGAAAATGTGAACTGCAAAATATATTATGAAGCACAAACAAAAATATCACTTTTTGCCGCCAATAAAAACTTTATAGTGTTTGAACGTTTCTCTTCATTCATAGGTTTCATTTGTATTCATTACTCTACAAATATAACAAACAGATCATAATAAAAGATGCTCATCATTTTTATTTTATCACTTTTACTTTGGTATAATTTTCTGAGAGGTGGTTATGTGTTAGAGCCAGTTGAAAATCCAACAGGTGCTGTCGCTGGTTCACTGGTATTATTAGCTGAAATTGGATATAATTTTGAAGTCTTTCAAACCGGTTATGTTGTTGACAATATTGTTAAATTCCCTGATGTTGCCGTTAAAATGGTTAATTATACATTATTGGATCAATTACTTGATAATAAAAAGGCGTTTAGTCCTAAGATTTACAAATTTTTAATTAGTATTAAGACTAGAAAAAGGCTGCCTTGATTTCAACTTGATCCATACACTGCAAGCTCTTATGGTATAAACAAGCTAAATTTTTGGCTTAGCCTGGTATTTGTTGATCAAAAGCATTTGGAATATGCCAAGTTTTTATTATCTCACCTTCTGTCTGAATTTCCTTGTTTTACACGAGTTTATGTCTACAATAATAAAGATCAGTTGTGGCTATCTTTTGTTTACCCTTACAAGAAAGATAAATGTCCTAAGATTGTTAAATATGATTGGATTCATTTTATTTCTGAAGCTAGAATAAATGGTATAGTTTCATTAGGTCTTACTGAACCATATAGAGGACCATCTGATGGATTCGACGAGCTTTGTATCAAAAGCGATCATGTTTAGATTCACTCTGTTCTGGAAATTACAACTAAAACATTAATTGAATTTTTCAGGTTCATGAAAAAAATGGTAAGTATAGTTGTCCTAATTACTCGTTATTGATTTATATACATTTAAAGAGGTAATATTATTGTGTAGAATTGTAATTTAGCCTAATATATTTTAGGAATAAGATAGTGCAAAGAAGTGAAAAATGCAGCGTATGTGATTTTTATTCTGCTAAAGAAGAATATATATTGAAATAAAGAGTTTCCAATCTATTTTATTTGAATCACTTCTTTTCTTTATCATATTTGATTGAATTAGCTTGATGTACTTTTATCATTATATACTCTTACTTTTACAAGTGCTTTGGGCACTTAGGGATAATAATCAACCTAATCATTTACTAGAAATAGTCGAGGATTGGAACAATCCGAATGCGATTACTTATACTACTTGGAGTTCTGAAGATACTACAATTGAACAATCTTTGGAAAACCATATGATTTACCAACCAAACTTTATTCATTGCCTGATTTCTGAAAATAATACAAACTTTCCCCATTTCATGTATAAAGAAAAATATTATCTTACATCTATACCTAACTTTTGGTCTTGGATGAGACTGGTATACTCTGAGCCAGATAAACTAAGATTTATTTTATATTTCTTACGAAATGCTGAAGCAATGGAGGGAGATCTAAGAAAATCACATCATGGTGAACAAGGTGATACAACGAAAGTAATCAGCTGGGGTATTAATCCTTATAAGTCACTGAACTTTAGTCAATCTCGTCAATTGGCTAGAGCTGCTCAATGGGTTCAAGAAGAAGTTCAAGTTGAGATTACTATAGCAAGTCACTTGGAATCATTAAGAAACACTTCAAATATCTTGTCACAGAACAAGATTATTACCTGAGTTCTGAATTGATGTAAGGTTGTTTGCTAAACATTATTTAAACTTAACCTTAGTTAGTAAATATAGGCATTATATATCCTAAAATAAACTTGACGGAAAATTCGCACCTAAAAATATTTACCGTAGTGAAACACTTTTTTAGTGGAAAATATTATCGATGGCCTCAAACGTATTTACTTTCTTCAGTCAGATCAAGCGAAAATGGATTCAATAACATTACCATATAGTCTTCAATTAGAAGTCCCATTTGAAACTGCTAAACAGGCCATCATTGCAGCATCAACTTTGAGTCCAGATCCAATATTAAAACCTAATGAAGTATCGGTCAATTATAAATCTGATGAAAATAAATTAATTTGTCAATTTCAAGCTGTAAGTGATAGAGTAATAAGAGTGGCTGTCAGTAATGTCATAGAAAATATAAAGACTATCATCGAATGTATCGACGAGTTTGATGGTAAGGAAGATCAATACTTTAATTAAATTGTTTGCAGACAATTGTTCTACGATTTATTATGCCAGTACTATCTTATGCTGTTTATAATGTCCTAACTGAAAACTAAGGCAATCACGAAGACATAATGCTTGCTGTATCAGTTGCTTAAACAATATAATCTGCTTTAATTTGGAATCAGTGTTCTATGCTTTCTACAAAGTATAGTTGGTAAAGAATATAATATCAAACTAAATAAATGTATCTGTTGATATCTTTTTCATAATCAAAAATTTTCTACTACTGGATCAATTTATACATATCATCTAATGAAATTCAACACTATTGCATTATTTGTTGCCATTATAGCAATTGTCAAGTATCATGATACATTCTTATTGTATTCTGAGAAATTGTATAACAGAGTGATATATTCATTATCTTATTATGATCCTCAAATGGAACAAAGGTATTGCATTGCAAGATATTTCAGATTAAGAAACGGTGAGTGGGATAATATCTTTAACGCAAACTGTGTTAATAAAGACACTGAAACTATGGCTAAGAGGAATGCTGAAATCTTTCGTGACAATAAGTATGTAGCTGGTATAGTAAGCTACTATGAAAAAGAAGATCACAATGAAGAGTAGTAAATTATCGTTAATGTTATGCTGTTCATTAATGTATGAAAAAATATGATTATATCTCACGAAGTGCAGGTAGAAAATATTCATTCAACATGTTGATCGATGTGATTTTGACATTTACCTAAAAATATGTTTTCTGTTTATCAGTTTTGTATGCTTAATGCAGTTTAACTAGTATATAATACATCATCTGTAATAAATTTATTTGTTTATCTATTTTAATAACGAAAAGATTCACACTATTCAATCAACTGATATTACTTGAAGTAATGTTCTTACCCATTTTACAGATATTAGTTGCATGTGTAGCAATTATGGTCTATCACAATCGACTTGGATATTATTCAAAAAAGATATATAACAGAATCAAATTTATCTCATATTTTAACGAGACAGAACTTTGTATGGCAACATTTTATAAACCAAAAGACGGTGATTGGACTCTTCTCTTTAGAGAGAACTGTATAGTGGAGAAATATAACAATAGCCATGGTGTAGCAGTCCAAAGATTAAACTTTCATAGCGATAAATTGGATTACTATTGAGGAGATATATAGGATATTTTTTCAGTATACCAGTTCAGTACGCTTAATTCGATGCATAGGATAAATTTAGAAACTATACAATATCTATCACCTATAATATATACATTTGTTTGTTTTATTTAACACTTTTCTACTATTAACCATTATTATATGAGCAAATGAGAATCTACATTTTAGCTATATTAGTTGCCTTTGCAGCATTGATCAACGGTTTAAATACAGATGAATATGATACAGATGGAGATGATTCAGATGAATATGACACATATGGATATGATACACAAAACATTTATGATAGAATCAAAAGTGGTTCAAGTTTAAAGGAGCCAATATTTTGTATTGTTACTTTTTATAGACCAAAAAATGGTAATTGGACAGTTCAGTTTAATGATAAATGTGATATAGAGTACTTTGAAGAAGGCTATGGTTCATCAGTTAAACAAGTAAACGTCTATGACGAGAAATTGAATTACTATAGAGAAAATGTACAATGAATATTACTCTTAATATAATACAATTAAATAATTCTATGTGGTTATATTTTAGTATTATGGTTTAGATTTATGTTTTAATAGATTCTTTATTTAATTATTATTAATTTCTATTTACCTATTGAAGATTTTCAGTGTAATTCCATTTCGTTACTCTACAGATAATGTCATTAAATATGTAGTATATCAGAGTTTGATAAGCTTAGAGTTACGTTTATTGGGACATTATTTTATCATAACAGTTCTGTATGCTTAATTCAATGCATATTATAGTTTGGGAAGTATCATCCAAAATATGTTTATTTTATTTAACATTAAGAGTCTTGTCACTAGCGAATCAACTAATATTACTTGATCCAATGAGAATTTACCTTTTAGCTATTATATTCGTGACATTTGCAGCCTTCATTCACGGTCAGGAAACATATGATACGAAAGAGATATCTACCCAACTTCACTCAAATTTCGACGAACCAGAGCTTTGTTTGGCAGTAATTTATAATCCAAAACTTTTCAGTCTTATTTTTTACTATTCCAACAGCTGTATTAGATACGACTATGACACAATAGATGAAGACGAACAAGTTTGGACAACACGTCGTGGGAAAGTGACCCTTAAACCAAAGGCAATATTTCATGCTAAATTAGCCCGCTTAGTAGACTACTTTGGTTATGATCACGGAGAATAATTATTCTTTTGCTTTAATATTATTATTTCTATAATACTTTATATTGTTTCAATATAATATTATTTTGGTGATCTTCAAAAGATAAGCTCTTTCTTATGCCGATAGAGAATTTGGCAAGCTGGTGCAACTTACACTACTTCAATTCCAAAAATTTGCATATCTAGTTTCTGCTTAGTACCATTTTTGTAGGTAGTGTAGTTTTGATAAGTAACCTTACACTGTTTTTAGGAGATAGACATATTAGGGTTTAAGCCTTTAGTAGGCATAAGTTAGATGCAAATTGACTGTGTAAAACTGGGTCGTGTGAATTTGTTCAAAAGTTTAGTTAACATCAACTCTTTTTTTTAACATTCAAAACTCAATCAACTTCAACTATAGTAAGCAACCTATCAATTACACAACCATGGTCATATCACTAAAGATGTCAAAGATCAGGGTATCACAGCCTCATCTAAGGAGGACCATAATACGATACCTTTCCAAAAGAAGCGGAGATGATGGTTTCAGTAATCCGTCATCGATAAATGAGAATGTGGTATTAGCTGATGCCTTAAATCTATTATCACCAGCCAAACACAACGAACATACTCAACAACAAAGATACACAGCCGATTTTAAACCATCTTTATATAATAACTTAACTAAGGGTCCTGCATCTGAGCAATTTAAAGTAGAGGATTTTACGCATTCATCATCTAAAGCTTATAATAATGGATCTCGCGATCTGCTCAAAGTGAACGAATTGACCAACAAATATGTTAATACGTTATTGTTTGGGATCAAATCATCTAATATAATTAATCGATTCAATCTTGATTTATCAAGTATGTCACCAAAGGAATTATCAAACTATATTAAATCCATAACAGAGGAAGATAAATTAATGGAATTGATTGATTTATTATATTCCCAGAATAAATTGAATATAAAGAATTTAACTGAGATTGTATTAAATCCAGGGTTTAAAGATTTTAGTAAATGTTCAATTGATTTACTCAATATTAATAAAAACTACATCAAGTTTGACAGTCCGATCCATTATACACAATTCAATATTATCTTATTAAAGAAGTTTTATGATTTAAAAGCTCCATTACAGATTATTAAAAATCTTAAATCTAATTTCGATAAGTATTATTTCCCATTGATTAAAGAAAAGAAGTTGGCACCATTTTATGAACGGATTGTTTGGAAATTTCAATTTCAATATAATCGAAAAGTACAAAAATCAAATTTAAATGAATTATATTATATGAATGAATTAAATAATTTACAATCATCATTTTTAATATGGGAATCTTCATCATCTTCATCTTTAACGTCCTACGATATTAATAGAGTCATCATAAATTACATGTTAACAGAGCAAGCTTCAAAGTTAACTGCTTTACAATTATTATTCTTAAAGATTTGTATTCAAAATTTAAATCATTTTGAAGATGCAAATACAGTTAACACGAAGTTATTATCCAACTTGAAGAGAATATCTATCAGATATCACATTTACAGTTTACATCTGGTGAATAATGCTCATAATGAAGAGAATTCAAGATTAGTTCATTATTCCATTCTTAACAAACTTGAAGAGTTCATATTGAATGAATTAATCGATCCAGTAGCTGCTACATCTGCAGGTGGTGCCATCTCAGAAGCTCAAAGCTTGGATAATATCAAGCTATTAAAAGAAATTAAATCTTATAGAGAATCATACATTTCTAGTTTATTAAATAACAGCAATAGTCACGACCCACAAACTAACGAACAAGTTGACAAGGTGCTTGCACCTCAACCCAGATACTCTCCTTTCTAAATTATAGTTTAAGTATATATTCAGATATTTAGATATTCCTTATAATTTTAACGACCTTTTTTATGACTCTTTAGATTTTGTAGTGTTGGCTGTAAAATGCGGGATCGGAATTTTTTTTCAGATCTGACCAGAAATCTTTATAGTTGATCATAACGTTAAAAAAGATAGCATTGAATTCTACAAGATCACAAGATGAAGGTTATATCAGACGATGCCGTTGAAAGGTATTTGTGGAGCAACTTAACCAAAACTCAAATTCTTGAAAAATTCCAACCAGCTTTACTAAATGGATTGAAAGATTATAACGAGGACCCTGATAAGATTATCCCACCACGAATTTCACAATTAAGTAATAACCCCAATTCTTCAGTAACTCATTTATACATGCCATGTATCTCACCTAATGAAGTTGGTATTAAAGTTATTAGTGGTGGTCCAAGTTCGAAATTAGGATTCCAAGGATGTGTGTTGATTCTAGATGAATTTACTGGAGTACTAGAAGCAGTTATCAATGCTAAAACCTTGACTGCGTTTAGAACAGCTCTTGCTTCTACTTTGGGATTAGTTAAGGTAATTCATCCAGATAATAAGGATATACTCAAGGAAATAACAGTTTTCGGTGTTGGTCTTCAATCATATTGGCACATCGCTTTGAGTTTGAAAATTTACGGTGAATCAATATTGCAAGTTAATATCATAAATAGAAGTATAGAAAATGCTCAAAATTTAGCTGATAAATTGAAAGATGTGTTCCCATTTACTGCATTCAACTCATTCCTGTTTGATCAAGAAGATGCATACGTTGGTCATATTCAAAATAGCTCAATCATTTTTGGGTGTACACCGTCTACCGTGCCTGTTATTAAGAGCCATTATATAAACAAAGATCCCAAATATCCAAAGTTCATATCATTGATCGGATCATACAAAGCAAATATGATAGAGTTGGAATTGGATTTCATCAATAGTGAATTTAAATCAACAGGTACCAGTATCATTGTCGATTCCAAGGATCATACATTATTAGAATCAGGCGAGCTTATTCAAGGAGGTATTGAAAGAGATCAATTAGTAGATCTTGTTGAATTGTACGAAACCAACGACTCAACATCTAATTATGTTTCTCCACATAATATAACATTTCAAAAGCTTGTGGGATTATCTATTATGGATTTATCTATGGGGAAACTCATATCCAAAGACATTACCAGTGACAAAGCTGTAGTTATAGACGATTTCTAATCATATAAACTCAATATCTGTATATATACAAAACCATCCAATAATAAACATTCTTATTTATTACCTCCTTGCTGAAGTGAATATATTTTGCATTAATTCGGTAACCGTAGTTAAGATTACCACAAAATAAAATTATACGCGCGCGTGGGTTGGAGGAACAAAGTTTGTGATGGTCATGATAACAAATGGATCTCCAATTGCTTTTGACACATTTTCCTGTCGTCAGTAGATCAACGATAGTTCTGTTCTTCTTGTTTGGTGGCAACAGTCGGAATCATGCCAAAGAACGATACTCAACCTCTTTTAGGAGGAAGTGATAACTTCTACAACAATAAAACTGAAGACAAATCCCAAGTTTCAGTAATTAAGAAGAATTTATCTTATTTAATTCATGTTATTACTTTTGGTGTTATTGGATATCTTTTATTCTTTAACCATGATTCAAAGGCTGAGAATGTAACTTTTAATCCTAAAGGAAAGAAGAATGTTATTTTCATGGTGACTGATGGTATGGGACCAGCTTCCTTATCTTTAGCAAGGTCATTTAGACAATTCAGAGATAAGTTACCAATTGATGACATTTTAACCATCGATAGATATTTAGTAGGTTCATCCAGAACCAGATCAAGTAATTCATTAGTAACTGATTCTGCTGCTGGTGCAACTGCTTTTGCATGTGGTTTAAAATCTTACAATGGTGCTATTGGTGTTACTCCAAATAAGCAACCTTGTGGAACTATCTTAGAAGCACTTAAGTTACAAGGTTATTATACTGGTTTAGTTGTTACCACCAGAATCACTGATGCCACTCCAGCTTCTTTCAGTTCTCATGTTGATTATAGATTCCAAGAAGATTTAATTGCTGAACATCAATTAGGTGAATACCCATTAGGTAGAACTGTTGATTTAATCTTAGGTGGTGGTAGATGTCATTTCTATCCAAACTCAATCCCAGGAGGTTGTCGTGGTGATAAGAGAAATTTAATCGATGAAGCTCAAGAAAAGGGTGGATGGAGTTATGTTGGTAATAGAGATCAATTTGATCAATTACAAGGAGGTAAAAATGTCACTTTACCATTATTAGGTTTATTAGCCGATACTGATATTCCTTATGACATTGATCGTGATTCTAAAGTTTATCCATCATTAGCTGAACAAGTTAAAGTTGCTTTAACCGCTTTATCCAAAGCTACTGAAGATTCTGAACAAGGTTTCTTCTTATTAATCGAAGGATCAAGAATTGATCACGCTGGTCATCATAATGATCCTGCTGCTCAAGTTAGAGAAGTCTTAGCTTATGATGCTGCCTTCAGAGAAGTGATTAAATTCATTGACGAAAGTGAAACTGAAACCATTGCTATCTCCACCAGTGACCATGAAACTGGTGGTTTAGTTACTGCCAGACAAACTTCTCCAAATTACCCTGATTATTTATGGTACCCAGAAATTTTACTCAACAGTCAACATTCAGGTGATTTCTTAGCCAGAAAATTAACCAGTTTTAAAAACAAAGAAGATAGCAAAGCTTTAGATAAATTCATTAAAGAAGAAATCTTAGAAAAAGATATGGGTATTACTAATTATAAAGATGCCGAAATTGAATTAATCAAGAAAAAAATCAATAACCAAGGTGAATTATTATACGTTTTGAATGATATTCTTTCATTCAGATCTCAAACTGGTTGGACCACACATGGTCATTCTGCTGTTGACGTTAATATTTATGCTTATACCAACTCTCCAGCTCTTAAGAATAAATTATATTCTCATAGAGCTTATGATGGATTATTAGGTAACCATGAAAACATTGAAATTGGATCTTTCATGGAAACTATTACTGGTACTGATCTTAGCGCTATTACTAAATTAGTTCAAAGCACTAAACATTCTCCCGCTGCCAACGTCTTAGCTGAAGCTATTGAAAATGGCTTAATTGGGGATGATTTACATTCTCATATAAAATAAAGTTAGTGTTCCCAAATTTATATACCTTTTATACATTTATAAAATAAACTAATATACACGTCCTAAAAATTATTCTTGAATTAATCTATATTCCTCTTTATTCTCGTACTTGATTCTTAATATACATTGGATGATAAGTATAGCATTGAAGGTACCCAATATGAAAAATGGGCCTAGTATCCAAGAATCACTCCATATACCTCCAATTTTGGTTATGATTAATATACCCAATCCACCACTTAAACTATATAATCCACTTAATGAACCCATATGATTTGGATTTTCAGATGAATTACTAAGTAAACTCATACTGGTGATTATAATCCCGATTTGAGAAACACCTATAAGACTAACCATAAGGAAACAGGCAACAGTATGTGGATCATAAACGGAATCTGATGATGATGTAAGACATAATCCATAATTACCGATCAATCCTATGAAACTTGCGACATAAAGTGTTTTGTATGTTCCTATACGTTTGAGATCAATCAAGTAACCCCATAATGGTGCCGATACCAATGCTACCGTTTGTGCTACTCCGGTTAAGATTGCAGCGAATATATAACCATCGTAGCAATTCTTCTTATTAGGGTATTCTGTGACATCACATAACTTTTGTTTATAGTAATAGTTGTAAACTAAGAGTGGGATGAATACTGAAGTGGTGACTGTAGTTGATCTAGCCACGAAAGCTCCAACATATGATAATTGTACTTTGGGATTGTTTTTGGATAATTCAATACCTTGTTTTAATAATTGAAAGTAAGGAACATTTATTGGAATGACAACATCAATTGCATCTTCACCATCGTTTAAAATTAATGGTTCAGAAATCCTCACTTTTGTCTTGTCGTATAATAAAGCATGTAATATCAAGAATGATATAAATGAATATGCTGCTAAGATAAGATAAGAAGTCTTTATTCCATCTTTTAATGATAAATCAGGATACCAATTAACTAATTTGACAGGCAAGGTTAAGAAATTAGATACAGCAAAAATAGCACCTAAACCAGTAGACACTCCAATCAAGGCCGCATATTTCCCATTTCTCTTTGTATTATCATTTTCAGTTGAATCTGAATCATTAACATAAGCAGGTTTCCAAAAGATGAACTTCTTGAATGAAAAATCAGAATTACTCAATTCATTTAACAACACTGTTACCAAACTCATACAACCAGTGACCCCTAATGCAAACAAACATCTGAAGAATATTAAGTCTGGAAACACATGAGAACTCAAAGCTCCATATCCGATTAAACTTAGGGCAAGGATAATAAAACTTGAACTTTGAATAATTCTCGTACCGCTTGAGCCTTTAAGATTGATCTTGTCGACCAAAGTACCTATCAAAGGGGCTGAAACAATAGCTGTCAATTCATCTGCAAACCCTAATGTTCCAATTATACTTCCTATTTTATCATCAATTTCTAATCCGAGGACTTCCAGTAAATAAAATGGTTGAGTTGAAGAAAGGAAAACGACAATCGATATACAAGCAAATCCAGCGAAGTTGAATGCAACTAAGTTGGCTGCTGTATAATCCCTATTGAGAACTGTCATTATTACTAAACAAGAGGTTTCACTTACAAAGAGTAATTAGCTTTTTGATTATAATTAATATCAATTTATTTTTTTGGAGTCTCACTGATTCCTTTTTATCTTTTTGATCTATCCGAGAACGGTATTGCTGATCATAGTTAAGTAACACACTAACTAAATTAATTTAGTCAAGTGACTTTGTAGCAAATCTTATTTGTAAGTAAAAAACCACCACCGCAAGTTCAAAGTAAATTAGCGTAAGAACAGATTAATCTAGGAAGTTCCGACACAATAACAAGGAACTACAATTGTTTACTTTTAGATTCACCTTGACATGCACTAGACATTACTAATTGTTCAATTAAGGTTGACACATTGCCGGTATCTCCCCTCCCACACACCTTGCTTCCTTTCTAGAAACCCTTTTACAATTGACTCAGATATTGAGTCAAGCTAAATATAGTAGCCATTGATTAAGCGTATACGAGTTTACAGTTTGAAGTTGCCGGTTTGTAATCCGGAGTCTAACCTGTAAAAATTCTCTTTCCACGGAAAAAAAAGAAATTTCCGTCCTGTTTGAGAATAGGACCATAAACGGAATTTTACTTGGTGGTGTAAGCCATTCATAAAGTAACTGAGGCGAATGCTTTGATTATAGGGATTATAAGGCTTGGGTATTACTAAGTAGAAGACGCCTTTGAAGGTGTTTTGAAGAAATTTATAATATTAGAAATAAAGTAAAGTAAAGGATGATCCTAACTTAGTTGTAATAATATGTTCCATTGCTTCTAATGATCACTGACTAGTAGACGTCACTATTATTATTATTATTATTCGTAATTGTAAGTAGAAAAAAGAAAAGTCCACTATAAATGACAGCTAGTAATTAAATATGTTTAGTTGTTATAACACCATTTAAGCATGAATTGCTTAACTTAAAATGTAAACCAGGCGAACGAATACACTATCGAGTCGATATTCATATGTTATTACCACTTCACGTGAGTGTTTGTACAGCTCACATCCGGAATACAATAGAGTTGTATTAGCTCGCCTGATACCTTACATTAAATTAGTGATAGTGTGGAAATGGAAAAACGGATACGTAAATTTTATTTTTTATTACAGCTGCGAAATAAGACGTACGTCATGAAAAAAAGCAACGGCTATTGTATGATGATTACAATGATATAAAACATCGATATAATCACCAATTTTAAGTTTAATTGAAGATGAGTTTTGGATTGGAAGTAGTTCAATTGAGTTCAATTCCATCAATAATTCCTACAACAACAACAACAAGAAATTCTTCAACATGAGTAGAAGACTGTCAGTAGCAAGTAATTTGCCAGAAAATGAAGCGGATGACTTCACCCCTCAACAATATGAAGCAGATGTCAATTCTGATGCTCAATCTGAATTATCTCAAATTAATTCAAGAGTCAGTGCTACTAATTCATTCAAAGAATTAAGAATAACCAGAACTGAAACTGCTAAAGATTTACAAAATTTTGGTATTTCTCGTGATGTACCCGTCCCTTATCTTAATAGTCCTCCTGTCGAAGATCCAATATTCCCTGAAGAATATACTTTAGAAACTAATACTGGTTTAGTGCAAGTTCAAACTTTACAAGAACTTGGTAGAGTGAAATCCAATATAACAAGACGTTTAAGTCGTCCCCGAACCTCATCATCGACTGGGATTGAAGAATCTCATGAAGAATCTTCTTCAACGCTTGAAACAGAAACTCAACAAGAAAAACCAGTAAATAAATATGATCAATTTGATCCTGAAATTGAATTCGTCACTTATGTCATTGATGATCCTGAAAATCCTCATAATTGGAGTATGGCTTGGAAATGGACTTATACTATTATATTGTCTTTATTCGTCATTTCAGCTGCTTATGGTTCATCATGTTTAGCAACTGGTTTACCTACTGTTACTGCTAAATACAATGTTTCAACTGAAGTTGCTACTTTATCAGTATCATTAATGGTATTAGGTTTCAGTATTGGTCCATTAATTTGGGCTCCATTATCTGAGCAAATTGGTAGAAGACCAGTTTATTTCATCTCATTTGGATTATATGTTGTTTTCAATATTCCATGTGCTTTAGGTAAGAATATCGAAACTTTATTAATTTGTCGTTTCTTATGTGGGGTATTTTCTAGTTCTGCTTTAACCAATGTTGGTGCTAGTTTAGTTGATATCCATAATGAAACAAGATCATTAGCTATTGCATTCTTTTCATTTGCTCCATATTCTGGTCCAGTATTAGGTGGTATTGTTAATGGTTTCATTAGTGTTAGTACTCATAGATTTGATCTTATTATTTGGGTTAATATGGCATTTGCCGGTGTAATGTGGATTATAGTTGCTATGATTCCTGAAACTTATTCACCAGTCATTTTAAAAAGAAGAGCAAAGAAATTAAGACAACAAACTGGTAATGAGAAGATTATGACTGAACAAGAAGCTACTCCGTTATCATTTAAAGAATTAGTTAATGATTGTTTGATTAGACCCTTAAAATTCATTGTTGAAGAACCAGTTTTAGTTTTAATTTGTGGATTTGTGGCCCTTATCTATGCTATGCTTTATGCTTTCTTTTTCGCTTATCCAGTTATTTTCAATACATTATATGGATTTGAAGATAATAAAATCGGTTTAATGTTTATTCCTATTTTAATTGGTGCTGGTTTAGCCTTAACTACCACTCCAATTCTTGAAAAGAGATATATGGCCATGTGCAAGAGAAGAACTCCAGTTCCAGAAGATAGATTAATTGGAGCTATGCTTGGATCTCCATTCCCATGTATTGCTTTATTCATATTAGGTGCTACTTCTTATAAACATATTATTTGGGTTGGACCCGCCTCTTCTGGTATTGCATTTGGTTATGGTATGGTGTTAATTTATTATTCATTAAATAATTATATCATTGATACTTATGCCAAGTATGCTGCTTCAGCATTAGCTACTAAAGTATTCTTAAGAAGTGCTGGTGGTGCTGCATTCCCATTATTCATTACTCAAATGTATCATAGATTAGGTTTACAATGGGCCAGTTGGTTATTAGCATTCATTTGTTTGGCTATGATTTTGATTCCTTATACATTCTATATCTTTGGTAAGACCCTTAGAGCAAAGATGTGTAAAGAAGATTACTCTGCTGTTCATTTTTAGAGAAGTTTACACTTCAAATATTTGCATTTTGTCATACTTATTTATTTAGATATTTGTCTTTTTCTTTTATTCTATTCTTGCATATTGATTATAGAGGGATATATATATTCCAATTTACTTATTTATTACATGTTTATTACATATTTATCATAATACACGCCGTTCTTTTCTTTCAATCCCATATGCTTAGCTCTAGGCTAACAATAGGTGCAAAAACTAAACTTAAAATTTGATTGGGGCGTATAACCTTTTAAAACACGCATTTTTTGCGTCTTCCATTTTCTCTCACAGTTTGTACCTGTCAAAAGAACAAACCTTTGGTGCTGGAAGAAAATAGCGACTGCACTCTAAAAAAAATTTCAAAGCAAAAAGATCTGTGATTATTTATAGCGTGTTGTAAAGCAAATGTGTTGAACACTGGACTATACCACTATTGACAATAGGCCCTAGGGACATACCAGTATAGTCAGAAGAAGAAGAAGAAGAAGAAGTTATGATACAAATCTTGGTCACGTTTGTACCCTCCTTGTTCTGGATTCTTTATAGATGTTACCAAACCTTACGAACTCCAGTGGAAGAGATCATTCAAGATTTAAGTATTGAAATTCCTCATCGTCCAAATATTTGTATTGATTCTGTGACTGAAACTAGTGTTATCATTCATTGGGATATCGAAAGAAGTAACGATGATAACTTGTACTATGTTATTGTCATAAATGGTAAAGAAGTAGCAACGGTTCAATCAACATCATGTAAATTGAATAATTTCGAACCTCATCAAGTTTATCAAATAGAAGTCATCGTTATTAATAGTGTCACCCATTTCCAATCACAATCTGAATCAGTATTCATTGAAACTTTTGATAAACAAGATCCTAAGTTTAGATTTGTTAAAGATTTGGATGATATTCAACCAGATGCATTCGATTCAAATTCATCCACCGTGAAAAATAAAAGTAAACTGAAAACTAAGTTAAATGAAGATTCAGAACAATTTGAAACCAATGCTATGGTTGATGATTTAACTGTCGAAAAGATTCAAACTATCACTAATCCAGAAACTGTTCTTGCCTACTTGACAATATTACAAAATGAAGTCGTTAAAACTAATCTAGAACATAAACATCAACAAGCATTATTTATTAAGGAATTCGATACTTTACAAGAAGAATATCAACTATATAAACGTGAATATGATGAAGAAACTGATAATAAAACTAAAAAAGATCTGGATGTTAGATCATTAGAAAGATCTAAAGATAAATTAACTTTTCAAAAGTCAAAGTTAATCAATCAACTAAATTCTTTAAATGGTTCCTTGGATTTATTACAAAAGAGATTAGATGATTATCAAGATAAAATTCATAGATTACAAGATCGAAACAATCATAGTTTAAGTAATGAAGCTAATGAAATTGCTAATATCAATAAAGAAATCTCAACTAATTTAGCAACCATAGAAACAATTAAATTTGAAAATGATTCAATCGATGAACAAATCAAAATTTTACAAACTGAAAAAAGAGAATTAACTAACTTAATCAATCATATTAAACCATTAATTGAAATTATTAATTCTCCTTTACCTGAAGATCCGGTCGTTCCATTATCTACAACAATGCAAGCATCAGCATCAACCAATAATATTTCGCATGTTAATCCAATTATAGCAAATACTGTCTCCAACACTAGCAATTCAAATCCGACATCATCATCACCTTCACCAGCTCCAGCATCAACCATATCTAACAACTCTGTATTTAATAAAGATGGAAGTATTAATAAGATTGTCCTTGAAACTTTACAGAAATTATTTGTCATTGTACCAGAATGGGAAAATGAAATCATAAAAGAAGTTACTAGTTATCAAGAATTAGAAGTTGGTTGGAAAGAATCATTTCAATTAGCGATTAAAAAGTATGTATCCATGCATCAATCCTTACAAATTGCTAGACAGAATAAAGATAAGACTTATCAACCAATTAAAATCACTGAATATCAAGCATCAGTTGATTTTGGAGGTTATTCCAATGCCTTATTCAAATCAAAGTTTGGTACTGGAAAACGAAGCTTTACACCTCCTTCATCATCATTTGATGATAATAGTGGCAATAACAGTCATAATAATAGTATGATTCAAATTCAACAACCATCTCAACAATTACAAGGACAAATCCCTCTTGTTGATACCAGCAATCTTATTAATGGTAATGATAATGGTGGAAATAGTGCTTATAACTCCCTTAATCCTAATACCAATACTTTGAATAATTTTTATAATCATTATAGTCAAGTTTATACTCCTGAAATTGAAGGCAATAACATCAATCCAATGGATCAAATCCAAGGTTTAGATCAATATGGTAATGTTTTAGATCCATATCAACAACAACAGCAGCCATTCCAAGTATTAGAACCAGCAATTTCACTGCCTCAACTTTTATTAGACAATCAATTAGGCATGGATCCATATACACCATTTGATACTATTGTTAATAATTCTACTAATAATTATCAATCACCAGCCTTGGCTCAGGCACCTCTTATTCAAGTTGATAATAGTAATCAATTGTATAATCAAGGTAATATCGGTGGTTATGATAATTCATCATTGGTTTCACTTTTACAACAACAATCCACTTCTCAATTGAGTACTAATAATACTCAACCACCACCACAACCTCAACAATCATTAGGATTCCCATATGATGATCTGATTTATACTACTAGTATTCAATCACCGTTGGTTGAAACTACTCCTACTTATGGTTATAATCCAACTACAAGTAGTGCAGGTAGTAATGTCTTATATAATTATAATTCACCAATATTAAATCGTCAAACTTTAACTGGTACTCCGATTAATACTGGTGGTAGTACTAATAGTACTAATAATAGTTTATGGAGTTCTACTACAACTAATAATAATTTACAAATATTTGGTAATAATCCAACTACCAATGATGAGTTTATGTTTAATAATAGTAATGGTAATGGTGGAGCAGGAGCATCCAATGTTGTTGGTAATAGTGCTGGAGGTAATGATTTGAATGGAGGAGGTGCAGGTGCATCTGCTGGTGGAGCATTTTTTATGACCCCAACATCATCTCATACTCGTAATGTTTCAAATAATAGTCAAATTTGGAAAATTGATAATAATAATACATTATCAAATCATAATTTTAATTTAGGTGGTGTTTTTGGATCATCAAATTTGAATTTACATATTCCTTCTAATTTAACTACATCGTCCGGTAGTACTGTCAATAATCAAGCTCAACAACAACAACAACAACAAACACAACAACAATTGGCAAATACTCCACCAGTTGCAAATGCTAGTTTAAATCCTAATAGTGTTGGTAGTAGTAATTTATATGGAAATCATACTCCTACTACTACACATTCTAATGTAACTTATAACTTTGGTCAGCAATTATAGTTAGAAAATCAATTCATCAACTCCACAGTTACATATATGGCATACTCCAATTATTTATTTATCTATCAATATGTATTTATTTATTTTGCATTTTCATTTAAAAAAGTCAAAACATTTCTCGGTTACTGACGGGATTCGCATCATCAACAAACCAAAAAAAAAAAAAGATCATGATTTTTTCTATAGTAAACACAGATTATATATGACATGTAAATAAGAAGGAATAAATATATATAATAAACCTAAATTTGTAACTCCGGGAAGTTAAGAAATGGAGGCTAAGCATGTTGGATAGGAGTTGACATATTTTAAGGCGTACCTTTCTTATTGTGGAGATCAATAAATAGTATGTAAGAAGCGAGAGAAGTCAAAAAGGGAAGAGTGTTCGAGATGTGACTTCTGAGGGTTAAGCGACACAGAAGGAGAAATTTTACGTAGTTAAGCTAAAGAAAGAGGAGTAAAATATGACAGAGTTAAAAATATACGGTAACTGTTGGAGTTGGGATACCGAAATGTTTGTTTTAATTTATGGGGGGGTAGTATTTATTTTATGGCGGATTAATTTTTAGACTTTTTCGGTTTTGGTCTGACCTATGTGTTTAGTTAGGATGATATAATTTTTAATTGTTGGAATTTCAAAAGTATCACTATTTTAAATAGGGGACAGGATAGGGGGGTAGGTTAATTGTTGTGGTTTATGTAAATGTAACTTGGAGCAGCATACCACTCACTTATTTTATTTTTCGGGGTTTGTTCATACTAAGTAAATCATAAAATCTTATGACTAACAATTATAGGGGGATTGGATAAAATTATACTAAACTAGGCTTATTATTTTAGAATGGTTTGTAATTTGAAAATAACGACGACGGTTTTATTTAGATTGTTTGAGCAATTATGCGGTAACGGTTTCGTATAGTATAGTTTGTATATTCCATAGTACAGGGTAATGAACGGCAAAATTGAGAGGATATTTGCGGCATATTGCGCTTAGAAATAGAAACAGAAAAAAAAAGAAATTAAAAATTTTTAGTTGGAGTTGCAAAATGACACACAGGAGATGAGACAAATTGAGGGAGGAAGGGAGGGAAGAAAAGAAATTTTCTTATTATGGAAGTATCAGGGTGAATAGATATGTATGAGCTGACAAGACTAAAAGCTGATGATTTCATGTAATGACTAATATCGATGTTAACAGAAGGAGTTAGAGAAAGGAGGGTTAAGGATTATTTAACTTGATTTATATAAAATATTACAACCATACGTACGATTTTGTGTAGTTTATAATATATATATTTGCCTAACGGCTCTTTAGGTTTATAGTTTTTTACTATTCTTAACTGTCTTACTAGCATAAAGATATATGTATATATTTTTACTATTTTGCTGATTTTTATTTTCAATTTTTTATTCATTCAGTCATTTATCATTCTTTGATTTTGTTTGTTTATTTCCTTTCTTTCCTTCTTGTTACCTTTCTTCATATAATATAACATAATTGTTTGCAACTTTCAATATGACAGCAGATGAAGAAGAACAATTTCCTACGTCTAATGAATTCAGAAGTGATACTTTTACCGTTCCTACCAGAGGTATGATTGAAGCTAGTTACTTAACTAGTACCTATGGTGATTCAGTTTATAAAGAAGATGAAATCACTCTTGAATTAGAACTGAAAATGTGTGAATTAACTGGTAAACCAGCTGCATTATTCTGTGTTTCTGGAACCATGTCAAATCAAATTGGTTTAAGAGCCAATCTTTATCAACCTCCATATAGTATATTATGTGATTATAGATCTCATGTGTTTTTACATGAAGCAGGTGGATTAGCTACGTTATCTCAAGCTATGGTTCATCCTGTTATTCCAAGTAATGGGGATTATTTAACGTTTGAAGATGTTATCAGTAATATAACTTTAGATGATGGAGATATTCATGCCGCTCCAACTAAAGTTGTTTCATTAGAAAATACATTACATGGAATAATTATGCCTATTGAAGAAATTGCAAAAGTTTCTCAATTTTGTAAACAAAATGATATTAAATTACATTTAGATGGAGCTCGATTATTTAATGCATCAGTTGAAACTGGAATAACCTTAAAAGAATATTGTTCATATTTTGATAGTGTATCATTATGTCTTTCTAAATCATTAGGAGCTCCAATTGGATCGATATTAGTGGGAGAAATTCCATTTATAAATAAAGCTAATCATTTTAAAAAACAATGTGGAGGTGGGATAAGACAAGCTGGGATTATAACATCAATGGCTATTTATGCTATTGATAATAATTTAAAATTGATTAAAAAATCTCATAATTTTGCTAAACAAGTTGGACAATTTTGTCAAGATCATGGTATAATTTTAGAATCACCAGTGGATACAAATTTTGTATTTATTGATATTAAAAAAAGTGGAATTGATGATGGATATTTGATTGAATTAGCTAAATCTTCCAAATATAATCTTAAATTGATGGGAGGTAGATTAGCATTTCATTTTCAATTGAGTCAATCATCAGTTGATAAATTAAAACAATGTCTTTTAGAGGCGTTTGAATATAGTAAAGTTCATCCACCAAAGGTTAATTTAAAGAATAATAAAAAGATGTATAATTATGAAGCCATGACAAAAAGCATATAGGGTGGTTGGTGATTATATCATACCATACCATACCTTAACGTACCATATAGCATAAGTAGGTTAAGTTCTACAATTAATAGATAATAATAATAATAAGTAATAACTAGATACTTGTAATTGTAATAACTAGATACTTGTAATTGATTGATTGATTATGACGGTCAAGGTAAATCTCCACTTTTAACATGGTTAAAGACGTGTAACAAACTGGATAATCATTGTAAAGTCTAACCATATGAATGATCAATGGTTGTTAATAGCAATGAACTCCCATTTAATACCATAACAACACACCAATTACCCTTGCTTCCAATACTGTACTATCACCAAATGAAACAGACAACCAAATTCTTAATTACTTCCTAAATAGGATTCCATTTACAGTATATTAATTTACACGTGGCTGACACTTTTCTCATAATAAAACAAAAATTGTTTTTTTGAGCATCATCAAAAATTATCACTGTAACAGTAAAGCTTAAAACTAAATAGAGATAAGCTGAAATACCTACAGCAGCGATACAGAGAGACCGTGTTTCAAATCAATCCCATTTCAAAATATAAATTTTATAAATCATTGTCATTTCTTCTTCTTTAGTTAGTTCATTTTGTTCCTTCTGTGTATCAAACACGTCTTATCCAACTGAATCGATCTATTTAGAATAGACTGATCGTTTTACGACAAATAGAAATCGAAAAAGGCTAAATTAAATTTCTTTTTTCTGTTTTTTCTTCCCATCTTTTTTACAGTCAAAAAAAATCATCAATTCCACTTACGACACAGATTCAATATCAATCGTATACTTAGCACATCATGAGTAGTGATATCATAAATGAAGCTATGGATCCAACTGGGATGATCACTGAAGTGTCTAAGGGTAGTATCAGTTCTTCTAGTTCAAGTGCAACCATTCTCAATGATGAAGATTACTTAGAAAAACACAACCACAATGATCAAGACCACGATCATGATCATGATCATGATGATAGTGAAAATAATGAAGATACAGGATATGTATCATCATCAGCATCATCCTTCACAGGATCATCTAGTAATGGTCCAAACTATTTACAACGAAGTGATTCCACCAATTCTGTCGCTTATATCGATTTAGGTAAACTTTTATTCGTTAATGATTTTGATTTTGGATTAAATTTAGATACCGTAAGTGATAAAACTAAACAAAAATTCAATGATATGAAATTAAAAACGAAAGAAAAATTCAATATGAGTCAAAGATCAGTTGAATTCATTAAATTACAAGAAATATTTCAAAAAAGATTAGCTAAATTCGATGAAAGAGTTCATAAAAATTTAGAATCTTCCAGTACAGAGAAATTATTCTATGCTATAGCGTTGTTTTTAATCGTATCGGCTGGTTTCATCATTGGGAAATATCCCACTTATTTCCCCTTATTTCATACTGTTATATTTTCCATCTTAATTCCTATCAGATGTTATACATTTTTTAAAATTAGTTATGAATATTTTTTGGCTGATTTATGTTATTATGTCAATTTATTATTAATGACATTTATTTGGATTTTCCCTAATTCTCCAACTTTATTCATATCAGTATTTTCATTATCATTAGGAACTTTATCATTTGCTGTTATTACATGGAGAAATTCTCTTGTTTTACATTCAATTGAAAAAACTACAAGTTCATTTGTTCATGTTATGCCACCCGTCACTATGTTTGTATTAGTTCATGAATTACCCAAAGATCATATCAAAGAAAGATTCCCTGGTATTGCAGCTGTGGATAATTGGGATTTCTTTTATGGTATATTCTGGACTTCAGTATACTATACTATTTGGCAAGTTTCATATCATTTCTTTATCACTATTAGAAAAAGAGAAAAGATCGCTCAAGGTAAAGCTACATCATTAACATTTTTAAAAAGAAGACAAAAACATACAGTATTAGGTAAATTTGTTAATTCATTACCAACAGTTTGGTTACAAACTTTAGTATTCACCTTCATTCAATTCTTTTATCAAATCTTAGCCATGATGTTATGTCCAATTTGGTTTAAGTATAAACATGCATGTGGAGCATTTGTATTATTCATCTTTGTATGGGCAAGTTATAATGGTGCCACCTATTATATTGATGTGTTTGGTAAACGATTTGAAAATGAAGTGGATAGATTAAGAAATGAAATTAAAAATTTACAACAAGAGAATGAAAAATTACAATTTTCTCCCTTAAATAAACCTCAATCGTTTAATGATGATTTAATTAAACCATTGGAAAATTTACCTGAATCCGCCATAGAAGAGTAATTCAAAATTCTTTAAAAAATCATATCCTGTTTCAATTCTATATTATTATTATTCATACTTTCACTTCCTAGGAGGAAGTGAGTCTTCAAATGTAACCTATTATTTACTATTATTCTTCCTATTCTTTACACACATACCCTTTTACCGGACAGCTTCTTTTATATAGATAGAAAATAAGAAAACATCCATATAATCCCTTCAACAATTGTATACTTCTTCTATATCAATCTCTTACTGTATTATATATTTGCAGTAATCGTGTGAGAAATCATTTCCGGGTAATTTTTATTTTTCTTAGCAGTTTCTTAGTGAGTGAGAAAAAAAATTTATAGCACCAAAAGGTTCTTTGAAAAATTGAAAAATTAGACGTTGAAAACTGAATTGATAGGTTCTAAAAACGATTAGAACTACCTTAAGATTTACGGCAGTATGATAAGATCAACTATTCATCATACTCCAGCTGGATACAGTGGTAGTAGTATAATAAGAAGGTTTCTTTCCTCAAGTTCTAGAATAAATCAAGATGCCTCAAAATCATCATCAAACAAAGAACAATCATCATCATCATCATCCAAATCAAATAATAACAATAATAGCACAAACATACCCACATCAGATAATAAAGTGACAGATCATGTTCAATTCTTAAAACAATACTATACTCCTGAATTATTACAAAGTATTCAAATCACCGAATCATTAATTGATCCAAACGATGTCTTACAATTAAAAATGCGAGGATTTAGAGGGAATTCAAAAGTTAAACCAACTGATGAATTTTCCGATTATAGTACTAATGATCCAATATGGGATGAACCTATTGTATATCCTAATCAAGCATCCAAACGTACTCCATACCCTGCCATTCCTAATGCCAGAGCTGCTGATAGATCTGATTTACATTTAAGATTTGTTGATAAAACAACTAATGAAAAGAAAGTTACCTCTTTAAGAACTACTCGTCAAATTGCCGATGATTTATCAAAATTAACTGGGTTAGATGCAAGATATATCAGAAATTTATATATCAGACCTATCATTATGAAAAGAGTTTCATTAAAGACTTCTAAAGGTAATATTCCAAATTTCTTTGTTTTAACTGTTGCTGGAGATAGAAATGGTACTATTGGTTTAGGAATTGGTAAATCAAGAGATGGGATCAGAACTGCAGCTGTCAAAGCTCATTGGAATGCAGTTAAGAATTTAACTCCAATTCCAAGATATGAAGATCGTACTATATTAGGGGATTTTGAATATAAATATCATGCTGTTAAATTATTTATGAAATCTGCTCCAGCTGGGTTTGGATTAAGAGTTAATCAAAATATCTTTGAAATTTGTCAAGCTGCTGGTATTAAAGATTTAAGAGGTAAAGTTTATAAATCAAGAAATCCCTTATTGGTTGCAAAAGGGTTTGTTGAAGCTTTAACTAAACAAAGATCAATTGAAGATTTGGCTGCTGGTAGAGGTAAGAAGATTGTAGATTTAAGAAAAGTTTATTATTCTCATTAATCTCATTCTGCATAACATTATATCATATCATATCATATCACATTATATAGGTAAATTATATACTTGTACATAACAATCAATATACTTATAAATACATTCATAAATTTATAATCGTAGTGACAACTTCTTCTTCTTCAGTAAAAGTCGTGTGAAAATAAACCATCACCAAATTTAGAATTTAGTGAGGAAAAAAAATCTCTAAACTTGCCATTATCTCTGTGGTCTCAGTAACTACCGCTAAAAATAGAGGTTTTTGCCACAGACAGATACATCACAAATCAATCAATATCGTTCATCGTTCTATTTCCTCCCCCATCACATCAATCCTTTGCTGATTACTCTTATACATAGCACTATCCTTCCCCTAGTCAGCAATCGTTATACACTAATTATCCTCCCCCCCCCTCCTCACTGATATTGACAAGTATAATATTCATTTCATTAATCCACGTTTAATTACATTAATCATCTTCTTACAAATCATCAATATAACTTACTAATACATCATGGTTGTTGATTCTGCTTATTATGATTTATTAGGAGTGGAAGTTACGGCCACATCATTGGAAATTAAAAAAGCGTATAGAAAAGCGGCTATTAGATTACATCCTGATAAGAATCCCAATGATCCTCAAGCAGCTGAACGATTTCAAGAAGTTGGTGAAGCTTATCAAGTTTTAAGTGATGAGAAATTAAGAGCTACATATGATAAATTCGGTAAGAAAGAATCAGTCCCTCAAGAAGGGTTTGAAGATCCAAGTGAATTCTTCTCTATGTTATTTGGTGGTGAAGCTTTTAAAGAATGGATTGGGGAATTATCCTTACTTCAAGAATTATCAAAATCAGCAGAATTATCAGGATATACTGATGAATCAGATACCAAAGATGATTCAAAAAAGACAACGAAAGATGGGTCTACTACCTCGGTTCCTCCTACCACCTCATCTACAACCTTTACCTCATCCTCCTCCACCAGTAGCAGTACCACAAAACCAGTGACAACTGAAGAGGAAGAAACCCAAACAACTAGTAATGGTCAAACTCTTTACTTACATCACAAAGAACATGATGATGCTGAACTAACTGCCAAACAAGTTGAAGAAAAGAGAAGAAAAGAGGAATTAGAAAAATTTGAAGAAGAATGTAGATTGAAAAAGATTGAAAATAGAAAAGAATTAGCCAAAAATCTTATACAAAAGATATCCTTGTTAACTGAAACTGATATGGCTGATGATGTTATGGATTCATTCAGAGCAAAAATCAAATATGAAGCTGAAGCTTTAAAAATGGAAAGTTTTGGTTTAGAAATTTTACATACTATAGGATCAATTTATAAAAGTAAACTGAAAATTTTTCTTAAAAATCAAACTTTTTTTGGTTGGGGTGGTCTTTGGTATTCTGTTAAAGAAAAAGGTGGTGTGGTGAGAGATACCTATAAAACAGTAATAAGTGCTTTGGATGCTCAAAGTACCATGCAAGAATATGCCAAGATGCAAGAAGATAATGAGTATCATGCTAAAAAGGAAGCTGAAGAAGAAGAAAAGGCTAAGAAAGAAGCAGCTGAGAAATTGGTGGCTCAACTTGAAGCTCAACTTGAAGCTTTAAAGAGAGAACAAGAAGAAAGATTTGGTAGTGGTAGTTCTAAACCTATTCATGAAGAATTTGGTACCAAGAACTTCTTTGAAGCTGCTGCGGAAGTAGATGGTGAAACGGATACTACCAAAGAACAAGATGTTACAACTACCACTGAAAAAGTTGAAGCTGTGCCTGTTAAACATTCTCCTGAAGAGTTGGCGGAAATGGAACATTATTTAATGGGTAAAGTGTTAGCAGCTGCTTGGTCTGGATCTAGATTTGAAATCCAAGGTACAATTAGAGGTGTTTGTGATGCTGTCCTTGAAGATAAAGAAGTTGATTTAAATAAACGAGTAGCAAGAGCTAAAGCATTAAGAATCATTGGTGAAGTATTTGCATCGATTACAAGAACAGAAGATGAAGCTGAAGAAGCTAGAATCTTTGAAGAATTGGTGGCTGAAGCTGGTAAAAAGAGAGAAAAGAAGACATCTCCTCCAGATACTGCTGCTGCTAATGAGGCAGCAAATGAAGCTAGTGCCAAGCATTAATTAATTCAATAATGACAAACCTTTTGTGTGTTTATTTTCATTTTATATTTGACATTACAATTTACGAATTTTCTATTTATTTTAATCTCCTCTCTCCACAATTATATATTTATATAGCTATAAACACCTTTATAAAGTCTATCATTAACATCGTGTTCTACTTGTACAATTCTGTTTACTCTCCCCCAAACTTAACTCTGCAAAAAAAAGGAGACAAAAAATTTTAAAATAATTTTTCCAACGCTGCACAGTAATTTTTCCGTCTGGCTTCAGATCAGCAAAAATTTCCATTTAAAAAATCCATTACATCATTGTCCAATTCAATTTCAATTTGGTTGTTTCTAGTCAAGTTTAACATTCGTCAAGGTATTCACTAGTCATGTCCAAATTTGAAGCCATTAGAAAGAGATCACACGCATTGGATCCATGTACCGCGTCCAATTACTCTGATTTTAAAGTGGTGTTGACGGATTTATCGTTAAATGTATCATTTACAAACCAAAAGTTGGATGGGAAAGTGATTTATTATTTACAAAATTTAACTTCTGCTGAGGTATTGATATTAGACACTTCTTATTTGAATGTATCATCTGTTATAGTCAACAATTCCAAAGTTGAATTTGATTTGAAGGAAGGTAAAGTTCCATTTGGCTCTCCATTACATATACCATTAACTTCAACTACCAGCGAAAGATTAGTGATTGAAATTGACTTCGCTACTACTGATAAATGTACTGCCATTCAATTCATTCAAGGTGATACTGGTCCATATATCTTTTCTCAATGTCAAGCTATCCATGCTCGTAGTTTATTCCCATGTTTTGATACTCCAGCTGTCAAATCTCCCTATAAATTTAAAGCTACTTCTCCATCAGTATGTACTATGTCAGGTAGACCTCAACCAAGTTCAGAAAAGAATACTTATATCTTTGATCAACCAATCCCAATTCCATCTTATTTAGTCTCCATCACTTCAGGTCAATTACATAAAGCTCCTATTGGTCCAAGATCAGATGTTTATTGTGAATTACCTCAATTAAAACAATGTCAATTTGAATTTGAAAAAGATATGGAAAATTTCATTCAAATTGCTGAAGCTTTAGTTTTTGATTATGAATGGTTAAGATTTGATTCATTGGTTTTACCATCAAGTTTCCCTTATGGTGGTATGGAAATTCCAAATATGACTCAATTAACTCCTACTTTAATTAGTGGTGATAGAACTCAAGTTAAAGTCATGGCCCATGAATTGGCTCATTCATGGTCAGGTAATTTAGTTACTAATTGTTCTTGGGAACATTTCTGGCTTAATGAAGGTTGGACTGTTTATTTAGAAAGAAGAATTATTGGTGCTATTGCTGAACAAGAAGCTAAAGAAGAAGGAAAATCTAATCCAAAAGAATATGGTGAACAAGTAAGACATTTCAATGCTATTATTGGATGGAATGCGTTAGTTGATACTGTTGAACAAATGAATCCAAAATTTACTTCCTTAATTTGGGATTTAAAGAATGAAGATCCTGATGATGCATTTTCAAGAATCCCATATGAAAAGGGGTTTAATTTCTTATTCCATATTGAAACTAAATTAGGAGGTGTTACTGAATTTGATCCATTTATTAAATATTATTTCAAAAAGTTCCGTTATACTTCATTAGATAGTGCTCAATTCATTGAAACTTTATATGAATTTTATCAACCATTAGGTAAAACTCATTTATTAGATTCGATTGATTTCAATAAATGGTTATTTGAATCAGGATTACCAGAATATCCAAATTTCGATACTACATTAGCTGATCAAGTTTATGCTTTAGTTGATAAATGGGTTGCTTTCGTTAAAGATGGTGAAAAGGGATCTGCCCTTTCTACCTTTTCTGAAACTGATATTGCTGATTTCGAAGGTAATCAACAAATGTTATTTATTGAATCTTTATCGGATAAATTCAAAGATTATAATGTTTCTATTGATTTAATTAGATCATTCCCTCAAATTTATCCAAAATTAGCTGCTAGTGCCAATGGAGAAATCTTAGCTGCTTGGAATGATTTACTTATTAAATATGGTAAATTCACCAGTACTGATAAACAAGTTGAATTCTTTGCTAATTGGGTTGGATCAGTTGGTCGTATGAAGTATGTTAGACCAGGCTATAAATTATTAATGACTGGAGTTAGTAAAGAATTTGCTATTGAAACCTTCAAAAAGTTTGAAGATAAATATCATCCAATTTGTAGAGCTATGGTTAAAAAGGATCTTGGTTTAAATTAAGCAAAACAAAACAACCATCTCAGTCTTATATATATACGTAATTTATAGTAACATTTTATATGTTCTACCACCTCATGAATACACGAATGCATACATGATGACATCTATCGATTATACACTCTAGTGATGTCTATAGTTTTGTTTAATTGCAAAAAAAATACTAACCGCTCCGGAAAAATCTTTTTCGCATCAAATTGTGGCGGCGGCTAATCTAACCTCCACCGATCTCTCCACTGTACAAATGGCACTGCACAGTTTTTTCAACACAACACCTTTAAATTGATCAAACACAGTTTCAAACCCTCTTCTTTCGTTGTTCATAGACTATTAGAAAGATGGAATACGTTACTCATTTACAAAAGGAAGATCCTTCCGTGGCTACTACTTCAGTTCATGGTTTAAGTTATACTTATCCTGTACAATATTACGATTTTCACGTATATTACTATGCTCATAATAAGAAATCAACTGAAGAATCAGATGCATTAAGAGCCAAACTTCTTCATGACTTCCCTGAGGATTCAGCTAATGGTTCAATTCTTGTGAAAAAGTTACCGGATACAAAGATAATAGGACCTCATCCAACTCAATTCTGGGAAGCTGATGTTAGAAGACCTGAAGTGTTTGTAAAAGTCTTGAGTTGGTTTCAATTACATCATGGTAATTTATCAGTATTGATTCATCCTCAAACTGGAGATGATCTTACTGATCATACTAAAAGTGCTTTATGGTTAGGTGAAAAGGTACAATTATTAGTTGATATATTCCCTAAAAATGTTGAAAAAGCGATTCCTGAATTTGGAGTTAAAGGTGGGCTTAGAATTAAACCTGAAGATTTTGATTCTCATAAAACAATTATTAATTAATTAAGTAACTTAAAGATAGCGTCATTATCTATAGAGTAGACTGAAATACTCAGTGCTAATTATATATATATATATGTACGTTTAGCTTTTTTTAATAAATATAGATTTATCTAGAATTTAGCTTCCTTTTTAAACTTATCTAATCTTTGATGATGATCTTGAATGAATTTAATTACTTTCTTTCTATTATCTCTTAATATTTCATTACCAGTGACATCAATAGCATCTAATTTGACTAATTCTTTCAATAACATTTCTTCAAAGTAATTATATTTATATTCAACATCTTCTTGAGATAAATCCTTATGATTATGTAAATAATCATCAATTTGAGGAACATATTCTGATTCAACAAAGTCAAGAATATCTTGAATGGTTTTATTAGCCCTTTGAGCTTTACTAAGCTTCTTCTTTGGCTTCTTCTTTTTATTGGCAGTTTTGGCAGCACTTGATTTTGAACCTAATAATACTTTGGAAATGATAAGTATGGTAGTTAACGCAGTGATGGTTAATGATACAGTGATTGGACTAACTTTTAATTGTGAGAAATCATCAATGATATCTTGAGGAGTTATAGATTTAACATAATCAATATGAGGTTGTAATTCTTCAATTGAAGTTGGTATGGATTCTTGAACTTGAACCACATAGCTTTTAACTTGTTCGAAATCAGATGGTAAGCTTGACTTCCATTCTTCTAACTGTGATACTATCTTATCCATGATCAATGTTTATCAATATAAGAAGTATAAATGGTAGTTATGTAGGATGATGTCTGTATATTTCAATCACATGAAATCATAGTTAATTTTTGTTTTGATTCAACTTTTTTTTTTCTGTTTGTTCAGTTCAGTCCCCAAAGGAAAAATGACAACAATTTGATCAGAGCCGCAACTGCCTAATTTGGAACGACAAATGAAGTAAGTCTACAGACATATAAAATAAAGATTAAGTATTATTAGAACAATGTTAGATTATTATTATATAAATATTTCACCACTAATGTTTCGTGATGGTTTCAAATCACCAATGGGTTTTGGTTTTGATAGTTTATTGATGGGAGGTGGAGCCTTTTTATTAATAACAAGTTTTGGAAAATCAGTCGTTGGTTCAACTTCTGGCTCTGGTTCGTTTTTAGTGGTGGTGGTTGTAGATTGCATATTCTTAGGTAATTTCCTCTTCGGACCTTTTGCTCTTGATTTACTAAGATGAGACATGCCTTTACTATTTGTAGTATCTTGTCTTTTAGACTTGATAGTAGTTTCAGTATGTGCTCTTGTTGGAAGAGGGGTTGACATTGGATTTGGACTACTTCTGACTTCTGGTAAAGTACTTGCTCTTAATATTGATGATAATTTATCCTCAAATGATGCTGGCTTAGATGGAGTCAATGAAGATGTCAGCCTACCTTCATGTTTATAAACTGGTGGTGTTAATGAAGCCTTTTGAATATGATTGACCTTCTGGTTGTTGATTTGTGGTTTAGTCGATTTCAACCTTTGTAATTGACTTTGTAATTCTTGAGTGTCTTGTTCAGCATACTTTGAAAGTGAAGGCTTAACTGGTTTCAAAGGGGCTACTTTAGTTGAAGATGATAAATTAGACTTGACATCATTTAAAAGACTCTTCTCTGCCTTAGTATATTGTTCAATTGATGGCTTTGCAGGTTTAAGTGGTGCAAGTTTGGAAGTGTTAGATGATGAGGACGAAGAAGATAATTTTAAAATTGTTGATTTTAATAATTCACTATCCTTCTCTTCATACACTGATGCAGGTGGTTTTGAAGGTTTTGGTGGTGGACCTTTACTTATGGTACTGAAACCATTTGGATTGGGTCTGGTTGGTTTTGGAGGTGGTTGAATATCTTCATCGATTGATTTTCTCTTATTATCTAAATAAGAAGGTTTAGCAATCACGGTTGGTTTCTTAAGTTTCTCATCATCTTTAAGTCTACTATTGGTCTTGGCAGCTTGAGTTGCCCATAAGGCACTTTGATAACTTGGCTTGGGGATATTATGCTTGATGGTTGGAGATATAGCTTTTGAATTACTTAAAGATGACATCCAATCTTTCTTTTCCGATTCATTGATTATTGGCTTGGTAGGAGTTTTAGGTTTATTTGGTTTAGGAGGGGGAGCTTTCTTAATCTCTTGTTGATTATTCTCATCAGTCTTGGAAGAATGTTTAATTGAATGTTCAATTTGTGAAAATGATCGATAACCATCATTTGACATTGGACTTGGAGATGGTGATGAATTGAATACTCTTGGAGTTGGTTTAATTGGTTTGATAGGATCTTTTCTAGCCTTAGGTTGAACTATATTAATGTTAAATGAATTATCCTTGGAAGCTACTTTTCTAGTAGGTAATGGTGGTGGATTTTCATCATCTTCTGAAGGTCTAGTAGGAAGTTTTGGAGGTTCTTCCTCTTCATCATCATCGAAATTATATCTGCTTGATTTGAATGGTTCTTTGGAAGGAGTTGACGAGGAATCCATTTTATAAGTAGCAGGAGTAAATGAATACTTTGCTGGTTTGGTTGGTTTTAAAGGAGTTGAAACATTTGAATTTGATTTTAAATCATTAATATTCCTTCGTAATGAACTTTGACGTTGTTGATCTTCTCTTATTCTATCTTGAGAAATTTGTGATAAACTGGATAAAAAGTCATCCACTTTAGTTGAAGATGGCGAAGTCTCAGTCATACCAATTCTATATCAATTGTCAATTACTATATTGAAATGGTTATAAGATGCAAATTAAGTTATCAGTCTCAATCCATCCCTAATTAATTTAATTGATCTCTTTCATAATTTCTCCTCGCACACCACTTCTGTTTTAAGGTACCTTAATTTTGGTAAATAATATCACAAAATAGGTTCTCATACTTAAGATTATCAACTAGGTTTTAACTGAGAATCATACCGTTAATTAGAAGTGTAAAGTGGTTAAGCGATATGTAACTCGGTTAAATGGTAACTGAAAATAAGTTACTATAGATTAATTTGGAGTTTTTATGTCTATTTTACAGTTCAATAATTAATAATTCAATTTTGTAAACATTTCGTCAAATATCTCTCTTAAATTTATTATGTTAATTCATATTATTGAAACTATTGCAATATTTTAAATAGTAAAACTTATAAAATATGATCTTATATCAGTGTGAAAGTACCATAGACCAGTATAGAAACTATTTATCAACTATACACTCAGGATTTATAACCTTTATAACTTCACTTTTGCAAGAATTAACAGCCATTCGCTCAAAAAAAAATATAGTGTCGCAAACTCATCTGAAAAATCAAATAAATTTTATAGAGATTGATATTTACATCAAGAAGATTGACCATTACAACAGGAAGAACAATGTCGTTTGCATTTGGATTCACTCAAGATGATTTCAGCGATGATGATGAGTTGATAAATAATGGTATCGCTTCACAACAAGGGACAGCACCAACTACAACTGCCAATTCTACCAGTACCACCACCGCATTGGATAAATTATCTGAAACCATTGATCAAAAGAACTTACCCAAGACACATTCCCTAGACTCGATATTACAAACATTAGTCGATGTCAGATTATCATTCGATCAATATATCACTCCAAGAGGTGGCAATATTGTCTATAGACGAGAATTATTCGATGTCAAACATCAAATCATGACTGAAGATCATCAACAAGATCACGCTAATGGTGGAGAAATCATCGTTAATGATATTTTAATTGATGAAAATTCAAGTGATTTACAAAAGAATGTGTATGAAGGAGGATTTAAAAGTTGGGAATGTTCTTATGATAGTATTGATAAAATAAATCAATTAATCACTAATGAAGATTTACTTAATAAATTTGATAGTTATTTAGATTTAGGATGTGGAACTTCATTACCTTCAAGTTTTTTATTCTCCCAATTAATAACGAATGGAACACAATTACAAAATAAGCATAAAAAGACGATAATATTATCTGATTTTAATTATGATGTGCTAAGATTAGTTAGTTTACCAAATTTAATCATTCAATGGGCAGTAACTAATTCTAATGAGACATTGATTAGTTCTGAAGAAGGAGAAAAACAATTATTAATAACTGAATCATTAATAAATCAATTCAAATCAGATTTATTGAACTTTGATATTGAATTGGTGTTTGTATCGGGATCATGGGGAAAGCAATTTAATCAAGTTATTAAACCATATAATATTGATTTCATAGTCAGTTCAGAAACAATTTATTCGTTAGACACATTACCAATAGTTGCGGAAACTCTAATTGAATTATTACAATATCAAGAAACCACTAATATTATAAAACATAGACAAAGTTTAATTGCTGCTAAAAATATTTATTTTGGGGTTGGAGGTTCAGTGATTGAATTTATGAATTATTTACAAAACTTAATCCATAATGATAAGCATAATACAATTTCAACTAACACAGAAGAGATTAATGAATCACAATTAAGACGTTCAATTATTATGATAACGAATAGAATAGATTAAAGATAGATAATACATATAAATACTATAGATCAACCGACTAATAAGAAACTATATAATAAGTACTGTGAAGCAGTAAAATAAGAAATAAGCCAATGATATCTTATAACTAGCAAAAATAATCGACCAATTTTGGAACAATTCAAAACTTGATTATAGGGTCTTTAAATTTTTCGTAACCACCTCTGACCGGAAATGTCTAAATAGTCGGTGGTTTCTTCGGTCCCTGGTAGCGTCCAGAGGCATTCAGCTCTAATATAACAAACCAATGTGCACGACTCTAATGTTTGATAAATTCATACATAAAAGGATGTTCACCATACATAAATGGAAATGGTTGATTGCCATGACGATTGGTTATATTTTCAAGTTCTGATTGGGAGAACATAGCGTCTTGCTTATCAGTAGTATCCAATTTCCTAACAATGATTTCGTAATCGTGGATATTCAACGTACAATCATATTTGTACTCACCCAGGTAGTGTACCCTAAAGCTCATATTACCACGTATGTTCTCAGAAGATACCATGTGTCATTTTAGAAAACTAGAGGATATTCTACATTAAATTTTCGTTCTTATTTAAAGATGAAGATAGTGGCAAGGAACTTTTTCATCTCTTCTATATTTTAGATATAACCAATAGACCATGTGAAGCTTGATGGTATATATAAACCCAAGTAGATGTATTTCCTTTACTAAATTCATTAGCTCGGAATATATCAAGTATCGGTTTATGGTCCAACCAAAACTCCTCTATATAAGTGATTGCAAAATAAGGTATTTGTATATGGCCTGATAATATTTTTAGGATGAAGCACACGACCAACGATTTTGTTTGTTCTATGATTGATTTGTTGTTTTGTTTAAATGGTAATTATTAAAAAGAATTGTATAAATCAATCAATTCTATATATCAATCTATTATAGCAACAAGGGTATGTATAAGGAAAGTATTATGAATATGGTTAAATTTGGTCTTTTAGTGGAGTCATGAAGTAATGTGTTTGCATGGTGCAGAGAAATTGTATGTTGTAGCAGTTAATGGTTAATAATCACCATTGAAAAATGATTGATTGGCTGGATATTTCAGGATTAGAGGAAAGAGTGTTTAAGAGGTGTCAAGTTGTTTACTTTATATAATGTCAACGATGATGTCAATTGATTGAATTCCTTTAGAGATGGATCTTGAATTACCCTTGTAGGGGTAAGATCTAGTTTTGGCAGCATGGGGTTTGAATTTGTTAATGAACTATTCAATCCATCGACCAATGAACCAACCAATCAATCAATTATCACCAATTCACTTCAAAATCCATGTCATCAACTGTTCGATCATCAACCAATCACTTACAACTACATTTACTGTACCATTCTAACCATTACCTACCACCATCACTATAACTTTCTAGTTATAATCAGGTGAGAGCTCAAAGGTCGTGCATATACACAATCTCTTCCCTTTTGGTTCTGGAACTGTTCCTTTTTTTGGTCCAATCACAATTTCAATTTTGGGTATAAATGAGAACCTCCTCACCGCAGTACTTAATGATATTTATACACCCACTTTAAAGAGAAAAAAAAATGGTACCACTATGTTAGAACCAGGAAGAACCAGAGCACACCAGAGGAGAGAAAAAAAAATTGTATACAAAAGAGAGAAAATTTAACTATATTCAAACCTTTCTTTCAGAATAACTACTAACTAAAGTCATATTATAGAAGAATGTATCGTCAATCATTACAAAGATTAGCCATCAGAAGTCAATCCACTGTTGCTAAGTCTGTTCCAAGACCATTATCCAATGCCTATGTTTCCAAATTAGAATCAAGATGGACAGCATTACCAAAGGAAGATCAAACTTCATTAATTGAAAGTTTGAAATCAAGAATGGAATTACCATGGCAAGAATTGACTCCTGCTGAAAAGAAAGCATCATATTATATTTCCTTCGGTGAATGGGGTCCAAGAAAGCCTTTATATGGTCCTGGTGATCAAGCTAAAGTTGTTTATGGTGTAGTTGGTGGTATTGTTGTTTCTATTGTTATATTCGCTGGTATTAGATCTGTTGCTCCAGCTTCACCAACAACTCTTAACAGACAATGGCAAGAAGCTTCTGATGAATATCTTAAATCCAAGAATGCCAATCCTTTCAGTGGTTATTCTCAAATTCAATAGGTTATTTCCATCCATCCGTCCATCAATCAATTTATCCCATCCCCCTTTCATTCAGTCATTTTTTTGTTTCTTTCCTCCATCCCTATCACATTCCAATCTAATCATTTAACAATAATATCCTTTTATTATCATTTTCATCAAGAATGTCTTTTCAATTGACATGATTATGAAGTCAATTATTATTATTTTTATTATGTTTAAGTTTGTTTTTTATTATTATTATTACTAACTACCTACCTATCTTTTTGTTTCTGGATTAAAATAATGATACTTTTCCAGAACAATATATTCATGAACAGAAAACTTAGTACCATAGTTGTCATTAAACTATAAATTTATTCCAAAATTATTTGAAGAATATTTTACTAAATTACAAAAAACATTACATTTATATATATTAGTATATATAATTACTTTATATCTGAATATAAAAATTACAGATTTTAAATCATATCTAATGTAGTTGTCATTCTGTAGATGTAGCTTATTGCAACTAAGAGAATGTAGTACAATTGATTAACACTTTACAATATATTTACGTTTATTTTTAATAATATTCTATTTATGTTAGTTTTTTTAAAGAGTTTTTTAATGTTAATTTAAATGTTACTTTTACAGTAAAATCAAAGACTTCTTAACGGTATGGAGCATCGGCATCAATACAGTATTGTAATTCTTGTTCCCATTTATCACCATTTTCTAATAATTTTTCTTTATTATATAATAATTCTTCTCTGGTAGCAGTGGTATATTCAACATTTGGTGATTCAACAATGGCATCCACAGGACAAGAATCTTGACAATAACCACAATAGATACATTTAGTCATATCGATATCATATTTATAAGTTCTTCTTGAACCATCAATTCTTTCTTCGGCTTCAATAGTAATGGCTTGAGCTGGACATATAGCTTCACATAATTTACATGCAATACACCTTTCTTCACCACTTGGATATCTTCTTAATGCATGTTCACCTCTGAATCTTGGAGAGATTGGTCCCTTTTCAAATGGATAATAGATGGTATATGGAGCTCTAAAATACATTTCCATACAAAGGTACATACCTCTAGCAATTTCACTTAAAAAGAAAAATTTAGTAGCTTTACTTAATGCACTTTCACCACTTTCTTCCCAAGTTTTAGGTCTTGGGACTCTGAACCCCTTTGGCCATGAAGATTGATTAGATCCAGCAGTGGTTAAATAGTCACTACCCTCATTAAGAGCAGCAGCAGCAGGTTTATAAAGTCTTGATGCTGAAGATAATGATTGTCTCAAGGTTATTTGTATTGGTTGTTGATGTTGTCTGAGTATGAATTGAGGTTTGGTGACACTCGATGTTATGATTTGTCTAAACATTATGAATGATATGATGATATGATGATTATGAATCTATGATATAGATGGACTTGACTTGATTTCAAGTTTATGCAAATTTTTTTCCCTTTGATATATCAAAGAAAAATATGAATTAAAGTAAAGATTAAAATGGATGAATTGAATTGAAATTGAAAGTCGACAAATAGAACAGTATTGAATTAACTAACACAATGAGTTCGTCTTTGACAGATTCGAATATATTTATAAGATATTACTGATTGAAATCTAAATACACCAACGTCCTTGTTTGTTTTAATTTGGATTGGTTTAACTCTTTATTTTTTTTTGATTTCTATGTCAAAATGGTAATCGCACACCCATCTCACCGTTAACTATGAATAAAATTATATAAGAAGAAAATCATCTGTTTTCATTGGCTTGAATTTAAAGTGAGTGAGAGGATGAGTAAGAAATTATGTAAGCATAAAGTCATACCAATTTTGCAATCTATAGCAAAAGACTTACACTTTATTATGATGATCTAAGGATAAATATACATATATTACACTATACTATAGTATGGGAGATTGATCAAATCATCCCATTACTCTTAATGCAAGTTCAACACTAGCAAACGTACCAGCACTACATGGAATAGCTCTTAATAAACATGGTACAATACCTCTCCAGAATCCTCTTAAACCATGAGTTTTATAAATAAATTTAGTAGCTTTTAAAATTGAACCTTGGAATTTACTTTCTGATCCGAATTTATCACTTTGAATATTTGATTTTATAACATCAATAGGATATGATGATAACCATAAAGCATTACCTGCTAAAGCACCACTAGCTAATAATTCAGGGGTACTTATATTATTTCTTGATTTATAATGTTGTAAATCAATGATTTGTTGAATTAATGTTTCATAAGTCAAGAACCAAACCCCATAGGCTTGGATTTCTCTTATTAATGTGATACTGAAACCACGGAATATACCTCGTTTAATTCCTTCTTGATTATATATAAGTTTGACTGTATCGATTAATGAACTTTTGACCGTGGATTTATTTGATTGACTTATGATACGTAATTGTTCAATAGGACCAGCTACAGGTGTATTGACTATACCAGCTACGGCACCAGCAATATAAGTTTGAGGCCATAAATTGATTTCATTAGTATGTTTGATATCACCATTATTACGATTATAATTCAATAATTGTCTTCTTGCCTCATGGAATCCATAAAATTGTAATGAAACACAAACCCCAACTCCGAATAAAGGTGGTAAAGTTCCTTTATAAAATGCTAATAATCCTTCATTTTTAATCACTTGTTTAATGATTGAGATTGATGAAGTTTCATTCGAAGTTTGTAATCTGATCTTAACAAGATCAGCCGGTTGACCAATTAAGACTTGAGTTGCCCCACCGATGAATCCAGCCGTTATATCTTTGACTTTTCTCAATATGGAATTATCAACTGCATGTACTTTGGTATCAATTTCAAATTCACTCATGATATCTTATCTCTCTATCGTTTAATTGAATTTATTTTATCTCAAACGGTCGATCTTAATTCACTCTTCTTTTTCGATAAATATGAATCCAACACCAACGTCTTCTTTCTTATACTTTCTCCTTATCCTTAAGATATCGACTAACTAACACGCAATGATATTAAATTGATTATATATTACGCAATTATAATACATATCTAATCAATCTTATTTGAAAAATTTAAACTAAATCCACCATATTAAAATTTGATTGCATCTTATCACGTGATCGATTTTTATAATCTTTCATTTACCCCATACTTTTGCAACTTTCTACATTGATTATAAGTATAAATAATTTTTAATATTTTTAGATTAAACTACTTAGATACATACGGTAGAAAGAACCATAATTGTTTAATTTCATTTACTTTTTAAATAACACCAATTTTTAACCATTTAATAACCCTCCAATCGATAAAGCGTGAGTCCTATGCGTAGTTGGAGCAGTTGTTGTTGTTGTTGTTGTTGTTGTAGTGGCAGTAGGAATCTTTTTAGGACGTTCCGAATCATCATCTTCATCATCTGATTTTGCTTCTGGGGACATTGTGGTTGGTGTAGATGAACTACTTGTACCACTAGAAGTACCACTTGAAGTATCTACATCGGCTTTAAATGCAGATGTAAAATCAATTGCCAATGGTGTAGACATATGTGACTTCCTTTCATTAGAGGATGCTGATATAAGTGATGATATTTTCGATGGTAATGGAAGACTAAGTTCCTTATTTATGATAGGAGCTAATTGAGGATGTGATTGTTGAGGTGATACAGAAGGTTTATCACCCTTTAAATTCAATTGAGGTAATTTTATACTTTCTGAATGATATTTTGATTGTGATGATTGAGATGTGGAATTTTGAGGAGGTTGAGAATAATAACCAAATTGTATAGGTGGAGGAGGAGGACCTGGAACTGGACCAGGACCATTGGGTATTCTCCCTGCTCCAGTATAAGGAGGGAAATAAGAAGTATGAGAATTAAATGATGAAGCTGCTAATGGTAATGGAGGAGGTAATCTTGATATTGGAGGCGATGAATTAGTTGATATTGGAGTATTACTTGATGTCAAAGTTGTACTTGATGAATCATCTTCTTTCTTTACCATAACAGTTGAACTTGATGGCGGCAAATTTCTTTTTCTTCTTTTAATAGTATTTCTTTTCATCCTTATTGGACGATGTGAACCATGTAATCGATAATATAATCCACATGCATTACAAATAGTGTTTCCAATATCATCTCTTCTCCATAATGGAGTTATAGTAGTTCCACAATTAAAACATGCAATAGCTAAAGAATCTTCTACTTCCCCTTCGGAATTTGCCGGTGGAGGAGGAGATATTATAGGAGATATCACAGTAGGAGGTTTTAAATCGATAATATTATCAAATGATGGTTTTTCTCGTTTAGCAACCACAACTCTATTATTATAAGCAGGACACCCTTTACAAGCGGCTGAACCACCAGTACCATTGCATCTTCCATCACCTTTACATGACCCTTCATCAGTTTTAGTGATAGTGATGGTATTGGGAGGTCTTTTTAAATTGACAGGTCGATGAGTATTATTTGATCGAAGATATAAACCACAAGCATTACAGATTAAAGTCCCATCAGGAGCTCTTCTCCATAATGGAGTTTTTGTAGTACCACAATTAGAACATTGTTGACCATCATCAGGATTGGTATTATTAGGAGAACTTGATGCACATGAGGTTGGATCATTTGGGTTGGTGGTATAGGGTGGAGATTTAGGTGGCGATTTTGGAGATTTTGAGGTCTGTATAGGAGATTTAGTATTGGTGGTAGTTGTTGTTGTTGTTGTTGTTGTACTGGGTATGGTTGTTGATGAAGCGGTGACGGATGATGGGGTTGAAGGTTGTAGTAGGTTTGAATTTGATTTATTATCCTCCAGCAGGGTGGTAGGGGGATTAGATGACATTATAATAATATGATGATATGGGATATAACTTGAGATGAGATTGTATGTATAAATATAAGATTTAATGAGATTTAGTTAAATAACTTTTAATGGGATAGTTTAAACTGACGACGATTAAAGGAGGTGGATGTTACCTTGACAGATACATATAGATAGGTTGATGCTATATGATGAGATAGAGATCACTTTGCATGAAAACGAAGAGATTGATTGATGGATGGACGGATAGATAATTATCCGGTTGGTTGATAAAGTTGCCTTTCTTTGGTACAAGGAAGGAAGGAAGGATGACCTTTTGTACAGATAAAATAAGATCTAAAATTGAGATTTAGATAGTTGATGGAAATAGAATGTAATATGGAAGATGACACCAACTGTTTTGTGAATAAGATGGTGGATATATCGGTGAATGATAAATGTTATTGATGGTTTTGATTAGATATTAAAAATATTTCTTGTAGATTTTTTTTTCTTTTCTTTTGTTTTTTTTATGGAACTTGGCTGTGTACAAATTAGGTTTGAATTACTATGATTAGGAAAGATAGGTAATGAAATGATCTTAAACTAATGAAGGGAATAAGAGATCTGAATATATGAGAATGAGTGAATTAGTAATTTCCGGTTTTCTTGCTTTTTAATAATAATAATAATAATAATAATTGGAAGGATACAGCCACACACAGTAGTAGTTGTAGATGGTAGATTGTAGATTGGATAATGAATTGCTATACCTTTTGGTTTACAAGTGATGAATGATTAGTAAAGAAATCAAAAGGTGTGGGAAATATCAAATTGATATAAATAATAATATGGATAATAATAATAACCAATTCAAAGAATTAATCAAAAGGTTAAAAAAATTAATTAAATTTGATAAAATTGATAAAATTTCACAATTTTTGTTAGTCGATTTTATTTACTACTTATATTATTACTATTTATAAAAAAGTGACAGTACAGACAGACAGACAAAAACAGCAAAAGAAAAAAATAAAAAAACAAAAAAAAGAAATTTTTCAGTGAGTGTAAATTAATCCTAAACTTGCGACATGTTTAACTATAGTGTTCCTTTCATGCCAATCATTATAAATGTAATTATACCTCTATTTAGTTATATGAAGGTATATAACTGGGGTATGACATCAATTTGATATCATTTAAATTGATTAAAATTATGATTATCTATATAGAATCTGGTATTACTCTCACTTTACTACATACTTATAGATTCCTTGCTCACTCGCATTAGGTATGGAATACGAACGACATTTTGCTTTAATCAGATTGCATCTGGATAGCAGACAATGTCACTTTTTCGCATTGGCCAATCAGAGAACGAGAATTAGTCAGAACATACCACCACATAATTATTATTATTATCGTAATCAGCCCCTAAAACAATAAAATAATCCACAATTAAAATAGTGTTCCATAACACATTCTATATTTGAACTGTCAAATAATATAATAAAGAATGAAAAGTGTAAATGGTATATCGTAAGATAAATCTACACAACATGAACTACGCCTCTTTATCACACACATACACACCAATCTCCTCCTATTCTTCTTCTTCTTCTTCTACTTGTTCCTCCTCCTCCTCCTTACCCCCCATTCAACACTATAATTAAATAAATCACTCAACTAATCAATCTAATTAAATAGGGTCAATATTTGAGGTAATTTTGCTTTTGTATTCTTTTAAAATTTAAGCTTTTGATTTTTCGATTTGGTTTTTTTGACAGCAAAATTTCAAATTAAGCCTTGTCTTGTCTTGTCTTGTCTTGTCTTATTTAATAAATTAAACTTATTTCATTTCAATTCACAACTTCTATAGTGTAGATCTCATGAATTACCAGTAAATAAGTTATGAGTATCCTTCTTCATCTTCTTATCTCTCTAATAGGTAATTCTTTGATATTTTTTTACAATCTTATGCTTGCGCCTCTTTCCCCCTATAAGTTACATAAGAATTATTAATTTGAGTCACAAGACTGGTAATTCTTCAGGGGTACGAACATCTAATTACTCCTATCTTGAAAAGTGTATGACTTCAATGATGAGTTGATCATCATGTGAAGTGACTAGTATCAAAACATCTCTCTCTCTCTCTCTCTCTCTCTCTCTTGCTCCCATTAACTACTTCATTAAGCGAAAGGTCCCTTGCCTTTTAAACAATTAACTCCCTTGAATTAGTTCCATGTAACATAAAAATATCATCGCTTCATCTACTATTACTCCATAACTACTACTACTTCGAGAAAAATTATAAATAAAATATCATCCCTATTATGCAAACTATGACTGTGAAATTTTACTGAAACGGGTCCATCACCCCAAAAAGAAAAACGCGTCGCGTTAACATTTAATTGATCATGTGACCATGACTTTACCAATTTTTTGTGTCAATATTTACTATATTTATATACCGGAATCAAAACAAATCATCCACATTCCCTCAAAAACCCATACACAGAATAAACAATCAATTTAAAACTTATAATCCATAATTTCATTGTGTATAATTATCACCTATCCTTATACCAAAAGACCCCAATTATCCATCCATACCCTTTACTTCATTTCATTCATCATCCTTTTTCCCCTATTTTTTTTACTTTCCTTTTCATTAATTCAATTGCTTTTTACTATCAACGACCAATACACGCATACCTCCTTCCTCCCCCTTTTGAAATTCAGCATATAAAATCACCATTCGAATACTACTCAATTGCTAACACATCAATTGAAATACCAAAGAGATGAGTTATCAGCATCGCCCGCCATCATCTTCTGCGGGTGCAAGCTCAGGAACTAATGATGTTAATTCCACTTCAAACCACCCTTCCTCCTCCTCATCATCATTTGAAGATCAAAACATAACTCATAATAGTAATGTTGACAGTTCATCATCATCAACCAATAATCATTTCAATACGAGTCAGGATATATCAACATCAACTGTTACTCCTAAATTACGTAAATCCCATTCTCGAAAACCAACCTTATCAAGTAATAAACAACCATCTCCATCTATATTCATCAATAATAGTCAATTGGATTATTTCACCAATAATCATTTTTCAAGATCGTTCAATAGTTTGATCTTGGATGATATCAAACAAGAATTAAATGATGATAGAACTCATCATCATCATAGTCATAATACATCTACTGAGTCTAATATATCGAATTCATCTCGGAAAAAGATAAATAAATCACCTCCTTTCAATGTTAAACAAGTTTATTATGATGACCATATAGATTCATATTTGGATGATACAGTACCTGATGTAAATGATAACGATAATGATAATAATGACGATTTCAATATGACTGATGATGAAGGTGATCATGAAGATAATGATGAAGATGATGAATTATCCCAATATACCAGTCCCACATTAAATATATTAAAGCCAAAGAGGATTCGAAAAACTAATCATAAAGCAAAACGACTGGAAGATTTCATTTCTGAAAGTGAAGATAATCAATCTAAATCTCAACAATCATCTATAAAACGTTCATCTAAATTTTTAAATCTTTCCATTGATTCTAATTTAAAATCATTAAATAACAACAACACCAATAGTGATAATACCGTCATTATAGGTAATAATTTCCATAGTAGTCAAAAACATAATCATCATGAAGATATTGATTGTATAAGTGATTTAAATGAAATTGATTCATCTATAATATCAAAAAGTAGAGAACAAACTCCAATTGAAGTGTTAAGTCCTATTATAAGGAAAACTCCCAATAAACATGGATCATCAACAGTTTCCATATCATCATTAAATACTAGTACCGTTAATAAATTCAAACGACCTCATAAATTAATAAGTCAATCACCTACTCCATCACCATCATCTAATAAAGTGATTAATAATCCAAAATCATTCTTATACCCATTTAATCGTTCACCTGATCATCTCAAGCATAAAAATACAAGTGAAGAATTATTACCTATAACAACTGATGATTCTCAACTACCAATACAGTCACAATCACAACAACAAACGAATTTATATTCTCCATCAAGATTAGGCTTAAAGGCGTTTAAAATGTTTAAGAATGCTAATAAAGATGCTATAAAATCACCTAATAGAATATCAACTACTCCTGAAAGAATAAGGCCGACTTCAAGTTCTATATTTGATAAAAGTACAAATCAACATAATAATACTCAAATCACATATTCTAAATTAAGGAAGACATCTGTACCAGTTTTCAATACTCATTCACCATTTGAAAAACCAAATTCTTCTTCATCACCTATAAGTGGAGGCGGAAATGCTAATTTTGAATATTATAATGTGGATGATATCGATATAGATATTGATATTGATAGTCCTTCTAAAGGAAGAAAATTATCTGCATCATCTGGTGGGAATCCAATTATCATTTATCAAGATAATAATAATAATGAAAGTAGTAGACGAACATTCCCCATTCAAAAACATAATTCTGGATCAATTTATCAACAATTACAAATACCTCCTCCTCAACCAGTAATATCAGTAGCACCAATTCCCACACAACAACAGCAAGTGCAAGTTCCAATACTGACGATTCCTCATCTGAATTCTGATTTATTTGATGATAAAGAAAACAAAGCTTCTTATAAATTTGTTAAACCATTACAAGCTGCATTTAAATCTGCTGGATTATTAAAGAAGAATAGTATAGAACCAACCAAGAAAAAACTACCTCCCGAAACTCCTATGAAGAAGAATCCATTAATGATGATAAATACTAATACTATGCATACTAATAATGGAGATAATCATGAAATTAAATTAAGTGCCACGACAACTACGAATTCAGGAACGAATACGAATACGAATAATAATATGCAATATCTCAAACTTCCTGGAGGTGGGGTTAATAAATCAAGTCTTTCAAATATCATTTCTTCAGCTCATGATGATTCGATTGAAGACCTGGAAATGTCGATTGAAGTAGGAAGAAATCACAATGGATCATTTATGAGTGATGCTAATTCTACTACAGCAAGTTTCTTTAGAATTCCATCTTCAAATAGTGGATCAAGTAGTAAACCTAAAGTTGTGGTTCAAATTCCTCCAACTATTTCAACATCTCAATCATCAAGAAGTAAAATTATGGATTGTGCAAATTCAAATTCATCTAGTTCAAGTCATCAAAATATTCTTGATTTAGATATTGAATTAAGTTCTGATGCAGAATTAAGTATCCCTGAAACCCCTACTAAAGCAGTTAAACATTCACATTCAACTCCATCTCATTTCAGTCCTATTCAATTAAATCATCATCATCATCATCACCAGTCAGACAATACTATCAGGAGTAATCCAGTATTAACATTGAATACCACCAAAAGTTCATTCAGTTCCAATGATTCTCAAGAACCATGTACTCCTATCAATCCATTATTTTTCAAACTTGGAGGTGTGGGTGGTAAGTCCACCACAACCACAAGTCATGGACAAAGTATGGGTAAAAGAGGTCAAGAACATACTAAGACATTATCATCATCGATTCAAGATGATGATGATGAAGGTGAAGATGATTTAACCCTTACTCATAGTCAACCTCCACCTCCACATCATCATTATCATCCTCATCATTTACCTGATATTGAAAGTCAACTTCAACAACATGAATTAGATGAGGCGGAATTACTTAAACCTTCTAAAATTGACGATCATTTAGTAGAGAAGTTTGGTATGAAGAATATTAAATATCTTGGTAGTGGAGAATTTTCCGTTGCATTTGAATGTTTATTTCAACAAGAGAAATTTGCTATAAAGAGAAGTAAGAAAGCTATGATTGGTAAGAATGAAAGAAAACAAATCTTACGAGAAATTGAAGCTTTAAGATATCTTACCTCTGTTAAAGATGATGAATTTGAAGAAGAGAAGGAAAGAGAAGAAGGTAAAGAATATTTGATTTATTTCATTGAAGCTTGGGAATTTAATAATTACTTTTATATTATGACGGAATATTGTGATAATGGTACGTTATATAAATTCTTGGAAGATAATAAGACTTATAAGATTGATGAATTTAGAATTTGGAAGATTTTAATTGAGATTTTAAATGGATTAAATTTTATGCATCAAAAGAATTATTTACATTTAGATTTAAAACCGGAAAATATCTTTATAAATTTTGAAGGGTCATTAAAGATTGGAGATTTTGGATTAGCTACTAAATTACCTATCCTTGAAAAAGATTTTGATTTAGAAGGAGATCGGAATTATATTGCACCTGAATTAATTAATGAAAAAATTTATACTCCATTTGCTGATATTTTCAGTGTGGGATTAATAATATTAGAAATTGCTGCAAATATTATTTTACCTGAAAATGGAACCCCATGGAGAAAATTAAGAAGTGGAGATTTAAGTGATGCTGGGAAATTACTGAGTGATAATTTAAGTATATTTTTACAAAATCAGAATAATTATTCTTCAACTACCACTACATCATATAAATCAATTTTATCAATGGGGACTACTGCTAATAAGAATACTTCTAATAATTCGAATAATAATAATAATAATAATAATAATACTGGTGGTAGTACTAGGTATGTTCCAAGTATTGAAGAATTAATTCCATTAGGAGCTCCTAAATTTTTAGTAGATGGAGATTCGATGAATTTAGATAAATTAGTAAATAAGATGTTAAAACCTAATCCATTTGATAGACCTAATGCTAAGACTATATTAGAAATGGAAGAATGTTTATTAATTGAAAATAGAAGAAAAGCAGGTGCAACTATTTTTGAAGGTGAATTCGGACCAAATGATGATGATTGATTCAAGTAAAAAATTAGAATAGATTTTTCTGTCGTGTGTAATTTTTTAATTAAATTTATAATGAGAATAATAAAAAATGATTTACAGTTAATTAAATTAATTAATTAATTGTTAAATAACTACATGTGAATAAAACAAATGAAAATAAGTTAAAACGGTTTCATTCGTAAATTTTCTAATAATAGATAGATTAACATTTTCCCATACTGGGAGCGAGGTCCAAATTGCAAATTCTAGTTTAAAACAAATTTAATGCGTAAGCCTCGATAACAGGAGTTTCAGAAAAAATGCGAAATGTAAAAAAATAAAAAAATAAAAAAAAAAAAAATTTAATGTGAAAAAAAGGGGCAACATAATACAAAGTTAAAAAACATAAAATAAAATAAAAAAAAAAGAAAAAAAATAAAAAAAAATAACGAGAAAATGATGAGAAGGCGGTATAAAATTTACTGAGTTCGTTGCAGCGTTGTTAATTACAGTGGGACAGAAAAAAACCAAATCAGTGAGATTTAACTGCTGTGTAATTAATTTTAGATAGGGCAAATGAAAAAGGAGGTTGTATTTTGAGCTAAAAGGTTATACGAAGCGAAATTTCATACCGATCCATGTGAGTTGGTGCAAGGGGGATAGAGAGAGGAGAAGGTTGTAGCATAGATATGGTATGATATGATATGTTGTCTTGTATTGTATTGTAATGTAGGTCTAATTAGTTAGCATAACTTCAATCCACTACCGTACTTTATTGTTACAGTACAGATAAATATTAGTGATTAGTTAGTAAATAGAGTGTAACATACTATAATTTTTAGTGAGAGTCACTAAAATTTGATTTTGTTTTCCTTTATTTTATTTTATTTGTTTTACATAGTCATGATGATTTTAAATCTGAAACAAATTCCCCAAAAAAAAAAAAAAAAAAAAAATAATTAAGAAAAATAATTAAGAAAAATAATTCTTAAAAAATAATTAATCTGATCACAATTTTTTTTAAGGGGATTGAAATTGAAATCATGCTAAGTTAGCGAGAAACTAGAAGTTATTTGTCACTACAAATCAAACCAGAAAATTTGATATACGAATAAGTATATAACTAATGGATGGATGGATGGATGGATGCCAAGTAAATCTTATGAACCACCACATTGTAGATATGACTGGAAGTCAGTCCTATGCTTACATATCTCTATATCACTAGCAACCTAACATATAATTCCAAAGCCTACAACTATAACTTCTAATTATAAACTTTAATGAAATAGTATTGTAAATAAAGTTAATGAATATGGTTGCTAATTAAACTTTGTGCTGTCTAGATTTGTTTCAGATTTTTTGGTTAAGCAGCGTCAACTTACTCCCTCACTAAAAAAAAATCACATTAAAAAAAATAATTTTTTTTCCTAATTAAATTAAATAAAAATAAAAAAAAAAAAATAAAAAAAAAATAAACACAATTTAAAATATAAAGTCGGAACAGTTACTTCATTTCAAAATTTGTTTCATATTTATTTTATATAATAACTAATCACTTGCCACCATCATCACTACTGTCATTTATCATCATCATCACCAATACGTCCAACTTCCAGCAAAGTCTACATCGTCATCATCACCTACATCAGCTCCATCATTTTTCCTGTCCTGTCATCGTCATTATACATAAAAGACCACAAATCCCACACACACACACACATACTCCACCAGTATATGGATTATATTTCGTTTCTTTTTTTTTTAAAGTAACTTCTTCATCATCATAGTTCATATCTTCATCATCATCAGGTACACTGCTGTTTCAAACACCTTGTCGGCGTTTCATATCCATAGTCAGTCCACTTACTTCTTATCGTCCCTTTTTTCATCTACATCTGTACATACATATGATCTGGTAACAAATCTCATATAAAACAAAAAGGAAAAATACTACATTATATATACTTTTGAATAATCTAATATTTTATTTTCCTTCTTATTATTATCATGAATCCTTTTATTATATCGTCACCTTCATCAAATAAACAATCTCTAATACCATCAACTACTCCTTCAACTACATCTTCTCCTTCATCAACCTTGAATCATTCTTCATCAGATCAAATCCATCATAATACTAATACCCCCACCATTACTTCCATACCTTCAGATTCAGAATACATGTTATCAAATAGTTCCATCAGTTCTCCTCAAACTTATATGCATGATGCCAATAAGACTATCAATAATGTTTCATCATCATCTATAAATAATAATAATAATAGTAAAATCATATCTTTCGAACATTTAATAAGACCACCGGCTCCTAAATTTCATCAAGATCATACCGGTTATTCACCTCAAAGATCTTCATCTACTTCATCTATACCCTCAGCAACTGCAAATAATAATATGACTTCCTCATCTACCACTACCGCCACTATAACAACCCCAACTTATTCTCCAATTAATAGTAATAATAACAACATTAATAATTATACTTCCAATAGTGTTTCAACTCCTCCACCAAATATCCGTCATAATACTTATAATCATGAATTTTATAATTCATCTTCATTCTCTGATTCTTCAATGATATCATCATCTGCATCTACAACTTCATCATCATTATCTTCATCTCCACGTTTAGGTTTAATGAATTATTCCCCTAAACATGCCAGAAAAATAAGTGCATCTTCTATTAATAGAAATATGAAAAATCTATCATTGAATTTAAATGGTTCAAATAAATCAAAACAACAATATTTAAATACTACTAATACTAATAATAATGGTTATCATTCTAATTCATCTTCATTGGATTCTAACATGACAAATTCATCAATTTCATCTCCTTCATTTGTTACTAAACCTTCAACAACATCAAGAAAACTTTCATTATCAATTCCTTTGGATTTAAATTCATCTAATTCAAGTCATGGTGCTACCACTACCACTATTATTCAACATCATCCGTCGACATCTACTTCATCATCATCTACTACCACCACTACTACAACTACCATAATCACTCCATCCGTAACGAAAACTCCTGCATTACCTCCATTAATACCAAGACAAAAATCACATAATGATCATGATATTGAAGTTTCAAATAAAAATGGTATAGCATTTAAATTCCCCAGTAAAGATAATAATTATTATCTGAATATTAATGATTTATTGGATACTTATCAAGGTTCAACTCCATTGGAACAACAACAACATGAATATTTACAACTTCAACAAGAAGCTGTTGAAAACAATAAATTAAAGAGTCCTTTAATTTTAAATGGTTCAACTCCCACTACTACCACCACCAATATGATTAATGATGAATTAAATAATGTTAGTTTGGATGATATTGAAGATGATACAGTTCAAACTACTCAATATCAATTATCTACTCCTTTACATTTCCAAAGATCAAATTCATATCCTAATAGTGACAATGTTACCAGTAATACTTTCCAACATATTCCTGAAGAATTACAAGAATCAAATCAATTAAATGCATACCCACTTGGACCAAGAAATGTATTGAACAATCAAATATATCTTTATTCAGATCCAAAAGATGATGCAAAGATCAATATCAATGATTATGATTTGATTATTAATGTTGCTAAAGAATGTAAAGACTTAACTAATGAATTCATTCCGCATACTTTGGATTCTCATGAATATCTTTATTATCCATGGTCCCATACTACTTCCATTTCTAAATCATTATTGCCCATCGTTACCAAGATGGAAACTTTCAATAATAAGGGGTTAAAGATATTGGTTCATTGTCAATGTGGTGTTTCTAGATCAGCATCAGTGATCGTAGCTTACTTCATGTTTAAATTTAAAATTGGAGTTAATGAAGCTTACGAATTATTGAAATCAGGAACAAATAATCTTGATCAAGCTGTTAATAAATCAATTGGGGACAAGGGTAATCACATAGAGGCATGTGATAAAATATGTCCAAACATGTCATTAATCTTTGAATTAATGGAATTTGGAGATATATTAAAATCAAATAATAAAAATAAATAAAATGAATGATTGAAGAAAAGTATACGACATCATCATAACGTTCGTTTAATTATAAAAACATAGAAAATCCGTTTAATTGTATATGTATATGTATATATCTCTAACATCGTTTTCAAGTTCCATTTTGGATTGCTTTCTTTTACTATCTTTAAAATCATCAATGTACAACTAATGAAATTTATAGTGCTTACCCATTTTTTATGGCTGGTTCAGAAAAACAAATATCAAAACCTGTAAATTCGCGATGAGTTAACCTGTAAAAATTGTTCTTTCAGCTTCATTTTTTTTTTTCATATTTCTCAATTTTGTGGTGTAACTAAAAATAAAGAATTAAGCAGACAAGCATACCATTTATCATCTTTACGTGACTTTCTTATCTCCAAATTCATATAATTTATATGGATCAAGCATTGTATATATCTATAGAGAATCCTACACGTCCATTCATCCAAAAGGATTTTGTTAAAACGATTAACAGTTCATATTTTTAAAGCAATATCGCATTGTCAAAATAGATAATATCAAAAGGCAACAAGGGATAATATAACGGTTAATCCATCACAATCATAATCGAATCATGTCGTATAATAGGGGTGGTAGTTATTATAGTCCGCGATATGGGAATAACAACTCTCATAATCCATCAAAGAAGTATGATTCCCACAATGAAGGTTCCAATAATAATTTAAACGCCAACAGTCCAGCAAATTCAACAACTTCATCTGCATCTTCAGCAGGTAGTCAAGGGTCGTCTAATCCTAGACGAGAAAGAGATCATTATTCAGGATCAGCCTCAGGTCGTTATGATGGTACTATTGCCAATAATGGTAAATATAATAAATATCTTCCTAAGAGTAGTAATGTTAATTCAACTTCAGATTCAAATAAGAATAGTTCTTCAACTTCTAATAATAATGGTAATCCAAATACTTATTATGGTTCAGCTTCATCATCTAATATTAATAGTAATGTATCATCAAATATACCGAAAAGAAGACCAAACGCTGAAAGATATGATTCTTATACTTCTCCATCAATCGGAGGGAAATTATATTCATCATCAGTATCATCAAATGATGATCGTTTACATAGATCTTATTCTGAGAATTCCATAAATAAAGATAAAAAGGGTCCATCTTCAGGTTTGAATCCAGGCTCTAGATCATCATCCCATCATCATTCAACCCACCATTCAACATCAACTTCATCATCACGCCCATCTCATAATCCTACATCTTCTAATTCAAAGATACCAACTTCTAGTATTCCAACTTCAACTTCTACAGGATTCAGAGATGATAGACGAAAATCATCTTCATCTATTACTCCATCTTCCTCCGTTAATACAAATATACCTCATAATCATTCTCACAGCCATAGTCATCATCATCATGAAGATAAAGAATCTAAGTCTAAATCTTCTTCAGCCAAACCTTTATCAAATAGTTCATCAAAACCACCTTCTAATGTAAGTTCGAGACATTCATCAATTGGAATAGATAATTCGAGTAGTGGAATAAGAAGGAAGTCTTCTTTTCATGATTCTAAAACAGTAAGTCCAATGACTGCAGCCAATGAATCTAATAAAGACGAACCACAACACCTTAGACTTGAGAAGTCCAAAGAAAAAGATTCATCAGATATAGAAAAGTCATCGAAGAACAGTGACTCTGTTGAAACAAGTAATGATATCATTAAAACTTCGTTTGCTGCTTATGCTAAACTACATAAAGAACATAAATCTCATGAACATGAAAATAATGGAGAAGCAGAACAGTCATTCGGTGGAGCAGAAAAATCAGTAGTGGGTGATAGTGCAAGCTCAACTAAGGATTATGATACTACTTCAACACTAAGCAGTTTGCCTTACTACGATGCTAAAGCTTCGATAACGATAGATATACCTTTGGATGATACTATTACTAAATCTGAAACTGATAAAAAGGATGATCAAACTATAGATAATTCAGAAACTAATCAATCAAAAAATACTGAGGCCGAAGATGATTCCATTGTTTCAAAGGCACAAGAAAATCCTGATGATGAACAAGATGTATCAATGGAAGAAAATATACAAACAATTGAAGTAAAATATCAAACTCACCATGAGGCTCAAGATCAAGAACAAAGTGTTCTGAATGCTGCAGACAAGAGTGAAATTAAAGAACAAGAAAAGGAAGAAGTTAATGAAGACGTTACATTAGAAGATTCCATTGTGGAGCTTGAAAAAATCGATGACGCTGGTGAAGATGTTGTATCAAACGAGAATGAATCAGTCACGGTAGCAAAAGAAACATTAGGTACTACTAGTACTGGAGATATTTCAATATTATCACCACTTAAAGATATACCTTCTGAAGACTTTAATTTCAACGAACTTGCTACAATTAATGAAGGCGGTGATACGTCTAATGTGTTAGAAGATATCAATGAAGATGAAATTGAAAATGAGGATGACATAAAATCACATGATGATATGAATGATGATGAAAGTAATGATGAATATAATGATGAACATGAGTTGTCTGAAGCTGAAACAGTGGTTGCAGAGAGTCCCCAGAGAGGTATTAGAGGCCGCCGACTTATTAGAAAGAAAGAATTCGATGAAGAGCGTCATAACCTAAAGAAGAAAGCTTTGCATTCTTCTGGTGATAAAAAGGAGGATGAAGAAGTTGATGAGAATGATGAAGATGATTTTGAAGCTGCAATGCAAGATCCTGGACTTAGAAATATGACTGATAATGAGTATAATGATGATGAAAGAAGAGATATAAATAATGGTCGCCCTAATGTCAGCGATGTTAATTCTGGTGATGAAATAAAACCAATGTCAGGCAAGCCTTATAAGATCAAAAGAGATGCTGGTGGAAGATCATTTTTACAAAGAGCTTGTAAGAAAGGGAGTTTGGAAGAAGTTAAAAATTACATATCAAGAGGTGCTAGTGCCAATGAAAAAGATTTCTGTGGGTTCACTTGCTTGCATGAAGCCGCTTTGGCAGGCCACACCTCAATTGTCAAGTATTTATTGGATCATGGTGCTGATGTAAATGCTCAATCTGATGCTGCTGGTGACTCTGATACTGCTTTGATAGATGCTGCTGAAAATAAACACATAGATACAGTTCGAATTCTTTTAGAATATGGTGCTGATCCTACCATCTACAATATTGATGGATTTACTGCATTAACTAAAATCTATAATGAACATGCTGGCGAAAGAGCGTATCTGGAAATTATAAAACTTTTAGAGAATGCTAATGCAAACTTCACTCAAACTCAAAAGCATGAAATTACTAGAGCTGCTTCTCCGCTGCCAAGAACTATCGTGGAAGATCCAAATGATACTTATTTTGCTGATCTTATTAAGAGAAAGGGTATCTTCAAATATGCTGCTGAAGGTTCTAAAGAAGTAACTGCAAACCATTTTGTTTCCGGAAATAGTCTTAGTGATAAACCAGATATTTTAATTCTAGCTGCTAGAAACGGTCATGCCGAGTTAGTGGACATTATTTTAGGTTTGAATCCAACTCCTTATGATATTGACACAGAGAATGACGTTGGAGTTACTGCGTTATTGGCTTCTGTTGGAAGGGGACACTATGATATTGTTGAATCTTTACTTTCTAAAGATGCCGATCCCTTTAGAAAAAGAAAGCAAGATAATTTGAATGCTTTGGAAATTTCAGAAAGGTCTGTTCACTTTGACCCGAAGGAAATAAAGCTTCTTGAAGATTGTATGAATAAGAAGGTGGCATCAAAGAGTGGTGACGCTTCCGCAATTCAATCTGGAGCCACATCTGCTATTGGTTCCACTGTTGGATCAGATGCCGAAGATGGTTCCATGACTCCCATATTTTCTGATAGAGAATCAAGTAAGTTGATGAAAATAAAATTTAATGACGAAAAGAAGAGGAAGCACGAAATCTCACATCCTAAGGCATTGAAGAAGCATAAATCAGAAGTGAAGATCAAACAACAATCAATTAATGTTTCAAAACCTGACATTTCACGAGACACTGCACACGAGTCTCCTATTAGAAGAGATCAATCTATGTCACCACCTCCTGATAGAACTAAAATTAGAAGTGCTAGTGCTTCACCTTCTCCAAGTCCTGTTCCTTTGACTAAACAACAAGAAGAGGCTAAAGCGAAAGGTAATTTGGAAGCTAAGGTATGGCGTGAAAAGGCAGAGGCCAAAAGACGTGCTAGAAAGGAAACATTCTTAAAATCTGAGAAAGAAAAAGAAAAGAGACGTAAAGAAGAAGAAGAAAAGAGATTAGAAGAAGAACAAAGGTTAGCAGTCATACGTGAAGAAGAAAGAATTAAATTAGCTCAAGAAGCTGAGACTAGAGCTAAAGAGTTGGGACAAGAGAGAAAGAAATTGATAAGTGATATGATCAAGGAAAATTTACCTGTTGGCTTGAGAACTTTTAGGTTTAATAATGAAAATTTAACTGAAAAAGCTATTGACATGTATACTCCATTATATATTTTTGAAATTGATAGAGTTGATTATATAACCGATTTACAAATTACTTTGTTAACAAGTTTACAAACCCAAAGAGTTTTAAAGAACTTTAAAAGTGATGATGTAATGGTTTGTAATGAGACAGATAAATCTAAATTATGGCAATTGTTTTTTAATTTTATTGGAATTGATATAAAAGATACTACTTTTGATTTTAAAACTCAAAGGAGAGAGGGTCATAAGCATTTTCAAAATTTGATGATTAGTTTAATTAAATTTGAAGATACCGTTCCATTTATTAAGGAGCAATTCCCCCTTACTTATTCATGTGTATGGGAAGATTTACGTAACAAAAGTACAAGAGTTAGTCTTGCGACTATCCAACCTTACAGTGAAGAATCTGATCATAATCTTGTTGTTAATGAAGAAGATATGGAAGTAGTGGTTGACACTAAGAATATCAACAAGTTCATTCCACCACGATTAGAATTCAGAAAAGATCCAATTAGAGTAATTTCCAACTCAAATAGACCATTGTGGTGATTTCTAATGATATCACCCTCAAACATTTTATTTCATTATATAACTATGTATTATTCTAATTATTATTTATTAATTATTTTTAATCTTTATTGTAGTTTTTGTGGAAAATTGTATTGGTAAAAGGTAAATGAAGCAAAATTATAACTGTAATGCGGCGCCTCGTATTTTCTTTTTCTAGGAATATTATAACAATGAATTGGATTACACATTTGCTTACAATGATTAAATAATAATAGTATACTTGAACTGGAGAAGTATTTTCAGATTAATAGAAGGAGTATAAAAGACTTTAATATCAGCTTGTTATTGGACTATAGAAGCCATAATTAATCATAATGACTACTCAATATATCGAGCATAATGAATTAGCCATCCCCTCAAATGATACAAATGAAATGGATAATAAAGAAATAAAAGAAAAGAATTACGACGATTCGGAACAGCACTATAAAAACTGGAAGATATTCAGCTACATTCTCTCTATATCGATGTTTTTTGTTTCTTTAATGGCTTTCGTTAATATACGTGTGGGTCTTGATAATATCAGTCAATTACAATATGAATCCTTAGCTAGGGATTACATTTTTGAAATTTCATTGACAAGTTTAAATTTTTCGGTTTGTGGTATTGGATTGGTCGTTTCAATAATCCTTTGCTATATTACAATGTTTCGATCTTCAAATGGACTGAGTTTATCGAAACGAAAGAACCTATTCAGGTTTCTGATTCTACTTCTATGGTTGAACTTTGCAAATAGTCCGAGACACTCTAAGATATTACCACTTATCGTATTGTTTATCCTACATGTAGCTTTTACGTTTTACCTTAATGTATGCTATATCGAACTGATTCAACGTACCGGATAGCTAAATCAGACCATTTGTTTAGTGCTTTTAGAACAGTGTACAACTTCATTCATTTAGATACTTATGATTAGGCTTTAGCCTACTAATGTAAAATGTCGTTCAATCAAAACGACAAATATCTCTTTTCAGAAATTTTCCTGCATATCATTTTGAAAAATATCCATCTTAAGTATTAACAATTGAATTAGACTATAAGAGAACCAGAAACTAATTAGTTGTTATAGTAGTAAATAAATCAAGTCACTATGAGTAGTGGAAAGATGTATGTGTTTATGATTTAGATTACTTTTGATATGACCTTTTCAGAAAAATACTAACTTTTAAAATAGAATATCGAGATCATCATTATATGATTCAGATGAGGTAGAATCGAACGATGAAGGAGAATACCAGATGCCATATTCGATGGATTTTGAATTCGTAGAGGTTGAACAAGCATCAGAAGAAGAGAAAGTCAACGTGAATGAAGAAGAAACTGTTGACGATAAAGCTGATGAGGTGAAAGAACAAGATGATGAATTTGAATTTCCATTATTCTCTTTTGGATCAGCAACCACAAATAAAAGTATAGTTAAAGATGAGACATCTGTTGAAGATAAGAAATCAGTTGAAGAAGAAAGAGGGAGATCGAAGACCAAAGTTATGAAAATCAGTTTGAGAGAAGAATCGTTGGAAACAGTAAAGAGAGAACGTCCCCAATCCTATTATTTTTCAAATTATAGTCAACAAGAAAAAGAGCAATTCTTACAAGTAGCAGTGACAGGTGAGGATATATATGCCCAATTACAATTAAGTATACAGACTCCTATAGCAGAATTAAAGCCATGGAGAGTCATTAATCTAAATGAATATAATGAGAAAATAGATCAAGAGTTATTGAAACAGAAAATACGATCAAAACATAGAAGAGAAGGTAAAAAGAAGAGAATAACCAAAATAGTCTGTCGTGAAAGGAAATTAGAAAGAGTTAAACTTCAAAAGAAGATTGAAAAGGACCAAAAGGCTAAATTAAAGAAGAAAATGTTTCATAAAAGAGGTGGTAAAAAGAATAAAAAGTCAACAGGACCTCCTTCTAATACTTCAACTAATTCTAAACCAAAGTATAGAACTGAATAGATCGTTGTAATATAAATATCACTGTATAGTAAGACCCTTTGTATATAAAATAGTTGGTAAAGTCAAGTCAAATAAATTCTTTTAATTTTTGTGTCACAAAATTTTATATTTCGTGAAAACGTAGATTTGAACAACAGAGGTATAATGTGTAACTATATTTGATCTTACATTCTATATAATCAAACCATGACAACTTCAACCACGATACAGAGTGAATTGGAAGACTTTGAGGCATTCATAGATCCAGATTTCCATCCTACTACGTTTGCCAATGATCTAATTGTTGCTACTAATGGTAATGAATCAAATGATATTGATTTATCAACACCTATCAAGAAATTGAAATTTGATATCCAAGAATGTAACTCAAGAATGACTAAGATCGCTGCTAATAACTATGAATTGTTGGTATCTAATTTCTCCAGAATTGAAGATACTAAATCAGTGCTTAACGATAAGATCAACCCTGCCATATCTCAAGTGAATCAAAAGTTTGATAGAATAAAATCAGAAGTTATAGAACCATATGAAGAAGCATTAAGATTGAATAATGCATTAAAGAGAATTCATACTACGTTGGATTTATTAAGAGGAGCTAGTTTTTTCATATTTATCATACAACAATTAGAACAATTGGAAAAATCAATAAGTTCAGATAATATAAAAGAATTACCTCGTTTAGCAAGATTGCATAACCAATTATCTGAATTATATGATAAAGCCAATAAGAATAATGCCAAAGATGGTAACATACTTTCAATCAAATTAATAAGAGATTATTACCCCATTCATGTATCCAAAAAGTCAGGTTTAATAGATCAATCCATTCAAGTGATGTCAAATGAATTTTTATATCCATCGACATTTAATGTCAAGAATTCAAACTTGGAAAATCATTTAATTACCTTCTATTTATTAGATACCGATACATTCTTAAGCACATTTGATAAAGTTATAATCAATAAACAAGTTCAATTGGCCCTCACTCAATTATCTCGAGCTTTACAAACTCCAAGAAATTTCACATCCATATTAAGTGAAATAAAAGAATCATCAGAAGAATTTTTTAATCAATTGCATATAATCCTTGGAAGTTGGGAAGTCTCAAAGAATCAAAATAGTTCAGCTACATCACTTGAAGATATATTGAAATCATATTATCAAAATCAAGATCTATTGTTTCTTTTTTATGAAAGATTAACAAAGAAATTTTCTAAGAACATACAAGCTACAATAGATCGGGGTGGTCCAACATCAAAGAATTTAAAGGTTTATAAAAATGGACTTGTTAAGACAATTGAAGTCACATTCAAAAATAAAGATCATGAACAATTGTTTTTAGAATCAATTCTGATAATTAATCAATAGAGTAACTATTTAATAAATCAGCTTACGCTATTTCATTCATCTCATGTTACATCTTATATTCTTCTTAAATGTAAGTTTTTATTAAGTATTATAACATATACAATTAACAATTTCCTTTATAATGATAGAATTTAATATTATTAGATGAGATCTTCTTCTGAATTCAATAATTCAGATTCAGATTCATCGGAATCAGATTCATTGGAATCAGACTCATCGGAATCAGACTTATCGGAATCAGACTTATCGTCCAGCAAATCAGACTCATCTTCCCAATTATGTAAATTTTCTACAGCTTTTGTGGCTTTTTGTTCTTTTTCCAAAACACTTTTCATTTCTGATCCAATTTCTAAGTGAGAAGGAAGTGGTCCACCAATTAATGTACCATAAAGATCAATTGCTTTAAAGGATTCGCCATTTTCAATTTGAAAATATCTATGACTAAGTCTGAATGGAATCTGTCTAACCTTATATGTACCTAATTCTAAAGATTCGCTAATGAATGCGTCTATTGATTTCTTCATTGCTGGGCTTTCCATTTCAGTATCTCTCAGTAAGATAATTTCTTGACAAGAAAGATCCGGAACAATTTCAGTATCTAAAAATGTACTTTTCAAGATAATCAAACTTTTAGTCTTTGTGGAAACATAGGAAAGCCAATCCCAAGATATAGTCTCGTATCCAATAAAGGTAAAACTTTCTAAAGCTACTGATTCCAAGTTGATATAGACAGGGCCCAAGAAATCTCTAAGAGTTAAATGTTTAATAATTGAAAAATGTCTTCTAAGAAAATAACCAAAATTATAACTTGTGGCATAATCCTTACATTCAAATCCTAATGATTTTAATTTAGGAAATTTAAGATGACTTATATCAATCACTCTAATCTTTTGACCCAAGTACAACTCTTCAAGTTCTACATCATCTAGCCAAGAGATATTTAATTTTAAGTGATGATTAACAATCTTATCATAGGATAACTTATTGTCAGGAGAGATATGGTCTGTTTCGAATCTGAATCCAATAATATTTTTAAGTTTTTTGAAGTAGCTTACTGGCGGCATGTTAAATTCAGTTGGGTGGCCATCTTCCAAAGTTTTATAGATATAAATGTTAAGGTTGAAGTGGCCCAATTTAGATAAAAAATTCATTTTTAACAAAAGATCATTCATACTTGTTCCATCGTCATCTAATCCAAGTTTAAATTGTAAAGTTATTACTAAAGGAGTATTAGAGTAAAACTTGTGGGCATTATCAAAAAAACATTGCAGTGATTGTTCATAAGGAATAGGATCAAAGTCATCATTAATCTTGTGCTTCAAGATTAGTCCCTCAACCAAAAGTTCTGGCATAACCAAATTCTCATTTTGATCGTACAATGTAGTGTCCACTTGAAGAACTATATTTGAGATTCCTTTGAATTGTGGATGTAATGGAGAATGGTGATAAGCAGAATCTTGGATTTTGTATTGTTTAGTAACGTTCATTTTCTTTTCTTCGTTATAATCAAGGAATAAATCAATAATTATTGAGTAAAATAGTACGTTAGATCATGCTATGATTTTCAGTCTATATTTATACTCGCATTCAAGTCGAGAGTAGCATAACAAAGATTTACATTGTAGTTGCCAAAATTTAAAATGCGAAATATAGGAAAACAATATATATTAATATGAAGACTATTTAAAATTATATAATTAGAATAGATAAATCATTGACCGAGGTGACTCATATAATTACTCCCAGTGTAAAGTATCGAGAAGAATACACTGAGAGTAATTCTCCTTTCTCTGAGAAAGCTCATGGAGGCCTTTAAGGTATTTGAAGGATGTAAACCATCGATATGATCAACCATGAGTTTGAATTTGTTACAGAGGTTTTTACCAGCTTTAATTTCCTCTTTAGTGAATGTGATATCTTTCAACTCTTCTGGAGTCATGAACTCAAAAATATGGTTAACATATATTCTAACGTAATCTTTAATGTTATCAGATGAATCTTTGTAAAGTTCCATAAAGGTGAAGATTCCACTGTGGTTCCATCTGTAGGCGTTAGTAATTTTTTTAGCTCCAAAATTCAAACCTTTCCCTTTGGGCTTATCAATAATCTGATTGATTCCGGAGCTCTGACACTGGATAATGACTTCTGCTAATTCTGATTTTATTTCATCATCTAAATTCATTTTACTGACGCTTGCTAGCTCTCGTTCAGTTAAAACACCTGGTTTTGAAAGATATGAATAAGCTAAATATTGAAATCCTTCACGAATCTTATTATTCTTGGTAGTTTTCTTACCCAATTTAATATTTAATAGATTTAAAAATTTATACTTATCCATTGTTTGAATTTAGCAGTACCGACAAAGATTTGATTCAACAAAACTAATAAGGTTGGGATATTCAGCCTTATTTATATGTATTCTTTCGTTCTAAGCCAAATAATTATTTTTTAACTTTTGAAAAATATTTTTTTTGCAACATATTTTAAATTATATTTTTAGTAATTTAAACCCCTCTTTTTTTTCAATGGTTATTTTCTAATGATCTTGTGTACTTTATTATCGGAATATTTCACATAAGAGAGGTGTTTGCAACAGATAGCTAAAATAAAATATTAAATAAATTACAAATAACAAGTGACGCGTATTGTGTAAAGCATATAAGAGAAACAAATTGACTACTCAACATAACTAATATTTGTCTCATATAAATATAACCAATTTGAAACCAAAATAAGGGGAATAGATAGATTTCTACACTCTTAAAATTTATGATTCAAAGTTATATCAGATCAATTCTCAGATTACTTTTTGGATTTCTTTTTTAGTTTTCAAGTTGTCTCAAATTAGGTAACTGCAAAAAAAAGGGAAACCATAAAAACAGCAACAACAAAATTTATTGTTATGTAAAAATAATTGCAAGATAAATATAAGTTGAAATTCAGAGTTATTTCATTTTTAAAATAATCTTGTAGTAACCCAAGCAATGTCTAATTATACAATTGTTGGTCAAGCTCAAGATACTGATTTATCCAAAATCCAAGATTTAACTTGCCTGTGTACTACGTTGCATAACCAATTCGAAGGAGTCCCAAATATAGTCCTTCTGGTAGACACTACATTAAATGATACTTTTGAAGAAGAATTTCTCTTACCTGAACTATCTGTACATGGTCTACTCTTGAAACACAACATTAATGATTACACAACTCCTATACCTTATGAACAATCTCTGCAGTGCTTCATTGACAATGCTCATAAATTTGACTCTAATAATCCTTTAGTTATAACTTTACAGTTTAAACTTGGATTAGAGGACAACGGAACAAGTATGTTTGATCTCTTAGAAAAAATGAATAAATGTGCTAAATTAGGCAGCTTCAAATTTAAGGTTTACATTTATAAATCAGTAGGAGATGAACCATATCATAACTTTAAAATGCCTCCGCCAAGTTTGTTCAAACAATTAAATGGAATAATTGGTTTTAGATTCGAAACTGATAATATAAGATATCTCATAGATTATCATGATATATGGGAAGATTTGTTAAAAATATCTTTAGGTTGGCTTGAAGGAGAACCACTTGAAGAGCTTTATATTGGCCAACGTATTATAATAATTGATGATATAACTCATCTTTATTTTCCCAATCTTGAAACTATAGGCTTTGAATGCAAGGATTACATTACAAGTTATAATTTTTCTTTTTTCATTAGAAAGCATAGATCCATTATCAAAAACTTAATTTTGAGAGACTTTAAGAGTCCTATTGATGTGTTGTTTGGAGATACATTATTGGAAAATCTTACCATAATGGGATATTTAATATTATATGAAGATGAAATTATTCATTTTACTAATTACGTGAAAACTTTAACTATCTTGGGGTCACGTAGTATACCTGATCTCACAGTATCAAATCTTCATTTCAAAGAATTTATAATACTGCGCCGTAGCAAACTTGAAGAAGGATATCTTTTTCCAATAAACGAGAATATAATTAAAGCAGCTTCTTCGGAACATTTTATTATTACACAAATTGCAGCATTGCCTTGCCATGAAAACTATTCATCCAGTATTATGTCAAATTACATAAATCTTCTTTACATTTACTACGAAAAATATAGAGAGCCAATCCCTGCAAATTTAATAACAAAACCAAAAGAAATCGCTGTTTTGCTAAATGAGAATGATCCAGTATATTTTGATGTTGAACAAGATGATAATTTTAATGATGACTATGATGAAGGTTACGATACAGATCGAACAATATTTGTGCACTATTCAAATAGATTTGATGAAGATGATTGTTATTATTCAGATGCAACTTTGGTAGAAGACGACTAAGAAAAGAATAATTCAAAATATGAGGTTAATAAAGACGGTTCTTATTGGTGTAAATTAAATTCCAAAAGAGTTTTAGTGGAAATAGCTATTTAAGATGTAATATAAATAATAAATGTAAATATTATGAAAGAGATTAAGAGAGTTGATTAAGCTTCTTTCTTAAGCCTTTGTGCTTATTGTGGGCTCTCCGAGCAGTCAAAAAACCAAAACTATTTTTTTCTTGTGGGCGATTCAAAAGTATTTATAGTTTTTTTTCGGTTTTGCAACATTTTTTCAAAATTTGTGCGACTATGGGAAATTGTGTGTACCCCATCCCTCGTTGAAATAATCTAAAGATATGATGTATGTCAACCACCGTTTAAGAAGGGTTTTACACATTTCCAGACTCGTTTATAATCATGAATATGCAATTTAAAAGATTGATGACTAATATGGGGTGTGAGTACATGATTGAATGACCAACAAAAATGAAGTGGGTTACATCCCCACTTTTTTCCCTCCATCACTAAGATAAAGTATTTCTCGTATTCATAAGTTTAGTTAGATAACTCTAAAAATAGATTGATCTAGATTGAGTTGAGATATTTTAAAGATCCAACAATTTATAATCGCTGGGAATCAGAAAAAGAAATTAACGTTTAAAAGTTTTTAAAAGATAATGGTAGAGAATAATCACAGAATAAGAAACTACATCTAAGTTTGATTAACGAATTTGTTATTTATGATAATGGATAGAAATATTATAAAGTATAGAAATAGGAAATTTAAGCAATATTAATTGATTCAATTCAAATAAAAACCAGTATAAGATATAAGATATAAGACAAAGTGGACATATAGCTTGAGATGTATATTTGAAAATATTTGTGTAGTCAAATAAAAACTTGAAGTTGGGGGGATTGCGCTGTATTTATACTTTTTTTTCGGTTTTGCAACACTTTTTTAAATATGTTTATTTAGCCCCCTAGAGCTGAAGTATGATTTTTTATTTTCTCTGAAATGCTAGATTTCCAGATCAAATCATTTGTATCTCTATTGTATCGTATGGTTCAGCAACTTAATTTCTTCTTTTGAAAGCTTTATAATTAAAGTTACTCTAGAATTTAGAAAACAATTCCAATCAGGGCAACAGTTGGGAATAAGGAAATGAATAAGGAAATTACAGTCACAGGGTTTTGACGTTTCTCATTTACATGATAAATAAGGAACAAATTAAGATCAATTATTTAGTATTCAAAATACTCAATGATTGTTGATTCTACAAAACAAACCTATGGTACGGAACAATATAGAATCCAAGATCCATCTAATGTCCATACTCCATTACCTAACCAATTTGAAGGAATCTCAAAACTTGTTCTTCAAGTAGATACTACTTTAAATGATGTTGAAGAATTGCTCTTACCTGAACTATCTGTACATGGTCTACTCTTGAAACACAACATTAGTGATTACACAATTCCTATTCCTTATGAACAATCACTGCAGTGCTTCATTGACAACGCTCATAAATTTGACTCTAATAATCCTTTAGTTATAACTTTACAGTTCAAATTAGGCATAAATGATAACGGAACAAGTATGTTTGATCTCTTAGAAAAAATGAATAAATGTGCTAGATTAGGCAGCTTCAAATTTAAGGTTTACATTTATAAATCAGTTGGAGATGAACCATGTCATAACTATAAAATTCCTCCGCCAAGTTTGTTCAAACAATTAAATGGAATAATTGGTTTCAGATTCGAAACTGACAATATAAGATATCTCATAGATTATCATGATATATGGAAAGAGATGTTAAAAATATCTTTAGGTTGGCTTGAAGGAGAACCACTTGAAGAGCTTTATATTGGCCAACGTATTATAATAATTGATGATATAACTCATCTTTATTTTCCCAATCTTGAAACTATAGGCTTTGAATGCAAGGATTACATTACAAGTTATAATTTTTCTTTTTTCATTAGAAAACATAGGTCCATTATCAAAAACTTAGTTTTGAGAGATTTTGTGAGTCCTATCGATGTTTTGCTTGGAGATACATTATTAGAAAATCTTACGCTAATCGGGTATTTTTTTATAGATGAGGATAATATTACTCACTTTACTACTTATGTGAAAACTTTAACTATATTAGGGTTGGATAATATGCCCGAACTAGAAGTTTCAAATCTTGATTTTAAAGAATTGATTATACCTTGCAATAAAGAAAATGATGATAATGAATATAAAGAAAGCATTATTGCGGCAGCTTCTTCTGAGCATTTCATTATTACACAAATTCCAAGTTTACCTTGCCATGAACGTCATTCAGCCCATATTATGTCCAATTATATAAATCTTCTTTACATTTACTACGAAAAATATGGAGAACCAATCCCTCCAAATTTGATAACAAAACCAAAAGAAATAGCTGATTTGTTAAATGAAACCAGTCTAGAATATTTTGATATATTTGAAGAAGAAGATGATGATGATGATGATGATGATGATGGTTATGATTATGGTTATGATACTGATAAAACAATAATGGCCTACTACTCAGATATAATTGATGATTCTGATGAAGATGGTTATTATTCAGATGAAACTTTGGTAGAAGACGAATGAGAACTGTAAATATTGTGTAAAACTTGAGGTTAAGAAAGAAAGAGATGATTCCTATTAGGATGAAGAAATTACTATAACTAAAGTAGATTATATGTTTGATTAGAGTAGATTTATATTGCTATTTAAGATTTATTAATCTCGTCCTTCTACGTTTTCATCAGAAATATATCCGAACTTTACCAACAACTTATTTTCATAGGATTTGGACCTTTAGAAACAGAGCACATTTTAAAATCCGACAAGTACCATATAAGCCAAGTTACATGTAGAGTGACGTTTTTTCAAACTTTCGAATTATTATATCTAAATATTATAATAAATTTGGTGAACCAATCCCATCAAATTTGATAACAAAACCAAAAGAAATTGCCAAATTGCTAAATGAAATTAATTCAGAATATTTTGACATATTTGACTTTAATGGGGTTGTGGATGATGTTTCTGGATATGATTCAGATTCAAAATTACGGTACTTATTCAATGACAATTTTACTGCTGTATATGATGTTGGTATCGAAAATGATAATGGTTATGACTCAGATAATACTTTGGTAGACTATGAAAGATCACATCCTAAAGTAGAGAATGATAAAAGAAACCTAGTAGACCAAATACAAAAGAAAGAGTATATGAAAATCATGACTATAGTATGTTTAATGTAAATAAGAATAATATTAAATGTAACTTAATTTTACAAAAAAATATGACAATGTAAATTAACAATAATGATTACTATATAAAAAATTATAAAATATAAAAGTTGAGTTCGGCTTTTTTAATGAAATAACATCTCTTTCTCCCTCTTCTCTTATGAAATTTAACTCACGAAAAGAATTATTGAGTTACTTTTGCTTTTAAAGAAGTTAAGAAATCTCTATAAGAAGGTTCACCACCTGTTTTATCTTCAACTAAACAACTATAAACCCACATTCTTAAAGCGGTTAAATCACGTTGTTGAGAGATTTCAATTGGTTCATTTGATGAACCACCAATGACAACAAATAAACTCTTCCATACCACTGAATCATTTTGTTCTCTTAGTTTACCAATGATTTGACGAACTCTATAATTAAATTCGGATTCTTCCACACTAAATTCAGGTAATTCAGTTTTACCAGTTACAATATCATATAAATTATCAGTACCGAATAAATCTTGAACTAAACCTGGAACCACATTACCTGATACAAATAAGAATAATTCACTTGAATTATCAACCAAGTATAATCCATAATTTTCCCATGCAGCTTTAGAACCATTCATTGGTTCTGGTAATAAAATATTAGTGGTATTGATTTCTTCATCTTCACCAGTTTCTTCATTATGTTGAATTAAACGTTCTGGTAAACCACATTCATCAGGCATATTATGTAAAGCATAAACAGTTGGATAAATTGATTTGATTAATTGTTTAATTGGAACTGATCCAAGAATATTAAGAGCGGCAGCTCTATGATCGGAAGGAACTCTATCAGATCTAAAACCTAAGTGTTTAGTTAGTGAAAATAATAATAATGGTAACATTCTTAAATTAGTTGATAATTGTAATGGTGAAGCACCAGAAACATTTCCAGCAACTAATTCCTTTTTATAAAGATTTAAAATTTCAATAACTTTATTAGTTAAGAATTCTCTTGCATCTTGTAAAGTTGATGATAAAGCTTTTTCAATAGCTTTATGAGTAAAGAAATTAACAATGGCTAATTGATCAGCAGATGCATAAATATCATTTAACTTACTTGAAGTTGGTAAAGCTAAATTCAATACTCTAATTCTTCTTTCACCAAATGAAGTTGAATGTAATACAGCAGCTTGGAAATAAACTACTGGTTTAGTAGCATTTTCTTCAATGGAGATTTCAATACAATAACTTTGATCTCTTGGGAAAGTTGGGAAAGAACATAAATCTGAAGATCTATTAAAGAAATTACCATAGAAAGAACTCATTCTAAATCCAGTTGAACCTCTAACTCTTAATACAGCTTCCATAGCAATATCTTGAGATAAATGATCACTAACTTCTTTAGATAATTTAGTAACATCACCGAACTTAGCACTTGTCCAAGCAGGATAGAAATGAGTTTGACCAGCAGTATAACGAGGTAAATTAGCTAAAGTTGCCACATCTTGATAACCGGAAGCAGTTAAGAATAAATCAACTGTAACTTGAGAAGAATTACATTGAACAGCAAAAGATTTATAGAAACTATCAGCGGCAGTTAATAAAGTCTTAGCTTCCTTTGGTTTACCAGCAACACCTGATTCATCTCTGATAGTTAATTTACCTTCACCAACAGATGGTAAAGAAGATGAGAAACAAATTAATTTACCACCAATATGACCGATTAATTTTTGACCTGATTTTAAAGCTGGACCTAAAGCAAAACCTTGATTACCAGTACCTTCGAAATAAGATGGGAAATCTAATAATAATTTTTCAATGGCAGGTCTATTTTCTTCTAAATTAACTAATAAACCATCTGGAGTTGGTAAGAAAGGTTCATCAATATCAGATACAATTAAAGTTTCAACTCCTTCTAACCCTTCATTAAATCTAAAATAATGTAAATTAGAATCAACCCCAATAAAAGCCAATTTAGCAGTTTTATTAACATTTGGAATTCTATCTAAACTTTCTAAGATGGTTCTTGTAATAGTACCAGTTAAACCACTTTGAACAGCATTTATAGATACATCAATAATAAAAGTATAAACTATAGGTTGAGGACTTCTTGCCATATATTCTTTTGGAGCAATGAATTCAACCACAGCATGATTTAATTCAACTCTATCAAATTTATTTCTAACTTGACCACTAATTTCATCATATTCAAATGATGATGGAATATCATTTAATAAATTACAAAAATTACATCTCCAACGTCTTCCATTTTCAGCTAAAGTAATAAAAGGATTAATATAACCCCTACAACGACGACATCTACTAATGGTAGTATCTGATGTGACGGTGATTTGTTCAGCTTCAACAGTTAAAGCATTGTAAGGTTTCACAATCAAAGCGAAAGGTAATTTTGATTTTTTTAATAATGATGAACTATTTGGGACAACATTTAAAGTTGATCTAAAATAATCAGGTGAAGCATTGGAAGTTTCTGAATTAGGAACTAAAGTGGTATTTGCAGGTAAAACTATAGGTGGAGGAGGTAAGGTTAAATCAGTAATGGAAGGAGGTAATTCTCTTGATAAATCAGTTGTATATAATTGATTTAAAGGTAAAGCAGGATTTATATTATCTACTTGATTATAATAAGAACCAGATTGAGCTTGACCTCCAATTGGGGCTTGATATTGACTACCACCTTGATTATAATTTTGTTGAGGACTGGCTGGTTGTGGAGGTTGTTGACCTTGGTATTGATTGAATTGATTAACTTGTGGGGCGTAAGGTGAATTGGAAGCTGTATTACCAGTACCAAGGTTTAAATTGGAGAATTGTTGAGTGGCATGATCCAAAGCAGTAGGAGTAGGGATTCCTAACCCAGTTTGTTGTTGTTGATATTGATTACCTGTGATTGGTGATGGCAAAGCTGGAGATCCAGTAACTGGATCAGCAGCATATTGAGGTTGTGGATAAGCTCTTCTTCTACTCGACATGATGATCTTGTTCTTTGATCTTTCTTTTTCTGATTCAACTATACCCACTGAATGCAATCTGATATGATCAAACGTATCAAACAAAGAACGATGAATTGAACGTGTCGTCTAATTCCAAACTAAATTAGATGTCTCAAATCGAATGGTTGGAAATTTTAAGTTAAGATTTTGAGTCGAATGTCACAACAACAATCTCTCTGAAAAAAAAAATGGAAAGCCAACAAAATGTCGCAGACGTGGCCCAAAGAAATGTCCATCAGTTTTAAGAAAAATGTCGAAAAAATGAGTCTAGTTAATGATGGTATTTACTGCGCATTAGAGTAATTCTGAGGATTGTTGCAGATCTATACGATGGAAATATAGTTATATATTAAGGAATAATTGAATGATTTTAAGTGTATGCAAATGATGTATATGATATATAATGAGTAGTTTCAGGAATTTCTTATCTCTGACTCTGTATTAAAGTGAAATAGAGTATATTAACTGACATCCAATTCTTTCATGGTCTATAAAAATTACTACTTAAACAACTAACAACTTCGACCTTAACATAACTGTACAGCTCAATTGAATTTCTCCGGTTCAATTATACAAGTTTTCCGAACATATGACTAAATTATTAAATTTGCAGTCAATTCTTATTTCATATGATTTAAATCAATGTATTGAAAAATTGTTAGCTCATTGTGCGGCTCATCATTATACTCCAGTATGAAAAAAAAAATTATTAAAAAATTAAATATACAGTTAAGTTAGTTAGATCATTCATTCAAAATCAACAAACAAGATGGGTAAAGATCATAAAGAAAAGAAGAGAAAGCATTCTGAAGAAGATGTTTCTGAAGAAGTGACTGAGAAGAAAGTTAAATTAAGTAAATCTGAAAAGAAAGAAAAGAAAGAAAAGAAGGAAAAGAAACATAAGAAAGATAAATCATCATCATCATCATCAACAGATGAAGTAAAAGAATCCAAGAAAGATAAGAAGGAAAAGAAAGAAAAGAAAGACAAGAAATCAAAAGGGCCAAAATTCACTACCACCATCACTGGATCAGCTCAATCATCTCAAGGATATGCTCAATCATCATCATTAACCACCTTATCTCAATCTGATGTTGATTCATTCTTATCAGAAAATGAAGTTACTATTGAAGATCCTCATAATTTAAATTTAAGACCAATCATCTCATTCGATCAAATTGAATTAGATACTAAGATTGGATCTGTTATTTCTAAATTCCCTAAACCAACTCCAATTCAATCTGTTGCTTGGCCATATTTATTATCCGGTAAAGATGTTATTGGTGTTGCTGAAACTGGATCCGGTAAAACCTTTGCATTTGGGGTTCCTGCTATTAATAATATCTTAACTTTAGGTAAATCTGGATTAAGTGTATTAGCCATTTCCCCAACTCGTGAATTGGCCTTACAAACTTATGATAATTTAGTTGAATTAACTAGTAAGACTAATATTGAATGTATTGCTATTTATGGAGGTGTTTCTAAAGATGATCAAAAGAAAAAATTAAGAACTGCTAATGTCGTAGTTGCTACTCCAGGTAGATTATTAGATTTAATGAATGATGGAGCTGTAAATTTATCTGAAGTTGATTATTTAGTGTTAGATGAAGCTGATAGAATGTTAGAAAAAGGGTTTGAAGAAGATATTAAAAATATTATTGGTGGTACTAAATCAAAAGATAGACAAACATTAATGTTTACTGCTACTTGGCCTAAAGAAGTTAGAGAATTAGCTAATACTTTTATGAATGATCCTGTTAAAGTTAGTATTGGAGATAGAGATGAATTATCAGCTAATAAAAGAATTACTCAAATTGTGGAAGTTATTGATCAATATGATAAGGAAAGAAAATTACTTTCATTATTAAAGAAATATCAATCAGGATCAAATTCAAATGATAAAATTTTAATTTTTGCATTATATAAAAAGGAAGCCGGTAGAATTGAAAGTCTTTTACAAAGAAATAATTATCATGTGGCAGCTATTCATGGAGATTTATCCCAACAACAAAGAACTCAAGCTTTAAATGCATTTAAAACCGGTGAATCATCACTTTTATTAGCTACTGATGTTGCCGCTAGAGGATTAGATATTCCAAATGTTAAAGTTGTGATTAATTTAACTTTCCCATTAACGGTGGAAGATTATGTGCATAGAATTGGTAGAACAGGTAGAGCTGGCCAAACTGGGATTGCTCATACATTATTTACTGAACTTGAAAAACATTTAAGTGGAGGATTAATTAATATTTTAAGAGGAGCTAATCAACCTGTTCCTGATGAATTATTAAAGTTTGGAGGTCATACTAAGAAGAAGACTCATTCAGCATATGGAGCCTTTTATAAGGATGTTGATATGACCAAGACTGCTAAAAAGATTAAATTTGATTAATTAATAATTAATTAATTAATTAATTGAATGAAAGTTGTATAGTAATAGATAATTTGTGTATAGAATAAAATAAACTAAAATAAAAGTCATTAGAATATTGGAAGAGACAGCAGTTGTAGAGTTAACTTGAGTTGAGTTGAGTTGAGTTGTTACATTGAAATAAAGGGGGGTTATATGGTATAGGACATATCGGGGAGGTATGATGAATGCATAGTTTAAATATGATTAATTAGTTATAAATAGAAAATGGTGACACACCACTTGTTTAGCTAATTATAATGGTCATTACCTAATTCGGAAGACACCGATGTGAACACGTCATGTAGATCGGACTGCAGATAATAATAATAATCAATAGCAAAGCCCGTTTAGTTTAATCGAATCAGTTCATCATAAATCAGTTCATCGTCATCATCATAATTACAATTAGGAACATATACATAGTTAAACAATTATACTATGTGTCAAAAAGGGGGCAAAAATCATCAATGAAGGAATGGGTTTAAGCACTCACTGACTCACTCACATACAGTTTCACTTTACTATACCCGCTATGATTATTAATAGATTCTTTGTTAAGTAACTATAGGAATGCTATTGAACAAGTATACCTTTTAAGTCATAGTAATGATGTTATAGTTAATTAATTATAATAATTATTCCCATTCGATTCTTACCCGTTCTAAATTGCAGTAATTATTATTTTCTCTCTCTCATAGTTAACAGTTTTTAACTGGCGGCAAAAAATAAAAAAATAAAAAAGGCAAAAGGAACAAGAAAGAAACGTTTAGAAAAACTGAAGTGAACCATCATTTGATTTGAAAAATAAACTACTAGCAGAAAATAAAATAAAATATATATGGACTGAAATTTACAGTCCGTTCATTTTTACAACCCAACATCAATTTACATTAACTAACTCCCTTCTTTCATCGTATACGACTTGAATCTATCTCATTGTATCTTATAGACACTTGTTGTGAATCAATCAATCAATTAGCTTATCCAGATCTAATTGCAGAATCACTACCATTCCTCATATACCTTTTAAATACCATTGCAGTCACCTGTCAGTATTTACAACATATAATCCATTACCATATCTATTCATAGATATCATATCTGCATCAGTCATCAACGCAACTTAATCAATCATATTACTTCCTCTCCTCCTTCCTTCCATACCTCACTCCCTCCATATCTCCTTTGCATATTAATAATCATGAAATTCACTAATATCATATCTTCCCTTTTATTCATCTTCACCTTCACCTTCACTCTCGTATCTTCAAATCAAACTCCCTTATCTCAATACAAATTTAGTCCCTTTGACTCCCCTGAATTTTGTTCTCAAATTATAACTCCATCTTGTAATACAACTTTCTCCTATATCGATGAATTAAATAAAAATTTAAGACCTTCCATATCTGAACTTGTTAAAACTTCATATTTTAAATACTTCAAAATCGATTTAGATAAACAATGTAAATTTTGGAATGCTCAACATTTCTGTGCTACCGAAAATTGTGCAGTTGAAATCTTACCTTCTAATCAATTCAATTGGTCAGTCATTCATAATGAGAATTTAAAACCAAGTAAATTAGGTAAAATCATCTTACCTGATGTCACTGCTATAGATAATGCCATTGAAACTGAATCAATCGATACTTGTGAAGATTTAGATTATTCTCATTTCGATGAAGATCATGCTTGTGTTTATGTTAATCTTTTAAAATCTCCTGAAAGATTTACCGGTTATGGTGGAGCTCAATCATTTGATGTTTGGAAAGCTATTTATAGTGAAAATTGTTTCCCAAATACGAATCCAATGAGTATGAGTCATATTGATTCTGAACCAGAACAATGTATTGAAAAGAATTTATTCTATAGAATTGTAAGTGGTATGCATGCATCTATTGCTGTTCATTTATCAAATGAATATTTAGATGCTGAAACAGGAGAATTTTATCCAAATTTAAAAGTTTTTATGGAAAGGGTTGGTTCATTTAATGAAAGATTATCCAATATTTATTTCAATTATGCTATTATATCTCAATCAATTGTGAAATTAGCTGAAATCTTACCGTTAAATCAATTCATTCAATCAGGTTATGATGATATTTCTCCAACTCAAAAGGAACATTTCTTACATTCCAAAGAAACTGAATCAGAAAATAAAGATATTTATAATGATTTATTATTAGAAGATATCATTCCGGCTTTAAATCAACATCAATTATTCGATACTTCAACTTTATTCTCTGAAGATCCCCTTTTAAAAGATGAATTCAGAGCAAGATTTAAAAATATTAGTGCTATAATGGATTGTGTGGGATGTGATAGATGTAGAATGTGGGGAAAAATTCAAATTATTGGATATGGAACTGCCATGAAGATTTTATTTGAAGATGATCAAGCTTTAAATTTGAAATTTAGAAGAATTGAATTAGTGGCATTATTAAATACTTTTGATAGATTATCCAAATCAATTGAATCAATTAATAAATTCAAATCAATGTATTTAAATCATTTAAATGATGTTAAATTAGGCAAAGCCAAATTAGGAGATTATGAACAAATTCATAAAAAAGTCCAAGGTTTAGGATTTCCCTTCTTCTCCACCCCAGATCTTAATGAAGAAGAAGAAGAAAAAGCTTCCGATCCAATCATTTCAAAATCAAGTACTACTACTACTACTACTACTAAAAAATCAAAATCAATTCTTGATCCAGTAGAAAAGGAAAAACTCCTTAACAGAAAACAAAGAACATTCACCGATGAATTCAAAATCGCTTTCAATGACGTATATCAAGCCTTTAAATTCGTTATCAATAGTTATATAACGTTCCCGGCCACCATTACTAAAATCAGTTTGATCCAATTATCTCATTGGTGGGATGAACTCATTGGTACTCCGAAAGTATTCACTGATTTCGAAAGTCCAATCTCAATTGAAAATGATAAAAAGGTGAAAGAACAAGAACAATATAATAAATTGTTTGAATAAGTAGTAGTATATATAGTTATGAAAAATTATTATATAGAAAATGTAAATAAAAAAAATCTTTTATATTTATGTTTTATTTATTTTCGCAGCAATTTGGTGTAGAATGTGTAAAAATATTCCTACAATTTTGATATTTTTGAATTTGCATTCATCCAAATTGGGTTGTAAGTCATTCTAAAAGAAGGTAATCCATACCTTTATCCAATCTAACTTAACACTACTCAATTTACACATTTCTAAATTAGGTTGGATAAGACTTAATCTGGCGTTGATTGTGGTAACGAGAATGTGGTAATTTAGGGAGTTAAGGAGAGAGCATCCACAAAAAGGTTAAAAATAACATTCCCCCAGATTCCGCACCACCACCACTTTAATTAACTAATAACTTACATGGTTACCAATTAAATTCAATTTAAATGAAGTAAATGAACTAAATTTTCTATATTTATAACGGAATGGAGATATAAGAATTGAATCTAAAAATAATAAGAATATAAACTAATTAAAAAAAAACAAAAAACATATAAAGCAAACAAAATTAAATAGCAAACATAAATAACACACAGTGTAAAAATTAATATTTTTAATTTTAAATAGCAAAGAAAGAAAGGGAATATATTAAAAAAGGGAAATTAGAGATCACAAATCAAATCATGTTTTATATTTTGAATAGGTAGTAGACTTTTTTGGGAATTGAATTGAATTTAATTGAATAAATCCAATATGATTATGATTATGATGATGATTGTTTTAAAGAAGCTTTTCTTTCTGATTTCTTTAATTTTCTCTTTTGAACAGAATCAAATTGTTTATGTTTATATTGTTTACTCTTTTGATAACTTGTATCTGATTTATACGATTCATAAGCATCATTAACTTCAGGTTTATCATCAGTTTCATCATCATTCATTAAAATATTATATTGATTTGAATTTAATCTATCAGTTTGACGTTTCTTCATCATTGGACCACCAATCTTATTGGAACCCCCATTTAATTGAGCTTCAGCTTGAGCTTGAGCTTTCTTTTCTTTAGCCAATAATGCCACTTCAGCATAAGTTAATTGTCTATATTCAATATCCACAAATGATTCATCTTCTTTATTATTAATCATGGAGATATTAACCAATTGATTTTTATTTTCTAAAGCAGGTAAAGTAAAACTCTTTGGAGTTTCAGCATCTTCACTTGAAGTAGTAGATTTAGAAACTGAAGATGGTTTTCTGAACCATTGTGGAAGATAAGAACTGGCTTTAAACATTTTGGCGGCAAAATCAACGTGGGTGGGAGGGGGAGATTTGAGGTGAGACAATAGTTGGTATTGACAGGGAGAAGGAGTTATAATTGAGTTATAAGTAATACCTGGAGTAAAACTTAGGTAAGTAAGAACAGGAAAGGAGAGGAAAGGAAAGGAATTATTAAAAAGTAAACAAATGGAACACAGGATATGAAACTATATATATTTAAACCAACTAACCACAAGTAGTTATTTGGCGGTTATCTGATCCATGTGTTATGTTATGGAGTCATAACAAACCCAGAGACTGTATATAACCCCATGACTTTCCTTATCGAGGTTTCGAAGATAAGTGATTCTTATACTAATTTAATATACAGGAAAGAGGAAGGAAAATACCGCGTTTCTGTTTGGTGGTGGAGTCTAAGTCTAAATGACTATAATGGTCACTACTATAATTAATGAATGAATGATAACCATAAAGTACCGAATGGATGACATTAGTTACACAGTCAGTAATACAATTGTTGTTGTGTCATGTAAATGGTGTTATTTACTATTCATTTTGTAACTGGTTGTAACCTCTGACCCACTTCATCATTCTCTAACCACAAAATTGTATATACATTGCTACCCATTACCATTACTACGGAGTCATTTAATTAAAAAAAACACCAAGAAACAAGTCTCGGTAATAATCACAATCTCATAATAATGACCCTTTTCATAATTTATTTGTTTATCTTTTCTATAACTTTAATTTAAAATTAGTAAATTTAATTTAATTTATAAAGGTAATCTGCCGAGGATGATGATATCATACTATAATCATCCAAATATGGAATTTGATATCCGAAAAGGGGAATAAATTTATGGCGTGATCAAAATCACGATATCTAAACCACATGACTTGACAGGTGACCAAAATATCCTGCATATACCCTCTTTACTGTTGATGAAAATAACAATTAGTTTTTTACAACAATATATACATAAGAATCAATGCTATTCAAATTATAATAGATCATAAACACTAATAAATTCATATGAATCAGTCAATCAATCTAATCTAAAGTCATTCTCATCAATCATCAACCTTGAAAAGAAGAAAATCTTCTCCCTAAACTATTAATTACTAATCAATAACTCATAATGGAAGGTTGGAGTGAAGTGGTACGAATACCTTTAACAGATACTCCACCAGATGATCCAAATAATCCTTCACCATCAACATCAGCATCAAACTCATCTCCATCTCAAATATCATCTATAACTTTCGATCATGTTTATAATCTTTTATGGTATGGAAGTTTCCAAGGGTTTACGCGATCATTCACAACTCTTTCGGCATCAAATTCAATTAATCCTTATCAACAATCATTCCAATTAATCCCTTATACTAGTTTCAGAACAAGCTTATATAAGAATAAAGTCCTCAAAAATCTAACTCATCGTGATGGGATCTTGTTCTTACTGACGAATTGTATCAATTTTAATGATAGAAGAGGGTTAACGAGATTTTCAATGTCAAATCATGATAATGACTTAATAAATTCTTTAACTTCATTAACCACAAATTGTAATTCTATAAATGAAGTGGTAATCGGGGGAGAAAAATCATTATTCAAATTCGATATTAATAAACCTAATAATATCACTACTTTTAATCATGATGGGAATATAACATCTATAAATCATTTATCTAAATTTCTTATCCTTGGGAAGAGCAACGGTACTATAGAATTGTTTGATCCAATAGGTAATGTTTCCATTAAAGAATTTCAAGCTCATACCGGTGTCATATTTGATTTTGATGTGCATGATAATTTAATCGCAACTTGTGGTGCATCTATAAGAGCAAGAAGATATTATCATAATCATCATGGTCATCATGGTCAAAATTCAGGAGTTAATTCAGAATTAACGTTAGATCCATTAGTTAATTTATTCGATATAAGAACTAAGAAATCATTAGCTCCCATCCCATTCCCAGCTGGTGCTTCAGCAGTTAAATTCGTTCCCAAATTATCTAACACCGCCGTTATCGCATCAAATTCAGGTCAATTACAATTCGTTGATGTATTCGATCATACTCATAGTACTATTTATCAAGCCGATCTTTTACCATCATCTCAATTACAACCTGCTTCTCATCATCAATTCAAATCTCCCTTATTACAAAATCTTGAAGTAAGTGATAATGGAGATTATTTAGCATTTAATGATAGTTATTCATATTTACATATTTGGTCGTTGAACAATTCGTTATCGATGAATAAAGCTTTCGTATCATATCCTCAACCTTTGGAACAGCCAGATATAATCATGCCTCCTATGGATGGACCATTTGGTATTGATGATAATGTCCCATTATCAATCATTGGTATGCCTTATTATAAAGAACAATTATTATCTGCTTTTCCTTATGAATTGACGTTTACTAAAGAATTAGCAAGAATCCCCAATAAGATAGATCATGATTTATTAATGGAAAGTGAAAAGACAAAGGGTTTCATTCCTTATGATAAAGTTAAATATGGTCCTCGGAATATTTATAAAAAATATCAATCATTAAAGGATTCATCTAATAATTCACATGATGGAAAGATTGTACCTAAATTTATAAGTGAAAGAGCATCAACTAATTCTAAGACTTTAAGAAAAACAGATTCAAGTACTTCTATTGACTCTGAAGCTGTTTCTAATTCATCTGAAGATGATAGTATTTTCCAATATAAATCATCCCCAGCTAATAAAATTCCTAATTGTTATTCTATTCTTCAAATTAAATATTCCAAATTTGGAGTAAGAGATTTTGATTTTAGTTTTTATAATAAGACAGAACATTGTGGTTTAGAAAATCATATTAATAATTCGTATGTGAATTCTTTATTACAATTATATCGTTTCCAACCTGAATTCCATTATTTGATCCTTAATAATTTATTACAAGAATGGTTACCAAATGATTTCAACACTATATTAAATGATAATAATCCTCAAGGTTCATCAATCTTGAATGAATTAGGATATCTTTTTGATATGATGGAGAAGGCAAAGGGCAATAACGTTAATATATCGAATTTGTCTCAAGTTTTACTGATTAATAAAGATGCAAATTTAAGAGGATTAATTAATGTCAATGAATGTGAGAATCTTGATTCAAAGGGATTAAGGAATATATTAGTTGATTTTAATAATTTCTTAATAAATCAATTAAATCAAGATTTCTTAAATCAAACTGGTAAAAACCCCTTAGCTGATTTAATGGGAATTACCTTTGAAATCCAAGTCAAGAGTACGAGTAAAGCATGTCAAGTTAATGAAAAATCAAGAGGGTCAATGTTTGCTCTTGATTTAGTTACTCCTCCAAGTAATGCTTTGAATAAATTAAGTATATTAATCAATCCAAATTGGAGTAATCAACAACCACAACCTGCCAATCCTAATACAGCTAGGAAAAATGTTACATTGGTGACATATCTTGAATATTCCGTCAATCAATTCAAAACCATCCCATGTCAACAACCTCATCCTCATCAATTTCCTCATAATTTAGAAATTCGTAAATCAATCTTATCATTCCCATCGTTATTATCGATCAATGTGAATTTATCTTCGGAAGAGTATAAATTGATTAATAGTTTCAAACAATGGTTGATTCCTGAATTTTACGTGTTCAATAATAATAATCCAAATTTGGATACTCCATTAGCATTTAAACAATCAGTCACTCAATTTGATAATGCAAAAGATTATTTGAAATATGATTTGGTAGGTTATGTATGTGAGATAAATCATCAATCAGAAGTAGCTACTGGATTCCATAATTTAGTTACATTCATTAAAACGAATGGTAAATGGTATTTATTCAATGATTTCTTAGTTATGCCTATTCCTGAATCGGAAGTGTTTGATTTATCATCGAATTGGAAAAAACCAATCATGTTGCTTTATAATTCATCGGAGATTGCATCTAATAAATTTGAATATTTCCATACTGAAACATTTTCAAAGATCCCTTCTTTAAATTCTACAATCTTATATAGAGATCATTTTGCAGGAACTATCAGAGAAGGATATAAGAAAGAATATGAATTATTAACACAATCAGATGCTCCTCAATTCGGTTCTTTAGTTGCCATTGATGCTGAATTTGTTAATTTAAGACCCGATGAAGTAGAAATTAGATATAATGGGGATAAGAAATTAATCAAGCCTAAATTCTTATCATTAGCTCGTTTATCAGTTATAAGAGGTGAAGACGGTCCATTATTCGGTAAGGCCTTCATTGATGATTATATTGTTCATACTAGTGAAATTTATGATTATTTAACTAATTTTTCAGGTATAGAACCAGGAGATTTGGATCCTATTAAATCAGAAAAGAATCTTGTTACTTTACAAACTACATATAGAAAATTATGGTTATTATTAAACATGGGAGTTGTATTTGTGGGTCATGGGTTATATAATGATTTTAGAGGGATTAATATTCAAGTACCTCGAGAACAAATTAGAGATACCAATGAATTTTTTTATAAAAGCAGCTATAAAAGACAATTAAGTTTAAAATTCTTGGCATATGTATGTTTGAAAGAAAAAGTCCAAACTGGGAATCATGATTCTATTGAAGATGCTTATACCGCGTTATTGTTATATAGAAAATATCTTGATTTGGTTGCAAGAGGTGAATTTGAAGATGCCTTACATAATATTTATATAGAAGGTACTTCTTTAAGATTTAAAGTACCAGAATGAATGAATTTATAAAATTCAAGTGTATAATAGAAATAAATATAAAAAATATAGAATAAGCAAATTCCATGTAAATGAAACCAAAAAGTACTACGAAAATTAAAGATAATACGAAAAAGTAAACGTTTATATATGAAAATCTAAGATAAATATAAATTAGTAAAAACTAGAAAATTTATTGTGCCCGAAAATACAAAATTAAAAATACAAAAATTATATTAATGTGAAATGATCGAAGAACCAGTCTTTGGTATAAGTTGTATGACGGTTGTGCAATCTTTTCTATCAACTTTTAAATTATTATTTTTAAGATGAAACCCCAAAAAAATACCCAAAATTGTGATTATTTGTGTCATTATAACAAAAAAAGACATTATTCTATAATGAATAAGTTGCTTATAATAAGACAGCAGCTAAACCGGCAATACCAGCAGCACCAATAAGGGCTTTTTGAGCGTTAGCACCAGCTTCATAAGTGGCAACAGCAGCAAGAGTGGTGTTGGCAGCGGCAGATTCAGAAACTTCTGGAACACTGTAGTATGAAGTGAGGTATAATTGATCAGTTTCAGTGGCTTCAACACCGGTAGAAACAGTAACAACTGGAGTGGTAGTTTCTTCAACATAAGTAACTTCTTCAGATGAAGAAGCTAGAACAGCAGCTTCAGTAGTTGGAGCAGCAGCTTCGGTGGTTGGAGCAGCAGTAGCTTCTTCAGCGGATTCAGCAGCTTCTTCAGAGGCTTCAGCAGCTTCAGAAGCAGAAACTGGACAGTAAGTGGTATAAATAGTTTCAACACCTTCAACAGTGGTGGTAACAACTGATGAAGTGTATGGGGTAGAAGTAGCTTCAGCAGCTTCTTCAGAAGCTTCAGCAGCAAGAGAAGCAGAAACTGGACAGTAAGTAGTGTAAACAGTTTCAACACCTTCAACAGTAGTGGTAACAACGGAAGTGGTGTATGGAGTTGGTTCTTCAGAAGCTTCAGCAGCAAGAGAGGATTCTTCAGCAGTAAGTGGACAATAAGTGGTATAAATAGTTTCGACACCGTTAACAGTGGTGGTAACAACAGTTAATGAGGTGGTTTCAACAGTGGTGGCACAAGCATTGTTTGAACAAGAAGTGATGGTGACATCAGTGGTTGAGTTTTCAGTGACGGTTTCGACATCTAAAAGAGTAGAAGCAGCTTGAGCTGAGGCGGCTAAGATAGCAGTGGCAGTTAATAATTTGTATTGCATTTTATATATATTAAAAGAGTGTGGAGTAGTTGGAATGAATTAATAGTTGATTGATTGATTAATGAAAGAAAAGAAAAAGAAAGGATATTAAAAAGCTTTAAAGTTGGAATCAATCGATATATTTATACCATCCATGATCAACATCTTCAAGACGACTCCTTTTCCATGACAATAGTAATTTAATTAAGGAATGAAACAAAATTTTTCAGTTCACGAAACGAATTGGAATAATGTTTAAAAATGTAACGCGTCAGACGTGTAAGCCCTGTTTAAACCATTGATAAATCAAAATAGCAATTAACTCCTTCGAAGCTTTGCCCATAGTTAACCAAAATCTGCCCCATATTAAACCATCAATCGAAAGGTAAATAGAAAATCAGGTACATCGATTGTTTTCATTTATTTATTTATTTATTTGTTTATTTGTTGTTGTTTACCATTTTTAGTGTTGATCAATCGCATCGATCACAAAATGACAATTTTTGTTTTAAATTAACGCGTAACAATGAACATACCGCGTATTGAACGATTTATAGAGGAGAACCCTTTTTGTGGATATGTAACAAATTTCAGGCTAATTTAAGTGTAGTACACTAATAGGTCCACTGTGAGGTAAGGCATGGACATGCGACAAACAGTAGCTCACGATGAGAAATAGAGGAGGAGTAGGAGAAGGAGGAGTCGTTAGATTTTCGAGACGATAAATTAGCTGCGAATCGATTTTTATTTTGTTCCCTAAGGCGTTTTTTCATTCTCGTTACAAATATAACATAATTTATTTACTATTTAGTATTTACCAATCGTTATTATTCTATTGTGCTTTGTTCAACTGGACGATGCTCATAGTCACGTAGGTTATTTACATTTCATTTAATGTTCGAGTATTAGTTATAATCATTATATTAAGACCTTAGCATGTTGGTCGTCGACAAAATTCTATAAATAAATATTAACAATAGTACAATGCTATTTACATGTAGAGCAAGGGAATGTAAACCAGAATGGCTTATTCCACCAAAACAAATAAACAGACAAATAAGTAAATAAACAAATACTTAGTCTAATTCAACATAAGGTTCATTTCCCAATCTTGAATAACACTAACCCAATCATCTCTAGCTTCGTTCATTCTCTTCCGACGCCAGACTTCTAACATAATTTGACGAGCTCCCCAATAACTTCCCAAGTATTGAGCAATATCAGCCCCCCACTTTTTAAATCCCATTTGTAAATTAAGTGATACAGCCTCACATCCGGCAATAAATCCTTGCCAGAAAAGTGGAATTATAGCTGCTTCATCTCTTGCAATCAATGTTTGAATCGAATTAAGATGATTCAAGGTCTTGGCTACTTTGGTTTGTAACTTATGAGTAGATACTCCTCGAATTAATCGATAGAAATAAATCATTAAAGCATGATAAAATGATAAAATATGATGATAAGTAGCTTCATGCATTGGTGAATAGAATTTCTTCCTAGCGTCACTTTCAGCTTCAAGATCAACATTGTGTAATCCATCATCTTGTAAATCTTCATCTTCATTGATGGAACCTTCCAAACTTCTCACCACTTCAGAGGTATGTTGACCTTCGTATAATTGCCAATCAAGATTCCAATTCAATAATTTCTTATTCAATGCAGTCACATCAGCATCAAAACTCTTAGGTAAGGTCGAAGCATCCTTATAATATATCTTATTACGAAGTAATGTAACAGTTTCACTGAAGAGTATAATCAACGAGTTGGGTAAACCATATAACGCATCGGTTGCAAAATTCTCATCATTCTTTTTTGTATTAATCAACTTTTTATTAACAAAAGATGGTGAAGTATTCTTAGCTGGACTTGGGGAATTAACACTTCCACTTCCATTAGTACCAATATTATTGATAGTACTATTAACAATAAAATCAATTCTACCCTTTTTCATCTCTTCAGATTTATTAGCAAATTTATCCCCATTAACATCATACCCTCGGCCAGCCGTGGATTCAAAATCATCTTTAATACTTTCTCCATCTAAACAAGTTGAATCTTGAATTAATTTCAACGACAGGAAAATTCGATGTAAAATACGTGCTTTAGATGATAATTTCTTCTTATTAATCATCTTGGTAGCTATAACTTTCCCACACCAATTAATATAAAAACTAGTATCTTGCATTGTCCCCCATACTAAATCCACACTAATCATAGTCATCACTGCGCATAATACATCTTTATATTTCTCATTGGAAAGACAATGTTCAATACTAGCTTGAGTATCAGATTTCGAATTTAACAACTGTTTAACAAACAAACTGGCTTGATTTCTTAATCTAATACCTAAATTCAAATAATATTTCATCGAATCAGAATTCTTAGGAAATTTAGATTGTAAGTTGAATGCAGAAACGGCCAATAATGCATTAAGTAATGCATTCTTAGCGGTTGATGTTTGTCCTAGAGCCAGAAGCTCTCCAATTGCCATCACCGCTCTTGGGAAATAAATTGTTTTCCAAGGATTTTCAGTCAAGGGGATAACTGTCATTAAATCTGCCACTTGGGTGATATAATAGTTTAACAAATAACGTGTCAATGGTTGTACTTGTAAAGCTGTAGTGGGTAAGCCTGCTTTTGGTGAAGATGATGAAGTTGTAGGAATGGATAAGTCGATGTCAATAGGTTGAGTATGACTCTGGACTATCGACATTATTGAAGTTGGCATTTGTACTGAATTCGATTGATCTCCATCTACCAAGTCTGTAGTTTCGTCATCATTTTGTAATTTGGATGAGGCATGTAAATGAATCTCAAGACCTTCATTTAATTGATATGGATTATTATAGTAGTAATTATTATAGTTTGAGTAGTATAAATGTTGATTATCTGGATCTATAGTGGTTTCAGTTTCATTTAACAAGTTTGACATCGCCATATTAGTAGTATCATGACTTAAATTACTTGCATTACCTGCAGAACTAGCATGATTATTATTATTATGATTATTACTATTGGATGTGCCTAATGAGTTACTGAGATTTCTATGGAAGACTAAATTTAAAAAGTCATTTTGATTAGTATTAAAGCTATTATTGTTTAAATTGAAGTTCTGTTGAGGTGAAGATGATGCGTTGGTATTTATATGGGATGATGATTTATCGTTATTATTTGGAAAATTCATGAAATCAAGATATTGAGTATCACCATTCAAAGCAGCGGCTGTTAACAAAGCTGCATCTCGTAATTCATTCGATAACCACAATTGATCATGGGGTGCACTATCATTACTACCAGATAATGGAATTGTTGGTGTAGTAGCATAACTTCTCTTACTACTATAGTGTGAACTTGGTGTGTCGTATGTGCTATTGATAACACTACTTCTATCAGGAGAAGCAGCCTCAATAACCTTTTGTTTCTTCTTAGGTGCTTCATGATTTACTGATGTTGAAGCAATTGCTCTCTTTGGTGTCTGTGAACCCCTAAACACTCCGAACGGTCCTAATAATTTTGTTTTACCTTCAGTTCTAACTAAATTATCAGTTCCGGAATTATTCAAAATCCCTAAATCCTTATCCATTTCTTCATAAGTTTCATAAGGTTTACAATTCTTCTTTTCATCCCATACAACAAATTCAACGTTTCTTCTTTGAAAGAATTCAGTAGAATCAGCACCACCTTCCGCATTACTACTATCTTTATCCTTAAATACCACTTGAGAATGGACAGAGTTTCCGCTTTTATTTGGTTTGAATTCAATTGGTAATGACCACCGCAACTTGATATCATACCCTGAACATATGTATCCTGCTTTAATACATTTCATGCAATGTGGTTTCTGTAAATCACACCGTATTTTTCTAGATCGACAAGTAAAGCATCCAGTAAACGTTTTGGATCGTTTTCGATACACATATTTTTCATTCCCTGCATCTTCAGCTTGAGTAACGGGTTCTTTTATGGAACTCATTTTACTATCAACAACCTTAATGATTGATAATGATATTTCTCTATTAGTTAATTATAGGTTTTCTGGGGAAGTAAAGTGATAATGATAATAAAAAAATATGATTGTTTTGTTAAACCTCATCGAAAATGGCATGGTGCACCGATGGCTTATGTAAGCCTCCCGTCTTCAAATGCCGCGCAAGAATTATAGACTTTACAAAGTATGTTAATATATAACTAATAATAATACATCATAATAAGGTAAAAGATTTAAGAATAGAAGTGTCTAATAAGCAACAACATCTTCAAGGTTTTCATCAGTACTTTCATTATACTGTTCACCTCTGTCTATAGCATTCCAAGATTTTTTAATCATCTTTAGCGCCACAACCGCACTACCTGAGCCTAATTCAGCAGAGGTTGTAAAGAATTTGAGTAAAAGATTTCTTTGATCTTCATCAATACAATTCAATCCCGCTACTGACATAGGCCATTGAATCATCAGTAATGAATATTTTAAAATTTGGTCTGAGAAGTTTTCACAATCTTCAATGAATCCAATTAATGAAAGCAATTTATTATTCAAATCTTGGATATGTGGAGCATCAAATGGATTCTTTAATAAAGTAGTGAATATAGTTAATATACCAGCTAATGCATATGACTTTTGGGAAATGTCCATCCAACTGATGGCCATGTCCTTACCATCTGTATGGATAATATCTATTAAATCAGGTAAATTACCATTAAGGGTATCATCCACTCTAATATTATCTGCCAGACTTACAAATCTGATATTATACTCATTATAGAAACCAGCTAGTAATCGAAGATAATCAGACGAATCGCTAGCGATGAAATCTTTCCCTAGAATTCTTCTTTGATTTAATATCTTTAGCAAATCTCGGAATAAATATGCCATTTCATTTCTGTAACCAAACATGATATTGAATCCATTATCTTGGAAGATCCCAAATTCTCTTAGTACTGATAACTCATATGGATTATTAAAGTTAATAACCAAGTCAAGTTCTTCATCGGATTTTAAAGTACCACCCAAATGAGAACTTGTTCCTGCTAAGATTTCAAAATCAGCAAACCATAATTTACACAAGATTAATGTCTTTGATGATCTGATTTTACCACTAGTGGCTTTTAAAATAATGTCTTTTGCTCCTTTTAAATGGGGTCTCCAACTTTGCTTTGTAGTAGCTGCATTGGAAGATGTTAATAATAAAACTGTAACTAAAATACGTTCAATGTTTGATACTAAATCATCTTTGACCTTTTTGTCTCTATTCCTACTTAAGGCTGGACCTAAAAATTTCAAACATGTGGACAAGTACGATCCATTGGCTTCTAAATCTTTGGGTGATTTAGTCCTTCTGTATACTGTTATAGCACCTTGTGCCAACACAGCAGCTAATATATAAGGTTCTTTTGAAGCAAAGCTAAGAATAACATCTCGAATAGGATTAAAATAAAACCCCTGTTGTACATCATACGCACCAAATGGAAGTATTTGTTGGGCAAATTCATTATAGAATTCAGCTAAGTAAGTTCTTTCATCTAAAGTTTTCACTTGGATCTTTTCCAAAGGTATATGTCTTGGAAGTTCATCATCTGTAGCCATTGGAGGACTAATCTCAGGAGATAAACCATTGAGAGGTTTTCGAAAGATATGACTGAAATCATCAACAATAGAATTATTAGTATCCTCAAACTTAGATCCAAACATCATATCATTAACGATTTCATTTAAATCTGATGCCAACAAATTTAAATCCTCATCATTATACATTATAAATGAATTCGTTGGACTTAAGAATGGTTGATTACCAGCCGAATCAAATGAATTGGTGCTCTGGAATGGAGTTGGGAGTAAATCAGTAGATGAATTAGATGTGTTGATAGATGGTGGTTGTGAGAGTTCAATTGGATTTGATGGTTTCACAATTGCCAGTGTAGAAGTAGTCGAACCTATTGATGGTGATTGAGATAATTCATTGCTATTTTTCTCCTTTTTGACCTTTCCAGCTTTAGCAAGAGCTCGTATCTTACCCTTTCTCTTATGAAAATCAGCTGGACCTTGATAAACTTGAATAGTTAAAGGTTTCGGAGGAATTGGAGCAGGGGGTTCACCAGAATGAATCTCCAAATATCGTTTAGATACTCTTAAAACTTTCTCTCCAGCCTTAGGATAGGAACATGATTTCTGTAAACGTGAACATTGCATACAGAATGGTTTGCTTTCGTCACATTTGATCTTTCTTCGTTTACACTCCCTACATCCTCCTCGACTATAATCTCGCTTGGAATCTTTATTTTTATCATTCATAATATCCTCTTCCATCGCTAACTAATGTGCCATTCATCCAATTTACTAATGCAATTGAAATTATAGTGGTAAATGATACTTAATTCTTATCTGTAATCGGCTACATTTACAGAAGCGGGAAAAAATTACGACGACCTTAATTTCCAATTTAAGAGGTCGTGCATTTTGACCACATTTCCGGACTTGTTAACAGCCCGAAGTATGAAGTATAGACTTAACAGAGGAGAGATACATTTTGCAACACTGTATATTAGATCAAGTAGATAAGATGATAAAGATTCACGGTGCATTTATAATTTACTGTTCAATTATTAGCTATTTAGAAGTATTACGATTACTTTAAATTCTTGAACAATAACTGTAACAAAATATCGAAAGGTGTGAACAGTGTGTACCTTTCAACACATATTTTGGTAATACAATTATCTATAACCGTGTATGGGTTATATTTAAAGTTCAAAGTAACGTTCCGTTTATCCCTAGTTTGTAACCTTTATAGCAATAATCTTAATCTCACATACAATTTTTAACAATGCCCGCTAATTACTACTGAAAAAAACAAAATTGTAACTTAACGGAACTCCCGCTAAAAACTTAGGGACCAAAAAGTTAAAGTTAGTGGAACCATTTCATTATGCACACCACTATTTTCCTATTTATATCCCACTAAATTTATTTTTTAGAAATTTATTTTAACGAGGTCTTCTTTTACCCCATATTTGAAACTAAACAATATCATATCATATCATATCATATCATATCATATCATATCATATCATGACATTGACCAAGCATTGGAACTATAACGAAGGCGAAGACCTTGTCTTGTCCAATCTCAAGGGATTGGTTCATGTTAACCCTTCCGTCAGATTAATCCCATCTCAAAAAGTGGTATTCAATCCGCACTCCGACACCAGTAAGAAGATTGCTATCATTAGTGGTGGTGGGGCTGGTCATGAACCATTACATGCTGGATTTGTAGGGGATAATTTGTTAGATGCTGCCGTCAGTGGTACTATCTTTGCCTCCCCATCAACCAAACAAATTATGGCTGCTTTGAAGGTAAAGGCTGATAAGGATACTGGTGTTATTATCGTGGTGAAAAATTATACTGGGGATATTATTAATTTTGGTTTAGTATCAGAAAAAGCTAAAACAGAAGGTTATAATGTTGAAATGGTAATTGTCAGTGATGATGTTGCCGTTGGATGTGAACAAAATAAAATGGTAGGTAGAAGAGGTATTGCGGGTACTGCTTTAGTTCATAAAGTGATAGGAGCTGCTGTTAATGATAGTGTAAAGGCATACTCTGTACAAGATATCAGACAATTAGGAGAAAATGTTAATGCTAACTTGGTAACAATTGCTGCATCATTAGATCGTACATCTGTTCCTGGTAAAAATGAAGAAATTGAATATACCAAAAGCAATGAAGCTGAATTAGGTTTGGGTATTCATAATGAACCAGGAACTAGAATCAGTCCAATTCCAAACATCGATGATTTAGTCAATCGTTTATTCAAGTTACTTGTTTCTCCTGAAGATAAAGATCGTCATTATGTCGATTTTGATTTGCAAAATGACGACTATATCTTATTGATTAACAATATTGGTGGTACTTCTACATTAGAATTGAATGCTATTGTTGAGCATGTTTTATCCAACTTACCATTTAAAAAGGCACCAAAAAGAGTCCTAGCCAGTGATTTTGTTACCTCTATCAGTTCTCCAGGTTTCTCCATTACTTTGTTGAACTTGACTAAAATGAACTACGAAACAGAACAAATCTTATCTTACATTGATGCTCCTACTAATGCACCAGGTTGGAAACCAAAATCTTATGATGAACAATTATGGGGAAGAAGTGAAGAATTCAAGTATTTCGAATCAGAAAAACTTCAAGAAGTCGTTAGACCTACTAATGTTAATTTGAAGATTGATCATAAATCATTCGAAAAAGCTTTAAGAGGCTCATTGAACAATTTATTATCACAAGTATCTAAAATTGACCATTATGACGCTATTGTTGGAGATGGTGATTGCGGAGATACTTTAAAAGCTGGTGCTACTGCTATCTTAAATCATATCAATAAGGATAATTCATGTTTACAAGATGTCTTAGATGCATTATGGGTTATCACTGAATTGGTTGAAGATAATATGGGTGGTACATCAGGTGGTTTATATTCGATTTTCTTAACTGCATTAACTCAAAATCTTCAGAAGGAAAATGAACTTACAGTTAAGACATTTGCTGATGCAAGTCGTAAGGCAATGTATGAAGGTTTATTTAAATATACCAAGGCCAGAGTTGGAGGTAGAACCTTAGTGGACGTGTTACAACCTTTCATTGATGAATTGTATGATACACAAGATTTAAAGTCGGCTCTTGCAAAGGGTAAACAAGGTTGTGAAGATACACTTAAATTAAGCCATGCCAAATTTGGTAGAGCAAGTTATGTTAATGAAGATATGTTTAAATTAGAAGGTGGTATTCCAGACCCAGGAGCTGTCGGATTATTAGCCATTCTTCAAGGATTTATAGAAAATCTTTAGTTTTTATTAAGTAAAAATACAGAGATGTTTCTAAACTAAAAAAAAAAAGTTAAAAAAGGTGAAAAAAAGAAAATGTCAAAAAAGAGATTTTGCAATTTAAAAAAAATATAGCTATATATAGTTGTACAAATAATGTTAATAATATTACAATGGATTAATCCATTTTTAGTTTTTGTTTCGTTTTGTTTAAAAACTTTTTTTTATTTCCTTTTTATAATACCAGGCAGAGATTCTAGTAGGAAACTAAATCTAATCCTTTATCATCTTCTGATTCTGATTCTGTTGAATTCTTTTCACGACGTTTCCAAATTGATGTTATTCTTTTGAGGGCAAAACTTGCTCCACCAGATCCAATTTGGGCACTCATTCTGAAGAATTTCATAAGGATGAATTTTGAATCTTCTGTAATACAATTTTGACCTGCCACAAGCATTGGCCATTGAATCATCATCATTGCACATTTGAATTTTTGCTGTGGAACTTCGGCTGAAGAATTTTGTAAAAATGATACAAATGATATAATTTTATTAGTTAAGATTTGAACTTGAGGTGAATTATAATTTTCTTTGAAACATTCAATTAAGATAGTAATCATTGATGCATAGACATAAGCTTGATGACAAGTATCCATCCAACTAATTATGACTTTTTCATTATTTATACTAAGAATATCGATTAAGGGACCAGCTGGGACTATATTATCTTTAAAATCTGCTTCGACTAATATCCCCTTATGATTCAAGAATTCAATTTCTGATTGACGATAAAATTGCGAGAATAATTTCATATAATCAAAGGAATCTTGAGGGTTGAAGTTCTTCTTATCTTCTTTTCTAATTTTATTTTTAATCTTAATTAATTCTCGTAAATGATCAATACAATCGTTATGATAACCTCCAAAGATATTGAATCCATTATCTAAGATGATTCCTAATTCTTTTAAGACTGATACTTCATACTCATCTCCCGATGAAAGTAATGAATCGATTTCTTCAGTATATGTTAAAGTTCCACCTTTTGTTGAACTTATTCCTGCTAAGATTTCTAAAGTGACAAACCATGACTTACAAAAGATTAAAATCTTTGAATTTTGAATCTTTTTAGTAGAAGTTTTCATTAAAATATCTTTGGCCCCTTTTAAATGAGGTCTCCAATCTTGTTTTGTATTTGAAGCATTAGCAGCTGTTAATAATAAAACTGTCAACAAAACTGCTTCGATATTAGATGTCAATTCATCATTATTCTTTTCATCATTTATGATTAAAGCTGGTCCTAATAATTTAAGACATTTTGATAAATAATTACAATAAGCCTCTTCATCTTCAGCAAGTTTATTCTTCTGAAATGATAATTTAGCTCCTTGTGCCAAGACAGCAGCTAATAAAAATGATTCATTAGATGCACTTTTCAATATAATATCTCTTGCCGGATTGAAATATGCTTTACTAGTTTCATCATATGATGAGAATGGTAGTATTATATTTGCGAAATCATTATAGAATTCTTCAAGATATAATTTTTCATGAGATTTTCTGAGTTTGATATATTCAAAGGGAATATTCCTAGGTATACTTCCTGGAAGTGCTCTTGGAAATAATGGAGACGTAGCAGTCGATGAAGTGGATCTATCAGTATCAGTTGTATTCATGACTGTTGAATCATAGATATTTTTATTCTCAAAATTCAATTCAAACATGATATTATTAACAATATTATTCAAATCACTAGCAATTAAATTCAAATCACCTTGATCAAGGTATTGTAATATATCTTCTGATGTTTGAGGTTGACTAACCGTCGCTGATAGTTGTGGCTGTGAAGTAGGGTGTATTTGAGTTATGGTAGAACTGGATGGTGCAGATGCTTGTTGCGTAATCGCAGTAGATGATTGTAAGGGCACTAGTGATGGTCTATGAAAAGGAGCTAATGGAGCTGTATAATGATGATTGTTATACCCTTGAATTTTTTCATTTAATAAATTTGATATCGATGAATATCTAGGCATCAATGAAGGCAATGTATATGATGATGGAGGTGGAGGTGGAGGGTATGTATGTTGCTGTGTGGATAAAGAAGGTATTGATGGAGAAATGTGTGGCTGTTGTGATTGTTGCTGTTGTTGATATTGATAATGAGGATATTGAGATGGTACAGGTACTCCTACCATGGGAGGTGGAGGGGGGATTGTTAGTACATGATGTGGTGGTGGAGGAGGAGGATGATGATGATGAAGTAGGCTGTGGTGTTGATTTTGTTGTTGTTGTTGTTGTTGGTTAAGATTGGCAGTTGTAATTGGATTTAAATATTGGCTTTGTTCGGGGTTTAACTTTATTCTTTTATGAGGAGAATCTTCAGGAGTTGATTCTTTGGTTGTACTTATAATATGAGTATCATTTGGTGATTCTGTAGATGAACTTTTTGAATCCATATCTTGTTTATGATCGTCATGAGATGAATTTGATGACAGTGCCAGTATAGCCTGTTGTTTCTTTTTTGATATTCTTAATATTCTTTCTCCAGATCCAGGATAAGTACAACTCTTTCTTAATCGTACACATTGCCAACATTGAGGTTTCCCTTCATCACATTTAATTTTTCTTCTTTTACATTCTCGACAGCCTCCTTTACTATAAACTCGTTTTTGTTTAGGTACTCTTAGACCTAGATCCAACACACCCGAACTCATAATTTATGGCAAGATATAAGGAAATCTATCGAACTAATATATGTTACTAATGTTAATGATGGCTTCAGACCAATCGAAGTTGGGTAGAAATATGATTAAATATGGATTGAAATCGCAATTCTGGAGATATTATTTGTAATCGGTAAATCGGTGATTGACTGATATGACGTAGTTAAATCGATTAATTGAATCTATTTGTGAATGCTGCAACCCTTGATTTAGTTGATGATATGGGTCACTACAGCGGGTAATTGGGTGGTGGGGGCAAGAATGGAGAAAGAGTGATGTTATGATGTGGTGGTCGTAAATAAAAGAATTAAGCGATATTTGGTACAGAGAGAGAAAAATTTAAACAAATATAACGGTGGGACAGACAGACAAAAAACAAAATTGTAAATGGAATGAAAACCAAAAAAGACTGAACTGAAATAAACTTTAAACAAAAAAAAAACGACAAAAATAAAGCGACAAAAAAAAATAAAAAAAAAAAAAAAATAAAAAAAAAACGAGACATAAAAAAAAAAGACAATAAAGTAGTTCATTACAGTGATGAGAAATAGAAAGATTCTTTTCATTTAGGTTTTTTTAGCGGGAAAAAAAAAAAGAATGATAACGAATCAAGACACTAAAGCTAAAATAGATTGTAGTGACAAAATTGGGCGGCGATCGTTGAAAGTATTAATATATAGATAGTGAAGGAGCTATCATTAGTTGAAAGAATAAGATATATCTTGTGTGTGATATGGCTATATACAAACACATGTCTCGTTAAACATACATCCTTCAAAAGCCTTATTTTGCCGTATATAGCCCTTTGTGTTTGGTTGCAGTTTTATTGTAATTATGGGTTATTATACATTAGTTAGTTCGTGGGTCTTGTCACTAATCATTAACAAATCAAAATTTGCGTCGCAAGAAATTCCCATTTTCCACTATCGTGAAATTTTATTTTTTCTTAATCTCTTTTTTTTGTCATTTTTTAATTCTAATTTTTTTTTTTGGCTGATTTGCGCAGGATTACTGACACGCAAAAATATGAACTAACTAGGAAAAAATTAGTGGATTTACTGAACAAGGAACAGCGGGGATGAGGTTATTGTTTGTTGGGGAAGTTGACGATTTAGGAATAAAAATTACGAACGTTTTCTATCACTAAAATTTTACATTTACCACTACAACAATTGATTTAGTTTCAATATGTTGTAGTATATGTAGTTCATAATATCAATACCTATATACGTAACTAGCCCTGTTTCATAATGTATTGACGCACGTATAGCACAATTGGTTAGCATTTAATTCAGTGGATGATTTACCCACTCCCCTATTTTAACTATTTTACAGAAATTGAAAAATTTTTCATGTTCTTAACCAAAACAAGGCTAATTTTCATACTGATAGTAGAATTTTTTTTTTTTTTCTGGAGCTCTTCTTCTTTACGTAATTAACAGCGCGGGAACATACACAATAAAAATTAATTACTGAACAACAAATTGTGAAAAACTTTTCAAATGATTTTTATAAATTTTAGTCTCATGAATAAAGCTTATTCCTGGGGAACAACTGTAATCCATAGATAAGAATTTTCATGACTTAGACGACTTTGAGTTGGTGAAACACTTTTCTTTTACCCCTAAACTCTATTAGAAATATTCATGACTTGAACTCCGAAAGCTTGTTCTGAAATTTCAAAACTTTAAATATGAGAAACTGTGGATTTTAGTGACAAAAACTCAAGTTAATTTTCATTATCGTAATGGTTATCATATTCAATTATTCAATAAATGCCTTGCCATTTAGTTAATCCTAACTTGACCGCACATACGTACGAAAGCACTTGCGTGCCACTAAGCGCATATCACATCAAAAAGACAATGAGATAATCTATTTCATAAATCGATATCAGAATCATTACACAAATGCATTATGAAGAAAGGTTCTTTATCTATTACGGCGAAATGAAAATAAGACAGAAAAAAAATTAAAATTAAAAAAAAAAAAAAATAATTAAAAATGAAATGGAAAAACCGACATTTTTTGAAATCAATTTTTTTCCAGTAAATTTTTCCCTCGCCGTTTACGTCATGATTTTTAGTGGACTTCTGTTTTTGGTTTTGGTTCAATCTCGCTAAAACCTCAGTAAAAAAAAACGGATATTGTTTAACAGGCAATTGTAAAAGTATAATAGCGATTAATACCGAAGTAGCGTCGTATGCATTTTATAATTACACTTGTCAATCACGCGAACTAGTAGACAACTACTGGAAGACATACATGAGCAATCGTTTTGTACTTTTGATTGACAATTTCAACACATTCAATGTAATCTGACTAAATAAACTAACTTTAACTAAATATATGTAGTACGATAATTCTTATAGTGAAGCGCGATCTTTTTCTTAACGTTAATTTTTGAACCTTTTATTTTTTTTTTTTTTTTTTTTTTTTTTTGGTTTGCAGTGCTTTTATTTTTTGGTTTGCGCGGGAAATGACCAAAAAAATCTTTTGATGTGCAAAATATTATTAAGCTTTAGAGTTAACATAAAAAATTATCACAAATGAATCAATCGCCATTTGATTATCTGGGGTATGATGTCTGACTCACCGAAATCTAATAACTTTATCAAAATATTTTTAAATATTCTACAAATTACATATCTCTTCAATTACTAGATTATATATTATGAAGATATATATATACATGTATTAACCTTTTCTATTCACCTTCCTTTTTTGATTAGATCTTAAATTATTATTATTATTATTACTATTATTAGTGTCGTAAACTTCTTCAAGTGATCTTTTAGAACCTCTGTAATTATTATTATTATTACTAATTTGATGATATGAATCGTGATTATCCTCCGTAAGATCGATATTAACCACACTATTAGGTGTAATTACATCTCCTTCAGATGAAGGATTGATTGGCTGAGTACTATTTAAAAATTCATTCACATCAAATTCATCAGTATTTCCACCGATATGATTGGAATTAATAATCTCTCCATCAAAATCATCACTTATTTTATGGTTATTAGATCCACCTTTATTATTATTGTTATTGATAAGATCATCTTCATCATCTTCAATGATCAGAGATTGACGACGTTGTTCATCCTGTTGTTGCTGTTGTAATTGTTGTTGTTGTTGAGCCAACTTTTGGATCCAGTCCTGAACTTGTTGGATGGATTGTCCTTGTTTATATATATTCTGTTCTAAACCGGTGATAATATCAGTTGAATTAGGAACAGGTTCATCAATTCTCATATATGCATTAGTATTTGTACCCGCTAAATATGGAGCAGGACTATTTACATTTGAATTCAATTCGGGAAAGTAATTTCGAGGTGAGGACACCAAGTTATTGTTAGATGAATTACCACTAGATGATGGAGGTACCGGTTCTTGATTTATAATTTGTTGATAGATCCTATTAGCATTATCAACACTTTCATTACTTGGTCTATTATTATTAATTGATCCATAATTTCCTGGTCTATTGTTATTACTGGTAGGTGTATTACCAATTGATCTCATTATTTCTTCAATGGAACCGGTTGATGACTCAGCCACGCTGGTTCTATTGGCTGGATTGATTGAACTATTATGACGAGTGGAGGTTGTTGAAGAAGATGAGGATTTTGGAGATTGTTTAAACGGTTTTTGAGTTAACATTAATGGTTGCTTTTTGAATGGTTGTCCTGCAGAAGACTGAGCCTGAGCGTAAACATTATTAGCATCATTATATAAATCATTAACTGATTTGTCAACTGCATTATTGTTATTTCCAACATTTGAATTAAGATTATTAAATGGTACATCATTAACTTCCAAGATTTTCCCTGCTCCACTATTATTTCCATACATTACTGATAAGAAATTTAAAATCTTATCTAAAGTTTGAGCTTGAGTACTATGTCTTTCTCTAGCCATGAAATTTTCATTCCATAAAGTTTTATTATCTTTTCTTATTCTTCTTAAATCTTCACTTATAGCTAATTGATTCATTTTAATTTGATCTAATTCATTAATTAATATTTGGAAATTGATTTGATTGATAGTGTTGGTAGTTGAATTGTTTAATACATTAAGATTATTTGCTCCATTTTCATCATTACTTTGATTTGTAGTTGGTTTATTCCTTACAATCTTATCCAATAATTCTTCTTGACCCCGTATGAAATTTGGATTTTCAAATTGTAAAATCTCATCATCTGATCCCACATTATCATTATTATTCCCGATGGATCCATTAGATAAGGTTCCACTATTAATATCTTGAACTTTATGCCATCCATACATGTTTAATTGTCTTACGAAGGAGGCGAAATTATTATGTTTGAAGTATTTTGGCAACACGTTCCTCATGAATTCTTCTCGATGATATACTTGGAATGTTTGACCATTATCATTCCATCTTATATATTTTTTATTATTAGGATCATTTACCATAGACCATAATTTAGTAACGAATAAAGGTCTAGTCTTGGGACCTGTTGGTTCTTTTTTCAGTCTCTTTGATGAAGCTGTATTTGTATTTGCTGTTAATAGATTTTGAGTAGATTGCCCCTGAGATGCCTGTGATTGTTGATGTTGATGTTGTTGGTCTTGCTGTTGTGGATTATTCTGTTCATTGTTGACAATTGGTAAAGTGAGTGGTTGGATTGATAATCCATTAGGTATGACACTTTCTGATAATGGTGATAAAGGAGGTAAATAAGGTTTCATATTTGAACTTAAAGCTAATTGATTATTACCATGACTTATGAAATCATTTATAGGAGCTAATAAACTATTATCATATGACCCACTTCCATTACTTTCCAATTCATCTATTCTGTTATTATGTTTGTCATTAATAACTTTATTATCAACCTCATCAAATACTTCATATAATTGATGTTGCGGTAAAATCGGAGTATTGACATAAGTATTATTAAGATTGGGAGTTGGCATATCAAAGGGGTCTGACTTAGGGTCTCGATTTATGATCTGATCAACTTCATCATTATGATGATTATTTGAATTCTTATCATTAGCATTGAAATAATTTGATTTTTCAGGATGATCATCGGTATGAAAGTCATCTTCATTAAACAATTCAATTATTGGATCATCATCATGGGAAGACGCCATTGTAGGTTGGTATATACTGTTGTTCTAATAAGCCATATACGATCCACCCTTGATAGATTGATGTATCAAATGAATGGGGGTAGAGATACGTTTGGTTGTAAATATTGTTATGCGATTATCAGTATTTATGGAGTTTAAAGTCTGAAGTTTTTGTATTTGTATTTTGTTCTGGTATATAAAAATTTCTTTTTTCCTCACTTAAGTAAGCTGCCACAAAATAATTAGTGTGTGTGAAGAATATATACAGTCTGTTTAGCAATGTTATGAAAGTTAGGGTATAAATCAGGGAATTAAAGTACAATTGAATTGTATATATAATATGTCAAAGTAGTATGTGAAAAACTTTTCAATGACATTGCACAGTAGTAACTTATAAGTTATAATTAGCGTTAAATAAACGTTAAATTATACTGCTGTCCTTATTCAGAATTTTGAAAAGTTGCTAGAATATTCTATGCTCATTTTGTGTCATATAACGTAACCCGCAGTTATCACAAATGTCGTAATATTGTCCGTCTCTACATCATCACGACATTATCCTGTTTGAGCTACCATTTAAATAAGGAAACATTATGCATATATATAAAATCATAAACAAACATTAAAACTTTACATTTTTATATAAAAAAAATAAACATCATTAATAACTTAAAACCTTATACTGTTAAATCTTCTCTTTCCCATCCTTTACCTCTGGTAACTTTTAATCCATTTTCAGGTTGAGGATCTTTAATATGATCCAATTGTAAAGCAAATGGATTTCTATCAACCTTTTGATTTAAGTTAGCTAAAGTATGATTAACTTCTCTATGTTTAGCTTCATCAGCTCTAATTCTTAAAATTAAATCTTCAAAACTTGATTGTTCGGTTAATTCAGGCCAATATTGAACTGCAATAGTAGGGATTTTCATATTTTTAAACTTTAATAATTTTTCTGGTTGACTTAATTCATGTAATAAATGACTATAAGTACTAACAGCTTCTTCTTCTAAATAACCCACAAATCTATGACAATATCTTGGATTAACTAAATAAAATAAAAAGAAAGCATTACAAAATACTCCTTGACCCACATAAATAATTAATCTCGTAAATATTGATGGTTGACCTAATTTTATAAAGGTTAAAAGATGCATTCTTTCATTATAAGCTTCATCTAATAAAGTTTCAATCCAAGCTTTATCTCTTTTTAATAATCTAAGACTATGTAAATGTCTTAAAAATCCTGCCACTGCACCTGGAACACCAGCAATACTTTCTAAAAATATACATCTCGTTAACCATTTTGATTCTGTCATTTCATATCTTGTACCTTTAAATCCATTCAATTCTTGTTCAGGAGTTGCAGGTTTCTTATACCCAGTTACAAAATCAAATGATCCTCTCACCAATTGAATTCCTCTTAATGCTAATCTATCTCCAAAAGTTTTTGGTTCACGATGTTCAAATTGAATTTTTAAACAATCTTCTCCTGAGAAAGTAGGATGAGGGAATAAAGGGTGAGTAATGAATTGTTTATCATCATGTTTTTCAATGTCACTATCTTCCAAAACTTTAGTAGATATATCAAGTATACTACTTCTTTGTTTAACTGATGTGGTGGTAGTTGGTGGGGTTGAAGTTGAATAAAAATTATAATATTGCTGATTAGCGGCTAACAATGACCCTTTGAATCCACAAGTAGTAATCAAGGGTAATTTTGTGGTAATGATTTTAGTTGGTAACATAATTAAGTTATGAATATATATGTAATTGAATTGATTTGATTTTACATAGAAATATACAATTAATATGACAAATATGAAAAGAAGCTAAAGTTTGTATTTATATTTATATTGCAAAAAGTACGATCGACAACAGCCATACGGAAGACTGAAAATTACAATGACAAAAATATAAAAAAATAACTATAACAAATTTAAATAATATTCATAAATATCAGTTCATAACGGAAATCATTGGTTACAGGTATAGTTACTATAATTAAATTCAAACTCCACAATTGTTATCGTATTATAGTAAAAATGATTCAAATGATTCTGATTAATACTACGTAAGGCTAAACGGGTCTTAGAAATGTCTGTGCGGCGGAGATACGTTTTTACTCCGCAACCTGTTGATATTGTCAGTATAATAATTATACCTAAATGGTCATTATAACAATAACCATAACGATACCATTGAATATCCAGGATGGAAAGGGCTGGATACATTCATTCCATTAAGGAAATTATCGGAGTAGATATTAAATGAAATAAAAGATAGGAAGTCATGAAGGACAAACCCCGTACTTATTTTAAAGTTTTTCTTGTTATGAATCGTTTTAAAACGGTTTTTGGAACCCGCATTAATCCGTTTTGACAGTCATCCAAATCTATAGTATAACGGTAATTAATTACCGTAACTAATCAATTATAGTATGTTATACCATATAGACCAATTGAATTGTTGATATTAAGAGCAAATTCATAATACCAATTTATAATAATGTGCCATATGATGATTGTCAATAGAAAGAACACAGAAATTAAATCCAGACTCATCATAACGGAAGAGAATAGTTTATTGAGTTAACCTTATTTAAATTATTAACTTCTATCGCTTGTCAATGGGTACTATATGTAATCAATTTACCTGTACCAATATAACTTCACTAATTAAATTACGTTTAAATTGAATATAATAATACTTTTACCTAAAACTGATCACATGACTGATCACATGACATTTTGCCATGAAATTTTTTCTTTTTTAATTAAAAGTTCTAGAATCATAACTAAAACGCGCTAATTCTTTTCATCCCTTTTCAAAACGCGAATAAGTTTATTTACTATTTACTATCAACTTACCATCACCATACATTTTGACATATTTTCTTAAAAGGGTATTAACTAAACCAACTGAGACGGTAAGTAAGGATGGGATTCTCAATGTTAACAATTGAAACATTTTGAACTATGTTGAATGAGGTTTTCATTAACATGATTGAGATCTTCATCGTAACTCTCAACTACAGCATTGAATCTACGATATATGTCAATTGGTCACAACTGGTGGATCCCAAGTAAACCTCGTCAGACCAACTTGAAAACATCATTCATTCGATGCTACGCCCTGTTTTCTTTATTCCACTTGATTATCAATTTAGTTGACTTTTGCCCAGTGTTTAATTCTCTACCCTCTTCAATGCCTGTCTCCTCTCTTTAATTACCTCCAAATTTTTATTGTGCCATTTTTCACCTCACCGGTAAGTTATCGATTTACAGCCATAATAAAAAAGACCTCATAAAATTATGGTCGTGTCCCGTCGCAAATCATATTTTTGTTTGTTTTCAAAAAAAAAAAAAAATAGAATTTTTATACAGGGTGAAATCAGAACTTTTTTTTTTAAACGAACAGCTGGTATCAACAACTATTTCAACAACATACAACAAGTCAACTTCATCTGTCTATCTGTTGCTTTGATTTGCTGTCTACTCCAGTTCAGTTCTTACTCCTATTCAGTGTGAATATATTCCTATTTCATCCCTCCATTTTCCTCAGACTTTAATCTCATCACACTCATTCACTTATCCCCCTCACTTGATTTACACCAATTTCATCTACAAATCACATACAATACATACATTCATACTAATATGACTATATCGATATCTAATTTCACTAGTGATCCTTTCGCTATAGCCACCATCTCATTCGGTGTGTTGGCTTGGATAGTAAGCATAGCAGGTGCAGGTGCTTCTGATCAAAGTTCGTTTCCTCATTTTGCTTGGTGGGGAATTGTTTATGAAATATTAATTATAATCTTAATATTCTTATTATATTTAAATAATAATATTGAATTATATAAATTCACTTTAGTTGGGCTTGTGGCCGTAGCATTTGTTTATACAACTAACTCCACCAATAATTTAATTTATGATTCTTCAAGTAGTGGGAATTTAGCTTGTGCAGCAGGTAATATTCTTTTATCAATTTTAAATTTAATTTGGATTCTTTATTTTGGAGGTCATCCTGAATCTCCAACTAATCAATTCATTGATTCTTTCAGTTTAAAAAATCATCATCATTCTCATGGACATATTCGTAATTCATCAAATAATCGTCATAATAGTATTGCCATTGATAAATTAGATGTCGATGATGAAGATCATACTCATGATGATGATCAATTCAATCATCAATCTCCTTTCAATAGTAAAACCAATGAAGTAAGACAATCTCAATTAACCAATAATGCCAATGGATCAACTAAACTTGTGTCATCATCTCAATTAAATGGTTTGGAAAATTTCTCATCCTCAGATGTTAATCATCAACGTGATTTAACCAACAATAATAATAATAATGAAAAGAGACAAACTGTATTCAATGATCAAACAAGTCAAACCAATTTAGCTTTAACCTTTAGATATAAAGCTAAAGCATTATATGGTTATGATGCCAATCCAGATGATATTAATGAAATTTCATTTGTTAAAGATGAAATCTTAGAAGTGGATGATATCGATGGTAAATGGTGGCAAGCAAGAAGATCAAATGGTCAAATTGGTATTTGTCCTTCAAATTATGTTAAATTGATAACTTAGGTTTGGTTGGTTGGTTGTTATTGTTATTATATTATTGTTATTGTTCTTTTTAAAACTTTTGTTGTTTTCCTTCCTTCCTTCCTTCCTTGCTTACTTCCTTTCTTTTATATCTTATGTAGTTTTATACCCACACATCCTTTTCCGTACCCTATTACATACTTTCCGGATTATAATATAAATTCATTTTATATTTATGATATTAGTCGAAAACAATAAGAGTTTATAAATTACTATAAAAATCTAAAAAAGTTTATATTTATACTTATGTAATCTAATCATCACTGTGGAAAACAGTAATTGGAGACCAATCTGGATTAATTAATCTCTTAACACCAGAAACTTTATGAATATTGTTAATAGCTTCAAAATCTTCTTCACTCAATTCAATAGTCTTTAAATTATCTTCAATTCTCTTTGGGGTAACCGATTTTGGTAACACAATAGTACCTCTTTGAACAGCCCATGAAATTAAAATAGTAGCAGCACTAACCTTATTCTTCTCAGCAATCTCAACAATAGTAGCATCCTTGAATAATGGTGAATCACTAGATCCTAATGGTGAATAAGCTTCAAGATAAATACCTTTAGATTTAGCAAATTCTAATAATTTGTGTTGTGGTAAGTATGGATGTAATTCAACTTGATTCACAGTTGGGATGATCTTAGTCTTTGGAGAGGCTAACAATTTAGTTAAATTTTCAACTGAAATATTAGAAACACCAACAGATTTGGTATATCCCTTAGCTACTAATTCTTGGACCAATTCATAAGTATGAGTATAATCGGAATCAGCAATGATATCCCTCTTACCACTTGGTAAAGTTGGGAATTTTGGATCATTACCATTTGGATTTAATTCAACAGGCCAATGAATCAAATATAAATCAATATAATCAACTCCTAATTTCTTTAAGGATTCCTTGATAGCAACCTCTGGGTTCTTATGGAATGTACCCCATAATTTGGTAGTAATGAAGATTTCAGATCTTGGAACTCCACTATCTTTGATAGCTTTACCAACTTGTTCTTCGTTACCATAAGCGGCAGCAGTATCAATGTGTCTGTAACCGTTTTTAAGACCAAATAAGACAGCTTCATAAGCTTCATTATCGGTTGATTGCCAAGTACCTAAACCAACAGCTGGGATCTTGACACCATTGTTTAAAGTAACAATCTTAGTAGAACTGGATATAAGTTAGTAATCAAAATCGATTCAATTCAGAAGGTTAATTCTTGATACATACGCTTTAGCAATTGACATAATTATAAGTTATATTAAAGTGAAATTGAGTTAAAAGTTAGATAAGTATCTATCCAATCGAATTCAATAATGAACAACAAGCTAATTACAATGAGTTCCACACCCCAAAGGTGTGGAATTGAGTCTATTTATATATTCCGCTGAATTTTCCACTTTGTGTTTGACAGGTCCTCCCTGTTCCCCCTAACGAAAATCTGGAGCCATAGTTATGGCAGTGAAAAGTTTGGGGGAGCAATGATACAAAATTAGAAACTCTGCGGACAATTTAAAATATCGATCTCCATTAAATTTGCAATTACCTTCAGTGAATTTAATCTAAACAACATTTCATCCAAGGGTCTCTTCATCAGTTCATATTAATGCTATGTGGCTCTCGTAAGTTCAATTGGTATGTTTTATATCTCTTCTTTTGGTTCATATACACCTTACATAGTCTTGAAAGGATTATATAAATTCATTTGCATACACTGTTATACTAGTAAAGAAAAGAAAAGAAAGTATCTAAAAATTAGTATAATCTAAAAATCCTACGTTGATACTTATCTAATCGTCGCTTTCGAAAACGTTAACTGGAGACCAATCTGGATTAATTAATCTCTTAACACCAGAAACTTTATGAATATTGTTAATGGCTTCAAAATCTTCTTCACTTAATTCAATAGTCTTAAAATTATCTTCAATTCTCTTTGGAGTAACCGATTTTGGTAACACGATAGTACCTCTTTGAACAGCCCATGAAATTAAAATAGTAGCAGCGCTTACCTTATTCTTTTCAGCAATCTCAACAATAGTAGTATCTTTGAATAATGGTGAATCACTAGATCCTAATGGTGAATAAGCTTCAAGATAAATACCTTTAGATTTAGCAAATTCTAATAATTTATGTTGTGGCAAGTATGGATGTAATTCAACTTGGTTAACAGTTGGGATGATCTTAGTCTTTGGAGAAGCTAACAATTTAGTTAAATTTTCAAACGAGAGGTTTGAAACACCAACAGATTTGGTATATCCCTTAGCAACTAATTCTTGAACTAATTCATAAGTATGAGCATAATCAGAATCAACAATGATATCTCCTTTTCCACTTGGTAAAGTAGGGAAAATTGGATGATTACCATTTGGATTTAATTCCACAGGCCAATGAATCAAATATAAATCAACGTAATCAACCCCTAATTTCTTTAATGATTCCTTGATGGCAGCTTCGGGGTTCTTATGGGATGTACCCCATACCTTGGTAGTAATGAAGATTTCAGATCTTGGAACTCCACTATCTTTGATAGCTTTACCAACTTGTTCTTCGTTACCATAAGCTGCAGCAGTATCCATGTGTCTGTACCCGTTTTTAAGACCAACTAAAACAGCTTCATAAGCTTCATTATCGGTTGATTGCCAAGTACCTAAACCGACAGCTGGGATCTTGGCACCATTATTTAAAGTAAATATTTTAGTAGAACTATACCTGAGTTAGTAATCTTCACTGAATCAACTTGTACAGTAACTATAAGCAAATTATGGATACATACGCTTTAGCGATTGACATAATTATATTAATATAGAATTGAGTTAATATTTAGTTAGGTATTTTAATGATAAGTAAGTTACAACTTTTGTCGATATTGACTCTATTTATACCCTACTTCATTTGCCACATTTTTGTGGGACCGTTCTTTAATTTCGTTGCCCCACAACTGAAATATAAAGATGTAGTCATAGCATAGTCATAAGTGTTAAAAGTTTGCGGCAGATGGGTACCAAAAATAGAAACAATCAGACTCACTAAGGATAACGGGTAGAAACCACCAGTATGCCACTAAAGCCGTCATTATACTTCATAGAAGAGCCATTATTCAGCTATTTTATTTAGAGGTAATTATTACAGGCTTCATCTTAATAAATTTTACGTAAGGCCCCATCAAATATACTTCGGCTTTATCGACTTCGGGTGAGATTGACGTGAAATAAATGTCAGAAAATGCGTTCCAAATTCAGTCGTTTAACATTAAAGTGTTCACGTCGTATTAAGCAATTTCAAACTATCCCATTGAAGCAGATATTAGTTGTATGTAAAGAGCAACATGGACGTTATTAAATGTTTCCAATACTCTTAGATCTTAAAGAATGTATGGAAATCAAGTATTAAAATATTTAGCGATACTCGACTAGGTAATAGAAAAAAGTTAGCGAAAAATACGTCTTTTTTAATTTTTAATGAAAAATTTCGTTTTCAGTGTAACAACTCTAGTAAATTACAATAAACAGCAATGATTAGGATAATACCGAAGTTATCAAGTAGAAACTTGATTAATGTAACATGTCGTTATTCATCTTCTATACCTTATGGACAAGTCAAACCATTCACTCGTAATGATGCTTCATACTTAGGTGATGCCTTATCTATTGATGGATCAATTGAGACCGTTGCTTTGAAATTTGAAAGACATTCACCACCAAATCATAATCATCAAACTGATGCTAAATCACCAGTAATCATCTTACACGGATTATTTGGTTCCAAAACTAATACTAGAACAGTCTCCAAACAATTGGCTCAACTTTTACATCGTAATGTTTACTGTCTTGATTTACGTAATTTTGGTGAATCTCCTCATATTAATAGATTAGATTATCCTTCATTAGCAGCCGATGTGGAAAGATTCATTGATGAATCTAAATTCGAATCCAAGCCAATCTTAGTGGGTCATTCAATGGGTGCTAAAACTGTTATGGCTGTTGCTTTAAGAAGACCTGATTTAGCAAAAATGGTAGTATCGGTTGATAACGCTCCCGTTGATTTATCAGGTTCTAATGCTTCGAACTTTGGTAAATATGTCAATCAATTGAGATTAGCATTAGAAAAATATCAATATACTAATATTAAAGATGTTGATAGAGAATTAGCTAAAGTTGAATCAAACATAGTGGTAAGACAATTCTTATTGACTAATTTAAATCGTGGAAAAAAGGAAGATATCATAAAATCAAAGATCCCTCTTGATGTTATTGGAAACAGCATAGCAAATGGATCTATCGCTGCTTGGCCATTTGATTCAAATTTAGTTAGATGGTCAAAAGGTCCAACTTTATTCATTAGAGGTTCAAAATCAAAATATGTGCCTGATGATATTTTACCTGATATAGGTAGTTATTTTCCAGATTTTGAAATTAGAGAAATTGAAGCTGGTCATTGGGTTATAAGTGAAAACCCAGAAGAATTTAAAAAAGTTTTAGTTGAATTTATTGAAAGAAAAGAAGATGATATCTAAACTAAATGTCATCTATAAATCACTTACTTTAGATTTACCATCACCAACAAAATCTCCGTAAATATCAAATCTACGTTGATAATGAACTGGGATAGATTCTCTGGCTTTTGGTAATAAATCCTTATCCAATTCAGCAAATAAGATTTCTTCACCTTCACCAGCTTCAGCAATGACTTTACCATATGGATCAACCACTAAGGAATGGCCGTAAGCTTGATAACCGCCACCTTCAACATCTCTGGCAGGACTACATAACACTGTATATATTTCATTATCAATAGATCTAGATCTGGCTAATACATGCCAATGTAATGGACCTGTAGTAGTATTAAAAGCACCTGGATAAAACATAGCAAATGAATTATGAGGAGCACGAGAAGCAATTAAAGCTAATTCAGGGAATCTGATATCATAACAAATACCTAACCCAACATTACCAAACTCGCCTAATTTGAAAACAGTAGCTTTATCACCACCACTTAAACTAATTGATTCTTTAAACGTAATACCGTTTGGAATATCAATATCAAATAAATGAGCTTTACGATGTTTAGCTATTATTTCACCCTTAGGATTGAATGTTAAAGAAGTATTATAAACTTTTTCCCCATCTAATTCTGGAATAGAACCTCCAATGATAAACACTTCATGTTTCTTAGCTAATTGGGATAAAATAGAAGTTGTTTCACCAGTTGGAATCAATTCAGCATAATTACGGAATTGATCGACAGCATAAGGACTGTTGAAACATTCTGGTAACATGATTAAATCAAGAGCACCGACTGTAGATGTTTTGACAGCTTCATCGATGAATTTGGTGACTTTGGCTAAATTGGCAGTCTTATCTGCACCAGCTTTTAATTGAATAAGAGCAACCTTTAATGATTTGGCCAATGGACTTTTCAAAACTGCAGCTGAAGTCATTTTCTGTAAATGTGATATATCAATTTTTATATTAGTTCAACCAGCAATTGAGTATACTTTGAAGTGATTAATGACAAGTTATATATATTTCAATTATCTGATTTGATTTCTGACTAATTTTGGCTTCCGCTAAAATCGCCCTAAGGTTGGTTACTCATATTTTTTTGGGCCACACCTTTTATCGTCCTAAAGAAGATAATTGCGAAAATTAAAGATTTACCCTACAAATCAAGATTAAATATTATTATTTATGTATTTACACTAATAAATATTCTATTAACAAATAAATAATTGATTCTAATAATTGACTGTTCACTGAACATTTTCAACTTCATCTTCGTCAGATTCCTTTGATTCAGCCGAATCAGGTGTGGTTTTCTCTGTAATTTGTTCTTGAGCAAGAAGAGCTTGTTTCTTATTATATCTATACTGAAGTACCATGAATAAAGCTGAAACTAAAACCCCTAATCCTGCTAATCCCATCCCCATACGGAAAGCCATTCTCATTCCGTAAATAGTAGTTTCAATGGAATTCGGATCCATATCTTTGGTCATATAGTATTGAACTGTACCTGCGAACCCTAAACCAATGGAAATAGAATAATTCACAAAGGTCGATACTAACGAACCAGCTATACCTTGTTGGGATTTTGGTAATGTAGTACTTAATATAATACAACCAGCTGGGAAAGACATATCCATTCCAAATGGTGTGATGATTAAACTAACGAATTTTTGAGCCCAATAATTTTGACCCACGGGTCTTGTACCCATTAATACGATACCCACTAAAAATGAAAGCATGGCTAAGAATAGAATTAATGATGATGGGATTTTCCTCACTAAATAGGCAGTCATAAAAGCTGCTACATAACCAGTGAACAAACTTGGAATATTCTTGGTAGCTGATAATATTGGTCCATCACCATCAATTAAAAGTGACCAACGGAAAGTATAGAATAACCAAACTCCAAAACATGACCAACCAGCCGCAATACATGCTAATACAAATCCAGTTTCTCCACTCAAAACTTCGGGTGGAACTAATGGATCCTTAACTTTCTTTTCCACGTAAACAAAGATACCCATACTTATAAATCCTATAATGAGTAAAACGTAAACATATGGTACATGCCATCCAACCACAGGTCCTTGATTCCAAGAAAAATTTATTAATACTAATCCAGTGACTCCAAAGAAAGAACCAAGATAATCAAAAGATCCTGCTGATCTGATACCAATTTTTGCAGGAATGACAAAAAATGCAATAGTAGCTACTAAAGCAGAGACCATACCACAAACCCAAAATGTCCATGGCCACCATACTAATTGAGAAAAGATACCACTAAATATGGCTCCGAATATGAATCCAGTGGGAGCAACAGCACCAAAAGCTGCCATACAAATATTTTTTCTACCTCCTGGAGGATAATAACTTCCAATAATAGCCTGAGAATTTGGCATCATTATAGCTGGTCCCATACCTTGACAAGCTCTCATAACATCAAAGAAGATAGATGATTTTGCAAAGGCAGCAAACCCGGTTATTAATGAAAATATACAAAACCAAGCATACCCCACGATATACATTCTTTTATAACCATACATATCACCCAATCTACCTGAAATTAAAATAAATGTACCAACAGTTAATGAAAATGAGGCTGAAAACCAAGATATTTCACCTGGATTACTCTCTACCCCAAATGTATCAGCCACTTGTTCTGATGTATTCATAGTTTGTGATACAGCCGCTTGGGTAAGTAATTGTGACATACAGATTAATCCTATAAATAGTATTTCATGGGGTAATGATATTTCATTGAAGTTAGGCAGAGCCTGTATGGAAACGACAGATGCATTGGTGAGTTGTCTTTCTAACTGTTCATCGTTAGGCTCACTTGGTATAGCCTCATGAATCGAGTGTATTGAATTGTGATCTTCTTGATCAGGCGTACTCATCTGTTATGTTCTCTAAATAATTTCTATATTATGAAAAAGCAATGGATTGAATTGAATTGAATGATGTTAAATAATACTACGACAATAGGATGGTAAATGAATGTTTGAGAAAGGTTCAATTGTCTGGGATCCTTATCAATATATATAGGATGTCTTGTAATGACAATTAGTAAATGTGACTAATGAGTTCATTTATGTAAGACGGCTAGATCGCTCATCGATTTGCTCTGGTTCATGTCTTTTTGTATGCAAAAAGAAATTTTAGGTTTAAATTTGACCACCAGAAAAACGGACCGTCAAAACCGATTTCCGATCGCGGTGACAGCCCGTCCGTCCCAATTAGGAAAGTCTAATCATTGCTATAGTGTACATTATCGTATATACGATTAATTATTGCAAAAAATACAATTAAAAGGTAGTTTAATTATATATATATATATCTATATAGAAGATTTAGTGAAACTATTTAAAAGGAAGGACAATGAATTGAAAATGATATGGTGGGCAAAGATAAGATATCGCTATACAATCACCAGTTTTGATTTAGGGAATTTGGTGGTATCTTTTAACCATTTCAAATGAGGAAGGAAGACTTTCTCACATCTTTCCTTATTCTTTGTTTCATCAGTACTAATATATCTCAAATATTTACCCATATAATCCACTGATCTCTTCGGTCCGTCAGTACCATCAATTGGAATTCCATCTAAATCGTAATAATCCTTACATAAACCTTGAGTAAATAATTGTAATACTCTTAAATCAAAATCATATCCTACATTATCATTGATATCAGCATACATTCGAATATGATTACCTGATTTTTCATAAACCAAATCATGATTATCTACTAGCCAACTTGGATAGAATTTTGGATATGATAAATGCATAAAGATAATGTCAACTTCTTCCTTATCATCCTTTGCTTTTAAGGATTGAATTGGATCATGATGCCCCAAAGCTTTCGAAGTAAATCCTTCATCGTTTTCTTTAAAATAACCCGTCCATCTGAATTGTTTTGGAGTTTGAAACCATGGCTTTTTTAACACACTTGCAGCAGCTATGAATGTCTCTTTATCACCTTCACCAGCTGAACCTTGGGTTAATAATGGATAATAAAAGTCGGGACCAAAAACGTTATAATACAAACATAATAATAAAGTTTTCAAATGAGTAGTTTTATTAATGATAAGCATACCAGTTTCTGAAGTTGGATTAGGTAAAGTACCTTCAAAATCATGAAACCAAGAATCTTCGAAAGTGTATTCAGATAACTTTTTAAGGGGTTTGTCGGCAAGTTCAGCTTGTTTTCTATCATAATCAGAATATCTTAATTTATTTTCAAGTACTTTAACTCCAGCAATTTCAAAGAATTTTGGATTTGTAGTTCTTGCCCATGCATCAGGCCATAATATTAATTTTCTCTTCTTATAGATTTCAGAATCAAAGATATATTCCACATTCTTAGTTGGGAAATTATCTGAATCAAGATATAAGATATTCTCAAATTTTGAACTTAATAAAGCTAACATTTTAAATTGATAACCACCAATATTAAATCGTTTACTTAAATCTCTAGCAAAATCAGTATTAAATACCACACATTTAGCATTATACTTTGGTAATACAGTTTCACAAAAGTCCTTTTCATATTCTAATTCTGATGGAATGAATAATTCTATAGGTAATTTAGCTCCTGTTGCTCTGATTTGTCTGATAACTAAATATGATAACCAACTATATCTTTCACCTCCAACTAATACATATCCTGCAGAACCATGGTAATCCTTCCATTCAGGATCAGATTCTAATATACTACCAAAGGTGGAAAGACCAAGATCATCTACTAATTTAGGTATATGTTCTTGTAAATAACGAGTATGAGAATCTTTTAATACATTAAAGGTATCAGGAGATATATCAAGTACATTTTCTAAGTATTCCTTAGAAAACAAGAAATCATCAGCACCAGCAAATAATTCCCTAGCCTTTTCTGTCTTATATTTATCTTTTATTGATGGAGCTTTTATACTATACTTTTCCATATCATTGAAAAATACAGTTAAATCGCGTACTGAAGCCAATTCTTCTGGAGTAAGAGGTCTTGATGGAACTTTCTTTTCAGGGATTTCATCTTCTTCTTTAGCTTCGTTATCTTTTAATTCTTGGGCTACTTCTTCTGCTGATAATTTTGGTTTGGCAATACTACCATCCTGCTTTTTTAACGGAGTTTCAGGAATCGATAACGGAATTTGATTATTGTGCCCTTTAGAAGGTGATGTGGGTCCTACTTGACTAAGTATTTGACGTTCGATATCTTCAATTGAAAACTCATGACTAGATAATTGGAATGCTTCATAAATTAGAAATAATCCCACAAGGGCATACACTAGATATTTCAAACGATGTCTTCTGGAAAACTTCGCATACGCCATGATGGTAAGTGTCTATAGATGGAATGAGATGAGATGAAACAACAATGGCGAATATCTATACTTTCAATTCATTAATTATAAGTTGTCTACGTTGTCCACTAAAACAGACCACCAATTGGTATAATTTCTGTGTCAAAACATTTTTTGGATCGTTTTGGAAAGCGCCATTTTTTTAAATTCTTAATTTTTTTTTTTTGGCGACACTGAAGTTTTGGCTTTATTTACAAAATCGTATACCACCAGTAAATCTTTCTTGGCTTATAGAAAATAGCCTACAAATTTAGTTATAATTTAAAGTATAATTCTAACGGCATCCAACTTCTTTTTTAATCGTAGTTATAGAATGTCTTAAGCCTGTGGTTACCATTAATCATGATAACATACGCGACTTTGCCCACAACAAACTATTTATTCAGGGGTTTGTAGGTGGTAGGTTGCACGGAATGTATGTCTCTGTAAATATAAGGAAAGTTAACGTTGATTATCAATGATTGAGTTCTTTCTGGTATACTACAAGGTTTAAAGTAACTAGAGGAGTAACTCAATGTACGAAATGTAGAACCCACTAGATGTTTGCTTTGGGCAATCTATTAGCAGTGGTTAATTACCTTATCAGAACACACATTCAAAGCGTGACTTCGATATTAGGAATATGATCAAGTCAAACTGTTGATAATCAATTTGTGATATTTTAGCTTGAATTATCATTTGTAAACTTTTTGCAGTCTATATTGTAATGATACAAATGAAGTAAAATGGCTTAAGGTGGGGGACGACCATCAAATTATGTGCAGTATAGTCGATCAATCCCCACATAAGATATCATAACCCCAAACTGTTTGTTAACGGATAAGAAATCCTCCACAAAATTTATCCAACCTCAACCCCAGAAGATGGATAGTTTACCCACAGGTATTAACGTATCTTCGAAATCTACTATAAATAAGGTATCAAATTCTCCTCGAGCATCGTTTGTGTGAATAATTAATCAACATACCTTTGCAACTGGTGCCCCCCTACAATAATGACAAAAGAATTAGACTTAAAACAATTACATGATATTAGATCCAAGCCATTGAAAATTAAATTATTTGGAAAACATATTCAACATTCTAAATCTCCTTTATTACAAAATTACTCTTTAAAAAGATTAGGTTTAGATTGGAAATATGAATTATTCGATAGTGATGATATTGCCTTATTTAAACAATTCTTAAATTCAGATGATTGTGCAGGTGCTGGAGTAACCATGCCTAATAAAGTTAGAATGTTTCCTCATGTTGATATTGTTGATGATGGTGCTAAAGCTGTGGGTGCGATTAATACAATTTACATTAGATATGATAATATAACTAATGAAAAGAAGTTTATTGGGACAAATACTGATACCATTGGTATCAAGAATTCATTCTTATACAATGCTGCTGACCTTGTTAAACTTTCTAAAGATCAAGGCCGTGCTGGTTTAGTATATGGAGGTGGTGGTGCGTGTCGTTCTGCAGTTTACTCATTATATCAATTCTTAGGTTGTTCTAAAGTGTACGTTATCAATAGATTTGCAGAAGAAGTTGTAGCTGTCAGAGATGAAATGATTAAAGGTGGATTCACAGGTGAAATCATTCATATTTCAACTCCTCAACAAGCTGAGTCCTTAGAAACCAAACCACTATTAATAGTATGTACTGTTCCTGATTTCGAACCCCAATCCGATAAAGAGAAGTTAGCACGTCAAACATTACAGGTATTTATAGATGCCAAAGAGAAAGGTGCCGTTCTTGAAATGTGCTATCATCCAAAGCCCACAACTAGATTATACGCGGCATTTGAAAAAGGTGATTGGAAAGTGATTAGTGGTATAGAAGCTATGATATATCAAGGTCTTGCTCAAGAAGTATTATGGACAGGTTATAAATGGGACGATATTCCCGTATCTGAAGTTATAGAATATGTATATAGTAATTTAGAAGAGTGATATCTTTCTGTATAGAAATAAACCATCTTGATTGCTTCAATGTGATGGTGACACAATCAAAAATAAGCCTGTAGAGAAAATTTGTTAAAAGAAGCTGAACAACTGTTCTAATTGTCTTTTTCGCTTCCTTGAACATATTCTTCTATTCCTTCTAATCGTAATCATAACAAGCTTTAAGGTTTCTCTAAATTTGATAAATCATCGTTCTAAACTCCTTCTAGAGATATCAGACAAAGCAATCCAAAAAAAAAAAGGTTCAGCTCCCGCGAATTCAAATCTCCACAATTTTCTTTATAAAGCCAATGATTCCGATAAATTGTAATTTATATTTAAAACAAAGTCAATTATCATTAATTAGAAGGTTGGCCACTATGACTAGATTGGTAGATTTACCCAAGACATCGACATTCACCGAGAAAATCACTCCTGATGTCAAAATTGATAGCAAGAACATTGCATATAAGAATGAAAGTAATATTATTCATCAACCTCGAGTATTATCAAAAGGTGGATTTTCATGGACTTTACCAGAAGAAAGAAAAGAATATCAATTCTTAACTGCTAATGAAAATGCATTACATGATTTAGGCTTAGATCCAGCCCAAGTTGATGAAGAAGAGTTTCAACAGATTGTAAGTGGGCAATATTATATTATTAATCAAGATACTTTTGAAAAACGTGGATTCCCATTTCCTTATTCACAAGCTTATGCTGGGTGGCAATTTGGTCAATTTGCCGGACAATTAGGTGATGGTAGAGTAGTTAACCTATTTGAAATCCCTAATCATAATCCTGATGGAAACAATCGTCCATTTTTCGAATTACAACTTAAAGGTGCTGGAAAAACACCATTTTCAAGATTTGCAGATGGGAAAGCAGTTATAAGATCATCAATTCGTGAATATATCATATCGGAACATTTAAATGCTGTTGGTATACCGACTACTCGTGCATTATCTATCACTTATTTACCAAAGACATATGCGCAAAGACATTGGGCTGAAAAATGTGGGATATATACTCGATTTGCTGAATCATTTATTAGAGTGGGGAATTTTGATTTACATAGATGGAGAGGTGATCGTGATGGTATTAAGCAATTGTCAAATTATGTCATTGATGAGTTGTTTACCATAAATGGAACTCAATTCCAAAATTTCGATCGTATAACGCTGATTAAAACAGATTTCTTTGATGAATCCAAACCTGATATTGGCGACAAATTAACTGATTATGATAAAATGTATTATGAAATCATTGTTCGTAATGCGGAAACCGCCGCATTATGGCAATGTTATGGCTTTTTAAATGGAGTTTTAAATACGGATAATACATCAGTTCTAGGATTATCAATTGATTTTGGTCCCTTTGCCATAATGGATAAATATAATCCTAATTATACCAGTAATTCTGAAGATCATGAATTGAGATATAATTATTCAAATACACCTACTGCTATATGGTGGAATTTAACTCGTTTAGGTGAAGATTTAGCTGAATTGATTGGTGCTGGTCCTGCCTTGTTGGAAGATTCAGACTTTATAAAGGGAAGATTACAACCTGAATGGGAAGATGATATTATAAAGCGTGCTACTAAGATTATTGAAATTGGTGGAGAAATTTATCAATATGCTTTCACTAAGAAGTATGTGGAGACATTTTTAAATCGATTAGGTGTATCTCACAAGGTGATTGATTCTCAAGACGTGAATAAATTAAATGAAGAATTTATTAGTCCATTATTGGCATTATTGTATAAGATTCAATGTGATTTTAATAAGTTCTTCTTGGTATTGCAGACTGTAAGAGCTGGAGGTGACACGATTGATTCTGAAAAGTTGGTACATGAATTAGAAACATCTGAATCAAGATATTCTAAACAAGAATTAACTAAAGAAATAGATGACTGGTTGGTTATATACCACGGCATCATTGCTAAATCTCATGAACTCGAACCAACATTTAATCCTCTTGAAACTTCACAAAAATTCAATCCATATTTCTTACCTCGTGGATGGATTTTAGATCAAGTTATCAAAAGTGTTGAAGAAAGTGATGGTGAAGAAATCAAATTATTAAAGAAATTAGAAAAGATGAGTTTTAATCCATTTGATAAATCAAAATGGGGTGATGAAGAAAAACAAATTGAAAAAGAATGGGAATTACAAGGTGATCTGAATCCAGAGAAAAATATGCAACAATGTAGTTGTTCAAGTTAGTTATACAGCACGTTTTTAAGAAGGTTGGATTTTTAATATATATATATATATATATATATATTCAGCAAATCAGTAAATCAAAAAACTATAAAAATTACAAACTAAAAGGAAACGTAAAAATTCAATGAGCAATTCTTTCCGATTCCATTGGATGACTCTTTTTAATCTCATTCTTATCAGACTTAGTATTATCTGTAGCCAATGTTGATCGAGGTTGAAAATTCAATGGATCGTCATTATCAACAATATTTGCATTAGCAGAATGATGATAATAATTCATATTCATAGCCGGATCACCCCCAGCTAACGCCAAGTCATCCAATCCAGAAACATATTGACCTTTAGAATTTAATCCATAAGTATTACCTGCTGTAGTTTCACCTTTCATGAAAGCTTCAGGGGGGACATCTTTTCTCATATCCTTTCTATCCGGAGTATCGGGTTGTTTCTTATTCAAAACTTTAGAACCTAAGCCCTTATCCGTTCCAGAAATAGTTTGACGACCTAAAGCATGTCCACCCATTTTATCCACATTATCAACATCCTTCGCCAATGAAGCTTTCTTCGGATGTCCTCTTTCATTCTCCCTCTCAACTTCATTTGACGTGAAGTGTTTATAATCTTCATACGAGTCATCGTTAGACTTGACTTTATGATCTTGTTCAGGGTCAGATGAGCCAACGTTGGTAAGGTTACTTAAACGAAGTTGAACTTTTTCTGCGGTATCGTGTAATTTATCTCCTAATCCCATTTTTATTGTATGTATTTATGTGGAGAAGGAAAAGACGGATAAGGTTTAAAATTGACTAAAGTTGATCTATTTATACATAAACGTTGGTCTAAGGGGGTCATGGAGATGATTACATCATAGGTTAATTGCTTTTTAAAATTAGTGATTTATAAAATTGCTCTTAAATTTGTTTGACAATCAGAATTCATTGTGTTGCTAATTTGGGTGCGAAAAAAAGAAAAAAAAATTAAAAATTTACGCAAAGGAAATGAATGAATTTTGGGGAATATATTAAATTATTTCTATATATGAATTAAAGATTAATAGAAATTGACTAACAAGTCCATTCCTTGTGAATATGTGTATGTATGTAATAAATAAACAGATTAAAAAAAAAAAAACACAACTTAACCACCAGATCATCACCGAGATCTAAACTAAAACCACAACGTCATAAAAGCAAACTAAAAAAATAGGATAAAATAAAAATTAAAAGAATTGAATAATGAATATGCAGAGCAAATGGATGATACTCTTACTTCTTTTGAATACTAACTGGGATCTTAACTCTAATATGATCGTTATTAGAAAGTACCAAAGTGACTTTGATATAATAAGTTCTAGCAAAATTACATGATTGGAAATTTGGAACTAAATTAAATTCATCATAAGATTTATAAGTTGCTGGATTATATTTCTTAGCATCTACTGCTTTTAAAGATGCTGATTCTAAGTTTAAATTCAATTTGAATGATTTTTTAAATTCAATTTGATTTTGATTCAATTGTTGCTTCCATGGAATAGAAGCACATGATGTAACTAGTTTATCATCAGCATTAATAATCTTGGTATCAATGACCTCTAAATTAATATTTTTCTCTTGTAATTGACAAATTGATTTAATATCATCAATCAATTGTTTTTCAACTTTAAAATTATCTGATCCTAAAGTTTTCAATAAATGATATAATTTAGTAGATTCAACTCTCATAGGAGTAACAACATTATTGGTAAACGTATCATTATCAATGAATTGAGCTCTAGCATTCTTTTGACTTCCTGGTTTATTAAAGATTAAATCATGATGGAATTCAATAGGAATAGCATGTTCATCTGATTTAATACTAAGGACAATCAATTCAGCTTGGAAACTTCTAACTTCTGGTAATTTTTTAATCATTGAACTAATGGATGAAGAGTATTCTATTGAAGAAGGTAAAATTAATGATAAATCAATAGGAATGATAACATCTTTCCAACTTTCTAAATGTTCGAATCTAAGAGGAGATAATTTTCTAAATTTGGGAGGAGGAATATAATCAATATTAATTTGTTCCTTTGGAGTTGATAATTTAACAGTACCAATTAATTTTGTTGATAAACTATTTGTAAGGGATGATTTTTTATAAACAGGTTGATAAATTTCATATAATTCAACTTTTTTATCATTATTATTTTCATAAGTTTGTTTAATATCTCTATGAACTCCTTGAATATATTCTTGTTTTGCCTTTAAGAAATCTAATTCAGTTTTCGATAATTGTTTCGAAATATCAATTGATGAATCAAATTTATTTGATTCAATAGATAATAATAATTGATTACCTAATTCAATTTTATCATTAATTCTTGATAATAAGTTATTATACCATAATTTATTTTCAATATATCTCATTGCTAATTGATTTTTAGTTAATGATTTTGTTTGTTGTAAAATTCTCATAAAATTGGAGGATTCCTTTAAAATTATAAATTCATCACCACTGGAATTTAATAATTTTGCAATATTATTATTTTTATTATTACAGTAATTTTGAAAATCAGATTCAGTTACATTATAAAGTGATTTTCTACCAATAAATCTGGCCAAAACTCCATATCTAATAGATGTATCTAACATAGCAAAATCTTTAAGGGTAGTTCTATCAGTAGTTGGATATAATATCTTTTCATAGTAAGATATACCAATGGTAGGAGGTAATTCAATATGACTTGATAAATTATGATCATTACATTCAGAATCTAATAAATTTGTTGGGATTTTAAATGTAAAAAACCGTTTATATAATTTATTTGGTTGAATTAATTTATCAGGGCCAAATGATAAATAGGAATTATCAATTGTATCAAATAAGTTTGGACAAGTATAAATATTATAATTTTCAGTTACTAAACGATTAATATGAGCTTCATTCCAACTACCTGAAAAATCGAACATTTCTAAAAAATTTTTAATTTTAATTTGTTCAAGTGAACCATTTTTACCTTGAATTATAAAAGTACCTTCAAATAAAAGATAAAACATATCAAATGGAATAGTTTCTAGATGACTTGATTTTATATATACATACCCATTAATATAATCACCTTGTTTATATTCATAAAATGAAGGATCAATTTCAATCGGTTTAACCCCAATAACACCAACATTTTTTGTAAAATGAACTGAAATATCAATATTGTTTGAAGTTGTATTATTAGAAAAGGTTAAATTCTTTAATTTATGAATATTATCTAAGATTGTTTCTTGCCAATGATTAGTAGTTTCATCAGCGACAATGATTTGAGTGGAATTTGAATTTGAAGCAGTTGAATTTGAAGTTGAAGCTGAATGATGATGAGAAATTAATGATGAATCATTCGAAGCTGACAGTAGAATAGATGGAGTTCCAATAGTATTATCATTATTATTATAGGCAGGTAAATTAAGTCTACCATTTGGAGAATAAATATTTGAATCTATTAAATGAGAAGGATCTTCAATATTTAAGTTTTTATTAATGGTTTGAGTAAACATTTCATAAGAAGGTAAGATTGACCATACTGGATCATCAGTTGAAGTTTGGGAATAGTCAAGAAAGCTAGTGCGAGGAGCACTTTTAGAATCGATATAAGAGGTTGATTCTTGTTGGGATGGTGGAGGTGGAGGAGGTTGATCTTGATCTAGATCTTGAAGATCTTGTAGATGCTGTTTAAGATCTTCCTCATAACTGGGGACTTCACTTTCATCAGGCATTTTAAGACGTAGTAGTAGTAGTAGTAGTAGTAGTATTAGTTAGTTAATTTAATTAGGTTAATGGTTATATAAAGTAGATGTATAGTAACGAATGGTATATCAAACGTGTGATTGATTGATTGAATAGATGGATACAACGGCTATGGTATAATGAATAAAGAAAAGTGTTGTAAATGAAAAAGACGATGAGGCTGTAAATGAATCTATATATAAACTTTTCAGAAGCCTAAAGTATAAGCGGCTAATTACTTAGTATATTATACGTAAAGTAAATATGGAATGGAAAGTAAAAAATTGCAAAACAATTTACACAAAGACGGGACTTGCGTTCCAGTTATATCTTTTCTAACTTAAGTTATTAACTTGAGTCAGGATGAGCTGGGATTGGGAGCGATGGGAGGGAAGTAGGAATTAACGGCTCATCAATTGGGAATTGATCATATGGTTAAGATAACAAGTCATAAATATAATATCTAGGGTATGATATACTGTTTATATACATAGAGATGATTAATAATAATATAGAATTGAAAACAAATGACTCTTTAAGTATAAGTCAAAGATAACACATTATGAATCAGTTGGAATTAAACATATCCATTAAGGTTCTAATTGCATTTAAAGTTATCTGACCATCCCTAGCTCCTCCTTTCCATATGATTCTACTTCTATTAGCTTCTAAATCAATTTAATTAAATGATTACTAAACATATCTTTCATATTTAGTATGACTCAATATTTAGTGTGCGTGTATACTTAAATAAAATTAATTACGGTAATTTTCCCACACTAATTTTCCATTTAGTGAGAAAAATTTTCATTTTTGTTAGACAGTTTTTAATTTCTCCACTTTTTTTTTTCATCTTTTCTTTTGCATTCTTTGGTCTTCCTAACAATTTTATCGTAACGGTTAAAAGTGATTAAATTACCGTCACACTGTAAGACTCATGTTATCAAACAATCAAACCACATAGATTCATTTACGTCCGACTTATCTTCTAATCGTTTTATTTATTTATTTATTTATTTATTTGTTGATCTCTTCCGATTTCGGAGTTGGTATCTTTATGTATATTACAGTTCTACACTCCACATAACTACACCTGTTATAATTTAATAATAATATATTTAATATATATATAGATTTATAAGCTGAAATTTTGGGCTAATAATTAAAAACTATAAAATGGAAATTGGATACGATATAATTATTCCATACATCCATACCTCTCCCAAAAAAAAAAGGGACATCCATGCCCCTCTAAAATTTTTTTTTTTGCAATCAATAAAACATAAATTTAAACTAAACTATAACTGGGATTTTTAAAACTTTAACTGTATTATTAATGGAAATACTCACTTTCAAATAATAAAACCTTACTAAATTATTGGATTGGAATGAAGGTAATAATTGAAATTGATTAACAGCTTTAGATAAATCCATTCTCACTGTAACCATTTTTTTAATTTGATCATTACCATTATCATCGATCCAAGCCAGATTCTTATCATCCCAAACATCGGGATTCATACATTTTAATGGAATTGATTTAACTTTAGTCTTTAATTTACTTAAAGTACGTAAATCTTGATAATCTTCACTTTCAATATGTAATTGATGTAAATATTTATCGACATCAATGACTCTATTTGAACTGGTTTCTGACATGTTTAATTTCAATAATAATTCATATAATTCACTCTTTAATAATTGACAAGGTTTATTATATTGTTTCTTCATGGTTTCCAAATTATCTTCATCGATAATAACATTATTATGATTCAATTCCACTGGGATATCTCCTTCATCACTTTTGATATTAACTACTACTAATTCAACTTTGAAATTTTTGACTTTAATTGAAGTTTTCTTTTTCCGTTTAGCTAATAAGTAATAATTATCAATTGATATATGAAGAGGCAATAATCTTTGAGGACCATTATACGCAAAACAGTCTTCATTCATAGTTTGGAAATCCATAGAACATTTAAATTCAATCCCATCATTATCATCATTTTCAGTCTCATGATAATAATCAGGTGGTAATAATCTATGAGTGATATCAGTATAAGATTTATCTTCTTTTAATAAAGTCCAACCATTTTCAATTTTCCCTTTTAATCCACATACTAATTCTTCATAATCTCTGAAATTATAAACATTAGTAAGATGTTTAGTACTTCCCCAAATATTGATATTTTGGGAACTTTCATGAATTATAATAGGTTCGATTTCATTACTTTCATCTTCATCTTGGTTTAAAACTCTAACCACAATACGATAATTGATTATTGTATCATTAAAAATATCATCTAATCCATCTTCATCAAATTTTTCATCTCCCATAGTAGGAGGTAATTGAAAAGATCTATTATCTTTATCAATCAATTGATGAGGGATTTTAAATTGAAAACCTTGAATAAGTTTATCTTCATCATCAGTTTCTTCTTCTTCTTCGATTTCATTCCCAATATCAAACATTTCTAAGAATTTATTAACTTTAACTGGAACTTTAACTTTTTCATACGCACGATATTTATTAACCGTTAAAATATATCTCCCTTCTAAACTGATTTTAACCTGTTTATATTTCCTTATCATCTCACCAGGACATGAAAGTTCAATATTACCTCTAACATAATCGCCACATTTATATTTAATCAACTTATGATCATTATTCTCAAAATTGAATTTTGAAATGATATTATCATTTTTTACAATGGTTAATTGATCTAATTTATTAGTACGTAAATCATGTTCATCAACCATAATATGATGAGAATTATAACTCGGTAAATGGAGTTGTACAGATTTCTCTTCAACTTCTCTTCTTTGAATAATTCCATCGTCATTAACAGTAATAGGGTGACTATTATTGCTATTTCGGATAGTACGACATTTAAATCCGGCATTGAATTGATTTACAGTAGGTGAACTTGATAAGATATAAGGAGGAGGCGATTTGGGTGGTAAGAAATGAACTTTCTTAGCAACAGCAGCAGTGGAAGTAGTTTTGGTAGGGTTAGTTATAGCAATTGGCTGAGCGGTGACAGGTCTACTAGTGATAGAACTAGTAGACCGCGTCGGTATCAATGATGATGTTAAATTTAACATTATATGTATATATAATTCTGATAAAATACGATAAAATTTATTAAAAAGAGAAAATTGATCAATTGATAAGATTACAGAAAGGTGTTTCTTTGATCTATATATAAACTATCTTTAATGTTATACCCTTTTATGAATGATTAAAATTAAAGTAAAAAATTTTTTATGATCTTTTCTTTTTTAGTTTTTTTTTAATTTATTTAATTTTCGTAACTGTAACTAAAACAGGATTTGTAAATACAAATCCACCACTCTCATCAAAAATAAAGCATGTGGTGGTAGTTGAAACACCACTAAATTAAATTAAACCATACTAATTTGTTTTGTGTATGATAGCAACAACAGTTAATTAGAAGATGTAAATATCAAATTCACATACAAAGTGTTTACGAAAAATATAAATGATGACTCATACTTAATTAATATATGGCAACTGTTCTGTAAATCACACACTACCCATCATAATAATAATAATAACTATTTAAATCGATGAGGTGGTTTTCCCCCTATTTCCTAACACACGAACAATGGTCTATGTATATCAGATCTCATATACTTAGCATGCATGTAACCACCTGAATAATAATAATAAATATTGTGAAAAGTTAAACTTAAATTGAAATTGAATGACTGTTGCGGAATTTATTCTCAATTAGGTCATAACTACTAATTTGTGTACTCGGTGTTAGCGATATATATAGTGTTTGTGATACTTTAAAAGGAACTAGTGGAACTATATAACCCTTAGTTATATACCATCTTCTTACTACTCGGTCTTCCAAACCATGCTTTGAACTTCACTACAATTCGTTGGATATCGGAGACTATTCAATGACAAATTTGTTATAATTTGATGACCTGCTCCTATTCCCTGTTCCTATTTCTTCCTTAAACTATACGTAAAAGATCACCTACATAACAATATTAGTAACTACACATCCAGCTTAAAGCGATAACCATGAAAACTTTAATCTAATAATAAGGAACCCCAAGTAAAGAAATATTTTTTAAACATATATTATTTTTTTCATTCTTTTTTTAAAATGATGCTACGCCTCACTGAAACTAACATTTCCCCCCAAACAACTAATAAAAGTTCCGCTATTGCCTTATTCGATTAGACTACTTTACTTAAACCGTAAATAGATGTTTGATTTGTTATTCGATATCTCCGAATATGACTGGAATGTTCAATCTAGTCTATTCCTATTGGTTGTTTTAATTATACTTTGGAATGTTAGATAACTAATTTGAATAAAAAAAAAAAACTAGATAACAGTCATGGACTTTTAGTTTTATTTTACATTGATAGTTCTAAGTATAAGCTTTTTTTATTTGGGGCTATAGTTATCAGCTATAGTTATCCCCTCATTTTCTTTCCCTTATCTATCACTCTAGTACATGAATTAGTCATATTAATAGAGTTTTGTAACTCAAATCGAAAGAGTCATACATACATGGTCTTGATGGTTGTTTTGTTACAATCATTATAATTGAAAATTTAGTAGTTATATACGATCCCACTTCCTAATTGAGAATTATAGTGTTAGGTAAAAAAAACGTTGCGGTAATCTTAATTTCAATGACAAAATGAAATGGAAAAAAAACAAAAAGAATTTGTGCGACATAGTCACTAAGATAGTTGAGATCTTGCGACTAATGTCGTAAATTGTGATCTGTCAAAAAAATTATTTTTCAATTCCCGACACCCCATAAAAATTTGTCTTACGAGATCAAAGCAAATCTGACAAAATGTCAGGAGAATACGACATTCCTCAAAATAGCAAGACAAAAAAGATAACGGTATCTTTCTTTTATCGATATCCGGGATCCGACTCAATTTACATGACATTTGTCGTCACTTAATTATTTACTCCACAAGATCAAAAGAAAAAGCTAATTATAAATTATACGAATTATATATTTACAACCAATAATAATAACCAAGGGTGTTTTTACATTGTATTGAGAACAATTCATTCCATCAATCAAATCCAATTCATGAATCATGCTCTTACAGAATTATAATCATTACTTACATCATTTCAACATCCATCAAAATCCAGTGTTAACCGGTGATTCAGATTTAGATAATGATAAAAATGAGGAGAAGTTAAGTCTACCGGCCTATTCATCCGCTACACCACCACCACCACCATCTGCTCCCAATATTTTGCCTTCATACTATATGTATAAATCAATCATATTGAAAAGTCTTAAGTTAATGCATTTACCACCTCCTCCACCTTATGAACCACCAGATGATTTATCTTCAACCCCTTCTACTTTATACCCCACTTTATCTACCGAATCGTTGGAATCTTCATCAAATAGTTCCACTACCATCCTTAATAATTTGAAATCATTACATAACTTAAAAACTATCGATATCACTATTCAATTACAAAATGAGAAATTTGAATATAAACAAGGTGATATCATATCTGGTACTATTGAATATAAGAATAAAAAGAAATTCCCTGTCAATTTCTCTATGATTTATATTTTATTCGAGGGAATTATTAGTATTAATAACTATGAGAAAGTTTTCTTATCCATGATTGATTTTAATTCATTTATGAATCAACCACCATCATCATCTTCAAATGTTTTACAACTTTTACCTAATACGTCATATGTTAAATCATTTTATTTTGTCATTCCTCAATATTTACTTGATTCAACTTGTGGTTTTATCAACCAACATTTACAATTACCCCCTTCATTGACTAGCGAACGAGATTTGTCAGTCATGAATGGGAATATCAAGTATAAGATCTCCACTTATATCATAAGTTCAAATACTAAGGAATACCTAAACATTGGTCAATCAGAACGATGTGTGAGATTAGTACCATTTTATGACCATACCCTGATGTGCATTACTCGGAATGAAACTTTCACTTATGCTTATATGTTTGAAATTATGAAACGTGACTTAATGTTTATTAGTAAATCCAAAATTGATGAATCTCTTTCCAAAATGGAATTGAAAGTGGTTAATTCTTTACAATTCAAGTTTAAAAAACAATTGTATAAATTACAAGTTCCTTTAAAACCAATCCAAATTGCATATGTTCCATTAAAATCTTCCTTAACTCCACCTAATAATCCTAATCTAAATCAAATTGTTAAACTTAGATTTAAATTAACTTTACCTCCCCAGTTTATCAAATCAATTAAAATGGAATTAGTGGCAGTTACTATCAAATCATCAACTTCAATCCCCATCATCGTCTCCAATGAAATGATTTATCAAACCTTTTCAAATTCAATCACCTACAACGATATCATTATAAGACCCATTAGGCGATTATTAAATGAATTAAATTATAAGAATGTTGCCGCCATATCACCTCACTTAAGTTCTATATTTTGGAAATTATTAAACAGTTCAGTGAAATATACCCCTTTAACCATTGATGATTCATCATATTCTTATGATTCAACTACTAATGATTATGATTTGAAATTAAGTCTCAAATCAATGTATATTAAAAATCTTGATAAAGCAGTGGTAGATAATAGATTCGGAATGGGATTTAATTTATTACCTAATTTTCAAAGTTGTTATTTCATAAGGAAATATTATTGTTCAATCGTAGTGAAATTGAATAATGTCGGTGTAAGTGCTTCAATGGATAGTCTTAATAATAATAATCAATTATGTATTAATATCCCCATTGAAGTAGTTGAAAATATTTAATATAGTTGAACTTTAGCTGGTCCTAGTTCTACATTTAATATACGTACATTCGTTTAGTTTAACGCTTTATATTAAAATTAAAATCACCAGAAAATCTGTATACTACTCTAAATATTGTCTAACGACCGAATTTCTTTAATTCAAGGTATCTTAAACCAGGATACACAATACCACTGAATGCCATACATAACCACATAGCAACATCACCACCATATTCTCCTCCAACTCTTCTTGCTATTGGACCAATCCAATAAGTTTGGGACATACCAACTGCGGCACCTGTGGCTCCAATTAAGAATGAAGCTGATGCAGCATATCCTTGAGTTAATTTATCATAATCTTTCCAAATCTTGAAATTGTAATGCTTATTTGATTGGCTTGATTGTTTGGTGATAATGTAATCTCTTTCAGTTGTGATTGGTTCTTCCTCATCATGAGGGAATTCCTTAGTATAAAGATATTTAAATCTATCAGTTCTAAAGATGCTATTTTCTTCTAATAATATAATGAAATACATTGAAATCCAATAACCCACCATTGGTAAAAAGTTTGATAAAATAGTGGCGAATTTGTTTCTACCCACTAAAGCACATACGAGATAAAAGGCTGTAACAACAAAAGCCCAAATCCATCGTGGAATCTTGGCCATTAATCTACCTGATACTTGAATACCAAAAGCGGCAGAATAGGTATTTAAAATATTATTTGAAATTAAAGAAAGGAAAATCAAAATCAATAAGAATTTTCCTCCTCCACCCCATGGTTTGAAAGCTTCATTTAATAATCCGCCCATACCATAAGCTGCATAAGCGTCACCCCAAGGCTCATATGTCAAAGCCACATTACCAATTAATAACCCAGCAACCCCGACAAATGTGGTTGGAATCAAAATACCAAAAAATGTGATACAGAAGATTTGTAAATCAGGAGAATCTTCAGGGAATAAAATATAATAATCGGAAGCAATAGATCCCCAAGTTGAAGTAATGGAATAACATAATGAAAAATAAGTTAACCAATTTCCTTTGATAGTTGGACCATCAGTTATAGCATCTTCCAAAGTTAAATAGCTAAATTTTTTAGAAGCAACCACATATAATAATAAAAAGGCAAAATTAACTGGTAAACTTAATAAAGTTTCTACTTTTAATAATTGTTTTATACCGCCAATAGCAACAGCTAATGATATAACAGCAATGATTATAATACCAACAATTAAGGGGATTTTACCATCACTCATGGATGCTAAAATTTGACCTCCAACCACACTATTAACAATCGACCATCCCATCACCCCAATGATACTGACTAAACTGACTAGTTTAACAAACCACCATCCAAATAAGAATCTAGCACCCACCATTTGTCTACATCCTGATCTTGGACCCATTAATGAACAATAGGCTGCAATACCACATCCTAAAGCTTGACCTATTAAACCAGATATTAAAGTGTTTCGTAATCCTAAATCAAACAATAAAGGACCTAAAAAGAATGAAGACATCGAACTTAAACCACCACATGCTGATAACCAGAGTCCAATGACTGAAATCAATTGTTTAAGTTTATTAGTTGATCTTTCATAAGCTTCGATACGTTCTATACCTCTAGTTTCTACCCCAAGTGAATCTAATTTTGCTGAAGCCTTTGATATGTATCTCCAGATAGTAGTAGAACCGTACCCATCGTCTTCCTTACTATTATTTAAATCATCACTGATTTCATTTATTGAAATTTCAGATTCATTGAAATTCTTTATCGTAGTTGGATGATGAAAAGTTTGACCATTAGAAGTCAGAGTCACTAACACATCCTCTGCCTTTCTCGCTCCACTACTGGAACCCTCTACTGACATAGTGTAGACTATCTATAATATATGTATTGATCGTAAGTCAGATTGATAAAGATTAAGAAATTATCACAATTTTTTTTCTCTTTACACAATTTTCATATGAGTCAAAATATTAAAAGGTGCGGCTTTCCCATCTTGGTTAACAGAGTCAAATAAGAAATTGTAAATGTCAATCTATAAATTGTGATGGCAAAGTTACGTATAACTAGTTAGATAAACTAATCGAAATATTAAAGGAAATGAACTCTAATAAAGAATTAGATTAAAAGATAAGCTGTTTTAAGTAAAAAATAAATCGAAAAAAATTTAAGAAAGCCCAACGCGGGGGTCGAACCCGCAACCTTTTGATTTCTAACATAAGAGTCAAACGCTCTACCGATTGAGCTAGCCAGGCACTTTCTTAAAATTGTAAATTTTCTCGGTTTGCCACAAACTATACATATCACGTGTTTGAAAATTAAAAAAAATTGATGCAAAAAATAGATATTTATTAATATAACGGTCTTGTTTGACCTTCTATTCCTTGTAATCTATGAATAGAGTTTTTATATTATGTTTCTCTATTCCACTTCATTTATATTTCTAATTTTATAGAATATTAATAAATGTATATTTCGAAAAAAAAAAAACATTAGTTTTCACTTCATACTTGAAGCTAATATGGTTAAACAAGATTTAAGTACTTGTGGTTTTGTTAATAACGCCGGTCATCTTGTAATCTACAATCTTCAAAGAATAAAAAGTAAAAAAGAATTGTATTTGAATATAAAAGTATCCCTATACAGTAAAGATAAATTGTAAAAAGAGAAAGAATAAAATCTCTACACCGTGTTTTTAATCACTTGGAGTGTAATCATTACCAACGAAAACTCTGTTTACATCAGGAGCGTTTAAGTCCTTTAAGTCATAAACTGGTCTTTCTGCAGTAGGTGTAATTCTGTAAGCTAAACGAGAAGAGCCACCTTCCCAATCTAAAAGAGCTGAGTGATTGACTCTTCTATTATCCCAAACAGCAACAGTTCCTGGTAACCAGTTAGCTCTAGCTTGTAAGTCATGAGAATTGTTAAGATGGTCATACAAGAAGTTTAATAAGTAATCTGATTCATCTTCTTTTAATTCAACAATCTTTCTAGTGAAACCAGAATTAACAAAAAGAGCTTTATCACCAGTGACTGGATGAGTTCTAACAAGAGGATGAACATTTTCTACTGGTTCTCTTTTAACAAGACCACCACCTCTTCTGGAGGTGAGAGCTTGTGAAACACCAGAATGAATAGCATGTAAACCTTCTAATCTCTTTTGCAAAGCTGGTGACAAATGATTGTAAGCTTCAACAGCATCAGCAAAAAGAGTGTCACCTCCCGATTCTGGTCCTTCGACAACAGTGAAGAAAGTGGTACCAGGTGGTTGCAATTCATAAGAAACATCCGAATGCCATTGAACTAAGTTGGTTCTGTTTTCATAAATATCTTTAACATCTGGACGTCTGTAAACAACATGTAATTCTGTTGAAGTTCTTGGAGCACCAGAGGTTGGATGAATGTGTAATGGACCAAAGTATCTACCAAAATCAGCAGAAAATTTAGGACCTTTAGAAGCAATATCTTGATCTCTGAAAACAACTAAACCTTTTTGGGCTACGAATAAAGCTAATTCATCTTTAGCAGCATCATTCAATTCTGAAAGTTAAATACCTTTAACTTCAACACCTAATTTTGGAGTAATGTTTTTTGTAGTAACAGTATCTTTTGGTAATAAGTTTGGAAAGCTTGCATCAGCTTTAAAACCAACATCATGATGTTCGTAGAACTTTAATGGTTCATACTTTTCATTTTTATTCCAGGTTGGTAAAAAGTCTGGAACGCTGGATTTAGCAATGAATTCTTTAGCAACAGTTAATATACCTTCTTCTTCATTGTCATATTGAACTCTACTGTAAATGCTTGGTGGTGTTCTGATGTATTGAACTGGTGCCATTTTGATTAATTGATTTTTTGTATTGCTATTTTATAAGCTATTTTATATAGAATAAACGACTGAAATCTATATTATTTGCAATACATCTACTGCCTTTTTATACTATTGATCTAAATTGTTAAAGGGATAATAACATAAGATGGCTGCTAAGAAAAAGTGCTGCATTTTTTCGCTATCAGATCATTTCGCAATTGTGGCTGGAATCTGTTTAATCTTTAGCATATCACAAACTAGGCTTTATCAACATCTGTAATGAGATTTGATACTATTTTGAAAACAGGAGATTTGTCGTAAAAAAAAATCAGCAGATTTTTATTACTAGTAAAACAACTTTAATATAGTGTCAATTATATAGATATTGCAACATGATATATATATGACGAATATTTTGTCAGAATATCATAAGAAACTTATTATTTCTATGATGGAGAATGTTCTGTTTTCTCCACACATAATATACTTTATATGATTGAAGTAATGATTTTTGATAAAGCAGTTGATGATTCGATTTCAAAGTGATCCGAGCCGAAATAAGAAATGAATTAAGGAAACACTGGAATTTTTTAGCCTTGTTTCTTAACAACACCATCGTCAATCATGATACTACCTCAGCTTACTAACTCACAGTGGCTTCCACAATTAAGAAACATATCAAGGGTTATCAAATATGAATTGCCTGAGAATATTAAAGAGATTGTTTAAGAAAATTTACTATTAGGTATTCCAGGCTCTGATCGATTTACTAATCTCTACTTTTCTAATCTGTTGAAGAAGATCTCTAAGTTATGAACTGATTTTATTCTAATTTCTCTAAGTCAAACAATTATATTGTTTCATATATACTTTATACAATTAGTTAAAATACCCTTATTTAATATCCCTTCAAATAAGAAGACATAATAGGATGAACCTGCTGTTTAAACCAGTTATGGTTATCTTGATATTCTTCAATTGAAGCGCTTCTGGATGTTTCAAGCCACATGGACATATCAGATATTTCTCGGTCAACTAGGTCTCTATCAGACAAAGAAAGCTTTTCACAATGATCTCGAAATGCTGCTCTCACCTTATATAAATAACTCTCCAAATCATCTCTTGCCCAAAGTCTTTTCAACTCTTCTTGGTCTCTTTGTTTATATATTTCAGATTCGTGGATCATTTGATCGATCTCTTCTTTGGTCAATCTATTAGATTCATTTTTGATTGTAAGACTCTCATTAGCACCATTTGCTTTGTCAACTGCCGTAACAGTCAACATTCCATTAAGATCTAGCGACATAGTAACGATAACTTTAGCCTTCCCTTTTTTTGCCATTGTTACATTATTTAATACAAATTCACCTAATAAATGATTATCTTTAGCTATAGTACGCTCCCCTTCATAAACAGGCATAGTCATCATAGGTTGATTTTCCATGGTACTCAAATAAGTATTGGAAACTGTAGTTGGTAAAATTGTATTTCTAGGAATTATCACTGACATTACTCCACCTAAAGTTTCTATTCCTAATGATAATGAATTAACATCTTTCAAACTAATATCATTGGTGATGGTAGATGTTGGGTCATTCATTAGCATTGCTGCTTTTATGGCAGCACCATATGCAACTGCTTCTTCAGGATTAACTGATTTGTTGGGCAGTTTACCTCCAAAGAATTCAAAGATTAAGGACTGGATCCTTGGAATACGAGTTGATCCTCCTACCAAAATTATTTCATCTATACCTTGCTTCTCTAATCCTGATTCTCTTATAACATTTTCAACAGTACATAATGTAGACTTAAATAAATCGGAACATAACAGATCAAAGCGTGCTCGTGTAATTGAAGACGAAAAGTCTTTCCCAGCCACCAACAGTTCTACGTGAATCCTAGCCAGTGTATTCGTAGTTAAAGTTCTTTTCACTATTTCGCTGTGCTTCTTTAATTTTGCTAGCGCATTTTCATTCGAAGATATAATCTTTGCTGTTTTCTTTTCAAATTCTCTAGTGAAGTGTTGTAATAACATGTTATCAAAGTCTTCTCCTCCCAAATGTGTATTTCCGTCAGTTGCTTTTACTGTAAATACTCCATCTTTTATATTCAATACTGAGACATCAAAGGTACCTCCTCCTAGATCATAGACCAAAATATTTCTTCCTCTAGCTTCACTTCCCTGGAGTAATGTAATTATAGATGGAAATGATTTTTTTCTCTTCTGCATGAAATCATTATCAACTACATCATTTAGTTTGTTTAATCCGTAGGTTAAAGCGGCAGCAGTCGGTTCATTGATTATACTCAAAACATTTAATTTTGCTATGGCTGCAGCATCTTTTGTTGCTTGCCTTTGTGAGTCATTGAAATATGCTGGTACCGTAATAACTGCATCAGTCACTGTCCTATCTAAGGCATTTTCAGCTGCTTCCTTCAATTTTAGAAGTATCATTGATGCTATTTCCTGAGGAGAGAAAAGCTTTAAATCTCCGAAAACATCAACTTCGATGTATGGTCGATTGTCCTTATTTACTACTCTATAAGGCAATAGTTTTATATCCGATTGAACTACTTCGTCATTGAAATGTCGTCCAATGAGTCTCTTGGCTCCGAATATGGTATTTTTGGGATTTAAAGATGCTTGATAATATGCTGCATCGCCAACTAGTCTTTCTTCATCTGTAAATGCAACATATGAAGGTGTAATTCTATTACCTAATTGATTAATTATAACATCAACCTTATCGTTCTTGAAGTAGGCTGCACAACTATAAGTGGTACCCAAATCTATACCTATAGCTGTTCTAATAGACATGAAACAAATAGTTGTTAAGAAACCTGATATAGCCATGAAAAACTAAAGGAATTACGAGTTGTTTGTATATTCACGTAACAAATATTGTTAATGAGGGTGTTTATTTTTAGCTACTAGGTTATTTTTAGTTACATCAAATGAAAAATGATTTTTTACCCCCTAAAAACAACCAAATGGTGAGATAAGATAGAGATAAGAAATAGTCTACAACTCATCAATACTCAATCAAATGTAAATATTATCCTTTGTTTAACAATATAGTTCTATATCCAATAAATTTGGATTTCCCAAATAAATTCATAATTACATTTTTATTGATTTGTCAAATATGGAAACATTATGGGATGCACATTTTGCTTAAACCAATCATGTTTATATTTGTATTCTTCAATAGATCCTCTTCTGGTATTTTCAATCCATTCACGTGTGCTCTTTATTTCACGTTCTACAAAACTCCTATATGATGGTGAAAGCTCAGTCTTATGATCTTCGAATGCCTCCCTTACTGTGTATACATAGCTTTCCAAATCATTTCTAGACTCAACCCTCATTAATTCTTCTTGATCATTCTGCTTATATACTTCTCCATTTGAAATAAGTTCTTTGATCTGGTCCTGACTCAATCTGTTTGATTCATTCTTAACAGTGATACTTCCTTTAGAACCAGTCCCTTGATCAACTGCACTAACATTTAAAATACCATTACGATCTAGTGAAAACGTTACCAAAACTGGTGCCTCTCCCTTTTTAGCTTTTGTGATATTTCTTAAATCAAATTCACCTAACAAGTGATTATCTTTCACCAATTTTTGCTCTCCTTCAAAGACTGCATGTTTTCTCATAGTTTGATAATCTTGAGAGTTATAATAAGTTTTAGAAGCTGAGGCTGGAAGGGGTGTATTTCGTGGTAGCACTATGCTCATTTCACCACCCACGACTCGAATACCCAATGATTGTGAATTCACATCTTGTAGACTTACGTGATTTGTAATTGTAGAAGTTTCATCATTGATCAACATTGAAGCTTGAATAGCAGCACCGTAAGCAACTGCTTCATCGGCATTAATTGATTTATTTAGATTTTTATCACCGAAATATTCAGTTACCAATTTTTGAATTTTGGGAATACGAGTAGATCCACCAACTAAAATAATTTCATCAATTGCGTATTTTTCTAGTCCTGCTGCTGTTAAGACACTTTTAACCGTATCTAGAGTAGCTTTAAATAAGTCGGAACATAAATCTTCAAATTCAGCTCTGGTTATAGTAATATCAAGATTTACTCCATCAACTAACAGATCGACTTGAACTCTAACCATGGAATTGGTTGATAATACACGCTTGGCTTGTTCACTGGCTTTCTTCAACTTTCCTATTGCAGTTTCATTAGAAGCTACATCCTTTGAAGTGATTTTCTTAAAGCCCCTTGCAAAATATTCCATAAGTCTATTGTCAAAGTCTTCCCCTCCTAGATGAGTGTCTCCGTCTGTAGCCTTCACTCGAAAGGCGCCTTCGCGAATATTTAATACTGAAACATCAAACGTTCCTCCACCAAGATCATAAACTAATATATTTCTTCCTTCGCTTAAATCAGTCTGTACAGCTAATCCTGTAGCTGTAGGTCTTTTCTTCATGAAGTCATTATCATGGTCGTCGTCCAACTTGTTAAGACCATACGCAAGAGCGGCTGCTGTTGGTTCATTGATTATTCTCAAAACATTTAGTCCCGCAATTGTGGCTGCATCTTTGGTAGATTGCCTTTGCGAGTCATTGAAATAAGCAGGTACAGTTATAACAGCATCAGTGACTTCACGGTCCAATGCAGACTCGGCAGCTTCTTTCAACTTTGCTAATATCATTGATCCCACCTCTTCTGCTGGTAATTTCTTCATATCTCCACACGCATCGACCTCAATATATGGTCTATTGTTTACATCGACCACTTTATAGGGTAAATGTTTAATATCAGATTGAACTATATCATCGTCAAATTCCCTACCAATTAATCGTTTAGCTCCAAATATAGTGTTTCTAGGGTTGAACTGGGCTTGGTAATAGGCTGCATCTCCCACTAATCTATCTGTATCAGTAAATGCAACATATGAAGGTGTAGTTCTATTACCTTGGTCATTGACTATAATCTTAACCTTATTGTTCTTAAAAATGGCAGCACAACTATAAGTCGTACCTAAATCTATACCTATAGCCGTTCTTATAGGTGTCAGGTCGTTTGTGCTCGTAGAGCTTATTATACTGGTAGTTCTTGTTGATGTCATGTGGTTTGTTATTATTGCTTAAGGAGAATTTTAGAGAAGCTAGGCTACTAGATATCGATTCATATTTAACTACTAATTGAAGAGTTGCCAAAGGAATTATTTTTAGCTACAGTGCTATTTTTAGATATATGTGGATTGCGAAATCTAAATTACAATTTCTATAAAGAGCAGGGGCGGCTAATTTTTTATTTTTGTGCTACAAGATACTCCATAATCCATAATTAATTAAACAGCTCAAATTAAACTTAAATATGATAATATGATATTAGCATAATCTACACTCTCAAAGCTAATCGACAAGATCTATCAGTCTCATGAATAATTTTTATATACCTGCCAAGTAAGGAGACATAATAGAATGAACTTTCAGCTTGAACAAATCATGGTTATATTCATATTCTGCGATAGAACCCTGCATCGTGCTTTCAAGCCAAGCACACATACTATCTATTTCATCTTCAATTATACTTCTATTGATCGGGGAAAGCTTATTGCTGTGGTCTTCGAAGGCTGAAACTATTGAGTATACATAGTGTTCTAAATTATTCCTAGCTTCATCTCTTAATAATTCTTCTTGATCTTTTTGATAATACTCGTCGGCATTTCTTATCAACTGTACAATCTGTTCATCGGTCAATCTATTAGATTGATTTGTAACTGTAATATTCCTATACGATCCTGTTCCTTGATCGATTGCACTAACTTCCAATAATCCATCACAATCTAGTGACATGGTTAGACTTACTTCTGCTTCCCCTTTTCTGGCTAATGTAACGTTTTCTAAAATAAACTCGCCTAGCAAATGATTATCCTTGACCATTTTTTTCTCACCTTCGTATATTGAATATGTTCGTAACTTCTGATAATCCATAGTATTGTAAAACTTTTCTGTAACAGAAGAAGGAAGAGATGTGTTTCTTGGAATTAAAATATGCATCATTCCGCCTTCGAGTCGAATACCTAATGATAATGAACTCACATCATGTAGATGCAAATTTTTAGTTATAGAGGCCATTTCATCGTTGATTAACATAGCAGCTTGTATTGCAGCTCCGTGAGCAACTGCTTCATCAGGATGTATGGATTTGTTAGGCTTTTTTCCGCCAAAGAATTCTGACACTAAGCTTTGGATTTTTGGAATACGAGTAGATCCACCTACAAGAATAATTTCATCAATTGCATATTTTTCTATTCCAGATGCTATCAAGACATTCTTAACAGTATCTAAAGTAGAGTTAAACAAATCAGCACATAATTGCTCAAAAGCAGCTCTTGTAATAGTACCAACAAGACTTATTCCATCTATAAACAGTTCAATATTAATCTTTGCTTCTATGTTTGTAGACAAGGATCTTTTTGCTATTTCACAAGCGTTTTTCAATTTAGCCAATCCTCTTGCATCGGAGGTTACGTTTCTTCCTGTCTCTTTTTCAAATTGCTTGGAGAAGTATCTCACTAACTTATTATCAAAGTCTTCTCCGCCTAAATGTGTATCTCCGTCGGTTGCCTTTACTGTGAAAATTCCCTTGCTTATATTTAAAACTGATACATCAAATGTTCCACCTCCAAGATCGTATACTAATATATTTCTACCATCAGTCTGACTTCTTCTGTGTCCAATTATCCTTGTATCCGTTAAATGTTTTTTCTTCATAAGTCGATTATCATAATCATCGGCCGACAAGTTAAAACCATACGCTAGAGCAGCTGCTGTTGGTTCATTGATTATTCTCAAAACATTAAATCCAGCTATTGTGGCCGCATCCTTTGTAGATTGCCTTTGTGAATCATTAAAGTAAGCAGGTACCGTAATTACAGCATCTGTTACTTCCCGTTCCAACGTCAATTCTGCTGCTTCTTTCAACTTGACAAGTATCATGGAAGCTACTTCTTCCACTGGCAATTGTTTATAATCTCCACCTGAATTAATTTCAATATGGGGTCTATTATTTATGTTAACAACGTTGTATGGCAAATAATTAATATCTGATTGGACTTCTTTTTCATTGAATTCTCTACCGATTAGTCTCTTCGCTGCAAATATAGTATTCTTTGGATTCAAACACGCTTGATAATAAGCTCCATCTCCAACTAATCTGGCATTGTTAGTAAACCCAATATAAGAAGGGGTGGTTCTATTCCCTTGGTCATTGAGTATGACTTCAATCTTGCCGTTTTTGAAAAAGGCAGCACAACTATATGTTGTACCTAAGTCTATACCTATAGCTATTCTTTGATTTTTTGACATCCTCTCATAGTTTTTAGTGCATACATACCCACTTGTATGAAGTTATATTTTACGGTGCAAGAGTTCGAGATAATATATTATATTTATAAACCTGTTTATTTTTAGGTACAGTGTTATTTTTAGTTACTTTTAGAATTGCGAAAAATCCATTTACAAATTAAAAGAATATGAGTTTGCATCAAAAAAGAAATAGACATTTAATTCTCTGTATCACTTATATAACAACTATTGTTATCTAATACAAATTTAAATACGGAGATATAATACGATCAACGCTCTGCTTGAAAATATCAAGATTATATTGATATTCTTCAATGGAACCTTTTCTGGTATTATCAAGCCACGCCGTCATGCCATTTAACTCTTCTTCAACAAAATTCCGTTTGGCTGGAGAAAGCTTACTTCCATGACGCTCAAATGCAGATTCAACAGAATATACATACCTTTCTAAATCATTCCGTGCCTCAACTCTTCTCGACTCCTCTTCGTCCCTTTCTCTATATTCGCCAGCCTCGCGGATCATTTGTTGAATTTGCTCTTTACTTAATCGATTGTTATCATTCTTAATTGTTTCCAGTCCACGAGATCCATTACCAGTATCCACGGCAGAAACTTTTAATATTCCATTACGATCTAAAGACATCGTGTAAGCGACTGCAACAGTAGCTTCCGGTGCTAAAGTTATGTTATACAATACAAATCTACCAACTAAATGGTTATCTTTACCTAATTTTCTCTCTCCTTCATATACCGATAAATCAATCAGTTCTTGATAATCAAAAACAGTAAAATATTCTTTTGTTACAGTAACAGGAAGTGGGGTATTTCTGGGAATTATAAATGACATCAATCCTGAATGAAGAGTTATACCTAATGATAATGAATTAACATCTTGAAGATGTATATCATTAGTAACAGTCGATGAGGAGTCCTTAATTAATATTGATGCCTGCACTGCTGCACCATAAGCAACTGCCTCATCCGGATGAATAGACTTACTTGGTTTCCGTCCATCAAAAAATGATGTAACTAAATCCTGAATCTTGGGAATTCTTGTAGATCCACCAACTAGAACAATCTCATTGATGGCCCATTTTTCTAAATTCGCCTCTCTTAACACGTCTTTTACCGTCTGTAACGTAGCTTGAAATAAATCAGAACAAAGACTTTCAAATTTGGCTCGGGTGATCGAACTGTTGAGATTTCGTCCATGAACTAACAGATCAATTTGTACTTTCGTCAGTGTATTGGAAGATAATGAGCGCTTTGCAGTCTTCAGTGTCTCTTTAACTTTCCTAATGCAGTCTCATTCGAAGATATATCCTTTCCGGTCTGTCTCTTGAATTCCTCAGCAAAGTATTTGATCAAACGATTATCGAAATCCTCACCACCTAAATGTGTATCTCCATCTGTTGCCAATACAGTGAACACTCCTTCCTTAATATTCAACACAGAAACGTCAAAAGTACCTCCTCCTAGATCGTATACTAAAATGTTCTTTCCACCAACTTTCCCGCCCTGAAGTGCTAATCCGGTAGCTGTTGATTTCTTCATGAAATCATTGTCATTGTCGTCGTCCAATTTATTAAGACCATAAGCTATAGCAGCAGCTGTTGGCTCGTTAATGATTCTTAACACATTCAACCTGGCTATTGTAGCAGCATCCTTAGTTGCCTGTCTTTGGGCGTCGTTGAAATAAGCTGGGACTGTGATCACAGCATCAGTAACAGGTCGATCCAATGCTGCTTCAGCCGCTTCTTTCATCTTTCCTAATATCATCGATCCCACCTGTTCGGCTGAAAACTGTTTCAAATCTCCGAAAGCATCAACCTCAATATATGGTCGATTGCCCTTATTGACCACCTTGTAGGGCAAAAGCTTAATATCATCTTTCACTGTTTTGTCTTTGAAGTCACGGCCAAGGAGTCTTTTGGCTCCAAATATGGTATTTCTTGGGTTCATGGCTGCTTGATTATATGCGCCATCACCAACCAATCTATCATCTTCTGTGAATGCAACATATGAGGGTGTAGTTCTATTACCTTGATCGTTGGGTAAGATTTCTACTTTATTGTTTCTAAAGATAGCAACACAACTGTATGTGGTACCTAAATCAATACCTATGGCTGTTCTTTTTGACATCTCACAATGTTATCATCAGCATATTATCACTGAATTGACATTGAAAGTCATGATAATTGCCTCTCTATTTATTTTAAACATGTGTTTTTATCTATTTTTAGCAAGAGAATTTATTTTTAGAAATTATATTTTAGCATTTTTCTGCTTATGGCCCATTGAAGTGATCCACACTATATTTGGTTTGGCAATTATTATTAATCGTATTTCAGAGAAGTCAGAAGCCTATATTATTAATATTATTTGATATATTGCCATATAAAGAGATTATACTTGAATCACAAGAGTAAATTCTTGTATTAGAAATGTTGTGCAATTCAAATTGTTAATTTGTATTTTTCCAGCATTTAGGTGTAAAATTATTAAAATGTATATGTAAAAATGTTCCCTTTTTAAAGGAAATCTTTATATCTAATGACAGCAACACAACTCACTACAAATCATATATATCCTTTCTAATTGTTGTTGAACTATAAATCATCTCCAAAGAAGTGTGCTCTATTTTGCAGTCTTTAACAATTCTCAGTAATTTTTCAATGCCCTAAATTGCCTAATTGGAAACTTTTTGTGGTGAGGGAAAATTTTTCTACTGGAAAAGAAAATTTATATAATCAAAACAAATATCAATTAGTGATAGGTATCATCAAGTACATATATAAGTGTATATGTCAATAAATTCTTCATAACTCAAACCAACTGTTAACTATGTAATCATTAATCTCCATCGATTAACGCATAAACTTAAGTTGTCCGATACTGGTTTCATTTTATGGACTAATCAATTAATAGATCCATCGGTTCAATGTGTCACTATGCGAAGATTAAAACACGAAATACCAAATGTTGGGTTATTCGCTAAGATTCTTATTGGATGTGATAATGGAGAGTTAGTTTGTGGATTTGAATTTTCGATCATTCGTTTTGAATGTGTCGGTTTGAGTCTACGCTTTGAACTTGACTCTGTGTTTCCAGATAACATTAGGGATTTTATATTGATACTAGGATACTGGTTCTATAGTGTTTATCGATTTCGTTCTGAAATTGTGTAAATGAGAGCTTTTCTAGTGTTGATTTATTTACTCGTTGTTTGGTTTTCTATTAAATTTGAATTGGATAACTATACAAGTGATAGAATTAGTATAAATAATCTACATACTAACTCTGGAAATGGTTATTTACATCTATGTCATTTGTTCGAGCAATTTATCTTCTTCACTCTTTTGGGAACCCTTTGGTCTTCCTCCTCCTTTCTTCCATAACCATAATGCATCTATGGCATAATTTCGTACTGATAAATTCGTAGTATACTTCTCATCAGCTGCTTCCTTGATGGTATCAATAATTCGAAGTTCATCTATTAAATCCCACATTAAACTCTCAAAACTTAATATAACTTCTTTTAAACTTTCATTGAATTGTTCATCTTCAGGATTATTGTTTTCTTCAATAGGAATTATACTATATTTGTGTAAACCTAATTTATGTAATATTCTTCCTAAAGTTTGAATACTAACACATCTTTGACTTGGTACCACTGATCTTGACAAATGTCCCAATTCTGCTAATGTATAACCTGCCAAGTGTGGGTTATCCGAATGATGATGTAAACCCATGTAGGTTGGAATCTCTTTCTCGGGTTGAACTTCATTTTCTAATTGAATTAAATCTCCTTTAAAGTCAAATCTCATATCTGAAATCGACTCATATGTAGTTGAAACTTGTTTTGGCAAAGGTTTTGTCATCCATGACAACTTTTCTGTCTCTTTAGGTAAATCAGGATAATACTTTTCATGTAACTTATCATAAAAATCAGGATCATTTAAATCCAAGTCTTGATTTGATGATTTTGCTTTTGTAAAATGAACACCTAAAGTTCCTTCATCTTGATCATCATCATCAATAAGTTGATATCCATCAGGAGCAATTTCATCTTCTTCATTCTTCTGGATATTTGGAATCATTTCATTAATATCATTAACATCTTCCCATCCATTTGGATCCAACTCGACATTATCTTCTAAATCATTATAATCTATGGTAGTCACCTCTCCAAACTTGACGCCTTTCTTATTTGGACCAGAAACCTTTTCAGCATCGTTGAGATCATCTAATGAAAGTCCTTGTATTCCTAATGCTTTATTGACATCTTCTTTATCAAGTTGGGACAAATCTCTAAGCCTACCATCGGTAGTTCTTACAGCCCCAATCCATCCATTATACCCTTCTGCATGCTCATGATCATCATGATTGTGATCATGACTATGTGTATCGTGATTATGTGAATGCTCATCAAGTTTCTTCTCTGATAATCTTTGGCCGGTCCTCTTTAATAAACTTTGAATCAATTTTGGATCTAAATTATTTAATAACTCTTCTCGTTCTGCCTGTATTTCTTCCGGTGACATTTTAGACATACGATCTAAATTCTCTTGATGTATCTTTTCAGATTCACTTAAAGGCTCATCCTTACTCTTGATTTCAGGTCTAGTGGATTCTTTTTCAGTACTCTGTTTGGTTTCCACTTGTTGCCTCTGCTTCCATCTCGACACTCTCTTAAGCTTTAATTTACCCACCTCTGGAAAACCAGTAGTTTCTACCGGCACAGGAGCTATTGGAGTCTCCGTATCGTGCTCTATAATATCCGCTATAAAATCCATTAGATACTAATGTAAGTATGATGACAATTACTAGTAAATCAAATTTTGATTATACCTTTATAGATGTTGCACAAAAAATAAAAAATAAAAAATAAAAAAATTCCTGTATACAACCAATATGGTTGCTAATATATTTAATACATCTATAAACATTATTTAGAGGCAGTAGACAGCTCTGGTGATTTCTCATTTGTTGTGTCGGGTATACCTGTATCATCATTATGATTCTGTTCCTGATCCTGGTATGTATGTTCATCAATCACTGATCGTGGAAGATACAGAGCAAGATAACATTCTTTGTTTTCGATCTTTTGATATAATGATTGTACAAATTCAGGATTCATAGCACTTGAATTCTTTTCAAATTCAATTAAAAGAGACTCAGGATCACTACCTTCTCTCTCCATAGGATGTGATCGGTATTTAAATCCATAAGGAATATCAATGAATGGAACTAAGAATATCACAAATGAAGTGATTAATCTTTTCGTTGTATAAAACTCACTAGGTTTCCCATGATTCCTGTTACCGTTAAATATTAAATTGATCCAATTCTTTTTAAATCCCATGTTATAAACCTCATCCATTACATCATATTGCACCACTACTCTTAGGTTATCCTTTTTTATATTAATGTATCGTTTCCCATCTTCCTTTCTAGGTTTCCTTCTAAATGTTTTCTTTTCTTTTTCATTACTTAACTCCCATCGTTGATAAACTTGCTTTTGCTTCATCGTTATTTCATCCAATGTAGTCATGTTTACACAGACATACTTCAAATGAACAGCAAACAATGCCCCAATGATTATAATCCAAAACCCGGATAGAACATACGCCGGTATGAAGTTATGGTTTATTTCTCCTTCTCTTGAAACTTGAGATCGAGTATATCTCATTAAATAAATGATTGGAATGATAAAATGTAATAAAAAGAATGTCATAAATTTCATAAAAAATAAATAGTTACATTCTCCAAGGACTGTACCTATCCAAAGACAATAATGATCATATTTCAAAACATTATAACCAGTGTGCTTCAGATAGAAACCTCTAGGCAATACTAGAGAGTCGGTATGAGAACTATAGAATGGATAACCAAACCTATCACATTCAAACGCATTAGGAACTTGGGTTAATTCATCAGTATCATCACCACGAAGATTGAATGGAGGGAATTTTGGGGCTTTACCGGGCCCAATTATGAATATAAGTATCCAATATATAAATACCGATAATTGTAAGAATGCTAATAATATCCATAAACTTATGGCCACCCCATGAGAATGATATTTGTATATTACTTGATGACCCAAGCAAAATCCCATTACAAAATCATAATAACCCAAACCGATAACTACTAGTACCGGAACTATAAGCTGTAGTATTCGATTATTTGCAAATGGAATATCAAATATCATTTATCATTGCTTTGTCTAGGTATAGTTATAGTTGTGCCGTTGAAAGGTGGAGTTTCATATTCTATGCTATGCCAAAAGCTGATATTATATGTGCGACATTTACATGTCGTTTAACCGACATTATTTTACGTAATATACAGGAATATCCAATTAGCTTATAAAAGAGAAAAAACGAACTTTATAACTTTAATAATGATTTGAATCAATTGATTAGAAATCAAGTTTGTCAAGTATTGGTTCAGCATAGAAACAATATGGTGGTTCAAGACAATAAGTCCAACAGTTACGCGTCGCGTAGACAGAGCAATATCGTTGATGATTTTGATGATAGATCACTGGATATGTGTCCGATATGTAAGACAGATAAATATTTATCACCAAATATGAATTTCCTTATTAATCCTGAATGTTATCATAGAATATGTGAATCATGTGTGGATCGTATATTCTCATTAGGTCCAGCACCTTGTCCATATGCCAATTGTGGAAAAATATTGAGAAAGAATAAGTTCAAACAACAGATATTTGATAATTTATCAATTGAAAGAGAGATTGATATTAGAAAGAAAGTAGGTGCTATTTATAATAAGACAGAAGAGGATTTCAGTGATTTAAAGGAATATAATAAATATTTGGAAATTATAGAAGATATTATTTTTAAATTAAACAATGGTATAGATCGAGACCAAACTGAAATGGAATTATATACTTATGAACAAGAACATAAATTGGAGATTTTGGAAAAGAATATCACAGAGAGTCAAAAGAATGCTGATGCTCAAAAATATAAAGAAGCCATGGAAAGATTAAGACAAGAGAAATTAAGATTTGAAAGAGAGCATGAAATCGAAGATTTAGAATATCAACAGAAACAACAGCAAGAATTATTAGATACTTTAACCAATTCCAATTCAACAATATCAGCTGAAGAGATCATCAAACAACAACAATCCAATGCATTAAAGAGAGCATCATTACGTAAGAAGCAATTGCAACAAGTTAACACACAATTGGAACAGAAATTTAATCCAGTTTATCAACAGAAATTATTAGAACAACAGTTGGCAATAAGTAGGATGCCATTTACTCCATTTCAAGGTGATAGAGATTTGAATAAACTCTATAAATTGTTACCTATACCCAATGAAATTGATAAATTAATGGATATTGAGAATCATATAAGTGATAGTTATAATGATCCATATTTGAATAAATTAGCTAAGAATAAAGAATATTTGGGTGCCGGGTGGAGATTAACGACTGTTTATGAAAGAGCATTGGATGAAGCATTTATTGGATTGGGCTGCATAATAGAGCAAGAAAAGCGTCAAACAACTGCTGTATAGTTAATCGTAATAGGGTTTTAATAGATTAATAGTAATAAATATTTATTTTGTTCAAACTATAACTCTATAAATTTAGCTTCTGGATGATAGTAAACAGGACATGACCAGTATGATCTCTTGACGTCATCCCATACTGATTTATCTTTGTATTGTAAAGTTTCTTTTGGAACTTCAACGTCAGTATAAGTAACACTTAAACCATAGTTTTGTAAATCAATATCCACCAACTTCTTATAAACTTCATAAATGATTTGTCTATCAGCACCTAACCCGTTAAAGAATGAAAATATACCATATGGTTTTAATAATCCAACCACAAAATCGAATAAATCCAACATATCACTATAATGTTCAGAAAATGTATCATAATAAATTCCATTAAAGAATATTCCCTTTGTTAATAAATCATCTAATTGATCTTGCCATCTACCTTCTAAGATGACAACATTTGATTTTTCATACCATCCATCGTCTCGTAACTTTTTAAGCACATCAGGATGAGCTTCACAAATATAATGTTTGGTTGGATTTTCAGCTTGAATCATGGTATCTATTATACCCATACCAAATCCTATATTTAAGATATTTATTTCGGAATCAATTTCATTTTCTTCAATGATCGAACCTTTGAAAAGAGAATCACATCCTAATTTCATTAAATCTGATTCCCAACTCATCATAACACCATCTTTTCTATCTTTTGTTATAAGGGCATTATCAACATATTCTAATTTGGTGTTAAGATATGAATCTTGATTTTGGGATGGAGCATCTGGAGCATCATCGATTTCTGGTTTATTTGATTTCTGTACTACTTCAATCTCCTCTTGTTCTTTTGTCAATTCAGTTACCAATTCCGGTACTACTTCATCTTCTTGATTTGGCACATCATCTTCATCAATGAATTCCATATCATATTCCGAGACTTTACGTAATAATAACTCGGCTCTGACACCAGCATCTAGAATCAATTGATATAAGCTAGAATTATGAAACCCACGTTCAATAAGGATACATCCAGGAGTATTATTATTGACATCAATGAAACACCATCCAGCCCCATATTCGAATAATGTAGTTATCATTTGCTCCACAATGGATAATTCCTCAGAACTCAAGTCCTTTGGAACATGTTGACAAATCAAATGCAATGGAGTTGTGTTTGAAACAGATTCACTATTCTCGTCATCATCCTCTATGTTATTTAATACTTTATAAGCTTCTTCAACTGTATATGTCGCAGGAATACCACTAGTTAAGTAATGATTCAATTGTTTAACATAACCACTATCGATTGGTCTCACAGGGAATTTGCATAAATCATGTAAATCTGACATTACGGAATTGGCCTAATATTGGATATGACTTTTAAATAAGCTATGAATGGAGTCTTCGACATTAACAGCTCACCATTGCAAAATTATTCATTTTCAGGTCAACGTTTGATTTTTTTTTTTTCAATCAAACAGCAGTGATGAGCATCTCCTGTTTTTAATTCAATGTACGATTTAACCTTTTTACAACAAATCTCTAATGGTAACCGTTAACGATATTTCGCCGTAATATTATCCTAATCTACTTTTAACCTTTCGGCGTAATACTTTAAATCAATAATGTTTCGGTTAAAAGGCTAGGTCACCATCGAAGACCTACTCCGTAAATAACATTCTCGTTACTGATAGACACAAAAAAACAGACTTCAAGTTGCTACCAAATGGGACGATTTTTTTTGTTGAACTGCTCGTATTCATGACTTTTTACGGACTGAATCAAACTTGGAAGTAAAAATTATAGTAAATTCAGATCATTTGAATTTGACTTGATTGAAACCTAACTTAAAATGCAAAGAAATGATTGGTTATGAATGCTGGAACGTCATATATCTATGGTACTACGTCAAGGTGCCGAGATTGCAGACACATTTACCATCGCTATGAATAATCCAAAATACTCAAGACTCGGAAAGGAAAGGAATTATAAGAAATAGGGTTGCCAAGGTAACTCAAAACGGTTAGGTTCCAACTTTTTGAGTATTAGAATGCACTTTCCTATTTGGGAAATATAACTTGCTTCTTGAACCATTATTATTTTATTTGAATTTAGTTCATTTAATATTTTATTTTTTATTGTTATAATTATTTGTTATTTTTTTTTTTTTTTGGCCTAAGCGATGTTTGTTTGGCACTATTTCTAGAAGTCTGTTAGAGAAGAGCGCAAAAGCGTATATATTTTTAGAGACGATAGCAGTATCGAATGTCAAATCATTCTAAAATGACATTGACTACAATTGCACAGTAGTTTACGAACTAGATTGTCGTGAGGAATAATATGCAATCCATTAATAAACTACGACTAATGTGGATCAGACGGCAACAGTCTGCATAGTTAAAATCCAATTTATTGGAATTTCTCATTACACCAGACTCATACCAAGACGGAATTCATTTCTAGATTAAGATAATTATTCGATATTTCAGTTTTCTTAATTCTGGTATTTCTAGATGTATGGAAGACTAGGTCACAATAATAGAACATGCAGTGTACTTATCTCCATTTAATGTATAGGCTTTGTAACTATATTATTTTTTATGACTGGAACATGAATTTAAGCTCCCCGTTTATTATAATACCTGTGGCTCACAATCAATATCCCGCCCAATATCCAAGGCGGATTAAACCCAATATGTTGGCAATTGCCTTGACTTTCGGGATTTTCATTTAACCATTTAAACTTACTCGCTTTTAAGTACTGATTTAGATTAGACTTTATAGATTGGTGGATCGGTAACTTTTTGTTTTGTTGAAAATTGGTTTATTAACTGATATTTAACCTTAATATGAGATTACCATTTAAAACCTTAACTTGATAAGATATAGGATAAAACTTTTGACATGGAGAGATTATTGCATTGTGTTATACATAATTTTGAAGCCGCTTTTTTCTTAGCTATCGATACCGTTTACATGTATATAGATTAACTACGATAAAGTCAAACGACCTATTAATAGCAACGATAACCGTGGATATGTAATATGTATACCCCTAAATGATATGATTTACTCGGTTAAGAAAAAACTTGCCAAATATATGAAGTGTCTATAATAAATAACCGAGACTATTACGAGTTTTGATTTTCACAAGGCATTTATATCACAGCTGGATAACATTGATCCAAGTCAATTAATGAAGTTTGATTGAATCCCCCATTTGTGAGTTTCATCAGACTCTAAACCATGTATATTCAATTAATCATAAATTGCATTTACCGTCCCCCTACAGATATGATACTTGGTGATTGGGACCATTTAACTATTCTTAGCATAGGTTAATAAGGATTAAATCAAGTCAGGTACAATGGGTTAAGTAACAAACTTAATTTAGTCTATTGGATCTCTATGTCTGCCAAGTCCAAAGCAAAAAATAACCAAATGCCAATGCAAAATTGAAAGCTTTTATTGTCTATAGTAATTTTATATAAATCTATAGTAGTAAATATCCTGCACATAAACATTTCCTAACTATAAAAATTGCAACAACTGAACAGCAGAAAAAAAAATAATCGTACGATTATTTTTGGGATGTATGATAAAAATTGAGATGACAATAGAGAATAGAAGAAAACTGGGTACCTAAAGTAAACAATAAAGTATATGCAGATAAACAAATGACAGAATGACTTACATACATACATTTTAGTTGTTTCAATCTGTTTTGGGATTCTTCTACATTTGAAGTGTCCGGATAGAAACAAAATTTTGTTTATAATTTCATTCTTTCGATGCATTCCAATTTAAATAAGCATTAGCCTTTTCATATTTTATTTTATGAATTCAATTACTATCTTTTTATTGCTTCCATGTATGGACTAACCTTGAAATGTACAGAACAAGGGTAATTCTCCTTACGTCGTCCTTGCCACACTCCTATCCTGTTTCGTAGTTTAAGATTTTATGGAGAACAATGACGAACTAGACTTCTAATTCCTAAAAAGTCTTTAGAGTTAATCATACAAGAGAAAAGAAGAAAAACACAATTATGACGTTTTGCGGCCCCTATCACCTATCAAAAATTAAGGTCAAACAGCACGGAAAAATATAATTTAACAATCAAAAAAAATAAAAAAAAATAAAATCAATTAAATAAATAAATAAATAAACAAAAAAAAAAAAAAAAAAAGATTTTGCGTTTCTTTTTTCACAACCATATATACAGAGACTTACATTACAGTATATCGTAAAGGTTATATACCCTGTTTGATTTTCGTTTTTAAATACATTTTGGCACTGTAAATCTTAAATTAAAAATAAAATAATACTAAAAACCAAGAAAAAATAGAAGAATATTGACAATCATCGCAAAATCGATTTTAGTCGAGAGCTCGTCAAAGTTGTTCCCGACTAGTTTGGATCTTTTATTGACCACGTCAACTTATTAGGTCACCAGCTTTAGCCATCATCAATCCAAGCAAAATGTCATTTTTAATATTTCGATGATAAATTCCCAACAATACAGATAGAGTCTAGATTGAATTTAGTTTACGAACCTGAAACAATATCAAGTTGGGTTAAATTGGATTCTTTTTCAATCCTTATCTCTTGCTTCTTTTTGGTAAGGGTACTTTTTTTGGTTGCTGATTCTTTTATTTTGGTAACCCCAGATTTTTGATAAAACGTATAAAATAGAAAATGGAAATTATACTACCTTGAACTAAACTAGATCATATATTTTAGTAACAACTGTCATCAAGCGAAAAACAAGCTTGAAGGGGGATTAACTAGCCACTAACCGAACTTAAGGGGAGAAGGGTATGGAAGGCGTAAACCTAACCCATATATTAGATCCCAAATTAACTATACTGAACGGGATGTAAGACACTGCCATCGATTTTCGGTACTAGTTTAAAAACAAAATAACTCAAATGACAATGATTTGTTGGCCACAACTATGTCCCGTATACAATAAACTAACTCAAAGAATAATATACGTATAATCTAAATATCTCTTACATAAAAATTAATATAAATACATATTAATATGTACGTGGAGTGACTTTTTTTTTTTTGCTTTGTCCTCTTTCGGTCTTTTTTTTTTTTTTTTTTAATTTTTTTTTATTTTCACGGTTGAAAATTAAATATTGTTTTGTGCACCAGAAAATTTCCCTAAATCAGTGTTTGAAAACCACTTAAGCAGAGAGAGGAGACACCTACATGCCTAGGATTATCCCTACAGAAAAACAGTTAAGATAAAACCTAATTACACAAGGCTATTTAAGAACTGGAGATATATTCGATCCGGATTTATCACTATTATTTTTTGAAGTCAAATATTGAATCTAAATAAAAGAAAAGAAATCAAAAAATAAAAAAATAAATTAAAAAAAAAAAATTAGAAAAAAAGAATTAAAAAAAAAAAATAAAAAAAGAAAAAAAAATCATAAGTTCACATCACTCATTTTACTTGAATTCTTTTTTTGGTTATAACGGGTACAGTTTCATAGCGATTTATTTTTTTTTGGTTTAAATTTTGAATTTTCTTTTGGCTTTTTAAACAATTGAATTTCTTCGAAATTTTGTTTTTAAAACTTTTTTAGAATTGAAATATCTCAAACGTCCTGTGTTATATTTATTTGAGTGTTTTACTTAAGTTTGTTCATTCAATTATTTTCATTCCTTTCATTAAGTGTGAAAGTCTTGTGTGGTACAGAAAAATCTCAAATCACTGCTAAAAAAAGCGAAAGTAGCTACCTCAATTACCACAAAAATAATATAATCACCCCATAAAATTTAAGAATCAAAAATTTGTTGATAAACCTTACATATTCATTAAATTCAACTGGTTCAAACTCAATTATAGACTATTGTAAGAGAATTTAAAGCTACATCTATTGTCGTGATAACCTTTTCCTTAGTCAGATCCCAACTCAAAAACTATATCAAAAAGCTCATTCTGGAGTAAGGCTGTCTATTGGGGGCTTTTTTTCCGTCTTATTCTATATAATATATCGAATTCAATTCATACTTTTATCAACCGATTCTTAATAAGATCAAGCTCAGTTTATGTGAATCTAAGTGGTACAGTGAATCATATATATATATACTTCAGAAACCCATCCACTATACGTACATATCAAAATTTTATTTCTTACCTTTAGTTATATCGTTTACTAATAACTACAACTACTACTACAAATAACAATGTCATTTAAAATTAATGATTATAATGCGTTTTTAACGTCATTATTCGATAAGAACAACACCAATCCAAACTCACAAACTCCTTCCAATGCTAATGGAAGTCAACAACAACAACTGCAACAACGTTTATTACAACCAAATTCAACTGCTGCCGCAGCCGCATTCCAAGCTCAACAACATCAATTACAAGCCTTTGCTAGTGGAGGAAATATGGATGATGCTAATGGTTCATTTCCAGTTGATTTTGAATTTGGTTTAATTCCTCCTCAACAACAATCTCAACAACAAACCCAAAGTCATCAATCATCATTATCATCCGATGGATCATCTCCAACATATAATAATCGTTCTAAATCTATCAATTATCCTATAATATCTCAACAACAACCACAACATCCCCATCCTCAACAATCTCAATTACAAAATGAATATATTCCAGACATGTCAAATGGTATGAGTCCACCTATGAATAATAAACAATTCAGTCCAAATCAACAACAACAGCAACAACAGCAACAATCACAAATACTATCACAATCAGATAATTTATTCCCGTTAAGCTATATGGCTACTTACGATACTCACTCCGACTTAGTATCACCATTAAATAATCCAGGCCAAAATGGAGGACAAAATGATTTATTAATTAAACAAGAACCTTTATATAGCCAACAACAACAACAAATATTACTTCAACAACAACAACAGCAACAACAAAGTAATCAACAACAAAATTCACAAGTGTTTGTCAAACAAGAAGATGAATCTAATAGTTTATCCCCATTATCAAGTAATCAATCCCCCTGGAATAACAATATCAATCAACATTCCCAATTCCAACCTATTCCACCACCAGTTCAACCTATCATAACTAAAGTAAGAAGCAATAATAGTGTATCAGGTACTAGTAATGGTAGACAAAAATCAACTTATTCATTTGATGGATCATCACCAGTATCATCTACTACCACATTACATAATGGACCTGGTAGACCTCGAGTTAAATCTGCCCATAATGTGATTGAACAAAGATATAGAAATAAAATCAATGATAAATTCACTGCATTACAAGAACTGGTACCTACATTAAAGATTTTAGCTCGAAGAAAACAACGTCAATTATTAAGACAACAAGAGAATGGAGGGAATGGAGATGAAGATTTAGATTCTAGTGAAGAAGATAATGATTTTGATGGTCATGGATATGGCGATGATCCTAATGAAGAAATCATTGATTTAGAAGGGTTGGAACCTGCTAGAAAATTAAATAAGGGGACTATCTTAGCCAAATCGATTGAATATATTAAATTCTTGGAATTAAAGAATGATAGAATTAGACAAGAGAATAATGAATTGGTGTTAAAGGCAAGAATGTTAGGTATTCAATTCGATGCTGGATTAATCAATGATGATTCCAGAAGATAAGATAAAACGGTTTAAAAGGGGTTAAAAGAAAGTCATGATATGATATGAAAGAAAACATAAAGATGAAAAAAAAAAGAGTACAGCACCCAAAAGAAAGCATTGATGATTGTAATGATTATGTTGATGATGATTATATTTTTGTATTAGTTACTCGATTGAGATTTAGATTGATTTGTTAGTACTACTATTTGCTACTACTATTATTATTATTACTATCTATACATTTGGTTTTTAGTTTTGTTATTTATATTATTTATTTATTTATTTATTTATTTATTTTAGTTTAGTTACATTATTTATTTATTATATTATTTATTTATTTTCTTATTTGTTTAATACATTAGTTTATACAAGTTTATAATCATATGATAATCAGTGGGTGTTTTCCCCCAAGTGGTGGTGATAATAATGGTTATTGGTGATGGTTATATCCCTTAAAATTTATTTTGTGCCTCCTCCTCCCTCCCTCACTTCTCCCCTCCTTTTATCGTATACGAGCACAGAACATACACAGTGGAGGATCTCATATATAATTTATACGGGGGCACGACACATAGGAGACAATACCGTTTAATAAAACAATAAAACGAATAAAATACTTAATGCTTAAACAACTTATGGTGTGCTTTTTTCCCAATCAAGTTATAAATTATCATTTCATTTTGTACTATAAGTATGAATGATAATACCATAGCCAATAGATGGTTCCATTTATATAATTATCATTTATAAATTGCAGCCTTTTTTTGAATTTATTATATACAGTCCCATTCCATCGTTTAAGTCAAAAGTAAATAACGCGATACCACCACTCACTCATAGTTAAATTTCCTTATACGATACAAACGACCAAAACAGGTGAGAAGAAGAAAAAAAGTTATCAAATGAGTTCAATTGTTATGCAAATCTGAAATTTTATATATATATATATATATATATAATTGTATCATCCTAACGTTCATACTACTGTTAGAACCACTACTACTACTAGTACTACTACGTATCCCATTCATTTACATATTCAACGTTTAGTATGGGTGTTGTCGATTCTATTATAGATTACGGTGAAGTGGCTTTCAACTTATTCACCTCATTAACTTTAGGCCAACAAATATCAATCATCTTATTAACTCCTTTCCTTTATAACTTATTATGGCAATTGCAATTCTCATTAAGAAAAGATAGAGTTCCATTGGTGTTTCATTGGATTCCATGGTTTGGTTCTGCTATTGGTTTTGGTATGAAACCTTATGATTTCTTTGAAGAATGTAGACAAAAACATGGTGATGTATTTGCATTTATGTTATTAGGTAAAGTTATGACGGTTTATTTAGGTCCAAAAGGTCATGAATTCGTTTTCAATTCAAAATTGGCTGATGTTAGTGCTGCTGATGCTTATACTCATTTAACTACTCCTGTATTTGGTAAAGGAGTTATTTATGATTGTCCAAATGCTAGATTAATGGAACAAAAGAAATTTGCTAAATTTGCTTTATCAAAGGATTCATTTAAAACTTATGTTCCCAAAATTAGAGAAGAAATTGTTAGTTATTTTGAAGAATCTGATCAATTTAAATTATCCACTAGAGAAAAGGGTGTTGCTAATGTTATGATAACTCAACCTGAAATAACTATTTTTACTGCTTCAAGATCTTTATTAGGGGAAGAAATGAGAAAGAAATTTGATAAATCATTTGCTCAATTATATTCTGATTTAGATAAAGGTTTTACTCCAATAAATTTTGTTTTCCCAAATTTACCTTTACCTCATTATTGGAAAAGAGATGAAGCTCAACAAAAGATTTCTTCAACTTATATGAAATTCATTAATAAGAGAAGACAATCAGGTGATATTGATCCAAATAGAGATTTGATTGATTCTTTATTAACTCATTCAACTTATAAAGATGGAGTTAAAATGACTGATCAAGAAATTGCTAATTTATTAATTGGGATTTTAATGGGTGGTCAACATACTTCTGCTTCAACTTCAGCTTGGATTTTATTACATTTAGGTGAAAAACCAGAATTACAAGATGAATTATATGAAGAAATCACTTCGGTTTTAAATGAAAAAGGTGCTACTATAAATGATTTAACTTATGAAGATTTACAAAATTTACCATTAGTTAATAATACTATAAAGGAAACTTTAAGAATGCATATGCCATTACATTCTATCCTTAGAAAAGTTAAACGTGATTTATTAGTTCCAAATACAAAGTATGTGGTTCCAAAAGGTCATTATGTTTTAGTTAGTCCAGGTTATGTTCATACTAGTGATAGATATTTCCCTAATCCTTATGAATATAATCCTCATAGATGGGAAGCTCAAGCTGCTTCCACTGCTAATGATGATGAAGGTGAAGTTGATTATGGTTTCGGTGCTATTTCTAAAGGTGTTTCATCTCCATACTTACCATTTGGTGGAGGTAGACATAGATGTATTGGTGAACAATTTGCTTATGTTCAATTAGGTACGATTGTAGCTACCTATGTATATAACTTAAGATGGACATTAAAAGGTGACAAAGTTCCAGATATTGATTTTGCTTCTATGGTTACATTACCTGAAGAACCAGCTGAAATTAAATGGGAAAAGAGATCCACCTGTGTCCTTTAGATTTTGAACAAAAGAAAAGTATATAGACTCCATCCATCCATCCATCCATAAAAATCAAACAAAACAACACGTTACCCTCTACGTATGTTAACAAGTATAATAATCACCTAGTTTAATCTAATTTTAATATTAAAAAATATATATGTTCGTATATCAAATAATAATGATGATAATAATATAGATTATCGTATCACCCACCTTTATTGTCATAAACTGTTTGTCGCAAATCTAAGACAAGACGAAAAGAGAAAAAAGAAATTTTTTGCGTCATAATTGATGATTCATTTTATTTTTATTTTGTTGACTCTTTTTCTCTTTTTGCATATCGAACAACAAAACGATTTTTAAAAATTAAATTAAATTAAATTAAATTGAAAAATTAAGTACGATTAGGTCATCGATTAAGGCTAGTTCTTTCAAGAGATAACAAAGCGATTTACGTATTACATAGGTTAGAAGATAGACACGATCTGACCTTACTTTCCTTTTTATCTTACACATCACATCATAAAGGTCATACACAAAATACCATCTATGACAGTCAAACAATTCCAAGTCAAAGTCCCCGCTTCTTCAGCTAATATAGGACCTGGGTTCGATGTTTTGGGGATTGGTTTACAATTATACTTAACTATCACCGTCACTATAGATCCATCGAAAGATACCAGTTCTGATCCTCATAATGTCAAATTAACCTATGAAGGAGATTTAGAACATAAAGTCCCATTATCATCCGATAAGAACTTGGTTACTCTGACTGCATTATACATCTTAAGGGCTAATGGTATCACTAGTTTTCCAAAGGGTACTTTTATTCATGTTAATAATCCAATCCCATTAGGTAGAGGATTAGGATCATCTGCATCAGCTATTGTGGGTGGGATAATGTTAGGGAATGAAATTGGTGAATTTAAATTCTCAAAGAATAGATTATTAGATTATTGTTTATTAATCGAAAGACATCCTGATAATATCGCTGCTGCTATGTTAGGTGGGTTTGTTGGTTCATATCTTAATGAATTATCTCCTGAAGATGATGATCATATTAATGTCCCATTAGAATATGTATTACCAAAAGATTCTACTCCAAAGGATAAATATCTTAGTATTCCTCCACCTCAAGAGATTGGTGAATATGTTCAATATAATTGGAATCATCAAGTTAAATGTATAACCATTATCCCAAATTTCGAAGTTTCAACTGATGATGCAAGAGGAGTCTTACCACCAAATTATACTAGAAAGGATATTGTTTATAATTTACAAAGATTAGCAGTCTTAACTACCGCATTAACTCAAGAAAAAGTCAATCATAATTTAATTTATCAAGCTATGAAAGATAAAATCCATCAACCTTATAGAGCAGGATTAATTCCAGGTTTAACCAAAGTATTATCAAGTTTAACTCCTGATTCTCATCCTGGATTATGTGGGATTTGTTTATCAGGGGCTGGTCCAACGATATTATGCTTGGCTACATCTAATTTCGATTCCATTGCTGAATCTGTCATTGATATTTTTAAAGCTGCTGGTGTGGAATGTAGTTGGAAATTATTGGATTTAGCATATGATGGTGCTGTTGTTGAACAACAAAATTAATCCTATTCCTTTCGACTGTAATTAGAAAAATACCCATTCTTATAACATGTTCTACTTATGTATATACTCCTATCCCGATAAATATAAAAAAGTTTTTAGATTGCTTGCTTTATCAATATCTATCATTCTAATTATAACTTCTAATTCGTAAATTATTATTGACTTTGATTTGACCCCCTGCGCACGACCAAAAATTAATCTACCAATTAAAGTTGTATCGAACTAAATTTTCCATACCTCAAAATCAAACAATGAAGCATAGATCAAAAAGGGGGTTTGAATTATCATAGATACAATTTATAATAGTTCAATTCCAGTCATGGTGAGTGAGATTAAAGATGCTGATGCATTGAAATCTCAACTTTTAACCGAATCGATCATTAAACGTTCACAATCTGCTCCTATTTATTTATCAGCCATTGAAATTAATGGAGGTGAACGATTTTCAAATAATTTCTTTAAGAAATTATTATACCCCTTGGTGGATAAAAGTGATTATACTTTAAGTCAATTGATTAAAGAGATTGGTGTTACTGAAGAACGATTATTAAAAACCAATGTGTTTAAGGATATTGGCATTAGTTTACATTCTGATTATGCTAATTTACTTCCTTCATCAGTCAAAAATTATAATAATGAAACTCCAATTTCAACTAAATTAGTATTAGATTTACTGGCTATTAATTTAAATATCAATGAATCATTTTTGAATTATAATACTCAAGATAATTTAAATGTTAATTTGGATTATCTTAATAATAACTTTAATAATAATGCTGAATTAGTCAACATTGGAGTCAATTATAATCCATATAAACCAAATGATCATTTAATCACCAATTTTAAAGGGTTAGCCAGTTTAAATAATCCATCTTATAAATTCTTACTTAATATCTTACATAGTCAAGAAAATAATCAAGTTTGGCAACAATCATCTCATGGTGTAAGTGGAGGATTAATTGGATTACAATATTCTCCTAATACAAATTTCCAATCATTAACTGGATTAACATTATCAAGAAGAACTCTTCATAATATCGATGATGCTGCTCCTGATGAATTGAAATTCTTTGCCGGAGATTATTTCAAATCATCAATCTTACAACAAATCGATTATAGTGATTTATCATATTTGAATTCCATCACCAAGAATTTCCCCGTGCAAGGTACGCAACAACATGTTGATGTTGAGTTAGCCTCTAACCAAGAACAACAAAATCCAAATAATATCGCTAGTTTCATTAGAGCTGCCTATAACTCCAAATATTATAGATCATTCCTTCATAATTATTTCACTGCTAAAGTGAATTTTGATTTTGGTGGTATTTTCCCATTATCAACTAATACACCAGTTCATATTTCTGATCGGTTCTATTTAGGTGGGATCGATTCATTCAATGGATTTATTAAAAATGGAATCAATACTAATGGTGGATTACAATTTTATAAATTACAAGGTACATTATTTTCCAAATTACCTTCATTCATTCATAAAACAAAGAAAGAATCAACTACTTTAGGGGGAGAAGAATCAAACCCATTAAGATTATATATAACATCTTCCCTTGGTAATGTGTCAGATAATATCTTTGAAGATGATACCGGAGCTTCTAATGTTGGAGTTGGGTTAAGATATTTCAATTATTGGGCTAATTTCGATATTGGATATTTCATAGCCAAGAGGTTTGGAGCTGATCATGGGGATGAACTGATTGGTATTAAAGATGGATTCCATTTCTCAGTATCTCTAGGAGGATCTAACAGATCTCTCTAGGCATACATATATACATTCATCATCATATCATTATTATTTATTCATTATATATTCTGTAAAACATAAAACTATTCATATTAATAGATGCAAAAATTATACATTCATACAAAATTCTGTAAAAACAAACATCCAAACATCCGTGTTGTTTACTTTTTGGTGCCAAAATTTCATTTTTGCGTTTCCTCTTCTTAGTTTTTATTTCTTCATAAATCGCGTCTATCAAATATCAATTTGGTGTATTTGTGGACGGTAAAGGTTAAAGGAGTTAGATTGATTACATTGTTTAGGTGTAGTCACTATCTCGAATAATCATTAAGAAGAAATTGAAAGATGGGAGTTACTGGTCTTCTTCCTAACTTGAAAGATATCCAAGAAGCAGGAACCTTGGAACGATATAGAGGTAAAACTCTCGCTATTGATACTTATGGTTGGTTACATCGAGGTTTAGTCTCTTGTGCTCAAGAATTGTGTCAGGATAAACCAACTACAAAGTATATCACATCTATAATGAATAAAGTTGCCATGTTGAAACATTTCGGAGTAGAACCTTACTTTGTATTTGATGGAGCTGCTTTACCAACTAAGGCAGATACTGCTAATGAAAGAAGATCTAGAAGAGTTGAAGCGCTTCGAAAAGCTCAAGAATATGAAAAGAATAATAAATCAAGTTTAGCTTGGAAAGAATATATGAAAGCTGCATGTGTCACATCTCAAATGGCTAAATCTTTAATGGTTGAATTCGATAATCATAAAATAAAGTATGTGGTTGCGCCTTATGAAGCAGATCCTCAAATGGTTTATTTAGAAAAGATTGGTTTAGTGGATGGGATCTTATCAGAAGATTCAGATTTATTGATCTTTGGATGTAACAAACTTATAACTAAATTAAAAGATTCAGGATCTTGTGTCGAGATTTGTCGTGAGAATTTTTCAAAAGTACTGCTGTTGCCATATTTATCAAAGTATACTCAAGAACAATTGAGGTTGGTGGCTATGTTATCAGGATGTGATTATACTAAAGGTGTAGCTGGTGTGGGTTTGAAGTCGGCGTTTAACTTGGTGAAGAAATATAATAACCTTGATAAGGTGTTAATCGCATTAAGAGCTGATGGTAAAACTATCAATGATGATTTTAAAGATGAAGTATTTAAAGCAGACTTGGCATTTCAATTTCAAAAAGTTTTCAATCCTACAACCAACACATTAGAAACTTTAAATCCATATCCTGAAAACTTCGATACAGACTTTGATATCTTAGAATCTTGTTGTGGAAAAACATTTACTCATGAACATTATCAAAAGGTATGTAATGGATTCTTAGATCCTAATAGTCATGAAATATTAGTATCTAGAGAACAAAACTTATTCAGTTTGAAAAGTAAATCCGTCAATTTGGGTTCAGCTTCACAATCAACATCAGTGGCTAGTAGGAGTAAATCTACTGGGTATAAATCTGCACCTGTGAAACATTCAATAATTGACATGTTAGGAGCTATGAAAGCTCCTGTCAAGAAAGCAACAGTATTTGAAACACCGGTTAAAAGACCAAGTGAGTCTAAAGTATCACCTACAGCCAGGAAAATCCAAAAATTGTCTCCAGCTGATCAACCAAAATCAGATGGGATAAGTAAATTCTTCACTTCAAATACAGTTACTAAAGAAGAATCATCTATGAATTGGGATATTTCAGGAGAATCTGAATTTTCTGAATTCACAGCTCAACCGTCCAATGATAAATCTAAGGAAGAAGAAGTTCCTCCAAATACAGATAATATACTAGATGAACTTACCGATAATGACGAAGAGGATATCGGAACTGATGAGTTATTGGATGACAATGAAGTCTATGGTAGTGATGATGATCCAGTGGTTGATTCGTTACCTAAACCTGAAGTTTCGATACCGTCAAGCAAAGATTCTGATGATTTTGAATTATCGGATGAAGATATTGAAGAATCGCCCATTAAACCAAAAGTGAATTCTACTATAGTGACCAATAATTTACGTCAAGTGAGAACATCGTTACGTGAAAGTTTCCTGTATGGACACACCAAGGAGTTTATAGCTCCAGTTACCACTAGAGTACCATTATCATCAAAAAGCATAAATCAAGCATATTCAATAAAGGATACATTTAAATCAAAAGCAAGTTTGTCGCAAATTACAAAGACAACAACTGCAACTACGACAGCATCAATTCATTCATCTCAAGAAATACTAATCAGCAATACTACCTCACTCAAGGGAAGTGTTGCTATGAAGAAATCTTCCGGCATTAATAGTTTAAAACGATTTGCATTTCAAAGATAAAAGCATATACTTACATTTCAGCATTTTATATAACGATTAATAAAAAAATTTCTATTGCATTTATAATCTATTAACAGTATCAGTCTATGTAACATTTAAAACCCTCTTAAAAGAGTAGCTCCTATTATTAATCTTGTTAACTCAGCTTGTAACTCACTTTCGTTTCCTGAATATGTAGCATCGTTTAATTTGTATAATTTCTTTGTCTTTTGAACACTTGCAAGTTTACTGAATAGTATTTCATCATTTAATTCTATATTATGGGATTCGTCGACATCGAGTAACTTTAACAAATGTTGATTTAACTCTTTTAACGTATCAGATTCAATTTCATCTGTCTTTAACACTTTGATAACTATCAAGTTTGGACATGATTCATCTACCCCAAATCTTTTCAAAGCATCCATGATATTATTTACAGAAGATAAGTTGAAGATTATTTCCGTATTTAAAGTCTTGGCCTTCATTAATTCATTGGATTGGTTTAAGATCGACCTATGTATACTAGCATATAATTGTTCTAGGGATATAATATGATTGGTATTCAAGAAACAGAAATCATAATCTTTATTAGCACCAATTAACTCAGACTTTATGGTGGCTGAAGTTTCTGTTTTGATATTTGTGAATAATGAAATGAACACAGTAAACTGTGGGAATTGAGGAAATGAAGTTGTTATGAATCCCATGGTATCTAGATAAGCTATTCAACTTGAGTAATTCATCACATCGAATTGATTTGATTTGACTTACCTTTAATTTTTTTTTGCTGGGAAAGTTTGTGCACCCAAAAAATAGAAATAGAGTAAACAGAAACTATACCGTGTAATCACAACCATCAAATCATTAATTACAACAACACATATTCAATTGGATTATCTGGTATGAGTATTGATCAACCTGAGAATGTTAATTCAACGTCTCTAGATCAAGTAGATGGTGTATTCAACGGTGTAGAATATGATTCATCTCCTATAATACGAACACCTCCAGAGTATCCTGAGGCTATACTACAACAAACCGATAAAGCCAATCGATTGTATTCATCATTCCAAAGTCATAATAAGCAATTCGTCACATCAAATAAGAGTTCAAGTAACTTGATGGTGCGATGGAATGATTCATTTATAGATTCTACTCAACGATTAATTGTTGATTCTTGGACAGGTGCAGATCAAAAGGGTATGCAAAAGACCAGTAAAACCATATCAAAAGCCAATTCATTGTTTTCTTGGTCATCGACAGATGCATATATAGCTGAGAGGAAAAGACAATTAAAGTTATCTCGTTCCCTTAAACTGAAGAGCAATGACAATAAGACTGATGAAGTTAACCATCTTAAAGTAGAAAAAGAATCGGAAGAAACATCTGAAGATGTAAAGAGGAAAAAGGAGTTAAAGAAACTACATATTAAAGTTCTGAGTACATCAACTACTAATAAATTAAGTAGAATAGTTGAAAATGAGTCAAATAAATTCATTCATGCTCGAATACAGATGATAAAGGCTCATCATAGTGAACAAATAAATCAAGAAATTCATGATAGAAAGAAGAGAGACCACGAAACTTATTTGAGGAAATTGAAAATGAAAGAGGCTGAATATGAAAGAGAATTACTAGAAGCTACCTTGAATAGAGAGAAACATAGTTTCTTCAGTACATTATTTGGATTCAACGCAACTACATCAAAGGGTGACTCTGATGCTCAACTGAGAACATCAATAGATAGTGAAACCAGTGTGGCTACTTCAACTAATCAAACAAGCGTTAATTCCAAAAACAAACGATTCTCATTTTTGCCAGTAGTATCAATATGGGGTCTGCAAGGTTCGTCAAATGGTAAAATAAGAAGCAATGATTCATTAACAGTAAAGAAAGAGAGTAAGCCAGATCATATTCCAGGGTCAAATGGAGGTTCACCCTCACGTCCCACAACCCCTAAAATTGTTATAAGTGAAGCAGGTGCACCAGATGCGGTTGAGTCTACCCCACAAACCCAAGTTGATGAGGTTCTTTTTGAGGATGAAGAAGGTCTGGAAGATGAGGAATTTTCTGAATTTGCATCTACTCCACCTCCCACTAATTCAAGGTTGGCCTCTCCAGTGAAACAAGATTCGCCAAAGTCAGGGCAGAGTCCGAATAGTTATAAATTTATGAGCATTGATGATACCATCACGGCTCCCACTAGCAAAATTAATACAGATCTTGTCGATTTTTTTGATTCCACCTCTGTTAAAAAGCAAAATACTACTAATAATGATATTAACGACGACAATTTAGTTAATTTATAGACATGTCACAAGAATACATAGTTATATATAATAACTCTCCTAATATAAGTTTACTTAACACTTATAGTTAGAAATTTGATAAACATTTTGTATGGCAATATTTTTGAGTGCACTTTTTTTTCTAAGCAATGAGTCTGGACCTTTAATTTTTCAACTTTTGAGATAAATTCATTATCAACCATAAATCTTTCATCCATATAGCCTTGAAGAGCCCTCCAGGAAAAATAAAAGATGTTGGCAAGCATAAAGAGGGTGAATTCAAAGCCTTTTAGGATATTTAGACAGTATGCTTCTAGCTCCAAGGCTACAAATGAAAACACCGCCATCGAAATGACGACACTTAACAATGGTGTAAGAATCGTTACCGATTCTACTCCTGGTCATTTCAGTGCTTTAGGTGTATATGTTGATGCGGGATCTAGATATGAACTGCCAAGCAGACCTGGGTTATCTCATATATGTGATAGAATGGCATGGAAATCAACTGAAAAGTATAGTGGAGTTGAAATGTTACAAAACTTATCAAAACTTGGAGGTAATTATATGTGTGCAGCTCAAAGAGAATCCATGATTTATCAAGCTTCTGTGTTCAATAAAGATGTGGATAAGATGTTTGATATGATAAGTCAAACTGTTCGTTATCCAAAGTTCACCGATCAAGAATTATTAGAAACATTACAAACTGCAGACTATGAAGTGAATGAATTATCTCATAAACATGAAATGCTATTACCAGAAGTCTTGCATGCTGCTGCTTATAAGAACAATACATTAGGTTTACCGTTGTTCTGTCCTCCAGAAAGAATTCCTGAAATCACAAAAGCAGATGTAATTAAATATCACCAACAATATTTCCAACCTCAAAATCTTGTAATGGCCATGGTTGGTGTATCACATAATAAGGCAGTGGAACTTGCTCAATCTCATTTTGGTGATTGGAAAGGATTAGTCGACAGTAAACCTGATTTAGGTGTTGTCAACTATACTGGTGGTGAGATTGCATTACCTTATCAAGCCCCATTATACAGCAATTTACCAGAACTTTATCATATGCAAATTGGATTCGAAACAACCGGATTATTAAGTGACGATTTATATGCCTTAGCTACTTTACAAAAATTACTTGGTGGTGGTTCTTCTTTTTCGGCTGGTGGTCCAGGTAAAGGTATGTTCTCAAGATTATATACTAGAGTGTTGAATCAATATGCATTCGTTGAAAATTGTATGAGTTTCAATCATTCATATGTCGATTCCGGATTATTTGGTGTAACTATTTCTTGTTCTCCAAATGCTGCTCATGTCATGTCTCAAATCATATGTTTTGAATTATCTAAATTGCTTGAAAGGGATCCAAAGAATGGTGGTTTAACTGAATCAGAAGTTAAAAGAGCTAAAAATCAATTAATCAGTGCTTTGTTGATGAATGTTGAAAGTAGGTTAGCCAAATTAGAAGACTTAGGTAGACAAATACAATGTCAAGGTAAAGTCACCAGTATAGACTATATGATCAATAAGATTGAAAATCTTACTGTTCAAGATTTAAGAAATGTTGCTGAAAAGGTACTTACCGGAAATGTTGTTACAACAGGTATAAGTTCTGGTACACCATCAGTGGTTATGCAAGGTAATAGAGAAGCATTTGGTGATGTGGAGTACATTCTTCGTCATTTTGGATTAGGTAAATTTACCGGTCCTGAATTAACAGAACCAAGAGATTTTTCAGCCACTGTTAAACAAGAAAAGAAATCTAGAAAATGGTTTTAAACCCTTACTGTACTACATGTAATATTCCTGTATATATATAAATTAAATAACACATCATTTGTGATTATCATACATTAAATATTAAGACCTAATGCCTAACTTTTCCCTTAATTGTAAGACTTCTTTTTCTAACAATAACATGCTTTCCTTTAATTGTTCATTCTCTCTTTCGGAAGTCTTTAAAGATAAATCCTTTTCAGCTTGTTCACTTTGAAGGATTTCAATAGTGCTCTTTAAGTGCTTGGACTTATTTTGATATTCAAAGTTCTCATCGTTATACTTCTTGGTAAGTTTCGATTCGTTCTCGGCTCTAATTTCTAGTCTCTTGACATCTTTTTCAAGCATCTTGACCATTTTAGACGATTCATAGCTTTCCAGTCTGGACTTATCTAATTGTCTGTTTAATTCTTTCACTTTTTCTTCCCAGAATTTAAGTTGTTCATTGCTGTATAATTTCTCTTCTAAATCATGGACTTTAACACTTAAGTCTTTATTTACTTTCTTCAATGTAATATTTTCTTCAGTTGCAACTAAAAGATTCTTTCTAACATTTTGATAGTCTTGGATTTCTTTACTGTTGTTAAGTTTTGATTCATTGAACTCAACTCTAAATTCCTCTGATTCTTTTCTTTGGTTCTTAAGATGAGTTCTTAACATAGTTCCGTCAACAAGAGCCTTTTTCAATTCAACGCTAGTATTATCAAGCTGGGATGATAATTCTGAAACCTTCTCTTCCAAGAGTTCCTTATTTTTCAATAATTGTTGCTTGTCATTGACTAAATCACTATTTAACTCCTTTAAGGAAGAAACCTGCTTTTCAAAATTGCTAATCTTCCTTTCATTGATATCTCTTGTGTTTTCAAGTTGAAGTTTTCTATTAGATAATTCATCAACTTGAGTCTGCAATTCTTCCTCTGATTTAGACAATTCATCAAACTCTTCTTCAAGTGCTTTCTTTTCTCTGTTTAAATCTTCAAGATCAAGCTGAAGCTTCTTGTTCTCTTTCACCATAGTAGTTTCTGTTTCATTCTTAAAGTTCAACTCTTTATGTAATGCCCTTATTTCATCTCTATATTTTTCAGTTAATTCTTTATTAGCGTAATTCTTTGTATAGTAGCTGACTTTTTCATTCAAATCTCTCTTTTGAATTTGAAGTTGTTGAATCTTATGGTCTCTATCTCTTATAGTTTCTTCTAATTCTGAGTTCTGGATTCTCATCTCTTTAATGATTATTTGGGTAGTTCTAGCCTCTTCTTTGATTAATTTCAACTGATTCTTCATATCTTGAAGCTCATTAACTGCAAGTTCTTCATGACGTTTCGAAATCTTCACAGCAGATTCTGCTAACTCCAACTTCATCATGTACTCGTCCGCTCTTTTCTTATAAACATCAAGACTCTGGTTTATATCTTTGTTCTTAGAAGAAAGAGCATCATGTTTTACTTTAATTTGTGCAAGTTGCTCTTCATATTCCGATATCGATGCCTTGAATGTTTCAGTCTTGACTAAGTATAACTCTTCTTCTGATTCTCTTAAGAGTGATTTCAAACGAAGAATTTCTGTTTTAGACGATGATAACTCATCTCTAGTAGATTTTAAAGTTTTCGTAACATCTTGATATATCTGAGTGAAGTCTTGACTCGAAGACCTTACCATCCCTATCCTATTGAAGCTTTCACTTTTTGTCAAAGGTCTGACAACACTGTCACCTCCTTCAGAAGATACTAACTCTTCAATTCTAGCCTCTAATTCGGCATTTCTTTTCTGGGTCTCTTTGAATTTCTTCTCATAATCGTTGAAACTATTCAATCCACGAGTTGATTCTAATTTATTGAATTTCTTTTGAAGATCAATAGCATACGTTTCAGCTCTTTGGGCGTTCGCTTGTTCTTGTTGTAATTGAACCTTCAAAGAGTTGATTTCTTCCATAAGAATATCAATCCCACCATTTATGGAAATCTTCTCTCCGATAGCGACTGATCTTCTACTAGGAGTAGAGTCACCCGTGCCTCTTATTGATCCTGATTGTATTCTATCCTTTAACATTCCGAGCTCTTCGCTAAGTTTCTTGTTTTCAAACTTTTCCTTCCTCAAAGAAGCACTATGTTCATTAAGTTTCATCTTCATATTGGCAAACTCTTCCACGAAAGCAGGATCAGGTGGCTGATTCTCCTTTTCAGTATCTTTATCTATCAACTCGTTTTCTAATTGAACGAGTTTCTTATTCAATACAGCTATCTTATCAGCGTATTCGGCTTTTGCTTTCTTGGAGCTTTCATAATCTACTCTAAGTCTCGAAATTGTATTTTTAAGATCATCCTTGTCGGAATCTACAGATTCTAATTGTGATTTCAATTCTCTAATTTGATTCAAATGATCTGTTTCGGATGCTTTCAACTCCTTGATTTGATCTTCAAGAGCTTTGAGACCGTTAAGTCTTTCAGTTAAGTCAATAACTTCTTGTCTGTATTGCGATGCTGAGTCAATATGTTCTTTCTTCTCTTTGTTCAAAGTAGATATTTGTGATCTTAATTCGTTTAATCTCTTTTCATGATCAGCTGCCTTCTGTGATAATCTTGTTCTTTCCGAATCAAAGGTCTTAGAATTGGATTGTAATAATGATATTTCTTTATCTTTCTGGGAAATTGAGCTTTTATATGAATCTATTGTTTCATTTAATTTAGTAGCTTCTTTTGTAAGTGTATCTTTAATTAGTGATTTATGGGTATCAACTTCGGATTTTAATTGGGCATTAACTTGTTTCAATTTGTTTAATTCGTCTTGAACTAAACTCTTAGCCTTATCATTAGATGAAATCAATTCAGAAATTCTTGCTTCATGATGAGACGATTCTTGTTTCTTTTTCTGTAATTCATCATGGAGTCTTGAAATTGTGGATTGTGTGCTTTGTGAATCGCCGTTCAATCTTAATATTTGATCATTAAGATCTTTATGTTTTGATGATAATTGTTTAAGCTCGGATTCTTTCTGCGATTTCTCAGCACTAAGTTTCGAATTAGCATCTTTATATTCCTTTATCTTAGCTTCTAGCTTCTTAATAGTTGATACTGATCTAGACTCATCAGACTTCAATTTCTCTAACTTTTCATCTTTATCTTTGACGATATTAGTGGTAGTTATTACCTCATCTTCTAATCTATTAACATTAACTCTTAACTTTTCAATTTCTTCTGAAAGATTGGATTTAATCTTCTCTGTCTCTTCTAATTTCAGATTAAGTTCTTTAAGATTATCATTCAATTCTTGATTATCAAGAACTTTAACAGAGTCTTCTAATAATGGCTTAATAGAAATGAACAAATCTAACCAAGGATTGGCATTCTTAGATTCATATATTTGTTTGAAAGTTTTAGCAATTAATTGAGATGATTGAACTTGTCTTATTTTATGTTGAATATCTTTTCTAACTATTCCTCCTCTTATAACACTTTGTAAATCTGTAAAAATTCCTTTTAAGGTTAAATCTCTTATCTCTTCTAACTTACCCAATATACCATTTCTGAAAAAGATCTTTGTTATACCAACTTTAAAAGTATCAGGATCTAAATCGATATGTTTCAAAATTATTTCACTATTTGTTTTTAAATCCTTGGTATATACTTCTTTGACATTTATAATAGCATATCTTTGGTAAAATTCGTCAAATGTCATTCTATTTGGATAACCTGCACGTGTAATTCTGATCCCTTCAAGAACCCCGTTACATCTTAATTGACTTAATACTAATGATTTGTCGAACTTATTAGGTTTCTTTTCTAAATTTGGTAAAATACATCTCACGAAATGTGGTTCAGTTCTTTCTAAATGATTCATAAGATTACTTAATTGGCTTTTATGTTTTCTAGATACTGATTTTAATCGAGGTTTCTTGGAATCATTTGGAGATAAATGTTCATCATTTTCGAATAACTCTTTGATGAATTGATTAAATGAGTTTGGAAGTAAACGTAATACATTCTCACTTACTGGATCAGTGTTCTTTTCTAACCAACCATCAACATTATACTCGACTTGACCAGCATAATGATGAATTATAAATCCTGATTTATATTTATTTTCTTTAAATTTCTTACTTTGATCATTACCCCAATTATAAGATAACTTTTCCATGAATGATTGATCGGAAGATTTTGGCATTACACATTCTTCGTCCAATAATTTTAAGATACCCATTGGTTGAGTGGTTTCAATTAAGTCGATGGTAGGTTGTAAATCAAGACCGAAATCGATGAATTCCCATTGAATGTCTTCTTTAAGATATTCACTTTGTTCTAAGATGAATGAATGATGATTGAAGAATTGTTGTAATTTTTCATTAGTATAATTGATACAAAGTTGTTCGAAAGAGTTGATTTCAAATATTTCAAACCCGGCAATATCCAATACACCGATAAAGTTTAATTCATTACTTTCATAAGCTGAATCCATTCGTAAATTATCATTAATTCTGCTTATGATATATTGGAAAAGAGTTTCATACAAGTGTTTAGCAAAAGCATCAATGGAGAATTTAACTTCGGAAGCCTTCTTCGATTTCTGAACTAATTCTCTGCCTGCTTTAACTTTTGGTCGTAATAAATTTTCGACAAATTGTGATTTATCAATTCCCAAGAGTTCAACTAAGATATCGATAGGTGATTCCTGAGTGAAATTAGCTTGTTCTGCTTTCCATGACATGAATTCAAGATTACCAAGATGTAAGATAATAGCTAATAATTGAAAGATATGGTTGATCTCATCTGAAGAAAATCCGACTATTTTGAATGCTTCAACCAAAAGATTAAACTCTTTAAAATCATCCACATTCGGTATTTCAACCTTACTATTTTCCAAATATTTATAAGTGGAGATATCTTTATTCAATCCAAAGTTAGATAATTGATCGTACCCTTTTAAGAATTGATAAAAAATATGATAATTACGTTCACTATTTGATTGATGGACGACTCTTGATTTTTCTAATAAATAATAATCGATGTTAGCACCATTAATTTCTCCCTTAGGAGAGAAGAAGATCTCAATAAATTTCCCAAATCTTGAGGAATTATTATTCTTGACTGTTTTAGCATTACCAAAACTTTCCAAGATCGGATTGGCTTGTAAGATCTTAACATCAATATTATGGGTAATGGATGAAGTTGATGCGATGGTTGTACCATTTCGTACTGGTGAAGCAGGAGATGATGATGCAGTGGATGGAGTAATAGATGACAAATATTGAATGATCTTTTTGGTGTTTTCTGTTTTACCAGCACCACTTTCACCTGTTACTAAGATAGATTGATCCTTTTTATTAGATAATAAGTTTCGATATGTTCCTTCGGCAGTCGAGAAGATATGAGGAGGGGATCTTTCAAATTCATGATTATGGAATTTCTTTAATGCATCAGAGCCATAGATGGACAATGGCTTATATGGATTGATCGCCACTAAGAATAATCCTGAATAAGTATAGATCAAACTATCATTATATCGAAGATAAAGATTATAGACGACTGAGGGTTCATTTAAATGAGTTAACTCAGCCATATCATCACATTTATTAAACTTGGGAGGATTGCAATTCTCAATCTGATCCTGATGGACTATTCTCTGAGACTCTTGAGTTCCATTGACAGCAGTTACTTTACAAGTACCATCCCCTATGTAATCAGTAACGTATGCCTTGGTAAATAAGTTTTCATCATCAGGTATCCATACCCAATTCTTGGATGAATCAAATCCATTGTCACTATCCTTATTCGACATAGATGTTAGTTATCTGTTTTGACTATATTAACTTGATTATATATAAGATGATGAAGATGCTAAATCAATCAAATCAGATCTTGTTTTGGTAGTGCTCTCTAATTTTTTTTTTCTTGTTTACCTTTTTTGTCGCTATACCGTTAAACAGGCCCAAATTTTGATTTTAAACGTAAACATTGTTTATATGCAGGAGACGTGTTTTAATATGATATTTCAATTGTCAACCAAGACTTTATATCGTGTAAATTGAAAGGTAGTCAGGGCAACTACATATATGTGTATGCTACCAAGTCTTTACGGTTCCCGTTAGCCCTTGATGATCTAGTATAGCTTTGATTAATGTAACAGGGTCTAAATCACCTTTTCAGTCCTTAATCGGTTTGATGTCGCCCACTCACTTGTCCATTCTCCCAGTGCTCACTTTCTTAAATAGTAGACTTTCCGTTTTGGGAAGGGTTGCAAACAAAAGGGGAACCAACCTAATTATTATGGCATTTGCCATATTCGTCCATCCGCACCTTGTTAATACAATAGAACATACTCTATATTTATCATATGATCATGTTATAGATAAAAGTTCCAAAAAATAAATGTTTACAGAAGAAATAAATATGCACTGATGCAGACCATGTCTTGATTTAAAATCGGCGATCTTTATATCTTTAGGTAAAACTAGACTTAAAATCATCATATTTGAACTTACTTGAGTTTATATCTTAAAAGGGAGATGGTATTACCACATTTACTCACACGTCATTGTTCACGTTAACAATAGTGAGAAATGTATTTTTTTCGTTTCCCGGCATTTCCAAAAGTGTTTGATGGACTAATTTTTTATGTATTATGTACAGACAACTCAAAAACAATGGTTGACAGATTTACAGGTTAGATTTATGCGAAAAAAGCAATTCAAAAATAATTTTTCAAAATTGAAATTTTTCGCAACAAAATTGTAAAAATGACTTTTCGCAGATAGATTAGAATAACAACTTGTTTAAATGATGTAATGTGCATTAAAAAATGTTATTGAGTAAGGTAAAAGCATAATAACATATATAAATATATATAATCAAACTAGTAAAAGATAGAAAAGAACTGAAAGGGAAAGAAAAGCTGTTATAAAAGACGTGAATTAAAACAAACAAAACAAAAAATAGGGAAAAAATATATGCAAATTATCAATCATGTCAAAACTAAAAGGAAGCTAAAACCAAAAAAAAAAAAGAAATAGTAAGCATAAAAAAGCAATCGTCGTTGGATAATAATAGTGAATGATGGGGTATTAAATGTTTTGCATGATTGGAGATGACCAAACGTTTCCATTACTATCAACAGTAGTAGTTGATGTCAATGGTGAAAATTCCAGTCTACTGCTATTAGTTGGAGCAGCTGAATTATGTTGATGCAGTTTATTATTATTATTATTAGAATTATTGGTTGAATTATTATTAGAACTACCACTGTTCTTACTGATTCTCATTTTACTATTATTACGAAGTATACTTGATGAACCAGAATTATAAGTTAATGAAGATGCCATATTAGCATGAATTGGTGTAACACAAGTAGAACTACTATTATTTCTTTTATTGGAAAAGACTGAGTTTTGAGAACTGGCTGATGGTGGAGTGGCAGGAGCTGGTAAATGATTTGAATCATTAGTATTAATATTAAGATTCAAAGTAGCTGAACTGAATATAAATGGTGATTGAGGTGGTTTAAAATCATTACTACTACTGTTATGATAAAATTTATCAGCTTTTGATTTTTCTTCTTCAAGTTTTGGAAATTGTAATAAAACTTCTGAAAATTGAATTAATTTTGAATCAACTTGATCAGGATTAGAAATAATAGAATCTTGATTTTCATAAATTGATTGAATTATAAAAGTGAATCTTGTATGGAAATTATTAATCACTTGAATTACACCTAAAGTTTCATATTTCTTAGATAATACTTCAGTGACTTTACTTAATTGAATTATAAACAATAAAGCAATCTTTTTAATTGATAATAATGAATTCTCATCTAAACCACTTAAAAATGCTCCATGAACTTCAGGTTGTTTATTTTCAATAAATGAATCTTCATCTTCATCAATATGTTCTTCATCAGTTTCAATAAAATCATCATCCTCCTCTTCATCATCATCATCATTTTCAGTATCATCATAATCAATGATATCAGTATCAAAGCTGGCATGTCTTATATTAGCGAAAGAATTATTATTATGATGACTATAGTTACTTTCATTATTATTGGCATAAAGAGTTTGTTGACCTTGACGACGATTGTTTAATGATGATTTTTTAGGTAATGCCTTTTTCATTAATTCTAATAAAGAATTAGAACCATTTGGAATTTGTAACATTGAACAAGCTAATAAATTAGCGGTTATAGAAACCAATGATGTTGGAACTGATAAAAAGCATTTATCATAAAGGGATAATTCACATAAGAATCTTCCAATAGCGGTAACAGCAGATAAAGTTGAAGCACTATTATTATGATTTGAAGCTGGTGAAGGTAATAATTTATTATATTTGGTTGGAGTAGTATTGTTGGCAATATTTGAAGAATTAATCGCCAATTGAAGACAATCTTCTAAATTAGGATGACTTAACGACCATTCTAAAGTACTAAGAATATGCATTTCCATTTGAACAAACATTTCTTCATCATAAGCATTTCTACACATTATAGTTAATTCCTTTAATGTAGGTACTCTCAGTTTTTTATCTTCATATTTACCAGCAACCCATAATGCAGTACAACCAACTAATTGATAATGTCTTTTAAATACAATTCTTTTAGCACAATATCTATCAATAATATTAAGACATAAGAACAAAGTTTGAGGTTGTAATTTGAAAGATGAATGTAATTCAATGAGGAAATCCAATAAAAATGGTCTCATAAACCATTGAATTTCGGGTTGTAAATCAATCATGGCGGGGTTGACGGAACTAATTGATTCTAAATGAGATAAAGTTTTGGTAACTTCAGAATAATATTCATTAGTTAATGATTTATTAGCTTGAGTTTCTAACAATTCAAGCATTATGCTATAGGGTCTTGGTTTTATGTGTGAAGGAGGGCCATATTTAGTAGGATGAAGAATTTGGCGATTGTTATGATGCTGATGATTATTATTGGTATTATTATTGGGGTAAGTATTTGATTGAGATTGAGACTCAGTATATTGTTGAGGTTGCATTATAGTTTGATTGGATTAGTTATATAATGATGAATTAAGAGATAATTAATGAAAGTATGATTGGCGGTAAAAAATTGTAGGAAAAATTTATACTATTGCCAGAATAGAGAGAAGGGAGAGAGATGGTTGTAAAAGAAAACGGAGGTGATTGATTGACTCAATATGAAGGTAAAGCGAAGGAAGGAATGACTGGGATTGGATTGATTCTTGTTTCTATCAAAAGGAAATGATATGGTTGAACTGGTGATTGGTAAGGATGGGATGGGAAGGAGGGAACACCAAGTACTATTTAAAACAAACGAACAAAATAATGCTGCTATTGAATGAATGAAGAAAGGAAAGAAACAAATATTTGTAAAACGAAACAACTGAAGAATCGAAATTAGTTTTATATAAAACACCACTTTACCTTAAGGGCAACCTTAGATTAGATGTAACAACAACAACAACAACAACTACCAAAACAAGAATCTCTTCAATTATTCTACTACTTGTAACCCTCCACCAAAAATTTAATTTGTAGATTGAAAAGGGCAAAAAACAAACAACTCCTTTTTTGTCTGTATACCAGAAAACGTATGGAGACGCATTATTTTTTTTTGTCTTTTTTTAACGCGTTTTTTTTTGTCTTATTTCTTTTTTATATGTTCAGAGAAAATGTCCGTGAATACGTCCTTAGGTTCATTATTCATTTTATTTTATTTTACGATTATTAAGGTTATCGTTTTGTGGTATGCCACGAAGAAAACTTGAATATGCATGTATTTAATTAATTTTCGGTGTAGTTAAATTACCTAGCAATTAACTTGGAAGGGGACGAAGACACAAGAAAAAAAAAATCGTTATTGAGACTAACAGACAGACAAAAAAAAATGTTTAGAAAGCGTGAATTTCCGTCAATTTTTGCAGCTTCGAGAAACTATCGTACTACATTTTCTAAAAAGGATCGGGCTAACGATCTAGGTTTGATTTATGAATGTAATTAATTAAATCTAGAGAACTCTTGGTGAATGATTCAGATTAATATCACTATCACAGATAAACTTGAACTCTACGATATAGAGAAAGTACATTATCACTCGATATGCTTGCTAACAATCATCTTAGATCTTAATGTGTCGTCAAATCTCCATGGTAAACTGCAAACTGCGAAGAAAAACTACCACAAATTAAATTTGCATCTTTTTCCCTTTTTTTGGTGTCTGTGTAAGAAATAAATATTTAAAAGACAAAAAAATAAGTCGCGAAAGAAAAGAGCGAAAGAAAGAAAGAGAGAACTCCTTAATTATTTAACGCGCTCTTCTCTAAATATTTAGTGGAGAGCCGTAAAAATACCGAGCTAAATTAATTGTATCATATAATTTGGCGAAATGTAATTTTAAATTTTAAATTTTTCATACATATATAATTATAGGTTAAATTGATAACTCCAGAGACTATCCTGCATCTTGCCCAGTTCAGTTAGACTTAGTTAATACCTACAAACAATACAAATCGTCTAATGTTTTTAGTTTACCCATTACCTATTTCATTACTAGAATGAATAACCATTTGGAGGATAATTGTAAACATCATTCTTATATCGCCCTACTTGGAGGAATGACTGTTTCATTTACATAATCTTTCTTTACATCCTGTACGAGCCAACCTCTACTCCTTCCTTTCTTCCTTCTGTCGTCCGTTCCTTGCTTCATCAGATTTTCCATTAAATCTTAATTTGGTTGATGTGGTAAAAGTTAAAACTAACACAAAATAATAATTATATTTTTTTCCTGTACCGATATATTTACCACAATATTAAGGGGACTCTCAGTAAAGGTTTCCTCTCACTAAATTTTTAGTCAAGTTTTGTCGGTAATTTTATGATATCTCGCGAACGCCAAATTCAATTTTTATTTTGTTCTCAGCAACAAGGAGGAGTTCACAGGAGTATAAGTCAAAGCTAAAGTGGAGAATTAACGCTTAACTTACAAGTTAACCCCTTTTGCACCTTATTCATTGAAATTTTTCAATCTCTTTCAAAGAACTGTCTCCCCCGCCGCCCGCCCGTCGTTATGATAGTTAACGCTATATGTCTAATTATAGTTCAATCTGATTAATTTAAATCTTATATTTATCTTCAAATGGAAAAATAATTATTCCTATCTCTCCCTATCTTTACTTAGAAGGGATTCGAAAATGAATTTCATTATTAAATCTACTTTCATTTCGTGTACTATATATTTCATCCCTTTCGCTTGTACTGTTATCAAAAGATATATTCACCTCCTAATACTCCTGATAACTACCACCAATTTCACCATGACCACTAATATTATTTATAAACTTCCCCACTAATTGTCTTTTCAACTACTATTGCTACTCTCTCACTCTCACTCTCACTCTCACTCTCACTCTCAACCACCCTTTTTCCATCTACAACTTAACAATATTTGGTATAATTTATATTATCATTATATTTATACAAGACTATCCGATTCTATAACAACAGAAAATAAAAATAATTCTTCTTCTTTTTTTTTTTTAAATTGACACCTCTACACACAACTAAAATGCACCTCTACCTCTAGCACTACCACCAGCAGCTCCACCATCTTGTGAATCATCATTCTTTATGGTTTCATCAACTGATAATAATAAAGTAGCTGCTTCAGTAGCAGATGATAAAGCATTTATCTTAACTAATGAAGGTTCCCAAATGAAATTCTTCATATTATTTCCAATACTTTCCTTTTGGAAATCAATACCATACCAAAGTTCACCTTTAGCATGAGAACTTCTTAATTTATTCAATAATTCAATACCATCCAACCCAGCATTTTCACATAATTGTCTTGGAATGATTTCTAATGCTTTGGCATAAGCAGTTATTATCAATTGTTGTTTACCAGCCACAGTCTTAGCATAATCTCGTAAATATTTAGATAATTCCATTTCTATAGCACCTCCACCAGCAACAACTTCACTATGACTTACGGCTCGTTTAACAATCATAATAGCATCATGTAATGAACGTTCAACTTCGGCAATAACTTGTTCAGCACCACCTCTTAATACTAATGTACAAGTCTTGGCTTGAGGACATCCCTTGAATAAATTATATCTTTCTCCACCAATTTGAGCTTCTTCAAAAGTAGCACATGTACCTATATCTTCAGGATTAATATTAGAACAGGTAGATTGAATATTACCACCAACAGCTTTAATAACTCTATCCATATCTTCACTTGAAACTCTACCAGCACAAAATATATTTCTATCAGCAAAATATTGAGTAGCTAAATCACCGATTGGTAATTTTGATAACACGATATTAGCACCAGTGTTAGCAATGGCTTCTAATTTATTGAAAATAATTTGCCATTCAGCATCAACAATAGCTTGATAATCTTTAACTTGTTCAACTCTTACTTCTGCGTTTTCCTTTTCAGCTTTTAATTCTAATTCAACGTTTAAATTGACAATCTTTGGATTATTGAATTGTTTAGGTTGTTGTTCGAAACCAGCATATGAAAAAGTCTTTTTAAATGCAACCCCATCAACGAAAAGTGAATCTTCCATTCCACCACCTGGAACTTTCTTGATCCCGATTAATTTCTCATCTAAATCTTCTTGATCTAAACTTAATACAGCATCAACTACCATTTTAGTGAAGAAAGTTGAATTCTTACTAATTAATTTAGAAGACATGGCAGTAGTAGCGCATTTTTCTAATAATTGTCTGAATTCAAAACCATCTTCTCGTTTAATTTGAACAGCTATGTCTTTAATTTTTTGAATGGCCAATTCATTGGCTCTTCTTAAACCTTTGATAATAAGATGAGATGACATACCATCATCAATGAATGTCTTGGCTTCTTTTAAGAATTCCCCTGCTAAAATTGTAACAGATGTAGTACCATCACCAACTTCAGCATCTTGGGCACGTGAAATGTCAACTAACATCTTTGCTGCTGGATGAACGATATCTAATAATTTCAAGATAGTAGCACCATCATTGGAAATGGTGGTTTTGCCGTTTGAGGATACAATTAAAATATCAGAACCAAATGGTCCAAGGGTTGGTCTTAACGTGTCTTGAATTGCCAAACACGCATTAATATTACTTAAAATTTGACCCTTTCCTTGAGAGGAATCAGTACCTTCCTTTAACACAACAATAGTTGGTGTTTGTGTGGAGAAAGACATCCTGAATAATATTTATCAATTGTATAGAAATACTTCTTTAGCTAATCTGTTGATGGCAAGCTTTCTTTTCATAGTTTGATTTATGATCCTCATAGTGAAAAAAAAAATTATCAACAAAAAAATATATATTTGAGTTTGCACACGACTATCAAAGTTCCAGAAAATTTTATTTCTATAATTTTTCAGGTATCGTTAAATGATATGGTAGATGTTGTAAGATCATCATTAAACCAAGCATATAAACAATGTTCAGTTCGAGAGTAGTGACAACTTCAAAGGGTATAACAACTCCTTTCCAAGTGTTCCAAAGAAACATGACTAGAGGAAGTGGAGGTGATGCTGTATCTCTTTCCAATAGAAGAGTAATGAGAAAGATTAAAATGGGTAAAGCCAGACCAGCTATCTTCTATCAATTCGATACTTTAGTGGAATTAAGTGATGGTTCCGTTGTCAAGAGAAGATCACAAGCTCCTAAGGATGAAATCAGAATGATCTCAGATCAAAGAAATAGCACATTATGGAATCCAAATAGATCTGATATTGTTACTATAGATCCAAATTCTACTGGTAAAGTACATAAATTCAAACAAAGATTCGCCTTCTTTGAAGGTAATGAAGAGCAATCACAAATACCGAATGAATCTGCCGATGCTCAACCTGATCAAGAAAAGATTGAACAACAACAAAAGGCTTCTAAGGCAAATGATGATTTCCTCGATTTATTGGGTCAAAATGCTGAAGAAGTTCAAAAAGGTGGTAAATTATTTAATAAGAAAGAATCCAGAAATAGAAAGTAATAGTTCTATTGGCTTATACATAGTTGCATATTTCACCTCCCTCTTGTACATATAAATGTTAATATAAATGTAAATTTTCATATCTATTAAATGTCTTGTATATATACATAACCAGTTCCTACTATTTACAATTGTTGATGGATTTCTGGTTTTAAAATCGAATCTATAAACTTGTCTTTATCACACAAGCGTATGTGTGGTATGATATCCTTTACATCTAAACCAATAAATCTCATTTCATCAATACCCCATAATATAGTATCAATATCCTTTTCAATCAAAGCCTTGTTTATAATTATATCCAAACACTTTATCCGACATTCTTGATTCATTGTAATTAAGTCCTTAAATGAATTGGGTATGCCAAATTTCTTGAAATTAAATACATAATAATACTTATCCTCTTCATTAATGATCGGTTTTGAAGCAAAGTTATGAATAGTCAAATACATCTTCTTTGCAGCACGATTACTGATTCGAGAAGAATAAAGCTTAATAATCTCACTAGTTAATAGCGTAAATGAATGATCTCTCTTGGGTAATTTTAAAGCTTCTATACTGTATTCGTCGAGAAACTTGTACCTTAATGAAATATCTTCTTCATATTGGAAAATATGCAGAATTATATTGACATATGCTAATTTGGAAACTGAAATTGAAGAGGCTTTGGCCATTTCGATACATTGATCCACTTTACCCTGTTTGAGTAACTTTTTAACCATTGCATCCATATCTTGACTTTCAAGGCCATCTTTTGATTTAAAAATCAATTGAAGAACTTTATCAGTAGCTTGCTCGTTGTTTTGATATAGGAATGATTTAAACAACAGTGAGAGGGTCAGTCTTCGTAATGGTGATTCCAAAGTACTTGTTATTGTGTGAAGTAATTCTCCATTGTGAGTAGATTTATTAGTTCCCAACTTTTCGATAAGAACATCAGTCACCTCAATCGAGTCAACTTCTTTATTATGCATGGATTTTATTACTTTCTCAAGCCAAGCTGTATCAGGCAGCAATCTTAACAATTTAGCATATATTATAGCCACCTTCGATTCCGGTTCTTCTATTTCAGCTGTGATACGTTTCCAATACTTGAATGCTACCTCATAGAAGCCATAATCTAAGTTTTGATTAACAACTTGCATCATGATATCAATATAAGCGTTGGAATCTGATTGGAATAACTTTGATAATAAATGATCTTCTATTATCAACTCAAAGCACTTGTTTACAAAAAGAATTGATTTCTGCTGAAGAAGATATTGCAATACTTCAAATATACAATCTTCTTCGAAGTTGGAAATTTGATATCTTTGTAAAGTCTTAATTATAGCATACGAATTATAAAATCCTGCAGCTCCTGATCCAACTGTCAAACTTTGTAGTATTCTTTGGATTGTTGATATGGGAAATATAATACCATTCTTCTCGAGTTCGTTAACAACAGACGTGGAATATACACGCTCTTGTACGGTAAGTGCTTGCAAGGCAATGCAATTGGCTAAAGTTGTTTTCAACTCTTCATTTTCTTGTGACTTAGCCTTTTCAAATTCTTCTATAACATTCAAAGGAGCCAACTGTAATTCGATCAACAACTTGAGACTTGTTATAATATGATCATACTTCTCCTGTCGTATTAATTCCACTAAATCATCGATTATCAACACTCTCATAGATGGTGATGATTTGTAGGCATACATTATGAATTTAAACACTTTATCCAGGCTATTAGGAAATGACACAACATCCTCTAAGAATATGCTATTCTCTTTCTTATAGAATTCAGATATCAATTTACTTGATATTCTGAATTTCTTACCTTGCTGAAACACTTCAAAAGAAGTTCTAAGCCTATGAAGTAACGGTACAGTCTCACTATTCAAGTTCTCTTCACGATATATTCTATATGGATTTTTAGAATGTATGGATTTGAAATGAGCATTTCGAGTGAATAATTTAATCACACTTATCGGCCTCCTCTCTATTATATACACCGGTCGTATCATATCCACTTGATTATGGTAATATTCATTTACAACTTGATAAAACAATCTACATCATATTTCAAAAACACCTAAAAAATTTATTTACAAAAAGGGAATGCGATCACGTGAAAACTACAAAATTGAAAAATGGAGTTTTATAAATTGTAATTATTTACTTAACAAATGGAACAATCCCCTAAACCAAAACCATACATAACCTTCTCTACATGTTTTCTAATCACTGGCCAATCTGCTCTTCGTTGGACGAATTCATAAATCTCTTCTTGACCAAAAATCCCGTTAAACTTTGACAAATCACTGACCAATTTCCCAATCGCTTTTGAATCATCTCCACTAATTAAATATACATTTCCAAGCTTTTTCAAAGCTTCGTATAAGGGTAAAACCATTCTTTTATTGGTCTTGATGTGTGAAGAAATGAATTCATAATATAAGTTCAAGTCAGAAATTAACTTAGTTGCTCCTGTAACAGATACCGTACTCTTCTTTAAGTATTTAACAATGATTTGAAAGAATCTTTCTGCAATTTCTTGATGGAAGACTTCAACGACAGACTTATCAGCACTGTCAACAATCAAATCCATATTGTATTCCAAGATCTTTACCGCCCTTTGAGCAGCATCAGTGGCCCCGAAAAGGGATGGTTCCTCACTTGGTGGGTTATAGTCTTCATTGGTTAATGTTTCCTTGTAAATTGCATCAATTTCATTAACTAAAACTTCAAGTCCTATATTTAAACCATCAGCCACATATTTATCGACCAATCCTTCCAACTTCTTTTTGTTTTGAAGTGAAGGGTTTAAAATAGAATTTTCATTTTTGATGATTTGCCTATTTATCATTTCCTCTTTATAAAATATATCAATCATTTGAATAATCAAGTCAGCCATAGTAATTAAATCACAGAATAACACTAATGGTTCCACAAATGTTTCGTTATGGGATTCTGTATAAGTTGGTGAATTTGGATTGTAAGTCTGCAAGTATTGAAGGGCCTTATCAAATCCGGGTCTTAAATGTTCGTTACCGATATCATCAATGACATCAATGAAAATTTCTTGCATTGCAGTAAAGATATCATTTTTTAAAGATGCAATGGAAAAATTCTTAAAACTCAATAGTCTATGTAAGGTGATTTTAGCTTCATTCAAAGTTTCAAGGATAAGCTCCGGACTAAAGCTCTTTGACAACGACTTTATATTCTCTGATAAGATCTTAGCTTTAGCTTGAATCTCTGAGTAGTTTTCATCCTCAGTAGCTTTTTTTTCTTTATCTGAACTGTTACTTATGGTGAATACCTTTTTAAAACTTGTTAAAAAATCATTTTTAGTTTCTGATTTAACTAATTTCCATATATTCTGGGATGTTTCTGCTTCTCTTTTGGAGATTAAATCCTTCCATTCTTTGATTTTCTCATTGGTGATTAACTTGAAGCTTTGCATTTCTTCCCTGATATACTCAGCCACGAATGATTCAAACAGCATATCGATCAATTCACAAATAAGTTGCTTATACAGTACACCAATATTTTGGGATTCATTTAACAATTCAATTAACGATGTAGTCATCTGTTGATATATGAATGGTACAAGATTTAAATATAATCCCCTAGATTTTGAATTTTCTATTAAAACTAACATTAACTCAGTTAATTGATTTGAAATTAACTCTTCACAAACTTTATACATGATGGGTACTGTTTGAGGGAAGATTAGGTCTATTACTTTTGATTGATGATTGAATACATCAGCTATATCCTTCACCAATGTATGAAATGCTTCTTCGTCAAGATGATATTTTGATCCATCTTCTTCTTGTGTATAGTATTTGTCAGGGTTGAAGTTTTCTAAATTGAAAATATCACTTTCTTCTTTATCAAATATACTCTTTTGAAGGAAAAAATCAATTAAAGTCTGTTCATTCTTTAACATTATAAGGATTAAAACAAATTGTCTCGTCTTATCATAATCTTCAAGGTCATAATGAATTTCCATTTCTCTTAACACAGCATTCTCAAATATCTCAAAGAGCGAATTGACTTTCTCTTGTACTAATACTCTAGACTGATCAACATAGTCAATCTTATTGAAAATAAGCATATTGTATAAAATCTTTGCTTGATCCTCGGGAGTCTCAAAGTCTTTAAATATCAATAGCCTGTCAAATGGTTTATTACTAAGTAAGTCCTTATAATAGGGCCATAGACTTCGATGTATCTTTAAAACTTGGAGTTTTGCCATTTTGGATGATTTGACAACTTTATCTAAACAGTGCAAAGGATTGTCCAAATAATTTAATGCTTTTGGATCTGCCAAGTCTTCTTGCTTCAATGAAATAGCTGAATTCCATACCTGCAAACTCTTAAGCTTTGAAACCCATAATTTAGGATTATTGACACTTTTATACGTATTCTTGGATACACGAGCGAATGTAAGCAAATCTTGCACCGGCAAGTATTTCGCTATACCTTCTGCCACCAGCAATGGTATGACTTCTGTATTATACACATCAATGTCCGAATTCCATAGCAAATTTGCCATTGCAGCGTTGATTAACACTATTTAGATCCTATTTATCAATTATGCTAAATCTCGGTTCAGAAATGAAAATAGTTCTGTTGCGAGAGAGCCTTCACTAGATAAAAAAAATATTTTGAAAAGTTTGTTACGCTTAGAGATAGACAGGACTAAGACATATTGATTCCAATGAATGGCTTATTGAAGACATGGCCTAGGAGTTATGGTCTGCATCTTAGTAGGATACGACGAATGCCCGCAAGATATAATTCCAAATGGAAATTCACAGACACATTCTTCAAAGAAAACCGACCGAATGAGAAAGTTTCAATCCAATCTAAGATCTCCAACTATTTAATGAATATCATAAAACAAGAATCGTCAAACATAGTCAACTCATTAACAAAAGATCCATTATACTTGGGTGATGATGTTGATCTGTACCTCACAAAGAACCGTTCTTTATCTTCAAAATTGAATGAAAGCATAGACATATACAATAAATTATACCGACTATTATCTTACAATCCTATTGACATTCCTCCAGAGTTATACATTCATTATTATGAGAAACTAGAGATCCCGTTGGATCCAGATTTACAAAAGTTACTTATACAGAGATTGCTTTTCCATAAAGAATATAACTATTTTTGGAAAATTTGTCTAGACAATAATATATCACTTACTGATTTAGATGATTTCATAGATTTAGTTTATAAAGTATTGAGTGAAAGCAAAGACCAAACATATGGAATATCAGAACTTTTGACTTATTTCCCACAGGAATTAATTAGTGAAAGATTAGGTCATCATATCATGGATACTCTTTGCTTTAGATTCAACCTCGATAAAGCCCGTCTTGCAACCCAAATGCAATTTTGGAATGAAGTGCGGCATTTGCTGTCATCACAAGACCTCAACACCATTTTAGAAGTAAATGAAGATCTTGTCCAGAATCTGATAGTGATACAGGCACTTTTCATGAAACGTTTGTTTCAAATATGGAGTGAAGACATGCAAGATATTAAATCAAAAATTGTACAAATTATAAATCAAAACCAATCAAATATATTTCAGCACCCAGGATGGGTAGCTATGATATCACCACTTCGGGTAACTTGTATGCAACCCATGGGAGAACATAATCCATTAGCAGCATCACCTAATATATCTTCTTTTAAAGATTTTCTTGTTTCATCTGTAGATGAATCAGGAAGTCTTAATGAAGTTGATATTACTTGTATATACCATTTGCATGCTACATTGGATCCCTATACTATATATAAATGCTACACAAGAGCCACGGAAACGGTACCGACGTTTAAGAATACTACAATCGTGAACTTCTTAGTGAGTGATATACTTCAATCCGGTATAAATAAGCAATCAACCTCCATGCTTTCAAATAATTTTAAATTTTTAGATTACAATAACATATCAAAAGGGTTATTAAAGGTATTTCAAGAACAACGTTCTGAGTTTGAAACTCTCCTTGCTGAATTAAATCAAGTCAAACAAAACGATGACATTACGGCTATTATAAATAAACTAACTGATGATGTCCTAAAAGTGGAAGGGCTCGAGGTAAACGATTACCTTGATTACGCTTATGCTATAATAAAAAACGACAAGACCTACAAATGTTTTAGATACTTTTTCAAATCCTTGCAATTGGAAGAAGACGATATCAAAGTTTTTTATACAAGCTTGATATATTCAACCAGAATTCAATCTTGTAACACGTTACTCGAAATAAATCGATCAATAATGAGAAATAAGTTAATTTCGATGGAATTGATTTCGCCTTTATACGAAAAGATCTTAAGAAATGTCTTAAACCGAAAGAATATGAATGATAACTTACTTGCCGAAGATTTCTTATCTATTAAAACCTTAGTTGGTCGCGAAAGAATTGTTAAATTGCACAATAGTCTTCGTGCAATGGGTCAAACATTTTCTTTATTAGATGCAAAGGAAATTGCCTCTGTATTAGACATCCTACGTAAAGTGACAATGTCTAAATCCTTTTCAGTTACAAACAATTTATCATGCCAAAACTACATTCTAGATTGTATAATTGATGAAACAATGAGGTTTATAGAAAGAGATAAGAATCTCAACCGAAGTGCTGTTTTCAAGTATAGAGACATTATGTCTTATATGAAGACTTCTCTGAAACCAGTGGCGTCTTGGTTGTTTAGAGTGATGGTCAAAGAGGATACTACCAAGGCTGTTAAGTTACTTAATCACTATAAAGATAATAAGAGAGCTATTTCTGGACTGGTCAAACATATTATATCGGGTATATTAAGCAGCGATCTTGAGGTTAACATGAAGCTTTCAGTGTTGACTACCTTTTTCGATTCTATGAGAAATTTGGGTTACAGACATAAATTGAAAACTTCAAATGCTTTACAGCTTTCAAAGATTATAGCAACCAACAAGGATAGGCTATCAGGCTTTTCGTTGGAACAGATTAATCAATTTATAACTGAACACAGAACATTCAGAGAATCCTATGTGCGTTCTAACGATAAGTTTTCAAATTTATAAAATAGTATTTCTTCATGTATTATATAATTAACTTTAAAGTACAACTAATTATATTCCATTGAGATATGCACCAGTGATATAAACAGCAAATGGTTGTCTTATTATGAATTGTTTTTTGATCTCATTCTTTTGTTTGTAAACTAAATAATTTTGTTAATATATGGAACAAAGTATTAAAATTAAAGTGAATTACTTACCCAGACCCTAACTTGTAAGTTAGTTAAACCACATTTTTTAGCTAAAAGTTCTCTATCTTTTCTATTTGGAAATGGTTGAGCGTCGAATGCCTTTTGTAAGAATTCCTTAGTTTCTGCGGTGAGAATACAACGCTTTCTTCTAGAAGCCCTGTAACTACTTCTAATCGAGTCCAATATGTAGTTTGACTTTGGTTCTGTCTTTTTGTTTGACACGGAAATTGTTGCCTTAGAAAGGTAAAAACCTTCAGACCTGTCATCATGTTCTGTAATATAGATCTTATTACCTATCGACTGTTTTTCTAAAGCATCATATAAATTTCTTATACAGAAGGCATATTCTTCGCTATCACTGACAAGCTTCGATAACTTGTACATGTTATGTTAGTATTAGCTGAAAGTCATTAAAACACTTCTACATACCTTATTCATTCTCCCCTTTGATGCCACAAATTCATTTTTGGAAACATTTTCGTGCCTCAAGCTGGAAATGACTTTTATTCTTTCAGCAATCGGATCAGACGAGCAGCTAGTAGTTAAATCCTCCAATATCAGAAGATTTTCTAGCAAATTGTTGTAGGACGACAATTCCGAATTCATTTTACTAGATAGTTATGGTATAACCAAATATTAAAAATTGTTGAGATCAAGAGTTTAATAAATCCAAGCAACCCCTTAAGCGTATGCAGGTATTACCAAAAGAGTTTAGTTTGTGTTACAGACATGACACAAATTCAATTTTCGAGGTCTGTCTTTGTTTTTATCGTCTTCGTAACCAGGATTATTTTTTAATTTTTATCTTTCTTTTTCTTATTACATGAGATAATTAGCGTTGAGAGGCTCTAAAACATTCACAAACTGCAATTTTTTGAGGCCTGCATTCCAAGAGTGAGGGATATTTTTAAGTTTCACTTAAAAAAATAAGAAGCACAAAGACACAAAACCAGATTTGCTGTTTACACAATCTGAGAAAAATCTAAATTAGAACACTTATGTTTGGAATAATTCTTATTTTATAAGTCCAAAAAGGTGACGACTTATGAATAAAGTATACAATGAGTAGTCACATAGCGTGACAACAAGTTTGTATTTATCTATATGTATATGTATTGTTAAAACTAGTAGATACCACGGTTTATGGGAATCGTAAAATGAAATATTAGCTGCATATGCAATGTAACCCTTACTAAAAATGACTATAACTAAATTTATTATTTATGTTTCAGGAAACAAATACTAAGTAAAAACATCTTCTGTAAAGATACCAAGTTTTCGATTGAAAACATAATGTTGGAGTTGCAGTTTGGAACTTAACTTTATTATTCTATGTCTAGGACGCTTTACTTGGTTCTTCTGTACTCTGAACCTTATTGCATGAGAAGTTCGAGAATTTGAATCGACTTCTTTTCTCATATATACACAGCGACAAGTTAGTTGATATTCTTTAGAACTCATCTTATAACGTGCTTCCTCTTCGTCATCTTTCTTTGAAGATAATTCGTCGTAACAAAACGAGTCGATGGCCGATAAATACTCGCAATAACCATTAAAGCGCTTGCTGCATTGTTGCCACATCTAAAAGGTTAGTATATTAGTCTCTTAAATTAATAAAATGCACATAATACATACCAATGCAGTTACTTTGGATACAAATCTGTAGTCTCCGTATTCACTGGAAATTAGTTTACCAAGAGCGTTCCTTGCAACAAAATACTTATTCCTAGATCTGAAGTTGTTTTCTTTGCTTTTTGGGTCTTCAACCTCTGGAGATAAAAATGAAGAATCCGCAAAGCTGAATGACCCATCCACGGATGTAGATATCAAAGGATAAGATTTTGAGTGGGTAAAGACTTTGAGTTTGTTGGAGGATCCTTTCTTATTCGATTTGGACGCTTTTTCGGGAAATGAAAATGAGTGGCTCTTCATGATAAGAGTTTGTGATGTAGCGATTACAACGATATTCTTAATTTGATTTAGTAATTTTTTTGAAGTCTTATATAATGAAATACCCGAACAAACTTGAAACAACTTTTAGTCTCATTTAAAATATTTTGTACATGCAAGCTCGGTCACAATGCAAAATATATTTACGAGCGACTATTGTTCGCACCAGCGTGCAGATATACAATGGACAAATATCAACTGTAAATCCCTTGAGTTATCATCTGGAATTGATCATATAGACGAGTATACATACTTCCCAAACTTTTTGCAATAAGGGCGGTCTCGACAAATAAGTCAGTCTCTTCCTCGCTGAGATGTAATTGAAACCTTTGTTGCAACAAAACACTGGTATTCTCACCATTCTTAAAGCATGGTAAGTTAGAATCCTTTTGCATTAATTCTACCAAACTTATGATCAGTTCGCTTTCGATTTGCAAACAACGAAAGCATGCTTTTGATAATGTTACAAATGTTTGATATGCAGTACCTTGTGGCCCTCCTAATAAATCAAGATACTCTGTCGTTAATTTGAACGGTGCCGCTTCAAAGCCAACACTCCCTGGTGAATTCGATAATAGAAAACCAAAATCAATGTGTATGATATGCCCTTCGTCATCAATCATTATATTTCCATTGTGTCTATCCTTTATTTGTAAGATGTAGCATATGATAGAGTACGATGCTAAACTTCTCGCAAAATTATCTTGCGCCTGCTTATACCTTTGCGAATCTGGATTGCCAAATAATTTTTCAAAATAGTCCTGTAAAGTGAATATTCTTCCCTTTAAGTTTTCTCCATTAGCAATCGACATTTCAGTTAAAGATTTCTTAACTGAATGAATTGATATGGCATTAGTGATAGTTTCAACTAAACCTGAATTTGCGCTAGTTATTAAGATCTTCATTCTTTTCGTCCATACACCTATATTTTTACTCTTCCATATATTTGATATCATTGAAATCAATTGACACGCAAAAGCTTCCTGTGGAAGATCGTCACCATTCTTTGCGATAACGGAGCAGAGATCCCAATTTGGAAAATGCCCGAAAGCACTTGACTTTCTAATCCTCAGTCTCTTTACATTCCAATCTTCACCTAGTTTAAAGTCATTCTCCAATTTACGTTGTCCGGCATCTGGTTTATCTCCTTTCAATTGATTCAACTTATTGTAATCTATGGAATCAAATTGATCCTGTAATGATATCATTGACTGCACGATACGATTTTTGATAGAAATAAATTCTTGTGAATTCGATTGCCCAGAACTCTCTAGTTGTTGTAGCATAACTGATGCAATCCGCATTTGGTCAGCAAGAACTTTAGTAGATACGTCCCCAGTATTTGGAACTATTTGAACGATACCCTTTTCGTTGTTCACTTTGGGTGATCTCAAGGTAGCATCCTCAACTGAATCCAGACTCCACTCCCCAATAATTGGTGTATCACGCAGCTTCATCGGAAGTTCTCCTAAATCTGCCTCTACCTGGATAATAGACGACTTTATATCATCTTTATCATCCAAGTTTGAAAGGTTAGTGCTATCAGGAAGATTTGAAAAGGAGTTAGCTGTATTTGTTGCATTGGACTCTTTCTTCTTGGCTATTATATTTTGGTTATGTTCAGAAAATGGATTGAAGTCCATTTCATCGCTGAGATATTCAATGAGAAGCAAGAATGGTACTCTTTCTGCTGAATTTAACACGCAGGCTTCATTAACACTCAACCTTAAGATTTTGTGATATTTTTTATTCTTGTTACTTGTTATAGGAAATAACTGCGGGATATCAATCTCTGCAGGAAGTATAGATTCATTAATGATGGATAATTCTGCACGTAATGCTGAAAGTCTCGCCTCCTTTGGCACCTGTGATAGACGAACAGAGATATTTTGCAAAGCAATTACAAACTCTGTTTCTTTTTTTGCATAATTGACTCTTACTACCTTCAATAACTGCTGGTAAGAGGGAACTCTATTCTGAGAATTCTGTGAATTGCTTCTAGTTGGTATGTCTCCAAAAGATAAACGGGCAAAATTCAAAGACGATGCTGAATCTGTCAACGAAATATACGGTCTAGACTCTACCTTTGAGAGGTCTGGCAAAGAGTGAGTATTCAAAATATATGGATCTTGAGTATTTAGCCCGTTTGTTAACCTGTGATTACTCTCTGTGGCGACGACATTAAGGCTCTTGAGACTTTTCTTTGACCTGATGACTGTGTTAATTTTAAGTCTTGATTCAACATCTTCGAGTTTGATATTATCTTTCACCACATTAACCGGTTCTATAACACGCTCTCTACCTATTTCCAACGAAGCCTTGTCATCGTCGTCCGTTGTATACGCTTCAGATTCATCGGACAGTAATGTCAAACTTCTTTTTGTTGGTATACGAGGAACAGAAGAAGATCGCTGATGGTATTCAGAATTAACAAGCCTTTTCCCTGAGATATCCTCATCATCTGAAGCAGTGGCTATTTCGGTAGATAAACGCAGGTTTTTCATAGTCAAATTTTTGGTTAATGCTTTTTGAAAGTTTGCCAATTTAAACACGAATGACTTCTCTTGTCTTCCCTGCGATTTGACCAATGATGATGCATAGAAGTTGAATTGAGGACTCGCAATGGCAGATCCAACTGTGGCACATAATACCAACGCAGGCATAAGATTTTCTCTAAACTCTGAGGTCTTGGATGACTTAATTTCAGCATTGAAAAGAACATTTTGTAATTTGTTTATGAATTTCCTGATGGTTTGGAATGAGTACGACTCGGGATCGTTTCTCAATTCAAAAATGGAAGCTTGCAAATACCAAAAGCAAATTAAACTGAAATGCGGATATTTTTCAGAGTATTCAAGTAAGAAATCTTCAAGTGCCATTGAATCAGTCTCAAATGATACCAATAACTGAACAAACTGAGGAATACAAAATTCAAGATCATCATAATTATAGGAGCGTAGTTTCTGAACTAATGAGTGATGAATTCCAATATTATCACTATGCTTTTTTAGACAATCTAAGCATTGAAAAACTGAGAAGTCCTTGGAATTCAAAACTGTTAGAATTGATGGTATATCTTGGGTGGACATAGCTTGCTTACTCCTCTGTAATGTTGAATGAAGTTACCAAATCAAACTATCTGAAAACTTTTTGTTGTTCTCAGGATTGATTCTACTGTCTGCAGGAGGTATTTTTGGAGTTGCCATAAAGATGTGCTCAAGCATAAAACAATATCACACTGAGGGAGTAGGTAGAGCGAAGGTGTCTGAGTATATCAGTTGTCAGCACGTTGTTATTGAACTTGCAGTTGGATCGATACAACTAAAGGAAAGTGCTTAATGCATTCCTCGTTCTAAAGATTAATATTCAAAGAGACCGTGCTCTGATAAACAGAATATTGCAAATCGTAACCATAGAAAGTTTCTGGTTAGACTTACAAATCGATTTTATTCGACAGCATTGAGTTAATTCTCTGAGTAACAAGTATTAAATTAAAATATATGGCATACTGGGCAAATATATAAACTAAATATCAAAAGTAAAATAAAAGAAAATAATGAAATAATCTATATCGAGATTGTATAAATGAAATAAAAATAAACAACTTTACTTACTGTCTGCAACACTTGAATGCTTCTTAAAAGCAGGAATGTGGAATTTATCATCAAATTCTTGACCTGGCAAGATGGGTGCAGTTTCTAAAACATTTTTCGTGAGAACATCTGCACTATCAGACAAATTGAAAGTTTTGTATATGATGTATACTAGATCCGCTATGCTCGTTTCAGCATCGCTAACCCTTCTAAATAACTTTGGATGAAATTCAACACCATCTTCAAGTCTCTTTTTAGTTCTTTCTCTTTGATCGTTTTCGACTTTAAATTTCTCCTCCGTTGCTAATGTGTGGTCTCTTTTTCCTAGAGCTTTGATTGTAGGACCCCATAATCGCTGGGATTCGTAATCAAACTGTTCTGAAATTGGTCTCACCTTTGGTCTTATGGTTACAGATTTGGCTGTATCAAATAAAATCTTCTTTTTACCAGTTTTAACGTCCTTTATGTACATCTCTTCGTTCCATTTACCACTGATGATGTACAATTCTTCTTGAGTCTTCGAATCCTTTATTTTACCTTCAATTGCATCGTAAGTTCCACTGATAAAACCTTTTGTCTTAAATTCAATATCAGCTTCCAAACCTGACAGAGCACATTTAATGTACATATGATCACCCAATTCCATTTTCATTTTTCCGAATAAAATTCCTCTACAATAAACATTTGGTTGGTTCATAATATACACTTCATCGTTATGATCTCCTAATGTAACATGTCCCCAACCTTCCATTATAGCTGCTGAAGAATTACCTAAAAACTTAGATTTGGGAATAACAACTCCATCAACTCGTATCTTCAGCTCAGGAACTAAGTAAAAATAAGAAGATTTCGGTGGATGATGTGAAGTTTGCTCAGAAATATAATAAGCAGTGTTGTTGTAAGGCAAATTATCCCAATAACAGGTGAAAATCTCTCCCAAAACAGGGTTTAGTGGCTTTTTTACTGCTTTTGGGGCTATATGCCAACTTGCCAAGTACCACTTCAAGATAAGGATAAACCTCTCCAACTCATCATCAGTTTTATTTGCTTCAAGCAAAATATCAGGAATTTGGAAGAAGTTTGTTATTCTTTCTAGCATTGACTTTTTCTCTAAAATGAAAGTTGGAAGAGTTATCTTTGAGAGATCCATTCCAGGTCTCAATTGGGCTATGATGCCCATGAGGATAGACTGGCCTTCATTATCGACCTCATCAATATCGTCCGTATTTTGTTGCGAATTTTGAACATTGCTCGAAGCTGTATCCAACTCACCTGTCCCAATGATCTTCAATTTGTCTAATCTAGAAGTCAATCCCATCTTTATTCGTTGTTGTTGTACCTAAGCAGAGCACTGTTTTGAAGGAAAAATTGCTTTTAGGGATTTCAAAAAATGTACTCCTCTCGATTACAGAGTGCGTGTGAATTATACGGTACGCTTTCCCCTTAAGAGCTAGAATTCGAATTCTATATCTAACAAATATTCAAAACTTGTTATAAACGTTTAGAGAAACACATAAGCGTAGTTCCCCGGTTTATATAAGTAAATATTTAAGGTCACAATTAGACTTCAGCCACCATTGTGACTAAAATCCGGGTAACATTCTCCCATAGAAAACATTGAAAATATGTGAACAAAGTTTGATTTGTTAGTTATAATCGAACTTTAAGAGAGTATGAGTTTAGCAAGCTATGGTGTAACTCCGCCAATCTCGATAGCAAACCCGACACCTAAGGAGAATGAATTGAACGATTCTTTGATCAAAGAGTTGAAACAAAGAGGCTCATTCGAGAGTGAGGCCGCCACCAGAAAGAGAGTAGAGGTTTTGACCTTGTTTCAAAAGCTAACCGAAGAATTCGTTTACAGAGTTTCGATTAAAAAGAATATGTCTGAAGGGATGGCCAGAGATGCAGGAGGTAAAATTTTCACCTTTGGTTCATATAGATTGGGGGTTTATGGTCCAGGGTCAGATATTGATACATTGGTAGTTGTACCAAAGCATGTATCAAGGAGTGATTTTTTTGAGATATTTACCGAATTATTGAAAGCAAGACCTGAGCTAGAAGAAATTGCTTCGGTCCCTGATTCGTTTGTTCCTATTATTAAATTAGAATTTGGTGGGATATCTATTGATCTAATTTTTGCTAGATTGGATATACCTAGAATTCCTAAGGATCTTTCATTGGACGATAAGAATTTATTGAAAAATATAGATGAGAAAGATCTCAGATCATTAAACGGTACCAGAGTAACTGATGAAATATTAACACTAGTCCCTAAGCCAACAGTATTCAAGCATGCGTTGAGATGTATTAAAATGTGGGCCCAACAGCGTGCAATCTATGCTAATGTATATGGCTTTCCTGGAGGAGTAGCGTGGGCGATGCTTGTCGCTCGTATATGTCAATTATACCCGAATGCTGTCAGTGCTGTAATTGTTGAAAAATTCTTTCATATTTATTCTCAATGGAGTTGGCCACAGCCAGTGTTATTAAAACAGATCGAAGATGGGCCATTACAAGTGAGAGTCTGGAATCCAAGATTGTATTCCCTTGACAGACTGCATCGAATGCCGGTTATTACACCTGCATATCCATCTATGTGTGCAACCCATAATATCACTGCATCCACTCAGAAGGTTATTTTAGCTGAATTCAAACGAGGTATAGAAGTAATGAATGGAATTGTGCTGGGTGAGAAGACTTGGTCAGATTTATTAGAGAGACATGACTTTTTCTATAAATATAAATTTTACTTGTGTGTTGTCGCTGGTACTGAATCTTCGAGTGAAGAGCACTTAAAATACAGCGGTATGGTAGAGAGTAAACTAAGGTTGTTGGTACAGAAACTAGAGGTCGTAGATGGTGTTGATTTGGCCCATCCATATATCAAAGCTTTCGACAATGTTTACTTTTGCCCCGATGAAAGTAAGGCTAAAGAAGTTTTAGATGCTTATGGAACGAGCGCTATAGACAAGATTGCAAAAGATATTCCAGTAGAAAAGGGTGAATTAGAAAAACCTCATGAAATCCGCTTAACAAAATTGTACATTGGTCTTAAATTGGATTTGCTGAAGAGTGGGGAGCGGAAATTAGATATTCAATTTCCCTGTTCTGAGTTCTTTAATATTTGTAAGGGGTGGCAAGATTTCGATGCCAAAATTCATAGTATCCAAATCAAGAATGTCAAGCTTTATGATTTGCCAGATGATGTGTATTTAGAAGGAGAAAAGAGGCCCACAAAAGCACCAAAAAGAAAGAGATCGGAATCGAAGACCGAAAATAAGAAGAGGCCAAAAAGTGTAGGTGCAATACCTACTGCTGTTAGTAGCTGAGCTACCCTGTTTATAGAAATCTGAAATATAACGAATTGGGAATGCATTTTTATTACTATTTATTACTATGAAGGAATTGTTGTTTTAAAATGTCTATGACGAAAAGTAACTTAATATAGTTTTGGATTGGGTGCTAGTATCTACTTCTTCGGTTACCTCTTCATTCAAATTAGTATCACGTTTACCAGTATTTAAATCAATATCTTTTAATTTGATATAAAATTTCCAGTTTCTTGTAATTAACTTATGACCAACATAAAATATAATGACAAATATTACACCCAAGTAATTTTGAAAGAAGTTTGTAGCATTTGCTTTTCCGTTGCTACCAGGAGGGAATAATGAATAAATGAATACTAAAACAAGTACCACAACTAAAAATAACATTGAATAAATTGAAGCATATACTCCTCCGATTGATGTGAAGACCAATTCATCAGTTGATCTACCTTGAGCTTTAAGTGCCATTCTGAATCTTACATGACATAAGGAAATATTAAACCACAGGAAAATAGTTGCTAAACCACAAACACTTAATAACCAACCAAATACTAACCCTTGATCTTCATAAGCTGAAAGGAAACATAATAATCCAAATACAGCTGAAATAGCTAAACCACCTAATGGTCTACCTTTTCTGTCAACATATCCTACCCATTTTGGTGCTAAACCTTGAGCACCTAATGATTGAATGGTACGAGAACAACCATAAACGGCGGCATTACCAACTGAAAGAATGGAAATCAAAATGGCAGCATTGAAGATAGAAGGTAAGATTTTAATTCCACCTTTTTTAATAGCAATAACGAATGGAGATGTGGATGAATCACTTGAAGCACCTAATAAATCAGGAGAATCATAAGGAACTAATAAACCAATAACCATAAGGGATAAAAAGTAGAACAAAAATAATCTCCAAAATACTTGTCTGACAGCTTTTGGTAATTCTTTGGCAGGGTTTTTAACTTCAGCACTAGCTAAACCAACCATTTCAGAACCAGCTAAAGAATAAGATGCAGTAATGAATACGGTTGCAACACCTTCAAATCCATTTGCAAATGCTCCAGGGCTTTTAAAGTATCTATTACCAATGAAATCATGAGTTGGACCACCACCACAGATTAAAACAATACCTAAGATTATAAATCCTACTATAGCAATAATTTTTATAATAGTTAATACAAATTCTGTTTCTCCATAACCCTTTACACCAAAAATATTAATGGCTAGAAGACCAACGTAGAATATTCCAACCCATGCAACGGGATTTATCGTACTATCCCAATATTTTATACACATAGCAGCTGCCACTAATTCTAAGGGGAATACCACTAACCACATCATGGCATAATTCCAACCAACTGCAAACCCCCAAGATCTACACACAAATCTTGTAGCATAAGTTGAAAATGCACCATTAACAGGGTAAGCAACACATAATTCTCCTAAGGCATGAATAACGCAAAATACCATAGTACCAACCAAACCCCATGCTATTAATAAAGAAGCTGGACCTCCAGTTCTTAATGCAGTTCCTGAACCAATGAATAAACCAGTACCTATACTACCACCTATAGCGATCATTTGTATATGTTTACCTTTAAGTTCTCTATGTAAATCACCTTTAGAAGTTTCGGCATTTGCCATTTCTAGGTCAGTTCTATCTTCTAAATTTTCAACTTGATTCAGTTCGGCTGGTTTGAAAGAGTCTTTGAAATTTTTCCATTTTGATTGTTTAATGCTTGCATCTGATGATGAGTATGCTGAAGAATTGTCTTCACTAGCAGTTGTCTTTTCCAGTATATTCTTTACCAAAGACATTCTGATGGTATCTGACTAGTATGATAGAAGAAAGATAAAACAAAATACAATCTAAATTATTTCAATCCTATTTTATTATAACCCTATAAGGATCAAGCAAATTTTTCATCATTGTAACGTATGACTCTAAGATTGACAAGAACTTTCCCCATATGAAAGTTTAAGTTACCTTTTTTTATGAATTTTAGCTTTTTCGCAATGAGAAATGAACGGCAAAAGCATTATTTTATAAGGCGTTTTGCGCTTTAACGACAGATTCAAAATTCTGATCCAATAGTTGGTTATAGGATTGGAATGTTGTTCTTGGATATGGAGAAAAGGAACATCACTTATGCTCTGAGATGTTTATTGGTCCAGATTTGTTGTTCCTTACATAAAAAAAATGTGTGAGATGTTCTTCTAATTAATGTACTCGCTAATGGTAACCAAATTTGTAGAGCCTTACAAAAATTAATCGAGGAGAAAAAAAAAAATTAACACAGACTTGCTTCGTTATTTTCAAAAGCAGAGTTGAACAGAGATGAATCAATGAAGTAACTTTGGGCTTAGAGATAAGGTTCTTGATATTGGTGCATAATCTCTTAGAACAATATACGAAGCTGTCAAGTATAAAAGTCAAAATGGGTATGGACCCCTTTGCGGCTTCAAATTATATCAATTTTGAAGCAGTTATGAATTTTATAATTTATATTCATCACTTGGCCAATTAAAATTGAGCGCGTACGCTTAGCAGCGCTTATGGACGGACAAAAATATAAATTGAGCCTCACTGAGTAATTTGAGCTAAACCCATAAAGGTTGCAAAACGTGAAATATCTATTTGAGTTAAGAAGTTGACGAATGGTATAATCGTTATTATTTGGATTAAATGACCTTCTACACCGTTTGAATGACGAAACAGTTTTATTGTAAGTGTTAATTTTATCAAATTTTTAACTAAATTTAGCAAATTTGGTTAACCAATTAAAAAAATATCCCACTTGATCATTTAATTCAACTACAATAGATCATCGGATTAGATATCTCAGTTCCTGTAATCTAAATTAGCCTAATCTAAGAACCACTATTAGTGGTAATGTCTATTCCGTGATATGTAACCGGAAGAATCTTGCTTCTCTAGACAAAGCCGTGGAGAAGGCTATGGAAACAGTTAAAAAGAAATACCACAGAAAATAATTATCACAATATTAAAATTATTTTTCTTTTCACATCGATATCTATATATTATAAGGGATTAATATCTTATCATTAACAATATAACTTTAATTTAATAATTGCATTTTGGTCCGACGGACAACATTTGGCCTTGTTCCATATATATATTTTACCCCAAAAAGCTTCGATGATGAACGAATAGAAACAAAAGCCGCACTTGTCCGACACGTGACCACAAAATGTCACTTTTTTTCCCTCTTTCCTCACACACTTTGTGATTAGTAAAAGAGAATTTAAAATGAACCAAAATTTCTCATGAAATTGGTTTTCATTAATAAGTATTAGCTAACGAATCAATCTAATTAAGTGTGGTGATATTATGGCATACGAAAACTTCAACACGCAGCAAGTGAACCAGACCCCATGGGCTGAGAACATGGCCAATGTTTATGATGATTTATGTCCCTTAGAGTTAAACCATGAAAATGTATCTTTATTTAATAATGTCCACAATACCAACAATGGTCAATATGAACCAACTCAACCTCAAGCTTCATATTCTAATTTCAAAGGTGAAGAACAATCTCAATATACCATCTCACCAGATTCAAACAATTTAAGATATGATAGTGATCTGTTAAACCATAATAGTGTGTTTGATAATCATGCTCTTCATGGGGTTAATATTAGTGATGAATCTTCTCCTATTGGAAAGAATCAAATCCCATCACCTGAAACTGCTTCAAGTTCAGGTGGATTAGATAACTTAGGATCTAAGAAACAAAAATCAAAACGTCAATTATTAGATGAACAAGATGCTATGTTAATCGCTAGAGATGATTCTGAGTTGACGGAAGATGAATTACAATTAAAGAGAAAAGCTCAAAATAGAGCTGCTCAAAGAGCTTTTAGAGAACGTAAAGAAACCAAATTAAAGGAATTAGAAGCTAAATTATTACAAAGTGAAGAAGAAAGACAACAGTTGATGGAACAATTAGATCTTATCAGAAAACAAAATATATCAATTCAAACTGAAAATCAAGTTTTAAGAGCTAAACCTCAAACAAATGATTTTAATATAAGAGATATTGGTGGTGCTAGTGAAGATAAATTCACATTTCCTCAAACTCAATCTGATTTTATTGATGCTTTAGTTGGTGGAGAAGGTCATGAAGTTAATCAAAGTACTATTAATAAAGTTTATGAAAATTCAGGTCAAAAGATTTTAGCTATTGGTGCTGTGTGGGATTATTTACAAATCAAAGCTGAAGAATATGATATTGATCTTCATAATCTTGATGTTAATCTTATCATGAGTAAATTAAGAGGCCATGAAAAATGTCATGGTTTTGGCCCGGCATATCCATTAGAATTAGTACAAAAGGTATTTGCTGAAACCGTTGGCCTTTAAACTTGCTGATTCCTCCATCATTCCCCCCTTTTCTTCTTATTCCTTTGTATTTTTAGACATTTTTCTCTCTATGTTTTAAGCTAACTACAGCTTTTTGGTTCTATTCATTCACTCCTTCACTTTATGCTTTTCAATTTTAAATTTTCACTTTTAACATTATCATTGATATTGTTTGTTGATATCTTATTTTTCAAATTCTTTTTATTTATCATGGGTTTTATTAATATTTTATTTTTATCTTTTTATATCACTAGTACTTATTACTATTATTGATTCTAATATAGTTTCTTTTAGTTAGTTTGACGAATACATTCAAATCTAAAAATCGAATAAATATGGTATGTCATAAATTTTCTGCGATTTGACATGACATAAAAAAATGACACCAAATTTTGAGGTTTGATCAAGAATCTTCTAGAAATCATTCCCACAAAATTTTTCTCGTTCGCCAATTATACTATTTAAGATTTTCACATCCATCCAGTTTGATTCTATATTGATAATCACTAGTAATTAGAAGATAAGAAACTACTAATATGTCAACCGCAGACGAATATAAGGCTCAAGGTAATAAACACTTTGCAGCTAAGGAATTTGATCAAGCAATTGAATTTTTCACTAAAGCAATCGAAGCTTCAGAAACCCCAAATCATGTATTATATTCAAACCGTTCTGGTTCTTACCTTTCTTTAAAGAACTTTAAGAATGCATTGGAAGATGCGGAAGAATGTGTCAAGATTAACGGTACTTGGGCTAAAGGTTACAATCGTGTGGCTGCTGCTCATTTCGGGTTAGGTAACTTTGATGATGCTAAACAGAGTTATACTAAGGCTCTTGAATTAGATCCAACCAATGCTATGGCTAAGGAAGGGTTAAAGAGTGTTGAAAATGCTGTTGCCAGTAGAAATGCTAAACCAGATTTAGGTTTAGGTGGTATGTTTTCTGATCCAAATCTTATCACCAATTTAAGAAATAATCCAAAAACAGCTGAATATATGAATGATCCAGCTTTAGTTCAAAAACTTCTTAATTTCCAATCTAATCCACAAGCTACTAATCCAACTGAATTATTGGGTGATCCAAGATTAATGCAAATCATGGCTGTAATGATGGGTCTTGATTTAAATATGCCTGATCCAGAAGCTTCAGTTCCAACTCCAAGTTCATCTTCTCAACCAGAGGAAGTTAAAGCAGAAGAGCCAAAAGCTGCTCCAAAAGTCGAAGAACCAGTAAAGAAAGAAGAACCAATTGTCTCTGAAGCTAAGGATGTTGAAATGGAAGAACCAGAAGAAGAACAACCAGAATCTGATCACAAGGCTGAAGCTGATGCAGCTAAAGCTCAAGGTAACACTTTATATAAACAAAGAAAATTCGATGAAGCCATTGAATATTATGAAAAAGCATGGAATTTACATAAAGATATAACTTATTTAAATAATCGTGCTGCTGCCGAATATGAAAAAGGAGATTTTGATGCCGCTATTAAATCATGTGAACAGGCTATCGATCAAGCCAGAGATTTAAGAGCTGATTATAAAATCGTTGCTAAATCCTTTGCCAGATTAGGTAATACTTACTTAAAGAAAGATGATTTACATAATGCCGTTAAATATTTCGATAAATCATTAACTGAACATAGAAATGCTGATATCTTAAATAAATTAAGATCTACTCAAAGAGAAATCAAAATAAGAGAAGCCAATGCATACATTGATCCTGAAAAAGCCGAAGAAGCTAGACTTCAAGGTAAGGAATACTTCTCTAAGGGTGATTGGCCAAATGCTGTTAAAGCTTATACTGAAATGGTTAAGAGAGATCCAGAAGATGCTAGAGGTTACTCCAATAGAGCTGCTGCTTTAGCTAAATTATTATCATTCCCAGATGCTGTTGAAGATTGTAATAAAGCCATTGAAAAAGATCCAACTTTTATAAGAGCTTATATCAGAAAAGCTAATGCTCAATTAGCCATGAAAGAATATACCCATGTTATGGAAACGTTAACTGAAGCTAGAGAAAAGGATTTAGCATTAGGTGAAGGTAAGAATGTCAACGAAATTGATCAATTATATAATAAGGCTGCTTCTCAACGTTTCCAAGCCATTGAAGGTGAAACTCCAGAACAAACTATGGATAGAGTCTCCAGAGATCCAGAAATTGTCGCTATCTTGCAAGATCCAGTTATGCAAGGTATATTAGGTCAAGCCAGAGAAAACCCTGCTGCCTTACAAGATCATATGAGAAACCCAGAGGTTTCCAAAAAGATTAATATGTTAATTGCTGCTGGTGTTATTCGTACAAGATAGGTTGTTTTGGGATAACAGTATATAGTTTATTTTATTATAACAGAATATAAACTTTTTAAATATATATAGGAATATCAAATCCCTGAATTATTATCAAAGAAAAAATTTGGTAAACTATTCATTTGAGAAAAGAATATTGTAGACAAATTGTCATCATTCAAATAGTCCATTAAAGCGTCACTATTACCTGGAGTAATTACCGAACCTCCTCCATTATTATATGGTTGTGCTTGTTGATTTGGTCGATTAAGTCCATCAATGACAGTCGAATTCATTGACATTGAAGGTTTGTATGGAATATGTGTGGATTGTGCAACAGTTACTGGAGGACTTTGATTGACTGGGATATCACTAGGATGAAGAATATTTGATAATGCCGGATTGTAACTTGGAGAAAGTGCGTATGGACTATTACGGAAAGATGTTGAATTTTGACGTTGTCCCGAGTAGGAATCACTACTGGTCATACTGCTACTAGTAGATGGAACATTTGGATTACTTGAGAACGGAGATGCTCCGAATATAAAGGCCAATTTTGATGCAAATTGCAACTTATCTTGGAATATTTCAGGATAATTCTTCTTAACACTTTCTAAATGATTTTTTAACTTTTGATCACTATTAGCCAAAGATATATTAGTTTTTGATTCATAAAATTTAAGGACAATTCTTAACATTAATTTCACAATTAAGCCTACCAACACCTCTTTACTCAGATAGACATTTAAATTCGAGTTATCTTCTTCAAATATAGAATTTGGTTTACCATCACCGAAGAAGTTAATTGAACAGTCAATTAATAATTTCAAGTCACCGTTAGTTTCCACAATATTAGGATGATTTAAAATAGCGGCTGACAAAGTCAAAAATGCTGCAACTGGAAAAAATAAGAACCAATTATAATATGATACACTAGTATGCTTCTTATCTATTTGACGAATCAAAATCAAAATGGTTCTAGCCGAATCTAACGAAAGGTTTCTAAATTTGTTAGCCTGAGCATCATTCAGACACGCAGGGAGCATTGATGGAACTCTATTCATGATCATCAAATGTAAGAAGTATGTCAATTGAAGTCCAAGGATACTTTCACGTTCTGTTCTTGAAATGTTCTCTGAAGTCAAATTAAACTTAGGGTCGTTATAAAATCTTGGTTTCGCATGATCAGATACATGATCCGATATTTGGAGCATATCTTGATTTAATGAGTCCAATGTTTTGTATAATTCACCTGAATTTTCAGTTCTTGCATTGGCCACGAATAATTTATTATATGATTTGACTTTGACTTTGGTAATCATCAATAAATAAAAATAAAAGAAAGCTGGATGTGTTTCTGTCCTCATTAATCTCAAATATTGAGGCAATGTAGGAAGATTTGCATTAAGCTCGGGGAAATCTACTATACCGCCCGTGTTTTTGCATTTATCGTAACTTAAGGTCCAGAATTTTTCCAAATCTTCATCTGAATTTGTGGTTACATCAGCATCGTTGATCATAGGAGGTTTTCCACTTCGGAAGCAAATCTCCATGTCAAAATAATGACAATATAACCATACGACTCTCCTTCTTTCTTGTTCTTCTATAGGTAAGCCATCATAAGTCTCAGACCTATGCAAACCAAGCTCTTGAGCAAATCTAATTGCCACAGATGTTAAAATATAGTTAACATGACTAGTAAGCCAGTTACTTTCAATGTATGTCACCAATAATAATATCCCTTGCACAGTTTCGAGACCTTCACTAATCACCGAGATTCGATGGTAATAGAATATAGCATTATCTAGCAAGCCAACCAGCATAGCAGATACCTGATTTCTAGTTAAAGAGTTTATGGTAGATGGGGGTAGTACGAGAATTAACAGGAGTGGAAACTTCCGAAACCGAATCCTCATCTATTTTTGCTGTGATACACAGCAATACTCCAAGTGACATGATCAAATATTCAGATAATTTAAACTTTCTTCTTTTTGTTACATTTGGTTGATTGAAATTATCATAATAAACTGTAAGAAGATCCCTGAGATAGTCCTCTTTACAAAGAGAGTTAACCATGGTAAGATCTTTATAGTAAGTATCAAGTAAATCAAATACTAGTGCTCTATTATCAGGTAAAGGTCTTTCCAACAATTTCCTACGACCTTTTGCGTCAATAATAGGTGGATCAATCCATTTCAAAGTGAACGACTTCAATTTTGAATAAAATACCAGCGGTAAATTGGTGATTGGAGTAATGACATCTGCTGCTTCTGGACCTAAATGACCCTCAATCCACTCCAAAGATTTCTGAGAGAAAATACACATGATTGAATGAGTTCCAAAATATTGTTCAATTTTTAAAGTTTGTAAAATGCCTTTATTTGGTTTTCTCGGATCGTTCGCATGAAGTTGTTCTTCTTTCTTTGATGATTCGTTATTGTCCAGACCTTCAGTGGATGATTCATCCGAATTACTATCTGAAGCCGTTAAATCATCATCTTCATCATCATCTTCGTTATCGTCTTCATTATCATTATCATTATCATCTTCGTCATCGTCACCATCACCTTCTCGAATTTTATAGAAGGTATCAGCATCTGTCTCTGAATCAAGAGAAGCAGTTACATATGCACTTGAAGACTTCTTTCTATTTATAGTCTTTGCATTCTGGGAGTTTGATATCTTGAAATGACGCATTGATTTAGATTGAGGTGGAGAAAATTGATCTAATTTATCAGTCAACTTCAATATAACATTTTCCAAACTTGATAATCTAGTATCTAGAATCTCTATAGTCTTACGGTTTGATACTCTCTTAGGGATTTTCTTTACCTTTTCCACAGGTTGCTTCGGTGGCGCTTTGATCTTCTTCTTTACTGGTCTTTCCTTATATACACAGTTTGCTTCATTAGATGATTGTGTACAATTTCCACAGGGGTAACTACCGTCACATCTTATCTTCTTACGACGACAAGTATCACAAGCCACCCTAATACGTTTCTTAGGATTGTTCTTATCGTTTTCCATCCTACCTCCATCCTGAGAATTAGTGGGCAGAGGTATACTTTTGAAAGTAGTTGAATTATCCATATTTGTGCCTGTTACCCCTAGATTTGCAGGGAGGCCATCACGAACTGTCATTATGTAGAATGTAAGTTATCAAGCAATCAAGGCAATTTATGATGGTATGAACTGTTTAAACAAACAATAGGTCGGATATTTAGGGATTGTTAATTAAAATTTTGAAATTAGGGTATCATAAATTTGTGTCGCACAAACCTCAAAAATGAGGCTAAAAATATTGTCGTATAAAATTATCATGATCTATTTCAGGTTTAGTTTTAGTTTAGAGGTTAAATTCATTTCATTTCATATTTAGATTAGTTTAAATTTCATAAAAACCACACGTTAACACTATATACATATAATCAAACTAGTTAATGAAATAGTCAAAGTCATTTTCTTCATTGGTTACAAAACTATTGGACTCTAAATTACCTTCATAGAAGAAATTTGGGAGGTTGAAGGCTTGAGAATTGAGGATTGAACCAAATGTCTCTTCAGTAAGTTCATCAAAATTGAAAGAAGCTATAGAGGAATCAGTTCCACTTATACCCACACTTTGTGCTTGTTCTTGTTCTTTTTCTTGTTCTTGTGATTGTGGTTGAGGTTGAGGTTGTGGCTCGGTTTCTCCATCTCCATCTCCCTTCATTTGTACATCAAGATTCAAAAGATTCTTACGGAGACTGTTTGATGAAGTAGGAGTATCAATAGAATCTGAAACTGTTGTTGAAGCTCCATGACCACTGGAACGTTCACTTCCTAGTATATTATTACTTCTGTAACTAGAAAAGAATGCAGGATCAAATGATAAGTTTAATGATGGAAAGTTACCATCAAATCTCTTAAATAATTCAGGATGCATATTCCCACAAGCATCTAAATGTTCCTTTAATCCTTCAACTTCTGCATAATAATCATGATCAGATTCCTTAATCATCAAGTTTACCACTATTTTCAAAAACAATCTTGTCATTAAATCCATCATGACGTTCTTACCATCGTATAATCTGGCCTCATCCCAACTCTCTACAGTTGCATTCCTACTATCCTTATGAGCAAAGAAATACATTGATGATTTAATTAACAATGTACAATCCATATGAGTACTTCTCTCTTTAGGAAATCCAATAACATGGCCAATTAAACTACTGAAAGCCATAAATGGATAAAACTTAACGAATGTTGCCATACTACCAGTAAGCATGGATTTATCAAAATCATTCACAAGATGTAACATTGTTCTTGCACTTTCCAAGGATAAATTACCGAATTTAATACTTCTTTGAGTAGCGACGAAATTTGGTTGCATAAATGGCACTCTATTAATTGTTAACAAATGACAAAAGAATGATAATTGTAACAATAAGTTATAGTAAGCATATGTGGATTCTTTTCCTTTGAATAATTTTCTGACCCCTTCAGATCTTGAATTGGATTTCTTAAAATAATACAAGGTAGGTCTCACATCCGGTTCCATTAATTTCGCCATTTTAAACATACTATCATTAGAACTTTGTAAAGCATCTAATAATTGATCTTGTGTCATAAAGTCTACTCTAGGACCATATAACTTACCATAACTTTTACTCTTGATACGACTAAGCATAAGGGAATAGTAAGCAAAATAATACTGATGACCATAGAATTCACAATTTCCAATTAAAGTAGTTGAATTTTTTAAATAAGAGTTAGTTTGAAATGGATCCATAGGAACAGAATAAAAGTAATCATCATATTCACTTAACGCATTAGCATCATTTTGATTAATGATCTCAGACTTACCACTCTTATAACACATTTCTTTATCCATATATTCACAGAACCACCATAATCTTCTCTTCATTTCACTAACGGATTCATTACTGTCATATTTGTATAAATCAATTCTATGAATCCCCACATCACGAGCAATTCTAATCAATGACGAAGCTAACATGTAATTAATATGAACATCCGTGATATATGAAGCTTCGATGAATAACATCAATAAACCGATACCTTGCACAGATTTAATACCTTCAGTAAGAACACTAACCTTTTCATAACAATGAATAGAATACTTAAAGAATTTATGTTTCAAGACATTTAATTCATGAACTGATTTCTGACTTAATACTGGGAATTTCTCTGATGAAACTTTATCAGAAACATTCATCAAACATAAACATAAAGATACATTCATGATTAAGAAATCACTTAATGATAACCCATTGATAACATCAAAGTCTCCTTGTGAAATAGCATAATGATATACTTGAAACAATTCTCTTATGGAATTCAAATTGCATAAAAACGGAGCGATATGAACACTATCGTAATAACATTCCAAAAGCTCAAACGTTAAGTTTTTATCATCTCTTGAAAAATATAAATTATTAGTATAAATTTTATCAGTTTCTGGTGAATTCCATATTTTCAATGTTGCATCAACAGTATTATTAAGTGCGATGGGTAAATTCTTGATAGGTACAAGTAATTCTTCATTACCATCATCTGAAATTTTGGTTCTTAACCATCTAATTGATTTAGCTGATAAGACATGAAATACTGAATGAGATCCTACCCATTGTAAGATTCGTTGACGGGGATTAATATTTAAAACACAGTGTTGATGGACACGTTCTGATTTCATCATTTCTCCAAGTTTATTAGCATTTGTCACCGATTTCTCATTTAAAACAACTTGGTTTGGCATTTGATCATCACTCAGATCACTATCACTACTAGGTAAAGATGCGAGAGATAAGGTTTCCTCCTCATCACCTTTCTTATCGAGACTCATTAAATCTTTGGAAAGCGGACCTGAACCAGTATCCAACTTAGTAACCAATCTTGTTAATAATGTTTCCAAAGCAGATAATCGATTATTCAAACCTTGTAATGAATTTGGATTATATTTCTTCATCGAAGGTGGAGCAGTATGTTGCTTGGTAACTCTCTTTTTCCTAGCCTTGGGCACATAAGTATAGATACAGTCTCTTTTATAATATATACAGCTTGCACAAGGACTATCACCATTACATTTCGTCTTTCTCTTACGGCAATAATCACAAGCTGTCTTGGTTCTTAAACGTTTTCTCTCCTCATCCTCTGCATCAGGAGAAAGCTCTTGATCATGACCATGGTCCACATCTGCAAGGTCCTTTTCCTGAAAAGGTGGCGAACTGTCAGAAGCAGAGGAACTAGTAGCTGAGTATAGGGTATTTGACATCTGCGTAGTTACTTTCTAATATAACACAAATTGTGTATCCAAAGGTGAATGATTAAACATTTCTATATTGCCTCCCCCCCTCCCATTCTATATATTTTGCCATAACTTTACAATATGCAGAACGGATGGCGGAGAGTTTGACAATTTAAATTTAAAATTTCCGCAGATAAGTGAATCACATGACCGGAAGATAACGTGATCGATCACGTGTACAAAATCAGCTGATTCAAAAACATTTTTTTTCCGTTACACTCAAATTTTCCAACGATTAAATATCTATCTGTGATTAGGAAACCTTATCCATTTAAGATTTATCATTTGATTCAAGCATAGTGACGAACATGGTTGTTGCAAAGAAAGGTTCTCCTATCTTTCAAAGCAAAGAAGATGCCAACTTCAGAGAGGCTTTGAAGTTGTATGATTCAAAGCAGTACAAAAAGGCATTGAAATTGGTTGATGCCAACTTAAAGAAGAATTCGAATCATGCCGAATCATTAGCATTGAAAGGTTGTTGCAATCATTTTGTAGGAAATAAGCTGGAAGCTGAACCTTATATTTTAAAAGCCATTCAAAAGAGTCCAGAAAATTACCTTGTTGATCATTTAGCTGGTATTTATTATAGAACGGTTGAAAATTATGAAGAAGCTGCCAAATGGTTAAAGGCTGCTAATGATAACGGATCTCCAAATAAACCAATTTTAAGAGATTTATCATTCATGCAAACTCAAATCAGAGATTATAAAAATTTAAAGGATTCAAGACAACAATACTTAGAGAACCAACCAGGTTACAGAGCTAACTGGACTGCAGTTGCAGTTGCTCATCATCTTAACAAAGAATATTCCAACGCTGTCTCAACCTTAACCAAAATTGAAGGAATTATCAGGGAACATTTAACTGAAGCTGATAGATACGAACAAAGTGAATGTGCTTTATATAAGAATTCAATCATAGCCGAATCAGGAGATCCAGCTAAAGCTCTTCAAACTTTGGAAGATGATAAAGACGAAATTAGAGATGGGTTATCATACTTAGAATATAAGGCCAAGTATTTATTAATGTTAAATGGATACGAAGAAGCATCAGTTGAATATCGTAAATTATTACAAAGAAATTCAGATAATGCTGGTTACTATCATCTTTTAGAACTTTCATTAGGTTCAATTTCCAAACCATTGGAAACTAGAATCAAGTTATATGAAAAATTAAGCAAATTCTATCCAAAGTCTGATCCTCCAAAATTCTTACCATTAACATTCATTCCAGCATCAAATAAAGCATTTGAAACTAAGGCAAGAGAATACATTCTTCCTCAATTACAAAGAGGTGTTCCAGCTACATTTGTTAATGTCAAACCATTGTACAAAAACCATCAAAAATTAAAAGTCATTGAAAAGATCGTAACTGAATTCTTTGAAAATGAAGTTGGTAAAATTGCTAATCCAACTGTTCATGTTTGGACCTTATATTTCTTAGCTCAACATTATTTATACCTTAATGATCTAGAAAAAGCTTCTAAATTCATCGACGATGCTTTGACTCATTCACCAACTTTAGTTGAACTTTATATTCTTAAGGCTAAGGTTTTAAAGCATCAAAAAGAATATGTTGCTGCAAGTGATATCATGAATGAAGGTCGTGAATTAGATTTACAAGATCGTTTCATCAACACTAAAGCTACCAAATATTATTTCAGAGCTAATAGAGTTGATGAAGCTATTAACACCATCTCATTGTTCACCAAAGTTGAAGATGGTAATGTCAATGGGTGCAAGGACTTACATTTAATGCAAGCTAATTGGGTCTTAATTGAAAGTGCTGAAGCTTATTCAAGATTGTATCATGAATATCAAGTTAAATTGGAAGAATTAAAGAATTCTGAAGATGAAAATGAAGAATTAGAAAAAGATGTTGTTGAAAACATTGAAATTTACAGAGGTTTAGCTTTGAAGAGATTTAACGCTATTATTAAGATTTTTAAACTTTATTATAACGATCAATATGATTTCCATTCTTATTGTATGAGAAGAGGTACTCCAAGAGATTATATTGATACTTTGAAATGGGAAGATAAAATTCACTCTACCCCTATGTATACTAGAGTTTTGAAAGGACTATCCAGCATTTACTTTGAACTTTATGATGAACAAATTAAGAAAAAAGAGGATGATTTAGAAGACAATATTAAGATCAAAAAAGCTAATAAGAAACAAAAGAAAGTTAAAGCACAAGCAAATAAGAAGAAATCAGAATTAATTGCTAAAGTTGAAAGTGAAAAAGACGATGCTGATCCATTAGGTAATAAATTGTTAACCGATTTAGCTGAATCAGACATTATCGAAGATTTATACTTACTCTTCAAGCCATTAATCGAAGAAGGTAAAGATTTAAGATTAACTTGGGAAGTGTTATATAAGATTTATTTAATCCAAGGCAAATATGTATTAGCTTTACAAGCTATTAAAAGTTTGAATAAGATCTTGACTGCCGCTGATGATTTTAAATTTAAAGCTGTTGGTGCCAAAGTAGTTGAATTATCAGAAACCTTATCCAAAGATCCTAAAGTGAATGCAGCAATTGCTAAAGTTGTTGAAAAGAGTTTAGTATCAACTTTCCCTCAGTTTGGAGAATTATCTAAGGAAGCATTCTTAGAAATTTACAGTAAATAGAATTTTTATAAATTTTTATAGATTTTGCATATATGTTTATAATTTAATCGCTAATTTATGTATTTATCCATGATTCTACTTGACTTCTAGCAACAGTTCCGGCTAGGTTTAAAGTTTGAGTACCCATTGGGAAATAACTGACTGTATACCATATGGCACTTAACAATTGAATAGCAGCAAATATTATTGATAACAATGTACTCTTTAATCTCAAACTACTAATAAGCGTCAAAATAATACTAGTGACAAAAGTAATGGTAAATATTAACCGGGTTGACAGGAATAAATGTTCCATATAAGCTTTAAAACCTTGTAATACTCCAAAACTAACCAAAAAGAAAATGGATCCCAATGACCATAGTATAGCAAACTTTCTTGGTTTAAGACTAAGTACTGGGAATAAGAATATACAAATCAAGTAGCAACTAACAGATCCAGCAAATGTCAATCCAAATATCAACATTCTGTCCCAACGAGATAATTCAAAATAACCAGGATCAGTAGTCACATAGTTGGCATCATCTTCAAGATAAATAGGATTTTCTCTGAATGGATTCAATTTCTTCAATCTTGCGGAGAAGGAATTCTGATTTTCATTAGGTTGGGTTACAGGAGGTGGTAAACTAGTAACACCTTCATTTTGGTTCAAAGGAGAGTAATTCTCTTGATTACTTCTGAATGCTTTGAAGAAACTCATTATCAAATCCAATTGACCAAGTAATTATTGTTATGAAATTGACAATTAGGTTAAGAAATGACAGAATTTGAATCACTTTTTTTGACCTCCTACTTATTTTTTTTTGGCTCGTTTGCCTCAAAACCAAAGCCTTCAAATCAAATTTACAACACACACTGTGATATATTATACAAATAGCCAGTGAAGAATCAGATCAACAAGATGTCAACCACCACAGTAGCCAACATAGATAGTGAAAAGCAGTTTGCCGAAACATACGTAAAGTTAATTGCTTTATCGAATGATGCTGCTCCAAGTCAATTTAATTCCACGTCAGACTACCACAAGTTGGAATCGTTAGGGCCAAGTTTACCCAAATTTAAATTCTCTTTACCTAAGTCAGAATCAAAGAATAAAGGATTAAAAGTAAATTTGAAGTTCAAATCAATCAAGCCACCATATAAATTCACTGCTGAATTAAACAATGTTCATATTTCCACCACCATTCTTAAAGTCAAATCTGATTTAATAGACTCGTTGCCTTTATTGAAGGATGGAAACATAACACCAGTTAATCTTAAAGTGTTACATAAATCCAAGGTAGTGCAAGATGGTTCTGAATTGTCATCTATCTACAACCAAGAATCAGAAATCACTTTCAGTTGTTTGGTTTCGGCTCCTACAGTGACCGCAACAACTCCAGCAGCTACAACTGAGGAAGTGGCAGATATAGAAATGACAAATGCTGAAACTGAAACCTCAACTAAATCATTACAAGTTTCTGATTCCACTTGGAACAAAATATATGAGTTATTGGTTCAAGATGTAGGACAGGCAAATGCTCATATAGTTCAAACAAAATTTAAAGAAAGTTTACAGTAAATAAATAGAACAACTTTATTTACAATAGTTATATATATATATATTAATTAATAAATAGATATGTCATTATGTCATTATGTAAAGGTTGTATGAATCAGTGATATCCTATGTCTTGTTACTTAGAAGCATACTTTTTGATTAATAAATCTTTCAAAGTATGACCTTCAGGTCTATTCATTCTTCTTTCATGCACATAAAAAGCACCTAACCCTATAGCTATACCAAACAATGGATCAACCGTTCGAGATATTAAGTAACGATATTGCATGTTTGTTATTACTCTGATATTCTATATCAATATCAGTTAATTACCAGTTAGATATTCTCAAATAAATGTCTGATAATATTTACGGTACCAAATCCGGGTAAATGGGGCGGCGGTTCTACCAGAAGGTTCAAAAAATTTTTCGCTAACAATTATTAGAAGATATGGGGACACGTTTGAAATCATATCAAATAAACTTAGGTTTAACTACAGAATAGAACATTTCAAATGGCTGCTGTATTTCCAAGAACTTGCTACAAATGTGGTGAAGTTGGTCACTTAGCTGATGACTGTACTCAAGAAGAAAGATTATGTTACAACTGTCGTAAAGCAGGTCATGAATCAAGTGATTGTCCAGAACCAAAACAAGCTACTGGTAAACAATGTTATTCATGTGGTGACGTAGGTCATGTTCAATCTGATTGTCCTACTCAATCTCAAGGTTCAAAATGTTACAACTGTGGACAATTTGGCCATATCTCCAAAAACTGTAATGCCGATGGAGGTTCTGCTACTGCCACTGCTACTGTTACCAAAAAGAAACCAGCTTCAAAAGCTGCCAATGCTACCACTTGTTATAAATGTGGTGGTCCAAATCATTTTGCTAGAGACTGTCAAGCTGGTAATATCAAGTGTTACGCCTGTGGTAAGACTGGACATATATCAAAAGATTGTACTTCAGCTACCAGTGGATCAACCACTTCTAACTTCTCATCTAACAAAACTTGTTATAACTGTGGACAAACCGGTCACATTTCAAAAGAATGTACCGCTTAAGACAATTTTTTATTGATTATAACTTAAAAGTAATCAGGAAATCAGTGGTGCTTTAAAAGGGCCCCCTTTTTTTGAAACAAAATTTATCTTTAAAAACAACAAATGCCTAATGATATATTAATGATGTCAAATTCAAATCAGATTCAATAATTTAATTCTTTAGTTGATTGGTGTTCCTTTTTAATATTAACTGTAATACTTGTATCTTCGTGATGCCTTTAACTTTCTTAAATAAATTCATAAATAGCAATGTACATATGTCATGATTCTTTATTATCATCAAGTTTTGATTCTGTAGTTGTAGTAGAAAATTCAAAATAAGCTTGATATAGGTTCTTTAATACTTTTAAGAAAATAGAGCAAATGTCTTGCTATTTATATCAACAGTTGTGTTTTTGAAAAATTACCGTGGAAGTTATAAGACAGAAAAGAGCATAAAGTTGAACTTTCCCGCGCCACACTATTTAGCCTTATGATATTTAAGCTTTGTTCACTTATCTTTCATCTTACTATTAAGCTGTCATGTTAATAACCATATCAATTATGTATTCCATATACTAAGATGTAATAAATATATAGTTGCGCCCGCGCAGTCATAAATAAGAATTGCGTTTATATACTGAACGCAAAAATTAACTATAAGAATGTATACACACTATACCATAATAAGCAAATCAAAAACAAAAGGATGACTCTTCCTCTATTGGTAAAAGTTAACGTTAAACTATATCCAATCGTATTATCTACCAAAAATCGAATATATGTTTGGATGAAATAATCGACTTTGGTAGGAAGCATATATATTTGAGTGGGATCGTGGGGTAACACTTTTAAGAAACCGTTGCTGGCTAGGATGGGGGTGGGAGCATTAAATGGCAACGTTATGAAGGCATGCACCGGTTGATGATCAGATAATAGGATAGAATTTATACTTTTGTAAAACTTTACAATAGGTATTTTGGTAACATTGTCATCTTTTTTCAATCTTGGTGCTGATTCATCTTGTGCTTCATAAGTTGACTGATATAGAATTCTATCACACCATGCTGGTGATCTTTTTGAATTGTAAATTGCAGTATGAACATGATACTTATAAGTTGGTTGGAATTTGATTTGAGCTTCTGTAAATCCACTATAAACCTCTTCAGTCTTCAAAGCTGTTGTAAGTTCATCATAAAGATGAAGTAACTCATCAATAGATTCGGTTGTAGCCAATGATTGATCTTGTAACGACAATAATTTTTGAGAAGAAGCAGAACTAGAAACATAAGTTTTACAAGTTCTATAGTTCAAGTCTCCCATGAAGAATGTATGAGAACCTGGTTTCAATAAACCATAACCATCACCAAAGTCCAATGATCTCATGATCTGCGTAGCATCTGAATTTCTTTGAGTGTAGTAATCATCACCTTCATAAGCACTTAGATGAGCATTTGCAAATGAAAGCGTCACAGAAGAATTGTTAGTCTTACCACCTGGACTATATACAACTCTAATTCCAACCCCACCTTTCAATGAAGAATAAGCATATCCACATGAAGTCAGAGCTTTTGTGATGTGCTTGAATTTCAGAGGATATGGGGTAATCAAAACAAGACCAATTGAACCAATATGTTGCATTCCAATTGTCTGAAACCTTATATTCCTCGTACCATATTTAGATGATAAAGCCTCTAAGAATTTCCCATTATATTTGATTAAATGCTGATTAGCTGTCAGATAGAAACTTCCATCTTGAATGGAACAGAATTCCTCTAACCCAAACGCATAAACAGTTGCCAATTCTTCCGGAAGTGATTCCTTGAACTTTGGAAGAAATATATCCCAATCCAATGATTGCTTATTGCAATTGTATGTAAATAAGTAGACAGGTATGTTATCCATTGTTGTAGTGATATGACGAAGATGATACTGTACAGACAGTTTCAGTTGTAAATTATGAATTTTAAGGCACAAAAATCTGAGAAGTATCAAACCTTTGCAAAAAAATAAAATAAAATATTAAATCTTCACATAGTTAAATTTAAAGATTGATTTATATTCAACCAAATGTCTGATTTATTGGAGATAGAGAGATCTATATTCGAGGAAGTGAATGTCATAGAAGATGCCATTGCTCAGAGATTTAAACGTAATCCAACTTTGTTTCCCAATGGAAAATACGCAAAGCTTAAGAAATCACATAACGAAAGACTAATCCAACAGCATGAATTAAAAGTGTTCAAAGAACGATATGTAAAAAGGTCTAAGTTACTATTACATCACAAGATTCTACAAACTACTGAAATAAAGAACGGGTTGAATTCTATCAAGGACTCTGACTTTCAATTTAACAAGTTTGATGAATTGCTCAATAATATCAAGACCAAATATTCCAATGAGTTGCAAGTTCAATCTGAAAGCATCAAAGATCAGTATGCAATGTATTCATCAGTATCACTGGGTGACAAAACTGCTAAGAAATCGAATATACTAAGTGCTGCGGCATCTGGTTTGAATATTTCCAGTTTATTTACAGAAGAAGAAGCATATGGAAAGTTTCTAGGATTACAATCTCATTTTGAAGAGTATAAATCTTGCATTGTAAAAGATGACTTATCATACGTTGAGTACATAAATCTAATAGATACATTTCCATCACAACAGATACGTAATATGGATAAATATAAACATTACTTGGTAAGTTTATTGGAATACTTAAATACATTCATAGAAAAAACACACCCTTTATCAGATATAACGTTATTAGTTGCCCATGAGTTAAATCCATCAAACAACATAGATGCTGAAGTTAACGAACTCTATTGTGTAGCTTGTCATAAATTATTTACTAAGGCTACTGTTTTTGATGCACATTTGAGTGGGAAGAAGCATATAAAGAATGCTAAAAATTCAGGTTCAGATATCTCAGACTTAGAGAGTAAGGTCAAGAGTTTGATGACTTACTTGAGTAAGTGGAAAGATGCAACAATTGCAAATGTCGAAAGACGCTTGACTATGACTGATAGAGAAAAAGAATTAGAAAAGTCAAATATAGATGAGTACGAGAATAAGAGTGGCAGTAGTACGGACGATGAAGATGAAGATGAAGATGATGATGATGGAGCATTCAAAAATCTTCCATTAGATGCATACGGGAAACCCATTCCATTTTGGTTATATAAATTACAAGGTTTACACAAGACTTATATCTGTGAAATTTGTGGAAATATAACTTATAAGGGTAAATCTGTATTCGTCAAACATTTCTCAGCACCCAAACATCAGTATGGGCTTAAATGTATGGGAATAGAAGATGAGTACATGAGTCTATTCAAAAGTATTATATCTATAGAAGAAGCTCAGAATTTATGGAAAAATATAAGGAAGAACAAAAGGGAACAAGAAGGTGATATTGAAAATGCAATTGAAGTGGAAGATGATGAAGGAAATGTTATGTCTGAAAAGGATTATTTAGATCTTAAAAAACAAGGGTTATTATAGAGTTTCTACATTTTTAGTGGTTTGTAGATGTATTAGTTATGTATATAGTATATATTAAATATTTCGCAATCAGAACTTTAATAAAAATATCGATTGAAAAAAAAATTGTAAAACTGAAAACTATAATTGAAGACCAATTAATGGTAGTGAAACGTATACCACTCATAATTAGGCAAAACATATCTTATTCGTTGAAAATGGCTGCCAAACGTGAAGCATCTCCAAGTATCCAACTCCGAGATACGAATGGATTTCGAATGAAAAGACAAGCCTTGGATAAGCAAACCTTGACAGCTTATGAACAATTAGGTGGTAGTGATGCAGCAGATAAATCAGTAATAGAAGGTAAAACTATAGAGGAAGAGGAATCTGAAGGAGCAGCATATATAATAGATGGAAGGTTGAGAAGAGTGAAACCTTACTATTTTACATACTTGACATATTGCAAGTTGAGATGGAGAGATAGGAAACTAATTGATATATTTGTTGATGAGTTCAGAGATAGATCAGCTGAGTATTATAAAAAGGCAATTTCAGAGGGACAAGTAACTTTAAACAAGAAACCAGCCAATCTTGATTCAATAGTGAAAAATGGAGATTTAATAAGTCATAGAACTTACAGAAGAGAGCCTCCAGTTAGTTCAAGAGAAATAAAAATTGTATTTGAAAATGAAAAAATAATAGCCATTGATAAGCCATCAGGTATACCAGTACATCCAACTGGCAGATATAGATATAATACTATCACAAAAATATTTGAGCATGAGTTTGGGAAAACAGTACATCCATGCAATAGATTGGATAGATTAACCAGTGGTTTGATGTTTCTAGGAAAAACATCTAAAGGTGCTGATGAGTTTGTCAGTCAGATCAGAGACAGAAATGTTCGAAAAGAATATTTAGCAAGAGTTAAGGGAAACTTTCCTTTAGAAGAAATCACAGTAGATCAACCATTGCGTACAGTAGCTCATAAATTAGGTTTAAATAGAATAGATCTAGTGGATGGAAAAGAGGCTAAAACACATTTCAAAAGAGTTTCTTATGACCCAAAGTCAAATACATCAATTGTTAAATGCATGCCATTTACTGGTAGAACACATCAAATTAGAGTTCACCTTCAATACTTAGGTCATCCTATTGCTAATGATCCAATATATTCTAATGAATTTGTTTGGGGAAAAAACCTAGGTAAAGACAACGAAGGATCGACTGAAGAAATCATAGATAGACTCGATAAAATTGGTAAAGAACGTTCATCATCTAGTTGGTTTCACCCTGATGAAGACGGAGAGGTACTTACAGGTCAGATATGTGATGTTTCAGGAATGCCTATATATTCCGATCCAGGAGATAATGATTTAGATCTTTGGCTTCATGCTTATAAATATGAAGCAGCAGACAAATCTTGGGCATATAAGACGGAATATCCAGAGTGGGCTCTAAGTTCTCTGAGAGAGTTTATGGAATTAGCCGTTGAATTGGCAGATAAATGTGGTGAAACTCGAACACAGTTTAACGTAGGAGCCGTGCTTGTTAAAGATGGAGAAATTCTTTCTACTGGTCATTCAAGAGAAATTCCTGGAAATACACATGCTGAGCAATGTGCTTTGGAAAAGTACTTTGAAAAAACTGGCGAAAGATCTGTTCCTGTTGGTACAGAAATTTACACCACAATGGAACCTTGTACTTTAAGATTAAGTGGTAATGAACCTTGTGCGGACAGAATTTTGAAAACTAGTATCAAAACATGTTTTGTTGGAGTTGCTGAACCAGATATTTTTGTGAAGGACAATTCATGTTTCAAAAAGTTCCTGGATAATAATATTGAGTATATTCATATTCCTGGTTACGAAGAAGAATGCTTACGAATCGCTAAGAAGGGACATGATAAATAAATATATATTGTAATCTTACTCGTCATCCGAGAAATCTATAACTACTTCCTTTCTAGAATATACATAAACATTACGTCTATTTCTTGAACTTCCTTGCTGTGTCACATTTGTAGTCTCAAAATTAGAATTTTCAACGGTTACTTCATCATTAGTTCGAATATGATCTGCTTCATTTCGGTGAAACCGAGAGCTAGATAGTTGAGGTGCAATTTCTTCCAAATGATTATTCCTATTTTTCACTTCTACTGAAGTAGAGACACTAACTGATCTCGGTATTGCAAAACCAGCTGCAATAATATTATCGGTCAAGGTTAAAAATACATGTTTAGTTTTATTAAACCCTGAAACAACCTTGTTCGTTTTTGAAGTTTGTGGTTTCCGTTCTGGTTCTGTCTGTTCAGCAGATTCCGCTGTATTAACATTTGAGACATTTGGCTGTGTATTTGACTCATCATTGTCACCTGTAGGTTCATCAGGATCTGAATCCTCTTCCACAAATAATTGAAACCTATCCAACTCATATAATTCGTCCTCGTAGAACCGTCTACCGAGAACCCCTTCCTTTTCCTTAACCTTCATTATTGCATTAAATTTATTACACCATTCCCACGGTATAACCACACAAATAACATAAGAAACCACTGAAAATATTTCCGACAATTCGTAAACAAATGCATTTGATACATCTGCAATGAAGAATGCAACTGGGGTATAGATAAGTATAAATGTCAATAATGAAAGTAGCCATATACTCTTATTAGCTATGATATAATGGATTTTACTGATTTGAAATACACTTATGATGGCAGCGTAACATAAACCCATAGCAATACGTACCAAATAAATAAAAGCTGGCAAGATATCCCCAGCTTCGTTATTATTGTTAAAGGTATGAAATTTCGTAACACCCCATATTGTTTGCGATGTTATTGATGCAATCAACCCTACAAAAAATGCCAATCTCTTATCTTTCTGTCTCAGAAATATTCTCATTATCACTTGGACTTGATTGATTTGGAGTAACAATACCACTATAAAATCAGCAATGTTCACAACACTACTTGCATTAATTTGATCAAGTAATTGTGCACCATGCAAAAACCCTTCTCGTTGTTGTTCATGCAAAATTATAATAGATTTAATGACCACAATTAATATATATACGGAAGACAATGAAGTTGAGGCTTGTAGTATGAATGATGGTTTGATAGTGTAGTTGGTTAAAACAAATAATGTAAAAAACCAAGTAATGACACCCAGTACTGACAACGCATATATAATTGATGTTACACTATATGCGAATGTTCCTCTAGCATTATCTCGGGTAAACGCTTGCCACGATTGTTGAACCACAGGTAAAGGTAAACTGAACTTATCAATAACCAAACCCACATTCGTATTTAACATCGGTATCTGATTTTGATAGCAAATCTGCTGATATATAATTTGTTTCACATATTGCACAGGAGCATATAGGTCATGCGATACCAACATACCTTCAGCAAGCTGAAGTGACTCGCAAGAAGGATAAACACTTCCTTTCAACCAAGTATTTCTCCAATACATATCATCTGTAGTAGTAGTATTAGTAGCTTAACAAAACGGTATATGTTGGTATAAGATTGATTCAGATTTAAACATGATTATGTCTTTGCCAAGACACAGGAGTGTCGTCAAAAAATATGTACGACATTTTTGTGGCTATTTCTAACTTTTTTTGGATATAAAGTGGAATATCATGAATCAAATTCAAGTTTCATTGGCTAATGATCCTTGCAAACTAATGCAAAACGTACTGTTAGATCCATCTTTACAGGTATCAACACCCAAGAAGCTGGGTCACACAAGGAATACTTCGGGTTATTCCACCAGTTATTCCGTTCTAGATATATATGGTACTGAATCACCGTTATCAGATCGAAGTCCAACAAAACATGATCTGTTGATCGATGATTCAATTATGCAAGGGCTTGATCAATTGGATTTCAAAAACTTATCTAATGAGAATACATTGTTTGCTCCCACCATGTCTGATTCAACTTCGGGCGTGGAAACAAGAGAACAATATGTGATTCCTATCTCAGAATCTAGTGTGGAGTCCATCTTAAAATCACCGTATGATATGTACGGCTTCAAGAAGAGTTCAAATCTTAGTAGTATATCAAAAGACAAGTACAATTCCTGGTTTTCCAATTATGCACAGTACACCATTAATGAAAAACTGAAGTGGACTGCTCTAATGAGAAGTAATGGTTTATCGTCGGTTAGTAACGATATCCCTACCAGATATCCGCCAAAGTCTGCCAAGGTCAAAAAGTTAATACGCAAAGGTATACCGCCAGAATGGAGAGGAAATGCATGGTTCTTTTATGCCGGTGGTTATGATAAACTTAATAAACATAGTGGTTTATATGATGATCTTGCTTCCAATGGAATCAAAAACAAGGATTCCGATATCATCGAACGAGATCTAGATCGTACTTTTCCAGACAATAAATATTTCAAGCGTGAAGATGGAATAGAGCCTCACATGATTAAAAGTTTGAGGAGAGTTCTAACTGCATTCGCTCATTATCGACCTCAGATTGGATATTGTCAATCATTAAACTTCATAGCGGGTCTTTTGTTATTATTTATGAATGAAGAGCGTAGTTTTTGGATGTTAGTAATCCTTACAGAGAGGATAGTTCCAAATGTTCATTCTCAAAATTTAGAAGGTGTTCATACTGACCAAGGTGTATTAATGCTTTGTGTAAAGGAATACATTGAACTGATGTGGTCAGTTGTTGGTAGGGGTTTCGATGGGGCACCAATTGCAGAGGACAAAATATTAAGTAATTTACCTCCTATTGCATTGGTAACTTCGCCCTGGTTTATGTCAGTTTTTGTAGGTGTTCTACCAATAGAAACTACGTTGAGGGTTTGGGACATATTATGGTATCAGGGATCAAAAACTATATTTAGGGTAGGTTTAACAATATTTCGTATGTGTTCTGAGACAACTGTATTTCAAGATCAGATACGCTCACACTTGCAAGCTGAAATTGATCAAGTTGAATTATTTCAGTTTATGCAAAGCTATCCCAAGACTTTACTAGATCCAAACTTAGTACTTGGCAACTGTTTTAAGAAAATTGGAGGATATGGATTCGGTTCATTATCTCAAGCTGAAATTGATACCTGTCGGGAATTTGTCTCCAAACAAAGAGAGAAATTGAATAATAAAAAAAATACTTCAATAGCTGTTACTGATGAAGAAAGACAAAGATTACTTTTAGGACAGGATGTCCACGATGTCTATGGGTTTCATCGTTCTATTATGAGTGGAGTTGTTTGGAATAAAAATATAACTAATAAGATGAAGAAGAGGTTAACTAAAAAGTTTACTTAGTATAAATATCCCTATAAATTGCATCACCGGTGATAGTTGCTTCCTTTACCGTTGCTACGTCATGTACTCGCACTATATCTGTCCGCTGCTCAATGCAAGCAATTATTGAAGCAGCGGTACTTATGACTCTATTTTCTGCATTAGGTTGATTGGTAATCGTACCTAAAAATCTTTTTCTTGACGTTCCAATAAGCATTGACAAACCGTTAAAACTTATATAGGAATGTTTTATTTTAATATCATTATCATTTGCATCGTATTTCATAGAATATTTTTTAAATGTAGATCCATGTCTTACAATATCTAAATTTTGACTTAAATTTTTAGCAAATCCAACACCAGGGTCAAGAATGATTTGCCATTTTCTAACTCCCTTTTCAAATGCCTTTAAAATTTGTAAACCCAATTCTCTCGAAATACCATTAATTAGGTTTTCTGTTTCAGGGCCGTAGTTGATCTCTTGATGACCCGTGACTGGATGGATGAAATACTCAGTAATATCATCATTTGTATTTGATTCATACTCAGTTAACTTCGACATAGTATCTGGTCTGCCTCTGGTATGATTTACAATATAAGGACAACCATGTTTTGCAACAACTTCGAAGATTCTTGGTTCGTATAGACCCATTGAAACATCATTAATTATATCAGCACCTACCTCTAATGCTCTTTCTGCAACATTGGCTCTATAAGTATCAACAGAAATTATACATTTGGATAATCTAGAATCATCTGATGATCTTAGGGCCTGTATAACAGGAATCACACGGTTTAATTCTTCTTCTTCAGAAGGTTCAACACTACCTGGTCTAGTAGAAACGCCTCCAATATCTATTATCAAAGCACCATCATCAAGAAGTTTAGATGCTTTCGTACGAATATCTTCAATTGAGGTATTGAAGTTTTTACCACCATCACTAAATGAATCGGGAGTAATGTTCAATATACCCATGATTAAAGTTGGATTTTTACTATATAATGGATCAAACTTTAATGGATTTGAACTGATATCGAGACGAGTTAAAGGATTCACTTGCCATAAGGCAGATGAATCTTGAATCGAAGTGGCTGGATTGCTCTTGAGGAGTTGTTTTAAATGATTATGAATTGGTTCAGCTGTAACTGGGTGGATTGTATCAGGAGGAATCAACTCACATAATGGTTGCATTACAAAAGTTCTATCTAACATAGACTTGTGTGGAATGACAAGATCATCTGTATTTAAACTGACTTCATCAAATAATATAATATCCAAGTCAATTGAACGTGGACCATTATCAATAAGCTTAATTCTGTTAAGGTGTACATATTCAATATCTTTTAAAACTTTAAGCAACTCGTGAGGTGATTTGCTTTGGAATAGGACTTTTATAACACCATTCACAAAGTCTGGTTGGTCTTTGACATACATTGGTTTTGAAATGTAAAGAGAAGAAGTAGAAACAACTTTAATGTCATTCTCTTCCAATAATTTCAAGGCAATTTGAATATTTTCAACTTGATTCCCTATATTAGATCCAAATGCAATATAAGCTTCGTGCCAACCTTCTGAAACAATTATCTCGTCTGCAGGTAAATTAAATGAATTTTCATTATGTTTATGTTGCACTTGTAAGCTGATTTTTTCAAGACCTTCAAAGGAATTGGCATCCATTCTTGACGAAACACCAACACCATCAGTGTAACTAATAGCATTCGGTTTGGTAACTTTGATATCGGTATATTTTATACCCTCGCCATGTTCTTGGAAAATCAATTGTCCAATATTCATGACCAATGCCTCCACTGTTTTGAAGTTCGATGATTCCACATAGAATACAACATCATCTATAATATGATGAATAGAAACATTTGCACGTTTTTCTAAATTGAATGATAAATCAATTTCCACAATTTGTTTTTGATATCTCTCAAATGTGAATACCCCGATAATAGTTAATAATCGTAACTTAATAACATTTATTTGATCTGGAGTATCAAGAGTACCTTCTCTTGATCTGTTTATCTTGTAATTGATTGAGTCAGCTCTAATTTCAGATTTATTACTTCTCACAATAACTTCTGCAATAGTACCACCACCTTTCTTCTCATCTAGCACAATTTCCCCTACTGATTCAGCAATATTTCCTAACGATTTAAAATTCTTATGCTCGTTAGCTCTCATGAATTCAGAAATATTTCGGGAAATAACAGCATAATTTAAGGAATGATTAAGGTTATCTGCAATTGCTGCATTATGGAAATTGGTTTGAAGGGATACTGATATAGTAATTGGTTGAGGAGTGGCTTTATTCCAAGCATCTCTTCCAGTTATAGCTATAGCTGATATTTCAGACGCAAACACCTTATCAGTTAATAGCATTGATGATTGGGAAAATGTTCTTCTTAGAGCCGGTACAAATGCCGACAAGCGACCTTTAAGGAAAATCACTTCTGTAAACTGCTATAGTAGTGGGACTCAAATATTCCCTTCTAGAGTAGTTTTAAAGTTATCAGTGGTTTGAGCTAAGTTTAGTTCAAGATTAAATTTTCAAAGAAAAAAAATTTACGATAATCAATTTGGTCTCACTTTTATATTGATCAATTATTTAAAATGCTAATTATTTACACAACAATGCTAATTATCCTCTAAAACTACTTGGAGTATATCCTTTCTTGATTTCTTAGGACTTGGATCTGGCAGCTCATCGTCCAATTCAGGGGAAAACTCTTTCATAAATTCTTTTGCTTGATCTGTGGTATGATCTATATCATCTTTAACTTCTCTAGAATCACTTACAACTATACCATATTCGACACTTTTCTTTATGATTGATTCTGCTTTGTTGAAGTTGACATCTAGATCTTCCATGGCCAATCTAATGATTAACTCATTGGCCAAGATATATGTACAGAATCCAGTTATGGTCCAATATGAAAGTGTCTTATTCTTCTTCTCAGCTGATTTTAACTCTTTTTCAAACCTGGTTGAAATAGCATCCCCTATTATCAGCTGTCTCTTAAAACCATAATAACCACCATAATAATCTTTCCATTTGATCTCCCACTTTTCTCCTACTGCCATGGTTTCATGAGGAGATGATTGTCTTTGCTTCTTTGCAAGTTCATAAAAGTCTGATGTGGATTCCTTGCCTTTTAAGATCTTAGGAATTATATCCATGTACTTCTCACATTTCTTAAGTAGTTTTCTCTTCGACGTTGTTAACTTAGGAAAATTATACTTAGCATATTCTTTCTTCACATCCTTTATCTTTGACAGGTTGTCTTTCGACAATTCCTCTAAAATATTACCATTGGCAACCTTTAAAGCAAACCCTTCGTAATGAGATAATTCTGCAGCAGAATCATCATCATCATCATCATCACTCAATTCTTCTAAAATTTTATGATCATCCTTGGTAGTCTTTATATCTTTGCTCTTAACGGATGCATCTTGTAATTTACTGATATTTATGATCCCATTATCAAAATCATCGTCCGATGCATCCAGTTTTGAAGTCAATTCGTATCTATTGTAATTATGAGATTTAGCTGCTTTTGGATCTGGTGAAGACTGTATGGCATTCTTTTTGTAATAGTTCTTTGACTTTTTAACTTTTTTATAAGTTCTTTCCAGCGACGATGACGACTTTCGGTCATCTTCACCAAATATGGATGAATTGCTTTTATTACCAAATATGGAGTCATCAGTACTCTTTCGCTTTAGCTTGGAACTATTTCCAAACATGGCTGGCTGTATATACTTATAATCAGGCAAACTGAATAAACCTACAGATCTACAAATCTACAAAATATCCATATCGCGTCTGATGAAAATTCAATGAGATTTGGCGCGCAAATAATTTTGCATTAATATTTTATTTGTTACTTGTTTATTTTACATATATTATAATTATTGGTTTAAAATTTTATTTAACTATAAAAGGTATTATTAAATTTATTGTTGAGGACCTCCATTTTGAGGATAATAGTTTTGATATGCTTGATTAAAGTTTTGAGGTGGACTTTGATTTTGAGGAGGGAAATTGTTCATAAAATTTGGTGGAAATTGTTGATTTGGTTGATATTGCGGATTTGGTGGAAATTGTTGACCTTGAGGTTGGTATCCCATTGGTGGAGGACCTTGTTGTGCATTGGAATTAGCAAATAAACCAGCTAATGGATTTGAACCTGGTTGAGAAAATGCTGCTGCTGATTGTGGTAATTGCATACCTGGTTGGGCGATTAATGTAGTTTTAACAAAATCTTCATCTGGTTCACCTGGTTTATTGGATTTTGGACCATTTCTAGCAGAGTTGGTTGGCATTTTCTTAGACATGGCTTTAGATGAAATACCAGTACCAATTTCGATATCAGGTTCATCTAATACCATACCTGGTTGTAATGGTTCTCCACCAGTACCACCCCATTGAGCATCAACAACCCATGCTTTATCAGCTTCAGTTAATCTGGACATTGGAATCATAGAAATACCATGTTGATAATTACAACAATCTCTTGGACCAAAACCAACACCCCATCTAGTTCTTAATGGTAACTTTCCATCTTTATTAAACAGGGTGATAACCTGTTCAGCTTCACGTCTTGAGTAAACTTTAACAAAAGCATGCTTTCTTTCACTGTTTAAAATTACAGATTGAACTTCAGCAAATGGTCTTAAGACAGAAGCAAGACTTCTTTCATCCATATTACGTGGTACACCTCCAATGAATAAAGTTCTGGATAAAACTTTGAATGTATTTGGTGGAATAGAATTATCAAAGCCTACATTACGTTGACGATAATGTTGCGTACCTGGAATATTCATTTCACCTCCCATTTGAGAAACTGGAACAAAACCAGGATTATTACTGTTAGTACTATGTTCTTGTGGAGGAGATCTAAGATTATTACGGTTTGGAGATCTTGATCTATTTCTTCTAGTATAACCTGATTCTTGACGTGGCTCTCTTTGATAGTAGTTACTTTGAGGTTGAGGTGGTTGTTGATATTGTTGTGGAGGGAGTGGATTACCGGGTAATTGACCTGCACTTTGTTGTTGCATTTGTTGAAGCATATTTAAAATGTAAGGACCAGTATCAGCCTTTGGGGGTTGAATTTGACCTTGACTTTGTGATGGTAATCCTGAAGTTGCGTTAGAAAGAGCTGAAAGTTGAGATAAAATACTGGTAGCATCACCTTTTTTAACTTCTTCAGGTCCGGCAATAGTTGGAGTAGAAGCTTTTGCAATTGATGCTAACGACAGTAAAATACTACTTGGACCATCAACCGATTCAGATTTTGGCTTAACAGGTTCAATATTTGTTTTTGGAGGAGATCCTGGTGGAGTTGTAGATGCGAAATGTTTCTTTTCAATATTATTAATAATTTCAGGAGTAAAAGTATTCTGTTTTTTCCATAATTCAACTAATTTGGCAAATTTATTTTTCACAGAAGGATCAAATTGTAATTCCATAGCATCATCAAATAAAGTATCTATTAATTCACTAATTTTAGCAACACCAGAAGCAAAAGTACCTTCAGGGGCCAGAGAGTCTAAAGTTTCACCCTTCTTTCTGGCTTCATCGGTATAAGCTCTTACAATGGCATCGACAACATACATGGTAGCTATTTTATTTTGCGATGGAGCTGCTTTACAATTAGAATAAAGGATATTAATAAGTTTTGATTCTAAACCAACATTTTGTAAAGCAAGGGACACTAACTTATTAATACGACTTCCAGAAATGCTGCCTGAAGTTTTCAGACGCAACTCTTTCAAGTTAGATTCAAACTCTTCTTCTACTGATGACATACTAGATTTTTACTAAAAAGATATAAAGTTTTTTAAAAAAACGTTTCTTTTGAAATTATTATTATTATGGTTTGGAGTTTGATACTTCAATTTTTTGATTTTAACCGATTACTAAGAGGGAAACTCAAATAATTAACACAGTTTTACAAAAAAGAAAAACGAATACAATTAATTAATGATGGGTAATGATCTATCGATATGATGAAAATTCTATAATCTTTGACCTACGTTCTCTTAAGGGGATGGAACTACTAGTTTTTTTTGATATTTTTATTATGCTATCTTTTCCACGAGGTTCTTATAGCGATAATTTACTTGATTACTCAACTCTTTACTTCAACAATCCGATTCAGACGTCTCTATATATAATAAGAACTCGATGTATTGATATATTACTTCGAAATGACTTCGTTGGAGGTAACTAATTCCCAAAAAAAAGTGACCAGCAACAAAAAGTGGGAATTGGTTCATTATTTATAGACAGAAAAAAAAAATGTATGCTGAATTAAAATTACCCGGATTTTCGAATTTATAGACCATATCGCACGACTTTTCAACCAAAGGAAAAAAAGTTAAACGTAAAAATTTCCAGAGGTTAATGAAAAATTCGATTCAATATCGTTAAAGGATTAGTGGATTAGAGGAATTATCGTCATGGTTGGAGTTCTAAGAAGGTCCATAGTAAGGGCTTATTCAAGTCAGACAAGTCCAATAATATCGTCAAGTTTATTATTGTCAAGAAATCCTATAATTACTGCTGATTTAAATCCATTCGAAGCTCAATATTATAAATATCAACTGGAGTTATGGAGAAGATTGATGTGGACTTTCCCTAAATGGTTTTATTTTAGAGAAGGTACTTTAGCAGAACAAAGATTTCGTCAATTAAATAAAGATCCTGTCAGTTATAACCCTGATATTGAATATCCTCAAGGTAAACCAGAAATAAGACATAGAAGAGATAGAAGATTCAAACAAGTTATAAATCTTCCAAAGACTTATAAACAAGTTGGAGAAGAAGGTCATGAAGAAGAAAGTCTTACCAAGTCTCATGATGATTTAGCTCGTCAAATCATTCCTAATTCACGTGTTACTAAAGCAGATGAATCCAATGATTTAACTAGTTTAGAAAGAAAATTGAGTCGTACTTTATACTTGGTTATAAATCAAAATAATAATTGGGTATTACCAAATTTTGTTGAGAGTTCAACTGAAGAAATCAAAGCATTACATACATTAGCCGAAGATGGATTATATAAGATTGGAGGGGAAAAGATTAATTACTTCAATGTATCAAATACTCCATGTCATCTTCGTATTAATGAAGTTGAAAATAAAAAAGAATTCATTATAAAATCACATATATTATCAGGTGAATTCATACCCCAAGATGAATCATTACAATATTTATGGTTAACTAAAGAAGAATTGAAAGGAAAATTAGATCCTCAATATTATTATGAAATTTCTCACTTATTTAGTGACGTTTAAACAGCATAGATTATGTACATATTATTATCATCATTATTATTATTCATGTAAATAGATTATTTTTAATATTGATATAAAACTTTTTATTATTAATTAATATTATGTACTTACTTATAAATCTTTTTTACTTCTGATTGCCTTTTCAGCGGCATATACAGATCTATCTATTAAAGTTCCAACCATTAAAACTCCAGCAATTGAACTAATGACTCCAAGAACGAATCCTGACCAAGTCTTAGCATATTCTTCACGATTGATAATCTTTAATGGAGAAATGTCAAAGTTAAGGAATACACCAGGTACACCTCCTCTAGCATGTAAGGTATGTTGATGATCTTCATCTTTACCACCTTTTAATGGTCTATCATGAGTAATAACAGAAAATTGATTGGTATCGATAGTATCAGCCTTTTTACTTAACATATGTTCATATCTAGTGGCAACAACTTTAAGATAATAAGAAAACATATGATCTTTTGCCCCTAAGCTTGAACTATGACCATTTAATGGATGAGTAGATAATCCATCTGGAACAATGGCTCCAAATGATAAATGATTAATAATATGATCAAAGTTAAATTTATCAGGATATTTTTGATACAAAGAAAGATCATGAACATGTTTACCATTCATAGTAAAGGAGGCACCAGGAGCAAAATCTAAAGTACCGGAGATTCTATTAATTTGAGAAGTTCCCTTAACTCTACAACCTTCACGATTATTGATTCTTTCAGTAATTCTTTTCACATAACCTTCCTTTTCACATTGTTCAATGTTGGAACCATCATAGAATCCCCATAACTTTTCAGCATAAGCTAATCTTACTGATTCACATGAATTACAACAATATTGATTTTTATCTTGAGGTAAAGCACCATAACATGATCCACAATGACCTTGTTCACCTTCTTTTAAACCCTTAGCTAATTCTTCTAATGAAATATCATTGTTCAATGGGGTTGAATCAACATCCAAAAGTTCTTCTAATTTATGACCATTTGAGTCTTGAATAATTCTAAATTTTTGAAATCCTGATCTTAATACATTTAATTGAACATCACCAGTTTCATCTAATAAATCCAAAGAAATGATATCACAAGGTAAATTAGGGAATGATATATCCAAATGAATATCCAATTCTTTATTTATATCTCTATCAACCACCAATTCAGGTCTAGTGATAATTGAAGTATACTCCACATACTCACTTCTAATTAAAAATAGTACTATCGCAATACATAATAAAGTGATTATCCCACCAGAAGTAGTTCTGATTCTTGCATCTTCCACAGTCTTTGCAAATGCATCTATCGATATCAACTTGGGTCTTTGACCTGACATCCTATCTAACTATGATCTGGAGAATTGAATATGAAAACTTATCAACTTTATCTAAGCATATATATTTCCATATTTATTACGTGGACAATTAAATTTCTGGTGCTCTCACTTCAATTTGCTCGAGAATTTTTCAGTAACACAAAATTAGAATCAAAAGTTAACTTCAAATATCAATTGATCGATTTTATTGATAGAATCCACTTTATTGATTCCATTCAAATTGAAAGTAGAAACGATTGATATTAGATAGGTGATTGTTACCAAGTTCAAGATGTCAGCTAATAATTCAAGGAATAATAAGACATTTTTCAACAATTTTATGCCAGTAGTGGTGACGGATAAACCATTACCAGGGTATACATCATCATCCAGTGAAATCATTCTTATAACAATCAATGCCACAGGAACCAAATTGATTACCACGAGAACCGATAGATCAATTAGAATATGGCGATGTTTTCCAGAAAGGATAACAGACCCTCATGTTATAGAAGATGCTCATAGTAAGGCGGTTGAAAGTATAAGTTGGGATCCAAACACAGAACATTCATTTGCATCAGTTGGTAGAGATGAATATGTTAAAATATGGAATGGACACACTGGAGCCTTAGAAAGACAATTCAAAGTAGTTAGGGATGATAAAGAAGAAGTTGCTGCTCTTAAAATAGTGAAATATTCATCGGATGGATTGGTATTAATTACAGTTGATCGAGATTCTGAAATTACATTTTATTCAGTTGAAAACAATTTCAAACAAATATATCGATTAAAAGATATAACTGAACCAATATATGATTTCCAATGGTTTCATAATGATCATAGTTTTTTTATTTTAGCATTTCATAATGGGAATTTACCTATATATGAATTCATATACGATGAGGGGAAAGAAACAGAAACAAAATTAAAGACCGAATTAACTGCACATAGATCGTCTGCTACTGCTGTTGTAATTGATCCAAGAGGAACTTATTGTGCAGTTGGTTCAGGTGAAGGTGTAGTTAGTCTTTGGAATACCAAATCGATGTTACATTTTAAAACTATTAGTGAGGTTGATGAATCGATTGCATGTATAGATGCCAGTAGGGATGGAACTTATATTGCTGTGAGTTATGATAAAGGAGAGAATATTGTTATATATGATACAGTTAGCGGTGATAGAGTATATGAAGTTGCTAATAGTCTTTCAGGTCAATTAACATTTGCATGTATCGCTTGGTTTCCAAGTAAAACTTCATTTGCTTATTCAAGTGATGAAGGAACCACCTTAACAGTGATGAGAAAGCCTGAAAGAAACGGTAGACCTAGAGATAGAGATAGAGCACAATAGTTAAGTAGTGGTAGTAGTAGTTAAGTATACATTTGTAACAATAGCATATGGCAAAATTAAATTTAAAAATGGTGACGCGTAATTTCACCTCGGAAACTGATAAATACCGAAATAGGAAATGGGTTCTACTGGTTTTAGATATCATTACAAAGTTCTATTAAAACAGTTTGGGTTAAAGGGCTGGTATAGAATCCTTGGATGTAATGTAGATGCGAGTAAGTTCCTCGCCGTAGACTAATGTAAATGAAACTAGATGTAATGATAAGGTGATTATTTTATTAAACCCTTAATTTACATAATTCAGTATACAGATTAGAAACAGTATAAGTTAACACATGATTCAGATACTACACCCATTCATAACCTTTTCGCGATATCCCCTAAGGCTATCATTCAATCTTTCTAATTCAAAAAATAAAAACGCCAAAATTCACCATTTCAAGGATTTATTCTGTTTTAGCTCGGGATACCAGCATAATCTGGTATAACATTAAATAATAGAATAATCTTATAAATGAAATCGCCACTAAAATAATATGACAGGACTCTCTTAAAAAGTAGCCACATATCGTTATTTGTTTTTATAATATGCAATCAGTTGCCTTTACTCTCTTTAAGCTAATAACTGGTATTATTGTTGTGATAATTCCATTAATTATTGATATCCCCTATATCGCAATAATAACCATCCCTCTGAAGTAAAATAGACATGTCCATTACAAATTGATTTGCTCATGAGTATCGTCATATTCATATATCTTATTTACAACATTCAAATCTCTACATAGTTAATAAATCACCAACTAAAACTATCAATTCAATTTAACTAATTTGGTATAATTTCTAATTTGGTGCTGTTAATTAAATGGCTTCCCAGCAGCAGAAAAAAAATAATTTGAATTTCACACCAAAAAAAAAAAAAACAGAAAATCAACAACTCGTCTAAGTGTTAAATTCAATATCAATTAAGCATCATATAGAGTAGAATAGTTAAACAGAGAGTGATGACGGACGGCAATCAACAGGGTCCGCCTAGTGCTCCATTTCGGACACTTTCTACTAGTTCTCAGATATCTTTGAACTCATCTTCCACCTCAATTACCAGAGTTCCTCTGGGACCTTTACAAGCATTAAATTCTAATTTCAATCGACAATCTACTCCACAAGATCATTTATACTTCAAGGCAGAATCTTTGAAACAAAGAATAAGTAAGATTGAAGGCATGGACCAATTTTTAAGGAAAGCATACAATATAGCTGAAGGATTAGCAGAACAACAAGCCTTGGCATTATCTCAACAGATTCAACAAGATAATAATGGATTTAGAACTTCGATTGAATCTTCAAACTCAGATAATTCATCATCTTCGAGACAACAATTGAATAATGTTTATACTTTCACAGCAGGGATATTACCTGCCAATATAAGTGTTGATCCAGCCACTTTATTATGGAATTTGTTTCAACAAGGGGCTCCATTATGTCTTATTTTTAATTATGTGGTTCCCCAATATGAAATACCTATCCAAGGTAGTGATGATTTAAGACTTTGTAAGAAATCAGTGTACGATTTCTTAATTGCCGTAAAGACTCAATTAAAGTTTGAAGATGAATTCATGTTTACTATTTCCAATGTTTTTCTGGATAATACTCAAGATTTATTAACTATTATTGGAGTGGTTAATAAAGTATTGAATTCTAAAGCCAAAACAGCCAAATTCGACATTGATAAGGAATCTCCTCAACAACCAATTGGAGAAGTTATCATAAGTGATGATAGATCGAAAGTCATTAAAGAACTTGTGGAAACAGAAAGAAAATATTTAAAAGATTTAGAATTACTTTCAAGTTATCAAAAGGAATTATTAGAAGCTGAAATCTTACCTAATGAACAAATTCATTTGATCTTCCCTAATTTAACTGAAATTATCGATTTCCAACGAAGATTCCTCATGGGTTTAGAATGTAATATTAATGTACCATATAAATATCAAAGAATTGGATCAGTTTTCATTCATGCATCGAAGGGTCCCTTCAAAGTTTATGAGCCTTGGACTATTGGTCAATTAAATGCATTGGATATCATCACCAAAGAAGCTAATAATTTAAAAAAATCATCAAGTTTATTGGATCCAGGATTTGAATTACAGTCATATGTTATAAAACCAATCCAAAGATTATGTAAATATCCATTATTATTAAAGGAATTGATTAAGAATTCTCCAGAAACTCTCGATTCAAGTTTACCAACTTCAGCACTGTATAATGAATTAATCATGGCCAGAAGTGCAATGACTGATTTAGCAAATCAAGTGAATGAAGCCCAAAGAAGATCAGAAAATGTCGAATATTTACAACAATTGCATGAAAGAGTAAGTAATTGGAGAGGATTCAATTTACGAGATCAAGGAGATTTATTACATCATGGTATGGTTGGAGTTAAAGATGCTGATACTGAAAAGGAATATGTGGCATATCTTTTTGAAAGAATTATATTTTTCTTTGTTGAAGTTATTCAACCTGATCAACAACCAAAGAAGAAAATATTATCATCAAGAAAAAAATCAACTAGTAATGTAACAGCATCAACTGCTAATTTATTAGAATCATTAACCATATCTAAAAATGATAAATTGATTCCATTGGAATTAAAAGGAAGAGTTTATATACTGGAAATTTATAATATATCAGCCCCAAGCAATCAAGGTTATACATTGGTGATATCGTGGTCTGGTAAAAAGGAAAGTGGATCCTTCACATTAAGATATAGAACTGAAGAAATTAGAAATCAATGGGAAAACTGTTTAAGAAATTTAAAGGCTAATGAAATGAATTCTCAAATTCATAAGAAATTAAGAGATTCTCAAGCTTCAAATGATTCTTCTACAATCTATGATTATACAGCTGCATATGCTCAAGCCAATGGTTCATCACCACCAAATGGAACTGAGTCACAACCTTCATCAAGATCTTCCAATGGATCTACACGTCATCATTCATCATCATCGACATTCAGTATGATGAGAAGTGCTCGTGCCAAATCGGGTGGATTTGAAAGCTCGAGATTATCATCATCATCTTCAGCTGGACCACTTCCAATCCAACAAAGTGTGAGTGCTCCATTAACTCCATCTACAGAACCTGCATTATTTTCCAATGATATCACTGTGAAATTGATTTATAATTCAACTGAAATATCAGATCCTTTAATCGTCCCATCCACCGTACAATTCCATGATCTTTATCTGAAGATATCAGGTAAAATCGTCAACAGTGAATTGGTTACAGATGATATCTTAGTCAATAAGTTGAAATATAAAGATGAAGATGGTGATTTTGTAGTGATGGATTCCAATGATGATTGGACATTAGCAGTAGATATGGTTAATGAATATTCACTTGGTAGTAATGAGAGAAGAGAATTAACTATTTGGGTTTCATAAATTAGGTTTTTATATAGTAAATATAACTGCTAGATTTGTATTTTAGAGTAATATCATGTAAGATGCAAAAATTACCGGAGTCATATTGCGAAAAAGGTTACAAAATGTTAATAAGAAGCAAAGTCAAGATCTGCCCCACTAAAATTGAGCTTAACATTTACGTAAACTGTTTCTTATCTACGGTAAAGATAACACCTGTTGACATTATAAAAAACTCCTAGTTAGCTTATTATGCCAATATAAATATTATATAGTGCTATTATGTCATACCTCCTCATTTCGTAAAAGTGGTGTGAGGATTATCAATTTAATGGTTTTGATTCGTTGATGTTTACCATACTAAAAAAAATCTAAAAGTTACACAAAAATAAAGGGTAATGAATCATCAGATTGAAAAATTAAAGTTATATATCTGTATATTCTATTTTCTGAAATATATATATATATATGTGTCAAAGGTGAATATTTGATCACTATTTCAATTAGTATCACCATTTGTTCGTCAGTTAAGTGAACTATATTTATTTATTTATTCAAGTCCATTGTAATCTTCACTTTTATAAGGAATATAATCACCATTTAGTGAGTCATAAGACGTCTTTTCCTCGGAGTGAATTATACCAATCATGAGTTACAATAGAATAACAAACCTATCATTACGTCAAGCTTACAAGCAAGACTTTGTCAAGAGAAGTTTAAATGGTGTTAAACTTAATCAAACTTCGATAAGGAGGTTGAATCTCAAATCAAATCCACAATCTTCAAGACAATCAGTAATAACAACAAAACCATACGGCTGGAACATACAAAGACAGTTTTCTATAACTTCTAAATTATCAAGGGAAACCCCATCCAGTAAGCTTTCCGAGGAAGATCAAGCCATACTTTCCGAAGAGAGAGCAGTCGATTCAGTTGATGTTTGTATTGTTGGTGGGGGACCTGCTGGGTTAGCCACCGCTATAAAATTAAAACAATTGGATAATGAACATGGTAATGGTGAATTAAGAGTGATTGTATTAGAGAAGGCGGGAGATTTTGGATCTCATATCGTGAGTGGAGCTGTTCTTGAACCAAAGCCATTCCTTGAATTGTTTCCAAATAGTGAATTAACTAAAGAATCAGGTGGTATACCATTACCAAAAGATATGGTTACAAAAGTAACTCGAGATTCAATGAAGTTCTTAACCAAAAACAGTGCATTCCCCTTGCCTGAACCACCTCAAATGGCAAATAAGAATAAAAACTTCATTGCTTCCTTAAATAATGTGGTGAAATATCTTTCCGAACAAGCTGAAGAAGTTGGAGTTGAATTATATCCTGGTATCTCAGTAAGTGAATTGATCTATAATGAAACCGGTGATGCTATTAAAGGTGTAGCAACCAATGATTTAGGTATTTCCAAAGATGGAACTCCAAAGAGTTCCTTCGAGAGAGGTATGGAATTCCATTCTAGAGTTACTGTATTTGCCGAAGGTTGTCATGGTTCATTATCCAAACAAGTTATCAGTAAATTCAATTTAAGAGAAAACAGTTTCCCTCAAACCTATGGATTAGGTATAAAGGAAATTTGGGAAGTCTTACCTGAAAATTTCGAAAAGGGTTTAGTAGCTCATTCTATTGGATTCCCATTATCTTCAGATGAATATGGTGGTGGGTTCATGTATCATTTTGGTGATGGTTTAGTTGCCGTTGGGTTAGTTATTGGATTAGATTATAAAAATCCATACATTTCACCATATCAAGAATTCCAAAAGATGAAGACTCATCCATTCTATTCAAATACTCTTGATGGTGGTAAATGTATTTCATACGCTGCTAGAGCTTTGAATGAAGGTGGTGCTCAATCCATTCCAAAATTACATTTCCCAGGTGGTATTTTAGTCGGATGTAGTGCTGGTTTCATGAATGTTCCTAAAATTAAAGGTACTCATACCGCTATGAAATCAGGTATGGTAGCCGCTGAACAAATCTTTGAAACTATTAAAGAATTAGATGCCGTTGATGAAGAAACTTTTAATGATGCAGAATATAACCCAATTGATTTACAATCTTATGAAGTTGCATTCAGAGAATCTTGGGCTTATAAAGAATTATATGCTGTCAGAAATGTCCGTCCTTCTTTCACTACGCAATTAGGTCTTCTTGGTGGTTTAGCTCATGCTGGTATGACCACTATGTTAACATTCGGTCATGAACCATGGACGTTTGGTCATCATCAAACTGATGCATCCAAAACCAAACCAGCTAGTGAATTCAAGCCAATTGATTATCCAAAACCAGATGGAAAATTAACATTTGATATCTTAACTTCAGTTTCAAGAACAGGTACTTATCATGACGAAGATGAAAAATGTCATCTAAGAATCCCAGGTCAAGATCAAAGAAGACATGCTGCTCGTAATTATCCCCAATATAAAGGTATAGAACAAAGATTCTGTCCAGCTGGAGTTTACGAATATATCGAAGATGATAAAGAAGAATTAGGGGTCAAATTCCAAATTAATAGTCAAAATTGTATACATTGTAAGACTTGTGATATTAAAGTCCCATCGCAAGATATTACGTGGACCGTGCCTGAAGGAGGTGATGGTCCAAAGTATTATATGACCTAATCATAGTATTTTTTTGTATATAGCTAATAAAAGACTAAAAAAAAAGAGTAATAAATATACTTTTCAATGTAATATTAACAGAGCTTCATATCTTACTTCTTAAGAACTTCATACGACTTTAAGTTCAATCTTCCCAAGTGATTATCGATATCATCGATCGTGGGAATATAAGGTCCAGATTGCTGGAATATGCAATTTTTACGATGTGATTTAGAATTATACTTGCCAGATTTTTCAATTTTCAAGTTTCCTGTTTCAAGCTTTCTTATATTACGAGTGATTTTTCCAAGATCCTTATAATAATTTAAAGTCAGTTCATGGTGTTGACTTTCTTGGTCTTGAATTTTGCGATCTTTAATGGCCCTAAGCCAATCTGAAACCTTTGTATGTGTTCTTTGTCTTTGCTTTTGCTCTCTATAAAATTTAAGCCAATGGGCATATTTCTTATTAGGAGAGGCAAGCACATCTAAGATAGTTTCATCTGTGTCAAGTTCACCTGATTGTAAAACCTTAATGAATTGATTGTACAGCTTGATACCTTGTTTTTCTCTTTCCAAAAGTGTTTCAATTAAACGTTGATGGACAGGTTGTACATTTTCAGATTTCAGATAGAAAGCAGGAACATAAGAATGGGGTTCATCATTATCAGATCTCAGACAAGAATCTTCAAAATAGTTGGTATCTAATTCATTACCTTCAATTAAAGTATCGAGACTATTCGTTGAGAATCTTCTGGTTAAGTTTGCAAATCTGTTAAATTTTGGAAATCTAGTAGGAGCAGCTTGAAATTCTTCAAGTTCATCAGTAGGTCCATCATATTTTAACCCATTAACAATTGCTCTTTCTTCAATTGTGATTCCAAATGGTCGTGCTTCCATTGCCATTTCAAGACAATCAGTTTTCAATTGGTGTACATTAACATCTTTGTCGGTTGCAGCTTGTCTGTAAACGAGTTGATCAATATCGTCTTCAGCAATATCTGACATGGTTGATAGTAGATTGATTGGTAAGAAGAAATAGTAGGTTATAATATTTGCAACATATGAATGGGATCAGTCACTTTTTATCTCGCTTCCTGATATGCATAACAAACATTGCTTTAAGTGTTAGTCATTATACTTACTGTAATTCTAACCGATAAGATCATTTTTGCAACTATAGTTGCCTCAAGTTACATTTTTCTACAGTGTGCGAAATTGAAAGTTTTTTTGTACGATAATATAAGATGTATAGTATATATTTAAATAAGATAAAAATAGGGTGATAAGCAAACAAAAATATATAGGGATGATGTAGTTGATGTAAAATTTATATATAGAGAGTAGAATTTTTTTAAGAATTTTTAGTAATTGTAGTTTTCATTTCCTGCGTCACAAAAGTCAAAAATAAAAAAAACATAAAAAACATAAGAAGATAAGAAGATATAAAAATGGAATGAGATAGGGTTGATTGATTAATTGATTGGATGGTGGATTATATATATATATTTGAAGATGGAATTGAGTCGTAATAGTAACATGATTGTGAAAAGTAAAGTGTGATGGAATGGATGTAGAAGAATTTTTTTGGATTTGCCAACTGTAAGTAAGTTAAATATAAATAATAATAAACACAAGTTCAAGAAGTAGAGAGTAAGAGGAAAGTTGATAAGTTGAAAAAGGAGAAAAGGAAAACAAGAATAACATTAACCATTATAATAAGTGAAAAAATAGTAAGAAAAATTTGAACCCCCAAGTTAAAACGATAGTTTCTTTAAGAACCAAATTGATAATAATAGAAATTTTTTTTTGTAAAGATAATAAAAAGGTAGACCACGTATAATAAGTAATAGATTTTTTTTTGAAAAGATTGATTTAAAAGAATGAATTTTTTTTGGATTTTATAAAAAAATGGTTTTGATTTAAAAATGAAAAGGATAAAACTCACATAATTCATGAATATATATTTAAGCGTTTATTTTTTTCGTTTTGTAATAGGATTTGATTTGATTTGATAGGTTTAGATGATTTAAAATAATTTTAATTAAAGAATTTATCTAAATCTGATAAACTAATATCTTCTGGAGCACCAATATCTAATGACAAGAAACCAGATCTAATGACTTCCAACCATTTCTTATTCGAAGGAACTGAACCAGCGGAACTTTCTGAATCCTTGACAGTTGAAGAAGAATCGGAAGTATTGGAATCTTCATCAAGTTCAGGATTTGAAATGGCTCTTAATGCAGCAGCATGTAAATCAGCAGCAGCGGCAGCAGCATTAGCGTTATGAGAACTTGGAGTTCTTGGAGCTCTTGGAGCAGCAGCAGCAGCAGTCAAGATCTTGGATTTCTTGTTCAATGAAAGATAAGATAATGATTTTGAACGTTTACCATTCTTTTTAAATGATTCAATATAAAGATCATTACTAAAAGAGTGAGGATTGTTAGATAAAAGTCCAGCATCATCGTCATCTTCTTCATCATCATCTTGGAAGACTTCAAAATCTTCAAAATCAAAATCAGATTCATGATGATTAATCATCATAGTACCATTTGAGTTATTACTTGAATTTCTCTTAGTATGATGTTCAGAAATGGTAGATAAATTAGATTCAGTTAATGAAGCAGTTACTGGAGCTGAATTATATGGAACAAATAAATTCGATTTATCAATTGAAGTAGCATCTAAAAATGTATGTTTTGAAATACCTAAATCATACATTGTTTGTCTTCTTGGTTTTGATAAAGTAGCTTGTTTGCCAGCTTCTAATGGATCATCTAAAGATGAAGAATCGGAGAAATTTTGTTGAGATTGTTGAGCCAATTGTTGTTGTTGTTGTTGTTGATTTTGTTGTTGTAATAACAATTTTTCTTGTTTAGACTTCTTAGTAGAACTAGTAGTTGAACTTGATTTTGGTGAAGCATTAGTACTAGTAACATTTGAACCATCTAAATTAGAATTATCATCATTTTCAAGTTTTAAAGCAGCTTGTTGTTCTTGCTTTTGAATTTCCATCAACTTTTTAACATGGACATGGAAATCTTCGGTTAAAATACCACGATAAACATAAACCATTCTTTTTGGTGAAGCATCAGCCCAATCTCTTGATAAAGCATATTTTAATGATGTATCACCTTTTTCAACACGTTTAACATAAGCATTCAATTTAGCACTAACTAAATTCGAAGTCTTGGTTGATAAATTGGCCATATCAGGATGTTGTTCAATTAAAATATCACAAATTTGTTTAACAGTCATACCACTACCTTCTGGATCCTTTTCAAATAAAATGACAAAAATGGCATATAAGACATCATCTTCCAAAGAAGCATCATCTTTTTGATCTGGTCTTGGTTTTTCACCTGTGACTGGAATAGTAGTTGAAATACCAGTTGCAATCGGAGCGCGAGAAGGATTCTTTGGTTTTTTAGCATTATTGTTATTAGTTTGAGATGATGGAGGAGTTGAAGTTGAAGTTGGAGGAGTAGAGCCTCTTGAATTCAAAGATAATTTTTTGAAATCATTACCACCTTGCATTAACGAATCTGGAGAAATACTTCTCAGAGAAGTTGGAGACATTGCTTCTGGACTAACACTCTTTTCAAGATTTTGATGATTGGAAATATAACTATGATGAGATTGATTTAGAATGGAGATTGGAGATTGAACATCTTCATCATCTTCATCTTCTTCATCAATGTTATGATTCAACTCATCATTCATTAAATCATCTTCATCTTCTTCAAGAATAATATTATCACTTGAAGTATTACCAATATCTAAAGTGATAGAAGAAGTTGAACCTGATGATTTCAAGTTTGAAGCATTTGAATTATTTGAAGATGCGTTTAAGCTAGTGGTATTAAAAGCAGGGGAAGCTGGTGTGGAACCAACTTGGAACCCGATATTTTGAGGTCTTCTTTCAGCTAATGCCATATTCTAATAGAAAGTTCTTTCAAAAAGGAAGGACTTTTTACGATAAAAATTTATAGTTCAGATCAATGTGGGATGTGAAGGGGATTAGTTTGATATGAATTCAATTAAAGATTTGTTTGGAGATTATTTCTTAATGACAATGAAGAATTAGGAAATAAAAACAAAAATGATATAATTGAATGGGATTGATTATGATCAGATTAGGTAAAATTCTGAACAATTGATGTAATAGTTGTGATTAAAAGGACGAAATTAATGATAATAAAAAAGATCCAAAGATAAAAAAAACCCAAATATAAAAAAAATTATGACTAAAGGGAATATTAAAAAGAAATGGAAACAATATATAAATTAAAGATGAATTATGTTTCGATTTTGATTTGTTTGACTTTGATACAATGGTTCTGGATTAGATGAATTTGTCCATATATGTAAAAATAACAACTGATGAAAGGATTTAGATAGGTAAAATACAAAGGTAAAAACTTAAATGAACAAGTTATTAGCAATGAGATTGATATGATAAGAATAAATTATAGAATGGAATGATTATAATAGAAGCAAAATCAAATGATACTTAAATCTTTAATTTATTAGCAAAAATATTATAAGCGGCAATGAATGGGAAGGGAAGGGAAGGGATGGGGAACTCAAGTAAAACGATAGTAAGGAGTATTGATGGGATAATGTGACAAAGAACAACCAGATGCGGTAGATTTACTACTGTACTATACGTTTAGATGGATCGTTAGATGGATGGATGCAGGGATGGATGGAATGATGATTTGTCTTTATTTGATTTGATTTGATTTGATTTGGTTGTAAAACTTTTAAAGCTTTCTTGTTATACCTATTTTGAAAAATAAATAAAAAGAAATCAAAAAAAGGTAGAAACGGGTCGTGTACTAACACAATCAATTTCAATTTCAAAACTTCAGACAAAAATTAAAAAAAAAACAGACACACACACACACTCACAAGCACGCACGCAGACAGTCAGACAATAATAAAAAATAGACACTAAAAGACAAAAATAAGTATTAATATTTGAATAATTGAAAAAAAAAGAATAGAGAGGGTATAGATAGTAATAAAAGATATCATTTGTGTAATACACAATCGATATTAATCACTACCTCTTGCACGCTCTCTGTTAGTACTGAAGTACTCTCTTTGATGAACACATACATTAATTGGTGATTTTCTTCACAATCTCTTTGGCGAAAAGAAGTACAACTGGAAATGAAATCTATTAGGGAGCAAAAAATTAAGCTAGTAATTTTTCGTTTTTTTGTAATAAATAGCGATCTCTTAGATGATAAGTTTCTTTTGTAAAAATTTCTTTTCTTCTTCTTCTTCTTTATTGATATATAAGTGAATATATATCAATAGATTCTTGTTGATGCTGATAGGAAACAGCTAAGAAGTAACTGTAAAAGTTTGTATAATCTGGTAAACAGAAAAAGGATATAGGTAGAAAAAAGGAAAACAAAAAAAAAAAATGAATTAAAAATTAAAAATTACAAAAACATAAATTAAATTGAAAAACTACAAATGTTAGACAAAATAAGAGAAGAGTCAAGCTAAATCAGGTGTATAATGGGATATTTTTGTTTGCAATAGAGTTTTAAATAAAAGTAAAAGTAAAAATAAAAAAAAAAAAAAATAAAAATAAAACTTAGTCCTTTGCAAAAAAGGGGGGTGAGACTCAATAAAAAGAGTTTAGAGCGATGTAGGAATAGAACTCAAAAGAACAATTTAATTTATGAAGAGATGAGATGGACTATATACAGGATTTGCATTATATAGGGGGGAAATAGAGAGAGGGACTGTTTTGCCTAATTTTGTTTGGATGGTTTCGCACGACTCGAATAATTTAGTGTAACCCTTATGATGGAATGGTGGAGGGATCTATTTATCCACCACAGATCAAGATAGTCAACTAAATAATTATTATTATTATTATTATTATTATTAATATTGCTATATAAAATAATTCATTTAATGAATTGAATGATTACAGTAGGAGGAGAAGACATGCGATGGTAATGATCTCACCCTCATTAAAACCATCATGAGATGATTTCAATTTCTATAAATAAGGTTAATTTAAAAATAAATCACTAACAAAATGATTTACCCGCACGACTCTGATCCCTCCACTCCACTCCTTTTCCCTTCCCTTTCTCCCTGCTCTCCCTAAATCATTTTTCAGCGCCGCTTAAGAAAATATGATGATTATTGTTTTTATTAAAATAATAATAATCAATTGATAATGATAATTGTGATGACTTATCTATCAGCTACCATTATAATTAATCTTAAAATTAAAAATACAATTATAAATTATAATATTAACTTAATTTACTATACTAGAGAATGGAGGGGTGTATGTTGTGGTTAGGGTATAAAGCCTAATATTGTTTCACTCCATTTACTATAAAATCGGTTGTGATAATTAAAACTATCCTAATTTAATTAAAACCATGTGTGTTTATTTGATTGATTGTCTCTGTGTCAATATGTCACTCCCGCTAACTTTATTTTGAATGATTATCAATTTCTATTTGTGTAAAAAAGATAAGCTTTTCTTTTTTTTCTCAGTAAATTGATGAACGAGATAATCTTAGTCCTCCCCTAAAAAAAAGACAAAATTTAAAACCACAACAACTAAAATTACAAAGTGGAGATTTTGTATCACTAAATTTTTGTTTTCTTCTATCTAATTCTATATTCTTCTATTAATTAATAGATAAGTATACAGTGGTTTATTTTTATTTTTCATAACTAGCCGCTTACTCAAGCGCAACCATTTTATCTTTTTGGTATGCTCTTTGGTTATCTTTAGTTACCGTGGATTCCAGTTATCTTTAACCACTTAAGTGGAAATATTCCTATTTATCACCTCCATTAGAATTGACTCTGAACCGATATCTATCTATCGATATCAATTGAGCGATGATCATCGATTAATTTAACTTAATAATTGAATCAGCTATAGTCAATTCCACGTTTTAAAAAATAATTACAATTGGTATACTCCACAACAAATTACATTTTAATACTTTATTTGGTCTGTACTGCATGGATTCAGCAGTACCACAAGTAAAATCGCAAGCCCCACCTTTTGACAAAATCTGATAAAAATTGCGCACGTGACTTGTGGGTCTCAAACCCTAACCGGATCAACTTAATCAAAAATGTCAAAAAGTAATGCTCTCCTGAAAAGCGCATTACATATGTACCAATACAGAAAAAATAAGTTTTTAAGTCTATTTATTTTTTTTTGCATCCATTTTAGTTCTCACTGTTTATTTTTTTAACTTTGTCATATGCACGCTTTAATTTTTTGATGTAAGTGCGGTATGGGTGTTTGGAGTAAGTTATACTTTCTAATCTCTAAAATAATGACATAATCAATATAAATGTGTTCTTAAAGAAAATCCAGTTATCTGATCTTATGATAATTCATTATTCTAACTTTATTTATCATCTTAATTCTAAACATTTTTATTCTCTCAAATTTTAATTTTGTTTTTGAAAATGTCGCACGGTTTACTATGTTTTACTTGGCTGCATATACACATGGAAGAATTTCGATTTCGGCATTTGTATTTATTTGTTGATGAAAATGATGTAATTTTAAATTAATTAGATTTCAATTATACCTCCCCCACCTGCTATATTTCTTCCCACTTGTTGTAGTCCTATCTTGTCTCGTGTTGTCTTATCTTGTCTTGGCCATAATCTATGGAAATTATTAATACAACGTCAAAGTTTTATTCTCTGCCTCAGCGCTAATCAATACATCAGGTACTTGACATTTCGTTTGTTCTTTTTTTTTCTTACCGACGTTCTTGCGCTTTTATTTTATTTACTTCGAACCTCGAAGATAATGGATCATAATACCTAAACAAGGAAATATTACTCTTTTCAATATCGTTTCATGTTTTCCTGAAATGAAAGAGTTTTTAATATCCTCTAAGTATAAAGGTAATTATTTAGAATGTGAACATATGTTTCCAGTATAAGCGAAGTTGACTCTTGGTATTTCCCACAAATAAAGAGTTCCCTTAGTTCTTCAATTTTGATTTAATATCGCCTTCAAAAATAACCTAATTAATGATCCGAAAACTTTACCATAAAAGATATAGCAATGTCTACAATCCCGTATGGATTGAATTTCATAACGTTATTGTGAATATATAAACGTTCTAGGTAATTGTTTCCCTTTTGTTAAAATGGTATTTTTCGAACCTGGAAATATTATATTAATTAGACTTCGCCATTTATTGGATCAATTATATCTACTATTATTGTGGATATATTAACTCTAAAAGTTTAAATTTTGATTAAGGTTACCCTCCACCAACCCCTATCAGTTCGCGTACTGTATATTATTTCAGTTAAAGCGCAAAAAAAAAGTTTATAAAAAAAAGCGAGGAGAGCCGAAATTCAAGTCAACTTGTACAGTTCATTTTGTGGCTTTCAAATACAATACAATGTAAAAACAGAATTTCATCATTGAAAAACTATAATGCGTAAATGATCCGAATTGCAAATCATTTTAATATAGTTTTGTTCTATTTTATATTTACAGAAATCGTAAGTCATTCTATTTACAGTGTTGTTTTGCATACATTCCTATCGTTCATTCTTTTCTGATTAAATTGAGACATTTTTGAGTTCTGCTCCAATCTTGGTGCCAATAATTATCCTCGTAGCAATGTTTAAAATTGGTAGAATTTGGTGGCACAAACCAATAATTTAAAGCAATATGAACGTTACTTAACTTATTCTTTTGATTGCCTTCTTCATTCACATTACCCTGTGATTTATCTCCAAAACTTGAGACTTCATGAAACCAACCAGCCGGTAAATATAACATTTCACCTCGTTTCAACCATACTTTATAGTTGTTCAATTGTAAAAATCCAGGGAAATACCTATTAGCAAAGTCAATTAATTGTCGGCGAACCTTTTCATCGGGAAATTCATCAATATGTAACAAACTAGGAGGAATCTTTGAAAAATTAGGAGGATCAAGCTTCTTAATAGGGATGAAGTCTGCAAATTTCTTCTGTTGTTTAATGATGGACTGTAACTCATTTAATAATTTAATCCTTTCTTCGCCCTTAACAGCATCATTCTCTAATGTCCAATCAATGATATCTTCAAGAATAGCGCCATCATCTCGAATATGTTTCCAATTAGGAGCATTTTCATTGATCTCATAATCAATTATTCCACTATTGAACAATTTGAAAATACTACCGATAGTATGTAATTTAGTGGCATCAGCAGGACTGAATAAGGTGAACCTCTTCTTACCTGAAGCTAAGATATATAAATTATCTGCATGATCATGATGCAAACCTGAAGATGTTCCTCCTCCTGGAATATACTTGCCTAAGCCTAATGATTCATGATCTCGAGAATTGAGCTTGATCTCAGTGTCTTTCAATGAACTATTACCCATCCATAAGTTAATCTGTTGTGGGATTAAGGTTGAAAACAATTGTGGTCTGATTGATAATACTTGAGGATGATGAACGAGATTAGTTAATGGTGGTTGTAATAGTTCTTTTATTCTTTGATCTGACTCGGACTGACGAAGTTGTAATTCCTCATCAAGAAGATCATCACCTTCTTCGGGTTCTTCTTCTTCTTCGCTCTCTTCAAAATCATCATGAAGATTGTTCATGTCTATCGAAGAGGTATCAGAAAAGTCACTATCTTGAATATTGATTGAGATGGGAGGAAGTTGCTTATCTTCTTCTTCTTCTTCTACTACTTCTTCTTCGTTGTCGTCTTCATCTTCAGGATCCTCATCTTCAGGATTCTCTACATCAATTCCTTCTTCTTCATTATCATCTTTGATTCTATCGTTTTCCTCTTCTTCATCCTCTTCATCGACTGTATTTTCGTTGCCATCATCTTCTTCGTCTCCTTCTTCATTAAATTCTTCTTCTAAGTCACCATGCTTCTTGGGCTCATCAAAATCATATTGAGTAGTCAAGTAATATTCATCATGACCATCACCAAACAACTGAATCAACTTTTCAAGTGAAAATTTCTCCCTTTCTTGACCAGAACCAAAACCAGCCTTATATTTTCTCTCAATTTGCAAGTCTAAGTCATAGTTTAGTGTTTCCAATATATTTTCACTGGAGAATTTACTAATATCAAATTCTGATCCATCCTCACCAATTAATGGATAATTCACCAATTTCACTGGCTTCCGAGGTGAAATATACACATTGAAGAAATCAATTGAACTAATGGCCTTGCCTTTGTCATTGAAATCTAATTGATCTATGTCCTCATCTTTATTTCCAATAATGAAATTCTTATAATTCGAAGTCAATGTCGTTTGCAATTTTTTTGGTCTAGACATTGGAACCAAATAATGAAAGTGTGTATCTGTAAGGTGTCAACATTGAAGTTGTCTTAGTGAAATTCCAAGGTTGTTACCTCCTAAGGAACTGCAGCGTAAATCTCGGGGGATGTAAGAACGTATTGCAATGCCCCTATCAAATAAAACAATTACTGCAACTTTGTGGCGCCGTACAACGAAAGAGTTACGTAAACTTTTTTCAGCAGTTAATGATTCAGTTTCTGTCTGTCTGTCTGAAATTGAATTAAATATAACACCAGCCTGTGACTTTAGTATATGAACCAAATACTTTTCTAATGTTGAAGGAAAGGATCGGGATGAATTGACTTGATGGTTTGTAGTTTATTAACAACAATTATGAAGTAATATTCAAGGAAGAGTAAAACGATGTGATTTTTATTTCATGTCTGATTTTTTTTCCTGTCGTTTCTTTGTTTTGTGATCGTTCGACTTCTTCGTTCCAGAGATAACCTTTCATTCACCGCATGAGAGAGACGATTAATTCAAAGTAAAATAGACTTTAAGTATTGTTGAAAGCATACAATAGGTCGTGGGTTTACATCTGGTGTATAGTAGAGAAAGTTAATTTTTCAATGGGATATGTGGGAGGGGGGTTAGACAAACAATTAGATAGTATTTAAAACAACAATTTATGTCCGCTTCTGACGTTAACGAGGCAATTCAAAACCTACACTTAAACAAAAGGATATTATCTGGTTAGGAAGAACTATTATCCCCTAACAATAAAGACAATTAAATGAGGGATTGAATAAAAGAAGGTTTTATACCTTATTTAACCCTTTCTGGAATAATTCAATGTAATTACATAATGAACGGTGACTGAATATTCAGAATGCGTAAACTGTAAGAGACAATAAAAAAAAAAAAAAAAAAAATAAAAAAGACAAAAAAAATGTTAGAAATGGCATCAAAAACTGAGTTAATATTTAACACAGTTTTAGAACAATACCATAGTCAGACAATTCGGACAGTGAGTGTGTGGGTACCTTTGTTCAGTATTAACTTTATCGAATATTTTCTAACTTTAATGTGGGTATTCATGATTCACACATAGCTTAAGTAGTAAACGTCGTCTAATTGAGTTAGTAGACACTCTTGAAAAATTATTTTTCAAAAAAAAATGTCTGCTTGAACATTTGATTTCAATCACTTCCTACATTTTACACATTTTCTTCACCCTTTGTTCTGGGTTAAAAATACCAACAGCCCTTTGATAAGTATGGCGTATCCATACTTTACATAGGGTTCTCTGTTTTAAATAATATTTAGTAACCACTAAATCAAAAAGGGGAAGTCGAACCAAACGTCTTGAAATTCAAAACTACTATAAATAAACAAATCGAACTACACCGATCAGACACAGCAATAAAAAATGTCGGTATGACTCCTTTTTTGTCTTGGGGTTATTTCTTTTTGCTTCAAAAATAAATCGCAGTTTAGCCCCCTTCCCACTCCCCTCGCTACCCCTATACACAGTGAGGAAAATTATCTGATAGTGAGGATAGTGTCCCCTGATAGTAAAGACTTTTGAAAATTTCAAGGCAATGTTTTACAGTAAACATATAGTTTATAGTCTTACATACAATTCTATGTCATTTTTAACTCTTCACATATCTCCAAAGCTACCTACTTGGTTAAGTTTCTTTTTCGATTCGTAAGTAAGTTGTCTGTTAGAAGCTTGATATGCATCTGTCTGTTTCTGGAGTTTAAGTAATTTCGATTCCATTCAATTGAATGGAATCGGCGTCATAGCTCTCGATACCTTTTCACTCGCAGTTTCTCTAAGCCTTTTTTCAAATTAATACTATTTGGAAAGCTTCCTATCTTTGACTATGATTATTATTTTACTTACTATTGTCCTTATTTATTTATTTTTGGCTTTTTTTATTTTTATTATTATTATTTTTTTTCCTCACTATTCGAAGAATTTCAGGATAGTCTACGCAAAAAAAGACTTATATGGCTGCAGTTATTGTCTCTTGAAAGATTAGCAATCTCTTAAGAAAATAATATATTTGGCCGTAATACGAACTATTATTATTATTTTCCTGATAATGGCAGTGTTGAATAATTAAACCAGATCGGGTTACAGTTAGGATATATTACATCTGGAGCCAATTGGCATGTTGTTGCAGTTATTGACTCGAAGCAAACATTTTTCACTTTCCTCGTTCATTTCTCGTTCAACATTCACTTACCTTTTTAGGTCAAACCATGTTTTGCTTACATGATATTTCTGTCATTCTTGTAACTTCAATTAGCTTTCGAGTAACACCTGTGTTGTATTAATCTTTGGCTCGCGTTCAAACTCGAATTATCCTGGACAACGGTTATACGTTAAGTAAAATCACGTCGTTAAAATTAGCTGATAAAAAAAAAGGCAAAGTGGTTAGTTGCTCGCAAAACAAAAAAACCCTTGTTATCAAAGACTCTCCCTGTAAAAATTCTCCCTATGATTTTTCTAATGAGTCTTGGCCTCACTAAAATAATTCCATGCGTCCTTTAATTCTGAATAAAGTAGTCTAAGCTACGTTTAAATGCAAATAACCACCTTTCTTTAGGGCGAGCCTTTTTTGTTAGGCGTCTTCATAGTAGATTCTATATGTAGCATTGAATCAACCGCTGTAGTATCTGCTGACTTGAGCTATATAAAACGTATACATAATTATGCCTTAAAACCTTATGACATTTTATTATGTGCACTTTTAAAATTTTCCAAATTGGTGATAAATATTTATTTTTTCTTTTTTAATTAATTGATAGTTTAATCTTTTATATCGATATCTTTATTTTTAATCACTTTTCACCCCTTTAAACTAATTAAACTTTATGAATAAATGATTCAATTAGAACATAATCAATAATATAGCTTCTTTCTAATTTAAATTTACGAATTTAATTAGAAATTTCTTTCTGCGGTATGTGAGATTGGTGAAAATTTGATTATTTTGTGTGCTGCAGTTTGTGCAAAATGATCGGCAAGTGTTTGATTTAGGGAGAAACTGAGGGAGGATAATTAGCTTTGTTCCATTACTCTGTTTCAGCAGGGTTAATTTAAGTTTTCATTTCAATTTGGACATTGCTACATTCTTGTTCATAGTTGAACCAATTAGTTTCATGATATAGCTTGTAATATTTAATTAAAAATAAAAAATGACGACTAAATAATAATATAAAAGAATTTCACGTATAAAAATATTCACATAGAGCAACGCAATGTTGAATGCAAATGAGAATTTTTTCAATGGTTAACTTAATTAGCCAATTGAAAATAATCACTTAGGAAATGAAAATAAAGGAAGATCTACTAATGCAGCAAAAACCATTAACTGAATGACAGTAAATACTAGAAATAGTAAAAGCAGGGAATAACTTCGTTAGCTGAGAAAATTCTCAATATAGATGTAAGCGTAAATGCTTTGTAAAAATGCTTTGGATATGTTTATGGAAGGATATGAGTGTAGTAGAATGAATTGAATGAATAAGAACCTTTTTTTATGAGTTTTCTGTGTTTTTAAGATATGTTTTTCTCTGTTTTAATGGTTTATTTGTTTAGTATATAAAATCACCTCCTGTAGAATAAAATAAAAAAAATTAAAAAAAATTAATCAATATTTCACGATAGTTATTAAAAAGTAAAAACCAGTTTACAATTTATCATGTAATAACCAATCGTGTTCCATAAAATATTTCGTAAGCAACATTAAGCACCATAATGAGATTACTCAACCCACCAACACGTAATTTGAAAGATCAAGGAATAAAAAACAACGGCTTGTTAACACTCTTTGTTCTTTTAAGATGATTACCAGAATCAACTTCTTGGATTTTGTTAACTTTATTTTCTACTACAGCATCAAACGATCTTTTCTTTGGTGGAAGAAATGGTGGATTCATTTCTCTGATACCATTAGATGGAGCAACATCAGCGGCAACGGTAGCAGCATCAATCACTGTTGATGTTCCTTTGACATTATTTGGACTACCTCTAGAAGAAGCTGGAGTATTTGGATCAATGTTCATATCATCACTTGATTCATTTTTCTTTTCCAGATCACTAAAAATTTCATCACTACTAAATCTTTTTGGGCTAGTGCTATTAGAAATAGGAGTCAATGGTAAAACTGTGGATCCAGTTTTGGCACCAACAAGTGGGATTGAAGTACCAACAGAATTAACACCGTTAGCAGTAAGACTCATACAAGCGATGGATCCGATCCTTGGAGTGACTGGTGGTTCTAATAATGTGTTTAATGAATCTATGGCACAATGAACAACGGATCTCATCAATTGAGTATATTTACCACTTTCACTAAAATACTTGATTTCTAAAGATTTTGGTGGATGATCAATGATCTTAACTAAATTCTTAAAGAAAGATTTAGAAAATAATGATTGGAATGATGCAACAGATAAAATCTCATCAAATTCTTCACCTTCATCAGCAGTGATGTTTAATCTATATTCTTGAGATTTTAAAATATCATTGTAGTAACCTAATAAACTTATTAAATTGATTGGTAACTTCAACATTAAGATACTAACCAAGATTGAAATTAAAGCAATTTGAGATGAAGTATAATCAAAATAAATATTTGGATAAAATTGAAATAATTCTCCACAGTAAGTAGCTAACAATTTAATCTTGTGGTGACTTCTCTTGATTAAGGTTGAAACATTGGAATTGCTATTGTTATGAATGATGATATTCAAGAAGACGTCAATAAAAGCATCAAAAGTTGGACTATTGACATTCCATTCTAATGATTTTAAGATATGTTTTTCCATTTCAATAAATAAATCTTTGAAATAACTATCAACACAGATCTTTCTTAAATCATTCAAAGTTGGAATCTTGAATTTAGAATCTAAATTCTTACAACTAATCCAAAGGCTGGTTAAACCTAACAATTGATAATGTTGTTTCTTGACAATTCTAGTTGAACAATATCTATCAATCAAATTAACAGTTAATGGAAAGGTTGATTTTGATAAATTCAAAATAGTAATCACTTCCATTAAGAAATCTAACAATAAAGGTCTCATACCTAACTTAATTTCTGGTTGTTGTTCAATTAATGCCAAGCTTGGTAAAGTTTTGGTCTCTGAATTTAATAAGTGATGTAAGATCTCCATTTGATAATCACAAACTGTGATTGAATGACACTTGAACTCCATGGATTGCAAATTCAAATTGGAAGCCTTGAGAGACGAGTTGTACATACGAATTGGATGGAACAAGTCTGGTGAGTTTGGAAACATGATTGAATTTGATCTATTAAACTGTAATAATAACTTCTAGTGATGTGTAATTTCTAATAAAATTGGCTGTAAAAATTTTGATCCCTATGGTTTGTAGGAAAATGTCGCTGTTGTCGTCCTTTTTAAAAATGTCTAAAGAATGGATTGAATGTGTAAGAATAGATAGATCTAGATGGTTGGAATATCTGGGATTATCTGTGAATATATACAATTGAAGAATTGATTAGATGATGTAAATAATAATTGTCTATTCGTAAATCAATTTAACATTAAATGACAGTAAGGTTGAAATGTATCAAGTAATGGAAATTTGAGTTGTAAAAGTTTTTCAAAGAATGAAGATTATGATGATGATGAATGCTGTATGAAACAAGATGCTGATGGAGTAGATATGATTGTAATGATAGTTACTACTAGTAGCAATGACAATATGACAGAATATATGTATGAACCAACAAACACCGGAACCTAAAGCACACAACAATGCAATTTTTTATCAATCAAAAAAATTGAAGAATGAAAGAATGAATATACTATGACCAGTATGAATTGATACTTAATTAAGTAAAGTACTCTAATATGTATGATTTTGTATATACGTTGTAGTATATAGTAAAACAAAACAAGTACCAAATAATTAAGTAAGAATGGAATGGAATAGATCTATGATTCAAATACAGTTGAATGACAGATATCTATATAAAATGGAAGAGAAATGAAATAGAGAGATGAGAAAATGACTAAAACAGATGCAAAGAAGAAAAGAAGTCTAGTCTATGAATTATTTGAATGCAAATAATCAATAACTATAACAAAAGGCAACACTAATAAAAGTATTTGTTGAAATACTATTATTAAGTAGAAGAAAAGGGGAAAAGGTAAGATGGAATAACTGTTTATGAAAAAGTTATAAATCAACTAAGTCCAAGAATTTAAACTTGAAAGGAATCTGGATATATATATATATTTTTTTTAGAAGCCATTGTAAAAATATGGGATAGAAATGGACAAAAAATAGATTTAGGTATATTAAAAAAAAGCCTCTTCTATATCCTCCTCCACCCACTACCACCAATCCACCTTATATCACAAAGATCTAAACAAACTATATTTCAGTTTTACCATAGTTAACTCAAATAATATAATAAAAAAAAAGGAGTTACACTTTTTTTTGGTGGTTATCTGTTTTGTGTTTTGTCGACTATTTTATCTGTACAATGTTAATTATTCCATTATCTATCTTGAAAAAAGATACCTGTGTAATCAGGAAAAATTATTTTTTAAATTTCTTCTCTATTACTTGCATGATGCATGTATTTTCAAGAAAACGACCACAAATTAAGAGTCTAAAATATTTTTGTCTTTTTTTATTTTTTTTTATTTTTGATGTTGAATTTCTTTTTCTTCGGTAAGTGCACACTACCTATAAGGAATTTTTGAACTAAATGTCGTCGTCGTCAACTAGCAACCTTGATTAGTGGGGATTGATTGAGAGACAACAGACAAAAATGAAAAAAAAAATACTAAAAAAATAAATAATAGGATTAAAGAGCTAGACAAACAAACTATAAAATGATGAAATCCTTATTTCTTACTTACAACGCCTTGATAATAACGGGATTGCAAACAACAACCTGAAGTAAGTGTGACAATGAACTATTATCCTCTACTCAAGGGTGAATAAGTTGTACTGAAAATGTGTGACCAACTCAACTGGAAAGACAAAGGCATATAATTATTATTGATCTGTCAACTGACAGATAAGTTAGTCTCCATGACAGCTTTTTGTAAATGATGATTAACATAAAAAGCGCAAAAGTGTGTTAATTAACAGCAGAGTTTTTATCGCTGGTCATTTTACACGAGGGCTATAGCAGAGAGTCTTTACCTTCATTTACTATTAATATGAAGATGGATGTAGTAATGGATCAAAGTGTTCAATTTTATCAGCCTTTGCTCATAATCACAAAACCAAAAATGAAAAAAAAAAGATTTTAAAAATAATAGTAACTGAAAAATATATATAGAAAAAAAATCAAAATTATAAACATGTGTAAACATACTTTGTTACTCTAGAATCAAAATCATACAACGCTGAGGATATTTGCTCTCTCTCAATTTACTGCAAACCTCTGTAAGTTGATGTATAAGTTCTTGAGATGAAGTCGAGATTTAGTCTCTCATTTTGACGAACGAAATTACAATGATGCTACAATTTGAATCAATAACGTTAGGTGACAGAATGTGTTAATTCATATGGAATCCTGTAAGGCTTCTCCTTAGTATTATTCAGTGATATAGCCCATTGCTAAATATTATATAATTTTCATCTATCGGCCACAATAAAAGCGTTAAGAAAAATATATATATAAAAGGTATTAATCGACTGTATACAGGAATGCAATTCGATGCAATTAGATTTCCATTTCGGGATTAATTGGGTAATATGTAAAATATATACTAAAAAATATCATGATGAACAAAGTTTTGGTGAATAAACATTTTCCCCAGTTGATACAATGCCTTTAATGGTTAGTATTCATTCATTATTTAATCCCAATTGGTAAACCTGTTAATATAACATAGTGGCCTATAACGCGGATTTATTTGATATAGTAGAAATTTTCAATGTTTTTAACCTTGATTTCTTTCCGGGTTATCGAATGTTAAATGTATTTACAAGCATTCTAGTTATAAAAATGGGATTACACCTCTTGTATATCACACAAAGACGCAACATGAATCTATTTTTATATATAAATTTTCTTAATTAGAGAAGAGAAAGTGGTTCGTGGTTATGGTCTATGTTTGAAAAACTCTTCCTAATAAGAACCACCTAACGTAAAAACTTCCACTAAATTGAAAAATGTAGACATTTTTTTTTTAATTTTTGCAAATCGGGCAATAAAATCCAAACTGGTAAAAGTACGCTTCTCCTATTACTGTACCATTTCAAGGAGTACATTAATTTAAGTTAAACGTTTGGACTAGAGTAATCGGATAGGGAGACTTTGAAAATTATTTTATTGATTTATATATTTTCAATTCAAATCAACATGTATACCCCTTTCCCATCGATTACGACTATGCTAAAGTAAATTCATATTTAAAGGAGTTTATTTAATGTTGAACTATTAGGATAGGAGACGACTTTGAATTGTTCTTCATTCAATTGATATAATCGAGGCAGTTAATTTAAAGAATAGATTATTAATTACTTCGATGATCTAGCAGTACTGATTTGTGGAGCAAAATTTCAATTTAAAGTCTTCTCCTTATAAACTTTTGAAAAAGAGTCTTGGAAATTTTATGAAAAATATTTTATTTTATTTTTTTTGGCCTGCTTTTGTTTTTGCAGTTTACGAGTCCCGAAATTTTAATTGTTTTTGTTTTTGAGTCTCTTTTTTTACAGCTTTCTGTAGTGCGACATTTCCTCCTTTGCTGGCTGTTTAAGGCAGACAAATTGTCAAGAATAACCTAACCACATTTTGTATACATATTCCAAATTACATACAGTTGAACAAATGGAAAACGTTCCTTATTGCCTCCTATTTTATCAGTATCATTCAATCATCATGGAACTACTATGATTAATAATAATTATACTGTATAATGCAACGTTAGCTGAATGTTACGGTCCGTTATATTACGTCTTTCTTTACAGTAAATTCTTTGTATTTATGTTTCTTTTTTTTTCGGTTCATTCGCCGCAACACTTAGCGGATCAACGTATATTTAATTGGCTCAACTTGACTTGTGTAAATCAATTGTTTATTGCTTGATTTATAAATCATTCACCTATTTGATAGATTGGGTTTATTCTTCTTCGTCATGTGGTCTAGTGATATGTATTGTATGTATTGTGACTTTGATCTTTCCAAATCGAAGAGTCTCCATGACTACTCACAAACTAGAGTAAACTTTTTTTATCTATTTGTGTTATAATTTAAATTATATAAACTCATAGTTTTCATTGTTCTGATTTCAAATTTTGTTCTCTACGATGGTTAATTCCATTTTCCAGAAGAAACCTTCTCCACTACTTCCTATTCATTGTTGTAGACTTAGTTTAATTGTTTACATGTTCTCTAAAAATTTTAATTGTTTAAATGATCATTTAATATTAAATGAGAATATTCTGAAATTTCCTTCCTTATCGGATAAAAATCCTGATTATATATAGATAAATGTTAATTTTAAAATGAACCAATTCCAAGATTATAGTTTACAACAATCACGTATAAGATTTCACTAACAATACGAAAGAGTTCCTCATCTCATTAGTTTATCTAATATTGTGTGTTGATGATTGTTTAAAACTCCTTAATTTCCACCTCAGTAGCCATGGCATTCCCTAAATGAAAGTATGTCGCACTAAACGTAAATTCTTGTTGAACAAATAAAAAATTTTCTGTGTAATAAAGAAAAATAAAAAAAAAACTGAGGATACCCGATAATTTTTGATCCTAGCAACTAAAAGTGGTACATACCGGGATTTTGAGTTAAGTAGTTCAAGCAACGTCTAAAAGCTCATCTCGAAATTTTTCATCACCCGGTTAACATCTTCCATTCATTGGGTTAACGAAATAGACAAGGCTTAACTGGTCATCTCATCGCAAGAAGAACCCCTGTCCAAGACCTTTTATAAATTGATTGATATAATAACAGGTGACTCCCATATAAAGTTAAGTACAGATAACAATGTCAGAAGTGGAATTCCCATCTACCAAAGAGGAATTGGTGGCCAGACATAAAAAAGAAGCTAAAGATTTAATAGCAACTATTACTGGATTAAAAAAGCAAGCAACCAAAAAGACGAGAAAAAATGTAATGTCAAAATGTCAGGAACTTCAAGACCAACTAGACAAGAAGCAAAAGGAAGAATTAGCAAGCTTTGATCAAGATAATGTGAATGTTGACGATAAAGGCGCAGTCAATGATGATTCGATTACTCCAGAATCGTTATTAGCTCAATTGGATCTTCAAAAGGTATCACAAGAACCATCTTCATCAGAAGTCAACGTTACTCCTCAACAAACAAAAGGGAAAAGAAATCGTCAAAAGGAAAGACTTGAAAAACGTAAGCATGAAATTGAAAGAATAAAAGAGGAAGCTAGAGCGGAAGCTGCTAATACAATTGATTATAGACAAATAGAAATCGATTCAATGAACCAAGTGTTAGCATTAAATGATCTCCAATTACATGAAATCAGACCTGATGGTCATTGTTTGTTTGCTTCAATCCAGGATCAACTTTTGATACGACACCAAGAAGAAAAATCAGTGCAAGAATTGAGAGAATTAGCTGCCGATTATATTTCTAAACATAGAGATGATTTCATACCGTTTTTATTCGATGAAAAGACAATGGAGTTGCGTGATATGGACTCATATCTCGAAGAGCTTACCACTACGGCTATGTGGGGCTCTGATATGGAAATACTTGCTCTTGGTAAGTCGTTTGATTGTCCAATCAGTATATATATAGCAGGAGCAGCAACTATGACCATCAATGAAGATGGGGCTGAGCCAAAATTAAGGTTAGGATACTACAAACATACTTACGGATTAGGTGAACATTACAATTCGTTAAGAGATATTGTGGTTGATGAACAAGAAATTGAAGACGAAGATGCTAATTGATAGATTCCATATATAGATTATAGAAGCTCTAATTTTCAATAGGGAGACAAATTTCTTGCGACTTTTTTTGAATCACGTGAATTTCTCAAGAATTATACTGCGCTTAGCACCATGCGAGACATTTCTTTTTTTGACTAAAATAATTGGCTCTCCGCATTTTGATCTCGTAAATTTATATAGTAAAGTAGTCACCGGAAAAATGTTAAAATAAGATATCACAAATCCGTATTAGGAAATTTTTACGAGGTGCATATAATTCCTAATTGTTAATTATAAACTGATGATAAATTAATATGGCTCGTAGGTGGAAAGTCATTTTTTGTTATGTTTTCGTTATATTCTTTGATGATGGAATATTGGTGAAGAGAAGCAGTATTGAACTATGTATATGTAGCGATCTAAATGATTTAGACCAATTTTTTAAATTTTTCGCATAGTTCTGATCACATGCCTTCAACAATCTAGATTTAAAATTAACCTAGACTCTACATATTTATTTAAAAAATAGATTCATTTCATTCCATATCAATTTAGAATGATTTTTAGTTCAAGGCAGCCAAGAAATGGGGAAATTCTTGGAGTAAAGATAGAAAAGGTTTGTGGTTAAAATCAATGGAAGATGTAGACATGACAAGGCAGGACTCTCTTAATAAAACAAAACTACAGGCGGGGATGACGGTTTTCTTTATGTGTTTCCGTATAATTAGAAAGAACAACTGGGTAACAAATAGCAACCCTGCAAATGAAGATGTATCAACTTGGCTTCAAATCATACATACGAATGTATAATTGAATCTCATCTACAAGTATGTGGCATGTTATTAAAATGTCAAGACGATTTTTTTTTCTCTTCATTGTTCTTCAAAAATCGGAGGCGAATTAATTTTACGCGGAACATGAAAGGCAACTAGAGTGAGGGGATTACAAGGATCTTATCGAAGGCAATTTAAGATTTTAATCAACTTCACGTAAGTAAAAAAGCACAAATTGAAATAATTTTCAGATGCTGTTAGTGGTTGAGTGAAAATACGGACAATGTCGAATCAATCCTTGAAAAATTATTCATTAATTTTAATTGATTCACAAATTAAGATGTATTTTCACAAGGAATTGACTAAAAAATTTGAGTCAAGATTAACAATGTAATGTAAAATAATAAATCTAAAGGAGAGTCAATCTATAAATTTCTTATAGTTTTAATTGGTGTAAATCAGCAACCAAGGTGATAACAAAACCAGAAAATGAGGAGTGCGATGGTCAATTTTTTAAGATTTATTTTTGAGGTCCCTCCTTAATTTCATATTTTTTTAAAGATTTATTTCCTTGAACAGCTAAAGTAATCAATATTATTTATGACAATATATTATCTAACATTGTAGTGAATTGTATACTATTGTAATATATAATATTTTAAATTAAACTTGTAAATAACAAACCTTAATTTATTAATGCTTGTTAATAATAATAAGAGTACGAATAGGGATTTATTCCTAATTGAGTTTGGTGACAAGAGTACACTTAGAGATAATTAAAACAAGTCTAGTTGAGGTGAAGCTCTCCTCCACATTTAGGACTGTATTAGACTATAATCAATGGTTATTCAATCTTTTGTTATTTCTTTCAGCCGAATCTTTGGTATTAGTATTGTTCTTAGGCTGGCTTGATTGTCCATAATTGCAAGAAACCACCATTGTAATTAGACGACAAATACAATCGAGTGCAATTAAGTTATGAGTTTGATTTTCTAGTTATTTGTCGTTGATCAAAAAGTGCCACTATTTGTTGTGCTCATAATAAAGGGGAAGGAAAATCATTGCATGATTAATATCACCGATTTCTTTAATCATATCATGGCGTACGACACCATGCGCTTAGTTAAGAGCGGTAGTCCTACTTTTATTATCTAAACTGTTAAAAATAAAATTTGGCTTTAACAGTGTCCACAAGTTGTAGGTAGTACTACATAAGTGCATTTTTATATATATTTTTTTTTTAAATATTTTTATTTTTTTTTTCATTGGCGGATAAAAAATAAGGAATCCTGATAAGTGAGGTAGCCATTTCCTAATGAGGTTAAATTATAGATTCTCGTTATTTTTTACATTATTTTTATTTTTTGGACGTAGTACAATGGCCATGCTCTTAATTATTTTATTATTATTTTTACACTTACATCCTTGTACGTATAATTTTTAAGGCAGACAGACCAGACAGACATTTCGACACTGAAAGGCAGACAGTCAGACAGACATTCGTTGAATAATTCTGACAGAGGCAGGCGACTAAATAGAGAGAACCTCAGACACTCAAACGGCACATCAAGTAAAAATGCTTGTACATAAAAAATTCATTGTTCGATGGAAAGTGTGGGATAGAGATAATAGATATTATAAGCTACGGCTCTCATCTCCATATTTCATTCTCTTCTCTACTTGAAAGAGCTTCACCTCACCCCGTATTTATAAATACTTGTAACATGATATATACCAAAAAAGACTTTTCAATGAAGTCATTGAAAGCTTATTTACTTTGCCTCGGCAAGCGGGAGCTTTGATCTGAAGAGGCACAACGATAAAAAACCGTCTTCAAAAACGTTTCAAACAAATGTCTTGAAAAGATTTTTTTTTTATTTTTATTTTAATGTCGTAAAATATTTTTTTCTCATAAAAGGAGCTGAAAAAATAAATAGGAGGCTTGATATTTATAGATGGTGTTAATTTTTACATCTAAAGAAAATACTTATTTATTATTCAATAAATCCTGTTAAGCTAGACATTATAGGAGTTAAAAATAACCTATTTAACTTATTATCAGGAAATTTAATTTAGAGTTAATTTAATACAAATTCTGAACTGATAGCCCCCCGTATTTAGAGATAAGTTGTGGTGGTTTTTTATCTTTATCTTGACAGCTCTTAACTTTACGAGCTAGATAAAGGTTACTTTAATTTGGTAACATTGTCATTGGAAACGGTTGCCATAAGATTGAATTATTTATTAATTATTATTTATCATTTATATTTCATATAATCTGCGTTATTTAATATGGTTGATTATCTTTGAATTCGGATCTGATTCTCTTGTGTCCGGATCTATTTCTTTAACCGTATTTTAATCCCAATTTGTATGTTTTTCTTTTTTTGGGGATCGATTTCTTGTTTAGTCTTTTTCACTTCTGTGTTTATAAATCAATTTATTTATTTTTTCCCACAACCTGGTATGGCATGAGTTCAATCATTTAACCACATCCTGAAACAATACCAACAACCGAACAATGAATTACCGCTAGATGGAATGTGGGAACTAAATTGTTGATATTTTTTAATATGACTCTAAAATGTGGGAGTCGTGGCACGTGATTATTTTTGTGTGGTAAAGAAATGTTGCGGGTATTGGAAAAAAAGAGAAAAAAATAGGAAGCAGCATCATCATCGTCATCAAACCTCATCAGTCTAACAATTTGATAATTTACACATTGATTGTTATATCACAAAATGGGGTGGTTTTGGGCTGATAGTGTTAGTATTAGTGTGGATAAAGGGGCCTCAGGGGCCAAATGTCCTGTTGATCATAAAGCCTTGCAAAAGCCTCAACCACAGCAATCTCTGGCTTGTCCTATAGATCATTCATCATTCAAGTCATCGGCAGGTTCAAGCGGTGAATGTCCCGTGTTAGGCGGAGATGAAGTATTAAATCCATTGAATAATATGCCTATGTCTATTTCATCTGAATTAGCACCAGGTCAAAAGATTAAATTATCTACTGAGAGAACCATTTCTACAATTCCAAGAGGTGAAGCTGACGATCAAGGCTTATGGGAGTATCCATCACCTCAACAAATGTTAAATGCAATGTTAAGAAAGGGTAAAGGGGCAGGTATAGATGAAGAAGCTGTCACCTCTATGGTCGAAGTTCATAACTTCTTAAATGAAGGTGCTTGGCAACAAATTCTTGAATGGGAACAGAAATATACGGTTGATACTAGGATAGAACCAAGATTATCGAAATTTACTGGTAGACCCCACGATTTATCTCCTAGAGCTCGTATGTATTTGTGGTTAGGTCAAGTATTTCCAAGTACGTTCAACTCCCAACCTCCTTTCGATAGACACGATTGGACTGTATTAAGATCATTAGGTAAAAACCAAGGTTGGAAACCAGTCAGATACGTTATTGATTATTATAGTGCTCCTGATGATGAAGAAACTGGTATGCCAGCTTTCGTTTTGGATACAAGACCAGCATTAGACAATCCACAAAACGCTTATGATAGATTTTCTCATTGGTCTTATCCGTTATACAAGAAGGCAATGGGAGAATTTGACAATTAATGAAATCATGAAATGGGGTAATGTTAATACCTATCTATTTATCTTGAGTGCCACTGTGGCACTTTACACTTTGTAAAATACGTCATATCGATAATAACTTAACTTTTATCTTCTGAATTCTATGTACATAATTATTTACAGGAAAATATATATTCTGTTTAAAGGGACCCTAATATCTTAGAATCAACGTTAAATTTTTCTGACAATGATTTTATTAATGTAGGTAACTGAGTTCCAAAGTCTTTTGGTGGATGAATGGCAATATCATTAAGAATTTCTTGAACATTTTCATTAGCACCTCTTCTACTAAAATGATTTAATAAGAAATAGTAGGTAAATTCATTAGGAGAGCTGATTTTATCTTCCTTCAATCTGTGATAATACGATAAAGCAACTCCTTTATTTTTATTTAACATCATTTGAATTACCATATTCCAAACTCTTGTATCATTTCTAACGTTAGCAAGATAAGCTTCAAACAATGCGTCACCTACTTGTAACAGACCTTGTTCAAATTCACCTCTCATCATAACAGTATATAAATGTTGAGCTTTGGGATACTTTTCAACTGCTTTACCAAATAAAACTCTCGCAGCTTCGAAGTTAGAAGCATTATTGATTAAACCATCAATTATGGAAGTGAATGTAAATTCATTCAATTGAATATCTTTAGAATTGTTAATGTTTTCTAATAAACCATCTATATCAGCAGATAAACCTTTAGAATGATGAGCTTTGAAATAGTAATCAATTAAAATAGAATGAGTAGCAACATTTTCAGGAATAGAATTAGATTTCATAAAATTCACAATCCCTTCAACAGCTTTGGCATTAGATGCTTTAGAATAAACATTTAAAAATGAATTCATCACAGTGGTTGACGGCACGTATCCATCGGAACTCATAAAAGTCTTCAATTTGTCTTCTGCTTCTTGAATCTTCTTATTATGAAGTAAACCGAGTAACACATTATTCTTAATTGGACTGATCATTGGTAATTTTCCACTTTCAACATACTTCTCTAAGTACTCATCGACTAAATTGAATTTATCAAGAGTAGCATATCCACTGATAATGACAGCAAGGATCTTAGAATCTAATTCATTTCCATTAGATAACATAGTTTGAATAACACTTTCGAAATTTGATAATAAAGCTTCCTTATCTTCGGTTCTGGACACATTAGTTGGACTACCAATTGCTCTTATCACAACTTCCCAGATTTTAGTTGAAGGCTTTTCAACACCACTATGAATCAATTCATCAAAAATTCTGAAAACATCATCATGTAAACCTAAATCTAAATATGCATTCATAAATCTAGCCAAGGTATTTTCTGAAATGTTTTTACCATTTCTGGCTGAAGTTTCTTTTACTTCTCTAAATAAGTTATTCAAAGCACGGGCATTATTCTTTGAAACAATATCAGTAATTCTTCTTAAAACAAATGGACCATTTGGATCCAAGTTTAAACTAGCTTCGATCTTGACAGCTTTTTGTAACTCTGATAATTCATTTTTATATTTGGAAGATAATCCCACATCCTCTAAGGTGTCAGCAATTAAGTATCCACTTGGAAGTTTATCGGTTAATAATAACTTTTGAATGTCGTTAAATGAAATCTTGACTTTTTGTTCAATACAAACTTGAACATAAGCAAAAAACACAATATTTGGAAGATAATATGGACGATTTTTTAAAAGAGTGTTCACATAAGGAAATGTTGAAGTTAAGTCATGAGATTTTTCAAATTCAATGCATTTGACCCAGAGTTGTAAAACCTTTTGAAATGGATTTTCATCTGTCTTTAAATAATGAACGGCAACAGCAGTAAAGTAATATCTGCTGGCAACACCATATTTCACGAGTATATCAAGTAAATCTTCAATTGATTTACCACCGAGAGATGCATTTGAATGGATAGCCTTGAAAAGAATCTGGGAAACAATAGGTTGGAACTTTGAATATAATGATTTATTGTCGATTCTTTCTGATTCTTGAATCTCACGTAAATAACTTAATCCTTCTTCTAGAATTTCAACAGTTTCTGATAAATCACCCTTGGCTGCTTGAGATGATTTTTGAATTTGATGAGTGATATCTCTTAACTTTGGATTGATATGACTATATACTCTTTTGTTTTCTTTGTTAAATTTGGCTTGTGGTTTGATTGGAGTTTCTGGATTGACTGCTGTAGTAGTTGTCGATTGGAAACGAGGTGCAACGACACTTATTCTACCAATACTAGCCACATTGACTCTATTCAAATTCCTGCAAACTGTTTTTCTTAGTGAAAGCATATTTATAACCCACTTACACCAGACTAATTCTGACCTGGCTCTTAATCTATTCGAATTATCTATCGATATTCTGGGTTAACAATTGAAAATTTTTTTTAGTGCACACAAAATTTAGTTCAAGTTCGTGTGCGTTAATAATTGTTTAATTTTTGCGGTAAAAGGCTGTTTTTATTTATAGATCACTAATCATATGCCCCAGGGATAATTACTGCAATCGAATTAACCAATAATAGAGGATGAGTGGTGGGGAGAATGTGAACAATCCAGATGCTAGGGCAGCAGGAGTAGTGGCTTCAAATGACTTGAAATCAGTTTCAAATGATGAAGAAGGTTTATTATTCTTTAATCATCATGAGTATCTTATTGACAAATATGAACCTTTAACTTCAAGTTCTGGAGGTCCATCATTAGTTATAAATCATTTTCCTAATATTCATGCAGCCATAAATTCATCTACATTTGCTTCTACTAGAATTGTACGAATACCCAGAGTTTATCACACTATAGAGAGCTCAGATAGTGTTCCTCAATTCTCATCATATATCCCTGGTAGAGAACCAGCATCAATTACATTGGATACAGAAAATGAATATATTCCATTTGGAAGATTTGATGATAATATGTTTGGCCAAACGTCATTAACTCCTTTAGTTCCGGATTTGATTGGCGAAGATGAATATATTGAGATTATTACAACCATCAATTCATATCTATTAGAAGCATTCAACCCATACAACTTATATAATATTATCGATAGTATTTTTGACTTTTTGACAGGCGGGCTTTTGTCAATGACAATGGAATCACTAAGATGGCGTTCGTATTCAAAGCGTAAACTAGCTGATTTAGATAAATACATAGATCAAGAAATCAACCAAAAACTTTTCAAAAACAAAGATGGTCTTCAATTAATATCTCCAAGGTCAAGTGGCTATTTATCAGTAAGTATCCAGTTTAATGTAATCTAAATAACTTTCATTTTACAATACTAACGTACCCTTATTTAGCTTGATATTCAAATACAGAAACCATAATGAAACTTATATGCAGGCATATCCAAGTTTCTCATATTTCACGATGCAATTAATACATAATTTTCATCTTTAACTAGAATCAAAACAAGGGAAACCTATGTTTAGATTTAGACCTAAATCAATGAACGGAGTATTTGCCATATATAAACCCTCAGGGAAATCATCCACTCAATTTATCCTGGATGTACAGGATATTTTCACCAAATCAAAAGTTTTTGAAGATGATTTATCAAAAGCTAAAAATAAAATGCGTTTTGATTTAGGAACCAATAAACGAATGTCAAAAGAAAGAATTGACAAGAAAGCCCGTAATTTAAAGGTGAAAATCGGTCATGGTGGAACTTTAGATCCAATGGCAAGTGGTATTCTTGTGGTTGGTGTTGGGTTAGGTACTAAGAAATTACAGTATTACTTGAGTGAATGTGAAAAGACTTATGAAACTAAAGCATTACTTGGAATCTCAACCACAACTGGGGATGCCGAAGGTGAAATAATAACACAGAATCCAATCGATCACATAACCAAAGAAATGGTTAATGAAACTGCAAAAAAATTCGTTGGTGATTTAAAACAAACTCCACCAATATTTTCTGCCCTTAAAGTTGATGGTAAACCATTATATGAATATGCTAGAGAAGGGATCCCATTACCTAGAGCTATTAAAGTAAGAGATATAAAAGTTTCTGATATAAAAGTCGAACAAGACGATTTATTAAGCACTGATCATGAATTCACCAAGTTAGAAAGTCAGCTTGATAAAAATGGATTACCAAAAGAGCATGGTTTAGCTAATAATCCAACATTAAACGATTCACCATTATATTTTTCAAAACAATATTTGGAAAAGGTAGAGAAGGAAAACTTATCAAACGAAGAAATTAAACCAAAAGTATTCAAGGAAGGAGAATCATTACCAGTCAAACTTCCATTACTTCATTTCACTTCAGCTGTCTCATCAGGAACATATATCAGAAGTTTAATAAGTGACTTTGGAAGAGCATTAGGTTCATCTGCCTATATGGTTGAGTTAATTAGAGTTCAACAATCTGAATGGGAATTAGGAAAGAATGTGTTTTCATTGGAAGATTTCACAAACAAGGATGAGCGTATATGGGGTCCAGTATTGAAGAGAGTATTAGATGATGGAGGAAAAGAATCCAATGTAGCAGAACTCTTTAAGGAAACTTCTGAACAAATTCAGCCATTAATAGAAAAGGAAAAGGAAATTTTAGCTAAAGTTTCTGAAGATAACGTTTCTGACGATAAAGTAGAGGATGATACAGAAACATCTAAGAAAAGAACTATATCTGAAGTAGAGTAAAAATGTGTATATAATTTGTAATGTATAAAGATTTAGCAAAATTTTGTCATATTGTATGGTAGCTGCGAGGTCATTTAATTTTTTTTTGGTTGTCTCTGCAAATTGCATTCACAATCGTTAGCAAGGCTAGAAATAGTGATATGCTTTCGAATATAGCGAAGAGATACTTCTCTTACTCAGGTATACTAAGATCAAAAGCTTATGGAAGAACTATTATCAATCCGTCCAATGGTTTCAAGCTAATTCACCCAACAATGTTCAATGCCAAATCATGTTTGATATTTTCAACTCCATCCAATATTTCAAAAGTGATCAATGAAATAAGTCAAACTGAAAACCAGCATATTCAATTTGTGGTAGCAGGTACTGATTCAGTGATACCTAATTCAAACAGAAATGGAGTGTCGGTATTATGGTTAGATGAGCCAGTAAATATCACTGGTAGTAAGAAATTGGATGAGATTCCGGATGATGTTATGCACAAAAATTGGAAACTAATGGAGTCCAATTTAAGACTTGAGGCTGGAAAATCATCTGTATTTGATTTGAAATTGGCAAATACTTCTTTTGTCGGTGATTTACCTATTACCCTATTTTATATCCAACCGAAACATATTGAATTAGAATTGGAAAATTCAGGCCAAGCTTTAAAAGAGTTGTCTTTACGATTACCAAAGAATGTGATATCGAATGATTCAAAAGTGGAGGAATTTGATAAATGGACTGCTTTATACGATACCGCAGATCCATTCCATGTAGCTGACTTCAAAGGTAATTTATTGAAGACGATTAATGATAAATCTGCAGCTGGATTCTTAGAGAATAATGAAAAATTAATGAGTATTGGATCTAAAGATACAGAAGTTTATGTGAAGATTTACAAAAAGGATCTGGATTTAGTTTACAAGTATAAAGTCATTGCTGGAGGTGGTGGATGGGGTGCTAAAGCTAACATTATAGCTCTTTCTCCTGAAGCTAAAATCAATAAAGGAGATCGTATTGAATTTTATATGTTGACCCCACAACATCGATTTAACGAAGAACAATCATTGGTTGCCATTGAAGAGTATATTAACAAAATTTCAATTGAATGTGCTTATGAAGAGCAAAGTTATAATGATGATACTTTAGGTGATGAATTAGTAATAGAGAAAGCATTTGGAGCTGGATCAGAAGAAGAGTTCAAATATAATGATGTAAAACATCATTCTTCTGGGGAAAGAATATCAATTGGTATATAGTCAACCGAAAAAAAAATTGTACATAGTTAATAAAAGTTAAATCTAATCTTCTTTGACCTTAGTCATGATAACATATATCAAAGGAGATCTCTTCACACATTTACCAAAACAGAAGAACTGTATATCAATCCTTGCACATGCATGCAATTGTCGTGGATCATGGGGTGGTGGTATAGCAGCTATATTCAAAATCAAATATCCTGATGCTTTTAGTGATTATGCTCAACATTGTCATAAATCTGGTAAGGACCCATCAAAATTACTTGGTTCAACATTGATAACAAAGTCAACCATTCCATATGTGGCTTGTTTATTTACAAGTGATCTATCAGGAGCATTCATATCAGAACCTCCAATAATTGTTCATAATACTGAATTTGCCATTCATGATCTTATCGCTCAAATAAGAGAGTTGCAACATACAGGAACAAATCTTGAAACTGACGAACATGGTAATGTGATAATTAACATGCCCAAAATCAATGCTGGAATATTCAATGTACCATGGGAAGATACCGAACAAGTATTGAACCAATTCGATGACATTCATTTCAATGTATATGTAGTTGATTTCTAAATATATAGATATATATATCAAGACTTCGCCTCTTGATGACTGCTAGTCAATTGGGTGGTCAAAAAAAGTTAAGTTTTGAACGAGGTACACGACGCCGCTCTTCCTCTGTCTGAGGTAAACAGCGCTGTTTTGCCTTTCCGTAATCTATTTTACACGAAATTGAACACTTAATATGATTTAGATCATATTGTTTTGGATTAAATATTATACAATTCAATAGTAATACATCAAGAAATCATATAGTTTAAGATGGATGAGTCATTGATTGCCACGATCAACAAGCTTCAGGATGCATTGGCTCCTTTAGGTGGAGGTTCTTCTTCCCCAGTTGATTTACCTCAAATTACCGTTGTTGGTTCCCAATCAAGTGGGAAATCTTCGGTATTAGAAAATATTGTGGGTAGAGATTTCTTACCAAGAGGTACTGGTATTGTTACCAGAAGACCGCTTGTTTTACAATTGATCAATAGAAGAGCCACTCCAAGAGCTAATAATGATTTATTAGATATCAATACAACTAAAGAAAATGGTGAAGCCAGTGAAAATAATGCTGATGAATGGGGGGAATTTTTACATTTACCAAATAAGAAGTTCTTTAATTTTGAAGAAATTAGAAATGAAATCGTTAGAGAAACTGATGCTAAAACTGGTAAGAATTTAGGTATTTCTCCAGTTCCAATTAATTTAAGAATTTATTCTCCTCATGTTTTAACTTTAACCTTAGTTGATTTACCAGGTTTAACTAAAGTTCCAGTTGGTGATCAACCAAAAGATATCGAAAAACAAATTAGAGATATGATTATGAAATTTATTTCTAAACCAAACGCCATTGTTTTATCTGTTAATGCCGCCAATACCGATTTAGCTAATTCTGATGGATTAAAATTAGCTAGAGAAGTTGATCCTGAAGGTGCTAGAACCATTGGTGTGTTAACCAAAGTTGATTTAATGGATGAAGGTACCGACGTCATTGATATTCTTGCTGGTAGAGTTATTCCATTAAGATTTGGTTATGTACCAGTTATTAATAGAGGTCAAAAAGATATTGAATCTAAAAAGACTATTAGAGATGCATTAAAGGATGAAAGATCATATTTTGAAAATCATCCATCTTATAGAGCTAAGGCTCATTATTGTGGTACTCCATATCTTGCTAAGAAATTAAATGGTATATTATTACATCATATTAAAGGTACTTTACCTGATATTAAAATGAGAATTGAACATTCTTTAAAGAAATATCAAAGTGAATTAGCTATGTTAGGACCAGAAATGGCTGAATCTCCAGCTTCTATTGTTTTAAGTATGATTACAAGTTTTAGTAAAGATTATAATGAAATTTTAGATGGTGAAGCTAAAGAATTAAGTACTCAAGAATTAAGTGGTGGTGCTCGTATATCTTTTGTTTTCCATGAAATTTTTAAGAATGGTATTAGTGCTTTGGATCCATTTGATCAAATTAAAGACACTGATATTAGAACCATTATGCATAATACTAGTGGTTCAGCTCCATCATTATTTGTTGGTACTCAAGCTTTTGAAGTATTAGTTAAACAACAAATTCATAGAATGGAAGAACCATCAATTCGTTGTATTAATTTGATTTTTGATGAATTAGTTAGAATTTTATCTCAAATTCTTTCTCAAACTCAATATTCTCGTTATCCAGCTTTAAAAGATCAATTATCTCAAAGTTTTATTCAATATTTAAGAGAAGCTCTTATTCCAACTAATAAATTTGTTACTGATATTATTGATTCAGAAGAAACTTATGTTAATACTGCTCATCCAGATTTATTAAAGGGTTCACAAGCTATGACAATAGTAGAAGAAAAATTCCATCCAAAACCTCAAGTTGCCGTTGATCCAAAAACTGGAAAACCATTACCACCAACCCAACAATCATCTCCACAACCTCAACAACAGCAAGGTGCTAATAAAGCTGGAGAAGATGCCAATGGATTTTTTGGAGGATTCTTTTCATCTAAGAATAAAAAGAGATTACAATCAATGGAAGCTCCACCACCAGTTTTAAGAGCCACCGGTACTATGTCCGAAAGAGAAACCATGGAAACTGAAGTGATTAAATTATTAATTTCATCATATTTTAATATTGTTAAAAGAACTGTTGCTGATATAGTTCCAAAAGCCATTATGTTAAAATTAATTGTTAGATCTAAGAATGAAATTCAAAGAGAATTATTAGAAAAATTATACAGTTCACCTGAATTAGGAGATTTAGTAAAAGAAAATGATTTAACCATTCAAAAGAGAAAAGAATGTGTTAGAATGGTTGAAGTATTAAGAAATGCTAGTGAAATTGTATCCAGTGTTTAGATTTTTCAGTTCATAATGTTTATCTATATTAAATTTAATCTTTTAATTTATAGTGTTTGTTTATATAGCCCCTTTCCTCCCCCTCCTTTTTTATTGTTATGTTACATATATAAATCTTAATTTAACCCTTGGATTCGTAGTTATTATATAGTTATAATTAACATCTTCTGACTTTAAAAGCCCGGTTTGTATGCAGGAAATTATAATTCAGACTTTTTTTTGAAAACTTAATTTTTCAGACAGACATTTTTTATTTGACTCCAATGTATCATCAGAAAAAAAATTTTAAACAGTTTTGAAAAGTTTAACTTCTGTTGCCAATCCTTTATTTTCATTAAAATCAGCCAATTCTAAGCCATTCGTTCAGTACTGAACTCGTTGTTTATCATCGCTTGATTGTCATTGCTGTATTTGAATCATCCCTGGTTATATCTTATCCCTTTTTTTCCCGCTAGACAGAGTTTACTATCTCTTTCTCCAGAGTTAGACCGCCTCACTTCCCCTCGTCATAGTTGAGTCACAACCTAGACTTTGATCCTATTCATATCTTCAGAGATCTATAATCAGTGATTTGACTGCAAATTATACTACTTCCCACATAGAAGCACCTTTTAGTTTTCTGATTATTTCCTAGGAGTTGTGAAAAAGCTGTTTCTGGTTAATAATTAGATCTTGAAATTGTATTCCATAGTTCTGATCTAGTCCCAGATTCGTCATCTATAAGCATTTATATGCCAAAGAAGGAACCACGACCGCATCAATTTTATATTAATAGATTACTTGAACCTGGATAACATCAATCTAAACTGTTATTTCGCCAAGGATCATAAATCTAATTTAGTCCCAAATTATACTCAAAATAGTATCCAAAATTACTTCGTGTATCACTTTAGTTAACGTCTGCTGACATAACCCCCCATTTAATTCAACTTATTCTTCACATACACATATCATCACCATAGTCATACTATCCCACCTCCCTTCATACGGATCCATCCTATCATTACATCAATTATACAATAGTTCACTTTAATTAATATATTTTGAAACGTTTCTTGCTACTTCTCTCTTCGTTTCAAGCACTATATTAATTAGAACGATCACCCTTTTTACAAGAGTAAGTTCCAATCCACCTCCAAAAGAAAAAGTCAAATTAGTTTTTTTACCAAAGATTAGTTTGATAGATATTCACTTAAATTTAAAAAAAAAATATAAAAAAATATTAAAAAGTTATTATAAAAAAAGAAGACATAACAAAAAAAGCTAAATATTATATATTCAAGTAAGAAACAATAATAGCTACAGATAAGAAAAGTCATAATAATAATAGTTATCGACTTTATATAATAAAATTAGAAAAAAAGAAATTACCAAAAACACTAACCAAAACAAAATTATTCAAGGTATGGTTGCTCCTGCTTATCATGAAAATTCCTTTGTTGATCATGAATTATCGGCTAATTTAGATTCAACTTTTGCATTTGAAGGACCTGAGAAATTATTAGAAATCTGGTTTTGGCCATCAGAAAATGATATACCAAACTTTGTTAATAATGAAGGGTTAAGATGTATCCCATTAGAAAAATGGAGTGAAATTTTAGATTTAGTCAGTTGTAAGATTTTATCTATGAAATCATCTTCATTTATGGATGCTTATCTTTTAAGTGAAAGTTCATTATTTGTTTTCCCTCATAAATTGATTTTAAAAACTTGTGGTACTACAACAACTTTAGCTTGTCTTGATAAATTATTTGAAACGATCAATGTTCAATTAGGATTCAATTCAAAGTTTAAAGGTAGTAATATTTATAAGATTTTTTATTCCAGAAGATCATTTATGTTTCCTGAAAAGCAAATTCATGTTCATAAAGATTGGAAACATGAAATTCAATTATTAAATGATCATTTTCAAAATGGTAAAAGTTATATTGTTGGAGATTTCACTAGTGATGATCATTGGTATTTATATGTAGGTGGTCAAGATGAAACTTGTAAACCAACTACTACTACTACCACTACAACTGATAATCATAAACATGATCAAACATTTGAAATCTTAATGACTGAATTAAATCCTGAATGTGCAAAGAAATTCATTACTTCAAGAAAACCCGGTGTTGCTTCTTTAATTAAAAGTGGCATTGAAGAACATGATTTAGGTCATGATATTGGACTTGAAACAATGGAAGAAACTGGATTAGATAAAGTATTTGAATTATTTCATGGAGGATTACCATCACCATCAAATTCTGATAATATGGTATTTGATGAAGATGATGATGAAAGTGATGATAGTCCAATACCTGAACCTATCAAAAGACAAACCAAGGATAAATTTGAATTTATTCATGATGCATTTTCTTTTACTCCATGTGGATATTCATCTAATTCAGTTACATCTAATGAAGGAGGATATTATTATACTTTACATATTACTCCTGAATCAGGTTGGTCATATGCATCTTTTGAAACCAATTATCCATTTGGAAATGATAAAAATGGAGTTGATATCATTGATGTATTATTAAGAATTTTACAAATTTTTGAACCTAAGAAATTCTCCATGACATTAATTACTGAAGATGTAGGAGATAATCAAATTAGTTTTTCAAAATTAAAGAATTCAAATTCAATCTTACAAGATCATGGATATCTTAAACAAGAAAGGGTCATGTATGATTTGAAAAATGAGTATAAGTTATTATACTTAAATTTTGCCAAACTGAAGAATTGATTTCATATCAATCATTGTGTTTTTTTGGAAAAGTCAAACTGGTTTTTTTATATTATATCAGAATCATTATTGCTATAATTACAAAATAGGTTTTCATTCAACTATCAAGATGATGATTGTTTTAGAGGGGCTTTTTATATTTGAGATTAATTGTGAATTAGTTGGTTTAAAAGGAAATTTTCAATAATTTTTCTTTTTTTTTCTCTATGGGTGGTCACCGTTAAACTCATTAAAAGGCTTTTATAATAACTATCATTAAGATCTGTTGATGATCTATTATAGTATTTTATTTTACTTTGCTTAAAATTTTTTGTTATTAATTTTTTTATTATTATTTTATTTCTTTATTATTTTATTTATTTTTTTATATGTTTTATAAGTTTGAGTTTATTTTAATGATAACGACTTTTTCAGAAATTTACAAAATAGATATAAAGAAAGAAAGAGATCCGTCTACAATGATTTCTACTGTAGTTTATATAAATGTAACGTATCTTTATAAACAGGAATTCAAAAACAACCTTTGAAGTTATATTTTGCTTAGATGATCTGCCTATATGATATGTTAGTATAAATCACTAGATAAGAGTTATTAAAGTCGATAATCAAATCAACTTAATTAAAGACTCTTTTCAGTTCAAATTAAAAGGTAGAGAATTATACTATCTTTATATATGATGAAAAGTTGAAAAAAAAAAGAAATTTGAAAAATTTAAGCGCTGACGATAAAATTCCTTTTTGTAATGGTTGCAAATTAAAAATTAATTAAAATTAGCGGTTACGATTAGGTTAAGTAATTTATTAATTAATTTCTAATATAATTTTTCTGTTTAAAGCTATCGGATAAACTACAACTCTGATTGAACGTAAATAAAATAATGCAAAAGAATTTTAATTATTTTAACAACTCACATTATATAATCAACCTAAAGTTGACTGTTTTCTCTACTAAGTTTGGTTAAACCTGTAATTTGTCAAACACTTTGGTCAAAAGCTATATTGAAAGGAAAATTATAGGTCACAAGACATTTTATCACTTGTTGACTAATATAGATTCAATAACAACAATTTAATCAGAGATATTCTACCCTACATTTTCAAAAATTTTAAATTATTATACAAATATATTTATTTCTAATACAAAATCATTCCACTAGGAAACAAACGATCACATGCCGTATGTGTATTGACTATCGACTATTAAACCTGTAGGTCATACAAGAACAATTTCCTATGCCGTTAGTATAAATAACTAAATATAATGGTTAGTAGGGTGACGCCTATTTTGGTTAGTAAAACATTTACACTATAATTAATATTAATTAGTAAGTTCCCATAATTGGGGAAAAAACTCTCAAGATATCTCTATTCTCGATACAGTGGATTAGAAAAAATCGAAAGAAACAATTTAATCACCACGATAACTAGACGCAATACGTTTAATTAAGAAAGTTTTATCATATTTACCAAAATCAAATTATAAGATGATATATGTTTGAAAAAAAATTTTTTTCCGACATAAATCGCATCACATGACCACACGCACATGACTTGTTAAGCCAAATAAAAACAGTTTTGAATCGCTTGTGATTAACTATTTGAAGTGTGCACCTCCCCAGAATTTCCAAATTAGGACATACGCACACCCCCTTGAAAGTTCTACAAGTTACAACTAAATAAAATAAAATAGAACAGGGAGTTCTCCTTTGGATGTGATTCACCACATAAACTTAAATCAACCTTAAATCAAGATAAGTATGATCGATCATTCAAATTTCAATTTATTCAAAAATTGATTCAATTGATCTGTGGGTCAACTTTGTAATTCTTATATAGTTAATTGTACTATCTCAATACCATTATGATTATTGACTACTTGACAACTGAATCCCAACTCTCCCCCATCGCGCACACAAAATCAAAAAATGTTATATATGGAAAAAAGGGGTGTGAAAATTAAAAATAGTTATATTGTCGTGTACTCATGGACAATATTTCAAACAAGGATAAACCAGAGATGATGATGACGATGATGATGATGTGTATTCATCAAGTTATATTACAATTAAATTATTCAATTTATAAAATAAACATTAGTTAATATAATAAGAAATATATATAGCAGTAATAAAACAACAAAAATCTAATACAAAGATATATATATATAAATGTAAATTCTTTCTTTTTTTTTTTCAGTTATAATAAAATTAATTAAATGATATATCTTTAACAAAATTCCAAATTAAATTAAATTAAATTAAATGGGACCAATAGTTTAAAACTTATTTTTCAATTAATTGTTTTATAATCTCTATGAATTAACTAGCTTATTTAAATTTCTTACCGAAAACAATAACTTGTAATTGATCATATAAGGAAATAACACCGGCACCAGCAACACCTCTTAAGATATTGGCACCACAACCTTTAAATAATGATTTAACACCTTCAGCAGCAACAACCTTTCTGAAACAATCAAAAGCACCATCATATTTAACAGCTTGACCAGAAGTCATCATCATTCTTCTTCTAACAGTATCTAATGGATAAGAAGCAGTAGAAGCACCAGTAGTAACAGCCCAACCTAATAAGAAAGAAGCTAAGAAAGAACCTTCTAATGGACCAACTAAAACAACAGGTTTTAAGGAATCATATAAACCAAAATATAAACCTCTGTAAACAACAATACCAATAACAGATGGACCGAAACCTCTGTATAAACCAGCAATACCATCAGAAGCTAAAGTCTTTTTATAAACATCAAATAAACCATTAAATTGTCTTTCACCACCAGTAGCAGATTTAGCATCATTAGCTAATCTAGTTCTAGCATAATCTAAAGAGTAAACAAAAGCTAAAGAAGTGGCACCAGCCATACCACCTGAAGCTAAGTTACCAGCAAACCATTGCCAATAGTTGGCATCTTTATTGAAACCAAACATTTTCTTAAATTTATCTTTAAAAGCAAAATTTAAAGCTTGGGTTGGGAAATATCTGATAACATTGGCAGTGTTACCTCTCCAGAATGAAGTGATACCTTCTTCAGCAGCAGTTCTTCTGAAACATTCAGCAATACCATCATATTTTCTTGATAAACGACCTTGTTTCATCATTTCATCTTGATTTTGAATTAATAATTTAACTCTTTCAATTGGAGCAGCGGCAGTCTTGGAGACAGCGGCGGAAACACCACCCATTAAGAAATCAATTAAGAATTGGTTATCCATTTTTGCTTACTTTTTGTTTAGATTAATTATATACTTGAATAGATATAGTAAGGATAAAGGAAGAAAAGAAAGAAAAGAAGGTAAAAGAAAGAAAGTACTAGAAGAAAGGGAAATATATATATATAAAAAAAATTTCCAACGACGAAATGAGAAAATTTTATTTTGTTCAACGTTAGAAATTATCTTGTATACTGTAATTGATACTACAGGTGCAATCAATCAAAATAAACTCAAATCAAAAAGGGAAAATTAAAAAAGAAATAAAATGTCGTATTAAACACCTTGCGGTAGGGAGGTAAGAAACTATTGAAGACCGGACTATTACGGTTGGTTACCATTTAAATAATCAATTTTAATTGGTTCAAATAAGGTCACAAACTAAATTCGCTCAAAGGAAAAAAGAAATTTATATAAAAGTGAAAGCCGGGTAATCATGATAATCCCCCATAAAGGGAACATGAAGTGAAGTTATTGGTCTACTGACCTTTAGTTTAGATGAGTGATTATGATTGATTGATTGATTGATCCAATTGATCAATTGATCAATCCAATATCATTTGATCAATTACATCACTAATGTTGAGTCAACGTATATATATATATATATATATCACTTCTCTTTACTTTATAAAAATTTAAACTATCCCGGAAAAAACCCCAGTGCGCTATCATTCATTAACGAGGGCTTGCTTCTTCACTAACTAACTAAGTAAAATAGGCAACACAATACAAAAAAAGAAATTTATTCCATTATGGCAAAAATTAAAATTTCATTGGTTGTGAAACTTTGTTTTTTTTGGAACATGAATGATCTCTAGATAATCGTTTACAATGACAGATATACATGAATAATATACTATACGTGAATTGGCATGTATACGATATATCTCCTCCTTCAATCTACGTTATAGATGTAGTTCTTTTGTCCCTACCCCTAACTAACTTTCAAAAGTTATACCATCAATAATATGGAGTTCGTTCTTACTTAATTTACATCATCTCACAATTATGTCATGTCATGTCATCTCATCTCTTATTCACATACCTTATTACTTTCTTTCTTTCTTCTTTCTCTCACTTGTTCGCTCTCGTATCAGTTCGTTACTTGCATATATTAATCGTACAATCATTCAAATGAATAAACCCTTGAACGGCTCTAAAAATATTGATGACTAGTTCATGGTCGTTAAGTATTATACCGATATTACCTGTCAAAAGTATTTAATCAACCACGGAAGTTATTTTCCTTTGGAAACGACATTTTCTAAATAAAAAAAAATTAAAAATAAAAAAGAAACGGTTAAATGTCGTCGTGGAGATCGGTTAACTTCACAATACAAATAAACTCAAATCCGACTTTATTTTTTTTGTCTTGTCCTTTTCCTATTTTGTCTTGTGTCTTGACATTTTGTCATTTTGTCTGTCTGTTTATTTATTTAAACTTTGATTGCAAAAAAAAAAAAAAAAAAAACCAAAATAGTAAATCTACAACATCTAAAACACTAATAAATCAAAAATGAACGTATATAATAAAAAATGTAAATTACAAAACAAGAAAGAAAGAAACAAGTAGTAGAAGAATAAAAAAAAAAGAGACAGTCGTAAGACTTCTATATGTATCATATATAATATATGTGTATGTGAAAATGTGTTTATAATTGTACTCCCAAATGAGTACAAGATCGTTTTATATTCTTTTTATCATTTGAAAAGCAAACAATAATCTTTATGCATAAGTTTTTAACTTTTTTTTTTTAATATTTTTAATGCCTTTAAACATCCCTTGGTGAGTGAATTGAATATTGTTGTGATATCCTTCTGGCTTCACTTGATATTTGTGATGCAACTCGTTGATTATTAGAAAAATCTTCCATGGCAATTTCTTCAGTTTGAACAGAATGATTACCTAAACTATCAGTAGATTGAAATTGAGCATTTGCATTACTATAATCATCAATTAATGATCCATCATTATCATAAAATGATGTCGATGAAATACCTTGATTTTTTCTTTTAAAAAGATCAATAAATGATTTTCTATTTTGTAATGGGGTAGTATTATTAGAATAAACTGGTAATGGTGGTGGTGGGATTGATGGAGTTCTTGGAGCAGAAGTTAATTTGGGTGATCCTCCACTACCATTTCCAACCATTGTAGCATCAGTATCATGTTCACTCGTAAAACTTGAACCTGATTTAACTCTGGCATTGGGTGACATACTCATTCGTTTAACAACTTCATTACTATAATTACTAATCTTAATTCTATTTGGATCAGTTGGATCATAATTTTCAGGGTAAGCATCAAAATCTCCTCGTTGCACACATTCACGAATAATATCAACATCTTTTGGCCAATAAACTCTTTTTAGGAAATCATATACAAATCTTGGAAGTAAACATGTTACAACTCCAATAAAGGTACATACCCAAAATGATAATGTACCAAACATTTGTGGAGCTGCTTTATAAAATTCTTGACTATAAGTCGTCGTGGTCCAAAGTCCTGTCCAAACATAAATCACTAAAATAGAAATTGCAATAATTAAACTTGATAACCAATCCCATCTATATTGATGTAATAAAATGTATAAATTACATGAAATACATGCAATACAGGTAACAACAATACCAATCCAATATCTATGATCAATAGGTAAACCATTACTTGATGGGAATCCTTGATAATACATCAAATATGGAAAGAAAAATGATATAATAGATTGATAAGTAGCATCACCCATATACCAAAAGAATTTCAGTTGAGTAAATTCTGATCTTAAAATACCAGTACGATATAATTGTGGTACTAATAATGAGACTTTAGCACTAACATCTTGATCAAAAACACCTAAGAAAATAACTGGTAATGATGTAAATGCTAAATTATAAAACATTAAATAGGTGAATTCAAATAAATATGATCCATCAAAATTATTATAAATACCATACCAGAATAATGCATAATTAAAAATAACATTCTTAAAGAAGAAACTTGGAATCATTTCACTAAATCTTTTATAAGACCATCTACCATGAACTAATAATAATTTACCCAAAAATCTAAATTGTCCAATAGCATAATCAGATGACATAACAGCTTGTCTACCTTCTTCACCTGCAATACCAACTCCAACATCTGCAGCTTGAATCATAGCCACATCATTGGATCCATCACCAATAGCTAAGGTCATAACATCTAAAGTATCTTTAACTAATTTAACCACAGCAGCTTTTTGAGCAGGTGAAACACGACAACATAAAACTGCTTTACATTGTTTACATAACAATAAGAACTTTCTTTTGGTTTCAGCATCAGATAAAGCTAATTTAAGAGCATCACCATCAATGACAACCCCAAATCCTTCATCTGGTGGTGAATGATCAAGTTCCGCTGCTTCCAATTCTTCAATCAGACCTGACATATTAAAATAAGTCGACAAATAACGAGTTAATAAATAATCTATTAATTTTCCTTCGGACAATTGAACATCTCGTTCAAGCCCGTTATTTTCCATTTCTTCGTTATTTAATGAAGTCTTTAATATTAATAATTCCATATCATTTCCTAATAAGTTACATGAAAATCCAATATTGATAGCAGTTTCAACTTTATCACCTGTTAACACCCATAATTTGATACCAGCTTGGGCTAAAACTGAAATAGTATCAGGTACACCATCTTGTAATCTATCTTCAATGGCAGTACCACCTAATAAGATCAATTCACGTTCAATTGAATCAGCCACAACTTCCATTTTAGCTTCTCTATTTTCAATAGATGACGCAGCAGCCTGATGACGTTTATTCCATTCAGTATATTGACTCCAAGTTAATTCACGTTGAGCAATACATAATGTTCTTAAACCTTCAGTAGCATACTGTTCTAAATGTTGAGAAGTAGTTTCTAATAATTGGGGATCATTGTCAGTCTTAGATAATCTACCATAGATAATAGAATCAGCACCTTTACAAATTAATAATGCTTTTGGTTCATCTTGAGGTTTTTCACCTGGAATTTTAATAATAGCACTCATTCTCTTTCTAGTAGAATTGAATTCTAAAGCATTTAGAATTTGATATTCCTTGGTAACACCATGAATTTCAACTAATAAACCTTTCTTGGTTGCACCTTTAAACATATAACCAACAGATCTGGCAGTACCAACTAAAGCAGCTTCATCAGGAGATTGAGCTTTTAATATTAATTTCAGAGGCTCTTTTGGATCAGGTTCAGTTAACACAGAATGACACAAAGCTAAAGCTAACATGAAATGTTCATTGCTTTGTTTTTGAACATCTCCTGCATCACCTAATATATCATTAACAAAATTAGATGAAATAAATGTTAATTCATCTTCATAGTTTAAACAAGCTGGAGAAATTTGGTTCAAAAGAGCAACCATATTGACTTTATCCTTAGCGATTATTTCTCTTTCAATAGCTGCTTCCAGTTCTACATCAATACCTTGTCTCTTTCTTAAACCAGCTAAAGCTTCAGTATACGCTTTACCATATGATACACCGTTGATTGTACATTTTTTGAATTCCATTAAATTTTGAGTTAATGTACCAGTCTTATCACTGAAAACATATTCGATTTGACCTAAATCATCAGAAATCGACCATGATTTTGGAGTACATGGATAATCTAATCTTTCATAGTACATTCCGATATCAGAATAGATAAAGAAAGCTTGAGCAGTCTTAATAATTTCAATGGTAATATAAAGGGAAATTGGAACTAAGGATTGATATAATATAAGGGCCACGAAGAATGACACAATCCCATTTAAAGCTGGTGTTCCAGCTACTGTACCGAATTCAAAATAATCTCGTGAAGTTGGATGATGAGTATACCATAAACCATTTATTAAACCAGACACAAAACAAATAACGAATAACATGACGAAATTCAATAACACATAGTAATTCAATTCACGAGATATACGAGATTGTTTGGTTGGAGTTATACCGGCATTTAACATGATTTTAGTATCGTCACCTGTGAATACTACTATACCAATGACCCATTTTGTATTTCTTAAAAAACAACCTCTTAATAATAGATTATTAATGGTAATTGATTCTTGTTGTTCTTCATTATTAGAATCATCATACTTCAAATTACCTTGATATGAGTATAAATTGACATGAGGACCTTCACTTTCAATCAGGAATTGATGATTTATTAAATCATCAGCTTTTTTAATTGGATCTTCGACAGATGAATATTTTAAGGCTTGTTTTACTTTTAAATTGGTTTCACCATCTAAATTCTTGGTTTCGACATAACAACAATTATCTTCATCACTGGTGGCTAAAATTACCACATCAGCCGGTATTTCATCATTATTATAAATTCTTACCATATCACCTACTTTAACATTTTTCCAATAATTTTTGGCAAATTTTAAGATTTTATCACGATGATGATGACGTTGAGTATCTTGACTTAATCTTTCTCTTCTTTGTTGTTGGAATGATTTACGTAATTGAGATTCAGTATTTTCGGCGAATGGATTATTATCAGTATTACGAGTACCAATATGTTCCAATGAATTTCTTGGAGAGAAATCCACAATATCACTATCAAATGATTTTCTATTATTACCATCAGGTAAAGATTCTAATGATTCATTGGCTTCTCTTCTTTTCTTTTCTAATCTCCCTTTTTTAGTTAAATTTTCTTTGGAAGATCCCCATATTTTAATTAAAAGTCTTGTATTAAACTTTTTAAATCTTCTCCAAGTTGATACTTTTTCATTATCATTATTAAGATTATCATATTTATAATCAGTATCGAAACCATCTTGAACTAAAATATGAGTAATTTGATTATTAACTTCTAAATCAGATACTGTTCTTCTTGAATCTTCTATAGCATCTTTACATGCTGTTATAATGACAATAACAATTAAAGGTACCGCAGATAAAATTGGAGATGGAACACCAAAGATACCAAAAGCACCAAGAATGATTAAAGCAAGGAAATAAATATTTGCCACATTATGGAAGAATTGATTGAATATATTTTTCGGTAAGAAACTTAATGGAGTATATTTTGTAGTTCTTATTTTATTTCTGGCATAGTTATTTATGGTTTTACCAGTTTCTGCATCGACGAATTCTTCTGGTAAAGGTTGATTGAAAGCGACAACTCTTGTTTCTGCTTTTCTATTAGTTGGATCTACTTCTTCTGAGCTTGAATTATCTTGATCCACAGAATCATGAGTCACATCTATACTATGCAAGCTATTTTCATCATCATTATCGTCATTATCATTTTTAGATTTTGATTTTTTGGAGTTATTACTATCATTTCTTAGTATTCTCCTTAAAGTTCTTGCTCTACTTGGTCTCCCTTCTTTATTTCTAGTAGTACCCCAACGATTTCTTTTCATGACAGTTTCCTTTCTAGAAGGAGGAGGAGTTGTAAGACTACCATTACTATTATTAGCTTGATGATAAACTTCATCTTCTAAAATAGTGGTTGAACTATCTAAAAATGGAGATGTAGTATTATTATTGATGTACGAGTTATCGGATGTGTGTGGGGGAGTAACCATAAAACTTGAATTGGATGAAGAATGAGATTGATATATTTGTTGTTGTTGATCACTTATAGGAGGGAGTGGGTGAGTATTATTAATATGATTATCTTCCGGTAATTTGAATCGAAGGGAAGGTTTTCTTGAAGTGTTAGCACTTGGTATGGGACTGGTTGTATTGCTGGAATGGAATCTTGGTTCTACATTTATGTTAGGGGTCGGCAAAGCTGAGTTGGGGACATTACTATTGTTGTTGTCTATTGGTATATCGGTAAACGACTCATGCGTGTCATTAAAGGGACTTTTTGGATCATAATCATTTTGCCCCATGATTGAATTATGGTTGTATTATGAATAGATGAATAGATGAATGGATGGATTGATTGATAGATTGATCCTCCTAACGTTAATAATCTACCGTCTAACCCTTTAGTGATCAATTGGAGGAGAAATGAAAGTGGTTTCAGTTAAAACAAGATTTGACTGTAAAAAAAAATTTCTTTTTCAGGCCTTTTTTTTTTCTCTGGCTCTTTTTTCTGCTTTACTGTTAAACTTTTCCGGATCAGTTCGGTACAGATCCTTTAGGTCAGTAATAAATACAACAATCTAACTGTTGGTAAGGAAGGGAAGGGAAGATATTCTATAAAAGATATGGATGACAGATTAAGAAAAGAATGAAAGTTGATGATACTTTTTATTTGTTAATTAATTCCATCTAACTCAAAACTTCAAATGTAAAAGCTTACAAATTAAGTTAGTTAGCATAATCTTTTAGCGTGTAATTTATTATCACATAATTCTCTTTTTTTTTGGTTTGATCTTACTGTCTCCTTAAAGGTAAAAACAAATGTAGTACAAAAACCAAAACACGCTATTTTTAAATTGGATTTTTTTTTTTTTACCCGTCATGATTTGATAGGAAGGAAGGATCTAAATGAAATGTGGGTAGATAGGTAGGTTTGTGGGAGTGGGAGTGGGAATGTTATTGAATGCATGGTTAGAGTACGCGTGTCAAGACTTTAATCAGTACTTGATTATCTAGATTAGATTTATATTAGAGTTCTATTGTCTATATAGTAGGTGATTAACTATGACTTCAAAGGTACACGTTAACCGGTGGGTGGGTGGGTAAAAATAGAAATAGTGAGACTGCGTGCCTGTAGCGAACAAAAATTTATAATTTCCTCATTACTTTGGCTTAAGTAGGCAGAGTGGCAGGAAGAAAGAATAAAGAGACAGGCCGGCAGACAGTCAAAAATAAGGAGTCAGTCAGGAATTAGGCGGGCCAAGCCAGATAATGTTTCGGATCATCACCAGTCAATATATACCCTTCAACTGTTAAGCCATTTTCATTATTATTATTATTATAGTGTCTTCTTATTTGTTAAAATGGCCATAGGTTTAACACTATCCGAAGCTATAATCCCTTATCCGACTATGTACCCAGTTATACATTTGTTTCATAGTTTTTGGTTTTTTTTTCTTTCTATTACTTTACATGCCACATAATACAATACATACTAAAACTACTAAACTAACTAGTTTAATCTTTACTAACAGCATACTTCTCAGTCCATTCTTTAGCAACCAGAATAGCCTTTTGTTCATCTTGTTTCCATTCTTGAGCAACATCATTGGCCAATGGATCATCCGGATTGGGTGCTCCTAATAAAGCTTGAATCGATAATAATATAGTTCTAATTTGTAATGCTGGAGACCAATTATCCTTTAATACATCTAAACAAATTCTTCCTAACTTATCAATATTAGGATGATATATCTTCGTTAAAAATCGAACTTTTGGGGCACACATTGGATATTCATCAGGTAAATATAATTCTAATTGAAATTTCCCATTAGCATATGGTGATAAACTTGGTCCATCAATAGTAACTTCAAAGTATCGAAGATTATCATCCAGTGGTGATGCAGTAATACCAGGAACTGGATCACTTACTAATCTTTCTGTTTCTTTGATGATTCTTTTAGGTAAAGTAGCCATTATTATAATTATATTCTCTCTATATAATAAACCAAACTAATCGATGAAGTAAAATAATCAATCAACGTTAAAATATTGTTCTTCCCCTTTAAACTTGTTTCAGAATCCGGCTCTGCAATAGATATCTAATTTATTATACACTTGTTATAATAATCAGTATCAACTTCGTCGTCGTTACTAATATTTTAACCTGCTTGTGACTCCATTATACCCTTTTTTTTCCATTTGTCTCCTTAATTTTGAAAGTTTGAGATCTCCTGCACGTAATACTGTCACATGACGAATCTTTCCGAAAAGAAAAATATTGAAAGCAAAAACATTCAAAGCGTAATATCGAACTTGATTAAAGCTTGTTCAAGTTAAGTCTTATCATCTAGCTAATTATTTATCTAGAATCTGTATCAGAGCAATATGAAACTACCTCCATCACCGCCATTCATAAATCGTTTAATTGTGGGCACAATAGCTATGGCAGCAGGTATTTACGTAACGATGGATGCTGGAAAAGATTTTGAGTTTATTAAATATGTCCCTCATAGTCCTGAAGAAGTTGAAAGAAGAAAAAGAGAAAACATAGGTTTATCATTGAAGTATATGGAAACTAGTACTTTGAAATATACCCCTGAAGCTGAAGAACGTTTCAAAAAGTTGGTTGATGAAAAGCAGAAACTTGAAGATGAGAAGAAACAATCAACCACAAACTCCCAATGAATGAAATCAATGATTAAACATATAATGATGCCATACATTCCCAACATCCTTGAATAATTGTAAATAGAAACCCAACTTTGTATTATAGATATGTATATTTTAGTATTACCCAAAAATGACAATTTAATAAACAGTTCATTATATTTTGAGATCAATGGTAGTTCATTCTTTTTGTTTGATGGTTGGATTTATACTCCCACTTTAGTGATTTATTGTTGTCAAAAACAAAATTCCATGTTTACTCATCTCGGTCAAACATTATTATACAAAGTAAAAATATTTTTGTTTTTATTTGTGAATTATTAATTAACTCGATGTTATAATTTAGCTCTAAACTTTATCCACAAAACTGATCCAAAATAATTATGTATAAAAATAAATAGTTGAACTATTGTATAATTTGAACACACTAAAAAATATTTTTGTGTATATTGTTCATAACGAGTAAAACCAAATCATTGTACGAGAAATGTGTTAATTGACTACATGAAACTGACAATCATCCTTTGATTTCAACTGTATTCGCTTCATCCCTTACCCCTGTTTCTCAACAGTGATGACTACTCACAACTAAAGCGTCCAATGTATATTTGATCTTTTTGATTATGAAAGAAATCTAACTCATCATAATTCAGTTTTACTCAACAAAATTTTAAACCTAATTAGAAAGAATAATAACTTGAATTTTAATCATCCCTCCAACAAATATTTTGTATCATTTACATCGTTATTAATATTTTTATGATTCAATGATCTCAACTACATGTCAATTTCAGTTAATCCATGGTGTAATTGTTAGGTAGTAATCGCTATTGTTTGTTCTATTATTTGAGACAATGTAGGTATTTTTTAAGGTTCTGAGTGCGTGTGCCTAAATAGGATCCGCATGCCTTTTTGGGGTATATAAGTGCATGCGCGGAGAACCTAACCGTTACCTAATTAAGCCCTGAGAGCCTAACTAGTTAAACCTTGTGCGTTGCTACAGTTCATGCGGGGAAAGATTTTCGAGGCAACCAATTTGTATCATTCATTCACTCTTCGTTTGGCGTGGGGGTTGATTTTTGAAGAGGGTTTTTTATTTCATTTATTCATTATTTTAACGAGGCACTTTTGAATGATATAATGCGATAAATTTCACGGTTAACCATTCATTAGAGGTATTTATTATTATTTGTGGTAGCTATGACAATATAGGATATGGTATCGTTGAGACAATTGATTATATTGATATTTCAATATAATTGCTCTGCTCCCATTCATGTAAATCGGGCAAATTATTTAATATTAGGAATAATATAATAAAATAATGCAAAGCACTAACAATATTATATGAAATTTTGTAAGCAACTCTTAAGTTTGGAAATGATCTACACTGTAGGACATATTATAATGATGTTGATGTTGCTAATTTCTGATTATTTTCATATGTATTGTAATGAGTTCGTAAGTGACCTTCGTGTATTGTTACATTCCCCTTGTTCCCGTTCGAATCCAAGAAAACGATATCATTGCTTCAAGGTTGGGATATTTTTTAAATAAACTCATCTACCTTCAAGTTACTGTTGTTGGATTGAACAGATAAGATTAGGAATATGTATAACCTACATATGTGTAAGAAAATTATTATACAAGGTTGTCAATTGAACTTGATTAACACTTGGGATGTGATTAATTACATGCATATCGTTAAAAAAATTGTTGATTCCTCTAAACCATTGGTCAATGTAATGAAACCAACACCCCGGCGGGAAAAGGTTGCCAAATCAATTCATTAATTCCCTTCTGATAAAAATCCATTACATCACTCGATAATTTCCCATATTAAAATTCTCTACAATTGACTTGTTGAGCTCCGATAATATGAATATGATAAGCGTATTTAAGTTTAAACCATGCAACTGAGTGTTTCATAAATTAAATCAATTGGAAAGTAAAGTTTTTAATATCATGGTTTAGGCGCAACAATTGAGACAGAGGGAGGGAAAAAAATAAAAAAAAACCATTTAACACAAAAATTATGGCTTGTTTCCCCTCATAAAGAACTTTCACGAGCGTTATTGAATATAATTAAATAACTCCCCTATTCTTTGATTGGCACTGATATGCTTCAATAGCTCATCATAGTTATTAGACATTTCTGTTGGATATTAATTATAACCACTATTAAAGGCGGTAAGTGCATTACGCTTCTTCATTTTCTTCTTCTTCACATATTTACGCTAACTCCTTGGTTATAGCAATTCTTGTCAACTATTGCTATCTTGACTCCCAATTCAATCATAATAATATCTCATCATATTGGCTATAAGCTTATAAAATAAAACGGACTATCTGAACAATGCCAAAAGGATAATTTACTATCTTGAATTATTTTTTAGTCGGGGAGCTTAATTGATACAGATTAGATTCTACCCCATGACTAATGAGGAAAGCTTGTGACTTTTTAGTGCGACAAAATTATATGAAAATAAAGTTTTATCGAACTTAATTTACACTAAATAGGAAAGAGGAGTCAATTGAAGTTTGCTGCATAATAATTTCTTAACTTTCATTAAACCCTATATTGTAATTCTTCTGATTCAAAGGAACTAGTTTTATTTTTTAAGCGTTGATATATGAATTGCTGTTGATATTTTTGACAAATATAGTTAAGCATTGTGACTACTTCAACGATCTTATGAAACTATTTTCTTGAGGGTATTCATCTAAACCTAATCATATTTCAATGAATTCTATCTTAAATTTTAATGAACTTCTTTTTTCACTCCTTCAATATAACTGTCGCGTATATGTAGAGTCATCGATGAATTAGTCAATTGACTACTAATAAATGATACTAATAGTAAATTTCAGTTAAATCTCTTTCGACACCTTTTACCCCATTCCCCACATTTTGACAAATAATTTCCTGCATAGACGACCTCGATATCTCCTTTAGAAAAGGTTATTTTCCTAAAAAGACGCAACTTGCGACGTTAACTAAAAAATACATTATTTTCCTTCATCTACATTAAAAAATAACTGCCGTATCAAAAAATAATACCAAAAGGTAAAAGGAGCTTCAACCTAATTCTTCAAACAAATTGAGTGTACAAATCCTACACTTTAAAGTTTTATTGATCATACAGATTTAATAAGGGTTGAGCTGCATCTTTCTTAATTATTTAAAATTATTGAAAATTCTAATCGATAAATCCTAAAAATAAATTGAAATAATGGAATATAGTTGCATTGTTAATAAGTTGCCAATTAAGCTCAATTAGAGCCATTCGGGCAGAAGTATAATCACAATCCGTGATACTTGGGGAGTCTTTCGTCATATTAGATTTCAACTTAATAGCCTTTTTGAAACTCCGTCAATTGTGAAACTGCAAATCCAATCGAGAATAGATGGAAATTTTACATGGAATATGTGGGGTAATTATCGGATGACTAGAATAGTCCCTTTCCTGTTTAAATGATTACAATATCCAATTAGTCACTTCTTACCATTCATTTGTAACTACATTCCACATTTTCCTTTAGTTAAAAAGTAACTTTGTCAAGCCTGAAAGTGTAATTTAAAAATATCATACCCTATCGGAAGACTGTTGAAAACCCTTTACCCCTCTACAGTATTAAATTCTATCTTTATAAACGAGCTTTTTGATATAATATTTGAAAAAGAAATAAATAACGGTTATCAATTTCTTTTTAAAATTATACTTTGTAGCACTGTGGGGTAAACATTTTTGAAGTTAAATGGTTATTACCACAAAGTATAAATTTTATCGCCCCTAAATATCAGAACAATTATATTTTTTTATGTAGGTTTTTTTCGCTCTCCTTCGCAAAATTGGACAAAAAAAATAAATGTTTTCCTTAATAAAATTGCTCCCCTTTGGCTCCTTTATTCCACTAACGTTCAGTACGAGGGGTAGTCCCTCACGTCCTCCACTACTTACTCCACTCTGTATACTCTAATTACTTTAATTTTAAACTTCAAAAACCACGGTCATTTGATTTGTAACATAATGTGTTCATATGTTTGAAAATGGATGTTAAACTATGCTATCAAATGGACTGAAGTTATCCTTAATAAGCTGGACATTTTACTGAAATCGGCGTTGCTCAACATATTTCCAGAAATACCCAACCCCCAAAAAAAGTTTGAGTAAGACTTAATTAGGCAACTATAATATAATATAGGCAACTTTTTAGTATTGTAAACTGTATGAAATTGTAAATGACTAACTAAAAGACTAAACAATCATAATCATCGGAGGATACAAGGTAGAAGTCCTTTTGCGCGAGAGCCGCAAGGTGCCGGAATTTTTTTTCCTTCTGCCATTTTTTCGCTGTTGAGGTTCTCCTCACCTTGAAGCCTATTACATCTAAGATCGTTGATAGCATGTGCAAAATAGGCAAACGGCATAAATGTTCATTATTGTGTAGGTTACTTAATTAGGTAAAGTGGAGTAGCCTGCTTCCTTTATAGTCTCCCTCTCATGCAAATGTTGATACCTAAACAGGAAATATTCAAGTATCTAGTATTGTGGTGCTGCATATGTTAAGTGCCCATTTGTGCGTACTTGTATTATTCCCCTGCATTGTTCAATACTTTATTTAGTTAACTATATATTTTTACTATACAACAATCACAATAGCAAACTTAGTTTTTATTTTTGTTCATCCTTTCAATTCAATCATTATATTTTATAAGAATATTAATAGGTTAATTGTATAATTGATCCCATTTAAATGTGTAAAATAGTGACGCAATAATTTTATTATAGACAAAACAGGAGTTGTGAATTATTATTCAAAAAACGAAATACCCTAATGTAGAAGTCAAATGATTAATGATTATCTTTCCGCCTCATCCTTTTAATTTCGCTCTGATGGAGTTGTTTTACCTGATGATGAGCTCTACAAGGTATAATTAATTGCTGGGTTGATGCAATAGTATCACCTCTAAATATTAAGTACCCCATTTTTTTATATGAAATAATGTCGATGGTCTGAACATATTTCAGTTGAAATTCCAAAAAAATATTACAAATTACCTACATGAAGTAACAAACCTAATAATATTTCCCAAATAGTACTACTTATTAACGATCTATCGATTGTTCTGTTCTTGCTGATGCGCAACCATTTGCCTCAAATGCACCTCATTTATTTTTTTATGAAAATCATAAATATCCCCAAAAAATAAATGTGATACAAAATAGCAAAAAAAGCTTTTTCCCTTGACATTTGCAACTAAAATAATATTCACTTACTAGTTTATGCTCATCATTTAACCAAAATAACTTTAATTATGTACATATAAATGATCATTTTGATTTTTTATTTTTTATATGCTATTGTCGTTTATACATTCTGCAGAAGGAAATAATAATTTAAATTATTTTGTGTAAATTCAAAAGTTACAATGTTTTGCATTAATCTATCATTTGGAACCAACCCATACGTGAAAAATTACTTTAAACAGTTACCCCTCTAACTTAGACTTTCTTATGAACTATTCCAAATTTCTAATCCTAGGAATAACTGAAACTAATTATCTAGAAATTAATATATATTCAACCATTTCCACCCTTCTTCTGGAAATTTTTTGAAGTCAATTCCTTTTTTATTTCCCTTTCAGTATATTTCATAAATCAATTCACTTCAAGTCAATCATTACTCGACAAAACATCTTTCGCTTTACCCTAACCTCAACGAAACCAACCCTTGGATACCCTTTCATTTGATACCCCCTCGATAATACTTCGTTATATTTATACCCTTATACTTCCAACACATATATTAATAATATCTATCTACAATGATGCAAGAAGTTTTACCACCAGCTAATGGAAAGAAATTATGGAGAGTGAAAAGAATTAATTCTGTCTCAACTGATGCTACATCTACTACTACTAATAATAATACCCCTGTCGTTGATAGTTCGGTTGAATGCTTGAATAACTCTCTCAGAATATCTGCTGCTGGCAACAGATTAACTACAAAAAGACCACCTTTAAGAAGACCAAAGAATAAACCAGGTAAGCCAAAGGACTTTGTCTTTGTCGACTTATCTCCAATCAAGACTGATGAATCTGAAGATGATGCTTCTACTGGTTCTCCAAATATTGATAACATTCAATTACCATCACCAAACCAATCTATTATTGATGAAACTTCATCTCAAAACTCATCAATGTTTGACATGCCACAATTAAATGATTCATTCTCAGCTTTATCTACTTCATCTGAAGATATATTTTCTAGTTTTGATAACTCTTCTATATTAGGCTCGGGAATTGATGGTTATATGCAGGTTACCCCACATTGTCAAACTCAAAGTCAAAACTCATCACACGGAAACTCCATGCCTCAAGATCAATCACTCTTAGGATTAGGTATTAATAATACTGGTGTTACTAACTGGGAACAACCTCAAATGTTTAAACCACAACCACAACAAGTTCCAGTTCCAGTTGCTCCAAATATGATGTTTACTCAACAAATTTTCACCTATCAACAAGCTATGTTACAACAATATCAACAAATACAATTGTTACAACAACAATTACAACAAGTTCATCAAATGCAACAAGTTCAAGATGTGCAACAAGTTCAACAACAAGTTCCTCAAATGCAAATTCCAATGCCACAACAACCAATTCAACAATCACACACTGTTAGTGCTATTGAAACTGGTGCTATCGGTCATAAGAGATCAAAATCTACAGTGGAGACTTCTATGAAGAAGAGAAATAGCGGGCAATTTCAATTCAAGACTTATACTGGTCCAAAACATAGACATTCAGCTTCTGAATCTTCTATTAAGAAACAAAGAAAATCAAGTAAATCATCTCCTAACTCACCAAACCAAAAAATTGAAGATCAAATTAATTCTTTAATGAAACCAGTTGGTTTAGAAGATTTCATGATGCTTAGTGAACAACTTGATATTCCATTGGAACAAGGCTCTGCTAATAGTTCAGTTAACACTACTAATGATTCTAGTTATGAAACTTTTACTCCAATTTCCGATTATTCTGATGATGATCTTTTCTATAGCAAACCTAAAGCTATTGATGCCAATTTATTATCTAATTGTGGAATTGATCAATTCTTATTCAACAAGAGTGAAGATTTTGAATTATCAGGATTTGTCTCTATGTGAGGGATTTTAAAAGGTTTAACTTATTTTTGTACATTAGTTGCTTCGGTGGTTATATTTCTCTAATCTTTATTTTTTCATGATGCTTATTTATTTATTTACTTTTCACTTCGATACCATTCATTTATTTTCGGTTGTACACTAGCTATTTGATACCCTGTGCCATTATAAAAATTATATATTACAAAACTTTCCAAAATGAAAATCAATCTCAAATCTTTTTCTTTCTTTTCCAAAATCATATTTTCTTGCTTATCAACTACTGACATTATCCATTTTATTCGGTCTTTCCCAATTTTTAATTTTACTTTCGAATTACAATTTTCTTATTTCGCCAAATCATTTTCGGTCTTACTCTTTAGTTTCTGTTTCCTTTTATTATCATCTTTTTATCTTTCGTCAAAATTGTCATAGTTGAAAGCTTATCTTTTATCACTTTCGGTCTAAAAATATATTACCATTTCGGTGAGATTGATTATTCAAAATGGAAGTTTAGTATATAAATTTTTTAAAAATACACTACATAGTTTTTAATGAATATTTTAGTTTTACAAAATTTACCTAAATTAAGTTGTAGTTCAGAAAAGTTTAAGGAGTTGTTAATTTAAATGAAAAAATTGCGAAATGTCGAAAATCTTTAAAGTTTTGTTAATAGCTGTGAAAACCTGCATACAATTGGTAAAAGATTGCTAAAAATAACATCAGTTTTAATGTATCACGACTTCTAGAAACCCATGTCATGTTTAAAGGGAAAATCCCATTTTAGCCGATAACGAAGCATTTATATCGTATAATTGAGGCAAGTCTAAAAAGTCAATCCTGAGAGCTTAATCGAAAAGCCGGACCCAATTAGGAAGTTCCTAAACGAGAATAGCTACTGCAATGCAAATGCAGAACCCTGTGTCAAAATTGAACTAGCAGATCCGAACAAGGTCAAGATGGAGTGAACTGATTATAACTTCATTTGGAATTACGATTATTTTGCATCCATGAAAGTGTATAAATGTAAATTTATGTTTCCTAAATAGGTAATTCTTGTTTTGGTTATACAATTTTTTGGTGTGGTGAGAAATTACCCTTTTAAGAATTCATGGGTCAAGAAATGCGAACAAAGGGTTATAATATTTATTACTATGGTAGGCGAGCTAAGGTTACTAATAGAGCTATTATTTAACTAGAGTGGTAAGCAATTTGAAGTGTTTACGAAACTTCCAGTCAGTTCCAGACTTTTTGGATGACTTTTAAACTTGTACTTTTTGAGACAATGACCTCCCGTTTCCTCTTAATACTTTTTGAGGCTTGACTTGTGGCTTCACTTCCTCTTCTGTTGTTTCGGCAACTTCGTCATTTGGAATTTCACTATTCTCTGGTTCAGCTGACTCTTCTTCACCTACTGGTGCAGCTTCTGTTTCGCAAGGTTCATCTTTCGAACCTCCATATCCAACATATTCAACTGGAGCATATGGCTTTATGTAAGCAAAGTAATCAATTGGCTCAGCTGGAGCAATATAATTATCTTGATCTTCTGTCATCATACATTGCTTTCTTGCCTCAACAGTAAAACTAGTTACAATGCAGTAGTTATCATTGTCAACTAAATCATCACCTAAGGGGGTGAATGGTGAACTTCTGTAAGCCAAACGAGAATATAATTCGCTCATATTGGGCATATCTCTAATTTTCTCAGTTGCATGATACCACCATTCAGTATCTAATGATCTTTCCATAGGCCATAATCCTTCTGGGTCATATAATTCTCTAGCAGAATATTCAAACTGCCAACTTGGTTCGGCTCCACCATTAATGAATGTTTCATTTAACTCAATGTTATAAGTAAAAGAATTGACAATATTGAAAGATTTTTCATCTATGGCGTAATATCTCCAAGCTGGGTTAACTCCCGAGTAAGGACTTATAGAAGGACCTATTAATGCAAAATTAATAGCCTTTTCTAATTCTTTTGAATCGCAACCATCACCACCGTAAATTAAATTAAATGAATCTTTTAAGTTGCTTCCGAAGAAAATAGCAGCTATAACTTTTGGAGAGAATCTTCCAATTATTAAAGTTAAAACTTTAGCTGGTAAGGGTAAAGATCGAGAGCTCGGAGGTAAATGACTTATAATCCATACTCTTTGTTCATTTACTTCACTTTCCAATAATTCGTCAATTAAAAATTTCCAAATGCCAAATTTGTCAATAGAATGGACATTCCAGAAATTGTACAAATTTTTATCGTTCCAAACATTAGAGTTTAGTGAGATAATTTTTAACCCTCTTGAAGTTATTATGGAAAACCCAGTATGCGAATATCTTATTTGCTTAGAGGCATCGAGGTCTATCCAATCCAACTCTAACCATAAATCAGCCAAGAAGTCGAATTCCCATTGGTATGATACTGAATTTTCTATCAAGTTTTTAGGTGGTAATTGATTTATTGGGAACGTGTCTCGAATACCAAAAGTTCCAATAATTGGAATCGATGGTAAATAAGTTTTTAATAATTTATACACAACTTCTTGAGTTTTTAAAATATGATGCTTATCAATGAATATTCTATCTTGATGTTCAACTGTCCCACCAGTGAAAATGGCCATTTCAAATTGTAAATGGTTTTGATGAAAATTTCTTATTGTATGAAGAGTATTATTTAATAACAACAAAGGGGTTTCACAAGTATAACTTCCAAATTCATGACATGGAGACCAAACACTGTTCTCATTTGAGTATAAATCTACATACTGACCCTTTTCAAAATGCCCATGAGTGTATGAACTGTCATAAAATGATAATCCATTGGATGGATTATGAATAGGAGAATAATCATAAGATTCTGGTGGTTTAAAATAATTATAACTATGTTCTGAACAGCATACACTTTGAGAACAATTTGCTTCAGTCAATAACTTATAATTCAATTGAAGATTAATATCACTAATGTGTAATACATTAAAGGTTTCACCGCTATTTTGAGGAGCTTCATATACTTTGGGTTTAGGAGGCCATAAGTTTGATAAATCCAATTCAGGAGTCTCTGGTAATATATGACATTTATCATCATGGTAATAACAGAATAAATCACCATCTAATCCTTCTGGATCCATCAACAGAACCACTTTAGTGAAATCATTTCCAATCGATGAATATTCTAATGATGGATATCCATAATTCATATGACATTGAGTCTCATCATTTCCCGCCTCAAGACACCAAATGGTAAAAATTTGCGGGACTAAATCAGGACGAGTTAATGCTAAGAATTTTCCAATCTGTAATCTAGTCTTACATGTGATACATTCATTAAGATCAGTAGCTGCATCAAGACTATGTAATTCATTGACTGCATTATGAATGATATCTTCATCAGTAAGGATGATTTCTGAGGGGGGCCAATAATGTTCACCAATTGGATGTTCATAATTTTCAATTGAACCAGACACAAGAACCAAGAGGAATGGTAAAATGCTGATGACTCTCATCTGATCAATTGATTGATTGATTGCTTGATTGATTTGGATTGATTGGATAGTAACATCAAGAGAAGTGTTGTAAATCTGATCCTTTTGGCTGTAAAAAAAAGATCCCTAGCAGTAACTGGTGCGAAAGGATCTCCTCCTTTTCCTTCAAACACACTGACAACAACAACTACAATGACAACGTTAGTTGATTATTAATCCAATCAAAGTTGTGAAAGATATTAAAAGGTTCGAGCTGATGATGTGAATTGATTGATATTCACTGCGACTAAGTTTCAGATTCAGATCCCAATATTGGGAATGTTGCTATATGTGGTTCTTTTTAAACGGTATTATTTAGTTTATGTTTAGTTTGACCTTGCCTCTGTAATGATGTTGGTTCTTCTACAGGTATTACATTATGGTCGATATCTATTAGATAGATATAAAACGAAATACATTACAATACATTAAATTCATAAATATAAATAAATAAAATAAGAAATTTTCAAGATCTGGAGGATTAGTCGATTGGTCCACCACCAGATTTGAAGCTTTAGCAATATTTTGAAGTATTGGATGGGGTTTTCTTTATTTTTTTTTAACAAATAGATGTTTATAATTAGTAGAATACAAAAGAAGACACTTATTTAGATAGTGCAACCAAGAAAAGATTAAAAATTGTAAATTTAACAGTAATAATAGTAATAATAACAGTGGTGGTAGGTTTAAGATTGATAGTACATTTTGGATTGAGGGAACCTCTTTGGGGGCTTCCGCCCCTCTTCGTTATAGACTTTGGCTTTATGAAAGTATCATATAAGCATTTACTTTTTAATTATTTATTATGATTTAATGAAATCGATAAATATCTTTGACTTTTCTTTATTCTTTTTTAAAAAATGCAACCAGTGAACCGTCCCGAAAACTTTGTATAAAATGAAATGAAAACATAATTGGAATAATAAATACAAAAAAATAAAAATAAAAAATGGTTTAAATTAAAACGAAGATATCATGGCTAAAAAAGCTATAATAACAACAAGAAATTTTATAGTAATAATGGCAAAAGTAAAATCAATTCACTTTAATGAATCCTTGAATGAATTCAATAACTTCAAAACTTCTTCATTGGAAGTAGAAGAAGGATCGGTAGAATTTAAAGAATCAATCATAAAATCAGTAAATGATTTAAAAGAATTTAACTTATCTTGATTGAATTTTAGATGAATTGTATTCAATTTCTTTTTATAGTTTTTAAAAGCTGAATGTAAATCATTTAATAATGATTCATTCAAATTTTGAACTTTATCTTCATGATTCTTCAATAAAGTATTTAAATTTGCAAAACCTTGTAAAGTTTTAATAAATGGCAACGATTGCTTATCATCTGCATCAATTATAGATGAGATTTCATTAGTCAACGTCTCGAATTTACTTACCAAGTTATCGCTTGGGTCTTCTTCAGGTACTGCTATTGTTTGAGGTGGAATTTCTATTAAACTAGTCGATTCTAAAACCTCTTTCAAGTTCAAATATGATTGCTCTTTTGGTTTTGGAGCGTTAGGACTTGAAGAACTAGAAGATACAGCCGCCACAGCTACAGCAGCTGCAGTTGATGCTGAAACAGTTGGTAATGCAGTTGTATTACTAGTTGTTGTTACAGGGGAAGTTGTACCTGTTATGACAGCTGAAGGATTAGACACAGCTTCTAATCTTCCAGCCTTAAAATTTTCACTTAATTCATTAAGCTCCAATACATAATTTTCCAATTCACTTAATGAATTTTCAATGGTTATAAAATCATAATTATAATAATCATCTGGTTTTTCAATAGTATTTACTTTGTCAGAAGAACCTGATTCTTCACGTCTCGTAAGCGCCTTCTTTATAGCAGTGGCTAACTGTCTTTGTAATGTTCTTACGGTTGGAACTACTAAATTGGAATTTGGGGCTGGTGAAGCTGAAGACGAGGGCTTTAATTGTTCCTTAACTTGGGAATATTTTGCTTGAACAATTTCCCATTTTCTGGTTTGACTCAAAGATCTATCACCAATATATTTAAATGGTTTAATTTTAATAATAAGGTATAAAATTATTTTAATATCTTCGGTTGATAATTTTGATCTTGTCGCAGTTGCAGCCGCTGAAGAAGACCCTGGTGTATTGGTTCTAGCTTGGAAATGTGAGCTAGAAGATGGATTTAATGAATGATTGTAATCTTCAATCTCAGGATCTACAACGACTCCTTGTTCATCGGAATCAATTTCATCATCTTCATCAATTATGCTTTCCTCATTATTGTCGACTTCATCATGAACCCGTTTCTTTCTTAACTTTTCAATATCTTTTGACCCCTTTGGGGATATTATAGGATTTAAAATGCTTACTCCAGAAGCTGACGCCGTGGAGGGTTTAGAAGGAGTAATGGTGGTGGTGTTTGAATCAGATTTAATGTTTGGTATGAGAACTTTACTAGCGTTATTTAAAGCAGCAGATCCCGTAGAAGAATTAGACACTATTGGATTTTTATTTGAAGATGACAGTTGGTTCAGTATTGATGTCTCATTATCTAGCGACATACTAAGCAGGGATAACTATTAACAATTGCTTTATGTGAAGGAATATATATAAGTGAAAGATTTCTCTTTTATATCAAGAGTTGTTTTGATTTATGGTTTTTTTTTGTCTTTTTTGTCTTTTTTTTGCCTTTTTGTTTTTTCTGTCTGGTAGACTGTCTTTCTCTTTTTTTTATATATTTTAAAAATTATTATTTATTTTAAATTTTTTTTTTTTTGTACTTTTTGTCTGGACCCAAATAAAAAAAACAAAAAAAAAAGAATTAAAAATAAAGTTTGAATTAAAATTAAAAAATAACAGGAATATTTAATCAACTCAACAGGATCTAAATACCACTTTAGGATCAATCAACAATGATATGTATCTTGTGGATGTAATCTATATTAAAGGTAGGTGATTCTTTTAGTGTAGGGTTTAGTCTCGATAATGCAATACCTAGTATTCGGTTGAGAATATATGAATATCTCGCCCTATTTTTGTCCTCTTGATTTCCAATCTAAACTTTACGAAGTTGGTAGAATGCAAAGCCCGATCGCAGCGATAATGAAAAGTCGTACTATATATATATAGATAGATAGTTGATAGACCGTGGTAAATAAACAAAGGAGGGGAAACTGAATGATGTGATATGAAACCTTGTTACCTAGTAATAATTGAATAGCAAAAGGAGACTCAAAAACGCAAAACAGTCAAAAATCACAAAACTTATATATATCAAAAATAAAATTTAAAAAATAATAATTTAAAATCAAAGGACAGACAAAATGGAAGAAACTGAAAGGGAATAGAAAAAAGAAAAAGAACCCAACTTTCGAGACATTAATTACGATTTATATAAATGAAATTCAATCTAGTGGAAGCATGTCCAATAAGAAACAAACAAACAAACAGACACATAAAAAAATTTAAGTAAATAAACAACTATTGTACGCAATAAAGTTGGATCCCAAAATGAATTTTGAATTACAGTATATGCATAGCTTCATACTTATGATTAATAATATTAGGGTCAACAATAATAAACCAAAACAAATCACCCAAATATTATTACTATACAAATGTGGTATGTGTGGGTATTAATAGAAGCATTTCACTATTTTATGACTAACTAATTGACACAAAATTACCTCAAAAAAAAAAAGAATTAAAAAATTAAAATTAAAATTAAAATTAAAAAAAAAAAAAAAAAAAACATTTAAATAATAAATTAATTAGTTAGCTAAAAAAAAACAATTGATTTAATTGGGAATTAAGAAAACAGGACACTTAAGGTACTGTGATATTAAAACACAACCGTTAGTATCTTTTTAATTCTTAGCCCTGGATGCTCGTTTTATCTTGCCGAGATATGGTAACGGATCGATGATCTTATTGACTCCGTGATTTACGTTTTACATTCAAGTGGCAAAGTATTAATGCCATTAATGTTCTTACATACGAACCTTTTGGGTTGTGGTGGTGCTAGAGGATTATTTTTGTCAGATTTTCGTTTTCGTTTTCGTTTTCGGTTTCCTTTTATTTTTTTTTTTTTTTATTACTCCTGGATTAAATTCATTCTCTGACAGTTTTCGTCTTTTCTTTTGCGTCTCAAATTTGTGACAATTTATTTATGCGACGTTGTAGAAATCGCTAAGTAGATAAATTTGACATTATCTGATACATCATAGGAAATATGATTTCATCTAACCTTAGTCGTAAATACGACAATATCCGAACAAGGAACAGTAAGTTCACTTTAAGAACTTCACCATACAATAAAAGGCTGAATATGGTCATTTAGTTCAAGAATTCAAATGATTACGGAAAAGTTGATCCACAGGTACAGTTCTAATCGAAGTCAGGGCGAAAAATGTTACCTACCAAAAAAAAAAATTAAATAAAACAAATCTAAAAACGAATGACTTCATGGTAATTTGATTAATAATTATCAGATATAACATAACCCACGTAGATAACAAAACAGGAACAAAAGAGAAAAGAAAGAATACAAAATTTCGACATAGAAGACTCAAAGTAAAACAATACACTAATCCTTTTGGAAACGAACAAACGAACAAAAAAAAAGATGATGCTAAACCGTTGGAATTAATGGAGATTAAATGCAGTTGCTAATATTTCTGTATAATCCATTTGAAACACAATTTAAACTTTTAACCTTTGATCGAAATCGGTTCTAGTCTATGTAGATTTAAAGTTCTAATTAGCTTAGGATTGATCATTCATTTGCCCATGCATCCGATTCTCTAGATGGCTTTACAGGAATATAATTCATTTCATAAACGTTCCTGTTAAGATCAATTAAGAAAATAGGTCATATCAGACAGACAGACAAAATTTTACAATGGTAGTTAAAGTAAGAAATATACCACAAAAGCAAATGCCTTATGGGAAATCACTTACGATTGAAATTTGGTTACCATATTAAAATTAATAAAATATTAAATTGGATTAAATTATTTGGGGGGTTTTAAATTTATCGGACAAAAAATTTATTTAACTACGTGGTGTGTGAACGATATCAACTTGACATCAATCTACCTTAACCTTCATGTTAAAACAGACGGAAACAATAAACAGAATATCTACAAATAAAAGTCACAAAAGAAAATTTAAGACCCAAATTACAAAATAATAATTGTGCAAAATGCCTTATGAACAAACCTCTTAGACCTTTTTAAAAGAAAAACAGCAGGGAAAAAAACGTTTATAGTTCTTACTGTCATGGTTTTGCATGACTCACGGTATAGTATTTGTCTCCTATATTATCTCGTAAAAACCTAGTTTAAGGACACGACATTTTCTTTTTTTTTATATTCTTTAGGTTTTTTTTTTTTTTTTTTTTTTTTTTAAGCTTTTCTTTTAACTTTTTTTTTTTTTTTTATATTCCATTATTTTTTTTGTCTTACGGAATTATGTCCCAGTCTAGGACCTTTGCGCGGAAGTAAAACTAGGGGCTTGGCCCACCTCCTAATTTGTGTCCTCCACCTATTGGCGGAGGTTTTTCTCGTCCTACTATACAACATTTTTATTTTAATACTACCAAAATAAAGCCCTAATTCTGAAAAAAGGCAAACAAATCCTATAAACAACACCTGTGGTCAATAAAAATCATAACCTTTAATAAAATCATCTCTTAATAACGTTTGCAACCATTGAAGAGGTTGTGAGTTGTAGTCATCTGTTGGGGTAATTCATGTTGTTTTCTACGAAATTTTGCTGTTCTTTTTGGTTGAATTTCCATTTATTTTAAATAACAATCTCTATGTAACTATATTATATGAACTTATAAATTTAATCCATTAATAAATGAACTAGTCACACTCTTGATATCATCTTCAATGTTCTTGCTATTATCATAATATTTACCATTAAATTTGGAATTATTGTGACGATTGTTTTGATTGTTATTATTATTGAATTTATTAAAAAAGTTTGCATTAATTTGAAATGTTCCTTCTTCATAAACATTATTGTTTTCATCTCCAATCTTACCCAATTTAGGCCATGATTCAAATGAATTCATTCCATCAAAGTCTTGATGATTATTATTACCATGACCTGCTAAAGTTGAGCCTGGTTCATATGAAATAACACTAGCACTATCCAAATCTGTTGATGTGCCAGCAAAAGTGGATGGAGCAGCAAACTTCTTATGAGGACCACCAATACCTGGTTTATTACCATTAGCTCCTGCTTTACCTTCAGCATTGTTATTTAATTGAACCATAGACATTTGAAGATTATCAAGAGGTCCTTCAACAAGACTACCACGTTCTCTAAAATGTAATAACAAAAAGTTCCATAATTGATTACGACTTAATGTTCGTGGATTTCCTAAGATGATTAAACCATACTTAGCTCTTGTTAAAGCAACATTCAAACGTCTTGGATCCTTTAAAAAACCAATTTGTTGAGCTTGATTTCCTCTGACACAACTTAAAATAATAAAATCTTTTTCTCGCCCTTGAAATGCGTCGACACTAGTAACTTCCACTTGTAAATATTCCTCCTTTTTGTCGATCAAAGTACTATTCATAGACATATATTGAACAATATATGCTCTTTGACCTTCATAAGGAGTTATAATACCAATTTGTTCAGCTTTGACTCCATCCTTAAATAATCGTGTGATAATTTTTTCGACGTTCATAGCTTCAACACGATTTAAAAATGAGTTACCACTTGGACTGATTTCTTCACGACCATAATTACCCCAAAACATCATAGGGTTATCAAGAACAGGCCATGGGAATGACGAGTTATCAATCAATCTATCCTCATTAGTAACACCATTTTGTAAAGATCCTTCATAAAACATATTGGAAGGAAATTCTGATAAACCAGGATGCATTCTATATTGAACTTCCAATCTAATAGGGACATGACCCAATAAAACCAATCTTTCAAACAATGATTGAGCTAAACCAGCTTGGGAAGCTCTCTTGTCTAATATGACTGGACCTAATTGTTGATGATCACCAACTAAAATAACTTGTTTGGCACCTTTAACAATTGGAATTAAAACTTCTGGTTCTGAAGCTTGAGTACTTTCATCAATCAAGACAGTTCTAAATTTAAATTGAGATAAACGTTTATCACCAGCTCCAATACAAGTACAACAAACAATATCACATTTACTTAAGATTTTATTTTCTGCCGTTCGAATAGCTTTGATTAAAGATCTTGAATCAAGTTTTGATAATTCACCAATTTCATTTCTTAATCTTAATAACTTTCTTAATTCACCTTTAGCAGTATCATTGACAATATTATGCAAAGATAAATGATTGATTGAACTTTCCACATCTTCACGAGATTTAGCAGTTAATCTAACCACTTTCAAACCCAATAAATCTAACTTAGCTGCTAAATGATCAACAGCAACATTTGAAGGAGCACAAACCAATACTCTTTCTTTATTTAATTTGGATAAATGATAAATGATGGTAGCAGATGTAACAGTTTTACCTGTACCCGGAGGTCCTTGAATTAATGATAACGGTCTTTGTAAAACAGCTCTAATAGCATTGGTTTGTGAAAAATTCAATTCAGTTAATTTTGGATGACTTAAACGTTTTGGTAAATCAATATCAAATTCAACAGGAGCAACTTCATGACCTAATAATTTATGATAAATATAAGCAGAAACAGATTGTTCATCCATAGCAAATGCTTTCATAGCATGTTGCATTCTTTCATATGATGTCCCTTTCCAAACAAATTCTGCAGTGAAATCTGAACTTAAATGAGTAGGAGGAATTTCTTTACTTGGTCTTAATTCTAATGTAAATTCTTCTTGATAAGAATTTGGTAATTTAATTATAAACCCTGCACCTTCCCAAGGATCATTATTTATTCCTGAATATCTTAAAATAATTTCATCACCAACCGCAATTTTTAATTCATTCGAATCAAAAGTTGATAAAGTAAATGAAGCAAGATGACGATCATTTAATCCAATAGCCCATTTAACTTGAATATGTTCTAAAGCTTGAGATTCTTTTAAGTTTTTATCATATTCAGCCTCAATATTAATTAACGGAGCAAACGATTGTTGATATTGGAAAGCATCATTATATCTCATTAAAATTGGTAAAACTTCTTCATTTGCACCATCTTTCTCTTCAATATCTTTGATAGAAGCATTTCTATTTAATCTCCATTGACCTTCTAATTTTGTAATTTGTTCACTGGTAATGATCCTGGCATTTATAATATCTCCTTCATTGGGATGAGCAGCTACCCAAGGTAATAATTGACGATCTTCAATTAATGATTGCCATTCTGCTGTATCCCAACTAACATCTTTTAATTGAGCACAAGGTATACGACATAATATGACTACCACTGATTCTTGTTTGGCACTAACAAAACCTAGGATGAAGACATTTTTATTACCACAATTGTAACATTCTAATACCGAATCACCTAAATCTGAATCTTGATGTAATGATATTTGATTATGTCTTGACATGACTAAATGAGTTACGATATGAGAACCACTGGCATCTGATTTCGAATTACAAAACCATTTATTACAAATGTTACATTTAACCACTGAATCAATGGAATGGATACCACAATAGGAGCAAGCATATTCAGGTAAATGTTCATTAATATTATCATCATCATGGACATGATCATCATCGATATCATCACCATCATCATCGATTAAATCTTGTAATCGTTGTAATTCCAACAGATTGTTATCACCAAAGTTGGAAATGGATTGAGTATCAGCTTCATCATTATCATCATTATGATGATGATGATAATCCTTGATAGTGGATAATTCGTCGCTATCGGCGACTGAGACGGCAGAAGCGTCATATGACAGATCTTGATTATGAAACAATAAATGACTCATTATATAACTGCTTCGGATATATCTATGTATGTATGTGATTTCTATGTGAAACTTTTGTATGTTATATAATCATATATGACAAATCGAGGTATATAATTCTCTTCCTTTATAACGGACGACTTGTAGTGTGTGAATTGGGGGAAAAATTTCTAGTTGTAGTTGGTAACTTTAAAAATTTATTCAATCAATACATTTGTGACGAATTCTATGGATTATATATCTGATATGATATGATATGCTTAGCAGATGTTATCTATATCTCAAGTTTCAACTTAGTCGTTACGCTTGATTAGGCGTTGAAAGGTTAACAAGCAGAACGAAAAAAAAAAGAAAGAAAGAGAAACCATCGTAACCTGTAAAATCTGAAACATTTACAGATTACAAAGTAATTACATGTTGGAGTTCTAGATTTACAGGTTTTACTCCATTATTTTGTTAAATTGCGCGAAAAATCAGACATAAATTTGTTTTTCATTTTGGATGTTTAAGCCTAGTTTCAGAGTTGACAGCAAACTGTCAAATCGATAAGGAACTTGAGTTAAAGTAAGTCGGATTTATTATAAGTGAACAATTTGCAATGCTTAATATATTGAAATATTAACAAGTAACTAATAATATATTATTATTTTGGGGTTTTAATATTATTTATATGAGCTAACAATGAGGACAAGTTTCATATAAAATTGCATTTTATGAGGCTACCTAGTGAATACAAACCTCATACCCCCCTTACATTATCAAGTAAATCTGAATCACACAGACAATTTCAATTGTATTCTGGTACAATAATAATACCTAGTAGAAATAAAAAATGATGGTCAAAGAAATATGAACAAATCTATAGTGATGAACATTAAACAAGATGTAAATTTATGTAACCTTCACTTCTTAAGACAAGATAACAGAAGAAACCGAGAAACATTAACCGAAGCAGATCAATTAAATTAAGAAATTGTTCCTCAATTAAGCAAATTAGCTCATTTAACTTACATACACAGACACAATTTGTATATATGATACCTGTTGCTAACCAATTTAGACGAAGAAACAGTTTTTCTAAAAACCCAAAAAAGGTTACACAAAATAATTTTTTTTTTAAACGCGTACTTTTTTTTTTTTTGGTTTGGTTTGGCTTGTCACAGTCTGGCTCCTCTAGTTTAACCAAATCAAATTTACGACAACAAAACAGTATCAAATCATTTGACAACACATCATCTTCAACCAATCCATCTATCCATCGATTTCGTTTGTTGTTCTTTCTTCGCCATCCATCAACATCTATAGCCAGTCCTTAGACTTAGACGACTGCTTGTATTATATTCCAACCGCTAACCATCTTGATCCTTCTATCCATTGATTGATTGATCGTTCCACTCACTTATTCATCAAGAATTCCTATCATTCTATCTACGCCTTATTCAATATTTTATATCTAATTAGATTGATTTGTATTACCATTAGCCAGTTTATGCTTCTTTCTCACATTACTAACATACAATGAGTTACCCTTCTCCTTTTCATAGAATTATATTAAATAATAAAGGACTCTTTGAAGGAAAAGACTTTCTCGTGTCAACTGATACCATTAATTGGATTCATACTTATACTTTAACCATCACTGAACATGGTCAACTATACTCTTCAGATGAAAATGACAATCATTACCTTTTATTACAATCCTTACAATCATGTTACGTACAAATATTCCCCACATTAACCACAAATACTGCCGCTTTAGGTCCAACATCATCATCTTCAACTTCAATCTCAAGTTCATCAACGAGGCGATTCATAGCATCTAAACGTTCCATGCCATCTATAGATACATCATCATCTTCATCCACCCTTGCTAATGAGTCTCATGATCCTCCTGTCATCTTTATAAAAACATATGAAAATGATAAATTATATTTGAAAGTTGCATCCAAATCAAATTTTGGTAATTTAATAAGTTCTCTTATAGTCTGGCAATCATTAAAACCTCAAGGATTAGTTAAAAAATGGTATTCTGAAAATAAAGTAGATAATTCAACTATAAATCTGAAAAATCCTCATGAATTATTAGTATGTAGATTCAAAATTTATGCTCCTGTTCCATCTAAAGCTAAAAATTTAAATTTTGTTACTGGTCCAAGAGCTCCAGTATATCAAGCTTTTAATGATGTTCATGTTAATAGTGATTCAAATCCTAATAATATCAATGAATCATGGTTTTATGTCATGGGGGTACTTAAATCAAATGGGATGTTAAATTTCATTACTGAATTAGATGGTACTTTATTATATTCTATCGATATAAAATCAATTATGTCATCTGAAATAAGACAAATGCATCATTCAATCTTTGATAATTCAAATGTATTATTCTTAGGACAATTAAAAGAGTTAAGAAGTCAAAATATATCATCTACTTCATCATTTTTAATAAGAGATGGAAAATTAATACCTAATAATTATAGAATCTTTATTGAATTTCCTTTACATATCGATTTAGAAGATTGGTTTGTAGGATTGAATTATTTTGCTAAACGTGAGTACATTGGCAGTTATAGTCCAAAACTGAAATTATTAATTTCAGCATCACCATCATCAACCACACCACCACCATTATTAAATTTTAGTCGAGAACATTTTCGAGTTTCCAAGAAGATTTCAATTGATATTATTGAAGCTAAATTCGATCAAGTAAATTCCAGTAATAATAATCATAATAAAATCTATGCTGAAGTTAGAATGTGGGGATTACCATGGTCAAGAACTGCTATGGTTAAACATTCACTTAATCCATTTTGGAAAGAAGAATTTTCAACTGATTTACCAATTCTGACTCAAATGATTCATATCTTAATTAAAAAATGTGCATTCAATGATTCAAATTATCTGACAGGTGATAAAATCATTGGAACAGTTTATGTCACTCCTGATATTTTAGCCAAACAAAATATTAATAATAGTAGTAATAATAATAGTAATCAAACTTCAACCATAATGATTGGATCAAATAGTATCCCTAATAATTTATCATCCAGTACTTCAAATAATAATTTAGCTAAGGGTAGTGATATTGTAAGGCTTTCAATTTATGATTCTACCAACGTCCCTATTGGGAAATTGTTAATCAATGTTCAATTAAAAGAACATCATATTTTACCTCCTCGTTATTTCAAAAGTCTTGAACATATGTTGATTCATTCACCCATGAAGGATTTAATTAAATTCATTAATGATACTTTATCTCCAAATGAATTCGATGAAACTAGTGTTATGTTACTTGATATTTTCCAAACTTTAGGAGTTGAAGAAAAATGGTTTAAATCATTGATGGAGTATGAATTGACAGGAGTGGATGTTATAACCAGAAAGAATTATGCCAAGACAAATAGTGAAGCACAAGCATCACCTGCCATACCCGCTAGCACTGGTGCAGCAACTACTGGTACTGGAGGAGGTAATACCAGTTCACTGAATAATGTCTTTAATACATTATTCAGAGGATCAAGTATCTTTTCTAAATCACTTGAAAAATATAATTTAAGAATTGGTCAAGAGTATTTAGAGAAAGTATTTGGGAATTTTATACTTAAGATTGTTGATGAAAAAAAGAATTGTGAAGTTGATCCTCGATATGTTCGAATTCAAGAACGATTATTAAGAAAGGGTAAACCTATAGATTATAAAGATGATGAAGATAATGACTCTGATAAATCTTCTAATGATGATTCTGAAGAAGAAGATGAAAGTTATGATGAAGATGCAAGTGAACAAGTGATTAAAGTTATGCTTGAAAATAATTTTAATAATTTATATCAATATGCTGAAGAATTATGGCATAATATTTATATTACATCTAATGATTTACCTGATCAAATCAAGACTCAATTAAAGAATTTTAGAAATAAAGTTGAATTAGCTTGTGATCCTGATGATAAAACTACCCCATTGAATTGTTTAAGTGCATTTATATTTTTAAGATTCTTTTGTCCTGCCATTTTAAATCCAAAATTATTTTATTTAACCAAACATCATCAATCAGGATTATCGCAAAGAACATTAACTTTATTAGCAAAGATTTTATTAAATTTAGCTAATAGACAAGAATTTTCTCCTCATAAGGAACCTCATCTTGTGAAAATGAATGCATTTTTAATAAGACATCAACAAGAAGTGTTTGATTATTTTGATAGAATCACTGGAAGAAGAAATGATTTTAATGAAAAGATTCTTGAATTAAGTCATGAAGTCAATAGATTTGATTTAGGATTAAAGAATGATTCAACTTCAAATGAATTACCAACTACTCCATATTTGATTGATAAATATTTAAGATTAACTCAAGTTATAACTTTATTGGATTATAATAGAATCAAACTGACCACAGTTGAAAGTCCCAAATTAGGTAATGGAACAGGCAACACACCTATACCAACACCCACCACAACCACCAAGGCTGTGACGGCCACTCCATATAATGGAAGAGATTCTATATCTACATCCACGATTAATCGAGAAAGTTCGACCTTAATTAATAATGGAGTTGATAATTTACTGATTAATGATGAAAAGAATGTTTATCAAATTGGATCATTAGAATTTGAGAAATCTGAATTTTTAGATTTAGCCGGTGATAATGAAACTGAAGGATTTATAAAATCATTATGTAGAGATAATGATAATATTTTTTCATTTATAAATTCTAATATTGGATTAAAAGATTTACAAAAGCAATGTACTAAATTAATGACTAAAATCGATGAATTAGAAGTTTATTTAGAGAATTTTGAATTTCCAGCTAATTATTTACCTAATAATCAACCATCAGAAGATAATGAAGATGATGATATTGATAATGATAATGATGAACTTGAAACATCAAGTCAAGTCAATAATAATTCAATTGAACTTTTATGGAGTTCATTTACTTATAATATCCTTAGTAAATGTTATGTTGATATGACTACTAATAGTTTAGTATATGTTGAAAAGGAGAATCCAGTTCCAAATATTTATAAGAAGTTGATTGAACAAAATCCATTATCAACTTTAAAGTTAAAATTTAATGATAGTAATGGATCATTAATATCATCACCAATTCATGCCGGAAGTAGAGTATCATCACTGTCATTTACAAATAGTAATATTGGGAATATTCTCAAGCCAGCTAGTAAAAATCCATTTAAGAAATGGTTAGGAAAGAGTTAAATAGTTAGAAATAGAAGATTTAGTTTTGTAATATTAATATATAGAATGTGAAAAATAAGAGTCACGCGAGCGTTAGCACGTGCCGGATAGGGGTAACATCTTTTTCTGAGATGGGGACCCAACTGATTCACACACATAAGAGACAGAGTTACCCCTATTCTTGAATGAAAGACATGTTGTAGTTACTTCTGCTGTTGTTGTTATTGTTATGATTATCTACTAGCTCAATTCAGATATCACACATGGTCTATTTCATAACTTTCATTTTCATGATATAGAAAACAGCTTCGCCCATGGGTTGTTTCCATTCCAGATTTATTTTTCGGACGACTACTGATTGAGGGCTACCATCCATTCTTGATAGATAAAGTTAATCGGGAAACTATCAGACAGACAAAAGAGACAAAAAAAAGAAAAAGAAATTTCAGACAGACAGACAGACAATAACAGAAACACAAATACAGACAGACAGACAGACACAAAAAATACCATCAACAAAAAAGAAAGAAAAAGAAAAACTGAACACAGCAAAACAAGTCAGTACCCAAAAACAACACGGTAATCAAATTAATTACTTTATTTGTTAATTAGTGTTATCAATTGAACAGGGTTTACCGCTTTAGAAAGTTCTATCTATTCCGTATATATATAGTTCGGATCCACCACCTTCCATTCTTTGTTTAGATCACTTTTTAATTTCCACCTTTGTTGTCTTGATCGATCATCATCATCAGCATCGCCCCAACCTCCCAGTTTGCCACTTCCTCCACTCCCCATTGATACCTCAGAACTACCCCCATCCTCACTAATACACATATAGACGACCATGACTTCCGTAACAGAAGAAGAAATCTTAGCATCCTATCCTCAAATTAACGCTCCAACCGAACAAACTGGTTATACTTGTAATTTAACCGATGAGCAAAAGACAACTTTGGCTCATTTAAAAGTTTCTTTGGAAGCAATGGGTTATACTGATAGATTAGATGAAGCTACTTTATTAAGATTCTTAAGAGCAAGAAAATTCGATTTATTTAAAGCTCAAGAAATGTTTGTTAATTGTGAAAAATGGAGAAAAGAATTTGGTGTTAATGATATTTTAACTACTTTCCATTATGATGAAAAACCTTTGGTTGCAAGTTTATATCCTCAATATTATCATAAAACTGATAAAGATGGTAGACCTGTTTATTATGAAGAATTAGGTAAAGTTGATTTAACTAAAATGTTAACCATTACTACTCAAGAAAGAATGTTAAAAAATTTGGCTTGGGAATATGAATCAATGACTCGTTATAGATTACCTGCTTGTTCAAGAAAATCAGGTTATTTAGTTGAAACTTCTTGTACTATTATGGATTTAAAAGGTATTACTATTTCAGCTATATCTCAAGTTTCGGCTTATGTTAGAGAAGCTTCTGTTATTGGTCAAAATTATTATCCTGAAAGAATGGGTAAATTTTATCTTATTAATGCACCATTTGGATTTGCAACTGCATTCAGATTATTTAAACCATTTTTAGATCCTGTTACTGTGGCTAAAATTAGTATTTTAGGTAGTTCATATTCAAAAGAATTATTAAAACAAATTCCACCAAATAATTTACCAACTAAATTTGGAGGTCAATCAGAAGCTACTGATGAAGAATTATACTTAAATGATGTTGGTCCATGGAGAGAAGCTAAATATATAGGTCCAGAAGGTGAAGCTCCAAGAGTTTTTAAAACTAATTAAATTTCAAAGTTTTTCGACTTTCAATGTCATTAATTTCATCTCTTTAATCAAATTCATGCTAATCTTATCTAATATATATTTATCAAACTAAAATCAAAAATCAAATGAAATCATATGAAAGCAATATGTATACATTAATTAATTATTCAATTTAGCAATAAAAAAAAGTCATTTGAAAGTTAATTCTAGGTTGCTATGACTTTTAATTTGATTCAATTTCAGTTTGCCGGCTTTTATATAAATTATACACTATTATATCTACTTTTTTTTTCGGTTTTTATTATCTAAATATACACAAAATATACTAATAATAGCCTATTAGTTGAACGACATCCCACACCTTATATGTTATCTAAATTCTATTTATTTTCTATTTTCTAATCTGCTTTTACATGCATGTTAAACATTCATTCATAAACAATAGAATTTCTTTCCAACAGGATGATTTGCGCTATTTAAACTATAAAATAATGGTAAAATGTTATCAATCACTATCCCCTGCATAGGTTTTGACTATATATCCTTAAATTTAAATTTATCCTCAGTGCGGCTCAATGTTCCATACCGCATTTATGAGCAGAAATTCGCTTTGCGTCTGTGGTTTTTTTGCAATGGGAATTATTGTTCTTTATGCTTGCAAAAAAGAAAATAAGGATAAAAAATATATATAAAAAAAAGAAACTTACCATAGTTGGAAAGGGAGTATATGGGTATGGAAATGGGTAAGTAAAAGGTTCCGGGGATGAAGGGAAGAGGCGTAACTTCATTTTAGAGGCTTGAATGTTTTGCCTGCCTTTGTTTTATTTCGTTATTCCAAGGAATTATTTTTTATAGTTTGTTGAGCTGAGTTGTTCCAAACTGGGAAAGAAAAGATTTCATTTTGATAACTTTTTTGAAACTATAATTAGAGGGTTTAAAAAAAATCTGTTTCACTAGGCTAATTCGGTTCAATAATAATTTGAAAAACTCATCTCTATTTATCAAATTAGTTTTTCATGTTTATGAGTTATTTAAATAGATTTACATATCTTTTTGTTTAATTTATTCATTCCAATATTTATCATCAAGGAAGTATCATCCTTATTCAAGAAATGAAAGATTCTTCAAAAGATCAAATTATCCTAGCTAATACTGATCATGATCTGTCCGATGAAAGTTCTGGTTTAGAAATCAACTTTGCTAAAAAAAGTAAAGTTGAATTAACAGCTGTTGAGGCTGAATCACCCATTAGAAGTAGTTTATACGATAAAATCGTTCATCCTACCTTAACTACACCTCAAGTACAAACTAGAAGTGAACCAACAAGTTCCAAAACTTCAAATTTACATTTAGCTCAGAAAGCAAAAGGTTACTCGAGATATTTCTTACCCAGATCAAATTCAAGTCAAGTTTTACATATGGAAGAACCTTATTATTATTTTCATAATAGCTCATCTAAAATTCCAAGTGTCATATTTCTGCATGAAAAATGTCTGGATTCGACTTTACAGACTAGTTCTACCGAACTTAAAGTTGAAGATATTTCAAAAACTATCGAATTACGAGATTTCATAATGAGTGCAGAAGAGATTAAATATATCGATCAAGAATTCGATGAACCTCCTAATCCATTCAAACGGAAATTAGATTATATAAATCCTGTTATTTATTATAAAAATTATAAATTTGGACAATTTTTAGCTGTACTATTATTACTTATTGTGGTTATTTTCGGTTCAATTGGATTTTTAATTAATACTGCTAGAATTGCTTATACTCCTATTCCACCAGAAGTTTATGAAATCCTTTCTCCATATAAATATCCAACTTTGAGTGCTATTAGAACATCACTTGTGGATCCAGATACTCCGCAAGAATTCCATTATAGAAATAGTACCGTTACAGAAGGTGAAGTTTGGAAATTGGTATTCTCTGATGAATTCAATGCTGATGATAGAACCTTTTTCGAAGGTGATGATCAATTTTTCACAGCGGTTGATCTTCATTATGCCGCTACCAATGATTTAGAATATTATTTACCCTTTATGGCTCGAACTAAAAATGGTAGTTTACAACTTACAATGGAAGCTTATAAATATAAAGGTATGGATTACATATCTGCTATGATTCAATCTTGGAATAAACTTTGTTTTAATAAAAATGCAATTGTCGAAGTTAGTCTTCGTATGCCTTCTTATGCTCAATCAAGAGGTTTATGGCCTGCAGTTTGGAGTTTAGGAAATTTAGCTAGACCTGGATATATGGCAACTACATATGGTCTTTGGCCTTATACTTATAACGAATGTGATTATGGTATTACTCCCAATCAATCTTCACCCGATGGAATTTCATATTTACCAGGTCAAAGATTAAGTAAATGTACCTGTTATGGACAAGATCATCCTAATATCGGAACTGGAAGAGGGGCTCCTGAAATTGATATTATTGAAGGAACAAGAGGATTATACGATGATTGGGCTTTAGGAGCTCAAACTTTACAAGTTGCTCCCTTTGATAATTGGTGGAGGCCTGATTATGATTATTTAAGTATTGAAAATTTGAATATTACATCAATGAAACCAGATACAGGTACCCCAAGTCAAGAAGCTATTGCATCAACCACAGTTTTGAATAACGCATGGTTTGAGAATTTACGTAATGCGACTGATTTAAAGAGTTCTATCCCAGGTCAAACACATTTCCAAAAGTATGGATTTGAATATAAAAGTTTGAAAACAGCAGATCGTGATAGCTATATACAATTCTTTGTGGCTGATCAAAAAACATTAGGTATAAGAGGTGATGCGTTACATCCTACTGAATCAGTTGGATGGAGAGATATTTCCAAAGAACCAATGTCATTGATTTTTAACTTGGGTTTATCACCTACATGGATGAATATTGATTTTGGTTCATTAGAATATCCTGCTACGTTTGAAATTGATTATGTTCGTATTTATCAACCTGAAGGAGAAGAAGAAATGACATGTAATCCACCAGACTATCCAACTACTGATTATATCAATAAACATGTCAATGCCTATAGTAATGCAAATCTTACAAGTTGGGAAAATGCTGGATACAAGTATCCCCTGAATAGTTTTATGCACGGTTGTCAAGGACCTACCATATAAAATATTCATAATCTAAATAGAATTTCTTTCAAATAGCTTGATTAGTTAACTCGTACCAGTTACTTTAACTAGGCGGAAGTATCTACTTCACCTATGTTGTATGTCATATTATTGTAGTATATATCAAACCTAATAATAAAGAAAACAAATTAATATATACAAAAATCGCAGCAATTCAATTTTTCATAGCCTTACAAAGAAAAAAAAATCTACAACATCTAGATCATAGTTTGGAAGTTTTTTGGAAAATAGTATAAAACTAACTGTATATATATTTTGTTGATCTTTATTGATTTCTTAACTGATTTTCGATAATTGATATATCATGAAACTACTTAACATCATAGGGAGTTTGTTGCTCCTCGTTGTTAGTGGTGTACTTGGTAAAACACATACATTTCATTTTAATGCAACCTATGTTCAAGCAAATCCCGACGGACTTCATGAAAGACGAATGATTGGATTCAATAATGCATGGCCAAATCCTACTATACGCGTTAAAAAGAGCGATAGAGTTGAAATATACTTAACTAACTTATTAGAAGATAGAAACACGTCATTACATTTCCATGGATTGTTTCAAAAGGGATCTAATGCCATGGATGGACCAGAAATGGTAACTCAATGTCCAATAGCTCCAGGACAAACATTTATATATAATTTTACGGTTGACGATCAAGTGGGTACTTATTGGTATCATTCCCATTCTGGAGCTCAATATGGTGATGGTTTAAGAGGAGTGTTCATCATTGAAGATGATGATTATCCATTTGAATTTGATCATGAAGATGTTATTACTCTTGGAGAACATTATCATAAAGAAACTCCAGAGATCTTGAAATCATTTATGAGTAGGTATAATCCAACTGGTGCTGAACCTATCCCTCAAAACTCATTATTAAATGAAACTAAGAATTCAACATGGTCAGTTGAACCAGATACTACTTATTTATTAAGAATTGTCAATGTTGGACTTTTCACATCTCAATATTTCTACATCCAACATCAATCGTTAACTATTGTTGAAATAGATGGGGTTTATGTTGAACCAGTCATGGTGGATTCAATCTATATATCTACTGGTCAACGTTATTCAGTGTTGGTAAAAACTAGCAAAGCTGCTGATTTGAATGAACGAATGGTTAATATTATTGATTATGAAATGTTAGATGTCCTTCCACCTGATTTAGAACTAGTATCTACAAGTTGGGTTCAATATAATAAATCAGCAGTATTACCAGCACCATTGGCTAATCATAATTATTTTGACTTCATTAAAGCTTTGAATCCAGTTGAAGAATTTGAATTAGTACCTTTGCACAAGGAATTAATTCTTCCAGATGCAGACTATAAAATTGAACTTAATTTTACCATGGAAGTTTTGGGTGATGGTGTAACATATGCTTTGTTTAATAAGCATACTTATGTACCACCTAAAGTTCCTACGTTATTGTCAGTATTTTCAGCTGGAGAATATTCAGGTGGTGATTTTAGTACTATATCAGAAATTTATGGATCAAATACAAATTCATACACTGTCCGTAATAATGAAATTATTGAAATTGTGTTAAATAATTTAGATCCAGGTAAACATCCATTCCATTTACATGGTCATACTTTCCAAGTAATTGCCAAATCACCAGAAGGGACTGAAGAAGAACCTAATTTGTTTAATCCATCCAATATTACATTTCCCGAGTATCCTATGATTCGTGATACTGTGCAAGTAAATCCTAATGGTTATATAGTTCTTCGATTCAAAGCTGATAATCCAGGAGTATGGTTTTTCCATTGTCATGTTGATTGGCATTTGGAACAAGGTTTAGCCATTACAATAATTGAGGCACCTGATTATATCCATAAACAACAATCATTAACTGAAAATCATCTTAATGCCTGTAAGGCTGCAAATGTTCCTTATAAAGGTAATGCGGCAGGTAATTTTGGTGAATCTCACACGGATTGGTCAAACTTACATGGAGAAAATACCCAATTCCCACCATTACCAGCAGGATTTACTACAAAGGGATATATTGCTATGCTCGTATGTTCTTTGGCAGCTGTTTATGGGGTTTATTCCATTTATAAATATGGTATGGAAGATGTAAATACAGAAAACACTGAGAAAATGATTAATAAATTGTATGAGTTATTAGCCGAACATGATGGACAAGATGAGTCGGCTATGTTTAGTTTAAACAGTAATGGGCAAGCAGTAGAGCATTAGTTAGTTATTATAAAGATATTTATTATCGTCTTATTTTATAAATTAGGTAATTGGCGCTTAAATTGCCTATAATATACGACAGAAAAAAATGGTAATAGTTGGCGAGCCCATAACATTTTTAGATTTGCGGAGATTTTTTAGAATTTATATAAAATGAATGATAAAAACTTTGTTCAATTGGTTTTTAGAAAATTAGCATATTATAAGTGTAATAATGAGTGAATACGTGGTAGCAGGGTATGTATAACCGGTATAACTAACGGTAACGAGGTGTTATACAGAGGAATTGATGGTTACTAACTAATTTTACGTTTAGGTGTGGTATTATTGGTCTTTATACAACTTTTCATTTACTCGATAGAGGAATCGATCCAAAGAAGATTACTGTTTTAGCTCAGCATTTTCCAGGAGATGAATCGATTAATTATGCATCTCCTTATGCTGGGGGAGACTTCTCCTGTATAACTGATGATGATCCTAAGACTTTATTTTATGATCAATATACTTACACCAATTTAAAAAAGATTCAAAAAGCATTAGGAGGGCCCGCATGTGGATTAGATAGATATACATCTACTGAATATTGGGATATTAAACCATCTAAGGAAAAAATCGATTCCTTGGCTTCATATTTGGACGAGTATAAGGTTATAAGTCCAGCTAAATATCCTAAGGGAGTTCAATATGGTATTCAATTTAAATCTTGGAATTTTAATTGTCCTTATTTCTTACTCAATCTTAAGGTTTATCTTGAGAATAATGGGGTCAAGTTTGAGAAGACAATCTTGACTCATATAACCCAAGCATTTATTAGTTCTCATACTAAGATTATATTTAACTGTACTGGATTAGGATCTCATTCCTTAGGTGGAGTTAATGATTCTAATGTTTATCCTACAAGAGGTCAAGTTGTAGTGGTTAAAGCTCCTCACATCACTGAGAATGTCATGAGATGGGGTGATGATTATGCTACATATATCATTAAAAGACCATATTCAAACGATCAATTGATTTTAGGGGGTTATATGCAAAAGGATAATTGGACGGCTGATACATTTAAAGATGAGACTGAAGATATTATTAGTAGAACCACTAAATTATTTCCCAAAATCATTGATAAGAATCCAAATGGAGATAAATTAGAGATTTTAAGAGTAGTAGCTGGTTTAAGACCAAGTAGACATGGAGGAGTAAGAATTGAAAAAGAAGTAGTAGGTCATAATAAATTTGTTGTACATAATTATGGTGCTAGTGGTTATGGATATCAAGCAGGATTTGGTATGGCTTATGATGCTGTTAGATTAGCTCTTATTAATGATACTAAGTTTTAGTCTACTCTCAGTAATTTTAATATGTTTTTGTTTATAATTTATTACTCAAACTCACTATATTTAGTCATAATAGCACAGTACTATTTATCTGTATAATCAATCAATGTAAAATCTGGAGTAACATTAATCTTTGTGTAATATTTTAACAAGCGTAACAGAAATTTTAAACCACCAAAAAAAAAGGAGTGTGTAAATTTAAACTGAGTGAGTGATGATAAGTCTTCTCCCTTTCTATCTTCTTCATATATACTGATAACTTACTTAATCCAACATGGCTCTGTTGTTTGAATGGGCCTTTGGGAAGAAGCTAACTCCTCAGGAGAGGCTTCGGAAGAATCAACGAGCTTTAGAAAAGACTCAAAGAGAATTAGGACGAGAAGTTACTAAATTACAACAACAAGAGAAGAAATTGATTAGTGAGATAAAGAAATCCGCTAAACTGGGTCAAATTGCTAGTGCAAAGATTCAAGCTAAGGATTTGATTCGTACTAAGAGTTATATTACTAAATTCAATTCGATGAAGGCTCAATTACAAGCTATTGCCTTAAGAATTCAATCAGTAAGATCTAATACTCAAATGGCCACTTCAATGAGAGATGCTACAAGATTATTAGCTGGTATGAATAGAAGTATGAATTTACCTCAATTATCAAGAATAGCGCAAGAATTCGCTAAAGAGAATGATTTAATGGATCAAAAACAAGAATTTATGGATGAAGCTATTGATGATGCTATGGCAGATGATGAAGATGAATTAGGTGAAGATGAACAAATTGATGAAATATTAGGTAAAGTACTTGATGAGATTGGTGTTGATCTTAATACTAGTTTGAAGGATACTCCAAATGCTATAAATGTTCATACTGAAGAAGCTGTTAGTAATGGTAAAGTTGCTGAAGCTATTGGAGGTCATGGAGGTAGTAGTGCAGCTAATGATGAAGACGATTTACAAGCAAGATTGGATAGTTTAAAGAAGTGAGTGGAAGTGGATGATATATGTATAATGCATTTCATTTCATGTTTTTGTTTCTTATGTTCTAAATAATAGTATTATTTTTATTTTTATTTTTTTTATATATGTCTAATAATCTAATCTTTTATATATATATATACAACTTGGTTTAAATGAATTTCTTTTCAATTAAATATTCAATAATTTGTTCAGCAGAATCTTCAATTGAAGCACCTGAATAATTCTTTAAATGAATTTCTGGCTTTTCTGGAGCTTCATAAGGAGCACTAATACCAGTAAATTCCTTAATAATACCTTCTCTAGCCTTTTTATATAAACCTTTTGGATCTCTTTGTTCAGCTATTTCGATTGGAACATCGACGTATACTTCGACAAATGGTAATCCATCCCTTTCATGTAATTCTCTAGCTAATTGTCTATCTTGTTTATAAGGACTAATGAATGAAGTAATAGTTACACAACATGAATCATTAAATAATTTAGCAACTTCTGAAATTCTTCTAATATTTTCATTTCTATCAGCTTCACTGAATCCTAAATCTTTATTTAAACCAAATCTAACATTATCACCATCTAATCTATAGGCATTTAAATGTCTTGATAATATACTTTGTTCTAATGCACAAGCAATAGTTGATTTACCACTAGCGGATAAACCAGTTAACCAGATAGTAACTCCCTTTTGTTTTCTCAATTCTGAACGTTCAGAATGAGTTAAATTTGGATGCCAAGTGATATTAGTAGCCATGGTTGATATTAGATTATTATTCCTATAATATGTTGTAAAAAATGTAATCTAAAATGAGTTTGATTTAAATGGTTGAAAAATTTCCAAATGACAATAAAAATCTGTGGCTACACCATTGCACGTGATGTAGATAAGATAAAAATTGTCGTTTTCTTAAGTGATTACTTATGTCAGCAAATGACAAGTATGCTTTGTCATTTTTTTCATTCAAAGAAATTTTGAACCAAATGAAAAGAAAAAAAAGTTTTCAACTGTAATATCGATATAGTAGAAATCATACTATACAACCACAACTACAGCTATCATAATGTATTATGAATTATTTGCTATAACCCGTATAACGGATCCTGTTAACGTCAGTAAAGAAGCCCAAAAGATTGTGTCGACCATTGGGAAATTGATTCTTAATAATAGAGGGATTATAAGAGATATAACAAGTTTAGGATCAAGACCATTACCAAAGATTATATCTAAGGAACAAGAAAGACATTTTCAAGGATATCATTTCTTATTAGGATTTGATGTGTCATCTAATGTTCAAGCTCAATTATTAAGAACTTTAAGAAATGATCCAAGAATTTTAAGAGCTAATATTAAGAAGATTGAAACTAAGATTGATTTAAATCCAGGTACAACCATTCAACAAGCATCTGTTGGTGTATTCAAATAAATGGATGATGTTGTTCTTCTTAGATGATTACTTGTCGTGATGATTCGAAGAGTTTGAATGAAAAAGTATTCATTGGTGTAATTTATTTTTATTGTACATAGTCATTATTCCCCCATATCTTATACATTCTTTTGCATTTAATATAAAAATATTATAACAAAACAAGATGTTATGATTGTAGATTAGCTTGAAGGCTTTGATTTAACATTACAGTAACATTTAGGATTAAATGGTTAAGTGTTTCATTAGTTTAAGGATTTGATTAATGATCATGACCGTGGAAATAAGAGAGATTAACAGGATATCAGATTTAAACGAATTAAGAAGATTTTCCATATCATTCCGTATAAACACAAACTATTCATATAAAAGTTGAAGATATTTGAACAGAACTAGATAACATAACTGTATGTAACACACAGTTAGCCCAGCACTGACTATAAATAATGTCGCATTCACATGATCACGACATTACACCAAAATGTCTTCTCAGTATATAAATCGAAAATTACACAAACATTCTCACTTGCCCTATTTGGATTAAACGAAAACAAAACGAACCATTTCACTGATTTTTGTTGGTACATATATGATTGGATATAAATGGATATTTATAGTTTGATTATGAGGAATCTAAGGTGTAGATACAGTCAAGTGTGTTCCTGAAAGAGTAACCACTCTTATCTCAGGCAGACTAATCATAATATGGTTATATATATCTATATATATTTACTTTATAAATCAGTTTTCATTTTGCAATCAGTGTGTCAATTTTTATGTTTATTTTTTGATTATATTTTTTTTTGTTGCACTTATTTTTTTTTTTTAAATACTGTTATAATACAAAATTAATCGTGTAAAAGTTTAACTCAAGCCATTGGTTAAATAAAACAGATAAATAAATAAATAAATAAATAAATAAGTAACACCATTAATATGTATGAGGGAGAGGCAATGCAGACAGGTAACCAGTAGAACAAGAAGGAGAAGTAGGGGTCCAACTGTGGATGAACTGTTCCATATAAATACAGTTGAAAAGACGATTAAATAAATAAAGTTTATAGTGTAGTTGGAGTAATTATTTGTTGTGAGTTTGATTCAAGATCAGACAGACAGACAAAAATAATAATTGCATCAGAAAAAATAACACTGAGAAAAAAACAAATCAATCCAAAATAAACAAAACAAAACGTTTGTTTATGGCAACATCAACAGTTCAAATTGCTTAGATTCATCTCATTCAATACACATCAATTGGAGTATGGAAGACCGTAACGATGATCAAGGATTCACTCTACTAACACAACATCTTAATCAATCCCTTCCCATCGATTCAACCTCATCAATATCATCAACATCAACAAGGTCACTCTCACCTTTAAGATCAAATATAAAATTTAATAAATCTCCAACGCCATCAACCATAAGTAATCAGAAAACTTCTCTAACTGGTTCTCCATCTAGGAAAACCATGGCTCAACTCCAACTGAATGATCTCCAACTATTACAACAAGAATATTCCAGTTTAGAACGTCAATTCACCGATATAATCTTAAAGAATAAACAAATTTATCATGATTTTAATCAATTAGAATCAGAATTAGTATCGAAACGAAATCAATTAAAACGTCAAGATGATAAATTAAAAGAATATGAATCGTATATCAAAGATATTCAATTGGATCATACTAAAGATCAAGAATTATTACAACAAGAAGTTTTATTTTATAAACAATATATCGAAGAATTACAAACTAAAATGATTAAAAGTAGTAGTAGTGAAAATACACAAGTTCAAGAAGAGGAACAACAGCAAGATCATCATGACGAAATAATATCAAATCAATCAATTGAAAAGTTAAAACGCGATTATCGAGTTTTAGAAAGTAATTATGAAGTTGAAAAAAATTCAAGATTAGTTTTAATGGAACAAATTGAATTTTTAACTAAAGAAAATGAATTATTAAATAATCAATTAAATGATGCTGAACAAGTATTAGAACATTCGATTTTAATTCATCATGATTCAATCCATGAAAATAGTGAAATAAGTCAATTGGTTCATACTATTCATACCATGAATCAATTAACTTCTGATGAAGAAGATGAAGATAATTATGATGATGATGAAGAAGAAGATGAAGTAGATGAAGATGCCGTCAATATGATCTTTAATGATAATCATACTGTTTATGAAAAACCTCCTCCTTTTGAAGAATTAAATAGCTTATATCTTGCTGAAGATATTCAACATTCATCTCCTATAAAACAAGATCAATTACAATCACAATCACAATCACAACCACATCCAGATCAAACTTATTCAACTGAAGAGTCAGTTGAAGTATCGGTCAATTTCCAATTCCCACCTCCTATATCATCTACTGTATTTCCTCCTTCACCTGATCCTCAATCAAAACAAAAGAAACGTCAATCATTACCTTTAAAAGTTAAAACCACCGGAACTTCAACTACTTCACCTATATTTGAAAATGAAGAATTTATATTATCACCTTTAAAATTAGCTAATTCATCAGCCTTGGAATCTTCATTAACCTTAAATGATCAACATCATAATAATCATAGTCAAAGACATTCTCCCACTGTAAAACGATATTCAACATCAAAACCTCATCATTCAAGATATAATAGTCATGATATCTTACCTATTCGAGTTGAATTTGAACAGCAACCAACTCATGAATCACAATTAAGAAGTGCTACGGTTCCAGAACAAGAACTTCAACAACATAATGGTACTATTAGTCGAAGTCAAAGTGGCAATATTGATAGTATACTTGAACAAGATAAAATCCGGGAGAATGCCTTTTCAGCCTTGAATGGAGAATTTGAATCAAAAAGATATTCCCTCACTAACTCATCATCGAAAAGATCATCTATGATTGTTAATGAAAGTGATATGACAAGACAAGAAATTATGAAATTAAAATTTGAATTACAATCATTAAAATTACATAATGAGAAATTATTATCCTATATTGGATTTGAATTACAAAAGCAAAAGAAGAATATTAAGAAATTAACCAAGAAGCAAAGTGCTATGTCATTACGTACTAAGAATATTGAATATTCCGATGCCAAATTGATTGAAAGATCTCGAGAATTATTAATTCATAAAAAGAGAGTATTAAGATCAGTATCGATTAATGCTATATTATCGAAGAATTATAGTTCAGGATATCACCAGGAACATCAACAAAATCAAATGAATGGAAGTAAAGGGGATAAGTCTGATGCGATTGGTATTGGTTTAACCCCATTTTCGAAACAATTATTTAACATTCATGAAAATGGAGAGTATGATCAACTCCTTAATAATCAGAATGAAGATGATTATGGCTTCCTTAATCATCAAGAGAAATTCAGTCAACGAATATTTCTGAATGGATTGAATTCATATTTGAATTTTGATGATATTAATGAAATTGATGATTTTGATGAACATGGTAATATAAATGGAGGCAATAAAGGACATAACGGTAATAGTAATAATAACAATAAAGAGCATAATGAACATGGGGATAGAAATCTTAAGAAACATAAATCGCAAGTGTTCATAAGAAAGAAGTATTCACCTAGCACATCATCATCACTGGATGAAGATGATGATGAAGATGATGAACTTGAAAATAATAAATTGAAAGGAAAAGATGGTGAATGGGAAGAAATCACCAGTGATAGTTCATTCTCATCAGAAGAAGATATAGCTAGTGGGATGTTTAATCATATTAAATATTTAATCTTAGGAGCCAATTCAGTGTCCAAAAGGAAAGGTAAAAAGAAGAAAGATCTGTTGGTTGATGATGGATTAAGGTATAAATTTATCACCATAGCTCTTGGTATAATTATCATTGGAGTTAGATTTTCTCATCAAACTAGTCAACAATAGTTAATTGTATAACCTATAGATTACCCTCAATTATTAATATAAATAAAACTGTAACATTATCTTTCAAGTTATTCTTGTCAATCACCGAAATTCGCTTTAATACGATATTGCGACCGCCCCTCCTACCCAATTAGGCAAGCGGCACAAATTGCGTTGCAAAATTTTATTTTTATTTTTTGACTTTTTTTGTTTTTTCGCTTCGTGCATGAAAAGTGGAACCATTTTTTTTTAGAATAAAAATTTTCTGTTAAGTACTGTAATTATATATGGGTATGACCAAATAAATAACTATACCCTCTCTCCCCAAAAATAGATGAAATTGTATAATTATAAATGGTTTAAAAAATGGCATCATATTTATTTTTATATAAAAGTTATAAACATTTTTAGGATTTGATTATCAAATTATCCCTTTCTTTCCTAATTGTGTGTTATCATCATCAGGTTGTGAATACAAGAAGATAGTATTTAAAGGGTTAAAAAGGGATTACATATTATATTGTAATTGCAAATCATTTATTCATTTATTCATTAGTTCATAATTTATTTTATATTCAAATTATTTATTGATTTTTATTTTTATTTTTATTTTAATTTTATTATTTAAGAATTAAATTCAAAAATAAGACCATACCCAAACGATTTACTTCTCTTGGTCATATCGAATCATATATATATGAATGATAAAGAATCCCTTATAAATTTTAATCCCTTCCTTTAGCTTCATCCCTTCGTCACCATCAATAGACTAACAACTAATACCCAAACAACAACTACTACTATGGCATTAAGAAACTACTTGTATGCTAAACACTCTAATGATGGGGTAACAGCGGCAAGAATTAATAAAATAGATCCTAATAATTCTAAAAATGAATTAATCGAACAAACTATAGAAAGTTTCCATACTCATCAACGTCAATTAAATCATCATCATCATGCTAAATCAACTAGTCCTGAAGCTAGACCAAAAACTAAAAAGATTAAAGTGGTTCATGGTCAAAATAAAATGAAAAGAACTAATATTGAATTCTATCAATCAAATGATTCTCTTAATAGTGATGATCAAATTTCTTCACGATGTCATAGTAATAATAATAGTCATGATCATTTAGAAATGGAAGATACTACTCTTGAATCATCTAATAAGAAATGTCGTAACTGTCCTGATTGTAAAAGCAAACAACAACAACAACAAACTAAATCTGAACCACTTTCAACCACAACTTCTCCTTTAACTTTAACTACATCCATTTCCCCTACAAGTTCATTGGATCATCATCAACAATCTCCTACAAATTCAAGAGTCATGGTAGAATATCAAAATTCAGATTATACTACTAATTTAACTGATTTACAATCAAAAATTAATAAATTAAGTATCGATCAATCTAATGAAATTGATTTCACTCATTCCATGTGAGGGTGTTATTACGCGTTGTATGACTAGCATTGCTTCATTACCTTCATTTCTCTTTTACATAGCATTTTCTTTTAATAATAATAATTTTGGTGGGTTCTCGGTGATTCAAAATAAAAATACATACATGAATGGAATATTACATAACATATATATAACATATAAATATATTCATTCAATTAATATTCCCCTAATCTAAATAACTCAGTGTAAGTTTAAACTTTTTTTGTTTCTTTCTACTTTTGCTCTAATCTATGTTGAACCATTGATAATAAATAATATAAGAAATTTAAATAAGGTAAATCTTTCTTGATTTCATTATCATTACCTTTAATTTGTTGATAAACTTTTAAAATATTTCCAAGAATAATTTCAAGTTCAATTAATCTCCCATTTCTTGAATCAACTAACATTGAAGGTTGATAATTTTCGGGGGCATCGAATAATTCAGTATCCCTAATCATATTGGTGATATTTTCTTCGGTAATATATTGATTATAATCTCCATAATCATATTGTTTTAAATCAAGATTAGCGATATATTGAACTTCTTTCATCAAGGGGTAAAACACTTTATCAATGATTTGTTTACTATCTTTTAATTCGTATACTTTCCCCACATCTAAATCTGTTAAACAACAAACAGTATTATAAGCTGCATTATAAATTAATTTCTTCCATCTTGTGAATCTGGCATTATGATCAAGTTTAGTTGAATTAATACCGTTATCATATAATTTAATCAAAGTTTCTAATGAACTAACAGCTTGCTTATCATGAACTTTTTTAATATCAAATAATCCTAATACTAAAGTATCATGAGAAAATTGGGTAACATGACCTTTATTATTAGTGGAACTAATATAGGAAACTCCACTAATTAAATTAACACCCTCGATATCAGACCAATAACTTTCAATATCAATACCATTTTGAACCAAGACAATACTAGTTCCAAAATCAGGTTTGATTAATTTTGATGTATTATGCTTAATTTGATCCCAAATATTAAATTCGGATGGAACAACTTTAGTAGATATTAAAATATAATCAAATGGACCTGAATGAATATCTTCAACTGATTTAACAATAACATCCGGTTTAAACCCCTTGATGGAATCTTCACCTTCCTTTCTACCACCATAATCACAGGAACTAATCGTATATCCTTCCCTAGTAACTAAATCATAATCTGATCTAATCACAGCTGTTAATTCGATATCAGACCCATTGTTTTTCTTCAAGGTGTAGGCAGCCATGACCCCTACACCACCTAATCCAACACATAAGATCTTGGTCATGATATGATATACTGAATGAGATGAAATATAAGTTCAAATGATTTAAACTGAAATTTTTATAGTGATTTTATTTGTGGTTGATGAACTTTTTGTTATCGCTTGTTGATACCTTAGCGGAATTTTCCTAATTAAGACTTTTTCTTCGCATCCACTCCGCAAACCGGTGTCACTTGCCGTAAATTATACTACATAAGGCTAAATATTCTATAAATTTGTATTATACAATAAGATAGAATAAGCTAACTTATAAAGGCTCTTTTAAATCTGATATATCCTTAAAAAAGTTGAAACTGTATAATTCATACAAATAAGAATGCAATTCTTGTTTTAATAGTAATCGCTCTAAACAAACAAATTAATACATGAATATTCTGCTAGTCGCAAAAATATGAAGTTTGGTAGATTTCTATCCATACCCACTTCGTCCTTTTCATACAGTTTATTGAAATCGCTTTTGCTCATTTTACTCTGAAATAATTTGTCTTACTACATTATGGAGTCTCAATACACAAGTATATATCTGGAAACGAAATTGAAGTGACAGTTGAGATTAAAAGCCAGATAAACGATTTAGACTTTGAAAACCAAGAACCAGTATTCGTAGAATCATCTTGTCCAACTTATTCGGATCTTGTCAATCAAATATCGTTGCCATTTTGTAATGTTGGCGACCAATGTGATTAATCTATTGTTTACCATCTATTTTCTTGATTATGTTATAGTTCTGTTAGCTAGATACAACTTGTGAATACTGTTCTATAGCAGTCAATATACAATTTAATTACATTTAATTAATATTCAGCTTGCTTCGTAGCTTCATTCAATATTATTTATGAAGTTTTAACTTCCTAAGCGTAGTAGAAATAATTTTGAAGTTTTATCTTATGAAGAATCTCACCAATATTTTGCAAAGTTTCTTAACCAACAATATCACAACAATGGAAGAAAGTACGTTATCTCGGAGTACATCTTCCTCTGAAAGCGATAACAATACTTCAATCACCCAACTATATGAAAAATTACAAAATATAACTGAAGACATTGATTTCATAAAACAAAATATGGATATTGAAAAGATTCCTTTAAATTTACCAGAATCTCGACGTTGTTGTGGTCAATAAGCCGTTAATTTGTTTTGGGCTAAGATAATGCTTTTTTGTATCGCGTCTTGGATCAATATGCTTCTTGGTTTAGGTATTCAACACATTATTGCAGAAATACAATCTTTAGAAGTCAGTGACACTTGAATTTTTGCTTTTATTTAATAAAAATACAAACCTAATAATACACATATATCCTTCAAGACGGTTGTAAAGATCACGATAAAGAGATAATAAATAATTAATAATTTATAATAATAATACTAATAACAAGAAAATAGCTAGGATTTAAATAAACGTTTAAGCAACTTCACATATCAGGAACTGAAAACTCTCGTAATTTTTTTAATTTTGTTTGATATAATACTGGATGTTGATAATGAACTCTCTATGGTAATCTACTCTTATTCTGATTATGATCCAAATCATTTGATATTAACATATTGGGATTTCTTTGCTGTCTAGAATGATTTCGCGGTAATAACCCTAACGTTGAATTCCTTACTCTATGTTGTTGTTGAACTTGTTGTTGTTGAACTTGTTGGAGGCTATTACCAGATGAACCATTGGTATTGATGTTGATGGGATTATTTTGACCGGATACAGCAGCACGAAGGAAGAAATCATCCATATTGGTTATCGGCGACGTTTGTTGTTGTTGTTGGTCTTGTTGATTCTGTTGCAGATGATGAGAATGATGTTGTTGTTGTTGAAGTTGTTGTTGTTGTTGCTGCTGCTGCTGCTGCTGCTGCTGTTGTTGTTGTTGGGATTGGATATTACCCGATTGATATTGATTACGCATTTGAAGTTGAGCTAAGGGGTCCGAGTTTAAAGCTTGTTGAATTTGATGTTGTTGTTTCAGTAGATGACTATGTTGCTGTTGTTGGTGGTGGTGATTATGTTGTTGTTGCTGTTGTTGAATTAGATGTTGTTGTTGTTGCTGAACTTGTTGAGCTTGCTGTTGAGCTTGTTGCTGTTGTTGAACAAGCTGTTGCTGTTGTTGCTGAGCTTGCAGCGGAACTTGCAGTTGTTGTGGTTGAACTTGTTGTTGCAGGTGCAGTTGAACTTGTTGCTGCTGTTGTTGCATAGTTCTAATCTTCACAATACGTTCATTAAAAAAAGAAGTCTTAAAGTCTTGAAACACTTTAATAGTCTGAGGATATTCATATTGATGATCATGGAAAAATCTGTCAGCAAACATATATATGAATCTTTCAATATCAGCTGCATTAATACCTTGAGCCAGATCTAATAATGATGGTTGTAATAAGCTAGCAGCATCCATTGGTTGTTGAGCTTTGTTGTTGGGTGAGGAAGATGATATGGGTACTGGTTGGATTGGTTGAAGTGGAGCTTGGACTTTGTTGATATTACCATTATTAGTACTATCAGGAGTTGAATTTGTACTTGCGTTAGAACTAGTATTCATATGATTGTTAGACGAATTATTAGCACTATTCCTGGTAGATGATCTAGTTAACCTATGCTCGAATTGTTGTCTTTGTTTTTCATAATGAGCTCTAGCTTGTTGGTATTCAAACGTAGATTGAGGATCTTTTGATTTATGATACCTTGAAGATTTATGAGATGAAGATGAACCTGTGCCTGAAAGGGTTGTTGGTGGAGTAGGTGGCAATTGTTGTTGTTGCTGTTGTTGATGTTGATGTTGTTGTTTCTTTTGTTGTTGATAAAGTGCCATTGGAGTACCATTTGAGAAATTTAGACTTTGCTGAGGACGGAATTGATTATTTGAAGAATCAGAATTACCATTATTATTAGAAAGTTGAGGATTTAATAAATCATAACTACCATTCGATGAGGATGTCGTAGGGGGGAAATTATTGGTATTATTTGCATTGGATGAAGATGTATTGGTATTGGAAGCTATTGTAGGTTGAGAACCATTTGAATTTGAAGAAGAATCATTTTCATTATTTGTACCAAGAATTGGTTCAAATCCAGTATCAGACCCACCATTGTTGGCATTACCATTATTATTGAAGGAATTGACTGGATTTGTGGCTAAAGCATTTGGTGATCCTGAACCTGAATCATTTGAAGATTGAGAATGAGGGGAATTATTAAGATTATTAATGGATACTGAATTATTATTAGTGGCAGATCCATTTAAACCAGGACTTACTGACCCATTAGTATTATTATCATTACTTAAAGGAGAAGCTTCAAGGGAAGGACTTAATGAACCCCGAGAATGACCACTTAATCTTTTTCTATTAAGACCATGTCTCTTTTTAAATTGACTTAACCAACCATGACTGAAACCAACTAAACGTTTTGGATCATCCACACCGAATTGATGAGCATAGATTGACCAATGTTCTCTAAGGATAGGTTCATTTATAGGTTCATTTCTTTCTAATCTTCGTTTCACAAGAGAATCCATGGCATGATTGATTTTTTCATATTTATATTTAACTTTTCTTTTACTATTTTTAGTAAAATTCGAAGAAGCTTGGAATCTATTTCTTAAATCATCTTCATTTTTAAGCCATTCACTGAATGATGAAGTTGAGATGGATATGGTATCTTTATAATGATCAACTGTTTCCAGTTGAGGTCTATTTGAATCGTGATAAAAGTCCAAGATTTGAATTTTTTGTTCAAGAGTAGCTCTTGGTTTTTGAGGAGGAGCAGCCATAATAATATTTTGGAGAGCGTTTAGCTATAATTTTACAGTTCTTATCCTATGTTTATAATGTTTCTGATTTGTTTACTTCTTTTAGTTGAAGAGAAGGAGTACCTATTATTGAATAAAAAGTTCCTGTACCGTAGTTCGATTGGATTGGATTGGATTGGACGTGTACGGATAATGCTAAATGGATATATATGCTAAGATGATGACTTTGATATAAAGATTATGATTAACGAAAGGTATCTAATATATGTAATACTTAGATTATGATAAGTTCTAACGATTGGTGGAAATAGGATGATGGGGATGGTATTTTCAATTAAGATACGAAAATCCAGATAATGATTATCAACACCACAAAATAACTGCAATGATATAAGGGTTGATTTGATGGATCGATGGGATAGGAAGAAGATATGAACAGTGATAGACTATCAATTCTTAGATCTATCTAACGAATTCTATATCAATCGATGATACTATGAAAGAAAAGATCAAAAATTTAAAGATTGTTGTAAATGAAATCAAACTTTCCTTTTACCACAGAAAAAAAAAATTTGTATGATTTTTTTAAACCCTAAACAGCCATACCATATTTGAATTATGATACTACATTGATATAAAGATTACTATAGAGATTTTACAATACATATTTAGCCTGATAGTTAATACTCTACAGTCACTACCTTATCAATTAAATATTACAAAAATTCAACATAAAATTGAACTCTATTTAATCATAGTTCAATCTATAAATCGTATAAGATTTAAAACCAAACCCCTCCTTAAATAAAATTTACCATTCCTGATTGAACAAGTTTTTTATAGATGTATCCTCCTCCACTTCAGTTTAGGGCAATGTCGCGTATAAAAAATGATGAAAATTGAAATGGAGAGACATTTCGGAAACACCTCCTTTTTTGGTCGCATGGTATAAGTAAATAGTATTACAGTATGGTAGAGAAATAACTGCAATCATTACATTTGGTTCAGGTCAATCAATCACATTCGATCTTTACATAGACATCATCTCAATAAAAAACAAAATAGTAATAATAAATTAAAACTAAAATAATGACATAGTTAATAACACAGCAGTAACAAAAAATTAAACTAATCAACCACCAATTGATTAATCCTTATTTGCTTTTTATCCTTATCCTAATGGTTTCTTTTCTTATCTTTAAATTTTAATCTTAATCTTAAGAAGATGAAGTTTCTTCTTTTCTAATCTTAACGGAATCCCTTACTAACTCTATCTAAGACAGATTCATAAGCAACTTCGGAGAAATCAGTACCTTGAACATCTGAAGCAATACCATTTAAAGCTCTTCTTAAAGCATCTTTAGATGATGCATATACCATTTTTGATCTAATTGGAGCAGTATCTGGAGACCATGTGAAAAATACAATCTTGGATCTTTTACCTTCACCACCACCAATTTCATATTCAAAATCATAAACAGCATATTTACATTCATTTTCAGGTAATTTTTCTAAAAATTCATCATAATCAGTACTGGATGAAGTACTATCAACCACAATTTGAGTTTTGGTATCATTTAAAGCAAAAATGATATATTTATATTTCTTACCTAATTTTAATTCATTGAAAGCAGTTAATGATTCATCTGCAACAGCAACACTAGAATAAAGTTAAAGTTAGTAATTATTCCAATTTATTTCATTATTTTTATTCGATTCATTTCATTCAAAAGTTAATCCAAAATGGGTAGAATGCAATCATTCTTCAATTATGACATACCCTGATCTTGACTATACAATTTATTGTTAGTATACTTGATTCAATATAAAAACACGCCCATAGAGATACGTTTTGAAGATTATAGTATGCCGTTGACAATTGTAAGCTTCAATTGATAATGAATGTTCGAATCACCCCATTCCCATTATTTATCACCAACCACAAACAAAAGCTCCGCCATCCACGGACACACTCCTAGCATCACATCAATCCATCTAATTCTGATCCATCTTCAAACCAATCTCATATGCAATTGATCCAATAGGGACCCTATCCATACATACCATTGTGATTTATGTTATATATATTAATTATTAATCGTTATATTTAAAGTATTAAAAGAAATAGTTTGTTAACATTTTTTAGTCAACACATTTTCAGCTTTAGTTTTTCGAAACCAGAAATCAAAACTTGTCCTTCCTTCATGTCTCCTCCTCCTTTCTCTTTCTCCTTTCATTTAATGTCGCACTTGCTTTGTGCAGGTATACGAAAATGTCACTTTTCGCATTTATTGAAAAACTACTAATACGTCATAATAAAATTGTAAGATTAGAGGTAAGGATTACACCGTGTTATGACTTCTTAAATAGTATCTAAAAGGTATCTATTAGGTATAAATATGTTGTAATGTTAGTATGGTATAATATTATAGTATGAAAATAAAATTCAATACTGTTATAATTATCTTTTTAGTTATTTTTTGTTTTAATTTTCGGTGTCACACTTGCCAATTTTTAAATTAATTTGTTATTCTTGAAACAATTCAAAAGTCTTGTTAAATATTCTTTATTTAAATTAGCTCAGTCCATAGTTGTAATCAATATTAACACATTCTCTTTTAATTCATTTGATTTATAGTTACCATAAAATCAAAGAAATACTCTATAAATTATCAAACACTTGTCTTAACTATGTGTCTTGGGGAACGAAAAAATCATTTTTAAAATTGGCTGCAATTTCCTGATTAAAGAGGTGGTTAGTTAAATGCTTGATTTTTAATTCGCCACACCAACACGAAATTTAATAGAAACAAATCCATTTGAATGGGTAGTTGATGAAAGTGATACTGAAATGCTGATGTTCAGCTATCAGTAGAGATAAAGAAAAAGTCATTCGAAGCATTTTCAGACGACTCATCAATTAGACATAAAAAAGTTAAAGAAAGAAGAACTACACAAAGAATTCTAGTTTTCTCAAAACTGACTAATACAAGTTTTATCCTATTCATGCTACAATTACACTACATCCTATTTCAGAATACGATGAGTTCAAATTCTTGCCGAACAATCTAGTCCATTCTAAAATAGAGCTGAATACGAATAATTATCTAATTATCTTAAACTTACGTTTTATGAAAATTCCAATTGTCGAATCTATTATTTAACCATTTATTTCATTGCTTGGATCATTTAAGTATACATTTATTTATTAAAAGGTTGAATTATAACTTCATAAACAAATGGGGTAAATCCCGAACACAGAGGTGTATCAAAATTTTGTATGGTTTTGAACAGATTGTCAACCAGTTTAAAAAAAAATTTCGAGAAAAATGCGTCGATCTGGCGCAATTGGTTGAGGTTTTCGATATATGTTATGGCCAAAAAACAATTGGTCGAGCGTTCGAATCCTTCTTGTAACGATACGATGGCCGAGTGGTTAAGGCGGAGGATGCAGGTTCCTCTGGGCTCTGCCCGCGCAGGTTCGAACCCTGCTCGTGTCGATATAACCAATTCTAAATTTTTTGATGATTTAGTTTTAAATATTTTTTGAAGTTTGTTTAGGATTAGCTTTTATTTTTAACATAGACTTCAATTAATCTAACAATTAGCTATCAAACCACAGTTCACAAATTTTCAACTGCTTTGTGGTTTGTTAGAAGGATCTTTAATTTGACGGCAAGAAGTATTTGGTAGAAAGGCACAAAAGAAGGACCAGAAAAAAAAATTAAATCAGAAAATATACTTCAAATATAAAAATCTATTTAAGAGATCCAATAGAATAAAAGGTGATTTCCCAAATGTCAAGATGGCTCTAGACTTATATGAAATATTGGAAATAAGTGAGAGTGCCACTGATCTTGAGGTTAAAAAAGCATATCGAAAATTAGCCTTGAAATATCATCCTGATAAAGCTTCAGAAGATGAAAGATCTGAAGCTGAACAAAAGTTCAAAGATATATCCCATGCCTATGACATTTTAGGAGATGAGACGAAAAGAAGAGATTATGACATGTATGGTTCGACTGATTCCAATGGAAATGGAAATCTGAATGGTTATCGTTATAGTCCTTATGAAGATATGTTTGGTGGAAATGGAAATGGTCAAGGTGAATATGGGGCAGATGATTTTTATAATTTCTTTAACAATATGAATGGCAATGGATATGAAAGATCTTCTAGACAAACTAAATTAAGAACTGATGATGCTAATATCGAAGTGGAGGTTACATTAGAAGATTTATTTAAAGGGAAAACTATAAGAACTACCTCAACTAGAAATATCATTTGTACTTTATGTAAAGGTTCAGGATTTAAAAAAGCAGCCATTGCAAAAAAGTGTACGACTTGTGAAGGATCAGGACATACTACCAGAATTCGTAGTGTTGGACCTGGTTTAGTAACTCAAGAATCAGTTAGTTGTAAAACATGTGAAGGAACTGGAAAAATACATCGTGCAAAAGATAAATGTAAGAAATGTTCAGGTACAAAATTAATTGAAGAAACTAAGATATTAGAATTTGAAATTGTTAAAGGTTCAAAAAGTCATGAATCAATAAAACTTCCTCAAGAATCAGATCAATATCCAGGAAAACAAACCGGTGATGTGATATTAACTTTCCATTGTAAAGATCATCCTGTATTTACTAGAAAGGGTGATAATTTATATTCAAAATTTAAAATACCTCTTGTGGAAGCATTATGTGGATTTTCAAAAATAGTGGTTAAGCATTTAGATGGTAGAGGTCTAAAATTCACCACCCCAAAGGGGAAAGTTATAAAACCAGGTGATTTCATTAAAATTAAAAATGAAGGTATGCCAATAAAAAGTGCCAATAATTCATGGTTTGGATCAAATACTAAAAGAGGGGATTTATTTATTGAAATTGAAGTAGAATTTCCTCAAGATAATTGGTATTTGGAAAAGAATGATATATTAAAAATGAAAAATCTTTTACCAAATGACTTACAAAATAAGAGTGATATTTTAAATCAAACTATAAATAATGATTCATTACCAGAAGCCAATATTGAAGTTATAACTGATTTTACTATCGAAACATCACATTCGTTACCAAAAGAGGATGAAAAGGAAGAAGACAGTCAACCAAAACCATCTTCCACTTACGATAATTATAATGGCTATGAACAATACGGTGAGCTGCAACCAGAATGCAGACAGCAATAATTATATTAATTCTCCTATATATAGATTTTTTCTAACCATAATGTAAATATATATACCATAGTCTTTTTATTTTTTTTTAAAAAAAAGACAATTTTAATCCAATAAATCTTCCAACTCTTTTGTAGATAATCCTAAAGACATACCAGTGTCTTTTTGTAAATCAACATCAGCATCAGAAATGTTTTGTTCAAACGAATCAAAACTGAGATTGGAATCAAGATTCAATTCCACAAATTTCAATTGGTCTTCATTATGAAGTAATTCAGGATAATCTTGACGATTTTCATTTGTAATTTCAGAACGAGAAGGTTTAGAAAAGAAATCCAAATCTTGTTGATCTAATGGCTCCATCCCGACAGGATAACTTGGAAGTGGAGCATGCTTTTGAGGTATAGTTTCAATATAATCAGGGAAAACCGCTGGTAACGACAACGATGGTTTATGACTCTTTTTGATGGGATCCACATTATTATAATTTATATCATTATTGATTCTATTTGTGGAATTTAACTTGCTTGTATTTGAACTTAAAGTAGATGTAATATTGGGTATATGCTGATGAGTTGGTAAATTCTCTTTCTTAACCACCTCATCGGTAAAGGTAGTAACGGAATTTAATGATGGTGATGTTAATTCATTATTAAGCTTCTTTAAAACCACTTTATCATCTATTTTTGAATATGTATTTAACTTAGGATCTATAACTTTATATTCCTTTAATGGATGCAGAAAACCCAAACTTGAGTTGGCTTTGGATAATAATGGAGCTTTTGCTAATGGAACTCTTCTAATCAAGTTCTTCTTATCAGTAATGGATAATGTAGAATGCGATTTATCAAACGATGGGATGGCCTGATTATTACTCTTACCACCTAAGGGGACTCTTGTAAACTTCTTTGGAAACTTATCTTGTTTCAAATTGTTTCCCTTTAACGAATCTCCTGATAATGGAGCATTGTTGGAAAATGTTTTCCCTTCCACCTTCAGAATACGTCCAACTGCGTTCTCTTTATCTAAGTGTGAAACAATCCTATTTGACATGGTTTGATTGCTATCAATGTTATATGAATACAGCCCTTGGTAAAGAAGTCATTTGTTTATATTTGAGATTTTGTTTGTTTTTGTTCCCCTTTAGATCGGGTAGCAGTTTGTTTGTTTGTGTGCACACTGTAAACGCGAATATATCATGACCCTGCCTGTATATAATATTTGCACTATATACAACTAAATATTTTGTCTCTTTGTATGGGCTGTAGTTTGATTACAGCTAACAGAATCAGATATCATCAGTGGCTGGTCTATACCATTTCAAAGTAGCCGTTAACGATGGCATTCCAATCTCAATTCATATCCGTTGTCTCAACGTCATTAGTGAATAATTCGAGTTGGATCTATTTGGTTGATTGGATTTTGGCTCTTATTCTTGGGCTTGCATTTGTGTTCTATTTCAATCGACTAGTGGGTTATATCATATCACTTATTCTTAAGATATTCCTTTGGAAGAAGTATAAAATCTTGCTTAATGTCGAATCCTTAAAGATTGCCCCTTTAGGGGGTAGAGTGTTTGCTAAAAATGTGACCCTCACTTCTTCAACTCAAACTATATCTATCTTACATATGAATCTAACTTGGAGATATTGGATCTTTAGAGTTACAAGATTACTGGATTTTCACTTTATCAATCAATCATCACCAGGTAAAAAGATATCTAGGCTGCAAAACGAGAAGCTTCCTTGTCGTTTCTTATTGATTATAGATGGGATGGAAGTGTTTATGTATAACAGAACTGTTGCATATGAGAATATATTGAAATCTTTAGATGAGGAAATCAATCTCCCAAGTAATGGTAGTGAATCTAGTTCAGGTAAAGATTCTTCATTTACCTCCAAAGAAGCTACAAAAGAGGGTACGTCAAATATACGGCAAAGAGGAAGTTCATCATCCACTGATTATGACATACTGTCAACTTCTTCTACTCAAAAGGAAGCATTGTCGCCCGTGGTAACATCAGAAGGTGTATTGGCATATTTATTAAGAATATTTCCTATAAAAGTGAGAATAAAGAAAGGTGCTTTTGTACTTGGTAACTCAAGTACTCCATCACTTTTATTAGCTTCATTTGATGCTGCTAGTGGGATTTTCGACGTATCACAACCAACCGATATATTAGACTGTTTCAAATCGGTCTGGGATTTCAATTTTGATAAGTTTCAATTATGGTTAAAATCAAACATAAATCATGATAAATACCGTTATTCAGAAGAGAAGAATCCAGAATATAGAACTGATTTAAGTCATTATAAAAAATATAAACATTGGTACAAATTTCAAATAGCTTTGAAATCTTTGGATAAGTTATTAAAGAAGTTTCGAAAGCCAAAACCAGTTAATGATGTGGAGGCTGATTTCCTAAGAGAACAATGGAGAGGATTAAAAAGATATGTCGGAGATCAGATAGACCCCAAATCCATAATTCAGACTGAAGAAGAGTATGCCAAGTACAGTTTAATCTTAGACTCTGTTCTGACAAGAATCATTTACTACTACGACTTGCCAGGTATAGTACCGTTTGAATCTACATCTGAAACACTTCCTGAATTCGGGGTCGAAGTAGAACTTTCATTAACTACCATTCACTATGGTCCATGGGCAGATAGGCAAAGAGTTCCAATTCAAAATATGTTCTTCCCAAGTGCAGCAAGGGATTCAGAGCCATCACCCAAACCATTACCCGGAAGTCTTCGACAATATGGAGGTTTCCAAGCAACAGTTATTGTCAAGGATGAAGTAATTGTTAGAGTTCCAACTCGTGAACCAAGTAAGTTGAAAGAAATATATAGAAGTTCAACGGTAAACCGTAAAAGAGCTACTCCTCCGTTTGGCTGGTTAGAATTCAAGCTTGGTGTGGGGTCAAATGTTTCAAGTTTCACTACCTATTTTGCAAATGAAAAGGGGTGGCCCAATAAATTAAGAGTAATGTTCAATGCACCAGAAATACGGACGTCTGTAAACCACGATGTATTATTTATTGCTGATACTCATGAAATCAATGCTGATGTAGGGTTCCCCTTAGAATGGAATGGTAAATGTGATTGGGTATTTAATCAAGTTAGTCATAACGCTCGTATATTCTTCTTAAGAGAACACACCATGCTTTTCTCGGATTTATTTGAAGATTTTGCCTCTGGAGAACCTGTGCAATATGAATACTTTCGACAATTTTTATATACCATCGATTGGAAAATTAATGATTATAAGATCTATTTGAATGTTAATGATGCCAATATCATTAATAACCCTCTTGACTTTAATAACAATAAATACTTATCGTTCCAAGGTGATTCGTTTGATTTAAAAGTGGACATTCCATTGAACGGAACATTTTCAAAATCAACAACAGTGTCCTTTAACTTTTGCACTTCAGCTTTCGATTTGATATTAGATACTCCTGCTTGGCATACAACAAGCGCATTTATGAAAGAATCAAAGATAATGGGTAGTAGTAAGGACTTTTCAGTAACTGGTTCTTATACTTTTTTTAGTATGGTCGAAATAAATACTTCAGATGTGATTGATATTAGATGTCTAGGTGATTACGTCAGTCTAAAGTTTTATGGATTTTTAATCAGATATTTGTTTTCTATCAGAGAGAACTATTTCGGTGATTTTATCCATTTTAGGACGTTCGAAGAGTATACTGATACTTTAGATGACGATGGTGAATCAAAAGTTGAAAATATTCGTGATTTTGAAGACATCGACTATTGGAATATTGTTAAAACTGATAATGATGTCGATGTGTTTTTCTTCTTCCAGGTCAGACATGGCCTTATAATCTTGCCCCATAATATCTATAGTTGTGATAATCACGTTGGACTTGCTTTTGATTCTTTAGACATTGATATAAGATTCTGCAATTATTATATGGATCTTCAAGCGGATTTCAGTCCGGTTCGTGGTGTGTTTGTTCATGAAGGAAACTCCCAGACTTTGCATAACATGTGCAATGTTGTGGATTATAGAGATGCATATTTGACAGAAGGAAAGGAAGATATAAAAATAGATGGTTTATCTATTCATGCACATAGAATGTTCGGACTTCCTCCAGAAGAAATAACTTACTTATGTGTATGGGAATTCGCAGCTGATTCTCTTGAAATAGAAGGATTTCCTATTTTGGATGCATTATCTACTGCGATACCTGGGATTGCATTTGGATTTAAAGATGTTGAAAATGCCCTTCATAGTGAATTACCAGTAACTTATGATGGTATGACAGTATCTTTCTGTTGTCCAAAAACATCAATAAAAATAGTTCCTGATGTAGCTGTACCTTCCAGATATATTATAGCTAACTTGGATTCCCTAAGGTTCAATTTATGTGATATTTTTAATAATAGATATTCCAATAAACTAACATCTTTAATACCTTGCATAGAAGTTCAAATCATTGAAGAATTTCCAGAGAAAAAGATTTTAGGTTATTTCAAAACATCTTTGGTGTTTGATAATATTGATCAAAAAGCTGGCATGTTACACAGAAGAGAACAACTCATAAATCATATGAAGATGAACGATGCTCCATTCCATAGATGTCCATTTATCCTATATCCAGAAGACAGAAGTGAGAAATTCAACGATGCTTATGGCTGTTTCATGACATCTTTATCACTTCCTCTGGCTCCAGCTCCAGTGACTGCAGAAACCTATGAATCTGACAGCGATGAGGGTTCTTACACCGATCTAAATTCCTCCGTCAGTTCTGAATCAGATTATAGTTATAGAACTAAATTTCTTCCTACATTGAGTTACAATGAAGCTGACTTTATACCGTCGACAAAAATAGAACCTGACTGTGGATATGATAGTTTCATATTAGAATTACAGGAGGTTAACATGTTTCTCACTCCAGATGGATTACTTTCTTTAGCTAAACTTGCCAGTTTGAAACAACTTTGTGCGGATGCACTTATTGATATTTTCCAAATGGAAATGGTTGGCAGTCTTAAGATGTATTTAACAACTATTAATAAGATCACCAATTTGAGAGTTGTATGCCCAGATATTTCGCTACACTTTGGGAATTTTGATGTATCAGAACCACGAGAAGTTTTTGCAAAGTCCCATTTGGTGCCGACGATAAACATTCAACTAGTGGAGCCTTCGCTAGCTTTATCCACGAGTCTCTCTAAGAAATCTGGTGAAATTGCATCAGATGATAACGGTAAAACGGTTGCCGCATTTCACCTCAAAGAATTGTTATGTAATATTTCAAATCCAGTCGATTTTCAGGCACCTCTTTTCTTCAGTATAAAGGATATCGAATTTTGGTTCCAGGAAGACAATGAGATTGTTAATTCAATTAATATTGAGAGTATCACCGCAGAGGTACAGAGCGAACAAATTGAATGGTTACTCCAGTTTTTCCTTGATATTAAAACAAACATCTCACCAGTTATAGCAGCATTGCAAGAAAAGCCCAAAGGTGAAAAGGACGCAATTGCCGAAATGATTTATAAGCTATCAATGGCTGCTATTGACTATCATATAGATCACGACCCTGGAGTTCTTACAAAACCGGCATATATCCTTAGAGCCAAAAAAGATCATGTTAGATTCTTTGATATTTGGAAAGTCATAACTAGAATTAGACATATTAAAGACAACTTGCCTAAAGAGTGGTATGATGAAATGAATATTGGCCTTGGTGATTGGAAACTTCCTCCGACCGCATACGATGATGTTAAAGATGTATTTGCTAGATGGAGAAGTTGGGAAGCTAACCAAGATCAAAGAAATTATATGTTCCGCAAAATTTTCAAGGACGAGTCTAAATTGAAAGATATCATTCAAACACATCTCGAAATCGCAAATTTATCGATAATTATAGGAGATAATTCAAACCAAAACGATGACCTTACTCTTCTAAGTTTGTCAGGTAACATAAAGAAATCAGCAAGTGATGATCTAATAGAAAAGGTTGATGTGATAATAAATGCACATTCTTATAAGAGTAAGCTTACAACAGTTACTTTGAACTCTATAAAGAAATGCTTAACATTCTTTCTGAATCTCGAAAATAAGAGTTCTACTAGAAGTAAAGCAGAAGAGACAAATACCGTCCCAGCACCAAGTGTTTTTACAGTAGTGAATCTTCGTAGCTTCCAACAACATATACTTTTACCGGTTTCTTCGTATGAAATAATAGTAAAAGATGTTTGTGCTTCAGCAAACATTTTAAATTCATGTTTGTTAACAGCATCGGTAGATATGGGTTCATTTGATGTAAATATTTGGGGTTTGGAGCACAGAATTATATCCGCTAAACTAGCTGCAGTTGGATTATTGGTTGCTAGCACAGACGAGAAAGCTAAAAAAGTTGATCTTTCCATTGGTGCTATTACTTTGAAAACACATGACCAACAAGGATTCCTTCCAGTGTCAATTCAAAAGATTATATCTGAAGATGTTACCTATTTAAAGTCATTTGACAGTCAAAAAGATTCCAAAAATGTCGACGAAAGACCATTTTCATTAGAAGATTTGAATTCAGTATCATTTTCGGCAGAATTAGGAGAGGTCAATATTGTAATAGAGGCTATTCCGCGTCTTGTGATTAGAAGTATAACGAAGGATACAAGAGTTATGCTTAGCGCTAGTCAAGGTAATTTAAATTTGAACTGGTCTGCTCTGAAATTGGATTTCTTGGTGTTCCTTGACAAGTCACAAATTTTTGAACTACAAAATTCACAAATGTGGTTGAATTCAGACATATCATCTCATGGTGAATTAATATTGGTAAAGTTAGATTCCGGTCTTGGCCACACGAAGATTTTTATACCTGACTTGAATAGAACGTCAGAGAAGATTTTAGGAAGAAAACAACATATTATGAATAGCATTTCAAAATTTGAGGACATTTTTAAATCGGTTAGTTCCAATAAGAAACCAACAAAAGTAGTCAAAACAACAAAAGATAAGGATATATTTGAGAATGTTGTTTACAAAATCAACTTTGCTAACGATTATGTTGGTATTGTTACAATGGTTGAAGAAGCAAGATATTCATATGAAATGGAATCAACTAGTTTGGGAATATATAATGTCGCAAATATCGTTAAAGAAAATAACCTGAAGTCATTCACAATTGTTCCCGTGTACGGTGAGTTGGTAGTTCCTGCAACTAGACTCTATGTTATACATAAATCAGTTCCAGCCAGATTATCGAATGTTTTAGATGTTAACTTTTCCATAAGGCTATTTAACGATGTGGATAAAGGATGCGGGTCACAATCTTTACAAGTCGAGTCTCAATATTGTCGTATATGCTTGAATTCATCGTCATTGATAAAATTAGTATCGTTCGCAGATAATGTTGGTGCTATTTTACATAGATTTGAATCAGCCGCCCCAAAGACAGCCTCATCTAAATCAAAGTCGAGTTCAAAGTCGAGTTCAGAACCTATCAAATTGCCTACTTCAGTCCAATTTTTATCATATAACTTTTGTGCTGGTTGGCTTTGCACGACTGCCGTCAAGGAATATCCCGGTGTTATTTTTGGTGCTGAAAGATTCTTTGTTGTTGCTGAAGATAAATTGGGTAAATTCACTTTGATGGATGCTTACTTGTCAGTTGCAAATGGTTCTAGTTCGTCCAATTTTTACAGTTTGCTGAGTGAGAAGAACAATTTAAATAGAGCATTTTTGCCAAATATGCAATTGATATATTCTGTTGAAGAAGCTAATGAGAAGAAAAATATGCGTATTATCATCACTGGTGATGAATTAGATGTTAAATTTCTATCTACATCTATGATTATTGTTGAAAACTTAGGAAACTCAGTGAACGATGTGCAAGATTTCTTTAAGAAAAGATCTGCTAGAATGGCTCATATTCCAGTTAAAAAATACGACGACCAACCATCAAATGAATACATTAGCAATATCCAATCAGCATTTGATTCAATTGAGTTTGTAGCTACATTCGCGGGTTCAAACGTTTTATTTTACCGTTTGGATGCCGATGAAACAGGAGAAACTCCATCATTGTATTTACATTCACCAGCGGTAAGAATCGCATTTATGTATAAACATAGGAAATTTGAAAAGGTTAAACATATTATAAAAGGTGAGGTACTTACTTCTCCATCTGATAATACTTTATATGCATCATGTGTTCCAGTAATTGTTGACATTGTTGAAGGTGTGAAGAGAATGATGCAGAATTCAAACCTGGCCGATTCAAACCTTAAAAAGTTAGCAAGTGAAAGTATGGTAACACCAACAAATCAAGGTGATTCAGTTGATTTCAATAGTATATTTGGTGACATGGATATTCATTTCGGTTTAAAGATTGAAAAACAACAGTTATCATTAAGTTGTGAACCAACTGCCAAAGTGGCGATGATTGTTGGACTTGATAGTATCTACATCCAATTGAACTCTTCTGAACCAGGTTTAGACTTAACTATTTTATTTGATTCCATGTCAGGTTCTTTACAACATATTTACTCCAGAGAGATTAGTGCATCAATATCCATTCAAAGGGTGTTATTGAGTAGTTCTCTCGATATTCATGATGGTTTGAAATTCAGATCGTCTGGTTGCTTAATTGACGTAGATGGTTACGTTAATGTGAAGCAATATCAAGATGTGGAATTATTTACTGATATTTGGTTTCCTAAACAACAATCGGAAGTGTATTCCAAATCGTCTGACTCTTTTGTCAATAAGCTTGATTCAGTTCATAATAGAAACCTTACTTCGAGATTCAAAGAGGTATCAACGACATATGCTATTCCATGGGTAGTTACGTTTTTTGTTAGTACCATATCTTTAAGAGTTGACTTTGGTCCTTCATTATGTGATACTAAACTTAATATTGATACGATATGGGCTATCTCAAAGAAGTCTACCGATTGGTCACAAGATTTGAAGCTAGGGGTAAATGCCATTAGTTTAAATTGTGAAGGTAGACTTGGTGGAAACTTGATGATCAAAGAATTTAACATTCATACTGCAATTAGTTGGATGAGTGATAAAGCTATCCTTGATATTCCATTAATTTTGGTTTCTGCTGGTTTTGAAAAATTCCATTTGAAATTATCGTTTGATTACCATGTATTTTCTATAGCCAATATTGAAGGATTTTCCATGAATGTGTTCAATCAACATAGTGACTTGAGTGATTCTAAAGATAGACTTTTTATTCGATTCAGATTGGATGCAGCTGAGATATACATAACTTCTTTGACAGCTTCTAATTGTTTGGATATTTATAACACTATTTCCAGAATGCTTATGGATAACAAAAAATCTTATAAGGAAACCCTTAGAGATGGAAAAGGTATGAAAGAGAAGACTGAAAGTGCATATGAAAAATTGATTTTGGAAACGGTGAAAAGATTAGAAACGAAGATTGAAGTATCTTCTGGTAGATTTTTAATTCATGTTTACCCCACTTCATTTAATGATTCCAAAGTGTTGGTAGTCAGATTAGATGAATCCAAAGTTAATTTTCAGCAGAATGAATATAGTAGTGGTATTTCAAATGAACTTGATATTCAATTTAATGATTTAACTGTATCGTTGTCTATGACTCAAGCTGTTCCGGATGAGTTTATAGCTCTGTGTACTGTTGAACAGTTTGTGGAATATGCATCAAAAGCAAAAGGTGGTACTATTTTCGTATTCCCATCGTTTAAGATTGCTATGAGAACATTCCAAAAGGATAATGAAAATGTTATAGAATTCTTATATCAATCAACATTTGATGGTGTTGTTGATATCAGATGGAATTTAGGTTCGGTTAATTTCATTAGAGAAATGTTTTCTATTCATAGAGCTGCAGTTGCATCAAGAACTGTATTCAGAAGGGCAGGTGATTCTATTGATTTTAAAGAACAAATATTTGAATCTCAAGGTAGGAGATCATCTAATATCATGAGACAACAATTGAATGAGGAAGATCCAACTGATGAGATTGATCAAGCTATTACTGAAACTATGTCGAAGGTATCAGATGAATCTAGATTCCGGTATGTACCATTAGCACCACCTATTATAGAAGCTCCACAATTGAGAGAATTAGGTAATGCAACTCCACCATTGGAATGGTTTGGATTGCATAGAAACAAATTTCCAAACGTCACACATGAGTTTGGTATAGTGTCATTACAGAAAGTGATACGTGAAGTTGAGATTCGTTATTCAAAGATTCTCGGTAAGGCTTAAATAATCAATCATGATTATTATTATTATTAATAATTTTTAAATATTAATTATTTTTTTATATTTCAGGATCTATTTATGGGTTATTTATATATATATTTACAAGGTTTTTATTTCAAGTACATTATGAATCGTAGTGATGTTGGTAAGTTTAATGAGTTAAATACCATCTACCTTTTGCCTTTCTTCTAGCTAATACTTTTCTACCACCTCTTGTTCTTAAACGAGCAAGGAATCCAAAAGTTCTCTTTCTTTTTAAAGTGGATGGTTGATATGTGTTACCTCTAGACTTAAATCTCAATTGACCCAAGCTAGATAATATAGGTGATTGTAATAAAGTAATTTGACTAGGTATTATATTATTTGAAAATAAACTGTTGGATGCATGATTATATGATGAAGTGAGGGTTGTGATAGGATTGGAAAGTAAGGAAAATGAACGTGTGGATACTAATCCTGCTACACGTATAGTAGAGGTTTGAGCTAACCTTGTTATATTTATCATTGTATGATGGTTTGATATGAATAATTGCTAGTTGTCAATTGATTTAGTTAAACATATATTTATTATTGAAAAAAAATTTAAATAATTCGCGGTACTCTAAATTACCCTATCACCCTAAACAGTAGTAGTAAATGTGAGTATTAAATCAATATTTTGTTAGTAAATTTAAATCACATCTCAAACCAAAAAAAAATCTCTACATCTAGTTGCAATAAATAACCCATATAGAACTAACAGCAATAAGTAATATGTCTCAACCACAACGTCCTAGAAGAGTAGTGTCATCTACTGTTAACACTCCAACTGCAATCCATATAAGTTCCGTCAAATCAATAGACAATTCTGAAGCTGAGAGATTATTAACTGAATTCATAACTGCTAGTGAAGTATCTATAACAACCCTTCCAGGAAGTGCAGCTGATGCTAATATTGATTCTACTTCAGGAATATCAAATAGTGCTGGTGGTAATGTTATAATAAGTCAATTACTGAGGGTTCAAAGAGATTTAAGAGGATTACCTCCTTTAGCTGTGGAAAGTTTCCCAAAGCCAACTGAAAATTCAACTTTAAATAGTAGTGATAAACCTGCTTTAAATAAGAAGATAAAGTTCAGCGATAGTGAAGAATCTGAGGATAAATCTGAAATATAAGAAAGGGTATGAATTAAATGAAAATAAACAATAGAGATGGTTCATAATAATAGAAGATTATAATTACTGGTATTTAATCGTACATTTGAGTTAGACAAACATTGATAAGACAGATCTACCACTCTAACTTTTTTCAGCAAAGACCTAGACTCTTTTTCTATAGCAATATGTATAAATAAGTAAGTAGACGTAACTTTCCAGTTATCAATATAAATAGTAATAAGTGAAATTTTGGTTTGCGCACTACACGTCGTAGTAGCGGTCTCTCTCTCTTTTGTTTTTGTTTACTTTTCAGAGTTTTGTACAATCAATAGTAGAGGAATCAACTTTAATCCATAACTTCTTGTTCAAATCATATCAACACCATTTCATACCTCACATCTACATCAACATCACAATGGCGTTAAAGAGGAAACGTGCTATGCCCGTGATTCAAGACGAAGGGGATGAAACCACATTTATCAATAATAGTGATTACTTACTGGAACGCGACACAAACAATAAAGAAGATACTCTAAATCATCAAATAGATGAAGAAGAAGATAATCCATTCTTCAGTGATGGTGAGTCAAATACTAAGGCTAATATATCATTAAAAGGTTTAACCCCAGAATTGAAACCAAGTCAACCTTCATCCCGAAAATCAAGTGGTAAAGAAGTGGAAGATGAAGATAAAGAATTACAAGTATTTGATGAAACTGAACCACGATCTGGATCATTCGAATCAGAAACTAACACATCAACCCTGTCCAATATAGCAACTGTCAAACCATCTGATGCTAGTAATGATTTATTAACCGATCTGTTTGATTCGAAAAAGACTCCTTTACTAAGCTACTCACAACAACAATCAGAAGTATTATCAAATTCTCCATCCAAAAGAAGAGAAGTACTCTCTCAAATAAAACCAAGTAATGAACCAAGACTTGTTATAAGTAAGTTGGAATTAATAAATTTCAAATCATATGCCGGTACCCAAGTAATAGGTCCCTTTAACAGTTCATTTTCAGCAGTAGTGGGTCCAAATGGTAGTGGTAAATCTAATGTTATTGATTCAATGCTTTTTGTATTTGGTTTCAGAGCTCTGAAAATGAGACAAGGTAAACTTTCTGAATTAATTCATAATTCCACTAGTGGCGAAAAATTGGACTTTTGTCAAGTTAATATTCATTTCCATAATGTTTTGGATAATCCAGATGATCCAACTAAGGCTACAGTAGTACCTGATTCAGAAATAGTTGTATCACGTAAAGCTTTCAGAAATAATCAATCAAATTATTATGTTAACGGTAGAACCAGTAATTATACAGAAGTAACATCGATGTTAAAAGCCAAAGGTATTGATTTGGATCATAAGAGATTTTTAATTCTTCAAGGTGAAGTTGAATCGATTGCTCAAATGAAAGCTAAAGCTGAAAAGGAAAATGATGATGGTTTATTGGAATACTTGGAGGATATCATTGGTACTTCAAAATATAAAAAATTAATAGAAGAGAATTTAACGAAGATTGATGAATTAAATGAAGTTTGTTTAGAAAAGGAAAATAGATTTGTATTGGTGGAAAAGGATAAAGATCTGTTAGAAGATAAGAAAACTGAAGCTTTGAATTTCCTTGAAGCAGAAAAGAAGTGGACTTCTAAGAAATCAGTTCAATTTCAGATTAATATAGCCAGGAACACAGCATTATTAGAAGAGAATAAGAATCAACATCTGGAAATAAGTAAAGAATTGGAGACTGAAAGAGAAAAGAATTCTGAACTTAATAAAGAGATTGAGAAATTCACTACCCAACAAGAAGCTGCAAAAGCTCAAATGGCTGACTGTGATAAAGAATTTGCCAAGATATCTAAAATCAACAAGGATTTATCCAAACAAAATGTTACCGTTGAAGAAAAGATAAAGAACATCAACGGTAAAATAAAAAAGATAGAAAAGACCAAAGAAAGTCTGAGACATATTTTAGCATCATCTACACTGAAGTTGGAGCAAAATAGTCTGGCTAACGAAAAATTCAAGTTAGAAATAGAAGAACTCTCGGCAAATATGGAAGTTGAAAAAGCCAAACTTGATGAAATTAAAACAAATCTTGCCAAGAAGACCACTGTATTTACTAAAGAAATTGAATCATTAAATATAACTTTGGATCCATATACCGAGAAACTTAATGAAACTGAGAATGAAATAAAACTTATACAATCAACTATTGAGATTCTTACCGAACAAAAGGGAAGTATAGCGAAACAACTTGATCAAGCTAGATCTAGATTGATCAGCATTAAACAAGAAGGTAAACAAAAGGAAGAAGAACTTGGTGAGTCCGAAGAAAAGTTGGAAAAGATCACAGAGCAAATTTCATTAGGTGAACAACAATGTACGATTGATAAAAGACTGTTGGATATCAAAAAAGCACATTTAGTCACCATAAAGCAGAAGACTCAAGAATCAATTAACTCATTAGCTAGTTACCAAAATAAGAATAAAGTGTTAACGAGTTTATTCAGGTTGGCTAAATCAGGTCGTATTAGTGGTTTCCATGGAAGATTAGGAGATTTAGGTGTTATAGATGCTAAATATGATGTTGCAGTATCAACTGTTGGTGGAGGATTAGATTCTATGGTTGTTGATACTGTTGAAACAGCTCAAGCTTGTATTGACTATTTGAGGAAGAATAAACTAGGTTATGCCAATTTCGTATGTTTGGATAAATTAAGACAATTCAATTTATCTCCTATTCAAACTCCAGGGAATCCAGCTCATATAAAGAGAATATTTGATTTAATATCTCCTTCGCATCCTAGATTTGCTCCTGCATTCTATAGTAAGTTATATAATACATTGGTTGCACCCGATTTAGGTGAAGCCAAACGTGTGGCATATGGTCCTAAGAGATGGAAAGTTGTGACTTTAGATGGTAAGGTTGTTGATACTTCAGGTACCATGTCAGGTGGTGGTAATAGTTTTGCAAAAGGTATAATGAGGTTGTCGGACAGTACAACTACCTTTTCAGATTTGGCCCCTGAGGATGTTGAGAAGATGAAAGAGGAATTACATGAGTTAGAAGAAGAAGTTGATCAACTTGAGACAGCATATAATCAGAAGAGATCAGTGTTATCTAAATTATCTGATCTTAAACCTGAAACTGAATTCAGTATTTCCAGATTACGTTTGGATATTCAGTCCTTAGCATCTGAAAAGAAAGAAGTTCTGATAACTTGTAAGAATTTAATGGTTGAGAATGATAAAATGGAAAGGGAAGGAACATTTGACAGTGATATAAAAGCAAAGGAGAATGATTTGAAATCATTGAAAGTTGCTAGACAAGATCTTAAACTGCAAATGAGTGAAACTGAATCCAAGATAAAGGACCTTGAAGAGAAGATCATGGAAGCTGGTGGTGTTGAGTTACGAGTTCAAAATTCGAAGGTTGACTCCATCAAACAAAAGCTTGAAATCATTAATGATAAGACTGCTGGTGACAGAATGGAAGTTAGAAAACTTGAAAATGAAATCAAAAGACAGAATAAAATACTTGAACAAGCTGAACAAGATTTATCTAGTTCAGAAGCTGATCTTCAAAAATTACAAGAGCAGAAATCAAGTATAGCTGAAAAATTAACTGAAGTCCAAGCTGAACAAAATACTGTCCAACAAAGAAAAGATGAATTGGAATCTGCTTTAGAAAACTTACAAAATGATTTAGATGAATATCAAGAAAAGATTAACAAATTTAGATCTGTGGAAGTTGAATTGGAGAATAAAATTGAAAAGTATAATTCACTTATAAGGCGGTTAGATCATAATATTAAAGAAGATAATCTTAGTTTGAAGGAGTTAGTTCCTCGAGATGCATCACCATATATATATTGGATGCCAGAAGAAGAACAAAAGAAATATAATAGTGCTATTCTTGAAGATGTTGATGAATCACAAGTTGAATTAGATAAAATCGAAGGTGAATTAGAAGCATTAGAAGAATTCATGAATAATGCTAAGATTGATCTTGAAGTATTAAAAGAATATGGTGAAAAGAAACAACAATTTGAAGCACGTCGTGAAGATTTGAATATAGCTGTGAATGAAAGAGATGAAATTAAAGGATTCTGTGAAGATTTGAAACGGAGAAGATTAGATGAATTCATGGAAGGATTCAATAATATTTCAATGACTTTGAAGGATATGTATCGAATGATTACTATGGGAGGTAATGCTGAATTAGAATTAGTTGATAGTTTAGATCCATTTTCAGAAGGTATTTTATTCAGTGTTATGCCTCCAAAGAAATCATGGAAGAATATATCTAATTTATCTGGTGGTGAAAAAACATTAAGTTCATTAGCATTAGTGTTTGCTCTTCATCAATATAAACCCACTCCATTATATGTCATGGATGAGATTGATGCTGCTCTTGATTTTAGAAATGTTTCGATTGTGGCTAATTATATTAAGGAACGAACCAAGAATGCACAATTTATTGTTATTTCATTAAGAAATAATATGTTTGAATTAGCTCAACAACTTGTGGGTATTTATAAAGTTGATAATAAAACGAAGAGTATTTCATTACAAAACAAAGATTTCTTAGTCTCTGCTTAAATAGTTTAAAAATGCAAATTAATAAATAAATTTAATAAATATTCTATATATGGGCCGTATTACTTCTTTGAGTTTTCCAAGTTGGTTCAACCGATGTAGCGAAATTCTCATCACCTCTTCTCTTTAAGATAAAATTTGAATCAAACCAATCAATTAAATCGATTAAACAAGTAGTTTCATTCATTTCTTTAAGATATTTTCGAGGAAGGACTTTATCCAACATTTCAGAAAGATGATGTTGAGTAATTCTAAACGGAAGTCCATAACTAGTAGCTAAATCCCAAAATAATTCTATAGCAGACCATGGAGTCTTTGAATACCCTGCAAATAAAGCCGGATTGGTTAATACCCCTCTAGCAGACATAACCCCATCCACCCCGGTATATTCTGCTATTCTATGAGCATCTTCTAAACTGAAACAATCACCATTAGCCACTACTGGGATAGAGACGGTATCTTTTATGATTTTAATGGCATCGAAATCACAAGGTTGTGATGATCGAGTATTTTTAGTACGACCATGAACGGTTATGAAATCAACTCCACTAGCTTCCACTTTTTTAACAAATTCTATGGTTTCATTTATATCTTTATGAATTCTTATTTTGGTTTCTAAACATACTAAATCACCATATTTGTCCTTAACGGCTTTAACCATTGATGCCACTAAGTCAGATTCCGACATTAAAGCAGCACCAATCCCTTCTCTAACTTGTTCTTTAATAGGACAACCACAATTTATACCGATCCCATCAACATAAGGATGAATCATCTCCACAAACTTCAATAAATCCTCGATATTATTACATCCCACTTGGACTATAACACTTCTATCTTTCTCATTACTAGTGAAATCAGAGGCTCTTGCAACCTCATTACGAACAAATTCCCTAGCAAGGATCATAGGCGTATATGCTATATCGACGCCAAAATTCCTCACTAACTCTCTGAAGGGAAGTTTCGAGTATCGCACCATAGGACCAGCGATGAATGTAGGTCTACCCTGGGTATCTTTGGTAGTTTTTAAAATATGAAGGGGATTATGTTTCTTCTCTCGTGGTAGAAGATGAGCTGGAGAGGTGATGGTATGACGAGGTGTATTAGTTGTTTTCTCTAAGGTTAACCCTTCTAATAACGTATTTATATCCTCCATGATGTATATAGTCTATAAGAAAAGGATATGATTTTAACTTTAAAATGGTTATCTGCAACTTTATTTAAATAGTTTTTCAGTTTGCAATCAAAAATAATTTTTACGTTAAAGATGTTCTTTTTTTTTTTTCATGATAATAAATATATGGCGGATTCTACATCCCAATTAGGCAAAGATAAACGTAAAAGCTAAAAGATAATAAATATATTTACTATACCGAAAAAGAAAGTAAAAACCTATTTATACTACATTAATGACAACATTAAATCCAAATCAATATAACCAAACCATATTAGAATAATATCAGTATTATTCTGATTCTACTACTTTATACAAGGGGGAGGGAGGGGGGGGATGTATGATGTTATATGATTTTTTGTTTTTTCGAATTATTGCTATGATTAATTATTAATTTATTATTATTAGTTATTATTACTATTAATGACAGGGAAGGAGATTTTTATTGATTATTATTTCCTTTATGTTTTAACCTATTCTTCTTCTGAACTTTCAAATGAAGCATCATCATCATCAGATGATTCTTGAGTATTACCTATATTCATAAATCCATTATTATTATTACCACCACCAATTGAAGATTGATGAGATGAATCATCATCAAATAAAGCTAATTGACTTCTTAAATGAGCCAATTCATCCATACTATTATTTGAAATTAACTTCTTCTTTTTATTTTTAGCTAAATTTGCTGAAGCCTTTTTACCAAATAAGAAATTATATAATTTTAAAACAGTACGATCTTCTAATTGATCCATATCCAATTCAACTTCATCTTCATCACTAATTTCAATATCATCTTTAATGATTTTAATAAGAGCTTGTAATTTTTTATCAGAAAGATTGGGAACCATTTCACTAACTTGTTTTTTCATTTCATAAGTAACAACAGGTGTAGATGGAGCAGGAGGATTAGTTGATGATGAACCACTAACACTTTTCTTTTTAGTTGACTTTTTAGTCTTCTTCTTCTTTTTTCTTGCTGCTTGTTGTTCTTTTAATTTCTTTAAATGTTCCTTCTTTAATTGATCTAATTCTTTTTTCATTCTAATCAATTGATTTTCTAATAATTGAATAGCAGGAATTTCAGAAAGCATAGCTTCATTAATTTCAGGTTCATCTTCATCTTCCCCACTTGATTCAACTTCTGATTCTTCAACTTCAGAATTAGCAGGAGTTGGTTCAGGAATTGGTTTATTAGCCCATTTCTTATCAAATACCGATTCTAAACGATGACCCATCATATTAACATCAGTACCTTCTGGATTAAAGATATAACAATTTTTAAATACTAAACGAACATCAGCTTCAAAAGCATCACCATGTTCATATTCATTATTGGCTAATTTTGATTGAATGGTACCTAAATCCATTGGTTGTTTAACTACTGAAAAATAATTAGGAATATTTAAAGCTACTGGATCAACAGGAGCAATAAAAGGGAAATTATAACTATAATGCTTTTTAGAAATTAATTCTTTAACAGTTTGAGCAGCATATCTTAATTCAGCGGCAAATTTCTTTTTACGTGGTCTTACATCATAAGGTAATTCTTTTGATTTTGGAGGATGAATAGTTCTCTTAGGACGATGAGCAGCCACTGATTCTCTTCTTGTGATATCTGATTCAACCGTTGATTTTCTTTTATTGACATTATTAACATTAACCACAGCAGCATTATTGGCTAAGATTTTAGGAGGGAAATTTAACATATGCTTTTCAAAATGAGCTTGAATATTATCTGCCATTTTAGATATACCTGAATTTTCTCCATTAAATTTCTTACAATTGAAAACCATTTGATTAAAATCTTCGACAATTTGATTCAGATCTTCATAAGCATTGGCGGTAATTTTTTTTTCAATGGTACTTAAATCCATAGGTCTTGGAATATAATTATAATAAAAGGGGATATTTAATTTAACGATATCAACAGGATGTAAAAATGGAGCTGCGTCTTTTAATCTTTTTATGGCTTTGATGGTATTAAGGGCGAATTTTGATTGATGAGGAGGAATTGGATTTTGAGGTAAATTATTCATATCAGGTTCAGGAGCAGGTTTTGGAGCTGGAGTGGTAAATATTTGAGCGGGTGTTAATACTGGAGCGGATGAGGATGGGACTTCTGTGGCGTCGGTGGTAGTGCCAGATGGAGCTGCTTCTGTGGCAGTGGCAGTATTGCTACTATTTGATTCTATATCATTAGTTATAGGTAATACATCATCATCATCACCATTTTGTACAGTTTCATCAAGTTTCAACTTTTTAGATTCATGAATGGTATCTATATCAATATCTGCCACTCTCTTTTCAGGAGTTGGAGATGGATTAGGAGGGGAAAGGGGTTTTTCAGGTTCTATTATATCCAGTTTGGCAACACCACCTTCTTGAGATGGTTGAGATTGATTTGAAGGAGATGATTGAGATTGTAATTGAGATTGAGATTGAAGATCAATTTGAGATGATTGATTATGATTATGATGATGATCGTCAGACTTTTGGAAAAAGTTACCATCCGATGAAGGAGTTTGAACTGGAGTATTGGTATCAGGTACTATATCTGACATGATTATGATTATTCTATTTTAATGAGGGCAAAAACCTGCATATAATACTATGATAAAATTCCCCCAAATTAAAAATGGGAAAAGTGTAAAATTTAAGATCTATTTATAAATAAATTTTTAAATTGTAAAAAATGGTATAACTTGTAAACAAATAACTTAAACTGTAAATTGATTATTTTCAACCAATCGCATCGCGATATCCGGATCAATTTTTTTTTCTTTCCAGAAAAAAACTTTTTGATGGAAATTGATGGTAATTTATATACAGACAGAAAAAAAAATGAGAAAATGAAAAATGAGAAAAAAAAAAAAACTGTTGATCAAGTACACGACTTCTTTCTTTCTTTCTTTATTTCTTCTATTTACAATCCAACCAGCCAGCCAGCATTCACTTGAAGGTAAGGAACTGAAGTAACTTCTTCAGATGAATATGTGGCTGGTGATAATCTTATTTCAGAACAATGAATGACTGTAACTATCAACCATTCCTTGTTATCTATCTATCTATCTATCTAGCTATTGTAACTGATTATCATTTCATAATTACAAATAATGATTATCCCTCCCTATTTCAATTATGAAAAAAAAAATAAAAAAAGGAGACAAATTTTTAGGGAGTTCAAATTCAAACTGTGAGCCTTACGTGTTGGTGAAGTACAATTTTCTTTTTCTTGATCCGGGTAACTCTCCTGGTTTAATTGAAGTCGTGTCCTGATGATGAATGATGACATCTTTTCTTTTTTTTGTTTGTTTGCATGCGCGATTTTATTTATTTCTTTTTTTTTAAAAAATGTATTTTTTGTGATATTTTGTATGCAGGAAGCTACAGGAAATTGCAAAAAATGATCATAAACTGCTGTAAACTACATAAACTATAATCATCTACTTAAATCCAATTATATAATTTTATATTCACAAGTATATTTATAATCTACTTAAAACAGACTAACCAACCATCATAAATGAACAGATAATAAATCATTCACTGAAAACCCTTTATTACATGATGGACACCGTCTTAATCTAGCCGCCAATCTCTCTTGGGTACAATGATGACAAAATACATGTCCACATACCGTAATAGCAGTATCTTTCCAATTCTTGGTACATACTGAACATTTAGCTATTGATCGAAGGGCTTCTAATTGTTGTTCATCTTCTTGTAATATTAATGACGTATTATTCTGTTTATACTTTTGAAGTAATGATTCAGTACTTTTAAGATTCTTTTCTAATTTATTAATCACTATTTCATGATGATTCTTTTCTGCTTGTAAATTATTTATTAATTCAACTTTTTCTTCAATTGATTTTGAAAATCGATCAATTTCTTTCTGTAATGAATCTTTTGATAATTTTAATGATTTAACCGTATCTTGTAATTTACTATTCTCTTGTAATGAAGTTTCCTTAATTGATTTATAATCAGATAAAGATTTAGTTAAAAGTTCAATTTTATTCAAATAATTCTTTTCTAAATCATTTAAATTCTTAATTAATTCTTGTGATTTACTAATTTGAGCTTTCATAACTTTATTTTCCGCATTAAGTGAATCTTTAACTCTCATAGATGCAAAATATTTTTGATCAGCTTTGGTTTTTTCAATGGTTAATTTTCGAATTAAATTCTCTTGATCAACAGCTGGTCCTAATTTCTTTAATGAAATATCTCGAGTTTCTTTAAACGCTAATTCAATCTCTTTAATTTCATTACTTAATCCTTCAACTTTTCTCACTAAATCCTCTTTACTTAAAGTTTGATACTTCTCATCTTTAATTGATTCATCCACTTCTTGTAAATGATCTTTAGTTAATTGTTCAATTCTATCACTTAATACTTTATTAAGATTATCAACTTCTTTACTACCAGGTTGAGAATCAATTTGGGTTTTAAGAATCGCTTGTTTAGCAATTAAATCATCTCGATTAGTTCGAACTCGAACTAAATCTAATTCACATTTATTTAATTGATCTTTTAATTTCTCATTCTCTTCAAGAATCTCCTTTTGAATTGATTGTTTCACATTATTTTGATTTAATTCTAATTCACTTAATTTATTCACACTTGAACTATTAATCTTGGTAAGATTAACAATTTGATCTTGTAAACTTTGATTATTCTTAACCACTTTTTTATAATGAATATTATCCACCAAATCTGCTTCTTCTAAATGATGTAATTTATTATCCAATTGTAAAAGCTCTTGTTGAGATTTATTATATTTTTCCGTAATTTCATGGATCTGTTTATTTAATAATTCATTAGAACTATTCAAGATTTCAACTTCCAGTTTTAATTTTTGTAATTCTTCTTTAATAACTTCATTATCTTGAGATGGAGTAGATCCATCTTCAACTTTACTACCATTAGCTTGTTGAACTTGAGGTTTTGATTCAACTTGTTCATCTTCCTTTTTAATATCTCCATTGGATTTCTTAGTTAAACTATCATCAACTCGTTTGACTGATTTAGAATTATTTCTTTCATGTTGTCTCACAGTATGTAATAACTCTTCTTGTAATTCTTTTATTCTTGATTCCAATTCTAATTTAATATTAGATAAAGTTGAAGCATTAACTTTAAGAGTGTTTAACTCGGTATTCAAAGCTGTTATATCTTCATTATGAAGGGATAATTTATTATTCCCATCCACAAGAGGAGATAATAACTCAAGAAGTTGAGTTCTTCTTTGATCAAGATGTTCATCCAATTTACCATCCAAACTAATCAATAATTTCTCATTTATAGATGATGACTTATCATTACTATGAGGGATTTTCTTATTAAACAACGCCACTATTTCATCATACCATGAAAGTAACACTTTTATCTTTGATTCATTACGTTCAAATTTATGTTGATATTTCTTTGCATCATCCGATAAAAGTCGACATTGTTCTTTATAGGAAATCATTTGTCGCCATATAGCCTCTTTTTGGAAATAAACCACATCAGATTGAGTTAAAGGACCAGTTTCACTTAATTGATGTAAAGGTTTACGTTTCTTGGATCCTGTTTCGGATGATTCTCCTATCAGTCTTTTTCTTTCGTTTTCAACTTTACTCATAGTTTTATGATTATGATTATGATGATATTAATGATAAACAGTAGGATATATAACAAACTTATGATGGAACTAACTTACCAATGTACTATGGAAACAAAATGAAAAATACCAGTAAATGATTGAATGAAAATACAAGGATGAAGAATTAAAACTGATAAACTAAAAACAAGGATGAAGGAACGAAACTAATATACAAATCTAGACAAATAGATATATCACAATCAAATAGAAAAAAAGCACCTAACACAAAAGATTTATCACACACACTGACACTTTCTATTAATGAGATATATGTCGTGTGAACCGTTAAATAGTAACTGATGAATGTAAGAAATGGTTGGTGATAATCAGTTGAACTGTCTTTGTCACTTTCTATCCTCTCAAAAAAAAAAAAAAAGTTAAAAAATATTTCCAACTTTTTTGTTCTCACACGACTCCTAGTCATAGTTAAATAGTACTAGTAAGAAGATATGATAATTATGATGATAAAGGACGTGTTAATTCATTATTAATGGTTTGTATGAGTTGTATTGGGTATAAGTAACTATTTCAATTTGTAAAAATATTCTTTACTGGAACTGTGAACTAGTTAGTTGTCGATATTGAGTTATTCACATTCATTATGTAATGCCATACAAAGTAATAAAACACTCTGATACTCTTCATGGTGTGGCATATAAATTTTAAATGGAAGTTAGTTTGAATAATGTCATTTCAGTTTATCAGAACTTATAGTAATCATTTCATCTATGTACTATACCATAGCATATCATCCTTTAACTATTAAGAAGTTACCCCAAATTTCGGAAAAATTCATATAGTGCAAAATAAATTTGTTTGACTGTAAGATTTGTATGTAGTGTACAAACTCAAAGATTTTTCAGTCTATAACCCCAAACCCCAAAACTTCATTTTCAATTGCTATTCAATTGCAGTCAATTCAAGTCAATTGTTATTCATTCTTAAATCATTGAATGGTATTTCAATATGATAGGTGGACTTCATAAACAATTTCTATTATTGTTATTATGGGGATCATTGGTTGTAGCAGTTAAGGATTATTTATTTAAAACGTGTGAAACAGCCGGTTTCTGTCATCGTAATAAATACTTTGCTGAAAGTGTGAAGAATCAAGGTCATAATTTCATTCCTAAATACTCCATTAGTCAAAGTTCGATATCGATTGATGAAGTATTAAATTCAAAAGTTATTCATGGTAATATTATCAAATTTATTCCTAGTGGAAATCATATCACTTTACCTTTTGAAATATCTCTATTGGATGGTAATAATCTTCGATTCAAAGTAGATGAAAAGGATAGAACTTCAATTGATACCACGAAGTTAAACATAAATACTCATAGATATAATGAAACTAGTGATTGGGCATTTGTATCTGCTGAATTACCCTACTTAGCTAATGATAAATTCACTATAGACCTTAAAAATGATGTATTAATTATAACTTATGGAGATGCCAAACAATATAGAGCAATAGTTGATTTTTGGCCCATTAAATTAACTATCTATCATAAAGATAAAATCCAAATCATTGCCAATGATAAAAACTTATTCAATTTTGAACATTGGAGATTACAAGATGAAAATTCTCATCATCTTACGGAAGAAGAAACCGATTATGACATGTTTGAGGATCATTTCAAAGATAGTAAAGAAGATTCTATCCCATTAGGTCCTGAATCAATTGGGTTAGATTTTACCTTTAAAAATTTCCAACATTTATATGGTATTCCTGAACATGCTGATTCCATGAATTTAAAAGATACTACTGAATCATCCATGCCTTATCGTCTTTTTAATGTCGATATCTTTGAATATGAAACTGATTCAAGATTACCCATGTATGGAGCCATCCCATTCATACTTGCTTCTAAACCGGAAATTTCAGTAGGATTATTCTGGATTAATTCTGCCGATACATTCATCAATGTTGATAAAACCACAAACCAAAAAGATAGTCTGACTCATTGGATTTCTGAAAATGGGATAGTCGATTTCATAATCACTATCGATAAAACTCCAGCTGATATCAATCGTAATTATGGTTTAATCACTGGTTATACTCAATTACCCCCTTTATTCTCTTTAGGATATCATCAATGTCGTTGGAATTATAATGATGAAAAAGATGTCCTTGAAGTTAATTCTTTAATGGATGAATATCAAATTCCGTATGATACTATATGGTTAGATATTGAATATACTGATCAAAAGAAATATTTCACTTGGCATAAGGAAAAATTCCCTAATCCTGAAAGAATGTTAGATGAATTAGATCATACTGGTAGAAATCTTGTTATTATTATCGATCCTCATATTAAAACAGGATATTATTTAAGTGATGAATTAACCAAAAAGAAAAGTTGTATAAATGATGCTAGTAATAATTCCTATCATGGTCATTGTTGGCCAGGGGAATCAGTATGGATCGATACGTTAAATCCTACCGCTCAAGAAATATGGGATGCTCAATTCACTTGGAATAATTACTTCTTAGGAGGTCAATCATCAAATATTTTCATTTGGAATGATATGAATGAACCTTCTGTATTCAATGGTCCTGAAACTTCAGCTCCAAAAGATGATATTCATTTCGGAGGTTGGGAACATCGTTCTGTTCATAACATCTATGGTATGACATATCATGAAGCTACTTATAATTCACTTGCTAAAAGAAATGAAGGACATACCACTAGAGAAAGACCATTTGTATTAACAAGATCTTATTATGCTGGATCTCAAAGAACAGCAGCAATGTGGACAGGGGATAATATGTGTAAATGGGAATACTTACAAATTTCAATTCCAATGGTATTAACTTCTAACATTGTCGGTATGCCATTCAGTGGAGCTGATGTGGGGGGATTCTTTGGTGATCCATCAACAGAATTATTAACGAGATGGTATCAAACTGGTATTTGGTATCCATTCTTTAGAGCCCATGCTCATATCGATTCAAGACGTCGTGAACCATGGTTAGCGGGTGAACCTTATACATCGATTATTAGAGACGCAGTTCGTTTAAGGTATTCTATACTTTCCGTGATTTACACTGCCTTTTATGAATCTTCTCAAACTGGTATACCTGTTATGAAACCAATCTTTTATGAATCACTTTCAAATATTGAAAGTTATTCCATTGAAGATCAATTCTTTGTCGGAAATTCAGGTATTTTAGTTAAACCTGTTACAGAGGAAGATGCTAAGGAAATTAAGGTATACCTTCCTGATAATGAAGTGTATTATGATTATACCGATAGATCACTTTCGAAAATAAATGCTTATAGTTCTGATAAGCCAGGGTATTTGACGAAATCAGTCACGTTAGAAGATATTCCTGTATTCATCAAAGGTGGTTCAATTATAAGTCTTAAAGATAGATATAGAAGATCGTCCAGATTAATGTTTAAAGATCCATATACATTAATTATTGCATTAAATAAAGATGGAGAAGCTAATGGTTCATTGTACGTCGATGATGGTGAATCATTTGATTATGAAAAACACGAAGAATATGCCTATATTAAATTCAATTACTCAAATGGAAAAATCAGTGCTGATGTTAATGAAGTTAAAGATAGATTTAAAGATCTGATTTCAGATGTTAAAATAGAAAAGATCATTATTTTAAACGAACTGACAACTGGAACAGTTGAATCAGTAACCTTTAATCAAGGTGATGAAGAATGGAAGGGACATTTCGATAATTCGGTGGATAAAAAGATTATCATCCATAATCCAAAATTAAGTATAAGTCAATCATGGACAGGTAAAATTGAATTTGTAGTGGAGCATGATGAATTGTAAGATTTATTATTATATTCTATATACTATTTACTTTTCAATATATACTCCCTTAGTTTTGTGGCGATCTTAACTGTAGTTAACCAATCTAATGGTTTATGACATAAGGTACATGATTTTTGGGAAGGTATCAAACTACTAGTATCAGTTTCTGTGTCTCGTGCCATACAAGTTAGATGAAAAGTGTTATCACAATCAGAATGATGGCATTGCGTAACAAGCCTTAAACGTCCCTGTTGTCTATACTGTTCAACCTCCAGTTTAGCTTTAAATAAAGGTACTTCTTCAGGAGAGAATTCCAACAGAGTATTACAAATAGAACAAGTATGACTTGCTTCCAAGAACCTGTTCTTGATTACTTCAAAACTGGGATCATCTTGGATTGGATTCGCCTTAAAATACTCTTCAAGTGAACAAGTCTGAATATCTACATGTATAGTAGATGGAACATTATACTTACTAGATGGCCATATCTTATCAGTTACTTCTGGTTCACAAATCAAGATTCTAAGATTAGTAGTCTTAAAAAATGGGGCAGTAATTAATAATTTCACATTTGCAATAATTTGGTGTAATGACGTCGATCCTTTTCTATGCGAAACTCTGTTATCAGCCAGAATATGTCTAGTTTGATAAGGATGTTGTAAAGAGTGTTCAAACTGAAGAGCGGATACATTAGAAGGGAAATTATACATGATAAGAACTACTTTCCAAGGTCTTAATCCAGTTCGTTTGGTTCTAAATGCCCCACCAGTTTTAAGTTCACCATTATGCTGCCTTAATCGTCTTATCGGATCTGGGGTAGACCCGATATAGAACGATCTTGGTTTAGGAATCGATTGCAACACATAAACACAATAGAAGGGTGATATCACATGAATCAACTTACTCCTACCATTCCCACTTTGCAGTGAATCTGGACTATCCATTAAGTCATATACATATATAATGAAAGTCCCTTTTTTGGTAAATACAGTTTTGACCAAGAAAAATGGAGACGATAAAATTTCAAGTCAAATTTTTTGTTTTATGGTGTGTTTTTCTGTGATGGACACGACCCGACCCATTTCCAACCAAAAAAAAAATTAAAATGTGTGCACTATTGCGTAGAGGGCTCTATGGAAATAAATACAGAAATAGAAATTTTGGATTTGATCAATTTCATAGTTTAAATATATTGTATCATTATTTATTGTCAAACTTGTCTTTGTATTGATTTGACGTGTTATCAGAGTTCATTATCATTGGGCTGTTTCGATTGTGTTATCAAGTAGAAAGCTTGTACTTTGGATAGGAAAGGCAATAATCCCACTCACGTTACGAAAAAGAGACGTCATAGCTTTTTTATCCATAATAGTTCCCATCTAAATTTTCATTTACAGCTAATAATTCAAACTTGTACTATATTAGATTGGCTGTATTGAAGTGATTCTTGGGGTGTGTATGAGAGACTGAATGAAACTCAAGATTTAATAATTGATTATGACTCTCAAGGTAGAAACTGAAAATCAACTAGCAGCTGCATCAGCTGCTAGTTCTAATCAAAGTGGTTCTAATGATTTCGTTAAGAAATTATTCCTAATGTTACAAGATGAAAGTTATAAGGATGTGGTGAGATGGACATTAAGTGGAGATAGTTTTGTGGTGCTTAATACAAATGAATTTACTAAAGATATCTTACCTCGTCATTTCAAACATAGCAATTTTGCTAGTTTTGTTAGACAATTAAATAAATATGATTTTCATAAAGTAAAAGTATCCAATGAAGAAAAATTATCATATCCTTATGGTGAAGATGCATGGGAATTCAAACATCCTGATTTTAAATTTAATGATCGTGAATCACTAGAAAATATTAAAAGAAAAGGTCCAAGTGTTAAGAAAGTTTTACCAACTGGAACCAATGGAACTGAAATAAAAGTACAATCAACCACTTGTAATCATAACTTTTCTCAAATCACCAATTCTCAAAATCATATCAAAGAACAAATGGAAACCTTAAGAGCTGATAATAAAGCATTACATCAAGAATTAAATGTATTACAAACTAAATATAAAACATTGGTGGAAAATATAGTGGCCATAAATACCACTGATGAAAGGTATCATCGTTCCATGGGAATATTGGTGAATTGTCTACTTCAGGCAGGAATCAAATTACCCCCTTTAGATTTCCCAAATCTGCCTTTGATGAGTCTTCCAGTACCTCAAACTATCCCGGGTGCAACCATACCTATTGTTGGTGCTACTGTTCCATTACCTGCTCCACCTCATCTAACAACATTGCCAATCATAAAATCTCCCAAGCTTACTACTACACGATTGCAGAATCCTCCGCCACCAAAACCAGTTATAGCTCAACATATTGCATCTGTGCTTCCACCAACTAAACGATCTCCTAATGGAGATTCTATCACCCCTGTACAACAATCACCATTTGCCAAATCTGTTTCTGGTTCTCCTCCAGCTTCTACAGCTGCAATTGTTCCCCAAATTACAACCACCAATTTACCCAATCCAAAATTCCATGTATTATTAGTAGAAGATGATAATGTTTGTATTCAATTATGTCGAAAATTTTTAGTGAAATATGGCTGTCAAGTCACTGTTGTAACAGATGGTTTGAATGCCATATCAACCGTTGAACATACCAATTATGATTTAGTTCTAATGGATATCGTTATGCCTAACCTTGATGGTGCTACTGCTACTAGTGTTATTAGATCTTTTGATACTAAAACTCCAATTATTGCCATGACTGGAAATATAGAAGATAATGATTTGGTAACTTATTTACAAAATGGTATGTCGGATATTTTAGCTAAACCATTTACCAAAGATGATTTATATTCTATATTATCAAAGCATTTATTAACTGATAAATCGAAAGCGGCGACTGATAGTGCTACACCAACAGTAGTAGGTACTACTCCCAATGAACCAAATGTTAGTGAACCAGCTTCTTCAAGCTTAGATCCATTACTGAGTACAGATTCAAATGGTGTTGCAGAACCATTACCCAAGAAGAAGCGGTTACAATAGAGACATTATCTTATTTATTTTTTGTATTGTGATATTAGACTTAGTTTGTAATATATATATTCTTTATCTATGTATCTATAGGTGATTCTTTATCTGTAATTATGTGGTATGATAAATCAGAAAATGCTGTTCCCCAATTTTGATCTTTGTTTGCATGATTAAGTCTAATGATTCTACAAGATTTGAAATAAACATCAACCGTTGTGTAATCTATTACTGGCTCTATGAATTGACCTTTCTTTTTCTTATTTCTAGATTTCGGTACTACGAATGGTTCTTCGTCTGGTTTAACTTTCTGATCTTGATTGGTTACATTTAATAAAGCACTAACCTTGGGATATTTTTCAAATAATTTCAACTTGGTATAACCATCTGTATGAGAGACGACATCATTACAAAGAAGATAATGAGGTCGTATACTATCTAATAATGTATTCATTAACTCTATTGGAGCATGTGGTAAGAAGTATAATGTACTATTAGCTTCAAAGTGAGTAGGGATTTCTTTATCTATGGTAGCACCTAATTGAGTGACAAGCAAATCCTCATCAACTGAAGTGAAGACAGGATCATAAAATGATAAATTCTTAAACTCAATTTCAAGTTCATTTAAAATAATTATAACATAAGCAAGTTGGAATAAAGGAGTTTTCATACTTGATGGTGATCCTAATGCTAAGCATCTTATGTATGTGAATTTCTCATTTCTGATGATTTCTTTCGTTTCTTTAAAGAAATCTGATTCTTCTAGTATGGCTTGAAACTTTTTCAACTTATTCATGAGTTGAGATATCTCATCATCATCTTTAATTACTTGTTCATCTTTCATTTCATTCATGTAATCAGGCCTTACAATAGTTTAAATGTTGTTCCGATGGTACTTTAAATTGATTTTAAAAATCGATTTTTCAATTTCCTGTATATTACCATTCTCTCCACCCATCGCTGTAAAAAAAAAATCAACTAATTTAAATTCAAAATTTTTTACCATTGTAATCCTTTTACTTGGGTGCAATTGATTGAGAGGTCAACAAATTGTTCTTATTTCATAAGTCATTGCAAAGTCAAAGACAGTAAGTTCATTGGGGAAAGGTTAGCTATACTTGCACACATACCTCCTATATAATTTACTTTGACACTAATTCCAAGTTCAGTTCACGTTGTCTGCCGTATTAAAAGCAGAGGAGTCTATAGCCATGAGAAAGTGTAAAATTTTTGTTGGTTCATCTCACCCTGAATTGGGTAGATTGGTATGTGATAGATTAGGTGTTGAGCCTGCTCCATGTACTTTGAAGAAGTTTTCTAATGGAGAAACTTCAGTTCAAATTGGTGTATCAATCAGAGATGAAGATGTTTACATTATCCAATCGGGTTCCCCCGAAATAAACGATCATATAATGGAACTTTTGATCTTAATATCGGCTTGTCGTGGTGGTTCCGCCAACAAAATCACTGCTGTTATTCCTCAATTTCCATATTCAAAGCAATCTAAGATGAAAAAACATAGAGGTGCTATAACAGCTAGAATGCTTGCCAATTTATTAGTGATGGCAGGTGCTGACCATGTGGTTTCAATGGATTTACATGCTTCTCAAATGCAAGGATTCTTTACTAAACCAGTGGATAACTTATTCGGTGCTCCAACTTTAGCTAGATGGATTCGTCACAATATACCAGATTGGGAAACTGCTGTGGTAGTATCAAAAAATCCAGGTGGTACTAAAAGAGTTACAGCTTTAGCTGATTCTTTAAAGATTAACTTTGCCATGATTCACACGGATAGAAGAAGAACCCAAGATGGATATTCTAAGAAAAAGGCATTAACTAAATCAACTAGAAAAGTTGATGACGATGAAGAAGAAGATAATATTGTTTCTGAAATTCAAACTGCTAGAGTGGTGAAGGGTCATGTTGTGGATGATGATTATCCAGTAAGCAATGGCTCTGCTAAAGTTGCTACTGGTGATAAACCAAGTGTACAACTAGATCATTTAGATCAACCTTCTATCTTGGACTCTGACGTTTTAGGTGGATCTTATGATGCTGCTAATTCCGATGATGAAGATGAACCAACTTCAATTAATCAAGAAAAATTGATTACTTTAGTTGGTGATGTCAAAGATAAAGTTGCCATTATCTTGGATGATATGATAGATAAACCAAGTTCATTTATCTCAGCAGCTGAGCATTTAAGATTGAATTGTGGTGCTAAAGCCGTTTACGTTGTCGGTACCCATGGTGTGTTTAGTGATTTCTGTTTGGAAAATTTGTGTGAAAGTAAATGTATCGACAAGATCGTCGTTACAAATACTTACCCAATTGGAAGAGAAAGAATCGAAAAACATAAAGAAAAGCTTACTGTGATTGATGTGTCTCCAATTTTTGCTGAATGTATCAGAAGAGATCATTTCGGGGAATCGATTTCAGTGTTGTTTGATTCTTTAGCAGCCATTGAATAAGTTTTGCTCGTAAAAAATTTTTATTGTTCTAATATTCTTTTTTTTTCTTTTTACTCATTATATTATTATTATAGCTCCCAGAGAATGAAATTATTTATATATTAGAGGTTACCTTGTTGGTAGTCTTGTAGAGATATATTAAATACAAAACCAACGATGCAGTCATTTGGGCTGCAGGACATAATTTCTTAATCATTTATTTGATTAGGGTTAATATTTCTTGGACTAACGGAGCGTTGGGAAATTAAATTGTAACTTCTTTCTATTCCGATTATTTTAAGAAAATTTGCTACTTCTTGAGATTAGGATTAAAATTACGAAAGGAACATCATCTTATATATAAACAGTTGACGAATATTTTTGTAGCTGCATCGAATATACGGAACAATGGTCAATTAATTATTATATAGAGGCATCGAATCCATCCCAATTTTCAGTCACGTGATGGTATCTCCCGCTGAAATTGGAAGATTTAATTTAAACAAACTTTAATTGGTATAGATTATGCACACGTTGTAAAGGATTATATTCAAGCTATTATGTCAAACGAAGATCAAACATTATCTGAGAGTGATCCTGTGATTGACAAATCATTAGAAAAGCTTTTAGTGAGTGATAGAGTTGCTAGTAGTCTTCCACCTGGCTTACAAAGTAAAGTGAATCAACCTATGTCTCCATTATCTCTCAATGATGTAAATGGTGGGGCAAAGAAGACCAAAGAGGAAAATAGTTCTGTAAATAAGCCGTTGGCTTCTCCAGCTACTGAAAAGGCAATTGCTTCAATTGCTCCTATGTTAGAATCATTTGCTCCCAAAACTTCTGCTCAAGATTCAGGAATCCCAACTTCAACCTTCAATTCAAGCTCATCATCTCCATTAAATTCAAATGTTGGTAGCTACCCTGGTGATAGTGAATTCCCTTTCCAAGATCCAAAACCTAGTTCAAAGAGTAGTTCTGCTGGTGATTCTTCTAATGAAGATATGATAAGAAAAACTATTTCTAATTCTTCCTCGTCTTCTAGAAAATCAATTTCTATTCACAAAGAGTCAGTAGGTCCTCAATTACCAAAGATCGGTAAGATTGGTGTATGTGCTATGGATGCAAAAGTTATGTCAAAACCATGCAGAAAGATTTTAAACAGATTAATAGAGAATGGTGAATTCGAAACTGTTATTTTTGGTGATAAAGTGATTTTAGATGAAGCTATAGAAAACTGGCCCACTTGTGATTTCTTAATTAGTTTCTTTTCCAGTGGTTTTCCTTTAGATAAGGCAATTTCTTATGTTAATTATCGTAAACCTTACATTATCAATGATTTAGTTTTACAAAAGGCTCTTTGGGATAGAAGATTAGTATTAAATATTTTAGCACATGCCAATGTTCCTACTCCAGATAGATTAGAAATCAGTAGAGATGGAGGTCCACATTTAGATGATTTGTTATATGAAAAGTTAAAAGAAATTGGTATGACAGAAGATCAATTACAGAAGTTAACTAATCAACAAGAACCAGATTGGGAAATGATCGATGATGATACTCTTCGTGTCGGTAATCAAACTTTAGTTAAGCCATTTGTGGAAAAGCCAGTTGATGGTGAAGATCATAATGTATACATATACTACCCTAAAGCCACTGGTGGTGGTGGTAGAAGATTATTTAGAAAAATTGGTAATAAATCTTCTGAGTTTGATCCTGATTTGGTTTCACCAAGAACTGATGGTTCATTTGTGTACGAAAAGTTTATGGATACAGACAATTTTGAAGATGTTAAGGCATATACTGTGGGACAAGAGTTCTGTCATGCAGAAACTCGTAAATCTCCTGTTGTCGATGGTATTGTCCGTAGAAATACTCATGGTAAAGAAATTAGATACATTACAGCTTTAAGTGAACAAGAAACAATAATGGCTAGAAACGTCAGTCGTGTCTTCAAGCAATGTATTTGTGGATTTGATTTATTAAGAGTTAATGGTAAATCATATGTCATTGATGTCAATGGATTTTCCTTTGTCAAGGATAATAATGAATATTATGATTCTAGTGCTAGTATTCTTAGACAACTCTTCATAGAAGCTAAGAAATCACGCGACTTGATTAAGGACAAGATTCCAAAGATGACTAAACTTCTTAACAAGAGTCAATTTGAAGAAAAAGAACAAAAATGGGTATTCAAGGGAATGGTTTCCGTTATTAGACATGCTGATAGAACTCCTAAACAGAAGTTTAAATACTCTTTCAGATCTCCATTATTCATTTCATTATTGAAGGGTCATACTGAAGAAGTTATTATCAGAGCAGTTCCAGATTTACAAGTTGTATTGGAAACAGTTAAGATTGCTGAAGAAAAACAATTAGAAGACTTGAAAAAGTTGAAACAATTAAGAACTGCTTTAGAAAAGAAAATGAATTTCCCAGGTACAAAAATTCAAATAAAACCATCTTTGCTGGATGAAACTTCTAACGTAGAAAAGGTTCAATTGATTCTTAAATGGGGTGGTGAACCAACACATTCAGCCAAACATCAAGCAACTGATGTCGGAGAACAATTAAGACAATATATTAAATTGTTAAACAGAGATGCTTTGAAGGATGTGAAGGTTTACACTTCTTCTGAAAGAAGAGTGATAGCCAGTGCCCATATGTCAACTATCGCTTTGTTGGGTTTAGATAAAGAACATGATACCTTACCAGAAGACTTCTTAGAAGTCAGAAAAGATTTGTTAGATGATTCTAATGCAGCCAAAGATTTAATGGATAAGGTGAAGAAGAAGTTGAAACCTTTATTGAGACAAGGTGCTGAAGCTCCACCTCAATTCACATGGCCACCAAAGATGCCTCAACCATTTGTTGTTATTAAGAGAGTTTGTGAGCTTATGAATTTCCATCACAAAATTATGGAGTACAATTTCAAGCACAAGAACGTTGAAGAGTTCCAAACTAATTGGTGTTGTGGTGAAGATCCATTATTATTTAAAGAACGTTGGGATAAACTTTTCCAAGAATTCATCAATGTTGAAAAGACCCATCCTTCAAAGATTTCTGAATTGTATGATACCATGAAATATGATGCTTTACATAATAGACATTTCCTTGAAAAGGTCTTCTTATACGATCCTAATGATCAAGAATTATTAGACTATTTAAGTGAGAGCTGTGGTGATACAATTAATTCATCCGGTCTTGTAAGCGAATATCCAATTAATCTTTTAGCTATGAACAACTTCAGAATTCCTGACAGTTCGGCTTCTGCTATGGGTTCAGTTAGTCCACCAAATATTGATTCTGGACCAAATTCAAGTACAAACTTGACCAGTGCTAACTTACTGTCCACTCCTGTTTCCGCTGGATCTTTAGGTTGGGTCTTAAAAGGTTCCTCTGGCCAAGAAAGTTCCATTGATTCCAAGAGTAGTTCAAATGGACAAGATAATCCATTTGATCACCCTACTTTTGCTCGTTTAAGAGAGTTATATCGTTTATCAAAAGTTTTGTTTGACTTTATCTGTCCTCAAGAATATGGTATAAAAGATGATGAGAAGTTAGATATTGGTTTATTAACTTCTTTACCATTAGCAAGACAGATCTTATCTGATATTCAAGACATGAAAAAGCATGATACTGCAGCAGTAGTCAATTACTTTACTAAAGAATCACATATCTATACTTTGCTTAACATTATTTATGGTTCTCAAATTCCAATGAAAATTGCTAAAAATGCCTTACCTGAACTTGATTATTTATCTCAAATTGTGTTTGAACTTTATGAAGCTGGAGATCCAAATAGTCCAACTGGTAAGAAACATTCTATTAGATTTTCTTTATCTCCTGGGTGTCACACTCAAGATCCATTAGACGTTCAATTAGATGATGACCATTATATTGGTTGTATTCCTCGTATAAATTTAACTAGACATCTTGATATGGATTTAGTTACTCAAAGGTTGAAATCAAGATTTTCAAGGGTTTCTTTACCAAAGAAATTTACCCCTGTCAATATTTCAAGTCCTTTAACAAGTGGTTTATAGGTTGTTGTTATACTATTTCTACAAATTACTTTATGAATTTCTTAAATAAATCTATATTAATTATATTAAAAACGCTCTTGATATGTAAAAACTATAAACAATATATTCGAATATGACAATTGTTACACCACTAAAGTTATAAAAGTAATCAGATAGTACCACGTACCTGAGAATCCTATCTTTAATAGCAACTAAAACAATCAAAATAATTCAAATATGATATAAAAAAAATGATGGAAAATAAAAAATTAAAAATGAAACAAACAAAAAGGATAATAATAATAATAATAATAATAATAATAAGTCCCAACAAACTACCTAAAGTAAAAATAAAAACTAAAAAAAATTCATGCCATTAATTTTAAATTTTTGTTTTCTTAAGCAGATTCATAATGTTCCCAATTTTCAAGAATTTCTTTAATCTTTTCAGATTTGGTAAGTTCGTAGACTTCTTCAAAATATTCTTTGGTAATTTCAAATGGTTTAGCTGTCAAGTTTGGAATATATTTACCAATTAAATCATCTGGTTTAACTGATGATTTTGGAATCTTCTTACATAAGAATCTCTTAAATGGTTTAACACCAGACATTAAGTATGATGAATGGAAAGGAACAGAAATACCCTTTAATGGAATAACGGCAAAACCTCTTTGTAAGTCAATTGGTTGTTCTTTAGCAACAGATTGAGCTGCAACTTCAGTGATGATTTCATATAAATGTTCTTTAACTTCTTCAATGGTTAAAGTTTGTTGCAATTTAACAATATCAATTTTGTTTAATTTAATGACATTTAAAACATTAGTTAAAGTATCTAATGCTCTTAAATCACCAGCAGCAACATATTGTTGATTTTCAACATTGTAATTAACAATTTCTAATAACCATTCAGTCTTGATAGAAACTTCATCAACCACAAATCTTAAAGCAGCATCGTTAAAAGTTGGACTAACTCTACTTGGATTAACAGCACACATACCATAATTAGATCTACCTAAGGCATCTCTTGGAACGGCAACTTGCATAGTCATACCTCTGTAGAAAACAACATCAACTAATGATTCAATTGGCATAACATTAGCTAAAGATGATAATGCAGAATACTCACCTAATGAATGACCAGCAAACATGATATCAGATGGAATTAAACCCTTAGATTTAATATCTTCATAGGCAGCCTTTTCCATTAAAGTTAAAGCTGGTTGAGTGAATTGAGTTGCTGATAATAAACCAGTTGGAGAAACAAAAGTGAAAGAAGTAGTTGATTCATCAATTTCTTTGAAAATCTTTTCTGATTTAATAGAACCATCTTCACCAATAGTTTCGAACATCATACCAATATAGTTATCTCTGATTAATCTACCTTTAGCACCACCGAAATGAATAGTTAATTCATTTGGATTGTTTTGAACAATATCTAAGATAGAGAAACCATAATTTTCAACAAAATGACGATCAGCTTTATCCCAAACATCACGAGCAACTTCAGAAGTCTTATACAAGTCCATACCCATACCTTGTTCTTGAGAACCTTGACCAGTAAAAACATAAGTAGTGATTGGTTGATCAATTTCAGCTTCACCAATTAAGACAGGAGTATCAGTTTCAACATTCTTAGTTTCAACCTTAATAATCTTACGACCATTAATCATACCAATATGTTCTAAAGTAGTTTGTAAAGTATCATTTGGTAAAACCATACCAACAAAACTACATTTGAAAGCTCTAACTCTGGAAGCAACATTATTAGCAGCCCATTCTTCAACTAATGATCTAATTGAAGCAGATGAATACATACCATGAGTAATAGTACCTGGTAATTTAGCATAAGAAGCAAAAACTCTTGAAACATGGATTGGATTATAATCACCTGAAACTTTAGCATAAGGTTCATTAGTACCTGGAGCTTTTGAAGTTAATTCTTCACCAGAAGAAATTGGAATAACATTTTCAAATTTAACAGCTTCTTCAATAGTTTTACCATTTCTAGTTAAATAATCAGTAACTGGATTACCATAAGATTTACCAGCTTCATATTCAACAGTACCAACTTGAATAACTTCTTTAGTTGGTAATTCTAAGAAAACTTGACCAGTAGTATTAATGGAAGAATAAACTTCAGCAGATTTGAATTTATAAGTAGATTCACATCTGAAAGTTAAAACTTGGTTTAATAATTCAATATCTTGTTCTAAATGGAACCATTCTTTAGATCTTAAAATAGCTAAATCTTTAGCAGATTTAAAAGAAATTTGAACTGGAGTTTCAGTAACTTTTTGGAAAGTATTTTCATAATCTTCATAATCACCTCTGTATAAGAATTGAGAAGTAACTTCCATAACTGGTTTAGAATCTCTGTAAATAGTACCAACAACTTCAACCATTTTTCCTGATGGTTGGTTTAAAACAGCTTTAATATCAGCTTTAGAATAAACCACATCATCTTTCTTTAATGGAGCAGCACCTGGAATCATTCTATAACCATTAGATAAATGAACTAATTTTAATAAATCACCATCAACAGTTTCTGGGAAGATAGATTTAATAATAGCTCTCCATCCAATAACAATAGCAAAATCCATTGGAGCTAAAGTAGCTTTACCTGGTCTTGAAACAAAAGCTTCACATTTATTACCAATAGCATGAGTAAATTCAGAAATATCATCACCAGTAATAGTGATTTCTTCACCAACAATAGATTCTTGAACATTAATGTTTAAATCATATGGAATTGATGAACCAAACCATAATTTCCAATAAAATTCTTTAATTCTATCATTTCTACCTTTCATAACTTCTAAAATTGGAGCAAATCCATCAGCTGGGTTATAAGTATATAAGAATGGTAATTTAACTGGATTAGAATCAGCAGTTCTATGTTCAATTAAAGATAATTGAATAGTATCAGCTTTAACTAATTCAATTTCAACAACAGGTTTTAAATCACCTTTAACTTGTTCAAACACAACTAATTTAGTTTTAGCAGCATCAGTTGGATTAGAAATTTCAACAATAGTATTAATAGCAGGAGTTAAAATATCACGAACAGAGTTTGAAGCATGGTTTGAACCTTGAACAATTCTATCACTTGAAATAAAAGCTTGTAACCAAGTTAATTTTTCACCAGCTAATAATTGTAACCAAGCATCTTTTTCTGGTAATGAAGAACCTTTAATTTCATAAATTGATTTTTCAGTAGAATTAGTAATCTTAACTCCTGATAATGATTCAACTTTAACTGGAGCTTTACCACCGAAATATTCAATGGTTGGAATTTTAGATTTATCATCATTATATTCATCTTTAATTAATTTAGCAATATGACCTTCATGAATAGAATTTAAAATTTCACCAATTGGTTCATTAACAGCATTAGTGAATTGAGCAGCAACAGGACCATGTAAAATACAAGTTCTTTGCACATCTTCACCAACAACAGTTTCTAAATCTTCAGATTGCCATAAGGAATCTTTTTTAAAGAAGAATTCAAATCTATCATCTAAAACTGGAACAAATGGAGGTGGTTTTTGAGTTGGTCTTGAAGCACACATTAAGAAATAATCACAATCTTCTTGAGAAATTAATTGATCTTGAGCTAATGGGAATTGTTCAAAGAATTTATCAGTAAATTCTTGAGGTTTAGAAGCTAATTGAGAAAAGTTTTGAATTTGAGAAATAGTACCTGATTTAGTAGTAAATCTTTCTTCAACTCTTCTTAAATAATCACCAAAGAAATTTCTTAATGAAACATCAATCCATCTTGAAGATTTTTTAACATACATTAATTCAATTAATCTATTAGCAACTTCTTGATAAGTCATATCTTGTAAATCACAAACACCAGAACTATTTTTACCAAACCATGGTTTTTGGAAATCTTTATTTAATTTTTCAATAATATAATCTTTCTTTTTATTTAAAGCTTCAATTAATTTATTTTTTGGTAAATTAAAAATAGTATCATCTAATTCTTTCCATAATAAAACCCCTCTAGTAGCAATTTTATGAATTGGTTCACCCATTTCAGATCTAACAGTAATAATACCACCAGTTGGTTTTTTATAAGTTTGTTCCCATTTTTCATCAGAAACACCGGAACATTTAGAAATTAAAGTTTTAGCATCTAATGAAGTTTGAGCTTCTTTAGCAGTCATAACTCTTGAACCAAATAAAATACCATCAAATGGCATTGGTGGATAATTAAATTTGTTTGACCAAGAACCAGTTAAATATGGATAAGTATCTTCATCAGATCCAAAACCAGAACCAGCAACTAAAACAATATTAGAACATCTTCTAATCTTGGAATACATTTGTAAAATTGGTTGATGGAAATCTTCAAAAGAATGATGACCACCACCTCTACCACCAGTCCATTGTAAAACAATAGGGAAGTTTGGATGAGCTTTGGCAATAGTAATACATTGACTAATAGCATCAATTGAACCTGGTTTTAAACCTAAATGAGTTAAACCTAATTCTTCAATATATTCAGCAGCAACTTCAATAGATGGAACACCAGCACCAATAGTTAAAGATTGAATTGGGAAACCACGTTCTCTTAATTCTTTAATTAATGGAATACCCCATTGTAACATTCTTGGATTAACATAAATTAAATTAATACCAAGACTTGAACCAGGTTTAATATTATCAATAACTTGTTGAATAGCAGCTTCCATACCACCAGCATGGAAATAACCACCTCCAGCTAATTCAATATGATAACCAGCATTAATAGTAGCAGCAACAATTTCAGGATTAACTGTAGTTGGAGTCATACCTGGAACCATTAAAGGAGCTCTACCTAATAATTGAGAAAATTTAGTATTAACATAAATTTTATTATCCCCTTTAGTTTTAATTAAAGTTGGTTTAAATTCATTTAACCAATTTGGAGCCCATTTAATTGATTTTGATGAAGAAGTATTAAATAATTCATGTTTAAAACCATATTCATCATCAATTGGATTTGAATCTAAAGCACCAGCAATAATGATTCTTGCACCAGTACCTTCTTTATTTCTATGAGTTAAGATACCTAAACCAGAAACCCCACCTGGACCAAAATCAATAATATGAGTTGAATTAAATTGAGTTGCTAATTCCCAATTAACTCTTAATTGAGTAATACATAAAACAACTCTTTCAATAATAGATTGATTTGAATCATCAAAAGTTTGGAAATTTTCTCCATTAAAAGTATCAAATACAGGAATTTTAATATTTTCTTTTGGAAATGAAAGATTTTCTAATTTAATATCATTAAAAATTAATGATGAAGCATTATCTAAAAGATGAGAATGGAAAGGAGAAAAAATTGGTAAGAAACGATTTGAAAATTTTAATTTTCTTTCACTAAATGGAATTCTTGATTGATCTAAACCATTTGGAGCTTTTTTATTTCTTAAAGTTAAATTTAAACCATAAAGTGATTCTGGTGGTCCACTAACTACTAAATTTCTAGCTCCATTAATTAAACTAATTGCAATATGTTTTTCTTGAGGTAAATGTTTATTAGTTTGATTAATAAATTTTTCAACTTGTTCAATGGATAAATCTCTAATTGATAACATTGGAGATGGTCTACCTTCACCATTATTTAAAGAATCTTGTAACATGGTTGGAGGTAAAGTTGTTCTTGGATAAGTAATTAAACATCTTGAACCAATAAAAAATAAAAGGGAAATAGCTTTTAAAGAATTTTCTAAAAATGAATCCCAAGAATCAGCAGAAGCAATGGCAACAGCAGTAACTAAACCTTGAGAATGACCAGTAGTACCACCATTAGATAAATAATTTCTAAATTCACCTGGAGTTAAACCTAAAACTTTACAAGTAATAGCATAATGACATAATTGAATAATACAAATAACTGGACAACTAACAGGAACTGATAAAAGATAATCTTGATCAGGAGTTAAATCACGATTTGATAACCATTTTAAAATATCAAAACCTTGAGTATATAATTTTGAAAATGAAGCATCTTTTTTAACTAATTGATTTAATTTTTGAGAAATTGGTAAAATTAAATCATCATGAATTAAACCTTTATATAATTTATAAAGATCTCTTAATTCTTCAAAATAATCATCAGTATTACCTTGACCACCAAAAATTGCAACTAATTTAGCATCCCCAGTTTGAGAATGATATAATAAATTAGATTCAATTTTATCAATGGAAGTATTAGCATTAATTAAAGCATTATAATAATTTTTAATAATATTATCTTTAATTTTAGTTGGAGTAGTTTGATTATTTTCATCATTTAATAATTGAACTGCAAATGAATGAATATTATCATTATTTGATTTTAAAAAACGAGAATTAAAATCTTGTAAAGATAATTTTAAAATTTGATCAAATTGACCTGGTTTTGAAGGATTAACTAAAGAAGCAATATAACCAAGGAAAGTAGCATATAATTCAGCTGGACTTGAAGGTTCATCATCACCAGCAAAACCTTCAGTTGGAGTTGGTAAAGTTTTAATGAATTGATCTTTTAATTGGGAATAATTAAAGAATAATTCATTTGGAACTAAGAAAGTATGTTCAATAGTACCATGATTTAAAGAAAATGGACGATGGGATGAAGTAGTAGTAGTGGTTGCCATTTTTGATAAATTGGGTTGTAAAAAAAAGATAGGATTAATTAGTTAGGATAAAATAATAAATAGGGAGGGTTAATAAAGGAATCAATGGAGTAGTTGGATGATTGATGGGATGATTGATTGATTGATTGATTGATTGATTGATTGATTAAGGGTATACTAGATTAAACAACAACAAAAACTAGGGTGGTACGTGTTATGGTTGATGAAATAGACTAGACGTTGCAAATCAAACGTGAAGATAAAGGAGAAGTGAGTATTTTGATATTAAAGAAGTAAAATGTAACACTTACAATTACTTGAGCTAAGTCAAAATGGCAAACTACTTGAGATGGATGGATTGATGAGTTGATCCTTTGATTGATGAACGAAAGAATTGATCAAAAGAAGAGAAGAGTGAAATGGAATTAGAATTAGATTTACTTTTATATAATTCCCTACTTGATTGGTAAACCAGAAAAATTTAGACGCCTACCAAATTGAAAAAAAAAAAAAAAAAAAAAATAAATAAATAAATAAAAAAAAAAAAAAAAGTTGGCGATATTTCTGTGCAGGAATGTTGGATTGATGGGTAAACACAGTGTGAGTTTGGGAGTGTTGAAATGAAACCATGTGGAAAAAAAATTGTATGGACTGAAGAATGGAAAAGGGTAAAGGGATAACTATCACACACACACACACACACACATGTTTATTTATTTAAAGGAGTTAATGATTGTTGAGAGGGTGAGTAGTATACTATGTGTGATCATGTTATACCCGTTAGGTTCATAGAGTAGATGTTGAATTACAGTTATTATCCATAGTACTTACAGTACTAATTAAAAAATTAATTACCCGGTATATATATTGTTGGTGATCGGAGTTTTTTTTGTTCTATCATAGTTAACTAATTAAATTTGCAACAATTTACTATACTATTATTATTATTATTATTATTTAGGATATGGTTATAATATTATTCTTGTTATTATTTTACGATAATTTTGTTAACTATGGGTGGGTGGATGTGTGTCCTGTATATAGTTAACTACTATAATACCAACAATTTAAGATTTGTTGGGAGAAGACAAAACTTTTTTTTTTGGATTTGTTCTTTGTTCTGTATACAGGTCATTTTGTACACTATTTTTTTGGTCTTTCCTGAGTCACGTTCAAATGATCACATGTTTCAATTTATGGGTATATGGATGGGAATTATGGGTAATTATCACCGTCATATCTCAAGACCAATGTTTTATCTCTAAACCAAACCCCATAAAATAAATTCTATCTATCCCTTTTGTAACTTTAACCGTTATGCATATATCATGTCACTACCATTTACATTATTATTATTTTGTTGAATTACACTTAGCTTTTTGTTTATCATTTTTATTTCTCTACTCCTATCTCTATTTTATCTATGTACACAATTATTATTATTATTTAATATGATATATTACGTTACAGCCTTCTTACTTTTTTTAAAAAATAAACCTGGTCTATCTCCGTCATAATCCAACTTTCTCCTACCATTCCTTCTATATCCATTCATTCAACCTATCGATTACTAATAAGATATGCACTTTGTAGCATATCATATCATATCAATCATTTCTTGGGGGCTGGTAATCCTAATGTTGAGTTCACTTGTTTAGGAAACTCTCTCACTATAATCTCACATTTCACTTCCTTACATAAATCCTTCTTATTATAATATGGAACTTTTTGTAATAAATCTAATCCACTTGATCTTTCCAATGCTTCAATTGGAACTTGAAATATAGTTAAGGATAAATCATTTGAAATCTTTTCATTAGGTAATACAAATGCCCCAACACTTATCTTCCCATCATCTTGTTTATTTTCTCCCACAATTAATTTAAAAAAATGAGTTGGAACCGCAATATTTGGTGGTGAACCAATAACTTCATAACTAATTCGATATTTCCCATCATCTCCTTTCTTTGGTAAATATAATGGTCCTGTCATAATCCTTACATCATCATATTTCTCAGTTAATCTTCTTCCAAAATCTTCAAAATGAGCCCAATAATCTCTATTGAACCCTTCTCCAACTTGAGGTGACATATTAGTTAAATAAAATGTTTCATCCATAGCATCTTGATTAAATCTTGCATTAGCAGCAGGAGCTTGATGTCCTCTATCATATCCACTTCTAAAAAAATCTCTTAATCGATTCCTGAATTTCAATGGAATAGCTTCATCTTCTTTAAATACTGAATTCTTTCTATCAACTCCACTAGCTTTCTTAACTGATTCTTTTGTTAAATGTTCCACTACCCAATATGGATTTCTTGAAGCACGATCATAACAACTAACAAACTCTTGACGCGTTTCTAAATCATGAATAGGACCAGGAAACCCATATTTAAAAAACTCTTGTGGTCTGACTTTAGTAACATCAAATTGATTTATGATTTGATTATTACCATTACCTTTTCCAGCAGGTACATTACTAGTAGGTGGTGATGGAGGTTCAATTACGACAGTTGAACTTGGACTACTTGAAGATCTCCCCCAGAAATAAGAAGCTATACCAACGGTACTGAGACCTAATGTATTGATCATAACCTTACTCATGGTGTTGTTTATGTTCTATTGATGATTTACGTAACCTGTTTTAATGATTTGATCTTTTTCAAAAATTTATTTTTTTTTTTGGTTTGTGGTCTCATCAAATGATTTTACAGTCTTTTTCACACTCTACAAGATATCATGATATATTTATAATTCTAATCAATTAAATAATGATCATCCATTGATGGTTGATTAAATTGTCAACATGGTAAGTATATATCACCACTTCTACAGCATACATTCAAAAATTAATTTAACTAATATAAAAATAGAGGATAATCGAATTGACGAATTTTTATTTTAGTTGGTAATGACTACAAAAATTTCGCAACATTTCAACCAAAATTATTTTTAAAATTTAAACCTTTAGACTTTACTTCTAACTCATTTTCGTTAATAGGTTTATTAACAATTAAATCTAGGAAAGCAACCAACGGAAGTATGAAAGCGGATATTAACTCCAATGGTATCTTTAGGCGATAATAGTTATGCCAAATGATACCAAATTACACCTCTGATAACCGAATTATCAAACCAAAAAAGTCATCTATGTTAGGAAAAAGCATTTGCCGGTTAACTACTGAATGATAGAAAAAGGTTAAGTAGATAAATAACCGCCAAATATTACCAATCAAATATCTTAAATCTTTATCTGGATCATACGTGCCGTTCGAGTGTACGATGATTTGACTTCTCTGGTTAGGATGAAACAATTTCGAGACATACATTTGAATAGGAAAGATCTACAGTAAACAAACGCAACAACGGTTTGCAGAACCTTTTAAAAGAATTAAACTTTTAAAATTCAGATAACATTTGGCTCAATTGAACTAAGCAATCAGTTAATTTGCGCCTCAATTTTAGATACCATAATAATAAATTTCATAATCTAAAGTTGTTACCCCTTCCTAAACAGGGTAAATTGAGCGTGAACTGCGACACATAATTCTAACCAAATTTTGAAATCCCGCTAACTACATATTAAAGTTTCAATTATCAATTGCAAAAGATCTATAAAGTTTGATGAAATTTTGCTTATCCGCTTTTCATACCCCTATTGATACCACTGTTTATGTAGTCTACAGACGTCAGTGAAGCTATGATTACGACGACCCTGCCTTTTTGAAATTTATGTAAAAGTAAACGTCAACCATATTCTTTTTCAAGTTGTAGAAAAGTAGTCAGTTTTTCTTTTGAATCCCCGGTACATGCTCCGGATTACGTCGTACATGAAACGAACAAAAAAAATATTATTTACCCCTTGCAACCATAACATCAACAGAAATTTTACGTCCAAACTATCACTATTTGGTTTAAGGTTATCTACGGATTGTATAGCAAGCAAATCCCCCACAGTTTTGGTTTTATAGTTTGTAACTTACTCCAATTATGTAAATATTGCTATATTGTGGTGTCAGTTAGATATGACTGGAACCGCCGTTGTATTAGTATGTAACATATCTGAACGTATTTGACTTTTTAGTGGCCGTGTGTCTGGGCTCATACAACCATTCTAGAGATGACATAGAGGTGAATGGCATCTTCTGATAATTAAGTTATCGATAAGCTTTGATAATGATAAGAGCCATTAAATTAGTTTGATAGTAATTACGTTCGGAACAATGAAGGAACGAATTCTCGCAAAATCAACTGGCGAAAACAATAATCGTACAATACTATACGGATAGAACAATTAATACACCCATTTAATTAAATAGTATAGGAAAATTAGCTATTGAATCGGATCCCCCAAAAATAGAACCAATTGCCAACTGTTTGAAAGGACGCTTCATGTATGTATGAATGATCCTAAAATTCCATTGTATACATTTAAGTTTGACTCAGGTGGAAAACCTTAAAATGCTACCAAAATGAAAACGAAAATGAAAATGAGAATGACAACATGTTGAACCAATAATACTATCACATATAAAATACAAGTCCCCTGATACCTATCAACTCTAATTATACATACTATTTATCCGTACGGCTCCATTATAATAATGATATAGAAAAAGTTTAGGGTTATTGTAATCCTCTGATAATTAGAATTGCGCACTTGATTCATATTAAAATTTGACATTTTAAGCTCAGCTTCTTTATTCCTCGGAAAATAAAAAGTGAAGTAGCGCCAAGAAAATTTAATTTCAGTTTAGTCCTTTTTCGCATTTACGCATTTTTGTGATTGAGAGGAATGAAACCTGAAAAGAGAAGATGCTAAATTTTAGTTTGGCACCTCAACTTACTGATTGATACTGTTGCATAGATGTAAAAAATTGACGACTAAAGTTATCGGTTTTAGTTTCAAATCAATGTTTTAAAGTTGACATTCTGAATGTGTTCTGATGGTGGTAAGGCATCAAAATAGTTATCAATTGCAGTGGCAGTCGATTGGAGAGTCGGGTAACGATTGCAAATCTTCTAAACAATGAATTAGTGCATCTATTGTGGTTTGATTTGAAACACAGTTTAACCAACCACTATCAATCATTCAATTAAAAGTGAAATTTTTCAAAACTTTCTATTATTTAAACTAGAGTTTCTCCCCTGGTAATTCAATCTTCAATTTCAATTTCAATTTTTGAAATCAACAACTACAACAATTTAGAAACAATATCCAAAAATGGTTTCAATCTTAACTTTCACTAAACAAGTCTTTCTTTCTCTTACTTTTGCTTTATTAGTCAATGGTATGGCTATTCCTCAAGATGATTCTATCAAATCACTCGGTAAAAGAGGTGATGGTTTCATCAAAGTTGATTTCGATGTTGCCAGAGGTGTTGACAGACATCTGTTAAACCTTACTAGTAGTAACACTGCTTCATTCTTGATTAGTGGTGGTGCTCATAATTTGAAAAGAGATGAAGAAGTTGTCACTTTAATCAATGAACAAACCTTCTATGCTACTAACTTACAACTTGGTTCAAACAGTCAAGCCGTTACTACCCTTTTAGATACTGGTTCTTCTGACTTATGGGTTGTTGCTAAAGGTGCTACTTGTCAAGATCCTCCAAGTGGTGATTCTTCCACTTATTGTTATGCTGATGGTGTCTTTGATAAAACTACCTCAACCACTTTCCAGAACCTTGGTACTAGTTTCAGTATTGAATACGTTGATGGAACTGGTTCTACCGGTACTTGGGCTAAAGACAGTGTTGCTTTAACTTCTGCTGGTGTTACCGTTACTGGGTTACAATTTGGTGATGTTACAACTACCTCTTCAGGATTTGGTGTCTTAGGTATCTCATTACTTGGTAGTGAAAGTACTACCAATGAATATCCAAACTTACCTCAAGTTTTAAAATCTGAAGGTTTTATTTCAAAAGCTGCTTACTCTTTATACTTGGCCGAAGCTGATGCTACTTCGGGTACTCTTATCTTTGGTGGTATCGATGAAGATAAATACAGTGGTTCTTTAGTTACTTTACCACTTACTTCCCTGGCTCAATTATCTGTCGCTTTAAAGAGTTTCACTTTTGCTGGTACTACTACCACCGCCAATGTTGATCCTGTTTTAGATTCAGGTACTACCCTTACTTATTTACCATCCAAATTAGTCAATGTTATTGGGAAAGCTTTAGGCGGTACACAAGATTCCAGTATTGGTTGGATTGTTGAATGTACTTCAAGTGACACCATTACTTATAACTTTAATGGTGTTTCAATTGTTGTTCCATATTCAGAAATTACTCTTCCATTATACTACACTGATGGTTCAGTTGCTGATGTTTGTGGTTTAGGTATTCTTAGTACCACTGGAACTCCAATTTTAGGTGATAACTTTTTAAGAAGTGCCTATGTTGCTTATGATCTCGATGATCAAACTATTGGTCTCGCTCAAGTCCAATACACTACCAGTGAAAACATTGTTGCTTTCACTTAAAAGTGTTACTTTTACTTTTATTTACTTCTATATTCTCTCTTTGTCTGGCACGGAAAGTAACAATGTGAAGATTGTTATGAATAGAGATTAGAATTTATTAAAAATTATTTATTTAAAACTGTGTTTTTAACTTTGTTTTGTTGATTTTGTTTTCTCCAAAAATATAAAATTTTGTTTTCCTATCTATTCACTTTATGTAGTTCTAATAACGATATTTAATCAACTTTTTCCTTTTTTTCTTTTCTTTCCTTCTTTATATCGGAAATCATTTTTAGTACTCCAATAAATATAATTGAACCAACTGGTCCAAGTAATGGAAGGAATACCGCATACTTATGTTCACTTGGGAAATAAGCTTGTTGAAGCATTTCCTTTTCAAAGAATGCACTATCGGAATTCTTTAATGATAATGAAGAAAGAGTTACTGATTTTAAATAATCTTGGTTATTATTCAAAACTGATAAGGTCTCATTAGCAAATTCCAAACTCTTTATAACATACTCTTTTGTAAGATTAGGGATAGAAATTTCAGTTAATGAATTAGTAACTTTAATAAGGGAATTAAGACTTTCAAAAGTTTGTTTCAAGTTCTTGAAAGTAGTTACTCTTGAAAGAGTATCGATTCTTATTGAAGGAGATTTTGGACTTTTCACAAAACCTAACAATTGGAATAACTGAGATGAAAATATTTCCAACACTGGTGTAAGTTCATTCTCGGTAATTGAAACTTTTGAAGTATCAATTAATGGTAAATCTTTATTGAAAATATGAACACCACCCCATTGTGGGACTAAGAAAGAGTTTTTCTTTGAACCTTCAATCGTCCAACGTTTATTTTCATAGTTTGATGCAGGGAAGAAAATGATAAAATTAATTGTTGGATTAATATCATGAGTGAATAAATTCCAATCACCAAAATTTATAAATGTGGTTAAATCAGATTGACTTAATACGTAAGTTTTCTCTTCTTCGTTGAATTTAACATCTTTAGACAATTTTGAGTAATATTGAACTTGACTAGCAAGCGAGAAGTTGGCGAAATGATTTAACTTTGATAATAATGGTTTAAATAATTCAAGTGACTTTTCAATTTCCCAATCGATCTCAACACCATTTTCAACGAACAACGAGAAAACGATATTGAATTTTGGTGAATATGGCATTATTGCACTTACTTCCCCTTCTTCGCCTGTGTTTTCACTGGTTACACTTAAGAATTGATAGATTTCTTCTCTAAAGACTTCATTGATGAGAATGGTTACTAAAAAGTCTTCAAGACCTCTGTTTTCAATTGTTTTATCTGTGATATACAAGATGACCTCCTTATCAAACGGAGAAACGTGATATGATTCCACCGTAACAGCATCATTAGTTTGCTGTTCAATTTTGACCACCAAATCAGTAGCTGAGCTAATATTCTCCACGTTTGTGTGAAATTCTACTGACCAGAATTTCAGTATAGATGGATACACTTGTTCGAGTTTCTTATCAAATGACTCTTGGCTAGTGGAAACAAGATCAACTAATGTGGTCGGCACTTCCAAATATATTGGGATCTTGAAATGGATATCATGTTGCCAGGAATTGGATAATTCTTGGATTTCTTCAATTGGTAAATCAGCTCTAAAAACTGTTGTCGTGAATAGAAACAAGGGATATCCTAACCCAGACACAATAAGGGCAACTAGGATTATAATCCATCGTCTTGTATTCCGTATACCAACAGATTCAGTCATGGCAATTGGCTGAGATCTGATCTTTGAATGATAATTGAATTTATTTACGTGTTGTTCTGAAGTTTTGTTTTCCCAACTCTGTTTTTCTTTTCAGTTGATGCGATATTGTACCAAAAAAAATTTCATATAGAGAAAGTTGCTAATAGTGGTTATCCTTAATAATTACTAGTTGTGAAGAATTCTTTGGGTATACCATGTTTAAGAAGGATCCTCAGCCTAAGGCATCAGCTAATATCAAATCTTCCGAAAGAAGGAGGCTTCTAGAAGATATTTGCAAAAACTATGGTCTATCACAAGATAAGTTACCAAAGGAAGAATTGAATAAGATATTACCTAAAGTTACAAAACTTGCTAGTTTTAAGAGTATACAGGGTTATAGTGGAAGTATTTACTATGACGAGAATGAAATTCCAACTTGGTTCAAATCAAGAGATTCAATAGTCTATCCAACATTATTCACTGTATGGAAGTGTCCTTATATTATCCCTGTTATTGCAACCCATCCCCACGTCATACAAGTTTTGGAAGGAGGAGCAGATTTAATGCTTCCTGGAACAGTACCTCCATTTGACAGCAGAGCAATTAAAGGAAAAGTTGTCGGTGTAGTGGATACGGCTAATCCGACGGTTGTTAAGTGTGTTGGTATTAGTGGAGTGGATTTACCATCATATACTAGAGTCATCGGTACGCAAGGGATTGCTGTACAAGTACTTCATCATTCTAAAGATGAATTATTCAAAATAAATGACTTGATAGATATACCAGTTCCTACAGAACTTGATTTAACCATGCCTGTCAATGAAGAAGAACCAAGTGAAGAATCGCAGTCTGAACAAACTACAGAATCAGAAGAACCAGAAGAGCAAGTGAAACTGGTAACAAGTCAAGCATCTTCTCCTCGTATAGATGATATTGCAGAAACCTTATCGACTCTTTCATTAGATCAAATTGATAATTTTTATATCAGATCATTACAACAAACCATCAAACTTGATACTATAGAATTACCCATAATTGCATCCACATTTATGTCATCATACATCTATAAAAATTTACCTGTAATTGATAGCTCATATTGCAATGTTAAGAAAACATCATGGAAAAAGACATTTAAATTTCTTAAAGCTATGGTTAAAGAGAAATTATTAGATGTTAAGGGTAAAGATGATGATTTAACTATTATAAAGTTAATGGATAAAACTAATCCATTCATTGAGAATTTCGTTCCTCATAAGACAATTGGATCACTTTCTAAAGTTGCAGCTGCTCCTACCCCATCCAAAAAGGCAAATGAAGCCTCTATTATACATTTATATAAACCAACAAAGAAAGCAAGACCATTTTTCAATGCTACAACTGAGGACTTTGAAGCTTGTTATACTGCCAATGAACTTCGTACTATTGTTAATGATTACACCAAGGTTAAGAAATTAACTAACCCTAAGAACCCAAAGCAAGTAATTCTTGACTTGCCATTACTGCAGTTGGTAGATGTAGCTGAAAACACACCAGTAGCAAGAGATAAAGTATTCAAGGATGCTCTAAGCAAGAGTTTTACGGCATTATACCAAATTGTCATGCCTGGACAAGATGAAAAAGACTGTGAAATCTTCAAAGGTGAACCACCAAAGATTTCAATTATAACTGAGATGAAAATAGGTAGAAAAGTTATTACAAGAACCATGAATTTTGAAAAATTCGGTATTAAACCACAATTGTTATCAGATGAATTAAAAGTTAAATGTTCTGGTTCAAGTACGGTTGGTCCTTGCGTTCAGAATCCAAAAATGACTGAAGTGACAGTTCAAGGTCCTCACTCAAAGATCATCATTGAATTGTTTAAAGAGAAAGGAGTCCCGATTTCATGCATTGAATTCGAAGATAAATTAAAGAAGAAAAAGAAAACTCAGTAAAAAAAACGGGTGTATGTCTATTTTCTAGTTATACATATATATTTATACAGAATTTAAAAAATACATTTATAATTGTCCTGTTTAAATAACGATTTCAATAATATTTTGAAATGGACCAGCAGTAACGAATGCAGATTTAGTTTGTGGATTAATGTTCAATTTTTGAGCTGGAATTCTACCTGGATAGATATGAGCGTTTTTACATTGACTTATATTGATATAATTCAATGGAGAGCATCCACTTAATAAAGCATCAACCCCTGCTCTTGTGACTCTAATACAACCTTTAAGAATCAATTTTTCCAAATTTCTCATATGTAATGAAATAGCCACCAATGATGAATCACTAACAGCTGAACCACAGAATGATAAATCTAACTCTCTAATGTTTGGACATCCCATACATAATACTTCAATAGCAATATCAGTTAATGAACAACAGAAATTTAAATCTAAAATTTCTAAATTGGTAGCTGCATTAGCAATTGAAATAATTGATTTATCACTTAAGAAGGTACAATCTTTTAACGATAATTTCTTTAAGTTTGGGAATGATTTATAAGTCCAATATTGGAAACCTTTATCTGTAATAGCAGTACATCTAGTTAAATCTAAACTTTCTAATCTCTTATTAGCATGATTAGCAATATGACTCATAACATTATCAGCTAAGTGTTTACAATAACCAACATTCAAGATCTTCAAGTTTTTACAACCATAATCATAATCATTATCAACTTCATTATGTCCACTGTTATCATCCTCATCATGAGTTAAATCCCATCCGATTAATCTTTCAATCACGTTATCGCGAACTTTGCGACAATTTGATAAATCAATTTCTTCAAGATATTGTCCAACACTTGGAACAGTTAAATCCATAATTGCCATAGCACTAACTTCCCAATTTGATTTCATCTTGATGACTTTAATCTTACCATTAATACCGATTTCATTAACCATATAACTATAACCTTCATCAGTAATATGGAAACAGTTGGAGATATTGATCGTAGTTGGTCTAGAACCAACGAAATCAGTGATTGAAATTAAAGCCTTATCATCAACAGAAGTATTCCAAGGAGTTAAATCAAGATTATTACAAAGATTTGGAGCAACGTATAATAATTGTCTCCATCTTCTTGAAATGATTCTTAATTTCATTAATTCTGGTAAAGTTAAGAATTCAAATACTTTCAATAAAAGAGTATCTGGCAATGGACCATTATTACTTAAGATAGATGATCTTCTTCTACTAACACTGGCTAATCTGATTCTTTTATTATGAGGTAAATATTGGAATTTACTACCATTAATAAGTTGAGAATTTTGTCCATTGAAATTTTGGAAATTATTAATTGATGAAACAATTGGATTTAATGGAGGCATTGAAAGATTGATTTCTTGACCTTGAGAAATTGATTTTCTCTTTCTATAATTGAATGGTAGATCTTCATTGATTGAGGTAGCTCTTGTACTTTCTCTATTCATGTCAAATGATGATACAGGTGAGATTGATGGTGAAAGATTAGTGATAGGTGAGATTGAACGAGATCTTTTGTTATCTGGAACAGGTGGAGCAGCTTCTAAGGTTGGATTACCAAAACTAAAATTAGATGAAAATAATGATGGAACAGCTTCAATTCTTTGACTTTGGGGATGGTGTAAAACTATGGCGGATGATGGAGATGGAGAACGAGACATTTCAGGAGAAGGAATTGGTCTTTGATTCGATGGAGTAACAGTTGCAATTTCTGATGCTGAAGAATCTTGTTGGTTGATTAAATAATTGATGGATAATCTTGTTTTAATAACATTATCATGGATTGAATTATTTGATTTATTTCTAGCATCAGCAGTTTTTCTCATATCTTCAATAATGAATGGATATTTAATACATAATTTTTCCAATTTATCAGATTTTACCACTAATAATTCCAAATTTGAAATAGATCTAATTGAAGCACTTCTTCTGGTAGTTAATTCACCATTTAAAAAGGCAAGGAATGACATTTCACCGAAATAACTTCCTGAACTTAATCTTGCTAAAGTATGTTCAACTAAATTACCAAGTTTATTATAACTATGATCGATGACTTCCACTTCACCATTAATAATAAAGAAAATATCAGAATCAGTATCATCTTTATGGATAATATATTCAAATGGATTAAATTTCAATGGTTCAATTCCTAAAGCAACTTTATGAATAATTTTAGATGGTAAGTTTTGAAATATTGGTAAATTCTTAATAAAATCTTGGATTGAAAGTGATGAATCGATAATATTATTTGATGGTAAATTTGAAGGAGATGGACTATTTGAAATTGGTGGTAAGACTGGACCTGGAATCATAGATGCTTGAGTTGCTAAAGTACTAGCATTCACACCATTTTTAGATGAAGTGGCAATATTACCATTATTATTGTTGTTACTATTGTTACTATTATTATTATTATTGTTATTACTGTTTGATTGTTCTGTTGGGATTAAAGTTGGTAAATCATATTTGACTCTTTTTTCTTGCATAGCTAAACGTTCTTGAGCTTCATCTCTAATTCTTCTTTCAATTAATGGATAATGATTTAAAACTGGATTTAACGCTTCTGAAGTTAATACTCCAACTAAGACTCTTGTTCTAGCTACAACTGTGGCGGTTCTTGGACGATTAAATAAAATCCCAATTTCACCGAAGAAACTACCAGCTGCTAATTCAGCATAAATAGATTCACCATCAGTCGATGTAACACTTACTGTACCTTTTAAGATCCAATACATTGATTTCGAGGGATCACCTTTTTTAATGATATATTCTTGAGGATGATATTGCATTAAAGTTAATTTAGAAGCCACTTTATTAAGAAATGATTTTGGAGCCTTTTTAAATAAGGGGAAAGTTTGTAAACGATTAAATAAATCAGGTGGTATGTTATAGTGTACTGTAGTTGAATCATTATCATCATAATTATCATTATTATTGTAATCGAAATCGAAATCAGAATCAGATTCATTATCGGTATCATCAACATGATGGTTGTCATTAGCATTTATTTCATTAGAGTCATTATGGGTGGTGGAGGTATTTATAGTTGTCGTTGTCGGTATATTATCATGTTTTTCTTGTCGTATTTTATGATTAAACTTTTTCTGTATTATTGAAGATGGTAAAACTAACTTTGGAGAAGGAGAAACTGATCTTAAATCATCATAAGAAGCAGTTGAATTATGACTATTTGATGGATGTGAGTTTGATTTAGATAAATTAGATGAAGTTAATGATGATGAAGACGAAGTTGATGAAGATTTATTTGATATCGTTGGCGAGGATAGAGGGGAGGGATTATTGGGGATAAATTTTGGATTTTTCAAATGATTAGAAAGAGGTTTCATACTAATCGATGGATTTTCTTATGATATATGCTTTTAGTTTAATTGATTGAATGATATATAGGGATGAAACTGTTGTTGTAAATGTAATTGTTGAATTGATAAATTGATAATTAGAATGGATATATATTGCCGTGCGGAATGGGCTTTTTTTTTGACAGTTTTAAAAGTACGAGTTCAAAGGTCAACGAGCGACGTGACGTGACGTTACACTTGACTTCAACTTTGACTGAACTTGACTTTGACTGGACTGAACTTAGACCAGATAATACGTTTTGATAGATGAATAGAAGAAAGAAAGTTGTATTAAAGAATTTATCTCTTGTAAGAAAAAACTTTAAAGAAAAAAGTCATTAGTAAATAAGAGACCAAACTGAAGTGAAGTTGGAAAAATGTCTTTCTTTTTTTTGTTGTTTCTTTTTTTGTTTTTTTTATTTTTATTTTTTATTTTTTTTATTTTCTTATGTATGTACAATATGTATGTATGTGTTATGTGCTACAGCTAAATAAAAAAAAAGTGAGTGCTTCTTCTTCTTCTTTTTTTTTTCTTTCTTTCTTCTTCTTCTTCTTCTCTGTAAGTGTCTTAATCCGCCCAAAAAAAAGCAATTCAAATTCAAAAATTTCTTTTTTCTGATTTTTTGTCTTCATTTTTTGTCAGTAACTAAGGTTTGTAAATAGAAAATGAAACTTGCTGTTTAAAGTTTAGTCACAGGCTTCTAGAAATAGAAACAATTTATCAATTCATCTTTCTACGCACGATGTATATCATACTAGGAATGAACTAAACATTCTAACCACTGACGTGGTTAGCATTGATGTAAACAAATGACTCAATCCAATCCAATTAGATTATTATTCTCCTCTTTATCCGTTATAGGATTTATTTTTTGTTTTACCCACAGTGGGTGTGCTCGTCCCTAATTAAGAGAGTGTGTGTCGGTATTTTTTTTTTTTTTTCGTCGTTTTTTGTCAGAGCTTCCATTTCAGATTGTTCTCATTTTTCTCTCAGATTCTTTTTTTTTTTTTATTGTTGATTTAATTTTTAATTTTTAATTTAATTTTTTTTTTTTTTTGGCAGTGTTCTTTTCTTGCTGTGCTTTAATTGCACAGCGTCCACTATGCAAAATTTCTATTTTTCTAAACTACCAGTGATGAGATGCCATAAGTCATCCAAACTACATACCAATTGGTTAGAATACAATTCAATTGAACTTGAGATCGTAACTAATAGAGGCATATATACACTCACACACATATAGAGAGATACGGATACAAATACAAATACTAAAAAATAATAGTTACAATATGCTAATAAATAAAAGTATAAAAGCTAATCATGGGAGGAATTTCATGTTTAACCGGCTTCGATTAAGTATTTTTTTGACAATCATTCCCTTCTATTATTAAATCAAAACTATAAATTTATTAATTTGTGTGGGTATATATGACCTGTCCCCCTTAATGAAAAAAAAAGTTCGTATTTCTACATATATGGTATTTTGTTTTGATTTAACTTTCCTTCTTTCATTCCTTCTTTTCGTTCATTCTTTCTCCTTTTTACCTTATTCCTGTTAATGCATCTTAATATTATTTCTCCCCCCCCCCCCCCCCCCTTATCCTTTTAACTTCTCCACAGAAATGATTCATGAAATTCATTTTATTTACTTTTTATATACGGTGAGTGGGGCGAGAGAATTCCTTCTCTTATATGTAAATGTATAGGAAGACCTCACTTTTTGTCCTAAATTTCACTCACAAATCATTCATCCATCAAGCAACATAAAAAAAAAAAAAAAAAACTCACGCTCTTTTTTAATATTTTTATTTAATTTTTTTATTTTTATTCTTTTTTATTTCTTTACCTTTGTGCGATAGTGGAAACCTTATCCGATAAGATCTACAATTTTAATACAATTACACGACTTTTTGTACTGTATACAATCAGGGTTCTATAAGCTTATTTAATATAAAACCACTTTAAATTGCTTCATCGACAATCAACATAAATATAAACATCTACCAAGTATTAAATATCTTTCATATTCTTGATCGCTCACCTTAGTTTAGAATTCTTGACTTGAGTAATGATATTACCTGATTAAATGTATGACATCTTCTTTAGCATTAAATCTGTTCTATACAGTATTTTTTAGAAGTATGTTTCATCAGAAGATATAATCCGAAAATATTTTTTGTATCTCCGTCACTGCTTTTCCATTTTCCTTCTCTTTGTTCGTTTGCTATGTCAAAAGTGGCAAAGTACATTTTTTCTGACATCGGTATTATGGCTCAATTCGTCGACATTTTTCATCACGTGGTTTGTGTCACATATTTTTCTGTACAAAGAAGAATGGAAGAATAAGCAACACATTATTTTCTTTAATTGCAAATCAAAATTTCACTAATCATATATATTTAAAAATAAAATAATCTCTCAAAATTAAATAAAATCAAATCAAATCACTTTAATTTCATACTTTTCATCTTTTCTAATGGATGAAGTGAATGAATTGGCTCTGGATCCCACAAAATTAATATCACCTTCTGGTTTCAATTCTTTGCCAGTTATAATGTTAAATAATGTCTTAATTGTAGTTCTAACTTCCCATAATGGTAATACAATCACCACAAATGATCCAATAAAACCCCAAATAAACATGACAACAATCCATCCTCTAAAGAAAGTTTTACTGAAAACATATTTAGATCCATATAATGGTAAGGGAAATAATACTAAAAAGAATAATACAAATATAACAGTAGCAATAAATGCATATTTACGTTGTCTTAATAATGTTCCAACTAAATGTTCATTCTTATCAAGTTCAAACTGAGTATTTTGTTCAGCACTTAACACTGCTTCTAAATGATGTTCTTCATCAAATTTAACATTATCATCTTGTTTAATTTCTTTTAACCATCTACTCCAATCAAAATTATCAGGCTTAATCCAAACAAGAATAGGAACTATAACTAATGGAACACAAACTCCCATAGTATTTCCAGCAGCCAATGCTTCATTTGTAGACAATGTAGTTAAATTGACCGTCCCTGATTGATGAAGGGTATATCCAATCCAGACCAGGACTGAAATACAAGTTGATAAAACAGTTCCCACGCTATAAGCAAAACTACTCATTTTAGACCAAAATAATGTAGCCATCATTGGGAAAACATTAACCCCGACAACAATACCACAAACGGTAGTAATGAATGATACATCAAAACCTGCATGAGCTAATCCAATAGCTAATCCAATGGTGATAAACCCAAATGCAATAACGACAGCGTGGGACACAAATACTAATTTCTTACCCTTTGCTTCAGCATCAAAGTAACGTTTGTAAATATCATGAGTTACTAATGCTGAGACGGCAATAGTTTCTGAAGAATACACAGCAGTAACAGCCATGAAAATCATGGTTAAAACAGCTCCAAGACCTCCCTTACCCATTAAAGCTGCTGCTGCAAAGGGCATAACCAATCCATCTGCAATTTGTTGCTCAGTCATTAAATTAGGATATGTGGGGAAATATTCTTTAGTTTCAATACCAGCAGCAGCTAATCCAAGAGTAGTAGCTAAACAAAATGGAATCGAGAACCAAGCAATAGAACCTAAGATATATGATAAACTGACTTTTTCAGGTGCGGCTGCAATAGCCTTTTGGAATAATTGGGAATCAACAGAACCAGCCCAACCAGCTCCAAACAATACTAAACCAAATAATCCTCCTTGCACAGAACTTAGCGTCATCAAACTACCATCAGCATTTCCCTCGATTGGTCTTCTTTGTGCTGTTTCGGTTAACAAGTCATATAATACTGCTGGTGAACCTATATGCTCATTAGTGGCATATGTATTAAACATAAACATAAGCAAGATTGCAAAAATAATAACAGTATGCGACCAATCAGTTAAGAATGTGGCCTTAATACCACCAACTAATGTATAGATAATAACACCGATTGGAAACAAGCAAATTGCAGCATCACGATTCATTCCTGTAATATTAGCAAAAATTGACAGACCATTGATTAATAAGTTAACTGTCAAAGTTATCATTTGAATCAATGAATAAGCGAGAGCAATTATATGGGTATGACTACTATATCTAACAGCAACAATTTCTTGATAAGTATGACAATTAGGAGCCTTTCTTTTCATCTCTAACGCCATACATGAGAATATAATAATTTGAACACATGCACCAGCACCATACCAATAAGCTGACGAGACACCATTCAAATAAGCAGTGGTTGTAGATAATAACAATGTCAGTCCCATGGTCCACGAACTTACAATACTAGCAGACAAAAGACCATACAGAGAAATACTTCTCTTAGCTGTCATCAACATTTCGGAATCTTGAACTTCATTAAAGAATTTTTCCAATAATTTAGATACAATCAACATGATAGCAGCAAAGGCTAACCCCAAACCAATAATCAAACCATACCCAATACCTTGGGAGAACGTAGCATCAGTGGACGACATTTTCTATGATTTGTTAGTTGACTACAAATTATTAATTCAAGTTAAATTCTTGAAGAGTTTGATGAACTTAAATACAAGACGTGATCGATGAAAGATTTACTTCTTTATAAGTAGTATAAATGAGGAGCTCGAGATCTAAGACCATAAATAAAAATTGGAGATAACCGATCATTGCATAATAATTAACATACAAAAATGGCCCGATAACGCTTTGTGTAAAATTATCGATGAAAGTAAAAGGATAAATTGGATTGTAGCATCCGCTAGGTAAATAAAATCATTTTACCGTTCATTGCAAATCCTACATTTGAACAATCCTAGTTCAAACCCTAATTGTTTATGTCAACTAATCTGTCATTCCAAAACGAGGCACGCATTTTATTTTTTAACTAGACTTTGTGGTAAAAAATTAGTTTTATCCCGCCTGCCAACTATTCATGATAGTCTATATTATATCAAACTTATTCATTAGAAGATATGAGTTAAAATATTACAAGTGAAGTTGAAAAGATATGATTTTGCGGGGTTCGTTATTTTATGCGATGACGTGATCATCGAATGGTTGTACCTTTTGATTGATAAGTCTTGGTTTTATGAATTTCATAGATAACGATTACAAGATATTTAATATTTTCGAAACATGTTGGCATATTCTAAATTTAAAGGACTTGAAGGGCTTAGATTAGAATTCAAGCTCGAATTCTCATCTTTGTTGTTAGTTATTTGGTCTTTGAAAAACCCCTCCAATTGTTTCGTAATATTGCACCCTTAATTATAATTGAAGTTGTCACATTTTATATACAACGCAAAACTCATAACCAGTTTTAATACTGACGAATAGCCTAAAGCAACCCAAAAGTTGTTATCTGGCCCGACACATTCAATCCCCTCTCAATACCCTATATTCTTAGAGGCAAAGCAATTAAACCTTATCTTTCCTTATATTGGAATCCTTAATTATATGAATCGGTAATTATATTATTTTTCCCGCGCGCCAATCTTTAATTTTAAATTTATTGCAAATCAATCTTCAATTACTATATATTAAACAAAACATTATCAAACTAGACAACTGTAACTTCGACTTTATCGCCTTTTTGTATAGACGAACTGAATGAAGTAGACTCTCTTGATCTAACATAATTAATATCTCCAAGTGGTTTTTGTTTCAGGCCCGTCATAATCTATCTTATACAAGGTTATAACTGTAGTTCTAACTTCCCATAATGGTAGCAATATAACAATAAAAGCTCCTATGAAACCCCAAATAAACATCACAACAATCCATCCTCTAAAGAAAGTCTTACTGAAAACATATTTAGATCCATATAATGGCAATGGGAATACTACCAAAAAGAATAATACAAATACAATGGTAGCAATAAATCCAAATTTTCTTTGTCTTAATATTGTTTCATTTAATTGTTCATATTTTTCAATTTCAAATTGGGTATTTTCTTCCGCGCTTAATACTTGTCTCAAATTGTGATCTTCATCAAATTTAACATTATCATCTTGCTTGATATCTTTTAACCAAATATTCCAATCAAAATTATCAGGCTTAATCCAAACAAGAATAGGAACTATAATCAAGGGAACTCCGACAGCCATAGTATTTCCAGCAGCCAATGCTTCATTAGTTGATAGTGTATTTAAATTGATAGTTCCTGATTGATGAATAGTATATCCAAACCAAACCAGTAATGATATACAAGTTGATAAGATAGTTCCCACACTATAAGCAAAACTACTCATCTTAGACCAAAACAACGTTGCCATCATTGGGAAAACGTTGACATTAACCACAATTCCTGACACGGTGGTTATAAATGAAACATCAAAACCTGCATGTGCTAATCCAATGGCTAAACCAATTGTTACGATACCAAACGCAATCACAACAGCGTGAGATACAAATACCAATTTCTTACCCTTTGCCTCAGCATCAAAGTAACGCTTGTATACATCATGAGTTACTAAGGCCGAGACAGCAATAGTTTCCGAAGAATAAGCGGCAGTCACAGCCATGAAAATCATGGTTAAAACAGCTCCAAGGCCACCTTTACCCATTAAAGCTGCTGCTGCATATGGCATAACCAATCCATCTGCAATTTGTTGTGCACTCATTAAGTTTGGATAAGTAGGGAAGAATTCTTTTGTTTCAATACCAGCAGCAGCTAATCCAAGAGTAGTAGCTAAACAAAATGGTATAGTAAACCATGCAATTGCTCCTAAAATATAAGATAAACTAACCTTTTCGGGAGCTGCAGCAATTGCCTTTTGAAATAATTGCGAATCTACCGACGCAGCCCAACCAGCTCCAAATAATACTAAACCAAACAACCCACCTTGAACTGAACTTAACGTCATCAAACTACCATCAGCATTTCCTTCGATGGGTCTTCTTTGAGCAGTTTCAGTTAAAAGTTCCCAAAGGACTTCTGGAGAACCAATATGTTCGTTAGTAGCATATGTATTAAACATAAACATAAGCAAAACAGCAAATATAATAACCGTATGTGTCCAATCAGTTAAAAATGTAGCTTTAATACCTCCTGCCAATGTATAGATAATAACACCAATAGGAAACAAGCAAATTGCAGCATCACGATTCATTCCTGTAATATTAGCAAAAATTGACAGACCATTGATTAATAAATTAACTGTATATGTCACCATTTGAATTCCAGAATAGATAAATGCGATTATATGGGTATGACTACTATATCTAACAGCAACAATTTCTTGATAAGTATGACAATTAGGAGCCTTCCTTTTCATCTCTAACGCCATACATGAGAATATAATAATTTGAACACATGCACCAGCACCATACCAATAAGCTGAAGAGACACCATTTGAATAAGCAGTGGTTGTAGATAACAATAATGTCAGACCAATTGTCCACGAACTTACAATACTCGAAGCTAAAAGACCATACAGAGAAATACTTCTCTTAGCTGTCATCAACATTTCGGAATCTTGAACTTCATTAAAGAATCTCTCTAACAATTTAGCTACAAGCAACATAATAGCAGCAAAGGCAAATCCTAAACCAATAATTAAACCATACCCATCTCCTTGGGAGAACATAGTATCAGTAGAAGACATTATGAGACACTCTGAATACCTATCTATAGTTTGATACTTGTGTACAAAAGCTAACCGATATTTGAGTCATGACCAGTTAACCGTGCTTAAATACAATGCTTCAAAGTAATTGCTTCGCTAAAATGGCCTTTAGAGATGAATGTAGATAAGACAATTAAGATCTCAACCCATATATGAAGATAAGATATAAAAATACTTAATTATGAACTTTTACAATTGGACCACTCTAGCTTAACCTTCGATTATCATTGGAATGCTGTTGATATTCCAAAACAGTGTACCCGCTAGGCGTATTTAGATCAATTTATAGTTAATTACAAATCACATCAAACACCTTCATTGTTTGATAAGAACTCTTATCAATTCTAGTCAGACCGTTTTTGGGGGGATTGGTTTAGTTAGTTTCAGGCATCTGATTTGTCATAGTAAAAGTGAAGGACGCATTTTTCCTAATTGGGTTTTGTGAGACTTAATTATGTGTCCCGCTGCCGCAATTCAACCCCCTTTGTTTCAAATAGGACTTTCTAACCCAGTACATAAATAGAATATTTCTAAAAAAATGGAACATGATAAAGTTACGTAACTGTAAGGTTCTATACTTTAATCAGAAAACACAATTAGCGGATACCGTTATCTTATGAAAATAAAACGATATATTTTATTTATATTTTTAGTTTGTATCGTATCGACTGTGATATTATTTGCTAAGAAAAAAAAATGTTATATATTCAAATGGGACTATATTCTCAAGCTGTATAAGACTCTTTTAATGTGAATCCTTTAGACTTGTTAATTTCATTTATAGCAATTCTGGCCTGTTTTACATTTTCTAAAGCTGTTGGCATATCCGAATGCAAGCAAACTGTGAATGGACTTGTACCAAAATTTAAGTCTAATGTTTCATCATCTACACTAACTACTTGATCTTGTAATCCTGCTAATAAAACGGCTTCCTTAATTATACTAGGAGTTCTCACACTTTTAGGCCCCGCAAAAATCTTAACTAATTTACCTTCTGACGAATAATTTAAATCAGGATAAAATTCTTGAATAAATTCAACTCCTGCTTCCTTGGCAACCTTTTCATAATGTGAACCTTTGGCAGCTTTGACTGGAACACCAAATACCTTAGCGGCTCTTAAAACGGCTTTCATTACCTCTTCGTCTCTTTCGACATAAAAATAAAGCTCACCATGAGGTTTGATGTACGATAATGGCATTCCTTCAGCATCTAGAAATGCTTTAAGTGCTCCAGTTTGATAAACGACTATATTGTAAATATCTTCAGGAGCAATGTTCCACTGTCTTCTACCAAAACCAATTAAGTCAGGTAAACCTGGATGTGAACCAACTTTTACATTATACTTTTTAGCTAGTCTAACTGTTTCGGCCATTATCTTTGGATCACCAGCATGATAACCACAAGCAATATTCGCAGAGTCAATGTATGGCATGATCTCAGCATCGGGGCCCATTTTCCAAGGACCATACCCTTCCCCCATATCACAATTGATTTCATATCTAGATAAAATCTTTGCGTTATCTAGAGCTTGACCACTAAGACTTTCTGTTTTGATTCCCACTGTCATAATGTTTCCGATAATTTTGAATTAGAAGAAGAAAGAGAGATATACTGGAATCGCAGATTCGGAAGACTTTTAAATATAAGTTTCAATCGATATTATTAATCATAAATTGGTCGATCGCTTTTGTGAAGTAATTGTATGAGAATAGAGTAGTTCATGTTTTACCCAAATTTGTAGTTGCCGCTAAAAAAGAAAACATACTAGCCCCCTAAACTTTTTCGGATAGGTTTTTCTAAAAGCTTGAATAGATAAGAATTAACATTTACGCGACAGATATCGCACAAAGTTAGATAGTATAGCTAATTAGCTAATATGAAGCTTTGTTATCTAACTCCTGGTTTCACAAAATAGTTTTACAGACTTGTGGGGTTCATTCGAAAAATCCAACTATGTAATTTTCAATATTTTAGTTTCTTTACTTTCATATATAAAAGCAAATAATGGTGAAAACTTAGTAAATAAGTTCAAAACATCAATTTAGTTTATTATAAAACATTGATACAATGGAAACGTTCTTGAAAATAAAGAAAGTGTTTATCGCTAATCGTGGAGAAATCGCTTGTCGTATCATTCGTTGCTGTAAAGAAAATGGTTTGCACACAATTTCAATTTTTTCAAAAGAAGATGCAGATGCAAAACATGTTATTGAAGCTGATGAATCTCATTTATTATCGGGTATTGGCGCTCAAGCCTATATAGATATAGATGAGATTGTTAAGATTGCAGTTGAATCAAAAGCAGACGTTGTTGTTCCAGGTTATGGATTCCTATCCGAAAATTCCAACTTTGCTGATGAGTTATCAAAAGTAGGTATATTATTTGTTGGCCCCTCCACCGTATCTATTGAGACATTTGGGTTGAAACACAGTGCTAGAAAACTAGCAGAAGAGAATGATGTACCAACTGTTCCTGGTAGTGACCTTATCAAGGATTTTGATGAAGCTCTTTTCGAAGCAAATAAGATCGGTTTCCCGATCATGCTTAAATCTACTGCGGGTGGTGGTGGAATGGGATTGAAGGTTTGTCATGATTCCCAAGAATTAAGAAGTTCGCTTCTTGAAGTCATTTCTAGAGGTGAAACTCTATTCAAAAATTCCGGAGTTTTCCTTGAAAAATATATTCAAAATGGTAGACATATTGAAATTCAAATTTTTGGTAATGGTAAAGGAGAAGCAATTGCCATTGGTGAAAGAGAATGCTCCATACAAAGACGTCATCAAAAGGTAATTGAAGAAGCTCCAAGTCCATTTGTTAACTCTTTTAAAGATTTGTCTTTAAGACGTAAACTTAGTGTTTGTGCAATAAAACTTGCTTCATCAGTTCATTATAAATCTGCAGGGACAATTGAATTTTTAATTGATGATGATACGGGGAGCTTTTACTTTTTAGAAATGAATACCAGACTTCAGGTTGAACATGGTATTACAGAATTAATCTATAATGTTGATTTGATGAAATTGATGTTACTTCAAGCCGATTATGAATTGAGAAATGAAGTTGGGTTATCTTTTGAAAAGTTAAACTTAGACTTTGAATCTAGTGCTGGAATTTTAACACCGTCAGGTTGGGCAATTGAATGTAGAGTTTATGCAGAAAATCCTGTTAAAAACTTTCAGCCAAGTCCTGGCATCTTGCATTATGTTGAATTCCCTAAATCCGTTCATGGTTGTAAATTAAGAATAGATCACTGGATTGAAACAGGAACTAAAGTTTCACCTTACTTTGATCCATTGTTGGCAAAGGTTATGGTATGGGGTAAAACTAGAGAAGAAGCCAGATTGGGAATGATCCAATGCTTACTCAATACAAAAATTCAAGGACCTCCTGTTAATATTGATTATTTAAGAAGTGTTTTAGAATCTCATGAGTTTAGTGTTGGAAGAACTTTAACATCCTTTTTAGGAAGTACATTTAATTATGAGCCGCCATTAATTGAATTTATTAATGGAGGATCTTACACTACCATTCAAGATTTGCCAGGAAGAGAAAAATGCAGTGCTGGTATTCCCTTATCTGGTCCAAGTGATTCACTTAACTTTCAATTAGCTAATATAATTGTTGGAAATGAAAGGCACGCTGAAGCCATAGAAATCATTCACAAGGGTCCAACCATTAAATTTCATTCATCGGCCGTCGTATGTTTGACAGGTGGAGAATTTAGTTTTAAAGTTAAAGGAAAAAAATTGCCAATGTATACGGCCATTAGTATTCCAAAAGGATCAGTCATAAAAATTGGAGGCTTTAATGGAGAAGGAGCAAAATGTTATTTGGCTATTAAAGGTGGTTTCCCAGACGTTGCATATTACTTAGGTTCAAAGAGTTGTACACCAACATTAAATCTTGGTGGACATCAAGGAAGAGTTGTTATGACTGGTGATTGTCTCTCCATTGAAAAGAACGTATTTATTGATGAATTACAGATTACTTTTGAGCTTCCTTCGATAGCACGCCCAAATTTAGATAGGTTAACTGATGACTTTTGGACTATTAAAATGTTAAAGGGACCTCATGATTCTCCTGATATTTGCAGTGAAGAAGGAATTCATAACTTTTATAACAATTTCAAATATAAAGTGAATCTTAATTCAAATAGAGGTAGTGTTAAGTTAGATGGTCCAAGTGAAGTATTTTCCAGAAAAGATGGTGGGGATGGAGGTAGTCATCCTTCAAATATATTAGAGTATCCGTATCCAAGTTGTGGTCTTAGTGTGGTAGGTAGTGTGATTAACTTATTTGGAGTTGATGGTAGTACTTTGTCGGGCTTTGTTTGTATTTCTGTTCCAGTATTGAGTGAGTGGTGGAAATTTGGTCAAGCCAAGGTTGGAGCTAATATTCAATTTAAATTGATTTCATATGACGATGCTTTAAAATTGAACAAATTGAGAGAATCATTTTTGAATCAGGTGGAAGTTGCCATTAAGCTGAATAACTTCAAAGAAATACCTAAATTTGTTGATGAATTAGACTCTTACGAGGAAGTCGCCACATCTAGTATCTTATATCAAAGAGAAAAGAATGGTGAAATTCCATCTTTTGCTATTAGACAAGCAGGAGAAAGAATGGTATTAATGGATTTTGGAATTGAACACTTTAATTTATTGAAAAGTGGACGTCAAAAGCTTCTTCAAGACAGAATTAATAAACAGCTTGAAGGTATTGTTGTTAGGATTGAAGCTAATACTGGTTCTTTGGGACTCATTTTTGATATAACTAAAATCGACAGGAAATCATTAGTTGATAAGTTGATTCACTTAGAAGGCGATATACCACCACCACATGATTTGAAAGTTAAGAGTAAATTGTTTGCCCTTCCTTGTTGTTTCGATCATAGTGCAATACAACATTGTATTGATAGATACACTCACTCTCAAAGACCGTATGCTCCCTATTTACCCAGTAATACCGAATATGTCATGAAAGCAAATTGTTTGAAACTGATGGAAGAATTCAAAGCTTGTGTTATTGGTCAAACCCAAGTTATCACTGCCGTATCATTCTTGTGTGCCAACACATTAACGGTTAATCTTGATCCAAGGACTCGATTTAAGACAGGTAAATTCAATCCTGCTCGTACATTTACTCCTAAAGGTGCATTGGGATCTGGATCAGTTGGAAATTCTATTTATTCGATTGATTCGCCAGGTGGTTATATGATTTGGGGTATGGCATTACCAGATATTTGTTGGAATACATTTAGTAGGTTAGCAATTTCTGATGAACCATGGTTTTTCAATAATTTTGATCAGATTGTTTATTATGAAGTAACAGAAGCTGAGCTAAACGAATTGAATAATCAATTATTGACTGGTAAATTCGAATTAGATGTTAAAGAAGTTGAATTTGATTTTGGTAAATATGCAGAATTCTTAGATGAGATTCACGATGATCTTGAAACATTGAATAAAAAGAAGGATGCAGCAGTAGCTAAATTAATGGAAGAAGAAGATGAATCTATGAGTAAATGGTTAACAGAAACTGCCAAAATGAAGCCATCCAAATCATCAGGTAGTTCTAATGATGATTTGTTAAATGACCCATCTATTCTCAAGGTTACATGTACTATGGCGGCCAATGTTTTCAAAATCAACTATTCCACAGGGTCAAAAGTATCTGTTCATGATAATTTGCTTGTATTAGAAGCAATGAAAATGGAAATTTATATCAAGGCAATCAATGATGATGAAAGTGATATTGACGATGGAGACGAAGAACAAGTTGACTCCACAAAGCAGCTGAATGGAGGATCATTTGAAGTGGTCGATATCGTAGTTAGTGAGGGTGATGTGGTAAACCCTGGAGATGTATTATTATTTTTAAAGGCTATTTAGATAACTTGTAGAATGTTTAGATTCCAAATTCACCTAGTGAATACAATATAAGTTTAATTTAATTTAATTGTTATAATGGTTACTTTGGCTGTCAAAATTAATTATATATAGTGAGTGCGTGTATTGACCAATTTCTGTTTCTTCCTTAAAAAAATTTTGATACTTTTTTTTCAGTACCAGAAAAATTTATCAAAGCTATTGGTCGTCAGACTTAACTGTCAACTTAACTATACACTTAGAAGATATTGGCGATGTTCAGTTGTACTAGGTCGTCCATAATAAGGCCCATTGTCAGCCAAAATGGTGTCTGTATACGTTCATTTTCATCATCCCTTATAAATCTTAAGCCTAAGGCTACATCAGACCCTAAGAAGAAATTAAAGAGAGAACAAAAAGTGAAAGCATTAAATAAGCAAGACCCAGAATCACACCCATTATATATGACTATTCCTAATGCTATGAGATATTTACGTGCAGCAGAAGTTGGTCAACCAGCTAAAAAGACGACTGTCTCTATTTTAATGACAGTTTTACCAGATAAAGGTTCTACACCATTAAGTGGATCAGTATATTTACCAAAGCCAATCAAAGATAATCATGTAATGGTATTCAGTTTACAACCAGAAATCGTGGAAAAGGCTAAAGAAATGGGTGCCACTTATGCTGGAGGTTTAGATTTGATTGAAGAAATTCAAAATGGTAATGTTAAATTAGATCAATTAACTCATGCATTTGCAACTCCAGATGTTGTTAAAGATTTAAAACCAATAGCAAGACAAATCGGTCCAAAAGGGTTAATGCCAACCCCAAAGAGAGGTACGGTATCAGAAGACATTGAGACTTTAATGAGACAAAGTGTAGGTGCTTTACCATTTAAACAAAAGGAACAGCATTTATCTATTCCAATTGGTAGATGTGATTTCAGTGATGAAGAAATCATAAGTAACTTAAAAGCTGCATCTGAAGCCATCTATGCTAGTCAACCACCTGGTACAAGAAAACCAAATATCATTGGTCGTACTTTCATGAGTTCAACCTTAGGTCCATCTGTAATTATAAACTTCAAATCATAAGTATAATAATCATCTTGTATATATATATAACTCTATAGTTAAAAATAAAATTTCTTAGAGACAAATTAACATCGTTACCGCTGTAGACCCATACCTCGCGCGTCTGTTTATATTTAACAACCAAAATGAGATCAAATTATATAAAATGACAGTCAAAATGACTGCAATTAACAAAATCAATTGAATCCATGACGATATCGTTACTATCACCTGCTCATAAGTTCTTGGGATTGGTTGATGAGAGCCTTATTAATTGGTGTCCCACCTTAAACTTGATTACGGTGGTGATCAATAAGACTTCTGTGTGGGTATATCGATTGAATGGAGAACGGATTTATTCTGTCAATAATAAATCACCAATCCTTTCCATAACATTTATGAAGAATGGATTATTCTTTTGTTTAGCTGGTGTGGATGGTAAGATAAAGATATATGATTCTAATAATGGGAAGTTAATCAAGATTCTTAGTTCAACGTTTGATCAGATCAAGCTCATTAATTGGAATTTTCATACTTATAAGAGTTATCATAAATTCGATGATTTATTCAAAGTCAACGTTTTGGAGAATCTTCCTCTGTTATCATCTGAAGTAGGTGATAATATTGATATCAATAATAACTCAAATGATCTTAATTTCTTAACAATAATAGATTCCCAGCGGTTATGTATCAATTTCAATAATTTACTCATAATAGATGATATTTCATTAGCTTCCAACATAGAGTTTAAAGACCACCTCAATAACAATGATTTATTCAATCAATACTTCTTAATCCAAAATCAAGATCATGATGATGATAGTCTTCAATTATTACAGTGGAACATTGCCGTGGAGAATAAAAAGATTTTAATCGATATAATATTGAAATTTTGTAAAATCATAAATTACTTAAACTACATTGATAGTCAATTACAACAATGTCATAGCAAAGTCACGCCATTCTTACAGTTATATGATAGATATTTAAGTAACTTGAAGGATTCAATAGAAGAAGATGATATCATGATTTATTTATTTGATTTATTATTAACTAATTTAATTCCCGAAGAAACCAAGGATTTTTGGTTGAATCAATTTGGTGAAAGAGGATATAAAAAATTGATTAAACTAGGGTCAAATATGTATGATGGTCTACGTGAGGTGTTGTTTATTCAAATTGTTTCATGTTTGGAAAGGTTGTGTATACTTTTCAATGACTTATACTCAATATCAAAATGGTTAAAAGATTCAAATTCGAATGATGACACCTTTGGATTAAATCCATTAATCATAAATGGTTTATTAAATCATATCAAAGTGTTTTTAAAAAGAATTTATAAATTGATTTGGATCATTAATAAAGAGCAAGAGTTGTTTAATAATTTTATAAATTGGATTAAAAATGACATCATTGATAAGATACTTCTGAGTACTGGTAAAGATTGTGTTATAAAAGAACATGATATCATATTATATTTGAATAATCATTGTTTCAATAGTGGGATATGGCAATATTTTGATTTAAATTTATCAGATTGTGATATTTTACGAAATGAATCAAATCCAAAACTCTTAGTTGATTCATATAATCTATTGAATACTGAATTTAATGAAAAGCTTCTTATTCCATTTAGTAAGTATTTTAAATCACATTTAAATTTCGAATTTGCTGATTTTCCTATTAAATTATCATTAGAAAGTAAATTACATTATATTAATGAAAGTCATAGTATTATACTTACAAGGAAAGATTCATCATTACAGATATTAGAATTTTCCTATTCAAATCCTATAAAAGCAATTACAAAAGAATTAAATTTCAATCAACAAATCAATAAGGAAATCTTAAGTTATCAAGTTTATGATAATAAGATTCTTATATTATTAAAAACCGAAATTGGTTATGATATATCACGAGTTATAATTAAGAATTCAAATGAATTTGAAATTGAAACTGTATCGTGTAATTCTGGAACCAGACTTCCTGATCCTCAGAAATTAGCCTTAAATGCCGAATTTGGATGTATCTTAGATGGGAATAATCAAAATTATATGGTATTTAAACATTGAGGGGTTCTTTATTCATAAAGAAGTTTCTTAATTTACTTAATTTATATTGTCCATCATTTTTATCGAAATAAAATTGTCTCATAGTATAAGATCGAATTAATTTTCTTAAATTATGATCATTAGGAATTAATTTTGATTTTGATCTTGATAAATTTTGGCGATATTTATGGAAATATTTATTAATATGTTGATTATGATTTAAAGCAAATTCAATTAATTCATTTAAATCTTGTTCGTCCATAGGTTTATTTCTATGGAATTGTACTTTGACTTGAGCAATGGCTCGTCTTAATATATCATCCCGATTATTTAAAGGTAATGGCATGCCTATTCTTGTCATTCTATAAAGGGCCTCCATCGGTTTAACATTGATATTAAGATTAGATTGATTTTGATTTAAAAAATTGAATAATTTAGTAACTTCTTTAGTTATTTGTTCAAAATCGGTAGTTGAATCTGAGTACTGTCGTATCAAGGCGAGTTTTCTCGGACTCTGGGTATTATTTGGTAAGTTGAAATGCTTCGCAACAGAAGGATCTTCATTCTGTTGAGCATTTAAAAATTGATCATATTTTTCATGTTTTTTAATTAATTCATCAATAAGATGAACTTGAGGCCAATATGGTTTCAAACTTAAAGCGGGAGCAATTAAAAAGGTTTTCTTCCATGTAGGTATTGGAGCATCTCTTTTATATATGACATCTAATAAATCATGAAGTTTATCCTCACATTTATGAGAATCTAATACCAGATTAAATAATGATCTATGGGTTGCATATCGATGTTGATTGAATCTAACCCCAGCTAAAAACTCTTGTTTGGTCTTTTGTTTGACTCGTAGTAGTATCTCATTGCTTAATGGTAGTTTGACTATAATCTTGAGTAATTCCTTGTACTTTTGTCGTACTACTGTCATAGTGATTATTGGATTGGGGCTCTTGCAATAACAATTTTAACTGAAAAAAAAATTATGGTGTTTTTATTTTTTATTTATTATTTTTTTTTTGGTATTTTTATTTTTCGTTTTTGTTGATACTTGTTCAAACTAAATATTGCTACTCCATCAAAGCAATTATCATAAGGCAATGGCATTAGCGGAGACCATTAGTAGGAAGATACACAAGTTGGGATTGATTCCTAAATTGATCAAGTTATTACCTATTGTGTCGCTTTTGTTGGCAATTTCCAGTGTATCATGGTTATTAATCTTACCACTTGAAGGAAATTATAGAAGAACCTATATTTCTGAAAATGCATTGATGCCATCTCAAGCTACATCATTTTTCCGAGAAAGTGAATGGAATATTGTTAGAGGGTATAGAGAAGAAGTGGGTAAATTAGAAGCTGAATCAATTGAAGTTCGAAATCAAGTCATTGAATCATGGTTACATGAGATTGGTTTGATTACGGCATATCATGAAAATACATTATATTCCATCATGCATGCACCAAGAGGGGATGATACAGAAGCTATGGTTTTAGCTGTTCCATGGATTACATCTGATGATGAATATAATGAAGGTGCTATAGCATTAGCTGTGGCATTAAGTCGATATTTTACAAGATTATCAATTTGGTCAAAGAATATCATTGTCGTATTTGTGGAGGATAATAAAGTTCCCTTAAGAAAATGGGTTGAAGCATATCATACATCGTTAGAAGAAACAGCGGGATCCATTGAAGCTGCTATCGTGATGGAATATGGTAAGAATGGAGATTATTTTGATTATTATGAATTGAATTATGAAGGATTAAATGGTCAATTACCTAATTTAGATTTATTAAACACGCTTAATTTAATTGGATATCATGAAGGATTACATTGTGTTATTCAAGGAACTCCATCGACTGAATTAATTAAGAATACTTATTTTACCCGATTAAGAACATTGGTTAGAGGTATAATTGCCTTAACTTTAACTGGAATTAAACCTAAAGGACAAGGATGTGAAGCATTTTCAGGATGGCAAATCCAAGCTTTTACATTAAAAGCAAAAGGAACTACTGGACCTCATGATATAACTCAATTTGGTAGATTAGTGGATTCAACTTTCAGATCAGTTAATAATTTATTAGAAAAATTCCATCAATCATTTTTCTTTTATTTAATGTTATCTACCAAGAATTTTGTTTCAATTGGAACTTATTTACCATCTGCTGTTTTAATGGCAGTTTCATTTACATTTAGTTCATTAGGAACGATTTTAATTAGTGGTATACCATTAAATTCCTTTATAACTGAATCATCCAAATTATTAATTATATTTGTTAGTATTGAAGGTATTTGTTTAATATTAGCTTTAGCATTACCATTGATAAAGATTGATTTATCCATTGGATTAGTGGTGATATCATTTTTACCATTACTATTAAAGAATTATGTTAAAAAGCTTAATAAAACTATATCATTTGGATTAATTGCATTATCATTATTTTTTATATCATTATTAATTGTGGCGTTATTGATTGTTCATTTTTCATTAGCGTTATTATTAGGATTATTTTGTTTACCATTAACATTCATTGCACAACCTCCTAAACCTCAAATTAAAACCTTGATTAATTTATTAATTTCCAATCCATTTTTTATTATAGCGATATTTGGTCAAGATGTATTTGTGGGATTAGTTACATCATGGCATGATATGCAATGTTGGACATGGTTTGTGGTTATACTTGGATGGTATTCAGCCTGGTTAGGAGTAGCCATAGCATCACTTATGGGAGACTTTACCGTTGAAGTGGATAAAGTCAAAAAAGATCAGTAAGTAAAAAGAAAATATTATATTTATAGAAAAGAGTAATTAAAAAATTTATAATGTATACAAAATGTTTGCTAAGTAAATGTAATCCAGATTTGACCTTGACCATTCTAATTATTAGATGGAATAAGTTTTTAACTTTTATTGAGCTGATTATGGTGATCAATTGATTTTAAGAACAATTTGTATGATGATTAAGTGGTGAAATTGATCAGATCATAGAGTAATTGGAGGTTTAAGTTGGTTTATAGTTTTACAATGGTATGAGTCAAGTGCCCGTAAAGTACAACATCAAACATCCACTTCAATGTGTTCAATTCAAAATAAAGTAAGTCATTTGACTCTAGGCCTTCCAATTAACTATACATCACACATTATCAATCATGTAAACTACCTTAACTCTACCATATATCATCATATCCATTAATCCATGTTAAACAATGTCTTTATATTGTCTGATATAATTAAACTGTTTCAGGAAAGTTTCGCATTTTTTGCGATTGTCACCACACAATTAAATTTTTTTTTTTTCGTTTTGGAGACGTGTATTTTTTTTTGTTTTGATTGTTTCGTCTACAAATGTTTTACAAAAAACTATCAACAAAAAAGGCAACACATATCTCTCATATCAGATCACAAGGATATCTATCCATCATCATCCATATTAATATCAAGTAACAAGAGTAACTCACAGTCACTATGTCAGCTGCCAATTACTCTGTGGATCACAATGCTTCCAGTGCTGCCTTACGTAAACGGAAAACTTTAAAGAAATCAATCAATTTCTCCGTTATGATTATTGGTGAAAGTGGATCAGGTAGATCCACTTTAATCAATACTCTTTGTGGAGGTAATTCCATCGTTCCAACCTCATCTACTGTCAAACAAGATCCTTTCTCCAAGAAACTCACATTAAGACAAGAAAATGTCGAATTGGAAGATAATGAAGGTCATAAAATTTCATTAAATATTATAGATACTCCTAATTTTGCTAATCAAATCAATTGTGAAGATGATTTTAAAGTTATTGTTGATTTCATAAGACATCAATATGATGAAGTGTTATTAGAAGAATCAAGAGTTAAACGTAACGCTCGTTTTAAAGATGGTAGAATTCATGTTTTGATTTATATGATTAATCCTACTGGCCATGGATTATCTGAAATTGATGTTAAATTCTTATTATATATTAATAATTTGGTTAATATTATACCCGTCATTGCTAAAGCTGATTCATTAACTGTTGATGAATTAAAATTAAATAAACAATTGATTTTAGAAGATTTAAATTCTTATGCTATCAATTATTATAAATTTAATGAATATGAATATGAATCAGATTATATTGATGAAGAGATTATAGAATATAATAAATATTTAAATTCTTTAGTTCCATTTGCTATCATTGGAGCTAATGAATATAAAGAAAATCCAAATGAAGATGAAGATTTATTAAAATTAAGAGTTCTTAATCCATTAAATACCAAACCTATTAATGTTGAAAATCCAGAAATTAATGATTTTACTATATTAAAAAATGTATTATTAATAACTCATTTAAATGAATTTAAAGAATTAACTCATGATTTAATTTATGAAAATTATAGAACTGAAGAATTATCAGGTAGAAAATTTGAATATTCTCAAACTGGTACATCAGATGATAAAGATATCACTATTGATGAAAATGATGAATCTCATAATTATTTATTAAAAGAAGAACAAATTAAACTTGAAGAAGAAAGATTAAAGAAATTTGAAGAAAGAGTTCATCAAGAATTAATCGATAAACGAAATGAATTATTACAACGTGAAAACGAATTAAAAGAAATTGAAAAACGTTTACGAGAAGAAGGTTTAAAACAAGGTGAAGTTGTTTAAAGTTGTTGTTGTTGATGTTATATAGGTTTGCTTTCTTGTTTTGTTTATTAATATTTAGTTACTTTATATAAATTCTTTTCTGTATACTTTTTAAGATTAAACTTTATATTTTAAAACTATTTCGTCAAATAATTGATTCTTTTCTTCTAAATCAACTAAAAGTGGATGTTCACCATCTTGAACTTTTAAATCAGTTAATAATTGTTCAACATTATCTCCACTATTTACTAAATAATCAAATATAATACTATTGGCCACAAAATCAGCATTACTCTTACCATTTAAAGCTTTAATTTGTCCACTTATCTCTTGTGCTTCAGGATAATGTTTCAATTGTAAAGTTAATACAAATAAAACATTTAAAATCTTAGCTTTACCTTGAGAATCTTCATCAAAATCTGATGATAATAATTCATCATAAAAATAATAAGCATTACTAATATTATCTGATTCTCCCTTTATGGATAATAACCATGATTCTAAAACATGATATATTATATTATCTCTTGCTGAATCTGGATAATTCTTAAAATTTAAAAATAATTTATTAGCAGCTAAAAAGTTCCCTTTAATTAAATATAATTGAATTAAAATTAAAATTGGTTCTAATTCATTATATTTTATAGTACTTGAAACTCCACTATCGATATAAGTAGTTAAAAGAACAATGGCTTGATCAATATCTTTCTTTAATTTAACTAAATAAATAGCAGTTAAAATCGCTTGTAATTCAAATTCAGCAGTTTTAACATCTTCAAAATATGGTGAATCATCCACTCCAAATGATTTTAAATCATCCCATGCTCCTAAAACTTGAAAGAATTGTTCATTTCCAGGGAATTGGGATTTCCCATTAACAATCAATTGGGAAGCATCTTCTTCTAATGCAATGAGTGATCTGATTTGATATTCAAGTACTTTTAATTGATTCTCTTCTGAAAATTGAT